AACAAAGAATGAAATCCCGAGAGGAAGAAAACAACAAGAAAAGAAATGAAAAGAGGACAAAAGGAAGATAAGAGAAAGGAAAAAGGAGAAAATGAAGAAATAACGGGAAAATAGAATGCTGTCTGCATCGAAATCAGAAAAATACATAGCTCATCCATTCAATCCCGTTCCTCGTAAAATCAGCACCAGACCCTACGCCTCACCAGCAAACTTCTTCTTCAACCCTTCCGCAGCCACGCCACCAAGCTGCCTCAGCGTGCCCGAACCCATGATCTCGAGCGTGCTGATCTCGAGCGCAAAGGTCTGCTTCCACCACCGTCGCAGCTCGATCGCCATGAGCGAGTCCATGCCGATCTGCGCCAGCGACAGCGAGACGTCGACCTCGCTCTCGTCCCTCATCATGAACGCAAAGATCTTGAGCCCGATCTCCTGCGCGAGGTAGCCCACGGCCTCGTCGCCGTCCAGCAGCTCCGGGTTGTTGGACGCGCTGGCCAGGAAGGTCTTGAGAGCGTTCGACGAGCCGCTGCCGCCCTCGCCGGCGCTGGACGAGTCTCGCAAGTTGTGATAGGTGGCCATGCGGCAGTCGCGACGCCACTCGGTGGAGCACTTGGGATCGTCGAGGGGTACCTCGGACCGGAGGCCCATGACGACGTTGCCGTTGGCGCACCAGGGGGCCAAATTGTCTCCGGATTTGCTGCAGTCTATGTCGTCAGGGAGTTGGTTGAGGATGAGGAGCTCCATATAGTCCATGAACTCCTTCTCCGTCAAGAAGTAGAGACCCTGGGACCTAAGCTTCTTCCTCGCAACATTGTTATCAGCGATGAAGCCGACGTCGTCGACGGGGCAGATGTTCAGGACCGTTGCCGGAAGACCTTGGCTACGGCGGAAGATGGTGAAGGCCTCTAGGAAGCAATTGGCGGCGGAGTAGTTGCTCTGACCGCTGTGGTCGGCGAAAGTGGTCACACCGGAGCTCGTGGAGATGAAGAAATCCAACTTCTGTCCCTCAAGGGCGTTATGCAAATTCCAGGCGCCGTTCACCTTGGGCTCGATAGCAGCGCACCAGTCCTCGTGGGGCATGTCAGCAAATGATTGGTCCTAGAGAGTGCGTCAGTACTCATTTTCAAGGGGCATCTAGAGCAGCGCATCACTTACGCGAAGCACCATGGCCATATGGATGACTCCCTTGATGGGAGACGGAGCCAGGGCAATCGCAGACTTGACAGCGTCCATATCCTGCGCCTTGCCAGCAACGGCAGCAGCCGTGCAGCCCAAGCTTCGTAGCTCGTGGAGGAATTCCTGGTCACTCGTGGTAGTGCCAGCGCTGCGACTAAGGAACACAAAGTTACGAGCACCATGCTCGGCCATCCACACTGCGATAGCCCTCCCCAGACCACCAAGACCGCCTGTCAAGAGGTAGGTAGCCTCAGAGTCCAGCTTCGTGACAGTCGAGGCGTTAGTGCTGGGAATGAGAGAGGCATCTACCGGAATCCTGACAACCACCTTTCCAATATGGTCGCCCTTCTGAAGGTGACGGAAGGTCTGCTCAATATCAGCAGCCTCGAAGAGTGTGATGCTGTCCATGGGCTTGATCCTTCCATCGCGGCACATGTCCATGACTTGGTCGAGGATCTTTCCAACCTGCTTGGGCTTCTTCTGGATCATGTGCGCGAGGTCCACGCAGCAGTACGAGCGGTTCATCAGGAACGGCTCCATGTCGAGCTTGCCGAAGCCGACAAGGTCACGCTTTCCGAGCTCGATCAGCTTGCCAAACTCGGCCACACACTTCCATGAAGCGTGCAGCAGCTTGCCCGACAGGGAGTTCAGCACGATGTCCACGCCCTGCCCGTTCGTCTCCCTCATAACACCAGCCACGAACGACTCGTCGCGGGAGTGGAAGATGCGGTTACGAGGAAGACCGTAGGTATCTATGGCGTACTGAGCCTTGACTTCACTGCCGACGGTGACAAAGATCTCGGCGCCGACCGCCTTGCACAAGGCGACTGCAGCGTGGCCGATACCACCGCACGCAGAGTGGATCAGGACAGATGTCTCCGAAGTCAGTTGTCCTACTGTATACAGGGCATAGAGGGCAGTCGCATATACGCAGGGAATAGTGGCGGCCTCTTCAAAAGAGAAAGATTCGGGGAGCGTTGTGCATAGAACAGAGTCGACGACGGCTTTGGTAGAGAATGCTCCGTCAAGTGCCACGCCAACAACTCTGTCGCCGACAGCGACGTTCTTGACGTTGGAGCCAACCCTGCTCACAATACCAGAGACTTCGATACCGAGTGGGTGCTTGCCCTCGAAGGATAGGACTCCCATCGCCACCATGACATCCTATTGCTTGTTAGCCAGGTCTTCGATGCAATACAAGTCTTGCAGCACAACTTACGCGAAAATTCAGACCAACAGCCCTTGACTCAATCTCCACCTGGTCATCACCCAGAGTCTTCGCCGGCACGTCCACCCAGTGCAGCGTCTCCAGCAGGCCAGGTTTCCCAATGGCCAGCTCCTTCTCCGCGGTGGATTTGGTCGCACTCTTACGTCGAACCTCCTCTTCGAGATCGAAAGCCCCGAACCGCGGAATCTTTACCACGCCGTTGTCGACGGCGTACTCACGGTCGGGCCGGAGAAAGACGTTGTCATCGTTCATCCGGTGTACCTTGCGCAGGACTTTGAGCACCAGGCCCGCAAAGTCCTCCTCAGCAGTGGAGATCTCGAGGGTGTGGAAGGGCAGGCCGAGCTCGGCTGCGGCGCCGCGCACCGCACCCAGGGACGGGGCGTGGCGGGGATCAGTGCAGTTGATCTGCGTTGGGGGCATGAGCCACAGCAACTTCTGGTCGGCGTGCTCGCGGCAGAGGGCCTGGAACTGCTCGAAGCGCTCCTGTGTGATGTTGTCAAAGAAAGGGGTTTCCAGGTCGACTGTAGCCAGCACTGGCTGGCCTGCTGGGAGAGAACCCTCCCCGAAGCGCACCACAGACACGTCGATATTCTGCGACTGTAGATGTGAGATCAAAGTCTGCGTTGCCTGCTGCTCGGCGGTTTCACATAGAACAGTGACGGCGGGAAGCTCCGGGTTGTTTTGCTTGGCAGCTGTCCGCGAGACGATGGCAGCACAATACTGGTACGGCTCCTCGGCGTCAACGACAGCGGTGTCGACACCTGTGAAGCCGGCTCCCTTCAGCTCGGCGTCCCAGCGGTCCAGGAAGATGTACGGCTCCCACTTGCGGCCGTCGGCCTCGCCCATCCACCAGCCCGAGAAGTTGCCAAAGATGTAGCCAGGACCACGAGCGACAGCGCAGACTTCGGTCAGGACAAGCTGGCCGCCAGGCTTGAGGAGCGGCTGGAGGTTGCTGAGAGTCGCGTACAAGCTCGGCGTGGCGTGCACGACATTCGGCGCCAGGATCAGATCGTAACTCTCGGGCGTGTAGCCCTGCTCGAACGGGCAGGCGGAAATGTCAAAGACCTTGTACTCCATGTTTGGCGCGTACGAGAACCGCTCGGTGGCCTGTGGGAAGAACCCGGCCGAGATATCGGTGAAGGTGTACGTCGAGTACAGAGGGTTCTTGGAGGTGCTGACGAGGTCCCGGAGGATCATCTCGGTCGTGCCGCCGGTGCCGGCGCCGACTTCCAGTATGCGGAGTTTGGGCTTGGAGATGGCTAGCATTTTGACGAATTTGGAGAAGCCGAAGCTGATGCAGTTGTAGATGCCAGTCAGGACACCATCCTCCATGAGGATCTCAAGGGTGTCTTTCTTGCCAGTGAACAGGTCCTCGGTGTTCTCCCAGATGCGGACTATACCACGAGCAACATCGCCGAAGGAGGGGTCAGCACAGATCTTATCAGCTCGCTCGAGAATAGCGGCTTTGCGTTCGTCCTTGGTCAGCTTTGTGTAGGGCAAAGTGTCTCTGATGATGGGAGGGTATGTGCCATCGCTTGCACGTTGCCTCTCACGGTGCAGCCACTCCCGGAAGTTATCGAAATGCGGCTGACCAGCGGTCAGGCCCTCGACACGATCAGCCGAGTCCAGAGTGCATAGCAGGACCATCTCCTCAACCGTAAGCTTAACATCGGTATCAATGGTGGGCGGTTTAAACAGTGGTCCGACATCCATGAAGTCGACGTCAGGATACCATTCCAGCCTGGCAGCGGCGTGTACATCCTTGTTCGAAACGTCTCTGTCATCTTCAAGGGGGTTGAGGCGGACGCCCCGCAGACGTAGCGCTACTTGGCCCTCAGCGACGCACTCGATTCCGACATCAGCCTCGCCAGCAGAGCCCCAAGCCTCGGCAATCATGTGCTCCGTCCCAGGGAACACGTCGATCTCCTCAATGAGCGTAGGAACGACAAGGTGCTTGAGGTTGCGCCCAAGGCCTTGCGCCGCCGCAGCAATGACGAGCTGGAAGCAGGTGTCCATAGTAGCCGGGTGGAACAGGAACGGCTTCTCGACTTTGCCAGTGATCTCGCCAACAGCCCGAGACGACGTGACCGAAGTCTGCAGACTCGTCATGCCCTGGAATTCTGGACCGTAGTTGAGGCCGACGTGGCCAAGCATCTTATACCACCTTGAGGCGGAGATCTTGCGAGGAAGGCTGGAAATCTCTTTGGAGCCCGCGAGACGTTCTGCCGTGGGTTTGACCGTGCCCTCGCAGTGCCTCATCCAGGTGGAGCCAGAGTAGGAGGAGATAGTAAACTCCCAGTACTCTGACTCAGCCGAGTCCGTGAGCTTGCGCTTCCGGAGCGACGTCAAAAGCTCGACGGGCTTGGATACGTTGAGCACCAGCGCCGTAGGCACGATGACGTGGCGCACGCTGTAGCCGGTCTGGACGCCGCTGACCTGGCGGATAGCCTCTCCGGCCATGGAGATATAGCCCGCAAAGGGAAAGATGATGTCGTCGCGGACCTTGTGATCGGCGAGCCATGGAACATCCTCGAGATCGAGCACACACCGCCAAGCCGGCTCAAGCTCGCTGAGTTCAGGGATGCGCTGGCCGAGGAGCGCGTGGTGGCCATACTGCCTGAACCGCCACTCCTTGGCAATGCGGCTCTCGTACCAGTACTTGGTGGAATGATCCCAAGGGTACAGGGGCAGGTCAGTTAAGACCTTGCCTCTTGGGAACAGTGAAGCAAAGGCCACGCTGACTCCCTGCTGCCACAGCTGGCCGACAGCAGAGCTGAAGCTCTCAGCGCAGTCTGCGCCACGGATCATGGTAGAGATGTAATTACAAGATGCCCGCGCTTCAGCGCAGATCTGTCGCAGTGGTCCAGCCATCTGCGAGTGGGGACCGACCTCTAAGAATAGAGCTTGCGGTAGCTCCTTGAGCAGAGCGTTGACTGCAGGCAGGAATTTGACAGGTGATACCAAGTTATCTACCCAGTACTGGGGAGACAGGGGCTGAGTGTACAGCTGGGAGGTAACGCTAGAGAACATAGGGATCTTTGGCCGGTGGTCATTGTCTTCTCCGGGCTCCATCTCCACTTGCAGCAAGCCGAGATAGTGTCGAGCGAGGGCTACCATGTGGTCTGATGATCAAATCTATTAGCTTCGCCCGACCTTTCGTACAAAAGGGGTCTGGATGACTTACGCGAGTGGTACGCCATATCAACCTGCAGCTTCCTCGCAAGAACATCAGGCTTGGCGCTCTTGACCGCCGCAATGACCTGCTCCAACTTGTCAAGATCACCCGAGATGGTCGTCGCCGAGGGGCTGTTTTCCGCAGCGACGACAACACCATCGACGAGGAACTCAGCCGTCTCGGCAGCGCTAAGACCGACAGCAGCCATGCCGCCCTTGAGCTCCTGGTACTTGGTAGCCAGACCCCTATAATACGAAGCCAGGATCGCTTCCCGCTGCGACAGCGCGCCAGCCGCATAGGCAGCGGCGATCTCGCCGCTCGAGTGGCCGACAACGGCATCCGGGGCGATGCCAGCTCGCCGGAGGCTGTTGACAAGGGCGAGTTGGACAGCAGTGCACAGCGGCTGCGACAGCTCGGCCCTGTAAACGTTGCTAGTCTCCTTGGGGCGGAGGAGCTCTTCCTCCAGCGCCCAGGTCGGCGGGATCTTGGCCGCGGCCAGAATGTCGTCCATGGCCTTGATGTCGTCCTGGAAGATGGGGTCGGACTCGAGGAGCTGCTTGCCCATCTGCGGCCACTGCGCGCCCTGGCCGGTGAAGACGAGGGCCAGCGGCGCGGCTTGTTGGGGAGCCTTGACGCTCGGCGCGGCCTCAGAGACATTGCCATTGGTGACGACGACGAAGGAGCGGTGGGGGAGCGGCTCTCGCCTCCGCGCCAGCGTGTATGCCAGATCGTCCGAGCGCTCCGGATGGGCCTGGAGGTACGCAACCGACTGCTCGACGACCTTCTTCACGGCATCTTGGGAATTGGCCGAGCAAACCAGCAGCTGCGCGGCCGAGCCAGCTTTGGAGTGGAAGCCATTGGTCTCATAAGAAGGAATATAGCCCTTGGCTGAGTCCACAATACACTAGGAACAGTATGTTGTCAGTTTCTCCCACACAAACATAATGTGTACGGCCTCGGCGGCACTAATGCTGCTTTTCTTACATGGGCATTGGTCCCGCCAATACCGAACGAGTTTATGCTCACGCGCTCAGCGCGATTCGTTGGCCATGGCACCGGCTTGAGCGGCACAGCAAGGTTGAACTCGTCAAACTTGACTATTCGGGTAATGCATGTCAGCGATCATATGACTTTGTGGAACATAAGAACAGTGTAAAAATAGCTCTGCCTTACTCTTGGGGTTGGGCTTGCCAAACTTGATATTCGGGGGGATGGTCTTGTTTTCCAAAGCCAGCACGGCCTTGATAAGACCCGTCAACCCGGACGCACCCTCGGAGTGGCCAAAGTTGGGTTTGGACTAGCAAGTGCGTCACACCAATCATTAGCACTGTCGTCACGTCTACTTAAAGTTGTTTCATATATGGCAGGGGTGGTGAGATGTAGGGTGAGATGATGTTAGATTAGGCACGGCACTTACAGAGCCGATATAGATACCCCTGTCCTTGAAGAGGTTGCCAACAGCATGGGTCTCGATGGGATCGCCGGTCGGGGTCCCCGTTCCGTGGCACTGTCACACAGACGCACAACGCGTCTCGGTCAGCACATCCGATCGGAGAGATAGGCAAAACGCACAGATCGGGCAAAATACGACTACACCGATGGATGTCCTTGGGGGATCCGTGGGGGTCCGGTCCGGGTATAAACACAAATGCTCACCTCGATAAACGGCGTGTCTGCGGGGTTGAGCCCGGCGTCCTGGTACAGCTTCCTCATGAGCGCCTCCTGGGCCGCTGAGCTCGGGTTCAGCAGGCCCTGGCTCTTGCCGTCGCTGTTGGTCCCGCTGTTGCGGATGACGGCGCGGATGGGATTGCCGTCCCTGATCGCGTCTTCCAGCCGCTTCAGGTACACCGCGTTGATGCCCTCGGCCCGCGCGAAGCCGTTGGCCTCGGCGTCAAAGGTCTTGCACGATCCTTCCGGGGACAGGACGCCCTCCGAGGTCATGGTGGAGTAGATGGTCGGGCCCATGAGCAGGCTCGTTCCCGCCACGATGGCCGACGTGCAGCCCCCGGTCTGCAGGGACATGCACGCCTCGTGCAGCCCTACCAGGGAAGCGGAGCAGCCAGTCTTGATGACCATACTATATCCGGTTTTCCCGGGTTAGTATATACATGCTGTCTATTCCCGACCCAGATTTTTGGGAAAATCCTTCCACGAGATTTCGCCATTTTACGTACCTAGGACCCTTCAAGTCATACTCGTACGACAGCCTGTTCGCAATCATCAAGTCGCCGCTAAAATTGTACCCGCCCGTGAACTGCGGCTCGCGGGACTGCATGTGCAGCCAGTCCTCGCCAAAGGTGCCGACGTAGCAGCCGACGAGCCTGCCGCGGTAGTCGGTCTCGCCGGCGCTGTCGAAGCACTCGCGCGCGACCTCGAGCAGCAGCCGCTGCTGCGGGTCCGTCTTCTCGACCTCGAGCTTGCTCATGCTGAAGAAGGACGTGTCGAGCAGGCCCAGGTCCTCGTCGAGGAAGTAGCCGTGCCGCGTGTCGACCTGGCCCTTGCGGCCCAGCTTGCCGTCGAAGCCGTCGATGTTGAACCGGTCGGCCGGGATGGGCCCGCGCAGGTCCTTGCCGTTGGCGATGACGTCCCAGAAGGCCTCGGCCGTGCGGACGCCGCCCGGGTACCGCATGGCCATGCCGCAGATGGCGATCGGCTCTGGAGCAGGGATCTGCTTCTTGTGCTCGCCGCCGTTGGCGAGCCCCTTTTCCAGGCTACCATTGGTTGTTGCCGGCTGAGTAACTTGGACGCGCTCTGCCTCTTGCTCTAGGGCCAAAGCAGCGTCGACGCCATTGGTACCTTTCCCGTTCACAGCGACCTCAATTTCACGCTTGATGGTGTCCAGACCATTCAGTATGGGTGCCACACCGTTCCGAGCAGTAAGGATTTCCGGTCCAGACGCATTGTCGTCTCGCACCTTGACGGTGGAGACCTCTGGCTGAACCTCCTTATCTGAGGCACCGTTCGCCGCGGGCTCAACTGTCTTGTGGCCGTTGGAGTCCTGCAGGTGTGCAGTCTGGTGATTTGACTGGCTGGAGAGTGTGATGTCCTGATCACTCTCTATAGAGTCGATAGTGCCGTCCGAGCCCGCGCTAAGACGGGACGACTTGGCCTTCCGCTCATGGAGGCGGGCGACGCCGTCCTCTGGCAGTGCACGGGGCACAGCCGAGAGGTCAAGCTGATCTCTGTCTGCTGTCTGCCCGTCCCGCGGCCGGGCCTCCGAGCTGCTCAGGATGACATATTGCTGCTCGTCGAGCTTTGGGGACGTGGTATCCTCCATGCTTGTGTTTGCGTGTGGGGAGCTATGGCTTACACCGACCAAGGGAGGGTAGTCTTACCTCTCTCCCCCTTTTATGAAACAGTCGGACCTCTACAAAGGCACTCACCAAAGACACACAGCAAAGATACCAAGAGAAAGGGAAGGTTATAATAAGGAGAAGGAGAATCAGGCGAGAATACCGAAGCTCTGAGAAAGAGAGGTGGTGCTGTTGTTCTCCATCCTCCCTTTTATGCAGCCGGGGAGTCCTTGCAAGTCTTATATGGAACCTGAACCGCGATCGAACACTAGTGGCAGCTCGCCAGGACCATGTTGGAATAAAACGGATCCACCGCCCACGGTTCGGGCTCAGCAACGGGCAAGATCCCAGCAGGAGAATACAGCAAACCGAAATTACTAGAGTGAAAGGAGTGCAGTATGGGAAAAAAGAGGGACTGGCCCAATGGACTGCCAAGGACCGACCTAGAGAAGTGGCCCTTTAACTGGGATGGGACGAATGCCACTCTCGACAAATCCGTCCCAGTCGTCCGGCCCCGGGAATGTGTATCGTCCACACCCTCAACAGCACACCTCATGCACAGTCCACCTGCCCTCCGTCCAGGGTTCGCCATAGGATCCCCCACTGCCCCCGTTTTGATCCCGGCAATAGAGGCGCTCTGAGCCTGGAGATAAATCCATGTATGATACGTACAAGGGGGCTGATCTGTTTCCCGCTGCGGCAATTGACCGATGATCTCCCACCCACCTTACCATGAGGGGACCGCGGTGTTAGCTCATAGATGCATCTGCATCTGCATTGCAACGCCGGCTGAAGAGGACCCTGTGGGGTCTACAAGAAACAAAGTCACACAGGATAGGACCAGACGAAAAAGACGTTTCGTCGGCCTGACGCCCTGCTCGGCCAAGCCGTTAACCTTCAATGGTCTAGCATCACCATCGCCAATGGAGCTTGTCCTATCCGGGTTCTTCAGATGGGAGAATGTACATGTCAGTGGCGTGCGGATGAGAAACACGACACCACCACGTAGGTTCCCAACGAGCCTATTGAGGCGCCAGTGGGGGGGGGGGCAGACCTTTCAGATGGGACGACGAGAGACGACATTTTTGTCTGACCGTGAGCCCGGAAGCAAGGGCGGACTCCACTCGCAGCGGGTTGGAACGAGGGTGGAGTGAGAGCAACTGTACCCAGTACAAGACGGAAAAAGCCCCGGGGCTCCGTTTCAACCCGCTAACAGCTCGCTTGGTGAGGGTGGTTCCATAGAAAGCGACGACGGGGTCACGACGGGCCGAGCCACGAAGTGTTCGAGAAGGTCTCAGGCTGGCGAGTCAGTAAAGCCTTGGCCCCCGGCCTCCCCTAACAGCGCGGTGCTGGAAGGACTGGCACGCCGATGGGCCAAAAGATCAAGAGGATGGTTCGTCCTGGTTCCAGAGCTAGCCATGACAGGTCTGCCAACGGGGTCAGGAGCATGCGTAGGCCACGCATTTTCTGGATCTGGCCATAGCATCGACGGCGTCGGGGTTGGATTGGATCCGTCGTACCGTCTGACAGGTACTATTGTCAATTCTGTAGCAAGGTCGCCAACAGAGTTCCATAACGGCGGGATCCAACCCCCAAACCAACGTCGGTGGCTTCTCCTGTTCTTGACCGTTGATCCAGCCTGGCGGCCGACCATTGCTTCACCTCGGCCACGTGTTGAAATTGTATTGCGTACCGCCTGGCTGGGAGCGAGAGGGGAAGTATGGTGCTGTATCCGCGGTTCTCTTCCCTACTTCCTAATTCACTGATGGCAAGCAAGTCGCCATGACCCAGCTCCACTCCGTATCACACCACGACCTGGACAGTACGAGTGCATTAGCTTGTGAGCTCACAGGCTAATAGCATCCCTTGGAGGTCGGCGTATTGCATGCGACCACGGTGAGGAGGCGGGAGCGGTAGCAGGTACAGGGGACCAGAGGGAGGAGAATGGCAGCGCGAGAGCAAAAGAAAAAAAAGAACCCAGAAGACCTGCCCCCCCCCCTCCAGCTCGCTAGCTCCTTGCGTTAGCGTGTAGATTGCTGGCTGCAACGCGAGGGCGGAGGGTGGGTGTTGGGATCCTGAGGGTGGTGGAGGTGGAGACGTGTTAAGACTTGCTGGTCCGGCCTTTCTTGCCAAGCAAAAAAACCCCAAACTGTCGTATCAAACCGTCGTCATGGGCCGCCCAGCCATCTCTTACACCGGGCAGAATGATCACTTTGGATTCGTACGAAGTCGGAGCAAAAGGACGAGATCAATCCGGAGCTGGTGGTGTGCGCGGGAGGCAGATATTCTCCATCGGGATTAGCAGGCCAACACCATTGGCTTGCCCCCCAAGACTTTGCCGTGTTTGCTTCTTGCGATCGATCTAGTAAATCTTCAGTTTCGATGGCACAAAACGGCACCCAAAGAAGGGTCGTTACACCAAAAGCAGGAACATCTCTCCCCGTCACATATGCAGCCAAATGTCCGATCGACGTCAGCCCCCCAAGACATCGGGAAGGGGATCTGACACGCGATTGGCAGTTTGTCGTTATGTCTGTTGTGTATCTATTGCTGATGGTCTGGGTGATTATTGGATATTGAAGCCGGCACGGTTCCATCCCGCCGCCGTCTCAGCCATTCAGATCTTTCCAGGCGGCTGGTGCGGAGCAGGAGGGGGGTGTCCCGGCCGCGCCGTGTTCGCGGACCTGGTCTGACTGATTACCAAGCCCTGATCTCAGCTTGGCTCCCTCAGCCGATCCGCGGAGGTCGGCCAAGAGGCTCAACAAAACCCCGAGTTCGCATCATCACGGGCTCCATCCTATCGGAGTTTGCACAGGTGATGGAATGAAGGAAGAGGGAAGAAAAGGCCTGTCTATTGAAAGTCGTTTAGTAAGAGGCATTCGTTAGCCTGTGGCAATAAGCCATCATCCGATTCGATTCGACTTCGATCCCGACAGATTCGCCTCCTCTCTCGAGTCGGGGTTCGGACGGACGAGACGAGAGTCCCTTGGCCATAGGAGAAGCCCACTATGCATTCCTTTGCAAGGTTAGCAGACAAAAGGCAGGAATTCACTCATCGCCAAAACCTGCTCTCTTCTCTCGGCTGGCCCTTTTCAGCAAGATGGTGGTGGACCGGCTCCTCTACGTGATCGCGAATTGGAGCATATGGCAAGATGCAGGCCCGCCTAGAGGTGCAGTAGTCGTGCACCGAGCCACGTCGGCGTCAGCCCGAGTCTGGCCTAGTAGGAGTCGAACTTTTCCGACAGTGGCCAGTCACAACGTGTCGGACACTTGGGACGAATGCACCTCTTTCGTTATCTGTCGCCCTCCAGGCCAGTAGGCTGGCCCACGGCGGCGAAGACATCATGTAAATGGGGCGGGGGACGCGGACAGGCCAGGTCTGTCGGTATCCTAGACTCGGACCACCCTAGACTCCTTGCTGCCCGTTGCATTCCTCAGGAGAGTGGCCCGTTGATTTGGCTTGGCTCTGTAGAGGCAGGCGTCTTGAAGTGCGGCTCGCAAGGAGCTTGAACCGGGATTGGTAAGAGCCCGAAAGAGCGGTGAACCACCAGGGTCTGTCGAAAACCCATTATGTATTTTTTGCCCGGGAACAAGCGATGCTGGAGGAGAGGAGAAGCCGAGATCTTGACAGCCACCGGGAGATCGTGCCCAGTTCGCGCGCCAGCCGATTGCTTGCTTGGCCGTCCAACCAGGTCTGACCAGGTCTGACCAGGTCTGACCAGGGCCTGTATTCATGTCGCAGAGAAACAACAGCCCTGATCCTTGACCTCTTCGGGCCGTGATGCAGCAGCGGCATGAATTTATGGTTATTGGTAAGGGTGGCTTATAAAGGACGGCAAGACAAGGGGAGGAGCGGGGGAGGGAAAGGTGATGGATGGATCTCTGTGAACTAATCCATCCATCCACGATGCCCGTCGCAAGGGCTGGGTCGCATGGCAGAGCATGGATACAGGGGTTCAAGCAAGAAATGGAGCCTCCAGCTCCTGGAGGTTGGTGCCTGTTCTCGCTGGCCCTTCTGAAGCCGGGCCGTGCTACAGGGGTCCTTCAGCTGCTCGAACAGCGCCTCTTTAGGGGACCTCGGGAGAGAAACGCCTCCCGGGCTCCTTACACGGCCTGTGCTCCATCCCTGGGGCTTTCAGCTGTGCGCTTGTTAACGACGAGCATGATGTTTCCTTTTGTCGAGACATGATGTGCATATCGCGCATGGGCACTGCCATCCGAACGTTCAAGGTAGCGCGTGTTGTAAGACCTGCCCGGGTTCAACGACATGAAGAGTGGAATTGATGACTGACATCTACCCGACACAGGCAATCCTTCCACGGTGTCCCTTAATGCAACGCACCGGGCTCCAATTCTAGCTGCGTCCTTCCGTTTTCCTGACCGCCATCTCTTGAAGATAAGTCCATGCTGTCAGAAGTGGAGGATGGCAATCCGGGAATCAGAAACACAGCAGTCCTTTCTCCATAGAATGCTCCACCCAGACGCGTACGAGCTGCGCGTGCACAAGCTGCTTCATGTCATCTAATCCCAAGTCACGGAAGCCAGTGGAAAGGACGGTCAGGAGATTTTGGTAGCATCTGGTTGGAACATCAACTTGAAAGTCGTAGCGGGAATCGCTATGGTATATGTCATCGAGCCTCCTCACTCCCTAACGCCAGGAACCATGTAAATACAATCAACAAGCAAAGCGCAATTGTAGGTCAAGAGCAAACTTTTGTCTTTCCACAATCATGACTCGCCCTCTTTGACGGCCGCCGCCGAGCCCTCCTCCGCCCCCTTGGAAGTGTCTTTCTCGGTGCCGCTGTCGGTCTTCTTCTCCTCGGACTTGTCCGCCTCCTTGGTCACATCAGTCTCGGCGGCCGGTTCCGCCTTCGTTGCCGAGGGGGAAGGCGACTTCTGTTTCTCAGCTGCTGGCTGGGCCTTGGACTCGGCTTGCGTTGTTGGCTCAGCCGACTTGGCCTTCTCAGCGTCCGCTCCGCCAACAGATTGCTGACCTTCGATCTCCTCCTTCTTGATCTCAGGCTTGTCAGACACCGGAGCGTCGGCCTCACCCATGTCAACATCACCGTCATTGTCTACCTTGGAATCGTCCTTGGCAGCTTCTTCTACAGCCTCTGCAGCCTCCGCAGCCTCCGCAACCTCCGCAGCCTCCGCAACCTCCGCAGCCTCCGTTGGTGCGCTAGCATCGGCGTCCTCCATGGTGACCTCTTCAGGCTCTTCGTTGGACACCTCGGCGGCACCATTTGGCGGAGGCGAAGCAGCCGCGACAGGGGTGACTAGTCCACTATCCATATCGACGTCTGCATAAGGGTTGGGATGGTCGAGGATGGAAGGGCGTTTGTGCTCGACGGTGTGAACTCCGTTGGCCTGGGCCATGTCCTCGTCGTCGCTGTCCTCGTACTCGTCCTGCCTCGCAACAGTCTTTTCCCACCGTCTCTGCGTCATCCGCACGTCCTTGTTCTCGTCCTCATCGAGATCGTCGAGCTCGGCCTCTTCCTCATCGGACAAACCCAAGCTTTGACGCGGGATATCGGTCATCTGCACGGAGGGAACCGGGGCCGTCTTCTTGAGGTTCTCGATGATGGCGATCTTGATCTTCTCAAGATACTCGTGGCTGTTTGCGTTCTCCATGTTGGAGGCTCGGACGTCGAGCTCGTAGTTGGGGCCGTAGTACTAGACGAGAACCTGTCAGACAAGACGGCTTTGATTTAGGCGGAGCTGCGGGGCTTACCTCGTAGTATTCGTTATAAGGGAGTACAGGATCCAGATCGAGCCCGACCAGCTTTCCAGTCTCGTAGGCCCAGGTGCGGGCAACGTTGCGCATAGTATAGCCACCACCACCCAGAACCAGAGTAGGGAGGTTGAAGCCGCGAACGTAGTTAACGCACTGGGCATGACCCCGCATACTGAGATTGAAGCATCCCAGCCGATCTCCAGACAAAGAATCACCACCGCATTGGAGGACAACAGCCTCGGGCTGGTAGTATTTCATGATGGCATCGATGATGGGCTCAAAGAAGCTCCTGTAGCTCTCGTCATTGATACCATCGCGGAGCGGGACGTTGACAGCGTAGTTCTTACCAGCACCAATGCCGATGTCGCGGAGCTCGCCGGTGCCGGGGAAGTACTCGCCATATTTGTGGAAGGAGCAGGTCATGACGCGATCGGTGGTGTAGAAGGCTTCCTCGACGCCGTCGCCGTGATGCACATCAATGTCGATATAGAGCACGCGCTTTTTGAATCGGAGAAGTTCGATGATGGCGAGCACAATGTCTGCGGAACGCGCGAACGAGGGGTAGGAGGTTAGCCAGTGTCTGACGGCGCACATTCGAGACAGACATCCTGCACAATCAAGGGAGGCATACCGTTGACATAGCAGAAACCACTAGCCTCGCTCTTCTTTGCATGATGCAGGCCGCCAGCCCAATTGACCGCAATGTCACACTTCTGACGATTGAGTCGCGCAGCGCCCTCCATACTGCCGCCAGCACTGATGCCGCACAGCTCGAACAGACCATCGAAGACGGGACAGTCGTCTCCGACGTTGTACTTGCTCTGCTCACGCATGTATGAGTCCATGTTGTCGGGCGTGACCTTTTGCAGGAAATCGATGTATTCATCGGTGTGAAATTGAGTCATCTCGGTGAAGACCGCAGGCTTCGCGCGCTGCATGATGGATAATTCAGTCAGCTTTGTCCACCGCATATCAAGGATCTCGTGCGCGGTTCGGGAAGGCATACGTAAACCTCTAGGAACTTGTACACGCCATAGTTCATAACCAGACTGTGCGCAAGACGGATGCGATGCGGCTTCATGGGATGGCCCGTAGGATAAGAGTAGTTTCCAATATCGGAATCGTAAAAGTAAGCCACCCTCTTCTTGTCATTGTTGGTGACCTGGTAAAGAGGCCGCGTGCGCTCGACGCCAGCCGGATCGGTCACCATGGCTGCGGATCAAGCTCGGCTCGAGGGGATCAAGTAACAAGATCGGTGTTGTTCGATACCGCAAAGGTTAGGAGCAGAAGGCAGAAGGGTGCAATGCGCAAATAGATGCACGAGTTGAAGCTCCTCGAATACTAGATCACCAGCTCGGGATCTCTGGTGTCGAGGGGGTTGAATTGAAAGGGAAAATGTGGGAGAGGGAGGGGAGACTTCTCGCGGCCGCAATGTATTTATCGATATTCGCAGCTTCACCCAGCCCGCACCATGACGGAGAGGCTGCCTCTAGCCCGTTCAAGGTTAGCGCACATCCGCTCTATGCTATTGTTGTCTCCAATCAATAGCACTGCTCAGTAAGCTCATGTGGGACGATCCAAACCACCCAATCAGTAGCAAACATCGGCACGCAAGGCTATTGTTTCGAGCCCAGCGGCCACTGAGAAAACTGGGGCAAGCAGCGGAGCACGTGACGTGGCAGCCGCCTAATCGCCTCTGATCTGTGCGCTTCCCTTGGAGCTCCAGGCTGCTCAGCTGGCGTCAACAGTGGCTCCCAGAAGCAAAGCTGCCAATACCCAGACCCAAAGGGTAGCCTCACCAGCTAGCTGCCATCAGATTTGTCACCACTTCCCTCACCTCCTTGTCATCCTCACGAACCACATCGAAGGCCATCAATCGCAGTTGCGCTCTTCTTTCCCGGCCTTGTTGTCGTTTCCTCTCGATAAGCTTGCCGCGTACACCTCTCTAGACGTTCTCTTCTCCAACTCAAGATGGAGCGGTTCCGGAGTATGCTGTCTGGTGGTGGCATGGGTGGCCTTGGAGCTGCACCTGGCACGGTATGTTGCGCGCTTCAATATCACGATCTTTTCCTTTCTGGGGCATGGGACCTTGACTGACAAATCTCATACAGGACAACACCAACCTCATCGACAACTCTGAGACCGTCTACATCTCATCACTCGCCCTCCTCAAGATGCTGCGACACGGTCGAGCAGGTGTACCCATGGAGGTCATGGGACTGATGCTGGGAGAGTTCGTGGATGACTTTACAGTGCGCGTCGTGGACGTGTTTGCCATGCCTCAGAGCGGTACCGGCGTCAGTGTTGAGGCTGTCGATCCTGTGTTCCAGATGAAGATGATGGACATGCTGCGGCAAACGGGCAGGTGCGTTGGGTCGCAAGACTACCTCCGTCACGAGAGGTGTGCCTATCGCTGAATGCGGAGCTCTACTGACATTACCACTCTCAGGCCGGAATCAGTCGTTGGCTGGTACCACTCTCACCCCGGTTTTGGCTGCTGGCTGTCCTCGGTTGATATCAATACTCAACAGTCTTTTGAGCAGTTGACCCCTCGTGCCGTCGCCGTCGTCGTCGACCCCATCCAGTCAGTAAAGGGCAAGGTCGTCATCGACGCCTTCCGCCTGATCAACCCGCAGTCCCTGATGCTGGGCCAAGAGCCCCGCCAGAGCACGTCCAACCTGGGCCATCTCAACAAGCCTTCCATCCAAGCCCTCATCCACGGGCTCAACCGCCACTACTATTCGATCGGCATCAACTACCGCAAGACTGCGCTCGAGGAGAACATGCTCATGAACCTGCACAAGCACGTCTGGACAGAGGCGCTCGAGATGGACGACTTCCGGTCCGAGGGCGAGAGGAACAAGGAGAGGCTCGAGAGGCTTGTCAGCCTCGCCGAGGGCTACGAGAAGCGTGTCAAGGAGGAGACGGAGCTCACCAAGGACCAGCTGAAGACGCGCTACGTTGGCAAGCTGGATCCCAAGAAGCACTTGGAGGATGTCGGCCAGCAGCTTATCGAGGACAACATCGTTGCTGTGTCAAGACAGATGATCGACAAGGAGGCTACCATGCCCAAGAAGGAGCAGGCCGGCAATGCCAACGGCCACTCAACTGCGGATCAAATGGACGTGGAGGAGGAGCTATGATTTTGACTTGACGGGTTGTTATTCGGGCATTGTACGAATAGGCGTTGGGCTGATGGATCGCCGCATCTAGACAGGTAAAATGCACATGTCGCCGTCGCTTGGCCATTCACTTCTGGGCTCTGCCCTGGGCCGGTTCCTTGTTTGGTGATGACTAATTTTCGCATCGTTTCACTTATCGTTCTCTTTGTTGTCTAGGAGTGTTGCTGGCGAACTGCTACATGAACCTCTTTGTGTGAAGGTGCCTAGTTGCAATGGTGTTTTCTTTCTCAAGTCACTTTGGCACAATGCCTTTGTCCAGCATTCAGCCGAGCTTATAAAATGATCCCATCGCCAGGTATCCAACTGGACGGATCATCGACACTATTCCAAGCTATCTACCGCCAAACAGTGTCGATTATCCGTCTCTACTGCTGCTGCCTTCTACTTTCGCCTCGCGGAATAGACTCGGCCTCAAGAGCTCACAATGAAGAAACACACCCAAAGGTCTCTGAGGTCCCTGCGAAAGGGACTGAGGACTCTCCGGGCCCGCATACGATCCCACCTGCCGTTTCTCAAACGCAAGAGCGCGTATGCCTCGTCCAGAAACCGCCCTCCCACCCCTTACGCCTATCCTTCCTCCAGTCCAGGCTGGCTGCACCGAAAGCCACTGCCTCCGCTGCCGGGATCTCTGTCCACCAGCAACATCTCTGTCGACATACCATCGCCTGCGCCGCCTCAAGTCGCAGCTGCACCGGCAGAACAACCCGTCGGGACCCTCCACCGGCAACCGTCCTCCTCTCGCGCCCGCTCCCGCAACCAAGAACAGCAGCAGCAGCAGCAGCAGCAGACCGTCAGCACAGCCCCCATGGCCCCGGCAACCCTCGCAGAGGCCCTGGGCAAGTTGTCGGCCGCGCTCTCGCACATCCCGCACGCGCTCTGCGGGCGCGCCGCCCTCGCCGCATGGGGGTACACCGACAAGCCCGTCCGGCGGCTCACCGTCAGCGTGCCCGAGTCCTCGCGTGCCGTGCTGCGCTCCTGGGCCGCGGCGAGCGGGATGCTGCTCGTGGGCGCCGACGTGATGGGGCTCATGACGGCCGACGGCGTGCTGCGCAGGGTCAGCCTGCGGTTCGTCCCCGACGGCGACTTCGCGGCGCTGCGCGTCGTCGAGCGCGTCGTCATCGTCGCCGCCGCCGCCTCGCCCGCGCAGGCCCGTGGCGCCCTTCTTGCCGGCAGCGACGCCCAAGGGGTCAAGTTGCTCGGCCTGGCGTCGCTGCTGGACTGCGCCGCGCGGGCGTGGCGCGCGGACTGGCGGGCGAGGGGCTACGGGTGGCTGCGCAAGAGCCTGGCCGAGGACTGCGTGTGGGTCCTGCGCCGGCTGGTGGCGGGCGGGTTCGCCGAGGCCGGGGCCGAGATGCTGCGGCGCGAGGCGGTGCCGCACGTGGCGGACTACCGCTTCCTGGCCGAGTTTGCCGCCGAGCAGCCGTGTGCGCTAGGCCTGCTGGCTGAGGCCGGGCTCGATGTGGCGGGACAGATGCTGTTGGACAGCAGCGGGAGGGTGTCGTCTTCTTCGGGAAGGAGGAGGAGAAGGAGGAAGGCGAGAGAGATGTCGATGATGAGGAGGAGGGGTATGGATTCGCGGTATGGTTGGGTCTCTCTTGGGAGAGTGAGCTGACATGCCCTCCTCGGCTGGTTATTTTCCTTTGTGCATCTATATAAACTATGACTGAGCGAATCGGATTGGTGGCCAAGTCACAAGGGTAAACTTTCTGCAGTTGTGACTCCAAAAAGAAGAATCATTGACTTCCGTTATCATGACATTGTCCCCGTCAGATCAGTGTTGAAAGACGAATACGAACAGCCCACATGTGCAGTCGATATGCCTCTGTGCCTGGCGCCAGACAATCGGGCCGTTCTTGATAAATAACATCAAGTACTCTCTCCATTGTGCATTGCAGTTTTGACAACCTTGCGAACGTACGCCACATGAGTCTCGAGACTCTTGCCAGGTACCATCAGCTGGTCACGATCAACAACAGAGGGAGGGGTCAAAAAGCAACTCTTAGGGCAAATGCACGCTGCGAACCGAACCTATTTCCGGCGTGGCATCATCGTGATGCACGTCTCATTGGACAGCGCTTTGCTTGACACGGATCACCCCAGTCCAGCCACATTCAGCTTCCATCATTGGGCACATGGCCGGCCAGCATCACGGAGACCAGGGATAGCCGGCGCAACTACTCGCCGTATTACTCCTTGCTGCAACGATGTTCACGTCCTGGCCACAGCTACTTGCTCGAGACACCACACTGAAGCTAATTATATTAATGAGCTGCCGTCCGTGTATGGTGCTTTTCTTGTGGGTTATGGGAACTCGGTCTAGACACCTCAAAAATATTTCACCCTGAGAATTGTAGTAGCCATGATCAAGACAATGTCCCTTGTCGTCTTTTCCCTGTTCCCTCTGTCGGCGCTAGCTACCGTCAATGGGCGGTGTGTCAAGGGGTCCGATCCGCTCTACAACAACTTTGGCATCTGCGTGTCGACCAAGAACTGCAAGAAGTACGGGGGCCACTGGAAGAGCGACCTCTGTCCCTACGATGGCGAAGATATCAAGTGTTGTGTTGTCGAGGAGTCATGGTACGTGCGGAAAGAGACTTTGTATGTATCATCATAACGTGAACGCTGACATCAGGAGAAGCGGAGACTGCGGCGAGAACGGGTGCTCCATCTGCCAATGGACCAGCATGGCTTGTGATATGTTCTGGCTAGACAGTGAGTCTACCATGTCTTTCCTGACCACGGAGCCTTTAAGACTCACCCCTACTGAACTACATCCTCTCAATCGATAGACCGATGTCCCGGCGGTAGCAACTTCAAGTGCTGTGGACCAAAGTAGCAATCTGGAAGGAAGCATGAGGTCTCTCTGAGTACCTAGTCGTCACGTCCCGATGTCAGCCTCGCCTTCCGTACGACCCATGGCGCACTTTCCTGCTCATAGTCTTGACTCTATCGGTGGTTCAGTGAAGGTGGTTCCTGCGACATCATCTCCTTCTAGGAAAGCTGAACTAGACAAGAGACAATCATTTTCCTAGGTTGGCAGGCATTAGTCAGTCTGAATTCCAAGACGCTCTTAGGAGATAGCACGGAAGCAACAGGCTTCCCCCAGTCAATGTGACTTTGCAGGTCGAATGTTATGTTGACAATATACTAGACCTACCTAGCTGGACTCGACCCCAATCCTGCGTCATTTCAGTGTGCTTATTGCAATCTTTCAACACATGCCTATCTCTTCATTCACTCCGAGCCACTTCTCGTCACGATTCGTGATCACCATATCATTATCCAAACATGGCAGATCACACAGCCCAAGCAGCATGTTCAATGGTCATTGGTCCCCATGATCCCAGTCCTGATCGCATTCGGTATTTGAAAAGCAAGATGGAGATGGACTCAGGACCGAACAAGGCTACCCGGTTTTCGTTACATGTCCCCTGGAAAGGCGGCAGATGTTCCGACGAATTGGTCTGGGTTAGAGACGGAGAGGCCAAGAGACGCTATACACTTAATCCACTCATCTATGGGGTTGATCAGAAAACGCTCATCATCTTCGTGGCATCAAAATACCCCCCTGGACATGCCATGGGCATTGCCTTCACATTCCAGGCTAGGACGGTATACTCGTCTCAAATCGACGCCTCCCCACTTGTGAAAACCTAGGAGCGGACCTTCGTCGCCGAGCTGGAGTCAATAATTGCTGCTCTGAACCATTGCGTCTAGTGGGAAGAAGGGTGGACCAGAGTTCTAATCATATCACCAAGCAGCCAGCTGGTAAACAAGGTGACCGACCGATCTTTCAACGGCTACAGAAATAAGCCGCCGGAGTCTCAAGACTATCTCTGGGCTTGCCAAAGGTTTAGCAATTTGCTAAGCAGGTATGCGAACGCCGGTTGTGAAGTGAGCCTGTGCTGCATCGCTGGGAGGTCGTCTGCTCAGATGTTTTTGGCTCCTGTATGGTACTTCGCAGACAACGCTGTGAGCCCAGTGGGCACGTATCAGGGAGCAGGGGCGTCGAGTCAGGTACATACTCGCGGGGAAGACAGGGTTGCGCCAGACAATGTTACAGATGGCAATATTATTCTCGGCTTTCAGTGGAAGTCTGAAACCCGCCCTATCAACACAACAGCCGGGTGTTCAAGCACGGAAGGGTCGCAGAGGACAACTAGAGGCGAGTCTCGGACTATCGCTCCGGACAATCACCTATCCCCTGCCAATGATGCCGGCGAAGGCGCTGGCCATCCTCAGGACGGCGATGAGACTGCCACAATCGGCCACCCTGCGACGCTGCGTGGCGATATCGGTCATGCTTCGGAGACACCCATGGGTGGCGAGCTCTCCAGCATAAAGGCTTGGTCTGCCATGCTCGAATCTCAGCAATCACCAGGTGTTATTACCAGGGATGACATGCAAACTCCTATAAGCAACGAATCCCCAAGTGTAGAGACTTCCATTTCGTCAGTCACGCTTGAATCTCAACAGTCACCAAGTGTTACTGTCAGGGATGGCATGGATACTCCTATAAGCAACGAACCCTCCAGCATAGATACTCCGTCCGTCACGCTCGAATCTCAGCAGTCGCCTCGTGGGAGTGGCAGTGACGACATGGACATTTCCACAGAAAGCGATTCCTGCGGCGCACAGGCTTCACCCACCGAACTCCCGTCTCAGTCGCCACTTGGTAGGGTTGTCGGTGACGACTCGGGAGCCTCCTCCCGCAGCAACAGCTCACAGCCTTTCCTCGCGACACCAGAAGCGCCTCATCCTCCGGGTCCTGATGTGGATAGCGGGTTCCTGACCAACATCCCATACTCTCCGCTTCCCTACGATAATCCATACTGGCAAGAGCAGCAAGCTCCACCCACGGCCCATAGCTCTGGCGACGCGGGGAGCGATGCCGGCGCTTCAGGGGCCACCGATCAACCCTCAGACAACGGATTAGCGTCATTATTGTTTGATTTCGACGCAGCGAGCTATACTTAAACTAGAGAAGAGCCGCTCCATGGGCACCAGCCTCAGTATTCTACTCCCCGAAGAGATCAATGCGGTATTTCCCTTGCCTACCTTCCTCGGTGCAAGGCATTGCGGTCGAGTCTTGGTAGTAGCGCGTGCTTCTTGGCTTCTGGCTGCGATATGAGGAAGGAGGTCGAGGGAACGTCAAGGCCCCGGATGGACTAATAACTGTGGGCTGGCTTTGTAGGCATCATGCAGGGTTGCAGGGGTATTTGATCAGCACCAGCGTTTGGTTCGGGCTAGCATCTTCAGTCGCTTGTCTGTTTGAAGGAATCAGTGGTTTACTAAGCGCAACTATTCAACTAGAATGGTATTTTGTTTCTCCACTGGGCATTGGCTCTCACGGAGCTCGGCTGTCTTTGTCCCTCTGTATCGGAAGATGTGCTTCCATGCATCTGCATTTGATCAGTGATAGGTGGCTTCATGGCTCGTTTCACCACCAGCAGCGGGTGCCTTGGCTTCCGGGCGGATAATTGCACTGCATTTTTTTCGCGGACCTCAAGAACAGCGCGAGAGGTCTCGTCATTTTCATACTGCAAACCGTACGCTGAATTTTGGGTTGCACTTTGAGAAAACCGTCTATTCTCTCTCCCTGTCTATTGACAAGACACATGTATACGCTTCACCAACCTAGACCCTCTCGCTGACCACATGCCACCTGCCTCACTGGGAAACCCGAAAATGCTGAACTCCGACGAGCCCCAGGGCTTCACCGCAGAAGAGCATGCCCTGTTTGAGAAGCTAAACATCGGCAAGGAAGGCGGCCTCCCGCTGCCCTCGTTCATCAAGCCCAGCGAGGTCGAGGCCCAGGCGCGGCCCCTGGCCGAGAGCATCTTCCGGGACTGGGAGGTGCTCAAGGCCGTCGTCGAGCGCCACGAGGAGAGGCTGCTCGAGCGGTGGAGGGGCCTCAAGAGGAAGAAGCGCAGGGACATGCTGCTGGCGGCGTGGCCGGGGATGGCGCCGCAGCACCGGCCCGACATTGTGTGCTGGCGGGAGAAGTTTGGCGAGACGAACCGGCAGGCCGTCGACCGCGAGGACCGCGAGGCATTCCTCTGGCCGCACATCAACCTGCAAGACCTGTGCGCGACGCGGCCGCTCTGGCTGCTGATGAGGTCGCGGGGTCGAGATGGAGGGCCGGAGGCCTTCGCGGCGGCGGATTTGGACGGCATCCGCTTCGGCAAGGCGTGCCTGGCGCTGATGCCGAGGTATCTTAATCAGTACTCCATGCTCTTCACCGGCAGGACTACAGCGGAGTCATACGGCCAGCTCTACGCGTGGGACGAGCTCCCCTCTGGCGACCGCTCGCTCTTTGAGAACCGCGGCACGCACCCGGGCGAGGGGCTCTGGATCCTCGAGATCCAGGCCCGCCTCTACGCCTTCCTCGTCGACATGGCCAAGCGCCTCATCCCTGGCGTCACAGACACTCTCTCCAACAAGGCTCCACCAGCCGCCGTCAACAGCAACCACGCCAGACCCGACGCGGCGGCGGAATTCCAATCGCTGCCCGTCCTGTCGCTGGAGGCGCCCTACTCCCTGCCGGCGCAGCTCAACGTCCAGAACCTGCTCAACCTCGCCTATGCCAAGCTCTGGGAGGCCGAGGACCACCTCTGGGCCATGCGCGAGGACCCGTCCTACTTCGCCGCCACGCTGCGCACCTGGCGCGAGCACCGCCGCGAGATGATCCCCGACACCGAGGGCAAGCCGCACCCGGCCGCCGCCGCGGCCGCCGCCGCGGACGACGACGGCGACAACGTGCTGTGGTCGCGCACGATCGGCCTCGTCGTCAAGCGCGGCCTCGAGGAGGTCGAGACGTGGAACATCGTCTACGCAAAGTGCCACCTCGTCGCGCAGCGCCTGCGCGCGCACGCGGGCAAGCTGCGGCCCGACGGCGCGCTGCCGCAGGACCTGGCGCTGGCCGTGTACAGCCTGTACCACCACGCGCGGCAGCTGCAGAACGAGCCCGTGGGCAACCTCAAGACGGGGTGCTTCGCGTCGCCGGAGCTGCGGCGGTACTTCCGCGTCGTGCCGCCGCGGGACCCGGGCGACAGCGCCATCGCGCTGACGACGGCCGAGGAGGCGCCCGAGGGCGCCGCGACGCGCGAGCTCGTGTGGTGCCTCGGGGCGCTGCAGAACGACGGCAGCCGCGTGCTGCTCGGGTCGTCGACGCTGCTGGACAACATTGAGATGCTGATGGCGCCGCAGGTCGGCGGCGGCGGCGGCGCCAGCAACGAAGATGGCCGCAGCAGCAGCAGCACGGCGGCAGTGGGCGAGCAGTCCCACGTCTCGGCCTGGGTGGCCGACCAGCTGGCCAGCCTCTCCGTCTACGCCGAGTGCGTGCGCGAGATCGAGCGCTTCCAGCCCTGGGCCGCGAGCTTCGAGGTCGAGATGCAGGACAAGGAGATCGCCAGCGTGCTCGACGTCGACTTCCAAAAGTCGCTGCAGCGCCTGCGCCCGCTGTTCCAGCACCAGATGCGCGACCGGGTCGTCCGGCTAGGTGTCCCCGACGACGGGCGCTTCGACTACCCGGAGGTAGCAGGGGATGAGGACCAGGCGGCTCGTGCCGCCGCCGTCGAGCAGCGCCGGCGCGCGGAGAAGGCTCTCGACGCATTCTGGGCCAAGCTGCAGCACAGCCTGGACAAGCACCACGCACTGACGCCCCGCGTCCGCGAGGTTCTAACCAAAATGCCTATCCAGCGGACCAGCCCCCATGCCGCAAAACCATCAGCCAGTTCCGAAGCGGCCGCCTCTTCTCCACAGCCCAAGCCCATCCGCGGAGGCAGCGCGGCCGCCAAGAAGAAGGTCGACCGGCGCGCGCTCAAGACGTTCCGCGCGCTCTTCCCTCCCGACGCGGCGAGCAGCAGCGAGCAGGGCGCGGCTGCCGCGCCCAAATCCTGGACGGCCGCAGAGGTGGCCTGGCCCGACTTTGTGCACGCCATGCGCAGCGCCAGGTTCGACATCACCAAGCTGTACGGCTCGGCGTGGTTGTTTGTGCCCGAGAGACAGACAGGTGGTGGTGGCGGCGCGGCGGCCGGGCAGCACCGGCCCATCCTGTTCCACCAACCATGGCCTGGCACGGGAAAGATCAGCCCTCCGGCGGCGCGGTGGTTGGGCAAGAGGCTGACGCGGGCTTTCGGGTGGACAAGGGAAACCTTTGAGGTTGAGGCCTGAGGTCTGGATAACACCTTTCCGTTCCTTCTTACGCAGTCAGGGAGAAGATGCGTTCTGGATTCCATCTACCTCGGTAGAAGCTGCATTGCGAAAGCATATTGTCTTGAAAAGCATGTACCTTTTTGCAGAAGACTGAGGAGAAACTAAGGGTAGTCAGAGCATGATTTTGTATTTCCTGTTTGTAGTGTCGGGGGCCTGTGCAAAACAAATCCCCAGATCTATCCGCTGCTTTTGAAAAATATACGCTGAGCTAGTACAGTGACGCCCTGGAATCAATACAAGTGAACCTAACCCAAATGCAAATATCAGCGATCATGGAAGCGCGGTCGGCGCTACTCTGCTTCAAAACGTACACGCCTCAGATCCTACATTATCAACCAAATACTTCCACAGCGAGTCCCAGGACGGTACCAAGCAGAGGACTTAAGCAATGGCACCAACGCCAGCCATGAGAACGGCGCCACCCACCACCGCCAAGAAGGCATTCCTCCTCTTGCTCCCCCGCAGGGTCTGGTAGCTCTTCTCGGTCAAGAAGTCCTCGGCGAGCAGCTGGACAAGGCCGGCAAAGAGGAGGAGGCCGGCGGAGATGGCGTTCATAATGCCGACCATCAGCAGGCCCATCTGGCTCATCGGGTCGTACAGGCGGTGCACTCCCAGGCCAATGGCCTGGCCGAGCGGTGTCGTAGTGCCGTAGGCCAGGACCATGAGCCACGGCCTGAGGGAGCTCTTGGGGAAATGGATGGCTGCGATCCGGCTGCCGAGGGCGAGGCCTTCGAACGTCTGGTGGAAAGCAATGGCGACCAGGAAGACCACGAAACCAGGACCGGTTGCGACGGACAGAGCCATGCCGATGAACACACTGTGGAAGAGAATTCCAGCCTCGAGTAGCAAGCATTGCAATAACAACCGCTTCTGTTCGTCGGCGTCTGGTATAGTAGGCTGGTGCATCCCCGCGTGGTGCCCTCCAGCTCCCGGTGCCTTGTTCAGGGGGCGGGCTTGTGAACGAAGGTCTTCCATCGGCGCGGGGTCGAGCTCGTTGATGTCGAGCGCAAGCTCGAGGGACTCTCGGTCGTCATCAAACTCATCATTCCCGCCGGCCTTGATTGGATTCCTGCCATTGGGCTGCGTGGTGGGTGTCGATTCCGGCAATGGTGAAACACCCGCCATCAGACCCTCGCTAGCTCCCAGATCCTCCAGCGCAATATTATTGGGTCGATGGCCAGAGCCTCTCCGTGCCGCCAAGCCGACACCAGCAGCATGTGTAGGCAGGTGAACCTCCGATCCGACGTCACTGTCGTCGTCCTCCCATAGGTCATGTGAATGCGAGTGTCCGGCGCCGCGGGTGGTTAGGTACGACTCGACGGCGATGACGGCCAGGGCGAAGGCCATGGCGATGAGGCCGGCAAGCGGCGTGTAGCTCTTGTTGAAGAAGTCGGGGAGACATGGGTTCGTCAGGGAGACGAAGGCGGTAGGGAGGAGGTGGACGAATGCGGTCGCGATCAGGACGCCGGTGCCGAAGTGCTGGCAGTAGAAGATTATCCTGCGTTGTCGTTTGCTTTGCGAGGACAGGTGGCTGAGGAGTGGGAAGCCGCATGCTATAAGGCGTTAGTCACTGCTGATCTCCCCAGGCATATCGCGGGACAGGTAATTGCGCGCTGGACTCGTTGAGGGGATGCGGGATGGGAACACAAGAGCTTCATCCCTTGATGGCAGCCAAGGGGAGGGCAAATGCGCCACTCCGAAGTTTTCAGCCAGGGATCTCGAGGTATTCGATGAATTTCCAAGCAGTAAAGAACAAAACAAGGTCGTGTGATAGCCATCCGAGGGAACCGGGCGTACCTGCGCAGCTCAAAACCAGGATCAAGAAGAGGGCGAAGACATGGAGCGGCGTGTCGTAGTGGCCCTGCTTGTCGGAGCCGCACTGGGGCTTCTCTTTCGCATCGGCTCGTCTTGAAAGCTCGGCGGCAAGCAAGTGTGTAGGTATCGTCGACCACGCGAAGCCTGCAGGCAACAACGATGGTTAGCATGAGGACAGAGAACTGGACATCCGGGTGTCCAAAAGGGGGAGTTCCCGGAAGCTGCGCCGCGGGCAGTGGGCAGAAGGAAAGCGGAAGGCACACCTTGTCCGAGCTCGTCGGAGACAGCCATGATGCTCTACTTGGGAAACTCGCGGCGAAGTCGATATACCAGTCCGACCATGGTGGGAGAAGGTTTGGTGCCAAAAGGATCAATGCTAGCTCCTGGTTGTGGAAGGTTGACGCATGGACAGGACTCGCTTGAGTGTGGCCCCCACGATATCGGACTCTGTTTTAGGGGCAAGCACCGCCTCAGCTACCAGGAAACCCGCCCACGTGGGTCACTAGCGCCATTGCGTCAGACAACCTGGAAATGTGTTCTGTACCAAATTGCTTGAGTCTTTCACAGTCCAGCAGTAAATCACTGGAAAACCTCTCCATCAAGCTCGATATTTTTTACCCTTCAATTCCCTATGGTCAAAGCTCTCTGGAAAGTACATCATCTAAAAGCAGCACCGTCAACACTCATCGGAGACTACCTACAGCCAAACCATGTTCATCCACCATTGCACATTGCAGTTGTCCACTGTGGCAAGACGACCATCAGATAAGTTGAACTCTGTTCGACCAGCTGCGAAATAACCATCGTCCCGCCCACAGAGCCGCGCCAAGAGATCAACCTCCCAAGTTGCTCTCGCTACCAGATAAATGACAGGATCTCTTTCCATCCGGTCTGGTTCGCGATCTTTCTCATGTCTGCTCATTCCCCGTAGACCTCAGCTCTCGAAGCCGGGCCTTCCGGCGCACACTTGCTCTGTTATGCAGACGCCTCTGTAAGTTTGCCTGCCGTAATTGCCGCTCGATCTCGCGGTCCCGTTCTTCCTCCTCGTCAGGCTCGTCCTCCTTCGCCTTCCCGTCCTTGACCTCGCGCTTCTCGTCTGGGCTCGTTCCGTCCATCGCCTCCGTGACGTCCTTCTTTTTTCCATGTCCATGTTTCTCCCTGGGCCGCGGGCCATTTTTCCACACACGGCCGTCCCCAGTGGTGTGTGGAAGGGCCCGGCCGCTGATGACGCACCTCGCCACGTCGTCGGCAAAGGATATCGCTTTGGAGTCCGCGGTGACATCTTGGTTCCAAGGGGACGTCTCGCGCAGGCATCCCTTCTGCGGCGTGATTCCTCTGCGGTGCGGAGGGACTCTCGGCGAAGTGATCCGACCTGTGATGAGGTCCATTCTGTCCGACCTGTTGAGCATCTTATACTCCAAGCTGGCGAGGGCAACGCGGAGCTTATCCCTACCCCGGCTCTTGGCGAAGGATGGTGAAGGCATGTCGGCTTCGGTAGATGACAGTTTCGATGGGGAACAGTTCTCGTAAGAACCAGGCGGATAGAGGAAGGCTAGTGGGAAGAGTTCTTGACGAGAAGATGGGAGTGGCATTTCAGCCATATAATCTCAGTCCGGCAAACAGGCAGTGGAGTCCAGCAGCTTTGGGGTTGAAGCAGTAGCTGTGTGAATGTTGTGAAGAAAGAAGCAGTGAATGATAGCTCTAGTTGGAGGCTCGCATATGGATCACATGGCACAGCCTCAAAGACAAGCAACCCGTTTTCCATTGAATAGACTCAGGCCCAGAACCAGAAATTGACTTCCATGGAATAAGCATCTTTGAGAATGTGAGCAAACCGAACCATGGTCGAGAGGTCAAAAGTCCGTGACCGATTCCGGGTTCCGGGCCCACATCGAGAGACGGCAGACGTCCGGCTCGGGAGGCCTTACAATCCGATGACATGTATCTGATTAGTCCACGATAACAACTTTGTCCTTATCCTTGGACCATCACAAGTGCCTCAATATAATGTTCATTGTGTATCTGCAAGTATGTCTAGAGAACAGTGTAACTCGGTTTTGCATCTGACAGAGTACGATGCGAGAAATGGCAATTCTTCTTGGATCGGGTTCCATAGGACGCTTTTTATATTTATTGTTCATTTGAGTTTTGGGGACACCAGACTTATGCCTAGTTTCATTTGCCGGTTACAAGATCTTGCATCTCGACCTCAAAGCATTTCCCACTTTTCCTTGTACATAGCCTGTTGCGTAGCAATGAACATCGTGTCGTGTTGAGGTGTTTCTGACATTGGCCAGGTGTTGTCTCGTTCTTCTCGTGCAACATGAACTGAACTGACTCGTCCCAATGAAACATACATTCGTACGAAGTTACAGAGTTTATCGAAAGTGAATTTAGACGCAAAGTATCTCAGAAAAGGTTGTAAGTGTTAATCGCTCGTTTGGGTTTGGGTTCACTGCGTTTACGGAGTACTTCTTACTTCCAGGTCAAGGCTGAGACATGGGGGATCGTTGGTTGTCGTAATAACTCCAGCTCCCCAAGCCAGGAATTCAAGCCCCTGACTAAATCACGGATCCCTGAGGCTACTCCATCGAGATGGGCCCTGCGGTGGGGGCTAATGATAGGGGGGATTGCACTAAAAGCGGCGCCCGGTCCACACTGTACCAGTTGGGAGGTTGTGACACATGTCAAATGTTTTCACAATCGTCGACCATAAACAGATCGAAGGGGGAATCGTGAGAACAGCCAAAACTGTCACAAAAGCCGGCGCGAACACCAATTGTATGGCTTACCTCATTTCTCTTTGCCTTTCAGAGTTTGGTAGGTGTCCGACGGGGAGGGAATACTCGCCATTTTCGTGAGAGACGGTGGCGGACACGGAATACGAGGTTCACTAGCATGCTGAAAGCAATTGAAATACCGTGTCCGAAAAGCAGCTTGCCGACATTGAATGAAGACTCGCTCCAACTTATCGTCCCGTCAAATGCGTAGGTACAAGTACAAGTACTTCAGTACCTACGATCGAGTCCTCGTCGGGCAAGGATGTGTCCCTGCTGCCAAGGCGCCTGGGCCGGAGGGCCCTGGAATTGTGACAGACGCAATTGTACTTGTATGGTCGCATAATGATTCCTCATCATCCGTTGTAAAAGCAATCACCACAATGCTTGCCAGACTAGGCACAGACCCCCGGTTCGTCTGCTCTCGCTTTCATTGTCGTTGTGGAATGCTCGCCCCTCGGAGCTGATGCATGCCCCCTGTGCCGAGTCCCGACCTGCACAAGCCCAAGCACGGATCACGGCTGAGATGATGGCGAGAGGATGATGGCGGGGTGTCGTCCCGAACACATCAGCGAGCGGCTCGCAGGTAACGCAAATTACACAGTTTTCGTGGTTGGACAGCAATGCACCATCCCGAGACCGCGGTCAAGGGTGGGCGCACCAAATTTATAAGTAGGAGAGTGTGACAGGCCTCTTTCCCAGCCTGGGATAGCCAGCGTGCCATCCCAGGAATGACGCGACTGCTTTTTCGACAGGGCTGTTGTGATGTGATGGTGTGGTGAACGTGCATCCGAAGTTCCCTCCTAACTGGCAGAGCGCTCCAGTGGCCTGTCAATTCCAGAATCCACGTGTCCGAACGGGAGGAATTTAATATATGCGTGTCTCGAGTGCGGGTGGTATCGAGCTGTCTGGAGGATGCGATGCATTCTTCAATGTGTCGAGTACAAGTAGTTCCATTAGAGAAGCGAATCGATCCGACCGAAGCTTTTTAAGCTTCCGGATCGCTGTTTTAGGCCGGTGGGCTCTCACTCCGTCGATCCGTTTTAGGGGCCGATGCGCACGACAATCGAATCGAGGCATTCCGGGTACGGGTACGTAGTTAGACCTTGCCGATGGATTGCGTTCCCTGTTGTTTCCTCTCGCTTGTCGGTTTGAGATCTACCTATCCTTTCACGACGCGCCCTCGCTTTTTTTTTGAGTGCTGACAGCACATGCACTGAGCCAGACTGATGCCCTCGTACGGAGCCCGAGCCCCCCGCGCGCTAGTCGATATTGACTTGTACATGGATCCAATGATGCTTAAATCCTAAATGCCCTTGCAAACAAATGTCTGGTGCATGATGCCTGGTAAGGACACCTCCAGGGCTGCCTTCAGTATTCTACCCCAGCCTTGTCTCTCTCCAGCAGTTTCCCAGTCCCAACGCTACTTTACAAAGTACGGAGTGCCAACCTTAAATCCACACCACCATCATCGGTTTGATGCTCCAAGGGAGGGAAGCAAGCCACCAAGGCCACTCGTAGCAATAAGGTTAACGTGCTTAGCACTGTCGACCCCGTAAAAAGTCAGCCACTTCGGACGTTGTGGAGCGTGGGCGTTTCTAGAGCCCCGCTGTAAACGCCCGTCCTCAGTGTCTCGTTGGCCGCGGTGCCCTGGCCGTCAGAAGTCTTCATGGGCCCATTCTCGTATCCAGGGCCCCCCCTCGCATCCCGCTCCACCTGGGCACATCAATCAATGCATCCAAACTTCTCGTTGACGTTTTCTCGCTCTTTGCGCTCGCACTCCAAATGTTACTCAATCTGTACATTCTCCTCGTTGTGCCACTGTGTGCCCGCTGTGCTGTAACCCACCCACCCATTCTTCCCATGTCGCACCGACTCAGGATCTTCAGCTAGGGTGGTGCTTGTCTTTCTTTTTTTGGACCATCTTGCTTACTCTCCCCAACACAACCACCTTGTGTGTTTCCCCTTACCAAGCTCCATCGGCCCTTGGGTAGCTACCTGACTCTTGTGGTTCTTCTCTCTCCTCTCTCTCTCTATTTCCCTATTCTATTTTCTCCCTTTGCCATGCTATTATTGCTCACCACCACCATGCTCAATATCCGCTGTGCCGCTGCACCACCATAAAACCAGACACGGCCATTTGACGATAACCCGCCCTCCTCCTCGCCGCCTCTTCTGTGCAGGTCTCAGTTAACGTAGCCATGCTGCTGACGCAGAGGCCGTCGGCCTTTCGGCTCGCCCTCGTCGCCTGGGCGGCCTTTTGCATATGCGTCATCTTATACCACTTCAGCGCCATCCGAACGCACATTGCCCCCACGGCCGACCTGCTGCGCCAGAAAGCCAGCGAGAAATGGAGCTCCGTCGTATCCGACGGCGATGCTGATGCTGCCGCCGCCGCCTTCCCTCAGACGACCACAACTACCACGCCAACGCTCGCCGCTAAGCCGCAGGAAAAGCAGCAGGACCAGAAGCAGGAGGAGCAGAAGCCACAGAAGCCCAAGCCCAAGCAGCCCAAGCAGATCCCCAAGAAGCTGTGGTACAAGACGGGGCCCAAGGGCCTGACCGACGACATGCGCGCCTGGCACGACTCCTGCACCAGCCGCAACTCGCACTACCGCGCCACCTACCTCAACGACGACAGCGCCGACGCCTACGTCCAGGAGAACTACGCCGCCGAGCGCCCCGACGTCGTCGACGCCTACATGGGCCTGGCCATCCCCATCCTCAAGGCCGACTTTCTGCGCTACCTGCTGCTCTACCGCGAGGGCGGCGTCTGGTTCGACCTCGACGTCTCGTGCGAGACGGTGCCCATCGACGAGTGGATCCCGGACGAGTACAAGAACGACACGGCCATCGCCGTGGGGTGGGAGTTTGACGTCGGCTGGGGCGAGGGCTTCCAGCGCCAGTTCAACAGCTGGACCATCATGTCGGAGCAGGGGTCGCCGCACATGCTGCAGGTCATCGACGACATCGTCGCCGCCGTCGGCGCCTCGTCCCGGAAGCACGGCGTGCCCGTCGGGAACCTGACGCTCGACATGGTCGGCGACGTCGTCGACTACACGGGGCCCCGGCGCATGACCGAGGGCATCTTCAGGAGCCTCGAGCGGCAGCGCGGCGGCGACAAGATCGACCGCGCCGAGCTGTCCAACCTGCGCCAGCCCAAGATGATCGGCGACGTGCTGATCCTCCCCGGCTACTCGCTCGCCATGTCGTCCAACAAGTACGAGGGCGAGCAGGTCGGCCCCTCGCTCGTCACGCACCACTACGCCGGCTCGTGGAAGAACGACAAGGGCGGCGAGACGAAGCGGAGAAGGAGGAAGAGGAGAGGCAGTAGTAGGATAGAAGCATGATCCGTGGCGAGAAAAGAATGCTATGCTATTGGAATCGGGAAATTTGCACATTACGGCGCTTGGGACTTGGGGAATTTTGGGGCGACATAGAAAAGGCTGGGCTTTCTTGCCTTTTTGTTTTGCATCTGTATCATCATGGGGCTTGACCTGGAGTATTGGGATAGCGGGCCATGAAACGAAGGGGTCTGCGCACGGGCATGTTCATAGACCTTTGGAATACCCTCATCAACATTCGATGCGTGATGGTTCGCGCTGTACATGTCTTCTTGTCCAAGCGATTTGTCCTGAGCCCTAGTTGCCGTTCTCCTTTTATCACGGAGGTCGTCGCCAGCCTTGGACGGGGTCAACCGAGCCAGTGTGGCTGGACTTTAGTTTTTGGGGCCGGGCTTTCTGATTCACTAGCATCCTTTGGGTCGGGTATGTCGTCAAGCCACTGCAATCAGGTCTTGGTTTTACCCGACAATCGACTCTTGACGTGTATAAGGAGGCTCTTTCTGGTAGGTAAATTATTGGCACTGCAAGTAGCAATATGATACGGTGTGCTCGCCCCCACACTCTATGTATCAATGCGCCTCCAAGTACCTGTCATCTTTTGAGATCAAGTGAGACCGGCGTCAGTACGATTCAAGAGGAGGAGACCATGGATTTTCCGTGTTCATCTAACTTGCCAGTCGCCATTCATATCGACGACCCTTTGCTGCAGCCTTGGTCGATTCTTTTACTCCTAGCCCTCTTTAAAATGTAGACTGTTATCGTGGGAAGGGGACATGGACAGAAGCGAGCGGGCCACTGCTCGACGGAACAGCCTGTACCACCTGTCCATGACAAGACTGGAAGCACAGGCTGCTTCACCATATGAAACTGACCAAGGACCTCGGGATCACAGCAACGTTGGGCATTGGGAGGAGACAGTCTTCCATCGGAAGCTGTCGCTCGCGGGCGGTGGTGCTTACGAGCTTGAGGTTCACAAGTGCGATTGAGTATCGAGAGTCTACTGCTACGTGGGAGCCACAACATACCCCAGCTTGGCAATGCATGCAAGGATGCGGCGTGGCCAACGGCTTTTGCCGCAATGGTGGTGTGCTCAGTGCTGGCGTTGAGTTACCGCAGGAGCCGAAGCCTGCTTCGTGGGCGCAGATCAGTACGCTAATCCAGATCCGGGTGTGCAGAAAAGGCGCGTGTGACTCATTTTTGGTGAATTCTTTATTTTCTGTGGCGTGTCGATTTGGACGTGAGCTGCTCGTACTGGGTACCTCGGCGCTTGAGGGCCAGCATTGCCGTCATGGTGTTTTGCCATGCTCGATACCGGCGCCGGGGGCGTCCAACTGGTGGGGCTGCGTGTAACGGGGGTGCAGCTGTCAGAGAGAAGAAATGCGGGCCTTCCCGCCTGGAAGAACCTGAAACAGGCGCCAAAAAAGCACCCCTGGGCGTTTTTTTTTTTAGGTGGGGCGCGCCTGGCTCTTACACTGGATCGGGCTTAGCGTCATCTCGCCCCGGATCAGCCCTACGAACCTCAGGTCCCTCTCGTCTATAAAGCCTTCACTTGCGATCCCATTCCAATTCACTTTTTTCTCCTCTTCCAGATCATGACATATTCCTTCACTTTATGCTTTCCCATTGGAACCCCACTCCTCTTTTGGAAGACCAGCGTGGCCTCGGCCGCTGCATATGGGCACCCCTCAAGTCGAGTACTTCTCTTTTCGCGAGTGTCAGAACTGACCGCACCTCCTCTCTTCTGTTTCTGCCAGCGTGGACCTTCGGGGAAGCTGCCTATGGGCCCAGAAGAACACCTTGACCTCGATCGCGCCCCTGCGCGCCTTCTTGGTTCGGCCTCTCTCACCTTGGTCGTGTCTCCGGACAAGACCTCGGTGCCTTGTCCCTTGGGATCGCGTTGGCGTTGGTTACGTGTCTTTATACCTCACCGCACTCCTGCTTGTTGCCCACTCATTCTCCGCGGCAAGAAGCTACTGTTGCACCGGGGTATCTTCTCACTTGACTGGGTTGTTTTTTGCGATGCCGAGCTCTCTACTCACTCCACTTGGCATCGCGACAACCTCAGCTCAACAGATCAAAAGGCTTGCCTTCTTGGCAAGCCGACATTTCTTTCCTTTTTATTTCGTGTGTTGTCTCGTGGCAGTCTAGCTAGTATTACTCAATGGTCACATTTCTTCGCATCTTCGATCCTTCACTTTGCTCTCTCTCGTGTGTTGCTGCTTTCCTGCGCGGCGTTCGCGCGTAGTTCTGCATATCGTGACGCATTTGATGCTTGCTCCATATTGTGTGTTCGCTGTGCTTTGCCATCACGAAGCACTCGAGATTTGACGCGGCGCGACGTAGGTTCGGTGCGGAGTGGGCTTCCCTTCGTGGCCAGACCGCCGAGAGACTAAGCATGGCCCAGGGTGTAGGCAGGAAGCTGCATCACTCTAGTAGATTTTGACCAGAAACAACCCCTCCGATGTTTGGCAAGGTCAGGAGAATTATCAAGCTGGAGGCACGGCTTGTTTGCATTGCCGACGTACGCGGTGGTCCTCGGTCTAGGTGCATAATCTCGACGCAGCCTCTGCTCCTATATTTTGCAAACCGAGTGGCAGCTTGAGAGTGTTCAGGGAGGCCTCAGGCACTGACCCCGAGCTCAGTGATATTCTATCGCTTATAATTATGAGCAACACCCTAGATCTTTCAAGGGGGGGAGTTGGTGTAGCGGTGAGCTCGAGTCACTCGTCGCAATTACCACCGACTTGCCCTCCCTTCAGAAACGACTCCCGGCCCTAGCCGATCGGTTGGAGGTTCGATTCCCGCATCCAGAGTGACTTTTCTGGACGCAAATCGAACAAATGAAGACCATCGGTGGGCCGCCAGAGATCTGCCACAGATCTGACACATGTTGACACTGGGGGAATGACACCGGGGGATAGGAGTCGCAAAGAAATACCGCAACCATGGGAACCACCGGAAGGTGCGCGGGGTGCAGTAGCCGGACGAGTCCGGGCTGGACCTAGAATACCTTTTTTTGCTTTACCTCTTCTCATTCTGTTTTCTTTTTCTTTTTTCATTCAACTTAACCTGATGTCCTCATACTAGTCTTTTGCTTATTCTATGCTACTTTTCATTATGACTGATTTGAATAGAATATATCTTCTTGGGAAGTTGGTTAGGGAGCTCAAGAAAGTGTTTGATGATGATGATAAAGTCTAAAAGTCCAAGTTGTAGAGATTCTCTCTATTGAAGTTGCCAGCCGATGGAACTGGTGGTTCCACTTCTTAAAGGTATTACAGATGGCCGCTTCATGTCTTGGTTGCTTTGGAAAAGTTTGAAAGATGATTACCTGTCTGAGGTTGAGACCTTGCAGGACCTGCGTGCGGCTCCCGAACCTCTTGTTGGCGCCGTGATCGGGCCGGGTCACACCGGGTGATTGATGTGGCTGAGGCTATGGAAGTCTCAGTCAATCAGAAGATTCACCTCCGGAGCGTGGATTTCTCCGAAGGGATCATGAAGGGACCATCAATTCAATTGATGTACCGGGGTCTGGACTACTGCAATACTGAGGCTCTTGGCAGGCGCGTGATCTCCAATTTCAAAAGTCCAAACCGCGATACTAAGGAGATGTTTGCACTTTCCAATTGATATCTACCTAGGTAGCGGCATAGGCACCTCAAAGCAGCTGCGTTTCATTGGCTTCGTTCCCTGGAGACCATGAAGACTCCAAAGTACCTAAGGTATATCAAAGCAGAGCACACCTTCCTCCTTTACCCTGTCCGTACGGGTGGAAAACAGATTCGTTACCTGAAGAAGTAGGAATAAGCCCATTGCATCAAAAAACCTACAGGTTCGCACGGTCCAGCTCTACTATTTATTAAGGCCTTGCCACCTCTGCTCTCCACGTCTACTTGTTCTCTTCTCTTCAACGCCGAACCGAAAGGTTCAAGGCGGATTACTTCAAGCCCAACGAGGTGCCATTGCTTGACGGGTGGCAAAAGCAAACGCCGAGTTGAGAAGCCTCGGAGATTGAACACCAGTGCCCTGAGATGATGGAGTCCTGTGGCAGGGAAACATTCCTGATCAGGGTGCTGGGCCTGGAGGCCAAGAGCGGGGGTGTCATAGTATACAACTTGTCCCCCGTCAGGTTCACAGGCAAGCATTGATGGGTCAACACCCTTTTTTTTTCATTGCACTCTCTGGCTGGTCCAAGGATGCGAAGAAGAAGAAACCTGCTGTTCCTCTTTCTCTCCCTGTTCCAATTTCGAACCACTTTCTGATGGTCACCACGTGGGCCCTCGGCTGGCCCGGCGGCTGGCCCTCGACTGGCGTCTCGATGGTCATCCCCCAAGCTGCGGCAGCTTCATCGAACGTACGAATCACCGGCGTCCTCCGGCAGATATTCGACTCTTGTTGAGGACTTTGCTATCCCCTCGCCAATGTAGCCAGCCAGGCCTGCGTCTAGCCCGACACCTCCGCTTCTGTTCATTGCGGCCCTCACGCGGGCGTGTGTAGGTTCCGTAGAGATCTTTGGAGGCTGAGGTATATGCTTGGGGTTAATGAGGATTGCAACGTGTTGTTCTCGGGCACGGGTTGGCATTGCGGCCGACGAGCTGGGACCTTACTATATATTATTTGATATGCGGAACGAGTCCAGTCCTGACCAGTATGCATGGACTGATGATTCTCACGAACTTCCCCTCGCCCACGACTTAAGCACCCAAAAGAATTAGGGAAAAAAAAAGGAATGTTTGGACATGACCGGAGTCGAACCGATTACTCCCATTGGGGGTGCCATTACTGAGAGTCCCGGGTGTGTACCACTACACCACATGCCCATTTGAAACATACTACTACAGGGTTAAGACTTATATGGCTTATGGTGGTCGACGTTCCCTAGCACAAAGCGGCCGTCTAAGCGCGAGAAAGCTAAAATAAAATCACAGTTCAGTCGTTCCGAGCATAACACACCCCGAGCTCTAGGCAACTGAAGCTAGCAGATCAGATGGGGAGCCAACAGCATACATCGCTGTATCATTAGCCCTACCATTGAACTCGTCCTGTGCCTGGATTCGGGATCTGTGGAACTGCTGATGTCTGCAATTGTTTCCCTCTCGTTACCACCAGACCTTGGGAACGGGAGAAGATCAGATCATATAGATCCCAACCCAATAGACGCCCTCAAGCCACAAAAGCTTTGCGCTTTTCGCAGTGGAAAAGCACAAGCGAGACTCCCTGAACCTTTATGGACTGGCAAGCAAGCTCTAGCTAGTGCATGCGCCACTCAATTGAAGCCGGTGAATCCCGCAGGACTAATAACGAACGGACTGAAGCCACACCCAGATTGGACAAGTAACGGGCGCCATCCATTGCTTTAAGATCAATCCTCCAAGGAATCGCACGATCGACGTCTGGAGAGCGGGCCCCACTTCCCCCCGTGGAGATAGATCACAACCCCGGTGTTTTGGCTCGCTCGCTGCACGGCGCATCCGCCAATCCCGGCCATGTCGGAAAAGGAGAGCCGGCATGTACGCGGAGCGCGCCCGCTGAACCCTCGAAACCGGCGGAAAGGGTAACCGCGAAGTGCCTATCGAAATCCATAATGTAGATGCCAAGCAATAAACCTGCAATGTAAAAAGCGACAGGCCTGGTCATAGTCCCCTGCCAAGTAGCCTTCGCCCTGCAGCTCCTCCCCTCCAAGAACCATTCTCCCCGTTTCATTCGCTTTCGCAGGCTCGAGCTGAAGAGACGAATACTACATACGATACCATGTCCAGTGAAGTCCAGAGGGCTCCGCCCGCCCAGGATCACTTGAGTGTCCAGGCCTCGGACCTCGAGAAACCACAACACCAAGCTCACGAGCACGATGACAGCGCCGGTGCGACCTTTGAAGTCAACCAAGATGAGCTGCCGCCGGGATACTTTAAGAGTCCATTCTTCATTGGCACTATGCTGGCCCTTGGAACTGGCCTGCTTGCCGGTGTTGCAGGGTTTGGATATGCTGCGCCCGTGCTCACGTTGATTAACAATGACATTGGCCCGGTAAGATCCCAAAGCCTCGTGATCGGGTTGGCAAAATAGTCGGAGCCAACTCGAGAACCTGCATTATAAAGAATCAGGATATTGTTGAAATGAGACAAAACTGACTAAAAGTCAAACTTAATCAGGATCCCAACATCATCTGGGTAGCGCTGTCATATACCCTCACGTCCGCATGCACCCTGGCCACCATCGGTCGCGTCACCGACATCTTCGGCCGCCGCTGGGTGTTCGTCGGCGGCGCCGTCCTGGGCATCATCGGCTCCATCATCTCGGCGACGGCCACGAGCGTCAGCATGCTCATCGGGGGCACCACCATCATCGGCATCGCCGCCGCGACGCAGCTGTCCTACTACTACGTCATGGCCGAGATCGTGCCCATGCAGTGGCGCTTCGCCGGCAACGCCTTCTGCTACTGCTTCCAGATCCCCAGCTCCGGCCTCGCGCCCGCCATCTCCAACTCGCTCATCCTGCACACCAGGGTCGGCTGGCGCGGCATGTACTACATCCTCATCGCCATCAACGGCTTCTCCTTCCTCTGCTGGTTCTTCTTCTACCACCCGCCGACCTTCCACATGAAGCACCGGAACGCCAGCGCGTGGAAGTACATCAAGAACTTTGACTACGTCGGCACCGCCCTCTTCACCGGAGGCCTCCTGGTGCTGATGCTGGGTCTCAACTGGGGCGGCACTGTTCACCCCTGGAAGTCGGCGTATGTCATTGCGAGCATCGTCTGCGGTGCCGTGGCGCTCATCATCTTCACCCTGTGGGAGATCTTCATGAACCTCAAGGAGCCGCTGGTGCAGATGGAGTTGTTTGAGAACCGTGCTTGGCTGCTCTCTACTATCCTCTCGGGCATCGGTGCATCGCTCTACTATGCCTTGGCCGTGGTAAGTTTCGCAAATTGCGGCCGTTATTCTTTGTAATTCGTATCAAATACCTAACTCCTGTGTTCCTTTCAGGTCTGGCCGAGTATGGTAGCCATTCTCTACTCCGACCCGACCAACCCTATGTACGGACCTTGGCTCGCCTCTCTGATCGGTCTCTTCATTGTCGTCGGCGAAATCCTGGCCGGCTTCCTCGGCAAGCCCCTCAAGCACATCAAGCTCCAGTGCATCATCACCACCACAATTGCAGGTGTCTTCTTCGCGTGCACTGCCACCTGCGGACCCGACAGCAAGGTCACTGCGGGCGTCTTGGTCTCTCTGGGCGCCTTCTTCATCGGGTGGACCGAGAGTCTCGCCATCACGCTGCTCACCATGGCCGCGACGGACCAGAACAACCTCGGCAGCGCCAGCGGCCTGGCCGGGTCGATCCGCTTCCTGATCAGCAGCATCGCCTCGACCGTCTACAACGTCATCCTGAACAACCGGCTCGCGACCACCATCCCAGAGAAGGTGCCTCCCGCGCTGACGGGGGCGGGCCTGCCAGCCACCTCCGTGGCCAAGGTCATCACCGGCCTCACGACGGGCAAGTTCGAGGACAACATCCCGGGCCTGACGCCGGAGATCTTGGCCGTGGGGACCAGGGCATTCCAGGTGGCGAATGCGGCTGCGTACAAGACCGTCTTCTTGTCGACGATTGCCTTCACGGGCATCGCCATCCTCTGCACGGTGGGACTTCCGCGAGGACTGGACGGCCTGCTAACGGGTCGCGTCATTACCACGCTTCATGCCGGAAGGGACGAGAAGAGGATGATTGGCGAGAGCCGGGCGGAGCCAGCACCCAAGACGGTCCAGGAGGCCTGAAAACGCCGATCATTACCAACACCTCCCCAGAAAGGCAATACAAACAAAGCAGTGACTAGAGCACAGTTGTTCTTAGAGAGGTATTGAGCATTATTCGTGGTCATCGGTTACATCCGACCCCTGTCTCAAGTATAGGCGGCATGAGCTTTGGCAAGCTCGCCAGACCGGGACGAAAGCTCCAGTCTGTATGATATTAGCCTGTAGTAGTATATCCTTAAAGCGGTCCTTGTCTGTCGATGACTCTGGAGCAACTGAGTCTTGGTCGCATTGATTGGGGGTCCGATCTCCCTTATCGAGTTCGGTGTTAATCATATTAGGAGTTGATATAGATCCGCTTGGCGCAAACAGTTCGTCCCTCCCGGTGTATTGGGTCACACCAGGATCTATTCTGGGAAGTTTCCCGGAAACGAATAATAACATGCCGCATTAAGTAACCTCCCAATTTGGAGACGTATAGCTGCTGTTCCCACAACCGGGTGTCTGGTGCAAGAGGTCATGTTTAAGATGCTTCTGGCCATTGCGTGATTGCTTCTCCATCTCGTTGACTGGCAGTTCACAAGTTCAGTCAAGATGGTATCTGCGCGTATTTTGACGACGGCACTCGCCATTGGCCTCCATGCCTTGGCTGTCATTGGTGCTCCCAACTGTCCTTTGCAAGGTCCGGTCTTCCCCAGACCAGTGAACCCGTCAACAGACCCGACACTGCAAGATGCATTCAGGAACTTGACGGCCACCTTCACCCAGCGCGACCAGGACAACTCCACCGGCGCCGACTCCATGACATACTCGGTCGAGGTGTTTTCGGTGGCAGACGACAAGCCGATCTGGTCGTGGTATCACACTGCGCCGACACTCCCTTCCAACACGACTGGTGTCAAGAAGGCAGACGGCGATACTGTGTACAGACTGGGCAGTCTGACCAAGGTCTTCTCCATCTACACTTGGCTGGCCGAAGTCGGAGATGCGCACTTCAATGAACCCGTGTCCAAATATGTGCCAGAGGTGGCGGCCTTGGCTGCGGCTGCGGACGCAAAGAAGGACCCCGTGAACAACGTCGATTGGAACAGCGTGACCATCGGGTCCATCGCGGCGCAGTTGACCGGGTTGGTTCGAGACTGTGAGCCTTTTAGCGTCAAGTATTTGAGGTTGCAGTGCTTACTAGGTGCCAGACGCGCAGGTCGGCGAGATCACGCAGGAGTACAACCAGAGCGTAGCCATGGCGCTCGGCTTCCCTCCGCTGCCCAACGCCTCCATCCCGACATGCGGAGAATGGCCACTCTGCAATCGAACGCGTAGGTTCCCGATCGAGCATTGATGCACCAATGGTGTCCTGGGTGTAGCTAACATGATCGACGCCAGAGTTCTTCGAGGGCATGAAGCACACCATTCCATCCTATCCTCCATCGCAGACAGCGACCTACTCCGACCTGTCATGGCTGATCCTAGGATACGCCCTCGAGACCATCACCGGCAAGAAGTTCCAGGACATGCTCGAGAATGACGTCCTCAAGCCCCTCGGCCTGGAGCACACGTTCCTCTTCGCGCCCAACGAGACCCTGGGCGCGATCCCTTCCGACAAGTCTCGTGTCCAGTGGTACTACAGCCTAGGAGACACGGCACCGTGAGTTCACCCCAGCCCCCTTCAGACCTGCCCAGAAAAGCCCCTCTGCCTCTCTCCCGCTAACTCCGCGCCGCCCAAATCCCCCCTCACAGAGCGGGCAACATGTACTCCTCGACGCGCGACATCTCCGCCTTTGGCCGCGCCATCCTGCGCTCCGCCCAGCTGTCCCCGGCCCAGACCCGCCGCTGGCTCAAGCCCGCCTCGCTGACCTCGGAGCTCGTCGCGGGGGTCGGCTACCCCTGGGGCGTGCGCCGCGTGCCCCTGCCCGTCTACGCCAACGGCAAGCGCGTCGTCGACGCGTACAACAAGGCCGGGAGCATCAGCGCCTGGCGCTCCCTCCTCGTGCTCCTGCCCGACTACGGCGTCGGCTTCGCGGCGCTGTTCGCGGGCGACAAGGTCCCCGCCAACACCAACTTCAACGTGGCCGACGCACTCGCGGCGGCGCTGCTGCCCGCCCTCGAGAAGGCGAGCCGGGAGCAGGCGGACCGGGCCTTCGCGGGAGTGTACGAGGCGCCGCAGGAGGCGGCGCTCAACTCAAGCGTGGTAGTGTCGACGCAGGCTGATCGGCCGGGGCTGGGCATCGACTCGTGGGTGAGCAACGGGACCGACATGAAGGCCGTGGCGGTCGCCCTGCAGACCGGGTATCGTGTCAGTAATCCCAGCATTCGTATGTACCCTACTGATCTGGAGACTGTCAACGAGGATGGGAGCAAGAGAGTGGCATTCAAAGCGGTGTTTGAGGATCTGGACGCGCCGAGCCGGAACACAATGATGTCGACTGACTGTGGCACATGGGTGAGCCAGACCGGGGCTGTGTATGGCGAGACGCCACTGGACCAGTTCGTGTTCAACATCGACAAGAACGGCAAAGTGACGAGCCTGGAGCCACTGGCGCTGAGGGTGCAACTCAAAAAGCATTAGCCGGATTGTAGGACAGGAGAAACCAGACGTGGAACAAGACATGGCTTTTGAGTGGTGTTATGACGCTGAGATCGCTGTATCTATGGTATCTACCCTGCCATGCCGAACAAATCAAAGTGCTAATGCGTCGCTGAGAATCAATGAACCGGGGAATCTGTAAGTGTCCGTGACGCCGTGAGCTAATGCCAATGTATCCCCTACCAGACATACGAAAACTTAGGCCTGAACAAGTCTGATCACCTATGAGGCACCTGTTGCTTCATCTGCATCCTCCGGAGACCCATCCACATCGACTTGGAATCGTATTTGCGGGTCTTGGGGTCCCACCAAGAGTAGACGTCGATAACAATGTACGCATTGTTGGTCTCGAGCTCAACCAAGCCAGAGACCAGAATGCAGCCGGGAGGAGGAAGCTCCCTGAGAGGTCTCCATTTCTGCGCCAGGCGCTTCCTCATCTCGGTCCACGCGCCGTTGATGTTTGCCTTCACGCGGTCGTAAGGATACATATCTTTGGGGCTCGGGCTTCGAGGTGTGCCGTCGGCGGTTGCTGCCGGGGACGTCTCCGCGCCGATAGCCGGGGTCCCTTCAGGTGTTTGCTGCTTTGCCAAAGTCCTCGGGTCTTTGATGGCCTGTGGGTTCTTGGTGCTCTGTTGCTGCAGGCGCTCGATGGTGCGCTTGATCGCTGGGTTTGGTCCGTCGCTGAACTTGTGATTCTCGCTCGGGTGATACCCAAAGTATCTTGCAGCGTCAAATATGTTCTGCTTGAACAGAGTTCCCGCAAAGCTGAACATGGAGGATGCCATCGGCGATGGCCATAAGATACGCTGGATGCGCATCGCTGTCGTCGAATCGATATCTCGGCTCGCCCATGTGATATCCTTTTCTCCTATCTCAATCCTGTTCTCCCGTCAGTATATACCAGTGGTAACTCGAACCAATAGTAGACATACCCAGAGCGTTGATACTTTGGCGGCGGCCGGTAAGGGTAGTCCACATCCATCCACCATCTCCTAATCTTCCAGCTTTTGCCGCACTTCTGCGCTAAGAGGGGGTTGGCCTCGGCGACTGAGCGCACTGTATCTGCTAGTTCTTCTACAGACAGGGTGTCAGTTGCGCTGGGTGTAGTTGAGTGCTGGAAGAAGCCTTACTGAGGATGCGCATCTGCAGCTCCTTGTCTTTACTGATCTTCACAAACTGTGCCCACTCTGGGTCTGTCCCCCGGTATGGCTCCCTCGGTACAGACCTGATGGTGAGGGGAAAAGGTATGAATAGCGGCTCTCGTTCGCTCTTGTCGATCTCGTTCAGCTCTTCGTCGGACAAGTTGTCCATCTGCCTCTCGATCCAGTTGAGCCATGGGTCGACAACAAAGGTCCCGTAAGCCTGAAAACAAACGAATAAAGCGGCGCCTCCAATGAGGAGATTTCTAACACGAGGCCATACATTAGCATGACTTGTCTCCTCACGACCGGTTCCATTGTGGGAGACCATACCGTATCCTTGCCGGGCGACGGCTCAATTTGACCCTCTGCAGCACCGCGACCTGTGATCCCCGCACCTGCCTGGAGATACTCTGATAAGCTAGAGGCGAGTTCGCCTTCCGGAAGAGGCGGAACATGGCGATACTTCGAAGGCACGCCAGAGGAGGCGGCCGATAGAGGGGTCTTGATCCTGTGCGAGGGGGCGTGCGCGGCTGCCGACGATACAGGCGCTGCGGGCTCTGCGCTCACGAGTGAGCGAAGGATTCACCGGGCGACGCAACAAGGAACGAGTCGCGGGAGAGTTCCGAGTTTGTTGCTTTATCCTGGCGTCAATACCGCAGGACAGAGGGCGCGAATCAAGACGAGGTTTGCGTGGAGTGACTGATTGCTCGGGTTGCCGGACTTTCTGAGGGTCGAGAATCTTATCGTCTCGTGCTAAAATAATCGGCTTCTCCAGGGCGCATGCCCACTAATCATACAGCCTGTTCCGAGAAGCGGACCGCACTAACGCGGTTCTCTTTGGCGCTAAACAGCACTGAAAAAACGGAAACTCCCTTAAAGACAGCGGGGAAATTGGCGCAACTTGTCCTGCGAAACGCGCGCCCGGAGCGCAACTTTTGGCGCCAGCTGGCGTCGGACCGGAGCAATGATCATCCATTAGCGATGCGCGTCAGCGGGACTGGCCATCAATGCATCCATGCTTTGCTTGGTGCTATCTATCCCCAAGCTTGCCTGGAACCACCCCAAGCTTGACTTCACCATCACCATCTATCCGCCAAACAGCTTCTGCTTCGGCAACTCTTTGCCATCATGAAGCTCCAGGTAGGCCTGGCGCTAACGGCGCTCACGAGCGTTGCTCTGGCCGCATACGAACCCGCACAAGTCTACCTCATTCGCAAACAATCACAGAGCAACAGTGCACCCAGCATATCACGACAGACCACTCGACAAATACTGCTGCAGAGGCTAGGTGCCAACCAGAGCGGCTTCCTGCGAGAGATTCCAGATGGCAAGGACCAAGAGGAAGCCATCTCGTACATCAACGAGCTTGGCAAGACGACAGCCTCCCTGTTCAGCCAGACGCCCTCTAGCGAACCCGCACAGCTTGTCCTTATGATTGAAGGACTCGGCAAGAAGGAGCTTGAGGACTTTGAGAATTCGATACGATCACATAAGAGGGGGAGAACCTTTGTGGTGGACAAGCCACCATCAGCTTCCGCCAACTCGTATCTGTTCGAGCAAGATCTCGTCGCTGCTGGTGTCAAGCCGAGTGGTTGCAAGCTTGAGGCCGCTTTCAACCCCTATGCGCCGACATGCTGGGACAACAATGTCTTCGTCGAGAAGTACGACTTGAAGAAGGTCGGTTTGCTCTTTTCATTAACAGTAAGGTAATTCAAAAGAAGGATGGCTTGCTGACACCTTGTAAAGTCCCCCTCAGACCTTGACACCCTCGTCGAGAACATCCCGAGTCTCTTCAAGCTCGCCAATAACGGTGACATGGAGGCCATGCTCGTCATGATGCCCGAGTCCAGCCGCTCCTCCTCGGTGAAGCAGTGGAGCTCGAACCCCATCCTCCACCGACGTGCCTTGCGCGACGCCGAGACCGTGATCGCCGAGGACACCCCAGAGGAGTCGACCCAGGCCGTCACGCCCGGCGAGAAGCTCGGGGCGCAGGTCTGGGCGGCCGCGCCAAAGGGCCACATCCCGGCCTGCTTCCAGTCCTTCAACTCGTGCGACACGCAGACCAACAGCTGCAGCGGTCACGGAAAGTGTGTTGACAAGTACTCTCGAGGCGATGCTTCCGAGAAGCGTGCCGACGGCGCGGCTGCCTGCTGGGTTTGCAAGTGCCTTGCTACAGAGGAGCACAACGACGGCAAGGTCAGCAAGGGCCGCAAGACGACGCACTGGGGCGGCAACATCTGCCAGAAGAAGGACGTCAGCGTCCCCTTCTTCATGTTTGCCGGCTTCACCATCGCCTTTGTGGGCGTCATCACCTTCACGATCAGCATGCTCTTCAACGTGGGAGAGGAGAAGCTACCAGGCGTGATTGGTGCCGGAGTGAGCAGGAACAAGTAAAGATTCGTGTGGGAGAGACGGTGTAATTACTTGTTGTATTGAGCGGTGTATTGATATTACGGCGTCTGCATTGGGCTTGGCTTTTCATCTCGGGGTACATATAGAGAGCCTTTATTACCACGAGTAATCAAATATACTGTTTCACTTTTGAAAACATGCCTTGGCTTTGGTCTGATTGTACGAGTGTTCATTTGGGTATCTTATATCTATGGCTTGGATGACTCTGCATCTCTACAACTCATCCACCTCGGGCCGCTTAGTCGGCGTCGTCCCCAGGCTCTCCAGGCCGCGCTCCACGGGGATATCACCAGCCAGCCCAGGCGGGATCGCTCTCAGCGGCGACTGCGTGGCCAGCTTGACAGCATCCGCACTGCCCATGACAGACTGGTACTTCTGCCCGGCCTTGTCCAGGATGTCCTGCACTTCCTTCTCGCGGTCGAGAATCTCCTGCTTCTCCCGCTCCAGCTCGGCCATCTTCTTGCGCTTCTTGGTGACCTCGTCCTCGAGCCCCTGGACGATGCTCTGCATGCGCGCGAGGCAGTCGGCCAGCTCCGGCAGCGGCTTCATCTTGGGTATCATGACGGGGCCCGTGCTGCCGAGGCCGTCGCCGTCGCCGTTCTGCGCTGCCGCCTTCGTCAGGCCGTCCATGCCCGCCCTCGTCTGCGCCGCTTCGTACGCTGCCCTGCGCTCCGCTTCTGAGTCGTCGCTGTCCTGGTCCTCGCCGTCCTCGGCCGCGTTGATGAGCTCGGCCATCTCGGCCTTGCGCCGCTTGCGGGCTTCGCGCTCGGCTTTCCTACCCAGCGAGAGACCCTCGTCCTCTACGAACTCGTCGAATCCCTCGCCGAGGTCCTCGTCTTCGCGGACGAGCCTCGTCTCGTCCTTCTTCTTCCCCGGTAGCAACGAGATGTAGCTCCTGTTCGCCTCGTCGTCGGAGCCGTCTAGCGGCATGTAGTCCTGTTCCCGCGCTAATCTCGCCCTCCGCTCCTTCTTTTCCCTGATTTCTGCCTCGGTCAGGATGTGCGGTGCCGAGCTCCCAGCGGCGTTAGCCGGCGCAAGCTCAGTCGACTCGACCACCATTGCGCCCTCGAGCTCGGAGGGGTCCAGGTCCATCTCGTCCTCATCGGCTATCCGCAGCGACGCTAGGTTTTGCGGGGTGTTGGGCGTCGAGCTCTGCAGCTCGTCGAGGTACTCCTTGCTATACCGCGGCCGGTCCTCGTCCGCATCCCTGATCGGTAGCCTCTGCCGCGATATTGACTTCTTGAATGCACTGTTCTCCACGGCCTTCTGCCCCAGCGAGCTCTTCTTGGGCGTGGACAGGGCCGCCCCGCCATCGCCGTCGTCCGCAGGCGCCTCGGCGCTGGGCCCGAAGGAGAGGCGCGACGAGGATGCGCGCTTCTTCAGCTTTGTTGATCCCGAACGACCAAGCATTGGCCGCACGACCACCGGGCCATCGCCGTCATCGCCGTTCTTTGTTGTGCTGGGTGCTGGGGTGGGTGTGCCGCCGGACTCGGTGTCTTGGTCGTCGTTGACGTTGATGCTGCGACGGAGGGAGGATGATTTAAGGGGGCGTTTGCCAAATTTCAGCGGTATTGATGGTGCATCTTGGCTTGAGGCTACGGAGATTGCATATTAGCTGGCTTGTCCATATCAGCAAAGCAAATTTTGACGCCTGGGGGAATGTTTACATACCATCTTTGGATTTGTCTGAAGACCCGCTGGCTTGGTCTGGATTGTCGTCTTCGAACGTCTGGATAATGCGCGGCTTGCGCTTCGAAGCAAAAGACATTGTCGCGTAGTATTCGCCTCGAGGAAGGCAGAGCTCGCCTCAAAGACTTCAATGTTATGCTTCGAAATATTGAGTTTGCCTTCGGAGTGTCTTGGTGTCGTGCTGTCTCGAGATAACTCGATGAAGACTCGGCCCAGGCCAGCAACTATTGCGACTTATCTTATCGACACGTGACCTAAAATTTCCCCATCCATCGCAAGCTTCGAGCTTCAACTGTCGCGCGTCGCATCTTGAGCCTGAACGGACCAACCTGAGGAATTCCATCACCACACGACAAGATGGCGCCCGCACAACCCGAGCTCAAGAAGGTATGCGCAATCGAAGATGTCGTTCCCAAATGACACTGGCTTCGAAGCACCCTGTGGCCGGCACATGTCCCTCGGTTTAGCCTGGGATCGCTAATCTTGACCCAAACAGTACCTCGATAAGCGACTGTTCGTCCAGCTGAACGGCAGCCGGAAGGTCATCGGCCTGCTGCGTGGTTACGATGTGAGTTAAAATCTTTCCCTTCGTTCTACAGTTGTCGCAGTACTGACGCGTGGCCTTCTAGGTCTTCCTAAACATTGTCCTGGATGACGCAGTGGAGGAGAAAGCCAACGGCGAGAAGGTCAAGATTGGCATGATCGTAGGTACCATTGGGGGAGGGATGTCTGTATCGATCGGTATTAACTTCTCCCTTTGCAGGTCATTCGAGGCAACTCTGTTGTCATGCTAGAGGCGCTCGAGAGGATCGGCGGTGACGACAGGAGGTGAAGCGGCAGTTGAAGGGATGAGGTGCAGGAGATTTGGATGGGGAGTGCTATCATTGCAAAGCTTTTTCGATAATGATCGGGCATGGAACATTGTCAGCGTGATACATGGAGACCGGCGTTGAAATCGGATACAGGGTCAAAAGAGACGTGGCGGATTAGTCCACGTAGGCAGGCCGGCCAAACTCGCTCGGCCAGATACCAAAATTTGCGTCTATTTGAATTGCTCCCAATACGTCGGTTCCCAGAAATCCATCAGCGATGCACCATAAGCCTTGACCCAGCCTTTGACACCGCCTTTGAGGATCAGCGACTGGAGCCGGCCTTCGTCGCCTCGCTCGTTGATGTAGTCCTGCATCCAGTTGGCGGACCGCGGACCGCGTCCGCTGGATGAACCTGGGGTCACGCTTTTAGCATGCCGGATTCTTTCTGTTCTCCTCACCGTCGGGATCACTCACCACAGTAGAAAATGATCTTGGTGATGCCCGCCTGCACGCACAAATCATAGATGATCTGCCGGGTCTGGTACAGCGTCTGCGCGGGGAAGTTGATGGACGACTTGATGGTGCCGCCCTCCCAGTCCGTCCGACGCACATCTACTAGCAGGAAATCACGCTTGGCGGAAGGCTCTTGCTCAAGTCGCTCGAGCATCTGCTTCACCTCGCCGGCTTCGATGCTTGGGCAGCTGGCTCGAGGCGCGGGGAAAGCATCCCACCACTGGGCCGCTGGTGCTTGTTCCGTAGCCATGATTCTCTATTGCTGGTGGACTACTTTCCGAAGGTGTGATCTCCCTCGGGGTCCTGTTAGCTAATTGGCGCCGTATTTTGCGGGCTGCGGTAGAGTTGTTGTGACGGTGTTGGTCGAGGTAGTTGTGTGTGTGTCATCTCTGGTAGCCTCGGCGCATCTTTTGGAGTCTGCCCCGCACTCCCGAATCCGCCCGGCTCCGGTTTACGCTACGCCTTCATGTCCGCCGCGATCGAGTTCCGGCGACAAGCGGAATAACTGCCCAGACAGGGGGCATACGAGATCACCTGTCTGACTAAGTCGCGAAGCGAGACACCCAAGGAGAATTATCTCCTACGGGACGATGTGCTTGACAGTATCCGCTCTGGAGGTGGAAGGCTTACAGGATCAGAAGTGAGAGACAATTCCTTGCGCTGAACTCCGTTATGGTAGAGACCCTTGTCTCTTCTTTTCATCCCTGCCAAGGCGTTCTGTCCTTTGCGTTTTCAGTCCTCGACATCACAAGAATGCAGATCGCAGGTTCAAAGTCTTGGCTACCAGCTCCGAACATCACGAGAATATCGCCAAGCATGCAATTAGCCGGCTGGGGCCTTCACCCAAGGAATCCTTCCTTTTCTTTTCTTTGCATATTTTTATAGCCGTCAAGTTCACAGAGGGGCCCTACCCTCTAGCTCTGGTACCGGGAGTTTGGAAAATCTATTTTCGTCTTTTTTTGTTCGCCTAACCAGCCGCTCATATTCCCGAATGTCCATTTAATCTATTGGGCAATTTACAACGGTGCAACACTGAGCTGCCCTCGAATGTCTTTCATCCCTGGGGTGTACTCCGCCATGGCAACATTCCATGATGAGTCGCCCTGCTGCCAAGTGATTCAGCTTAGATCTCCTGATCAGGACTACTGCGTAAGACTCTTGAATCCGGAAGGCTGGTGCTGCCCGAGAACCTATTAAAACGGAGCAATTGTCCTGAACAAAGATCCCTATCTCGATCATTGAACAAAGTAGAATCCTGAGACTTGTACTGTCCAGATCCGCAATGCATTACTTCACGTCCACTTTACTTGCTATCGTTACATTTACCTGCTGGTAAGATACTGTTGAGTTCGCTCTTTGGATCGCACGAAATTGACTCACAGCCCTTTGCTTTCTTGCAGCAATGCAGAAGTCGCGAGAACCCGGTCTATTCGGCCGCCCTCACTCACGACGGTCGTCCTTTCCACGCCCACACCCAAACAGCCGGCACACTGTACGACCGAGATAAAGAACGCCGAGAACCCCTTTGGCGTCACCCACACGCACTCGTGCTACACGTATACCCAGTACACTCAAGCAGGTTCGTGATACACGGAATAGACGCTTTCAATCAGTCAGGGCAAGCCAGCGGCTGACAGTCTGTCTTTATCCTCCAGAGGAGTGCAGATGCACTCAAGACTCGGACGTCATGTGCCCTTTATATTTAAGAGTGACGACTTCTGACGTACCGTGCAAGTGAGTTGAAGATCCCGAATAGAGGGGGATAAGGAAAGGCCCGATAAGAAGAGTGGATGGGCCAGCTAGTGATTGATGTGACTGACATACCACGTAGGACCGACTGCTGTCCGACAACAACTACGACCACGATCCGGACATGCCCGCCGGCTTGCAACCCCAAGGCGTGCACCATACCAACAATCACCGAGTACTACACCACAGGCTGCGAGAAGAGACCTGAGGGTACCAAGGCTTATTGATATGGCCAAGTGGCCGTCGGTTCACCACGGAAGAGCTCGGGCAGCCAAGACGTATCGTAGCCTCTCTGGAGTGTTCATGAAGATATCAAGTTTCTGGCAACCAAAATTAGTCTGAAAACGTCGAATCAAATGAATAGTAAAATATCCACCTCTGAAAGTATTAGGTAATGTAGGAAAAATCGTCTTTTCGTACTTATGACGTCCTGGCGTCCGTCACTTCAAGTCTCCTAGCCTGTGGCTCTTACAGGAGGCTTATCAAGAAGCTGTGGTAGGTAGATCAACACCTACCAAGAAAAGAGCAAGAGGCTCGATCGCATTGGCAAGAGATGACGATTCTAAGCTGCTAGTAATCGGGCTCCATGGGGCGTCCCTGTAGACGCGGGTACAACTCCCATCGGAAAGCATACCGGATAGTTGATCGGGATGGGTAGTAGATCACAATGAAGTGATTGGTCTCGGTTCGACGCCTGCGGATGGGATCTTGCACCATCACAGCGCAGCTGGGCGCGGGAAATCGACAGTTCTCAGCTTCGAATGTCTCAAATCAGAACAGATCAGTGGTCACGAGGCGTGCGCCCTGAGATCCGGCAGGCACATAGTGCTAACACGGCCGAAGGCCCTCCGCTCGTGGCTTGGGCCTAGAATTGCATATCGGAAAACAAATGGAGACCTCTCGTTCCTAAAATGGCCCGCTGCATGATGCAGCGTCCCGATCTGTTTCAATACAGATGGCCCTTCTTCAACGATGAAGGTGTCCTGGAACTCGACATCCAGATGTCGTCACACTTTTGACCTCAACCCTCTTCGTCAGGATTAGGGAAATATCTTCAATGTCAATCTCTCTGAGATCGCCAAGCCACCGTTACACAAGAGGGCCACGTACTTCGTAGCGTCTCGGCGATCTCGCCGAGCCGCCGCGGGATTTTTATGCGTGGTCACATGGACTTGGTCGCCCCAATGGATGGATTCACACATGTCGTTGTCTCAGTGCGGAATCATTCCATTGATCTTGAGCTTTGTCTTGGCATTGACGATTAATACAAGTTTTCCGGATCATGCACCAAGATGCCTAGGAGAAACACCCTCAGGTTCCAAGCATTGGCAAGAGAGACATGGCGCGAAGCTGCCAGAGATATACAAGCCAGAAATAAATCAGTGGGAACGGTCGGCATCACACTGTTCTGAGGGACAGATATCATAGCCATACACAAGGCCCAGGCGGCCGTTCTTCATATGATACGATCTGTTGCCATGAAATACATACTAAAATCTGGGTGATATCAAGATATTCACGCACCGCTTGCTCGAAGGAGTCAATGGGACGGAGGCGATATAGAGAACGATAGAATGTAGGATGAAGGGGAATAGAAATAATGTAGCTGTTTGACTATTTTATACATGTATGATATTCCTATCTTGGAAACAAGCTCCCGGGAACCATCCAAGGGTGATATAATAAAACTTGAGGACAAAGGTCACTTGGCTGACTGTAATACGAGGTCGACAATGACCCCTGTCACGATTGTCCACCTTTCTTTTCTGGTTAGAAATGCTCAAAGTTACCGCTGTCATTACCTCGTTATCAAACTTGAATCAAGTATCGGACGTCCACACACACGGCCGACAGATACATACTACGTGTGAAAGAGATGGTTGTATGATGATCAGCATGAGACCACGTAATAAAATGCTCAAAAAGCAAGCTGAGCACACCTGAGGTGGTGCATCGGGGCCGATCAATATCCGTCTCTGTGTAGCATTGCTCTTGAGACAAGCCGATCGGGCCCATGCAAGATACCAAACTCATGCTGAGGCCAAGCAGCCCCAGTTCGGGCCCGACTTCTGGGTATGATTCCCAACCACTGATTCTGTGAAGCCTTTTTTTCTAAGGCTGGAGGGATGGTAAGTCGGCGAGTTCCGTCCCTCCGCACCCTGGGTATGCACGCGCAGCAGTGGGAAAACAAGCCAATGATAACCTGCACGTCAGCACGGGAAACCCCTGCCGCCTTGTCTAGCGTCTGTGCTGTACGAATCTGCAGTGACCAGATGCGCTGTTGGATGCAACACCAGTAAGGCCGGGTCATATTCTTCCATCTGATGGCAAACCCAGGACGGGATCTTGTTCGGTTTATATTTGGACTGTGGTCAGCCCTTTCTTGACCTCATATTTGGACCGGACCGGCCTCGACATACGACGATGGCATGAGAGCCAGAGTAGACGGCTTTACAACCGTTCTATGATCGCTTTCTTCAGCCATGATGCTTGGCTTACGACAGGGGGTTGGTAACACTGATGGGGTAACCGAGACAGACAAAATGGTGGCTGAACCTATCCGACCTTCTGCAGACCAACCGAGTCCAATCCCTTTGCATGGAGTATTTCACCGACTCTTACCAGCCAAACTATTCCCGCCACCACCCACTTCCAGTGTTAGACCTAATGCGAGAAGCTGCATGTTTCACGAGATAGCGAATCTGAGCAGCTCGCTACTGGCCACCTTCGCCTGACGTCAGACTTGGCTTACCGCACGCGGGGCCTTTTGCCTGACTTCGCTGTAGAAACGGAACAAAATTAGCCCTTGAGATTGCCGAAGTCAAAAGGATCAGATCAGTCAACTCCATCTCAAGAACGGAAAAATCTGTTATCAATCAATGTTCTTTCTCTCCTGGAATGCATTGCCCTCGTTTTAGGTAGCATTGTGTGTGCACTGCTTACTCTGCGGCTGACCTTCGTACGGACGGGTTGGAAACGGCCACGCCACAGCCGCGAGCCAAGAACCGGCAAAGTCTCCTATTGGCAAGATGTCCTCCGAGATCTGCTCCTGCAGATAGAGGATGTACCTGGACTGTGATTCAATAACGTGTGGCGGCAGGAGACTGATCTACCTCCCAGTGTCTAGAGAAGTACAGATTCGTGGATCCGGTCTGGTCTCACCCTCCCTCGCTGCCGTCTCAGCGATCCACTGCTGTTGTCTAGGTCAACGGACACTTCTGTTTGTGGCTGGCTGCCGGTAGGCCATCTTCGAGCCTACGTATTGAATGCAGTTACTCTTTTTGCTCGTTGCACATATGCATACGCGACCTGAAGTTGGGCCGTGGGCTGCAGAAATATCCGCTTGAAGATCGCCTCCAACATTGGCCCGGTGATAGGAAGCTGGCCTACTTAGATGGGAAAAATTGCGTGATTGACAGCAACCTCATCGGCTATCGTATTTACGACCCCCAAGCGACAAGATACGTGAGTGCTTGCGGACTAATACCCAGTCTGGCCAGCATGCAACCGCTGTTTTCTCCCCGGAGCGCCGGTTGCGGATGATGCACACGGCATAACCCTCCTTCCAGTGGACACCCAGCTAAACGTGTAGAATGGTCTCAGACCCATTGGGCGATAAGCGTGCCCCTTGGCGCTCGGTGAGGCAGTCGTCTCCTCTTCGAGCGGAGCTGAGATCTGACAACGGTTCATGGGCTCACTTGAACAAATAACATTTTCTCGTTTCTCCCAGGATCTCCACTTGCGTGTATGTCCCAGGTGTTTCCCCAAGCTTTCAGCTCCGGTTCCGTATGTGGCGTATGGAGAGAGATCGCGACGTGAGCGGCCGTCGCTCTCTTCAACCTTTTTAACTGCATTCATCCCCAATCTTTCGGACTTTACACCTTCTCGGCCTTTCAGGTTCATCTACAGACTACTGGACTTCTACGATTCCTGCGACTTCCCGAGACAGAGATGACAAAGATGAGATCAGCCCCCGCAGCAAAGACGCAACAGCCAAAACCAGCAAAATACAAGGACAGTTGTGATAACTGTGCACAGTCCAAAGTGAAGTGCAACCGAGCCAAGCCGGAGTGCCAGAGATGCATTCGAAATGGGATTGAATGCCACTACAGCTTAGCAAGGAGAGGCAAAGCCAGGCTGTTATACCCCGAGAAGTCGGCCGGAAGCACAAAGCAGTCGTCGTCATCATCCCTTCTCACCCCGCCTGGGCCTTCAACTCCGGACCAACAGGATCACCATCTCTCTTCGACCCATTTATATGAGACTGACACCCTGGGACTTGCAGCAGAGCAATGTGAGCTGGCAGCAGATCTGCCAGCTTTAGCTGAGATGCATCCTCCCGTGATTACATCTGCATCATGCTGCGAAGACGTTGGCATACACATGTCCACGCCAGGGAGTATGAGCTCCGCCTGCGGAAGTGCCGGCAGACTCGCTTGGTGTAACCCCGAGCTCACGCTCTATCCTGGCCAGCAGGGGGTTATCCCGAACGACACTTCGATCAACCAGACTGGAGAACCCGTCTCACCAGGCCACCATGTACCTGCAACAGCCCTTCCACTTCACTGGACAAACTTCCAATTCCCGGCAGACATCCAAAGCGCCGCCGGCAGCAACGGAACTACCCTCCAATTCATTGATCCCATGCTCACACCCTCGAGCATGACTGCCACTCTATTCGGTGGAGTGTCGACCGCCAAGCACCATCCACCTGAGATACCGTACCAAGCAACCACGAGCTTGTCCCTGGAGGCACCTCAGCATGTATGCCAGGGATACCAAAGCTGTGCATCTCTTGCGATGTCTACATATGAGAGCTTGCAGGTACCCAAGGCCCCGTCATGTGCTCCTATAAGAAACGCTGCCCCGGACTACATGGCAGGTCGGGTACCCTTGTCGGCTGCTCGGAGGAGCACGGATGTAGTCCTTCGGGCAAGCCGCGCGGCCATGGAAAACGTTGCTACGATCCTGAAATGCCCCTGTGGCGGTGCAAGCACAGACAACAGTACCAGCAGCCTGTCTATTCTACTGTTACTCGTCTGCAGCAGTGTAGTTGATGCATTCCAACGCATTCCCATCATTCGAGAGAATATGTCCTCTGGCTACGAGGGCGACGACCTGGAGCTTGATCAACAGCACCAGAACCAAGACGTGGATGTGGGACAGCTGATGTCTGAGGAAACACCGCAGAGCTGCACGTCAGAGATGGGTGGGATGGATGTAGACGTGCCGATTGCTATTGGTGGGTATGTATTGGATGGCCACGCGAAGAGGAAGGCCATATCTAGTGTGCTGCTTAGCCAGCTATACGAGGTTGGCGAGACGATAGAGAAGGTGTCGAGCGAGGATTCACAAGCTCAGGTCATGGGCTGCTCAATGCCACATCTCAACGCGAGGAGGGGAAGCACGGGGGAAATGGTAATGGTACTCAAGTCCCTTTTGATGACGAGGTTACGAGCTACGATAATTTCTGTCAAGGCAGAAGCCGAATTCTGAGATATCAGACTAGATGAATCATGAATCAGCGTTCCCAATACATCTATTTGATAGTTATTCCTCCTGCAACTTGACCGAACCCGTGACTGTCACAAGCCACATTATATGTCTGCAGCTTGCTGGGTCGAATGTTTCATGCGTAGAGGCCATAGTATGATGGGTACATAACACGATATGAAGTGTTGCCACCAGTGAGCAACTCTGGTTGCTGGACCATCTTTCATGCACTATCTAGTATGGTGTTACATTCGACTTTGAGGTTCCATGGCGGCATCGTCTGACCGTGGAGGGCAGTATCTACATTAGAGGTAGAATAGGGCTATGACGCATAATCCGGCTGTCTTCCAGATCCAGCCGAGGGCCTTTGAACTTTCAATCGTGCCAGCCATGGACTTCTTTTGCGAAGAGGCAGTTGTAGATGCCAAGGGCGTTGAGGAGGGTGACACTGTCCTTGTCTCGGTCACATTCTTTGCTCTCAGGCAACGCATAATGTGGAAGTCGGTCTCCCCACCAGAATCACTGCCCTCATGTCGGAATATCAGCACGGTTGGCCAGATATTGGCCACTGCCTCTTCAAAGCGGCCGTCCTGTCCCTTTCGAGCTGGCGTAGAGCCATAAAGGAGGAACCGTGCATCCTCCTTCAACTGCCGCAAGCTAAATTCTGTGGAACTTGGTCAGCCTGGGACACAGAAAGAGGGTGTTCCCACGGCACGCTGCCTGGTCATCAACAGAATGTGACCTACTGTTCCCCCAGAGTGCGAATCCAACATCTCCCCCGCGTTCGAAGAGAGCATCACGACAGCTAGGTGGTATTGGTGGCGCGTCGGTATTGCAGCTATTTCGAGATCGGTAGAGTTTCATGATAGCCTTTCCCAGGTCAGTGGCACACTGGTCATTGCCAAACGCTAGGCTGCAGCTGCCATCGTCGGCTTGAGCAGCCAACATCCTGTTCCACTCGACGCCAGCAAACACCAGGGCGCAGATGGTCCACCCTGAGGTATCAGCCTCGCCGAGAGACTTGCCGCCGAAGCTGAGCACGCTCACGGCTGTGGTCTTGCCAGCGTCGTTGAAGCTGACATACTGACCGTTAATGAGCGATACGTCGGCCGTGACATCGATCTTGAGCTCGAAAGACGAGTTGCCGCCGCCGCCGCCGCCTCCGCCGCCGCCGAGCACTGGCCCAGTGACCGGGAAGGTGCCGGTCGCATTGGGATGCGCCGTCGCGGCACTGAACTCCTCGCCGGGGATGCCGAACACTGCGTGATCACTGAAGTCGGTCCTGCCCGAGTCGAACCAGGAGCTGTCATCAGCGACGCGAGAGAAGTTGTAGGCGAAGGAGAACCGTGTCAAGGCGAGGAGGAAGACTGGGAGCAAGGCTCCGTGCCGCCCCGTGTCTAACATAAGAGCTGCGGCTGTGATCTTTCTACAAGTCTCGTTGCCGTGTAGAGAACTTGGAAAGGTACCAAGATCTGGATGCACGATGTTGTCAAAAGGGAGGATTCGGAATTGTGGGTACGGGGGAAATTTGAATGTCTTGGCATGATCGGCTTTGAAGCTTCAGATCAACAAGGATCTTGCTCCCACTCGACGGTGAACGGCGAACGGCAACGTTTTTGGCGGAACTTGCTCATGATATTCTCTATAAATCCAGATCGGTCTATGGTATCACAAAAGGCGCTGATGAAAGAAAAGACTTTTGTCTCGTACAGATTATACGTTACCACGGCCCTCGCCTCCATGGGTACTTCAGCAACGCTTTTTTCTCCACCTCGCTATTGATGTCCGTGAGAGATCCGGGGTGCTTCTTCGCGATGTGATCCTTAACCTCACTCTTCGTTCCAAAGGGTTTGGAGCCACACACCGCTGTGAGTGGACACTGCACCTGTGTACAGAATGTGAACCGGGACCACCGATCATGCGTCCTGTTGAACCGCTCGCGCCGCTTGATTACCAGGATTCTTGCCACCGTCTTCATCTCTTTCTGTATACTGGGGTTTTCCAGATACTCCAGGACCCATGCTCTCATGTTTTGAAAGACATCGGGTTTGGACTCATCCAAGTCCAGGGCGCCAATCTTTAGCCCCCCGTTCCACTTGTAGTAGCTGAGCTCACCTCTATAACTTTCAGTGAGCTGCTGCATCATCCTTTCCGCGGACTCGGAGCTCGTTGCGACATTAGCTGTGGTCTCGACAATGCCAAGCCGGTTGGCGATGTGATTCCTCCTTGCGAAAAAGCCCTTGACCGCCTCTTTAAAAGTTGGCTTGAGGCCGGTCCCCAGAGCCAAGAGCAGTTGGACGGGCGCCACAATATTGTTGCCGTTCATGGAACGTTCTTTCGTCTTGACTTCCCAGAACAGCTCCCAAGACGGGTCGTTGCAGCCCACTGCGCCATCAATGTATTTCTCCTTCATGACAAGGGCCGACTTGAAATAGGATGGGGCTGCCGATGTGGCCCGTCCTGCCTCCCAAATAAAACAATCTGGAGCAGGACCAGGATTCAATGTGTGGGTGCCTTCCCCATCCTCATGACCGTATGTCCGGAAGAGATGCGCCTGGTGTCCTCCTCGTTTCTTTCTCGCAACGACCACACTGGCGGGATCAGTACCTGGCTATACACCGATTCAAGACAACAAAGAACCTACGTTCGACAAAGATCTTCCGGGCTGGCAAGCTTGGAATAATGCGGCCCATGATCAGCTGGAGGCGTGTGTTCAGAAACAATCGCCTTAAGCTCCTCCTCCAGATACCGAAAGTCATATTTGTCTCTCAATGCCCTCTTGAAGTGTAGCCTGCGCGGTCGGCCAAATATATGCTCTGCCATGGCTGGGTAGCGTTCGACGCACTCGTCTGCAGACATTCGCAATCGCCCTAGCATCAACGCTGCAAGCCTAGGAACAGATGGGAATCAGCATCTTCCAGTCGAAAAGGGCCAGGATGTAAAATGTGGCAAAAATACCAACCCTCCTGTGCTTGTTCCCCCAATGTAGTCAAGGTAATGGCACGGCAGGAATTTACCCTGTCTAGATTGAAGTTCTTGGTGTGTCTTTTCACACCTCTCGGCCAGAGCGGTCTCGTTTCTGCGAAACTTCCTCTCTTGGGTTGGTGTTCGAACGAAACTTGGCGCCTCGGGAAGCACGGGAGCGCCATTCTGCAGCACGTCGGGATATGGAGGTGGCCCGAAGCTGGATGGATGGGGTTCCCAGTTGGGATCATTGAAACCTTTCGGGGGTTGAGGATCTTTCTCAAGTCTTTCAACCTCTTGCATGAGCTTTTGCAATATCAGAAGACTCGCATAGCCCCTAGAACCCCCTCCCTCTACTCCTGATCAGCCATGGCTTTCTCCAACAGACTGCTGGGGATGGCCACTTACCTAGAGCCAGAACCAGCTTCCTATCCCATGGTTTGAGGTCCACTTCAAAACGAACCCCTTCGTTGGGCATGATGAATGCTAAGTCGCGTTGTCGATGCTTCGGATCCAGTGTGGGGCCTCATAGACACATAGGGCCTTTAAATTCGCCATCGTGCTGCGTGGCCTCCGGCTCTGCCATGGGTAGGGGGTACAGGACTCTTCCCTCGGCTAGGTAGGCGACGTGGCTGATTTCATCGCCTCTCTGAAGAGTACAGCCTCGTTGGGGTTTTCGGTGAGAGGATGTGTTGAAGAACGTCTACTGAAGGCGAAGCATACAGCCATAACTGGACCGCTGATGGACACAACTAGATGAGTTCCCGAGGGTGTCAATTTGCGTCAGCAAACAGGGCGTATCACTGCGTCAAGTGGTGTGCATTGCACACCATTTGCATGAAGTGGCCCCCATCTTCGACCTGTCCGGTTTCATCAAAAGCGGCGATCCGAGGAATTGTGGTGTGCTCACTGGTCAATAAATCCGGTTCAGCTGACCATAAATGGACAGGATGCTCAGCCTGCTTGCTCGAATGGCCACAAATGTGGCCGTCCGCCTGACAAATTACTGGTAGGCCACCATTTTGATTCGTGTGCCCGACTTGATAGGGAACCAGTTGCATATGTGGCTGAGATGACACGGGTCGTTAGGCGCTCTCCAAGGTGTACTGAGAATCATGCCGATTTAAGGATCATACGTCTCCTCACTCCAAATACCGACTTTTGATGACCTCACATCTTGCTTTGATAGTCACTCTCTGGACTTTCACAGTGACAATGACGGAAACAAAGCCCGCGCTGGATGAAACAGTGCTAATGGTCAGGAATCTCACTCTTGGCCAGTGTCGAGACAATCCGGAGAAGGTCTTACAAGCCGTCAGAGACTTGCAGAGCGCACTAGAGGGGACACGAAAATGCCATGGAGACCCAAACTTCTGGCCTGGACGGGAATGGGTCCCTGCTGAGAACAGCTACCCCGGAGACTCGATTAGAGATATTGGCTGTCTTGGGTGTCAGCCAAGGGCAATATCGGTGATCGAGTATAATTGTGCCACGACGATGGTCAAAGTTAAAGGACTTGACGAACTTCGAAGTAAGAACTCAAGGCTCACAGTCTGATACAAAGTTAACAAAAGAGCCAGATCGCAAAGCTCTTTTCTCACGTCTCCCCTCGAGGACGAATTGGACTCTGTACATTTACATAGAGAGGTGCGCTCCGGTGCACGCAAAGAATGCACCTCGGTTTCGGATTACAGACCGGCATATCCGGTCCAAGAGCATGATACAACGCCATATCATCAAGTTGGATAAACTCTCGATAACTGGCAAATTGAAGATGCTCATGGGGCAAATCCAGTGGATCTTTATTCTGAACGCATCGCGCGAGTTCTCTGGATTGAGTGGAAAGAGTGTGTGGTCGGATTCTTCATAAAGTGTACATTCTCGGTTGATCCTCAACTTACCCGTTCTTTTCCTTTTCAGTCATGGGTTGGTATTGTAACAAATTACAGCACAGGTGTTAAGATGCCCCTGGGAAGTGCTGAGGCGGCGTTGGGGAGTGATGCTTCTGGTCCTTCAGACATACTCGGTACCTAGTTAGGATATCATGATTATGACTGTTCCGCCACGGATTGTTGAAATTAAGCAATGTCTCGGTTTGAGAATGCTCGATCGTCTTGTCAAGCTCCAAAGGCAAGTTCCATTCCTTTAGGAATGCACTTCGGATTTGGGATCTCGGCACAGCTTGTATGAAATGAGGTCTGGTATTAAGACAAATGAAGTTGTGAACCGATACGTGTCGCGCGGGCCAGGGCCGAGTTAGCAACAGTCTCTCTCTATGTTCTAATATCTGGGCTGTTCAGACTGTCGACAACTCCGTCGCCAGAAATCAAGTCGTCGAACGTAAAGCTGCTCATCTGCTCCTCATAATACGGAAATTCTGCCATCCGCTCGCTCTCCGCAAACAGGGCCGGCCCCGTACCTATCCCAGCAGATGCGCTGATGAGGGCCTCCTCCTCCGACAGAAAGTTGTCCACAATCTCCTTGGCTCTCTTGCTCAACACATCGATGACAAGCTTGAGGGAGTCGTAGACGATTGAAGGTGTGCTGTGGAGCTCCTGGTTGTATATTGCCATGGATGCCTTCACCAGCTCCAGGTCGCTTGGTGCACTGGGCTGCACTGGGTAAGATATAATGTTGGCGAGGAGTACTATCAGCCCTGAAAAGTGAGCACACGTGCCTTGCCTACAAACTGTGAGATCAGATCTTGCGCATCAGAAAATGGATTTGGGTGCTTACCAGAGCAAGCACTGCGATGGAGTGGTGCTTTGGAATAGCTCTACGCATCTGCGACTGGCATTCACACAGGTATCCCACGCTTGCGGGAGAGGCGGGTTCTGGGCATTGACACATGTCAGAACTTTGGGACCATATGAGGCTGCGGCAAAGTCCTCGACGGCAGCTCTCCCTAGAGCGCCGATGCGTTCCATCCAGTCAGTTTTGCTACTCCAGACCCCGTGTGAGGAGACAAGACACGCAAGATAGATGTGATACACCATCGACAGCTGGAGGAGTTCCGCACTGTCCAAGACAGATGCTGCAGTATCTAGTTTGAAGGCGGAGGGAATTTGGTTGTACCACTCGGTTAACATCTTGTCCAGCTTCTCCACCCGGCTCTGTCGTGCAGACGGCTCAAGTGTGAGGAAGTGACTCGAATAAAGCAGGTCGTAGACCTTGCCCTCGATACGTGCCAGTTCTAAGCGACCACCAAAGATGTCAAACTGGCTGCCGCGGTCTTTCGCCCACAAAACACTAGTCTGATTCGAAGGCCTTTGAGAGTCGAATGAGATGCTGATATCACTATCAGAAAGCATTGAGGGTGTCTTGGTCTTGAGGCAGATATCCTACACTCTGTCAGTGTGTGCATCAGCACCTGGCAGCACAATGTTCATACCTTGTCGAGTATGTATGTGACCCAAAATACATTTGACCTTTCCAGGGCCTCATCTTGGGTGAAATATTGTGCTGACTCTTGATAGTGGAGCTGCATTCGATGTGCTAGCCGTATTGCCATGCCAAGAAGGATGCTGGAGGGCCTGATGTCAAACGAGTTGCGGAAGAGCATCGCCGTTCCCACGAGAACCTGAACCCCTAGCAAGTCCTGGTCTCTCACCACTAGCTCCGGCACCACTGACTGCGCGTGGCGCATGCAATAGTCTATCCAATCTTTGGTTTTGCCGGGGCTAATCCTGGAGTTGTTTCCGGGAAACGCAGCTGACTGGAGTCCCAAGCCGACAACTACAAGAATGGCTGCCCACGAGGCGGAGTCATGCTTGGGGTCGCGGCTGAACCACCTGGTCACCATCCTCATGAATGAGGACTGATTGAATAAGGGCATTGACGGGTTCCAAAATTTGAAATAATCATCAATCATAGGTTCAATTTCCTATTCAGGTCAGGGCAGCTTTCCACATCAAAGAACGTCAGGGACAAACCTCAAGCGGGGGCAGCGACCAGGAGCCGTCGGGCTGTCCGTAGTATAGAGTCGGATGAATAGGGTCAAACCCCCATATATCGCTTTTGCTAGCTTCGGCCGGGCTTGTAAGAGGACTTCTGCTCGAGGTCCTTGGCATCGCTGAATCACCACTCGCAGCACCATTTTGTATCGGCTGTGCTGTCGCGGCCAGCTCTGGGTCAATGTTATCAAGAGTCCTGAGCTACAGGTAAGTCTATCATGTACATAAAGGAAGCAGCAAGGCCATTGTACTCACACTTGCGGATCTAGAGTGCTTCTGGGGCCAGCTTTGCGCCGTGTGATCGTCTGGCGACATTCTGTTTTGTAAAGGACACAGTTGGAACACTGAGGCTTAACAGAGTCACATTTGATCTTTTTAACAAAACACAGATCGCAAGCTTCAGAGAATCAGCCAGACATCCTTAATAAAGAGCGTGCAGGAGCGTTCACCTTTCGTACGCCGGCCACGGCCCCGGCGGGGAGTGGTCAAAGGGGGCATCTCAACTTCGGCTTGAGGGTGGTTTCTCTTACTCTGGGTGACTTTGACGAACTTCTGGGCGTACGTGAAGTTATGGGCTTTGCTTATGATGTCGGGTGTTCATGAGCATTATCTTCATCGAACCTGATTGTGGATGGGGTTTGTAGAAGTGGACCTATGATGACAAATTGGAGGATCATTGCCATATTCAAGTCGGCCCAGCGCTTGGCAAGGCGGATTTTGCATCACAGACCTTCCAAACGGAGAAGTAGTTACAGGCCGCCGGCTATAAATAGACGATCCAAATTGCCCAGACGATCCTACGAGTTCTTTCTATTCACAAGGACGAGGCGGTAGCGCGGAATCCCTGCCTCTAGGTCGCGGAGGGCCTGGTTGGCTTTGTCGAGAGGCATTGTCTGAATCCATGGCTTGATTCCCTCTCTTTCAGCGAGCTCGAGCATATCTCTCATCTCGGCAGGTGTGCCGCAAACCGCTCCAGCAATTGTGAGGCCTCTGAATAAGAGCTTCAACGCGCTGAACGGCGGAAATTGACCTCCTTCATGGGCGCTGTCAATGGATAGGTGATTAGCTTTGTCCTTCAACTAATAGAAAATAACAAGGGGCACAAACCCAACCTGTATCAGAACTCCTCCAGGCCGGAGCATGTCAAGATATTGGTCCATATTCATATCCGGACTGGATGCCGTGACCATGATGATGTCCAGACTTCCATAGTTCTGGCGTTGCCAGTCGTCGTCGTCCATAGTCGCAATGTACTTGTCTGCTCCGAGGTCGAGTGAATCCTGTGCTTTGGACCGCCGTCGGGAGATGGCGACAATCAGCTGGGCCTTAAGAGCCTTGGCGAACAGAATCCCGTAATGGCCTAGACCACCGAGACCGACTATGCCGACCTTCTTGGCAGGTCCGCACCCATACTTCTTCAAGGGCACGTACATAGTGACCCCGGCGCAGAACATGGAGGCTGCGTCTTCGGAGGCTATGCCGTCGGGAATTTTGAACACGAAGCTGTTGTGGACGCGGGTGTAATTGCTGTATCCTCCATACGACTTACCGATATCATCGGGATACACCGCGCCATAAGTAGCTACCGCACGCGGACAGTAGTTGGACTGACTGGAAGAGCATTCGTAGCAATCTGCTCGCTCGCAACTTCGTGCCTGCGGGCCTACACCGACTCGGTCGCCGACTTTGATGTTGTTCACATCAGTGCCGACGCGCACGGCCTTGCCCACGAGCTCATGGCCAACCACGCATGCTTTAGGAGTACAATCAGATGATAATTGCTCTCGAGAAGATGAGTGCTGTCCGGTAATCTTGAACTCACGATAAGGCGTAGGGCCAAAGTCAGCACGGAGAGTGTGAAGATCCGTGGCACAGACACCACAGTGGGTGACTTGAATATCGACATCACTTTCCTCCCACTTCTTTGGCTCAAAGGAACCCCATTCCATATGGCCGTCGGCTGCCTTTTCGTCGCGGCCGACCCAGCCTTCGAACTTGTAAGAGGTCATTGGTGAGTTCATCTTTAGTGGTATGAAGTCCGAAGAGATTCAAGAGCACCAAGAGTCAAGCTTTCAGAGAAATAGGATGATAAGATCATTATCGAAAGAGATCGGACAAAATCCATGGCATCGTTATAAATACTTGCCTTCATCTAGGTCTGCTTACTGTAGTGGGTGACTCTTTCCATGGACTTTTGTTTAGTCCACGGACAGAAGCACTCGTTTTGGCCCCCAAATCCCCCAAAATCCACGGACAAACCACCCAACCCATGCAGAACTCACACAGACGTCGACGTCATCTGGGAATCCTAACACAACGGCCATCAGCTCAGAGATGCTCATTGAGGACGCTTTAAAGAGCGAGTTTCCCTGAACTCGTTGACTTCAGACTTACCTTTGAGCTCAACTGTCCACGCAGCGCCAAGAATTACTTGGAACCAATCCCAGAATATTGGATCATGTCGACAACAAAAGCAATCGTCGTCCTTCCAGAAGAGAGAGCTGCCGATATCAGAATGGTTCCCGTTCCCAGGATCCGTGATGACTGGACTCTCGTGAGGGTCAAGGCTATGGCTCTCAATCCGACAGATTGGAAACACATAGACTATGGCTACGCTAATGCCGGAGCGAGAATCGGTTGCGAATATGCGGGGGTTGTCACCGAGGTCGGGGCCAATGTGACCAGTGTCAAAGTCGGCGATCATGTTGCCGGCTTTTGCCATGGAGGGTAGGCACCGCTGAATCGATACCAGCTTGCCAGGTTGGCGATGTTCAGCATGTACTTACTATCTTGCTCCCCAGACACCGCAGCGACCACGAGACTGGCGCTTTTGGCGAGTACATTCTTGGAAAGGCATGCGGCCAGATCAAGATGCTCGCCGACATGTCATTCGAACAAGCAGCTACGCTACCAATTTCAATTTTCACCTGTGTAAGCTGGCTCTCCAAAGCAACTACCAACAAGACTGGACTGGACTAACAGACACACCAGGGGCTCGGGCTTTACAAATCCCTTGAACTTCCTCCGCCCGACCGTCCGGCTAAAGAGCCATTTCCTATCCTGATCCACGGTGGCAGCACCTCTACCGGGATGCGAGCAATTCAGTTCGCAAAGGCGTCTGGGCTGACTGTCATTGCCACTGCGTCGCCACACAACTTTGACTACCTCAAGTCTCTCGGAGCAGATGCCGTCTTCAACTACAAGTCTGCGACCTGTGGACTGGAAATCAAGTCCTACACCAAGAATAAGCTTCGGTACGCCTGGGATTGTGTTGGTGGCGGCGAGACGCTCTGCTGCCAAGCGCTGAGTGATGTCGAGCCGAGCAAATATGGGGCCATCAACGCCTCCAATGCCCCGGACCCGGACCTGCTCAAGAGAACCAACCAGGTAGTTGAGGGGCCATTCTTCGTGCTCGCATACAATATTCTCAATGAGGAGTACGAATGGCAGGATCAGATGATACGACCGCCTAATGACGAGATGGAGTTTGCACAGTCATTCAAACAATTGACCCTAGAGCTTTTCGAGAAAGGGAAACTTGGTTTCGTCAATATCAGCCTGAATAGAGGAGGCAGCGGTCTTGAGGGCGTTATGGTGGGACTAGACGAGATGCGAGCAGGGAGGGTCAGTGGTGAGAAGTTGGTATACACTTTTTAGTTTGTCCCAGGTGACAAACGCAAAGAAGATGCTCGTTCTTTCGTTCTCTTTATCTCAGATGTACTCCAATGCCACACTCCAGGGTCGACACAATCACAATATATGGAATATCCTACATATCAGTAACTCATTCAGCCACAAACTTTCGTGACAGGCCATGAGGCCAGGCGTACAATCAACATGCAATGATTAAGTCTAACCACAGTTTTGGCTTGCATACCAAATCAGTACTCTCTAGGTAGCAGTAGCAAAGGTATCTATCATGTTCATATCGAAATCCGCATCCGCACAGTCAAACCAGAACCCGGATGCCATACCCCCGTATTCTTCGTACGGATCACGACTCCAAAGGTTGTGGTCCAGCGTCTCCAGGCTAGCGGCCCCTCCACCTCCTGGGGCAGCAACTGCACCCCCAGGGACCTGTCCTGGGTACGGCATGTGGGCATCCGAGCGACCCACGGGAAACGTGCCCACGTTCCCCGTAAACGGGGCGCTCAGGGGGTCCCAAGACGTAGCGGGACTCGTTTCCGCCCCGGCGGCGCTGCTGCTCTGCCCGGCCTCGTCGTCCGGCTCGCTCTCGCTGTCGGTCTCCGCCCCGCCCTTGGTCAGCAGCGCCTCGGCCCCCTGCAGCGCGTACTCGGCCCAGTGCTCCAGCTTGGCCCGCATGATCATGATCTTGCGCGCGGACAGGCTCCAGATGCTCATCTCGCGTTTGCCCCTCGAGTCCATGGGCCCGATGTTGAGTATCTCCTTGTCCACCTGGGAGAACCGCTTGCTCAGCCCGGCGAGGATGCCGGCGATATCGAGATTCAGCTCGGGCTGTGCCTGGAGCTGCGACTTCAGCGCGGCGAGAATGGCAGGCGCTGATCTGTCTCCAGGCACGCTTGGCGATGGGGATGTTGCAGTGGGTGTGGGATGGGCAGCGACGAGGATCTCATCCCCAGGCGTCCTTGAGGCTGCGGGGTTGTTTACGCTAGGGTCATTGGGAGCAGGTGTCTTGCCTGTTGCCGGCGGCTCGACGGGTATGACGAGCTTGCTCCACCTGCTCAGCATGATGACGGCGTAGATGAGCTGGCAGGAGAACGGCATGGGCAGCCACTGGTATGACGAGAGGGCGATGGAGAAAAAGTGATCAAACCAAGAGCGGAGAGCGCCGTGCGATCTGTAGAATATGTCCAGTGCGGACGGTTGGTGTAGGTTCGTCGTGGTGATGGACTCAGTCATCCGGGCGAGGAGAGAGGAGTCAGTAGTAGGAGGTTCGTAGAGGTGGAGGGCGGCGGTGTGCACATGGCACATGAGAAATTCTACCAGCGTGTCAGCGGGCTGCAATCTCCGTATACCATCTCCGCGATCTTACTGTTGTTTTTGAGAGACTTCGACATTGAGCCTTTTATCCTGTCGAGTTCGTGCTGGAACGCAGACTGGTAGGCTGACACAGGGGCTCGTGGAATCCCTGGGAGATCCTCGACTTCATCCTCCTGGTTGATCCGGGTAATCTTCTCACTCAAGTGTTGTAGTTTGATCAGATGTACCAGATACATATCTGTGTCGTATTCTTTGGAGTCCTCAAGCTCCTTCAGGCATTGCTGCATGTACCGTGAGAATCTCATAGGCTCTATCCTTCCAAACCCAAGAGAGACGCTAGTCGACATTAGAATCCGTTTTTTCCCCCCTTTTCTTGGACATGAGCAAACCTACGTTGAATTCAAGTACCAGACACCCAGCAATGCTCTTCTCTCGGCATTGGTCCTGGGCATTGGCTCGATAGGATCCATCACCAGCAGGCGAGTCCGCTCCGGCATAATGGGTGGCTTATTGAAACCCAGACTCGCCACTAGACTTATAGCTAAGGCTATTAGGTTGTTCATCTGGGCATGCATCAGACAGTGGTGATGATACCAGCCAAGGACCACGATGAGGCCTTGCAGCAAGTCTAGTGACCGCCCGGCCCGCATCAGCATGTCGTCGGAGAGAAACTCCATGCACTTAAACATCTGTCCCTGCATCACTTGGCGGTTGTTGATCGACGCCACCATCTTGATGCACATAAACAGAAAAGGTCTCGTTGCATGGAGCTGAGCTGGAATCGTGCCGGGATGAATGACCACAAAGGGAAAGAGAGGGCTCATGTGCTTCTGGAACCTCTCCACCATGACCTCGTCGGACTCTGTGGGCTCAGGGTACAGGCCGCCCTCTGGTCGGCAGATGCATGTCGGCGGGGTGAAGGACATGTAAGTCGAAGGGATGTGAATGAACCCATGTTTCTGTAGTGTCTCTCGTGATATGCCGGTAGGAAGTTGACTGCCAGTGGCAGATTGCTCTGCTTCTGTCGCTACAGATGAACCGTGTGCCGAGTCTTCTTTCCCATTCGAACGAGTGGGAAGTTCACCTGTCGCCTTCAACAGATCGACAAGGCCATTGAGGCGTTGTTCCAGCTGGGCCGTTCTCCTGGAGAGTGTGTCAGTCGCACGGGACAAATGTGCCAGGGTGGGGAACGCAGCCCGGGCTGCCAATGCCGAATGCGGGTTGTCCAAGCCGGTGTGCTAGGTACGCGGTGGGAGGTGCGTCTCGGGAGCCGATGAAAGCGAACCCGTACATGGACACGGGGCAGGAACACTCACGATGGCTTGCTAACACGCTTTTTCCGCGGCCTGTGTACCTGGCCGGTACACTGTTTGGATAACCTCTGGCATCTAGAAACAGGTCAATGACCGATATGAACGCCACCAGACGCTTTGAAGCAAGAGCCGGCCTAGCTTGCAAAGGGGCACCGACCTGTCGCACTTTGCATCCGAGGCTTGATTGGAGCGTATACACTTTGCCTTGGCTGCAGCACAAGGAGCACATGCCGCTCCCCATTTGGCCACGCTCTTCTGCCTGTCCATATCGCCGTATCTACCGTGCGGGAAAGGGGGAGGGGCCGAGGTCGAAAAACAATACCTAAAACACTCCGGCGGACTTTCCAGGTCTGAAATGTGACAATCATGGGTGGTTATCTTTCATTCGACTCCTGATGATTCGAGCTCGGGGACGGCAAAGAGGCAGCAAGTACCGGAGTTTATCCAAATTCTCCGATCCCTGGAGCTCAGTGGGCGCAGCGAGCTAAGCCCTCTGGACGCGCTGACCTAAGCACTCTTAAGTCCGTGGGAATATGTGAAAATAAGCATACAGACGGACTTTTGGAGAAACGCCGTCTCACCTAACTACTTCAACGTCCGTGTCCGTGTCCGCACCGGCACCATGGTAGGCCATTGAGAGCGGTTCCACTGCGGAAGAACTAATAAGTGCTTATTCTTCCTGCTGTCAATGCTAATTACACGTCATCTTCCTCGTATCTCATTTCAGAGAATGTACGAATGCGGCGTGAACCCACATGCGCCAAGAAGGAGGCTCAGCTCACATCGTGTCAGGGAATGTTGATTGCGCTCAGATCGTTCTCAAAGCCCGTCACGAACATGTAGCCAAACTTGGCGGCCTCGTCAAACTTGTCCGCCAGCTCCATCTCGCCCAGGACCCGGTACGACTCTGACGCGTTCTTAAGCGCGCTGACCATGTGGATGGTCATGAGCGAGTTGGGGCTGGCGCTGCCGTGGAAGATGTCCTCGATGCTGTCGACGCGTTCCACCATGAAGCCAAAGTTTCGCAGGACCTTCTTCGCGTACGCCACCACCTTGATGTGGTTCTTCCGGCCGCGGTGGGCCTCGAGCAGCCACATCGTGGGGTAGATCAGGGTCAGGCGCGGCAAGTCCCGGTAGATGTCCTCCTCGTGCAGCTCTTCCAACTGCCTCGCCAGCCTGTCGACGGTCCGGATCGCAGACTCTGGCACGAACTTGGCCGGCTCCTTGTGCTTATTGCCGAGCTTTTCCACCTTGGCGAGAATCTGCTGCCGGCGCTTGTGCTTCGCCATGTCGGACTTGGCTTCACCGGAGCACAACGGGCATGCGCACTCGAACCCCCAGTTGGTCTTGAATTGGGCCTGCCTCGCCGCCAAGTCTGACCTGATGGGGACGTACTGCTGGAACATCTCCTCGCCGGCAGAGATGTCGCGCACCGCCCGGCTGATGAACATGTCGCCGACGAACGACCGCATCGTATTGGGCACGCAGTTGTGGTTCATGTGCGATGCGTGCACCCACACGCCCTTTGCCATCTTCCCGTCGTCATGTGACCCCGGCTTGGTGTTCTCAAAGGTCGAGAGAGGGCTGCTGAAGCAGTTGCGAAGACGGATGCTCTCGAGGAGAAACACGTCGACGACCGGTACCCCGTCGACAATGGTACCCTCTAGTCCAGTCCGTGGGTAGTCGCCTCCGTAGAGGGGAAGGATCGTTTTGGCCAGCGAGGGATTGTCATAGAGTTGCCGCACCATCATCGCATAGAGCGCGGCCGACGCCCGTGCGGGCTCGTACTGATTCGGCATCAGCGCAGCCTTTTCGCAAAACACCAGTTCGCCGGCTCGGATGTCCCGGGCCGCAAAGATGCCTCGGCCATGGAGCGGCGATTCTAGAATCTTGGTGTTTCTCAGGAAGCTCGCGGCATCCACATGCACATTCTGCCTTGTGACCCCGGCGATCATGGAACGAAAGCCGTAGACTCCTTCCTTCTCCTCCCTCAGACGCGCAAGGCAACGCTCGTATTCTTTCTGCACGTTTGGCGCTTTGGGGCTCTTCTCGAGCGCGGACTCGAGGAACGACTTGCATGACTGGTACTCGCAGAGGCCGTATGCGGCCTTGGCGGCTGTGAAGTAGGACTTCCAGTCGGAATCTGCGCCGGTGCGCGACGCGAGAGCGTCTTCCATGGCTGCGTCGTAGTGCCCCAGCATCAGGTTCGTGCCGGTCCGCTTTGCGAGGACGCCTGCCCTCGCGTCGCTGTCGTCTTCCGCAATGCCTTCCAACGCTTCGGAATAGCTATGGAAGGAGGGTAATGTCAGCGTGCCGGCTCTCAGCAGAATCATGGAGAGAATGGACTCACCAGTACACTGCAGTCGGGAAGTCTCTTTGAATGAAAGCAGCATCGCCCGCGGCTTTCCACTCATCTGGTGGCTTCGCCATTGCCTCTTCAACGCCCCGCCTCAGTATCTCGGGGATGATAGGGTCACTGAACCTCAGCAGCAGCACATCCGACGGATGATCGACGCATATCATAAAGTCGTTCTCGCCGTTCAGCTTGTAGTACGGCTCTTTGACTGCAAGAATGCATCCCTCTGGAGGGTTAGAGAGGAGAGACGTCTCGCTGAGGTTGTAGATGGCCAGTTTGTCAACATTGCCATGCTCGTCCTCGACCACCGTGACCGCGCCGGCGCCTCGGTAAGGAGGCGCGATGGTGCGGACAATGATGCCACGGCCGCGATGGTGGATTTCTACCTTGAGTTCACTGAGAGGAATCTAGTTCTATGGTGAGCTTGAGGATATCTACCAATGATTTGATTGTCCATACCAGCTCAAGGTCCCGAAGTGACTTCGTGGATGCGGCGTAAGCCTCGTGCAGGAGCGGCTGTTTCACCGGCCGCGCGTTTGCAGTCTGGACGTCCGGCTGGGAGATGACATGAGATTGATGGGTTTTAAGCAACGCAATCCTGGATGCCTTGTTTGATGGCACCGTGCCGACCACTTTGTTAGCCATGGCTTCTTCACTCATATATCGAAGGTGAGATCGAGTGTCGACACTGACGTCGATTCTGAGATGATTTTTGAACAACGGCGGACAGCGAGGGCGGTGCTGTCGGCCGCTTATGAAAGGGGCCACCCGTACCAGCATAGAATGGAAGATCGGCGCCAAGCCAGTGTGTAATGTGGCAGTTCGGAACCGAAAGAGCCGCATCTATAGTACAAAGTGTCTGGGGTAGAAATCGCGGGTGTCGATATTAGCCTAATGCGGGCCGTTCTGGTGGTATATTGGGTCCAATACAGACAGCCCGCGCGAGGCTCTCGTCAGTATCGGGGCTGAAGGACACAGATACACAATAAGATGGAACATTGACCCGAGAAGGATGTTCACATGGCTCTTAGAAATCCATACAATCTTGAGGAGGCAAGGTTGGAGGCCTGAGTCTGTACAAAATACGACGTGGTCTGCCCTTGTCGACAAAGCCGGGAAGTTGCTTCCTCAGACTCAGACTCAGAGGTAGTACATTCCTCGAGACGATAGATGTGTCCTATTGCCATAATATAGCGCTGATTGAAAAACATTCTTGACAAGTCTATCTATTTTGTCTAGATGCGCGGGCCCGGAACCTTAGCTGAGTCCGTATCAGACTTCTTACCCCTTTTCCCAGACCAGCCACCAGCAGCAGCTTTCCCCCTCCTGCAGAAACAGGACGATTCAATCTTGATATCTGCGATCGACAGCGCCTTATCAAGCCGGGGCTTGATGTCCTCCGCTTCAGTTCTCCTGCCCAACCTGACCAGGCACTCGTGATACCCATGCAGCGCCCACACATTGTCCTCGTGCCGGAGCTGGCGCGGCAGCGGTGCACCCGTCCTGGGGTCCGGTATGCCCAAGTCCAGAGCGTACTCGACAGCCGCCTCCTCGACGTGCCCCTGCTCCAGCAGGAGGGCGCCCAGCGCGTGCCGCGGCGGCTGCATCCACGCCCAGGGCTCCTCGTACGGCAGCAGGTCAGACTTGGCGCCGGAGCGGCGCAGGCAGGCGAACGCCGCGTCGAAGTCGCGCTTGCGGTAGGCGATCTCGCCGTCGAGCATGTCGGAGGCGATCTTCATGATGTCGACGCACTTGTTGTGCAGGTGGGTGCGGGACTCGGGCACCTTGCTGGCGGCCTCACGGAAGAGCTCGCGCTCCGAGTCAGCCTCGGCGATGTTGCCGAGGGCGGCGTGGGCGACGCCCTTGGCGTAGTGCGTCATGGCGTAGGTCACGCAGTAGAGGTCCGGGTTCGCCGGCAGCGGGAGGGCGACGAGCTCCTCCCACCGGCCGAAGCGGATGTAGGTGTGGAGGCGCAGGGTGCAGAAGGCCTCGAGCCAGTTGGCCATGTTCGGCGTGCCTGTGAGGAGGAGCTCGTCGCTGATGGAGTCCTCAAGCTTCTTGCAGGTGTCGACGGCGACCTTGTACTGGCCTGCAAACATGGCCGCGTAGACGAGAAAGTGGTAGTCGTGCAGGCGGTAGACGGTGTAGAAGTTGAGGTCTCCGTTGCGATGCGCGTACTTCTCATTGGCCTCGGCGGCTTCTGCGTTGCACTTGACGGCTTCTTGGTAGTTGCCGCACAGAATATGAAGGTGTGAAGGCATGTGGTGGAGGTGGCCCGCGTCCGGCACCATGCCCCTAAGACGGTCCGCGACCTTGAGGGCGGCCTCCGGTGTCGGGGACATCTCCATGAGATGGATGTACAGATGAATGACGCCGGGGTGCCAGTCGCCGCCGTTGGCAAGTGCTCTCTCGAGGACTGCCTTGGTCTGTAACGTCCGCGCCTCCCTGGCAGGCTTGCCGGTCGCCACGCTCCACATCTGCCAGGGCGCCAGGTTCATCATGGCGTCGGCATACAGCGCTGCGACGTCCAAGTCGTCAGGGAAGTCGCCATACACTTTCTCCATCGCGTCAGCGTACGCAATGTTCCAGACTGAGAAGTTCTCCTTAGCGTCCTGTCCCGGATACCGGACATCGAGGGCCCGGATGAGTGCCTTCTCCACGGGCGTTGCCTGGCAGAGCTTTGCCCGCTCGACGGCCCTGTGAGTTTGCAGTCGCACGTTCTTGTACTCATCCCTCCCGAACAGCTGCCAGGACCTGTTGTAGTTGGGGCCGAGGGCATAGGCGAAGCCCCAGTAGGCCATGGCACACTCGGGGTCATGATCGATGGCGTGCTGGAAGCAGACGACACCCTCCTCGTGGTTGAAGCCGTAGCACCACATCACGCCGCGGTCGAACCATTTCTGAGCATCCTGGGACTTGGTAGAGATGCGGCGGCTGTAAGTACCGAGATCGTAGTGATAACTTCCCGCGGGGCATGGCAGCCCCTTCAGCTCCGCCATCCGGTCAATTAGGTTAGAGAAAGGTCCCAGGGAGTTGGGAAATGATAAATGAATCTCCAGGATGTTAAGGAAGTCGAATTGAAGAGGTATCGTGGTACAACCACGTCAATAAAAGGAAGCCGGATTGTTGAGGTCACGAGGGACAGAGTAGCGGTCGACAGATAAATATGGCGGCCAATCGAGAGTTGACAGCTCAGCCAACTAGTGGCGACGGCGGGCAGAAGTGCTCTCGGACGGCGCTGTGCAGGCGTCATCCCTGCGTCAAGGGACTCCGGGCCGAGACTGCTCTTCCCGTTAGACTTCAGCAGCAATGGATGCTTTGCATCGCAATTGACCTTCTGTGTGTCTCTTTACTTGTCTCATCCACGGATAACCTGCGTATTCAATCCCATCCAATTCGACAGCGACAAGGGACAACGCGTGCATATGAAGAGAGACGCGTTGAGTGCGGGGTAACCAATCCCCAACAACTTGGAATTGTCAGCAGACGTTGCACGCTCACGCCGTGGGTGATTGCTTTCCTTGGTCCCGGCGGGGATGTAGGTGCCGCGTCATCGACGACCGGCGACGGATTTTGATCCTGAACCAAACTCTCCATACATGTACGGAGCCGAACCTTGGGAAATGGGTCCGGGTCCCAAAGCCGGCCGTTCCGGAGCCGATTACATCACCGACCAACCCCGCTCCTCTTCCCTCGTCAGCGGAGGGAGCATCTTGAAGCCAAAGGTGGCCATGCTGGCTCTGGTCGTCTTGTCCTTCTTCCCTTGCTTGGTTGCTGCCGCTGCCAAGTGCACGCCGTACTTGACAGCCAGTGCGGTTGTCTCGGAGCCGGATGGCATCGCGCGCATCGAGTGCTGGCAGTTCGGCGCTCCGCTACATACATACCCGACGGTAGGTGCGGCACTAACCGTGGCCAATACGACCAATGTCACATATGTCGTCCTGCCTCCTCGATCCAGCGAGGGCATTCACAAGCCGCCGCATCCTATGTAAACCAATCTGCACCTGGCTTCCCCCATTCAACCCTTGTTGCTAAATTCTGCCCAGGCTCTTTGTTCTCGTCTCCGGCCTTGCCCACATTACTCTTCCGTATGGCGATGACGAGGTTTGGGTCATGGAGGGCGTCAACGGCTTTCTCGTTGCCAACGACGTCACCGGTGAGGGCCACTTCACAGACTATCCGTCGGACAAGGAAACGGTCGCATTGCAACTGCCGTTCGACCAGGGAAGGATTCCTGTGCACAAGGTGCTGCATCATGGTGCCTGCAACTCTTCATCTGGTCAGGTGCGGCGAGACTGCGGAGATGAAGCCTCTGAAACAGGCCAGGAAGTTTCAGACGCAGAGTTGAGATGAACAAATCTCCGGGCGGCGCGTCCCGCACAATAGTATCACCTGCAAATGGCATTGCTTTCGAACACCTCGCCTAATATGACAAGACGAATGGAAGTTAGTCTTTGCTTGGTTCTTCTCAATCGACTGAAAGATAGCTGGTTGCGGAAGGATGATAATTAATGATCCAGGACCAGGCTCTAACCTCTGCCACCCTGGTTGTACAAGCGTTGTTCTTACATCAGAAGACCCCTGAACTGGATGCTCTTGATAAGCTGCCTAACAGCGCAAACGTTGCATCTCGGATCGATGAAACCTCTGCGCCTCCACCAGAGCCCAGCCACGTGGAGACGTTGTTTGCTGACATCGGCGATGGCACATCCCCAAAAGGATTTCCTGCCCCAAAGTCTCTCCAACAATTGGCCGAATGCCAGCAGGTCGGGTTTTTCCTGGTCCTTTTGGCAGGTGATAGCAAGCACTAACTGCACTCGTCCTAGTCGTACGACTCAGCCCCCAGGCACAGCCAATCCCTCATCCCGTTTGACTTGCTTGGCCTTGTTCAGTAGCATCCTAACTTCAAATATTGGTAGCTGGCCGGCCCGTGTGGACGGTCAAGTTGCTGTAAAATCAGATACAGGGCTGCCTAAAACCTCATGGCAGTGCTTCTTAACTCCGAGCTCAAACCCTCAAAACAGCGCAAATGTGACATTGGCTTGTTCGCCCAGCTGGTTGATGACAGAAATGGGCGTTCTTGGCAGTCAGAGTCTCCTGACTTCACGATTCTAGTCAGCCGACATGTGGCCGAAGCCTGGCAATAGCCCTTTAGACCCCAAAGCGAGGTGCAGTCTGCTCTTTACTGGCATCCACTTGCAGCGTCACCACGAGCGTTTATAGGAGGCTTTGTTCCCTTCTTGTAAGCTCAGTGAAGATGCTCCAATTCTCATCAGCAGTTTCTTGCCGTATATGGGGATCAATTTGAGTATTCACACGACACTTTCGCGCTTTGTGGGATCCGATACTTCTGGCTCTGATTCCCATACTCCCTTGAACGTGTATCGAAGCGGTGCATATAATTATAAAATCAGCACCCAAAGCTGTTGCAGAGTCTTGCCATATTCCAAAGCCGCATCACCAGTATCTGAACTCTCGCAGACAAGATGGTTGTATCCCGCCGCCAACTTATGGCCTCCCTCCTCCTCGCCGCAGGCGCCACCACCGCCGCGCCGCAGACCGGGAAGCTTCAGGCAGAAGCCCGAGCTGACTGTGACTGCTGGCACACCGACGGCCCTTCGTCCAACTACTTTGCCAACCACAAGATGTTTGACTTTCGCCACCTCATCCAGTACGCCGGTGAGCCCGCCGTCCTCGAGGACCCCGAATCCAACCGGCGTGCCGGCCCGACGAGCGACTACTTCCGCAACTCGGACTTCGCCAGTGCCTTCATCCCCATGAACTGGGACAACCAGGAGAGGCTCGACAACGGCGAGGGCGACGCGACCCTGCTCATGGTCAACTCGCCCAACAACATCTACATCCAGGCCAACAACGACGGCACCCCCGGCACCGAGACCTGGATGACCATGCGCACCGTGCGGCTGCCGGACTTCCAGGCCGCCGCCGAGCTCGAGTCCGCCTCGGCGGGCTACCAGTACGTCTCGATGCGCATGCGCGCGCGCACCCTGGGCCCGCCGGGCGCCGTGACCGCCATGTTCACCTACTACGGCCCGCCGGGCGTCGAGGTCCAGGAGGCCGACGTCGAGATCCTGACCTCGGACCCGGAGAACAAGGTGCACTACACGAACCAGCCGTCGTACGGGCCCGGCGGCGAGCGGCCCCAGGCCACGCGCAACGCCACCATGCCCGGCGGCGCGCTGTGGACGGACTGGGCGACCTGGCGCACCGACTGGCTGCCCGGCAAGTCGACGTGGTACGTCAACGGCCAGAAGAACGAGGAGATCTCGTTCCAGGCGCCCAAGGACCCCGCCAGCCTGCTGTTCAACGTGTGGAGCGACGGCGGCAGCTGGAGCGGCACCATGGCCGAGTGGAACGAGGCCGTGATGCAGATCCAGTGGATCGAGCTTGCGTGGGGGCTGAAGAGTCAGGGTTCGTGCAGTAGTGTGTGCAACATCTAATCTGCTTTGTGACGAGGAGTTCTACAACTTGATTTGGATAAAGATTAGATTATCTGTTATGTACCCTCAAAGAATGAGTCCGTATCTCAATGCCTACCGCGCTATTTGTAGCCTTTTTGACCTTATTGTAGTCTTTAGGTCGCTAAGAGTGCGCCAATGACTAAATAGATCTTCCCAGAATGGAGTTGCGGATTCATAATATAGACCATTGGTCTGTAAAAGCGCGATCTACCGGCCTGTCCTAGACTTGAAGTCAGTATCTGACCTAAGCCATGAGACACCCTGAAGTTTGGTGCGAAGGCCAAGTAACCGAGCTAGAATACTTCCGCCAAGCACGAGCTCGCAACGCCATGCCAGTAAACTCTTGCTCATCGCTTCTTCGAAAAGTCCTCGCCTTCTGTCATGGCCACATCAAACTTCCAGTTCAAAGTCGTAATTTCCTGCCCGGAATTTTCTTCAAAGTGAATGAAGTAGAACGCTGGTTGAGCATTGATGAAGCGCGAACGTCTGATTTGGTCATCCCAAGACATGAACCACGTAAATGTGTTCTCGTGATGATGCTGCAATGGGTATCGCTGTGATTGGCGTTCTTGGAAGAGGATGTTAAGTTGACCGTGCTTTTCGATCACCAGAATACGAAACAGACCCTCAAGCCCGACGTAGGATCCGGTGTAGTCACTCAGGGATCTCGATGGGCCATCCTTCACCCGCCCCTCCTCAATCATATCGGTAAGTTCGATATACCTCTTGAGTGCTCGATCTGCGCTAAGAGAAGCCAGCTTGACGAAATCATTCCGATAAGGACTGTCGAGCAACGTTTCAACTAACAGTTGTCCGATCCAATCTGCGGCATCATTTAAGGCCATCGTGTTAGTCAGAACCAGCACCGCAGATTCTGTTTCCGGGAATAGCATAACAAAAGATGTAGCGCCGACGAGGCTACCCTGATGCCAAAGTGCCAGACAGGAATTGACCCCTTGTGCGAGAATGGGCATGTCCCCCACAAGCCCGGGATTGACCCCGATATCTCCAACGGTGGTGGGTAGCTGACTTCTAGCCCATCCACCAGCATAGCTCTTTTCCCTGAGGGCTGGCGTCTCCATTATTTGAAGAGGTGCAAACAGCCATGCCGCATCACCAAAAACAGGCTGCTCCTTCACAGCTGCCGTGTCTTCTCTCCTCGCCCGAGACGCCTCTTGCCACGACCTCATGAGGGCCATGTAAAACTTGATCAAATCGTTCACTGAGCTTCGCAACCCTCCGGCAGCGCCCATTGCCCCGTCTGCACTGGGTGCGGGCAGAGACACATTATAGGGGTCGCGATTCTCCAACGTGCTGTAAGCCAAAGAGCAGTCGTCGACCAAACTGTCTCCCTTTGAGACAAGAGTGCGAGTCATACCAAGGGGCTCTAGAATGTGCTCTTTCAGATAAAGGTGGTATGGCTGACCCGTGATCTTTGTGATCAGTTGTCCCAAAACAGCAAACGCGATATTGCTGTAGAGAAACCGAGACCTGATGCTGGTTTGTGGTCTTAGCTGGCTGAGTATAGACGCGGTCTGGTCCATGTCGAACATGACCTCCCCGTTGGCGCCGAGCCACAAGCTATCGGCTTTCTGAAGTCCTGTCCGGTGACCTAGAATATCAGCCACTGTAATCGTCGCCGCAACTACAGAATCCTGACTTTTGGCTTCTGGAAGCAGCGTCGATATCAGGTCGTTGAATGCCAGCTTGTCCTGGGCCCGTAGACGATTTATACAGGCTGTCGTGAAGCTCTTGGTTAACGAGGCGATGGGGAAAATGGTGTCCGAGGTTACCGGTTTCTCGTTTGCGAGATCGCGGTAGCCCATGTTCTCCTGGAAGATAGTCTCGCCATGATCAACCACGGCCAGCGACAAGCCTACCACTCCCGACACTTCGCATATTTGCCGAATGTGCGCACGCTGTGCTTCTAAAGCTTGGATCAGGGAAGCGCGACGCCGACCCTTCCGAGGCCTGTTCAATTAGCCACTGGTTCACATGAGGGCCTTGGATTCAAGCACGGTGCTGACCTCGCGGACCCATCACGGAACAGCTGGAAAAGAGTCATGAATGGCAGCTCCTGAGAGTACACAATATCAAGATATCATATCGTAAAAGCGTTCAGCGACCAGGAGAGGCAGAACCAGAAGGTTTACGGTCGTCATCTGGAGCCAAGGACCGCAAGTGGGTGGGATCAACAATTTGAAGCCATGGTTCCAACACCCGCCTCTTCGGTGCTAGTGCCATACCTGATGGATGGCACGCTGCAGCAAATGAGTTTCAGACATGTCTCGGGAGGGGCAGGAACTGCCGTCCCGGGAGCTGGTATCCGAATGACTATTCTACCCGAGCCAGGCTACGCTTGTCTCGAAGCACTGATATGTGCATTCGGCATGTTTAGTGCAGCCTTCAGCATCATTGGTGGGACAAAGAAATTGGGCATTCCATCCATGTCAGACATCCGATGATGTGCAGGTTGGCAGTGGCCAAATAATATAAATATTATATCCGAAGAAATGTGGGGACTACTACGCCCGGTTTGTGTGTGAGCGGTTCCTCAGCCTTTCACTTGTTCAACATGGCGAGTAGGATGCCTGCATAGCTACCACGTCATTATGTACTCTGGAAGTAGAAAAGTGCAGAATCTTGTGATACAAGAGACACACTGCGTCAAGTGTGGTGTGGATAGCACGCTATCCTACTGGCGTGAGGCATTGCTGTCACACCGTCAGATGCAGTCTCTCATGTTGGGCAGATGCACCATATGGAAGTGTTGTTCTTTCAGGCCTCCCAGATTGACTGGCTGACGAGCAATTAGGTTGCCGTCTTTTTGCAAGGCAATACGCACTTTTTGGCAAATCGTCACAAGATGTCTTCGGTGAGGGTGAGGGCATGAGAAAATTATTGACGAAACCAGGCTGAGGAAGGCCAATCGCGTACTTAAGTGGCCTCAACTTCCTCCGTCCGTGAAGACAGCGCATCAAAGTGACAACCCAGTCAAAACATCAATTCAGCTCCGTCATAACCTCTATCACAAGAAGAACCCAACGATGTCTTCCCAAAACGATCCCAAAGATCTCGCAACTTGGACTGCCGACGTCGGCAACGCCTCTGAGTCCGACAAGCGGATCAGACCATGGGAGGCTGTTATTGAGGCCAGCAAGGCCGAAGACAACGCAGGGGGCGATGTCATCGACCTCGAAGCCAACCCTTCTGGCGCCTGCGATATTAGTGTTTCTGCATAAGTCGGTGAGTATACTCGCACCTGTCTTAGAGACTGTATTGTACTGAACATGTAGCATATCGTATCGTCAAACTAGCTTAGCCGGGTGTGAGTGGAATTGGATAATTGGTGTGTGGTTTTGATCGTTCTTGAGCTGGTGAGACAATGTCTACCTGTGGCTACGCAACAATAGTTTAAAACCACGGCTCAACCTCTTGGGGGAGAATATATTTTATGTGATGAATCCAATTCTGTATTGTCAGCCTGGTCCCACGTTGGCGGCATCTTGGTGATAGTTTGGTTGCATTTATTACCAGCTACCCGCCAGCTTCAGAATTCCATCCGTGTTATCAAACTCTACTTCAGGCTGGCCACTTTACCCTTCAAGAGTGACCACCAACGATGATCATGGCAAGCACACAAGACGAATGTGTGGTACTCAGCTACGCCAAATGGCTCCCAATCTACGATCGAGAGGTACCCTTTCAAATTCTGAGCGACTTCTCGGGTGACTACAAGAGGACCAATCTGGAATTTGGTCCCGCACCAGTGGCAGAAACGATCCACGACATTCGCAACCTTGAGTCTACGTTCAAACTTGACATTCATGGTTTCCAGGTTTGTCGCCAAGAAACATCTGTGCAGGACTGGACAGATCGGCGGTCCATAGAGACCCAGTACTACGATGAAATGGAGCAAATGCTGAGGAGTGAGCTCGACGATGTGGACGAAGTGTTCTTCTATGACTGGAGAGTGTGTTGACTCGTCCTGCATGCCACCACCACTCTTCTACCCGCTGACCGACTCTTCACAGCCCCGGAAGAATGTGCCGTTCCAAATCGAGGGTGTCACCAAAGTCGACCTCGACGACCTCAGCCAGTACCTGATGCCAGTTGGCAATGCTCATATTGGTAAGTTACTCACTTGGTTGGGCCTCAGTGGTGACCTTTATTCCCTGACTATTCTATCTCTTCTCCCGTCATAAGACTTGTCGCCCTTGGGAGTAATCAAACGTGTCCGATATCATATGGGTGAAAGAGCAGACGAGTTACTCAAAGGCAGGGTCCGGGCTCTCAAGTGGGTTCCAATTCCACGCCTCGCGCAGTAGCTTGGCTTCTGACAATGCTCGGAGTACTAGTGTTTGGCGCCCAACCAGTACCTACCCAGTCAGGGACTGTCCTCTTGCCCTGTGCGACGGCAGAACGGTGGACGCCAAGGACCTCTTGCCAACCGATCATATCAAGAAGGCCTACATTGGTCAGACGAGCAATCTAATGTACCGCCCCGGCTATTCCTGGCATTATCTCAGCAGTCAGACCCGCGAGGAGTGTATCATCTTCAAGATGTTTGACTCGTTGAACGGCGTTACAAAGCGTAAGTATCTTTGTTTGAACAACTCACTGTGAGACTTAAACTAAGCTGAGAGGAATAACCAAGACTGCCCCCATGTCGCGTTTCGTCATCGTCAAATACCGGCCGATACACCACCTCGAGAGAGTTTTGAGATCCGTGCCCTTGTCTTCACGTATCCAGACCCGACAGTTAAGTCGTAGTACAGTCATCCCGGCAATTTGCAATCAAGATTTCTATGCAATTACTACCAACCACATTGGTGGCCGTCTCTGTGCCAAAACGTACCAGAATCAGTAAATTTCAGTCCATCAATCACTGCAATCATTCGGGCCACAGCCTCTGGCGTTTCCAGAGGTCCAGTCCAATTTGACATCTTTGTCTTGACCCAGCCGGGACTCATTGCTATGCAGGCGATATTATCAGAGGCCAGCTCCCGGGCAAGGTCTACTGTGATCATGTTGAGTGCAGTCTTGGAAGTTCGATAACTAATATTCTTTCCCGTTTCGTTCCCTTGTATGTTTGTCAGTCCATACCACCTGCCAAAATTGCAAGGTCCATACCGCTAATAGATCCTGCGCCGGAGGAGATGTTGATAACAAACGGTGATTTGCTTTTCATTAATTGCGTATGGAAGGTCCGCGTTGTCAGGAATGGGCCAACCGCACTGATGCGAAATTTGTGCATGAACTCATCAACTGTAGTGTCGAAAGCTTGTGGGCTGCCGTTTCCAGCCCCTATTGACCTTGTTGGCACAGGTGTAATATCCCATCTAGTCGCAAGTGGCGTTGTTGCATAACTTACCAGCACAGTTGATTAGAATATCTAGAGCCTGGTCTCCAAAGGATGTGGCAGCGTCCAAGATAGAATTCTCGTCTGCAAGGTCGAGCGGTATTGCTGTAGCGCCTGATTCGAGCAGCTGTTCATGAGAAGCATCAGAAAGTGGTACTTTTAATGGAACCACGTGGATGAACCGACTCACCTCTTTGGCTTCATCAGCCGACTCCTGACGATATGTTCCATAGACATCGAAGCCTTTTTCGAGGTATTGCAACACGAATTGGAGACCCAGGCCACGGTTAGCTCCCACCACCAGAACTGCTGGAGGCATCTCTTTGCTTTGGCCACAGAAGCCTTGTTGCTGATTGAGATAGCACGTATTGGGCTGGTTCGAGGCTGAAGATGTGCGGCACTGACTTGTGGCTATTTTATCTCGTCTCGGAAAGGAAACGTCGTGGGAAATGAGGTCTGGCATGGGATTGGGGCCACGTAGCAGGGCGGAATAAAGACGCCTGCATTGTTTGTGCTGCATGCCCTGGTTGTAATCAATTGTGCCACTGCATGCTTGGGCACATTATCATCACACCATTCATGTGCCTTATGCAATTTCCTTTAATTCGCGGAATTATTTGACTTGGGCCAGGAGCGGGGTAACGCTGCTTGGATGGTGTGTTGGTGTTGGGCATCATGTCTAGTGCCAGCCTGACTTATCTGCCCTCTGCTGCCAATTCACCGTGAGAATTACCAAGGAGCCTGACCCATGTACGGAAACAGAAGCGTAAATTCAGGGCCAGACCTTGATGGAGGGGGAAATATGTCCCCAATTCGCCGGATGAGAGACTCCTTTCCGGTGCAAGGCTCGAGTTGTCTGATCTGAGGCTCAATGTGTCTGACCTGGACCGGCTCGGTGTCAGGTATTTAGGCCCGGTGTGGTCACGTCGCACCTGCATTCTCAACCTGGTTAGCTTATGTCTTCAGGTAACACTTGTGGCATGGCATGACCTTGCTACCATTGTTGCAACTGCAACAAAGATGAGTCCGCAGCTTTCTCGGGATTTGTTCAAGTCCGAGGAGCTGTGGAACTATCTTATGGAGGACAAGTTGAAAACTCTGACAGATCAGGACCAGATACGTTTAAAGGGAGTGTTGAATTACAATACCTTCAACGATTATCTGAAGACAATCCTCACTAAATACAACGCTTCCAAGACGGTCAAATTACTTCGCTTCATTGAACCCGCCGTTCAGTATCTCGACACATTTTCTCGTGCTTTAAACAGCATCAGCCAAATGAATCCATTCGGCTGTCTAGGTTGGGGTGTCGTGCAAATTCTATTAGAGGTAAGAATATGCCCAACACCTTGCTTCATTCAATCCATCCGCTGATACATTGTTACCGTTGTCTTTGAAAAGAGCGCTCGACAGTCGTATCAAGTTCTGTCGTACATCGCTACTAATCTCGAAGACTTCGCCAAAACCTTGCCACGATGCGGTGAATATGTCGCAGTCTTTCCACACCATCCGCGGTTGCGGACAGCTATGCACAATATATGCAGGACCTATGTGTCTTCATGCATCGATACTGCGATGTATTTGGAGCGTAACTCTGGAGGTAGTGGAAGCTCCGCTGGCTATTTGAGGCCTTTCAACTCACTAACGATTCACCAGTCAATATTATTTCGGTTTATCTCAAGGGAAATAAAGTAAAGCGCATGTTTGAAGAGGCAAAGACGTTGGTTGAGGGATACAAGACGGACTTCGAAAAGGAAGTCAGCTTTGCCTTTGTCTCAAACACCACCAAGGGCCTGGCCATTCTTACAAAGACCTTTCTCTCGGTTGGAAATGCCCAGACAGCCACAACCCTACCTTATGGTCGAAATGCATCGTTTGTCAGTCATGATCATATATTGGCACGCTTACAAAACGAGCTCCATCCCCCCAACGCGGATCCTGGCGAGGGCACCCGCTCATGCGTCATTCACGGGACAGGAGGCGTAGGCAAGACGCAAATTGCCTTGGAATTTGCTTACCGTCACTCCAGGCCCAACTGTTGCATTTTCTGGTTACAGGCTGAAACGGCTGCTGGACTTGCGGAGACTTTCAGCCGCATTGCTAAGATACTCAGTCTGGCTGATGAGTCCCAAGTTCAGGATCAGACCCAGTTAATCACAATAGCGCAGCAATGGCTTTGCAAAAGTAAGCCATCTTGATACATGCCCATCACTTTGATACTAATTTTGGATAGATGATAACTGGCTGCTGATCTTCGACAATGCAATAGAGTCACATGGTATCCAATCATATTGGCCGAGGTGCAAACACGGAACGATCATTATCACTACGCAAAATAAGAACCTTGTTCACCTGTCCACGTTCTCAATCCACCTCACCCCAATGGACGAAGACGAAGGTGCCAAACTTCTTTTGAGATACCTGGACCACGGAGACGAAGATAGCAAAATGTATCTGAACGATATTGAGAACGCCAAGGCCATCTCAGCAGAGCTTGGCGGGCTGCCCATCGCCATAGCGCACGTGGCAGGATATATCGGACAATTAAGGCGGCCCTTATCATACTTCATTGAGCAGTTTCAAAAGCAACAGAGGGCTTCAATCGTCTGGTCTATGGACACCAGGTCGAGCACTACTCATCAGTATGATAGAACTCTAGATGCCGTGTGGGACCTGGCATTTTCCGCGCTCAGGCCTGAGGCTCAAGCACTGATGGACGTGCTGGCGATGCTGAATCCGGATTCGATTCAGGAAGACATGCTGCTAAGCGAGAACGATCGCGATCCCATCGAGTAAGTGAATGAATGATTTCTTGATGGCGCGCGTGAATCTAACGGGATTAATGCTTGGTAGATTCGACCAGATTCGAATTGAACTTCTCAGCCGTCATTTGCTGGAACCACAAGGCGGCGCTTCCGGATCTGCCCTGGTCATTCATCGCAGTTTACAGAAAAATCTTCTCTTTCGCTTTGGTCGGGACCGAAGCAAGAAACAAGAGGTTTTCGAGCGGGCCACAAAATTGGTCAGGAGGAACTTCCCTGTTCAATCTCCGATCGGAGTGCCCGTCAACCATAGATGGGCAATTTATGAATCATACCTTCCACATGTCCTTACTCTTCATGCTGTTTACCTGTCAAGTAAGCCGGAGTTATACGGAACTGTACAATTTGCCGACTTGTTATGCGATGCCGGCTATTACATGTGGGACAGACACCTGGGCCGTGAAGGCATCCCCGTCCTAGAGACAGCTGAGAGGATCTGTCTTCAGGATGAGAACAAACATCTGCGTCGTCTCCGGGCGAATATTGGAGTCGCTCTCGGATCTTTATTGAACACAGTCGGCATCTCAGAACTGCAAAGAGCTGTCGTGCTGTTCGATGAGATATTGACCCTTCGTCAAGAGCACATTGCTGAATTGCCGCTTCCGCTTTCCAGAGAAGACCAGCTTCTTCTGTCAAATGCATGGAATGATAAAGGCTGGATGTGCCTGGAAAGGGAAGATTACTTTGCAGCAGAGGTGCCTTTTGAAAAGTCGTTGGAAATCAAGCGCCAGTGGCCCGAGCAAGATATCCCGTTCGAGTTCGCTGAGACTCTCAAGAATCTGGCATTTGTCCGACTCGCTCAAAAGAGGTCCCGAAGTGCTATTGAGCTTGCTAGCCACGCACTGGACCTTGTTGAAGGTGATCAAGACTCTGGGTCTGCCACCGTGCAAAAGTTTCGCCTACGCAAAGCCGAAATACTTGCAAATTCCGGGCAAATCAAGGAAGCAATAAAGATTGTCGATAAAGTAGCTGCCGAGAGGGCGCATCTATACCGACCATATCACCCTTCCAACCTTGATGTCTACTACATCCGCGGCATCCTTTTTCACTACGACGATCGTCTGACGGAGGCCGAGAGTATGCTACGGCAGACGTTAAATACTGATATTCACGACCCATATCCTCAAGAATGCAGGGCTCGATGTCTTTTCGCTCTTTCCGAAGTGATAAAGAAGAATGGAAAGACTAAGGAGTCTGAGCATCACAGAAATGAAGCCTTGGAACTCCTCAACCAGTGGTGCAATCTTTTTCAAATAGAGTACACGGATAACACTGATGTCTCTGTTTTATTCGACCATGTTGTCCCATTTAAATGTTCTCGGTTAAGTAGATATGGCAAACTATGGGTAGGGACGGTAGGGTAGATACAATGTTTCTATCACATAGTAGATAATAATTGTCTATTTACCACACTCTCTATGACGCTTACGTTACCAATTTCTTCCACGGGTTCAGGTGTCATAATAAAGCAGCTGCAGATTCCTTTATTTATGCATTCCCAATAGCTTTCGCCGGGGCAAGCTGCACACCGTCGAACCACAGCCAAGTCGGTTCCCTTTGAACGCAAACTTTTGACGGGACAGGGTCTGCTGCTTTCCGGCCCTCTGTTCACAGCAAAATGCTCTAGGCCCATTTGCCAATGAAGCTCATCAGAGCGATACCAGCAACGAGACCGATACCGCCAATCGTAGCCGTGAGAGGCTCGGCACGGTCCATCTCGCCGCCAAACATCCAGTCGCCGGCCCACATCTCGACGATGCCCACCCAGGCGAGGATACCGGCGGAAACGGCGTCGAGAGTGCCGATGGCGATGATGGTAGAGGGATCATTTCCGTTAAAGTGCTGCAGGACGCCGATGCCAATCGCCATGCCAACCGGGGTCACAAGCGCAAAGGCGAGAGCCATGAGGCACTTCTTGTAGAGAGATAGCGACGGGATGGGACACTCGCCGGCCATATGCTCGACGTTGGGAGGCAGGTTTCCGGCACTTGCGATGCGGCTACCCAGAGCTATACCCTCAAACATCTGGTGGAAGACGATAACAGCGAAGAGGATCTTGAAGAACGAGTCTCCAGAGACGACAAGAGTGACACCGATAACTGAAGAAAGGCAATGCCTCGTTAGTACTCTGAGAACGTATATCGTGAAATCAGGGGTGGGTTGTAACTTACTTATCGAGTGGAAGATGATACCAGCCTCGAGGACAAAGATGCTGACAATCTCTTTTCTGTTTTGCCTGTGGAGTTCGGCAGTAGTGGCATCCCCCTCGATGGCCTTCTTCGACATGGTGGCATGTGCAAATTTGTGGCTGCAGAACTCAATAAGGAAGGATAAGAATAGACCTGCCGTAAATATGGCAGCCGTGGTTCCCTCGAACTGGAGCTGGCCGAGGCACTTGTTGCTGAACATGAGGTCGGCGTGGGTAAAGAGCTAGGTTTCGATTTCGATTGTCAGCTTGGATAATCTCTTCATCATCAGATACTAGATGAGAAACACGAACATGAACAAACGCAGTGGCAATGATGACACCCGTGCCAAACTGCTTGAGGATCATCAGGATCCACTTCAACGGGCCAGACATGGACCACTTCGTCAAAAAGATCGGAGTGAAAACACCGATTGCGCTGGTGACGAGGACCACGAACAAGAGACCAATGCGCAGAGGAATGTCATAGTCTCGCTCAACTCTGGCGCAGTTCTTGGTGCCGCTGCCGCCGCCCTCGCTCTCGCCAGGACCGACACAATGCCTGTGGTACACAGTGAGTGGCCAGGCGCAGACCTGTTTCAGACAGATTCAGACTTACTCAACACCGGCGTGGAAGTGGCAATGCTTCCCCTGAGGCTCACCAGACGATGATGATGGGGTTGCGGCGGCGGCCTGGCCGGGCGCCAAAACCTGGACATCTTCGCCCTTTGAGTTAACACAAAAGCTATTTCACTCTTGTTAGTTGCCATTATACTATGATAGTCTCCTTCAGGTCAACTGACTTGTCAGAGCCATGCGAATGGCAGCCTGTGAACGCAGCCGGCACGTCAGTCGTTGCGGTCGGGGTAGTGACGACCTGATACTCGGCAGTGCCAGCCATGCAGTATCTGTCACGATGAGGTTAGCAACCGTGCTCCGTCCGATATTGTAATCAACATCAGTCGGAAACTTACACATTGCTCCCATGCAGGTGGCAGCTCGTGATCTCGGAGGGAAAGGAAGCCGGAGTTGCTGCGGTAGTTGATGCGGCATTCGCACCACCACCCTCCGGGATTAGTTCAACATCGTCACCACTTGGTGCAAGGCAGTACCTATCCACAGTCCATTGTTAGCAAGTTCGAGAGACAGTTGGAAGGACTATAGTGGGATGAATGTACATTGCGGAGCCATGGTAATGACAGGCTGTGTAAGAGCTTGGCAAGTTGCTGCCAGACGTCTTCACTTGATACTCTGATACACCAGCAATGCAGAACCTGTAATCGAAGAAAATTCAGTATCACCAAACTTTTTATGGCAAGTGAGTGGGAACAACTGACTGTGTTGTGCCATGCATGTGACATCCGGTAACAGCGGTGACCTGTGGCGCCGCGGTAGACGAGGCAGAGGCCTGTCGTCTCTGGAACGTTGTCGTGCGCGGGACATGCTGCGCGTTGACAGAGGCGAACAGCAAGACCGTAGCAGCCGCAGCCAGTGTAGTCTGGCTCTTTGCGAACATCTTTGCTTCTCCAAAAGTCCAGTGAAGATCAAACTTCTCAGCCAGAAGTTTGTAACCCAGTCGTCACAACCACCTCGATTCTCGCTCGCGGCTCCAAAAGGTCTTAATATGGTACCAGAAGCTATCCAACACGGTTGATTCTCTCTCTATTTTTCTCACGTTATGAAATCGGAGATATCTTTAGTTTTGGAGGGTACCAAAGAAGAAAATGGGTAGGGCAAAATGCGTTCCGCAACGGGTATTTGGTCCGAACCGATGGCTTCAACACCAACACCCAACCACAACCACGCCCCTCTCTTGCCTCGTACACGACCATATTACCTTTCAAGAGGAGCTGAATGGCCCTCAGGGTTCTTGCAAATGCAAGAAGTTTGAGAACCCTGATGGGAGAGCCAAGAAGATAAATACTAGGAAATGCCGCCTGCCAAGAGGCCGAAAGAGCATCGTGCCTTGGCGTTTTCCACAACACTGGAAGCCTTGGCACGGTGCAAGGGGGATAACAACGTGCTCACCCTTTCGGCCTACCTGTATGGTTCCGAGCCCCCACGCGATATTTGCGTGCTTTGATGCTGTGTCTTTGCCCCTCTCGCGGCTGTGGCGGTGACATCCCCCTCTCGCTTGGCAGAGCTTGTTTTGTTTTGCGAGGGAGGAGCCGATAAACCGAGCATGGTGCTGTCCCGGTTCGTGGTACTTTTGACAATCTGTCCGATTAAGCGGGAATGCAAAGATGCTCAGACCATAGAAAGAGACGATCAGAGCCAGATTTCGGACAAGAACCCGATTGAAGGGGCGAGAGGACAGAGCTACTGCGAGATGGAGAACTGAAATGCACAGTCCGCTTCCACAACGCGGTAGAAGTGTAAATCTAGAAGATGCTGCAGAGTTATTCAATACCAATAAATCCATTTGCAGCTGACACCTCTAGATGTCCCATCACTAACAGGAAAGGTTTGAGAGACCGATGTTGACACGGTTTGGGCTCGATGAGATAGTGAAACCCAAATCTACGAATTCAAGAATTTCTACAACTTTACTTTTACTGGTCAAATGTGTTCATTATCAAAATTTTCTAGATCTCGAAGTGAAAAAGATTCAAAAGACTTGCAGTTTTGTAGAGATAATTACATGGCCGTAATGATTTCCACCAAGGACAGCTGACCCAGACAAACGATCCAAGACCTTTCCATCGTGATACAAACTTTTTCCTGCTGGCTTAGAGGGCGAAAGCACCCGCAGCCAGCATAACGCCAACAGCAGCAAGGCCGTTGACAGCGTTGGCGTAAGCACCAGCAGTGGCAGTGGCGGAGGCGGAGGTGGAGGCTCCAGTGCGAGTAGCTGCGGTGGAGTTCGAGTTGGAGGCAGCGGTGGCCGGGCCTTTGCAGTGCCAGTGGTCGCCGTGCGGCTCGCAGCCAACAGAAGCAGTCGGGCTGGGAGCCAGAGTCTTGGAGCTGGAGACGAAGCCGGAAGAAGAAACAGCGGAGACGGCGCCTGTAGCAGGGCCCTTGCAGTGCCAGTGGTCACCGTGGGGCTCGCAGCCGACGGAGGCAGTCGGACTGGGACCAAGCGACCCAGAGCCAGCAGCATCACTGTGATCATGATCATGGTCGTCGTGGTCGTCGTGGCCAGCAGAGGTTGTGGCCGCCGCGGTGGTCTGGGCGGCGGGAGGAGGAGTGGCAGCCGCAGTGGCGGTCTTAGCACCGGCGCAGTGCCTGCATAATATGGTCAGATGAGTGATCAAGGCCGAAGTCCCGGCTATGAAACATACCAGTGATCGCCGTGAGGCTCACATCCGTAAGACTCGGTCGGGCTCGGGGCAATGGTGGCGCTCTGAGCGAAGACGGACTGCGCAAAGCAGAAAGACAGAATGACTGCGACGGCCTTCATTGTGACAGTTGACTGTAGGATGATTGAGTTATTCTAACGAGTGAAGCAAACGAATGGTACTCAGATGGCTGCTGCGAGATGGACAAGAGGTAAACCTGACAAAAACTTGGCAGTGCTTAGTTGCAGGGTGGGAAGGCGACTTATATCCCGCTCACTCGAGCTCATGCAGGCAGGTTTGAGCAGGTATTAGCAGAGATGTTTCTTGGCATCATCTCACACGAAAGCTCGATGTACTCCGTAGTATCTGGCACCGAGATGCATGACCACCAACAAGATCGACCAATTTCGTGATTCCGCCAGCCTGGAGACTTGGCGTGATGCAGGTTCGACAATACGTGCTGAGCTGAGTACGTTCCGGTCCACCGTTCGACTACATGCTGGTTCATCGGGCAAAGCAGCTAAGACCAGCACAGGCATGGGAGTGGTTCAGCCAGGAGCCACAATTGACTCTCCGCCGCTCCCAGCCACTCGAGGCTGGTTTCCAAGCGAGACCGGAGAAAGGCCCAAAGAGAAGAGACGACTGGCCAATGAGATTCAGACTATTCATGAATTCTGGTATTGAATTGACTCCATCATCTTCAAGAACCCCTGCTGGCGTTGGTGGTGTCTTGTGAACCTTGATGACCTCCCGCCCCCAAGCACCTTGATGAACACTTCTTGGCACTTATCAAGCTTCCCTATCCGCATCTACTCTCCATCCAAGACTAGCTTTCTAAATCTCTGCCATTCGACCAGCTCAGCGCGCTGTGCACGATGGAAACCCCCACTGCACTGCCAAGATGTGCCTCCGCCGGCGGACGTGCAGGTTGGCCAACGGAGGCGGGCCCGACATAGAATGATCCAAAATGGATAAACGACCGTTCTCGCCAAGATTCAAATCTGATGTTCATCTTTCTCTAGGCTGCTATAGCTTGGGAAATGGGTAAAATTTGACATCAGGGTTGTGGCATGGCAGTAAGCTGTATGCTTGGCACGGTCGTCCGGGTTCTGCTTGTCAATCAGAGATGGACAGCTTCAAGCTGACAGCTCGAGACGGGAGCGTCGTGCAGTTCTATGGCCCCATCTAGCACATGGCCCAGGCCCAAGGAGTCCGAATGGCGTGCTGTTGAGATCTCTACATCCTTCCCAGATGCACAGAATGCTTGGCTCGGGAGATCGAGAGTGGTAGTGCAGGTACATGTATAAATCTCGTCCCTCCTGCCGGATTGTCTCTGAGAAATGAAGAGAGTGAGAGCCCCAGCATTCCAGCCCTTCAATTAGTCTGCCAGACCGAGCCTCAGTCTGTGATCCAGCCAATAAACATGGTTTCCGCCAAGCTTCTCACAGCCGCGCTGGCTGCAGCTCTGCCGGCCTCTGCGCTTCCCAACTTTGTCAAGCGGGAGAATGCCGCTTCACCGCAGACCATCACGGTGACCATCCCTGCTCAGCCTACCGAAACTGGACCTGCCGTGTATGACTGGACAAAGGGTGGTGTGAAGGAGTTCACTATCCACCAGTCATGCAATGCCACTGAGCGGGTTCAGCTCCGTCAGGGCTTGAACGAGGCCATCACCGTGGCCACCCACGCGCGCGATCACATCCTCCGCTTTGGCAACAGCTCCGAATTCTACCGAAAATACTTTGGCAAGGCTCCCACGGGCGAGCCGATTGGCTGGCTTGACAAGCTCATCAATGGCGACAAGAACGGCCTGATTTTCCGCTGTGACGACATTGATGGCAACTGCAAGCAAGATGGTAAGTTGGATTGCGATATCTCTACAACCTCGCCGACTACTGTGTGGTTTGCTCCGTTTCACCTTCCCATTCCTCTTACTAACATGTCCCGACCACAGGATGGGGAGGCCACTGGCGAGGCGCCAACGCTACCTCTGAGACCGTCATCTGCCCGCTCTCCTACGCGACCCGCAAGCCCCTAAACGCCATCTGCGGCTTTGGCTACACAGTTGCCGGCGGCAAGCTTGCTTGGACGTTTGCTGGAGACCTGATCCACCGCGCTTACCATCTTCCGCTCATCGGCCAGGACACAGTGAGCCATTACGCCGACTCTTACGATGAGTGCCTCCAGCTAGCCAAGACGAAGCCGGAGCAGGCGGTCCGCAACACGCACTCCCTCCAGTACTTTGCTCTCGACGTCTATGCCTACGACATTGCCCTGCCCGGTGTCGGATGCACGGGCAAGCCCGCTGCTGCTGCACCTGCGCCTGCTCCCGCTGCTAGCTCTGCTTCCGGAACTGGCAAGGCTGCCCCGTCACCCACAAAGACCGCGGGGACTGTAAGTAATCTTTTCTGATTATAGATTGTCTCCATTTGTGTCCGCCACCTGATAGGATTCAATGCTGACCTCAACACAGGAGTGCCACACACATGACAACGGAGATGTTCATTGCTCTTAATTGAGCTATGTGTAACATCCGGCATGATTAAAGTGACAACTACCCTATATCATGCTCCTCAATAGGAACAGAGTCAGTCAATGCTCTATTCACTTCATCACCCTCTTTCACGGCGTTGTCGGGCGATTATGATCAATGTTATGATCAATGCTCCACGGTTGGAGTGTCAATACTGGCGGATTTCGAGACCAGCGTTTGGAACGACGGAAGATATCAAGATAGACGATCTACAAAGCCTCAGATAAAGGCATTATATAGAGCATAATCGATTCAAGCTTAGACTATCAACGATTGGACAAGCGTTGTGTAGAGTCAGAAGACGGGAAAGCTCGTCCCTCGACTCGATGAGCTTCAATGTATGGGTTCGTGCATGCCAACAGGCCCAAACCGTCCTCAACAGATTGGTGAAAGCCCTTGGATTCCCCGGCTTATCTCCATCAGCCCAAGAAGTGTTGTCTAAGAGTGCCTGTGCCAGGATCGACATTGCCATTAGCCGTGATTCGATTGGCTCAGTACTATTACCAAAATCGGTTTACGGCCAAAGCACCCTGTCTTATACGGCGAAGCTTAATTGTGAGGGGCTCTAAGGGCATTAATGGGAGACAGATCTTACTGGAAATACACATACAGCTTTATCAGTCCCTTGATATTTCGCTGGGTGGTATCTGGCCAGGCCTGGTACCCAGAAGTAGATCCGTTAGCAGCACATCCATATAATTAAGACCCATTTAACCAACACGGCCTTATGCAATGGCAGGTTGATGTATGCCCCTCACTCCCAAGCTGATGAGAGACACCACATCAGACCACACAATATCGCGAATCATCTGGAGCTACAGGATGAGAAATTATTATCTTCTCACCACCCAGACATATCAAAGATCATCGCGGAAGATAAGCCTGCTGCTCTTCCCATTGACACAGGCGACCAACACCCACGCCCGTACGAGGACGAGGAACCTCTATCACAATCACCCTCAAGGTCGCAGCTTCACCATCACCGCCATCGCCCGAGCCAGCAACAAAACCTTCCCCACCATGGCTCCCCAGCCCGTCGAGGCACCCCTCTCCCAGTCGGCGACCTTCCTCGTCCTGGCCGCCACCGACCAGCCCGACGCGGCAAAGACCATCCGCTCCGTCCTCGCCAGCGTCGCCGACCTGACAAAGAACATCTCCATCCGCGACCGCGCCGCCTCGCTCTCCTGCACGGTCGGCATCGGCAGCAGCCTCTGGGACAAGGTCGTCCCGCCAGGCCGGCCGCGCCCGGCGGAGCTGCACCCCTTCCCCGAGGTGCGGGGCGCCCGGCACACGGCGCCGTCGACGCCGGGGGACCTGCTCTTCCACATCCGGTCCGAGCGGCGCGACATGGCCTTTGAGTTCGAGCGGCAGCTGATGGACCGCCTCGGCGGCGCCGTGCGCGTCGAGGACGAGACGGTCGGGTTCCGCTACTTTGACGTGCGCGACGTCCTGGGCTTCGTCGACGGCACGGCCAACCCCGTCGGCGCCCAGGACGTCGCGGACGCGGTGCTGCTCACGGCGCGGGACGACCCCGCGGGGGAGGGCGGCAGCTACGTCGTCGTGCAAAAGTACCTGCACGACCTGGCGGCCTGGGGCCGGCTCAAGACCGAGGACCAGGAGGCCATCATCGGGCGGACCAAGCTGGACAACGTCGAGCTCGACGACGCCGAGGGCCCGGAGCAGAAGTCGCACAAGACGCTCGCGACGATCGAGGGCGAGGACGGCAGCGAGCACGACATCCTGCGGGACAACATGCCCTTCGGGTCGCCGGCGCAGGGCGAGTTCGGCACCTACTTCATCGGCTACTCGAAGAAGTTGTGGGTGACGGAGAAGATGATGGAGCGGATGTTTATAGGGGATCCGCCTGGGAAGCATGATCGGATTCTAGACTACTCTAGTCCTGTCACTGGCTCGACGTTCTTTGTGCCGTCGTTGAGTCTGTTAGAGAGCTTGGACGACGATTAAGGAAAGTAGTTGCTCTTTTTCTCTCACAGAGCATTTTCGTTTAGGCAAGGGCAGCACATTCTCCGTAGCTAGACACCATCTTGATCTATACTATACTCCCTCCATCAGAGTCCTCGCGGCTACCTCCCTGCCAGGCGGGTGCTTCTGGATCCGGTCCGCGAGCGCCCTGGCCTTCTCCTTCATACCAGCAGCTTCAGGTCCGCATACAACAGCGATCAGCTCTTTGCCAAGCTCCCTAGTCGTCCAGTCCGGATTGGCCTTTCGATTCCCCCATCGCCCGATGCCGAGATACTGTATCCGGGCTGCCCAGTCGTAGCAGTCCGCCCAGCCAGCCAAAATGACATGAGGAACACCAAAGCTATGGGCGGAAGGCCTATGGTCAGCATAACCAATCATCTAATTACTCAGTAGTCCAGAGGGATATACTCACGCGATAGCCTCGATCGACGAGTTTGCGCCGCCGTGATGAACGGCGCATACGACATGACCAGACGCGAGGACCGAAATTGGGTCTGCATCGAGCCAGTTGACGATCCTCACCCGGCCGCTGTCGATCTCCTTGGCCAAAATCTCGTACACTGTGCTTCCCTTGCCGGTGTCGTAGTCAACATCGCCCCTACCAGCACTCAAGAACTGGTTGCCCGTCTTTCTCAGCTTCCACAGCACTCTGAGCTTTCCCACCTCGGACTTTCCCTCCTTCTCACTCTCGTCCTCGGCCTTGCTGTCAGCTTCATCAAACACCAGCCTCAGCGCGCGGGCCATCTCCACCGCCCACTCCTCGTCCATGACCCTGTGCGACCCCAGGCTGATGTAGACAGTGGGACCCTCGGCAAGCCAGCCATCCAGCTCCGCGTCTTGCGCCTTCAGATCCCGCACAGGCTGAAGGATAGGCCCGCAAGGGATCAGATAGTCTAGCTTTCGGAGAGGGTATTCGTACTCGGGTAGCGACGGCACCAGCGCCTTCCACCCGGGTATCCCTTCCTGTACGGGCTCGATGTAGAACAGGGTGGCCTCCTTGCCCGTCTTCTCGCGGAAGAAGACTCTCTTCTCCTTCCAGGCGGCGCCGCGAGCGAGTGCCAAGTGCAAGGCAAGGCTGTTGAGGATGTTGAGCGGCACGAGGTACCAGGGAAGCGGGTAAGGCCAGCCGGTACCGGACCTAGACCGACACAACAGCATCGTGTTAGTGCACTGGCACACTGGCCGACATGGAGCGAGGTCAGGGACGGTCCCCTCCCCGTCAGGGAACGAGATGTTCTCACAATGGGATCCTCCACAGCGCGTCAGGGCCGATATAGACGTCTTTCATGGAGAGAGGCATGAGCAGATGCCACTTGATGCCGCTGTTCCTCGCAGCGGTGAGGGCCGGAGCGAACATGGGGTCGACAGCGATCACGTCCGGTCTCACCTCCGTGATGACTCTTTCGATGTCGTCGTGTGCCTCGAGAAACTTCTCTTTCGTCCAGGGGTTTATCAGATTCAAGAGCTTGTCGGCTACCAAGAAGTTGCGCCATGTGTTCCTCCCCAGATGTCTAGCTACTTCCGCGCCGGGGATTAACAGATAGGCCTCCTCTTGAGACTGAGCATTCTCAAGGGCGTGGAAGTGGACTGGCTCGCGCGCCGGCGGGCACGTCTCCAGAGCTCTCTGGGAGAGCCGGGAGACTACATTGGCGGCGCTTGGGTGCGCGGCGACATGGACCTGCAGGGACGGGTAGAGGTTGAGGAGAGCGTGTGCCGTCGCCAGGTGCACGTTCAGCTGGCCCAGGGCCGGGTCCGAGAGCAGCAGGATCTTCTTGGGTGCATCCGCCATGGCAACCCGTAGACCAGAGGTCCGTGTCTTTGGGCGAATCACCAAAAGGAAGGCAGTTGGAAAGACGGTCAATAGATAGAAGCCTCTCTCTTTCTTTCTCTCTTTCTCTCTCTCTACATATGCATACGTATACCGCGGTGAGATGCTAATTATGTACTTTTCAACTGCGATATCTGCCACCAATAGGCAGCCGTGATAGAGTCCGAGGACTCGCACTATGACCTAGATGGCGCTCGAGACGCAGGATGACAGAGAGGAAGCGAGGCTCCTAAAATCTCACAGAATCTGAGCTAGTAGATCCTTCGGGTTCCTGTCATTTCGAAGCCCATTGATTCGTTTGCGGAGCCCCTGTTTACGCGGAAACAAGGGCTGCAGCGATGGCCCTTGGTCGAACCGCTCCCAGTCCTAGCAGTCTTGCTTCATCAAGGACGAAGGAAGGGGGCCATTGAAGTCTCCACATTCCTTCAAGTACGGGAAAGTAATTAGCTACAAGTACATCCCCAAGTGGGCGCATTAGCTGCACGTTATCCCGAAAGGCACGGTGGAATACCGCCTCGTAGGGCTGGGGCCAGTTTACGTTCGGGATCCGACAGAATGCAACGCCTAGGTACATAGCTTCATCTCCATCGAGGGAGCTTTCAGGGTCGCACACCAATCAAGCAATCCAGCTTGGCCTCCAGCTCTCAAAGCTCCAGCTCCAGCTCCGACCAGCGTCGGCATTTAGTACTAGTTAGTGCTGGGCACAGCGGGAAGACCCCTGAAACCACCCATCCCACAGACCAATGAGCTTGCAACTGATTACGCCCAGGGCCCCCCATAGCACGTCACACTCGGGCTGCCCCAGCGGGTTCCAGAGTCTGGGCTGATGCTGCGAATCGGGGTGTCGCGATTCCGTGAATCGAGGATTGTGCTGCTGCCCAGACAGACAAATCATGCCACTTTCTCGTCCTCCCTCTCGGCTCTGAACAGCGCAGTGTGCATCCCTAGTGTGTAGGACTGACTACCTTTGATAAGGACAGGCCCTGAGGCTACACCCGTTCTCCTCCCTTCCCCTCCCCTTCCTCCTCTCCGTCACGATGGCTGGCCCAAAGTTCTCCCCGCTGCTCACCTTCGCCATCTTCGCCATTGGAGTCTTGATCTCGCGCGCGCCCTTCATGATGACGACCCGTCCAGCATCCGACGCAAAGCCCTGGGCCGACGGCCCCATGAAGCTCGTCCAGACGCCGCAGTACGCGACGAAAAAGGTACGTTCCTCCCCTCCCAGTTCGACTTTGAACATTGGCCAAAGAGATGATGAACGATCGTGTCTAATACGTTTCTTCTTCTTCTTCTTCTCTCCCAGACCGACATCTTCACCTCGGGAGCCACGCACATGGCCCTGCTGCACAACGCCATCCTGCGCGGCTACAACAGCATCTACCTCCAGGTCCCGCACGTCCCGGACGCCGACAAGGCCGACTTTATCGGCTACTGCCTGACCTGGCACAAGTTTGTCGTCTCGCACCACGACGACGAGGAGGAGGTGCTCTTCAAGAAGGTCGAGGAGCTGCTCGACGACAAGACGATCTGGACCGAGACGCACAAGGAGCACGGTAAGTCGAGCCCGCTTAGATATACGGCGTCTCGCCAAAGAAAAAAAAATGCTAAACAATCAATCAATCAATCATAGAATCCTTCCTCAAGGGCCTCGCCGACTTCAAGACCTACCTGACCACCCTCCCCTCCCCGGCGGCCCTCAGCCCCGCGGCCCTGCAGCACGTCATGTCCTCCTTCCAGCAGCCCTTCGAGCAGCACTTCCACTCCGAGATCGCCACCATCGCCGCCCTGTCCTCCCACCCGCGGGCCCCGGAGCGGGGCACCCCGGCCGAGGCCGCCGCCTCGGCCACGTTCAAGGCCTGGGGCAAGGCCACCGTCAGCAAGGCCGGCACCTGGGACGTGGTGCCCTTCTTCCTGCTCAACCTCGACGGCACGGCCGAGGAGGGCGCCTGGGCCAGCTGGCCGCCCATGCCGGCGCCCATCCGCTGGGGCCTCGTCAACATCGCCGGCGCGTGGTACTCGCGCTGGTGGAGGTTCTCGAGCTGCGACGCCGGCGGCCGGCCGAGGGAGCTGTACGCGCTGCAGTTCCCCGAGCAGAAGGCTTGAATATGTGACGTGCATTTTCAATGTTTGCCAGTTTTGACCTACTGCGGAGTTTGTATGGGATCGAGCGATGGATCACAAGGTCGTATTGACTGTACGAGTTACGAATCTGTAATACTGTTTCAGGGTTGATATACTGGAGCGATGGGATGATATGTCGCCTCTTCACGTAATCACCTCTCTTATCACTTCACCTGAGATGTGACAAACATGTCAAACTTGGTTGTTTTATGACCTCATTATACCACGTAAGAGCCTAAAGTACAGGGTATGTGCACCGGAGAGAGAAAAAGAAAAGGCATTGCAGCATGACGGAATCCTTTAGGCCTTTTAACGACCGACGCGGATCACGCCAGCCGCAATCAGCTTCTGGATCTTGGACCGGACGTTGGGGTTCTTCATGTGCTCCGACAGCGCGGCCGGGTCGGACTGCGCCTGCTGCAGGATGGCCTGCATGACGGGGTCCTGCATGATGCCCATGATCTAGAGTAAAAAGTGCTCGTTAGCAAATGTGTCCGAGATTCTGCCTGTATTGGGAGAGAGAAACCTACCTCGGGGTCCTTCATCAGCCTCTCCCGCGTCTGCTCCTCCGACTCGTTCTCCCGGGCCGAGTACATGGCCGCAAACGCCTTCTGCTGCTGCGCCTCGATCTCGCGCGCGTTGGCGCCGCCGTGCGACTCCTTGTCGACCGTCTCGGCCTCGGTGCACGCGTCGAGGCACTTGCTGTACTCGCGCATGCCAAAGTAGGCCTGCGCCTTGCGGATGTAGGCCCGGATGAACTTGGGGTCGCGCTTGATGGCCGCGTCGCAGTCCTCGAGCGCGCTCGGGAACTCGAGCAGCTTGACGAACGCCGCCGCGCGGTTGCTGTAGCCGCGCGGGTCCTCGGGCGCGCGCTTGACCATCTCCGTGTAGGCGGCGACGGCGCCCGGCCAGTCCTGCTCCTTGAACTTCTTGTTGCCCTCCTCGCGCGCCTTTTCGGCCTCCTCCGGGTTGACGTAGGCCTTCTTGGCGTCCTCGATCTTCTTGCGCTCGGCGGCGCGCACCTTGGTCACGACCTCGGGCGTGCGGTGCTCGCGCAGCGACATGTTGTAGAAGTCGATGGCGTTGGCCAGATCGCCCTGCTTCTCGTAGGCGGAGCCGATGCGCGCGTACGACTTGGCGATCATCTTGAAGTCGGCGTAGATTTGGCGGCCCTCCTCGACAGCCTTGGTGCACGTGTCGATGCAGGCCTGGTAATCTCCCTTCTCGAAGTAGGCTGCGCCGAGGTTGTTGAGGTAGGTGATGTCCTTGTGCAGGTCCCAGGCGGCCTGGTAGTGCTTGATGGCCTCGTCAAAGTTGCGCTTCTTGTAGTTCTCGGTGCCCAGGGCCTTCTCCTTGTCGGCGGCCTCCTTGGCCTTCTTCGTCTCCAGGGCCTCCTCGTCCTCGGGCTCAGGCTCGGGCTCCGGTGCCTTCTTGGGAGCCTCGGGCCTCTTAGGCTCGGGCATCACATCCGGCATCTCCTGGTCCTCCTGCATCTTGGACGCATCCGCAGTGTTGGCTCCCTCTGGGGGCATGCCCATCTGCATGTCGACGCCCATCAGGACGCCTAGCACCTGGATGAGCCTGGGGTCGCTGAAGAGATCCTGAGTGTTCTTGGGGTTTTGCTGAATGGATTGGAGCTTCTGCATAAACGTCGGATCGGCGAGGAAGGCGCTCGTCTTGGGGTTGGCGGCGAGCTTCTGGATGAGCTGGGGATCGCTGAACATCTGGCCTAGGCCAGCAGCAGGATCCATGCCGCCTGTGATGATACAGTCAGTAACTCGCGTATACATTAGCGCAATAGTGGCTCAGGGACCACCTACCTGCACCTCCGCTCACTTCGGCCTCAATGGCCCTGTTCACACCAGCCAGGTCGTTCTTGAGGCCGGCGTTGTTAGGGTCAATCTTCAGACCGGCCTCGTATGCGTCGGTTGCCCCCAGCAGATCGCCCTTGCCCCAGAGTGCACTGCCCTTGCGACCCCAACCCTTGGCCCAGTCAGGCTTCAGCTCGGTGGTCTTCTCGGCATCCTTCAGGGCATTGTCCCACTCCTTCTTGGAGGCGTATGCTGCTGAGCGGTTGCTGTAGAGAATGTGGTTGTCAGGCGTGAGTTCGATAGCCTGTGTGAACTTGTCACTGTGTTGGGAAGAGAAGGTCAGCTTCACGAGCCGTGGTTTTGTCGTCGAGATGCACACTTACATAGCCTCGTCGAAGTCCTTGGCGGCGATGGCCTTGTTGCCCAGAGCCTTGAGCTCGTCCGCGGTCGACATGCTGGTGAGAGAAATGTGCGATTCGAGTCTGGCGGTAGATTGTGTGTGAGGCTTTACGGAAGAGTTTTTTGCGTTATCGAGGGTGATTTTCTCTTGGGGAAGTCGTAGAGAGAGCAGGTTTGCGCAAGGCAGGCAGAACCATGTGAGGCTTGGGTGCCTTTTGAGAAAACAGAGGGGATCTTCTAGGCCTTTCGACGAAGGCTGTGGAACCCGGTCTTCATTGGCTGGCGGGAGCTTGAGCACGGTCCAGGTGGGGAGGGCGACCAGGGTCTCGATTGTCCTCGAGCTTGAGAGTCTCAGGCCAGCACGAAGTCTTCAGAAAGAAAGAGGATTGCATCGATGTACCTTTGAAATTGGAAATTGCCAATCTGTGCAAGTATAGAGATTGGTATTCTTTGATTTCCATCAAGGCTTTACGAACGTTTGCCTGTCTACACGGTGCTCTCCATTCAATACCACTTCCACTGCAGGAGTAAATGTGAATGTCCAGTAACACCCCAAGTACATTATGAGAGTTAATCACAATTGATCTGCTCAGAAAGAGAAGCAATTAGACGAATGAAACCAGCTGCATTGGAATATGTATTTCAGATACAGAGATATGGGCCTACTTCTGGCGTTTCAACATCGAGATTTTGGTTCGAAGACCAACTACAATAAAATGGAAGATTCTCTAAATCAATACTAGGTAGAGAGAATATTAGAAATCACCTTCGAGTATTTGCTCTTCTTCCAACAGAATAGATACTATTACAATCAAGAAAATACATCCAAAATATCACGGGCTGCATCATAGATGAACCCTCGCCAATTAGTCTTTCTGCCTGTAATACAATTCAACGCATCGATCCATCAGTTCTCAGTATGACTGATTGGTGATCAACCACCCATTCGTCGCCCACCCAGGAACCATCCATGGATGGCTGCGGGCGCCATTTACCCCTGTTGGGCGGTGTGCCTAGCACTCAGATCCAGCGCCAATCAGCCGCTCGTTGGGGGACGGGTAACCCCACAGCCATGACTGTTCGGCGGGGTAAAGCCTCCATGATTGTGGCAGAAAAAGTTCGGCCGACACATTTTTGAGACGCCTCTTCTTCGCCTACTACTCCATTCAACATCAGCACTCTCGGACCAAAAACACGACGGCCGCCAATGTTCCCCAGAAGCGTGCAGAAATACTCCTTCAGGTAGCATTGACACGAAGATCGCCAGGAGACGAATCGCCCATATAGCCACTTTTCCAGTGCCATCTTCCGCCTTGCCCGCCTCCTCAACACTCCCTATCTTGAACTTCGTATCCGCTCGCGACTTCCGAAACATTTTCTCGATCTGAACCCCGAAGACCCCGGAAGACCACCGACGATGTCGGGCCTACTAGGCTCCCCGGCGGGGAGCGAGGACCCGACCAAGATCGAGATCCTCAAGGAGTCGCTCTACGATGCCTGCGCCGCCGCCGGCTCGACCAACCGCGTCTTCACCCAGGCCGACTTTATGAACTTTGACATCATCCCCGATGGCAACATCAACACTCTGATGCGCGTCGTACAAGAGCTCAGCAACGAGAAGCTGTTCAAACCTGTAGGCGACGGCAGGGGTGGCGTGAACTGGAAGTATCGGAGCCAGGAGGATGCGCACAAGTACAGCCCGGCCTTTCATATGCATCAATCAACTCACCACAAAAATGGCGGCTAGCTGACTGCTCCTCCTGATATTACAGATACAAAGGCCTCCAGACCCAAGAGCAGAGCCTCGTCTACGAGCTCATCGACGAAGCCGGCGCCGACGGGATATGGTCGCGCACTCTCAAGGCCCGGCTCGGCCTGCACGAGTCGGTCCTCAAGCAGTGCCTCAAGCACCTCGAGTCCAAGGGCTACATCCGCGACATGAAGAGCGTCGAGCACCCCAACAAGAAGATGTACATCAAGGCCGGCCTCATGCCCTCGGAGAAGGCCACCGGCGGCCCGTGGTACACCGACTCCAACCTCGACGAGGCCTTCATCGAGCAGCTCCAAAAGATCATCTTTGACTTTATCAAGAACCGCTCCACCTACCTCAGCACCCACGGCGGCGGCGGCGCCACGAAACAGCCCAAGAACGGCGTCGTCAAGGGCTCGGCCGACTCGGCATCGGGGACGACGGCGTCCAGGAAACGCACCGCCGACGCGATATCCACGGCCGACGCCAAGCCCACCCCGTCCCCGGCGCCGGCCTCGCGCCCCTCGCGCCGCCACCACCACCACCACCACCACAGGGAGCACCTGCTGCCCATGCCGGCCGGCTACGTCGGCTACCCGACCAACCGCCAGGTGGCCGAGTTCATCGAGCACTCGGGCATCACCAACAACACGACGCTCGGCGAGACCGACGTCCAGCAGCTCGTCGACGTGCTCGTCTACGACGGCGTCGTCGAGCCCGTCCGCAACCCCGAGACGCGCGACATGTGCTACCGCGTCGTCAAGGCCGCCCGCCTCGAGCCCGCCTCCTTCGCCAAGACCTTTGGCCGCGACGACGACCTCGAGCCGCCCAAGCCCATGGGCGCCCCGCTCGCCGACAACGGGTACACGGGCACGCCCTGCGGGCAGTGCCCCGTCTTCGACCTGTGCGAGGAAGGCGGGCCCGTGCGGCCGAGCAACTGCGTGTATTTCAGCAAGTGGCTGGGGCTGGAGTGACTAGGCAACACAGGAAGTATCTCTTTCCCAAGTCGAGTTGATCGAGGGAAGATGACGGCTTTGATTACCGAAGCTCTGCATAGGATAAGGCGTTCGGCTATTATTTTTTTTGAATCCCAAAAGGATGGAACGGGAGGTATAGCATTTATTTTTGGGGGAGATCTTGCCGCTTTTTCCTCCTATTATGGCGGCAGAAGCGTCGACGATTAATGTGAATGATACCAGACTTGTGGCGGCCCCCTGTTTTGTTGCAGGTCCAGCCAGCTGATTGAGCTTCTGGGCATAGCCCTTGCCAATAGATTTTTGCACATTTTCATCCCATCTCTTCGAACCGTTTCGTCCCATCTTTATTGCGTGATGTGTCATTTTGCATGTAACCTTGATGGGGTGGCCATTTGACCACCCTGAACAACTACATGGACGAGAAACCGCTGTTTCCCCTACACGCCGTGAAACACAGACAGCTAGAGTGCATCACAGTTACATTGTGAGCACATATGCTTGGAAGTTGTGGCGCAAGAGAGACTTTTATTTGTAGCAGTTGAAGCTAGAGGAGTTGAGCTGTCCATAAATATGTACCACATCAACCTCCCCCGGCCCAGAAAATTTCCTTTCCGTTCCTATGAGAGAAAAGGGCCTGTTGCCACTATTTTGCCATTCCGTAGTAGAACAAGAGTAATATTTACAGCTCACCAGAGTCGACAATGGTAGGCTTCTTGGCGTACTTGATGCTGCCAGACTGGGAGCCAACGGCCTCAAGAGCCTTGACGATCTTCATGCCGGCATCGTCGGAGACCTCGCCGAAGACGACGTGGCGGCCGTCGAGCCACGAGGTGGGGACGGTGGTCACGAAGAACTGCGAGCCGTTGCTGCAAGGAGAACGATGTCAGTCTCAAGATGTATCCAAGGTCAGGGAAACAGTGGTATCAAGAAGGCTTACGTGTTGGGGCCAGCGTTGGCCATGGACAGCAGACCGGGGCGAGTGTGCTTCTTGGTGAAGTTCTCGTCGGCGAACTTCTCGCCGTAGATGGACTTGCCACCAGTGCCCTGCAGATTGCTTGCGCGTTAGTGAATGTGTTACAGCACGAGAATTGGCGAAGTGCGGGGATAGTAGACTTACGTTACCACGGGTGAAGTCACCACCCTGGAGCATGAAGTCCGGGATGATACGGTGGAAGGAGGAGCCCTTGTAGCCGAAGCCGTTCTGGCCAGTGCAGAGCTCACGGAAGTTGCGGGTGGTCTTGGGGACAACGTCGTCGTAGAGCTTGAAGGTGATACGGCCGCTCTGAGCTGCAGGGGGGGCGTTGCGTTAGCAGGTGTAGATCAGAAAAGGTTTGGCTGGCCAGGTTGACCAAACCAGGTACGACAGCAAGTTCGCAAAAATAATCATGATGCCACCCAAGAAGAGCTCTCCGTAAGCTCCCGATGGACAACTTGACAGCGTCTGAAAGCAGAACTTGATGAAGGAATTGATGGAAGAACTTACCCTTGACCTCCTTGGTAGGGCGGTTGTTGCCGTCAAGGACGGGTCCCTCCCACTCAATGTCGAAGTAGCTGTGCAATTGGCTGTCAGTCAACTGCAAAACTGAGGGTGAACTGAGCTATCACAACGGGATGCCGGATGAGATTGGCATCTCGTCAATGACGAGCATCTACTTACACGGAAGACATGTTGGCTGAAGTGGTTCCGAAAGTACGGGCTGAGAAGTTGGAAGCAGTAAAGGCGACAGGCGAGGTCTTGTTGATGGTTGAAGGAAGAATAGAAGAAGAGAAGATTCCTCGAGGGGCCGCTGAGACGAAGCAGTTATGGCGGGGTAGGAGGGGTCGGAGGACGCTGGCACGCATTTTTGCTCTGGAGGGGCAACCAGGTCAGTATCGACGGCGTTGGCCCAATCATTACGCAATAAGGGGCCGCCGGTGGGGGGGTACATGGGGTGGGGCGAAGCAAGGAGAGTACAGGAGGGGCCCATAAAAAGAACAGCAGGCAGCAGCGGCCGATACGTGACATCACCTTGTACACTTGTTGAGGAAGCAAGTACCCCATCCAGGAAAAGATACATCATCCACGCCGAGCAGTCCCGCTTTTCTCGCTCACTGGCCCTGGCCGGGGAGCTCCAGCAATTGAGACAGCTCGCGGCGGCTGGAGATGGAGCTCTTCCCTCCCCTGCTTGTTTTGTTGTCGGGCGAGGGCGGCGTTTGCTGACAACAAGGGGAGGAAAACAAGCCAAGCTGGGTTGATCGACACCAACACGAAACATGAACCCGGAGTGACTGACTCCATCTCTTTTCTTTAAGCGAGTTGAAGGAAGGGACGAGGGATCGAAGTTTGAATAGGGAAGGCAAGCACAAGCAAAAGTGGCAGCAGAAGCAGGTGAGACAGACGCACTTGCTTTGCTGTTTGACCGCGCCGGCTCAATGGATGAGCCACTGGACCCAAACTGGATCTGCCACTCGGCCCCAGGGAAACAAATCGAGTCGGAGGGCGGTAGCAGTGCAGCAAACGCGACGATGGTGGCGTCTGTACGAAGGCTGTGTGCCCGCATGGCATCGGAACAGGGCCAGGAGCCAGACAGGTGGGATGTGGAAAGCCGCTCCAAGGCGGACGCGCCGAGACCCAATCAAAGTCTCCGCATCAGCCGAACATGCAGCAGCATCAGGTTTCTCCCTTCTCTCCAGACTCGCCATGGGGAGGGAGGCTTGAGGATGCAGGGAGACGTGAAAAGCAGGGCAGAGGCTCCTACTATTGACCTTCCCCCCAACCAATCATTGCCAATCGTGCCCGTGTCTCCATCACTGGCCAATTTTGGATTCGCAAATCATGTCCCTTGGAGTTGAGGCAGTGCTTCTCACATCGACTGGTGTGCCCCATGGACAAGTTCCGAAGCATTGCCGGGAGTCAGCTCTTGGGGCTTCTAGCCAGTCCAAGCTGCAGAGGGCAAGGATAGCTCACGGCAACATGTGAAGGATGTCATGTGCTGAGCTGCCAAATGCAAAGCTTCAAAGGGATGAAATGGTTGTGAAAAGGGGGAAACATGAGGAAAGAGCTGCCAACGTACCTTTCACAAGTCTCGAAACGGACGGCTAAAGTACAAGTAAAAGGGTTATAATACAAGATCGAGGTAAGAAGACGACGAGATGGATGAAATGCGTGGTTCAATGTTTGACTCTTTGCTGGAGCTACCTCTCCAAGATCCCGAAAAGCTCCAGGTTTTCTACCAGAGCTGTCTCTGATTAGCGCCCCTTTAAAGCTATTTTCCTGCCTCAGGCATAGAGTAACACCTGCTCGTGGATATCACAACAGCAAGACAACGTGGTCCAGCAATGCCAATGTCAAAGCTGCTATGGGAGTCTGTAAAGTAGGTAACTTATTCCATCGGAAATCCGGTCCCAAAACAGCAAATACAGCCAATCTCTCGTTGACGATACAACGCGGGAATTGCATCTTGATCCATCGACACTGGTCATCACGTGACTAGAATCTTTCTCGCAGAGCATTGGAGCTGCGTGGCTTTTTAGTAGTTGACTTGGCGCTATCGGTCTGGCTGGTATCAGATTCAGGTGCCAACCCAAGGAGCACAGGGGGCACATCCACTTTACTGCCATCATTTTGACTTCCATCTGCCAAAGCTTGCAATACCCATTCGCGATAGCACGACTGCTCTGAGGAGCCTTACTCGCTCCGACCTCGCTCATAACGGCTTCATTCTTTTTTTTTTTTCAGTGTCTCCTCTCCTATTCCTAGCAAGCGACAAGATGGATTTCAACAGCCTTAAGGACCAGGTGTCCAACCTGACACTCTACGACCTCAAGGCCGGAGTGCGCAAAGTCCAAAATGGTACGGCTACTCTGCCTCTGCACTGCACGCGATTGCCACCCCTGTGGAACAAGTGACTAATTGGCGATTTCCATTCGCAGCGGTGATGAACTACACAGAGATGGAGGCCAAGGTGCGTCGCAATCCCCTCGATTCCGGCCTTCCGCCATGACCACTGACGCCGGTTGGGCTTTTAGGTGCGGGAGGCTACCAACAACGAACCCTGGGGAGCATCATCCACGCTGATGCAAGAGATCGCCAACGGCACCTTTAACTAGTATGCCCTGCGACCCTCCCTCTCCGCGTACGATCGCAGCGCATCCGGATGCTAACCCTCGCTGCAGCCAAACCCTGAACGAGATCATGCCCATGATCTACCGTCGCTTCACCGAGAAGTCGGCCGAGGAATGGCGACAGATCTACAAGTCCCTCCAGCTGCTAGAGTTCCTCATCAAGCACGGCTCAGAACGAGTCATTGACGATGCCCGGTCGCACCTCACCCTCCTCAAGATGCTCCGGCAGTTCCACTTCATCGACCAGAACGGCAAGGACCAGGGCATCAACGTCCGCAACCGCGCCAAAGAGCTGGCCGAGCTCCTCGGCGACGTCGACCGCATCCGGGCCGAGCGCAAAAAGGCGCGGTCGAACAAGGCCAAGTACACCGGTGTGGAGGGCGGCATGAGCTTTGGCGGCGGCTTCTCCAGCGGCGGCGGCAGCAGCCGGTACGGTGGCTTTGGGAGCGAGTCTGCGGGTAGCGGACGCGCCGAGTATGGCGGATACTCGGGCGGTGTCTACGGCGACGGTGGCGGCTTCGGAGGTCAGAGCGACTACCAGGAGTCGAGCTCGAGCAGGCGCGACAAGTTTGAGGAGTATGACGAGTTTGACGAGGGGGAGCGACCCGCGCGGACCCCGGAATCATCACGGGCGGGTACCCGACGCACGACTGGGGGCACGCCGGCCAAGAAGCCCGAGCCTAAGAAGAAGGAGCCCGAGGTCGACCTGTTCTCGTTCGACGAGCCTGCACAGACCTCTGCCGCGCCGGTGGCTGCGGCGCCCGCTCCCGCGAGCAGTTCCGGCCTGGCAGCACTCTCCGCGCCAGCCGACGACGACGACTTTGACGACTTCCAGTCCCCCACGCCCGAGCCCGCAGCTCCTACAGGAGGCTTCGCCAAGCCCCTGTCTCCGCCCGTGGCGACGAGCAACGCGTCCGGGGCCCAGTTTGCGGCGCCCCAGCCGCTGTCGGCTCCCAAGCAGGCCAACCTTAGCGACATGGTCGGCATGTCGTCCATCTCCCCCACGTCGAGCACCGCGGCCACCCCCGGCGCCAACTATTCCTCCCTCAGCTCCCCGCTGGCCACCGGCGGCTCGACTCTCTCGGCGCAGGCGGCCAAGCCCACGGGATACCAGGCCAGCGGGCCCAACTACTTCCAGTCCGTGCAGGCCGGCCAGTCGCAGCCGTCTGCTGCTGCCTCCACGCCGGGCATGGGCATGGGCATGGGTGCTACGAAACCCGCGGCGGCTGCTGCTCCCGGTAGCGGCGCGGCCAAGCCTGCTGCTGGCGGTGACGCCTTCGGCGCGCTGTGGTCCAAGGCCAGCGGGACGAAGAAGGCGACCTCCTCGGGCGCTGGTCCCGCCATGGGCCAGCTCGCCAAGGAGAAGAGCGCGGCCGGGATCTGGGGCGCGCCCTCCTCGTCCACGTCGTCCACGCCGATGCAGAGCAGTAAGCCGCAGCAGTCGACTGGCGGCGGTTCCCTGGATGATCTGCTGGGCTAGGTCTAGGTATAGACTGTTACGAACTACGTCGCAAACGATCTACGGGGGGTAGGAGGATAATCTCGTTACCCTGGAAAACGATGATGCAAAGCGTGCTTCTTCCTCTTCGCGGCCATCGATAGATCCATCCCAGCCTGTCCTGTTGGTGGCCCACGGCCACAGAGGTATACCGTGTTGTTATGCAAAGGTACTAGATAGTGTCATGCGAGAAAAAGAAAAGGGCGTCTAGGCGTTTGAACAATATCAAAGCATTTCCGGGCATGGCACAAGCAACCTCGTATAAAAAATGTATGATGCGACTACACAGCCATGATATCGTGCAGAGGAAGTCCAGACGCGTGCATGGATCGACGAAAGCCACGAACAGATCCGGATCTGCAGCCATAGGCCGTCCGTTCCTCCACCAGGCCGAGTTGAAAAGGCGCATGAAACAGCCGGGCCTCGAAATGGTCGGGACAAAGACGCTCTTTGCGCTGTGAATGGAGCGGCTTGCTCTCCCCGGGCAGCCCGTGCAGCCGCGCTGTGGTCCTTCTTTCATTTCCCGCAAGGTTCCAACTCTTGATGACTGTGCAAGGCCCGCTTCTCTCCCGTTCAAAAGGGCCGCCCGTCCCATCGGCCGGTTTCATGTTCCAGAGGCCTGGATCTTGGCTTTTGTTGAGGCTGAAAAAGAAAAGAAGAAACAGGAAAAGGCGAGCCAGCCAGCCAGCCGCTCTGGGTATTTTTGGCAGAGCCAACCAGCGCTGATCGCCGGGGGTCTCCACTGCGGGAGCCAGTACAGCGGCCCCCCGTAGATTGGGCGACCGGGGCTTGATTGGCCCTGCGCTTCCGGCCTGCTGTAAGCGCGATGAACATGACTACGCCACGGACAGGACATCCAGGTTTTCTGGCCTGGCCTGGCTCGCTCCCTCCCCTCTCTCTCCCTCTTCTCTGCTTGACGCGTTCGCGGCTGCTTGGAGGTAATCTTACGGAAAGTGGGCGTGGGAGTTCATGCTAGGATTTACCGGGACGGCGATTGGATCTTGTCGCTTGCCCGCATCCCCGGTCAAGGAAAAGGTGAGCGAGGATCCTCGCCGGTAAACAGGCGCCTGTTGTCGCAGCCTTGAACCTGTTTGGGGGAGGACAGGCGCTGGCTGGGTCGACAAAGAGCCCATCTTGAAACATATGACGAGTCGTCTAGATTGGCTGCTGCTTGTCTGTATTGATTGTATGGAGGGCACGCTGCTTTTAGAAATGGCTTGAAACACGCGATAATAGACGATGGATGGATGGCTGGCTGACTGGATGGCTGCTGTTAAGGCGTGGCATGGCAAGATGGCAATGATGAGGCTGGTTTGCATGTCATGGCCTTCTTACTTAAAGGCGCCATGCCCTTCCTCGATGTGTTGATGAAGAGTCTCGTTTGCTCATTCAACCAAAGCAGAACCACATCACTCGTACCGATTTCTTTCCTTTTTGTCTTTTCCCTTTATTTCCTTGAGTCTATCTCTATCTATCTCTCTTGGGGTTTCTCTTCGGACATTTCCTTTCTGGCAGGCCGGGTTTGCATTTCTCTTCACGAAACAACAACCTTTCTTGCTCACACAGCCTCCACGGATTACACTCTTTGATATTGAAGAGAAGCCGGCTCAAAAACTCTCTTTACAACGGGAAAACTACAACTTGGGAAGCGACTTTCTTTTAGCAGTTACGACATTTCGACGGTCATTTCATTGAAGAGCACTCTCTATCAACGCATTCTGTCTCCATCTCAGCCATGGGCATGAAAGACCACGGCTACTACGGCTGGGCCTTTATCGGCGCCCGGCCCCTGCAGTTCGTCGCCCTCGTCACCATCGTCGGCCTCGACGGCCACTTCATCGCGCAGATCGCCCAGGCCAAGCGCGCCGCCCCCGGCGAGCTCATCGGCACCATGGTCATCGTAAGCAAACAAGCCTGAACCATTCGACACCACGGCCGGCCCCCCGTTCCAACACTAATGATCAAAAACAGGCCTGCATCTCCGTCCTCTGGACCCTCCTCTCCTTCACCGCCTACGACGACTCCCACATCCCCTACTTCGTCACCTGCGCCCTCGACGTCCTCTGCCTGGTGCCCTTCGTCGTCCTCGCCGCCCTGCTGGGCCAGCCCCTGTCCGTCACCACCTGCTCCGACCTGCCCCGGGCCTCGGCGGCCGACAGCCTCTCCTTCCTCGCCCTGCCCGTCCAGCAGCCCGGCGGCGGCGGCGGCGGCGGCAGGGGGCACGTCAGCTACGTGCTCTTCGCGGGCGCCGAGCAGACCACCTGCTACGAGCTCATGGCCGCGTGGGGCCTGTCCATCGCGCTGTGCTGCCTCTTCGCCATCAGCGCCTTCGCCATGGCCTTTCTGTTCATCGGCAAGAGGCGTGCTGCTGCGGCGGCGGCTGCGGCGGCTGCGGGTCCGGAAGACGGGATGGACGCGGAGCTGCGCGACTTTGCCGGCCCGCCGGGCGGCAGCAAGGAGTTCGACGACGGGAGCAGCTTCCACAGCGTCCGCGGGGAGAACTTCCACATGGTGGCCCCTCCTCCTCCTCCTCCTCCTTCCGGACCGGCTGCGCCACCCGCGATCCACGTCAGCCGCCCCCAGACGCCCGTCGGCGGGTACGCCAGCATGCCCGAGCCGCATCCTGCTCCCGCGCCGCCACAGAGCTTCCGGGCCTAGGAACTCGGGGCGCCGCGCGCGGTAGTAGCAGCAGGAGGAGCAGAAGCAGAGAATGAGCGCGGCTGGAGAGGAGGCGTGGCGCCCGCGGCGGCGGTAGGGGCGTACCGCCGGGATGACTATTCCCGCGCCCCGCCGCCGCCGCCGAGCAGCGTGTACGACGACGACAGCAACGACGCGACACGGGACACCATACCCATCGCGCTTTCGTCGCCGCTGTCGAGCCACCCGCCCACCGACTTGCATCCTGCAACAACAGCAACTACTACTCCGAACGCGGCGCCCTTGGGCAGGAGCCTCACGGGCAGCAGCCGGTTCCAGGTGAACCAGACGCGGCAGCAGATAAACAACAGCCAGGTGAACGTAATCACGATCAGCAACGGCGCCGATAGACAGAGGAGGAACGACGAAGAAGGGGAGCAGCAACGGCCCGTGACGAGGGGCAAGGGCGGAGGCAGCAGCCGGTTCCGCGAGGAGCGGGACTCGGTGTGGCTGCGCCGCCTGGAGCGCAAGGACAGGAAGCCCGTGCTCGTGGTGCCGACGAGCCCCGTGGGCGGAGCGGCGGCGCTCGAGGTCGTGCCGCCGACGCCTGTGGCTGCGGCAGCCGAGAGGCCGAAGCGCAAGACCATCTTCGAGATCATCGAAGGGTGGTGGGACCTCGGCCTGCTGCGCGGCGGGACGGTGAGGGGCCGCACGGCGCCGTTCCCTGGTGGGAGGACCAAGCCGGTCCGGGGCGGTAATGACGCTGCTGGGTTTGTGTAATGGGCGTTGGTAATTACAGATTGGGACATGCTTTTGGGCTGGAGTTTAGTTATTAGTAATAGATCGGTTTAGAAACGGGTATCATCATAATGGAAATACGCCTTACCTTCATAACAGTCAATCGCTCAATGACCTTAGTCTGCTTGCATGCCAGGAATCTCTTCAGTTGGAAAGACTCGGAACTCTCCCACCTCACACCATGAGCACCTTGCGCCCGAGGACATTGAAGCACTTGACAAAGTCCCAGTCGGCGCCGCCCCCGCCCTGGGCCTCGATCTCGTCCCTCCGGGCCCACACGGCCTCCATGATGGCCAGCGCCTCCCTCAGCAGGCCGTACACGTCGAGCCTGCCCACGGCGGCCACGAGGTCCCGGAACGCGCCCTCCTCCTCCCGGGTCGCCAGGCAGCCCACGACGCAGAGCGGCCACGCGACGGTGCGCAGGCAGTGCGGCGAGGGGATCTCCTGCAGCAGGCTGCGGGCCTGGCCCACGCTCTCGCGCACGTCGGCGGCCTGCGGCTGCCAGCCGGAGATGACGACGAGGAGGTACGTCAGCGCGGCCTGGCCCCAGATGCGGCTGATGCTGGACACGGGCGGCATGCGCTGCTGCGGCAGGCCCGCGGCGGGCGTGAAGGGGAAGCCCGGCCCCGCGGACAGCGAGGTCCGCGCCAGGGACTCGGCGGCCAGGTCGGCGGCCGACTGCTGCGCGGCGTAGGCGAGGCGGGCGCGCAGCTCGCGCTCGATGGGGGCGGCGCGGCCGACGAGCTCGAGCAGCGAGAGGCGGCGCTGGGCGGCCATGTCGCGCTTCCAGGCGGCCAGGGCCGAGATCTGGCCGAGCGCCAGGACGACCCAGTTCTCGACGCCGACGAACTCGTCGAGGCGCAGGCGCGGGTCGCCGCAGCCGGGCTCGGTCTCAGTCAGCAGGTGGGCGTGGAACTTGGCGAGGCGCGGCGGGCGGTCGAGCGCCGTGCTCGAGACGACGTCCATGTGCAGCAGGACGGCCGTGTAGAAGCGCAGGGCCGACTGGTCCGAGTTGAAGGGCACCTTGTAGGCGATGTGCGGCACGAGGCTGCCGTGGTCCGACAGCTGGCCCATGATCTGGCACCACGAGGGGCCCGGGTCTGGCTCGTCGATGGTCGAGTTCTGGCGCACGAGCTGGTCGCAGAGCATGATGGCGGCGTCGAGGTGCATCGTCCAGTTGTTGCTCGTGCCGCCGGCGGCGATGGTGACCTCGAAGACGAGCAGCTGGATCACGCTGGCCATGACGCGCGCGCTCTCGGCCAGGTGGCCCCTGATGCCGCGGCGGTTGATGTCCTGGACGGCCGAGTGGAGCTCGCGCAGCGACAGCTCCTGCTGCTTCTGCAGCTCCGTGCCGACGGCGACCTGGCAGTGCGTGTGCTCCGCGTCCGTGTCGCTGCGCATGGCCATGGAGAAGAAGAAGGACGTCAGGCTGAGGGACGAGTGGAAGAGCGCCCTGCTGTTCATGAGGAGGACCAGCAGCCAGCCGCGGCCGTTGCTCAGGAGGGTGGGGCGGTAGAAGGGGTAGAGAAAGGGGAAGACGTAGTCGAGGTACATCATGATGAAGCTCGTGTCCCATTCCCGCTCGAGGCTGGGAGGGGCCAGAGACGCCTTTGGGAGCGCCCACTCGGTGTCCTTCTCCTGGCTCACCGAGGTCGAGGCGGGGCTGGGTTTCGTCTGGCCTGAGTGGTAGCCACCGTTGGACGAGACGGGAGTGGCGCCCGAGAAGGAGGCCTCGGACGCCGTGACCAGGGTGTACCCGGACTCGGGCCCGGAGTCGTCGGTGACGAAGCCGGCGGCCGTGGTGGAGGTCCTGGCCTCGCTGGCCTCGCTGGTGGCCCTGCCGTGGGTAGCGGAGGTGGAGGTGGAGGTAGAGACAGAGGCAGAGGCAGAAGCGGCAAGGGCAGGGCGGGCGGAGACGTGCTGCTCGCCGTCCGAGTCGGTGATCATCTCGATGTCCTCGGTGCCGTTGCCGATGCTCTGGTAGTAGCGCCTCTCGCGGCGCTGGGCGGCCCTGCGCTTGACCTCGGCCTTGAGCTTGTCGGCGCGCTCCTTCTGCCGGTCGCCGTTGTCCATCCACTCGGGCTTGGCGTCGCTGTAGAGGCAGTGAATCTCGAGGGCGGCGCACCCGGCGCAGACCGGCCGGCCCTCGTCGCACTTCTTGCGGCGCAGGCGGCAGGTCCAACAGCCTTCTGAGCTTCTGTGTTTGGAGTTCATAGCTGCTCTTGGTGTCATATGTTCACGCTCATAGTATTCCTTCACGATCAGAGAATCGAGGGTTCGTGCAATTTCTCTCATGCGCCGACGCCTACGAAGCAGGCTGGAGACAATGCGGTGGCGCTAGGTGCCACGGCGATTCAGTGGACTAAATTAGTCAGCCCAGAAGGTATCTCACACCGAGCTGTGCATCGGCGATTACAAATCCACCTTGGGCGACATTTTGTGCACCATTCGATAGACGCAATTCGGGTGAAACGATGTGACACCCATGATGGTAGCAATGTTTGCCTGGACACCTCAGAGGTTCTAGAACCGTGCTTTATCTTTCTGGCAGTTTTTTCCATCACAAATCATGTTGGCCGCGGACCGACACCAATTGCGAGTTGAGTAACTATTTACTGGGATATTGACCAGCTTTTGAGACCGCATTGTACGAACAACGACCAACGGCTCTTCCAGGTCAGCGGAACATCAGATGAGCCTGCCTAACAAATAGATCATGAGATCCGGGTATGCATATCTTGAGAACTGTAGCCATTCTCTTACGATGTCCAAATGACCAGGCGTACACAATGCACAGAAGTTGATTGACTGAGAGCCCTTTGTCCATCATGCAGAATGGAGAGCAGTAACGTCCCATGACTGGCACAAAGAGGCGTCTAAGCTACTCATAACAAAGACCAATCGTGGCCTCATGCCTTGAGAGAAGATCGGCCGGCCGTTTTCTATTAGTATTCACCACCCAAGATTTCAAGTCTTGGGTTTGTGTGTCTGGATGAGAGCGGCCGAAGCTCCACTACCTAATATCAACAACAAGAGACAGAATATCCCATATAAAGCTGTCGATGAATATGCCCTCTCAACTCCTTTACCCTGGGTTGCCGAAGCCACAGAATATAAATGCTGCTCCAGGCTCGATACGACCGCCTAATCCTGTAGCTGTAAGCCCGTGAGCACCTGACTCACAGTCTGTATTGTATGTTCAACAGCGAGTATACATGCGGGAACAGTGTGCACAGGATCAACTCTGCGGGCTGCCACATTAGTTTGATTTGGCCGTTCAAGGCAATCAGAGGGGAAGTGCACACCACTCGCACAATCTAGGGGCAGATATATGACGTTGGTATTGTTACACATATTTTGTGAGAGCAATAGAAAAATAATCTGGTCTACGGATGATTGGCACCATATGGTACCATCGACGTTGTATTCTGCGTGTGGAACATGGAAACTTAGAAAACGCCCTCCCATATATCACGGACAGTAAAACAACAATCTTAACTACTGGCAGCAGCAGCAGCAGCAACAGCAGGAGCACCCTTGAGATCCCCATCAGCAGCTGCATTCTTCTCGTGCGCCTGCTTCCACTCCTCCATCAGCCCAGCAAAGTCGGGAGGCAGGTACGGCGAAGTGAGCTCGGCGAAGAGGCCGGGCTTGCGATGCGTCTTGAGGCCCAGGTCCTTCATCAGCAGGTTCGTGTAGGGCACGCCCTCGAAGACGAAGTCGGGCAGGCTGGCGCCGTAGCCGCTGGGGTAGCGCCACTTGCCCCACTGGGTGTGCAGCATGATCTCGTCGATGACCTCCTGGCCCGACTTGGGCGCCCGGTCTAGCTGCTCGCCCATGAACGCCGCGATCCAGTGGCCCTGGATCGCCGCGACGGTCGCCGTGCTGACGCAGGAGATCATGCCGGCAAAGGCGAGGTTTCGCGACTCGATCATCGTGTAAGGGACGATGAAGCGGTAGTAGCGCAGGGGATCCGCCTCCTTGGGCACGAAGGCGAGCTTGGGCTGGTCCTTGAGGATGGGGAAGTCGCGGAGAACCTCGGCGTCTGCCTTCTCGGCAAGCGCCTTCTTCTCTGCCACCGTTCCGGGGAGGCCGAGCTGTTCCTCTCCGAGGCCAGCGAACTTGATCGTCGACTCTTTCTTCCAGCCCGTGGAGGCTACGAGAACATCCGACTCAATCGTCTCTCCACCGACGAGCACGACCTTGCGGGGCTCTAGGTGGTCGATGTTGTCGATGTGCACGCGGATCTTGCCCTCCCTGACGAGATCAAAGAATGAAGTGTCGTAGTTCAGGATGCTGAGACCGCTGCCGATCCAGAATGCCGAGTTCCACGGCTTGAGCTTCTTCAGCTCGGCATTGTTCTCATAGTTGATGGCAGTGGTGACATCGTTGCTCAGCACCTTCCAGAAAGACCTGACAATGAAGCGACCGAGAGCCGTGTTGTGAAGGAACCGCCGGATGCCGGGGTAGCCATCCTCGCCGCCCCAGGGGCAGGGACTCATCCAGCTCATGAACCGGACGTTGAGGATCTGGTCTAACCGCTTCTTGAGCGGAGTCACGAATGCAGGCGCAATCCACACCGGTCCGTGGCCGTTCGGGCGGACGATGAGGTCCACCTCCGCGCCCTGCTGGACCATGGCGTAGCACACGTCGTATGCCGACTTGGCGCCACCGACGACAGTCGCCCGCTTGACGTTCTTGAGAGTGGGCGCCTCCTTGCAGAAATCCTTTGCATGGAAGAAGGGCGCCTCGAAGTTTTCCGAGCCGCGGTAGGTCGGCATGTTGGGCGTTGATGTGAGGCCCGTGGCCAGGATCAGCTTTGCCGTGTCGACCTTGCGGCTCCCCTCGGGCGTCGTGACAGTCAGGCTCCAGCCCTTCTCGCCGTTCTTCTCGACGAGGTTGACTGCCGTGTTGAACTGGATGCGATCAAAGAAACCGAACTCTTTCGCGAAGTCTGTGAGATATCGGTGCAGGACCGCACCGGGGATGTGGTTGTTCGGCTTGACGCCGTACTTTTCTTCCGACATGGGAAAGTCGGGGAACTCATAGGTCCCAACCATGTTGTTGGACTTGAGGCCCGGATAGAGTCTGTTGTTTGACCACGTGCCACCACACGACTCAGCCGCTTCGAGCACGGCGATGTTGGCGTTGGGGTGCACCTGCTTGTAGGCTTTGGCAGCCGCCAAGCCAAACCAGCCTGGATCACGAATTGACAGATCAGTCTGCTGCGCCGCCAGATGCCTGATGACTGGATGCCCTTACCTGCGCCCACCACAACCGTATCAAATGATTCCGTCATGGCGATCTTTGTGCTATGAAACCCGCGAAACGACTTCAGAGGGCCAATGGCAATGGCGGGACGATTGGCGTTGATTTTTGGCTTGTAGACCAGGGTACCAGCTGGACGGAGAAACCGACGGACGGGGTATCGTGCGTAGAATGACATTTGCTACAACATAGCTTGGCCTTTGCACAGGGAATATGATCAAAGCCTGGATCTATCGCTCCCGTGAGGTCTTCGCGCAATGATGTTTGAAAGAGTAGGAAAATAGAGAAGAAGGGAGAGCAGGAGCGGAGAGGAAGTTCTTTTCCAAGCGGCTTGCAGCTGAGACGATCCAGTCCGTTATCTACCCCAAAGTGTCCAGTGCCAGGGTCTTGGAGCTAAGCCTTCACAGTCCATCTGGTTGGCTGAGAGCCAGATCTCCAAATAGCTTGCTAGCTAGCTAACTAGGTGGCCGTAGACAAGGGGCAATCCGGGCGTTTTCCGACGACCACCAGGGGCGGTTTCCGCATGGTCCTTTGCCGACATGTTTGTGATAAGCACAAGCTATCAGGTCTAAAACTAGCAGTCAAAGAACTGTACCGTCTGATAGCGGTAAGGTCCTGGATTGAAACGCGGGGGAGAGGCGCATGCATTCGGGACCTGGGGAAGTGAAATGGATGGCACACCGTCTCGAGCGCAACGCGCGGTTGGGACCCATAGCCAGCTATCTTACAAGTAGAATCCCTAGAAACGCGTTAGTGCTAACCCGACACAGTTCTAGTCTCCGAGACGGATGGAGCAAGATTTCCTGAGCCTGGGCTAGCTATCTATCCCACCATATTCCCAATATGGTGGTGGTGTCGGAAAGCGGACCTCTTGGGTTAGGAAATTCCGAAGGTGCACCGGAACCGCCGCTAAGCTCGGCCGGATGTGCCAAGAACACCCTGTCCAGGAGTATCACGACCTCTGGTTAGCGTTACGTAACTTGCTTCGTGCTTCTGACTTTCGCTAGGCCTTGGTCTTGGTGATAAAACTTACATAGAGCCAGTACCCCAGACCACCGAGTCCCTTTGATATGGTCTTTGGAGAGCGTCTGCAGCCTGCTTGGAGGAGGAGTCTCTTGGACTCAAAATAGAATGCTGACTGTTGGAGAATGCCTGCATGCGGGGTAAGCCTAGTTAGACGGCCCTTGGCCAGAACACATCCGGGATCCTTCAGGACCGGCGATCCTCCCGAAGACAGGGCCTCAACTATTGGGCAACTGCATCGCCAGGCTGTGGCATCTGCCGAATCGAGAACCATTGTCAACTTGCTGGTATGGTGTATTGCTGTTATGCCCAAACCATCGTCCATAATCCGTAGCCCGGCGTTTAGTTATGCGCTTGGGGTCTATCTGGCTGTGCTTATCTTCGTGCTGACCCGGACTGCTGGCCGTGTGGACCCTGAAAGATTAGAGGCATCCTGTACAGATAGATAGCAGAGATATCTCGGATGTCCACCCATCTATGGTTAGCACTGGTCTTTCTCTCCAAGAAGCCGACATGTCATTGAGGTGTCGGATGAGTTCAAGAGTTCGCCTTGCTGTGGCAAGTATGGGACACTGTCGGCGTGCCAGAGGACCCTCGGGTATTTCAAATCATTTGCTGCACCGTACCTCAGCCCTCAGCTGTCTGCGGGGGTGGATCTGGGGTACGCTCCCTGCCCTGTTGTCCGCGTGCGCTTCTGTCATAGCCCGAGCGGCAGGGTACAGGGCCAAGACCCTTAGCCGAAGCGCCTCGAGCTCGTGGCCTCCGGCTAGCTGCTCCAATTCGAGACCGTCTCTGACTAGGTACGCCTATCTCGTCCCCCCGCACGGATTGTCTCTAGCATGGAGTAGTAGCCAACAAGACCTGTTGGGTTGCATGGGGCCGGTGTGTGCGGTGATGAGGGAGGGGACACTGCTATCTTTGGCCTGGATGTAAACTTGGCATGATGCCAATGGACCGCCTCTTCTCCCTCTCTCCAATCCCTATTGAATTGACATATCAGACCTGAGAGACAACCGGCAAGATGCCTGAGCTCAGAGAAGGCCGAGTGGTGAAGCGCTCCAGCAATGCGAACAGCCACGAGCCGGCCAAGCGCCAAAGGGCGCCGTACGCCCTCCGGGCCTGTGACGCCTGCCGCAGGCGCAAAGGCAAATGCGACGGAGCGCAGCCCTGCGGCCATTGCGCCGGGCGCGGGCAGGGCTGCAGCTACAGCACGAGCCTGGCCTCCGATGAATGGTGGCTCGCCACCGTAGCGAGCGATGCCGCTGGCGATCGTGGTGAACAAACGCAGAACCTCCGTGCTAGTAAACGGGCGAGTTCGATCACATCGAGGTGGGGATCGACTGCCGCGCACGCATCGGCACATGGACCACACTGACAAGCCTGTAGCAGCAACACCAACACCCAAGAAGCCATCATGGAGATGATGTCGAACCTCCAAGGACAGCTCGACAGTCTTGCCTCTCATGTCCGGTCGTCCGGCCAGAATTCGAATGCTCAGCCGGCCAACCCGAACAACAGTGGCAGCGTCGGTGAGGGCTCGACACCGTCAAATGAGACCGAGGCGACACTGTCCGAGCACCTGGTCCGCCGCGCATCTCAGCACTTCTACGGGCCGACGAGTCCAGAATACAGTCTGAATGTCGCACAGATCAAACTGCGCCAGATGACATCCTCCGGCACACCTCTACAGAAGCAGCACCTGCAGCTTGCCAGCATCGACGACGACGCCGTTTCCGACCACGAAGACAGTAATGAGATCGACCAATCCACTCCCGCCGGCTCTCCGCAGAACCGTGACCGCGGCGAGAAGACGCGGCTCATGCGCTTCCGCTCCCTGATGAGCCTTCAAGAAGCGGTGCGGCTTCTATTCGTATACCAAGAAGTCGTCGGCGAATTCCACCCCATCATAGACATCGACAAGATAATGGCGCGGCTTCGATCGTGCTATGCCGATGTGGACCCGGCGCTCTGGGACTGTTCTCCTGGCCGGTCAGGGTCAACAACGGGAGACGAGGAGATCTTGATCCTCAATCTTGCCTTGGCGATTGCGCTCCGTGCCGAAGCGAAGTCGTCGACGCATGAAATGGAGGGCCAGATACGGGAAAGTTTTGAAGATTCTGTCAACAGCAGGATAGCTGCGCCAGTAACCAGTCTCAATGCCGTGACCATAACCCTCCTCAAGGTATGTGACATACGCTGTGTTGATCTAGCATGTAGTCAGGGCAGAATGACTTACGCCTAGCATCACAGGGGTTCTATGACTTCTTCTACGACATGATCCGCTCGTCCTGGCGGATGTGTGGTATCGCAGGGCGCATGCTCATGGAGCTTGGGCTTCATAATGGCGACCAGTCCAAATTCGTGGTCGACTCCGAGTCTCAACGCACAGATGTCTCTACCCTTGTGTGCAGCATCGTCATTCTCGACCGCCAGTGGAGCGCCTCGACAGGTTTACCAAAGAACTTTCAGGACTCGCACTTCGATCCTCTGCCGAAAGCTTCTGTAAGTCAACCGTAACAGGAAGTTCAAGAGATGCCAATTAAACTGACCTGGTGCATTAGATCAAGAACCCCTATCTCAAGGCCATGCTATCCTTCATCCTCATCAGCGACAAGTTCAACGAGCCAATATCCCAGGCTGCCAAAGGCGAGAAGTACAACGACGACGACGCATTCGAGGTGATGAACTTTCAGATCGAGCAGTGGCGCAAGAAGTCTGTCGGCGCGCACTGCCTTACCCAGGTAGACAGCTGGGCCTCGGATCCGTCGACGAGACCGCCGTCGTGGGCCATCCTCCTGACCCTCCGGGCAATGTCCATCCGCAGCCTCCTGCTCAAGCCGTCCTTCTTCTCCCAGCACGACACAGAGGCCAGCAGGAAGTGCCTCCGGCCGGCGATAGAGATCGCGTCGACCATGATCAACGCCCTGTACACCCTGGACACGACTACCGACATATACCGGAAGCAGCACCCGTACTACCAGCACTTGCTGGCCTCGGCCTCGGCGCTGGCCTTCCTCATCGTCGCCTCCATGGAGCAGAACCGGCATACGCGAGGGGTCAGCCTGCCTCCGGACCTGATCGAGACCCTGAACCGCACCACCGAGATGGCCATCACCCTCGCCGCGAACTATGCCAAGACGTCGAGGGCTTCGCGGAGGCTGCTGAAGAAACTGTCAGAGATGCGGGGGAGCCTGATAGGTCTCGGCATTACGCAGACACCCGCCACCCTGTCCCAGGAGAAGAGACAACCTCAAAGAAGGGAACAAGAGGCATCGCTGGCAAACACTTCCCGCGCGGTGCAGAGGAAAGCCCTGCCGCAACAACAAGCACTGGTTCCTTCGGGATCGTTCGAGTTCCGAGCCGAATTCACTCAGCCTTTCGACGTCAGCACCACTGCCCCAGCGTTCACAGGTAGTATGGCGCCGCTTTCTGATTTCGACTTGCAGTCAGGAGGCTGGGCCGAGTCGCTTTGGTTCCACTGGCCCCTTGGAGCCGACTCCAGCATGTTTCCTGAGCCTGGCACATAGACTGCCTGTGAGGGAGTTAATCGTATGATGGGTTAGTCTTGGTTTCAAGGAGCACATGGGGGTGTCAATTGAGCGTATCGAGTAATTGCTCGACCATAAATTGTCCATTGGGGGGGGTATTGGGTATTTCATGTTTCTTCATTTGTAGGCATCGCTTGCCGCAATATCGAGACTGTCTAGCTCGTATGCCGCACTCGAAGTGAAAAGATATCCACCTTTATGCTGCCGCTCCCATGCTTGCCTTTGGTACCTCTGATTCTGCGTCATGTCCGTCGTTGATCGCCGCCGCGGTGCGTCTGCGCGACGCGCTCCCCGCCGCCGGTTGTCGCTGGAAGCCCTCCCACCGCTCGAACCCGTCAGTATGTATACCCATGGAGTCCAGCATCCTGCCAGCCGTCTGGTCGACCAGGTCCTCCAAGCTCGCCGGTCTCGTGTAGAAGGCCGGGACGGGAGGGAAGATCGTGGCGCCCGCGCGGCGCAGGAAGAGCATGTTGTCGAGGTGGATGTCGCTCAGGGGCGTCTCGCGGACGGCGAGCACCAGCCTGCGGTCCTCCTTGAGGCTCACGTCGGCCGCGCGCGAGATGAGGTCGTCGCAGAAGCCCGACCTCACGGCGGCCAGCGTCTTCATGCTGCACGGCACGATGATCATGCCGTCGTGCTGGAAGGACCCCGAGGCGATGGGCGCCGAGAGGTCCTTGGCCGTGTACGTCTTGCTCGCCATGCCCCGGATCTCCGCCTCGCTCAGCGACGTCTCGTATTTCATCGTCGCGAGCGCCCACTTGCTGATCACGAGGTGCGTTTCGACCCCGAGCTGTCGTAATATTTCGAGAATGCGGATAGCGTAGACCGTGCCGGTGGCGCCTGTGATCCCTATGACAATCCTGCGAGGCCTCGGGGGCTCATGCCGGATATGCCGTTGATGGGATGTCGCATGGGCATCGTGTCGGTGCTCGCCGAACCTTGGAGCTGGGTGAGGGGTGTCGTGGTGATTCGATGCTGGTGGACGCGAAGACAGAGACTTGGTCGTGTGGAAAGCCGCCCTGCCCGAATGAAGCGTACGAGCTGAGCTCGACCCCCATGTCCAGATGGTTCTACGAAGACAAGGAGCATGCATTGTCACGTCTGTAAAGGCATCGTGACATATGGAAAGTCTAGGTGGTCTGCCTTTACATAGACCTTGAATGATATAATCTAGCTGCGGCACCCCTCACTGGTCCTGTACGCACCATGAGCGCCAGAAGACGGAATTGCACTTTCTCGGTACTTCTTGGAGGCGAACTTTGGCAGTGGAAGCTAGCTGGAGATAACACAGGCGCTGGTAGTGTGGAGATTCCGAAGGTCGGAATGTCCGTGAATGGGGGAAATCCCTCCCCACATCGGGACAAGATCCCCGAGGTACCAACCAGGTCGTCATACTGCATGAATAGTGTTAGATATGGCCGCGCTACCATGGCATTGTCCTTCTAAATATTTGGAGAGGGATGCCGATTTGTAGGTTGAGAGCTTGCATCTAGACGAGTCACCATGTCCCGGCTTGCCATCACCAGAGCTGCCGCGCTCACGGCCCAGCGTGTGAAAGCAGTCAACGCATCCAGCACAATTGGAATTTCGGGGTATCGTCAGAAAAGTACACTCGCTTCTCAACCTGAACACATCGCAGCACAGCTCGATTTCCGCACCTTCATCGATGTTTTGCGCAAGGACGGCGATCTTGCCGAGATCAACCAGGAGATCGATCCTCACCTGGAAGTGGGCGCTATCGTGAGACGGGTCAGCGAGGTCGACGGCAAAGCTCCACTGTTCAATAATGTGAAGGGAGCCAAAAATGGGCTGTGGAGGATGTTCGGCAATGCTGCAAGCCTGAGGAGGTCAGAGGACCAAAGGTATGGACGCATTGCCCGTTCTCTGGGCTTGCCTCCTAATGCAAGCTGGAAGGCCATCCTGGAGAGGAGTCAGGAAGGCAAGGCGCGTCCCCCATTACCTCCCCGCGTCGTGTCGACGGGCCCATGCAAGCAGAACAAGATATCCGGCGACGACATCGATCTCCACAAGTTGCCGGCACCCATGCTGCATCAAGCTGACGGCGGCAAATACATACAATCATACGGAGTCCACGTGTTAACGACACCCGACGGCTCATGGACAAACTGGTCAATATTCCGCGGGATGATCCACGATAGCAAGCGTCTCGTCTGCCTCGTTGGTACCGGACAGCACAATGCCATCATCCGGGAAAAGTGGCTGAAAGAAGGCAAGACCGAGATGCCGTGGGCATTGGCTTTCGGTGTCCCACCTGCTGTCAACTTGGCCGCTGCGTGTCCGATCCCTGAGGGGGTCTCTGAAGCCGAATTTGTCGGTGCAATGGTCGGGCAACCGCTCGAGGTGGTGAAGTGCGAAACGAATGATCTCATGGTACCTGCAAACAGCGAGATCGTCTTTGAGGGAACCACCTCCCTGATTGACAAGGCGTACGAGGGCCCGTTCGAAGATTACCAGGGTCTTCACTTTGATGACGACAAGCACTTGCATCCCTTGTTTACTGTCAACGCTATCACCTACCGTGATGATGCAATTATGCCGGTGTCTGTTCCCGGAAGGATCACGGATGAATCAGTGAGTTTTTGCGTAGACATCACTCCGGTGGCATTGGAGCTCTGCTGACTTTAGCCATAGCACACAACGGCATCAATGGCTTCGGAAGAACTCTTGATGCTTTGCAGGAAACACGATCTCCCGATCGCTGACGCCTTTGCTCCTCTCGAGACCATGGCAACATGGTGTGCTTTGAAAGTGGATGTCGACAAGCTCACCGCACTGAACACTACCTCTCAAGAGTTCTGCGAGAAGCTAGGCCGCATACTGTTCAACGACAAGAGCTCCATGCTGATCAATCGCATTCTGCTATTCGGATATGACGTGGACATCCGCAACTTCAAGGACATCATGTGGGCGCTGGTCACGAGGTGCCGTCCAGGCCAGGACGAGTATGTTTTTGAGGATGTCCCGGGGTTTCCTCTGACCCCGTACATGTCTCACGGAGGAGGCAACCCGAAGATGGGAGGCAAGGCTATTTCCGACTGCTTATTCCCCATGGAATACAAGGGAGAGAGGTCATTCAGAGGCGTGGACTTTGAGAGGAGCTACACTAAAGAAGTGAAGGACCGGGTCCTTGCAAACTGGACGGCTATGGGATTTGAGGAAGTGTAAGCAAATAATACAGTTACGATCCTATTGGTATAGCTATAGATATAGAGAAAGTGATTCAAACACAAGTGTGGACTTTCCTAGAAAGGTGGGGATGAACGACTCTTATATGCTGATCTCTAGTTCCTTGTCAGTCATTGCCAGTGCCAAATCGTTGCCCTATGATTTCAAAACATCTAATTACCCCGCTTGAGGAGTCTCTACAGTGCAGTATACTGAGGTCACAACAACCAACGTTTCTGCATCAAGGCACGCAAGATGACAAAGTCCATTTCAGCAGTGGAGCTTGCGAAGCATGATAAACCAGATAATGTCTGGATCGCCGTTGATGGTCAGGTGTACGATATGACAGAATTCGCGCCAGGGCACCCTGGAGGAGCCGAGGGTAAGGGAACACTTTGCCAGCTGGACAACTTCAGCAGCTGAATACTTTACAGTCATATATCAGCATGCAGGTAGTGACGCATCAGCGGCATACAACGAGGTTCATGCGCCTTCACTGATTCGCAAGGCCCTCGAGCCTCAGTGCCACATTGGCTCTCTGGACCCGAAGGATCTGCAGAAATTGAAGGACGACTCGCCTGACATTTCAGCTACAACACCTTCAATGACAGAGACACAGGCACGTCCGGACCTGAACTCAATCATTAATCTTGACGACTTTGAAGCGGTTGCATCGAGGTGTCTCTCCAAAAAGGCAATGGCTTTCATCAGCAGTGGATCGAACGACAACATGACGAGAGACGCCAACAGGTCCATCCTGAATCGCATATGGCTGCGACCCGAGGTCATGCGGGATGTGACCAAGGTTACGACAGCAACCAATCTCTTCGGCGTCGACTTGGACTTTCCTGTGTATATCGCGCCTACTGGTGCTGCAAAGACTGGAGGTGCCGAGGGTGAGCTCACACTTGCCCGTGGGGCGGCAGCCAGCGGCATCGTGCATTGTTTTGCGACGCCGTCCTCATATCCTTATAGCGAGATACTGGAGGCAACTCCTAAGCACTGCTTCTTCCAGCTTTATGTCAACAAGGACCGGAGAAAGTCCGAAACGGCCATCCGAGAAGCTGTTGCCTCGGGCAAGGTGAAGGCTATACTGGTCACAGTCGACGTCCCTGTGATCCCCAAACGCGAGGCAGACGAGCGTGTCAGATCATCCGCACCCATGGCACTTGCTGGAGTCAACGTCTCTATCACCGCAGGTGACAAGAAAGGTGGTGGACTGGCTCGGCAAGCAGCGTCTTTCATTGATGCGAGCATCGACTGGGATATCATCACCTGGCTTCGAAGTCTCTGTTCCTTGCCGATATTGGTCAAGGGGATCCAGACAGCGCGTGATGCCAAGACTGCATTCCTGAAGGGCTATGATGGCATCGTCTTGAGCAATCATGGCGGTCGAGCAGCGGACCATGCACCACCAGCAATTCTCATTCTCCTAGAGATACAGAAGAACTGCCCGGAAGTCCTCGAGTCTATGGAGGTGTTGATAGACGGCGGCTTCCGAAGAGGCGCAGATGTGGTGAAGGCCATATGCCTGGGTGCTTCTGTTGTTGGACTGGGCCGCCCTTTTCTCTACTCGCTTACTTATGGCCAAGAAGGAGTTGAACATGCGATCTCAAGTAGGTTTTCCCACGGCTTTCTAAGAAAGAGTCCACAGCTAACCGAGACCTTTCGGCAGTCCTTCGCGACGAGGTCGAGACTGCTATGCGACTATGCGGCATGACCAACCTCATGCGAGACGCACACCCACGATTTGTGAATACGCTAGACGTTGATCATCTAGTACCACAAGAGAATCACCCTTATGCAACAAAGATTGTAAGAAGGAGATCGCGACTTTGAATTTCAAAGAAAGGTAACTAGATTAGCAAGCTTAGGCTCATCTGGAAAAATCAACATGCATAAACGCCCAGTATTAATATGATGTAGAAAATCCAATCCTATACAGAATCACTCCATCCAGGTGACTGTCTTGTAGTACAGGAATTCATCCAGTCCCTGGTATCCGTTGAAGCGACCGAATCCGCTCTTCTTCACGCCTCCATGCGGAAGGGGGTACTCATCATGGACCGTCATGGAGTTGATGTGCACTGCTCCCGACTCCAGTCCGTCGGCAACGCGGAATCCTGCACCCAGATTCTCCGTGAATACGGCCGCCGAAAGGCCATACTCGGTGTTGTTTGCCAGTTCGACCGCTTCTGACTCTGTCTTGAACGTGAACAGAGATACGCTAGGGCCGAAGGACTCATTCTGATAGAGGTCCATGTTCGTGTCAACGCCCGTCAGAACAACAGGCTTCATTCTCGTCTCTACCTCGCCTTCACTGAGCCCCTCCAAGAGAGGCAGAGGCTTCGCACCCTTACTCGTGGCGTCCGAGACGAGCTTACGGTTCCGTTGTGCTGAAGCAGCAGTTACTAGTACGGGTGTTGTTTCTGCAGATCCAAATACCCGCTGTACTGTCTCGCTGAGGACCTTTTGGAACTGGGCAGCGATCGATTCATGCACCAGAATGCGCTCCGTCGACATGCAGATTTGGCCAGCCTAGGGCGACGAGTGTTAGCATCTGACTTCAGCAAGGTTGCCAGGTCGCTCTGGGACTTACATTCATGAAAGCGCCCAGCGCGCAGTGCAGAGCAGCCTTTTCCAGGTCGGCATCTTCCAAGACGATAGCGCTCGCCTTACCGCCGAGTTCCATGAGCACCGGCTTGAGGTGTTTGCCCGCTGTAGCCGCGATGATGCTGCCGACCCGTGTACTGCCAGTGAAATTGACCTTTTTGACATGAGGATGAGCAACGAGGCTGTCGATGATTGTGGGCGCAGCGGCAGGGGAGTGGAATATCAGATTCAAGCAACCGTCAGGGAGCCCGGCCTGTCGAAAGACGTCCGCAATACCCCAGTAGCATCGTGGCGTGAATTCAGCGCCTTTGAGAATGGCGGTATTGCCAGTTGCCAACGCAAAAGTGACCGAACGCAATCCAAGATGGTAAGGGGCGTTCCTGAGACGTCGAACAGCGGTATTAGGAATGAACTACCAGACTGCAGGCTGAATAGGCAACTTACCATGGAGCAATGCCCAAGTTGACTCCATAGGGCCGCTTCAGGACCATGGCCTTCATCCCTTTATGATTCGACTCGGGAATCGATCCCTGAACCGCGCCAGCGATTCTGCCAGCGGTGTCTTTGAGTCCGTCGATCGACAGACCCAGGATGAAGTCTTGATAGTCCTGATTCGCGCCAATTTCATGGTGCATGTAATCGCCGAGCTCTTCGCGTCGCTTATTCATGATATCAGCCGCCGCAAGGAAGATGTCACGTCTCTCTGACGCTTTCGTTCGCGACCAGGCCGGAAAGGTGTCGTGCGCATTTTGAACAGCATTTTCCACATGCTCCTTGGTCGCACATGAAAGAGACCAGACCTCCTTGCCAGTCAGCGGACTCGTGACCGGGAAAGTTTCGGTGGTCTCAACATCTTTGCCGTTGATGATGAGAGGAATCGTGACATTCGTCGAGAGGGGCCGGCGACCCAGCCCTCGACATTGTTGTGCGTTGAGCCAGCGGGGCCGACTTGTTCGTGGGATTATGAGCCTGTTCATGCTGCAGGTTCAACTTATGTATTAGCTCTGCAATGACGAAGCCGCCAGAATGAAACACCAGGTTGAAGGACGATCAGATATAAGCCGAAGGGTTGCTCATCACAGTCTCAATATTGGACTTTCATGCAAGCATCTTGCTCATCACTTCTGGAACTTGGGGAACTAGGTCGCTATAGATAAGAGCCTTGGCACCCCTGAGGTCTGGGGCCGGCTAGGGGACCCGGCCTATTGATCCGTTGGCAGGGTGTTCCGGTGCGGCCTGATCGGAAATTCCGCGAGCATACTCATGTGCTAAACTAGTCCTACACATCTAAATCTTCAAGAGGAAATTTCTCTTTTAGGGATCACATAACAGTCCAATATGAAATACGAATCTTGTGGTTGATGATTTCCTCTCTCGTGAGAGGGCCGGTGCCGCCCTGGCTCCGCCATGTGCACTGGGTGCGCAGTGGTTCATAATCTTGGACAGCATTATTTTGCCACCCGCCTAACCTTGACACACTACTAAACATGGGCATGGACATAGGTGCAGTAAAAATGCAGCCGGCTGCTATACTTTTTAAACAAAGCAAAAAATGTTTGATGTTCTGATCCTTGATTTTCTTGAATGTGGTTACGATCAGCCTTTAACAGACCGTTTAAAGCTTAATTATGAATTTAAATTCCGATTATAAATGATAGTCTGTAAACACCTATTTGCTGCTGTCTATGAACTTCCAAAACGAAGATGAACACTGACGTTAGCACTGAATGGTGTAGCTTTAATTTCATGATTGATTGGCCTATATCGCTGTCGGAACAAATCTGCCTGGTCGTATACCCAACGTGATACGAACGAGGCGTCTTCCATTGTAGAGAGCCTTGAGTGACGTAGGAGGCGGTCTGCTGACGTGTTGGATGAAGTGAGTGAGTGCTGTACAAAACCCAGCCTGTGTGGCTCTCAAGCTGTAGGTTGGGAGAACCAGAACTAGACTACCTTACCAAAGAAGAATTTCCAGATTGCTCAATTTTCCGAAATACCCTCTCCTCGGTACTTATTATATGATGTCCGTAAGCAATGTCTATGGACAAGGCGAACCAAAACAGGGATGGACATCATCTCCTGATAGCAGAGGAACACTTGACATCCTCTGGGGCTCGTCGATGACTTCGTTCCTTTGCTGTTGGTCAATTCTCTGCATCAATGTCCCTCCGCGAGAAGACTCAAGGCGAGTCGTCCTCACTCGGAAGCTCCTCATGGCCTTGGCTACTTTATTTGCCCCCGAGTGCATCGTTGTGGTCGCATTTGGACAATATCTCTCAGCCCGTCGATCTGTCAAGGACTTTGCAGCTGCAGGAATCAGTCACTGGACGATGCGTCACGCGTTTGTTGCTGATATGGGTGCCTTCCTGCTTCAAACCCCTGACTGGCTTCCATTCCCCGTTAATGCACAGCAACTTTTGTGGCTTATTCAGCACAATTACATTGAAATTCCGCGACAACAAATCCAATCCATTATTGATAAGAACAAGGCCGATGGGTTTATGCGTCTTATCATGGCAGCACAAACAATATGGTTTTGTGTAAACATCGTTGGGAGACTCGCGCAAGGCCTTGCCATAACGGCTATTGAGGTCACTACCGTTGCGTTTATCTACTGTGGATTATCCATCATGTTCTTCTGGCGGCACAAGCCTGCCGGCGTTGAAACTGTTGAGATATTACACAGCCGTGCGAGTCTAGCAGATATACTCATAGCTGGGGGGGATGCTGCGCGCCATCCTTACTACGAGACACCACTGGACTTTATAAATCGCAAAGAATGGGCGTGGTCCAAATATCTAGCACATTGCAGACAGGCGATTTCTGGCCGTTTCAAAGCCCATAGAAAACCTGCGAACCATATTAGCAGTTTGACAACTCCGGAAATCCCGTTTAATTTGTTTCGCCTTGGGACCATCGGTGTCATGGGGTATTGCTGCCTCTTTATTCCGCCTTGGAACTCGAGCTTTCCTACATTGGAGGAGCAGCTTTTGTGGAGGGTTTCGACGGTGGGCTGTCTAGCATCACTAGTCACAATGGAACTACTCACCGACTGGGTTTTCTACCTGTGGCCCGCCATCCAAAGAAGATGGAGGACTAGTAGAAGGCAGTCAAATCGCGAACGCGAGCCAACGGGTGATTCAGGTGTCCGCCGAGCGCACGAGATTTCAGCGCAAGCTGGACAACAGGCCCCGACCACGATGCTATGGAATAGATTGAGGAACAACTCACCTTCTAAAGACCCGGATTTAGCTATTCCATTGAAAGTGGTTGTCGCTTTATGGGTCTCCGGGTTAATCTACACCGTCTGCCGAGTCTACATATTAGTCGAAGACTTTGTTGAGCTTCGGGCACTCCCGGCCAGTGCTTTCAAGACGGTGGACTGGTCTCAAGCTTTTCCCCATATGGGTTAGTTAGGGCGACTATAAGTTATGGAATGTTCCTCCTGGAGGGGGGCTTAAACTGACCGTGAACATCACGGGCGACCCGACAGGGGGTTCACTGACTTGGATTCATGTTTTATTTCATCTATCTTGAGCTCAGAACGCTTCATCCAGTCCAGAAACTCTGTGGGGTCTTGTTTTGGCAACTCAGAGCTTTCGAGTACTGCCGAACCAACATTCGGCTCCCCGACCTGGTCGCGATTTCAAGCAAACTATTCTTTTCGTCGAACCTCTCTAGGACTGGGTATCCTCCTTTGATAGCTAGCCTCAGAAGCTCGACTTGACCGTTCAAACTAGAGTCATCATGATCACCAATTTTAGTCCTTTTTCTCAGCCACTCCAAGGAACCTCGGCAAAGCTCCAGAGGTTTTTCAGAAATTGCTCCAAAATCATCTTGCAGTACTTCAGCTTATCGAGACGTTTTTGAGTGCTCTCAAGGTACTTTAGAAGTGATTCGAACAACCCGTGCCATGGGTTGTGGCCATCAGAGGAACAATTGTCTAGGAGTAGCGCTGAAGTCGCCACGTCACCCCTTTGAATGGACTTGCTCAAGTAGCTGCGTAGATTGTCACGCCACTCATCCGCGAGCTCAGTCCCTTGAATTGTCAGCTCGAGTATGTCAGAATGGCCGTTGTTCATGGCCACCTGTGCCGCCCTGTAGGCTTCGAGATCTCTGATGCCAAAATCGGCAGTCCTTGTAGCCTTAAGAGACTCCACGGTTTGGATGTGCCCATTTTGGGCAGCTTGGTATAAAGCAGTCCGAGGTGCTCCATCTTGAGAATCCACTTTCCGCCCTCAAGCATGTTCGACGTCGACGAGCAGGTCTACCATGTGCTGTTTGCCGCTACCTGCTGCGTTACCGAGTGGACAGGACGATCGGCCGTTCTCATCCACTGCCTTGACCTCCGCCCCGTTGGTCAATAAGCACTTTGCAGCAATGTGATTGTTGTTTTAATTGGAACATGTCAACATTACTCAGCTTCTATTGCTCTATCAGAATTTGTGCAGTGAGCATCTTTACTATAGTACAGTGGTCACCACGACCCCTTGAGTCTGACCTCAAGAATCGCAGAGACGCCAGCCTGAACTTGAGAGATCGCCTCAGGTAACATGCGAGCGAGATCATCTACTGTCGAGACCACCCCAGCCCAAGCCTTTCCTCCAGACGCCTCCCTGCCTATGCCTGCAAAGTTTGGCGTCGGGTCGAAAGATATGTTGAGTTCCTCATTAGAGATCTTTGACCCGTACCCGTCTGGGTGTACCAGAGTCAACGAGTTGCGAGGCGCATTCCAGCCTAGCTTTTCATCAGTACATGCTCATCATATTAATGAGAGAAAGCTTACCCTTGTTGCTCAGGACTACAGTCAGAGTTGGCAGACCGTATCTCCTGGCGACCCAGTACACCGTCCCGGGTACCCCGAACAGGTATGTACCGTCACCGACAATGAGAGTGACGAACTTTCCTTTGCCAGCGCCGCCGGCCTGGAAGTCGCTGGCAAGTTTGACACCAAGCGATGCACCGGCCGACCAGCCGAGACCACCGCCTCCGCAGTTGAGCAGGTGGCCTGGTTGATCAACCTGGAGCTGCTCGTAGATGAATGGCGCATTCGTCACGGCCTCCAGACAATAGATCGTATCCTGAGGGCAGGCCTGGCGGATCTGAGAGCACAGATACGATGTGCTCGGTGACGAAGATCGATCGGCAGGTGTCTCTGCGAGCTTGGCAGCTTTGTCGATGATGGCTTGGTGGGATTTCTCGAGGTCTATCCACCGCTGGCGGTAAGGCTCAATCTCGGCAAGTTTTGAGAAACGAGGATGCGTGGCGATATAAGCGTTCAACTGGAGGAGAGCGGTTTCCGAGTCTGCACGATACCTCCGGAAGGCTGGGATGTAGTGCAGTGGCATATTCTGCTTCAGGGGATCTACATCCACATGGATGATCTTGGCATCAGCGCGAGGCTTGCACTGGGTGGGGATCCACGGGACATCGCAGTCGATCACTAGGATCGCATCAGCCTGTTTGATGGACTCGTGGCGGCCGATTCCGACCCCGAGGAAAGCTCGGTGGCTCCAAGGGAAGCAAACATCGCTTCCAAGGCCGTCTAGAACCTGAACGCCGGGAATCGCCTCTGCAAGCTTGACCAGCTCCGGAACGGTCGCATGGTTACGACCCGTATATCCTGCAATGATAAGAGGATTCTTCGCTTCGGCCAAAAGAGATACTATCGTCTCCAGTGCTTGGGGCGGCAGTCCTGTAGGTGAGATGTTGTCCCAGACTTCCTGATCCAGATGATACGGTTCGATTTCCTCCTCCATCACTTCGCGGGCACCGACGATGTATGCCGGGCCTTTGGGGTCGCTAGTGGCAAACTGGAGCGCGCGGTTCAAGACCTGTTTGATGTTCTTGCCCGTCTTGAATTCCCCACTGAACCGGCAGAACTGAGAGACGATCTGTTTCTGATCCGGTGCATCTTGCAACCAGTGGATATACTCCGTCCGGGAACCGCGCATCTCACCTTCCAGCGTGAAGGGAGACAGGCCGGCAAAGACCAGGACCGGACACCGTCCCACAGAAGCGTTGTGCATTGCGCACCCCAGGTTCTGCGTTCCGACATCCACGTGAACCAGGACACATTGGGGCTTCCCCGTCACTCTCGCGAAGCCGTCGGCCATGTTCATGGCGACCATCTGCAGAAGGGCCTGTAAGCCTCTGTACTCGGAACAGGGATGCCGAGCTTACCTCATGGGGGCATGTGATGACCCTGGGGAATTTGACGCCTTTAAGGTAAGCACCGTGAGCCAGGGCCTCCATGATGGCCGGATGGTCCGACCCCAAGTTGACGAAGACATGCGTCACACCGGCCTGTAGTATGGTGAGCAAGACATTGGAGCACTTGATGTCGTGGGGGCACCAACTTCCCAGAGCCCTTCAAAGAAGGCAAAGGATGCCGAGTACTTCTCACTTGAAACAGAATTAGCCCAAGTATTACCATGCAATCATGCAGGAGAAGGTTAACTTACAGGTTATGCATTTCTGTACCAGCTGGAAGGGGCAGAGCTTCGTTGGTTGTTGCACGTGCAAATGAAGGACAACGATTGACAATCAAATTCAGAGGCTCTTGATTTTGTAACATGCATGCTCTCTAGTTTCTAAGGCCAATCAGAGCGACCTGCCCAGACCTGTACTTCTATTGCCTACTTCGGGAATGGAGCTGGCCTGAAGTCGGAGGTGGGACCAATTCAACGGAGGTTCCGAAATACCAGAAATTAGTCATGTCGGCTGTGAACCACCGCCGAAGGCCGGATACGGTCATTGAAAAACAGCCTTCCGAGATAATCGCAGGTGCCGGGCCGGGCCGCAAAGCATGGCAAGTTGATAAGGATATGGCATCGTCTGGTTGCACAGAGAATACCATGATATCGTACCAAACACCAGCCGCAAGATCTCGCCCGAGTATTCTTCCAACAGTCGTCTATGCCAAGGCTGTATGTGTCTCTATGCGGCATCTAGGTGCTTTGTATATCTAACTTGAAATTCTACTGTTACCATGCATTCAGACTTTTGCAAGACATAAGGCGCTGGACTGGAAAGAAGCGTTGTATCATTAGCTCAACAGTGGACCGGCTCCAAGACTTGCGGGTTCTCTGGGTGCTTGTCCGGGGCCAAAATTTCACAGTCATGAGCATCCAGACATGATCTGGCACGTGAGCTTTGCAAAAGAGCTTCATGTCAATATTTCGAGGACCCATGATCAATCTCAGGCGCAGCAAACGCTAGCTATAGTGTGTGTATGAAAGGCATGCTTGCTTTCCGTGACGGTTCCGATGCTCGTTCCGTGTTCTGTTCCGATTCCGGAGCTGCCACCCATTGCTGTCGCAACTCACTAGGCGGCGTCAAGAGATGAAGGAACTTCCGTGAGAAGGAAGTAGACGAGATAAGTTTCGATAGAAGATAGAGAGGGTGAAATTTCATACAGAAAAATAACAACCATTCTGTGTGCATTTGTAGTCAAGGGTTCAAGGGTTTTCATTCGTACCGGCCTTCGGCAACGAATCGGGGTAGCGGCAAACTACACTTGGGCCCCTTGTCATCGAGAAGGTAATTGAAGATAAGCATATCTATCAGGATGGATAGATCTATGATATGACGTATGTTTGGCCATACGTAGATAGCAGTTAGATAGCAAAGTCCATGTTGAATGCCGATACTTCCCAAAACAACGTACCTCTCTATCCTGGTAGTCTACCCGGCCAGTGGGGAACTCGGCGGAAGAAGCACCTAAGAGCCCCCCGCTTACCCGCTGGCCGATCTCACTAACACCACACTACATGGGTGCGCTATCTCGAGCTTGCACAGCAAGGTGACAACCTCGGTCGAGAAACTCCAATCGATAACCAAAAACTTCAAGCTCTTTTTTGCCTTTTTCACCATATTCCCACGACGTCATCTTCTATTCCTCAAGGAATCCACACTCAAACACCCGACCTTCTCTCCTCAGCATCACGAACTACCAACCACCTACCCCTCACCAAAGATGGCAGACACCCTCGAGGACGTGCGCCCCCTGTTCGAGCTCCGCGGGCGGAACTACATCGTCACGGGCGGCGCCCAGGGCATCGGCTTCGCCTGCACGCGCGCCATCTGCGAGATGGGTGGCAACGTCGCCGTCTTCGACATCCAGGAGAAGCCCGTGCCCGAGTTCGACGGGCTGGCCGCCAAGTTCGGCACCAGGACCCTCTACGTGCGCACCGACGTGACCAAGGAGGACAGCATCCGGGCCGCGTTCGACAGGGCCCTGGCCGAGTTCGGCTCGATCCACGGGTGCGTGCCCGCGGCGGGCATCGCCATCGACAAGCCCTTCCTGGAGCAGACGTGGGACGAGTTCACGCGCATCCAGGACATCAACGTGAGAAAGGCCCGGATCCCACACTGTCTATCATGTGATTGAGTCCCCGCCCCCCTTTTGCTTACAAGAGACAACCTCCTCCTCTAGGTACGAGGGACGTTCTTCGTCGTCCAGATGATCGCGCGGGAGATGGTCAAGCAAAAGACCGGCGGCAGCTTCGTGCTCCTGGCCTCGCAGTCGGCGCACATCGCGCTGCCGGGGTACCGCATGGCGGCCTACAACGCCTCCAAGGGCGGCGTGCTCATGCTCTCCAAGGCGCTCGCCGTCGAGCTGGCGCCGCACGGCATCCGCGTCAACACCATCTCGCCGGGCTTCGTCGACTCGGAGATGACGCGGACGGTGCGGGAGCTCAAGAGCAAGCGCGAGGGCGAGCAGATGTGGCTGGCGCCGCCCAACCAGCGCCTGAGCAACCAGAGCGACCTGACCGGCGCCGTCGTCTACCTGCTGAGCGACGCTGCGCGGCATACGACCGCGGCCGACATCCAGATTACGGGCGGTCTTCACGCCGGGACCATCGATGGGTTGATTAGTTACGAGGCCAAGTAGACACATCAAGAACAGATGAAATACGTCATCGAGGCTGAATATTTATGCATGAGATAGTATGATTCGTCTGTGAAGAGAGCTGTCTCAGAAACAGTGAGAACCGCCCCGACATATGCCAGCAAAGTAAACGCCATGCCAATGCTCAGTTTTGTGGTACAATGTAATCAGAGACATGAACTCATCATCATCAGCCTTCCTTGACACCCCCAGCAGGCGCAGGCGCAGGCGCGGACTCCGCATCCCGCGCCGCCTTGTCAGCCTTGTCGGCCTTGGCGGCCTTGTCGCTCTCCCTCGCCTCCCTCATCCCCTCCAGGCCAGTCTTGTGCTCCTCGTGCTCCTTGCTCAGCTTGCGCTGGCCCACGAAGCACGCGATGACGAGGCCCAGCGCCGCAAAGGCGACGTACATGATGAACATGGTCCGCAGCGCGTCCCAGTACGCCGCGCGCGCCTCGTCCCCGGCGGGGCCCTCGAGCTTGGCCACGAGGCCGACGCTGGCCGCCGCGTTGCCGCCCGAAAGCAGGCTGGCGACGTCCGGGCCCAGGTCCCGCAGCAGGCGCGGGTACTGCTTCTCCATGCCGTTCTGGAAGACGACGCCGCCGACGACGACCGAGATGGACGTGCTCAGCTGGCGGATGAAGCCGAACGTGGCCGTCGCCGAGGCGATGTCGCGCTGCTGCACGAGCGTCTGCAGCGCAATCAGGGGCGCCTGGAAGTTTGGCCCCACGCCGATGCCGGCGACGATCTGGTAGAGGATGATCTTGGGCCAGTTGGCGCGCGGCTCGAGGTCGACAAACAGGCCGTAGCCGAGGGTCATGAGGACGAAGCCGAAGATGATGGGCGGGAGGTACTTGCCCGTCTTGCGGATGAAGACGCCCGTGCCCGCGCTGGTGATGGCCAGGACGACGGTGAAGGGCAAGATGTAGGCGCCCGAGAGGAGCGGCGAGGCCTTCAGGACGGCCTGGAAGTAGAGCGGGAGGTAGTAGCTTGCGGAGACGAAGACGTAGCCGTGGCAGAAGGAGCAGGCCAGCGCGGCCAAGGCGTGCAGGTTGCTCAACAGCCGCAGCGGGATGAGCGGGTAGGCGGCGACCTTCCACTCGATGAGGGCGAAGATGCCAATAGTCACGACTCCAAAGACGATGAGGCAGACCACAATGGGGGAGCTCCACGGGTGGTCCACGCCTCCAAACGTGAGGCCGAGCAGGAGCATCAGTGTGCCGCCAATGATGGCCAGACTGCCGAGCCAGTCCACGGCCTTGAGGCCCTTCCGCATGGGCGTTCGAGGGTTGTGCAGCTTCAGCACAAAGAGGAGGACGGCAAAGCCCGCTCCCGAGATGGGCAGGTTAACGTAGAAGCACCAGCGCCAGGTGACCTTGTCCGTGAAGACGCCACCGAGCACGGGGCCGATACCGCCAGCGACGGCCCACACCATGCCCATCATTCCCAGATAGATGCCTGTCAAACAATGTCAGATTTGGTTTTCCTACAGCCCTGCACTTCACCACCATCGTCTGCGGAGGACTAGACCTACCTCGCCTGCGCATGGAAAACAAGTCGCTGATGCACACGTTCACCAGCGTCACGATGCCACCGCCACCGATGCCTTGCACCGCCCGCGCCACGATCAGCATAGCCATGTTTACGCTGACGGCTGCCAACAGCGAGCCGACCCAGAACACACCGACCGCCAGCAGGAGGATCTGCTTGCGGCCCCAGATGTCGGATATCTTGCCCCACGACGGCGCCGAGGCCGCATTGGCCAGCAGGTAGGCACTGCCGATCCACGTGTAGCCCGCCGTGCTCTGGAACTGCTCGGCGATGGTCGGGATCGCGACGGTGACGATGGTGACGTCGAGGGCGGCGAGGAAGAGGGCCGAGGCGAGGGCGACCATGATCAGCGTGGTCTCGAGTTTCGTGCGACCTTCCTCGGGGTGGGCGGCCGGTGTCTTGGCCTCTGGAGCCGGCGCCGGGAGCGTGTCGTCGGCGATCGGTTCGGCACGCGCCTCCTGCGCATCGTTGCTCAGAGTCTCGGCGCTGTCCAGGTCGGTTCCCTCGCCGCTATGACTGTGGGTGCCGGCCGTCTCCTTGTCCAGCATGATCGCATCGTCGTTGCGAGCGCGATCCTGCTCGGCTTTACGATCCGTAGCCATTGCGCCGGAACGTTTGCGCAACGCCAAAAAGGGTTGTAGTCGCAGTCAATAATTCACCAAAGCTCTCCAGCAGAGATTGGTTTTCGCAAGAAACCTAGCAGTTTTGCTGTAGATAATTCATACCATGCGAAGACAGATATGACTCCATGGACTTGATCGCGGGACCATTTTAGGAGAAGCTTGTTTGAGATGGTGTCCCCGAGGTGGACATGGGCTCTAATAAGAAACAATAAAAATCACCGAGAACGGGTCGCAATTGTCGGACCCGATGCCGCCGCGCCTTGACGATCCAGGCGTATTTAACTGGAAATGTCATGGCGCACAACTGATGGAATTAGTCAATTAGTCACCATACTAGGAAGTTTGCGCATTCGGAACGGTCTGCCGGGGAAGAAGCGAGCTCTCGGGAGCAGCAAAGCTGTTGTCAACCGTCGTATTTCCGGGTCACTCAGTTGAATGCCATTGTGCGAACCACTCCATTCTGGGCTGCATGAGCATGAGGGGAAGAAGCTGTTAGGGTGGTTTGCCTGGCTCGGCTCGGCCGCTCGGTCGGTTACATAATGAATGATGCATCCATTTGCAGCCTGTAATGAAAAAGGACTGCTTTTTGTCCACAGCTGAAGAATGCGGTTCTCTGCCAGGGGCGACAGTCGGTCGGGTGTCGGCGAGCACCTAAAATTGAGTGTTTTGTTCAATTGGTTTCGAGCTGCAGTGAAGACGGAGATAGCTCTGTTGCTCGCCGAACCATGCAAGCCAGCACAAACATTGCTCGCTGAGTGTGACACATGCTATTTTGCCTCTTCGCTTTCCCCAGGATTTCGTAAAGGTTGATGCTATTGCAATCTTTGTGTATCCTGGACACATCGAAAACACACACAAACCAGGATTGGATCACCTCAGTCGCTCAACTTCTGGCCCGCTGAGGCTGACCAGACGGACGCCCATGTTCTGTAGGTCCTGTTTGCCGTCAGCCCAAGCCTTCCCGTCGACTGGCCGCGTGCCTTCTTCCACGATGTACGTCTTGAACCCCTCCTTGACTGCATCGAGCGCCGTGCTCTGGACGCAGTAGTCCGCGGCGAGGCCCACCACGTAGACGTCCGTGACGCCGTGCTCCTTCAAAACACCCGACAACCCGCTATCACTGACTCTTGGTTGGGTGAGCGGGTCGTAGAAGGCACTATACATTTCCACCTCTTTTCGTTGGCCCTTCTCGATGATGCGGTCGACCTTGTCAATGTGCAGCTCCGGGATCAAGGCGGCTCCCGGTGAGCCCTGGACGCAGTGGACGGGCCAGAGCCGTGTCTCGTACGTCTCGTTTGCGTTGTGCGGATTGACCACTGTGACTGTATCGACGAACGGCTGCTTGCCGGCGTGGTTGCTAGCGAAAGAGATGTGATCTGCCGGGTGCCAGTCCTTGGTAGCGACACGGATCACAAAGGACGGGACGGACAGCAGGTCGTTGACTACGCTGGCGACATCGCGGCCCTCTTCGACCGCAAGAGAGCCATTCTACGGGATCAGAAGACGAGCGCACCTTGGCATTTTTGTGGTGTCAGAACTTACTGGGGGGCAGAAGTCCTCCTGGAGGTCGACGACGATCAATGCAGGCTTGCAAGCCGGATCTGACATGATGCCGAGACCGTGGGGTCGGGTGTGCAACAGAGTAAAGGCAACGATTGCTGGTCATGGACTCCCAGAGCCTATCCAGAACCTCTTCCCAAGGGTGATAGAGCATACACGTTCCCTTTTCTTTTTCAGGTCCAGCAAACCTGGAACTCGACGAGTGGTAACAGCAAGGTAGCTGTGTCTCTTCAGGAGGCAATCAATCTTATGTGAGCCTTAATCTTATCTCCAAGGCGGGGCATATTTCGTGGGGATGAGTTGGGGAAAGAGGCAGGCACCCCTCTCAGTCTCAGTCTGACCTGCCGAAGCGTCTTCGAGTGCAGGCAATGTTCATTCCTTGGAAAATGCGTCAAGTCTACTTGTACCGAGTCGGGCTAGGCCTTGATCTTCAAGTACCGGTATGTGGTCAGGCATGGCCCAAATCAGAAATGTTTTACCTTTGGAACTCGAACCGTCTGTGGCTTGCCAATCCGTCATTTTGACTCAGAAGATCTTCTCTGCGTTTTTCTAGAAGAGCTCATGTTTCGTCTCTGAAACTGGCGCTCCAATCATGCAAGCCTTTTCTCGTATCCTGGCCTCAGCTCAACCCGTCAGATCGACACATCCAACTTTCTGAGGCATGCAAAAGCTGGCACACTAACACAACACCCAGTGACACGGTGATACCCAGCCGTGCCAGGCACTACCAGCCTGTCGCATCTCTAGACTGGAGTGGGGATGGCACGCGGGAGTGGTCGATGAGGATCGGCTGGTCAGCGTCATAATGCCCCTTCCGTCCAATCTATCTACCTTGGTTTTTGCGAGGCCGCCAATTAAACCTTCGAGTGATCGCATCAGCTGGGCCATAAGCCTAGGAACAATCTGGCCCGGGCTTGCGTAATGCTCACCGAAAAGCAGTCAGGCAACGCAACGAGGCAAAGTGGCTTGGAGGGCAAAGGTTGGCACAATGCAGGGTCCAGTCCACCATTCCAAAGACAGGCAGCATTATCAAAGGAGGCGACAAGAACAATACCAGCCGCCGCCCAGAACAATCACAGCCAGACCTGCACCTGACCCGGCTGTTAACGCCCTTTCTCTTGCCGTTTCCTGTTCCCCATATGGCAGACAGAAAGGCGGTCAACCATGCAGCAGCATGCAAGAAAAGGCAAACTTGGAAAAGGCAGACATGCCACGTCCCCATTTGCGGACCTTTCACACCTCAAGCACCTGCGTGCGCATGCAAAAAGAGTGGTGATTACTGATGCATGGCCATCTGCAAGTGGTGAAGAAGGGATGGATTCCCAACTGTGCCACCACCCAAGGCCTGCCAGCACGACATGCTACTTACCTACCTGGGTACGTACTTGCAGGTAGACGAAGGGAAAACGGTGAGGTAGGGTCCCGCTCAGAGAGATCAACTGCTTGCACTTGTACCACTGTTCACCCAATCAGTGGCTCCAATGAGCCAGTCTAGCGCCAATCGGGTACCTGTTTAGCGTGTTGGCTCTGCTAATTTTGCATGGCGCGCTCGCTGTGTTGGGGAATCGGCCCATTCATTTCAAGGATTTTAGGCGTTTTGGTGCTGTGAACGCCCCCTACAGGCCAGAACGTCAGTGCATTTTAGGTGCGTCGTACGTACATGGATGCATTCTTAAAAAAGCGGGGACGCCGGATTCTTGCTGGGATTCTTGCTGGGACATTGGCGTGTACCGCGAGTAGGTACCTCGACATGGGTGAGAGCTGGGCGGCGTGCCTTGGCCATCTTTCGAACTTTTTTTTTTAATTAGCTGTACCACCGATTTTGATTCTTCCTGATCGATCACAGACCTTGCTCCAAGGCATCGCTCGACTGAACCCCGTCAATTCCTCCCGAGCCTTGCTTTTCTTTGTCCAGTCTCCAGTGCAGCATTCAACTGCCTGAGTGTGCAGGTCGATTCGCTCCTTTCCTCCCTCCATCGTGCCGCCCACAAAGAAACACCGCCCCCTTATCAGGCCCGGTCTAAAATCGGCACCTCCTTTCGAGACCCCGCCAATTCTTGTTTCTCTTTGCGATTGTCCACGCGCCTCAACGCTCGCTCGACGCCGTTTGCAAAGCGATACACGCCGCCTTTGTGCAATCGACATTGTACGACACGAGCGCACCGGAGACTGCTCTTGCTTGATAGTGGTAAGCATACTTATATCCTCACCGGTGCTGCCTGCTCCATGTCGTACCGAGGCAGAGCCTGTCTTGCGTCCTGAGGATGGCCCCCCTTTCCGGTCACGTTCCAGCATGTCATACCCGGCTGCAAGGCGTCAGGTCAGATTCGTTCTGCCTACGCCGGCAGCCATGTCAAATCCATGTAGCTCACGCTTGTTATATGACAGTTGCAATCCGATCACCCCAGACACAAGCCGCCAATGCATCTGTGAACGACCGAACCGAGACCGTTTCCCTTCCGCCGAACTCGCCATGAATGCCTCGTCGCTCATTCCCTCCCGATTTCGGGGAGAGCAGCCTGCCTCCCAGGCTGCTGCTCCGTCTTGGCTCAACACCAAGATCACGCCCTTCTTGCAATCCCTCTCGAGTCTCTCGTCCTCGCACCCGATTCAGACCGTGGTCATTGTCGCCCTGCTGGCAAGCTCCACCTACATTGGCCTCCTCGAAGAGTCCCTCTTTGATGTCTCGCGCAGCGTGCGCAAGGCCGACTGGGGCTCTCTGACCGAGGGCAGCCGAAGCCTGCGAGCTGGCCCCGATACCGCCTGGAAGTGGCAGACCCAGGAATCCGATGCGTCTGTGTCTTCTGCTGTTGACCACCTCGCCCTCCTGACTCTCATCTTCCCCGACTCCCTGTCCAACGACGCTCCCAAGACGGCTCCTCTCCTCCAGACCGTTCCTATCCCCGAAAACCTCTCCGTTACGCCGCTGCCGTCGACATCGAACAGCCTGACGTCGTACTCGCAGGACAGCGCCCTGGCCTTCTCCGTCCCCTACGACCAGGCCCCCGAGTTCCTTGCCACCGCGCAAGAGATCCCGAACGATATTCCTGGCCAGGAGACCATTGAGACTGCCAATGGCAAGGAGAAGAAGATGTGGATCATGAAGGCCGCTCGCGTGCAGACCAGGAGCAGTCTTGCCAGATGGATTCACAACGCCTGGATTGAGTTCATTGATCTGCTCAAGAATGCCGAGACCCTCGATATCATCATCATGGTCCTGGGATACCTCTCCATGCACCTGACCTTCGTTTCTCTCTTCCTCTCGATGCGCCGCATGGGCTCCAACTTCTGGCTCGCCGCCAGCGTGCTGTTCTCCTCCGTCTTCGCCTTCCTGTTTGGCCTCATTGTCACCACCAAGTTGGGAGTCCCTATCAGCGTCGTTCTGCTATCCGAGGGACTGCCTTTCCTGGTTGTCACCATTGGTTTCGAAAAGAACATCGTCCTTACCAGAGCTGTGCTCTCGCACGCCTTGGAGCACAGGCGCTCTCAAGAGAGCACCGCCGAGAAGGACGCGGTCAACAACTCGGGCATCATCCACTACGCTATTCAGATGGCCATCAAGGAGAAGGGCTACGAAATCCTCAAGGACTACGCCATCGAGATTACTCTTCTGATCGCTGGTGCTGCCTCTGGCGTGCAGGGAGGCCTGCAGCAATTCTGCTTCCTCGCCGCCTGGATTCTGGTCTTTGACTGCATTCTTCTCTTCTCGTTCTACGCTGCTATCCTGTGCATCAAGCTTGAGATCAATCGCATCAAGCGCCACGTTGAGATGCGCCGCGCTCTGGAGGATGACGGCGTCAGCCGCCGCGTTGCCGAGAACGTTGCCAGGAGCAACGATTGGTCTCAGGAGGATGGCAAGGGTGGCCAGTCCATCTTTGGTCGCCGAGTCAAGAGCACCAGCGTTCCCAAGTTCAAGGTTCTCATGGTCTCCGGCTTTCTTCTTGTCAACGTCTTGAACCTTTGCACGATTCCTTTCCGCTCCGACTCCTTCGCGTCCATCTCGTCCTGGGCTGGTGGACTCGGTGGTGTTGTGACTTCGCCTCCTGTTGATCCCTTCAAGGTCGGCGCCAATGGACTTGATGCTCTCCTCGCGTCTGCCAAGGCGCAGAATCAGGAGACCGTCGTCACGGTGCTCACCCCGATCAAGTACGAACTGGAGTTCCCCTCTATTCACTACGCTCTTCCTCCGGCAAAGACGACATCCGAGACAGGCGACGATTTGGCCAACCTCGGTATGGGTGGCCGCATGGTTGGTGGTATACTGAAGAGCCTGGAGGACCCTGTCTTGTCGAAATGGATCGTCGTTGCTCTCGCTCTCAGTGTAGCTTTGAACGGGTACCTGTTCAACGCAGCGCGCTGGGGCATCAAGGACCCCAGCAGCCCACAGCACCCGATCGATCCCCAGGCTCTTGAGGAGGCGCAAAGGTTCAACGACACCGAGTCGGCCACGCTACCCCTCGGCGAGTACATGAGGCGGTCTCAATCAAGGGTGCAGCTCACCCCGGCCTCGACAGATGACGAGAATGACCTTTTGGCTATGCGAAACAGGGAAGAGCTGAACTCGCCTCAAATTTCCCATACCCAAGCCGAGATCGACCAACTTCTCGAGGAGAAGCGTGTCCACGAACTTACTGACGAGGAGGTCGTCGCCCTCTCACTCGACGGCAAGGTTCCCAGTTATGCGCTGGAGAAGTCACTGAAGTTCGATTTCACTCGGGCTGTCAAGCTCCGCCGTTCGATCATTGCGCGAACTAAGGCTACCACGGAATTGACTGGTCTGTTGGATCGGTCCAAGCTCCCCTACGAGAACTACAACTGGGCTCAGGTCTTTGGTGCGTGCTGCGAGAATGTCATTGGCTACATGCCTCTGCCTGTCGGCGTCGCCGGCCCTCTGGTCATTGATGGCCAGAGCTATTTCATCCCTATGGCCACCACGGAGGGTGTGCTCGTCGCCAGCGCGAGCCGTGGCTGCAAGGCCATCAACTATGGTGGCGGTGCTGTGACTGTCCTGACGGCGGACGGTATGACGCGCGGACCCTGCCTGAGCTTCGAGACCTTGGAGAGGGCTGGCGCCGCCAAATTGTGGGTGGATTCGGATGTTGGCCAGGCCACGCTGAAGAAGGCCTTCAACTCGACGAGTAGGTACGCTCGTCTGCAGACGACAAAGACCGCCCTCGCAGGCACCAACCTGTTCATTCGGTTTAAGACGACAACTGGCGATGCCATGGGCATGAACATGATTTCCAAGGGTGTAGAGCATGCCCTGAGCGTCATGATGAACGAGGCCGGTTTCTCCGACATGGATATCATCTCTTTGAGTGGCAACTACTGCACGGACAAGAAGGCTGCTGCCATCAACTGGATTGACGGTAGAGGAAAGAGCGTCGTCGCCGAAGCCATCATCCCTGGCGATGTTGTGAAGAGCGTCTTGAAGAGTGATGTTGATTCCTTGGTCGAGCTGAATATCAGCAAGAACCTCGTGGGTTCTGCTATGGCCGGCTCTATTGGCGGTTTCAATGCTCACGCCGCCAACCTGGTCGCTGCCATCTTCCTTGCGACGGGTCAGGATCCGGCTCAGGTTGTGGAGAGTGCCAACTGCATCACGATCATGAAGAAGTGAGTTCGACCACATGGGCACCTACCACAGCACAGTTGCTAACATCGTTTCTAGTCTCCGTGGCTCTCTGCAAATCTCCGTGTCCATGCCGTCGATCGAGGTCGGTACCCTCGGTGGTGGTACTATTCTCGAACCTCAGGGAGCCATGCTCGACATGCTCGGCGTCCGCGGCTCGCACCCGACCAACGCCGGAGACAACTCTCGGCGCCTGGCCCGCATTGTCGCAGCTACTGTGCTTGCTGGCGAGCTGTCGCTGTGCTCTGCGCTCGCTGCCGGCCATCTCGTCAAGGCTCACATGGCTCACAACCGCTCTCAGCCTCCCACGCGGTCCAGCACCCCCGCTCCCAGCGGTGCCATGACCCCCGTCGGGCTGGCCATGACCAGCGCGGTGGAGAAGGCCGCCAGGTCGCCTGACCCGCTCAGCGCTGCGGCCATCGAGCGGGCCAAGAGATGAGGCATGTTGGGGCTTGTGACTGCGCTCCTGCGGCTACGTAACCTGCTGCCCATAATATTTCTTTTCCTTGTCTCTCCACAACTAATCTTGATAACGGAGTTTAATATACATGGAGCGTTCACCTTTCCCAAAGAGATGTGAATAACAAATTATAGAAAGAAACCCACCCACGGTCGTTAGATTAAGGCTGGATAGATGGGAATAGCTCACTGCCCAGCTGATGAAGCGGAGGAAAACAAACAAAATGATAGAGAGGTGCTACTGCGATCCGCGACTGCCGTCACGACGTACGTTTACTCGTTGGCGATAGGTACACAAACATCTCCAGGCAGAACCTTTGTCATACGTTGAGAGGTTTCTGCACAACCAATACATAGTTTAATTCTGTAACAAACCCCCGAAGTGTTACGAGCTTGTGAAAATTTGTTCCATCAGAATGTCAAACCTGTTCCCGAATCGGATGGGATGTCCCGTAAGCTCAAAACTGCTCGGCCAGATATCCCGTCGCAGACTTCGCAGAGGGCAGAGGGAGCGTATCGAGCACCGCGGCCTCCCCCGTCAGCGTAAAGGTCATCTCGGCCTGCGTGGGCTCGTCCAGCAGCATCGTGTACTCGCCGGGGAACAGCACCAGGCTCCCCTTCTCGTCCGTCCTCGCCAGCGCGCCGAGGCTCATCGACAGCTTGCCCGTGGCCGTGTCGCCGGGCTTGACGCCCCGCAGCCGGGTGTAGGCCACGAGCGTCTTGCGCGGGTACGGCTCGGGCCCGTACTCGCCCTTGACGAAGCCCAGCGCCACAAAGTCCGAGGTGGCGCCGGCGGCGGTGGCGGTGGCGTTCTTCTCGCCGCCCGCGCCGTTGTTCTTGACGGCGATCTCGACGTCCGGGAAGGGGCACAGGTCCTTGTGCGCCGCCTCCTTGCAGCCGGGGCCGCCGACGAGGTCCGCGATGGCAAAGGTCTTGGACGCGACGGCCGAGGGGCTGGCGAAGGTGGCGTTGAAGGTCGTGTAGTGCAGGCCGAAGCCGAAGGGCAGGACGGCGTCGGGGTACCACCGGTACGTCCGGCCGGGGTTGTCCTTGCCGGGCCGCAGGGCCATGTCGGTCATGGGCACGGCGTCGACGTACGACGCCGGGTACACAGTGACGGGGAGGCGCCCCGCCGGCGCGTGCGCACCCGTGACGGCCCGCATGACGGCCCGCCCGCCGTCCTGGCCCGGGTAGCCGGCCCACAGGAGGGCGCTGACGTTGGCGTTGGCCAGCAGGGGGGTGTCGTCGACCTGGTCGCCCATCTGCAGGACGGCGAGGGGCTTGCCGAGCCGCGCCAGGGCGGACACGAGGTCGAGCTGCGCCTGCGGCCAGGCGATGGCCTCGCGGTCGCGCTCCTCGCCCTCGACGGAGCCGTCGATGCCGCCAAAGTACAGCACGGCGTCGGCGTCGCGCGCCGCGGCGAGGGCCGCCGCGGTCCAGGTGTCGGGCACGCCGGGCGCGGGGGCGATGGGCCCCGCGGCGTAGGACACGGACAGGTTGAGCTCCCGGGCCGCGGCGAGGGGTGTGGTCATGAAGGGCGCGACGCCGCTGTAGCCGCCGAGCATGGAGCGCCCCGTGCCGCCGGCCCAGTGGCCGATCAGGGCGAGCTTCTGGCTCTTGCCGCCAGCGGCCAGGGGCAGCGCGCCGCCGCCGACGTTCTTCTTGAGGACGAGGGCGTCGGCGGCGGACCGCAGGGCCAGGGCGTGGGCCTCGGCGGTGTTGACGTCGGACCAGCCCAGGGCGTGGTAGGCCGACGAGGGCGGGTCGAAGTAGCCCGCGCGCGCGAGCCCCTCGTACAGGCGCCCCAGGGCCGTGTCGATGGCGGCCTCGGTCAGCAGCCCTTGCTCGTGGGCGGCGACGATGTCGGCCGCCGAGGCGCTGCCCTGGCAGATGGTGTCTGTGCCGGCGTCGATGGCCTGCGCGACGGCCTCGGCGGCGCTCTTGGCGTACTTGTGGTCTGTGTAGATCTCTGGTTGTTTTTTGGTTTATTGTCAGTATTTTGTACCTGCCTTATGTATTTCAAGTTGCCAGAGATGATAAACAGGGTGTATTTGGCAGGTCAAGCGCAGCTTACTCTGGACGGCATCGCAGTCGCTCGTGATGTACTGCCCCTCGCCCTCCCACCCCCAGTGCTTCTTGAGGATGTCGGTGATGAGGTAATTGCTGGCGCAGGCGGGCGTGCCGTTGACCGAGTTGTACGAGCACATGAAGGAGCCGACCTTGCTGTCGCGAGCGCACTGTTGGAAGGGCGGCAGGTAGTACTCCGCCAGGTCCTGGGGGCTTATGATGGCGTCAAAGCCGTACCGCGTGACTCCGTGCCAGCGCTCGAGGTCGTAGGCCGCGTAGTGCTTGCACGTGGCGATGATCTTGCGTGTCTTGGGGTCGTCGCCCTCGAGACCGCGGAGGAGGGCCTTGGTGTAGTGCTTCACGCGGAGGGGGTCCTCGCCGGGGGTCTAGTCAGAGGTCATGTGAATAACTGTCCCATCCATGCTGTTTGGAGTTGAGTGAAGCGGCGATATGAATTCGTTGCTTACCTCCATGCCACGGCCCCATCGCGGGTCCTTGAACGGGTTGATGTTGGGCGTCCAATAGTCCAGGCCGGCTCGACCGCTGTTGGCAAATGCTCTGCCCTCGGTGCCGATGACAGTAGCGATCTTTTCGACCAGGTCGTCGTCGAAGGCGGCGGCGAGCGTGATTGGAATGGCAAAGGACGTGGCGGACGAGAAGTTGCCTTCTTTGGCGAACTGCAGACTCGGGGAGCCGGCTACGCCGTGAAGGGCTTCATTCCACCAGCCATATGGAGGGAGGCCGATCCGCGGCGCACCCTTTGCCTGGCTATTGTATCCATGTCAGTCACTAGCATCATTCGACTCGAGATCATGTGGGAAAGTTAAGTACTTAAGTAGGTTGCCCAACTTCTCGGTGATGTTCATAGCCTTGACCAGAGCAGCAGCACGGTCTGCCGGCGCTGCCTTCTGGTCGCAGACGAGATTCGTCGAGAGGGGCCCATCGACGCAGTTGGGATACTGCATGGAGCCCTTAACAAGAGGGAAGCTCGCGGCTAGAGCCCAAGCGAGCCATTGCTGAGAGGACTTCATCGTGAACGAAAGTCAATTGCTTCTCGCTGTGACACAATCGCAGCTCACAGTTGTGCGGGCTCTGGTGATGAGACAGCATCGTCTGTGCCCGTCGCGGCCGTCGCACCCGTCGGTATTCATATATGATGACATCCTGCCTACATTGAGGGGTTGAAGAGGGGGCGCATTGGCACTCTACGGGAACAACCTGATTAAATTGCCGGCGGTTCAACTTGCTGCAGGTACGGCGCCTGGGTGATCTTCCATCTCCCGGCGGGGATGGATGCGCCTGGGTGACATTCTCCCCCTCTGTGCCGGCACCTCTGGATGCATGTCTCTATGCGTGCCAATCAGGTAGGTAGAATTTTACCCAGTATCTTTTGCCCTTTCAAGATGGAATATATTCGTCCGTGGACAATAATTTTCCCACGTGTCGCTTCTGGTAAAATACATCGCAGCAGGAGCAACGTAGTTGCTTTCATGACAAAAGCCTCTTACTTAGACTATTGTGACGTCCTCAGAGAGTTGAGTACTGCTGGACCAGTTAGGCTACACTAGAGGGACTGCCTATGATGGTATCCCCCTTGCTCCAGTAGTCCTGGTCGCCTTGCCGTGAGATCTTGGAACGCTCCTTGGACGACTGTCACCTTATTTGCTTCTCGTCTGACAGAAGGCAGGTTTGAGTCGGTCAAGCCGTATAAACGCCTCGCTTCACATGCTGCTCGCAGGGCTACCGCTCCCGGAGACTGGACTCGATATCCACCGAATTGCTTCCCGAATGATAACCCCGAGCGGCATCGGTCACATCCCAAGATCGGGGAAGCCAATGGTTTGCAAGAGCATCTTAACGTTGAATCTCAAACTTGATGACATGATGAGAAAGCTAGACCAAGTTCCAGAGCTCCAGCGGACCCCCAACGCTGTCATCATCCATCGTCAAATTTGACCACTTCCCGCCGAGGCCACAAGCGCCGAGAAAGACGTGCTTGCCTTCAACGCTAGGTCGCAGCATCGCCGCTCCAGGCATGCTTTTCACAATGCAGACGACGTCGCCTGACTGCAAGCTTGCGTCTACGCGCAAGCTCACTGCGGGAGTAGCATCGTCTAGCATAACGAGGTCCTGACGACTCAGAATTCCACTACAGAGAGCCAGATTGAAATTGAACAGGTGCTGCGTGAATGGCGACTCGTCGGCTACTAGCGGTCTCTCGTTTTGAAGGAGGTACCAGTAGAATTCACTGAGGTTTTTCTGCCGGTCATCATCCTCGCTCCATTGAGAGTCTAAGCAGACGGGCATCAAGTCCTCCCTCACGAATTTCTCCGGTGAGATCCCCCATCGATTGACAGCATCCGCGATAAAAGTGCTATGAAAAGATCTGACGGCATTCCGGACGCTTTCGGGGCTCTCCGGAGAGCAATCCTGCTTGTGGGCGATCAACTCGACGTTGCCAACTCTTTTCCCTTCGACGCGCAGGACCTTGCTGTCTTGGGAGATGGAGATGACGTTGGAAGTACTCCCTTGGACGCGCACTGCGTTGAGCAAGAATCGCAAATCTGGAACCCAGCTAGGGACTCCATCCAACTGATGCCGTTCTGTCGCAAGCAGTGAGAGACTGCCTGTGTGAGCGAAACAGAGCTTCGCATAGTTATGAAAGACATCGGCGTAGCGCTGGCTGTAATCCGGCTTCAGGTCATCCGGCAGTGCAAAGCCATTCAGGAGACCGAGCCGAGCATAGACGAGATCCACTGGCAAGCTGCTCTTGTAGCTGAAAGTGTTGCCGATCAGACGCTGCAGATTCCTTGCGAATGTCGCGAGATCCCGAGGCGGCTCTTGTTTCTGGTAGTCGACAATGGCCAACGGGAGCTTATAGGTCCTCTGAAGCGAGGCAAAAACCTCGCTGTGATCGGTGAGCCTCGCAGAGGATTCCCACGCCCTGATGAAGTGTGAGAGGACAACGGCCGGCACCCAGTGCGCACCAGCCATCATTACAAGGCGGTTGTCCGCGAGAATGGCCTCCTGAATAATCCAGGCCCGCTCAAACCAGGGCCTCTGGAACAGGCGCCAGAGAATCAGAGTGAGCAAGCCGGCTGCGTCGTCGGGGCTGGATGTATTCGGGATCTGCTCGGCCATCTTCTTGAACATGTCGCGGCGGCAGAGAGGCGATTCGTCGGTGTCGGAAATGAGGGTTGCCCAGGAGATGTTCCGTTGTCGCAGCATCTTGTTAAAGAGCTTGGCCATCTCGAAGAGCAGATCCAACTTTGGATCTTCGTATTTGTCGTTTTCCCCCAGCCACCCGATGACCTCTTCGGCTGCAGAATAGATATCTCGCATCCTCGGAATCGCCTGTGACTTCTCGGCATTGTCGTTCTGGTTGATGCAGATGGCATCAACCCACATCAAAACTGCCTCCCCTTGCTCTTTTGGCTGCCTGGCCATTAGCTGCTGCAGGTGGCGCAGACAGGCGTGCAAGTTTGTGGTGATGTCGAACGCTTCGCCGTTAATATAGATGGTTATGACCTTGTTGGGGTCGCCCCACACGTAAGATAAAGCCGTGAAGCGAGGCTTGGTTCCGAGAGAGGCGTGTTCAAGGCTGCAATGCAGTGCCTGGTGTACTTCGCCGGGCTGGATTTTGACGAGTCTTATCTCATCGTTGCGCAGCGGCTTGTACGCAAGCTTGGAGTTAGATCCCATGGTTATAAACGACAAATGGGATTTGAATATTCCTTTTGGAGTTGATGGACTATAGGTGGAAACATTTTAGGATGAGTCGCTGACGTCGCCGGCCATCGGAATCTCTTGACGATAATTATCACGTGAAGGGTTGAAACTGCAACAAACCCCAAGGTACCTAGGTACCTATCTACCTTGCTTTACCTACATCCTTTATCCGCCTTATATACAGGAGACTCACACACCAGTGTGCCGGTTCAGATGCCTTGAAGATTGAAAGTTATATAGATCACTGCAACAGGCGAAAATATTAGTTTTTGTCTACATCTTGAGTCGCCATGTGTTCTGTATTAATGTTACGTTGTGAGGCAAATCTGTTAGTTACTTAGGAACAGAAAGTAGGTGGCGAGGCAATACACCAGTTTCCTGAAACTGGGTCCAAGGAAGGCATCCTCGCAACTCTATCGTGTCCTCGCTATCTCTTCAGCTCAGTGTAGGAGCATTACGCAGCCATAATAAGATCAGTTGTATTAGAACTAATGACTTGATCCCATAACCCTCAACTTCTAGTAACAGCCCATATTCACCAGCGAGCCCGCTCCCTTTCTTGGTGGAACAGCAACTCTAGCCAGGTAATTCAAACAGGGCTCGGTAACTGCGCCACGGAACACACCGCAAGCACAGACAACTGTGCGCAAGCACGTCTGCTAGTTGGGTTAAAGTAGTAAAGCGGCGGTGGCACGGCGATCCACAAACGCCCGGGGAATTCTCAAAATGATTGTTTTCGTCATTTACATTTGGGCTTGATATTGGACCTCAAAGATACCAGCTAATTCTGCCCCTTTCTCGCGAGGTCCCTTCCCATACATGAAAACGCTTGTTCATAGCCAAACGTCTGGGCGGACCACTCCTCGATCCGTTCTCTGCACCGAACTGTCTGGCAGCACACGCTCTGTAGCTTTTTGGGTGCCGCACTCTGCTTCTCAATACCACACACACTCTACCAGGCGTTCTCAATGGACGCACCGGCGTCAATCCGGGGTGTTATCGTCCCGACTGTATGTTTCGAGTGGAATCTTGGAGCTCGCATCGTCACTCTTGGTCTGCGTCAATCGCATTGTTCCTGCTTCCTCGAGGGCATATTCGAGGGGAACCTTCGAGGCGCACATCGTCAATCTTTGCCCGGCGTCAATCACCACAGTCTCAACACGGGCGTGGGCGTCAATGGGAGCTACCATTGTCCTGGCTGTATCTTGGAAAGCCCCTGTCGAGCTATCATGGTCAATCTTTATTCCTGCCCTCTTTGAGGGGGCATCTTCTCGCCATCACCCACGCAATCATACATCCCATCCGCTGCGTCAATCGCTTCGCGGCAAAACCATCAGCTTGCCCGCACAACACCATCTTGGGCGCGCGCAGGCGGCTAGCCGTCCGTCGTTTTCAAGCCCGGCCGTCAATCGGCGATGGCGTCCATCGAAACTTGGAATGTCGCTCGTCAATCGAGTGCACATGTTGCAAGCATTATGAGTCACTAACTGCAACGGTTTTTTCCTCACCGTTTCGTGCGCAACGGAACGGAGAAGTGGGAGCATAGTGCGTAGGGACACTGGAGAAACATTGGCAACACCTTCAGTTGTTGCTGTGCTCGGCTGAATTACAAAGAGTGTGAGCGTGAGTTGCAGAGAAGAGTTGCTCTTATCAACATCTCGGGGGCTGTTCTTGGAGGGTCAGTGGGCTGACATTAATAGTACTGCCTTTGCGGGCTCTCTGGTCTGATCTCTCTTGCGGATCTATGCACGGGACCTATTTTCAGCTATCGAACTCGGGACCCGAATATTCACTGCTCTGTGCAGTCCACACACTCTCTTGGACGGTGGCGATAAGGTAGGTGCACGTTCCGGAGACTAGCATACACACTAACCCCCTGACTAGACAACTGCTATCTCTTAGTGTTGTCTCTTCCAGTTAGTGTGCCCTGAATACGAGGCTTTCAGCTGATCGGGACGAGATCCCCGTGAGGAAGATCGGGACCAGTTGCTGCTGCTAGTGTTGACAAGTACTTATCTACAGCTCCCATGACGGCAAAGGCGCTCGCGGCCGCGATGACGGGCAGTCCAAGCCAGAAGAATGGATGGCAGCAGCCAAGCACCGCTCGATGGATTCATGGGGAACAGCCGTCTTTTCCTGAATCCCATGCTTCAATCAAACTGCCCCCGCACCGAACAAGGACCAAACTCCCCGAAGAGGCACTGTCCGCGATACGAGAGGAGCCAGGGTCCGCGCGCGCAGACTTTTTCGCGGGCCCCACGTCGCATCGTCACGACGTCAATGTGGGATTCAGCATGGGAATACGCACCGATCAGGAAGGAAACCATATGATATGACTATGGGGACGCCCCGCTTCGGGGGTTTCCAGTCGGTGGAGCGTGATCTCAGTATTTTAGACACGCACGCTGCCATTTTTGTTGTTGCCGGCTCCTGTCTCAGTTCCTGGACCTTGCATCCTTCAAGTCTGCCAAGCCTTTTTGTCTTCTTGTTGTCCGTCGAAGATGCTGTCCAAGGTGCTCCTCTCGCTCGTCCCCGTCGCCTCGGCCGCGGCCACGCTCCAGCAGCGCGCCGACGGCGGCTGCGCCGACGTGCACATCTTCCTGAGCCGCGGTAACAACGAGCCGTACCCGGGCCGGCAGGGCAAGCTCGTCGAGGCCATCTGCGCGCGGCTGACGCAGAGCTGCGACTACGAGAACTTCGAGTTCGACAACGCCCTCTCGGTCGAGTACTGCAGCGCCGTGACGGCCGGCGTCGCCGCCGGCAAGGCCCAGCTCACCGCGTACGCCGAGCGCTGCCCCAACTCGAAGCTCGTCGTCAGCGGCTACTCGCAGGGCGCGTCGGTGGTCGGCGACCTCATGGCCGGCGGCGGCGGCGTCTTCTTCCACGACTGCGTGCAGCCGAACAGCGCTCCGCTGGACCGGAATTCTAGCCCGGGCAAGAACAGTGAGTTTTTTGTGTAGTTCCTTTTTCCTTGGGGGTCGAATGCCGTTTGGCGAGAACTTTGTGTGTTTTGGCTGACCGATCTGCCCATCATCTAGTCGCTGCCGCTCTGGTCTTCGGCGACACGAGGCACACGGCCGACCAGTCGTACAACGTCCTCTCGGGCGCCGGCGACAACGGCATCTTCCCCCGCCCGCCGGAGCAGCTGGCCGCCATGAACCAGTACGCCAGCGTCCTCCACAGCTACTGCGTCTCGACGGACCCCATCTGCGCCAAGGGCGACGTAGTCGAGACACATCTCAACTACTTTGACGTCTACTCGGACATGGCCGCCGACTGGGTCAAGAGCATGGTCGAGAAGACGCCGTCTAGCAGCAGCAGCTCTTCGATCCAGTCGTCGACCACCAGCACGTCTTCGTCCTCTTCGAGCAGCGCAGTGTCATCTACGACGAGCACCAGCTCGAGCTCGGCTTCGTCTTCCACCCTGTCTAGCTCTGCCAGCAGCTGGAACTCGACGACTTCCTCCGAGTCGACCTCTGCCCCCGCGACCAAGAGTGCGTCTTCTTCGGCCTCGACCGGCGGCAGCTCTGCTGGCGCGACTGCATCAATCCCTGCTGCAGGGAAGACCACCACCGGCTCTGCTACCACCCCGACCAACACAACTGTCACCAACGCCGCTGGCTCCCTGGCGCTGCAGTCCAGCTTCCTTGGACTGGCCGCCGCTGCCGTCATGTATTCGCTCTTGTAAGAGATTGTAGCATATGGGGTAACGAAACCACTTACGAAAGGGGAAGAGGAATGCATTGTATCATTGAATGATGGCGCAGGATTGTTGAAACTCGCCTTGCATACACAAATTTTCGATGTACAAATACACCACGTCTATGACTATATATAGATAGCATCTAGATACCTTAATCTAATACAAACGCACATACCAATCAATCAATCAATACGCCGCCATGCATCACAAGCTCGCCTTGGGAGGAGTCACGCCCTTCTTCAACCTCAGGATGGACTGCTGCGTCATGGACGCCAGCAGGTTGCCCTTGTCGTCCCACAGCAGCGCCTCGCCGTAGGACCGGCCCATGCCGGCCCTCGAGACGCCGCGCTCCCGCAGCGTCCAGCGCCGCATGTCGACGCCGGGCGCGAAGACGCGCAGCGCAAAGTCGAGCGAGGAGCAGGCGGCCGCGTCGTCGAACCACATGTTGCCGTGCGTCAGGGGCACGAAGGAGATGGCGGCGTCCATGAGGAAGGCCAGCGCCGCCATGTTCTCGGCCTCGGAGGCCAGGGCCTCGCGCGCCCGCTGCCACTCGGCCGACACCTTCTCCGTCGGGCGCAGGCCGTCCTGCGTCGTGGGCGCCGACTTGAGCACGCCGGCGAGGTTCTGGCCCGCGACGCCGTTGGCGCAGTACCGCATGTCCCAGTAGTGCGCCTGCGCGCCGAGGCTGCGCTGGAACTCGGCCGCCTCCCCGTCGGAGACGAGGCCCTGGGACCGGAGGATGCCCATCTGCTCCTCGAGCCCGGGGCAGTTGTGCGGCGGCGCGTAGGCGGCGGCGGGGCGGGCCGAGTACTCGAGCGTCGAGGGCTCGTCGGCGTGGAAGTCGGCCAGCAGCTCGAGGCAGACGCGCCGCTCGCCGCCGTCGAGCCGCTGGCTCACCTGCACGCGGCGCGTGGAGAAGGAGCGCGTGTCGCGCGTGCGGTGCACGGAGCAGTACAGCTTGCGGTCCGTCAGGGCCGGGCCGAGGAAGTTGCCGAGCACCGAGTACAGGTGCACCCGCGCGGGGACGGTCGCGCAGGCGGCGCTCACGGCGTTGGCGATGGCGCAGCCGCCGTAGGCGATGGGCAGCGCGTTGCCCAGCCGGATGGGCAGCTCGCGCGAGACGAACTCGTCGCCGCCGTCGCCGCCGGGGAGCTTGTCGACGGCGACCTGCTGCGCTAATGACGGGGGCATGCTTGTGTGTGTGTGTGTGTGTGTGGAGGTACTTTGTTGGATTGGTAGAACTATGTGACAGTGAGAAGGGCCGCTCGATGCTACCCAGGGATCCTGATCTGGAAAGCTATAAAGAAAAGGTAAATGCGCCGGCCTGCCTTGGTTCAAGAGAAGATGAATCGCTTCCAACCCCGGATTCCCATGTGGTCGGTCGGATCGAGTGCCGTATCTAGCCTACCGTGCCTCCGTACCTACCTATAGATCCCATAGCCGATTGGTCTACTACCACCCTAATAGCGGACCCCGCCTGGTGCCTCGGTTCCTCCCTCGCATCTCGATTAGTGATCACAGTCTGTCATTTCTTGGTGATATGTGAGCTTGGTGCCAAGACTGAGATAGACTCAATACACTCCTCAATAACTGTAGGGCTAGTAGGGCTACAAAACTACACCTCCGTATTGCGGAACTGATCGCGATATCAAGCCTGATCCTACCTTATCACCTATACATGATCCAGTCACTCGGACTCTGATGGCGGCTCTCGTACTCCTCGGCCAGGGTCTCCCAAGACCACCCTTTCTTCCGTTCCGGGAAATCATCCACACATTTCTGTCTCATTTGACTGATCCTCGAGGCTTCTTCCCTCTCGATCTCGGCCGCCGTCCGTCCCTGGGCATCTCTGATGCTCTGGTCTACCCCGGCATCGATAAGAAGAGTCCTCATCCGCTTGTGTCGCCTGTCGGTCTCGTTCTCCCATGGTTCCGGTCCACCGGCCGGACCAATGATGTCGTACCAAGTCCGTGACTGCTGATCGCATGCGAGATGGAGAGCTGTCTGCCCCTGCGGATTTGCTATGTTTGGATCTGCGCCCAAGGCCAGCAGTAGCTCTAGGACGGAAGCATAAGCACGGCCGGCAGCGAGGTGTAACGCGGTATTGCCCAACGCGTCTTTCTGGTCGATGTCTGTACTATAAGGCTTGAGTACAGTCGCAAACTCCCGCCCACTGACGTCAAGCTCCTCAGCTGAGTCAAACCAATCAGCTCGTCCATTGTCAATCAAGTATGATTGCCCATCAGCCAGGAGATGTAAGGGTGATCGACCATCCTCGTCAGTCACTGTGAGGCTACCTCCATGCCGCAGCAAGGGTTCAAAGAGGCGGGTATGCATTTGTAGAGCCGCATAATGTAGCGGTGTTCGTCTGAACCTGTCCTGTCGTCCGGGGTTCGCTCCGCTCTGTAGGAGCACCTCTACCTTTGCTGACATCTCCTGCAGCACCTCTAATTTCGCTGACACGTCGTCTGGCCCAAAGAGTGGCCAGTACCGTTGGAAACGCGATACCGCCCAATGCAAGGGCTGTCGACCAAGAGTGTCACACGCGTGAATATCTGCCCCCAGCTCCAATAGGCCCCGTACTGTAGCCGCATTTGACTCAACTGAGGCCATGTGGAGAAACGTGGCCCTCTCGTCCGCAATACATTCCTTGCTGCCATATTCACGGCCCTCCCAGTGGAATTCTTCCGGGCCCTTGTCGTATTCTTCTGGGACGCATATGTCAACGGCGCCCTTGTCAGACAGGGGGCGGAGTACTTCGACCCCAAAGCCACTGAGGACAGCATTCTTGAAAGCAGCTCGGCTTCTTTCAGCACCAGCATCGACCAAGGTCTCGATGACTCTGAGAACGCTCTCGATGGGAACGGATTGCTGCTTTGACCCTGAGTCGCATGCCTCACTAGGGCCGTAGCATGTATACTCTAAAGGGGTGTAGCCTGGATCCCACTCTGGAGCCTGAGATTTCTGGCACTTGCACCTTGTCTCCAAGTCCTTGAGGGCTCCCCGTTGAAGAAGAAGTGTGACAAGCTCAGAGTGACCAAAACGCGCTGCCACGTGTAGCATGGTGATGGGGTTCCTGTGGTGGGACACTGGGCATTCACAGCCCGCACAGAGGATAGGCCATCCTCTGTCCAAAAGAAGCTTCACAGCTTCAAGATCCCCACGCTCGACTGCCTGGTGAAGATGGGCGAGCTGGTCTCCAGTGCCCTTGAACTCGAGGTCAACCATCAAGGAGGCACTGTCGGCGCCTGTCAGATCAGTCGTTAACCCAGATGGAGGTCAGTTGACCACGCTGCTCCAGAAGATAATGAGACTTATTTTCTCTTCAAGAAGACTAGTTGGCGCTCGGATGAGAGTCGGATGATGTTGCTCCGATATATTGGGCCTTGGAGGTGCGAGGAGACAACTACCTACGGTTCAAGCGGCGGTGCCCTTCCTTTTAATAATAACTGGAAGGGAGCGGGGCGGTATGGATCCGTTGTAATTTACCCCAGGTACCAAATGGTACTAGGGCTCAGGCTCAGGCTCAGGCTAAGACCGTGTCAGCTCACCCTTATGCACGTGGAAGGAATTTGCTGAGGGGAACTTTCGGGTGTGACATTTATCTGTTGTTAGTAGCAGGTGGCTAGAAGAGTATCTACTGAACAGTACAAGCATATGGTTTGGAAGGTATCTCTTTTGAATACATATCAACATCAGATTTCAGATTTCAACGTGCTTTCCCGACGATCAAATATAGATGGAATTGCCAATGAACCACTTAAAGGCTGTAACCCAAGACTCAACCACCCACCGACTCACATTGCGAGACCAGCTCGAACTCTGCTATCGTGTTGTTCTTGCTCACCCAAGTGTAAGCAAACTGTTGCCTTGACGCCGTGTTGTCCTTGATGTTTGGACCTAGTGTGGCTCAAGGCGTACATGTCGCAGTCAGGGCGCGGGTGTGTCTCGGCAAGGATACCGAGTCGACGCTTCTGCCGCAAAATCCAGGATGTGTAGCGTGTCAACCTTGAAGAGGTAGAGTGGTGGCTTGGTCCAATGAAAAGCATTGAAGCTCGTCTCGCGTGTTGGGCTGACGGCTCAGCCTCAGCCTGGTGCGTTGCGCCCAACACTTTGGCACCCCACCAGCTGCCTGCATTTTCTGTGCGCCTGATCCCAGACACCCTCCCTCACGGCCAGCTCTCACATTCCAGCTCGATCATTCTCAGGAGCCATCGTTCTCTGCAAGCCCTACCGAAATGTCTCCATCTTCCTGTGCTGAGACAGGTGCTGTTCAGGGGAAGACTTGCGTGCAATACGACAGCACGATCTATGATCTCTATGATCAGCCACTGTGCCAGTAATGTCTTCAACTCGACTTCGATGCCATTTTCGACGGCCAATCAGACATAGGCTATCAATTCATTGAAAACTTTTCGCATTGGGGCTCTGCCGTCACCACTTGCCCTTTATGCTTTCTGATATTGTTTACTGCCAGCAGAGCACACGCCCTTCCGCACTGGCTGTGGCCCACGGTCCACTACCGACTTTCACAAATAAATACATTTGACATATTGGCCCGGTATACACCCTTCAGTTTGATAAACATCGCAGACAAGTCTCTTCCAACTTGCGCATCCCCTGGTCAGCCGATGCCGGCGCCACCCTTCATAGTCTCGTCCAGAGCTCACGGTCTAGACTTTGTTCGCCAGATCCAGGCCGGCTCAATCGACTACGGCATCATCTCGGAGTGGCTAGCATGCTGTCATAAGCACCACAGATGCGATCCACTAGAGTCCCTTTCATCGGTCGCTGTTGGGAACCTTCGACTGATCGACTGCAACAATCGGTCTATTGTCCCGGGCTCAGGTCATAAGTACGTGACATTGGGTTATGTTTGGGGACCACACGCCAGGAACGATGCTGTTGGCGACTTCATTGGATCATTGCCACCCAGGTTGCCCGACACAATTGAGGATGCCATCCAAGTCACCAAGAAGCTTGGTTTCCGGTACATCTGGATTGATCGATATTGTATCGATCGTAGAGACGCACTGAAATTCAAGTTCCAGCTCCACCAGATGGGAGACATATATAGGAACTCTTCCTTGACAATTGTAGCAGCAGCAGGAGACAGAGATTCTTATGGGCTTCCCGGAGTCAGATACCGCCCCAGAGCAGCTCAGCCTTACGCTAAGGCAGGGAGTCATCTGCTGTTATCATCATTGTCCGACCCTCAGGAGCTGGTCCGGGAATCTGTATGGGCTACCAGAGGCTGGACCTTCCAAGAGGCTCGGCTATCGTCGCGCCGCTTGTACTTCACCGAGGAGCAAGTGTACTTTGAGTGCAACAACAGTTGGTTTCAGAAGTCACGAAGTATGATCTTGACTATCTCGAAGAACAACGTTTATTCCGCTTCTGGATAGGAGGGATGGGCATGGCAAATATTTCTTACGACCCAGATGATAGAACTTCCCTGCTGGCCCTATCCACATCACAATGGAACGACGACCTTGGCCATCAAATGGTGGCCCGAAGTGGCCTGATCAGCCACAATTGGTGCTGGGTCTCAGACTACTTATGGAACCAGATAGCCCTGTACACCGAAAGGGATTTCACAGATCCGTCTGACGTACTAGATGGCTTTGCAGGGCTGATGGGAGCATTTGAGTCGGCAAAGCCGTCTTACAGATTTTTCTGGGGCACCCCGATCCCTCCACCAATTCCGGCTGCGGTGTACTATTATTACCGGCCGTGGTATGAATTCCGACCTTCCGACCAGCTTGAGGACTTTGCAACGACAACCGAAGCTGGCTTTCTGGCGGGTCTGTGCTGGGCCGCGAGGAAGCCCTTGGCGCGCCGCACCGGGTTTCCGAGCTGGTCATGGACCGGATGGTCTGGGGCTTCCTGCATCGGACCGAACGCAGACACAGAGATTGAAATGCATTATTTCCGCGAGTCCACCGTCGATGTAGAACTGAGAGGTGGCAATACGATTACCTGGAAAGGGTTTCTAGAGTCTCGGGGACGGTCGGAACTTTCTTCAGAGACATCATTCCATATCCACTTGTCTGCATGGGTCACGCCGCTCAAAGTAGTTGCGTCGAACGGCGATGAGGATGTGGGCAGGATGGATCTGCCTCTGGGAAGGTATATGCACTGGAGATTCACGCGGACCGGCGAGAGCGCTTTGCAGTCGGACAAGTCATACTACGCTGTCTGGCTCACATTGGGCGGGGAGTCTTGGATAAAAAATAAGGACAAACGCGGGCCTGGGATACTTGTGGTCATGGATACAGAGGACGGAAGAAACACGATGGAGCGTGTAGGGTATGGCACCGTCAGGCCTTTAAACTGCACATTCTTTGATGAATATGGGGGCAAGAAAAGGGCAACTCTTCCACCTGGGAGGTGGAAGAGAGCTAACTGGTCTGATGGGGTTTGGCTCGAGGGCCCGGGCATGTTTCTTATGACACGACGAACATTTCGGATAGGATGATGCAACTTGCCGGTTGAGTGAGTGAGCGACACCGAGTCTCTCTGTCTGTGCTAGCGTGCGTCATCTTGGTAAGGTGGGCGTAATTTGGGTGCCGAGATCGGTCCACCTCAACACGTACCCTTTAATTACTAAACTTACAAGACATCCGCAATCCTACATTCCCTCGCGAAAGACATGTGCCTCAACTTCTGAGTATTGCATTCGTCCCAAAATACCAAAGGAGGCCTCGATCACCAAGTCATGTCGGGAGCGTCAAGTAGACTCGCCCAGCTGGGCTCCCAGCTCAAAATCGGCGACCAAGCACGCCGCCGCCGCTACGTCATTCTCGGCGCCGGCGTCGTCGGCCTCTCCACGGCCCTCGAGCTCAAGCGCCGCCTGTCCGCCGCTGGCGAGGCCGCCGAAGCCGTGGTAGTGGCAAAGCACTTCCCTGGCGACCGCAGTGCCAGGGACTACTGCTCGCCCTGGGCGGGCGCCAACTGGTTCTCGGTCGCGACTGACAGCGGCGACCAGGAGCGCTGGGACGCCGAGACGTACCGCCGGTTCGCGCGGCTCGCCGACGGGGTCCCCGAGGCCGGCGTGCGGCGCATGGACATCCGCGCCTTCTTCGACCGCCCGCGCGAGGACGCCGGCGTCGTGAGCCCGGCGACGGGGCGGATCTGGTACGACGAGCTCGTGGGCGGGCTGCGGCCGATACCCCCCGGCGAGGTGCCCGACGGCGCCGAGTTTGGGTTCGTGGCCGGGTCGTTTGTGATTAACACGCAGGCGTATTTGGCTTGGTTCGTTGATGATTCCTTGGTTCTGATTTATGGGATGACGAGCTGATGATGGTCCCATGGCAGGTTGAATACGGAGGCTCTGAAGGCTGGTATCGAGATGAGGAGAGCATCGATCGACGATATCCGAATATTGTTCAAGGATATCGAGGCCGATGCGTATTTCAACTGCACCGGCCTTGGATCGTATCATCTGAAAGGCGTAGAAGACAAGTCCCTCTACCCCACGAAGGTGAGACTACTCGATCAACACCTACGCGGGAACGCATTTCACATTGACAGGAAATCCTCAGGGTCAAGTAATGCTGGTTGAGACACCCAAGACACCTCTCAAGACAATGTATTTTCGCTCCCCTCGACGGGTGGACAGCGACACGACATATGTCTTTCCCCGAAACCCGAGCGGCGGCGTGATCCTGGGTGGCTGCAGATTCGACAATGAGTGGAGCGACACAATAAATCCCGAGTTGGCAGAAGACATCAAGAGGAGGTGCTGCGCGCTTGCCCCCGAGCTTGGCAAACCGGAGGATCTCAAGGTTATCTATCACGCGGTTGGCTTGAGGCGTAAGCAACCCTCCTTTACCTGAGCTCAACCGAGAAGGTCTGATAGCTAATCTTGATCACAGCAAGTCGGAAAGGAGGCCCGCGAGTAGAACGAGAGCTGATCGACGGAACACCCGTGATCCACAACTATGGCGCAGGAGGTGCTGGGTATCAATCATCGTGGTAAGTCTGATTCATCGCTTGTGCTGTTTGATTCTGTAGCTAATCTTGAGAAAAGGGGCACTGCCCAGCATGCCGTTGACCTTGCGTTGCAGCGATAAAACCGAGTAGAGATGCAGCCAAGCATGTGCGTGTGTGTCTGTCTATCGTAGCAAAAAAAGAAATCTATCCCGATAACGCAACCGTCTTCCATTTTTGAGTCGCATTCCTTTTTGTAGCATCTGCTCCATTGCATCCAGAAACCCCCGACTAGAGAAGTCTATCAGTTGCCATCCATCTCAATACTCAAGAGCACCTCGCCGTTCCCGCCTGAACGGGCTCGCCGAACAGGATTGACCAAGGCACGTGCGTGACTTCGAGCACGCGTGGTGATCTTTTCGAGTTCGTGTTTCTTGATCATGGGCGGGAGAGGTTCGCCGTTGAAATGGCCGTGGAGCTCGATGTAGAAGGCCATGACGTACGGCGCAATCATCTCGTACTCGAGGGAATGGACTCCCTGCATCTGTAGGCCCTGGAGTAGCCAGTAGAACTCTCCAGTTGCAATACTCGTCTCCTCCACGACGTTGGGGAACAATTTCTGCACGGAGCGTCTCTGTTAGCATAGTAATTAAGGGTTTTCTGGCCACAACTGCTAACCTCGAGCTTATCATGCAGATTCTCGCACATCTTCCTGGTGATATCGCCATAAGGTATGCGGAGGGCTGCAGTCAAGAGGCTGGCAGACTCTGAATATTGCTCTTTCTCCAGGTCCTCAAAGAGCTCAGTACATTGATGCAGCACAGAAAGTGCGCCGCGCTGCTCTAGTCGCTCGCCCAGATTGATGAGGTTGGTGACCAGGTCTGAGGCGGGTCGCTTCAGTGTTGCTGAACTTGAGACTGGGCTAACCTCTACCTTTTCGGTCTGGGAAGGAACCATGATCGCCGGTGGTTGGATCCGGGGCCGCTTACGAACTTGTTCAGCTTCATCTACCACAGTGTCGAGCTTCTTCTTCTCGATAGTTGGAAGAGCATCATGGTGAGTGGCTGGAGCCTTGTCGATGGGAGCAGCTCTAGTAGCTGCAGTGCGCGGCGGTGAGAAGATACCCTGGGGAGGTTCCGGAATCACGCTCTTTCGGAAGTGCTCTAGAGCAGCAGGAGATGTCGGCGATGCAAGAGCACCGCGGGTCTGAAGATTCTCAGCTGGCATGAGTTGAACTGGTCGGTCAACTCTGTCAGCCTGCGGAGGCGGCTGGAGTAGTCTAGGGTCGATGAGCGCTTCACATCCTGAGCTTGCTGGCTGCATCACCTCCTCTTCGCCTTCACCAGCTGCTTCCTCTGCATCTCCATTGCTGATAACGGGTTCTTTGGTGAGGGCCAAACCAACAGCAGATACAGCTCCCCGGTCAGGAGCAGACTTCGCCGCCCTGATAAAATCCCGGATCCTATCGAGACACGCCGTTCGACGGCCCCTCTTGTTGGGTTCGTGCTCATCTAGGAACGGCCGAAAGAGGAAAATGGCCTCGACGGAGACGTGGTGGCCCTCGCACAGGCCAGTGGCATTGCTTGGGTTCGCGAGCACGAAGAACCGGACGGACTCGCCGGCGACCTTGGCAACCACGCGGAGCGCCTGCGGGTCGTGCGACACGATGCTGAGGTGCTCCTCCTCCAGCGAAGCGATCGAGCCGCGGAACAATTTGGCGGAGTTATCGTCGGTGCTGTCGGGCCCGGTGAGGGTGGCCATGATGGCCCAGCTGGGCTGCATGCCAACCCAGATGCACACGTGCGACGGCTGGGGTCCGATCCCATTCAGCTCAGCTGGGCTGGGCTGAACGGGTGGGCAGGTGCGATGCCATGCTTGTGAGGCTGGCTTGAGGACTTTCAGCTTCGCCGTGTGGAGAGTGAGGCCAGAAGTCAGGTGCGCGGGAAGGCGGTGGTCGTAGGCGCGGCGCTCAAGGCTGAACGCATATCGGTCGAGAAGGGGAACATCCATGGTGACTGATGCTTGTGGGATGTTTCATGGGATTGAACGAGAAGGTTGAGATTTTAGGGAGAAGTGACCTCTTTGTGAACAAGCACTGGGAGAGTCACATGCATAGCAGGAGAAATAAGAGAGAGGTTCGTGTGAACAGCGAAATGACCTCATCCAGACATGATCGCAGGATGACAGAAGAGAGAGAATGCAAACGGCAGGAATTTCGAGGAACGGGTTTCCTGGAAAGGAAGGGTGTGCCAATATCAATTTTGAGGAAGGGAATCTGAAGGCCCGCAGAACTTGGGATATGTATGTGACGAGCAGATCATATGGTGGGACGAACAAATGAGATGCAGATCGAGTGATCTATCCGTCAGAATGCGTTCGGCTTTGAAAGTGTCAAATGGAAGCAGAGCGAAAACGGGATGCCGTAGATGACCTTGATGTTGAAGGGAAGCTCCCAACGTCTTGTCTACCAAGAATCTGCCAGAATGACTTCAGTGTGAGGTGACGTGTTCCTTGCGAGGCAGTTTTCATGGAATGCAAGGAGTCGACAAGGTGGTTCCATATTCAGCAAGCCTTTTGTTCGTGATTATCGAGCAATCCTCATCGCTTGGAGGCACAGCCTGCCACTCTTATCCGTTCAGTACCAAAGCAACAATCACTAACATTGACGCTCCTTGAGTACAATACGGGATCGATGTTACCTTGCCCAGGGAATGCTTAGTCTTTTGGTAGCTTCTATGTATCACCCACACTCAATATGACAGTACTTCGAGCAACGGAAGAATAAGGCGGAAGGAGATCGCGTGCCCTCAAACAGTACCTGGGCTAGGTAGGTAATTTTGGGCACCCGAATAACGGTACCTCCTTGCAATATTCCTTGGCACCGAACTGCAGAACATGGAAGGGCAGTGAATTCATCCATCGGATATAGCTTTGGTATAGACAGACTTTTAACACTATCGCTTCAGAGAGAATAATTGTATATCCTTGCATTGCAATTCACAAGTGACGCACCTCTCATCAGTGATTCCACCAATACATTAGTGCCGTTGTCGGCATTCCGATTTCTGATCCCTCCATCCGATCCCGCGAACGTGCTCGCCCATCATAACCCTGCTTCCGGCAGGCAGCTCGAGCCTCGTTTCCCTACAGACAGACTAGGGCCCGACACTGACTAGGGAAACATGTCCCTGGGGTACTTGTTGACATTTGGAAATGCCTTCACCATGGTCTTTCGACGTGGACGCTCTACTGGATCCAACAGGACTATAAAGTAATCAGTGGTATTTACAGTCCTGCCAAACAAAAAAGGAGAGGCCCCAAGCAATTAAGAAGTAAGTCCAGGGATGAATCCGTTCCCCTCGGAGTTGGTAGGGTCGAAGGTGAAGCCTGCATTGGGATCGGCGTTGTTCTTCTTGGCCTTCCCAGTGGCAGCGTTATTCTTCTTCGCCTTCCCATTGTTCTTCTTTGCCTTCCCGTTGTTCTTCTTTTTGCCTTTGCCTTTCCCAGCAGCAGTGGCGGCGGTTTTGCCCTTGTTCTTCTTACGGTTGCCGGTGTTGGACTTCAAGGCGTTGGCCCCATTTCCCTCCGAGTTCGTGGGGTCGAAAGTAAAGCCGGCATTGGGGTCGGCGTTGTTGGCTCGTTTGACGGTGAGCCCTGGGATGAACCCATTCCCCTCGGAATTGGTAGGGTCAAAGGTGAAGCCGGCGTTGGGGTCCGCGTTGTTCTTCTTGGCCTTCCCAGCGGCGGCGGTGTTCTTTTTCTTCTTCCCCTTGCCGTTCCTGTTCTTCTTTGCGACTCCTCGGAGGATCTCACCCGCACGGGCAGGTGGTTGCGGGTTGTTCTCGTCCTGGGGCTCCCGAACCTGAAGCTTTGCAGCGCTGGCCATGCTGCCCTGGACCAGGGGGAATCAAGTTAGTTACGGCCCCATGGAACTGCTGCCAGGAGATCTGCCAGTGAAGGAAGTTTGCTGCTGACATACCACATGACGTCGTTGCACCGCCGCTCCTCCGGCATCCCGTGCCAAAACGGAGCCAGCCGACAAGATGAGGCCGAAGGCCAGGGAGAGCTTTGTGAAGTGCATCTTGGCTGTGGAAATGAATGGCTGGCCGGCAGCGAAGTAAGGATAAGTAAAATACAGAGGTCGAAGTAAAAACGAAAATGGATGTGCTGCCTGAGTGATAGAATATAGCTGTGTTGCAACCCGGGTGAAGGAAGAGGCTATCTATATACCGACTGAGAGGGCATCCATCTGGTGGCTTGAGAATGGTACCTTGTAGTCAGTATGACTACCCCTTTTCGGGGACTTGACGAAAGCGGTAGTTACGCCTGTTTCACCTATCTCAACCCGTTTCAGTTTCAAGCCCTTGCCTATCTACCCACAACTTTACAACTTTAATAACCTTACCACAACTACCAACCGACCTAGCACACTTTGAAGATCGATTGAAGTGTACCCCGTAAGCTTCGAGGCTGGAGGTAGTATAAAGGGGTCTATTACCTTACAGTCTGCTGAGGGATTGAAATGCGCTTGGCTACAACAACCACCAGGCCTTAAGGAAAGGCAAGACACTTCTGACAGTGCATTCAAGTTATCTCCGAGCCGTTCTAGATTTGGTTTGAAGGGTTGATATCTCCAGTCTTTGCCTGCTAATGGATTTTCCCTTATTTAATATCCAGAGTTGAGTTTTATTCACACTCATGATCCTCTTCGATAGGTAGTTTACAGTCCCCCCTGACCTCGTATTTGATTGTAGGTGCGGCCCAAAACCCCGGTAGCTGCGCATTGAAGATTGTGGGGGTGCCATGGTCAACCTGGCAGGCATTGCGGGGGGAGCACGAGTACCTGAAGCACGATTTGAAGACAGATGAAACCAGGCACATGCAACCTCGCTCACCCCAGGCTGACTGAAAAGAGCCTTCGAGAGGGAGAAATCGAGACCTGGATTTCTTCTAAGTTGGCACACATGCATCCATGTCTCTACCTGCGCACGGTTCGGCCATCCATCCACAAGTGGTGAATCCAGGTGGTCCGCCCACATGAGCTGATCTGCCCACAGCGATCCCCCCAGATCCCCAAGCGATCATCATCGTCGATCTCGTCATATTGATTGCTCATAGCTGCTATTTGCTCCTGTACTGAATGAACTTCCAGTACTCAGCCTTTAACATGTCGGATTTCGTGACGAGGGAAACAGGGCCTACTCTGCTCATTTTCCCCTTATATTCCGGGCTGAACATGGCGAGCCCATCACAATTTTCGAAACGGTCTGGTCCAGACGACATCACGCCAGGCTATTAGGGTCGTCCAATGGCCCATCCCTGTTGCGCTGTCTGGGACCGGCGATCATGCAAGCCCATTACGCGCGACATCGCATAAAGATGCAGTAAGCTCGGCCGCAGGCGCCAGCATTTGCGGCGCGTGCGACTGTGCGGCTCACACGAAACAGATCGCTTCAACGATGAGGCGGCCGGTCTGGAACTCGCGGTGAGTTCCTGATTGTCATATGAAGCATCGACATATAGCTCACGCCTTCCAGGTAAACTAGTCTGGTCTCAAAAGACTGATAACCCTACGTTATCTGGAGCGCGTGTTGTCGCGACTTGGGAGCGGGTCAAAGCACACAGCAGTCAGTTCCTCGAATGGCAATTGTATTGATCGGGTCTAATGAGGAGAGAGATTATTGTCGCAAAGACAAGCCTCCTCTAGTCGTGAAGCAACCCGAGAAGAAGAAGTAAACGAGTGAAGATGATCAAGACTCGAACGGTCATGAACAACAACGAACGAGTTTGAGATGGGGGCCCATCACACGAGACTGGGAGCCATGGCCAGGTCCCCACCACGCGCTGGACAGCTGAGTTGCATCCCAAGTGGCTTTCTTCCGTACATTATCCAAGTGAGTTCAACAATCTGACAGGTGCGCTAAGGAGAGGCATGCATGTTGGTCCGGACGGGTTTGCCGGAAGTGGGCAGCCCCCCGCGAGGACTGACCGGGATCGAGCAAATCACCTTTGGTCTCGAGAATGTTGGCAAGGGCCGTACATGCATGATTCTGCTCACACACCAATAATACGAATGTACGGAGTAATGCTGTCCTTAGACAGGAAAACACACCGAGGCAAGATGCGCGTTGCCCAGATTTCTTTTCTCCTCTCCTAAATTTTTGAAACCTGTGCGCGATATATTTCCGCAACCACAACGCATTTACTTGACAACTGTGAATCAGAATGGGCGCAGCGCTCAACCCGGATGGCGGCGCGTCTCCAGAGGCAGCGCCAGGCGACACCAGACCAGCCGAGGTGGCAATCGTTGCCGATGACGACCAGGATTCCTCGATCGGCGAGGTAGGTTCAGGAGTCCAAAGCGGAGACGAGAGTCGGAAGCTGCACTTGCTGAACAACGGAGAAGGAAGACTTGGACAATGAGCTTTCGGTAGCGTCGCTGAGGTCTAGTATCCTTAGCTACCAGATGGAGAATGGGTTTGGCTACCATGGCCTGAACAAAGGAAGTTCGTAGCGCGATGTTCTGTCCCAGGGGGTACACTTGCTGACGAGCAGCGGCGGCAGAATACATCATGCCCACGGATGAGGTGAGGCGTCGGCTCTTCTGCGCAGTCCTATCTGTCTGATGCTTAGTCGCCGCCAGGGTGAACAAAATCGACTTGGTAAGGACGACAAGCCCTCATTGACCCGCAAGCCGTCTAACATGCTCCCGGCGAAGACCTCCAGAATCACCACTTCCTTTTGACCTTTGAAGGAAAGCAGTACTTTGCCCCGGGAGCAGACACCGCCAAGCGTGTCATGGATGCCGGTACTGGAACGGGAATTTGGGCCATTGACTTCGGTAAGATCCTCTTCGTGTTCAACAGCCGAATGGGCTGATTGCTGAACATAATGAAAGCCGATTCTCATCCCCAAGCCGAGGTGCGTCTCGATGTTCGATTAAAAAGAAGTCTTGCTGACCGATTCTTCAGGTCGTCGGTGTCGACGTTGCACCCATCCAGCCATCATTGTATGTAAACCCAGACGATGCTCTTGATTCTCTCGTGTCGCCAGCTACTAATTTGTAGTAATTAGTGTGCCTCCCAACTGCCGATTCGAGATTGACGACCTCGACAAGGAGTGGACTTGGGCATTCAAGTGGGACTACATATTCACTCGAACCATGAATGCGGCCTTCGCAGATTGGGAGGTCTACTGTAAGAAAGTATTCGAGTAGGTCAAACCTGAACATACGTCTTCTACGAGCCTATTACTCAGAGTACCATCAACCACAGCAACTTGGAGCCTGGAGGCTGGCTAGAGATCATTGACGCCATGTATCCCATCTCCTGCGACGACGGAACCCTCAAGCCCGACTCTTCTCTCCAGCAATGGAACGATCTCCTCATCAAGGGCGCTGAAGCGCTCGGCCGTCCCATCACCGAGCCTCAGCACCACAAACAGCGTGTGCTCGATGCTGGCTTCGTCAACGTCGAGGAAAAAAGATATTGCTGGCCGACGAACCGGTGGCCCAAAGACAAGAACCTCAAGGAGGTCGGGTTGTGGACGCTGGCTAATGTGGAAGGCAATCTCGAGCATGTGAGCATGGCTCTCCTTGCGCGGGGAGCGGGCATGTCCCGGGAAGAGGTTTTATCCTTTCTGGCTGGGGTGAGAAAGGACTTACGGGATACCAAGATCCACGCGTACTGGTCTATGTGAGCCTGACTTCATTGCTGATAGACAGGACGCTCTGCTAACAACTTCACTTAGCACTGTGGTGTATGGTCAAAAGCCAACGACAACCTCTGAGGGTTCCTGAAGGGGTTTGGCTCTTTGAAAGGACATGTGGCATACTCAATCACCTGCCTTGGCTAAATCACAGATATCATATCAAACTCCAGGTCTTATCCACACCTTGCGCTACATCCATGGAGCTCCTCAAGACCCCAAGCTCGGCATCCGTCAGCGCAACAGCTTGCTTCCCATCCATGCATGACATATCCTGCTTGCTGGCCCCCTTGTGCCACGTCCCATTCACCATCCAATGCGTAGGCACCTCGAACGTGGCAGGCAGCGTCATCTTGTTCTTCGGCAGGCCGCCGTTGTACCAGAGCAGCCTGTCGTCCTCGTCGAGGTGCGCGATGACAAAGCTGCAAATCTTGCCGGCCTCGGCGCTGCCGCCGTCCGGCGCCTGACCCTGGGGCCACCCGGCCACCGCCGCGTAGTACTTCTCGAAGCTGTACGGCGCCCCCGCGAGCTCCATCCCCAGCCACCAGCTCTCCTTATCGCCGTACATGAGCTTGTACGTCACGTCGTCGCGCACGGCCTTTGTGTTCTGCCAGGCGACGTGCAGCAAGCCGAGGAGCACGCCGAGGCGGCCCTTGTCGAGCACCACGACGCCCGAGTCGGCCTCCTCGGCGTACCGCTGCGTCCAGACGAGCGACCTGTTCAGGGCCTCGCTGGGCTGCCTGACCTGCGAGTGCCACCAGTTGTGGCGGGCCGGGAACGCGCCCTGCCACAGCAGGCGGTCGTGGAACATGAGCGCGCCCGTCTCGGCGTAGCCCCGCTGCGCGAGCAGCACGTCGGGCGGCTGCACGAAGACGGCGTCGGCGTCGAGGACGACCGCCTCGGCGAATCGGCTGCCCAGCGCCGCGAAGGCCTTGATGGCCCAGCCGCCGGTGGCCAGCTTGAGGGTCCGGTCGTCGAAGCGCCGCAGGACGTCGATGAACTCGATCCCGCCGCCGCCGTCCACCTGGCCGAGCTGGGCCAGGGTCTGCCTCTGGCTGGCCGGGAGGTCCTTCTCCCCGGCGTAGAAGACCTCTATCGGCAGCGAGGTGCGGAGCGTCCGCCGGAGGGTCGCGACGAGGTGGCAGGCGTGGCGGAAGGTCTTGGTGCCGGTCGGGATGACGATGCCCCTTTCTTGCGTGAAGCTCTCGCGCAGAGCGGCAAAGGGCCTCGTCTTATTCTCTGCGCGAACGAGGAATGGGAACTGTGCGCCGATGACGGTCTCGACGGCGGCGTGGATGGTATCACGGTCGGCGTCGTTGACGGCGGAAGACTCGGCCAGCTCGACCCATTGCCTGATGAGCTTTAACCGCGACCCCGTCTCTCCGAACGAGTTATCGTAAGGTGCTTGCGGGGGCCAGTCGGCGAAATGCCGCGCTACATCGGAAATGGCCGACACCGACACCGACACCTTTGCGGCACCGATGGGTTGCTGTGCTGTCCTAAGGTTCGAAACGGGCTTTGAACCGGAAGACAAGTTGCGAGCCCCAAAGGCCTGTTGGCTGTAGGCGAAGATGAACCATATTATTGTCGCTACGACAAAGATAGTCGGAACCGGCCCTCGAGGAGACGACACCGTCGGCGGCCGAAAGCCCATGTTATGAACTGTGCAGGGAGGCGGGAGGACAGGAAACAAACATCTTTGCCGGTCGGTCGTCAGTGTCCGAAAGGTTATGAGCAACCGAAGAGACGCCAACTACAGGACGAGTCTCGATAGATGGGAAATGCAAAAGGAGGAAAGATCTGAACCCCTAGCAAAGATAACACCGGGGAACATTTGCTTTTTAGTACGCGCCGGGCGAGACTGCAGGCTGCAGGGGCCCGCTCGGGTATTGGATTGACAGTACCGGTACTTCACTGCAAGGCAAGTTTACGGAGTACCTAAGCTCTGTGGCATGGATTGACTACTCATGGATGGGTCTATGACTCGATGGATGTTCACGCAATGGATCGGGAGGCCCACACGCCCATGGACACTGGCCTTCAGGGTGATTGCGGAGGGTCTTGGGGTTTAGCTTTAGGCTCATGAATAAACTGCTTTCTTAGTTAGCTATGATGAGTTGAGCTAAATGGCCCGCGTCGTTCACGAAGACAGTCTATGTAACTCGGCATATACTGCTCGTTTGCTGCCTCGCTTCGATGGCCTGTACCGTGCCTAGAAATGCCGTCCTGATTTCCACATGTATCGAAAATCATGTCCGAGTACTCCGTAGAGAGGTGATCTCCCTCAGCTTGAGACATGCAGACATGAGGAGCGGCCTGTTGTGACGTACACCCGTCGCCTAAGCCACGCTAGACTGGGAGTCGGGTCGATTCTGGTCACAATTCCTTGCACTATTGGAAGCCCCCATTGCAGCATTGCAGGAAGCGCCAGGGGCCGGCTGGCCAGATCGGGCAAAATAGCACCTGCGCCGCGAGCCCAGAGTCTGAAACCGACACAAGGGCGGGCGACTGCCGCGGGCTGAAAAGCTTGATTTGCAGAGCGATAAGCAGGGGCCGCGCGGCATGCAGATATCCACAAATAGACCCAGTGTCTAGACCGTGCTGGAATGTCCAGTCTTTCCGACGGGTTTAAGCAGTGGTGATCGCTATTCCAGAAGCTAAGCCATACAGAACACCCCTGGTTAACACGCCTCCTTCGCTTGCTGCTTCAGTTCTGTTTTGTACCTTATCTGCATGCTCGCCCAAATACACTGACGATTGGCAATATGGATGAGCTGACCACCAAGTTCTCTGACCGGGATTTCTCACTGCGTGGCTTGAAGACGCTCCAAATTAGGGCTGCCGCCATCGGTTCGTTGGCGCGAAAACTTGCCCTCCAACACCATTGCTTTCCCGGCGGGTAACTGCTGCTGAAATTAGCACAATAACGGATGAGCTGGTCATTCCATGTAACTGCCCCCCTAAAGCCTAGAGGAACTCATTAGAAGAGCTTTGAGCTTTCGATGAAGGCCCTGATCACGGCGAGTATCGTACAAGCGATGTCAAAGCCACTCTCCATATGATACCGGCGAACTACGTGCTTATGAGCTTCGTAATACTTTATAACCCCGGGGATTCCTCATATTGAACTGTAAACCTCAGTCGATCCCTTTGTATTTGGTCAACCCTGATCCTATTCCTATCTGCTCCGTTCGACCATGGCATAATGCGTTCCTTAGGCGCGGTCCTCATATTGTGAGACTACCCGTTTTTAGTCATCAGCCGCCCGAATGGCGCAATTGGCAGCGCGTCTCACTAGTAATGAGGAGGTCCACAGTTCAAATCTGTGTTCGGGCATGGTTAAGGATACTCGGTACCTTTTTTGTTTGCACCTTCGGTTTTCCTCCATTTTTTGCCTTTCGCTATCTTCCTTTTGTGTCTTCTTGCTGCTTTCTAGAAATAGGGACTAATTGGTTTCCTCACTGGTTCTGCTGTATTGGCGTTCTCCGTTGATGGATGCCACAGCCATCGGATCCGGCCGGCGGATCCGATGCATACCAACACTCGATTACTCGGAACCGAAGAACAACTCTTTCTCGGCTCCTTCAACAACCCTGCTTGACAGATAGCTGGTGGCTATGATGTTGATGAAGCAGGTTGTGGGCCAGTCTCTACGTACGTATTTAAAGCACGTAGAGATTCAGGGTTGGGACTCTCTGTTTCCAAGTCCGCAATCATCGCATCAATATAAATCTCATCAGGCCTCTTCTCAAACATGTCCTCGAGTCACATTGCATTGGCTGGTGCTACAGGCAACCTCGGCGTGCCGATTCTGCAAGCACTTCTCGACGCCGGTTACAAAGTTACAGCTCTTTCCAGGAACGGGGGCAATTCGTCAAGGCTCAAGCCTCATCCTAACCTGGTGGTTAAACAGGTCGACTTCACTTCTGCCGATTCTATCAGCCCGGCATTGCAGGACATTGACGTGGTCGTCTCTTGCCTTGCAACTCTGGCTATAGGAAGCCAGACCCCGCTGATTGACGCAGCGTTTGGAGCCGGCGTCAAAAGGTTCATTCCTGCAGAGTTCGGCATGGACTCGCGGAACCCTCTTTGTAAGGAGCTGCCTGTTTGCGTCCCAAAGGCGGCGGTTCAGCAATATCTCGGAGAAAAGCACAAGCTACGCCCCAGTTTCACCTGGACCGGTATTGCAAACGGAATGTTCCTCGACTGGTGCCTGGGAGAAGGCTTGGTCCTCAACCCTGAAAAACACTCAGCGATCCTCTACAACGGTGGCGATGTGCCGTTCAGCGCCACGACGCTGGCTGATGTCGCAACTGCTGTGCTGGGCATCATCCGCCATCAGAGCGAGACGGAGAACCGCCTCGTGTACATCCACTCAGCGCTGGTCACGCAGAGTAAGCTGATCAAGATGGCCGTTGATATTGACGGCAAAGCCTGGCAGACGACGCTCAAGGACACTGAGGATTTGAAGCGGGAAAGTCCGGCGGAGCTGGCCAAAGGGGCGCATGCGGACGTCGAAGCCGCGATGCTGGGATTTTGCTTCTGCGGTATGCTGCATCCGGGATATGGCTGTGACTTCTCGGACCATCTAGACAACGACTTGCTAGGCGTCAAAGGCCTGAGTGATGGAGAATTGCGGGCCGTGATGGCGGGTTTGTTGTAGTGGTTCTGTCGCTGCCAAGAGGCGCCAGATTGCTAAGCAGGGAGCCAAAATCTCACGCTACTCGCAGCTGAAGTGCGTGCCCATCTGGTCATTACTCAAGTAGCATCGCCAATCGGAACGTCATTTAGGAACCTTTTCAATTCCTCCTCATTTGTTGAATCCCGAGCGTACGTGACTAGCTAGGTACCTTGTGAGCACGACAAAATCCATCTTGGAGATGGGGGGTGACAGTCCACTACATGGAAAGAGAACGCAGTTCTCCAGCTGCGACGCGTGCCGCCGCTCTCGAGTAGCGTGTGATGCGGCCAAGTTCGGACACCAGCCAGGCCAAGCAAGATGGCGCGGCTCGTGTTCGAGATGCAGCCAGAAGAAGAAGTCGTGCACTTTCGAGGTGCGTATTCCTCCTTGAGCTTTAGGGATATTGGTTTACTTACTATCTCTAGTGGATGAACGATCTGAGAAAGAAACCCTCGGGTGTCCGAAGGGAGGTTCGGCCCACCGCGCGGACGGCTGGGCTCACACCTTCTGAGTCCTGCGACTCTCCAGACCTCCCAGCCGACGCTGACGATGCTCTTCTTGAGAGCTGGTCGTCTGAGATCTTCCAGCAAGGCTTTGAGACGGTCTTTGGTCTGTCGGTCGGCAGGAACAGCTGCCCGTTCGTGTAAGTTTATCATTTTATCCCCTCCGGGTTTTCTTCTCTGATGTGGTGTAGTGACGATCCTCTCTGTGACGTCTGTGTGCCAGCTACCAAGCTCTTTGGTGCTCTGGACGCTTGTATAGACGAAGAAGTCGGACAGGATAGCCTTTCGAGAGAAGGTCGCACGCCCGAAGCACAAGGACAGAAAGAAGAAAGGAATGGAGAGATTGACAAGTCTTTGCGTCTTGCCATCAGGGCTTATACCGCCCGGTGGCTCCCGCTAATACCCGACAGAGATCCCTCTCAGCGTGATCAGGACGAGGAAAGGATCAAAGACACTTGGCGCGCGGCCAGAAGGGAGATGCTCAAGGTTATCAACCGCGCATCATATCGCTCCATCCTGACCCTCTGCCTTTTTGCGCAAACGCCCATGCCCTCTGGGATATCCGAAGAAGAGGAGCTAGACGGACTGAGCGGGCTAGTTTGCTTACACACAGCACTGCTACAGATCCAAAGGCTGCGAGAGAGGCAGAAGAAGTGTCAGTTCCGCGGCTCAGAGGCGTCGCCTTGGAGAAGCGCAGCCATCAGTTCTGTCCCGAGCCCCGACCGTACAGAGGCCTTCTTGAGCCTCGAGAGCAGGGCATACTGGGCGGCTGTGGTGTGGGACACGTCGAGCTCCCTCACGTCCAACTTTCGGGCGTCTCTGACCTCTGGGCTGAAGGGCGCCTGTGAAGAGTCGGTGTGGCGTCTGAGCAGAGCATTCTTGCTGGGCTCCTGGAATCCCAAAGCGGAACAGTGGCTGGCAAAAGGATTCGAGGTCACGGATGACACGGCATCTCAAGTCTTTTCTGCGGCCGCCGTGTGCGGGGTCTACATGTGGAAATGCATAACGTCTCTGAAGGAAGCTCTGATCGAAGGTGTTGATGAGGAGGGCGTGTTGTTCGCGTGGTCTTCGCTCCAGGAAGGACTGGAGATCTTCAGGACGACACTATGCCCGCTTCTCTGCCTTTGCGAGCGACAAGTCCATTTTCTGGACCAGCTGCGCCGCATGAGTTGGTATCAGATCAACATGAAATACTATCTCGGCGTCCTGATCATGCTCGATATCCTTGAGGCAGCTGGTCGACAGGATCTTCTCAAGCAAGTCGAGGAGATCAGGATGGAAGTGGAGCACGAGTCTTTCAATATCCTCAAGTTTGGCATGGAAAGCAGTTATACAATCTACGGTCCCGGAGACGGACTAGGCTCCAGCATGGCACCCGCCGGCGTGTTAGACGGATCTACACCGGGGATCACCGCCTCGTTAATCGCCGTCGACCCATGTCCTCACCATGTGGTTGATTACGTGGCGCTGATGCACACCGCCCTCATCGACAAGTACAGGCGGGGCAAGATGAAGTACGAAGCTTATTCGTACCTCGCGGGAACGCTCGGCAAAGCCCTCGATCAACTTCCCAAGCATTCGAAGTCTGTGGATGTTGCACATCAGAATCTTCGGGACTCTTTCCAAAAACCTGGAAGCATGACTATCCCTGGCTAGTCTTTGCAGTGGTCAATATGACATGAGAGCTCTGATGATATGGCTGCGCTTCCATATTTGAGAATGCTCTGCTAGGAAGACATAGGTCTAGTATAAGAAGTTTCAGGGGAATTCCTGCTGATTCAAGCACTTCTATTCACTCTAAACGAAGGGTATCTTATCTGGTACTATCTGAAAGGACCCTTAACCACATGACATCGCAGACATCTGCTGAGAGCCCTCAACCATACTCGCTTAAGCCATCATCAAGCCAACGACAAAGGTACCGATAGACATGATCTGCCACAGAGCAGCTGGGGCAGCTATACCAGCGGCTGAGGTCTGCGGTCGCTTGCCTAGGCTCTCAGGGTGGCGGCTACCATCGACGATGTGCATGGCCTGCAGACAGCGGAAGTCGGAGTGGCTGCTGTTGGTGCCGTTAGGGTGATTGTAAATATAAGAGATTGCCACCGGCCACACCGTTGTGACGGCGTAGTCGTAGACGTTGGCAGCGTCAGTGTCGTTGCCTGGTTGGTTGTACGGCGGGAATGATGTGAAGGTCGTGTAAGATCCGCTCGTGTCGTTGACAAGCTGGCCTTGATCCCTGCCATAGCCGTTTGCTAAGAAACAAAAGAGGACGCCTGCTCAATATATGCTGTCGACATCATGATGCTAGAGAAGGGATTTCTTACCATTGTTCCCCGAGCTCACAATCTGGTTATCACAGCCACTCGGCACCCTGACCAAACTGCCACAGGCAGCGCTTTTGACGGCATCCTTGAGCGCCGAGACGCACTTGTCCGACAGCAGTTTCGTGCATAACGCATTGGGGTCACTATTGCGAAGCTCCTGGACCGACTCGATACCGTGGAGCTCGTGGATCCACGTGTAAGCGCAGGTGGTCCAACCCGGGTCGATTGGCTTATGATCCTTGCCGAACGCGTTATCGGGCGCCTTGAGGTAGATGCGAGCTGGGTTCGAGTTGGTCGTCGAGTTGGCGCGATGCGTGAGGTTGGCGGCGACGTGGATCTCGAGGTTCCAACCCGGCTGGTTGCTGCCCACGCCGACATAGGGCTTGGTCAAGTCGAAGCCGATGGTGCCCCATCTCCCAGTGGCATTGGGGTGGTTATCGAGTGCATCGTTGAAGCTTGCTGACGGATCTTCGGTCGTGATGTTGCGCCGCATGATGGTAGGTTTCGACTCGAGTCCTTGCCAGGCTGCTGAGCTCAGGCTGGCCGAAGCGAGCAGCAGCGCAGAAACCTTGGAAAGATTTGATGAGGCCATGTCATCGAGGTACTAGGACAATCTCTGGTTTGAAGTGCGTACTCTAGTGGGTGTGGCTTGTCTTCCATCCAACCCAGAGCGAGTGGCAGGGCTCGACATGCTTAACATAACCTTCTTGCAGATAACCGTAAGCACGGCACATCGGCCACCTCGGGTGAGGCACAGAGACGACATGACGTACCCCAACTAGATCCCTCAGCTTTGCTTGATTGCACATCTTGGAAAGTTGAATTCTGGGGTACGAACGTGGGACCTTTGGAGGCCGACGTCTCGGTTGTAGAGTGGGCTTTCGGGGCTAAGCACTCAGCTCGCCTATGAAAGCGAATCGTCTTCAAACATTGGTTGTTCAGGCATGAACAGTGCCGCCACAGGGCCACAAAATCATCGGAGATTGTGACATGGGCCAAGATCTTCGCGATCTGGCGTAGGCAACGATCTCCATTTTCAGCCCTTTGGCGGATCCACAGCGACAAGAGCTACATGGTTCCGGATGGTTAGACGGCAGGTTAGCAGTCTTGGCAGGCTGTTTCACACAACAAGCTGTACTCTGAATATGTGTGTGTCATGTAGCAATCATGGTTGATTAAGCAGAAGAACTGCGTTGTAATCGGAGCACAACTCCGTTACACAGGCAGGTAGGTGCAAAACTTCCATAATCTTCATAACACATTATAGCTTCGAACTCCTATTGTCAGCGCCAGACTTGAAGACCCAGTCCGCCGGACTCGCCATCTTTAACTTCGACAGCACCCGCGGCCCGGCCTCGCCCTCGCCCAGCCCGTTGCGCGTCTTGCCCTTGGCGTCTCCCACGGCCGCGCTCGCCGGAGGCGACGTGCTCCGCCAGCCCCACAGCCTGCCGTACGGGGTGGCCGACCCCCTGCCCTCGAGGATCTTGACCACCTCCTGGCCCAGGATCGGCAGGAACTTGAAGCCGTGGCCGCTGCCGCCCGAGCACACGGCCACCTTGCCGCCGCGGCCGGGCACAAAGTCGACGAGGAACGAGTTGTCGACGCTGTCCGTGTACCAGCACAGCTTGGTCGACGAGATGCCGAACTCGCGCAGCTCGGGGAGATTCCTAGAGATGTAGGCTATTGGGCAACGAAAGGCGTCCCATGCGTCAGTATGACGATTATCATTCTTGGTCTAGGCGGAGAGAGGGTCTCGCGGGAAAGGGGATAGTGACCTTTGACGCCGTTCAACGCGATCATGGGGATGTTTGTCTCTTTCTTCTCCGTCACATGTGCTGTCTTTGGCACTGAGATTCTCCGATCGCCGACGTTCTCGTAGTTGGTCCACCTGATAGATTAAGATATCCGGTTAGCCTGGCTGCCGAAGCACTGCGATGCAATTTGCACTTACTTTGTCTCTCTGAAACCAATCTTGACGATGCCGTTCTCATCCCTGGGAAAGCTATAGATTCCGGGCTCCATTATGACCGGAAAGTTCTCCGGTGCGAAGCGATCCCAGAGGTCCTTTCGTGAACGAGGAATCTGGATCATAGCTACCGAGCCGCCGGTCGTCTCCAAGAGCTGATCGACCTCGGGGAGTAGCGACGGCGTCCAGCCACCGCCAGCAACAACAACCAAGTCACCCTTGTGCACTGTGCCATCGGCCGTGCGGACGGTTGGCTTTCCATCGTCAGCTCCACCAATGTCAATCGCCTTGCCGCAGCGCGAGTCGAGGATGAACTTCACGCCGAGTTTCTGAGCCATGTGCCTCGCCCAGTCGCAACCCCTATACGCAACGACGAACCCGGCAGTCGAGTCGAGCACCGCCTTGTGGTGGCCGAACCTCTCCCGCCGCCGGCACGGATCTAGCTTGTGCGCCCAGCCGCGCCGCCGCGCCCGCTCGACGTCGGCCTCGTCGTCCGTCCGGAACTGCCTGTCCCTGATGCCCTCCTGCTCCATGCTCTTGAGCGTCAGAAGCTCCTGCTCCGTCATCTCGCGCGTGGGGCTCTGCCTCAGCGCCCCGCAGTTGAGCCAGACCCGGCTCCTGTCTCCCGCGAAGCGGCGCGGTAGGTCGGTGGAGGCGGCGATCTGGCGGTTCCACTCGTCCCACTCGGCGGCGGCGCGCGAGGCCAGGCGCTGGTAGTCGACGGCGGAGCCGTAGCTGAAGCGCACGATCTTGTTGATGTCGGCCGAGGCGCTGTCGATGCCGGCCTTGGGGTCGTAGCCCGCGGCCGCCGTGTCCTGCATGTCGAGCACGGTGACGTCGCGGTAGCCGGCGCGGGCGAGCCAGAGCGCCGTTGAGATGCCGAAGACGCCGGACCCGACGATGATGATGCGGGAGTCCTTGCGGAGCGACGGCGGGGGCGGTCGCGCTGTTGTGCTGGGGGCAGACATTGTGGAAGGGGGTAGAGAAAACGATTGGGAAATGAGATTGGCTGTGAATCTGGAATCTACAATGAAGGAACACGCAGGACAGTATTACTCTTAGAAACTATTGCCACTACCCAACAAGGTAGAGAGCTTTATGAGGTGCAGGCAGTGGTGATGTTGCGTGTTGGGTGCGCCGACACCGCATTGGCTGCCGATCTGGGGTAGTCCCCGGCTCCGCTCTTGGCGGCGTTATCCGCCCGGGGCGGAGAATGCCGACCAAGCATGCACCTCCTACACCTATTTGGGGCGCAAACGCGCATAATAGCTACTCAGAGACCGAGATTCAAAGGCAGAGTGCTTGTTTCTATCAGGAGAATGGTGCGATTCGAGAGCGAATCATCCAATTCACGTATGTTCTCCCACTCACTGTCCGCTGATACCCCGCCCGACTGCGGTCCAAGGGATGTCGTTCTCTGGAGTTCAGAAATCATTGAGCCTACTTCAAAGTTGTTGCCCATACTTCTTGGACGTAAGGAACCACTACAGCCCGAGGTACGTTTCGAGATGAAATGGCTTCATCGAGGACAACACCAGTCTTTGTGATGAATGGCTCGGAAACCAATGCCGAAGATGTTCCCACTTCCCAGTGCCGTGGGAGAAGCGCAAGCGGTGAGATCCTGAACGCGGCTAAAGTGCGATATACAACAGCCACTTAGCCCTCGAATAATCTACAACCTCTGGCATATTGACGCGCCTGCACAGAACAAGGTCCTGCAGGTACGAGATGGACGTGCCTGAAATTCGGTCTCCACAGCGCAATTCGAGCTGGTGAGCAGAGACCATCGGGGATCAAACGGGAAATTTGTACTGAGATTGTGAGCATGCTGTGGGGTGGACTTGGCCATGCTTCAGGCTATTCGCATACCTGTCCGCGTAGCAAGGTGGCAGATTTTGCTATGTGCGGCTCGAAAGTGGTTGCTGCGCCCATGAGGGAGGGAACTATATATACAAGGCGATAATGCCATATCTTGGCAAGCTGGAGGCGGAACGGGAAGCCTCACTACTGACAGATCGTTTGTTGTTTGAGATATCACGATGCCTCGGTTCATCTCTTCGGTAGGCATAGCTGTTGCGGTCAGCAATGCTTTGACTGTAGCATATCCTCGAGGTGTAGAACGCTCGAAGGTCCTGGCCTCTGCAAGAGACGTTGGCGATGCATATGACTATGTTGTAGTCGGCGGTGGCACGGCCGGCCTCACTGTAGCCGATCGTCTCACGGAAGATGGCAAGACGACAGTGCTGGTGATCGAATATGGCGAGCTAGGTATGTGGCAGCTGTGATACCCATTGGGGTCTAGGACTGACGCCGTGCAGCCAACTCACCAGCCATTGATAACGTCCAGGGTGGCACCCAGGGCATGAGCGCCTCGAGGTTCCTATATCCCGTCACCTCGGTGCCCCAAGAACACCTAGACGGCCGGCGAGTGCCGGTGTTGATCGGCAAGGTTGTCGGTGGCAGCTCGGCCGTCAATGCGATGATGACCGTTCGGGGAACCAGCGAGGACTATGACCGGTGGGGAAACTTCTTCGGCGGCTCATCTGACTGGAGCTGGAAGGGCCTGCTTCCGTACTTCAAGAAGGCCCTCAGCTTCGTCCCGCCCACAGAGGAAGTGGCCGAGTCGACACATATGAACTACGACACAAGCTTCTGGGGCAACACCTCGGGCGTCTACACTGGGTGGCCCTCGTACCAGTACCCCGGGACGGTCATCCAGCTAGAGGCATTTGGAGAGCTACCTGGGGTCGAGTTCCCGCCGGACAGTGGTGCCGGCAGAGCGGGTGCCTACTGGTTTCCCAGCTTCTATTCGAAAGCAGTCAATCGGTCGTACGCGAGGACTGGACACTGGGACAATATTAACCGGACCAACTATCACCTTCTGGCCAATACCAAGGTCAACAAGATAGTCCTCAATGGCACGACTGCGACGGGTGTGACGTTCGTGTCGCCCAACGGGAGCACATCTTCCAACGCGACCACACCTAGCACACTGGTCAGAGCGAACAAGGAGGTCATCCTGGCTGCAGGCGGGATCCACAGCCCCCAGATTCTCCAGCTCAGCGGACTCGGTCCCAAAAAGCTGCTCAGTGCCGCCAACATCACGACGGTGGTGGATCTCCCAGGGGTTGGGCAAAACTTCCAGGACCATCCCATGCCATCGATTGCGATCACGAGTGAGTATCGTGCGTGAGTGGCGCTTGGATCATTGCCGTTTGCTGACGTCCAGCCTGAAATAGTGCGCGGCTTCGATATCCGTCCGTCGCCCTCGGACCTGTTCAGAAACACCAACTTCTCTGCCTGGGCGCGCGAGGTCTGGGCTGCAAACAAGACCGGCCCCAACTCCCTCGGTGTCGGCAATGCCGCGGCCTGGCTCCCGTTCCCAGTCATCTCCAACCGTTCGGAGGAGATCGCAAAGCGGCTCGAGGAGCAAGACCACAGCGCGTACCAGCCGGAGGGCACCGATCCGACGGTCGCAGCGGGCTACCGGGCGCAGATGATGGCGTACGCCACGGCCCTCCGGTCCCACAACACGGCTTTCTACAGCGGGACCGTGACCGGCAGCCCCGGCTCGCCCGTGCTCGTGGACCTGCACCCTCTCAGCCGGGGCACCGTCAACATCGACCCGGAGGACCCAGCGGGGCGGGAGCCGCTCGTGGACTACCGGGCGCTGAGCAACCCGCTAGACAAGGCGATCATGGTCGACATGCTGCGCTTCACGCGGCGGTACTTCTTCAACACGTCGCTGGCGCAGTACGGCCCGCGCGAGATGCAGCCGGGCAGCGACGTCGAGGCGGAGGAGGACCTCGCGGCGTGGCTGGCGCAGACGCTGACGCCGACCGAGTTCCACCCCGTGGGGACGTGCGCCATGATGCCGCGGGAGCTCGGCGGCGTCGTGGACGAAGAGCTGAGGGTGTACGGCGTGCAGAACCTGCGGGTCGTCGATGGGAGCATCATGCCTACGCTTCCTGGGGCCAACACGTGCCAGACTGTGTATGCAGTGGCCGAGAAGGTGAGACACCTGAACAAAAAGGCCAGAAGACTTGGTATCATGGAAGCTAAATGTTGACGACGACTTCTAGGCTGCCGATCTCATCAAAACTGCGGCGATTTCACCAGCCAGGCGATTCCTGAACACTCGGCGGACAGGCGAGGTACAGGCATGGTAGATTAGCTGCGCTAAGCAGGCCGGGATGCTCTCTAAGAGCAAAAAAAAGGGCATTGATTCTGCGACCTTTCAATCATAGTGGAATGAGTACATCTGCACGAGGTTGAATCGTAACTCCGCATGTGGTCAGCATCACCAATTGTAAAGGGTCGGGTGCTTCAAAAGGTGTGTCGTCGCGGTAAACTTGGAGCATGCTGGGAGACACTGTGGCGGTTAAAATCCTCTTTATGAAACGACAGCAAAGGCCAAATATGTCCAGGCCATCTTTTCTACGAGAACTGCACTGGTAAGCACTGGTAAGAATCGCATTGCCATGTCCACATTTCTCGTATCGTCGATGAAGCTGGGAGGGAAAAGTGAAATTGGCCGCACGTGATGCCTAAAGCTACCCCCTGAAGCCACATTTGCACATGCCGCGTCCAAGGCGCAGAATTAGCTTTCGCGACACACTCCAGCACTCCCGCCGAAAGCCTCAATTCGCATTGAACCACTGGGCAGCCGGACGATGCCCAGAGTGCCACCCTCATAACCCTTTCCGCTGTTGGGGGATAGTCACAGCCAGGCGCAAGAAGCAGGGCCTTTCAAGATGGGTCTGCCGTCATTCCTGCTCGGCCTGGCCTTGCTGGCCTCCCGGGCGCTGGCATCGGAGCCGTCGACCAGCCTGCCTTCATACCACTACGGCGCGCCCCTCAAGATCGAGTGCATGAACCGGAGCTCGTGAGTCCAGTCTCCTTGCGCTGCTATACTTTGTCTCTTTGCGCTTCCGGTTCTACATCCATGCGCGCGCGCATGCACCGTATCTCCTACTAACGCAGACTCTTCCTCCCCGTCTCTAGAGAAACGGGCGAACACATCGAGCTGGCCAACCACGAGATGCAATGGATCCCCTTCCCCGTCTGCAACGAGACCAGCAAGCCGCTCGAGTTCCACTACGGCATCGAGACCGAGCTCAACTGCACCATCCCCATGATCACCGACCCCTTCTTCCACCTGCTCGAGTTCTACATCCACTCGGACGCGCCCCTGTCCTGCCGCATCCCCGCCCGGCCGCCCGCCCACGTCGAGACCGTCGGCGAGGCCCCGCCGCCCGTCGAGTACATCCCGCTCGTCTTCGCCCTCGCGGGCACCCTGCAGCTGAGCCACCTGCACATCTCGACCCACCTCAACGTCCTGCTGCACAGCGTGCCCAAGCACCACATCCACAAGGGCGACAGCGGCGTGCTCGACTCGGGCGTCGCCTACAGCACCAGCCCGCTCGGCCACGCCGCCGCCGCCGCCGGCGGGCCCTCGCAGACGCGCCGCCTCGTCATCGGCGACCCCTTGCCGCTGAGCTTCAGCGTGCGGTGGTTCCCGACGCCGGCGCTGCCCAAGACGGAAGGCAAGGTCGAGTGGGCCGGCATGGGCGGGCACATCTACGCCAGCACCGTCTTCTACAGCCTCGTGTCGTTCGGCGCGGGCGTCACCGTCGCCGGCGCCTACTTTTTCGGCTCGGTGCTGCCCCGGCGCCTCAAGGGGAGGACGCTGGGCGGAGCGACGCCGCTGGGATATGGGGTGGGCAATGGCTGGGGCATATCGAAGAGGGCGATGGACTGAGAGGGCTTGATGATGTGTGTGTGTGTGTGTGGAATGGGTTAATTCTGTGATAGAACACGACGGCACGATTATATTATTGTATTATACTAGGGGACATTGACCGAGATACATGTTCTCTGTGTCAAGAAATCAATATGTCTTAAGCATGTAAGAATGTACATGCGCTTGCCAGATCGTTTGGTGATTTTTGCCTGCCGGGAAGATTCCCACGGACGACGTTGGCTTCAATCGCATGCAGGGCAGCTCTTACTGCGTCTTTTTCACAGCGTCAGCAGCTCCAAAACGTTGCAGCAGCCTCGAGTACATGTCGGCGGCCATGATGACAGCTGAAAAGAGTCAACTCCTATTCTTCATCCCTCCATCTCGCAGCAGGGGAAGAGACTCACGCAGGACAAAGTAAGGCCCGTAGAGCTGGAACCGGAACACATTCTTTTGCTCGTCGGAGTACACCTCGGGGTCCCAGTACGACACGTCGTTGATGACGACGAGCGTCGTGAACGCGACCTCGAGCGCGTACACGACGAACAACAGCTCCGTCTGGCCCCGCGTGCCCCGGCGCCGGACCCCGAGCTCGCGGATGCCGTACAAGGTGACGGGCAGCAGGAAGAGCAGCTCGAGCCAGAAGAAGAGCGGGATCCAGCTGTGGCCGCCGTCGCCGGCACCCTCCGGTGCCCACTGCATCAGCGGGTCGTTGTAGGTGGCGATGTACCACGCGCGGAAGCGGTGCAGGAAGTGCAGCGGCGCGCCCGGCTCCGCGATCAGGAAGCCCGGGTACTTGTCGACCATGTCGACGCCTGCCGTGGCCGTAACGCCGGTCAGTTCCTGTGTCTGTGTAGCTACCTAGGTATGCAGAATGTAGGTAAGGGATGTCAGGCTCAATACGTACAGAGGATGACGGGGACCTGCATGGCGAACCAGCCCAGCCAGACCCAGTCCTTCCACGAGTTCTTTGGGGGCGCCATGGTCGATGCTAGAGGTTTGGATGCTGAACTACGATCGATGATGAAAGGATGTTATGATGCTTGGGAGGAAATGCAGCTTTCTCGAAGCATCTCATCAAAGTCAGATTATGAAGCTCAGCTCTAGGGTTGAATGGATGAGATTGGCTCAAGCTGACAGGGGGTCTTCGTCTGTCTTAGTGGAGCGCTTCAGGGAGAAGTTCAGCAGTGCGCAGCGTCAGCCAGCGCTAAATGATCCTCTGGAGGTTAAAATCTGACAAAGGTCCAACCACCTCAATCTTTCTGAAATTCCACAATATAGTGATGTCTACCAAAAGGGCTGACACTCGATTTGCTATCGATCTTGTACCTCTAGACGAGACCAAGATCTTGGAGATGATATCCGGAGCCTCCTCGAGCATGTAAAAGCAACATGATCCTTCACCATGTGATGGGCACCCCGCGCCCGTGCATCCCCATCGGCATCACGTCCCGCTGGATGATGACGTCCGTCGTCCTCATGATGCCGTTGTACGTCATGATCTCCTCCTCGGACGCGTTGGGCGTGTAGCTGCGGATCTCGGCGTGCGCCACCGCCCTGTCCCCGCGCAGGTTCTTGAGCGCGAACTCGGTCCCGCCGATGCTGTGGTTCGTGTGCACGCCGAGCCCGCCGCCCGCCGCCGCCGCGCCCGCGAAGCTCTTCTTCATCCCCATGGGCGGCGACCGCCGCCGCCGCTGCGCGTGCGCCGCCAGCGACCTCTTCTTGGCGGCCCTCGCCGCCGCCCCCGCCGCAGCGGACATGGGAGAGGCGGCGGCGGCCAGCCCCCGCGCCCGCTCGGCGTCGTACTGCTCGATGTCCGGGATGTCGCCCTGGTAGCCCTGCGAGAGGCCGAGGCGCGCGAAGAGGTGCGGGAACCAGCGCCGGGCGAGGGGCCACAGGGCCGGCCCGGAGGCGGCGATGATGCCCAGGTTGGTCTCGATCGCCGACGTCACGTAGCCGATGGACGAGCCGCGCTCGCTCGGCGTCGGCGGGAACATGAAGATCTTGATCAGGATCCAGAAGCGGACGCAGCTGACAATCGTGACGCTGGATTTTTCACACAAGTTTGTCGAGTTAGCGAAGTCTCTGGGAGAAGTCCACCCGAGAGGGGGCGGTTACATACGAGAAGCCCAGCAAGAAAACAAACATGAGGGCAAACTTGGCCTTCTTCGCAATATGCAAGCCACTAAACACCCAAAAGGGCAAGATGCACACCACAATGTCCGTCACAATGGTGAGGACCGTGATGGACATGGACAGGGCGGCCGTGTTGAGGCATTCACCGCCCTCGATGAACGGTTTCCAGTTGTATTCGACCGGCTGGCAGATGAAGGTCACGGCGAAGATGATGGCCACCATCAAGCAGAGGTTGAGCACGCCAATGATCCATATCGCTATGCGCAGACCGTCTTTCGTCCCGCCCAGGCGTAGAAGAAAGACGAGCACCGAGGTCCGGACGATGGGGAGGATTGAGGTGTAGATGATACCGGAGATGTAAGTCGCCAGCAGTCCAGGTGTCGGGTCGTAAATCGGAACCTCGGAGCGAGGTATCCCCATGTACCGGAGCTTGATGCCTTTGCGTATAGGTCAGGAGAGGCTCACAGTCATGATGATGTATGCGAACACTTACAGAATATGGAGACCACTGCTTGAGCTAGGGAGATCACCTGTCGATGTCTTTAGTAATACATCTCAGTCATGTTTACATATCGCAAGCATCCTCATGCTTACCATTGCAAGCCACATCCACCCATCATCTAGGAATGTTAGTCCTCTGCGGTTGGCCAGACGTCGCAATCAAGACATGAGAGCTCACCCCAGCCGAATGTCCGTGTGATCGTTCGGATATACGTTCTCAGGCCCAACACAAGCAACGCAAGGGCGGGAAAGACGACTTCGATCGCAATGGCAGCATTCTGCAACGAGCTCGTGCGGTCCGGCACGCCGTCGGCGGGAAAGGAGAATTCTCGACGAAGGGTTTCCATGATGGTGACGTTCGGCGAGGTCGCCGCATCATCAAGACGATGATGTGCTAACAGTAACCTGTCAAGCAACCATTTCCTAGAAGAGCACAGCAGCTGGCAAGTATGCGAAATTTGACCCTTGTTCACGACATTTCAAGAAAGTGGCGTCGGTGGAATATTCGGCGCAAAGACTTCTCTATCTGCGCCTCGGATTCTGGAAAACGGCAGCAGGTGGTCCATCCATCACCCAACCCATCCCAAAGACTCGGTTATAGGCGTCGTTTATTGCCATGCCGTGTTCGTGCGTACACCTCCTTGAACAGGAAGTCGCGCTCTGTTCGTGTCTGTATGTGCAACAGGATCCGGAGCGTGGCCGTCAAAATAGCCTAAAGCTTGATAGCAGTGCGAGGGCCGCATGGAGGGACGGACGCCCGCGGTGCACGGTAAGCTCCGGCAGGTTCCCTCCCAATGCAAGGTGTGGCTTTTACCCCAGACCATCTAATTTACCGGTTCTTTGGACTTGCTCTGACATCTTCTATGGGACCGCACAGCAAGGAGAAGCCCTTCCTCCGATAGGTTGCTCCTCAAGAGGGTTAGGTATTACGTGGTATAAGATCTACGTTCGGCAGTGGAATCCCCTTTGAAGGTATGGTGTTCTAGAGCAAATAGTTTGGCCCGGCAGATGTAGAGCTAGGCTTTCGATCGGAGGGGCACGCTTCATGCTATAAGGTCACAGCTGTATCACGCCTTGGATTTAATAAAGACCTGCAGTGTGGGGAGCAGCAGATGTAGATTGCTTTATCACCACTCATTATTAGGCCGAGTGCCAAGCTTTCGCATCGGTGATTCTTTCTACACGTAATGAGATCTCTCAATCGATCGATGGCAAGGCTGTCTGTTTGATCAAATCATGTCTCATTATGAGTTTCAGCTTTAGCAACTACAATAGCCCTGAACTAGTTACCAACCACTTGCCCTAGTCCAGACATCAACAATCCGAGTTGCATCCCTCCCAACACCTTCTGACGAGTCCACAACCAGATACCATCCATAAAGAGCACCCATGATGCACGCGTGATTGGGGAAAATGCGAATGCTCTGCCCAACCTCGAGAGGGATAGGCGGCTCCGGCTCCGGCTCTTGACCGTTGCCGGCCTCGCCATCCTGGCTCCACGAGATAATGCAGTGCTCCTGACTTACGCGGTCGACAATCAGCCGCCGCTCCGGCGCCGTCTCGGCGGCAGCATATGCCTCGCGGCCGACGACGCCCCAGCCCTTGTACGCCACGCAGGGCTCCCTGCCCAGCCCCAGCACGCCCACCGCCGCGAGCGCCTCAGGCCGCCGCCGCTCGCCGCCGTTGTACACGCTGCAGACCTCGGCCGCAACCGACACAGCGATCTCGTCCTCGTAGTCGCCGATCTGCACGCGTGACCTGGTCGAGAGCTGCTGCACGTCGAGGACGGAGTAGACGCCGGCGTGCAGCTCCAGCCTTGTGCGGAACCCGGACGAGGTATCCTGCGTGACGGTCTGGATCGTGTTCTTGAGGCGAGCTCTCTCCTCTGACAGGGCTGTTGTGGCTCCGACGAGGTTCTCGACGGACGTGACCTGCGGAGAGGCTCCGACGCTGATGGTGATTTGTTTGTCCTTGGGGAAGAGGTCGGCGTTCTTCTGCAGGGCGTCAAGGCACCCGTGGATCTCACCCTCTAGATTTGCCATTGCCTTGGCGGGCGTTGTGTCATTGTAGCTGAGGCTGCTGTGGGAGTACAGTCCCACAAAGGTGGCCACCTGCCGGGTCTCCAACTCCATCAGCTTAGCGATTAGGTTGCCCTTGTTAACGCCAGATGGTGGCAGTCCCGCACGGTGATACCCCGTGTCAACTTTGATGTACACACCAGCTGGGAAGCCAGCCTTCTCACTGAAGCGGGAGGCCCCGTCCAGTTGTGACGCATGGTCCACCAGGATCGAGATGCTGTCCGGACCTAGCTGCCGGCCCAGGTCTGCCAGGCGATCCACCTGTGACGGCGGAAGAGGAATGCCATAGAGCACATTGATTGTGCGGCCCGACGCCTTGAACTCGTGCAGGACTGGAAGTATATGATCCAGCTCCGCGATGGTCGACACGACGAGCTTGACCTCCCTGCTCGTCTCGCCTGCTTGGAGTCGGACGCCCTCTTGTGTCTAGTGGAACCGACAAGTCAATTCAGTGTCTTCTTTTGCGGCAGGAGATAATTATTCGCCTTACCTTGTGTGTCTTGATGTGTGCACGGAAATCCACCCCGAGGGCATCGACAGCGCTCAGAAGCGACTGGCAATGTCTCTGCATCTTCGCCCGATCCAGCACCGCAGCCGGCTTCGGCACCTCGTTGACGTCTTTGCCCACATAGTACTGCCGAAGCTCATCGACACTTGGAAGAAGCCTTTGTGGAACTGCCATTGTCGACAGGTCTCGAAGGGGCGTGATGAGGAAGATGGAGCAAGTCCGCCGGCTACTGTTACTTGAATTTTCTGGGGGCTGATGGCGGGGTATCGTGCTCGCTCAATCATGAACGCATAGGCTTTATTAATCTTTGGGAAGGGCGAAAGGGAAACTTGTACTCTCATCCCGATCTCAGGAAGAGCGCCCAGCCTGAACACTGCATCGCGATGGAAGAGTGTCGTTCCAAGCGCTATTCCGGAAAGGGTGCGCGGGAGCGATGGTCTGGGCCTTGGAGATTGCCGACGGGTGCCGGTTCCACACCTGAAAGTACATTGTATCAAATCCGGTGAAACTGAGGATGAAGAGAGGGCTCCAGATTCGAGATCTTCTTCTATGCATGTAGTGGCCTAAACACTATCTTCCACATCCCGAGGGTATGAAAACAGTTGACCCGTACTCCTACATCTCCCGTACACCCATAATGACCCAAGCCGTTGACTATGGTATGAGCCGAGTTTGCCGGTTCCGCCCCCGTCGTCGACCGTCTGGAATAGTGCAAACACATCCCTGCCATCTGCGCGCTCTCTGTTCACGAGGCGGAGGGCGCTAAGAGCCTGAAACACAGGAAAGTTCCCCTCTTCGAAGACATCGCCTTTCAGTTGGGCCTCCATCCACTCTTGGATCCAGATGCCGATAGCAGGGTTCCGGGAACGGAGAGCACATGCCAGCAAGAGCCCGCAGATACCTACAGTGTACACGTTCAGCTTGACACACTGCTCCCAGTCGATTCCAGCCGTCACACTAAGAAGCATCAGGACCCAAGCCTCTGCCTCCTCGAAGCGGGCGTCAAAATGCACTGAAGAATCCAGGCTCTCGAGAGGCCCTGTGCATTGCATGACTCTGGCGACAAGATAGTACGCGAAGTTCATGGCCGCGATGTGAGATCTGAACTTCAGTGGCTGGATGTCCAGTGGAGTTTCTCGAACGGCCGTCCGATCTCGCCTGTCGGGCCAGGACTGGGGCAAGTCATTGATGGGAAGCATGCCGTACCAGGCGTCGAGTTTGTTAGACTGTAGTTTCAGTGATTCTGAATAACGACTGCGCCAAGAATTCTGTCCAATGTTCGCTTGCTCTTGGGTCATGGGGTCTGTGTTCTCGTCGCCTCGAGGATTGTTGTTACCAAGCTCATCCCAGCGCGTGACCGCAGCCGCCGAGTTCAGCCTGTGCGACTCGCAGAGAATCAAAAGGACAACCGCTCGAGAATGATTCCCGACGCCAAGTACAGCCTCGAGCTTCGGCAGCAGTGAGAGACTCGCATGGTCCCGATGGAAGCCAGGGGTGCTGAAATAGACCCTCCGCCACCAGTTCTGCATCTCTACCTCGACCCAAGCTGCGAGCAGCGCCGCCCCATTGCTGTCACTGATTAAGTGGTCTTCGTAGCTTTGGATAAGTCTCTTGGTCCCGTCCGAGTGAAGACGGAATGCCCTGAAATTTCCCATCGAGGACTCCAAGTAGCAAAATAGAACTAGAACAGCCAAGCCAAGGGTCGGATAGGCGTCGAAGTCGCGATCGCTCCATCCAGCCACCTTGCGCATTACGGCCCCATAGTACTCGTGGCTGACGGATTCATGTGCAGCATCGGGCTTGAAGCACATACTTGGTATGTTTGAGATGCGGAACATTTTCTTTTGAGGTGATGTCCGGCTCAATCGACAAGACGATAGCGCGACAATTATACCGGTCGAGAGGAGGTGAGGGTCGGGGAGAGTGTGCAGCCGGCGGAAGGCGAGGTGAAGAGCAGGTAGACACTGCGACTTCCATGCGTCTGCGTAGAAAGTGATTGCAGCCTGGGGATCTCGTGATGACAAGAGACTGGCCGGGATCGAAACAGTATATCCGAATGTCGGGTCTCCAGACGAAGAGTCGCTTCGTGGAGAGATGGCCGTTGAAAGGTCCTCAACGCCGGCTTCGCTCGAAGAACTGGCATAGTGCAGTGATATCGTCCAGGTCTCGTCAAAATTCGGCGAGACGGCAGTAGCCGGTGAAAGTCCCAGGTCGCTCGAAGCTTGACCGGTCTGATCGGCAGCCCATCCACGGTAGACATGATCAATCAGGTTCAGTTGTCGAAGACTACCGCCATCGCCTCTACTAATAGCGCTGGATGCTTTCTCTCCGTCGCGAGCCTCATGCTTTGACTGGCTTCGACTCTCTCGCGAAGGATAAGAGACAGCCCGGAACTCAAGCTTTGGCGAGACTTGCTCGCAAGTTCTGCCAAGTCTGGTGCATGTTCCGCAAGAAGGTTTCTGCTCATCGCACTATCAAAGAGTCAATACACGCGACAACTCCTACAGGATTACGGAAGCATAGTAGGCAGACCTTTGTTCTGCGCTGCCTGCACCCCTTGCATCCTGTCCGGGCGCGGACGATCTTGGTCTTGCGCGGGCGAGGCGGCGCCGGCTTGTACATGCCACTCATTCGGTTCATGTTAGGGGGGGTCTAGAGCTGTGCGTGGCAGCCAGGAGCGGACCAAGGTTACGTAGTCATGACTGTGGTCATAATGAATGCAGCATGCCTGATTCCCAGGAGAAAACAGCGAGGATGAAAAGGCCAGGGTTGCGACGTCGAGAAGGTTCAACGAGATCTTGCTAAATGGGGGAAGTGAGCTAAGATTCCGGCGGCCCCGGCCCCACTACCACACAGTGCGTCTCGCTGGGGCTCTTCTGTTAGTCCGCTCATGGAAGCTCTCTGAGTCATCCTTGGCTGTGGCTTTCAAGGCAGTTGGACACTGAATGATACTGACAATAATACGTATCGAGTTATAAGATCTCAATTCGGTAATGGTATGGGAGAAGTTCACAGAAAGGCCCCGAGTACGTCCTCCAGCGTCTTGGCCTCCTTCAACGGAACGGCGTTTCCAGCCCTGGCCAACCCGACCTTGTTATGCCAGACAACTCTCATACCAGCATTCGTTGCTCCCTCTACATCTCCTGCACTCCCAGCAACAAACAAGGCATCTCCCGGTTCCACACCCATCCTGTCCAGGATCGCTCTGTAAGCCTGGACAACGGGCTTGTAGAAGCCACTCTCCTCAGCCGTGATGACTGCATCGAACAACTGCTCTCCGGTATTAGGGCTCACCCTGCCAGCTGCAATGTGGCCGAGTCGAGTCGAGCAGTTCGTTACAACCCCTAACTTGTAACCCCGGGCCTTGAGGAGTTGGAGAACGTGCGGCACCTCCGGCCATGCTTGGATCTTCTCCCAGCTGCCCAATAGACGTTCTGGCGCAGAAGCAGGCAGCCCGACGTCTTGAGCGGCTTGTCGGACGAGGTCTTCGTAGGGTGTATAGGGTCCAGCGCCGAATGTGATCTGCAGGTAACGCCCCCGCCACGCTCTACCTTCCTCAGCAGTGCCCGACGGGGTCGAGGCATCCCAAAGCGACCAGGAGTCGAGGAGCGCTGTGAGGAGGTCGAATATGATGGCTTTGGGCCGCCAGCCGGGCTGTCCGCTAGTGGTATTGGGATCGGCTGACATGATCGAGAGAGATGTGACGGGATGAGATAGGATGATGACCGAAGGCAGGGTAAGAGACTCTCTATACAGATGTATGTATTGATTCGCACGCGGAATCCGTCGGCTGTAAACTCCTGTGATCGTCCCGTATGATCCAGGCCATCATCACAGTGTTAGAAAAAACGGCGAAATCCGGGAATCATCCACATCCACTGCATGTGGTGTGGAGACACAAAGGCGTCGCTCTCGTGCACCCGTTTCGGCCTAGTGCTATCCCGAAGTAGTTGCCAATGTGGTTGTCGTTTGGAGAGCCATTGCAGACACGATCTTGGTGACATTCACTTATTCACGTATCAGAATTTCTCGACGACGTACTAAGAAGGCCTTTAAGAGCTGCCGGAGCCGATGTGAAAGGTGGCCCTCATGTTGACAAAAATGGACAATTCAAGCCTGCGATCTCCATAATAGACCCGACGAACGGGCACTATCGCTAGACATTGGTCTTCTCAGCCTCCGCCGAAACAGAACTATCCTCGCCTTGATCCAGCATGTACACCTCGTTGTCGACATGATGGTGCCGCACCCAGAACACCACGGTCTGCCCAACAAGAGCGATTGCAGGCCCAGCCCACACCCACTAGATGTATCCAAAGACATTAGCAAGGATCATACAAGCGTGATAACCCCCCGGAAAGAGGTAAGGTAATTGAAGTCAGAATTACTACTTACAATCAGATGCGGGTCAATGATGGCCGGGATCAGGATCTCAGACAGAGCCGCCGAGAGCGCCTGGGTGAAGAGGAACAAGGCCATGGTGACCGACTTGAGATGCGGCGGCGACCGGGCGTAGGCCATCTCCTGCGCCGTCACGGTGCAGAACAGCTCCGACAGGGCCCCCAGCGCCGTGTTGGGGATCTGCCACCAGATCGACAAGGGGGACACGCCGTCGCAGTCCGACGCGGCGTACCCGCACGGCGAGGTCTCGTACACGCGCCACTGCACGACGGCGCCGACGGCGCCCGAGACGGCCGCCAGCGCGAAGCCAAAGGTCATGCGGCGGACGGGGCCGAAGCGGATCTTCCAGCGCGCCAGCAGGGGGTACAGGCCGTAGGCGAGGACGGGCGTGCAGACGATGATGGTGAGCGGGTTGAAGTTGCCGATGAGGTCGTTGGGCGCGCCATCGGTGCGCATGGCGGCGCCCTGGTTGCTGCGACGGCGCCGATGCCGCCGTCGTTGATGTTGTAGACGGGGAAGTAGAGGAAGATGACGCAGGCCTCAAAGGTGCGCCGCACGTCCTCGACGGCGCGCTCGCTCCACGAGACGCGGACGCCCCTGGCGGCGAGGGTGCTCGGCGCGGCGGCGCGCCAGAAGTCCCTGGCGAAGATGTTGCCCTTGTTCTCGCGGACGGCGCGGCCGACGATCTTGAAGAAGGTGGTCAGCTCCGAGCCCGAGGGGGCGCGCCTGACGAGCTTCTTGCGGACGGCGAGCAGCAAGGCCGGGATGAGGACGTAGAGGATGGTCGGCAGGAGGAAGGAGACCCAGAAGCCGAGGTACTTCTCCGTGTAGGTCGTCGCGATCATGAAGAAGCTGCCCATGTTGACAAAGGCGTAGAAGATGAGCATGATGCGCTGGATCGTGCGCTCCGGGTCGACGATGACGCGCTCGCCCGAGCCGAGGGTGCGGACGTACTCCTTCTGATGGCGGTATTGGTCGATCACCGTGGGCGCGACGTTGGGCTTGAAGATGCCGGCGCCGATGGCGAGGAGGAAGAAGCTGATCAGGAAAGGGGCCAGACCATTGCCGGCGACTAGGACGGCAGGCGCCGCGCCGCCGACCATAATGACGTGAGCCACGGCGCCGATGATAACACCAATCATGATTGTCTTGAAGCGGCCGAGTTTCGCGTCGGCGATCCAGGCACCCAGGATGGGAAAGAAATAGGCCAGGAAGGTGAATAGGATGACGAATGCAGAAGAGAACTGCAAGCCCTTTCCACTATCGGCGGCGTTACAGAGATTAGATTCTTTCATACCCGAGCTTGTCACATCTGGAACGAGCACTTACAGTGCACCAGCATGGCCGTTGGGATTCGAGCTGGGGACTGCGCCACTACCATTCCCGTCCTTGGGAAGCGGAAATTGTAAGAAATTGTTAAAGACGGTTTTGGCGCCATAGTACGAGGCCCGCTCGGCAAACTCGACAATGCAAATGATGTATGAAATCATGGGAATGGAGTCGGGAATCCGGCGCAGGAGATGTCTGTCCTCCTCGGTGATAGCAGTGTCTGCATCATTGTCGAGGCCAGCGTCGAACCCGGGCTCAGTATCGACGGCCTTATCAATGGTCTGAGCGACAGCGGTAGATTCTACCGGCGCTGCGCCAGACAAGACTTCGGCGGTGCCAGTTGCGCCGCGGTTCCCAGTGGACAGCTTGTCCGTCTCTACAGGGCAGACCGTAAGTAAGGGTTCTCTATGTCATTTCTTCTTATTCTTGATGCTCAAGGGGTCTCTCAGTAGACTTACCCATAATCTCAATGTTGGTCTATCGTCTTGAAGGCCAAGAGATGGAAGCTTGAGTGGAAAAAGACGGCCGGTCGTAGCAGATCTTGGTGCAGATAGGACGGCGCAATGCTCCGGTATTTATCCATAGCCGCGGCTGTCAAGATTAATCGCCTTCTCTTTCCCTTGTCAACGGAAAGTGGCGCACAGATCCTGCAGTTGGGTGGTTGCACAGACAGGAGCTGCAGTTCGGGAAACATCCAGCATGTGGCACCTGTGGGAATAGACACGATATCAATGTTGGTAATTTGGCGTCGAGCAGGGCGGGTAGCACGCGATGCACGCCATCGTTATCCAGTTGCCCTTTGCGGTAGATGTGTTGGCTGTCTCGCGCATTTCAAGCAGGTGGACAGATGGACAGGTGGTATCGTGCCAGCGGCGCACAGGCAAGGAGGGGAGCACGTCGTTCCAGTCGTGGATGGCAAACAAGCTTTGATACAAGCAAAATATCGCCACGGCGGGTCCTTGGCACCAACACAGGCTGTTGCAACACCAGCAAGGATTGTAACGGGGGTGGGGTAGTATTATTTCAATGATAAGGACGTGCAGACACAACGCTCCAAGTAGCCCAGGCCTCGGCAGCAAAGTGCCGTGGCCTCTACATAACCAGTTCTGAGTCCTAGGTATATCATGGCAGCAGACATGATAATGCAGTAGAACGGCGCAGCCTTCGTTACACAAAGGGGTAGGTGGCGGTGTATCAGTTGGGCAACAATCGATCCCCGTCCCTGATCTCGAGCCCAGGGCCGGCCCTTATAATTCAAAAATTGATGCCCATTTCTCCGGGGGCGGCATGTGGCGGCTTGGTCGGTTGGTCAGGTTCAGGTCAATCATGTCGTCCTGCGGTGGACTTAATATTCCATTTCGGGAAGGGGATGGGAAAAGGGGTCAAGGGAAAGGGGGAGGACACGGGTTCGATTCTCGAGACCAGCAACAACGACAAAAATCAACAACCACGGAGCAAAACCCGCCCGAAAGGGCAGGTTTTCGAAGCATACCACCCTCCGGGTTGATATGCGAGTTTTCTTTTTATGTTTTTCTTTCATCAAGGAAAGAGACTGTAATGATATATTGTTCTCACTCTACCTATGTGCCAAGCGGTCCTACTTCAACAGCAAACCTGCACTATGACACCTTTCTGAACTCATGATCAATCTAGAACTACCAATCGCCACTAGCTTCCAAGGAAAAAGGCTTTTAGGCCAAGCCAGGCTGCCGTTGAGTACCTGATTGTATATGCAATGTGAAGTAAACAGCGTAATAGAGACGCTCCCTGGCAAGTGACACTTGGATGACTCGACAGGCTGTTCGCAGAAGTATTTGGCTAGACCTATTATTTATAGGCAGAGAGTGGGTTAAGCCTTGTCAGATCCAGAGTAGAGATATGCATCCTGAACATTGAGAGATCTTCTTGATGCGATTCTTCCAAATGTTGTCACCTCGCTCGACTTCTCAACAGTTACCCATTAACTAAGACAGTGCATCGATTCGTCAGAACTCCTTACGATTCACTAAGGTGTATACCAGATATATTTCACTTTCGCTTAGTGTTTGACTACGGATAATACACGGTGTGTAATGGTCAACAGCGTCAGAGACTTAAAGTGCTGACTCTCGCGGTACTAGCACTCAAACATGGCACACTCAAAGCAATCTTGCCGCAGGTAAGCCCTAATGCCGGCAGCGAACGCACCGCCAAGGTATTCGACCAGAGAGAGGTTTCCTGAATCGCATGTAAGCTGCTCGCTCAAGCTATGTATACTGCTAACATTCATTTGAGAATCGCAAACGGTAAACAAGGCTCACTTTAGTTCACATCTCAAGGTAGTCATACTCACAAACCAACATAACTTTCTTCAAAATTACTGCTAGAAACAACCCGTCGGCCGAAGTGATAGGGGTCTGGCAAGGGCTGTGGTGAGAGATGACAAATTTGCCTGAACCTTTTCATAATCAAGTCTACATCACGTAACTGACAGGTTGCGCTAGACAATAATACTACCGGGTATCTATCTTCAAGCAGAGACACTACTGAGTTTTCAAGCTGCTTACTAATTACTTGCATGTTGTTATCGATTGCTATTAATCGAGGTATAACTTTCAAGAATGCGGAAAGACACATTTTGTGTCCATCTCTGGTAAGCCTAACATTGAAACGTACGCAAGCGCGGGTGGGGCAGGTTCCGTTTTGGGTAATATCACGTAAGAGCTTGGAAGTATTTATGACAATTGTTCTTGACCCCTCCTTGCATGCTGTAACACAGAGCGTTAAAGTCCAATGTGCAAGCCATCAAACGTCGTCGAAATTCGTGTCGGAAATGGATCAAATTCAGACAATTCTTCAAAAGTACGTTGCCGTCGGCGACGATACCAAGGAGAAGCTCCTCGGTGCGGAGTTCATGGTCATATCTAAGGATGGTATGTGTTCCCTGTGCACACCGTAGCGACTTCACAGATCATACATGTTTGCTAAGTTAGTCTACGCCTCATGCAAGGCCCTCAGTTACAAGCTTCTGCCGGCCGGGTTGATGTGCCCCAGGACTCGTCCCCTTTCGATCAGGACACCTTCACCTTCGTCGCGTCTATGACGAAACTTGTCAGCGCAACGGCTATCATGCTGGCCGTTGAGCGAGGGTTCTTGAATCTCAATGATGACATGCGATCAGTTGTACCAGAGCTAGGCAGACTCCAGATCCTCAGAGGATTTGACGACAAGGACCAGCCGATCTTGGAGGATAACACCGCGCCAATTACACTACGGTCAGTGCAGATATCTGATCCCCGAATGAGCTTCCCTGACCTATGTCAACAGGACTCTACTCACTCACTGTGCTGGCCTCGGCTACGATCTGGCCCATCCGGATCTCATGAAATGGTCCAAGTTTGTCGGTCGAACGGCCACCTCGGCCGACATTTCCCTCGATGGCTACTCTGTTCCCTTCAAGTTCACACCAGGCCAAGGCTTTTGCTATGGTCCTGCCCTAGACTTTGCCGGGCAGGCGCTTGAGAGGGTCACGGGGAAGACCTTGGGGCAATTCATGGCCGAGAATATCTGGAAGCCGCTTGGGATGAACACTACCACTTTTAGATACGATACTTTTGGCGACAAGGTGTCCCATAGAACAGCGGGGACCGTACTCCGCACCGAGACTGGAGCCCTCGTGTCCGGCGAGTTCCCGCTGAATCGCCACCCAACGATCGACGGTGCCGGCGCGGGTCTGTACACGACGGCTTCCGATTACGCCAAAGTCCTGCAAGACCTGCTGCGGTCGAGCGCCGGCTTGGGAGGTATCCTGAAGAAGGAGACCGTGGATGAGATGTTTCGGCCTCAACTGAACGAGGTCCAGCGGCAGTCTCTCATGGCGGAGGCCTATGCACCGGAATGGTACGCTGCCTTAGTACCCGAGTTCAGCAAGGATCTGCCTCTGGATCATGGTATCAGCGGTGTGATCAACATGAAGGACGAGCCCGGGAAGAGGAAGAAGGGGAGCATGATGTGGTCTGGTCTGGCCAACAGCCATTGGGTAAGTCAAAGGCACCATCTTCTTGGTGTCGAGGTTTGCTAACCATATACTAGTGGATTGATCGCGAGAGTGGCATTGCCGGTCTCCTCTTCGTCAATGTCCTTCCCCACGGCGACAAGGTTGCGATCAGGCTGTATGACGAGCTTGAGAGAGCAGTGTATGGTGATTGGCAACTCGTCTCCAAGTAACGGTAGATTTGTTCCACGGGCCAGGAGTCATAAGCAAAAATCAGCGTATCATATGTTTGCTCTGATGAACAACGAGATTGAAATTGGGATCATTCGTAAGCAAGTAGAGCCCAGGCCCAAGTTCTATTACAAATTACGTCTTCGCCTCGATTGATACTTGGAATAAACCATTAATTCAGCCATGCACTTGCTGCTCTCCTCGTTTAATGAGACATCCCGTTAGCGACCCCGTTGCCATTGACGGGCAGCGTCTTGACCTCGCCGTCAGAAAAGTAAAACCAGTCGAAGAAATCGTTCGAGAACCGCTTCTTCAGGTCAGCCAACGTCCAGCCGTGCTCCTTGCCAATAGCGGCCAGAGTGTCCTTGAACTCGACAATCTCCTCCTTGTACGAGCTCTCCTTCATCCACTCCCGCCACGGCCGGCCCTCCACCTGGAACTGCGCCCACTGCTTGGCCCAGTGCGGCCTCGTCTTGAGCCTGTCGCCGCTGCGCGGGTCCCGGTAGCCCATCCAGAGGTCCAGCACCTCCTGCGCGTACGGGTCCCAGATGTCGCGCGCCGACTCGAGCGTCAGCACCTCGATGGCGCAGGTGCCGAGCGCGTTGCCGCGCTGCGGCGCCATGACGACCTCGCTGCCGCCCATGACGCGCATCTCGAGCGGCATGCGCTGCGGGCACCGGTCCGTGTGGCGGTAGCACGCGAGGATGGCGTCCCACCAGGCCCGGCGCGCGAGGCCGAAGTCGGGCGCGTCCGGCCTGTCGGGCTTGGCCGGCAGCGGCATCTCGACCTCGAGGTCGAGCACGCGGATGTTCTGGATGCCGCGCTGGAAGTGCAGCGCGTCGGTGAGGTACGTCTTGACGGGCTTGTCGGGCATGGCGAACATGGCCGCGCGCGAGAGCAGCGTGACGGTGGCCTCGTCCAGCTCGGCCGCCGTGATGAGCTCGTTGAGGACGGCGGCGTTCTGCAGCACGTTCATGGTGAACTGGCTGATGAACTGGAACAAGATCATGCCCTCGTTGGGGTAGTCGACGGCGCCCGCGGGGTCGTCGGTCGCGTTCCAGCAGTTGACCCAGCAGTAATCCGAGTACGGGAACCAGAACCACTCGCAGTAGTAGTCGCTGGCGGCCTGCCGCTCAAAGTCGGCGAGGTCTTGAGCCTTCTGGGCGGGGGTCAAGCCCTCCACACGCAGGGCGGGAGGGATCTCGATGTCCTCCGGCGGCGGCACGGCCCGGACGGCGGGTATCTTCTTGGGTGCCATGAGGGCGTACGACATCGGCGACATCTCAAAGGTGATGTGGGTGATGACTCCCATGAGACCGAAGCATCCAGCCGCGGCCTTGAGATGCTCGGGCTTATCGACGACGCGCAAGTGTCCATGGCAGTCGACATACTCGACCTTTCTGACGAGATCACTCAGGGTCTGATGGGCACGGCCAGCTCCGTGGCAGATTGGACCGTTGGTGCCACCAATAGTCATCTCCACCATGATGACGTTGAGCGGCAGGGTGTACTTTTTGTTCTTGACGCACCAGCGGCGCAGGCGCTCATTGGTGGTGCTGACACCCACGCGCACGAGGGCGTTGCCCTTCACTCGAGGGGCCCCGGAGGCCACCTCGATCGACTCAAGCTCATTAGGTGCGTCTTCAGGGAGTGGAAGCGCAGTCGTGTTGGGGAGGATTTCAGCCTCGGCCAAACCGATCAATGAGATGAGGATCTGTCCATTGCGGCCAAAGATTGGAGCCCACGAGTGGCCTATTCCGGTCAGCAGGGTGAAAGAGGGTGGTCAGGCACAGAGGAGAAAATACTCACGGAAGCCAGACACTCGAACACCCATGTCATGATCTTTGGCAAACTTTACGATTCGCTGGACTCCCTTGACGCTGCTTGGTACGCAGGTATAGGTGGGCAGGTAGTTAACCACTAGCCCCCAGTTCTGGAACTTGGCGTCCTTGTAGACCTATGCAGAGACATTAGTACACACTCTCCCGAGCGGAAATCTCACTATGAAGCAGAACATACCACTACCGAGTCCTTGTCTGGATGATCGAGGTGGAACAGCTTAGCAAGGCCGTGGACAAAGCGGAAGAAGATGTTGTCGTCCTTCTCCAGGCCGTCCATGCTGAGGCCCTTGACCTTCTGCGCACCGGAAGCAGAGACTCGGACAGCATGGGCATCATGGAGGCACTGTAGGTGTTCCCTCACGCCCAGGCTGGGACCCATGTCAAAGCCGAGGCAGCAGTCCGCGATGGGCGTGCCGTCCACGAAGCTGGAGATGCGGTTCCGCTCGTCGGGCGTGAGGCCCTTCAGGAGATTTCCGTAGGTGTAGTCAACCTGGGAGTCTCTGAAGACCCTCAAGAGTCGGCGGTGAAAATCGTGCTCGGAGAAGTCGCCATCTTGGTGGAGGTAGTCGTCGAGAAGAGACTCGAGCCCTGGGAGCTTCTCATTCAATTGCTTGTCGGATTTCAGGGCGTTCTCGAGGATCTTGACACGGTCATCGACGGGAGTCTGCCACGCGCCGCCCTGGGTACTAGTCGTGTTTGCGGCCATGTTGGGGCCAAGAGTGGTCGAAGTCGGACTGAATGATATGTGGTTGATCTCAACAATAGAGCAACCCGAGATTCAACATCAGGATCAATGTTCACATCGACAGGTCCGAAATGGAGGGGACCGACTGTCCGCGGCGCCGTGGGTTAGCCACTGTTATATACGCATTGGAGCCCTGGGGAACCTCCATGTGAGATTCGTCTGGCAAATGAGAGTCTGTCACTGAAACAGGGCGCCGTTGTTGACTTTCGGCCTCCCCTCACATCTTGGTCCCCTGTTCCAAATGTCGTGCGAGCGCAGCATGATACGAAGTCTGGTGAACGGTGACACAGAAAGCTTCGTAAGATCAGCGGCTCACCAAAGAGCTACCCTCCGTTGCCCACACCGCCGTACTCTGGCTTATTAGCTTCAAGTGCCGAGAGTCTTACAGCTGGGCGCCAGCTAGTAGGCTATGGTTTGTGGTGGCGCCCGGGTGTAAGACCTGATCTTTTCAGCTTTCATATCTTCGGTCAGCTTTCAGGGCTTATTCTCACACCCCCTCCGTATGGGCGGTCAAGTGACCCCTCGTCAGCCGTCTTGGCTGTCATACAAGTCTAGGTCTCAGCGCGGCAGAAAGAAAGTTAGAGCTTAATCAAAACATTCTGAGCCGCTCACTGGGGGATCCGCGTGTGTTTGCGGACGAGAGAGGTCCAAGACATGTCTCGATGCGGCTGCTTGTCACTCCGGGGTCCAGGCCCTTGCTTGACAGCGGGAGCTGCATGAACACGGGAAGTTCCATCAGAAGCATCCCAACCTAAAAGCTGCATTGACTCTGCACCTGGGAAGACTTCAATCAGCTGTAAGACCGAGCGCCAGCATGCCAAGCAGGTTAACCCTGTAATGCTGACCTTGGCATACCTTTTGGGATGCTTGCTTCGAGCTGGGCGTTCGATGGCTGGAAGCGATGCTCAACAATCAATTTTCGTCTGCTAATTAAGAGCTAATCAGTGGCCACAGCAAAGACCATATCGACTCGACGTCGTGCCTCCACACCTCATCCCCAGACTGACGGTCACAGCTCGTCCCGAACCCTAGTATCGTCCCGCAGGTCCCTCGCTGCTGCGGCCCTCTGTTCCTTCTGCAACTTTCGCTCACTGCGGCGGACAGTGCGGTGCAGCTTCTCCCACATCAGCCTCATCGTCTTGCCGTGATCTGTTTCCGTCACATGCATCGCCTTGATCGTGAATGAGGCATCCCTGTTGGGCTCGTCCCCTTCGGGCTTGGTGAAGGAGATGGGCCACGCCACGACGGCGTTGTCCTCCACCTGCCGCTTGTACTTGGCCAGGTCGACGAACTCCCCTGTCGCCGCCACCAAATAATGTCAGCCGCACACTTTCGGGTATTATTGCGTCGGGTCACGAGCTCAACTGGATCAAAACTTACCCTCGCACTTGCTCCCCTTGGCCACCCACAGAGGCAAGATGGGATACACGGCCGCCGGCGCAAACACCATGATCTTGTCCTGGTCCGGGATCTCCCTCCAAGGCTCCTCGCCTTCCGCCGCCGCCGCCGCCGCCGCCGTCGTCGTCGTCGGCTTCACCCTGACGGTCCCCCTGACCTTGTCCGCCTGCCCCCTCGGCTTCTCGAACACGCCAAACAGGAACTGCTCGGCGCCCTGCCCGGCCGCCTGCAGCTCGACCCACCCCCTCACCGCCGGGGGCACGTCCGCGTACTCCATGACCAGCAGCTCCCTGCTGTCGCCGCCGTGGTCGACGCCGTCCCAGCTGCCCGGGTACTCGCGGTGGGCGAGGAAGACGTCGAGGGCGTCGGCCCAGGGCGCCAGCCCCCGCGGCGGCTCGCGGCGCAGGTCCCCGAGGCGGTAGGCCTTGGCGCGGAAGGTCTCGGTGTGCTGGCAGGGCACGTCGTAGCCGCCCGGGTGGGTGCCGTCGTCCGGGAAGGGCAGCTGCCACCGGAAGCCCGGGACGACCGGGTGCGTGAGCAGGTCCCAGTTTGTGAAGGCGGCGGCGAGGGCCGCGTTGGCGACGAGGCAGAGGGCGGCGCTTGTCGGTCTCATGCTTTTTTGGGGAGCCCAAGATGGCAGGTTGTCGTGTCAGTTCTCGTCCGAGTAACACTTTCGTGCTTTGTTCAGGTGAGTCTGTCGGTTGGTGAGCTGAGGCCGAAGCAGATCACAGAGGCTCGCAAAGTATTTCACATGTTTCAAAAATTCGTCATTGCTGTCCTTTTCTTACACATGCCATCACTTCCATCTACTCTCAGCCAATCACGATAATCCCGAGTGTTGCTTGACGGCGGCATTGGATACAGGCTAAAATCACGATCCCACGTTCCAGTCATCCCGGAGCGTAGTCATGGAACAGCTGTCCGATTCTCTCGGCTCCACTCGCGTCCTTGTATTCAATATAATATAGCCACACTGATCTCGTGATCCCCACGCCTCCCTCGGTATCAGAAAAAGGACAGGTTATTTACTCACGCCAGCGTGTGCGTGTGGCATGGCAACGTGGGGGACTCCCTCAGGGATACCGCCACTCCTCCTGGTTGGAACACTTGCCCTCCGCCAGCGGCGCCAGCCAGCTGGGCCTGCGCTTGGCGTACAGCTCGACGTCCGGCTTGAGGTCGCTGTTGTCGCCGTCGACGAAGCCCATCGCCAAGACGACCCAGCTCGGGTCCGGCGCCGACGGCATCGTGCGGATCCGGGACCCGCAGTTGCCGCAGAAGCCCCGCAGGAGCGGCTTGCCGGACATGGTCTCGCCGCCGGCGTAGGTGCGCATCTGGCTCTCCGGGTCGCTCCACTCGACTTGCTGGGTCGGGCGAGGCGAGAGTTTCTGTCAGCACCGAGTCTTTTGCACGCGTTTGCTGGTACCGCAACGCTCACTGTTTGGGGGGGGGAAGGGGAGAACGTCATCAATATAGAAGGGGGCCCAAGTTTCTATTACCTTTGGAGAGAAGAAGACGTTGGTCTGCAGGGCGTCGCCGCAGGCTTTCTGGCACGGGTTGCAGTAGCAGACGACGACGTTCTCGGGCTCGACCGATATGCGGGCGGTGATCTTGCCACAACCGCAGGACCCGGTGCGTTCTTTTGACATCTTTGGTGGACCAGGCTTCGCACTTTGCCTCAGCGATGAAGATGTCCTGGGAAAGTTTGAAAGGTTGACAGATCATGAAGACAAAGAGGGCTTGAGGCTGGTACCCGGAGCCTGTCAGCACGGAAGCTATTTTAAGACGGCCACATTATGTCCAATGAAGGTGTGGTCTCAGTCCGAGCCGACCAAGGAGAGCCTTTGTCAAACTGAAGCTAGTCGCCAAGAGGCAGGAGACAAAGTTGGCAGGTCTCCATTTTCCCCGCCGCGCGATGAAATGTAAATCGACAACGTGTCTCCGAGATGAGGAAGTGGTATCATATAGTTGAAACGAGCAGATCAACGTTTTCACACTCTGCGGGAGACGTAGACTAGCATCCAATCATTACTATTCATGACAGCATTACTCTACGAAGTAATGTATGCAAGTACGCAGCGCTATGACTCAAAAAAATACAAATCACTTTTGTATGCTCCCCGCACCACCATGACTCCTCCTATGCTTTCCCCTCCATGATACAATAATCTTACATGCGGTCCGACGTGAGGTTGATGGACTTGAGGGGCACCAGGGTGCTCCGGGACCACAGCTTGTGGCCGGCCCAGAGGGCGACGAAGACGATGACGCTGATGTAGCAGGCGAAGAAGTCGGCCGTCTTCCAGTCGATGAAGACGGTGAAGCCGCTGGTCATGAGGATGAGGACGTTGAAGACGAGGCCGTACCACGACAGCCAGGGCTGCAGGGGCGACTTGTAGGGCAGGATGTCGCGCGAGATGTGCTGGGCGGCGAGGGCGCGCAGGAAGCGGATGTGGCAGGCGCTGATGAGGGCCCAGGTGATGAAGCCGGCGACGGCGATGAGGTTGAGCAGCCAGTTGAAGACGACGGTGCCGCTGGCCGACAGGTTGAGGAAGCCGACGAGCCCCCACAGCGAGGTGACGCCGACGGCGGCCCAGGGCACGCCGTGGCGGTTGGTGCGGGCGAAGAGCTTCGGGGCCTGGCCCTCGCGCGCCATGGCGAGCAGGATGCGGCTGGCGCAGTAGACGTTGGAGTTGGCGGCCGAGAGCACGGCGGTGAGCAGGACGGCGTTGATGATGTGGGCCAGGGCGGGGACGCCGGCGAGCTTGGCGACGATGACGAGGGGCGAGGCCGAGGCGTTGGTGGTGCCGAGCTGCAGGTCCTCGTTGTCGAAGGGGATGTTGATGCCGATGAAGAAGACGAGGGCGACGAAGAGCACGCTGATGCCCCAGTAGGTCCAGCGGATGGCCGAGGGGATGGCCTTTTCCGGGTTGGCGGTCTCGCCGGCGCCGACGCCGACGAGCTCGGCGCCCTGGAAGCTGAAGCCGGCGCCGATGAGGACGGCCCAGAAGCCGACGAACTTGCCGACGGGGCCCGTAACCATGTACTCGTTGAAAGCGCCCGGGGAGTTGTAGTACTTGAAGCCGATGTAGCCCTGGTCGCCGACGCCGGCGTTGACGCAGATGGCGTAGATGATGAAGCCGGCGACGGTGACGACCTTGAGGGTGGAGAACCACATCTCGATCTCGCCGTACCAGCGGATGGGCAGGAAGTTGACGAGGGTGAAGATGGTCCAGAAGACGGCGATCCAGATGGCGATGCTGAGGGACGAGTCCCAGTACTGGATGATCAGGCCGGCCGCGGTCAGCTCGAGGGCGTAGGTGATGGCCCAGTTGGCCCAGTACAGCCACCCCAGAGCGAAACCCAGCGAGCTGTCGTAGAAGCGGGTGGCGTAGACGGCAAAGGAGCCCGCCACGGGCATGTAGGCGGCCATCTCGCCGAGGGAAACCATGACGGAGTAGACGACGGTGGCGATGAAGATGTAGGCGAGCAGCAGGGAGACGGGGCCGGACTTGGCCAGAGCAGCGCCGGTGCCGATGAACAGGCCGGTGCCGAAGGTGCCACCGATGGCGATGAACTGGAGGTGGCGACTGCTCATGGCGCGCTCGAGGTCGCCCTGTTTGCTTTTTGCGGCCTCGATGTCCATGCCGGACATGAGCCCGCCCGGGTTCTTCTCATCGCCGCTGGACCTGGGGGTCAGTTTGTCCTTGGGCCCCTTCGGCTCGTCTGATTTTGAGAACATGATGAGTTGACAGGCAAGGGTGATGATACTCCCCCGCTGAGTCGTTCGGGAGCAGTATCAGGGCGGGATTAGAGGTAGGAGGTTACGGGCTCACCACCGGGCGGCAGGACACAACACAGATAGCGAATGCTGCAATGGCTTGCAGAACAAGACGAGGTTCACGACGAAAGAAAAACGTGGGGAACAGAGCAGTAAAATGTGGAATCCCTAAGACGTGCAATGAGTCAAGAGCATCTTGGAGCTCTCCATCGGCCCGCGAGCTGGTGCTCTTTTCCACTTCTTATTTGCGCCGTGGCCCTCGACAAAGTTTTTTTTCCCTTCGCTGCCCACCACCCGACCCAGCTTTTCTCCATCATCGGCGCGTCCAGAGGCGTCCGCAGAGATGGGCCGAGATTCTCACCCCATTGCGCGACGGAGCTGCGACGGAGATGGTAGCCCCGGTTGGAGACGAGCAAGATCGGTCCTTGGGGCGTCGAGACGTGGCGATACTTTTTGTCACGAATTTTTTTTCATTCCCCTGGTGTCGTGTGTCGGGACCCGTCATGTACGGGGCTCGCTCGGCGTTCTAGGCGGCGTGATAGGCCAGTCAGCCATTTAGGTGCCATACTTGGCTAGAAACAGTGACCGAGGTTCGGCAGATCCGTCCACTAGCATGGGTTCTCTGGCTGTTCTAGAGGCTAAAACCCACCTGGGATGGGAGCTAAGATCGGGAGCTAGCGACGGGGGGGCCACCACCTGCGCGCAGTCAGCACAGCGCTAGGAGAAATTTTTCAGCCTCCAGAGCACGGTCACAATCCGGGCACGAGTGAGGTGATATCAAGGATGGGGGATGACTACTACATATAACGTCAAAGAGTAGGTATCCCATCTCTGCTGATAGGGGGGAATGCAACGTGTCAGAGGAAAGAGTCACACATACGGAGCATATCCAGAGCAGAGCAACTGATATTTATGTGTTTGCCGGACTTCTCGCCTTGCGTCTGCTGATCTTGTCTCTCTCCCTTTTGCTCGTCCCCACGGCATCTCGCGATGTGGCTGCCAAGGTAGAGAGCAAATAGCTGCTCTACCAGGTTAGAAAGTCAGTACTAGCCGCAAGGCTTGGGCGCCGGGGATCGCCTATTCTGTCTGACGGGTGAAGGGATACCGATAAATCGAGCGCGCACTTCTCTCTCCTCCCTCCATGCTCCCACGGTTTGGCAAAGCTCGAGCCGGGACTGCTAGATCCCCACACACTTTACTTTAGTTCGCACATGCTTGATTCAAGCTGCAGGTTAGGCAGCCGGGCCACTCCCCGAGATGCGTCCAGCCCAAGTCGGCTTTGGTAAGATTCCACCAGCATACAAGCTCTTTATACCTCTTCTGGACAGCCAACATGCCACCACACATGCACACCCAACGGTTCATCCCGTGTGGCAAGGCAATCACTCTGGAACCGGCAATCAATGAGATTATGTGACGTAGCGTCGATACAGTTCCCTCCAAAAATATGTCAATTTAGTGGCTATCACGGGAGTAGACCGGTTGAGCACACCACACTGTGCTTTGTCTCGTTACCAAGGCAGGTGTAGGTGCCATCCATGACATTCATCCTCGCGCGCACACCCAGTCAATGAACCGATATCAACCCTTCATCTCCTCCACAGGCCATAACCTTGCTCCCCCACACCTAATCTCCCATCTGACCATTCCTCCAAAACCTGCGCAAATGTTGGCAAAGACCAGTTCCAGTTCCATATTGCCCATGTTTCTCAACCTCGTAGAAACCCATAGGTTCAGTGCTTGTGGAACTTGTGCTTCATCGCGTGGGCCTCGGTGCCCGGCAGCGGCTCCTCGGCCTGCTGGCCACCGCCCGAAGACGAGGCGGGGTAGGGGTTGCTCGGGCCCGGAGCCTCCTGGGCCACGACGGGGGCCTTGACCTGGGCCGACGGGTGGGCGGTGTTCACGCTCGATTTTCCGACGCTCGACGACGCGACGTAGGATCCGTCCGCCTGCTTGATGGCGATGCTTCCCGTGTAGGGGATGGTGTACGGACGGGTCTCGTCGTTGTTTCCCGAGCTGGACATTGTGAATCGTGCGTGGGGTTGTGTTGTTTGTAGTTGAGTGACGGCTTTTTTTTTTTTTTTTGGGTGACTGAATTGAGGACAGAGTGACGTATTGTGACTCTTTCAGGTATCGCGTGGGTGAGACGTAGATGAGGAGGTCTTGACGAGACGACGACTTGACAAGTACCTGATGAACTGTGTGCACTGGTGGTGGAAAAGCGCTGGGGAGTGAGTTGGGACGTCTGCTCGAGTTGCAATCCAACGCAGCACGTTCCCATTGAAGCTGCTCCAGTTATTTTGAAGTCCATCGATAGGAAGGAGGTGCAGTGGAAAGTGGACGTTGTTCTTGCGCGCACAGAGAGATGCAATCACAGATTCGGGCAAGGGCAATCAATGCCGGTCACGCTGAGCAAGCCCGACAACATCAAAGACTGTCCTACTCTTTATGGCAAGTGCATCTTGACAATACAGTTCGACTTTCATCACCAATAGTTATCGCGCAGAACATCTGCAACCATTTACGAGACCAGACAGGAGACTTTTGCACATTCGCCTACCTTGATCATCATAATTCCTGACTACTTTCATTAGGAAATTCACAACCCAAAGGAGAAGACATTCCCAGTACAATGTGCCGGATCGGTAGCTCATCATCCGCTCTTTGAACGACCACAAAGATGTGTTTGTTGAGCTGGGTGCGACACAGACTAAGTCGCCATAGATCGTAAAATACCCAAATATGCATCAAGTTCTGGGATGTAGGACTTTTGGTGCAAGCAAATTTACACAAACCTATGTGAGAACGGAAATCCCGTGTGGTGCTTCTCTATTCCGCTTTGTTAGTTCGCTTCTGGAATCGCCAGCGGAACCGATCATGAATCCTCCTCGGCCTCGGTCCGGCCGATGCCGCAGCCTATCAGCGCGACTCTCAACAGAGCTCAGGTGGGGAGCTTGGGCAGCTCCAGGTTTCCCGCAACCTCGAGTAAAGAGTAAAGTTCTTGAAATGCTATAACAGCGATTACTGTGGCTATTTCTGATTGTACTGTGTGTGGTCGGGTTCCAAAGTCTGATATTGACACACGAGTCACCATGCACGTCCAAGTAAACGTCACCCGACAGCCTGCAATGGAGGCCATTGATCGATCATTCGAGGCACGAGCTAAAGACTTGTGGGAGATCAACCAGAAGGTATGCCTCCTTATCATGGAGAAGATCCATTGACTGGAAAAGGATGCTCACATCCACTAGATACACAGCAATCCGGAATTAGGCTACAAGGAGTTCAAGGCTCATGATAACATCACTGGGCTCCTCGAACGTCTCGGCTACCAGGTCACAAAGCATGCTCATGGGCTCGAGACATCCTTCGTGGCCGAGTATGGAAAAGGCGGGCGCGTAGTCGCCTTCAACGCAGAGTACGATGCGCTCCCGGGCATCGGGCACGCGTGCGGCCACAACCTCATCGCCACGATGTCCATCGGCGGCTTCTTGGCCGTCGCCGAGGCGCTTAAGAAGGAAGGCATCGCCGGCCGCGTCAGGCTCATCGGCACGCCCGCCGAAGAAGGCCTCGGCGGCAAGATCCCCATCATCGACGCCGGCGCATACACCGACGTCGATGCCTGCCTCATGACGCACCCGGGCCCCCTCTCGGAGCGCCCCGGCTACGCCGGCGACGCGTACATGCCCACGTTTGCGAACCACAAGGTCACGGTCACGTTCACGGGCAAGACTGCGCACGCGGCCATGGCCCCCTGGGAGGGCGTGAACGCGCTTGATGCCGCCGTGCTGGCCTACAGTGGCATCGGCGTGCTGCGGCAGCAGATCCATCCCAACAGCCGGGTCCACAGCATCATATCCAACGGCGGTGATAGGCCCAATGTCATCCCCGGCACCGCGTCGATCGATTGCTACGTCCGGTGTCCCACCCTGCAGATGGCGGATGACCTCCTCGGGAGAGTCAAGGCCTGCTTCGAAGGTGCAGCCAAGCAGGCCGCGTGTGACATTGACATCCGAAGGTGGGTCGGATTGATGGATCCTAATTCATCTGCTGACGGAACACAGCATCAACACGTATGCCGATCTCCGACCAAACAAAGCCCTGAGTGCAGCATATGCAAACGAGATGGCTGAAATCGGAGTCAAGGTGGCGTGTGACTTCGACTCGGCCGGCGTTCCAGGTTCGACGGACCAGGGTTCGTGTCTAGCTTCCCAAGCCTTCTGTAAGCAGAGCGCTGACTGTTTGCCCAGGAAACGTTAGCTACGAGTGCCCAAGCTTCCAGGCCTTTGTTGGTCTCGAAACCAAGCCTGGATGCAACAACCACACTCCCGGGTTCACAGCCATCGCGGGCTCCGAAGAGTCTCACAAACTCTGCCTGGCGGCCTCAAAGGGCATGGCCAGAGCGGCATGGAGGATCCTTGCCGAGGATGATCTAGCCTCGCAGATCAGACGTGATTTCGAGGAGGACAAGAAAACCCGGAGCCAGCCTGTTGAAGGAAGAGTATTGTCAAGGAATGCCGGCTTCTGTTAAACAAAGCTAGATCGGGCTTCATTGGACCAGGAAGTAGGTGCAATGAGGTATCTCCTGATAGCCTTCCGTCAACCATTCCGACACCTGATATAATGCAAATTCCTTTTACTTGAATGGCATGACCGTGGATGGTGGCGTTCGAGCCAAGAGCATTGGCGGCCTTTCAAATTCAGGCAGTTCATTATCTGAACTTTTAGATATACTGGTGTCTCCAACTTTCTAGGAGGTCAGGATCTCAACAGAAAGTGCCACACATCAACCATGCATGACAGTACTAGCCAAGCGCAAGGACTATGCTTCACTAGCCGTGTCCATCTGCCGAAATGGCAGATTGAATCCCAACCACACGTCTGGTGCAGCTACAAAAGGTATCTAAAGTGAAGATTCTCGCGCTACACGAGTTGTTAGTTGGAAAGTCTATGTAGCTCAAGGGTGATCCGCTCACATCAGTCAGGTCCGATAGTTCCATGGCAATGCGAACTTCGTTGCTCGCGGCCTGGCCTTCGACTGCAGTGCGGTCACGCTATATTGCGATCAGTTATGTGATCCCATCGGGCAGGATTCCTCATTAGAACTTACTCGTCGGTTCTCACGCAAGTTGACCAGGTACATCACAGCAATAATTAGAGTCTGGACGGAAAAGCAGACGATCATTGACGCGAAGCCAGACTGGTATCGAGGCGCTTCTCTCTCAAAGAACAGCTGGGGCCCAATGAGGTTACCGACACAGTAGCTGAGGCAGATTAGCATTTTTGGTCTACTCCTTCCAAGCGAAAATGCTACGAACCTGATGAACACTGAGGAGGCGAACATAGTCCGCTTAGTTCGGCCGGCGACGTTGGACTGAACCAAGGTGAGGTTGAGAACAAAGGTGGCACTGAAGCCTACAAGCAGGTAGTATCCACTGTATACACACAAACTCGTTAGCAGGAGAACGCATTGAGCTTCACAGAGCCATATACTGACATGAGCCTCGCAACCTTGTGCTCGTTCGACAGTGCATATATGAGCACTGCACCGATTAATGCGACAAGGATGCCTCCAATCATCAGAAAGTGACGAATGCCCGCGAATCTTGTGGCCAGGTATCTACACTTCTGTCAGTATACGGAATGAAACCAGGGATGACAAGAGAGAGAGAAAGAAAACTAACCCAGATATCCAAAGAGCTAGGACCTGAGCACCACCGCTCGGCATGTTGAGGAGCGTGGACTGGAACTTGTTGTATCCAAATCCGTTGACGATGAGGGGAGCAAACGCAGTCACCCCGCCGTTTGGGATGCAGTTGGCAAGGGTCAAGAGATTGAAAAGCCAAAAGTTGACATCGACCAGGGCCTCCTTGACTTGGTACCACTTCAGCTTCTTGTTATCAAGCCCAGTCTCATTGTCAACCACGCGCATGACCGCGATCGTCTTCTCTTCTTCTGTGAGCCACCGGGCCTTGGTCGGGTTTGGCGGCGCTAGCAAGGTGAAGACGATGCCCCAAGCCACAGTCACTGAGCCAAATATGATGAAGGGAAACTTCCAAGCGGGAAGAGATGCCTTGATGAAGCCGATGCCGTACCCAATAAGGCCCCCAAAAACATTCGCCATGCCGTTCATAGAGAACCAGATGGCGGTCCGCAGAGGCTGCTCGTTCCTGTCGAGCTTGTCAGCACCTCCACTCGAGAGTCGACCCCATTTTCAGCAAAGAACATACCGTCTGTAGAACATGGCCGTCATGAGAACAAAGCACGGGCTCACGCCAGCCTCTAGAATGCCAAGGAACAGACGAACGGTCAGGAGCCCGGGGAAGTTGTTTGCAGCCGCCATACAGAGGAGTACCATGCCCCAGAGTATGACAAAGATGCCACATGTGCGTGCAATGTCGAACTTCTGGAAGATGACATTCGTCGGGAATTCGCTGGCAAGGTATCCAACGTAGAATATCGTCGTCAGCCACGAGTAGTCGGCCCCTTGGAGGTGGGCGTCCTTTTGCATGCCCCAGAGGGCGGCGTACGATACGCAAGACTTGTCCAGGAACTGGGAAGCCGTGTGTTAGGCCAGTAAAAGTAACCTCGTCGGAAGCCGGGGTATCAACTTGCCTGTATAAGGTAGGTGAAACACAGCATGGGTAGCAGGTGCAAGTCGATCTTGCGTAACACACGACGGGAAGCCGGGCTGTCCAGGTCAATAGTTTCTATAGCTCCGTGGAGGACAGTAGCAGCGATATCGTCGGCCTGGAGTTGCTTCTCGGGCATGTCGTTGATCGTAGCGTCGTTGTGGTCCGGGTAGTCCTGCCTGGCCGAAGTTGTAAGATCGTTGATAGCCATGGTTGCACTTCGAGTCTAGGCAATGTCGACAGGATATCAACTTAATGACTGGAATTAGTTTGATCGGTTCAAGGGGTCTCAGTTTAAGGAGGAGGCGTTTGCATTGTTATACCGAAGCCCGGCAGCAGGCAATATCAGTACGCATACCTAATTGCCGACAGGGAGACCCGTGTCGGATGTCACACTTTTGATAAATCACACACGGTCGATACATGGTTGGCGATCTTGCCCAGCACAACGCGTGCCCAAGTTGGCAGCTTGCTCCATTAGCGGCCAGGCGAATGCGGGGAGAGCACCATGGGTCGTCAGGGTCCATGATAACGCCAAAGATGCGGGGAGGGTTGCTTCGGTCGGCCCGGCCGCATAGAACTCGATTCCGGACTGACGGTACTTCCGATGCTAAGAGTACCCTGTGCCCTGCTTCTATGTAGAGCGGATGGAAATACGAACAGGTATGTACCTATGCTTTGAGAAGACTTTGTGATAAGCAGACTTCTTTGCGCTGGTACTTTTGTTGAACCCACCGTCCATACGTAACAGTTGGCACCTCTCTCACCAGACCAAATTGTGACGACAGAAAAGTTAATTCAGTCTTATGCTCTCAGAAGTGCATATAATTCGACCAGCAGTTGAGTACATCATGTTACAATCGATGGGCCTAATCAATGAAGTGTCTGCCTCTATTGAGGCTTCTAATGAGGAATTGAGACGATTAAGTCTGGAGGTAAGCATTCATTTCTTTTTGGCCCTGACTACTTTCTCGATTCACTGATTGACACGGGCAGATCTTCAACAACCCCGAGGAGCGATTCCACGAGTTCAAAGCCTGCAAGCTTCTATCGGATTGGTTTGAAAACCGAGGTTGGACCGTGAAGAGAGGCGTGTACGGTCTTGAGACCGCATTTGAAGCGCGTTTCTCCGTGAAGGAAGGAGGCAGGGTCATCTGCTTTAATGCGGAGTATGGTATGCATCGAATCCTCTATTGTAGCTGAAAGAGTAGTTATCTTCTAACACTTGGGGAAGACGCACTTCCTAGCATGGGCCACGCCTGTGGTCACAACTTGATTGCTGAGTCCACAGTGGCATCGGCCATTGCGGTCGAGACAGCTCTCAAAGCACATTCGCTGCCAGGCACCGTGGTCGTTATGGGCACCCCTGCCGAAGAGTCCGGCGGTGGCAAATGGATCATGGCTAAGAACGGAGCCTGGCAGGGGTTCGACGCGTGCATCATGTCACACGGCATGAGGGACTGGAGTAGCCCGGTGTGTGTCTCGAAAGCATCGTGGAAGGTGCAAGCCAAGTACTACGGCAAGACCGCTCACGCTGCCGCGGGGCCATGGACAGGGCTGAACGCATGCGACGCCATTGTCCAGGCGTATACTGGTATAGCCTTGTTGCGGCAGCAGGTGCACAAGAGCGAGTCCATCCAGGGCTGCATCCTCGAGGCGGGGAAGGCCGCAAATCTCATCCCGGCCTATGCCGAGGGCGCCTTTAGCATTCGTGCTCCGAACACGAAGGCACTAGGTGCACTCCGGAAGCGCTTCGAGCCCATCTTTGAGGCTGCTGCGACAGCAACAGGCTGCAAGGTCGAACTTGATTGGTGTGTCCAAGCCTTTCTTGAGCTGATTGGTCATCCAGCTGATGGAATCCTCACGCAGGTACGCGTTGTACGAGGACGTCGTCACGAACAATGTGTTAGCAGAACGATACCGGCAGTACATGCTACAACACCTCGGCATGACCGAAGAGCAGCTTTGTCCTCTCCCTGAAGCGTACATCAAGCACGATCAGCCCGGTTCCTCGCAAGTTCATTCCTGGACACTTGAGGATACCTGCAAAAGGCTAACGAATGACAAACTACAGTGACTTCGGAAGCTGTTCATACATCTGCCCAGGCATTCAGGTCATGTTTAGCATCAATGCATCCGACCTCCCTCATTCCGTTGGCTTCCGAGAAGCAGCTGAAAGCGTCTTCGCACATAAGGAGGCTCTCAGGGCTGGCAAGGCAAACGCGCTCGTAGGGCTCGACGTTTTGATGAATGATACATTCGCAGAAGAAATGAAGGCTGAGTTCAAGGAATCCATGATGAGAGAAGGTCGGTGGGAGTCATGATGGGCCTTGGCACACAGGTTACAGTTGAAATCGAGATAGCATGCAGATACAAAAACAGGCAGACTCAATTTCAACAAGTGTGACGGACAGGCTCGTTCAGATAACCAACAAGCCAATTGCACGTTCAGCCCAGGTGCTCCTTGTGCTGTTGGTGTCAGAGCTGGTGCATGCCCTGCCAAGAACACGCCGAGGACCGTGAGGCTTGGCGGTTGCTGTTGGGCGCAGTACTGAATGTTACACAACCAACAGCAGAATACAAAAACTAATTTCAAGTAATTTGCTTCGGCCCCTTTACCGGGCCCGACCCGCCCGCTCCGGACCAACGCCCCTACTGATGTCTGGCCGTTCCAGACTACTACTTGTACAACGCGACATCGCCAACCTCTGATGTAGCCAGTCCTGTTCCCGACCTGTCCGTCTTTTAGGCCTCCTGCTCCCCATCTCTTCAATTTTCTGTTGGACCTCGGCCCTCCTCGGCGACAGAGACGGCAACATTGCCCAACATGAGAGCAGCGAACGCTTTCATCTCTTTAGGCGCCGTCCTGACGGCCACTGCTTACGCCGCGCTCGCGACACCGCCAATGGTCCCGAGAACAGCGGCCGGCAGGGCCGAATCACCGGCTCCTAGCGTGACATCTACCGAGTTCGTGTCGCCTTTTGTGACGCCGGATCCGGTGGGCTGCTACTTGGCCAACATCACGCAATTCTTCGATGTGACGACAGCCAGCGGCGCCCTATCTACCGCTATGGCGTCGTACGGCGACGTGTTGCTCGAGCCCTGCGTGTCTACGGCTACCGGGATCGACAGGTTCGACTGCTCCGTCGCGCCTTCGCAGTGGTGTGGCCTGTCCACGGCGATCCCGCCTGCTATTCTCTCCGACTACTCCTCCTATGCTAGAGGAGCATACTCGTTCTGGACGGCCAAGAGCTCGGCAGCCATGTCTGCCTCCTCAAGGTGCCCCGTCTTGTGGAACAGGCCCTCCTTCGAGGCGCGTATTTGGTTGAACCTGACCATCGCCTTCGCGGAATGCTACGCAGCAGCGGCAGCCAACCCGGATCTGACGTCTGCTTCGGGCCTTTCGTCGTCTACAGCTCGCTCGGCCCCTGCGACTTCCTCGCTTCCGCCAACTGCCTTGAGGACCTCGTCGCCCACAAACGGCGTTATCGGCCGAAAACAGGGCATGGGGATGTGGATGCTGGCAAGCATAGGCATGGCAGCTGCGGGGGTACATTCTGTATTATAGGGGTGATAGAAATCCTGCGGCGTTGCCGCTTCCAAAACCCGAAACGAGACAGTTGATGTGCAGTCGGATGTTGAACTTTATGGGGTTCTTGACAGCACGTAGTAGCTACTGTAGGACTGAAGTTAATCTCTAGCGAATCGCGCTAAGTTACCAACATGTCCCACTTTCTTCCTCGCCGTGCGCCATCGCCTCGATGTCCCGCATGACGATCTTCACACTCAACATCTCAACCCATTGTGAAACAAGACTACCACAGTGCTCGCCGATGTAATGGCCGACATCAATCGGTATGATCCAACCACCGTGAACATTATGCAGCTTGCAACCTGACACGTAATCCTTCCTCTAGGGCGCTGGCGGCTTGCCTCAGGTGCCGACAACGCAAACTCAAGTGCGGAGGCCCCGACCAAATACCATGTCGTCGGTGCCGCACGAGCGGCTCCGAGTGTGTGTTCGTCGCTCCGAGAGCCACTATTGTAAGAGATCCGATCAGTAAATCAGCCAGCGACTCTTACGATGCGTGAGTCCCCACTGCGAGGGGCATAGTGCCGTCAATCCTTGCCAGTAACTGACCTCATCCAAGGAAGATTGCTACACTCGAGCAACGCCTCAAGCAGGTAGAGGACGAATTACGCCAAGAAATAGTCGAACTCAGAAACACTGTCACTCGCGGCAGAGCAGGGTCCAGTCCCGAAGTGGCTGGTCCTGGTTCAGATGCAAGCCATAACGGAGATGAAATCTCTCCCTCTTCGGCTTTCCGGTCCGGAGGCACGCTTGAAAACATTCCCCGCATCAGGACTGCGAATGGAGACGAAGATATTGTGTCGAAAAGTTTAGTCAGTGATTCTGAGTGGGAAGAACTATATGAGTTGTCAGTGTCTTCTTCTGTTTCTCCCTGTCGTGCATCCAGCTGACTTGGAGGTCTCCTAGTTATGAGCACAATTGCAGGACTACGATTGCTTTCTTGAATGACCAGATGCTTCCGTCCAGCAAGGAGGCTCGGAAACACCCCCTTCTCGCATTGGCGATATGTACCGTTGCATCACGAGCAATTAGGCCTCGCAAGTATCAGTACTTCATCGACGAGAGCGACAAGCTGATCAGGGGACTTTTCAGCGGGCCGGGACCTGATCTCTTGAGCATCGTTGCCCTCATGGTGCTTGCAGCCTGGACTGGCCGTATCCGGCTGTGGGGGTTCATCGCATCTCTGGCCGTGGAACTAAAACTCAATGAAAGTGCTCTCCAGCTCGGCGAAAAGTCTGTCGAGAAGACTCAAGATCTCATCGAACGTGCGCGGCTTTGGTTCTCTCTCTGCTGTTTTGATTTGATGTAAGTCTGGCAACTCAGGGCCTGACGCTCCTGGAACTCATCGACATGGCAGATTGAACGCGACGCGTCCCTTCTTCACGAACAGAATGAACGAGTATCTTGTCAACGTTAGGCATCTACTGCACTCCCCCTTTACTCGTGCTGTTGATTATCGAATTTGTGCATATGCGGAGGGCTTTACCATCGTTGGAGATGCGAAAGGGCAAATACAGATGTCCCAGCTTCTGGCCCAACCAATCCCTCAGAAGATCATCGACAGTCTCGTGTCGCTGGACCAGAGAGCTGATGCCTGGTTCCATGAGATCAATAACGATCTTGATCCTCTTTACCAGACATTTCATGAGCAACAAGATCGGAATCGCTTCATGGTTCCTTACACGTACATTAAACTGTGAGTCTCTCGTTCCCTCTTCGGCAGCTGAGTAGTAGTTAACAGCCATTTCATCTTGTAGTTACGTAAACGGCCTTGCCTTGAATGGTCTCATGTTGAGCAGTGGGCATGCAGATCCCATCCGTCTTGGCTTCGTTCAAAAGGCAGTCGATAACGCTTGCCTGCTGATCCAAGTGCAATTTGAATCCGATTCATTTCGGCAGGCATTGAGGTATTCCATGGTAAGCTGTCTTGTCCATTAGTGGACACAATTATACATACTCACCTCGAAACAGGATTACAACGGAAACACGACGTATTATGCAAGCGGCTTCATCTCAAAGGCGATGAATTTGGTTCATCCTGAACTTGACTGTGATAAATGCCTGCTCGCACTGCAACGAGCTGCACACATGTTCGAACAGGCAAGCGCCACCGAGACCGCAGTAGAGATACGGAAGGAGATAGAGAGACTGGCGTCCTTGACGAGTACGGTTTTACCTTCTCCGGAGGCTTTGGATCAGGAAATCAGCGACGCACAGCTTGAGTGCTTGTTTGACATTCCAAGCTTCCTAGGTGCAATGGTACGTGTACCAGCCTCATTATATCAAAACCTTGTGCTAGCAGTGCTGACACGAAGTCGCAACAGACTTGGGATAACGAGTTCCCGACGATCAATGACTATTCGCTGAATTGAAGATGTCTCAAGTGCCTGGACGCACTGTAGTCGAGGAGGGTTCGAGGGCAGCCATATTAGCTCTCGCTGAAAGGGACTGGCCCAGGACTGATCACGACTTTAAGTCCATGAATACATAGACGGACAAATATTATCACTAATCTTCTCGATCACGCGAATCACAATTTTGTTTGTTCTCCCGATCGCCGACAAGATTGGGAGGCGTTGAGTACCATCCCGCGGGCCAAGGGGTGTGGAAACAAAACGACAACAGACCTCTAGAGTGGGTAATTAATCCATTGAGGACGTAATGCTGTGCAATGTCATTTGATCCGGTTAAAAAGAAGATGAGTACGGGACCGGAAAAAAGAAAGACAGGCAAGAGCCAAAAAGGAAGATCCAAGATCTTACTGTCTCAAGATGACCACGCTGGGGGTCGAACCCAGAACCTCTTGATTCGTAGTCAAGCACTCTGCCATTGAGCCACGCGGCCAATTGATGAAGACCGGGTGCGGTATTTTGTTCTATGAAGAATTTGCTGACGTCTGGTGGTGTGAGTGGAGAGACGGGTTAGCAACTTAGCATGGCCCTAATGTCGGCGGAAGGGCAAAAATTTGGAGGAAGGTGGGGCCGGCTTGTCCGATCAGTCCCGGATCACGGCTAGAAAGGGGTTGAGAGGCAACAGGGAGACAAGCTGGGGACCGTTCCTCTAGAGGATATCATGATGCTAGGGAAATGTGCTCTGATGACACGACGGGAAGCGTGCCCACTTGCATCACGGGGAAGACTTACTACCAGTAAGCTGGGCAAGCGTGGACCAACGACACATTCATAGCAGCCTGCAACCATGTTACCTATCCTCCAACGTTCAAGGCCGGGGACGGAAGCATTATTCCAGAGCGTTTCTCTGTGTGTTACTTTGCGAAGCCGAACCGCAGAGTGTCTCAGTTCCTGTCCGTTACAGGAGTTCATCACTGAGGCGACGCCCCGCCACTACGAAGATACCACAGCATGGGAATGGAATGATCGCAGGACTGAGAAGCTGTCCGGAGCTTTTAAAAAGAAGTATGGAAATTGTATTAGATTATTGGAGATTAAATTAACAAACGGCCGAGCTGTATACAGCCTGTCCTCGAAATATTTTACACTTTCTTCAGCTCTCGTGCGATGACAGTGTTCACAGGTCATGGCAGTACTCTTAAAAATCAGTCGTTTACATCATTTTAGAGTCGAGAGGGGTCTTGTAATCGTATGGTGCAATATAGAAGTTTGCAGTAACTTCTTTGCCCTGCTCGATTGTGCACCAAGTCTACCAGCCATGTTAGTCGATAAATGGCAAGATGGAATTGGAGACAGATGACTCACCTTGTACTTGGGCGTTTGACTGGTCCACTCCCAGACAGGTCTGATGTTCATGTGCTTTCTTGCCACATCACGGTTGTAGTCCTCGTCGAATATTCTGTTGATGGATGTGTCGATGGACACATGAGACGGGTTCATTGGATCCTCGAAATATATATCGGGATAAACTCCGACCTGTGTGGGCAATCAGAAACACGACAAGACTAACAACGGAGAAGCAGAGAGTTCATGAAAATATAGACATCACGTACACTGCACTTGTTGTCGCCAATGAAGGGCATCATAACGCCAAAGGCCAACTTGTTCCCGACTGGGCCGTCCACCTTGTACATCGCGACACCTGTGGTGCCGGTCCAGGTGCCGGTGGCAGGCTGCCAGTGCGCCATTGGTATGTTATCCTGCCCGGAGCGAAGCAAGGGAGCCTGCTGGGAGACAGAGCCCCAAGTGACGTATGCCGCAGGGTCCGCGAGCGTAAGGTTGTAACCGATGAGGTTGTGCATCACTGCTTTGACGTACCACTACTCCAGAGTTAGAGTCTTTTGGGTTATATCTATTTCGTACACTCATTACTTACAACCATCTTGACGATTGTGTTAATATTCCTTGTTTTTCTTAAAAAAGAAAATAGAAAAGGGCTTGAAAGTGTGTTCAATGGGGAATTGTTGGTACTTTGGAGAGTCGATTGGTTCTTAGAGTGCTGATTGATGCTTCGATGTGCTCTGAAGATCTTTTCTGTGATTTCAAACTCGTAAAGAAAGCCTGTTTATATATGTGAATTTCTTGAGATGTGTATGTCTCTGGCCGGAGTTCACGATATCACTGGTCTTGGCATTCTAGTCTACAGTATAAGCTTGTTGAGAGTGTTGACTCGTGTAGCAAGTCGCTTGGTTACTAGACGGAGCCCACTTGATTGGTAGGAGGCCTTGGCGAAGAAGCAGTTCAAACTTTGAGCCTTGGCCCCGCACGTAGCGGGGGCTCCATGGGCTCCCACAATTGTCTAGAACAATTCCAACTTGGAGAATAAGGCAGTATCTCTGTGGAAGCTCGAGGTTCGTAGTACAGTTGCAGGCAGGGAAATCCGAGTTCTGGCTCCTCCTGGCTTAAGTCTGAAGGCTTACGGTCACGCCTAGGATGGTCTCTGGAACTCTCGTTCTCTTCATGTCAATATCAAGCACATGATGTTCCATAGCTGTAGCGTCTCTAAAAACATTTCATATCCTATATTTTGCCCTCACAATATGGATTCCCTCTTAAGCACACGATGCGAGGCATTGTGTTGAAAATATGTGAACACCTTTCAGTTCACCAAACGGATGATTTTACATTCACTTTAACTATCAACATCACATGTGAGAAAGGGCACGGAATCCAGCTGTTCTGGTAAGGATCCCTTCAGAGGAGAATTAGATCAAGCCCACTTCGAGTCTTCGTGGACAACATTTGTGATTTTGCATGTCACCTTGCCTATGCCGGTTTGAGCGTCCTAAGGACGGTTGGGCGACAAAAGAAGCATAGGTTGAAGTTTTCTGGCCAACCTTCCCGAATCTATCGTCGAGAGATCCAATGTGGATACCATTGACCATCACGACGACAAGAATCAGACGAGGATGGAGCGCCTAAGTCTCAACTGAGAAAAGCTTCCATTCCATCCAGCCAACTCTCCACAACTGGAGCGCTAGAGTAACTGGGACCATGTCACAATGGCCGCAGAGCCTTCAAACCCCTTTCAAGATGAAGGCCCCTTCTCCATCTACTCGTGATTGTTATCCACCAAGAGCAAATTCCCAGCCGAAGGATAGAGAGGTTTTTGTACCGCTTGGCACCAACCTGAAAGCCCCAGTCCCATCCGGCACCGAATCCTTGCGTGAGTCAATGCGATCAAGGCCGCCTTGATCATACACAATACACAATGTCCACCCTCGAGGGCACGACAGTGTTTCCCCTAAGAGCTATCTAGGCTCTGTATGCTGCCACTTGTGCTTCCGCTGCGCAAGTGATGTTGCCCATGGTTTTCATGCTTTGCCACAGATCTAACTGCTTCTAGAAAAGGTTGATCCAATCAGCCCGCCAAGGCAAATCGAACACCTTCTCAGCCTTATTTTTGACAATTGCTTTCGCCCCTGACTAGTCACATTTCAATTTCGTTCTCTGGATGTCGTCTGGAAGAGCTTCAGGTCTGACCCCAGCTTCTTCTCCAGACGGCCGAGCTGTCAGTTTGAGCTCTGAGAGTGTGCTCCCTTGCTAGTCTCGCGCTACAGCGGGTTAGCACGGCGCCGACTGAACTGATGGCGGGCCACGGGGGCGGCGATGCCGCTAGAAGACACAGCTGGAGCCCGAGTGCGGGGCACCGATGAATGTAACCTTCCCTCTGATGCTTCTTCGACCGAGCATTGAACCCCCAGACTCAAGCTATCCTCGGCATGACCGCATCGCACTGAAGACAAGAGAATATCTTAGCTTCAGGAACGCTTGAGATAGCGGACCGTTTATCTTGCTCATTCAAGCCACATTTCTTGGCCGACACACTCGGCGGCGGAGCCCAAGGGGGTCACGAGAGCCAAAGCTGGGGGAATGGGCAAGATGTCAGACCATTACTTCGACCTCGGTGCGTACCGCCGCCAGGTCACGAGCAGCAGCAGCGACTGCCAAGCCTGGTTCGATCGCGGCCTGGTATGGGCCTACGCCTTCAACCACGAAGAGTCGGCCCAATGCTTTGAGCGCGCCATCGCCGCCGACGCGGAGTGCGCCATGGCGCACTGGGGCCTGGCGTACTGCATCGGCCCGAACTACAACAAGCCCTGGAGCTTCTTCGACGAGACGGACCTGGCCAACGTCGTGAGCAAGGGCCATCGCGCGGCCAAGCTCGCCGAGGAGCACGCGGCGCGCGTCACGCCCGTGGAGCAGGCGCTCATCAGGGCCGTGCAGCACCGCTATCCGCAGGAGAAGCCGCAGGACCAGTGCGAGCATTGGAACCAGGGGTTTGCCGACGCCATGGAGAAGGTCTACAACGAGTTCCCGGACGACTTGGACGTCATCACGCTCTTTGTCGATGCGGTCATGAACCTGAACCCTTGGCAGATGTGGGACATTCAGGCTGGCAAGCCCACCGATGGCGCAAGAACCCTGGAGATGAAGGCCATCCTAGACCGCGCTTTTACGTTAGAGGGCGGCCGCGAACACCCCGGGTTGTTGCACTTGTACATCCATCTGATGGAGATGTCGCCCTCTCCCGAGTCAGCGTTGCCCATCGCCAATCGTCTCCGCGGGCTCGTTCCAGACGCAGGACATTTGCATCACATGCCCACCCACCTCGATGTGCTATGCGGTCAATACCAAGAAGCCATCGATTCAAACTCTGACGCCATAGTTGCTGATGAGAAATTCCTGGCAAGGGTCGGGCCACTCAACTTCTATACGCTCTATCGCTCGCATGACTATCACTTCAGGGTTTACGCCGCCATGTTTGCAGGCAAGTTGCAGGTTGCCCTAGACACAGTTGCCAAGCTAGAGTCATCCATCCCTAGAGAGCTTCTGCAGATCAAGTCTCCGCCAATGGCTGACTGGCTCGAGTCCTTTCTCACCTTAAGAGCACACGTGCTGATTAGATTCGGACGGTGGGAAAATATCGTCCAGCAGCTGCATGTGCCTGACGACCAGCAGTTATACTGCACAACGACAGCCATCGTGCATTATGCGCTTGGGATAGCCCACGCGGCCTTGGGCGACGTCCAGAATGCAGAAGCTGAACAGGAGCTGTTCCGCCTGGCAGTGAAAGAAGTACCCGAGTCCCGCACGCTGTTCAACAACAAATGCGTAGACATCCTCCAGGTGGCGGACGCGATGCTAGACGGCGAGATCGAGTACAGGCGAGGGAATTTCGAGAAGGCCTATGAGCACCTGCGGACGGCCATCCACCGCGAAGACAACCTGCCGTATGATGAGCCGTGGGGGTGGATGCAGCCGACCCGCCATGCATACGGCGCCCTTCTCTTGGAGCAGGGCTACATAGAGAAAGCGCTCGAGATCTACCAGGCAGACCTTGGGATGAACGACACGCTTCCACGCGCCCTGCAGCATCGGAACAACGTGTGGGCCTTGCATGGACTGCACGAATGTCTGACGAAGCTCGGGCGAGCTTCGGAGGCACAAGAGGTGGAAGGGCGTCTGGCGCAAGCTGTCTCTGTCGCGGATGTGTCTATTCATGCTTCGTGTTATTGTCGACTGGACACAGAGGTGGGCTGTTGCGAGAAGCGGTGATGATTTGCCGATATGCAGAGTTGTGTAAATGGGCTCACGTCATGATTGTCGGTATTGGGTCGGTGCAGGAGAGGATTATCCCACTGCCTAGATTTCCATTGCTGTAGAAATTTTCATCGTGTCTAGCATCCCATGGTTCCATTATTTTGGTTCGTGAGTGAGAAATTTGTTCCTCGTTCAAGAACATTTGCGCATATTAGTGGACATTAAGGACACTCATTCGGGAAGATCCATTCTGCGAGTTTTCTCATCCACGAGTACATCTTGCTGCGTCCCCGCCCCTTGGGCATATGTTGCCATCGTCTCCAACTCCTCTGTTACCGCTCTGTCGTTCAAGATACAACACCGATCGTCTTCCGTGGAACACCTGTTTTTGGACTCCAGTATCGGGCGGCCGGTCACCGATAGAGATGGGTGTCTTGACGTTGATCTGGGATTGCCTGTGGCATTCAGGAACAAAGGGTCCTTCGGCACGACCCACGCCGTCCGGAGATGACAATTTACTGCTCCGACAACCCGTCGACATCATCCTATGCATAGCGGACCAACTACCTCTCGAATCTGTCACGGCACTAGGGCTGACATGCACAGCGTTATCTCACCTGCTTCTCGAAAGAGCTTGCCTTCGGCTCTACCGCCAAAGAGAAGCACGACAGAACCTTCTCCTGCTCCTTGAGAGGGATGTGGGACATCGATATTATTATTGCCACGACTGCAGAAAGTTGCATCGGTTTTACCAGACCTGGCGTCTCTCGAGCGAAGTCCTGCTTGACCAGCGAGGCAGACTGGACAACACCCCTGGCCATTGCTATGCAAGAAACAAAGCCTATCTATGGGAGACGAGCATACATCTACCTTATCGTTTCGTCCGTCTTGTCATGAATCGCCACATCCTTGGTCCGGCAAGCGGTCTACCGCTAAGTGTCCTAGACATCCCTTTCCACTATGTAGGTTTCCAGTGGACAACAGCTCAGCCAGTCCGATGGGAAGTCAAGTGGACAGCTCGAATCATCGGCGGCGAATTGTATCTTCACGGAGAACACCGCTTCGCATATGTTCCAGGCACAGACTTGGAGACACTCCGGATGGGGTTGGACTTTAAAGAACACGCCATCTGCACCCATCTGAAGACGCACGACGTCTGTCCCGTTACCTGGACGATGGCGCGCGTTTCGCCACTACACAAGCGCACAGAGTCGGATGCTTTTGTCTCCTGCGAAGACATAGTAGGGGCATGCCGCAGGTGCCTGACAGATTACGATCTGAGCATCAGCCTGGTGCCGAGAGGTTCAGGTGAGAAGAGTCTCGGACGGTGCGATCTGTGTATTGAGGTCCACTCTTATCACCAACTTGGGGATGGTCGGTCGCCAAAGGACTGGAAATGGGTAGGTTATATAGGGCGGCGGTCTCGGTACGCGAGAACAGGGACTTTTTCCTCAGGGGCTGTGCGAGAGAGGTGGATTAAGAGCAATCCGTCTTGAGAGTTTGGAAAGCAGATGCATTGGGGTTCATCTTTGCACTCGATTACATGTAATTACTTACTTGGCATGTAATTGCTTACTTGGTCTGGTGGGTTCCGCAGATATACAAGACAGACATGACTAGGCAAACAGTACCAATTGGCCAATTAGCCCGCTCGCGCCCCGCTCAAATCAAACAAATTCTATCTCTCCCAGTGTCTCGATTCCCACCAGCAACTCACACTAACCTGCCACCTTCTTGGAGATCATGTGCATCATCCCGGGTCTCACAAGAGGCTAGAGCCTCGCTGTCTGTCAGATAGCGGAGCGGAGGCAGTATGATATCATACGTCTTCAGCATACTCGCATGGTTGCTGTATGCCTTTGTCGTTGTCCTCGCCTTGACATCGGCCTCGATACTCGCACTCACCCTCTACCGGCTCTTCTTTCACCCCCTGGCCAAGGTCCTGGGGCCCAGGTCTGCGGCCGTGTCCAACATCTGGTATGCGCGCCAGGTAGTGAGTGGCAACCTTTACAGCCTTGGAAAATGCCTTCACCGAAAATACGGACCTGTGGTCAGGGTTGGGCCTAACGAAGTATGGTTCAGCTCCAAGGAAGCTTTCAAGAGTATATACTGTGAGCTATCATTCCCATGGTGCATGGTTCTTGTTTCCATGCTCACAAGTATCTCCAGCTGCCGGAAACGGCTATGAGAAGTCAGACTTTTACCGTATGTGACTCGCCCTTTTCCCCCAACTTGGCCATTTCCAGGTTGAAAGCTTACATGTCAAATTGGGGGAAAGTGGCCACGGCTCTGCAGAGGCCAACACTGGACTGGCGTCTACATCCGCACTCCCCAGACACCCTTGACCTCCTCTCAGAGCGGGACATGGACCGCTACCGGCTGCAGCGGAGGCTGATCGGGCGCACCTATCAGACATCCAACTTGAAGAAGTACGAAAAGGGAGTTGACCAAGTCCTCGAGCGGACGATATCGACTCTCCGGTCTCTCCAGGGCGCCGAAGTCGATCTCAAGATGTGGATGCACATCGTCGTCGTCGAGTGCCTGGCCGCCGTCGTCCTCTCGTGGTCCCCAGGCTACCTGCGCGACAAGTCGGACGGCGACACCAGCACCTGGAGCTACCTCGGCTGGAAGCGCAAGACCGTCTTCGGCCTCTTCCCCGCGTTCCACATCGCCGAGCTCCTCTCCAAGGACGTCGGCAGGTGGTTCGCCAACCTCTGGGGCGTCTCGTACAGGACGCCCAAGGGGTTCAAGCCCTTCTTCACCGTAAGCGCATCACTGCTGCCGAAACCTGGCAGATGAAAACCCCTTGATCTTGGAAAAAGAGCACTAACAGGAAAACCTCGAAAATAGCCCGTCTACGCCAAAATCTCCCGACGCCTCAAGAACGCCCTGCACCCAAACCCTTCGGCTCCGAAGCAGCCCAGGGACACGAGGGAGGACCTCCTCGCCGACCTCATCCGCCTCCACCGCGACAGGCCCGCCCTGACCGAGGCATATCTCGCCCGCCTCGCCATGACCAACTTCGGCGCGGGCCACGAGACCATGTGCTCCGCGCTGACAGCCTGCCTCTCCATGCTCGGCTCGCACCGGGACGTCCAGGCGCGCGCCGCCCAGGAGGTCCGATCCCTCCGTCCTCACGACGACGACGACGACGACGACGACAGCCAAGACGGGACGACGACTCCAATAGTGGTAACATCGTACGACGACGCGGCCCGGAACCTGCCCTACACGTCGGCCAGCATCCGCGAGGCGCAGCGCCTGAACCCCGTGATCGGCATGTCCCTCCCGCGCACCGTGCCCCCGGGCCCGGGACTGCGCGTGCACGGCCTGTACTTCCCGCCCGGCACGACGGTGGGGTGCAACCCGGGCTCCCTGCACCGGAACCCCGACGTCTTCGGCCCCGACGCCGAGGCCTTCAACCCGGAGCGCTGGCTCGTGTCGCCCGGAGAGGAGGACGAGGACGGGGAGCGGGAGCGGGAACGCCTGCGCGCCATGGACAGGTACAACCTGACCTGGGGCGGAGGCGCGAGGACGTGTCCCGGCCGGCACCTGGCGGAGCTGGTCGTGTGGAAGGTGGTCCCGACGCTCTTGCGGGAGTTCGAGATACAAGTGACGATGCCGCCGGATGAGGACATCCAGTACTACTTCCTCGCAATGCTCACCGGGGTGAAGGCGAGATTCCTGCCAAGAGAGGCAGAAGAGTGATTAGCGCATTTCTACCTATGATACCCAGGAAGGAATTTACGATCCTTTGTCAGATACGAGATGGAGCTCTATTTCTGTGACGTGTCTAAAATCTACGATACGCTGTATACTATGTATGCCGCTGGACAGAAAAAAAGAATGGAATATCACAAGCAATGCAATCAACTCGTCGTCTGCTGCGTCAAACCAGACAGATACTCGTGGAACGCGCCACCCAGGTTGTCCACCACCAACGACACATCCGGTGCACCAGGACTCAGCACCCTCCTGACGGAATGGAGTTTGGCTGCAACACTTCCGCCGTCCTGGCCGCCCTTGCTGCTGCCACTGCCGTTTGCCCCCGTCTTCCCCTGAGTCGTGACGTGCTTGACATCGCGGCCATGTCTCGGCTTGCCTTGCGGTGAGTCTGGTGTTATCAGGGTCTCGTCGAGCAGGTTCTGCCACTGAGATAGATATAGCCCTGGGCCGGCGACCATGTCCCCTTTGTCTCCAGGATTCTCCTTTCCGCTGACCTGGTCCAGGATACGCTGCATCCGCGCGGACGAACCGTCGTTGAGAGAGGAGAGATACTTGGCATGAGAGTCCAGAAGCGGCAGTAGCGAGACCCGAGTGTCTTCCCCAAGTGCAGAAAAGATCCTGTTCAGTGTCTGGTCCATGGCTCCTGCGCCCCTGTCGAACGGGCTTGTTGTTTCCAGGTCCCGGTTTTCCAGGTTGCCATTTGTCTTGACACCAGTTTCATCGCTCTCGCCCCCGTTTAAGATAGTGTTGGGATCGGCCGTCCTGAACACTTTGATCGTGTCCTTGGCCCACTCGCGGAACATCTCTCGGATATCGGGACACTCTCGCGCGAGGTTATGAAGCCACTTGTAGACCATCTTCCTGTTGCGACGGAGCAACTCAACATAGTCTTTCACAGACGGCACACTCGTCTCTTCTTTGCTCGCCGATGAACCTTGCTTTCCCGTCTCAATGAACTGGCCGATAAAGCTCTCCATATCGCTAATCGGTTCGCGGAGGTCCACCTTGTCGTGGATGTCGCGTATTAAGGGCTCGCAAGCGGCAACTCCGTCTTTGATCGCCTGCGTGAAGAGGTCTGGGTTTTGCCGACAGAGGACCTTGGTAATCTCGTCGCGATCTCGAACGGAAAGAAGAGCAGAGAGGTAGTCGAGACAGAGCCCATGCGTCTCGTCGCTGATTGACTCGGCGAGCTTCGGATTTGCTTCTCGCAGCACCATGACGACTATGGACTCGCGATTTTCCACACTCGTCCTGAATATACGCTCCCGCTCAGTCAGCGGGCTATTCACGTACTTCTTGATAGCGCCGAGCTGCTCCTTGGTCGGCCCGCCTTTGGCCTTCTCGATCTTGTCGGCCGACTTGCGGAACTCCGAACTATCCCATGAGAGCACGACAGATATGATCCTAGTCACAGTCAGGTCAGTCTCTTGATCGTAAAAATGATCATCGCAGCTTGAGGCGTACCTCTGCAGCAGGTTGACTCCATCATCTGCATTTTGAGTCAGACCCAGCCAGTTCGAAACTGAACCGACGCTCAACTTTGCTAGGAGTAGCCTCGACATGGCATTGATCATTGTTGCCGCGTTACTGACGCGTAGTGTCTGTTTGATAAGAGCATAGGGCAACAGCTTGTGGACATTCTCAATGAGCTTGAGGAGATATTGGCCATCTGCCGATACGATGAATACATGGTGTAGAAATGCTCCTAGACTTGGTTCTGATGTTAGCTGGCTATGGGATGCGAAGCAAGGGCTGGTAGCATCTCACAGAATGATGACATATTCTACTCCGGCAGCCACCTTAGGCGAGTGCTCTTCGACTTCCATGGATTCCGAGAAGAAGGTGTACAGATCGTCGAGAAGATCTCCGTAGATCAAGTCACGGCAGAGATCGTCCCATGCTAGTTCGAGGTCCCGTGCCGAGGTAAGGTCGTAGTCCTTGGGTGCTTGACCATAGACTCGGCCTTCTCGAGGATAGCCGCCCAAGCATCCGCGGGCGACGGTCTCTATCAGGGCAGACGAGGCAGTAGTCAGTGTCTTCCTAGTTCCCATAGCGCCCTTCTCATAGCTCTCGGACAGGCCTGCCTCGGCGAACTTGACAAGGAGGCCTTGGACTTTGATGCTCCAGAAGTCGTCTGGTAGCTTCTTGGCCGGGGGGACTGTGAGGATGAACCTCCGGAACAACAGTTGAAGGATGGGAGAGGTTGATTTGGTGGCGTAAACTGGCTTCTCATCGCTGCCTTCGTCTCCAGGACCCTTTTGAACAAAGGGAAAGCCATAGTTGGCGGTGGCATCTGCATTCTTGAAGTTCTCAATCTCTGAGTAGGTCTCGTGATGAGTGAGGATGTCAAATAATGCGTGTAGTTGCGAAGGAGAAAGCCCCGCAGACGCCATGATGGGTGAGCTGCCGGCTAGGAGAGAATAATGGAAGGATTCTTGGTTTGAAGTTATCCGGTGTCCATAGGTGAGACGTGTAGTCACTCAAGTTAGTCACTCAAGTACAAGGTGAGACTGGGCTGTGACCATTGACGTCAGGATCTCCCTTCCCAGCTTGCGAGGCAGCAGCGTACAAGAGATCAGCTCGCCATGGAGGGGCCCTGCACGCTGTGATAAAATTCGAAACAGAGATGCTGGCGATATGCTGTTGGATATGACGGTGCTCAATGTATATTTGGGTGAGTCTTTGAAATTATGATCAGAGATCGGACATGGAAGAGAAACAAAGAAGAAGATGGCTTCCTGTCTGAACAACCTGGAAGCACCGAGCGCCCCGGCTTGAGGCGCATTCAGGCACACAGGCGCTAAAGCCATGGCGGGGTGAGTGCTGTCATCACTGTTGTCGCCCCCTAGTCCCACCTTATCGGGCAGCTCTTATCGAGATCCTAGCGTCATCTCGCGTCCCCAATACCAATGGCTTGGAACGAATTCTAGATCACATTTCAGCAAATCCATCCTTTGGCTCCCTCAGTGATCGACAGATTCTACAGCAGCATAGCATAACGAGGTCTTAGACATTCGGAAAGCAGAGAAAGACTAGCAAAGAGGCCTGGCTGGTTGCTCTACCATTGCCTGTCTGACGACAATCAAGTATTCGGGTTTGGAAACATCCGCGAGAGTGAAGACGAGAGCGAGCAAACGAGGGCCGAAGCAATACGATCATCGCTACCAGCTCAGCGAAAGCCTCGACAAGGCAAGCAACTCCAATACGGGGCCAAACGCGGGCCTTGGCTCTCGAAGCCTTCGGTATCCCAGTCAAAGAGGCCCCGAGGGCTCCTCGCGATGGCGCCGCAAGGACCTAAATCGATGACCGCCTCCAAGGGGCCACAGCCCGTCGAGGAAGCACGGCATCTTCCCGTCAAGGGCCCGCACCCTGGCTACATATCCATAGCCAACCAGTATACCTTCGAACAGAAGCTGCGGCGGATGCAAAAGGAGAACGGATGCGACCCGTCAAGAGAAGACAACTACCGGTTGCAAGGAGTGCAGCTCATTGACAACGTCAGAGAGTCGCTCCAGCTGTGAGTCGTCGATCGCGTCTCTCTCCCCAGGGTACAAATCGGTTTGCTAACCCCTGCCCAGTCCCGTCAGGACGTTTGACACCGCGTGTACCTACTACCACAAGTTCCGTCTCTGCTTCCGCGACGCCGAGTACAACTATCAAGATGCCGCCATGGCATCGCTGTTTGTCGCGTGCAAGGTCGAGGATACGATCAAGAAGTCCAAGGAGATCCTGTGCGCCGCGTACAACCTTAAGAACGCAGACCACCCGACGACACAGGACGACAAGATCTTCGAGCAGCCGTCCAAGATCATCATCGGCCTCGAGCGACTCATCCTCGAGACCATCGGCTTCGACTTCCGCGTCCGCTACCCCCAGAAACTGCTCACCAAGATGGTCCGCAAGAGAGTCCCCCCGGACGAGGCCAGAGAGTTCATCGGCGTGGCCTACCCCATGTGCATCGACATCTACAAGACCTTCTCGCCCATCAAGCAGTCGACCTTCACCATGGCCGTGAGCATCGTCGAGCTCACGGCGCGCCTGATGGGCAAGGACCCCGAGTTCTACAAGAGCGTCCGCCCGGAGCGGTACCACACGACCAGGGGCTGCGTCACCGAGACCGTGCTCGACCTGCTCGACCTCTACACACAGTTCCCCAAGTCCACCAGGATCGGTACGCGCTTCGACCTTGCCAAGTTTATCGACATTAAGATCAAGATCAACCAAGAAGTCGACGCCGACCGCGACCTGGCCCGGTTCCCCGGCTGGTGCGACCAGTGCGAGTCCGAAGACAGGGAGATGAGCTGGATCACGCCGGGATCCGCGACCTCGCCGGTCAACACGGGATCCATGCCCGGAAGCAACTCGGTCAAGAGGAATGCCAAGGGTCAGGAGGGCACGATGAGGTTTGTGTTTGACGCAGACGAGGCGCTGAAGGAGCAGGACGCCGTCGGAGAGTACTTTAGGGAGGATTACGAAGAGTACGAGGTGGAGATAGAGGAGGACATCCCGGAGGCTAAGAACCACAACAATCACGGCCACGGACATGGCCATGGCTCCAACCACGGGCACGGGGGCCCTCGACGGGACCGCGGCCATAACAACCGGGATCCGGGCTGGGCACCGTACAATCGGAATCGGAACCAGGATAGGAACCGCGGCGGAAGAAAGGGCGGTTATTATCAGTAGGCTGTCTCCCTTTTGTGTATCCCCGCCTGTGTTGTCGATAGAAGAGCTCAACTTGATACCCATTCTATCACAAACCCGATTCGTTCGCTGTGCGGTAAGGTGGACAAAGTTGGTCATGGCTTATTAGGACATAAGCGGCCAGGCCATTTCTCGATCGCAATCATCACCCGCCCAATTGAGAAAAACCCTGCAGGGCATTAGTCCAAATGAGATGCGGCTAGCCAAGGCGATGGGCTTCAAGAAAGCAGAGCTGAATCGTGGTGCCAAGGCGCCTCACGCCGCAGCATTTCCAGACTCGCGACATCACACCACTCACCACCAAAGTCTGCCCAAAACACCATCAAGCATTCTACCTGACCGAACCCATGACCTATGGGTGTATCCTGACTGAGGTACGATGATATAACACAAAACCACCTTGAAAACTCTCCTTAGCGACAAACACAACGGGCATCATCAAAAACCAAAACCCATAGCGGGAAAAACACAATGCCCTCAACAGCAACCACAACATCACCCCTCTCCATCATCCCCCACGCCCTCCTCCCTCCCCTCCTCTTCCTCCCCTTCTTCCTCCCGCCCTTCCCTGGGCGCAACGCCCTCTTCGCGGCCCTCGTGGCCGGCACGTCGGCCGCCTGCAACCTGAGCGCCTGGCCGCCGGCCGCGGGGCCGGACCGCGCCATGCGCTACGGCATGGCGGGCAGCTGGGTCTTCGTCCTGCCCGTGCTGGAGAAGCTCCTGCTGCACGCCTCCCCGGAGACCGAGTTCTACCGCCTGTCCGACGCCGCAGCAGCCGGAGGCGGTGAGGGCCAGGAGGAGGCGAGACCTCCCCCGCCGCCCAAGGACTGGACGTGGGACAAGGCGCGCTGGGCTGCCGGGCTGGCGTGCTCGCCGCGCGGGGTCGGCTGGAGCCACGGGCGCAAGCGGCCGGCGGTGGCGAGGAGGGGGGCTAGCGGCGGCGGCAAGTGGGCGTACGTCGCGCGGCAGGTCCTCGGCGCCGGGGCGGCGTACCTCGCCGTCGACGCGTGCGTGTTCCTGGCCCGGGGCGTGCCCATGCCGGCGGCCTGGTCGTGGGACCCCGCCGTGCTGGCGCGGGTCGCGTGCCTGGAGGTGCTGCTCGGCGTGACGGTGTACGCGACGTGGGCCGTGGGGATGTGCATCCCCTCGGCGATCGCAGTGGGCGCCGGGATCAGTCGCGTCGAGGTGAGGTCCATTGTCGGTCACCAGAGTGCTCGAAACACGACTGACCATCATGCCTTGCAGGACTGGCCGCCTCTCTTCGGGAACATCGCCGAGGCCACGACCGTCGGCGCCTTCTGGGGCCGGTACTGGCACGACCTCATCAAGCAGGTAAAGTCGACCTACCTACCTACCTACCTATCTTAATTCCATCCCAGGAATCCCAATGAGCTCTCCCGATCACTAACCCAAGTTTGCCACCACAAAAACCAGCCCTGCCTCAGCATAAGCCACCGCCTCAACGCTCTCCTGCGCATCCCCAATCGCACCCCGCCGGCCTACGCGGTGCACCTGCTCACGGCCTTCGCCGTCAGCGGCTGGTTCCACGTGCAGAGCGCCTCCGTCGTGGCCGAGGGCTACATCGCCGTGCCCGAGATCGCGCGGTGCATGGCCCTCTTCTTCGCGGGCCAGGCCGCCGTCGTCACGCTCGAGGCGGCCGCCATCAAGAGGCTGGCGAGCTCGGCCAAGGCGCCCGGGCCGGGCAGCCGGTGGGCGCGGGCGCTGGGCTACGCATGGACGGCGGGCTGGCTGATGTGGTCTGGGTGGTGGTTCGTCAAGGTGTACGACTCCATCGGGGTGCTGGAGTGGGAGATGCCCTTTCCGGTGGTGAGCAAGATAGCTGCACACTTTGGCTTCTGAACGTGGTGGTAGTTGGAAATCTCGGACTTGATGTGCCCCAAGAAGCACAAGGTACGAAATAAAGATATTGCTGCCATTGAGTCCCATAAAACCTGGCCTGCCTAGTGAAACCCTCCGTATGAGAGATATTGCATTACAACCTCCAATACGTCCAGCATTGGTCATCGCATGTTCAGATCAAACCCATCCATTCACTCTTCCACTGATCTACCCCCCCTCCTCATCCCTTCAAGCAATCCTCTTGGCCTCCTCCCTCTGCAGGATCTCCTGCAGCCTCCACAGCCCAAACATGCGCCAGCACACCATGTCGACGATCCACTCGCCGAGCCAGGACCCGAGCCAGACCGTGCTCGCCATGCCGCCGGCCCAGAACCAGTCCGGGCGGCCGAGCCACGCGCGCATCCAGCCGGGCCGCTCGGGCCTCAGCGCCGCGGCGACCAGCTTGCGCGCGTACGCCGACGTGGGCACGGTGGCGTTGTTCTGGCTCCAGGTCAGGCGGCGCTCGAACACGTCGCGCACGCGCTCGTACAGGCTGCCCTCGGGCAGGGTGCGGTGGAAGTGGCTCGCCGTCATGGACTTGACGGTGCCCGTCATGGCGACGAGGACGCGCACGCCGTAGGCGCGCAGCTCGATGCGCAGGCAGCGCGAGTACGAGGCCACGGCGCCCTTGGTCGCGCAGTAGACGGAGCCGAAGGCGTAGGGCGTGACGGCGGCCAGCGAGGCGATGTTGATGATGAGGCCCTTGGCCGGGATGAGCAGGGGCACAAAGGCCTGGCACATGGCCATGACGCCAAAGACGTTGGTCTCAAAGGTGGTGCGGACGTCGTCCAGGTCGATGTCTGTGGCCGGGTGCGTGTGGGTGCGGCCGCTGGGTGTTTGTTAATACAATTTTCCCCAAAATACGAGGCCTTTGAGAAGAAGAAAAGAGGACTCACGCGTTGTTGACGAGGATGTCGAGCCTGCCGCCCGTCAGCTCGGCGACCTCGGCCTTGCACTTGGCGATGCTCTCGGCCTTGGTGACGTCGAGCTCGAGGGCCGTCATGCCCTTGCTCGCGAGCTCCTCGACGACCTCGACCCTGCGGGCCGTGGCGATGACGTGCAGGCCTATCGATCCAGGGGCATGGTGCCGCACATTAGCTTCTCCTTCTTCTTCTTCTTTCCTCTCTCATCCTGTACTCATACCCCCACTCCGTGCATAAGTGAACCAAGTTCGGAGACAAAGAGACCCAAACTCACCCTTTTCATGGAACTCCACAGCCAAGGCATGGCCGATGCCTCCGGGCGTGCACCTATCGGATTTGGCGCGCCTGTCAGCATGATAACCCCAAAATAACGGTGAGACAGCCTTCGCCTGCACGCGCTACCCCGGGTCTGACGCCGTCATGTTCGGCTGCGGCTATTCGACCGCAAAGCCGCACGATCGATCCGTCATCGCCAGGGCGTGTGAGATTTTGACGCGCGCAAAATTTCCACAAGGCGGCTCCACTTACCCAGTGATGAGGACTGTCTTTTGGCCCGGTTGGGGTCCCATGGCGGGCGGCTGCGATCGAGAAGGTAGAAGGCCTCTGCGTGTGTGATTGGAGGATGCTAAGATGCGTGAGTTTGGACGTCGAATTGAAGATGTGAGAGCTCTTGATGAGAGACTTGTCGCCTGTCGAATCAATGTTTCCAGCTGCCTGATCCGTTTAGGGCAGTTCCGAGGCATCTCAGGAGGGGGCGGGTTCTGGGCTGTCCACCAACCCACGTGGCAGGTGCCACTGCAGGAGTCGCCACACCAGTAGGCGCTGCGAGATCTTCAGGCACAGAACATAAACGAGCCCGCAAGCAGGATGGAGTCACCGCTAACGTGTGGGTAGGAAGCGTCGCCTCCGGCTTGGCTTCGTCATGTAATCATTAATAGCGACAGTACAGTACAAGTAGCCATTCCAAGAGCCTTCCCCGATGCGCGGCTCAGATGGCAGATACATATTTCAGTCAATTGGCGTCTAACTACAATGCGCTCCTTGAGAAAACTGCATTTTCGAATGCCAAATAGGACATCGAATCTTCAACCCTCACCAATCCATCCTTCCTTCCTTCGCGGGGGTATCTCTAAACGTTGTTGTAAGTGAAAAGAATGCTGCAAACGTGCTGCATACTGCACGAGGCAAGGTGCCCGCTGGTCTCGTAGTAGGCGATCATCCAGGGAGGTCCATCCTGGCCGAGCTGACGGGCTGCATCGTCCAGCTCCCTGCCGGTGGGGAATACCTATCCAACTGAACACTTTCGACCTTGAACGTCTTTCAACTGAGTCACTGATCATCGTCACCACAATTCACCGAAGACCTCGGCACCAACATCTCCCGTCGCTCATAAGCACGGTGGCGGTAGTATCTCGTCGTCCGGGTTGACCTCAGGCTCCCAGAGCACCCTCGTGGGCTCCAAAGCCGGCGTGCCTGGCTCCGGCGTCTGCGCTGCCAGAACTGACGAGTCGAAGATATAGTAGTACCGCGACTCCCGGAATCGCACGACCGGCCCCGCCTCGGCGTTGTTTGGCGGCGACGTTCCGTCCGTGGTCGTAGACGTGCCCGCAGAGGGAGTCGCGTTGCCCGTCGTCGTAGACGACGACCCTCCCGCAGGGGTCGACCCGTTCCTGCTAGAATCCTCTCCTCCTCGCGCCTTCACCAAGCACTTGGTGAGATAGGCCAGGTACTCGAACTGGAAGCACATCGAAGCGCTCGGGTCGTTGGACTCTTCGTAAAAGTCGACGATATCGTTGAGCGAGATGGCGTTCATCGCCGGATCTTCCATGCCCCCGCTATTACCACGCAGCAGGTTTGCATATCGCCGGTACAACACCGCGATGCGCGGGTCGCGCTTGGCACCTCGGTCCTTGTCCCGGGCTGCGAACAGGTCGACGAGCGCCTGTACCGGAATCGACAGCGAGAGGTAGTGCGTCTCGGACTTGGCCATCGCGTTGAACCGGTCAAAGATGCGGCTCAGCGGGTGCTGCGCGCCGAGCTTGATGTGGCAGAGCTCCCGGATGTGCTTGCAGACCGCCGCGCCCAGCTCGCGCGACTGTGGCGTCAGACCGATCGTGTTACCCAGGAAATGGTAGAGCAGGGTCGGATCCTCGTCCACCACCAGCTGAGTCATCTGGTCCATGCACCTGCCCAAGAGCTGGAACCCTTCCGTATTCTTGCCGATGGCAATGCAGTGCCGCCCGAGCCGCATCGTCTGGCCCCACTTGCGCAACCTGTCTGTCGCCATCGCTCCCTGCCGCCCCGCGACCGTGCCGTCTGGCAGGTCTATCCATACGCCCTTTTCGAAGCATCCCTTGAAGTAGTCGCGCGCCAGGAGTGCGATCTCCTCGGGCAGTCGGTTCTCCATGGACCCAATGGGCGGCGGAGGGATGGAGAGTGCGACAGCCGGGTCTGGGGGCGGTGTCTTGCAGATGATGCCGGCGGCATTGCCAATCTCGAGGGTGTCGCCGGCCGTCTTGCGGAGGAGAGCCGGGTCGCGCTTGAGATACTGCTCAATCTTGCCCCAATCGACCTTGCGACCGCGGACCACAAACTCGGTGTCCTTGCCAAGAGCGGCGCGCTGTTGCTTCACCTTGAGCATGTAGCCAACCTCCTTGGCTTTCTGGTTCTTGTCGATGCCCCATTTCTTGATCCTCGTCTTGTACATGCGTTGGCTTTGGTTGCCCAAAGGCAATCGCTGTTAGCAAACCGAGACGTTTCGGTGGGGGTGACGCGCGTTTGCAGCCTCCATCTCCCGAGACAACATGTGGAATTGGTAATATTCCAAAGTGGCAACAGGGAAGGCTGCACCGCTTGTCAAGTCACTCACTTTGCAAAGAATTGGTGGTCTCGGGCCATGATGGAAATGACCTCGTCGAGATGGAGATCCTGGTCCCGGTACAGCTTGGTGATTGTGTCGCGGTGCTGCTCCCAGTCGCCCGCCTTGGCGTACTGCTGCTGTGAAGAGCTGGCATCGCTGTCGGGTGATGAAGTGCCCATGATCTACCTCCAAACACTTCCCAATTACCCGGTTCCAAAGCCAGAGGTGGTGGCGGCGCCTGACGGGACGAATGCCAGGACTGCTGCGCTTAATTTGTTTTCTGTGTCACCCGGATCTGTTATCGTATAAACGGAGAGTAGGCAGAAGGGACCCGGGGGCCTATGAACGCCTCGCTCATCATGCAGACGATGACGGGCAAGGCGTGTGTTGCACACACGGAATGCGAATGTATCCTGTGGCTGGCTTGACTCTTTGGGAAAGGGGGACGAGGCTCAGGGAGGAAGAAAGTAACCCAGGCAAGGGAGACAAGAAGGAGAGAAAATGGTGAGGATTAAAGGATGTGGACGAATACCCCGGCAGCAACCCAGAGTGAGAAGAAGAAGACAAGGCGGGCAGCTGTCAGCTCAGTCCATCAGTGAACAAGGAAAAATACTGATCCCCTCTGTCAGCTTCGGCACCGAAGCACATGCACGACACCGGGGGCGGCGACAGTGGGTAGGATAGAACCACCGTGAAAGTCCACAAGAATGGGAGATAATTGATGGCGTTGGAAAAACAGCAGGGGGTCCCCAAGGCGAAGCCGAGAGACTCCTGGACTTATTAGGGCGCCAAGGCCTAAAAAGACGGACAGAAGAAGTGGCGCTATAACGGGAGCAGGGCGACGGATAGTGGCTGAACTAATACCACCTCTTATGAAACGAGAAGTTAAAATCCGGCCGAGAGCAGGGTAGGTAGATGGGGTATCGAGGAGGAAGGGAAAAGAGAGAGGGAGAAAACCTATCAAAACCCCGCGACTCGACCGAACTACCGGTCGCGCCTAGGGTTGCCCAGGGTCTGGCAACCGACTTACGTATTGACATCTTGGACTAATGACTTGAGCAGACGAGGTCAGACGAAGCTTCCTAGTCTCGTTAGGTCGGCCGTCGATGAGAGAGAAGTAGACAAGAGCATCCAAGATGGCGTATGAAGGGAAAGTTTCGAGCCTTGAGGCGGTTTCCGGGAGATGGCGAACAGAGCTGGGTATGGATCTATTCGTAAATTGCATGGACCATTCCGACCAGTGCGGGTAGCTGTGGATCATGGCACGAAAGCCAAGATATCGACCGAACTGGACCATCCCATCCACGGTGGAGCGAAGATGCAGGCTGCTACCCTGGGTGCCGTAGCAGAGCGCTGGAGTCGTCGCCATCAGTGAGCCGATCAGCCAAGGGGGGCAGCATGGAGCATGTCAGGCAAGCGACCAACAAGCGACAGGGGAGTTGGGATTGGTGAGGGGAGGGTTCCCGGTTCACTTGGGGCGACAACCAAGGTGACACCAAGGGCAGATCCGGAGTGCGGCTGCCCGCCACTCCATCAGGCGCCACCATTGCCTGCCGGAGAGCAGGATCCCGGCTGGACTTGCAGACCCAGACGTCTTGGGCGCCGCCAGGGACGTGCATGTAGGCTGGTCATCCCACCATTCTCTAGCAAGAATGGGACAACTGGGCACGCCGGGTTGCTTTCTGGGACCCTCTTTCCATCAGTCATCGGAAGCTAGCATGTGGCCGTTACAACCTGGAGAGTTCTGGAGGGAGCCACAGAGAACCACAGAGGGGCCTGGGGCTGCCAATGGGGTGCCCCGGCGGCGCGGGAATGTGTGCTAACGACCTCTAGTCGGGCCTAAGAGCGCGTTAGCTGAGCATGATCCTGACAGGGCGACCAAGGCGCCGGGCTTGCGGTGTCGGCGTGGAGCGCGACCCGACCAGCTCAGATGGGGATTTGAAGTGCCGTACGATGGAGCTGGATACGACAACTGGCCCCATTGCGGTCTAGGGATGCGAAGCAGGCCAGGATATGGTGGTTGCGGTGGTCGTGGTATACGTGCGCCTTTTTTTTTTTCTTTTCTTTTACAATCAGAAGGAGGCGGACACAGAGAGACGAGCACCATGGAAGAGATCAGGTCACGGACAGATCCGGGGTTCTGTTCTGCAAATTCTGTGCTTTGATCCTTTCGGAAGTTCCGCCCACCAACAAGCAGGGACGATCCCCGGAGGTCCTTCCCTTTCTCTATCTTTTCTCTTTCTCTTTCCCTTCCCAAAAGGCAGCTTCTCCCTGCGCTGCACCTTCCATGCGAGGGATGAGATGGACTAGCAGGTCGAGGTCAAGTCGTTCGCAAGAAGCTAGAACCTCGATCCAAAACATAGTTCACGCGACTTCTCATCGCCCTCACAGCTGCCATTCCCAACATGACCAACTGTTTTCAGCCACACTTTTTTCAAGAATGCCGTGGCCTGCCGCCGCGCGTTCTCTTAGTGCTGACCCCCTTGCTGCATGCACAGACCAGTTCTGCGGAACAGGCCGGTCGTGGATCTCATATGAACGTCAATTCGTCAGATTGAATGATAGCGGTGGCGTTGGAGAGCTCTCCACCACAATCATGTTACGGAGTGGACTTGGAATAATGATAGAGCCATTCATCCATGCCTCTCATGAAGTCTAGAGGCCCAATGTGGGATTGTGTAATAGCTATCATTACAAAAGGTTTGATTATACTCGAGGCAGAGTATTTGGATCAAGGTCTGCCTGAGTACCCTATCACCTAGTTCCATTCTAGTCAGAACCTGAAGCGTGCCGCAAATTTTGGCTGGATGTGAGAGAGAGGTCTTGCAATACCGTAGATTTTCATGGGCATCTCTATCAATAAGCCGAAAAGATCGAAAACCTTTCGGCAAGGAGAGTTTCACCAAAGGTTGGGACAATCGCCGACGTTGCTTTCATGGCCTCTTATTAGCAACAATCACTCGTATGCTGCATGTATGTAGACTTTCATGCTGCATATGTACCGATGGTTCTCGTCATAGTCACTACAGGCCGGAGGGAGTTTGCTAGACAACAACTTGACGATAACAGATTAGCATTTCCTTAGTCTATGTTGTCATCTAGACTGCATTTCTGCATGGAGTTCATGTCTACAGCTCGAGCTCGAGCCTGGATAGGTGACTAAGGATTCCAGGCTTGAATACCAATGTTCTTACCAAATACCACTTCGTCAACGGATTAAATGCCACCACCGAAATATCGTAGACCAGCTCCCAGCACGATCTGTCCCCTCTTCTCTTCTTTTCCGCTCACCTTCTCTCTCCTCGCGGTTAAGGGAAAAAAGTCTTTCAGCCTCTACCAGCCGTGCGTACACAGGGACAGCCTTGGCAACCCCCCGAGCCGCTCGGTCAAGGCCGAAAGAGCAGAGAGCATCAAACTCTCTTCAACACCTATCCCGCAAATAAACGGGATAAGAGTGAAGAGTGGAGACCAAGGTCGGGCAGCCCCGCTCACAAAAGCATTCCAACGTAAAGGGAGTGGATCGAGACACAGGCAAGTGAGGGTCAGATTAGCTGACGGACTGCTAACAGAAGTACTTGTCTACCCATCAAGCCCATCGGATTTAGGTAGTGGGATAGCCCTTCCGGGTTCCAGGGCAAGGATGTGACAAGGATATTGATTGTTAAGATCGAGGTAGCTCCTGATGAACTTCCGTCAACTATTCAGTCACCTACTTGACAGGCAAGACAGGAGAGAATCTCGCCCGTCCAAATTGCACCTTATCAATCGCCGAGCATCTCCGCCCCCCACCGCGCACGAGTCGGCGCCCAATTCCTCCGACTCTCGACCTGCGCTGACAAAGACTTGCCGAGCGGTCTCCGCTTCTCATGGCATCAACACCACCTCCGTCCCCTGAGCCTCACGATGCTCCGCCAGATGATTAGGTGATGAAGCGAATCTCGCATCCACTCGGGTGCCTCGAGATACCCGTTATGTGTTTCAGTAGAAGAGGTGAGCCGGTATAAGAAGTCGTGACAATCGCAGGTAATGATCATTGTAATTCGAGAGAGCTTTGCCATTCTCGCACTCAACTCAATCGTTCGCATTCACATTTTGCAAGCCATCGGCATAAGTTATCATCAAAAATCCTGTAGCTTTTCTTCGTAAAATCACCACCCGGATCCCCAGAAAAGACATCATGGCCCCCCAGAAGCAGTCCCGCAAGATCACCATCGCCGGCACCGGCAACGTGGGCTCCCAGATCCTCAGCGCCCTGCTGGCGCAGGGTATCCACGAGGTCAGCGTCATCACCCGCACCGAGTCCAAGTCCACCTTCCCCGAGGGCGTGCACAAGGTCCACCGCGGCTCCTACGACGACGAGGCCTTCCTCGTCGCCGCCCTGCAGGGCCAGGACGTCCTCGTCACGCCCATCAGCTGGGCCGCCGTCGACACCCAGGTGGCCCTCTTCAAGGCGGCCGCCAAGGCCGGCGTCCCCTACGTGCTGCCCGACGAGTTTGGCTCGGACAATGACAACGAGAAGCTGCGCTCGCAGCTGGGCGCCCTCCTGGGGCCCAAGGACAAGTACCGCGCGCTGGTCGAGGAGCTCGGCGTCAGCGCCTGGATCGGCGTCATCACCAACCCCTGGATCGACTTCCTCGTGCCCATGTTCTGGCCCGGCAACTTCAAGGAGCGCACGGCCGTCCTCTACGGCGAGGGCGACACCAAGGCCAACTTCTCCACGCGCGCCGACGTCGGCAAGGGCGTCGCGGCGCTGCTGAGCCTGCCCGAGGCGGAGCTGGCCCAGTACAAGAACAAGTACGTCCACCTGAGCTCGTTCCACGTCACTCAGCGCGAGGTACTGGAGAGCGCGATGCGCGCTACGGGCACGAAGGAGGCCGACTGGACGATCGAGAAGGTGGACCTGGAGGAGCAGCTCAAAACCGCGTCGGGAGAGGCCAGGAAGGGCAACATGATGGCTGCCGTGACCGAGCTGATAGGAAACACATTTCGGCCGGGATACGGAGGGGACTACCAGCACAAGGTCGTCGACTATGACCACCTCGGCGTGCAGACGGAGAAGCTGGACGATGTTATGAAGCGTGTGCTTGCCTAGATTCAAACACCCTGGACTGTCGCATCCTGGGATTGCGAATTATCAACCTGGTTTTCCTCGAGATCCTTTGACTTGGTCGCTAATTCTTGAATACCGTGCATGAAATTGCCCCAGCGCAGCTGAGGATTATCGCGCGTGTCGTGACTCGGATGTTCATTCAAGTAGAGGAGTGCCTAAGCGGGGTTAGCCCTCAGCCCTGATAGGCAGAGGATCCACGAAGGGTTGATTTGGCATACCTCATCGGCCGTGGCCCTGCCGCTGTAGGTCACCAGCTTCGCGACTAGGCCACGGAAGTCTGGCTGCACATCTGGAAGCACGAATTCCCAAGGTTTGCCCTCGAAGACCTGATACATCTCAAATGGCGGCGTCTTGAATGTGGCAGCCTCGGGCCATGTCTCTAGAGTAGGCGTACCGATCGTCTTGAAGATGCTCAAAATCAGACCGAGCTGGTTGCCGTCCTCGTGAGCTCCTCGAGACTCGAATAACGGCTTCGGTGGGTTACGGCAGGCTTCGGCAAACATCGCGCCAGCACCCCACATATCCAGGGCGGTTCCATAGCTCTTGTTGCCAAAGAGCGCCTCGGGGGCGCGGTAGGGCCCAGTGCCGACATCGAGAATCTTATTGTCTGCCGGCTCGGTGTTCGCCGAGAGCAGTGGATGCCACGCAGTGCCGAAGTCCGAGAGATACGCTGGGCCGTCGGAGCTTTCAAGTAAAACTGCCGACGGCTTAATGTCCCTGTGGATGATGCCGTGGCCATGAATATATTTCAGCGCGGCGAAAATGTCGTTGAAGTAGCTTCGAACACGGGCCTCGGAGAGTGCTTCTCCTCGGTCGAGCACACTGGCAAGAGTCAGGGGCATGTATGGAAACACCAGGACGAGACGCTGCTCCTGGTCCCGAAATGTCTCGAGGAGTTGAATGATTGCTGGCCCGTCAAAGGTTGTAAGAATTGTAGCTTCTCGCCTGGGGTTGTGAGGCTCGATGGCATGCGTCTCGGTGATGACCTTGAGAGCGCGGGCTTCACATCTGTAGACCTCGGCAGTGACGCCACTGGCAACATAATGGCAGTCTTGATAGGAACCTATCCTGATGCCCGAGTCATCGCCCTCATTGGTAGAGAGGTCGAACCACTGCGATGCGCACGTTTCGCTCGGCCTTGAGGGTCTGGCCAAAGTGTGGATAGCGGCATCGTACTCTTCCTTGATGGAAGGGACAAGAACGAAAGTCAGTGAATGCTCAACAATACGGGATTCAGCTCTGAAGCACCGACTCACTCGTGATACAGAGTCGTTGTAAGCCTGGATTTCTAGCTGGAAAGGGCTCACATGGAAGCCATTTCCAAGGTCAGCCTGGCAATGCTGGCTTTCGTTCTCGTTAGTAATCACTGCCGAGGAAGGGCATTTCAACGATGGGAGCTGAACTGCTTACATCCTCTGGACATTTTCATATCTGTCGACCGCCGACAAGGACGCTTTCCAGTCGCCGGAAGGGGCCATAAGACAGCTTGGGACTTCCGAGGTTGGTCCCGAGCTATTTGTACTTGACAAGGATCATTTGTCCTCGAGAACACTTGCATTTCGAGGTGGTGGTGAAGGGGCGGCGTAAGATGGGTTTGATGGTACAAAGCTCGGGCCACTACTGGAATTTTGGGGAAAGCTTGGCAATCCTACAGGCCCTCTTTCGGTGGACAGGCCATGAATTTTAGCACTGCGTAGGGCTGTGTTTCAAGGAATACAGCGGGTGAACTTCCGCCATCTGTTGAAGTTCACAGCATCAACAGCACTGGCGGCTGCTTCTCTAGATCCATGGATGTCTCATTCACGGAGATGACTGCTTTTCACAGAACTTTGATCGAATGAGGTAATACGTGAAGATGAACAAGGGTAAATCTAGCTCTAAGCTTGGTATGATCATGCACGCTAGACATCACTTATGATCGAGTAATGTCCTTCCTGGACGGTGGGATGATTCAATGTGAGCCCAAAAAGGCGCATGAGCGACATCAAAAGCCAAAGGCAGCAGAGTGGAGCCCAGAAAGGCGGCCGTGGCGGCGTGGCGGCCAACCTCTCCCACTCCGAACTCCCCAGACTGGGAGCGAACCCACCTCCACTTCTTTGGATTTGTTTTTAGCTTTAGCTTGACTGTCGTTGCGTGTGCGTGCGTCGGTGCGCATTGAGGTTCTTCGGCCACAGCTGCTCCAGATCGACTCTCTTGACGCCCCGTCGCATTCGCTTCTTCACCACCACGGCGAGCATGCTCCCCTCTCCCTCCTCGCCCGCTGCTATGTTATTATAGACACGCCATCATCGTCATTTGCTCCTTAGTTGCATCGCGAGTCCGCATAGACATCCACCACAATGGACGACCTCTCGAGAGCCGAGTACCCGGCCATGCTGGTGAGCTCCCGTTCCGAGTCGGGACACTTGCGCAACGCTTCCCAGAGGCCCAGGCCCTGTCGGAAGCGCAGGTATCCTTCGTGCATACGTCAAGCAAACATTGACTGACCGCCATTCTCTCTCCGCAGGGCCATCTGCAGCCGCAGCAGGCGGTCACGACTTTCCAAGAGCGCGTAAAGCGGATCAATCGGATCAACCAAGAAATCGCTGAATGGCTCCAGGTACGCTGCGCCAACCCGATAGAGAACCCCGACAGGAAGGCCATGCAGATGCTGAAACTGGATACAGGAACGTCGCAAGGTCGAGGAGCAGTACGTGGCTGGGCTCAAGAGGCTGATGACCCATAGGGTCCCCAGCGCCACGACAGATCTTGGGTATGTCCACCACGAGGACTAGGACTGGTCGTCGCATCTGCTGACTCGGCTTCCTACGGAAAGCATCTTCCAAACCCCGTGGGCAAAGGTCCTAGCTTCCGTCAATGCTATTGCGATGTCGCACCACCTCTATGCGCAGCGCCTCGAATCCGACGTCGAGGCATCGTTGCGCAACTTCCACAACAAGAAGGAGATGCAGAACGCGAACAATATGGCCGGAAACCTGCAGGTGCTGGCCAAGGAGCTGGACGAGGCGCAAGCGAAGTCGGATAAGCTCACCAAGAAGGCTGGAAAGGCCAGTGCTGCCAAGGTCGATGCGGCAACTTCGCAGCTAGAGAGCGCAACGCAGCAATGGGAATCCCAGGCGCCGTTCATCTACGAGACTCTTCAAGCGCTCGACGAGCAGCGCATCAACCACCTGCGCGACCTCCTGACTCAGTTGGAGACCCACGAAGTCGACCAGGCAACCCGCACCCAAGCCGCAGCTGAAGATGCTCTCAACACGATGCTGGAGATCAGCACCGCGACCGAGATTCTCAGTTTCTCTACTCAAGTCACGAGTGGCCGACCCAAGATCGAGAAGCGAAGCACCACGCGCCAATCAAGTGTGGCAGGTGGTTCGACTCTGGCTCCTCCTAGCATCAGGAGCCATGACGACAATGCAAGCGAACACTCGGCTCGGAACGAGCCTCCTGCACCGGGTAGGTCTCCAAGTGGCTGATTGAAATTAGACTGCTACTTGTACGGGCTGGTTGCTGACCATTACATCGCAGAGAGCGGCAAACTTAGAAGCCGGATTGGAACGATGCTGGGTAGACGGAGACAGAGCGTCCATGGTGGATTCGGACCGCTGTCACCATCAAAGGGCTCCGGGCCTTTCGGGCGAAGCCTCGGCAGCAGCCATGGGAGATCGATCTCGCCCCGCGCCTCATCTCATAACCTCAGTGAAACCCATGGCAGGCTTTCGTCGCTCGCAGAGACCCCCGACTCGCCAAAGGGCACAAGTGCTGAGGAGGGTACACCGAAGGAATCCCAAGAGGGAACGAACGGGCATGCGCTTGGATCATCAAAAGACACTCCCCATCCTCGGACAGTTGTCAACGGAACAACCACTGCGGAGGATATCTTTGACGCGCCCCCGCCCGCCGGACCTCCACCGTCGCATCAGAAGATGGAGGGCTCGAGTGAACCTACCAAGGACGCCGAGGGCTTCACCGTGCCCGCCGCCTTCAATGACCCCATTTCTCAGGCCCAGAAAGAGGCGGCAGAGACAGGCGAGGAGCGGGATCAGCTGTTCAGCCTCAATATCAAGAATGAGCCCGTTGCTGAGGAAGATGCTGATGCCAAGAAGGCGGCTCTTTCCAATGTGGCCAACACTCTTTCCATGGCTATGCCGTCGAGGAAGACGGGAACGGTCCGTGGCCGCCGCGACGTCCGCAACACCATCTATGTGCCTTCAGTCCCTACGCCGGAGACGTCATCCGAGAGCCCATTCCCCATCCCTAGCCCGTCGCTGTCATCCTCGATCTCTAGGCCCCCTGCTGTTGCAGCTCTGCAGTCCGAGGCCAGCATTGCGGGTACTTCCGACACACAGTCTGTGCGGTCCGCGACCTCGCTGGGAAGCCTTGTACACCTAAAGCACCCAGACCTGCACAACCCAGGCCTGAGCTCGTCCATCATCGAGACTGTGTCTGCCACATTCAGCAGGGAGGGCTTGGTCAGCGCCAAGGTCTCAGGCGAGATCGCCTTTGCATATAACGCCACTGATGATACCCCGTCCAAAGGTACGCCTATCGCTCTGCTGATCTATCTTGTAATGATCTGCAATAATGCTGACTACACCACACCAGACCGTGAAACCATCCGTATAAACAACTTCCCCCGCCTCGAGGTTATTGGCCCGAACCGCATCTTTGTCCAGAACACCCCCGCGCCCGACGAGTTCGTCCTCGACGTGTCGCACCTGCAAAAGACGTCGATCGGCTTCAACTACCGCGTCCACGCCGACTCGGACACGGCCCTGGGCCGGCACTGCCCCATCGCCTTCTTCCCGACCTGGAAGCCCCAGGGCGACAAGCTGGGCCTGCTCCTGCAGTACCGCCTCGCCGACCCGTCCTCCTTCAGGCAGCCCGTGACGCTGCACAACGTCGCCTTCGTCGCGTTCTACGAGGGCGCGCGCGCGTCGGCCGTGCAGAGCAAGCCCTCGGGCACGCACCTGCGCGACAAGCAGCTCGTGTACTGGCGCATGCCCGAGCTCACGCTGACCGAGGACTGGGCCAAGATCGTGTGCCGCTTCGTGGCGCCCGTGGGCGAGCAGGCGCTGCCGGGCCGCGTCGAGGCCCGGTGGGAGTACGCCGTGCCCGCCGGCGAAGGTGCGGGCGTGGGTATCTCGGTGAGCAGGCTTGTCGAGAGCAAGGGCAAGGGGAAGGCCTCTGCTGCCGACGACGACGACGACCCCTTCGCCGACGAGAGCGCGACGCCGCGGACGGCGGAGGGCGGTGCCGGGTCGTGGGTCGAGGTGCCGCTCGTCAAGAAGCTGGTCAGTGGGCGGTATGAGGTGAAATAGAGTTGGGTTGCGGTGCCTTGAATCTGAGAAGCATTTCGTTTTGCTCTTTCCATTGTGTTCTCGTATATTAAGGTAGTCAATATACATTGCAGAGAGAAGGGCGGTGTAGAGAGACGAGATGGAGGGTGGAAGAAAGAAACTTGTCGGCATCGCAGTCTCCTTTTTTTCTTTCCTTTCTACTTCGCATGTCCCCCTTCTTCCGGGAGGGGCACGACTTTGTATATCCCCGGCTGAGAGAGAGAGAGGAAAGGCCGTTCAGGCAGGCAGACGACCGTGGTGGATGAGCGTTGAATCAAGATAGTCATTCTGCAGAGTTTCAGAATTAGCATTTACTGGAATACATCGACATTGAAGTAACCACCATGTTGTGTGCTGATGATGCATTCACGTTGCCATTGCATTACTGTGTTTCTCATGATATTCATCCCCACCCGATATGATAGGTACTCCAACCACCAGTACGTCCAAGCAAGATCTAGCGAAAAGATTTATGTACAAATATAAAGACAATAGGTCTCTTGGCCGCTCCCACGTGATCCCCAATGGACTAGACTAGACCTGCTGCGCCCTCGTGTGCTCCTCGTAGAACTCGAGCGTCAGCGCCGCCAGGAAGCCCGGGATGCAGCCCTTCTCGCGCACCCAGAAGCCGATCTGGTCGCTGATGCGCTGGGCGAACGGGCTCCGGGGCCCGCCGCTGACCTTCATGGTGCCGCGCTCGCCGTCAAAGACGATCGAGTTCTCGTGCTCGTCGGTGGCGCTCGGGTTGTAGATGCTCTCGACGCGCATCTTGCCGTTGGGGATGAAGGTGACGTGCCAGCCGAGCGTCGAGAAGACGGCCTCCTTGAACTCGCCCGACTTGGAGGCCCAGACCTCCTTGAGGCGACGGGCCGTCTTGTGCGCGCTCGCCGTCTCGGCCTTGGCGTCGGCGATCTCGCGCTGGGCGGCCGCGAGGACGGACATGGGGATCGTGGGGAAGGAGGACGAGTCCCTCTGGACGTGGGCGAGCAGCTGGGCGTTCTCCTCCTTGAGGGCGTTGAGGGTGGAGAGCTTGACGGCCTCAAAGTCCGAGGTCGGGTTGGAGCGCAGGGAGAGGATGCGCGTCTTGGCCGACTCCTTGGCCGCCGCGAGCTGCTCCTTGGCGACGGACAGCTCCGTCTCCAGCAGGCGGTGGGCCTTGTTCGTCTTGGTGACTTCGTCCTGCAGCTTGCGGAGCTTGCGTGTGAGCTGGCCCAGCTGCTCGTTCTCCTCGCCGTCGGGATGGGAGCGTTTCAGGCCGGCACCGACAGCAGGGCTCGAGCTGGAGGACTCTGCCGACGAAAGCTCGCTGTGGAGAGTCTGCACTTCGACCTTGTACTTGTCGACGAGATCTTCCAGCTCTTGGATACGTTCCGCCTTCTTCTGGTCGAAATTGTCCGGCTGGAAGGTGATGTCCTCGGCGTCGAAGGTCTTGAGCTGCGCCCGGAGGTATTCTACTTCCTTGACGGCCAAGGCACGCTGCCTCTCGAGGCGCATGCGTGCCTTGTCAGCACCTCCGACCGGCGTAGACCCGTTGCCACTATCACCGCCAGACGCTTTGAGCTTTTCGACCTGGGTTGCCAACGACTTCTTCTCATCCTCGAGCATCCTGAGCTGGCTGTCCTTCTGCGAGATCTCGGGCTCCAATGCACCTAGGCGCTCCGTAAGAGACGCCGAGTTCAGTCGCTCTTCAACGAGGGCCTTGGCCACTGCCTCGGGAGAGTCAAACTCGGCTTGCTCGCTGTCGCCGGCTACGCTTCGGAGATAGGCTGCCCAGGCGCGCTTCTCATCCTCAAGTCGCTGCCGTTGAAGACGCTCTTCCGCCAGCTCCTTCTCAAGGTCTTCCGCAGCAGCCAATTTCCGTTGCAATGTTCGCTTCTCTTCCTCGACGACTTCGGTGGCTTTGTGCACCTGCCGCAGGTGCTTGAGCTCTGCCAGCTGCTCTCGGTTCGTGGCTTCTAGGGCCCTGATATGATTGACTTGATCCGTGAGTTCGCGACGGATGACGTCCATGGTGGCTGCGTCGCCTGTCTGGGCCTTGAGGCGCAGAACGTCTGCTTCGAGGTTTCCGATGGTGGCGTCCTTTTCTGCAAGCTGTTCTTGGACCTTTTGTAATGCCGACCCTCTAGCTTGGCTCTCCTGCTCGACCTCTTGAACCGTTCGTTGTGCCGAGCTGACCTGCGCCTGGAGGTCGGCAATCTTGCGGTCGGTCATTCGCGCAGCATCTTCCTTGGCAGCGTTGAGGTCCTCCAGCTGCTCCTGCAACAGTCGCGCCTCGTCCTCGGCTTCGCGCACCTTCCTCTCCAGTTCTTTCTGCTTGGCGTCCCTGTCGCTTCTTAAGCTCTCGATCTCCTGCTGTAGCGCCTCGAGCTGCCTCTCGGCGGCGGCCTTATCGCCCTCGGCGGCCTGTTTCTTCTTGAAGTCCTCCTCCGCCCGCCTTCTGGCGTCGCGCACCTCGCTCTCCTGCTGCAGACGCGCCATCTCCTTCTCCTGCTCATAGTTGCTGATGGTGTACTTCAGGGTGCCGACCTCTGCTTTCAGCTCCTCTATGCGCCGCCGCTGGGTCTCGTACTCCTCGGCGTCTGGGGGCGCCATGTTTTCCTTGCTGCTCTCGCGGGACGTGGCTCTCTGCGACTGCGCGTACGGGTTTTCGTGGCCGGCGCCCTGGCGCGAGGACGGTCGCGCAGGCTGAGCCCCGGGCCCTTCGCCGGTGATAATATCGTAGCCGGATTGGGAGGTGCCGCGTAAGGATCTCATCTGGAGGTTGTGGAGATGCGCAGTCAGCAGCTTGCTCTGAGGAATCTTTGAGGTTTGATTTGATGGAAGACTTACCCTGCTCTCGCGTAGCGATGTCTGCGGGCGCGGCGCATTGCCGTTGAAACTGGCCCGCAACCTGCTGGCGCCGAGTGAGGTTCGCCTGGGACCGTTGTTCCCCGCGGAGCCTCCGTCGCCCTGGCCTTGGGGCGTATGCGCCCTCATTATGTCGGTCAACGATGCGGAGAAAACGCGTTTCCGTTTCAATTCCAGCCGCGAATGTTTGGTGGTTGCCCCAGGTGTTTTTGTAGCCTGGGTGGAGCCAAAGTCAACAATCACAGCGGGCGTTACAGAGGGGCCTCTCACGTGATGGACGATGGCTTCAGGGTACGAGGTCCGCTACAGTGGCCAAGCAGTGGTCCTGGAGATCCGAGTCGAGAAATGGAACCTCACGACCGTCTACGGGCGAATCGTGACTGGTCAAATTCCCAATCTTGATGGCAATCTTCCCGGTGATGAAAGGATCAAGAACCAAGGCTCAATTGCTTTCCATGCACCTCTTTCAACAACAAAGAAACAAGAATGACCCCGAGACAAGGCTTCTCGCACTGGCGGGGACAAAGGAACAGGCGTTTCGCCTTGTCGTCTCCTATTGATCACCCATTGACAAGATTCACCCTTCCACGCCCCATCCATTCATTGCCTTTGGTCCCAGTCATTGTCCGGCCCTGTGGCTATTCAGTCAAGCGGGCGTCAGAATACTTGACGGCAGTTCATCGGGAAGACATTCCATTGCTAACAATGCATGCCAAATGCGATTGGGTATGATGGATCGTCAAGTACTTCTGTTCTCAGCCCGTCAACTATTCTGACCATCACTTTTGCTTCCCTGTCACCAGGCGGAACCTACCCTCGCTTCTCGCTACCTTAGCCCAACAGCTTCCAGGCTGTCGATCAATCAGCAGGATCATGCTCTCCATTGCTGACTTGGGAGGGCTTAGCTTCCCCGTTATGACGCTGTTCGTTCCCCACAGGAACGCGCATACCTACGACCAGAATGTCGGCTCTTTGGCCAGCCAGGCACAGATGTGAGGGCCTCGGCCGCATCCGCATCCGCATCCGCATCGCCATTGGCTCCCTGGCGTGGCAGCGTGGCCCGCCGAGCAAGGGCGTCTGCCGGCCTGTGCTCGGCCACTGCTGTGATGTGATGGCTGCCAAGCTGGAGGGACCCTTTTAGCTCCGCCAAAGCTTCTTTCTGAGCTTCCAATCTTCTTCTGTCTTTTTCTCCAATCCCTCCTCACCTCGGACTCGGCACATGGAGATTTGCCCCAGCTGATCAGACTGCAGCTTGGCTGCCCCTTTTCAATCCCTCTTTGTCCCGACTCGACCACCGTCTCCAACACCCTTTCCATCGCTCTCTGCGCGAGTTCGCGCCCTTGTCCCCAGGATGCGGTCCACAATGGCTTCGCTCCGGCTGCTGGTAAGCTTGGGATTGCCCCCGGATAGCTTGGGACGTCATAACTGACAACGCCTTTCTATGCACCAGCAAGCCACCCCCATGCGCATCGCATCGCGCCGTGCCCAGCTCATAGCGACGCCCATCACCGCGACCTGCTCCCCGAGGCTTGCCGGCTACCAGTCACTCGGCTTCCGACGATCCTTCGCCGATGAGAAAAAGGGCGGGGCTCCCGAAAACGCGCACGAGAGCGCTGCCAAGGAACAGATCTCCGACGCATCGACCGACCAAGCCTCCAAGGCTGCCTCCTCTTCCTCTGCTGTAGCCTCCGAGGCTTCTTCGTCGCCCTCTTCGACTCCGAAGTCGTCCTCGTCCTCTTCCCTCTCGCCGAACGAAGACTGGGAAGAAAACCCAAACTTCAACATCGAGAAGTTCTCCGAGCTTCCTCACTCCAACTTCGGCGTGAACCAACACATGATCATTAATGATGAGTTCAAGGAGGCACTCCGACAGGTCCTCTGGCAGTTCCGAGCGCCGATTCGCTATGCGTTCGCATACGGTTCCGGTGTATTCCCCCAGAGCAAGAGTGAGGGCCGTGTTCCCACCGAGGCCGAGATAAAGGCGATTCACCCCAAGGCTCCGCTTAGTGTGCAGAGAGCTCAGGATGGCACCCCCAAGATGATCGATTTCATCTTCGGAGTCACCTTCACCCAGCACTGGCACAGTCTCAACCTCAATCAGCATCGCGATCATTACAGCGCGCTCGGCTCCCTCGGATCGGGTGCCGTGTCCTTCGTCCAGGATCGATGGGGCGCAGGCATGTACTTCAACACATACGTCGTCGTCAATGGCATTCTCATCAAATATGGCGTTGTCAACCTCGACACGCTCTGCAGAGATCTGAGCGAGTGGGACACCCTTTACCTGGCCGGTCGCCTGCATAAGCCCGTCAAGATTCTGCGCGACGACGCTCGTGTCAGGCTTGCGAACCAGATGAATCTACTATCGGCTCTGCGCACGGCATTGCTGATGCTCCCGCCCAACTTCACCGAGCAGGAGCTCTACAGCACGATCGCCGGCATCTCATACCTGGGCGACCCTCGCATGGCCTTCCCGACCGAGAATCCGCGCAAGGTGTCCAACATCGTCACCAACAACATGTCAAACTTCCGCCGCCTGTACGCGCCTCTGATCGAGACACTCCCCAATGTCGAGTTTGACGATCCCAACACCCGCACCCACGACTGGCTCACCAACCCAGAGGTCAACTTCAATCTGCGGCAGGACATGGATCCCGTCAAGCGGGGCAACATGGTTAGGCGCCTCCCCAAGGCCTTCCGCAGCCGTCTCTACTTCAAGTACCAGAGCAAGTTTGGCATTCCTCAGCTCGAGTTCAACAAGATGATGGACGAGTCCAAGAACGAGGACTCCACGAGCTTCAAGCGCCAGCAAGGTGGCGGCTTCGAGCGCCGCATCGCCCAGGACGAACCCGAGCAGCTCCGTACCTACGTCCGCCAGGTCATCAAGCAGACCATCAACTGGCCCAGCACGACACAGAGTCTCAAGGGCCTGCTCACGGCTGGGTTCAGGCGGACATTCCGCTACCTCGGCGAGAAGCTGGACAAGTATCGTGAGGGCAAGAAGCCCAAGGAAGAGCCGAAGAAGCCCGTCTCGGCTCCAAAGGGCGACAACGTCGAGGTCGAGGACAAATCCCCCTCTGCTGACGACAAGAAGGGCTCCAACTAAACCCTCGAGGGCTCTTTGTACAAAACTGGAACATTGGGAACGGAGTTTGAGTGGTCATATGACATTACAGAGTTGCTTTTGCATGGCACTACCATCATGAACAGAGGGGGCGGATACTTCAGCATTTGCAGCGATTGATTTTATTTTCTTCATTTATTTTATGTTGCATGCGTCTACAGGTGTCGAGCGCACCAGACGCTCGCTTCGCCACATTGATCCTACTGTCTGATCACCAGCTCTCCGCGCACTGCGGGCAAAGACTGAATACAAGAGACCACCGCGAGGTTGGCTCTCCGCGATGATTTTCTTTTGTCACTTGCGATGGCCGAGGAGAGAGATGGTTCCGACGGCCTTCTGAAGGTAAGTTCTGCAGCTGGAGACGAACTTCAGGGTTTCCGGGACTCGTTGCTTTACTCTGCGATGAATGAAAGCATGGCATATCCGAGACGGCGGTTGCATCGCGATGTGTTGTTGTAGCTGTATGATAGACTAGGGACGCATGAATGACGCGTCTCTCATCCTGATCAGAAAATGAAGAGCTATATCAAGACTTGGTAGAACTATTTGTGCTGGGATGAACCCGTGTGGCCTCCATATTGTGCAAAGCCTGCTCTAACGCGATTCTACCACGGGTCATCGGCCATATGCTTGAGGAACGAGCTTTTCTCCCCCTCCTCCGCCTCTCCCGACGCCTGCTCCTTCTCTCTGATCGGCATCGTAGTCTCGGATCCCTCGACCGCCTTCTCGTCTTTTCCTTGTCTGCCTTCCTTTGCCCCAGCGTCCTCTGCCACCGTGCCGGCTCTCTCCTCTGTCGAGATCCTCGCACCGGCAGAGCCCACGAGGTCATCGACCATCTTTTCCTTCATGTCCTCCACCACATCGATCCACCCCCTGTCCTCCAGCCGCGCCCGCACGGCATCCCAGTCCACGGGGCTCGCCGGCACGCTGCCCGCGTCGGCCTGCCACGACGCCGACCTGGCCGGCATCTCGGGCGCCCGGAGCGCCTCCCCGCCACCGCCGCCGCCACCGCCGCCCGTCCACTCCGCCAGCGTGATGGGCTCGTAGGCGGACCCTAGCCGCAGGCTGCGCTTGAGATTCCGAAACTCCTCGGTGCGCTCGACCTCTTCGCCGCCGCCGCCGCCGCCGGGAGCGGGGCGCACGATGCCGTACCTGTTGGCCCCGTAGTGCAGCTCGTAGGCGATGCCGCCGGAGAAGACGGGCGTCATGGCCGGCGAGTAGAGCGCCGTGGTCTCCTGGAAGATGCGGGGCGGGTCCGCTTCCTCGTCCTCCGGGCCGCCTTGGATGATCTTGCCGCCGTACTCGGAGAGGAACAGGGGGATGTGGGTGTTGGAGAAGAGCTTGACCTGTGCATGTGTACGCCCCCCCGGCGTTGGATCAGTATTAGGCTACGACGGTCAGGGGAGGGGGAGAGGGGTGTAGTGTGGGCGATGGTGAGTTGCGCGTACCATGCGTTTCCATCCTGAGATCTGCATGGATGCCTTGCCGATCCAGCTGTAGTCGTTGAACTGTTTACCCTGTCTGTCAGCTGGTACGATCAAAGAAGCTTTCCTGCAGGTCTGGTCTTCTCACGCAGAAGAAATCAACGGCCTCCTCTTCCGGCCCGGCAGACAGGAACTTGAAAGTAGGCATTCTCGTCATCATCTCGGCCGAGTGGCTGTACCCCACGGGGAGCACCCTCTGCCCCTCGCCCGACGCCTCGGACGCGGCCATGCGCATGTAGCACTTGACGTCGCGCACCACGGCCCGGATGGCGCCCGCGGCGCCGCTCGACTCCGGAGAGTTGATGACCTCGTGCCCGGCGAGGACGCCCAGGACGTTGGGGTAGGCCGAGAGGCTGTCGATGCCGGCGAAGAACCTGTCCATCAGGGCCGGGGTGTACGACTCGAGCGGCGCGGAGCGGTTGATGACGTTCCAGGGGTCGTGGAGGCACTGGTGTTGACGTCGGAGGTGAGTAACTGGTACGTTGTCAAGAGCGGCTGGGGGGGAGGGCTGGGGATCTTACAGTCAGGACGTGGATCCCGGCTTCTGCGAGGAGGGACATGGAGGCGTCATGGCTCTTGGCCGGGTCGTGGTGAACTAGGAGAGTAGGTCAACGAGGGACGTACATTTGTGGGGGGAGAAGTCAGATTCGGGACGGACACGTAAAGATGGTATTCAGCCCGAGTTCTTTGAACAGGTCGATATCCTTGCGCAAAGCCTCGATCCGGTCGTCCGCCAGAGGGTCTCTCCGGCGCTCTTCGCGACGATGCACCTGGTATACGATTCCCTTCACCAAGAACTAATTATTCACACACGGGTCAGCTATTATCTGGCGACTTCACGCCCAGGGCCAACGCACTCTGCTTTCGCCCTTCCATAGGTAACGGCCTTTGATCGTGACCGGTTCAAAGGATGATGACATGGTGACGAAATACTCTGGACACAGTGCTTCGATTTAAGATCAGTGAGCTTGCCTGATGCCAGGATAGAGAATAGCAGTTCTCGATGAAGCGTCAACAAGGTCGCTCGAAACTGCGGTGAGGAATGACGTCAAAATGTGGCCACTAACTGCGGATGCCTAGTATTTTCTGGGCACCTTTTCCAGACAGCAAACACCGCCCGTGTTCTCGATGAAAAGCGGGAAATTCCAAGACTCATGAGCAACATGAATGTAGTTACTATGTGTCACCTAAAAAGACATATCTCATTTGATACTTATTTGTGGCTGAACTTGGAAACACACCGTGCCTTTCTTACTAAAGTTCGGGGCATAATTATTGACTTTCGCGAACCTGTGGTGATCTTCTGATGCGGCTGGTCTTTTGCTTGAGTTTTGACAAGTAGAGTACTGAGCTAAGAAAGACTATGGTTCCGGATTACTAGAAAGTTATCAACAATCCCTTAGATCTAAAATCACTGGTCACAACCAGTCGAGCCCAAGGCCTTGTGTTGATCGCTCAGGCATGTTCCAAGCTTCATTTGCCAGACGCAGGAGGCGCACATCCTTCCTCATGCCACGGCCGGCAATCTGTGTGACACTCGGCTCCCTTCTCAGGCATCTTGCCAAATTCGAGATAATCTTTTATGATGTTGTTGGTGCACTCGCTCCAACCGCTTCCCAGCGCGCTGTGCCCAGCCGAATCTTGCACCACAAGCACGGATCCTGGATGTGCGGCTTCGACATTTCGAGCGTTCAGGATCGGGGTCAAGGGATCCAAATGGGAGCCTAGAAGAAGCAGAGGGGCAGCAGGAGCGCCATCCCTGAGGTCCGGATCGGCTGGGGGTGTGGTCCACGGGCCCGTGAACCTCCACTTGGCCGGGACCTTCCACCCTGAGCATGTCAGACGCATATTGGCCCACGTCGGGCCGAGAGTCACCGACTGGTCCGTCAGTTCGTCGACATACTTGCTGTAAAAGTCAACGCCGTGGCCCGTCGCGTCTGTTGCGTCGCTGCAAGAGATGGCGGCCTGGGCATCTTGTTGCTGAAGAATGACTGCGGTCTCTGAAGTCGAATTACCGGCTTCAGCAGCGCAGTCCTGACCGAGGCTGACACTGCCATACACTGACGCCACGAGACCAGTAAAGTTGCCCGCCATCGCCTCGGCGAGAAGCTGCGCTTGGGCGCGGTAGCTGTCGGAGGGTGCGATGACAGGGACGGAGAAGGTCTGCCGGATTTCATAGCCCGTGACGATGAATACGTGTCCGTGGAGAACCACAGGAATGGGGTTCCTTGTGGCATTCTCGATGAAGGCTTCTACACGATTCTTGATGTCTGCACTGCTCTGGTCATTGTTGGTCTTGAGGGCACACTCCTCTCCGGCCTCGAAACAAGAGTCGTAGAACAGCTGCACAACCTTTTCCGTGTCTAGCAAGTTACTGAGCCACCACTATGGCAGAATAATTAGCAAGGATCAACAATGAGATATGGCAGACCTTCACTAACCCCTTTCATGTAATCTGCTGGATCAGCAACGGCATCGAGGATCATACGTCCAACTCGGCCAGGGTACATGGATGCAAAGGTGTTGCCCAAAATGCTGCCATAAGACACTGCAAGACTCTGGAGTCGGGGTAATGGGCGGTCCTTGTCAGAGATGGTACCGTTGCATTGACTCTTGTGCCGCAATTCGTCGACGCGATCTACAATCTCCAGCATATCTCTGGCTACTGCTGCTGTCGACACATGTGCTAGAATGCCAGTGTCCCCGTTTGTCTCCTTGCAGACCTCGCCGTACGCTTGGTCAAGGGTATATCGTCGGCGTATTGCGTCCTCTCCACCGGCCAAGGAGCCGATGCCTTGTTGATTCAGGATCATGGCATCTCGGCCAAGGAAGGTGTCGAAGCACTCTACCGCTGGGGTCGTGTACTTTATGCCGCGGGGATCGAACGCGAGAATCTCATAGTGCTTGTCCCTGTCGGCAATTCCCTGGAACTTCGGACCAAAACCCAAGCCAAACTCCACTCCGGACGAGCCGGGACCGCCTGGGCTGATGATGATCGTACCGCCGAAGCTAGGGTCGTCTTCTGCAACGGTGGCTGACAGCGTGATGATGGCAATGGCTACACTTGCGTTTTTGTCCGGATCATTCCAGTCCATCGGCACTTGAAGCCGTGCACACTTGAAGCCATCATAACAAGGATGATAATGCAGATTAGAGGAGGGTTCGATAGCCGTCCAGTCAAAATCAACTGCAGCGGCAATTGCAGATACTGCGGCTGCGCAGACGAGCAGCACACCTCTCGCGATCCGGCTTGCCATCATGGCCATGAACTGAATGGATGCAAGTACTGCGAGCAGAGCCAAATTTACTTCCAGTAAAGGCACTGCACACTTTTAAAGCCAAGAGTCTCCCAACTTCAGCGACAACTTATTATTGCCATTTTGGGCGAGAATGGGGTTTCTTCGGTCGATCACTGAGCGGTGACATTTGGGGATGCCTCTTCCAGTAAGGATCCTCCCCTTCCCTAGAATACTACCGAGTTTCGTTTGGGGCACATGTATCGAGCCTTCGGATACAACCGAGTAACTAAATGGACTTGCTATCAGGCGTAATTCCTCATAGATCTAGCGCCTGTCCATGGCGTTTTTCGTCTATTACGTATGTCCAGGCAGGAGGAAGTCCGTCCTTTAGGTTTGAGATTGAAACCTGTTGCTTCCACCCTGAAGTCTGCCTGAGTGTGAGCGCAAAAGTCCTTGATACTTAGCTGCATCTGGTCGCTGTAAAGGGTATCATTTATCATTGGACTTCTATCGGACCGAAGCTTGGCGCGGGGAAGCTGTCAGCGTCAACCTGTGTGCGGGGGCGTGGATGGGCTGGCGTTACAAAGAGAAAGACAACACCGCAGTCCTGGACTCAATGGACTTGACTTCGAGGCGAAATGGCAAGTGCCGGCTCATTCGGCCTGAGTGCCGCATGGTCGACATTCTCGAACGCGCAGGAAAGCGCGGGAGTATACGGTTTATTCCGGGTTTGGAAGAGCCATGTCGGGTTGAGATCACTCACTGTAACCCTTTGCACTGACTGATGGGCCGTCGATCTGTACCCGGCAGGCTGAAGAGCAATCCTTCTCTCCGAGCAGGTCTTATTCATCGGAACGCCGACCTGCAATCTGCGACATGAGATATGTGGCCAGCCATCTCTGGTCACTGGAACCTCTTGGTTGAGGATGTATCAAGTGCTGGGGACCGGGGTTGCTGCGGCCAGCGATCAGACCTCTGATGTAGGACTGTGCTTCAGGGGCCCGCGCTTTCGCCCTCTGCACAACCACGGTGATCTTCACCGAGGCGTCTCAGGTTTGTATGCGACCGCAGTATTGCAGTGGTTCATTACTCGGATATCCGTGCGTCCAGCACTGTTCCGGCAAGAAGATGCTTTCTGACTCTTGGTGCTGCCGCAAATGCCACTGCGTCCTCTGAAGTCCACTGTCGGAGATGGCCCAGCAGTACCAAGGTCTGCGGCTCTCCTGTGAACCGCTGCAGGTGTCGCAGACGCAGGGTCCGGCTCAATTGCCCTTGCTCCTGTAACAGGACTGCACCCGAGATCTTCGATTTCTTTTCCGTGATTTCTAGATCCGCGAGACCTCAGCGCCCTCTGCGTCTCTTTTCTTCCTTCTGTCCGTCTATGGGTGATGTCAAAGTTGGTCTCTCTGCAGATGCGTTCACAGCTTCACCATGCGATGTATGTGCCTTTTGTACACGGTGTTTTGGGTACTAGGCGGTGCGATCGGCCATGTCATGGCAACACCTTCAACAGGATATGAGTCGGCGACGGCGGAAAGGTTGGAGGCGAGGAGAGATGGCCACGGGGCCCTCGTCCGGCGACAGAAACGGGATCCATGTCCGGGGCAGAACAGCACGACACTCGAGCTGGCATCAGGGCAGAAATTCCAGGTCTTCTGCGGCTCCGACATAACTGGGACACCACTCTTCCAGGCCATGAGGCCCGACTTGATGACCTGTGCCGACCTCTGCACGACAATCCATCCCAGGTGCGACGCAGCAACATTTTCAAGCGACACAGGACAGTGTGCTCTCAAGGCATTTCTGCCCACCAATGCCTCATCAGCAATGACACCGAGTAACTTCGATACGGTGATACCCATCCCCCGCGTGGCGAAGTCCAACTGCCCTTCTCTGAGGGGCAATCAAGTCGTCGAGGGCAGCGGGTTCCAGATGTTCTGCTCCATGGTCAGCAACGGCAACGATCTCGCGCAGGTATTCGCATCCGACTTCCAGACCTGCATGGGCCTATGCGTGGCGAACTCGCTGTGCAATGGAATCTCCTTTGATCCAGCGCAGACGCAGGGGCTCAGGAATTGTTACCTGAAGAAGTCACTCAATGTATCCGGTCTGATACAGCTCGACGGCGTGGACTCTGCCCTCGCCATCACCCGATCGGCAAATGCCGAAGCACAAGGGAAAGATGGCGACGACGACGATGACGATGGCAAGGATGGCAATCGTGGTGATGGTCGCACACGGCCAGGGCAAAACGACCGGGACGGCGTAGCGCCGACCGGTGTGAAAGCATACCAGTCGATTGACATGGACACGAAGCCTTGGATCATTGCTAGCGCGGCGGGCTCTAGTGCTGTGGTTGTCTTCATCGTGGTCATGGTCTGTCTGCGGAGTCGGGAACGTGGAGCGCGTCGGCAGCGCGGGAAGGTCCTGGATGAGGACTACTACGAGAAACCTCAACAACGACGGTCGATGTCTGGAGGCGCCAGCCAGTGACGGCAGCGCATGTAAGGAATATTAGGTTCACACACCTACGAGCGGAGAGTTTTGCATAGAAGGTTTGAGGCAAGATAGTGCAGGGTACACTTTGATAGGCGGCGTTCTCTGGTTCACATTAGTCCTGGGTTTTCATAAAGGTCTCATTTTGTATACCATGAGGATATGAAACCTCATAATCCAACTCGCTAAACAGCATTGTTAATCTCTTTTTCAGCCCACTACAGATACCTATCTGCATGTAATATCATGTCTCTCATTAAGTCCAATATCATTGACGAATGTTCGGCCTCAACACAGCTGGGCTAGTTCTACTGTCTTAAGAGTCTCGTTGCCTATAAAGAGCACAGATCAATGGGCATCGGTCCTCTGACTTCCTGTGAGATATTGACCACTTGACGAAGGCAAAAGCTGCCTAGATTTTAGAGACAGTCGCAATAGAAGCAGGGCGCACAGTCGATACACAAGGCGTCCCTTGAAGCCCAATTATGGGGATGATATCGGTATAAAGAAGGTGCACGCAGAAATGTGTCCAATGGAACCATCTGAGGTGCAACAAGCAACGGCAATACGGCATGCACTTGGGAAGGCCGCCAAGCGTATCCGTCAAAGATATACACGTAGTTTGTCGACGTCTGGCAATGGTTCTCCCTCACTGGCTGTCTTTGAACTTGCTGCATAGTTGTAAAGGATCAGGTCATCTTGGCCTGCATCAGGCTGTATGTATGTGTTGTGCCTAAGTTGTAGTGAAGCAGATCTGGTGCATGCACAATTCTGCATAAAGATGAGTTATGACATTCACATAGCTACATTATTAAGCTCTCAGGGCAAACAATCTCCCGCAGCCCTGACAAATGTTACAATTGGCTAGCACAGTGGGGTGATCAACGGTATTAGCTAAGGTCCATGCACATCAGAGGTGCATTAGATAATGCAGGGCCATCAAGGTTGAGTCCGGCGCAGGAGATAGCCTATTAGTGTGGCGTACCCACTTCTCGGCCACACCCCTATCCCGGCCATCTTAATCTCACAATAATTTCACTTTAAACTTCAATATCTCTTTATTAAAAAGTGATTTAAAATTAACTATAGCTATAAGTTAAATTCTAACTTAAAATAAAGAAAATATATAAGAAAAAAGTTGATATTTATTTAATACTTATATTAATTTTAAATAATAAAATATTAAGTAAGATTTTAAGTCTTTTAAAAATAAATCTTAAAATAATAGATTTTATAATTTTAAGAAATATTAAAATAAATAGTTATATTATAATAAAATAAAATAAAGTTTTAAAAAAATTATAAATATTTTAAATATTTTATAAAGTTAATTTTTAAAAATATATAAAAAATAATATTTCTTTTATTTATTAAAAAGTTTTTAAAGACTTTTAATAAATTATATTTATACTTTTTATAAAATCTAATAAAATATAAATTATTTATTTTATATTTTAAAGATTTATTTAATAATTTATAAAGTGTCATAAAACCAACCACCATTACTATAGTGCACCACCCTAGGCGGTTAAGAAGATAAGATAGACAGAAAACATATAGACCCTAGGATCACTATCTAAGCTAATAATCCCTTACTATAGATCACTACACTTTATAATAAGGACTTATAAAGAATCATTATAATTTAAAGTGATCTATAATCTATATATATAGATATATACCTACCCTTAGACACCTACTCTAGATAGCTCTTTAATATTTAAAGTATCTTATTTAATAAAGTACCTTTAAGTAAAGCTATCTTAACTATAATTAAGTCAACTATTATTACTTAGCAGTACCTATTACTTACTGCTTATATAAACCTATATATCTCTAGTCCTATAAAGTAGTCTTATCTCTTAAGATTAAGGATTATTATATATTAAATACTCTTATTTAGTTAGTAGACTATATCCTAAGTAATACTTATAGAAACTATATTAAGATCTTAATTTATTAATAATATACTCTTATTTATAATAAAATAAGCTAATATTAAAATCTAGTAACTCTCTACTTTAGTATAGATCTTATAGGTAGGAGGTATCTAGAGTATGAAGTATAAAGTTCTATTAATATATAGAGGAAGTAAGAAAGGTCTCTAAGAATTTCTTACTTAGTATAGAGGATATCTTATAAAGTATAAACCTAACTTCCTATATCTAAATAATTAGATACTCTTTATAATAACTTAACTTAAAGAAGAAGCTCTTATCTAATTTAAACCTATATAGAGGAACTACTTAGAATATCTAAAGAATAATAGAGATCTTAAGGCTTAAGCTATCTTTATAGGAGGCTTTATTATATTTAAAAAAGCTATTAAGATAGCTTTTAAAGATCTAGATAAGGAATAAATAGTAGAATGATAATTAATAGTACTTTAATAAATAGAATCTATATCTAGTTATACTATTAGGTTTAGATAAGTTTTAAGTTTCTTTAAATAGAAAGATAAACCTCTAATAGTTATATTTTATACTAAGCTTAAGATAGAAGTTAAGAATAAACTTATTAAAATAAACTGATCTAAGAAGTTTATATAATATATTATAATTATAGTCTAGATTAATAACTAACTTTATAAGTAATAAATAGAATATAAAAGATAGTAACTATAGGTATATCACCTAAGGACCTTTAACTAAGAAAGAAAAATAATATAAGTAAAAAGCACTATAGCCTAAAGATCTATATAGTATATAGGACCTATAGAACTTAATACTATAAAATAGAATAATAATAAGACCTATTATAACTATAGTAAGAAGGGACACTTTACCTATAACTACTAATAGAAAAAGTAAGAGAAAGTATTTAAGCCTATATAATAAGTAAGTATAGCTTAGAAGATTAACTATAATAGTAAGTACTAGATAATATATTATAATAATACTTATCTAATATATATCTAAGGTAAGAAGGCCTTAGAATGGTTTCTAAAAGCTATAGGATAGTTAAAGGTTGTTACTATAGGAAAAAGAGGGTTATCTAGGAAGAAACTACTTAGGCTAAAGAAATAAAATAATATCCTACTAAGAATAAATAGAATTAGGTTTAGAGATAACTTAGATAAAGGATCTAAATTTATATAGGATAAAGATATATACTTAATAGCTATAAAAGATAATAATAAGTAGATATAGGTATAGCTTAAAGAAAAAGAAGACTAGAGAGAAAACCTATTTACTTCTCTACTAGAAAGTGATAATAAGAAATATAGATAAATAATAACTACTTAATAATAACTAGCCTTAAGTAGAGAATAGATAGTTATTATACTTTTAGAAATAACTTCTTACTAAGTAGTAGTAGGAGGAAGAAGAGAGGTTATATAAGATTAAAAGGATTTATAATTATATTATAAGGATAACTAATATAATTAGATTTTATAGTCTACTTATATATTTAATAAGTATTTAAGGCATCTAATAAAGAAATTAAAGTATTAATTTATATCTAGATAATAGAAAGAATTCCTACTATATATATATTTAGAAGAAGATCTAGAGTATTAGAAGATTTTCTATTAAGATATAATAAAAAGATATACTGTTCTATAGATAAGACTTAACTATCTAGTTGACTATATACTTAGATAAAGAGCAATAATTAATTATATTATAGTAATATATAAAATTTACTAACTTAGAAAACTAGAGTTATAGTATTAATAATAGAAATTATAAGAAGAAGCTAGAAAAGAGTAAGTATACCTCTAATATAGTTAGATATAATAATAAATATAGAGGGTAAGAGAAAGCACCTCTATTATCCTAATACTTACTTAAGATAAGATACTAGAAGATAAATAAGTATAAGAAGATATAATATTAGTCTTAAAGGAATAAGTAAAAATAAGATAACTAGTATATATAGAGTATATAAGATAACTCTATAAAGAAGCTGCTAGTCAGTCTATATTAAAAAATAATAAGTATTATTATTAAAGAGCTAAATAAATAGTAAAAAGATAAAGGATCTAAGAGTAATCTTTAATCTATTGCTCTTTATAGTAAAAATATAGCTTAAAGGATATAAGACTATTATACTAATAGATAGTAGAGCTTAGAAAAATTTTATATTACTATAAATAATAAATAAACTTAATATACTATAGGCTTATAAGAAAGACTCTTATAAATTATATATAGTAGAAGGGAAACCAGTCTAGTATAATAGAGGAATTATTAATTAAGAGATATTATAAATCTCTATTATAATTAACTCTAAGGAAATACTAATCACTTTAGATATTATTAATATAGTAGAATATAATATAATATTAGAACTACTATAGCTATAGAAGTATAACCCTATTATTAATTGATTTACTAGCTAGTTAATCTAGATAATAAGATTTAATTAGAAATAATTAAAGAAGGACTTAGCCTCTACTACTTCTTAAAAATAGGATATATATAAGTTATAAACCTATAGAGTACTACTATACTTAAAGAAGGACATACCTAAAGAGATTATAATAATATTAAAAGAATACTATTAATATAGTAAACTATTCTAAAAGGAATTAGAAATAAAACTATTACTATACTTATACTATAATTATAAGATATCTCTTAAACTAGGGATATAGTTAAAATTTTAGAAAATCTATAAACTAAATAAACTATAGCTAAGTAAGTTAAAGAAGTATCTTAAGAAGAATCTTAGAAAGAGATATATTTAATTATTATAATTACTAATAGGATATCTAATCCTCTAAGTATCTAAGAAGAATAGTAAATAGAGGATATATAATAATTATTAATAACTTAATAATATTATAATTAAGAATAGATATCTATTATCTTTAATTATCAAACTCTATAATAGGTTATATAGAGCTAATTAGTTTACTATATTAGACCTACTAGATGCCTATAACCTTATATATATTAAGAAGGAAGATAAGTAGAAAACAGCCTTTTATATCTAACTAGAATATTATAAGTATCTTATAATATCTTTTAGCCTTATAAATATACCTATCTTATTCTAAAATATAATTAATAATATATTATAAAAACATCTAGATAACTTTATTATTATCTATCTTAATAATATCTTAATTTACTCTAGGATTCTAGAGTAATATCAGAAGTATGTCTATTAGATACTATAAGCTCTATAGGATATAAACCTATTAATTAATCTAAATAAGAGTTAGTTCTATATCTAGAAGGTAGTTTACCTTAGACACTTAATTAAACTAGAATAAGTCTAAATAGATCTAGTAAAACTAGAGGTAGTTAAGAACTAGTCTATATCTATAAATATTAAGAAAGTATAATCCTTTCTAGAATTTACTAATTACTACTAAAGATATCTAAAAGATTATAGAGAAGTGATAATCCCTCTAACTAATCTAATAAAAAAAGATACTAAGTTTAAATAGATATTAAAGTATTAAGCAGTCTTTAACTAAGTTAAAAGAGACATACTTAAGAAATTAGTTACTTAAATAGCTAACTTTAATTAACTATATAAGTTAGAAACTAATATATCTAATTATATCTTAAAGGGATAGCTTAGACAGTATAATAATAATAGAAAACTCTATCTAGTAGCCTATTTCTTAAAAAAGCTATATAGACTAGAACTTAACTATTAGATTTATAATAAGAAACTTATAGTAATTATTAAGTACTTTAAAGAATAGAGATTATATCTAAGTAGTATATAACATCCTATTATAATATTTACTAACTATAAAAACTTAATATACTTTATTATATTAAAGGAACTTAATAAGAGATAAATATAATAAGTAGAATTCCTCTTAGAATTTAACTTTAAGATTATATATTATAAAGAATCTAAAAATAATAAAGTAGATATACTTAACTAAAGGCTAGATTATAAATAGAAGGTATCTATAGAAATATAAGCCATCCTATAGATATAAAATAATAGAAGTATAGGAGGTGTTTCTTAATAGATTATACTTATTAAGCTTATTATACTAATAGATTAAGAAAAGGAAAAGGAAATCTACTAGTATTATAATAACAATCCTTATATTAAGAAGAGGCTACTAAAAGAATTACTGGTTATATATAATAGATGACTATACCTACCTTTAATCTTAAGAGAGAAATATATATAAGAAATATATAAGGCTAAGATTTATAGGCATAAAGGAATTATAAGAACTAAAGTAAGAGTCTAGAAGAGGTATAACTTCCTAGAGCTTAATAGGATAGTCAGAAAGATATAGAAAACTTATTATAAATATAATAGTAATAAGATATCTAGATATCTATCTTATAGAGAATTATAACTAATCCTAATACTAAAATAACCCTAGTACTTAGTAGTAATAGATTTTATTATTAAGCTACTAAAATCTAGAGACCTAACTATAAGAATAGAGTATAATAGTATTTTAATAATATCTAAAAGGCTTATTAAGTATATATACTTCCTATTGTTTAATAAATTATATATAGTAGAATAGCTTATATTTATATTCCTATAAATAGTAATAGCTAACTATAGGATACTATATAAAATTATTATAGATTAAGAACTAATATATATATTAAAATTCTATATATTCTTAATAGAATAATTTAAAGTTAATAAAAAACTATCTACAGCCTACTATCTATAAATAGATAGATAAATTAAATATTTAAATTAGGTATTAGAAGTATACTTATATAACTATATTAACTATAATTAAGATAATTAGATAGAACTGCTACTACTTATATAGTTTATATATAATAGTACTTCTACTAAAACTATAAAGATTTTACTATTCTTTACTAACTATAGCTAAAATCTAAAAATATACTGATAATTATAAGATAAGATTAATATAGAATCTATAATTATTAAGGCAGAATATCTTAAGAAACTATATATATCCTTAAAAGTAGAACTTAAATTTATTTAAAAATAAGTCTACTATTATTATAATAGGAAAAGAATAAAGAGACCATCCTTCTTAAAGAGAGATATAGTCTACCTACTATAAAAAAATATTACTATAAAATAATTTAGTGATAAATTAAACTATAAGAAACTAAGACCCTTTAAAATTAAATAGAGAATCTTAATATCTAACTACAAACTATTATTACTAAAGACAATATAAATTCATCTAATTTTTTATATTTCCCTACTAGAACCAGCCTCTCTAGAAGTATGACTATAAGAACCAGTAGAAGTAGAAGAAGAAGAAGAAGAATATAAAGTTAAATAAATACTTAAGTAGAGAATATTAGATAGGAAGTATCTAATTAAGTAGAAAGGCTATAATATTATAGAGAATATCTAGAAATCTATTAAGAATCTAATATATTATTAGTAGAAGCTTTAATAGTTCTATTAGTAAAGTCAGTACCTAAAAATAGTTAATAACTATCTAAACTAAAGACACTCTAATTAATAGAGAAGAGGTTGACCCTTAGAGAATAAGCATCCTTAATAATATATACATCCTTCTTCTCTAGCTTCTCTAGAGATTATATTCTATAGTAAAATAAGTCTGTCCTATAATCCTTTAAAAACTACTTCTATCTATATAGATAAGATAAGTAGTTTAGTATTATTTATAGCTAGATTTATAGTATAAATATTTCCTTCTTAATATTTAATTTCTCTTTTAAAACCTTTTACTACTTAGTTAGTATATAGGATATTAGAAGGAGGTTAGCTATAAAAGAAAAATCTAAGAAATATAGAAGTATCTATAAGAAGAAGTTATATTAATATTATTATAAGACTGACTATAATAAATATAATAGCTATATTAAGACTTACCCTCTATTATATAATATACTAGGTTATTCTTAAAGTAATAAGAATATAATATTACTTTAACCCTATAGATATCTATATATATATTAAGTATAACTTATTTAGAAGTTTTTAAAGATTTCTATTTCTTTATACAACCTAAGGATATATTATTAGAAGGATATTAGAAGAATTAAAGGAAGAGTTTAATACCTATAGTAGAAGTTTTAGTTCTAGGTAGATAGGTCTTAAGAATAACCTTAGGTTATTAGAATATCAATTTAAGAGGAGGATATTATATTATAAAACTAACTACTATTATTATAGTATATTACTCTAGGTAGTTAAGAAGATAAGATAGATAGAAAATATATAAACCCTAAGATTACTATCTAAGCTAGTAATTCCTTATTATAGATCATTATACTCTATAGTAAGAACTTATAAAGGATTACTATAATCTAAAGTGATCTATAATCTATATATACAGACATATACCTACCCTTAGACACCTATCTTAGATAGCTCTCTAGTATTTAAAGTATCTTATTTAATAAAGTACCTTTAAGTAAAGTTATCTTAGCTATGATTAAGTCAATCACTATTACTTAGCAATGTCTATTACTTACTGCTTATATAAACCTATATGCCTCTAGTCCTATAAAGTAGTCTTACCTCTTAGGATTAAGGATTGTTATATAAAGAATATAAATTTAAGATTTTAAAGTTTAATTTATAAATAATAATAAAAATCTTCTAATATAATTTTAAAGATTTTAAGTATATATAATAATATATTAATAAAAACTTAAATTTATAAAAAATAAACAATATTTTTAAATATCTTAAAAAAGTTTTTTAAGTTTTTTAATATTAATTTTTAACTTAATTATTAAATATTAAAAGAAAAATAAATATTTTAAATCTTTTTAAGAATTCTATAAAATATTTATTAAATTTAAATATAAAATTATAAAAAGACTAAAATTAAAAATCTTTAAATATTTAAATTTAATAATATTTTAAATATATACTTCTCTTATATATTCTTTATTGGATATATAATTAATATAAGAGTGAAATTCTTATAAAAATACTAGTTGTATATAAGAAGTTATATCTATTTAAAAAGTATGTCTTTACTAGAGAAAAGTGGCCGGGATGGGGGTGTGGCCGGGAAGTGGGTACGCCACACTAAGTAATGCGCAAGGGTCAAAGCTTCTGCACGGCAGTGTGCGTTTCTGATGACTTATGTGACAAATGGTGCGATGTCCTTCTGCGGGCTTAATTAAGCACTCCAAGACGGGCTCGCACCAACTCGGACGAAGCCTCATGTGTGAAGCAGACTATATAACGCCTCCCTCCACTCTTGACTTTGACTCTGCTATAACCATTGCAGCATCATTAACAATTTCTACAACACATTAGTCCTTCAATAAGAATATTCAAACCAATTCCCTGACTATCGCCCTTAGCAGCATCGACCAGACACCACACTCGCCTACAATGTCGACCTCCAAACTCTTCCAGCCTCTCAAGATCGGCGACATGACCTTGGCACACAGACTGGTGATGGCACCACTCACCAGGTACCGAGCCAACAAGAAGCATGTACCTCTCCCCTTGGTCAAGGAATACTACGGCCAAAGAGCCTCCACACCCGGTACACTCCTCATCACGGAAGCCACCTTTATCTCTCAACAAGCAGCTGGTGATGCCAATGTGCCCGGTATCTGGAACCAGGATCAGATCGCGGCCTGGAAGGAGGTCACGGAGACCGTCCATTCGAAAGGCAGCTACATCTTCCTGCAGCTCTGGGCGCTCGGTCGCGTCGCGCACCCCGACGTCGCCGAGGCCGAAGGTATCAAGATCAAGGCTCCCAGCCCCATCGCTCTTGAGGGTTCTGCGACTCCGGAGGAGATGACGACTGAGGATATCAAATCTTTTCTCGCCGACTACGCTCAGGCCGCACGGAATGCCATGGAGGCCGGGTTCGACGGCGTTGAGCTGCACGGTGCCAACGGGTATCTGATCGACCAGTTTATCCAGGACGTCTCGAACCAGCGCACCGACGAGTACGGCGGGAGCATCGAGAACCGGTCTCGTTTCCCCCTGCAGGTCCTCAAGACTCTGGCGGACACAATTGGCCCGAACCGCGTCGCCGTCCGCCTCTCGCCGTGGTCTGGGTTCCAGGGCATGCGCATGGCCGATCCTATTCCGCAATTCACGCATCTCATCAGCGAAGCTAGCAAGATGAAGCTCGCATACCTCCATGTAGTCGAGTCTCGCGTCATTGGCAACATGGACTGCGAGTCTACCGAGTCGAACCAGTTCGCCCTCGACGCGTGGGGAAACACTTCTCCAGTCCTGCTGGCCGGTGGGTTCAAGCCCGAGAGCGCCAAGAAGCTTGTGGACGAGGACCAAAAGAACGCAGAGGTCGCAGTCGTCTTTGGTCGGTACTTCCTTGCGAACCCGGATCTTGTATTCCGAGTGAGAAAGGGATTGGAGTTGAACAAATACAACCGGGACACGTTTTACAAAGCCGAAAGCCCGGTTGGGTATATCGACTACCCGTTCAGCAGAGAGTGGGAGGTGGCAAAGGCTTGAGAACTCTTACATTCTCGAGATAGACATATTTCTATAGATTCTGTTATCAGACAGCGTTATGAATTGATTTCTTCGACTTACCCACTCCTTGACTAGGACGCTCTAAAGTCCCACACTGGATGCAAGGTATGCGCAATTCCAGAGCAAGCTAAGTGCAATTCCATAGCAAGCTAGGTGCATTTCTAGAGCAAGATGACTCTTATAAGTGAGGACGTCCTTCCAATACTGTAGCCATATGTCCCTGTGACAGCCCAGCAGCATGTGCCCTCCAAGTTCCATCCAACTTCGGCGCAGCAGAGATCATGACATTGATAGACAACCCAGATCTTGCACTACCCAAAGGCTCCCTGATATTGGTAACGGGAGCCTCGGGCTACATTGCCAGCAACTTCATCATCGAAGCTCTTGATGCAGGCTACAAGATTCGCGGCACTGTGCGCTCAGCTTTCAAGGCCCAAAGAACAAAAGAAGTATTCGACTCGCCTAACTATGACGCATTGGTGGTCGCAGACATAGAGCAAGATGGCGCCTTTGACGACGCTGTCAAGGGAGTCGATGCCATTGTGCACATGGCCTCGCCCCTGACACTCAACCCGAATCCGAAGGAAGTCGTCTCCCCGGCTGTCAAGGGAGCCACGTCCATTCTCCAGTCCGCGATCAGAGAGCCCAGTGTCAAAAGATTCGTCCTTACGAGCTCAAGTACAGCGACGAGCCTGCCTAAGCCCGGAGTCAAGTTCAAGATCGATAAGAATACCTGGAACACGGAGGTCGAGGACTATGTCGATTTCCCGCCGCCATATCTGCCTGAGAACGCTACGAAGGTATATGCTGCGAGCAAGACCAAAGCGGAACAGGCAGTTTGGAAGTTCGTCAGGGAGGAGAGGCCCAGATTTGTGGTTAATTGTGTCAGTTGTGATACTGCTCTCTTCTCCAGACCAATTTCTAATGAAGGTGCTTAGGTGAACCCGGCATTCAATATGGGTCGTGTAGTCGACTCTCCCGGCGCAACAGGTCAGGTAATTATCGAGGCTTTCAAGGGAAACGTGGCCTGGGGGTTCCCTCCACAATATATGGTCAACGTGGTAGACTGTGCTAGACTGCATCTGGCTGCTCTTCTTGACGGCTCCGTCCAGAATGAGCGCATCCTGGCCTTTGGTACTCCGTTCAACTGGAACGATGTGTTGGATAATTTCCACCAGCTGTTCCCGGATCGCAAGTTTGTTGACAACCAGCAACAGGAGGTTGATCTTAGCGAAGTTGACAATGGGCTCGGGCAGGAGTTGCTGCGAAAGTGGTTTTGTCAAGACGGCTATACAGGACTCAAAGAGAGTCTCAGACAGAATGTCGCAAGTCTAGTTTAAAAGGCAATTGGAAATTAGAGACTCCATTAAATATTACAGATTAAAACAGTCCAATGTTCATGGTAATCTGAGACCCAATTATTTGGACGTCGGAATGGTGCTGTTGCTCAGTTCCTTGAAGTCCTCGAGATCCTTCTTGACCAGTTCGACCTCGTGCACGATCGCGCCGTAGGAATCAGATCCAAGCGGCAGACGGATAGGGATACGATCGCCTGAGGTCACCAACTTGTCGATAGCCTTGGCGATCAGACCGATGTCAGACCAGCCCGACGCGGTCCCCGAGCTCATCATGTACTGCTCCAAGAGCCGCGCCGGCGCATCCTTCAGGTAGGCCGGATGGCCCTGACAGACATCCATGCTGGAGCCAGTAAAGTTGGTGCTCACACCGCCAGGCTCGATGATACAGAAGTTGACTAGAAGGACGATTTGTCAGCATAAATGTGCCTCCAAATCAGCAGATTGAGAAAGGCACTCACTGTTCCACTCTGGCCGCACCTCCTTGGCGAATGCCTCCGTGAAGCCCTCGACGGCAAACTTGCCCGCGTGGTAGAAAGCACCGCCGGGCACGGCCAGGAACCCGCCCATGGAGGTGACGTTGAGGATGATGCCGCCCTGCCGGCCGCCGCTCTTGGGGTTCTCGTCGCGCATGACCCGCACGGCGTGCTTCGACACCCTGACCGTGCCCCAGAACAGCGTCTCGATCTGGCGGCGCTCCTGCTCCTCCGTCGCGGCCTCGGTGTCGCCCCACAGCGAGTAGCCGGCGTTGTTGATCACGACGTCGAGCCGGCCGAACCTGTCGACCGCCGCGGCGACGGCGGCGTCGACGGAGGACTGGGAGGTGACGTCGAGCGCGACCTTGAGGACGCGCGGGCCGTCGGCGATGGCGTCGAGGGCAGCCGTCTTGCGCGCGGTGGCGACGAGGCGGTAGGTCGGGTGGGCAGTGACGTACTTGGCGATGCCTTGGCCTATGCCTGAGGAGCAGCCGGTGACTAGAGTGCGTTAGTTTACGATTGAGAAAGCGTTCTGTGGAATGACTTACTGAACCAGACGGCATCAGAGGGCAGGTTGTAGCGTGTAGAGTTGGGGGTAAAGTCCATTGCGATTGATGGTGTTGACGATGCAGTAGACTGATGAGGTAAATTAAGGGGTTCGAAAGAAGAGTATTTAGACCAAGTAGATAGTATGTGGTAGTGTAGTGATGCTAGTAATTCTATGGTGATATTGAGACATTGATGATCATTTTGAAGGCGAGGGTTTCGCATTTTTATAGCGTGTGGACATAGGCAACACATATCACATCGGAATGCACGATCATGGAGATATGGAATCAGGCCGTTTAAGTCCCTCTCTTGACTCCGGTGATTGTCCATCTTACTTCCGGCACCAGCGGCCGCGGCGTCCGGCGCGCATGAGCGGATGAGGCCGCATTCACCGCGTCCCCCACTCTGAAAACGGCGGGCGGGGCTCCACAATGCGGCCGCTTCGGCCGCAAAGTCCGCACCCGCTGAAGCCCTCCTCCGGTTTCAAAGGCTGCATGTCGAAGCTCAATCACGATGCGATTTCATCTCGTCCACAATCTGCATCACATCCGCATATATCCTTGCACGATTCTGCAGACCCTTGAGGCTCCCCCAGTTCGCTCTGATGCTGCAGTAGAGCTGATACCAATTCGTGGAATGGTATGGTAGAGAGATGGGTTCCATGGCTTCCCTCTCTCGGGCGGTCTGGTGAATGAGGTCGTGATATGTGCTCGGCGGATCTTTGACCTCATTTGCGTCCCACGCGGGCAGCACCTCTGGGTAGTATTCCTTAATCACATTCCGCCGGAAATGATATTCGGCCTTGAACTCCTTTTCTGCTCTGGCCTCTTGGATCAGCTGCGCTGGGTTAAGATACGCCCATTTGGAAGGCTTTGCATGTTCGGACCACGCCTCGAAGAGACAAGGATAATCTCGCTTCAGCAGCTTGAACCACAGAGATATCGGCAGGTGCTCGAATGCACGCGACGAAAGACGCAGAGAAGCGATATCCTTGTTCGACAACAGCGGCAAAAGCAGGTATATGATGTCGGTGGGTAGTCTCAGAAAGGGATCGTGGGACGAACCGCGATACGGTGTTGGCTGTCGAAATCCGAAGGCGCTCTGCTGCGGATGGAATGCCTCGTCTCTGGATACCGCCTCCTCGCAGAGCTGCCTCAGACCGGGGACGAAGATGGGATTGCAAGCCAGGTACTCGCGACCGACATAGTGCTTCCAATCGCGGTCAATTCTACCTTCAATCGCATCTCTATGCCGGTCTACGAAGTCGTCTTCGGGGAAGGAAACGCCGCGGTGGGACATGCGCAGCCGGACCAAAGAGTCGACGTCGACGCGCCCGAAGACTCGAAGGCTCTCAATCTTGAACAGTTCGAAGCACGTTGGATGAAATGCGATGCCAAACTCGGCATCAAGCTCATCCTCCTGAAGAAATACAAGGCGTATCAGTAATTTGAAAGAAGTGAGACAGCCTGATTCAAACAAAACTGCTCACCTGAGGTAGGTCATAATAGTGGCTTGCGGTCACCTTCACAGCGCCATGCCGATTAGGAGTAAAGCGGAGTTCTGTCTCACGCCACACATGATTTGAAAGGCCAGTCAGGTGCCAGCGTGAGTGCCTCTCAAAGTCTTCATCGTCGTCTCGAGCTTCCCAATAGGGCTTCTTCGCAACGAGACACTGAATGGCGGTGCAGCCGCTCATCTCGAGTGCCGACACCCGGTCTCCATGGTATCCCGCTGCGTTGGTACAATCAGGCCCAGCAATATGCTCGTATTCCCACTGTCGAGCATACTTGATCCAGTGCTCGGGCCCCTCTGGGATCTCATCAGCCTTTGAGAGGGGCCAGAGCTGGCCGCTGGGTTCTGGGCCCCAGACTGAAAACGTCCAGGGCTTGTCATCGCCCAACGTCTCCTGTGGGGAATCATCGGCGTCCTGCATTTCCACATCTTGAGACGGAGAAGGCTCATCATCCTCGGCACTGCCTTCCGCGGCTGAATCATACTCCAGCGGATCGTCAACCACATCGCTCGAGTACTTATACGTGCTGTCATCTGAGTCCGAGTCGTAGACATTTTGGCTGTTGTACTCGTCCCGCCAGACATACTTGGTCGGACCTCGATACACCAAGCGACAGCCATCTTGCCGGCACTCGCCCCAAGACCCTCCAAGGCCGCCACACCAAGTAAGTTCCTGATTCTCGAAGTGTGTAGGCGGTCCCGAAGCAGAGTCCAATGGCTCATCTTTGGTCCTGATGCGGTTGATCTCAAAGGAGACGCCACAGATGAAACAAAAGAGCTCGTTCAAACCTAGTGAGTGGACTGTGAGGACCGGAAATAGATTGTGGCTGCAAAGTGGACTCACCCATTCTGAAAGAGGCAACCGAACGATTTGCGATGAGACTTATGGACGCCTATAAAGCTGTTATTTGATGCAATCCTACTAGCTACACGTATAATTCCACTGAAGGCTGTCATGCGAGCTTTATGGTTCTCAGTTTGACCTGGACCCCTGAAAGATGGTGGAGCATGGTTTAGGCAGTCTAGCATACTTCCTACATACAACCACACCATTGCCTGGATTCGGATCCCTCCGCCACTAGACTCTAGTCATCGCTCCACAGTCTCGGCAACCGACGAGTCTACCAGATCCTTGCCCATCATGATGAAGTACAAATCGTCCCTCAGCACCCCGCGCCAGTCCCCGTGGGCGTCGTACGGGAAGGGCGCGGTCTCGCCCGTGGGCCGGTACCCGCGCCGCCCGTACCAGGCGATCAGGTCCTCGCGCGTGCGCACGACGTCGAACTCCATCCGCGCGGCGCCCCACTCGCGGCGCGCGTACTCCTCGGCGTAGGTGAGCACCTGCTTGCCCAGCCCGGCCCCCTGCCGCGCGACGTCGACGGCGAGCAGGCCGAACCAGGCGCGCCCGTCCTCGAGCCGGCGCACGGAGCCGTGGGCCGCGATCCTGCCCTGCGGGTCGGTGCCGACGTAGACGACGCGCTCCGGGCTGGCGATGCTGGCCTTGAGGGCCGCGACGTCTGTAACGTCGATGCCGGCGTGGTCGGCCGAGAGGAAGACCTGGGTCGTCTTGTCGGCGCGGAAGGCCGTGTTGATGAGCTGCTCGAGGACCGCGGCGTCGTCCTCGGTCGCGAGGCGGAAGTTGAGGGCGGCCATGCTGCAGGGCGCTGTGAAGTTTGACAGTCTGTGCACGCAGTGTGATGCTGATTGATGGTAACAGAACCAATGTCAAGCAAGTCTTGCCGAGTCTCTTGAAGTATGCGGATGCTGTTTTGTAGCCTGCGATTACCTTGAAAGAATAGCCATCGCGTCCTCAATCCAATCCACGGCCAAGCAAGGACCGATCGATGTGAATGGAAGGGCGCGCTACTGGTCGAAATGTCAATCCTTGACAAGGGTTTGCTACGGCTACATGTAAGCAAAGCAAAGCATCGACGCCCTTCAACGACGTGACATGGCGTCCAGCTTCAGAATCTATCCACGCCCTTCTCGAGACGAATTGAGGTATTTCCTATCTTCAATATACCAATCCCTTATCCCCTTTCAGTAGGTGCGTCGCCAGATATTGGGACGTGACTTGCTCCAGTTGAGACTGACTGACCTGCCTCGAAAGTACACCCTAATGAGCTCGCAAAATGTGTGCGGCTTTGGCCATGACTTGTATTGCACCAAGGATATAAAAATATCTACATGAAATATTTGGTCCAACTCCTTATACCATGCACTAGGAAACAGTCCCAAGAGTCTGGCTTATCGCCATCAAGCAACCCCTAACGCCATCAAACACCGCAGGCCAAGAGTGCCTGCGACCCAAGTCTAGCCAACAGTCGCAGCAGGGTTGGCGGTGATGCCAAACAGGCGCAGGTTCAGGCACGCCACGATAGCCGCGCCCGTGGACGCCGGGTCGGCGAGACACGACTGGGCGCCGTTCTGGTTGAACAGCTGCAGCGCGTTGCTGCACAGCTGGACCTGCGCCGCGGCCGCGGTGCCGGCCGTCGCGCTCAGCACGTTGCACGGCTGCGGCAGCGTGGTGATGCACGGGCCGATCGCCTGGTTGAGGCAGTTGTACAGCGTCTGGCCGGCGTTGGCCGGCGCGAGGGCGCCGATCACGTTGTTGACGAGGCAGGTCGCCGTGTCGCCCACCGAGGCGAGCAGGCCCAGCTCGTTCTGGCAGAGCGGCACCTTGAGCCGCGCCGTCGTCACGTCGACGGTCGCGAGGGCCGCGCAGTCCGGCGGCAGCTGCGGGCACGCCTGGGTCGGCGTGTTGGTGCAGCCGGCCGGGGCCTGGGGCGTGGCGACGGGGAAGCCGTAGGCGTTCTGCAGGCAGTTGATGATGGCGAGGCCGTTGGTGTTGACGTTGGTGTTGAGGCAGAGCTGGACGGCCGGGCTGCCCGAGTACGGGCCCAGCGCGTCGGCGCAGGCCGCGACGTCGGCGTTGAGCGCGGACCCCGCCGAGACGTCTGCGTTGAGGTTCAGGCAGCGCTGCGGGAGGTTGGTGATGCAGGGCGTGCCGACGAGGGCGTTGTTGAGGCAGCTGACGATGGAAGGGCCGGTCAGGCTGGGCACGAGGCAGTTCAGGACGTTGCCGACGGCGGCGCCGCCAAGGGCGACTGTGCAGGCGGCGATGTCCACGACAGTAGGAACCAGAGGGCTGTTTCCAAGGTTGCGGCACGCGGGGGGGAGGGCGACGGTGCAGTACGGAGCTCCGCTGGGAGTCGTGGGAACGCAGGATCCTCCGTTTCCACCACCCGTTCCGCCATTACCTCCGCCTGTCCCCCCGCCGCCTGTGCCCCCGCCGCTTGTCCCCCCGCCGCCTGTCCCCCCGCCGCCTGTCCCCCCGCTGCCTGTCCCTCCGCCGCCTGTCCCCCCGCCGCCTGTCCCCCCGGTATTGCCTCCTGTTCCTCCCGTGCCGCCTCCAGCTCCTGTGCCTCCATTACCGCCTCCGGTTCCGCCAGTACCAGTGCCACCTCCTGTGCCACCCGCCCCTGCGCCGTTGCCCCCACCGCCAGCACCACCTGCCGGAGCCGTTCTGATGGGCGTCTCGACAACGACAGTGCCCTGTGTGCCACCAGCTTGAGGCTGAAGCGTGATTGTCTCAGTAGCTGCACCGTCGTACCCGCGCGTGATCGTCGTGTATGGCCCGGTAAATCTTTGGGCACCAGGAGTTTGCACGACAACGGTGCCAATGATCTCATTGCCTGTGGGCAAGATGGTATACTGCGTCGGCTGGGACCCTGGCGGTCCCTGCACCGTGATTGTGCGGAATAGCCTGCGGAGTGCGGGCGGCGGCGTCGCCACGATGACTAGCCCTTGCGTGTTTGTCCCTGACGGGAAGATTGTCACCGAGGTCGGGGCCGAGCCGGCGGGGCCTTCCTCCGTGATTGTCTCAAAGGTGAGGCCGTTGGTCTGCGCAGGGCCGTTGATAGCGCCTGGTGTGACCACGATGATGGTGCCGGGGCTAGTACCCGTCGGATCGATCGTGAAAGTGGTCGTGGTGGCATAGATGCCGCCCGGGACTGTCGTGGTTAGGAAGCCGTTGCGGTTGTTAGTGCGCCCATCGCCGCCTCCGTTGCCGTTTGCACCGCCAGCTCCATTGCTGCCGACCGTTCTGCAGAGGAAGACAAAGTCAGAAGAAGTACACAGGGGCAAAGTGATGTTGCACGCCTACGAGGTCTGTAGTGATTGCAAAGTCTCTGTAGACGTGAGCTGGGTATTGATGAAACGCGGCGCATCAGTGACAGTGAATGTCATGCCGTTTGGTTACGTCAGAACCCCGTTTTCGGGTACAAATCCGAGAAGAGCCAAGCCATGCAGATTCAGAGTCTCTACTGGCTGCACGTCGACTTCGGTGATGCCGTTAGGGCAATCTTGAGCCTCTCCCAACAGTGGGTGTAGACCCAGGGCCAAAGTGACCCTGAGTAGGCTGGAGGAACGCATGTCGAAGCGAGTGACGACTATGCGTTAGTAAGGAATTTCAAAGGAATGACAGCAAAAGGCAAGCCTTTTGTGAAAGAGCGTGGTGTTGGATAAAGCGTGTCTGGCCTGGAAAGGACCTGATCACGCTCCATGCGAGGCCACTTATAGCTGACTGCCGGCTCGAGGGTGTATTGTTCAAACTGGCAATTCTCCATACCAGTGATATATTATAAGCACTGGTATGAAAAATAAACATGGTCTCACCAATACTAGGTATGCCTTGCCGCCCAAGATCGGCAAGTACCGCCGCTGGTGCCCAGACCACTCGCCAAGGGCTGGGATATGACGGTCACCCATGGATACGATGATATTCCGCCCCTTGGAAAGGGCAATCGCAGGTGGCATATGATGCTTCAGTGTGTAATCTACTTCATACATGGGTGGCTAAGTCTGTTACGAACAAGATTCCATGTCGAGATTAGTGTCTCGAATCCATGTGCCGGCCGTTAGCGCTGCCTCCTTTCAGAACAAGCGTCGAAATTGGCACGAGGAGAACAGTCCCCAGACCAGTCAGACAACCCCAGTGAGGTGACGACGAGAGGAATGTACAGAATTGCCAACCGGTGGTGTTAGTGCACGCTAACTATCGCTGGAGCACTTGCACCTCACTTGCCAGAAACGGAAGAGGTTAGCCAGCTCAGAGACTGCTGTTGATCTTCTCGGTTTACGGGAAAGAGGTTTGGCTCCCAGGTTGGAAATCAATACCTGCCAAGACCGACTAAACCTACCTTCGAGATTGTAGGCAAGACCTTGATCAAAGCGGCCGATTCAAAACACCGGAATATGCCACACATTGCTTGTCTTTGGAATGGTTGACACGGCCGGCAAATTGGTGCAAGAAAGCTAAGCCGTCATGCAAAGGACAGGGGTACTCGTCACACCAGTCTGTCAGTTGTCACTAGGTATCAGTTGTCACGCCTCTGGAGCGTCATTTTACATGCCTTGTGAATGATCCCGCGTGCCTGCCGGTCACTCGTCAGAGTCTACCTGGCAATGGACCTCCCTACACCACCGTCTATCCCATTGTTGTGGAGACCTTCGGCCCCAACGGCGTGGAGGACCACACCTACCTCGTCACCCAAGTATGTCCGACTTGGCCCTGCATGCCCGCCACGGGTTTGCCCCCGGGCTTCTCTGCCTCTGTCGCTACATGCACTGCCTGCGGCCCTTCGCCCGTCACGGCCACTCTTACCGTTCCCTGTGAGGGCACTCCAGCTGTCTCCATCACGACTTACGAGCGCGTCTACGACTACTTCTGCGAGACTGGCCTTGGCCCGAGCACCTATGTCGTCACGCAGACCTGCCCGAACCAAGGGCCTTGCTCCGTCCCTGCGTCCACTATCGTCCCGCCCAACTTTACTGCTGTCCAGTCGGTTTGCAATGCTGGCTGCGGTCCAACCCCCATCACTGCTACGCTCACGGTCCCTATAACGCCGGTGGCAGTCGCGACGGGTACCGGTATTTGCCCTGGGTGCGCTGCTCCTACAGCCACGTCCCCCGTCATGGCCGGTGCGCCAAAGTCTCAGCAAAACTCGAACCTCGTTGGTCTGGTCGCTGGCCTACTGAGCCTCCCTCTTCTGGTTGCCGGCCTGCTGTGAGCAGACATCGGAGGTATCAGTGTTGCCAGAAACAAAGGTCTCCGTCAGAAGATGGAGAGTGTTTCTGGGTGTGTGTGGAGGATACTCGGAGAATGTTCTGGGCCAGCTAGATACTTGCACATAGTGTACAACTAACTTTAGACTTCTTGTCAATACTACTAGCCATTCGGCCTCTTCCACTTGAGACCTTGCACCACACTTCCTTCCCACTTGCTTCTGAGTGTGCTCCCACACTTCCATGATGGTGCCCTACACAGCCTGTTAGTGGCAGGCTAATCCGCTCGTTTGCCAACCTTTAACGGTGCTTGCAGTCATAATGGGGCGACACATCCGGGCTTGGAATGTTGCAACGCCTGCTAAGGAGCAATTGCCCCGTCCTAAGGAGATCAAGCGTTTTTGACAGCGTGACACCAGTTTGGGAAAGTCATACTCGCCCGAACGGTTTGCCCACATTCCAGAGAGCCAAACTCCGCCATCCACTAAACCTGTTCAACTCGGGGTGAACCTGACTAGCGGCAAGAACCGAGACTGTATTGGGAAACCGAATTCCACATGGCATTGCTCGCTCTGGAACAATGTCTCGTGGCAGAAACGTTTAGCAGATCGTTTACCAACTTTGTCCTGGCCCACAACTTGTAGCCTCGATCGATGGAGCGCAGATGTGCAGCGATCTTGGTTTACGGCGGAAACCATCGACCTGAACTTTGTGATAGCCTATTTCCATCTGCCCACAGAGCTCAGATGTAAAACATTACATGGAAGATGCGATTGGTTGGCGATTGTTTATGCTTCTTGATTATGGTTATCCCCCTGACTCCACAGCACAGGGCCTCCCAGTCCTCAGATTGGATATATTGATGTCGTTCATTTCAGCGTGAAATTATTGCTAAGCCGAGGAGAGGCCTTCAGATTCCAATATTATGTATAACTCTTTTTGCCAGTTCCCTGTTTTCCTTGTTGTACGACCCACTGGAATAACATCGTATGGACTTCTGTTGGTATGGAGGTGCTTTTCCTAAAGTCAACCGAGAGACAGTCGTTAATTTACTGATTTAATTTTGCAAGTGGATCAGATGATTGCCATACACCTTGGGAAGACCTGCTCCGTATGTTCTTCCCGAGCCCAACCTAAGGCCACCATCTAGTCAGATTGGTCAAACTGTACTTCACTGCTTTGGCCTGTGTGCATGCCATGCTTCCAGAAGATTTATTCAGGCCACTCTGACGAGACTTGCTGTAGACCCCATAGCAGGAAATAGCCCAACATAATCAGTTCTGGCGGGACAAGTGTTGAGAAACAAATTCACCGACATGATGAGCCCCTGGTCTGCAACAAGCCTGGGAAACTAAGTCGACAGAAAAAAAGAAAAGGCTACATGAAACATCTCGCCTAGTGCCCAGTCACTTGAGCCGGATTTATGTAGCGCGTTCCACAGAGGCGGCACGTAGACCGTTAGGCATTCACAGAAACAAACTACGTCGATGGCTTCATGCACTGAAACAGTTCGTCTCACTTCTTTTCCCAGCCCATCGCGGAACTCAGACACAACGGGTCAAGCGATATAAAATTACTAACGATACTACTAGCTTGGTCATCTATCGCTTGCTCCGCGTGCCTTTCGACAGCGGCTCAGGTGGCGAGATGATACGTCTCAATCTTTTAGCTCTCTGTCACCCTATGTTCTTGTAGTGGGCCACTGCAGATGTGGGAGTTTCGCTCCTTAGTGGAAGGACAGGGGTTACGCGTTTTGGACATGCCAGCTAGTGCATGAACATGGCAGACTTCGGGGAACGTGAGATTGACGGAGGGAAGGGCAGGTGACGCATGGAGAAAGGGAGGGGAGGGAAAGGCAGGAGATGGCGATCAGCTATGCGAACATATCGTCTGTCGTCGCACCGACCCGCTCTTCCGTCTTGGCCTCGCAGGCCATTTCGACTAGGTCGGTAGTGATATGACGGTTCGGTGGTCCCGCAAGGGAGTTGCGAGTAGTGGTTCCTTTGCTTCCCTGAATCTGTCGAAAGATACGTCTCCTTGGGCAAGCTGACCCTGAGCTCGAGACATGTTGGTGAGCGACGGAAGCCGGCCCAACATGCAACTGAGTTGGGTTCATGCCTTCCCTTGCCACCATTAGGCCGAGTAGATTGAGCAGATCTTGGGCGGACCACCGCCTCCAACGCGTTTCTTACCAGCGCTCGGAGCGGCCCGTCAGCGCGGCCGGGCTTTATGCAGCACCCGGCGTTGAGGTCTCGCGACCGGAGCAGGCCGGCCGCTAGCTAACTCTTCCTTGTCGACGGTCAACGGTGAAGGAAGGCCCAGAATGCCTGGAACAAGGAGAATGGGCATGAGCCATAGAAGGCTGGCTCGCCTCCTAGGCGAGCCAGGCATTCAACATGACTAGCGGAGACATCATTCCGTATGAGTCAACCGCTGCCTCCGAAGAGAAAGCACCCATTTGCATTGAGACGCCTCGCCTTTGGTGATCCAGAATCCGCGCTCCTTGACAATTGTTCGATTGGGCGGAGGGAGTTTATCGGCCGAGAGCTGGCGTTGACAGTGTCATGGTCTATTCCCTTACAACGTGCCATTCGGTACCGGAATGGGATAAGCGGAGGCGCATCTGCCTGCGGAGGCGCATCTGCGGATGCATATCGGATGACAAGATATGAGGAGCTGCAACTCGGAAGGATGGAGGCGCACGCATGAGGCCGACCGCGTGTTCAAAGCTCTGGAGGGGAGCCGAGTCCAAGAAGGGGCGTAGAGGATAGAATAGCAGAATACTTCTGCAGGTCCTCGCCACCCTCACGGGCCAGCCTAGCTGCCATACTTGGGTGGCGGCTCCGCGACCACGACGTCCAGAGCCGCTTCGAGATACTGTATCTCCCGCCGTGTCGACAACGATAAGCCCACAGTCACCTCCACGGCGTACCCCCTCTCGATGAAGCACGACCGAAAGCTCGGCAACAAACCCGCCAGACACTCCCCCCACCCCCAGATCCCGCAATCCCCAACCTCGACCTCGTCTCCGTCCCCCTCCGTGTTCAGCGCGCGACAGCCGCTCATGCTCCACAGCGCCTGATACGTCACGTCCACGTGCGCAGACACCTCGCCGCGCACCAGCGTGCGCTCGCGGAGTCGAGCCGTGATGCTGCGCAACTGTACGCCGGCCCCGCTGAGCCCGGGCGACGTGCGCAGGCAGATGCGCAGCGGTGGGTTCGGCGAGTGGGCGGATAAGATGGGCGGGTTGCCTGCCATGGCGAGCTCGAGGGTCATGACTGGGGTGGGCGGCGTGCGCGAGTAGGCGGGCAGCTGCTCCCCGGCGGTAAGAAGAAGCCGGTCTGGTGGCGCGGAGGGGAGTGTGCTGCCGGCGCTAAGGCTGGCGGTGCTGTGAGAAGACGCAGACTGAGACGGAGGCTGGGGCAGGGACGGAGTTGGTGCGTTAGCGGGACGGAAGGAGAACTCGGCGCGGGCCTTGTGCGAGCGATGCAGGATGCCAGGTCGGTGGGCGCGGGCGACAATGGAGTAGGCGATCTTGATCTTGACGCCGGCGGAGGCAATGTTGAGCGAGGGCGGGAGGAGACGGGCCGATTTGGGACTTGGGCAATAGTCGGGCGCATGGTCGGGGAGCTGGAAGGTGAAGGGGGCGGAGAAGGTGGCGTCGCCGTGCTCGGTGATGGTGGACAGCTTCGGCTGGATTGCTTGTGACAGATTGAGAAACTGCTTCGTCGTTAGATTGAACCCCTTCCACGCCCGGAATACAAGTTTGGAGCGCCTCTCACTGTCTTGTGCTCCTGCTTCAGTTTGGGCACTGGAAAGATGGAATTGTCCTCGCTCTCAAGCCCCATCATCGGCATGAAAGACAGTTTGACTTCACCCCGGAGCGAGACGCTGATACTAGGAATGTTCCCCAGCTGGCCGGCGCACGTCTGGAGCTCTACACAGCCGCGGACAACCTCCAGAGGACTGAAATAGTCCCCGTTGGCCGGAGTGTCGACCTTGATGGCCACCTTCATCGTGATCGTGAGTGCTTAATAACCCGAGTGCCGCCGGGGCGTAGGCGCTGATAGAAGATGGTTGACTTTGGCCTTCATTATATCACGATCCGCCATACCATTTCCTGTCCGTGTGCAAATTGGGGGGGTCCACCGCCAGGTTCTGCTGGCATGAGGTCACCAGTGACAAGTTGTGTGTCGCGTTCCGGGCCTTCGACTCGGAAGCTGCCGGGAGCATCATGGCAGAGGACGGCTAAGTCGGAAGAACAAGCAGTCGCTCCCTCTCCGTGTCGACATACCACTCGTGACTGCTCATACCACTCGTGACTGGCCGGGTACTGCAGGCTGCTATGTGGGAGTGACGTAGGGTTCAGGGGCCTCGGAGGTGCTTTGTCGCGCTTATCCTTGGTCGCAACATGAAACGTACCGGCACCAGGAATGTCTCTCATCGAGGTCACCGTGGGCAGCAATGTGAGTCCGCAGAATCGTCACCGCTCATTCATTGCGTCTGCTTAGGAGGGCAAATGTCCCTCCCTATTGGCTCGGGAATCTCGGCTAGGCCGGATGTGCCGGCTAAACCTTAACGTCCTTCATGGCTCACCTGATGCCTGTACGCAAAGTCAATCTTTTCCTACTCCTCTAACGCTATATCAGGCCAGCATTTCCAGCCGCCGCAGCCGGTTGACTTTCGGTGCTTCCCGTATTGTGGCTTTACCCGTGTGCACACCACCATGTCCGCCTCATTGGAGGCCCCGGTCCTGCGGCGAAAGCGAGTGGTGAAGGCGTGCGACACGTGCCGGGGCATGAAGTCCAAGTGCGACGGGAAGCATCCCTGCGGCCGGTGTGAGGGCTTTGGCTACCAATGCGCTTACTCGAAAACGGATCGGAGAAAACACAAGTCACATCTTCGAGGGCATGAGCCACTGCCGGGCTTGGACGCACCGCCTCAGCACCACACCACCCAGCAAATACTGATGGTCAAGGACACCATATGCGAACTAGAGGATGCAATTGCCGGCTATGGGAAGCTCATTCAGGACACTGTGCCAAATCTTGCGGAGCCCGGCCGAAGCGAGCTGCTGAGCAAGCTTGCACCCGTCCAGGACCGCGTCGAGCAGGCGCTCGCCCGGGTGACCCGGGTCCACTCCGCAGAAACGGTTTCCCCTGGCAGACCAGTGTGGCCCATATCCATCCCGCCGTCGCGCGGATCCTCGAACTCTCAGAGATATCTCGGAGAGGTTAGCGACGTGCGCTTCTTCAACCTCGTCAAGACGGTTCTACAGAAGAACCTTCCTGAGCGAGTCGACGACGGCATCGATAGCTACGAACAAGACGATCCTGTCTCCGACGGTCCTACCCCCAACGACATGGAGTTGCCGAGCCCGGAATTGGCGGATCTGTATCTGGAAATCTACTTTTCAACCATTCACATCGCCTACCCTTTCATCCCAAGACGGGCTTTCACCGAGTCTTGGGTTAAATTCCGCGACTCGGGGGCATCGGAGGATATCGACAACTACTGGTTAGCCACTCTTTGTAGGTTCTTCTACATAGTAGCCCCTCTTGGACGGTGGTTGAAGTCTTGTGTTGACAAAGGGAGCAGATATGCTCTTCGCCATCGGCGCCTACTACCGGTCGTTTCCCGACAACCAGAGCAAGGGGGACCACGAGCGGTACTTTTTCTCGGCTCTGACTTTGTCCAACAGGGAATGCACGGAGAGATCTGCCAACTTTGTGATTTTTTTGCTGACTCAGTGCTTCTACCTTCTGGCCGTGTGCCGAACAGATAGGTTTGTCCAACATTAGCAGTCTTCCACGTTGGGCAGCCCGCGCTTATTCATGGCTACTAGGTGCTGGAACACGCTCGGCCATGCTGTCCGTGTTGCACAAAGCATTGGGTTGCACGTTGAGATGGACCCGTCCAAGGTGCATAGGGGCAAAGCCTTGGGGAAGGCCGAGATGAGGCGCAGACTGTGGTACTCGCTCTACGTCCTCGACCGACTCCTCTCGTTGCAGCTCGGCCGGCCTCCCGCTATCCACGACGACGACTGCCACCTCTCGCTGCCGGCAGAGAGACATGAAGAAGAAGAGGATGACGAGAACGGCCATACCCATGTCCAACTCTTGGCCGCCGATGCACTGTCGACGGGAAGTTACTTCTTGGCCGTGATTGCTTTATCACGCATCATTGGCTACGTCCTGCGGGGCCTGTACAGTCCACACCAAAGGGGAAGGGCTGAAGAGGGGCTGCATAACACCAAGGCGATGGACGCGCAGCTGCTGGACTGGAAGAGGAACCTGCCGCGGACGCTGCGGTTCGACTTCGGCCACGCCTTCGAGACGTCGGCGGTGTTCAAGAGACAGCGAAATATGCTGGCTATCAAGTTCCACCACCTTCGCGCCCTCATCCACCGGCCCTACCTCTGCCTGCCGTCCCTCCGCCACCCAGACGAGCCAACGTCCGCCGCCCCGCCGCCAGGCAACCTTGAAAGCTTCACGATTGCCCAGTACGAGAAGACGTGCATCTTCGAGGCCCAGAAGACGGCTCAGCTGCTGCACAAGGTAAGCGACAAGAAGGAGCTGGTGCACGACTTCCCCTGGTGGCAGATGATCTCGTGCCTCATCTGCGCGAGCTCTATCCTCGTGGTGGCGGGCATGTTCGCGCAACGCGGAGAGGACGACGTGGACGTGGCGGCGCTGAACAACGATGCCGAGACGTGCATGAGGGTCTTTGAGGCGCTGAGTGCCCAGTCGGAGGGCGCCAGGATAGCCAGGGACATGATGTCGAGGCTCCGGGAGCGTGGCGAGAAATGGAGTAAGTCCCTCCCCCAGACACGCACCAGACGCCGCTGCTAAAACGCTGGTTGAAAGGTTCCATGGAGCGTGATTCGCAGGGTCAGGTCCCGAATGACAATGTTTCTATGGGTGCACCGGAGGAAATCCACATGCCCGTGCCCGTCGGCCCGGGCACCGATCAGGCTCCGTTCCTTGAACAGTGTGCTCCTTCGCCTGGGGCGTTCGGAAACTTTCTCCCTGATGCTCAGGAGTGGCCATCTGAAATTTTCGATTCCATGGCCTGGTCGGCCCAATTCTTCGGTACAGCAGCCGCGGAGTCGCTTGATCTGATGTAAGTCAAACTGGCCGAAGAGGGACTCGGGTCGCATCAGACGGTACCAGTGGCTTGGACAACCCTCCCTGGGGTTTTAAGGTACAATGGAGTCGAAAAGAGTTGTAAAGCCGCTCCATGAGTACCATGAGTACTTATGTGTTTGTATGTTGAACCACGAGGAGGTGCATAACAGGGGTCATGACGGCTGGCTACGAACAGCTATTGCGAGCAGACTTGGATCTGGTTTGTGGACCACTAACATTGAATAATTCAATCCATCAATCAGCCTCATCTGACCCCTATGTGCGCGGTTACATTCACTGGTACGCAACTTGGATCCTACGTCTCGCCAGGACCATAGGTAAGCCAGTAACATAAAAAGGCCTCAATCTCAATTTCAATCATGAAGGCTATGTCTTGAGCTTGGACGGGAAGCGGAAGCTTTCGCCAGCGTAGACACACGGCTTCCCCAACGCCTTCAGTTCGGCCTCGATATCAAGAAGCCGGTTGTACTTGGCAACGCGCTCCCCCCGACACGGAGCTCCCGATTTCAGGTGGCCGGTCCCGAGAGCTACGGTCAAGTCTGCAATAAAGTCATCCGTCGTCTCTCCCGAGCGGTGGGACACAAAGACGCCCCAGCCGAGACTGAAGGCCAAGTTTGCGCTGGCCGACTGCATTAGCCACAACTTTCCTGCTTCTCTCGAGGGCCGGCAGACTTACGCTTCGATAGCTTCGCTGACGGTACCGATCTGGTTGACCTTCAGCAGCATGGAATTGCATGCCTTCCTCTCGTCCGCCATGCGCACACGCTCAACATTCGTAACGAGGAGGTCGTCGCCCACCAGTTCTATCCCGCAAGTCTTGTTAAACTCGGTCCAAGAATCCCAGTCGTCCTCGGCAAACGGGTCTTCCAGGAGCACAATGGGGTATTGACCATTGACAAGCCCCTGGTACAACTGCTGCATCTGCTGGGGGCTGCGCCTGTCGGCTGTCTTGTCCTTGAAGCCGAGGTCGTAGACGCCGTCCCGGAAGAATTCGGACGACGCTGGATCAATTGCGAAGGCGATCTTGCCCGTGTAGCCGCTGCTCTTGACTGCAGCGGTCAAAAGATCGAGTGCCTCTTCCGGCTTAGTTATCGGGGGCGCAAAGCCGCCTTCGTCGCCGACTCCGGTCGCTGGCCTATGTTCAGCTTCACAACGTGCACCAAATAGGCGACTTGAGCTCTCAACTTACCGGGGGAGCCGAATTTCTCCACAAGAATCTTCTTCAGCGCCTGGTATACCTCCGACCCCATACGCATCGCTTCCTCGAACGACGTGGCTCCGACCGGCGCAATCATGATCTCCTGAAACGCCATCGTGTTGCCCGAGTGCACGCCCCCATTCAAGACGTTGAAGAAAGGCACGGGCATGATATAGGGGCCCTTGTCGGCGCCCGCCTCTCGGCGGAGGAATTCGTAGAGCGGTTCTCCCTGCCCATCATCTCCGTCAGCCCACATGCGCTACTGTCACTGCACGCCGTCCAACTCGCGGGGAACATCCTACCGAAGCCGCAGCGGCCAGCCGCGCAAAGGCCATGCTGACCCCCAGGATGGCATTGGCGCCGAGCCGCGCCTTGTTGGGCGTCCCGTCCAGCCGGCACATGAAAGCGTCCAGGTCGCGTAGCTGCATGCGGGCGTCGAACTGCTCCCGCACCAGCGCCGGCCCGATGGTCTCGCGCACGTTGGCTACGGCATTGGCCACGCCCTTGCCGCCAAAGCGCGAGGCGTCGTGATCGCGCAGCTCGACGGCCTCGTGCTGGCCGGTCGAGGCACCCGAGGGGACGAGGGCACGGAATTTGCCTGATTGGGTACGGTGAGCTATGGAGGGAGCTTGGGTTTGGGCCTTGCTCTGTTCGTTCTCTTACCGAGTTCTGTGTCAAGCTCGACTTGGACGGTCGGGTTGCCTCGAGAGTCGAAGCGCTGCGCTGCACTTACGGCACGGATCATGTTGAAAGGCAGTAGTGAATGCTGAGGTGTTTGGAAAGAAATGTAGATAGCAAGTAGGTAAGCTAGAGACGGCAGGCGTTTTTACTGTGATTGAACTTCTCAGGTGTTGGGCTTTCAATTGGGTTAACACATGCGAAGAACCAATTGCAAAGAATTAGAGTCTTGATTCAAGGAAATGATACAAAAAAGCGTTCATTCTCAAATAATGATGTAAGAGACTAAATATCCCATGCTACTACCGCTGTAAGTTCTACTATGAACCAACATCAGGAAAGATATCAGCTGAGCTCCTTTTAACACGAAAGATCAAGCTATTTTTGAAGCTTTCCTTGGTGGATCCAGACAGCCGCGAATGCGACAGGTACATGACGTGATGCCCTCGTCCGGTACTGCCGGAGCAGGGCCGCTTGAAGGTAGGTAGATACGGGTACTTCCGTAGGCAATTTACATCAAAGCAGACACATAGAACACTTCTCCGGAAGTATCCGTCCCACAATTTTGTCAAGCTTTGTGTGTAGTCAATTGTGGCGTGGTCGACAAGCAACTGGGACCGAGTCAGTCTCCAGGAACGGGCGGCAATCCCGGGTATGGCGGTCCAGCGGTCTATCACCAAGATCCCCCCCTAGCAACCCTACTGCCTGCGCCTTACCTGAAATGGCTCCTCCCATCTCCTTGGTGGAAGTGTGAGTAAGTGATACTAGGGTGAGCTTCTCTCGTAAATACCATTTTGGCGGCAAGGTATTGGGCGAGTATCACAGAACATGCAGGCACCGACCAGATCTCTCGTCTGAAAACTTTGGCTATTGATGATAAGTGCTATCTCAACTCTCGATATGCCAAATACTGCGTGGCTTGCAGAGCTCTTCCATGAGTTATTCGCACACATGTCGTTATGGAGCAGCATGCAGAGACTGTCCAGGTCGTTCTTGTGGACTGGTTTGTTGGACGATGAAGATGGAAAGGAAGCCTTTCGGTTACTCAACAACACGTTGCGAAACCCCTTTCTAATCGCTAACGATATGTATATGTATCTGCTCCGTTCCCGTTGCCGTTTCTGTGGTCTGTGACTGTTTCCCTGGTACCTCAACAGACTCACCGATTAGATCATATCAACTACACCATCGCAGAAGAGGGTGCGTCGGCCTCCATTTCCAGCTCCATCAGGTTGCAGTCCGACTCGACACCTTTCTCTGTGTTCGTATCGAGGCAACCGTGCAACATTAGCAGCCCTGTGGCATTTGCATTGAAAACCGTTCTATCCAGGTGTTAGCGCATTTTCAATCTTTCATCGTCCAAAGCGCCAAACGGCAGCTTGGAAAGGGTCAGGCTCACCCTGAACATGTCCATGTTTCCTTCATGGTCAAGCTTATTTGGGTGAAATCAAATTGAAACTCCGATCCAGTATCGTTGCACTTGGACCATCCCTCTCCTAGCTTCGCCAGGTCAACGTTCTCCGCCATGCATTGCACAGTCGTGTTTGTTGCTGAGTAGTAGGATTTGAAGCCGAATGTGCCCATTGAACCGCCATTGTCCCAGTCGTAGACTTTCATCACGAAATCGTCAATTCTCCAAAAAGGAGTAGACTGGGAGCTTTGAGTGCAGTTGTCCGCCGCATGTTGAACGAGGTCGCCGTCCAAAGCTCGGTCCAATTTAGATGTTGTTGAACGAGCCAGGTTGCCTCCGCAGAAGAGAGCTACCAGATAGGTGGCTGGGCGCATCTTGTCCGCGAACTTCGAAACGAGCCTCTTTTTAAGATTTGAAATTCACTTACGAAATTTTCATCGCGCCTCGGGGCGTATTGCGCGGGTCCTGGACGTGAATGAAATACCCGGCTTTCATGTCGCCAAATGCCCGTATCATATTATCACAACATGGATTGCCGAACCTTTCGGCTAAACGGCAAGGGCATTACGGAACGTGCAACGCCATCAATCTAATTGGATCGTCATTGGTGTCATTGGGTAGATGAAGGCTGCGGGGGATTACATGGATAATCTTGCAGTTGCTCGCGAGCAGTAGGCGTACGAGTACTATGAACGGTGAAACCGTCCCAACTACCGAGACCAATCCTTCGACTCTCCATGTTAAACAAGCTATATCTGCCGCGACCATTCAGAGGAATCAGACAATCTATCGCAATAGCACCCCACACGGTTCTCATTGGACACAACGGGAAACTGCAGACACCCAGTCCACTCATTGCTCGAGAAACTGGTTGGAGCCATATTGAACGGAATGGGGACACAATTGCCACCCACTCGCGCCAGCAGTACAGTACTTGCCTTACAAAAGTCCCGTAGACCCGACATGTTTGTGCTATTGCAGTTAGAGAAAGTAGCCTCTTTCTCAACAAAACGGGTGCGGTAACTGACCAAACATGCGGTCTATCTGGAGTGCTTCCTTCCTATTCCTCCCCTCGGTCCTCGCGGGTGTCGTAGCGAGGGGAGATTGGAGATCCAAGGTGGACGTGTAAGTGTTTCGGACTCGTCATCTGAGCAACGGTGACTCATGGACATTGTACTAGGCAACGCAATGGCTTCTACCCCCTGGACGTTGTCGACAAGCTGGAGGAAACAACCATGGACAAGGTCGACGAATACATGACCAAGAAGATTGCCGCAGGCAAGAACAACGGCTGTACGCTGGAGACGGCGGGTGTACGGCGGGAGTGGTACGTTTGATCATTTCGACTCTTTATCACTAGGTCGTGCTCTGACACTTTCCCACAGGGGCGACATGACTGACGAGCAGCGATCCGACTTCATCAACGCCGTACTCTGCCTGATGAAGGCGCCGTCTCAGGCACCCCAGGACAGGTTCCCGGGAGCTCGAAGCCGGTACGACGATTTCATGGCATACCACATGACGAATGCCGGGTCTCTGCACGACACAATTGGCTTGTTCCCAGCTCATAAGTACTTCCTCCTTGCGTACGAGACCGCTCTTCGGAAGGAGTGCGGCTACAAAGGATACCATCCGGTTCGTTTTCCCTCCGTGAATATTGAGCATTTGCCGCAGAAGAAAGTTGTTGACAGCAATTTGCACAGTACATGAACTACGATCGCTACACCAAGGAGCCGACAAAGTCAGCCCTGTTCAATGGAAACGCGACGAGCATGGGCGGCAACGGCGCGCCGGATCCGAAGTACGTCGGCCTTCGCACGGGTGCCGGCATGATCAAGTCCGCCGGCGGAGGTGGATGCGTCACCGAAGGACCTTTCAAAGAGTTCGTAATTTCATTTCATTCACCCAGGTCCCCGGCCATTGGATCTGTCTAGGGTTGACTGACTTTTCCTCGCTAGCTACATGGCCACCGTCGGCCCCGGCGCCCCCATGATGCCCGATGTGCCTAAGAATCCCATCGCAGGCGGCGGGGGCTACAACCCGCGGTGCATGCGCCGCGACGTCAACGCCGAGGCGGCGCTCGGCGCCACGGCGGACCGCTCGTACAACCTCATCATGAAGTCGCAGACCATCAACACCTTCTACAACACGCTGCTGACGCCGCCCCGCAACGCCAGCGACCCGTACAACTGGGGCGTCCACACCGCGGGCCACTACATCGCCGGCGGCGACCCCGGCGGCGACCCCATGGTCTCGCCCGGCGATCCGATCTTCTACTTCCACCACGCCATGCTGGACCGGCTTTGGTGGATCTGGCAGATGCAGGACCCCGACACCCGCGTGACTGCCCAGGTGAGTCTCGGGGGCGGGGGCGGAGCGAACAGAAAACTTGATCTCAAGTGGCTCATCCCCGATGTGATTCCGGTCCTGGAGGCGCACGATGGGCTGGGTGGGCATGGAGGAGCATTCTGCCATGTGTACGTTTAGCCATTGAGGCCAGGTTGAGTGTGCAGGCGGTTGGTCGCTCGTTTAGCTTGCTTGGACAATTTCGTCTGAAGTTGTTCCCTACTATATCAATCATAAATCTTGGAGTTTGTCTCCATGAACGAGACATGGTATACTTTGAGTCATAGATTAAGAGGCTTGTCGTTTGGTTGAGCCGACTCGTGACAGACATCCAAACCTATGGGGCGACTGAGTGAATTTGTGGGCGTACGCCACGTGGGCTTTATTAGCTTCCACAGTAAGGAAGCGCTCAGCTTGTTTGATTATCTCCTGCGGGTCGTTTTCGATACCTATGCTTGAGGGCTGGCGCTGGGTCTGGGTTCGGTCGTTGTCAGTGCCGACGTTCTCGTCGTCAGTCGCGTCGGCCAGCGACGCGTCAGGTACGCGTTGTGGGGCAGTCTGGGCGGCATCCGACGACGATGGGCGTCGTCGCCGGCTCCGCAAGCCTTCGCGGACGGTTGCAGACATGTCAGCTAGGTAATAGGGGCCTGCTGATCACGGTCCTGTTGTCGCGTAAAATAAGGGCTGATGCATCGTGGTAGCCGGGGCACTTCCGGCCCGTACGACGACCTGTAAAACGCAGCGCGAACAGTCAGCTTGCTCCGGGCCGGCGACCCAGATGGAGGAGGAACGCACACTGTCCACAGGCTGGTGTAGCCTTGTCGCACTGCAGAAGGGAAAGCCTGGTCAGCATCGTCGCCTTCGTTTGCACCGCAGCATGCGATCAGATCACATCAGATCATGGCTGGACTACGGGGGGAGTCCGCACCCGCCTCTTCTTGGCGCGGCACAGGGCGCAGCTTGCTGACGGTCGGCCGCAGTAAACCATGATCAACCGCGCGTCAGTGTATCGAAGTCTAGGTGCGCCGTGCTGGATTGCTCTTGTCTGAGGATGGAGCGTTTCAACGAGAGACGGTGGGCCAAACTCAGAAAAGATTGGCGAGGTTAGGCGCCGCAGGCGTAAAGAACAGGTCTGTCAGGCCTGTAGGTTCAGGACCCGCCCCTGGCTCCGAAAGCGGCTTCAGTGATTTCCCTGCGTTGCACCGCAGTACTAAGCAGCCCGGGCAACAGCCAGGATTGCACGTAACAACAGCTTCTTAATTTATTCTCTCATATATACTCTCTATCTTATTACACCTATCCACTAGATTCTACATATACATCTATTTTTACATAGTGACATCCGTATCTATCCACCTGACTCCCTATAGCATACTTGCACTTGGATTGTTTCACACCCTTTAAAAGCATAGACTTTTCAGCAATTGATGCTCCTTGTAGCTGCCCAAGGAAAGCATCAGAGCGACACACAAGATACAACACAGCAGCGAGTGTTTTCATATTTCTTTCCTTGAAGGGTAGTACAAGTGGACTGTCCCTCTGGCGGCGATTCAGGATGAATATGTAGACTGCAGTGACAGCGAGTACGACGAGCATGACGGCCAGAATGACTACACTGGCGATGCTGCAACCGTTGAATGTGTTCCACGTGATGGCGTTGTTGAAGGGTACGTTAGCCAGTAGAATAGGCAGGAACTCGCCGAGTATCGTTGAGAGGGCCAACAGGGCAGGGAGTTTCTGGCGCTCAGCTAGGTACATGGTGAGCCCTGTGTATGGGTTCGGAGAGAGCGGCATGAGAATGGATTGATTGGGATCCATGGCGTGCTGGCACATATTCCAGACTGGCAGTATCGTGGCGAGTTCTATGTCTTGAGCATTATCAAACGTGAGCGACCGCTGTGTGGGATATTACTAACCGGCAAAGATCGAGCTCCAGGAAGAATGCACGACAACACCAAAGGCTGTGAATAGGAAGCGGACACCAAAATGGCTTTGTGAGTCCATGAACTCTTCGAACCCAGTATCGTCATAAGTAAGGCGGTAGTAGAGAATTAGAACCATAAGGCCGACAACAAATGCGCTGAAAGCACCGATCTTTAACAGCATTAAGGAACCGACAGAAGTCTGTTTGGATCGTTGTTGCTGGCCCTCGACTTGCTCAGGGATGTAGCTAGTGGTGTCCTCATCTCCTGGCTTTTCACAGGCCCTGAGTGGCAGCACTGGTTCTTGTACCTCGAGGGTATCATCGTCACCTATTACCGTTATGCCATACTCGCTTTGGCCAACTGGGGAGGCTGCATATCCCAACTTGAATCGGCGCTGGCCCAGAGTCTTGACAGCACGAGAAATCGAAAAAACCCCGTCTTTCTTCAGTGGGATCTGGCGGATTGTTCTCGTGAGCTGTGAGCTCAAAGATAGACTCGCAATGCCGAGGATCGAACGAGGATCGTACCACAGGCCGAAAGACCGTTTTCGAACAACAATAAACATGTAAGCGAACAGGGCGATGGACATGATCGCTAGTAGGGCCTGCATTGCCCTTACCACTGGAGTTGCTACCTGCAACGTAGCGGTACACTGCTTTTTCCAGTCATGCAAGCAGTCGCCCTGAAGCGTGAGGCCCACGGTCTCTGCCGCGAGAGGCGTCAGCAGTGTTGAGACCCAGACCAAGAGCGTCGATAATGCGACAGCGACATGACCGATGAAGGCCCCTGCAACTGCCCGGAAGAGCCCCTTGGGTCCGTCATAATGGAGCAGTAGTGTGTCTGATGCCGTACTGCCCTCTTCGGTACTCAGCTGCGCGAATGGCTCAAGGCTCTTGGTGTCTAATTCTATGATCTTCCAGGGGATGGCAAAGAGGACAGCAGCCAAAACAGGCAGGAATGTGCCGATGAAATACACCGTCGAAGACGACAAGCTCCCACTATCCGCTCTTGACAACCAGCCGATACCGGGGCCCGGTGCTCCTGGTGAGGGTGTGCTCGAACTGCGTGCTTTTATGACAGTATCTGGACTCTCGTCTACCGTGCACTTGGATGGCTTGCAGCTTGATCTCATTTCAGCACGAACCGCCATCAGTTCGAGGGACGTCGCCACATGTGAAGAGTCCCGCAGGGCATGAACATCCCTCGCGACTGCTCTTGGTGAAACACTTCGTTCTGGAAGCGCCATAGTTGCCGACTCCAGGAGGATGATAAGAGCGACATTGATGCCGAGCAAGATGACTAGAGTGGGGTACTTCAGCGAGAGTGGCTTCCATCGTGCTTGTCGTTGCTGACTTCTATTAGTAGCTTTCTTGGCGTGATTGAAAAGAGCCCAACAGAAAAGGGCGAGAAGGACCAAGAGGGTAGGGATAAGGGTGAGCAAAGCCACATTGGTAGACCGCTGAGGGACAGTAAGGGTCAGGGTGCCGTTGCTACTCTTGTCGGTGTCGCTGGCTCTGCTCATCACGTCCATGTTGATGGCTACAAGAATATCAAATCAATGAACACATCAAACTGTTGACGAGAGAACAGGATCCTGATCCAATCTAGAGATTTGGAAAATACAGAGGGCATACCTTGCGCTTTATCTTCTCTTGGTTTCCCTGCCAAGCCACCTCATGACGTGTTGGGGCTGAGGTGCATGTGCACTGCCCAGCTAATAACGATGCTGGCCAGTCGCAGCCATAGGGGGAATAGCGTGAGGCGAATTGATTGAATAGGTAGAGAGGCTTGGTTTGGCGATTTTACAGGCTGGTAAGGCAAAGACCCATATTACGGACCGCTAGGATCATTCGCTCCTCGTTCCCCGTCATTTCCAACTGCCGAGAGGGTCGTTTTGAAGGCTCATCAGGTTCGATGGAGAGTATTATCAGAGAAAGAGATATAGAACAGAAATCTACCATTGCGGGCTCACACTCGTTTGGAAGGAGTCATCTTCTGAGACGAGGAAGCCCGAGGACCTTCTTAGGTACTGAAATGACGGCTTACATGATTATAGAACATTGTCCGCGAAGCCGAGTACTCTGCTCTCACAGTTCCATTGCGCCTATAGAATAATAGAAGATGACTTTACGACCAAATCCTTACCTGCAGCTTCGGGCCTAGATACAGGTTCTTCTTCTCAAGTCCATGAAGTAACGGGAAACGAAAGTCCAGACCGGGGGCTTGTGCGCCAATGCATGGCAGCCTCAGACGTTCATCACACGCCGTTTCTGGGCGGGTCATACGCTGCTCTGTAGTTGAAAGCCGGGCCGTTGGGGTTGCTGGCGGGGCCCACGGGGTTGTTGTCGTACCACCTGTCAAATTCGAGCAGGCAGAAGCCGGGGTCCTTGAGTGATGGCTTTCGGCCAGCAGGGATTGTCCCAGTGGCCGTCGTCTCTGGGAGGGTTGGCCGAGTGGCCCCAGGGCTCGATGGAGAACTCGGGATGCGTGTCGATGCTGATACCCACCGTGTTTTGCGTCATGCCGGCCTTGACGCTGGCCGGCCGGACGACTGTGGCGCTTATCTTGCTCTCGAGCTGTGAGTCTGTGAGGGCCTTGAGAGGGGGCTTGAAATACATGCTCTTCCACAGCTTTCTGCTATGGCCGGCGCCATTGTTTTCCGGGCCTGGCACCTAATAAATCATCTGGCCGTCCTGGTTCTTGCTAGAGAATTTCCAGGTTGGGCTTGATTAGTCCATAATATTTGTTGAAAAGATACCTCGAAACACAACAAGTCAAACGCTTTGGGTTTTGATATTTTCCTTTTCTTCTTTTACTTGCTGAGGAGATTCTTTGTTGTAATGACAGAGCTCAGGAAAATTGCCAAGGAAATACAATAGCCAACGTTAGGAACAATAGTATTGTGTGTCTCTGAAGAGGAAATGGGCATAGAATAGTCATCATATAAAAGTCGTTTGAGATCAGCAAATCATGGTTGAGATGAGATACGCGGCAAATGAGAAAGGGACAAGTCAAGGGACTAAGTGCAGGCATGGAGAACATGGAAAGATGAGACGACAGTGACAGATCAGGGTAAAGAGGGATAGGAATATGTTGACTCGTGACTCATTAGAAATATACCTGACGACTCTTGGAGGAAACAACATACGCCGCTTAAGAAAAGGATAAGAAAGGAAATGATATGGAAGGAAAGGTAGGATGAAGTGAGATCGCAAGAGGATCTCGAGATTCGTTCGACGCTGGCCAATAAGAAGTCAGGTATGCTTAGCTGCGCGATGCTTGACCAGAGCAGTCTCGCTGAAATATCCTTTCTTCCCAGACTTGTCACAGCCTGGGACGTCGCAGGAGAACGGGGTCCATTCGTGGGCGTCTTTCATGTGCTTGCTGTACTCAGACTGCGTCTTGAAGGGGGTATTGAGGACTCGCGTCTCTATCGGGAGGTCCGTGAAGCTATCATCTCGGTAGCAAGGGCAATTCGAGAAGTGGCACACTTTCAGCATGGAAGGGCGAATAGGTCGGGAGGGGAAGCGTGCCGCAAGCTGGTCGGGCGTCCATTTGTGATAAGTCCGAAGGTGTTGCACAAGATGATCCTTCCTCTGAAAGGCCTTCTCCTTGCGATACCTGGTGCACCCTGCCTCTGTGCACTCGAAAGTAGTGTCAGATTCGCGAAGGCTGAGGATATGGCGGTGGAGGCTGGTGCGTTTTGTGAATGAGTCTCCACATTTACACTCGAACGGAAGGCCCGAGACATGGACGACTTCGGAATGGCCTTGTGCATGTGGTGTATTCTTATGGTCCGCCAGTCGCCATGACCATTCGAAGCTCAGACCACAGTCATATAAGTCGCATACATACGCTGACTGCAGTGGGCTCCGCGTTACTTCCTGAGTAGCCTCCACGGTCATTGGAGTATCAGTGTCCGCTGCAGATGGGTGGACAGGCTGGACATCTTGGTGGGCGGGGACGCAGAAGGTCATGGAAGATTCCGTGGCACATGGAGATCTACAAGTAAACTTGGTCAATATCACAAGGAATTGATTGGCAGGTACCCACGTACCTGTTCACGCCACCTGCAGACTCCTGCATCTGGCTAATCACAAAAGGAGCCACGGGGGCCTGTCGGAACGCACTTCGGATTTTGCACCCTATAAGTCAGCACCCACGAAAAAAAAAATCTCACGTCTCAGAGATATGTGTAGGGAACTGGGGATAGTAAAGTCCGAGGGGGTTGGTATCGGGAACTGCCTCTTCTTCTGGCGGATATTCTTCTCGAGGATGTAAAACAAGCAAAGCAGGGTCGATCGTGCGGTTGGAGAATGCCTCTTCGTCGGAGAATGCCTCTTGCAGCCATGCTCCGTTTGAGTACATCTCGTATTGTGAGCGAGGGTTTGATCAATGTCGAGAATGTCGTCCTTGGGTCGGAGAAAAATTCTTGGTGTTGTCAAGAGGAATGAGCAGGACGGCTGGCTTTTTTGTCGAGAAATGGGATCATGTCAGTGCCAGTGACGAGTGGTAGGGTGCCAGCGAACACATCCATGCAGTGTAGGGTGCAAGTGAGGCGAGCAGTACAGCTTGCAGCTTCGATTGGTTCAAGGCAAGGCACTACTTTGATTTGTTACTTGAAAGTCCAGTGGGTCCGTGAGGTTGATGATAGCAAGACATGATTATGCACAGGAAGAGTGACGGCCAGACACCCCATACTAAGCCGCTTCAGCTCAGAGCCTAGGCTTACGACCCATACATATTGCATTATTTGAGTAGGTAGATGTAGCATGGGCCGACTGGGCAATGATGGTTTCTTGGGCGTCATCTTCGAGCTCAGGTGATGTCATGTCGGCATCACCCCAGTTCGGATTAATGAAAACCGGAGCGAGAAAGAAACGGGGATTTGGCGATGTCCTGACTTGAGACTGAGAGTATTCACCTCCATTGCAAATTCCAAGGAAGCATACACCCTTGTCTTCACACTCCAAGCCATCATTTCGTAGCGTATTTTGACATAGGCGGCACCAGAGAGGAGTGGCTTTACGATGTCGAGCAAAGACGTTACATGGAGCAAGGTACATGTGTACTATCCTGCATCACAGCGCTCTCAAAAAACCGCTAACCTCAAGACTTGAAATCATAGATTGGCATGCTGGGCCTGGGTAGCATGGGAGCTGGCATGTGCCTACTCTTGGCAGAGCATGGCTATCAACTCTTTGGTTTCGACCCCAGTATGCTGGAGTTCAACATACTACTTAATCCACTGAACATCGATTGACCAAGGTTTCAGATCAAGGGAGTGTCAAGAAGCTTCTACACGACAGCAAAGCAGCCGGCCTGAGTGTCGAGGTCCAATCGAGCTACGAGCAGCTTTGCAAACAAGTCAAAGACGGCCATGGACCAGGCCTCTTCATCCTGTCCACCCCTCACGGACCCGCCGTCGATAAACTGCTCAAGGAAATGAGGCCACACCTCGACCGCGGTGATATCATCGTCGACTGCGGCAACGAGCACTGGGAGAGCACCGAGCGGAGGCAGCAGGAGCTGAGCAAGGACGGCATCCACCTCATCGGCTGCGGCGTGTCGGGGGGCTACCAGAGCGCACGGTCCGGGCCGTCCTTCTCGCCCGGCGGAGAGGCCGAGGTGCTCGACAAGCTCATGCCCTTCTTCAAAGGCATCGCCGCGAAAGACCGTCAGGGCCGACCCTGCGTCAGGCCGGTCGGGCCGGGCAGCAGCGGCCACTACGTCAAGATGGTGCACAACGGCATCGAGCAGGGGATGCTGTCCGTCCTGTCGGAGGGGTGGTTCATCCTCGTCCACGGCCTCGGCCTGTCGTACCCGGCCGTGGCGGACGTCTTCGCCTCGTGGAACCGCGACGGGCCCTTGCACGACTGCTTCCTCATCGGCATCGCCGCCGACGGGCTCCAAGCCAGGAATCCCGAGGGCGGTGGGTTCGAGGTGGACGTTGTCCGCGACAAGGTCGTGCAGGACGTCGAGGACTCGGAGGGCACGGGCAACTGGGCGTGCGAGGAGGCCATGGCGCTGCACATGCCGGCCGCGACCATCGTCACGGCGCACATGTTCCGCTACGCGTCGGCGTACGCGTCGGACCGCAAGGAGAACAGGGAGGCCGCGTCGGGCGTCGCTGCTCTGAAGCCGGGCCGGCTTAGGGTCCAGTCGCGCGACGACTTTGTGGCACTCCTACAGCGGGCGACGTACTTTTCCTTCCTGTGCTGCTTCGTCCAGGGGATGGACCTGCTGCGGGCCAAGGACCGCGACCGGGGCTGGGGGCTCGACTACACCGACATCATGCAGCTGTGGCGCGGCGGGTGCATCATCCAGGCCGACGGTGTCGTGGACCTGCTGGACGACATGTACAAGCGGCACGAGCGGCACCGCACGGACGACGTGCTCGCGGACAGCGAGGTGGCCAAGGAGCTGTCGAGCCAGTACTCGGCGGCCAAGCAGGTCGTGCTCGAGGCCGTCAGGGCGGACCTGTACGTGCCGGCCGTGAGCCAGAGCCTCGAGTACTACAAGTACATGACCTCGACGGCGCTGCCGACGCAGTTCATGGAGGCCCAGCTGGACTATTTCGGAGAGCACATGTTTGACACGTGGGACGAGCCGCCGGGGGAGCCGAGGACGGGATCACATCACTATGAGTGGAAGGCGGCCAGGGGCAAGGTCGACGAGTGAGAACGACGCAACGCGGTGGTGTCGATAAGACATTCACACCCTGTACTGTAGATACTTCTTCTCATTCAGGGATACTACATAGAAGCCCGCGAGGCATTCCCCCAAACGCTCCCATCATCAAAGCTTCCCCGCCTGCCGCAGCGCCCTGTCCCCGTCGACCAGCACGCACCAGCCCTCGTCGCCGCGGCCGCCCTCGCCGACGACCACGTTCTGGAAGGCGCCCTCCTCGCGCGCGAGCCGCAGCACCTCGCCGTCGTAGGTGCCCGGCTGCAGCCAGACGCTGGGCACGCCGAGCTCGCGGGCCTCGCGCAGGACCTGGAGGGTGGCGGGCGGCGGCGTGATGACGGACACGGCCGTCTCGCGGGGCCGGGGCAGGGCGGACAGCGAGGGCGCGGTCGGGTGCTCCTTGTTCAGGGCGCGGATGGTGGGCGCGCCCGGGTTGATGGGCGTCACCGGCAGGTCGCGCGCGGCGTACCAGGCGAAGACTGTGTGTGTGCACGGGAAGGTCAGTTGGGCTGTGGGAGCGACGTGTGAGGGTGGGTGGGTGATGATGGTGACGAACTCTTGTGGCCGAACTTGGCTGGGTTGGAGCTTGCGCCGACTACGGCGAAGACGGGGGCCGAGAAGAAGGCCCTGGCTGTTGCCTCGGTACTCATCTTGGTGCTGTGTGTGTTTCCTACGGCGAGGGTGTCTGGTAAGAACACAAGTGGGCGAGACAGACGGGCCGATGGAAGGGTCCCGTCAACGCAGGGCTAGGTGACAATGACTCTGAATCCTTTCTTCTGGTAATACCGTACAGTTACTAAGGGCCCATTGACCGAGGACGGAGATCGCTTTTCTCGCAAGTGATGTTGTTCACGAGAAGAAGTCTGTCTGTCTGGCCTAGCTCCAGATGATCTACTTCCGGAACGGCGCAAAGTTGAAGAAACGACATTCCCGCTGCCGATGTCGCCGGCGTGGGGGGACCCTGTAAGAGCTGCTGAAAGCGGGGTCTCGGCGGATCAAGGGACGCTTTACTAAGACGAGGCAGCTCACATGCTCAAGCTTGGAAGCTTGGATGGCTTTCCCAGATGCCCGTCCACCAACTACGAGGTTATTATCGGCTGGAAACGCTTCAACTCGCCATCCAAACCTCGGATTCGCAAGTCAGGAGCGTCAATCGGCCTTGCGTAGCCACCACGAATGTCTAACTCGGCAGACCTGCGGCCCTGCTGGTTGTAGCGACTGTGTGAATCACTCTCTCCGAGGTATTTTAACCATGATCTCCTCCGCATCCAATGGCGGCACACAGGTAGGTCTGGTGCAATACTCAGAGCCATTGCCGTTCTTGCGACCAAAGCCAACTTAAACAGCCATGTCTACATTTGCGTAGGTGACGCCCAACTTCACGACTTGCCGATGTGATTGGACCTGTTCTACACGACTTACTGACTTGTTTTCCAGCCGTACAGCTTTCGGCCACGCTTCGTACGCGTCCTTCCGCCCGACCTACTCGCCCTCCCTCTTCCGCACCATCCTCGCATATCACAATGAGCGAGGCGGCCATGGCACCGCGCTGGACATGGGCTGCGGTCACGGCATCATGGCACGCGAGCTCGCGCCGCACTTTGACACGGTGCACGCGATAGACCCTGCGGCGGGCATGGTGGAGCAGGCTCGCACGCTCTTGAACAGCATCCTAAACATACACGTCCGCCAGGCGGGCTCCGAGGACCTGTCCTTCCTGCCGGACGACAGCGTCGACCTCGTCGTGGCGGGCCAAGCGGCGCACTGGTTCGACTTCGGCCGGGCCTGGCCGGAGCTGGCGCGCGTGGTGCGCAGCGGCGGCTCGCTCGCCTTCGCCGGGTACAAGGACCACGTGCTGGTGGGCCACCCGGAGGCGAGCGAGGCGTTCCGGGCCTTCTCGTACGGCGAGGGCGAGGTGGCGCCCGGGATCGAGGGTATGGGCCGCTTCTGGGAGTTCCCCGGGCGCGGCATCCTGCGGGACTCGTACGCGGCGATCCAGCCGCCGGCGTCCGAGTGGGAGGGCGTGCGCAGGCTCGCGTGGGACCCGGACGCCGGGGCGGCGGCGGCGGCGGGCGTCGAGGGCGTGCCGCAGGAGGTGCTCTGGCAGCGGCATGCGATGACGCTGGGCCAGCTGGAGGGCTACGTGCGGACGTACAGCGCGTACAGCAACTGGCGGGAGGCGCACCCTCAGCGCAGGCGCAGGGCCGAGGGAGGCGAGGGCGACGTCGTGGACGCCATGTTCGACGCGGTCGTCGACGCGGTGCCGGCGTGGAGGGTCCGGGGAGAGGCGTGGAGGGATGTCGAGGTGGACGCGGTCTGGGGCTCGGTGATCTTGCTGGCGCGGCGGCGATGAGTGTGTAGGTATTGATTATGCTGTGTCTGCTCTGTATTCTATATCAGATTTGTTATACCTTCTCGCTATCAATATGAGGGCGAGATATAAATACAAGCACCGCTCTCAGCAGCAGCAATATCATTAGAAGGGTAAAAGGCGTGTCGGAGGAGTCAAGGTGGAGCCAGCCCTCGATCCTCCCCCGTTGCCGTGCCAGTTTCAGGAACCACAACTTGGGCGACAGCGCATGAAGGCACAGACCAGCAGCCGGCCAGGGACGAGCAAGGGGCCAGTCTTTCGTACAGGGGGGGGCCGAATGCTCAAATGCAATATCTTTGGCAAGGGGACAGCAAACTCTCGTCCCTTTGCTATCTCCTTCACTTCATATACCATTCCGTCCTGAAAACACCATCGCGACGACAGAAGAAGAAGAAGCCAGGCATTCCGTTGCAATCCGACACAAGCAGACATCCATACTTTATGATGGTGAGTCCAGACCAGGCTGACTTTCCCACTTTTAGTGCCCGTCGTCTCCCCTCTGTTTACTCTGTGTTGCCCCGTTGCGCCGTGTAAACAACTGGAATCCGCTGGTAGCCCCCCTCCCAAAAGGAAAAAAAAAGACGCCAAATGGCCAGAAATATTGAGACCGGCGCCGTTTTAGCGCGCTCTTTCAGCGGGCAAGTGCCTCGTCCAGCCCCCCAGGACAACCAAACAGCGTTCGAGAATCAGGGAAATAGCGCCGGCAACCACGAGATCATCCCCCCCCTTGATTGTTTTCGAGAGACCTCGGGAGTCAACAAATCGTCACCAAACCCTCCTCCCATTTCCTGCCCTCGCAACGACGAAGCATACTCTCAAAACCGCTGCTCCTTTTCCCCTTTCTCTCCGCATATACTTTTCTGTCTCGTAGCCGAGCAGAGTATCATTCGCATTTCGGCGCAAAGCACCGAAGAAATACACACAAACCATGGCTTCTTCTTCTAACCAGTACGACGCCCAGGCATCGACCAACTACAAGGAGGCCTTCTCCCTGTTCGACAAGCGAGGAAACGGCCGCGTCACCCTCGACAGCCTCGGCGATCTGCTGCGCGCGTGCGGCCAGAACCCTACCCTGACTGAGATCCGGGATCTCGAGAAGAATGTCGGCGGAGACTGTGAGTAGCTGCATCACCTCCTTGCACCCCTTTTCTCGCATTGGGCAACAATGCGCGTGGCGCGCGGTGCAAAAGAGAAATGGCCAGAGAAGCGCATATCTCTCCGCGCACCCGACTCCCCAGAAGTCTCGAGGAGGCGCATTCTTCTTCAAGACTAGAAAAAAAGGCATGAGAACGTCAAATTTGCTAACCAATTCTGCTTGTTCCTTCCAACGCAGTCGACTTCGAGACGTTCCAGCGCGTGCTGAACCGCCCCGGCGGCTTCCGCGACCCGGGCGAGCCCGAGGAGTACTGCCGCGGCTTCCAGGTCTTCGATAAGGACATGACGGGCTTCATCGGCGTCGGCCAGCTCAAGTACATCCTGACCAACCTCGGCGAGAAGATGACGGACGACGAGGTCGACGAGCTGCTCAAGGCCGTCGACACCAGCTCCGGCCAGGTCAACTACACCGGTGAGTATTTCTGTGGCCCTACGGACTCCCCCCTTTTTGGACGAATACGCTTTTGCTGACGTGAGCTGTCTTTCTCTGTTTGCAGACCTTGTCAGGACGATTCTTGCCAACTAGAACTAGAGCGGTGTGGCGTGACGTGACGAGCGCGAAGCAGGGAGACCGAGGCGTACGACCCCGCAACGAGATGGAGCGTGCTCCGGAAATCATGGCATGCATTTTCGAACAGAAACAGGACAGGCGTTTGATTGTTTTGATACCGTTTTTATGAGATCGGGGTATGAATGGTTGTTTCTGCTGTTTATGATGTACGGAATATGGCATAGACATAGCAAACCCCAAATCTGCCACTCTTGAGAGGACCAGATTCGAGTCCCCAAATAGACTTTCGAGTCTTCTCTACAACAAATTGCCTTCCGTCGGTGTGGTCAAACTCCGGGAGTCAATGTCATGTACACAGCGGACCTATCCAGCACCGCTCCGGTCTCAACGCGCGACTTCTCCGCGACTAACATCTCTCAATTCGAGATGTGACCTTCGAAAACGAAGCTTGACTTGTCAAGACCCACTGGCATAGAGGCAGAAAGCCTGCAAGCGCTTATGGTTTTGTCATCACCGACACAACGCCCTGGCTTCCGCAGGAGTTGTATCGATCCTTCGCGGTCGATCCGATCCTCGTTAGGTTCAAGACAAGTGTACGGTGCTTACAAAGAATACAGTCTTCGGACTTTCGGACTCGGACTGACACTTGTGATCCTGCTGCAACGTTGGGCATCATACAATTCTGTAAGACAACACCTCTCGCCATATATGAGCATGTTCACTCTGCGATCAGTTTCGTCAAGCTACCAGAACATATTCTCGCATCTCAATACGGAAAACGGGTGGACATTGAGATCCATACAAGGCATCCTACACCATGGCATCAGACGACTACGTCTTCACGCGGGACTATATCGACAATAACCGGTGCGTCAATCTCCTGCATCCTACTCAGGAAGCCGGCTCTCTGTGCTGAAAATGCTCTCCTCAGGATCAACCTCCTGCACGGCCTGTGGACCAAGACCTGGGGCTACGTCCTCCATCCGAGGATCCCAACGGACAAGCCCGATCTACGTGTGGCCGATGTAGGCACAGGCACCGGGTGAGTTATTCTCCTCGTTCTGTATGCAGACTCGTGGCCGGCCCCTCGGGACTGAAGAAGTGGCTCCTTTCTACAGTATTTGGCTCTTCGACGTCCGCGAACAACTGCCGCCGTCCGCGCGCCTCGAGGGCTTCGACATCTCCTTCGACGCCGTGCCGCACGCCGCGACCCTGCCCTCCAACGTGTCGTTCCGCCACTGGAACGTCAAGGAGGACCTGCCCGAGGACCTGGTCGGCGCCTTTGACATCGTGCACGTGCGGTTCCTGGCCTTTGTCGTCCTGGACGAGGAGATCCGGGCCGTGGTGGACCGGCTCTTCAAGATGCTCAGTATGTAACTGCTCTGTCTTGTTGAATCCAGGCCCCTGGGAAACATGCTCAGGCCTACCTTGACTCACGTTCAAAACAAAACAAACAAGCTGACTCGTGGGGGGTTGCACCTCTCCCGCCCAGAGCCCGGCGGCTACCTCCAGTGGGGCGAGCCCGACCTGACGACCCTGCGCGTCGACAAGGCCGGCGACGACGTCGCGGCGGACAGCGTCGCGGCGCTGTTCGGCCTGTTCGGCACGCAGCAGGGGGACGCGCGCATGAGGCCCGGCTGGTGCGCGCAGCTGGGCGAGCACTTCTCGGCGGCGGGCTTCGCCGACGTGGCGGCCGACCGGCTCGAGCCGGCGCCGCACTGGTCGTACGTGTTCCACGAGGCCGGGCTCATGATGTTCGAGCTCATCATCCCGCGCAAGGAGGCGGGCGGCGAGGCGATGCGGCGCGAGGTGGAGCGCCTGCTGCCGCTGGCGGTGGCGGAGACGAGGCGCGGCGCGTGGGTGGCGTCGGTGAGGGTGTCGGTCGTCGGGAGGAAGCCTGCGGTTTGATGAGTGGCGGACGGACGGTGCCGTGGTTGTGTACGGAGACAAGTTTCCAAGAGCAACGGCCGGGCTGCGGTGCTGCGGCGGTCTGCTGATGGTCCTCTTTGCGGTCTAGGACCTATCGGCAGCCCGAGAGAGCATGTGTTTTCCTACATAGTAATGGTGACTCTGTGCCGGTAGGGAGCCTCGTAACTCATCGTAAGCCTGGCCAGAAAGCAGTCTCGACTTTCCAAAGGTGACGCAAATCATCTAGCCTAAGACAGAGAATCATCCTTGCCTCCAAGCGAACTCAGTTTGACTTCTGAAACTCTTCCAAAGGGCATGGAATCTTCTGTCTTATTATAGGTCTGCTTCCTCTTGACAATCGTAGCATGCCCGAGGCGTCGGGGTTCAGGCCAGGCTCTCGGTGACTGTTGCGCTTATAATTACTCCAGCTCCGGGATGGAGCAATGAACAGAGTAGCTGGGTCGAGTTGCCGTAGAGGGCTCCAGCAAGGTCCAGCCTCATTTTCACCACCCCAAGAGCCTCCCTGGGCATGCAGATCGTTGCGGGACTCGAGGCCGTGGACCTGAGAATTGTGCCTCGGGAGAATGGAGCTCACACAAGTAAGCCCGTTTGTATGATTGGAGGAACATTGAGGCATTCTCAATTCTCATCAAAGAGCCGAACGGGACAGTGCGTGCCAGCCAGCCTTTCGCAACGCACATGTGCGATGACGAGGTTTGGAATGGTTCACAATCCACAATGTCACAATGTTCACTTCACAATGGACTTGTCCGGGGCAACCCTCGGGCGGCCTGGGCGGGGCTCTGGGGGCACGGTCTAGCCTCTTGTAGCAGCCTTGGAGCTGAAACGAGCTCCGACGCTCCAATGGACATCTGCGAAACGCCCCAGCAACCCCATCAGACTGGAGGGCTGATCTATCCACATCCCCCCTCATGCAGGTCGCTTGCCTCGAACATTTGATCCTATCACAGCAAAACCCAAATCGCCCTGCAGCTTCCATTGCATTCAAAGCCGATTTCGCTCTTTTGATCGCCTACCAAGTAGACAAAGGCCCGTTGTAAGTTTGCTGTGGAGTCATGGTGGCAGTCATTTAGGAAGGATTGTGGATAAAGCGCCGAGCTGACTGCATACGACAGCTTTGAAGCTGCGCATCACTTAAGCAAAAGTCCAGGCCACCATCGCCATACTTGTCTTTCCCCTTCTTCCCCATAACACATCCTACCATCATCACACTGGACATTGATTCACCCTGGCGCCCAGAGTCGTGTCCCCGCCGTCGTCGAAGAGAAAGCGTGTGCCCTTCCTCTTCCTCCTCTCTCTCCTCTTCTTCCTCGTCACCGCCGCCATCCTGGCTGCCCCGCGCCTCACCCCGCGCCTCTCCGCCTTCTTGACCAGCGCCCGCTACCGCTTCGGATCCCCGTCCTCGAGCGGAGCTGCGCCCTTCTCGACCTCGGCCGTCAAGCCCTCCGCCTCGCACAAGACCTTGGCCTACCAGCCCATCTTCAGCCAGTTCCCCGACATGACGGCCGACAAGTACAAGAACCCGCCCCAGGCGCCGCCAGTCTTCACCGGCACCAAGGAGAGCATCGTCTCGGACGCCAAGGCCCTCTGCGACAAGACCCGCTCCCTCCTCGACAAGATTGTCGCCGAGATCCCTGCCGGGGATGCCTCCAAGGCCACTTTCGAGTCGGTCATGCTGCCGCAGCTCCACGACGAGAACGAGTCCGCCCTGACCTCCCGCATCCTCGGCTTCTACCAGTATGTCTCGGCCGATAGCGGGCTGAGGGACGCCAGTACCGAGGCAGAGAAGATCATGGACGAGTTCAGCATCGAGTGCGGCATGCGCGAGGATGTCTACAAGCTGGTCGATACCGTGTTCAAGGCCAAGGGCGGCAACGAGGGCCTGGAGAAGGCGTCGGACATTGACCCCGAGAGCGCCCGCGTCCTAGAGAAGGAACACAAGGGATACATCAAGGACGGCCTTGGTCTCCCGGCCGGCCCTCAGCGAGACAGGTTCAAGGAGATCAAGAAGCGCCTGAGTCAAATCCAGATTGCCTTCCAGAAGAATCTCAACGAGGAGAATGGTGGCATCTGGTTCACTCCCAAGGAGCTCGACGGTGTTCCCCAGGACGTCTTGGACAACCTGGAGAAGGGCACTGGCGAGAATGAGGGCAAGCTGAAGCTTTCGTTCAAGTACCCGGACCTCTTCCCTACCCTCAAGTTTGCCAAGAACCCCGAGACTCGTCGCAAGGTCTTTGTACAGAACGAGAACAAGGTTCGTGAATCACATAAAGACACGCTGTATGACTCTGGATCTAACTCTGGCATCTGCAGTGCAACATGAATGTCCCGCTCTTCAAGGAGGCCCTGCTCCTCCGCGACGAGGCGGCCCGCCTTCTCGGCTACCCCAACCACGCTGCCTTCAAGATCGAGGACAAGATGGCCAAGACGACCAAGACTGTCGATGACTTCTTGGGAGACCTGCGCGTCCGTCTGGCACCCGGCGGCGTCAAGGAGATCGCCCACCTCCGTGAGCTCAAGAAGGCGGATGTCGAGTCTCGTGGCGAGAAGTTCGATGGCGACTACTTCCTGTGGGACCACCGCTTCTACGACCGCCTCATGATTGAGAAGGAGTACAGCATCGACGAGAACAAGATTGCCGAGTACTTCCCGCTCCGGTCTACTGTGGCTGGTATGCTGAAGATCTTCGAGCAGCTCTTTGGCTTCGTCTTTGTTGAGCTGGGCCCCGAGGAGCGCGCACGCTTGAGCCCCACGGGCAAGGCCGAGGACATTGCCTGGCACGAGGATGTCATCATCTTCAGCGTTTGGGATGACGCCTCTGAGGGCGACGGCTTCGTCGGCTATCTCTACCTAGACCTCCATCCCCGCCAGGGCAAGTATGGCCACGCCGCCAACTTCAGCATCTCGCCGGGCTACCTGCAGCGCAACGGCACCCGGCGCTACCCGGCCACGGCGCTGGTCTGCAACTTCAGCAAGCCGACGCCCACGAAGCCGTCTCTGCTCAAGCACGACGAGGTCGTGACTCTGTTCCACGAGCTGGGCCACGGCATCCACGACCTGGCAGGCCGGTGCCGCTACTCGCGGTTCCACGGCACGTCGACGGTGCGCGACTTTGTGGAGGCGCCGAGCCAGATGCTGGAGAACTGGTGCTGGACGCCGTCGCAGCTGCGGTCGCTGAGCGGGCACTACGAGACGGGGGCGTCGATCCCCGACGAGCTGATCGAGAAGCTCATCTCGACCAAGCACGTCAACGACGCGCTGTTCAACCTGCGGCAGCTGCACTTTGGCATCTTCGACATGACGGTGCACACGCCCGCGTCGCACGGGGAGCTCGAGGCGATGGACGTCAGCGCGCTCTACAACGACCTGCGCGTGCAGATCAGCGGCATCCGGGGCCCCGAGGCGCAGGGGGAGCCGAGCACGTGGGGCAACGGGCAGGCGTGCTTCGGGCACCTGATCGGGGGTTACGACGCGGGCTACTACGGCTACCTGTCGTCCGAGGTCTACTCGGCCGACATGTTCCACACGGTCTTCCGGCAGGACCCCATGAACGGCGCCGAGGGCCGGCGGTACCGGCACACGGTGCTCGAGCGCGGCGGGGCGCAGGACGAGATGCGGACGCTGGAGCAGTTCCTGGGGCGGAAGCCGAGCACCGAGGCTTTTTATCGGGAGCTCGGGCTCGACGACGCTGCTGCCAAGGCCAAGGCCAAGGCTTGACTAGATGGTGGTGCTGATGCCATCAGGGGGAGGTTGTAGGTTGGTGGTTGTGTGCCTATGTATGTAGGTAGGTAGGTAGGAACAAGCGTGCAATGATAGGATGTATCACGGACGTGGTGTGTATGTATGAACCTGCCTATGTGGCTTGTGATTGACTACAGAGTACGTGCATTTGGACTGTCGTTCAGACAGAAGCTGGTCTTCGGACTGGGTAACAGAGAACACGGGCACTCGTTGGGTCTTCCAAGTTGGATTTGATGCGTGCACTGACTGACGTTGCAATGGCCGCCCACAACGGGCGGGGCGGGATCTACTTTAGCGCATCTCAGGTGTAGCCACCACCCCGTAAAGTAAACAAACGCGCCAGCGTGGGCCAATAACACGACGCGCCCTGGGGTAAGCCATTATCGATCCCACCATTTTCGAGTACCGGCGCCCGGCGCCGATGTACCATCCAAAATAACAGTCCAAAAACCAAACAGTCTTTGGTCCCAGAGATAAAGTCAAGCTGTCATAGCTGCAAGTTGCCTCTTGGTTCCCTGCCGGCGACATATTGAGAACTCCAGGTGTCTTTTTTCATCTTGCACTTTGCTTTCACGCGCGCTACACCACCCCGCCCTCGACAGTCGCGCCTTCTTGCGCGCAAGGCGACGACGCGCACCGAGCCTCTCGATTTCCAGATCTCGTCACCCATTACCCCCCCCCCCCCCCCCCCAAAAAAAGCCCCGTTTGTAGAGCAGCATTGCTGCTTCAATCTCCCCAGCACTATGGCTGCCGAGGAGATGGACGACCAATACTTCATCTACGAGAACCGCCTCTCGTCTTTCCACGGCCCTCAGCCGGTGCACAAGCGTAGGGCGTCCACCGCCGGATCCAGAGCCCCGAAAGCCCTGACATGGCCTCACAAGAGCATTGCTGCCGCCGATGTATGTATATATACCTTGATCTTTGGTGCTCAGACAACGACGCGCGTATGCCTTCGCGGCGGGTGCTGACACAACTCCTGGTGGCGAAGATGGCGCGAGCAGGGTTCTATTTCAACCCGAGACCCAGCAATCCCGACAACGTCGCCTGCTTCTTGTGTCGCAAGGAGCTCGACGGGTGGGAGGAGGACGACGAGCCGCTGGTGGAACACCTGAAACACTCGCCCGACTGTGGATGGGCCATCTGCGCGGCAATCGAGGTCGAGCTGGGCGACGTTGCCAGGGAAGACCCGCGCCAGCCTCACCTGCTCGAGGCGCGGAAGGCGACCTTTGCTGGCCGCTGGCCGTACGAGGGCAAGAAGGGGTGGAAGTGCAAGACCAAGCAGGTACGTTTGCCGTTCCAGTATTTGCTGCTGTGGCGATCGACGGTACATGGAAGGCACTGACGACCGATGCAGCTTGCCGAAGCAGGGTGGAAATACACGCCTACCCTCGAGTCTGACGACCATACAACATGCGCCTACTGCCAGCTCGCACTCGATGGCTGGGAACCTGGCGACAAGCCGATGTACGTGTCCCTACCATCCACCCCATTGTGTTTGCTCACATATACTCACATGATACCAGGGACGAGCATCAGAGGAGATCCCCAGACTGCCCGTACTTTGCTCTCATCAGCCAAGGTCCCGCTCCCAAGAAGACCGCACGCGGCAAGGCAGCACGATCATCAAAAGCATCGCGCATGTCCATCCAGTCCGTTGCGACCACTACATCAGAGGCACCATCAGTCTCTGAGCTTGCCGCCGACCACGAGGACAGCATCATGACAACGACGTCAGTAGCGACGGCGGGTGGCCGGAAAGCGCCCAAGGGCCGAAAGGCCGCGGGTACCGCAAAGGGCAGAAAGACGCGAACCAAGAAGGAAGATGCAGTCGAAGTCCACGAGGACGCCGAAGCCGAAGCAGAGATGCCTCCGCCGCCCAAGCCCACCAGAGGCCGCAAGCGAGCTAGCGAGGCGGTTGAAGACTCTGTCCTTACCAACGCCGAGGCTCCAGCACCGAAGAAGCGTGCGACGAGGGCAAGAGCTAGTCACGCTGCCGACACGTCTGTCATGACCAACGCCGCTGCCGAGCCCGACGTCGAGATGACAGAAGCCGCACCCGCCAAGCCCAAAGCCACTGGAGGTCGTAAGAAGGGAAGAGCGTCTACTACGAAGCGCACTCGGAAGGGGTCTACCGCTTCTGTCGCCTCGACGGCATCTACTGCGTCACTCCGAGCAGGAGCTCCCGATGACGAAGAGCTCGAGCGGCAATTGCAAGAGGACATGGACCGGCCGCTGACAGACGACGAACACATGGCCATCGACTCTGATTCCGAGAGGAAGAAGGCGCCTCAGCCGACCAAGACGAAAGGAAAGCGGGTCGTGTCCAAGAAGATGGCTGCCCAGAAACACGAAGAGGCGAATGAGGACTTTGCCATGTTTAACCCTGCCCCGGCTGAGCCTGATGAGGCGCAGGTGGACGCCGAGCTCAAGGCGCTTGAGGCGGAGATGCAGGTCGACGAGGAGCCCCAGGAGATTAAGGTTCCCAAGAAGGGTCGCAAACCTGGTGTGCGCAAGGCGTCCAAGCAGACGAAGAAGCAGACGGTGCCAGAGCCCGAGCTTGAGCCCGAGGGCGAGGTGGAACTGGTCGAGCCGGAGCCGATTCCTGAGCCTGAGCCTGAGCCCGTAGTTGAGCCCGAGATCACTGAGGACAAGCCGGCCGAGCCCGAGATCCCTGTTGACCATGATATCAGCATGGCGAGTACGGACACAGTCGTCAAGGGTGGAGCGGGCGGTCGCCTGAGCAATGGCAAGCGGGGACGTGGACGCCCGCCAAAGAAGTCTAGGGTGTCGGAAGAAGATGAAGCTGAAGCTGCTCAACAACTGGTACAGGAAGCGGCAGAGGCCAAACCACCTGTCGAGCAGGCCGCGCCAGAGCCACGGGGTCGAGGCCGTCCGAAAAAGATATCTCGAGTGTCGGAAGTCATCATCGAGGACCGCTCAAGATCAGCATCGCGAGAACCCCCCCAACCAGAGCCGGTTGCAAAGCAGGTGCCCGTCAAGGAGCCAGCGAAGAGGGGCAGGAAGTCGGGATCTGCTGCCGCGGAATCTCAAGCTCAGGCTGCTTCAGTACGCTCCCCTCCTGTCGCCACCACACCGGCCAAGATGCACAAAGCTCTTCCAAAGCTGCCGGTTGAAGCGGAAGCCCCTGCCACCCCTGGCAAGAAACAAATCACGCCTGCACATTCCGCCAAACAAGCTACTCTTTCGCCATCTCAGTCACCTCAGTCGTCGGACGCCGAGAATCGACCACCATCCTCAAAGCCCGCGTCTAGCGCAAAGCGACCGGTTCTTGCTACGTTGGAGACATGCACGCCGGTGCGGGATGGCTCGCCCTCCAAGCGCGCCAACGTTATTGGCGGCCTACAGAGCACTACGCCGTGGACCACTGTGGACCTGGAGGCCGTGTTCAGCATGGACGAGAGCAACAACAAGGAGAATGGGGACATCGTCGCCCGCATGCTGGCCAAGGGCAGTGACCTGGCGTCGCCGGAGCGCCTGATGACGGTGGAGGAGTGGATCTACCACAATGCAGGAAAGGCGGAGCAGCAGCTCAAGCACGAGTGCGAGACCATGGTCAGCGCCTTTGAGAAGGAGGGTTCGCGGGCGATGAGGGTCCTGGAGGGGATCGTCGTCGATTAATGGATTGATGCATGGACGGATGGACTTATGACACTTGGCAATTGTACAGGGGTGTCAGAGATGATTATGGGCCGGCAACCAGGGAATTCCGACCATGCGTCGTGAGGGTGATGAAGGATAATTATGACATGGGGACTGGGCTCTCGGTGGGGATGGCGTTTTTTGTGTGTAGATGGGACTTGGTGAGGGATTGTTTTTTTGCCCTTTCCCTCTGGCGATTGTACGAGATAATGGGATCATGGGCCTTGAAAAGATAGATGCTCGGCATTGAGCGCATGATGATCTTCCTTCTCTTGCTTATCGCTGCATGTTGTGCTTGCCTGGCTTTTTGGTCATCTTTCTTGTGCTGACATTACTGAGCAGACCGACTACAGTGGATTTATGGCAAGGACCATGGATGAAGCACACAAACCGACATGTCACGGATGGCTGGTGCGGATTGGGGGAGTTGTTGTTGTGAGAGGCTCCATCGCGAGCAGGGGGTCGGGGGGCCAATGGCGGTCAACCGTGCATGAACCACAACTCACCGTCTCCCACCACCAAGGAGCGGTCAATCCATTCGTTTTAGGCTCGTCCCGTTCGTCACCAAGCCCCAATGAGGAAGGACGGGCATGCCATTCTTGCAAAAAGAGGCATGGTTTGAGAATGCCAACCACGCGGTCCCAAGGTTGCCTCTTCACGAAGGATTGCCGGCCGGTGCGGCCCACACACAGTTGGCTAGGCCGTCTGCACCTGGGCTTGGCTTGCAGGGGTCGCGAGATGCACTGGCGCCCAACGAGCGGTGTCGAGGCCCCCCCTCGACCGGACGAACGACGGCGGAGCGATGCGATGGCCTGTCAATTATGGGGAAAGTGCCACTGGGTAAGGGTTTCTACGGAAAGCGGTGGCCGGAATGGGATGGCTGGGCCCATGCAGCTCGCAAGCAGGTGGCAGCTGTCTATTGGTCGTTGACAGGGAGTCTACTTTCGACATGGACGACGATGGTCAGTGAGTGGGGAGAGGGAGGAGGGAGGAGGGAAAGGAGAGAGCGGTGACGGGGAGGGCGGCGGGCGGCGGATTGTGGATATCGTCAAAGCCCGCCGTGCTTGTCGTCTGCATACAAAAGGGCGGCCTGCCGGGTGTCTATGTCTCTTGTCTGAAGTTTTGGTTTCCCCAACCGACCTCTCTGGGATAACCAGAGGGCAAGGGGACACGATCAGTCTCCTTTTTTTTCAAACGACCTTTTCCCCGACAAAACTTCACGCCTGGTGCGGAACCCACCCCCACGACATGGACCTCCCGATCTGTGCTACCGTCTCCGTGCTGGAGATGGCGGCGCTCGTCGGGGTCCAGGGCTCCTCGTTTGTGCTGGCCAGCACGACCAAGCTGCAGTTCCTGTGGCTGTTCTTTGGCCTTTTCTTTGTCCAGTCGATGCTGGTGCAGACGTTCTACGTCCTTGTCCAGCCTTTGTTCTTTTCTTCGCCTGCTATGAGTCTGCCCGAGTCAAAGGTACGGGTTGATGTCCCTTTGTTCCTCCCCCTTACCACCCCCCATTCGATGGGTCTGTGTCTGTGTGTGTGTGTGTGTGTGTGTGTGTGGAGAAAAGAGGAAATACTGACAAGGCGGGTGCAGAACGACAATGTCGTCCTCGACAACACGGAGCTGCCCACCTCGGCCGACGGCGTCGACGCGCGCAAGCATGTCTCCCAGACACGCTGCGACTCGCTCCAGAAGCCCGGGTTTTCCGCCGGCCACCAGCTCATCAGCACGATTACCTGCCCGGGGATGCTCTTCCCGGAACGGCAAGAGTTCAGCAACAACATGCAGCGCAGGATGAGCTTTAGTACTCTCCTTCGGCCTTCCAGTGCCTGGGGATAGCACGGACTTACATCGACCTCTTTTTTATGACGTCTCGCCATTGGGACACTACCCTCCCCGTTCCGCCTCCTGGACAGACGGTTGTTCTTTGCCTTGGGTTCTGATTCGGACTGGTGGGAGGATATACGTGTGTGGAATGTACCGCCACTCTCTTTCTACCTACTCGGTCTGATGATCACTCTGGTATACACCCGTGGTTTCCTCTTTCTCCTTTTTGTTTCTTTCCTGGATCTGTGGCGGCGATTAGTAGCAACCGGACGGTCAGGCGAAGATATACAGCTCGACGATTTCGGTGGAAGCGAAGGTTGGAGCTTGGATTTGGGGAGAATTGGAGAGATTGGAGACCCGACGGAAGGGATGGGAAGGAAAGCCGTACTGGAAGGCGATGAGCCTTTGCAGTCACGGACAAATGGTTTTGATTGCTCAAGATCCTGCCGATCTTGGGTGGTTTGATTAATGATGATGGTACAAGAAAGATATGATGGGTTCGACGCTTATCCCTCTAGTACTGGGCTTCACAAGGTTCGAAGCCGGGGAACGAGATTACACTGCTACATGTTGTTTCTTTTGTCAGACAGGGAGTAGGGATGGATCACAGATACTTTTTCTCATGACTAGAAAATGAATGATGATGACATATCTTACGAGAGAAATGGTTCGATTTGCCTCGTGCAGTGCAGCCAGCCGCGTTGACTCTTTCTTGTGACACTGGAACTCAGTGTCAACAACTTTGTCTTTTTGTTGTGTCTGACGCCCCGGGAACTCAAAATGCGTATGTTTAATAGGCGGCCCGTTTGCTGCTGTCATCGCATGAGCTTTGATGAGTAATTGTTCCACAGTCAAATCATGAGGTTTAAATATAGCCTCATCTTCGTCTCAGGTGTGGTACATTGTAGAAACAGGGAGGGTTTTGTTTGCAAGGCATGGAGACCATTTGGTGCTTATGCCCATGTCTGTTTGTTTAGCAAAGCGGCCATTTGCGCTTCCTCCCGTTAGCAAAGAGCCAAATCGTCTTCAGATTTTCATCAAACGTGCCATTTGACTCAATATGGAAGCAAACACGGAGAACTGACTCCTCATATACAAAGCAGAGGATCTCGTGGAGAGTCGGAACAGTCCAATATCATCTTCAAAATTTCGAATACTGCTTCAGAAAACTCCCATCACCCTCACATGGGTATGAATTAAGGTGTCTTTTCGTTGCCTCAAAGCATTTTCAACTCAAAGCCCATCAAGATGCAGAATGACACGGATACCCCATCCCAAGCTCCAGGGCCTCCTTCCAACACAAGCCTCGCATTGAGACCGCGAGCCCAGAATAGTGAAAGCGAATCTTCATCACGAACACTCTCGGGCTCTGCTCTGCACTCCCAGCCGGATGCACCTGAACCAACTGCGCCTGGTTTGCCCGACGATGAATTTGAGCGAGAGGAGCCAATCTTCATCTACCAATTCCGGGTGTTCAACCTGTGCACCAAGACTCTCTTCCCTAGTGTCAGCCTCGACAACCTCGAGGTTGACGAGGTTGGCAGTGGTGGCTACAACCGCATCATCAAGATCACTGCCAAATACGAGGAAGGAGAGTCGAGGGACGCTCAGAGTGTAATCCTTCGTGTTCCCCGCTACGAAGAGAATGAAGAAGTCGAAGACGTGGTCGCCATCTCCCGGTTCCTCCAGCGCAAGATCCGCATCCCCACGCCGCGAGTACTCGCCTTTGATGTCGGAAAGGACAACGTCCTGGAGTCGGCCTATACCGTCATGGAGTTCGTCCCGGGAATCACACTGGAGTCAGTTTGGCCCCGCCTCTGCCAGCGTGCTCGCTTCAGAGTCGCATCCGAGCTCGGAGAGTATGCCAGGCTCGTTCTCCAGTGCCGCAGCAGCGCGGCGGGAAGGGTCGCCGCCGCCGATACCGTTGACGAAATCTGCCTGGCCAACTACCCGGGTCCGCCCTGGGAAGAAGAGCGTCCCAAGCTCAGCAGGCCTTACCGCAACGCGCCCCCGGAAATCTCGGTCCTGGACACGCTCATGGAAGACTTGAGAGAAGCGGAGGCCCGGGCCCTCGGCAGCGAAGATCAGGTGCTGGCGCTGCTGTTCAGGCAACTGATGAACATGGCCGAGGAGATGGATCGTAGGGGATTCTTCTTCGACCACTTCTACTCACTCACCCACGTGGACTTCCAAGCGCGGAACATCATGGCCGACATCAAGCTAGGCCAGACAGAAGGCCTGGTCTCTGCAATCATCGACTGGGACGACGCGATATTTGCGCCCATGATACTGGCCTGCGCACCGCCCGTGTGGCTCTGGAACGACTGGGGACCGGCCGATCTGGTGGAGAGGGCTGACAACATTGAGCCGACGACTGCCGAGTACAAGGAGATCAAGGAGGCTTTTGATACTGCTGCCGGAGAGGACTATAGGAGGTGGGCATACGGGGATGGGTATCGACTGGCAAGGAGACTGATACGCTTTTCCATCGAGGGGGTGCGGTGGAAGCGGGACTGGACTGAGGCAGAAGAGATGCTTGAGGAGTGGAGGGTCATGTACCAGACCAGGGTCTACTCTCCTTCGTTTTGAGGTTCCAAGGGGGCGGCTTTCTCTGGTCTCTTTGCTAGAATGTATCATGGAATTGCTATTTGCTTTGAAGCAGTGAAAGATGGCTGGGGTTTCAAATTGATGGCGAGCCTGCGCACGTCCTCTGCCAATGAAAGCGGCTGTTGCCGAGACATGTACCAATAAATTGTAATATTCAAGGACCAAACTTTATTAATACCCAGCCCGTTTTCAAGGCCAGGGAGTTTTATTAAGAGATTAAGAGCCTTGCGAATGATGCAAGTCAGGATGAGTTATTTTCTGCGTGCTGCATAGACCTGAGCTGATTCGCAGTGCTGACATGGCTCGCTGACCAGGTGGACTTGCCTATGTGTCACGCATAGGATCTGGTGGGCAGTGCAATATCCAAATTTCCTAATCCCTCGACAATTCCCCTTGCTCCTCCCGGGGCAGTGATGTCTTGCACTGGCTCCGAGCCTGCCCATGTTGACTCGCGTCGCTGGTTGTCTGAAAGGAAAATAATAATTCGTCTTCGGTATTCGTAGTGTTGTGGGAGTACATCGATGTCGACTTGTGCTATTGTGGTTCTTTCTAGACTTACATCCTCCAGCCAGGGCTTTTATACGCGAAGGCTCGTAGCCCTTGCAAAGAAACAATCTTCATAATGTCTTTCGACGGGTTCGTCGACATGGCGAAACAAAGGTACAGTCCTTTGCGAAGTAACAAAGCGACTCCACGCGCGAGGAATGTTTCAAGTTCACTTGTGAGACTCCTTTGTTTTCTCACTCGAAGAAAGAAAAAGTATCTTGGGCCTGGGGTATGCAGATGGTCACACTCACTAGGGGATTGTCATCTGTCTTCACAAGTCTTGTGTGCACCCACATACTTCCTATTTCTGGACACAATGCACTGCAGATAGACTTTCGCGTGGGAGAACACAAAGGAATGTGGCACATCATGTTTCTAACATGTTGCTATTTTGAGAAACAGGTTGCTGTTGTGGAAATGGCCTCCTACATGTACCATGACAGCAAGAGTACGCAATGCCTTGCAATATGGCACATGTGGTACATGTCAGAGATAACCACTGGTAATACACGTTTTGGATGATTCAGAAGAAGACATGAAAAATTGCTGATATGAGAAAGATTTAATTATTGGAAAACCCTTAACCCCGAGTCTTGAGTATGCATAGTCTATGAAATGGTAGATCTCTACCAATTCGAAACCAATGTGACGACAGAACGAATACCCCGAGCCCATCCAGGAGAGTGGCGTCTCTATCACTCCCAGGCGTAGAACCATTTCGCAGCTGACATGGCCTTCTCAAGCAATCCCGGGGCCGGCTTTGGAAAGCGGGAATCGTACAGAGCCGCCCACTCCGTTAGCATCGCCTCGGCCTCCCTGTAATGCTCGTTCGTGACGAGACCCTCGTATGCGAAACGGGTCAGTCTTCGGGCAAGCCGATTCGCGTCGCCATACGCCCACCTCTTGAAATCTGGTCCGGCGGCGTCCTCAAAAATTTGCTTCAATTCCCGATTCTCTTGGGTCTTCGGGACGTCGTTGGCATAATATTCATCGTCCTCCTCGTCGTCCTTCCAGTCCCAAATCCATTGAGGCGGAGAACATGTCGAAAACATGGGGGCAAAGACGGCACCATCCCAGTCAAGAATGGTAATCTTGACGCCTTCGCCCTCTGTGTCGGGAGTGGCCATGACGTTTCGTGGCTGGAGATCCGTATGGACGATCGAGTAGAAGTGGTCCCGAAAGCAACCCATCTTGTCAAGCTCGGCAGTCATTCGGATGAATCGATCCAACGTGTCCTGCGTGTAGAAGTTGAGTGGAAGCTTTTCCAGGAACCGCGACTTGAGAAAGTCGAAGCGTGCCGTCAGCATGTCCTTGATCGACCAAGCTGGAGGCTGGCCATGATGGTACGGCGTGTGAAATATCGGATAGTCTGAGTCCCAGCTCATGTTCTGGAGGCTCGACACGAACAGCTCTGGGCCCAGGCCCGAGTTCAATCGGCCTGGTACGGCGCTGCGCAGCTCCAACATCTCCCTATATGCCTGGCCCAGCTGCTCAGCAACACTGCATCGCTGCTGGTGAGTGAGGTGCGGATAGGTCTTCGTCAAGGTCTCTCCAGGGATGCGTGCGTGGACTGCGTACGGGCAAGCGATAGGATTATCGTATCCCTTGTCAAACGAGAGCACGCGCGGAACAGGGATTGAGGTTCTATCAGCGACAAACTCGAGAATGCCGACGTCATGTTCGAGTAGGTCTTCGTCCATCCGGGGGATGCGCAGAATAACGTTGAAATCTTCCTCGGATTCGGTCTCAATCGTGACTCCAATGACGCGGTTGAAGCCACCACCCTGCATGCGCTCGACTCTGATCGTGCTTGCAGAGTAGCCCGGAATCCAAAACTCGGTGTTGAAAAGGTCCACCACCCGAGACTGGAAAGTCTCGAAGGCTTCGTGCTCCCATTCAGCGGTGGAGGAGTCTGAGACCTGCGACATTGATGTGGCGGAATACTGAGATCCAGAGCTCGTTGTTGACGGCATGATGAAGTTGCGTGATTGTCTGGTTCGAGTTAAGGAGGTACTTTACAGTGATTGGGGCAGTCTTTTGCGGCCAAGTCTTCGTGTTTGGTTTGTTAGAAGATGATTTTCGAGTAAGTCCGTAGGATGTTGCCGCGTTTGTCGCTTTTATAGCAAACGGCGTTTGCAATTCTTTGTTTGAACAGATTAGTCTGTTCGTGTCCCACCGAAACAGATAGGCTCAAACCAACAAAGAAGCAACTGTAGATCGTGCGGGAAACAGCCTATGCCGCCCTGCCTGGCTATCTTTGTCATTCAAGTAATAGAGTGCTTTGTTGATTCCCGGTTATTGAACTTGATTGTCTATGTGCATTACGGGATGTTCTAGGCTGCCTGCTTTCATTGTCTCTCTCGAACTCGCCAAAAATACCATCTGTTCAGCATTGAACCACATTGTGGCTGAGTTGCCATTGTCTCCTCAAATCCTATTACATTCTTCCTTCTCTGTCTTGTCTGGGCTTTTGCTTTGGATACAGTAGCGAATCAGTGACGAAATGCAATTGACTAGTTATTATCTGCGGCAGCGCTGCGTCTCCCTCAACGCACGTACCAACCCTATGGAACCCAATCACAAGCGCGTCCGAACGTGCCAACCCGCCCATCTCCACGGTCACATGGGCTAGACGCTCAACTGTTCCCCTGATCATGAATTTTTATCAAAAACACCATCACCAACACAACGCAACACCACATCATGATTCGCCATTTATCGCAGAATTCTGCCTGGCGCCGCATGGTCCGGCCTATAGCTATAGGCCAGCGCTACCTCTCGACACAAGTGTCCCACACGTCTTTCCCTGCCACGCTGCTGCACTACTGCCCGCGCCAACGAGTGCGGCTGTACGACCACGCCGAGTCCGACGATCGACCGGACGATCTTGTTGACGAGAGCGCCATCGTAGAGAAGAACGGTCTCGTGTATCGGGAACCCCCCACAAGCCATGGTCAGTGGGCACCATGCTCCACAGACCCTGCAACTTGACGTCTACTGACCTGAGAGCGCTAAAGTTTCAAACGGTGCTGTCCTGTATCCTAATACCTTTATGATGCAGGAGTTCATCCGCATGTACTATGATGAGATGCTTGATCGTGAAGATGAGGGCAAGGAGGTTGAGACGCCCTACATCTTTACTATCAGACGAGGTTCGATCCGCTCATGTACGATATAACCTCGCAGACGAGCTAACAAGCAATGCTAAGGAACACCTATTCCTAGCCATCTCATTCTGATCAATGAATACATGTCGCGATTTTCTCTCCGACCAGCACAAGCCTTGCCGCTTCAAGGTAAGCCCGGCTCCTGACCACATGCAGGCCAAAAGCTAGTGTCACTGCTAAAATTCTGTGTGCCTAGATCTTAATCAAGCTCTCAACGAATTCTTCGACAAACATGCTAAGAAGGAGACTGCGAGTGGCTGGTTGGACAATCATCCATTCCAGAATGCCGTTGCCGATGACGCCCTGGCAGTGTGGGGAAGTCACTGAACTGTAGAGAGACCTTCAGCCTGCGAGTGTGCCTCACGAGATGTATCGATCCTGGCTGAGGCGCGCGCATAATCCTAGCCCACTTTCAAGTCAAGTAGTTTGTGAAATCCAATCGTCAGCGCCTTGTTGGTTAATGGCCGTGAAGTTTGATAGAACCAACATGTATTTTCTTGTTTGCATCGCAGACATCCCCTGGGGCTCTCAGTCCGCTGCTCGAAGACTGCTCTCGTCAGGTGCTGAGTCTGTCACTCAAGGGCGAGATATATAAACCCCGAACAGCACCCGAGGTTTGTTGATGTGGCCTGAGTTCTAAAGTTCCCATCATGCTTAGGGACAACGCTCAGTCTGTGCGCACCTACCCCTCTTTTGCCTGCCCCTTAAAGGGCCAGCGCTCCCCTAAAAATTTTCGTCACTCGGAATTCTCAGGGCAAAGACGCCTCAAACCCATCCATCCCAGCCCCGTTTTATGACCTTGACGTAGTATCTTCACCAAGAATAACTTGACATCGACTTTTCTTGTGTCCGCGAAATGTCGGCTTCACGGAACCTTATTTCTGTGTTCAGGCAGTTCCCCAAGGAGCTGTTTCGAGTCAATGATGGCTTCCAGGTGAAGCTACGTGCTTGGACACCACAGCGCCGAGTGTATGACATTCATGTCGAGAACGGATTGGTGTTGCCAAAAGCACTCAACGGATCCACATACATAGGTAGATTGGTTTCCGTGTCGTTGTTGTTGTCAACCCACATGGACTAACCGTCGCCGTCAGCTCCAAATGGCGCTTCTATGCGGCCTAATTCACCATATCAACAGAGTCTAGTGTCGGGCAGATTTCGAGGCAACAATGTAGTCGTCTATTCTATCCCTGAAGGTAAACACAGGTCCCAATACAAATTACAGGGCGTTACTTTGCATGGCCCGGCGCCCAATTGTACACATTGCAGGCTGCTGAAGAATCTTTTAGGCACGAACATACCCGAAGACCTGATCCTGGTGCATGAACGATCAGATCATTATTCACTTCAACCGGCAAAGTCCATGACGCTCGATGGTAAAGTATACTGCTGAACACACTTGAGCGAAGCCCGCTCAACTAACTCTGCACAAGACCTCAACAGAAAGATCACGCACTTCATGAGAGTCCATGGCATTATGTTTACAAGGGCACAATGGCTTGAGGCTTACCCCAGGGCGACAGAAGCTCGTAGTTGATCAACCGAATTGGCAGTAAGGGACTGAGTCACGGCAGTGGGGGCGATCTCGGCTTCAGTGGCATTAAAGATTAACTACGAGAGCCGTCGAGTGGATGGATTCAATACGTGAGCACAAAAGGATGGGTCTTGAAATCCCCGGGAGGATACACGCCGCAGTGCGTAGGTGAAGGGGGAACCGACTTAAGCACTGGGAGCCAATGATAATTGGAAAGGAGGATAGCAAGAATATCACTATACTCAGCGACGAAACTCAAGCACACGAAAGTCCATTTTCGTCTTTGGGGGTGAGCTCGTGTTATAGTAATATTATAGATATAAAGTAGTTCTTATCTTAATATAAAGTATACTTAACAAAAGTAATAATAGAGATTTATAGAAAGAGGAAAATAATAACTAAAGAGAGGAATAGTATCTATATAATTTTAGAGAGTCTATATAAAGGGGCTATATTATAGAAGTAGCAGATTAAGAAACTTAATATAGAGAAGAAGCACTATAAAGGCAGGCTTAGTATACTGGCCTAGCTAGACCAATCTTCAGCAGAGTATCTATTTATCTACTGGGGACAACAGATCTCAAAGATCAGCTGTATGGTCGGAGAGTTCAGACCTTGAAGTTGAACTGCAAGGCCTGTTTGATTGAGCAATTAAACCAGAATCTCAACCGCTACCTACCAGCCATCATGCTAGACCAGGATCCTAGATGGCATTCTCAGAAACTAGAGCACCCTTTTCGCGACTAGGCCGCGAAGAACTGGTATGAGCATGTGATCAGGTCTTCTGGATCCGGACAAGCAGGAGATGGCATTATTGAAGCAGTCTCTGGGCTCTTTCTGATTCAAGACGTACGAAGTCGTAGGTGTGTATCTGTTGGGCCAGCCTATACTGTGGCATCCCGCCAACCAACCCACTTCATCTTACCGCAAGACTAGGGCTCACTGGGTACGTGTAAGCTCTTTGCGAAGGGAGTCGTGATGAAATCAACGACCGAGATGGCATTGGCACCACCCCGCTATGGCACGCCGCAATTTGTGGTCATGCCGATACTGTTCGCGTGCTGGTCCAGGCAGGCGTTGACCCTCGCAAGCGAGATGCAGACTTTGGCTTCATACCACTAGACGAGTGTTGCAATGCAAGGATATGCAGATGTTGCAAGAGTACTGCTTGAGGCCGGAGTCAACCCACTCTCAGAAAGGAAATACGACCTTGGAATGCAGTACGGAAACGCGGCTATGGCCATACGCCAATCACCTCTCAGGGTAAGCTGACTGACTACCTGCCTTGCATCACGTGTACCGATCTTGAACTGACCGGATGCGGATCAGTATGCCTGCATTAATGGCCACGTTGAAGTTGTAGACGCCTGCGCGCTCTCTTGTGGGCTGTCCTAGCCCGGAGACCCAAGGTCGTCTCTAGACTCCTCCGATATCCAGAAATTGACATCGATGGATATTACTTCTCCTCCTCCTCCTTAGCCCGACCCCGTCTAGCCCTAACCCGACCCAACTGCTAATATAGGACCCCTGGCCGAATGCTCCTTATAAACCCTTCCTGGGCAAGGCTTAGCCTCGGGATCTGTCTGTCATCGGCCTGCATCTCATGCTCAGCATACCGCGCAATCAGCTGCTCCATTTCATAGGGGCTGTCATTTTCAATTCTTTGCCGCACTGTGCTTTGTTTGACACGGTCACTAACCTCGGCCTCAACGGGTCGAGGTAGGATCTCTCCATAACGTAGTCTATCATGCTGCCTAATTGAAAGCGCCTCCTGAATGCTGCTGTTAGTGCTTTCGCCTTGTAGCAAGGGTGCTTCAAGGGCTCTTGCGATCTCAAACGCGTCCAACGACATGTCGCGGCCGAGATGATGCCAATTCAAGAGAAGAAAACCAACAATGAGTGCCTGTATAATCATGCAAGCCAGCGTGATGGCCAGATACTCATAGTGGCTGTTGTATGCGCTCGAAACCTTGGTTACTTGCATTGTCAGCTGCTGGGGCAACCCTGCGGTTCTGTTGTAGTCTGAGTACGCAACGGCGCTGCGCAGCATCAGTTCACGGACTGTGTTGATGATATCGGTGGTAGGATCTCCCCATGTCATGTTGCATCTGCTGTATGTTGACATATCTGAATTCAGGTAATGACTGGCAGCCCTTTCCGTGCCGTTGAAGAGGTAACCATTCGTCGTCACTCCGATACAGAGGGCGAAGTGTGAAGCATAGAGTGAATTCACCACAAAGAAGATGCCCCCGAGCATGGTCTGAAACCCTCCCGCTCCGACGCTACCCGTGTAGAGCACGTCATATCCGGGCAGAGGCGAGTTGGCTTTCGAAAACTGAGTGACCTCGATTGTTTCATTCTGGCCCATCTGCCAGCTTCTCAATGTCGCAACACCATTGGTTACGGCTACAGGATATCCGATTGTGGCCAGGCGCATGACACATGTTCGTCTTGTCATCTGCGCAGCACACCCTGCATCGGCCTTATATATGATCGATGTATTCATCGTGCTATAGGGGAGGATGTCCTCTGTACCTCCAAACGTGAAGTTGACATTGAAGGTTGTAATCTGGTTATTTAACCCATTGGGGTTTTCAATCTGATCCCCGAAATACGCAGCGCCGATATTGTTGAAGTCGTAAGATATCGAGTCATCGTTGCAGCTTACGTCGAAACCTGGCGCCGGCAGCGTGAAGATGCATGTTGTGTTCGCATTACAGGCCTCCTCCATCGGCAGCAAAATGGCTTCGCGATTCGTGTATGCTCGGCTGACATTGCCAAACAACGGGGAGAGAACGTTGGGCGTATCGCCTCCGCCGGAAAAGGCGCTAAAATTGGCCGGAAATGAGGTATTCCAGACGTTGACGTTCGTGATCGTTGGCGAGGGCCCATATAGGTGCGCAGAGACGGTCGAAGCTCTCTGGATCAGCGGGCCATCCAGAATACTGACTATCAGGGAGACAATTGCAGCAAGCGCGAATTTGTCATTCGCTCGGTTCTGACCGAGGATCGCGGAGGTGCGGCGTTGGATTTCCAAGTCGAAGTGAAGCTTCCGGAGCTCTGCCCCTTTCAAAGCCTGCGTCCACCATGAGATCTCGTAACCTTTGCTGAGGGTCACCGCAAGGCACAAATTGGCAACACCGACAATCAGTGATAAGAGGACAGACACAGGTATAGTGTGAGATGGATGGGGCCAAGCGTTGACCTCTTTACCATCTGATTCTCCCAGGATCGCAGAGAGTGCCCCACAACATACCAAAAAGCCAAGTAGGTTGGCAACAGCAACCCAGGGGAAGTGTCTCCAACTTCCTGGGTTCCAGGCGACGCCAGCTTCTGCAGTGAAGGTTTGCATTGTTAGGAGAGAATTGCTGAGAGAAAAAACGATCGCTCGAGAACCGCTTTGAAACATAGCGGGATTGGGGCTCGGAGGGAGGCTGCTGTCCTTATAACGAGGAATGTGTTCAGCTGACAATACTCGACCCTGGTGACCTGACACTAACTACCTACATGTAGGTCTAGTCCCACATGTAGTGTCAGGTCACTACTTGTAGGGTCGAATATTGTTAGTTGAACCATGACCTCCCTTATAACCCAGAGCAGGCATCTACTAAGTAGGATTCGCTTAAAAGACGACTAATCCAGATATAGCCTTCAGCTTTCAGCTCTTGGATCTTGCAGCCTGATCCTGTCTAAAGGCTGGATAGATCGAATTCCACCCGTTCCGTTGAGGTTTCTAATTTTAGGACTAAGGGATGAGGGGGCACCGGCCCTCACAGATTCCCTCCTGGGGTTGTGCACATTGTGATCCTCCCGCGTTCCTCTAGGCAGGTGCTAATTCCCGGTGCATCGTGTTCCTTGCGGGCAACTTGCAAATCAGGCTCGGGTCGGCACGAAACGATTCATGGCAGAGCTCCAAAGCTGTCTATCAAAGCACTGAGCTTCACTATATGGGTTAGACGCTCTTCGAACTCCTTTGCTTTTACTTTTACTTTCTGAGCGCTTGGGGCCGTATCTCTACCTGATCATCGCTATTTCGAACACGAGAGGGCAGATTGGTAAACCACCTGTAGGGGTCCACGAAAACTTGCTGACAAACGATCACATGAGCTTGACTACTATTTTTAGTTGGTCAATGAATCCTGTGGAACAGAGCGCGGTTGGGGCCATTAAACATTTACCAGGAAGTTGAGAAATGGTTTACCAGTAAGCATTTCAAGGGGGTATGATTGATTGATTCAGATTTATTCATGACTGACCCAGCTGCCCTGGGGGGCCTGTGCAGCGTACAACTACAAATGCAAGGTCAAAGCCACCACCTTTCAGCTCTCAGGATTGAACTCCACCCCACCATCAGTGGTTGCTAGAAGTGGCTGGACTCGACTTGATGGCGGAAGATGAGGAGGTGCATACAGCCTTGGATATCGCAGCGGCCAACGGGAATGAAGAGGTGTTGTCGATATTTAACGTAAAGACTAATTATATTAGACAAGTACTAAATGGACTCTCAGTTGCTTCTTCGTTATCGCCGTATGGGACTGACATTGTCGGCCACATATATATGTATACATGAGTAAAAACAACACGTGAAGCGAATGGAGAGCCTCTGTGGTGCCCAGAAGTTGGTGTGATACCAAGTATTACTTGGCAGTCTCGGCGGTGCTTCTGCATAGGACAGCCTTATCAGTAAATTCATGTTGGGAGTTGTCGATGTTCTTCCCGGGTGCTTGCTGCTTTTGCAGCTAATGAGGTCATGTCTGGCTGCTCTTGACAACAACCATATATATATGTGGACACAGGGCCCTCTTTAACACCCAGTTATCCGAGAAGCTGAAGCACAATGCTGAGTAATGCTTGGACTTTGGATAAGACCAACCACAGTAAACTCGGTGTACGAGGTCTACCGGGGTATTAAATGTTAGCGCGAGACTTGTGCAGGGGTTGGGATCCACTACATCAAACACGCAGAGGTACTTCAAATAACAAGGCATTTGCTAATAAATTCAGGTACCTATCGTATCTCCCTGTAGCTGAATCACCATTTGCAGCCTGGCCGGCATTGAATGGGCCAGTGTTAGAAGAAAGTCCTCCGGAATGGCCTCCCACGCCTGTTGAATCGCGTCGCGTAATTCGTCAGACTTGAGGCTTTGCATATCAAAACGCATCTCTATCCAATTCTTTAGCCATCGCCACACATTCTCGATAGGGTTGAGATCTGGACTGCGAGCAGGCCAGTTGATGACATTTATTCCAGCGTTTTGGAAGGCCGCTTTTGTCGCTTTGGCCCTATGGCTAGGGGCGTTGTCGTGTTGGAAATACGTCAATCCGTGGCCCTTGACAAAATCAGTCACTAAGGGCAATATATATTTGACGTACTTTTCGGAATTGATCCCACCGTACTCCTTCTCCTAAAAGAAACCAGGGCCCTTTTTTTGGCCAGTAAAAATACCCCAAAACATCCAGCCATGAGGTTTCTGACGGACGAGAGCAAATGTTTCTGGATCTTCCGTATCGTGTATAGTGATCCATTGCTTAAAAAGCGGTTCATTGGTGGCCCACGTCTCGTCGGAAAAGGGTATATCTTCCCAGTCTTCAGGTTTCGGCTTCCGGGCTAGCCATTCCGTGGCCCAACGGACTCTGGCCCGTTTATTAGCCTTTGACAGTTTCAGACAGTAGCGACGAACCCTTCGTCTGTAACCAAGGCGCCGAAGGGCTGTACAAATTGCGTATTCGCCGTATTGTTGCAGTGAAGGGGGTAGAAAAAGCCGGAGATCCCCCTATGGGAGCCTTCGATAAAGGGGATCTGATAGAAGCCAGGCCTTCAATTCATTGTGTTTGGGGGTCGATATGACGGGCCGGCGGCCACATTTTTGACGCTTTTGTGGTGTTAAAGGTGAATTGCAGGCCACCTAGACCTGACGATAGGTCTTTTGGGTGGCCTGGGCAATTTGTTGATACGACCAGCCGGCATGTTGGCGGAGGGCCTGGATAGTGACGCGTTCATCACGCGACAACTCGATTGCCCGTTGGGCCCGTTGCTTTCGGATTTGTTGGAGTTTTTGGGCCCGAATCGTAGGGCTTTGTGGAGGGCTTGAAGATGGGAAGTCCATGAGGGAACAGGTCAAAATCAACGGGGTTAAAATCGACGCGCTGGAGGCGGTGGTGGTGGTGGTGGTGGTGGTGATCGCGAAAATCGACGCGTTGGTGTTGGTGGTGGTGGTTAAAAGTGGTGGTGGTGGCCAGGTGGCCAGTGGTGGGAGGTGGGAGGTCAAAATCGACTAGCCAAAAAGGGCTAAAAGTGGGGCCGATTTGAGAAAATCGGGGTTGAAAATGAGGTGACCAATAAGGTGATCAAAAAGTGAGAGGTATCCGAGCTAACATTTAATACCCCGGTAGACCTCGTACAAGTAATGGTGGCAACTTGGCAAGAAACCCACACCTCGAACCCGCATCCCCACTCTTCACGACTCGCAAGAGCCTTGGCGATGACTTCTGATGGAGCACACACGTCGTACCCCGGTTCCGGTATTCTTGGCGTGTGTGTGTCTCCTGGCAAAATTTTGCCGTTCTTCCGTTGAGAACATAAAAGATAGTCGACGCTCCCAGCTCACCTTTGGATACTTTCCCTCCAAGCCAGAAACGAGCTGGTAGCGTCGCTGGTTCTTCAAGATCAGATCGTGACAACTTTCTGCTCCCAATAAGTACCAAGAGCTGAGCGCTCGCAGTAATCTTGTTTTGTTCGCTTTGATCTATTTGAACTGCTTTTGCTGTTTTGTCAAGATCGTCGTTATCGACCATGAAACGACAGAAGCAAAACGGCGGTCCGTCCCAGGATCACGTCTCGGGCCAGAGCAACCGCACGCTATCCAAGCCTGCGCACGCCCTCGAGGCTGGGGCTGTTGCCGGTGAGCTCGAGACGGACTACATGAGCGGTCTCTCCGTCGCCGAGGCCGATCGCCGCCTCGAGGAATTCGGACCCAATGAACTGGGCGAGGCCGAGGGCGTCCAGCCCATCCGCATCATTGTCGCTCAGATCGCCAATGCCATGACTCTAGTAACACGTTCCATTTCCCCAGCTTTATAATAGACGTTGATTAGGCTCATTTAGAACTCCGCCAGGTGCTGATCCTCGCCATGGCCGTCTCCTTTGGATTCAGGTCGTACATCGAAGGGGGCGTCATCACTTTTGTGATCCTGCTCAACGTCGTTGTCGGCTTCTTCCAGGAGTACTCGGCTGAGAAGACTATGGACTCGCTGCGGTCGCTTTCTTCGCCGAGTGCCAGTGTCATCCGTGGCGGGGAGACGAGAGTCGTTCCCTCGGGCCAGGTAGTCCCTGGCGATCTCGTAGAGATCAAGATGGGCGACACCATTCCCGCTGATATCCGGTGCGCTGCACTTCTCCCTAATTCCCGCTGTACTCAGTCTGACCGCATGCAATAGTCTGATTGAGGTCGTCAACTTCGAGTCCGACGAAGCCCTGTTGACTGGCGAGTCCCTTCCCGTCCGCAAGAACGCCGGCGCCGTCTTTGATGACGCCACCGGTCCGGGCGACCGTCTTAACGTGGCCTTTAGCTCCGCCACCGTGACCAAGGGCCGCGCCAGAGGCGTCGTGTTCGCGACGGGCAAGTGCACCGAGATTGGCGCCATAGCTTCCGCCCTCCAGCAGAAAGACAGCAAGGTCCGCCCCGTCAAGCGCAAGCCGGACGGATCCGCCAAGCCGTACCGCTACCTCGAGGCCTTCACGCTGACCCTGACTGACGCCATCGGCCGCTTCCTCGGCGTCAATGTCGGCACTCCGCTGCAGAAGAAGCTGTCGCGCCTGGCCATCCTGCTCTTCTTCTCGGCCGTCATCTGCTCCCTGATCGTGCTCGGCGCCAACAAGTTCGACGCCAAGCAGGAGGTTATCATCTACGCCGTTGCCACGGGCCTGTCCATGATCCCCGCGAGCCTGGTCGTCGTGCTCACCATCACCATGGCCGCCGGCACGAAGCGCATGGTGCAGCGAAACGTCGTCGTCCGCAACCTCAAGTCTCTGGAGGCCCTCGGCGCCGTCACCGATATCTGCTCCGACAAGACTGGCACACTGACCCAAGGCAAGATGGTCGCGCGAGGCGCCTGGATCCCGGGCAAAGGCACGTACATCGTCGAGACCTCCAGGTCGCCCTTTGATCCCACCCACGGAGACATCCACTTCGACCCGCGCCAGCCTCGCGAGATCAAGCTCAACGACATGGCCGACCTCGCCCATAACAACGTCGATGCCAAAGACCTGCTCTCTGAGAGCAAAGCTGTATTGTGCCAGTTCCTCCGCGTTGCCTCCCTCGCCAATATCGCCACTGTCATGAAGTCCCAGGATGGTGAATGGCAGGCTCGAGGCGACCCCACCGAGATCGCGATCCAGGTCTTCTCGTCACGCTTTGGCTTCAATCGCATCGGCTTTGTCGGGGAGGATGACGGCTCCAAGTGGACCCAGATGGCGGAACTTCCGTTCGACTCTGACGTGAAGCGCATGTCTGTGGTCGTGAAGGAGAACGAGACCAACAAGCTATTCGCCTTCAGCAAGGGCGCAGTCGAGCGTGTCATCGATGCCTGCACTAGCTACTGCCCCCAAGACTCCGATGACACCGTGCCAATGCACGACGAGTTCCGTCAGGAACTGCTTCAGAACATGGAGGTCCTCGCCGCTCAGGGGCTCCGCGTGCTGGCCCTGGCGTCTAAGCCGTATGCCGGGGAGCTCAAGAAGGGCGACGACGTGGACCGTGCTTCCGTCGAGTGCGATCTGGTATTTCGGGGGCTCATCGGCCTTTATGACCCGCCTCGCCCGGAATCCGCCCCTGCCGTCCGCGCCTGTCACGAAGCCGGTATCTCTGTCCACATGCTCACGGGCGACCACCCTCAGACCGCGAGGGCCATCGCCATCGAGGTCGGAATCCTGCCTTCGCGCATGAATCTCATCGCTTCCGACGTGGCCGCGGCCATGGTCATGACCGCCGCCCAGTTCGACGCCCTGTCGGACGAGGAGGTCGATCAGCTCCCCGTTCTACCCTTGGTGATTGCCAGGTGTGCCCCCAACACCAAGGTCCGCATGATTGAGGCTCTCCACAGGCGCGAGAAATTCTGTGCTATGGTAAGGCCGACCCGTCCCAATGCTCATGCGGTGTACTTGGCTAACTTTTTGAATCTTTAAACAGACCGGAGACGGTGTGAACGACTCCCCTTCGCTCCGCCGAGCCGACGTTGGCATCGCCATGGGACAGGCCGGATCTGATGTTGCCAAGGAGGCCTCGGACATTGTCCTCAGCGACGACAACTTTGCCTCCATCGTGGCCGCCATCGAAGAAGGCCGCCGCATCTTTGACAACATCCAGAAGTTCGTCCTCCACGTCCTGGCCGAGAATATCGCCCAGGCCGGAACCCTGCTGGTCGGGCTCGCCTTCAAAGACAAGACCGGCTTCTCCGTCTTCCCCCTGGCGCCCGTGGAGATCGTCTGGATCATCATGGCGACCTCGGGCATGCCGGACATGGGCCTCGGCTTCGAGCGCCCCGTGCCCGACATCATGAAGCGGCCCCCGCAGTCCCTCAAGACGGGCATCTTCACCCTCGAGTTCTTCATGGACATGGTCGTCTACGGGCTCTGGATCACGGCCCTGTGCCTCGGCGCCTTCGTGCTGCGCGTGTACGCCTGGGGCAACGGCGACCTGGGCGAGGGCTGCAACGACGCCTACTCGGACCAGTGCGAGACCGTCTTCCGCGCCCGCGCCACGACCTTTGCCTGCCTGACCTGGTTCGCCCTCTTCCTCGCCTGGGAGATGATCGACCGCCGCCGCTCCTTCTTCCGCATGCAGCCCGGCTCCGACCGGTACCTGACGCAGTGGGTGCACGACATCTGGCGCAACCAGTTCCTCTTCTGGGCCGTCATGCTCGGCTTCGCCACGCTCTTCCCGCTGCTGTACATCCCCGTCATCAACAAGGTCGTCTTCAAGCACGTGGGCATCTCGTGGGAGTGGGCCATCGTCTTCGTCGCCGCGGGCCTCTTCTTCGCGGGCGCCGAGGCCTGGAAGTGGTGCAAGCGCGTCTACTTCCGCCGCCAGGAGGGCAAGGGCGGCGGCACCAAGTGGAAGGACACGGACCTGGAGCAGCGCGCGTTCGGCACCTACCTCAGCATGTCGTCTTCCATGGACACGCGCGCGAGCACCGTCCTCGAAAAGACCGTCGCCGCCAACCAGCCAAGGGATTGACTATGCAGGGGCGGGAAGCCCCGTTGCTCGAAGGCGCAGTTGGTTGAGGATGCGAGTGAGCGCAAGGGTGTGCTTACGCTCTCTCCGTCATCGCCTCCGTGGATGGTGAGTAGGCGTGGGCTGGGTGAGCAGCTGCACGTGAGTAAAGGTAAGTGTGGAAGTTGGATTGGAGGAGAAAGAAGCAGTGAGGGCCTTGTCATTCAAGCCAAGATGACTTCTACCCGCCATGTGATGCCAGTGATCAAGAGCACGCGCCATGCCATATCGCAGGGTGTTTCTGGTGGGAGAATGCCAAGGGAGGAGAGTTGCGGAGAGGGAGTAGTTGTTCCCGGCATAGTTAGCGTACGAGCTGAAGACAAGTATTTTGACCTGGGAAGGGAAACGAGCTCGAAGGCTGATACTGTGATGAAAGCCATTGCAATCAACATGGCCCGTCGGCCAGGTCAATCCCACGTATGCAAATGGAAGCCGTATCGAGGCTATGTTAAAGCTAATTTCGACAGCAACCCAAGTCTCGCCTAGTCTTGGCGGACATTTCCAGTAAGTATGACCTCATGGGAAGTGCGATCAAGCAGAACCAGCAGACTCCTCCATACAGGCCTCGGGTTGATATAAAGGGGCTGGCACGTATGCCTCAATTGTCCAGAAGTGATGTCCAACCGTTCACAGACAAGGAGGCGCATGGGAATTTTCGGGTATCCTGGAGATACTCTCAATGCTTCCAACAAGAATCAGGTGGCGTGTGTTTTTCCCACAGGCCCAGCAGTACTGGCAACGTTTCTATGCCTGGGCTGAGCAAGATGGGAATCCCTTTCTTCGCTTTGCTTATTAGTGCTGGGGTTATGTCTGGTTACGGGGTGATCACAATTGATTGCCTCCTTTCCACATTCATCTTCTCCTTTTCTGTTCCCAGCTTTGATCTTTTTCACATCGCTGCCGCTTTTTGTGACAAGCTATTCGGAATTCCTCCGTTTCAGTTTCCCAGCAAATGGTCTTCGAAGGAGGGGTTTGAAGATAGGTCTGACTCGGAGTTTGGTCTCCGCGTCCAGGCTAGGGCCGCCATCTTGTGTACATGAAGAGAGTATAATTGGGCTCGCTAACTCGATTGCAAACGGGTACTAAGTTGAGAACAACATAACCAGCACGTGCCCGGGAAAGGGTGACTTGTTATTCCAATACATGAGCTGTTGGAATGGAACATGTCCAACCAAGAGCTTTTTGTCAATGTCATTATATAAGCACAGCCGGCGCTAAAAAGCCACGTCCTGACAGCATCTCCGGACTTGTCGCCGATTGCGGAACAAACAACCGCCTTCCAGATCGCCGGGACGGATAGTTGGACCAGATCATGGAGCATCGACCCGGGAAGAACTTGGCGTAAGGCAACCTCTCCGAGCCCCTTTCCTTCAGAGTAACGTCTGACTGACACACGCGTGTCTTATCAGGTGCAAACGATGCCAGTACAGAAAGGCAAACATGCAATAAACCTCATCTTGAATTGCTATACTCGGGCGCTGACAACCCAGGGTAGTTGAAATGCTCCAGGACCGTGCCGTGCGACAGGTGTCAAAAGGCCGGGGTGGAGTGCGAGTATCGGAGCGTCGATCGGAAGAGGCGGCCAGCGTCTCAGGATCACGTAGCGGCTCTGCAAGATAGGGTGGCCTGGCTGGAGGGGTTCATCGCCAGCCTGCAGGATGCGTCGCCGGAGGAGAGAGAGTCCAAGTTGCGCGCGGTGGACCTGTCCTCGGCCTCCTCGGCCGGCAACGCCCCTTTCTCGACAACAGTAGTGAATCCACCCCTGTCTTCTCGCAGCACCAATGTCCTCAGACTCGGAACTGACGGTTCACCACCACCTTACCACGGAGCAACAAGCATCTACCAAGTGCAAATGGACTACGAGGGATCCACCCCCGCCGAGAGCAGCGACCTAACGCCCCCGTCCGCAAGCGAACCCTTCACCAGCACAGATCACGTCCTCCGCCACTTCGGCATCGACGTCGACTCGGACGCCGTCACGCAGTGCCTCGTCCAGTTCTTCAGGTGGCAGTACCCAAACCTCATGTTCGTGTACCGCGAGGCCTTCCTCCGGGGCCACTTCGGCGACCGGGCGGGGAGCAGGTACTGGTCGCTCTCGCTCCTTCTGTCCGTCTGCGCGCTGGGATCCCTGATGCTGCCGCGGGAGCACGGCGAAGGGGGCCGCGAGCAGCCAAGTGGCGAACAGTTCTACGGCGCGGCGGAGAGCATAGCGATGGTGACGGGCCTGACGCGGCCCAGCATCCCGACCGTGCAGACGTTCCTGTGCCTGGCGTTCTACGAGATCGGGCTGGGCAACCTGTCAAAGGGGTGGGCCTACTCGGGTGAGTGAGCCAGGGACAGTCTTCTCTTCCCGCACGAAAGGTCTGCCACCCCCTAACGCAAGAAGCAGGTATCGCGTTCCGCGTAGCCCAAGACCTAGGCATCCAAAAGGACCCAGAGCTGTGGACATCCCGTGGCTCCTCCCCGAGCAGCCAGGAAGACATGGAGGTGCGGCGGCGCATCTACTGGGGCTGCTACGTCTCGGACAAGCTCGTCAGCCTCGTCCTCGGCCGGCCCGTGCATCTACCGTACGACGAGGCGCAGGTCAAGGAGCTCGAGACCATGCCGTAAGTACATACACACAGCCTCCTTCCTTCCCTCCCCCCTAGCGACAAATACCCGGAACTAATAGACAAGGCCAAAGCGACGCCCCCTTCACCCTCCCCTGGCGCTCCGTAGGCTTCGACGACGACACGAGCCCGCAGCCCACAGACCGGTCCATGATCCCCTACATCAAGGAGCAGATCCGCCTCTCGCGCGTCATCGAGCGCATGCTCGGCACCGTCTTCTCCCCGAGGGCCGACGACGGCGGCGGCTCGGACCACCACCAGCAGCAGCAGCAGCAGGAGCAGCAGGACCGGCGGCGGCAGGCGCTCGACCGCCTCAACATCGACCTCGCGGCCTGGAAGTCGGAGCTTCCCGGCTGGGCCGACTTCAACACGTGGGAGTTTATCGACGAGCCGCTCAAGCCGAGCACGGCCGCGCTGCAGTAAGTCGGACAATGCATATTATACTTGCCGCCCAATGGGCTCTATAGCTAGCTGGTGGTTCCATTAGTCCCAGGGCTGGCTGACCCATGCTTATCCAGCCTCCTGTACAACAGCGCTCGTATTGCACTGAACTATAACGAGGCCGTGGCGCAAGAGACTGATGACCGCAGAGACCGAGCACGCGAGGTCTGTGCTAGATCTGCCTCAGAGATTGCTTCTCTTCTCCGTCGGTACCGTCATCAGTACGGACTGCGGCACGCCCCACTTGTCATCGTCTATGCCATGGCTCAGGCGATCCGGGCGATCAAAGCGCTAGGGACGACTGAAGAGGCCCGCAACCTTGTTGAAGCCATGTCCCAGTGTTCAGTTACATGGATGCTAGCCGAGAAGGTCCTGAATAGAAGGCTATGAGATAGGTTTGCCGTTGTATCGGCGTCAAGACCTCAGAGTTGTTGCCGTCTTGAGCAGTTGACTGGATCGAACAAAAGTGCAGGCAGATGAACATATCATGTTCAGACAGGATCGCACTATTCGATCCCAAACACAATCAATACATAATGTTTATTAGACAAGTGGCCAGAGATGCCCGAGGTAGCTCACGGAGCAGATAAATACAGACCACGAAGGCCACCGATCGAAGTCAGGGTATGGTTCCGCCATCAAACAATTTCCCTCGCTCTAGCAAACAAATTTCCATTACTCCGGAGCCCCTTCCAACGCCGTGAGCAAATATGTTAGCTGGTGAATACATCACGGAAAAGTCGTAAAGTAATACAGTCCATCTAGGACACAAGCCATGGTCGGCGACCCTTTCCTCTTCAAAGTCATAATCGCCATCTTGACCACAGAACATTCTATGTACCGAGGTTAGTGTTTGAACACGTTGTGGCGCGAAATGTCGTTTTGTTCACAGCTCATCAAAGTCGAGATAGTCCATCGAGCCGTGGAACTCGCCGCACTTAGAGCAGATATCCTCCTCGTCACTATCATCCCAGAGATCGACGACATCATCAATAGGATAGCCGGAGAAACGGTCAAACTCCATCCAGTCGCGCTGGTCAGAGTCACTAGATACAGGAACGCGCTTCCAGATGGTCTTGCGCTTGCAGTAGCGAGACTCGGGGTGGCCCAGTTCTTCGGGAGCAGGTGGCATCTCGATGAGCTCATGAGCGTGATGATGGTCATGGCTGGCTTGGGCGGCGGTGCTATTGCTCGCGGCAGCGCCATTGGCTTGAGCAGCATTCTTGGCGTCTCGGATAGCCTTGCGATAGGCACGGATGACCTTGGGAACAAAGTTGTAGCCCTGAAGGGGTTTAAGGCAGTTTCTGAGCTGGAGGAAGGCCGGTGTGCCATCCAAGAGGAGTCCGTCATCTTTGATCATGCCGGCAAGGTCAGCACTGGCTTTCATGCCCACCTCGCAGCTGGGCAGGCCGCAGACGATCAGCTCGTCAAGTGTGCAGCCCAGGTCGTGCGCGGCCACCTCGTGCAGGCTGCTGTCCGAGTAGGGCAGGAAATACTCGGGGAAGCTGACGAAGTCGAGGCGCATGGTCTTGAGATTGGGGAACAGGCGAGGCCTGTTGGCATTCTTCTCATGCTTGGGATCGTACGGCGCGCGAAGGGCCGACAAGAAGTCAATGACCTGGGTCCACGCATAGCAGTGGAAGCCCTTGCGGGCGAAGGACGTCTCCTTGGGACGGCGCTGGACGCGAAGGTTCACATCCTTCTTCAAGGTCGGGTGGTAGTCCTTGTCGAGCTTGTGCTTTCGAGGCTCATCGTCGTAGAACTGAGCGATGATGCGGAGATTGACGTGGCTGATCTTGCTGCGAAAGACAAACTCTAGGTCTGCAAACTTGAGCAGTGCTTGGGGTGTAGTGAAGACAAACGTGTTATTGGCCCACAGGGCCCTGGTTGCCTCGACACGAAAGGCCTTGCAGGAGGCAAGGAAGCCGAGGGCAAGATGCTTGTGTCGGGATTTCTCCTGAATGGTGATGTTCTCTGGCCGGGTAGGGGACAAGGGGTCCACCAGAGGCTCAGAGCTGGTCATGGCATAATGAACGATGCGGAGCAGGATCTCAGCAGGCAGGCGAGGCAGCTTGGAGCCGGTGCTCTCGATGCTGGAGGCTGCGGTGGAGGCGCGGGTCCTCCGGGTGCTCTGGCGGCGGGCAACAGACTGTTGCGGCTCGAAACCAAGTTCGGCAAAGCGGTTAGCGATGGCAGGGGACCATGGGACGCCGTGCTCCCGGAGGAGTTTCTTCAGGCGCATGTTCTCATCCTCAAGCTCCTTGTTCTTGAGGCGGAGAGGTTCATTGTAGGCGATCTTGGCCTGTTCATCCTGGTCACGGCCCTCCCAGGGGAATACAACCTGAGGTCGGGGTCAGCCCATGGTGCCGAGGAGGAGATAAGGAATTGAAAAAGTATCCGTTATCGTAAGCGGACCAACTCACCCGACGAGATGGCGTGGCCATCTTGGGAAAACTCGTTCAACGAGCGGCAGATGCTGGTGGGATAAGGAATCCGACACAATATGTGGCTCTAGGCGAGAAAGTGCAGAGAAATCAAGGGTTCGAGGATGGCAGGAGAAGGATTGAAGGACGGTGTTGATGAGTGATGAAGAAGAAATGGGTTGGCTTTGGCTGGACGGCGCTTCAGAAAAAGGTCTGGAAGGGGGGGGTTACTGGTGTATGGAGAGCACAGGTGGAAGGAGCAGCCCAGACAGATCACACACACAACGGACGGCGGCACCTCGCGCCTGCACCTACTGCACCGCAGATTAGGGGAATCCCAGCCAAAAGGGCAAGCAGTGAGCGCGGAAGGCTTAGTAGGTGACTAAGTGACTAATACGTCGGTCATCTAGGTACGTGTGCGTGAATGTGTGCTGTGCCTGTGTGCCTGTGTCGAAGTGAGACCCCACCTGGAGACCGTTGAAGTCATGCGTGATGCCACGGATGGGACGACGGGCAGCAAGAGGCAAGGCGAGACAAACGGGGGCGCGCGGCCGCGTCAACGCGTGATGTGGTGACGCGACGGGAAAGGAGAAGAAAGCAGTCGAGATTGCTTGACGGGGTTGTAGAGGAAGAAGAAAAAAGGATGAAGAGAGGAGAATGAGCTGAGTCTGACCCGAATGGAAGATACAGTACGGTACCTGTGGTCATCTGCTTTTTTCTCAAGATAACTACCAGTTAGTGTCGAGCACTCACTCACTCGCCCATAACTAAGCTCCTGGGTTTAGTGGAAACAATTCATGGTGGGGGCCAGCTCAGGAGCTCGAGGAGCTAAGGCGCTTGTTCCGGGGGTGACAATGGGGAAAGATCTTGCTCGTGTGGACTGGAGGCCAATGACCAACCCACTGGCTGTAGTTACTGCGTTCCCTCGAGAGACAACTCTATTGTGTTGCTGCTCTTTTTTAAATTCCCTCTAACAAGGCGGCCATTCACGACCCATATAGGGGCACGATCGCCCGGATCAAAGAAGCAGCATAATTTAGTTTGCCAGTCACGGGTGGATGTCTACGACTGCGTGAGTGTGTGTAGGTACCTCGCTGATGGGCTAACACCGCGCTGTTGAAGTGCCATGCCGCGTAGGTATCGGGATGCTGCATCTCTTCCTCCCACTCACCAGCAAACAATCTGTGCCCGCGGAACCTGGCAGCTGTTTCCACCCCAAGATACTAGGTAGGTAGGTGAGTAAAATGACACCAAACAAATACATCCACTCTGTCTGTTGGTGAAAGCAAGGACGAGAAGGGAGATGCGACAGCCCAACCCAGCTCAACGAGCTTGGGCCCCAGCTGAAATCGACCCGTGGGTAATAAGGTACGGGAACCGGCTCACCCGTTTCTTATTACCAGCTCGCATGCAGCAGAGACGCACCAGACTCGCCCGGTTGCGATGCGAGCTCAGTCAGCGAAGCGGCGGTGGTCTAGGCCTCGCTCGACTCCTTCTTGCGGCAGACGCACGGCCAAGCGAATCGGGAGTAAAAGCTCTACCCACACATAAGTTGTAGCTTCCTGAGCCAGCAGGCGGGTATCCTGAACAGCTGTTGTGCATTCATTCGCTCAGTCGGTAGGGGCATTCCTTATGAGATTATGGATAATTATTTCCATTGTGACATGCATGCAACCAGAGCGAGATCGATCAGTCAGTAGCCTATGTCGCTTCCCCTCAAATAACCGCCATTGAGCTGGCTCCTGGGTGCCTTTGTGCGGGTGAGAAGCGGTCTTTCAATTGATCGGCAGCAGCTACATTCTACGCTGAGATCGCGCCCGCTTCGGTACCGTGGAGCACCAGCTCGCTTTGACGTCATGATGGCGACAAGCAATCAGAACTGCACCTGCAGCCGCCTGTCCATGATGACATTGGAAATAGCGATGCGGTTTCTCTCAGGCTGGGCAGTGCTCCGTGACACAAGAGCTTCCGGCAGGTTGTCATGGGGGAGGTAGGACTGGAGCTGTTCAATTGCGTATAAGAGCGCATCGTCATCCTCATCTCCCATAATCACTTGTAGACACAAGACACACCATATCATATCCATTGAAGCAATTGCACAGGCTTACTTTATCAAAAGCTTCATAACAACTTCGAGTTCTGCTCTACTCTGCTCCTTACACAGTTACTTACACACCAACCATGTCTTTCTCCAACACGTCGACCGGCGACAAGCCCGCCGACCCCTACAAGGCGGCCAACCTCGACGAGAAGGTGACGCTCGACCAGAAGATCGAGGACCTCACCGAGTTCATCTCGTCCTGCAAGTTTGGCATGATGACCACGAGAGACTCGAGCAGCGGTCGCCTCGTCTCTCGATGCATGGCCCTGGCCGCAAAGGTGCGTACCATCTACACGACCCTGCAGAAGCACATTGTCCTCGAATCCCTCTAACACCAGCACCCACAGGAATCCGGCGGTATCGACCTCCTCTTCCACACAAACACAGAGTCCCACAAGACGGACGAGCTCAAGAGCGACCCCCACACCAACATCTCGTTCCTCAACGTGTCCGGGGAGTGGGCCTCGGTCTCGGGCGAGGCCTCCATCGTCACGGACCGCGCCCTCGTCAAGAAGCACTACAACCCCTCGCTCAAGGCCTGGCTCGGCGACCTGGGCGACGGCGTCCACGACGGCGGCGAGAACGACCCCCGCATCGGCGTCATCCGCGTCAAGGCCAACACGGCCACCTACTCCATCGTCAGCAAGAACATCCTCGGCCGCGCCGTCGAGGTCGCCCAGGGCGCCGTCACGGGCAAGCCCGCCTCGGTCAACAAGCTGCGCGAGGTCAGCGAGTCCGAGATTCAGCAGTGGCGGTCCTCCCACTAGAAGTCGTCGCCGTCGATGTCGCCAGAGACTGCTGATGCCGAGGCGGTACTAGGAGGGGTGCAACAACCTGTTTCTCCCATTTCTTTTGTATAATATAGCCAACGCCGTTTTCTAGTAATTCGAGGAAGAATGGATTGGAACCGTAAAATCATTAGTCTCCCTTCTTTCTATTGCGTGTGGTATTGCTCCTTCCATATCCTGTCCCAGTTGTCCTTGTCGATCGCAAATTCCCTCACAAAGTCGTGCTCCAGCTCGTGCGTCCTGTTGCCCAACAGGACCAGACTGTGCAGCGGCGGGCCCAGCTTGTCGTCGGCGTCGCACAGCTCCTTGAGCGTCCCCGCCACAAACGTCTCCTCCTTGCCGCCCACCCTCGCCGCGCCGATGGCCAGGCTGTCCGGCCCGTAGGCGCCCTCCTTGCGGTCCTCCTCCACCTCGAGCATCTGCCGGGCGCAGGTGCCCACGCTCATGTACCGCGGCGGCTCGTAGACGATGCGCCCCCGCGCCATGCTCTCGAGGTTGGGCTCCTTGACCTTGATGTCGAGCAGCACGAGGGTGTGCAGGCCGATGGCGCGGTTCTCCTTGACGCGGTCGTAGAAGCTCGCCGGGCGCCAGCTGTCGGTGAAGAAGACCATGGACACGGTCTGGCCAAAGTTGTACAGCTGCAGGCCGCAGGCGCCGATGCCCGACATGATGGAGGCGTTGGGGACGGTGCGGACGGGGATCTTGAGCTCGCGCGCGCGGAGGACGATGTCGGTGTGTGTCGTTGCGCTGTCGCAATTGGGAAGACACACTGTTAGTTTACTCCTCTTGGGATTTACTTGCAAGGGGTGCTGGCTGGTGGAGTGAACGGACGTACCCAAAGGGATCGCCGACGACTAGGAAGGCAACGTCTTCCGTCTGGGCGTCGCGGAGGATCTCATCGCTGTTGGACTCGACCATCTCGCGGTCGGCGATCGTGACAGACCTGCCATAGTACTTCTCCTGTCCGGGTATTAGCACAATGGCCTTCCCCCCAGCGTGTCGCAACTTCTCCTCTTTGTACGTACGAGGACAGCCTGATCGACGAGGAGAATGCTGGTATAGGCTTCGAGGTACACCCTTGAGGCCTTCTTAACCACCTCGAGCCCCTTGACGGTGATATCGGTCTCGTCTGAGAGACCGAGGCCGACTAGGTACAACATCTTGTCTGGACTGGCTGCGAGCTGTCGACTGCTTGGCGGGGTAATCTCGCGATGCGATCCAGGATGCCCGACAAAATTTCTTGGGTTCGCATCCCCGCTATCTTTATCGTTATCGCTATCAAGACCCCAACTAGCAACCAGACATGCATCACTTTTCTGGAAACGTGAGAGACCCAGCTTTACTAGAAGACTTTAGACACTGCAATCTTATTCTTTATTTAAGCATTGCCTTCTACTTGACGCTCAAGTCTTGTGTAATAGATCGCGGTACGAGATCGTGAACACAACGTCGTTCTTTGGATACGCCCTATCAAAATCCACCCTTCGAGCATCAACCACACCGGAACATCTTTCGGCCTCATCGAACCTCCGCAGCCCATCATGTCCGCCTACGGCACGCCCGCGGGCGACACCGGGTTCCGCAAGACGCGGGACCTGGACGAGTACGCCCAGCGCGCCAAGGAGCGCGAGCAGGCGGAGCGCGAGGAGGCCAAGGCGCGGTACGAGGCCAAGCTGGCCGGCAAGAAGTACTACAAGCCGCTCGACGGCACCGAGTCGCTGACGTCGGCGCGCGCCGCGACGCTCGACCTCTCGGCGCAGGTCGGCAAGGTGCAGCTCGTGCCCGCGGGCGCGGGCGTGGGCAAGCGCGGGCGCGGCGCGGGCTTCTACTGCGAGGCCTGCGACCTGACCTTCAAGGACAACCTGCAGTGGGTCGAGCACCAGAACAGCATGCAGCACCTGCGCGCCGTGGGCCAGACGGGCGAGGTGCGCCGCGCCACGCTCGCCGAGGTCGAGGCGCGCATCGACGCGGCGTGGGAGCGCGTGCGGGCCGCGCGCGAGGACAGGACGGTCGACCTCGCCGAGCGGCTGCGGATCCGGGCCCAGGAGGAGGACAAGGAGCGCGAGGCGCGCAGGGAGAAGAGGCGGGAGCTGGCGGAGCGCAAGCGCGCCGAGAAGGAGAAGGCGGCCAAGGTGGACTACGGCGAGGACGTGAGGATAGAGGGCGAGCACGACGAGGACGACATGATGGCCATGATGGGCATCAGCGGGTTTGGCTCGACGAAGAAGAAATGATGGAGCAGGCATTGGCCTGGGCACGGCCTGGTAGATGGTTACAAGGGCCTGTAGGCGTTTTGGGCGTTTTTGCCTCCTTTTAGTCATGATACCCAAGAATATGGACCAGAAAGGCTTCTCTAGGTAGCTCGAGTAACTACGAGCACCTGGTTGAAAGCTTCGACCTACTGGAATCGAGATAGAGAATGACCATCGTGGTGTGGAAAGACAATGGGCCAACCGAAGAACCTTGATCAAAAGATCAAAGGTAAGAACAAAGCTCCTCTCTTTATGCCCCCTTCCATGTGTCGTGATCGCATTGTCCCTCAATGGTGAATCGACAGGGGTGGTAGGTGGTCCTGTGCTCGCACATCATGGCAGTTCCTGATGTTCATTCTAACAACGCCCCCCACCTCCGCCATCTACAAATAGCGGGATCTCCACTCGCACTTGCAGGGACCTTAATGAGCACTCCTCCCGCTCACTTCCTCTTCAGCTTGGGTGCAGACGACCTTTAAATATTCTGGGACATTTTCACTCTTACCTTTCAAGCCGAGACTCTAGCATATACTTACCCGGTATCTCTTCTTTTCGTACCCCTCCAGACATACCACGTCGCCTTCTGCCGCGTGCCCACAGTACCGACTTCTCAAACCGATCACGATGGCATCACGCCTCGGAACCGCGAGCCCCGCCACCGCGGCTGGCGCGTCGGCCCTGCTTAAGCGGCAGCTCAAGCAGATGCAAACCGACAAGGACATCCCCGGCATCTCGTGCGGCCTTGTCAACGACTCCAACATCTTTGAGTGGGAGGTCATGCTCATGATTAGCGACGACGTCAAGTACTACGGCGGTGAGTTCTCTCCAAGCCCCTTCCCGCCTTCTCCCCTCCCCTCCTGTCCTGTCCGGCCCTCCCTTCTCTCTACACTTGACGCAATGAATGAATGGTATAACTGACCAGCTCCCCCCAAAAAAACAGGAGGCAACTTCCGCGCGCGCATGTCCTTCCCGCCGACCTACCCCCTCCTGCCGCCGAGCCTGACCTTCCAGGACCCCATCCCCTTCCACCCAAACGTCTACCCCAACGGCCTGCTGTGCGTCTCGATCCTGCACCCGCCCGAGGAGGACAAGTGGGGCTACGAGGCCGCCTCGGAGCGCTGGAGCCCCGTCCAGACGCCCGAGACCATCCTGCTGTCCGTCATCAGCCTCTTCTCGAGCCCCAACGACGAGAGCCCCGCCAACGTCGAGGCGGCGCGCATGCTGCGCGACGAGCGCGAGGGCAAGAACAAGGACTTCCGTAAGGCGGTGCGCAAGTGTGTCCGCGAGAGCCTGGGCGAGGACTAAGAGGGACCGAGCGAAGGAGGGAGCATTTGTCACCCTGGGTGGATTGCTAGGGGCGGCCACGATAGGACAGGGGAGATGGAGATGCGTTTGACCAGGGGCTTGCGGATCGCTGAGCTCACAGCCATTAGTGGCGTCGGAGGAACATGTTTCGCCTCGGAGAATGGGAACATAACAGCACTGGATGAGGGCGGCGTTCATGAGAGTAGTCTAGGCGGTTCTCTTTATTCTTGCATGGCGGCGCAGCACAATGGCGTTTGTCTCATTTCACATAGGTGTATTAACCATGATGCATTTGTTCCTGCACAGGACCACTTTGACTGAAAAGAAAAAAAAAACTTTTATGCTGGGGGTATCGTTGAATGTGTCTATTCCATCTTCTGTTACTTCACCAAATCGCTTCTCTCATGCAGAAATGCCGAGGATCGGGGCCACAACCGCATCCCACTCCTCGTCCCAACGGCGACTGCCCTCCTTCACGGCGCCGTTCTTGAGCACACTGAGCTCTTTGGCACCAGAGGGTTGCAGCAGGCGGCTCAGCGTCGCTGACAGCTCGTCCGGTGTCTCGAAACCGCATCCATTCTCGCCTTCCTTGACCAGCTCCGAGAAGCTCTCGTACCCCGAGTAGGCCGCCACCGGCAAGCCCGCGCCAAACATGTCGACCACCTTCATGGGCAGGTCAACGCCAGAGCTGGACTTGTGCAGGCACACACCGAGGTCAGCGGAAGCCAGGAGGGTGGCGTAGTCCTCAAAGGGGAGAAACATGGTCTGAATGCGGATGCCGGGCAGCAGGCCTTTTTGCGTGAGCTGGGCGATCTTGTCCTCGTACATGGCCTTCTGGGGGCCTTTGCCAGTGATGATGGCTAGCAGGGGTGTAGTCTCGGCTTCCTTAGCCTGGGATGTCTCAGTTTGACCAGCATATTTGGTCAGAGCATCGAGTAGCAGGCCAAAGTCCTCATCCGGAGTCCACGAAGTACTGCTGACGATAAGCCTGGCCTTACCGTCGACAATGGTGGAAGCCATAGCCTCATTCTCGAGGAGGCGACTGAGGAACTTGAGACGCTCAGATGAGTTACTCATGGGGCTGAAGATAGTGGCCGGTCTGTCATGCATGGCGACAACCCGGTTCTTGATGCCGTAGGGCGGCTTCTGCAGTTGGCGGGCCATGGCATTGGTGACGGCAATGTTCTCGTTGCCGGCTTTTGCAAAAAGACATTCGTAGAGCTTCGAGATCCGTACAAAGAGGTGGGACGGTCCGCGGGTACCGGCAAGAATGGTCCAGCCATAGTTGTGCCAGTCAATCACAACACGGTGGTTTCTAACGAGGCTGACGAGGAACGCGATGGCGAGGGTAGGGATGGAAGGCGGGTTCTGGACGATGAGGAACTCGCAGGGTGGTGTCTTGTAGCAAAGGACCATCCAGAGGTCGTAGATCTGCCAGAGCACCTTGAACGGGGCTGTCAAGATGAAGGGGACGGCCTTGGACTGGAGTAGCTTTGGCGGTGCGCTCAAGCCCCAGATGCGCACGTTTGTGTGTTGGACAAGTTCCGCAAGAGGTGGTGATTCTACGGCGATGATTAGCTATATTTTGTCTTCCAATTCAAAGATATGTGGTGGATGTGTACCATTGTAGCCGATGAGCTCGACTGAACCGCCATGCTTCGCAATGCTCAGGGCATGGTACTGCATGCGAGGGCTCCGTCCAATGTCGCCAAGGACCAGGACCTGGGCAGATACCTTGCTTTTGGCAGTTTTGGTGTAGCGCTTCGGCCAGAAGAGCAACAGGACGACAAGGTCGAGCACCCACACCAAGACGGCAGCGGTGATGATATGTGACCTCTCCATGATGCTGGCCTTTTCCGCTGGTGTGTCCTGGGCTCAGGTACCATATGTCGTTCTCACATGCGGGACAAAAACGGGGGATGAGGTGTAGCACAGCTACGTGCCACCGTTGATCAGAAAGGTGAAGCTCTCACACACCGAGCTTGAGGCCAGTCCAGTGTTCAGTGTCGTGTCTCGCACCTGTGGACGCCATGCAGGGATCCGCCCAGCACTCGTTCAGGCGTCGATAAGGTCGCAGCTCCTCCACAACGGCTGGCAAAATTACCCGCTACTCCCGCCAAGCCCTGCCAAGCAGGTGCTACCGCTTCTTAGTGCCTGCAATCTTGCGACTGGGATTGCGAGTCGAAAAAGGAAAGAGCGCCCCAAGGCGCCAATCACCGGGCGCAACGGGCAGGAACGTGGTCATGGATTCCCCACACTGCATCTCTCAGGAGATCCTGAAAGGGGAAAACGCATCTGGAGGTTCAGTCAACAATGGAATGCGGCGAGCCCTCCACTTGACGCCTCAATTGTCGTCCTTATCTCTCTCTCCATCTCCGCCGCCCGCTGTGGTCTTGCGACCTGTCAATTGATTTTTCCTTCCCACCACCCCTCCCGTTGTACGGATCTGGCATTCTTTGATTCCCCTCAGATAGCAGCCAATTCGACTGCGTTGCTTTCCCGTCTCTTGGGCAGCCGTGACGCTAAGGCGGAGATCGAAGCTCCAATCCTTCGACTCATCCGAGCACGAGTCGGGCAAGCAAGCCTTCGGCGGGGAAATCGACGGAGGATTCCCCATTGCATCATCTTCAAGCCCTCAATTCTCGACTGCCAGCAAGCGTTTGCCAGTGCCTTCCACTCACTGTGCGGTACCTACAGCCATATCCACGGGCTTACGGAACGACCTCCCCCGAGCCACGAAACCTCCCAAGCATACTTGATCACCATCCATGATAAGGACCCTGACCGCATTCGAGCTGTAGGGCTGTCGACCATACTCCGACCGACAGCCACGGCAGCCGAAAGACCATGACCTCGTACACTCTCCCGGCGGGGGTTCTACACTCGCACGCCGACCAGCACACCACTCACATGCACGTCCATTCGCACTCGACGCCACCCTTCGGTGCTCTCGGCAAGTCTCTGCGACCGGAGAAGCCCAGCACTCCGGCCGAGAACGGGCACGCGCACGACCACGACCACGACCACGATCATAGTAATGACCACGGCCACGACCACGGCCACGGCGATGAGCATAGCCATGGCCATTCTCACAACCTCCCGCAGTACCGAGCCAACTCGAACCATCCCATGCGCGGCCGTCCTAACCTTCCACCTCCTCTGTCATCCGGACACGGCTGGACAAAGTCGATCTCAGCCGGTGGAAAGCCTATGATAACGCCTACAAGTGCCGTGTTTGACAAGGTCTACTCGCCGCCGGCCCAGCTCGCTGTCAAGAGCCATGCCCATGACCATGACCATAGCTCCATCCAGCGATCATCAGTGACCAGCTTTCTCCTCGACTACACAGCCAAATGGCCGCTGTTGCACGCAATAATGACCGAGAAGGACTCTAGGAGGATTTTCTATTTTATGAGGTAGGAGTGATACCAGACATCCATGATATCGCGTTCGTCTTTGCTAATGTGGACATTTTCAATAGTCTCAACTTCGGCTTCATGACGATTCAGGCGTTTTACGGCTATGTCACAGACTCGCTTGGCTTGCTGAGCGATAGTGTGCACATGTTTTTCGACTGTGTGGCGTTGGGGGTTGGACTGTTTGCGGCAGTCGCAAGCAAGTGGCCTCCCAGCGAGAGATTTCCGTACGGGTTCGGGAAGGTCGAGACCTTGAGCGGCTTCGCCAACGGTATTTTCCTAGTGTACGTTTTTATCGTTTCCACCGGCACCCCCCATGTTGGTTCTGCGGTCGCTAACCGTCATGCAGACTCATTAGCGTCGAAATCATGTTCGAGGCGTTCGAGCGGATCATCGAGGGCCACGAGACGAAACGGCTCGGCGAGCTGTTCATTGTCAGCACGTTGGGCCTTTTGGTGAATCTTGTCGGCATGGCTGCGTTTGGTCACCACCATCACGGGCACGACCACGGCGGCCACTCGCATGGCCACTCGCACGGACATGCTCACGACCACGGCCACTCGCATGACCACGACTCGGGCTGCAATCACGACAAGGACCACGACCACGACCACGACCACGCACACTCTCATGAGCACGGACACGACCATGCGCTTCCCCATGCAGGTCACAGCCACAGCCATGGGCACTGCCACGACAACGAAAACATGTACGGGATCTACCTGCACGTGCTCGCAGATACGCTCGGCAGCGCAGCGGTTATTGTATCGACTATCCTCACTCATTTCTGGTCGTGGGCCGGCTGGGATCCCCTAGCATCATTCCTGATCGCGGTGCTGATCCTGGGCTCTTCGATCCCTCTGGTCAAGTCTTCGGCGCGCCGGTTACTGCTCACGATTCCGGACCAGCTCGAGTACAACCTGCGCGACACGCTGTCGGGCATTACGGGCATCCGCGGGGTCGCCAGCTACACGGTGCCGAAGCTGTGGATGGACGACCGGGGCGGCGCGGACGACAAGCTGTTGGGCATGATGCACGTGGTTGCGATCCGCGGCGCCGACATGGACGACGTGAGGGAGCGCGTGAGGAGCTACCTTGCGGGCAAGGGCATTGACATCACGCTGCAGGTTGAGAGGGAAGGTGACACGACATGCTGGTGTGGCAACGGGCGCAGTCCTCTGGGCCACAGCGCAACCAGGAGTGTGGCGTTTTAGGCGGGCGACATGGTGTAAAGGTCACTTTTTTCTTGGGGATGTTCTCTTCTTGGATGGCGGTTCTCGTCACCCTTTTGCATAAAAGACTGGGACCAGCATTTATATATACCGGGGGGGTTGTTTCTTGGGAGTACGACGAGGGCTTGGACATAGCATCATACAGTTACCTGAGACTAAGTAACGCCATTGGGGGCGGGGAGGGGGGTAGTTGTATTTGTGTAGTCATAGTCTCTCACGGAGTTGGGATGAGGGTTTAACGGAATACCACAGAAATATGTATCACCTCTTGGCGACATGCAGAATGAGGAAATCGCATGCGATGTGTGGCATACCAACCAAGTAGGAATTGCAGATGTGTGGCCTAATCGAGCATGTTCCTTTCGCCCAGTGCAGCGTGACAGCACCAGCGACAGCGTTCACATTCAGCCCAGATGAGGCGCGGCCATCCCCACTCGCGTGCAACGACGCATGACATTTGATGGCACGATCGACCATCTTTGTGTGCCTGTGCCCTCCTGTGCCCAGTGACATCCATTTCCGACTGGTCCATCCATCCGCCTGTCCGGGACAATCGCAACGAGCCGTTGCAGAGCGCGCGAGTGGGAGGGACTGGGAGTGGGCTAGGTTCAGGGCCTGATTAGCGCCACAAGCCGAGGGCAGCCAGCGCTGTAACCCCACGTTTTGGTGGGGGTTGGGGGCCAACGGGGCGAGCTTGCACAGGGGGGGTTGTGTTCTGCTGCGTCACTTTTTTTCTGTTCTTATTAGTGGGCTTGCCGAGAAATAGGCCGGGGGAATACCTTGTCCCAGCCGAACGACCGAGGCAGGCGCCTCATCTGGCAGTGCGGGAACGGCTGTCGAGCGGCACAAGGATAGAGGATGGTCAGGATTGGGAATGGTCGCAAGACTGGAGGATTGGGGAAATGGCTATGGTTTTTGGAGAAAGATGTGTGTGTTGCGGGGAATTTTTATTTTTATTTTTATTTTTTTGACCTCTTCCCATCCATCCATCCTTTCTTTCAGCTTCACGTCTTCGATTCTACTCTATCTTGTGTGGCCGGAACTTCCCCCAATTGCACAGGTCTGAAAGGAATAACTAGACCGGCGGACAAGTCTTACAATCCTTCGCTTTCACGAGCCAGCATCGAAGCGAGAGCTGACCCAGATTTGCTCCACACCAGCTCCCCGTTTCCCGTCGTCGTTCGTCGCAGAACTCCCGCGAGGGCTAAATTGTGCCGAGGCTGGGGGGGTCACCGCATCCACCACCATTTTTTGTGACGTCTACAGGGTTCGCAGGCTCACGAGGACACTTTTTCTGTCTTCCCTGGTGCAAAATACCCCTTCTTCTCTCGACGAGCGATAGACGACTCCTTGAGGTTTCATTCTGGAAAGACCGGCGCATTGGTGCTCGTAACAGCTTGACGTGACAGCAGGGAGTAGCTTGAGAGGCACGCCAAAGACGCACTGAGCCGAGACTCGTCCTCGCCAGCCAGCTTGTTCTCCAACGAACCTCCGTACGAGCGTGGGAACGATCCGTCCGGAGACACCAAAAATCACTGTTTTCTCTCCCATCACACCACACACACACACACACCAACCAGCCTACACAATGTCGTCCTCGTCCGCGCCCTCGGAGACCGCGGGCCACGCGATCAACCGCACCCTGCACGACAAGCTCCCGGACAAGGTCGCCGACCACCTGCCGCACATCCCCGAGAGCAAGGACGAGATCAAGGCCGACGCCAAGGCCGCCGCGTCGACGGGCCTCGCGCAGCTGCGCTCCTTCGCCGCGGGAGGCTTCGGCGGCATCTGCGCCGTCGTCGTCGGCCACCCCTTCGACCTGGTCAAGGTGCGCCTGCAGACGGCCGAGAAGGGCGTCTACTCGTCCGCCCTCGACGTCGTGCGCAAGAGCGTCGCGCGCGACGGCCTGAGGAGGGGTCTGTACGCCGGTGTCAGCGCGCCCTTGGTCGGCGTCACGCCCATGTGTGAGTTTTTTTCATCTACTTCCCCCCCCTCCAAATCTAGACAAAAAGACAAGACCTCGGGGAAGCTGACCACCGCCGGGCCTCTCTCTCTCCTCAGTCGCCGTCTCCTTCTGGGGCTACGACCTCGGCAAGTCCATCGTCTCCTCCGTCTCGGCCCCGGCCCCCGACGGGTCCCTCACCATCGGCCAGATCTCCGCCGCCGGCTTCTTCTCCGCCATCCCCATGACCGCCATCACCGCGCCCTTCGAGCGCGTCAAGGTCATCCTCCAGGTCCAGGGCCAGGCCAAGCTCGAGCCGGGCCAGAAGCCCAAGTACTCGGGCGGGCTCGACGTCGTCCGCAGCCTCTACCGCGAGGGCGGCATCCGCTCCGTCTTCCGCGGCTCGGCCGCCACCCTCGCCCGCGACGGGCCCGGCTCGGCCGCCTACTTTGCGACCTACGAGTACGCCAAGCGCAGGCTCACGCCCGTCGACCCCGTGACGGGCAAGCCCAGCGGCCAGCTGAGCCTGACGGCCGTGACGTGCGCGGGCGCCGCCGCCGGCGTGGCCATGTGGATCCCCGTCTTCCCCGTCGACACCGTCAAGAGCCGCCTGCAGACGGCCGAGGGCAACGTCACCATCGGCGGCGTCGTGCGCGAGCTCTACGGCAAGGGCGGCATGCGCGCCTTCTTCCCCGGCTTCGGCCCCGCGCTGGCCAGGGCCGTGCCCGCCAACGCGGCGACCTTCCTCGGCGTCGAGCTGGCGCACCAGGCTATGAACAAGGCCTTTGGTTGATTGAAAGAGGTTGGGGGAGATATCTAGAAGAGGAGGTTTGTGTGTGTGTGTGTGTGTATTTTAGTTGCTGATAGTTTACGGGGTCGTGTCGAGGATGAAGGGGGATTTCCCGTGTGTGAAGTCCGCCAAGGGCTGCGATGGTGATGAGTGGTGGTGGTGGTCGTTTCAGGTCGCGCCGTGGATCTAGGGCATCGGAGCACATGACAAACGGGGGAGGCTGCTGCTGCTCAAACATTTTCAGGATTGGGAGGTCTGGATTTTGCTTGCAGATTTTCTCCATCCGGAAGAGCATCAAGTATTGTTCGCCAGGCGAAAACGGATGATTCTGCATTATTTATTGTTTTTTTTTTATTCATACATGCCTTGTCGCGCAATCTCGTTCAGAAAGGAAAAGCTGCCATAGACCGCGTGGGAAATAGACTCGCCATCTGGATCATTGCCATTGCCATTGCCTAACGCCTAACTCCTTCTTTTTTGGGTTTGCCTGAATGTCCTCGTTCCGGATAGGTAGGCCTCATCATAGTACAGTGAACAAGAAATAGGCAGGATTAGTATCGTACACGGTTCGTCATCATCAGGCCCTTCCTAAGAACAGCTTCAGTCGAGGAACTTTCCGCCACATCCACCGCAGGTCTCGCCCGAGACGTCGCGACGGATGTCCTCCGCCTGCTCGGGCAGCATCTTGATCAGCTCGGGCATCCGGAGCGACCGCAGGCCGCAGACGCCGCAGGCCCGGGAGATACCCGGCGCCTGGATGGCCATGCCGCTGACAGTGCAGGTATCTAAGACAAACATCGATCAGTTACACTTTTCCCCTCCCTCCTCCTTCTTCTTCTTCCCCTTGCAGGAAACTGGCACAACCAACCACACCAAAGAAACCGAAAAATGTAAAAAAAAAAGGGCGTATAGTAGAATAGAACTCACCAAAGACGTGGCCCTCGTCGCAGACGGTCTGCGCGCCCTCGGCCCGCAGCGGCGGCGCGTCGTCGACGTCGCCGCCGCCCTCGCAGATCTGGCACCGCTGCGCGGCCGCGGCGCCGGCAAAGTACGCGTGCGCGACGGCCTTGACGCGCGCCGCCTCGGCGACCTCGGCCTCCTCCTGCGGCAGGGCGGGGCTGCCGGAGCCGGCCGTCGCCGTCACGCCCTGCACCTCGGGCCCGCCGCCGTACATCCACTCCCACATGCGCGCCTCGGTCGACAGGCCCGGCCGCCAGGAGGCGGCGACCGCGGCGGTGGTCGACTTGGACTTGTTGCTGTTGTTGTCGACCCAGCCGAACATGAGGCGGCTGCGCGTGTGGTACCAGCCGCCGCGGTCGGGCTTGAGGGCCGACTGCACGGTGCCCATGGCCGCGGTCGAGCCACCGCCGGGGGAGGCGACGAGGCCCCACAGCCGGTAGCGGTTGATGAAGACGTCGGGCGAGTCGGCCGCGTCGAGCTGCTCGTCGTCGTCGTCGTCGACTTCGGTGTCGAGGTCCTCCTCGTCGTCGTCCGTGTCGTCGAGGCCGTCGGTGCCGGCGCGCGAGGCGAACGCCGCGGGCAGGGCGATGTTGATCTTGTCGCCGATCTCGACGGCCCACTGCGGGCGCGGGGCCGGCTGGCCGTCGTCGCCCGCCGGCGCGTTGGCCTCGTACCAGTCCGGGTTCGTGGCCGTGGCGGCGAGGCGCACGAGCGTGTAGAGCGGGGTCGGGTAGGGGGCCGTGGTGTCGACGGGGCGGAGGACGATGCTCTGGATCGGGTTGGTGTGCATGCCGTCTGGGGACGGGTAGATGGTGTTGCACTTGTGCTGGTCGTGCGGCCGGATCTTGTCCGGGGTGTCGCCACCGCCGGCGAGGACGGCCTCGAAGATCCGGGGCTGGTTCGGCGTGGCGATTACGCCGCGGCAGATTTGCTTGCCGTCGACGGTGAGGATCTGTGCGGTGGGTTTGTTAGGAGCTTGTATCCTTTTGGGAGGGAGGGTATCATATGTGGGAAGGGAACCTACCGTGTCCTCCCACTCGAGGAATGCGTCTACGCCGAGGTACAGGCATATTCCGTCGGCGTCCTCCTCGGCAATCTCGACGATGAGACCATCGCTATCATCATGCTTGACGACGACCTTCCGGAAGCCAACGTAGCCTCGCTCCATATGAGACAGGATAGCAATGCTGGTTCCATCCTTCTTGAGCCAGGGGGTCCAGCGCAGGCCAAAGTTGGTGCCGAAGGGGACGTAGTCGAAATCCATGATGGAGAGGTCGGGATGCGGACCCTTGAACGTAACCCGTGCGACCTCGCGCACCGTCCAGGTCGCCACCTCCTTCATGGTGCCCTCAATCACCTCAAAGTCGCTCCGGACGGTGAGGAAGACGTGCTCTCCCTGGTCGTTGGCGTACACAAGCAGCGCGCCCCGAGGGCTGACCTCCTTGGCCCAGGCAAACGAGATGATGGCCTCTGCATACTCCTGCTGCGGCGGGACCACGAACCGCTCGCCGACGGCCCAGAGGACCTCCCACGTCGACGCGTCGTGGCCCGCGCCGCCGCCCTTGCGGCGGTTGGCGGACGTGGCCGGGCCTTCGCCGTACATGGCCAGGGTGCCGGAGGAAGTCAGCACGGCCAGGATGGGTCGCCTGTTGCGGCCGACGCCCGAGGGCGACCACTCGAGGGCGACGACGTGGTTGAGGGTGGTGGCCGCCGAGCTGAAGGGGCCGCTGCCGGCGCCGGTGGGCAGCTTGTAGCCCGAGTTGGCGCTATCCTCGCCGCGGCCGTCGCCCCCCTCCTCGTCCTCCGGGAGGTCGCCGTAGGGGAAGTCGAGGCCCTGCGCCTCCCACAGGCGGCGGTTGACGCGCACGTCGAGGGGCGGGTGGGACACGGAGAAGTGGCGCATGCCGGACGAGTACTGGCTGCGCCTGGCGACCTCCATGGCGACCTGCGCGGAGCGGAAGCCGCCGCTGCCGTCGGCTCCGTCGTGGCCATCGTCGTCACCATCCTCCTCGAGCTTGGCCGCCTGCGGCCAGTCGTCGTCCTCGGCCTCCGCGGTGGGGAACAGCGGGACGAAGAGGTGGATCGAGTCGTCGGCCGCGACGGCGAGCTCGGCGTCGCAGGACCATGCCAGCGCGCGCTTCGTGACGGGCGAGGTGTTGAGGTTGATGCCCTTGAGAGGCAAGGGCTTCTCCTCGGGTTTCGAGTCAGCGGTGGTCTCCATTGTGGTGGGGGAAGTGAACCGAAAAGTGAGGCTCTCGAGGGGGTCTCTCTGGACTGGGAGGGATCTCGAGGGCGAAGGAGTAAGAAGAAAGGAATAGCTTTGAGAATAGAATTTATGCGTCTCTGCGACAAGAAGCCTAGCACGTTTCTGTCTGAAGCACGTTCTCTTGCCATTCTCGCATTCGTTGTGTGAAGGATGGGCACTCGCCCTTCATCCTTGGAGGCCGTTTTGCTTGATGAGGAGTAAGGAGACTTGGTAGAACGGACGAACAGACCTGAAGGCGCTTCATGATAAGTCAAGAACCGCATCTGCGAGGGCAGACAAAAAATAAAGGTTTCAGCTACTGAAGCATGGATGGGGGCGTGAGCCGCGCACAGCACGATGGTCTGTGGGATGTGTCGTGGTTGACGGCTTTGATTGTGGTTGGAGTTTGGAATGTTAGTCGAAAAGCTCAGGATGAGTCTACGCTTTGAGCTCTGGAGCGCCCACACAATCAACCCGATCACCAATCTGAACTCACTTTCAAGATCGCATTTGACTTCTGCAGTCAGGCAAAGCTTAAACATGGATTGTGCACCGTAAAGCATACTAATTTTCAATTTAAGAATCTTGATTTTGTTGAATGAAAGCCTAGGCCAAGTCCTCAAGAGGGACGAAAGCAACCTGTTCTTTTTACAAATGCATCCTTTGAAAACGCCAGACCCCTATACCTATACATCATTGCAGATAACATCTCTACTTTTTACAGCAATTGCATGATTTCGCCGCCTTGGATCTCGTCGACTCCCTTCCTACTTTCGAATAGACTCGAAATAAGCTCCCACGCCCCAGAGCAGGGCGCACCCTGCGACAGCAGTGGCACCGGCCACTTTCCTCGTCCACCAGTTGTCATCCGTCAACGGCTTGGCGAACTGGATCTTCTTGTGCGCGGGTTTCTTGCCCTGATCCGCGGCCGTCGCGTTCTTGGCGGCAGCCTCGGCCTCCTCGGCCCTCTGCCTCAGGGCAGCGATCTTCTTGCTCAGCGCGAGCAGGTCCTCCTCCAGGGTCGCGTTCTTGGCGCCGTCGACCTCGACATTCTGGACGTTGCCGAAGAAATCGGTGATGCGACGGCTGCGGGCTGCCTCGGCGCCTCCCCGGAAGAGGTCATAGCGGACGCCGGCGTGAGAGTGGATCTTCTCGTAGTCGTAGCTGTCGAACAGGTCGCCGACAGTCTTCTTGCTGCTCAGGTCCTGGACCTGGGTCTCGAGGAACTCGAGGTTGTAGTAGGTGTAACGATCGATGACGGCGACGCCGACATCGTTGTCGGCGTGGTGCGAGTAGGACGACTGGTCGAGCTCCGAGGAGCCGGTGGCGATGATGTTGGGAGAGTAGAGCTTGGTGTACATGGTGTTGGCTTGGCAGGTATCGATCATGAAAAGAATCTCGTGGTATCTGGCCAGGGAAGGGGGGGATGTTAGATCAGGGGGATGCGGCGGTGCTTTCGGTTCGGCGTCCAAGCTTACCTCTTCTTCTCCCACATCTGCTCAAAGGCATCGGCGAGATCAAAGGCGCCAATCTCCTCGGCATCCTGGAACTTCAGGAACTCGTTGCCGCCGTGGCCAGTCATGTAGACCAGGATGTTGCTGCGGTCGTCGGTCAGCAGCCTCTTGCTGCGGGGCATCTCGTCCCCGACGCGGTCGGTGAGCAGGCGGATGAAGTTCTCCACCGTCACCTCGTAACCTCTGTAGTCGACCTCGATGTTGTCGCCGTACAGGTCGACGGCGCGGTCGGCGTTGGAGTAGACGGTGCCCGGGAAGGCGTTGCGCGGGTTGCAGGCCATGTCGTCGGGCAGCATGAGGATGATCTGCGAGTCGGGGATGCCCAGCCGCTTCACGGTGCGGTATATCGAGAGGGCATTGGCGAGATGGCGATAGTTGAACCAGAAGCGCGAGGTGCAGACCAGGACGGCCCAGTTGCTGGTGTGCTCGGCGGCGGCCAGGGGGGTCGCGATGGCGAGCAGCGAGGCCACCAGCAGCGCCGGCAGCCGTCCCAGGTGCGGGATCTTCATGGCCGGAAAAGCGAATCGCCTGTGCAAAGGAAAAGGGTAGGAAAAGCAACAACAACAAGAACAATAGCAACCGCAATGCGCGCTGCAGTATGCGATGTCTGTTGCATGTGATGGGAGCTACAAGCACAGCTGTCGCCAGTTTGACAATCCGCCACGTACCGTGTGCTTGTACACCAGGGATCACAATACGGATTTGTAATGGGTGCGGTTCCGCGGTGACTTGATTTGATAAGATTACTTTACGGAGTACCTAAGTCTATCTCCAGCTTGCAGCTTGGCTTACCTTTACCTATCATGTGCTCTCCAGTGACGGGGGGCGCTAAAAAAGGTCCCAAGGTCACACTTCGAGGGTTGACAGGGGTGCCACTTCGGGGGGATACGTCCCATAGTTTCAGGGCGGTCCAGGCGGGCGGTGAGCACAAGCAGGCCTGGAATATGCGCCCGAATGCGGTAAAACGCAAGCAAATACCTAGGTAGTTAGTTACCTAGGTAGAGAGCACAGGCCAGCATCACATGCCGCGCGCCAGCCTGCGAGGACTGCGCCTGGTCCTGCTGGTTCCGCGCCATTCGGGGCCAGAAACACAAGAGGAAGCTCCGCTGGTGACGCCAAATGGGCCCAGCTCTGCGCCAGAAACAGCCTCGAGTTGGTGGGTTTTTCCCTTTCTATGGGTTCCAAGGTTCTTCAATGGACCCCGTGGATAGTGGATGATGGTCTTGGCCCGAACCTCCATCGATGCTGCCCCTCCCTGAGCGAATGCCGTTCTGGCGCGCCCAGACGATAGCGCAGCTAACTACTTGTACTGCGCCGACGCAGTACCTACCGCACCGCGCCTCATTAGCATCGACTCTGGCATCGTGAACTTTTTCGGGGCCGGAAATGACTCTGCGTGCTGCCGAATTTCTCGCAAACCTTGGTCCGACGATGACTCCTCTCCCCAGCCGCCCGTGTCTCTGCTGTTTCCCCCTTCTCCGTCACGTCACCTGAACCCGGCCTGGAAGAACGTGAACCGCCTGACAAATCCTCCTCCCCGTTTGTCTGTCTCGTCTGCCACTCCAATCACAAACCCCTGCTTGAGCACAGGCTGTCTGCTACACCCCCACGACATCTCCGTGCTGCCGTTCCACAGCCGGCGCCTCCAAAGCGAGCAAGCAAGCGCAGGATCCAACCCAATAACTAGCTCCGGATTTCATCACAAGCCCGCCGATCCCAGAAGCTTTTTCTCTGAACCCTTCCTCCCCCCGAGACTGAGGTATTGTCGCGATCTGCCATCCTCTGCTACGGAGGGAGACAAAAGGCGAGCTTGACTCCAACACCCACCACCCTCCCTCCTGCACGGACTCTCCCACCTCCGAAACTGCATCGTTCCATTTGGTCCTCCTGAACGCAGCTTCGGCTCGCCAACATGGGCCGCCCTCCTGCGTACATCTTTGTCGTCAGGTATGCCTCGCTCTCTCGCTCTCTCACTCTCAGAACTTGCTCCTCTCCTCTTACACACCAGCTAACTCTCCCCCAGGCACGGCAACAGACTCGACGCCGCCGACAAGCAATGGCACCTGTCTTCTCCGACCCCCTACGATCCTCCCCTGACCTATAGCGGATGGACACAGTCTCGAGCCTTGGGCTTGAGGATAGGCGAGATACTGAGGGAGAGACTGCTCGACGACGATCGACCGAGCGCATCCCCCGGCGCGAAACCCAAGGGCGGACGGAAATTCAGGGTCATCATCCACAGCTCCCCGTTCCTTCGATGCGTCCAGACCTCTGTCGGCATAAGTGCCGGCCTCGCTTCCGACCCTGCGCCCTTGCAGAGCCCGCTCATCGGCGGGTACTCGCCCCGCACATCGCAACCCTCGAGCCCTCTACCGTCTCCCGGCATCAGCCCTGCACCCCGTCCTGCCATCTCCATCGACACGCGGCAACCCCTTCGGCCCGTTCCCAGCCCTGCCACTGACGACGAAGCCAAGGCGGAAAGCAAGGAGATCCCCAAGATAGTGCTGCGCCTGGACGCCTTCCTCGGAGAATGGCTCTCGCCGAGCTACTTCGAGCTCATCACGCCTCCTCCGGGCTCCGTCATGATGATCGCCAGCGCCAAGGCCGAGCTCCTGCGCCGCGAGAACTACAACAGCTACCCCCACTTCCAGCTCCATCAGAACCATGCGCAGCACCACCACCGGAACCAGAACCATGCGGCGCATAACCACGGCCACCTGTGGAACTCGAGCCCTCGGGCAAGCCCTGTGGCCACGCCGCCTGCAGCCGAAGACCTGCCTCCCCTGTCCGGCCTCGACAGCCTGTCGGGCATGGCCACTTCCCTGCCCAGGAGCGGTAGCGTGGGAAGCCATCACCACCGGCCCGGACGCCTGGTGCCCATGCCGGCTGTTGAGGGCAATGCCTACGTCGCACCGACCCCCACATTTGCAGTGTCGTCCAAGGCACCGATACCTGCAGGCTACGTCGCACATGCAAGGGACGCTTGTGTGCAGGTCGATTACCAGTGGGACTCGATGCGCGCCCCGTACGACTGGGGCGACGGCGGCGAATACGGCGAGGAGTGGACTTCGATGCACAAGAGGTTCCGCCATGGCCTCCAGAAGATGGTCGAGTGGTACTCGGACGCCGAGAAGCCCTACAAGATGGTGACCAGGCTCGCCAGGTCCTCTACGAATGGGTCGCAGCCGGGCAAAGCGGACCCCGAGGTCGAAGAGCCCGAAGATGAGGATGCTGAGAACGTCGTCATCCTCGTCTCCCACGGCGCGGGATGCAATGCGCTCATTGGAGGCATCACTCACCAGCCGGTCCTCATGGACGTCGGCCTCTGCTCCCTGACGATGGCTGTGCGCAAGCCGGCCGCGGGGAACGGACTGAACGGCAGCCATGCCGATGTTCTCGTCCTCCCTAGCGAGAAGCATGGCGCCAGTCCCGTGCACAAGATCTACGACCTGAAGATGTTTGCCAACACGGACCACGTCCGGTCCAACGCGCCGACTCCGACGGCATCTCGCTCCTCTAGCATGGCCAACGCGATGGGCGGCATCCGGGGGCGCTACTCAGGCTCCTTCTCGTCGCCGCTCGGCAGCCCCTACATCGAGGCGGGAGGGAGTAGGAGCTCCTCTGCCAACGCAGCCTTCAGCGACTACAGACGGGCTTCGGGGCACTCCTCTGGGAACCACGCTGTCGGCGGCATCACAGTTGGGAGCGGCGTCACGTCCTTCACCAACCCGACCGGCCTGTCGCGCACGCCCTCCATCGGCCTCTGGTCTCCTGCTGCTGCGAGGAAGGCCGAGGAGGCGTTTGAGGACGAGAGCGAGCCAGACATGGTCCTGAACTTTGGCGACGACGGCAAGTACACCTCGTCGCACCTGCAGCACGAGACCGCCGATCCCAAGGCGACGGAGAAGAACGGGCCTGCGACTGCTGAGGAGCCGCTTGTGCCGGCCCAACCGCCGACGCCCGGCGTCGACGAGGCTGAGAAGGGCGACACCATCTCCCAGTTGAGCCAGCTGCCCACTGGGCTCTGGGGCCAGCAGGCCCGGCCGGTGCGGCCGGTGGATCTTGCGCATCACAGGACCATCAGCTCGTCGAAGCGCCGGTGGACGGTCAACGAGCGGACTTAAGAAGCAGCGTCTCTGATAGGTCGTGTTGGTGAGCGTGTTCATCCGACTTTCTTCATCCATGCTTTACACCAGGGACTTGTTTCTCTCCCCCTTTTATTTTCTTTATCTATTTTGCAGCGTTCTGAAAAGTTATATCGCGCTATTGGGCAGTTTGAATGTGACAGATGTGCAAGGCGGGCAAATGTCTTGAGGTCTTAATCGGTCAAGTTGAAGCAAAAAGGATGCTCAATGGGATAATAGCGCGGTTCTTTGGCTGGAATGGATGGGCAGCTCTTCTCACTTTGTTGTAACATACCCCTTTTGTACTCTGTGCGGGATATTCTCACCTCACAGTAATTTGACTGGTAGAGGAATATGATGGCATGTTGATGGTCAAATTTCTGGCTACTTCTGCAGGCCGCCAACACTCACTCACTACCCATTGCCAAGTGACGGGCGAGCAACATCCAGCTTTCTCAGACCACTATCTGAACCGGAGTGAGCCGAGCACACTTGACCTCCTCCATATTGCGTCATCAACAACTGAGCCCCAAACGACTTTGGAACAGAATTCACTCCTTTAGGCAGTTGAATAACCAGCGGCAAGTAGCGGGATAGTTCTTGACTTTGCTGTTGTCTTTTACCTCTCAACCTTCTCTATTGCCTTTGACAATAGCATCAATCAGGATGATAGAGTGTGAGGAGAGATAGATACACGACATGGGAGGATGTGAGGCCTTGGAGCAGTGGATCCACACAGAGCACTCGTTATGTGATAGAACCAGCTCAAAGTCGAAAAGCTCGAGTCTATCTCAGAATCTGATTTGTATTTTTATCGATGAAGGGATGCCGGGCTGTCAATGGTCAGCAGACCTCACCTGCATCGATCAGCGGAAATTCAGACACCTGAAATCTCGGACTCAAGGCTCGCATGACAGAGTCCGATCTGTCACTCGCAAGAAGAAGCAATCTCATGGGACACACGTTAAACCGGACGCCCAATCAGGGGGCTGGTCTCTTGCTCTGGAGTTCCGGGCAAGCCGAATTTCGGAACCAGGCCGCTCGACATCAATTGATATTTGGATATCCAACATCTACTCAAGGTGTTTGACAGCTAAATTTGCAAGATATCAACGTCATCAAGAATGCACCTGACAATTCCTAGTTTGTGACTAAGTGACGTTCCTCAAAATACGATAATACGATCAATCCTCCCCACACTGAACGGAAGCTACCCAGATGTTTGGACTGTAGGATCAGACGGGACGCGGACATTGGCCCCCGTTTGAAATGCAAATGATCATTCCAGCTCGTGTTGGGTAGTATTGGAGACTTAAAGGAGATGTATCGGACAGAAATCGGGATTGTTGTCGTTGCTTCAGGGGATGGACGATACGCCCAGTGCATATTACGCTCAATACGCTTTCGAAATGTGATAGTCTTACGTTCAACTCAGGTCTGCCCTCGGACTACAATGTCGCGCAAAAGTAGCCCCATGGAGGCTCAGTAGATAACGTCTGACATAGTCTATAAAATACTCGTGAATATCCTGCACAATAACTGGCTGCGTGTCCTGTTTCTTTTTCATATGCACCACATCCCAAGTCATGGCAGTACCTTCTTCAACTGATCAGACAACCGATCTGTACTCCAAAAAGGCAGAATTCTGGGAGAGCTATCTCAAAGGACGGCCCAGAGCACCGGAAAGGCTATTGGACCGTGTCTTCCGCTATCACGAGGAGCACGGTGGGAGATGGGATTGTGCGCATGACATAGGTGCCGGAGTCGCCCCGTACGCCAGCGACCTCCGAAGCAGGTTCGCAGACGTCATCCTTTCAGACATCTCCCCCGATAATGTCGCCGTCGCCCAAGCACGCTTGGGCACGGACGGCTTTAGCTACCGCGCAGCCAGGGCCGAGGACGTGGACGATATCACTCCTGGCACCGTGGATATGACGTTTGCAAGCACCATGTTCCACTTCTGCGACGACCAGCACGCTGCCATGGCTGCCATGGCAAAGCAGCTGCGGCCAGGGGGCACATTCGTGTGCTTTTTTGTGGGATTGGCCTCGTTCGATGATCCGGCCGTCTATGACCTATACATGGATATCGTACGGACTGGGAACAAAGGGCTGTGCCAGAACGTCAGGGACCCCGATAATCTGCTTCGCGCCATTGATCGGATCCGCGGGTTCTACAACGTCGCGCCTCTTGAAGATGAGCTCTGGCTTCCGGGAGCGCAGAGAATCTCGCTGAACATGGGGGACACGGGGACGCCGAGACTTACGGTTCCAGATATGGTCCTCGAAACCGAGGAGCCTCTTTACACCGGACCCAGTGATGTGGAGTCCTTCTTGACAGAAGATGGCTGGGGGTTTGCCATGGGTATCAATGACATCAAGCAGCACATTTGGACCATGACCTTTTCCGAGTCTGATGAGTTGACTAGACTGTTCAGTAAGATGGAAGCCTTGGTGGGGACAAGAAGAGTCACGGGGCGGTGGCCTTGTAAGCTTATCTTGGCTACTCGTAGATGAAACGTCGCAGACGTCTGACATGAAGAGGAGGTTGGTTCTGCTGATCTTTCAAGTTTCTGTTGTCCAGTCATCTCTCTCTATTGTTGAACAATTGTAGATCCCTAGTCATCCGTTCTCTCGAACTTTGTGGAGGCAACCGTACAGAGACCTATTCCTGGATTCGTGCTATAGATCACCCCTTACGCAGGGCCCGATAATACCAAGATGCGATGCTAGCTACCGCTACAATAGGTGCCAGTGTGAATACCATCCGCTTCCGCGCATTGGCGGCGCTGACTGCTTGCACTTCAGCGGTTCCCTTTCTGAAGCTTTCCTTTTCATTCCGCTCCGGCCAAGGCTGGTTGGGAATTTCCACTCCCAGATACAGGCAGATGGTGTGCCATCCCAACTCTCCCTCCTCAAGCTTCAAACAGAGGAGCCGGTCGGCGGGGATCCTCTTTTTGACGTCGGCCCAACTGGCCGACGGGTTAACGTCAGCGCCTAAATTATCCTTTGGTGATAGTTAAGCCAGGATAGAACCTACTAATCAATGCAGTACTGGCGTGAGTGTGCGTAGCCCTCTTCTGTCAGTCCCTTTCCGCCAGTCCACTCGTCGGTGATCTTTGTCACCGCACTGATGAAGTTGTCGGCAAAGGTATCGAAGAATCGCACGAACCGTCTCTGCAATGTGTTCCCCTTGGCGACCTCCTCGGCAACAGTGCCCCTCCACGAACTCACCCAGCGGTCAGGGTCTCTCTCTGTCAGAATGAATTTGCAGTCGGGATAGGCCGCCAGGAAGTCGTCGAGGAAGAAGGAGGGTACCTCGACGATAGACTATCCGCTGCGTTGTAAGCTTAGACTTGAGATACAGAGACTCTCCGTCGCCACCCACAAGGCACTGACATCATACTTGCCGAACCATTTGTCGAAGTCCTCACGCGTGTAGCTTTTGATGTTCTTGTTGCGGTATGCCTCGACGGCCTCATTCAGTATGACGGCGTCAGGTAGTCTGTTATGCATGACTTCGGCCATGTGGTATGGCTTGAACCCAAGAACTTTCAAAGCCTTGTACAAACCGGCAGTGCCAGTTCTAGACGTGAACAAGGGCAATTGATTAGCTAGACTTTAAAGCATCTCTCCTCTTGAGGCCATGAGATGCTAACTTACCTGCTGAGGCTCACCACCACGACCTTTATCGGACATGGAGAGTCCACTGGTGGTAGCTCATCAATAAATCTAGGCATTCTTGGTGTGTCTGGGATGTATAGAAGCTATCAAGACCTGGTAATGACGCGATAGATTGAAGAGATGACAAGCGTGGGAAATCGTGGTGCTTTTATCCGTTCAGCTCTGGTCTGTGTCCCGGCTATTGAAGTTACGAGAGCGACCCCTTGACTCCCGGGTAGGGTCTCCAGACTGCCGGGTGGGAAAAGGGGTTCCCCGCTCCCCTCGTAGTATTGGGGGAATGCTCGTATCTGATGTCAGCGCTGGGACGGCAATCACAACTAATTAATAATGGAGGCTTTCTCTCGGTCTGAGCATCCCCGAGCTGGCACGCCCTGGCCAATCGCTTCCTTAGAGATCTCGGTAATCACATGGAAACAAGAGTGCGTCAACTCATCGATTACTTCACTACGTAGGCTATCCCTTGCATCCTCTTGCAAACAACGGCGTGAATCTCGACACAGACTTCCTCATTTTGCTAGTGCTGATATCTACAAACCTTGTGTCGGAACCACCATGTCAGATCAGCATCAGAGCCAAGCAACTAAGTGACTTCGTTCACTTGCAATGATCCGGATTGCCGTCAGGGTTACCCCACCAGGTCGGGAACGGATGAGCGGTGCCGCTCGCCCCGTACACCGCAAAGGACAGGATGAAGATGACGATCTGGGCGCCTCCGTCCAGCGCCGCCCCGATCAGGTAGTTGTACTTGTTGTAGATCCGCGGCACGCGGCGGCGCAGCCAGAACTGGGAGAAGACGCCGACCGCGATCGAGGACCAGATCCAGGACGTGGTCCCAAAGACGACGTATCCCGCGTACTGCGCGATGAGGGCGGTGTTGAGCGGCCACTTCTCCAGGCGCGGGAAGACCTTGATGGCGGCCCAGTGCATGACGGGCAGCAACAGGCCGATGACGATGCCGAGGGGCACGATGAGATACGGGCCGTCCCTGCTGTACATGTCCTTGGCCAGCGCCCAGGTGATGGCCTGGGCGTTGAGGCTCTGTATGAAGGACCCGCTCCAGATGCTGTTGCCCAGGGGGTCGAGGAGGATGTCGCGCTGGTTGGTCACGATGGTGGTCATGACGGCGTAGTTGAGGCCGGCGCCGAGCAGCGTGGCGTAGACCTGGGTGGCGAACATGACGCGGTGGGGCACCTTGGTGTACTGCCCGATCTTGAGCCAGTTGGCGAGGTTGACGGCGAGCAGGATGCACTGGTGGGACCAGCTGGCAAAGTAGAGGTTGGCTAGGGGCCGGCCCGGGTGGACGGCGCCGGCGACCATCTTTGAGATCTGGTTGGTGCCGATGCCGCTCCCGTACAGGCCGTAGAGGATGCACGAGAACGGGGCGATGAAGCTGCCGAGCAGGAGGGCGACGATGTAGCCCCAGACCGGCAAGGTCGTGTCGCCTTTGATGTTGACGATCAGCCCGGCGAAGAAGGCCAGGGCAAAGAGGGCGTAGTACCACCACATTGGGACTTCCTTGTACTTGAGCATGCCTTGGTAGTGGATATCTGGCTGCGTCCTTGTGCGTGCCTGCTTCCAAGCCTTGATCATGTCTTTGCGGTAGAAGATCAAGACGTGCGATATCAGACCCCCGATAGCCAGGTTCTGTGTGAAATAACCCCACACGCTGGCTGCTGTGATATGCGGCAGACCGGTTGCGGCGAGCTTGTTGTTATCGATAGTGCCGGCTGGAGTCATGATGGACGTCGTCATAAAGCGGGTGCCGTTGCTCTGGAACAGTGAAGACGACATGAATGGGAAGTTCTTTGCGTTGAAGGCGTTGCCAAAGTACAGAGCGAGCACGGCCACATAGTAGATGCCGTACCCGATCCACGTGTTGACCTGCTGTTTGAAGGGCAAGGAGAGGTACACGCTTTGAATGTACTGCCAATCGAGAGAGAAGTTCAGCAGACCTAATCCTTCGTTCGAGGAGGCACCTCCAAAGATCTTGGACATGATGGTGCGCGTGTTGCTCGGGGCATTCATGGACGCGAGGCAGAAGAGGGAGATACCTCCGAGCCAGGGCATGATGTAGGCAGGGAAGAACTCCCAGACGGCAGCAATGCCGACTGCCCAGGCAAACTTGATGAGGCGATCTCGGTTCTGGCGCGTGTCGAAGTGCAGGTTTTGGTACAGCACAACCTGCGGTAGAGTAGACCAGTAGACCATCTCAGCCGGATAGACAATAAGGGGGCGAAGGATGCCCGCCAGCACGAAGCCACAAAGCCCAATGGAGAACGTGGCAAGGACGGCAGTAGAAGCGGCGACTGCCTTGTTGTAGAAGAGTCGCTCGACAGCATAAATCTCCACGCCGGAGAGACCATTGTTGCCAGATGAAGCAATGAGAGCGGCGACGACATGCTCTTTGATGCCAAACTTTTGACCAAAGTTCAGGAAGCGAAGAATTGCTTTGACCCATTTCCATTTGAAACGATCCGGCGAGGGTGTGAGAAGGTACCAAGCTTCGCCAAAGATGAACACAAGCACTGCAATCTGTCAGTCGCCTGTCACTCGTCTTCTCAAGTGTATCTGAGGAGAGGCAAACATTGAATAAACACAGCCGAGACCTGGATCTGGAATGGCTTGAAGATGTAAAGCATTGTGATCACACTGGACAAAGCCGTGAAGACCGAACCCAGGAAGATAGATCGGAAGGTCAGGGACGGATCTCCATCGTCCCGAGGCGATATCAGAAAGTTTGATACATCGTCACCTACGGGTAGCATGTCAGCTCTTTGCTTTGGAAAGCGGGGAGTCATTTGTCTTGAAGCTTACCATTGCGAATGACAGGGTGCCCGTTCACGTAGACAACATCTTCACTAGGTTGTTCGCTCGAGGAGCGTTCCAGCCCCTCGCTGGGGCTGGGGCTGGCAGATTCGACCTTCACGACGCGTTTCGTCAATCCGCTCACGCTCTGCGCATCTTTGGCTTCAAAGGCGCCTTTCTCGCCCGCAGGCGACTCAGAGATTTCAGCCATCTCGTCTCGTGTTGCGAAGTGGAAGATCAATAAGACGGGTGCTTTGTTTGCCGCGATATCGGAGGTGTATAGCTGAAAGACGCCCAGGGCACGCGAGGGAAGTGAAGTGTTGACTGGTGTTGGCAGGGAGTAGCGATGGGTGGCTGCTTTGTGATATATGTTGGAAGAGAGATCTGCCTGCATCGTAGCTCGCCACAACACTCGCAGGGGTTAGAGCGTGTCGCGATTGCGACCAAAATGAGTATTGCCCCATGATAGGTACTATCCCGCATAAGAGCCTGCCTCTTTCGGCAGAATGCAAGAGGGGCGGGATGGATCCAGATTGAGAGAGTGACAGGGAAAAGCACTGAGGGGCAAATGAATCCGTGGCAATACGAGGAACCTGCGGCGGCGGCAAACCCAGTGATACCCTCATTCCTGCCCAAAAGAGGGACAAGGATGGCACATCCGACGGAAAAGCCTTCAAAAGGCTTGATTTATGGGGCCGCAAAACAAGCCTTGGATGGCGCAAGAAGCCCACAGTTGAGTGCCATAGATCCTGGAATTGGCCATCGTGGGATGCAGTTACGGGTTATCGCGTGCTTGAGCCTGCGCCGCGGACCAGGCCGCAACAAGCTAGTCGTGGGGGATCTTCTCATCATCTCCCATGGCGGTGGGCAATCGTCAAGCCTCGCACCCAATCGGACGGTCCCGTTTGAAGTTGTCAGTCTACCATTCTATACCGCTTCAAGCAGGTGAATACCGGGTTTACTTCATGGAAGCAGTCTACGGCACTATCGGCACGAGTCTACGAGATCAGAACGTACAGGCATTACAGGGATGGCGTTGAAATCTCCACTCCCACCATGCATCGTGTCTCTATTCAACGTCTGATCAATCGCGCGTCTACGGCCCTGAAGTGTGGAGAGCTGCAGATACAGTCTACTTGTACACGGAATTCAACCATTGAAGAACCAGCATCCTGATCTACTGGCTTGCATGTGTATGCCTTGGTCAATAGAGTGTATCGATCATTTAGCCTCCTTGGGTAGTCGTGATATGGCGGGATCAGCAATAGATAAGGAACGAAGCGGGGTCAAAGGGCAGGTTGCATCTATCGGGAGTAATAACCAGGTAGATATTATGCGCAGAATCCGGGGGATATGATGCATCGAACCCTGTCCACTCCTGCTTTTACGACCTCATGCAGGTATGCTGCACAAGCCTCTCACCCAACCAGGTTAAAGTCGAATCTTATACGTGGCGGAGGGACTCTGAAACAGAGTATGTTTGCATTGTGCGAGGTTGTCGTGCAAAGGGAAGCACTATTCTTTTTCACTGGAACGCAATAAAAGAGCGATATCAAAAGAATGTCAGACCCAAATGAAGATGCAATATATTAATCTATATTGCCATAAGCGCGCACTTCACAATGCTTACTAGCCTCCCTTGCTCATCCATCACAGTCAGTCATATCGTGCCCGATGTTCATAAGCCGGCCAAAGAGCAACGGCAAACCCTGATAGCAGCTCTTTGCGTCTACCGTATGTTCACACTCGCTACCGAAGAGCTAGAAATGCTAGGACCAGCACCTGTAATTCTAATATCACTAGTCGTCGAGACAACACTTTGCGTTACGCTTGCCGCTTGTGAATCGCTCGTCAACGAGATAGGTCCCCCTTGAACCTGGACACTGGTCGCGTCGGTGACTGGTTTGGTTCCATGAGTCCAAGGGGCAGATGCAGTGCCTGCAGATAAAGTCGTGGTATATGTCGGTTTATAACCCGGAATGGAGACGCAGTAATCATAACCAAGATACAAACCTGTACAGTTGTTCTTGACTGCCGGGTTCCACGCCACGAACCGCGCATGGCTGATACCGTACTGCGTCTCTATGATCTGACACGGCTGATCCGCCCCTGCAATCTGGTCAACGTGTCTGGTTGGATATCTAATGAACAATAAAGCACTTACAGTCCGTATCATTGGCCGCAACAAACAGGTTGCAATTCGAGGTGATACCTGAGTGTGCGTGTTAGCAGACGCTACAGACGCTTCGTGACCCCAGGCGCAACATACCCGGCTGCTTGTAATGTAGCACAGCTACGCAGTAGTGAGTTCCGACTGTGAAGTTCTCGCAGTTGGAACCAACTTCTGGGTTCCACAGGACAAATTGGTCCTTGTCAAGCCCATGACTTGACACAAACTTGTTGCAGTCGAATCCGGTAGGGGAGATGTCTGTTTCAACACAGGCTCCGACGATACCAGAAGACACCTTTGCGATCGTCTGTACACAGTACTGCGTGTAGTTGGTCATCAAACATGGGCTGGATCCATTCAAGGACGGATTGTATTCAAGAAATGTTTCCAGGCTGATCCCAAACTGCTTGGCTGCGTCATCACAAGCAAAGCTTGTTGTGCCATTGTTCAAGGTATAGTTTGTAAGAATGGGAGCCGTTACATATGTGGCACAGTCCATGCGGGTACCGTTGGCGTATGGAGCGACTTCCGAAGAGGGAACAAAAGTTGCTGTAGGATAAGAGTCCATTGGTTTCAGTGTTGCCGTCCAGATTGGTGGATCTGAGGGCCTCGACGTCTTGGTTGTTTCTCCTGGGTTTGGGTTAACCCATGCGCCACCTGGAGCGGACACACAGATGGCAAACCCAACGGATCGAGCGATGTTATTGCACTTCGGACCCAAGGAGGGATTCCAGCCTGAAAGCTGAGCATACGTAATACCGAACTGCTTCTGCAGAGACTTGCACGTGTCTGCTGATTGCACAGTGTAGGCCTTGCAAACTCGGAGACTGGGTATGCATAGTGACGTGCCTGCCGCCGGGAAATTGTTGCAATACGATTGCAGTGAGTTGTATCTCAGAAGGTCATCTGTACTAAGTCCCTGGGCCATCGATATACCTACACAAGTGTCTGACGACGAGACCGTGTAGGACGTTCCTGTGCATTCCGGCGCAGTTGAGGTTACAGGGGATGGCCTGTGAGTCCTGTCAATTCTTCCATCACTTTCGACTACCCAGCTGTAATACTCACCGAACAGTGAATGTAGTTGCAGTTGGCGGAGGAGACAGTGTCCATCCTGTCTTTTGACATGAAGAAGTCAATACGGTAAATGCGGAGGCAAGCAAACTTGTTGAGGCAATGGGCATGGCCAGCTGAGTTGACATCAGGGAAAGATAACAGTCGTTGCAGACGGCGGTCGAAGCTATTTTTGTCAGAATACACTTTCCTCGACTGAAGTTCGATGCTTACCGGGTGTGCCTGTGGGCAATTGATTGGATGGATTAATACTCAGTGCCTGCCCGATGACTTGATTACAGAACGCGCCAGCCCTGTGATTTTGTAAAGTTAGGATATGGGTGCAAAATCCGTGCTTTCACCTTACTTACGAGTTCTTTAGACACACTGAATTGAAGACTTCAACAAATTCTTGCGCCAATGACGCCGGTGCAGACTTCCCGCCATCGGGCTGTTCGTTCAAAGTCGATCCACAAGCACCTGCTATTCTCCTCTCCCAGTTCAATAATGAACTTGAGCATGCAGAGGTACATAAGGTCGTGAGCTGTGAAGATGAGAGAAAGATAGGGCTGCCAAAAACAGGGGCGCCCTCAAGAGCATCTGCAGCTGAGAGTAGGCTGGCATCGCAAGTGACCTGCTGGTTGAGAACCGCAATGCAAGTGGAGGAGATGCCATCCACGGCCGAGATGTTCAGAGGCTGAATCTGCGCTCGAGTAGCCACCGTGAGCACGGCAAACAACACGGTCTTTACAGCCCGTCGTAGCGCCATCTTTTTCGCCGACGGTCAACTTGACTTAGGTAAGTAAGTCTTACCGGCCTGATGAAGGACAGAACTGAGACTTACGACCCGAATAGTTGAATCTGATTTTGAGAATCAAGATCAAGATGTCTTGGCGTGGCCTGGGAAAAGTGTCGTCCGTGAAGTGCTGAAGCTCTGTAGACAGCTTTCCCCCGATTGTGCAATCAAACCGTTGACATTCCAGCACGACTCGGTGTCAACCTGACCAGAGAATGTCCAGTCTCTGTTGTCTCGCACTTCAGGAACGTACTACTCAGACCATGTCACATCTGATCACTAGAACACTCCAGCGGATAAGGCGATAATGCCACATACTTCCATGTTGGAACAACGATCTTTCAGGGATATTGAGACGCCGGTTCGTGAAGCCCACCACCCACTTTCACTGGGTCATTTATGCTACCCCTGGCAGCTGACATGCAATTTTGCAACTCCGTGCCGCGTAAGATGGGCAGCACTGTACAGCGGTTGGGATAGCACATAAGGTTGCATGCAGCAAAGGTGGATGCACAACTATGTAAGATTATAGCTCGGACTGCCCGCCCGCAGACACGGTCTGTAGAGAGGTGTGATAACAGCCTTCCCTTGCACGTAAATGTCGTGTGACATCAATGGTTGGAAATACAACAACATAAACACGATCTGAGGTAGCCGACAGTTCTCTACCACTTCAATCATCCCATCTGTGACCGTGAGGGTGCCGACATGATTGGCATGGCTAAGTCTAAATTGGAAGTTATCACCGAGATGATAGGCACGAGGTAGTCTGATAACCCCTTTTGCTCTTTTGAGACATGAGACTCGGGTTACTAGCGTATGGTCTTGTAAGAGTTCCATCATACACACATGTGCAAGAAGTCCCTCTTGCGCGTGACGGGTCCGATTTTGTCATAGGATGGATGGGGAATGAACGCAACCCACAAGTCGGGTTCAGGCCCTACCTCAGCCTACATAAATGACCGCAAGTCATTTGGAACAAGAGACAAAAATAGTGCCCGCAAGGACCTTGTGTCTCTATCGTCGTCAACATGCTTTGTGCGCTGAAGCTTGCGGCCCTCGCGGTCCTAATCCAGGTCAGACTGGGAGCGGCTTATCTTGTCGATCCACCCACCACTGCCCCAAGTGACACCATCCAGGACTGTACCAACTGGGCGGTTGCAACATCTTCAGATACCTGCAACACCCTTGCAGATTCGGGCGGTATCACTTTGAGTCAGCTGTACTCTTATGTACGGCCCCCCTGAAACATCACTTCGCAACCGTGCAAACCCCATATTGACCATATTGACCATGTGACAGAATCCCTCACTTGCCACGTCAGGTTGTCCCGTACAGGTTGGCCTGTCATACTGCATTGAGCAGAACTTTGGGGTTCCTCCTACCCCTACCACGACGGCGCCACCTCCACCAACGAGCTCGGCAGGCAATGGGGTCACCACGCCAACACCAACGCAAGATGGAATGACCACAAACTGCAACAAGTTCCACAAGGTTGTGTCTGGAGACACTTGCGGTGCCATTGCGAGTGCTGCCGGTATCAGCGTCAGTGACTTCTACTCCTGGAACCCATCTGTGAAGACCGACTGCTCTCTGCTGTTTCTGGACTATTATGTCTGTACGGGCATTATCGGAGGAAGCTCTCCCCCAACAACTACCACCCCTGGTAATGGCATCTCGACGCCGACACCAACTCAAGATGGCATGACAGGTAATTGCAACAAGTTCTACAAGGTTAAAAGCGGGGACACTTGTGGAAGCATTGCTTCATCCTCGGGCATCAGCCTGGTCAACTTCTACGCGTGGAACCCGGCCGTCAAGTCCGACTGCTCCCTCCTGTTCCTTGACTACTATGTGTGTGTCAATGTGATCGGCAACACTCCGACAACTACCAAGCCCGGTAATGGTGTGGCAACTCCGACTCCTACTCAGACAAATATGACAAAGAACTGCAAGACATTCCATCTTGGTGAGTCGTCGAAACAAATTACTTGATGCTGTCCATTCATGCTAAACAGACACGGCTAGTCGTCTCGGGGGATACATGCCAAAAGATTGCTGACAACGCACACATCTCCCTGGCCAATTTCTATTCGTGGAATCCTGATGTGAAGACTGATTGCTCCCTCTTATTCCTGGGGTACTATGTCTGTATTGGACTTATCTAAACTCTCAACATCCTAAGCTCTTGGGAAGTGTGTCATAGTATGAATAATCTACCAAGTATTTTTACGGCTTGTGTCTTTTCAGGACTTGCACAACGTCATTATGACCCTCATCTGTCGCGATAGCAAGCGCTGTCCTTCCAGAGCCATCCTGGATATCCAGATCCGCTCCACGCTCCAACAGAAAGCTGACAGCATCCGTATTGCCCTTAAAGGCCGCAGCATGCAATGCGGTTTTCTTCCGAGACCGAGTAAGGAGCTTCTCGGCATGCTCCCGCTCAGCTCGATCCCGCGGGTCAGTTTTGGGAATGCTGCCGTAGTCGGCTGCCGGAATGAGCACGTAGTTCACGTCGAGACCATGCTCGTCCACCAACCACCGCATCACACCCACCCCACCTTCGTCTCTGAACTCTACGGCTTGAACCAGACTTTCCGGTGTAGGAGAGACATTAAAAGTTCTCCATATGTACTGGAGAACTTCAAGTTGGCTGATCCCAAGGGCCAATTGCGGGAGTGACTTCTCATAGAGGGGGTTTGACCGCAGGCTGAAGCTCTTGGTTGACAAGGTGTCTAGAAGAGCAACGCCATCAGCACCGTTGGGGCTGGAAAGAGCAATCTGCATCACTCTGTGAGACGGCGATGCCCATCCGTGCTTGATGAGTGCGTTATACACGCCAGCGGGGATGCTCTCGTCATCAATGAGGCGGGAGCCCTTCATGGTGAATACACACTTATTGGCTGGCGGTGGCACTGAGGGGTTGATCTCGGTGATATCACGAGCCAAGTTATCGTTCTTGGCCCTGAGAGCTGTGACTATCAAGGCTTGGCGAAAGAGAGCAGATGATAGCATGCAGAAGCTGTCCAGAGAACGGACCGATTCAAGACTGGCCCCGGGCTCTGCAGCTGCAGAAAACACCTGTAGTAAGGTTTCTCCTTTACGACCTTGACCTGACAAATGGTTAGTAATCTGAGATGTTTGGGCATATGAGGTGTGGGTAGCCTCGGAGGATAATCTTACTATCATTCAACAAAGACAGTTCCTCTGACTCGCACAACTTGATTGCGGCGGCGACTGGCCCGAACGAGCCCTTCCAGAATAGGGAACCGAGCAACTTGTCCAGAGGAACCGAGTCTTCCGGGCTCTGTGCACCACTCTCGTGGGGGTCAAGATGAGCTAGGCATCTTCGGAAGAACTCCTCCTTGCTGATCTCTTTCTTGTGAAGAGCGGCGGCGGTGTGCAGGTAAGACCTTGGGGTCATGTGGCGAGCAGGATCCATGTCTCAAGGCGATCTCTAGGTTGCACTCTATCAGAGGTGGAACAGAATAAAATGAAGAGTGCGTGAGGACTGGGCGCAGGAGTAAGGTTGAATACATCAAGATCAACGGTTGACGCCTTATGCGATCACACTTTACTCCAACCGCCACCTTCATGCAGGCTGACGAGCTGACCACCCCCTGTCTTGGGCTTAACGCCGAGCCGCGCCAGGTTGGATTGGCAGATGCTTGATAATGCTTGATCACACTTGGCAGCTGACTATCCATTCCGCCTCTGTCAATCAAGCAATTTCGCCAAGATGCGTATCGTTCGTGTGATACGGACATTCAGGGGTGTCTGCAGGGATGAGAACTGGTGGGATGGTGTAACCGAACTGGATCCTACCGCCAACAATGGTCAGATCAAAGGAGGGGAAAAAAGATGAGGGGTTTCCTGGCCGGGCCAGCAGCTGAAGCACCCTTCTCTTTCATGAGGCATTAGTCGACAACCAGGTAGCTTGCGAGAGTAATGGTGCCCACACTCCCTAATTTCCAGAGCATACGACATGCACGGAGTTGGTTTTATGCCCGATGCTCAATTATTGAGTTCATACTTGCATCTGAGGGGCGTATGGGATTCATTTGGCATTGTTTCGTATCCTAGTGAGAATCTGCATGTTCAGAGTATGTTGACCAAGTCCAGAGACTTCTCGATCGAGCCATAGGTCCAACCATCAGCCAAACCAGTCTTCATTCGGAGGCTCGTAGGCCACATTACTGTCGCAAGTGTCTCTCTTAGTAATGGAATGGTCAAAGTGCAGAAATTCGGGGTCACGTTTAGTGACCTGACCAGTGACCAACTGTGTGTCCCAATCCAAGTAGTACTGGTTGTTATGGTTGGCAGCGTCGATTGCGATCAACTTGGTAGGGGCGCCATTAAGACCTGCGGTGTGGCGAGCGTGCAATTCGACATATTCTACCGTACCCCAGATGAACCCATACTTGTACATCTGCTTCGGACGCATACTCATAACATCTATTTAACAGTTTCAAGGAACATTGAATCAGTATGTCTTTCATTCACGGAGGAAGGTTGGCGACTTACACACAGTGCCCTTGCAGACTCTTGCCATGGCGCGAGACATGTTTTCGAAGTACTCGAATTGCTCGTCGTTCTTTTGGAGAAAGTTGAGCCAGCTGCCTTCGACATAGACTTCCCAGAAGTTGCGAGAGAAGGGCCTCTCAGGTGCATTCGTCACGTCATTCGCGCCGCTGTACATGTTCTGTGACGTCGAGGTCAGCAATCCTTAGTCCATTATCCCTTTGGTTTCCCAGGTAGGTTTGCAACTCTCACCCAAATCGTGATCTTGTTGCTCCCGCAAGCGTAGTCGGTTGCTATCTTAGAGAGACCACCATGCTGTTCCTGACCACCAAGTGCGTAGCGATCGGTCCACTCCTCGAAGTCTCTTGGGTTTAGTGTCTTGGTCGGGTCTGGAACCGACGTGTAGAAGAGGCAGGTGTCCTGGAGATTGAGATTCGGCTTCATATTCCGTTGCAAATAGTCGGTACTGAGAGTTTGCAAGGTCACTTTCTCAGTGCCAGCTGCTGCTTTCATGCATCCCACACAACTGGGCAGCTTGAAGATTGGATCACCAGGTTTGCTGCCTGGAGTTCGCTTTACTAGGTGCTCATCTCGTGATCGAAGTGATTTAGGGATACCAAGTGCTGCCTGGAGCTTCGGGTCCGACCAGGAGCTGTTGATTTGATAGTTTTCGTAGAAGACGTGGTCCTTGGGCACGCCTGCTATGTTCGACTTCTGCTGAGAGGAGTCTTTCTCGGTCCATGATTTTGAACCGCGGGTAACCTTCAACGATGGCGCCTTGTTTCCGGGGAAGTTTCTGGGGCCGTACTGCAGGGCATCCTTCTTGACTGCTCGCGGGGCAACATTCTTGCCCAGGACTAGAATTGAATACGAAAAGAGAAGCAAAACATGCCACAGGAGCTTCTTTCCCTGTGCTGCCATTGCAAAGGGCGTCGCAGGTCTAGTCAACAAGAAAGGTTTAGGAGAATCATGGACATGGAGAGATGCTCTCCAGAGTTGAGAAGAATCGTTTTGGGGAACAACTGCCTATTGGTTTACTTGCTCTGCAATGAGCTGAGCCGAAGCGGATAGCTTTCCGCATCTACCTCACCTGCTTTGACAAGGAATGGACGGGCTTGGCGATGATAGTCGTTGCAAAGCCTAACTAGTTGGCCGTGGTCTGACCAACACTCCAATAAACTCCCGTGCTTCTCCGACGCAGGTCCCGAGGTCGCCGATGTGATAACCCCCAATCTCCTTTCTGACCTGATGATCACTTTTAGCGTGTAAGAATGCGTAATATGAATATGGTTCGTCTCACGAGTGGGCGTTTCCGCCCAGTGCGTAGCATACTGGTTGCTCACATCCCTGTTCTTCGAGGCAGGGTAACATTCAATTTGATATATTGTCTCACCTGCGGCGCAGTAAGCTTATGCACTAACTACTCAAGCAAACACCTGTGTAACCAGGAGAGAGTTTGGGAGACAGCCTAAGCAGATTAAGCATACCTTACCGCCGAAATAAGCTTGTAAGGGGGGTGCAACCTCTACGATGTAGCACCTCGAAAGCTCAGCAGAACATCTCTAATGTACTGAGCGGCGTAAATGCATCAAGTCCTACGAGGCAATCAAAACGCCTATTCTGGTCATATGTCCGCACAAGCAGAAGGTCACTCGGCGGCACTCAAGGTGATCACTCTGAGCCTTTGGCACAGATGTCGATGGCTGTCCATTGACCAATAGTAGAGGTAGTGCTGTCCTAGGCGTGGTCGAGACATTCTCTCTTCGATATTGATATTCGCTTGATCACAATAGTTGAACGACTCAATTAGTTTCAACATCACGCATCTTGCATTCTCGATAGAATGGTCTTTCCCCAGCATACACTAGTCATGTTCTTTTCGTTACTACTGCTATTCTTGGCAGGCTTGGGTGAGGCTCAGCACCGAGATGCGCCGACTGTCTGGAACGAGAGCATGAGCGATACCAAACCAGTCGATTTCTCGCTTTTTCGGCGGCTGGACAAAGGGAGATGTGACAAGGACAACCCTTGCACTGGAGGCGAGTGCTGTTATGGGCCATCGTAAGTTGAAATTCACAGAACTGGGACATTATGTTACAATTATCGACTAACGCCATTCTCCAGAGGCTTTGTATGTAGCCCTTATTGGGCTCGTGGGTGAACCCCTGACCGCTAATACGCTATGATACTGTAGTGCGGAATTGACGAAGAGCACTGTACCAAGCCTGGCTGTATCTCAAATTGCGACAAGCGGGCAGAATGTGGTGCCTGGGCCACGGAACCTGGCACAGAATGCCCACTGAGGGTCTGTTGTAGCAAAGCCGGTTACTGCGGCGTCACAGATGTAAGGGAATATGGTTTGCGATTTGAGAAGAGTCTGGTGTAACAGAATGTTGTGCTCCAGGACTTCTGCAATACCGGTAAGGGCTGCCAGAGCAACTGTCCACAGCCAGGCTCCACTGGCCTGAACACCGGAGATGTCACAAACATTGTCATCGGGTATGTCCAACGTTGCCACGTGGAATTAACGCCATCTGACTTGCAACCGCGCATGAAAGATACTATGAATCATGGGCTCCATACAAGCGCGGTGCCTGTAGGCTTTCCCCCTCCCAGACTAACCCGGATATTACTGACAATCTGTCTTGAAGGTCCCAAGCGAGATCCTTCCTGGATCAAAACTGACTCCATTACTCATCTTAATGTGGCCTTTGCCTACATTCTACCAGAAAGTTTTGATATTGTGCCAATCGATCAATCAAGCGATGAAATCTTTGAGCAGATCATGCAACTCAAGGAAAACGCACCTGGACTCAAGATATGGCTGTCGCTTGGTGGCTGGACGTATTCCGATAACGGCACGTAAGTCAACTCACTATGTTGCGATATCCAGTACACATATTACTAGGCTCTGGGTGCTCTACAAACAGCTTTCGAGAAATGGCGACTTTTCGCACGTTTTCAGAGGCTTCTCTGACCTTTTGCTTACTCTCCAACAGAACCACGCAACCGGTTTGGGGGGACTTGGCAAGTAGTCCCCAGAAGAGATCAAAGTTCATTGTCAGTCTCGTGAAGTTTATGAGTAAGTACCAATGATGAGGACTATTCCAGGGCACAAGACCCCTTGTTCATCACTCTGCAGCAACATTTGGCTTCGATGGCGTTGATCTCGACTGGGAGTATCCCGGTGCCCCAGACAGAGGGTATGTTGACCCTCTAATTTGGGTACACTATTTCCGGGCTCACTCATTACTTATCTTCAAGTGGGCAAAAACGAGACACTGCCAACTATGTCTCTTTGCTACAAGATATTCGGACTTGGTGGACAGCCCAGAGCAATGGCGTAAGTCGAATCAGTCTTCGCCAATGAGTTTCTGAGCTAACCTCGTGGATTCGTCGTGCTTGTTAGTGGGGACTTTCTTTCACTGCTCCCACGTCATACTGGTACCTTCGTTGGTTTGATATTGAGAATATGGCCAAGCATGTTGACTGGGTCAACTTGATGACCTATGACCTCCACGGGAGCTGGGACTCGCCCGAGGATCAAATCGGTTCCTTTGTGTACTCCCACACCAACATGACCGAAATCACCGCCGCTCTTGATCTCTTTTGGCGCAATAACGTTCCGGCCAACAAGATAAACCTTGGAATCGGCTTTTATGGTCGATCGTATACCCTGGCAGACCCCTCTTGTACGCTTCCAGGGTGTCCGTTCACCGAAGGAGGTCGTGCTGGTAGCTGTTCTGGACAGTCTGGTATCCTCAGTTATGATGAGATAACAGACTATGCGGAGACGTACAACGTCAAGTCAGTCTACGACAAAGATGCTGCGGCCATGTACTTTGCTTTCGACAAAGACCAGTGGGTCTCCTATGATAATGCCCAGACAATCAAGGAAAAGGTTGACTATGCGAACAAGAACGGTCTACTCGGGTTGTTCGTTTGGGCGCTGGATCTGGACAACGACAAATACGAAGCCCTAGCTGCTCTTCTGGACACGAAGGGAGGGCTCGGAGCCTTCAGGGAGCAGAACGGTGTGGGCCCATCGGACTCTGTCGATTGGCAGCCTTCCGATGGCGCTTGTCATCTCAGCGCATGCGGAACGAACTCTGGATGCTCCGGCTCCTACATGAGTGTCGGCGCAAAGATCAGGTGTGACAATGAGAACGAACATCGCTGGGTATGTTGCCCTCGCGACAATGCCCCCGATGCCAAATCCTGCAGATGGCGCGCGTCTCTCGAGTCATGGGCTGATCAAAAGGCGGCCGCTTGTACGGACTCGTGTCTCAGTGATGAGCTGCTCGTGGCCCAAAGCAAATGGTACATTGAGGAGAAATGGGGTGATAAGAAGTGCACAAGCGGCTTCGCTCAGTATTGCTGCGAAACGACTACCAACGCACAAAAGGCCTGTGGAAAGATGGACGGGAAGTGCATCGGTATTAAGGACGGCAAGCCGGATGGAGACGACCCTTGCAAAGCCGACGGTCGGGTGTTCGTGACCTACTCTCAGGATACTTGCCCTGATGGATCTTGGCGGCCGTGGTGTTGCGAGAGCGACTATGATGCATCTTCGTGCGGCTGGCAAGGCCCTGATGGCGATGAACAGCCATCCACCGACTGCGAGAATGCCAAATACTGCCCAGGTAAAGTGAATCTGGGAGACTCCAAGAAGGGTGGCGGAACCGACTGCATGCATAAGTACTACAACCCGGCTGTCGGCCCATGGTATGGACTCAGCCATCCGGCGCCGTACCCGCGTGCCTTCTGCTGCAATATAGGGGACCAGGTCATCTACAAGAAGAAGGCTCCGGTGCCACTAGCTTGGCTCTTCCCAGATCCTGTTCCCGACTCTGACAAGCAAGACTTTGAGCTTGACATCGAGAGCGATATCAACGCCGATCAGGACCCGAACGAAAACGGCTTCGGATTTGTGATGATGACTGGCCCCGCGAAAGACCTCGCGTCGTTGGATAAACGGGATGGCTCTCACTGGGAGCTTTACGACTGTCCCGACAGAGATACGATTGAGGAGGACCACCGAATCACGGTGCGGGCTACCTGCACTGATGACTCGCCTGACAGCAATTGCCATAAGCTCTTCATTGGCGGTGTCTCCGATACTGTGGTCGAAATGCCTCACCATTGTGGCATTGGCCGCTACGCAATGGCGGTGAGTATGGAGCCAGCTCAAAATCAGACGGTCCCCAAGAAGCTTGTGAAGAGATTGGTGAAGCGCGGTGCCAATCTCCAACGGACGCCTACCATCTATGACTTCACCTTCGACTACGGTTTTGAACGCCTACACGGCCGCTCAAGCAACGATGTCCAGATCCGCATAGACTACTCCGAGGATCCGGGCTATTGGAAAGCTTTTGTGAATAATGATCCTCACAATGATCCCGAAAAGTCGCTGCGCAAGCGTGATCAGATCCTGAACGACATGGAGCTCGAAGTTCAACGCAATCATGGTGGCTCGTGGAGGAGATACGCCGAGCATAAGTACCGCAAGGACAAGCGTGAGACGCCACCCGAGAGGATGGAAGAATTCAACAAACGCTACTACGAAGGATTCACTGGTGACTTCTTTGACGCTCAGGACTGGCTGAATCAGAAAGAGTTCAACCAAGAGGTCGAGCTTGGATCCCACCACATCACCAGCCATTTTCCCTTCTATCTCTTCAACGAGCACCTGCAGTGTTCGCTCGCTGGGGTCCCATACACTGCGTACTTCATGGCCTGGGCCGATCTTCACGTCGATATCCAGACATCAGCACAGTTGACACTCATTGTAAGTCTATAGACGCATCCTGAGATTCGTTTTGCAAGCCAGCAAGCTAAGACCTTTACTCAGGGGCGTTTGAATGATCTGAATAGCTGGAAGCAGTCGCATGTTCTCGTCCGCAACAAGGGCTCAATTCAGGCAGGGCTGCACTTGGAAGCACAAGCCCAGTTGCGGTTCTCTACCGGGCGACTAGAACTGTTCGGATTGGCCAACTTTGCGGGCGCTTTCAACGTACCTGGAATCGTTACAATTGGACCAAACCTTCGGATTACAGGAGAATTGGTGGGAACCTTCACTGTTCACACGTAAGCTGCCTTTGGCCGAGGAAGTCGTTGATGACCAAGAACTGACGATAGCTCCACACACAGCCAAGCACATTACAACCTAGAGCTCCCTAGCTGGGACTACACGCAACGATATCCCAATCCGAATAACGACATCCTTTCGGGCCTGACAACCACGTCTCACATGGACGGCATCCCAGGTGCGGCTCCAGAGCCAGGGAAGCCTGGCTTCTACGCCGATGCTGGGGTTGAAGGGGACATCTCTTTGAAAATGTGGGTTCTCATCACACACTGCTTCATGAGATCTATTGAAGCTAATTCTTCTGCGCAGCACTCCACTCGTGGAATTCGGCATCCGTTGGAATAAGAAGTACAAGGTTCAAGACACCAGCATATCATTGCAACTAGCGACGTGAGTACAGGTCTACCTTGGTGTCACGCTGTGAAGTCAGAGCATTATTGACGATGATGCAGCTATGCAACGCTTTTTGGCAGCGCCGGTGTCAGTACGACCAGCGCAGCTGAAGTTTGCTATGGTGTGATGTGTGGCGCAGAGCTATTTGCTCAGCTGGAAGGACCGTAAGTTCACCTCCAGCCCTCTGCATCCGGCATCATTGGATTCCGTTTACTTATCGCTGTCAATGAACTTTAGATCGATATTCGGAGTCAACCCTAACCGCCGATGGTCATTCTACAGGAGAGATGTGAGTGATCCTCCCAAATACACGTTTCCCTGGCTTGCTAACCAATTTTTATGCCTATAGATCCCAATTGTAGAAGAGACGTGCCAGCCGCTCAAGAACTTTCTTCCATCGACATGCAATGACTGTTCTTGAGGGAACCATATTGGTAATGAAGGGGATATATTGAGCATGGGTCGGGATGCCAGATGATCTTGGCGAGGTTGGTTTGGTTTGCCTGCGAGGAAGTTCATATAACAATGTGACAATAATGGAAAGTATGATTCTATCGGTGCAAGTTTGGAAGTTGTGAATATCCACGAAGGCTCGATAATGCAGTGAAGTCATCAACTCATCCAAGCAGCCCGCGCGGAAGACCAAAGAAGATAATTACGCGCCGCCCATAAGCGTCACTACTTACCCTAATAGGTAATTAGTAAACATCATCGAGAGTAATGCTTAGCTCATCCCCCGCGCGGCAACTAGCCGATCACCCTACATCCATAAAGAGAGCAGCATCCCAGCACACCACCACACTCCTGCTCTTTCGAAGATGACATCACGATCCTTTATTGCCCCAAAAGCTCAGACTTGAATCTCAAGAAACCAGCCTATATAGACATCGCCAATCGACTGAATACACTCTTCTCGAAGTCTTTCTCATTGCTACAAAATGGCTGAAAAGGTCCGATCTCCTCTCAACCCTGGCAAATGGTGAGATTTAGCATGCTAACAAGATTTCATGCATGATCCAGGATCCGTTCAGAATTGAGCCCGATAGCAAGGGCACCTTTGACAGACCTCAGAGTTCTTTCAGGGATCTCGTGTCTAGAGACCTCGGCTCGAGATTTCCTGCAGAAAGCGGCCGTTACACATTGTACCTAAACCCTGGGTGTCCATGGGCAGTTTCCCTTCAGTTGATCCCCAAGACTCTTGGTCTAAGCTATTGAACATGGGCTAACATGATATGTAGTCCCATCGCACGCTAATTGTACGAGCTATCAAGCGGCTGGAGGGCGTAATCGGGCTTTGTGTCTGCGAAATGGGTGACGGCGGTTGGCATCTCCCAGACAATGAGGACCTGTCGGACCCGCTACACGACGTCAAGACAGTGCGTGAACTCTACCTGAAGGTCAACCCAAAGTATGAAGGTCGATTCACAGTACCGGTTCTCTGGGATACGCAAACCGCGACTATCGTGAACAACGAATCCGTCGACATCATCAAAATGTTCTACAGTGAATTCGACCATCTCCTTCCGGAGTCCGATCGAGAGGCGAACAGGCCAGGCGGCGGGTTTTATCCGGAACGTCTGAGGAAGGACATTGAGGAAATCAACGACTGGGTCTACGACACCGTCAATAACGGCGTGTACAAGTGCGGATTTGCCTTCACGCAGAGCGGGTACGAGGAGAACGTGGTAAAGGTGTTTGATTCACTGGATCGCCTTGAAAGGATTCTCGAGGACAAGTCCTTCCTACTTGGAGACCACATAACTGATGCGGACGTGCGACTGTTTCCAACCATTGTTCGGTTCGATATTGCCTATGGGCCCATATTCATGTGCAACTTATGGACGATTCGACACGACTACCCGAACCTGCATCTGTGGCTGCGAAGGTTGTACTGGGATCAAAGCGACCGCACGCATTGGGGCTTCTGTAGCACGACTCAGGACTGGATTGCAAGGTACAAGGAGGGCTACGCGCAAGCTAGGGTTCGAGTACTGGGAATCGAAGGGCCATTGATCGTTCCAAAGGGCCCGCGAGTTCTGATACACAAGCTGGGAGACAACGAAAAACTCTAGTTAACCGTTGTAGTCGACGATATTCTTGTAGCTATGCAGCTTGAAAAGGATCATTCTTTGCTCTTTTCATCTTCGTACATTGCTAGCTCCTCAAGGAATGCCGGCGATGCCCGTACATACTGCTCGATGTCATCTGTCTGGGGCGCCATGCCAGAATATGGTATAGTCGGGCGGTACAAGCGGAGATAGGGGTCAATGTTGCCGTCGTGAGCAGCCAAGCATATTAGGAGGTCCTTCCGGACGCTTGGAAGATCCAAGGGGAGGGGTTGGTAAAGGAGACGAGACTCATCGGCAGTCAGATGGTGGTTTTTGTACTGTCCAATGACCGACTCGAGACCGATGCGGCGATCTTCTTCAATGCATGGGCTGACGCGCCACTCGTTCTTTGCGGTGTAGACCGAGAACAGTGCTCTGCGCTCCGATAGCTGCCAGCGTACATCAGTGACCCCGTTGAGATAGGCCGGAGCTCGAGTAGTTTTGGGGTTAATAGTGAGGTTATAGTCGTCCATCACGGTGTATCGGAATGGGGCGGCCATGATCTTCGCAAGAATGCTTGTCCTGCCGCGGTACCGCTCTCACGCGCCTCTTCGGCAATCGATATGTCAGGCAGTAGATTCAGTTCTCCATACAATCCACATTATCCAGCGGGAGCACAAGCTCTACCAATCTGGTACCGCATATCCGGGTAGGCCGCAGCAAGCATCCGATACGTGTCCTCCGACGCGATATCAGGGAACCAGATACAGTACGTTGGATGCTCCGATTCGGCCATATCGGCCGCCTCTGGGATGATGTTGCTCATGATCAAGCGCGCGTTGCGAGCGCGTCGGAAATGCGCGTTATTCGCAAAGATCAATCACGGCATCACTGGAGGCGAAGCTAAGATGACTTCGAACACCGTGCGTGACCGAGGCGCCTAATGGCGCGCTGTCAAGGCTGTCTGGGAGTGTCTCGCCGCGCATAGCAAGCGACGCAAGCTGCGTACTCGAGCTTCCATGCCTCAGATGGGTACACCTTGCCAGCTTTCTCTGACTGCATTGTGGAAGGACTTGATTCTCTGGATGTTGAAAAGTCAAAATGTCATGTGAAGTGTTGATTTGAATGAAGTGTTTTCTTGTAACACAATTGACTTTTGTGGAAGTTTTTAGTCCTTGCTAATCTTGGTTCCGTAACTGAGTTGCGAATGCATCTGAAGTTATAACCACGGCTATGTTCGTGGTTACGATTCAAAGTCAAACTTAACTGACCGGGGTGTGGCTTGGCGTATCAAAACGATTTATGAAGGCCCGGAAGTCTAACTACCCAAACCGTATTAGGCAATTTTGTAACAAGTTACCTGCTAACTTGGCAAAGCTTTTTTATGCAGCTTTATGCAAGTCCTCTAACATGTTAATCCTGCGAATGTAGTCTCTGGATAATAGCCACTCAAAACGAGGAGCGTCTACAGGGTAGGGAGATGATCCTGGGAGTTTTCTTTCGAATTATGAAGCTCTAAATAGTTACATAGTCATACAATGTGACAAAATGAAGGTTGGTCTAAACATCAAATCTCAGTGCTCTATTTGTACAGCCTCCATTCTAAGCAGTCCTCCGAAGCTTGGTTTGGAAGATTCTAGGCAAAACCCCACTCGCAGTCCCATCACAGACGTCAAAGACAAACTCGTCCAACGCCTTGTGCTGGTACACAATCCTGTCCTCTGACCCCCACGTCACGCAGCTGCCCTTGGCCCAGAACACGGCGGCGTCGTGCTTCGCCCTCTCTGCGGCCAGCCCCACCTCAAACACGGCACGCCACGACCACTGCTTGTCCGACTTCAGGCTGGTACGGTAGACGCGGATGGACAGTGGAATGTTGGCGGGCATGCTGCCAAGAGCGTTGAAGCTGTGGTAGTTGGCGGGCACATCGACACCATGCATGACCCACTTGTCGACGACCAGGCCGGGGCCATCGTCGATCTTGAGCGTCAGCGTCGAGTTCGTCGAGTTGTCGCTGTACGTCCCGGCAAAGGTCTTGGCCGCTTCATCCTTGCCGGCCGTCTCGAGCGCGGGGAGGAGAGTGGTGGTGATGGCCGAGAGGATCTCCTGCGCCATGCCGCCCGAGGTCTCGTTGCCGCCCAGGGTGATGCTGAAGACGAGATCGTAGTCCGGAATGAGGACGATCTGCGCGTGGTAGCTGCCCAGGTCGCCGGATTTGGTGTACACTTCAATGAAGCGCTGGTCCGAAGTGAGATTGTCGGAGCGGTAAATTTCCCACACGGCGCCGAGCTGAGTGCCGGTGGAGGAGGTCGATGTCAGGGGCTTCATCCATTTGTGCATCTGCACTGGGGTGAGGAGCTTGTTGGTCAAGAGGGCCTCGGCGAGAGTGAGGAGGTCGTTGGCGCTGGAGTAGTAGGAGCCGGCCCTATGTGCAGTCTGTTAGTTTACGTGTCAACCAGCGTGATAAGGTTAACTCACGGATCCTCAAAGCCGAGGGTAGCACCCCACCAGATATCGCCCTTCGGGATGAAGCCTTGCGAGTCGTTGACGGGGGGCTTGCCGCCAGTAGAGGTATGCTTCAGGCTCAGCGGGTCGAGTACCTCCTTATGCATGTACGCATCGTAGGACATGTTTGAAACATTCTCGATGACGAAGGCGAGCAAAGAGTAGGCGACATTCGAGTAGGCCGGATTGGTGAAGGGCGCAGCGACTGGGGGGTGGTGCCCAAAGCTCTTGAAAAAGTCGGTCTTGTTGCAAGGCCTCAGGCCAAGCAAACCGGCGCACTCGATCATCAGAGACTGGTTTGCGGCTGGCAGACCTAGCTTTTGCCATGGCTGGGGAAAGTTGCTCAGGTCAGTAGCAACTATTGTGTGTTAGCCATCAATGCGAAAAAGACAGCTCAAGGTCAAGCGTACAGTCAGATCCCATGCCCGAAAGATGGGATGCCAAAGCCCCGAGTGTGACATCATCCCATCTAAATTGTGACAAGCCATCTGCCTCGGCCATCTCTTGTACTTCTTTCAGCTCAGGCACAAACTTCGTGACGGGGTCGTTCAAGTCGATGCCAGGAAGTTTCAAAACGCCGAGCATAGTGAACAACTTCGAAACGCTGCCCACGCGAAAGACAGTGTCAGAGTCGATCTTGGTTGCACTTCTGGCGTCGACGGTTGGCGGCGTGTAGCTCTTAGAGAAAAGGTTCACCTTCTCGTGGACTGACTTAACGCTGATGGACATGGCCGAGAAGTTGAGGGATGCTGTTAGCTTGCCCATGGCCTGGTCCAAGCCCTGCACAGCTTGCTTGACCTTATCATTGGTACTGGGAGTGTGCGGCGCAGGTAGGACGGCACCCAATGGAGGGCAATGCAAAGGGTTTGTTGCAGCCAGACATGCTGGAAGTGTGGCGAGTGCCAAAAGACACTTATGCAAGGAAGAGGAGAGCATGGTCTGGGAAAGTCTAGGATGTCTTGAGGGTGACAAGAGAAAGGCGTTTCCGAGATAAAGAGATGCATTCCATAACTTGTATTGATCACAAAGTCCCTTATATTCGAATTGGCCTCGGACTTGAATCCGAAGTTACCCACATCGTCAAGCCACTCCGCCACGAGCCCAAACCCTTGATCAGTAAACAAAATTCACACTAACATTCACCGGCAGGGACTAGCGAATCCTACAGAAGCTCAAGATGTCAGCTTAAGAATAGGACCCCGTACGTACCCCTGTTGAAAGAGGGCTTATGCGCGCCTAATTGTCGTTTTAACGCACCCAGGCAGTTTTGTAGGATCAACCGAAGATATGGCTAATTACATCACCATGCTCCTTACGACTGGACCAGTTGGATCCATCCAATCTTGTACTTGTACTTTGGCATCAATCATGGGAGCTAAGCCCCGTGGGTCGGAGGACTGCGGTTCCGAGAGGCCTGATCACACATTGCAGAGTCTTGCGCCTCTGGAGTGATCGTCAACAATAGCGCAGCTCCACGACAGGACGGAGATAGCACGAAACGCGGTCCTTGGGTATCCTGACAGCTTGTCAGATAGGCGCAAAGCTCAAGTCCATGGCTGAGCTCGCCGAAGCTGCTCGCTATTGCCAGTCTGGTGGAATGCAAATGACACGACTTGTGTTGGCGAACTGGTCTAGTTCAGATGCAGGTGGAACTGTTATATCATGCAATGCTATAGGGGTATCATCTATTTGTCTTTCAGGTCTACAAGATGGATTGGGCACCATTCCGTCTTCAGGTGCAACCCACCACCCGCGTTCGGCAGCACGAAGCAGATATTTTGCCCAACAAAGTCCCCTCCGCCGTCGTCTTTATAGACCCTGGTCTGCCGCAGTATCATGGCGTCCCTGATGCGCTTGTCGTCCGGAACAGCGACACCAGGGTCGATGTGCGCTAGCTCACTGAGCTTGATCTTGTCGACTTCGAGATCAGGCAGGTCGATGTCGTGCTCCAACTCGATGGATCGCTTGCCCGCCCCGCAGAGGTTGTTGATATCCCACAAGTTCTCCCTCTCCAATGCCATCTTCCTGATGAGTATGAGGGCTCTGTTCCGGATGTCTAGCCGCCTGCATTTGATGACTACAAAGTAGAGCAGCGGCAGATACCCCATCTCAAAGGTGAACTTTGGTCTTGTCCATAGCGTGTGTGCCCCTAGTTGCTCCCGCATCCACGCCTCAAGGATCGTGCCGATGTCGACGACCTCCTCGAATTCCGGGATGAACTGGTCAAACCCGAGCTCGTCCTTGGAGACAGCCATGCTCAGCCATATCTTAGCTATGAGGCATTGCATGTGCAGATGCATAATTGTCGCAGTAGTATCTCTGCCCGAGGACTTTGAAGAGAAGTCGCTTGCAGCGACTGCCTCCCGCCACTTGCCGAGCTCGTCCACCAGCACTGCTTGTTCCTCGATGATCTCTCTGGGCACCTCCACGTCAATCAGCGATCCGATGCGGTACTCCCAGCCCGTCCGGATCAACCTCGTAGCCCGACACATCAGCTTGTCCAGCATCTGCTGCATGTCCGGCAAGCTCTCAAACCTGTCGGGCACGTCCCCGTCGAGCCCCGCGACGGCCGGGAACGAGTCGGGCGTCGCACCGAAGAAGAGCGGCGTGATGCTCAGCCGCCGGATGATGGGCACGAGGTACGCCTCGGCCCAGCTCGGCAGCGACGCCGCGCCGCGCGCGGTGACCTTGTTGAGGATCTGCACGCCGTGCCGGCAGTGGCTCGTCGCGGCGCCGCTGTCCCCGCGGATGAACTCGATGCAGACGAAGATGACGCAGACGACCAGCGCGAGGGCCTCGTTGTCGGCCTCCACGAGGCTGCGGATCGCGGCGTTGTAGTGCCGCAGCGCAAAGTCGCTCCGCTTGCGTATCGTCGCGGCGGTGTCCGGGCTTCTTGTTAGTGTTGCTGTTGTCATCGTCGTCGTCGCCGGGGGCTGGTGGAACTGCTCGTACAGCGCGCTGACGGCGACGGCGGCGTGCCGCACCGCGGGCTCGTAGTGGCTGAACTGCAGGACCAGGGCGGTCCAGAAGTAGGCGTCCGTGTCGGAGCCGACGTGGTGGTACACGCCGGCCAGCACGGGCGCCACGACCTCCTGGAAGAAATGCAGCGCGCGGCCCTCGCCGGCGCGCCGGTGCCGCGCCGTGCTGCTGCTCGTGTCGAAGGCGGTGGCGTCATCGTAGAGGGCCGCCAGGGGGCTTGGCCGGTGCCACGTCAGCGCGCCTGCGGCGGCAGCCGCGGCACTGGCCTCTGGGGGTGGCGCGTAGCCGTCGCAGTTGCGGCCGGTGCCCGTACATCTCTTGCAGTGCGGTTTGGCCTCGTCACACTTGACCTTGCGGATCCTGTTCGTGTGCCGAAGAGTCAGGCATGCGGTCAACAAGGAGGAAGCCCCCTTCTGTTTTCCTGCGCCAGGGGCTGGCGGGCTCTGGTTCCTTGCGCTCGCTTGATATGGCCGGGTTGGGTAAGGGGGAGGTGATACACGAGGACGGGTGGGGATGATGCGGCGCAAGCTTCATGGCCGCAGAGGAATGATATCAAGTGCCGGCCTGTGGGGATGCAAGGACAGAGCTGGGAATGGGCAGGATTGGGCAATGGGTCACGTACTTGCAGGTCAGGCAGCCTGTCCGCACCTTCTTGCTCCCCTTTCTAGCCATTGATAGACCCTGACGGACTCGATCGATTTGAGGGTCGACTATGGTTTCCCCTCGGTCTCTGACCCGCTTTGAGACGAGCAGGGCCAGTCGGCTGGATGCTGGAAGGCGGATGTATTCCCGTCCGTATGGGTGCGGAGGAAAGAGGAAGCTGGTGGCTTGCTTTTCCTTCGATAAGTCCACCCTCCCAACTCTCTTGGTGGCCGGATTGATTTGGATCTTCCGTTTAGGTTCGCAAGGGGGGGAGAATCTAGGCGGACTCGTGAGGGAAAAATAGTCTCGGGGGTCTAGAAGGCAGCAGCATTCTCCAGGTCCGGCGAGGCCAAAGTGCTGGTGCGAGGGCACAAGTCCTGAGCATTTACGGGCGGAGCAGCTGTGCACACAGGGCAACAGGGCTGTCCTCGCCCCAGACGTTTATTTCCGACTGTGGGGGTCGAGTCCGAGGCGTCCAATCAACCTGGGACCCGGGAAACGTTCGCTGCGTCTCGAGGCCATCCCGCCTTCATGTGTATGCTCTCCACCTGCAACGGCTCCGCACTGGCGTGGAGGCAGTGAGACTTTAAGCTTACCTATTAATACCCATCGGCTCTAGTGATGCCTATTGGAAAAGTTCGGGGCCGAGCCTGGGATTGAACCCTGAATGATCAACTTACACTGCCTTCCAGCACAAACAAGGCATACGTGCGCGATCTTCAGTTGAGCATCGCATATTTTCACGTTCATTGAATGGGGGCACAGCTTTGAGCTAGCAGACATGGAGAAAAGAATTGCTCGCTGATCGCTTGTTCTCGTTTAGGGTATCTACACATTATATTGCTAAGGTTGGCGCGAAGAGCCCTCGCCGTTGGGTGCGGACGTCACAGGAGGGATCTCGTGGGATGCCGGGCTCGTCGACGGCTGGGTGGGAGCCGGTTCTGCGGTGGCGGTAGGAACAGGACTCGCGGCAGGCGCCGCAGCTGGCGCCGAATTCTCCGCCATGGCCGGCTGAGCACTCGCAGCCGCAGCCTCAGCCTCAGCCTCCGGCTCCTTGGTCCGCTCCCCACAGCACTGTCTGCCGCCGCGCAGGCACCACCACACTACGCCGAGCATGATCAACAGGAAGGCCATGCCAATGCCGATACTGACCCCGAGCACACCTGCCGGCGACAGCCCCTCGTCGTAATACCTCCCACCATAGCCGCTACCGCCGCGGCCGGACGACGAACCCCGATCTCTGCTCGAGCCCTCGCCGTAGCAGTAGTCCTGGGGCCCGCAGAAGAATGTCGTCTGGGGCATCTTGCTGCCGTACGACTCGAACGAGACGATCTTCTGCTCCGAGACGCCAAACTTGACGGGCGCAAAGGCGACCTGGCGGTTGACGAGGTCAAAGGCCGTGTAGGTGCGGCGCAGGAGCGGGCTGCCGATGTTCCACGCGCCCTGCTCCTCCTTGCCGGTCGAGTAGTAGTTGCGACCGGAGCCCAGGGTGCCGTTCTGGATGCCAAACATGCAGTACTTGGTTGCGGACTCGGTGTCCCAGCTCCACGTCGAGGTGGACCAGATGTCCTCGCTGATGACGAGGTCCACCATGGGCACGTTGATCACCGGACCGCCGGCGCCAGAGAGCTCAAAAGAGAAGGTGGCATTGCTGGCATTGGCGGAGCACGGGACGGTGGCGAGCTTGTAGCTTGGGTTCCAAGTGGCGTTGGCCATCTCCCAGATCTGCGAGGCGATGCTGTCGGGCAGGTTCGAGATCGAGTCGGACGGGCTGATGAAGACCGGGGCGGGCATGGTCGTGGAGTTGATGACCTTGTGGTCGACGGTCGAGTTGGTGCCGTTGACGGTGTTTAGGTAGGTGCCAAAGGTGTACCAGACCGACGTAGTCTTGCTGGCGTAGATGCGCGTCATGTTGCCGTCGAACTTGGACGTGTCCACGGCCCCAAAGAGAACATTGCCCGACTTGGCTTCGGGGTCGTTCAGCCATATGCTGTAGGCCGACGTCTTGATCGCGCCCGCCGCCACTAATCTGTCGGGATAGTTGTCCCGCGTGGTGTCGTTGTATCCAATGCCGAGGACTCCAATGTAGTCGTCCATGCTGCTGGCTACACCAATGGGCATGTCCGTCGCCGCCACGCCATTTATGCTCATCGTGTCTAGGACTCGCTTTCCGGAGGCATAGCTGCCATCCACATACCGCGCCGTGAAGGTATTTCCGTCCGGATCGGTGGCGCTCGTCGTCGAGGCGGATTTGTTGTCTAATTAGGCATCAGTCAGCGGCCGTTTGCAAGGTTTCGGTGGTCAGAGTCAGGTAAGACTTACAGCTTCCCCAAATGCAGTATCGAGGAGTGGAGGAGGAGGAGGATGACGGAGAAGAGGAGGAAGAAGAGGAGGAGGAGGAGGAACCCGACGAAGTTGTTCTTCGGGACTTGCAGGTGGAAGACTGCCCATCCGGAACCCAAGTCACGTAGGAGCCGCACGACAGTATCATGGAGACATCCTGAGGAGGCGTCCCGACGGTCGCATTAAGCATGTAGGTGAACTTTGCGCCGTAGAGATCGACATTAAGCTTATCGTCGCGGCGGGAAGCCCTCGAATCGTGCTCGCGTGCCGTAGGCCGCGTGAAGGGAATGTGGACCTGGGCCAACACCGCCCATCCCAGGCCCGACAGGGCCAAAAGAAAGGACGTCTTCATGAGAGCGAAGACGAAGGCGCAGACGAAAACACAATACAGAAACGAACGGCTACGAAGAGAGTCGCATACTCGTGTGTGAAGCTTCCCGCGTTGTGCGTGCGGTGAAGTAGGTGGCTCACCAGTCTAAAGGGGCGGCCCGATGAAAAAAACTACATCCATTGAACGATGCGCTGCCTAAAATAGATGAGAGCTATGACTTGACGCTACGCCTGTCAAGGCCGAAACCGAGATTAGCTGGACCTCCGGGCGAACAAGCTTAACTGCGAGTGGAGTCCAGGTGTGTCGAGGCCCCGGTCAACGGCTTCTAGAGCGGAGGCGCAGCCGCACTGGTACCAATGGAAGGGGCTCTGGCGATGGATCCCTCTTCTCTTGGCCCAATCCTTCGTGGTGCTTTCATCTCTTCTGCCTACGGAAGAGTCATCCGCGAAGTCTCTGGTGGTGCCACTGGCGAGCCCTCTCAAGGAGCTTCTGAGGAGGCACTGACGCCTGCCAGTGCGGCCTAGATCGCCAGATTCCTCTGAGAAACATGTGCACTCGCCACTGATCCGGCCGGCCGCCGCGCACGAGAGTGAAGGGCGCCTTGGCCAAGTCCTCGTCTGTGAGATACCAGTCTTCATGACCGGTCTTAGGCGGCCTACTGGGTAGCTTTGGGAGATTCACGACGTATTTCCGGGAGGCGCGCACATCGAACAGGCCGGCAAATATCTTCTTCTCCCAGGCGCAGTCATGCCAAGGCCGGATGTTGTTCATGGTTGTGACCCAGAGATCGAGCTCCCGCAGGTTGGTCATGCGCGAGAGCGTCCGCAACAACCGCTCCCACGGATTGTCCTGGGCCGTGATTTGTGTATTACCAACTTGGAACGTGTGTTTTCCGGGACTCAGGTACAGATCAGACATGAGCGGCGGCATCTGGACGCAGATGTTAATTGACCGAAAGGTGGATAGCGGGTACCGGTTCAGAAAGGATACAGCGATCATAGGGCTTGTCATGCAGAAGGTGACGTCCTGGTAGATTGAATCGACAGCCTCGAGATAGCTGTCAGTGCGCCAGTTAGCAAAGGGTAAGGCACGAGGTGGACAGGGAATCATTAGGGCGAGGCCGCCATTGCGTACAAGAGTTTGCAAGTGAGCAAGATGGGAAGAAACGGTGACCAACGTGCCGTCGTTCCATCTTGCCTTGCGATAAAGTCGTCCTCGCAGGCCCAGTGAAGAGCCCAGGATGACTTTGCTCTGCGCAGGACCTCGACAGCCTCTTCTGGTGTCTCGGCCTTCTGCAACTGCTCATCCGTAGTCTCATCCGCCGCACCCTTACTGACACAGGGTGAATGGTACAATTTGGTAGATGACTTGGTCATCAAGATGTGCTGGGCAAGGCCGGCATCGCGCCATGCTTCTTGGAATATCATCCTGCGCACCTCGACGGGGAGTTTCCGCATGAGACGAGAAGATTCTTGAGGGTGTGCCGTTGCAGCCATTTGCAAACGGGCAGGTCGGTCCATGTCGTCCGTCGTCTCTGCTCGCCAGAGCGAGGCAAGGATCTGGAGCTCCGTCCTCGGGTGCCTCGGATTATCCATCCTATAAGTCGGAGGAACACGAGGCTTCTTCCCTTTGCGCGGCCCGCAATGGTGCATTGGAGGCCGTATCTCTGCCAAAGCCTCTGCCAATGTCGGATTGCGAGTAGCTAGAGAGAGTAGGCAGGTGGCAAGAGCACAGCTCCGATTCTTGTTTGAGCTTCTTGAGCTGCGGAGGATCTCTGGCTACTACAGAGACGACTGCATGAAGCAAGCACACAGACGACGTGATCCGTGAAACCAATGCTTGCTCGTGTTTCATGATCTCCAGAACGAGTCTTGCGAGTGCTTCACCCCGCTTCTGCCACACTCTCGCCGTCATCTCGTGCACGGCTTCCCCGCAAAGTCCGCCGTACGGAATCATGGGGAATCCGGAACGCCTGGGTGCAGTAGCTCTGAACCTTGAGCTTTAGTGGATCCAGCACTAATCATGCCCGCTGGCCAAGCATACTTGGTTGGTAAAGCCCGCGAGATCATTGGATCTTCCGCGGGGATCTGGATGGAAATCGCACTCTTCTCTCATGATGGGCACTCTGTCGACCTTCAAGCTTTGGTCGATTTAGACAGCGACGCGCGTGTAGACTTAGCCCGCTGAGGCCCTGATAGATCAAAAACCCTTCGAATTAACTTTTCGGCAAGGTCTCGACTTTAACCCTCAGATCAGACCATTCCAGAAGCTCCCGATGCCTCGCCGGGTAATGCTCGCAGGCCTTCGGCCCATTGGGGCCGATCATTCGCCTGACGATAGAAGGCGCGCAACGGCGACCATTCAAAAGCTCGTGATGGCTCTGTAAGAATCGAATACAGTCTCCGGAATCCTTGGGACTCGCTTGTCAACAGCGATATCTTTCCATACCTTGAAATATCAAAGGTCCAAGCACGACATGGCTCACGCCTTTTCACTCTTCCCGAACGCTGGGTCCGGTTATGTCAACGGCATCAAGGATGATGGCCAAGTTAAGTTTCCCGACACGGGGTATTTCAAAGGCCCCCTGAAGCCTTCTCGGGTCGAGGGCGATATCTTCGAGCTCGAGACCAGCGGCGAAGTGCCCAAGGACATCAATGGCACTTTCTTCCGCGTCCAGCCAGACCCGCGCTTCCCGCCCATGTTTGAAGAGGATGTACACTTCAGCGGAGACGGCAGTGTGAGCGCCTTTCGTTTCCAGAACGGCCATGTCGACTGGAAGCAGCGCTACGTCCAGACAGACCGGTTCCATGCCGAGACCAAGAACCGCAAGGCCATGTTTGGAAAGTACAGGAATCCCTTTACCGACAATGAGATGGTCAAGGGCATCATCCGCACCGTTTCCAACACCAACGTCTTCTTCTGGCGCGGCGTGATGCTCGCGTCAAAAGAGGACGGCCCGCCCTTTGCGATGGACCCCGTCACTCTCGAGACGATCGGCCGGTATGACTTTGATGGCCAGGTGAAGACGCCTACCTTTACCGCTCACCCAAAGTTCGACCCGGAGACTGGGGAGATGGTGGCCTTTGCATACGCTGCTGGTGGAGACGGGCACGATGCCAACTGTGACATCGTCGTCTGGACTTTTGATCCGGAGACGGGCAAGAAGACGCAAGAGGCTTGGTACAAGTCGCCCTTCTGTGGCATGATTCACGATGCGGCCTTGACCAAGAACTATCTGATCCTGCCCCTGACACCCATCAAGGCCAGCCTTGACCGGCTCAAGAAGGGTGGCAATCACTGGGCCTGGGACCCGAACGAGGACCAGTGGTACGGCATTGTGCCTCGCAAAGGAGGAGACATTCTTTGGCTCCGCTCAGACAATGGTAGGTTCATACTCGACACATGCAATCAATCAAGGAGTCACACCAAGGACACATCACCAAGCTAACTAACAACAAACAGCCTTCCACGGCCACGTCGCTGGAGCCTACGAGGACGAGAACGGACATATCGTCTGCGACCTCACCGTCGCCGACGGCAACGTCTTCTTCTGGTGGCCCCCCGAGGACACCGACCCCAACGAGCGCCTGGTGCGCCCTCCCAAGCTCATCGCCGACACTTTCCGCTGGGTCTTTGACCCGAAGCTGCCCAACGAGTCGCGCGTCAAGCCCTTCAAGCTCTACGGCACCAACGGCGAGTTCAGCCGCATCGACGACCGCTTCGTCACCAAGAAGTACCGCCACTTCTGGCAGCTGCAGATCGACCCGGCCCGCCCCTACGACTTTGCCAAGTGCGGCCCGCCCGCGGGAGGTCTGTTCAACGTCATCGGGCACTTTGACTGGGAGACGGGCTCCAGGGACGAGTACTGGGCGGGGCCGACGTGCACGTTCCAGGAGCCCGTCTTCTGCCCGAGGGCCGGGTCCGACAAGGAGGGCGACGGCTACCTGATGGCCCTGCTGAACCACCTCGACGTGCTGCGCAACGACATTGTCATCTTTGACGCGCTGAACCTGGCCAAGGGGCCCCTCGCCGTCGTGCACCTGCCGCTGCACCTGCGCATCGGCCTGCACGGCAACTTTGTCGAGCAGAAGGACATTGACGACTGGAACAGGAGGCGGGGCGACGGCGGCGATCTGGGCCCGGTGCAGGTGGCCACGGAGCCCCTGTCGTGGCAGGTCAACTTACAGGCCGGCAGTAACGGCACGAACGGTGCCAATGGCCATTGAAAGGGGCTGGATTCGGGAGGGGGGGGGGAGTCAAGTTACGAGTATGACAGCTTGCTTAGCAATAGCGAAATAAATCCGACTGGCTTTGATACGAAGGAAATCTATCTGCCACGCGTAAGATATGTGTCCATCTGGATGTGATATGCCGAGCCATGCACGTTTGATGCCGCTAAGCCCAGTCATCACAATCCCATCAACACCCCCCCGCCTCCCGGCCCTCCTCTTGACTGCAGCTTCAGTGATCTCTGGGGCAGACATCTGCGGGGAAACTACATAAGTACCCCGGCATGGCGCTAACCTCCGCATTATGGTCCCCTGACCAGCGGGGAAAGCTGTGCCGCCCGGGACGGCCATATTTTTCGAAGGCGCCTGGAACATCGGCAGCATCATCGGCTCCATCGCTCCGATGGCCGCGCAAACCCCAGAAACTCCAGCAGGATCACAGATGCTGCAGATGTTGGAGAAGGAGGTCTTGGCAGGGGAGCTGCCACGGAACCATTGAGCGGGAAGAGGGTGGCATAAAGACGGTCTACGCGCTATCCGGGGAGTCGCTGGTTGGGGTAGGTAGCTCAGGCCAAGACTTTTCACGATCCCAGGTCATCTTTGTCAGAAGTTTGTAAACCATGTCGAACGAGGTTGCAGAGCTCAAGCAGACGCTGGAGGCCCTCCAGAAGGAGGTGGTCCGGCTTAGAGGTGTGTGAGACGAGCTCCAAGAAGGACAATACATGGGTCTGGGAAGTCAGAGGAGGCAGGTACTGACAGAGAGACAATCAAACAGACCAGGAGGAGATTCGCAAGATCCAGTACAAGTATGGGTACTACCTCGACAAGTGCTTGTACCAGGAGGTAAGTCATCTCATCTACTACGAGTGCTTGTAGCGAGAAGAGGCCAATCAAGCTGACACGCGACCCGACAGGTCGCCGACCTCTTCTCGGACGACAAGGACAGCTTCGTGCAGTTCCTGGGCGGCCGGTACCGGGGCCCGGCCGGCGTCAAGCGCCTCTATCAGGAGCGCTTCGGCAAGCACTTTGTCAACGGGCGCAACGGGCCCATCCACGGCTTCCTCCTCGACCACCCGCAGATGCAGGGCATCGTCGACGTCGACTACTCGGCCTCGCCACCGCGCGCCAGCGGCCGCTTCCGCTCGCTGATGCAGGCCGGCGTGCACATCTCCCAGGCGGCCAAGCACCCGCGCGGCTTCACGCAGTGGTGGGAGGGCGGCATCTACGAGAACGAGTACATCCGCGACGGGCCCGACGGCTCCTGGCGCATCCTGCGCCTGCGCTACTTCCCCTTCTGGCACGGCGACTTTGAGCACGGCTGGGGCTACAAGGTGGCCGGTTTCGTGCCCTTCATGTCCAAGACGTACCCGGAGGACCCCAACGGGCCCGACGAGGTCGTGACCGAGGAGCAGAGGATGATGTGGCCCGACACCAGGGTCGTCCCCTTCCACTACGACCACCCCGTGACTGGGCAGCCGGTCAAGGAGGAGGACCAGCGGGCGCCCGAGTTTGGCGACGACCCCGCCAACGCGAAGCCTTCTCTTAAGCTTCAGTGGTAGTGGTAATCTACTAGTCGAATACAAGACATATATTCAAGTGTGCAAAGTGTGATTCGTCGATCCTGAGTGCATGATTCTTCCTTCGGATGGTTCAGCCTGTCTGCAGTGAAGGGTTCGAACGTTGTCATGTCGGATCCCAGATGGTCTCCTTCCTACTTTGCAAGCTAGAATCCGGAATAATTTTATTCTCATTATCATACAGCAGTCGTAAGTCGATGACTTTGAATTGAGCTATGAAGTGTATCTATGATTATAGCTCCAGCGGCAACTTGAACAGCTTGATAGCGTTTCTCCGCGCGATTGCTTCCTTCTGATCTGCCGGGAGATCTATGCTCTTCCACCAGTCTTGGCCCTCCTTTACCGTGTCATAGGGGTAATCTGGTCGGAAGTCTTAGTGCGGACTCATGTCAAGCAGAGAAGCTCACTCACCAATAGCGAACATGCATCTGTCTGCTCCGATTTCATCGATGCAAAACTTCAGGCCAGCTGTGTTGAAGTCCCCAGAGGTGGTGATGGAGACGTTGTGCTTGAAATAGTAGCTGTAATCCTCTTTTGATGGCCTGGTTGCCTTCTTCACCGGCTTGTTGTACCAATGGTCCGCTCGCCAGAGGTTAAAAGGGATGCTTTGGGGAATCAGTCAGAATAACTACACACTAGGTGATAATGAGACCTAACTCACCCCTCGCCCAAGTGCCCAGCAACGACTTGCACCTTGGGGAACTCGTCAAAGATCCCGCACGAGCAGAGTGCGTAGATGTGGAAGCTCAGGTCCAAGTGGAACTGCACCGCCGCCCCGAGCAGCTGCTTCCGCGGCGCGTAGCTGCCCTTGCCCTCGAGGTCGCAGGCCATCGGGTACCGCGGGTGCATGTAGACGGGCACGTCGAGCTCCTCGACTGTCTTCCAGAAGACGCGGTACTCGGGCTCGTCAAAGTACCGCTTCTCGCCCTTGCCCGTGTCCTGCACCGTCTGGTAGTCATTGAGCATGACGCCCTTCATGCCGAGCTCCGTGACCGCGCGCCGCAGCTCCGCGGCCGCGGCCTCGCCGCTGTGCATCGACACGGCGGCGAAGGCGCCGAAGCGCGACGGGTTGCGCGCGCACTCCTTGGACAGCCAGTCGTTGCTCTCGGCGGCGACGCGGGCCGCCTCCTCCGGGTCGGCCTCGCCCTGGCAGCCCGGCGAGGTGAGGGAGAGGAGCATGTACTCGACGCCCTCGGCGTCCATGCGCGCGAGGCGCTGGTCGTGGATGTCCAGCAGGGCGGCGGTCAGCGGGTGGTTGCGGATGTCCTGGCCCGGGGCGTACATGGCTGCGTCACGGGCGTGGCGCTCGATGCCTGCGGGGTCGAGCACCGCCTCCTCGATGGCAATGGTTCCCTTGGGCATGATGAGGGCAGGAGACGAGGTGCGGGGAAGCGAGTTTGTTAGGGGGACTGAACTTCGTGTATCATGAGACCTGCGACTGTCTATTGCGTATAGCTTCTTATAAATGGATACTTCTCATGTACCAACGCTTAAGACAGACTGGGTAAATGGTCTGAAGTCGGAAATATTGTCCCGAATTATACCCGGTGACGGCCAATCTTTATTGCTCAACATTACACGATGGTAGATGGTGAGAGGATATAGACGAATTCACCTCGTTCAGCTTTTGGAATAGTAAAGAATGAAAATTGTATTATATCATCGTTCTCTTGGAGCCAGCAACAAGAAGTCTCAGGGTCGTATTCATATTTGCACTTTCGCTTTCTAGCATATACATGCATTTAGTTGTGCAGGGTGAAGACTATGTCTAAGCCTGCGTAGGATCTGCGTCCACCTGTCGTCATGGCATGTAGCCGTACTCTCTACCCATGATTCTGTTTCTCATCCAAGAAACTTTGATGTCATCGCCACCAGCAACTTGGGAGTAAGAGAGCTTTGTTCCACCCTGACGCAACGTGATTGGTCTGCCTTTGACTTTGCTTCTCCACTGATAACGTTGCTCCGTATTCGACTTGGCACGCCGCGACCGGCGTCATCACGAAAATGTTTGCTCAGTTCTCTGTCCTGCAAAAACGAGCATCATTCTTTCCTGTCAGGATGAGACCGGTTATTCCTCGCGTATCTTTGACGAGAAGCAATGCAGGATGGACAACCCCGTAGTTGCGAACGTCTTTGGGACCATGGGCGCCGTGTTGTGGTCGCTCCAGGTGAGCAACAAGCATCTTCCAGATTTCGATGCCTGCCCAAGCTTCACATGCACTGACTCCGCATGGCAGCTGCTGCCCCAAATCTGGAAGAATTGGCGACGGCACGATAGCAAAGAGCTCTCAGGAACGTTCTTCCTGTCATGGGCCGTCGCCGGTGTGCCGCTCGGCGTGTACAACATCGCCGACGACTTCAATATCGCCCTACAGGTCCAGCCAAACATCCTCATCTTCCTGAGCCTCTGGACGTGGTCGCAGTGCAAGTACTATGGCGACCACTGGAGCCTCAAGAAGGCCGCGGTCTGGGCCGTGGCCATAGCGTCGGTCCTCGGGGGCATCGAGACGGGTCTTGTCTTTGCGCTGCGGGTGGCGCACGATCGCGGACAGGACTGGGCGTCCACCCTGATGGCTGTACTTGCGGCGGTCTTGCTGGCCGGGGGTGTGCTTCGTCACTATATTGACATGTTCCGGACGCGCTCGGACGCGGGTATATCCCTCAAGTTTGCGGTTCTGGACGCCAGTGGAGATGTGACTTCGCTGCTGTCTGTCATCTTCCAGCCTAGTCTCAGCATTCTGGGGCTGGTCATCTATGGCTCCGAGTTTGTCATATGGCTTGGTCTGATGGCGATTGTCCTCTACTTTCGGGCGATCGGTCGTGGGCAAGGGGGACAGCACTCTTCTGATCAATGACATGACATTTGCTGGCTGCAAATCGAAGACTGCCCAATTATTTTAACGCATATCTGTACATTCAACGCATCTGATCCGTGACAGGCATAAAACATCAAGTAACACGCACAATGCTCCAGCGCCTACAAATCTCCCGTCCCAGTTACTATCCCCGGCGTCGCTTCTGGTATCGTAAAGCAAGCGTCTTGTAGGTCAGGGAGATACGCATCCATGATTCCCGGAAATCTAGGGGTTCGCACAAGGTTAGCTTCCAGATCTTCATCTCAACTTTGTTGTCATGGCTGAAACTCACAGGTCTTGTTGCGGGCCGATGTCCAGGAAGTAGTGGCCCACAGCATCGACCCCAGAGGGGCTGAACCCGCTCTCCCCGTTGAGCATGCCGTTCTCGTCCAGCTGCGCCATGACCTCGACGAGCGCGTGCTTGGTCCACAGCACCTGCTCCATGCCCTGCAGGATGTGCAGGCACTCCCTGACCGAGTCGGCCGCCTGCTGCTGCTGCTGCTGCTGCGACCCCTCGCCGCCGGCCTGGTCGGCGCGCGCGTACGACAGCAGCAGGACCTGCAGGTTCTCGAGCAGGCACGACGTGTCGTAGGTGACGAGGCTGGTCAGCAGGCCCGCGTCGCGCATGTAGGCGAGCAGGCCCATCGACTTGCGCGCGGCGTCGATGCACAGCGCGCCAAAGTCCTCGAAGAAGCGGCGCTTGGGGCTGCTCTTGAGCTCGGCGTCGCGCAGCACGCTGTACAGCAGGAAGGGCCGCGTGGCGAAGACGAGCGCCGAGTAGTAGCGCAGGTGCAGGACGGCGACGGAGCGGTTGTGGTACGAGGGCGCCTGCGCGGCGTCGCGCAGGTGCGGCGGCATGGAGGCGTGCCAGGCGTGCAAGGAGGCGATGGCGTCCGAGATGGCCGAGATGGAGACGCCGGCTCCCGGAGCGGTAGACGAAGATGCGGAGGAGGAAGAGGAGGGTGAAGTCTTGTTGTACAGCAGGCGGCCGATCTGGCGCTTGAGGTGCGTCAGTTTGCACGACACGGAGAGGTAGTAGAGCGGCATGTTGCTGCCGGGGCTCAGGATCTGAGACGCAAGGATGTCAGCATTCGTAGCTAGATCAGGTGTGAATGGGAAACACCGCTTGTCTTACCTGTTCTGAAAGAGACTCGAGGGGTGCAATCGCATTATCCTCGCTGATCGCCGTCGGGTTACCGTAGCAAAGCGCCACATCGTGATCGAGCAGGTATAGCGTAGAGAATATCCGTAGATCGATCTGTCTCTGCAGGCACTCCTTCGTCTTGATGGTCTTTTGGAGATGCAGGCCTAGCGTGTAGGCAATGCTCGCGGCAGAACCAACGTAGATGTACGCAGTATTCGCAAACATTGAACTTTGCAAGGCAAGGCCCTGTTGGTATGTAGTCAGAACGCTGTCCTGGCTTTTATTCTTTACCACGAGCCACTTACCAAGAGACATAATGCACGAACACAATCGACATCCGCCTCGTCGTACAATGTGGCGGCTAGGCTCTTTGCCAACGACAGATACCTCATCGACGACTCGTCGCCGACATCAATGCCATCGCTACGCGCTTCGCTCTCACAGGTCAAGGCCAGGATCGAGTAGAGCGAGCAAAGCATCGACGACGTGGCAGCACCCGCATCGCCCGAGTATATCCGATCGAGGATCGCGTAGAAGCTCTCGGCCGAGAAGAACCAGTACATGGAGTGCACATCGCGGAAGAAGCGGGCAACGCAGCGGTTGCAGAGGTCGCGTCGGGGAAGGTAGATTTGGCGAGGACCCGTCAGGATCTCGGGTGTCTGCGGCGGCAGGGGCGGTGCTGCGGTCAGAGGCGCGACGAGGTCGGACTTCACCGCCACTTCTGATAACCTCCGGTTCTTCAACGACCTGACGGCGGCGTTGAACGCATATGATCCTTCTATTCCGACATGTCCTACGGGGTTCGGGGTTTTAGTCCAAAGCAATACGAGATCGCCAGAAGGAAGGAAAACCTGGCAGGGCTGATGTGAGACCTACTGTAGTGGCCCTTGGAGTCGACGGTGAGCCAGCCCAGCTCGCCGTGGAGGTCGTCGATCTCTTCGATGGTGACGATGCTCTCGTGGCTTGCAGGCGTGCTCGTGGTCGACTTGCTCGGCCGCACATCCCCATTGGCCGGCGACGACGTCGGGCTGCCCAGTTCGACGGTGGGCGTGGGCTGCTGGCGCGGCCGCGGGCTATCCTGCCGTTGCTGGCCATTCGCTGCGGGCTTGCTGCCTTCGGAGAAGGACGTCACAATGCCCTTGAGAGACTGCAGGTTGAGCTCGACGTCAGGCAGGAAGTGCTCCAGCGCCTTGGTCATGTACCGAAACTCTTCTTCGGAGACATGGTAGTACGGCCTCTGTCGCCGACGAGACGGGTCCACCTGGCAAGGGGCGCCGATGCTGGCACAGAACTGACATGGTCCCGGGACTGGTCACACACAGGCACGCACAAGAGTTAGCAGCGAGTCCTTCACCTCTCGGCAGCATGTCGCCTGAAGACACGGGGGTGTGGTGTCGCCGCTCCGTGCTGCAGGCACAGGCAGTAGTAGCAGCAGGGACCATTCCTTGGTAAACGCACCTGGATCGACACACTTTTTGTGTTGGAGAAGGGACTGTCAGCACGCGGCGCATAACAATCGACTCCGGCACATCGGAAGCAATGTCTGGCGGATTTGGAGATGGCTTACTTTTGTCTTCCGGTTCTTGCATCGGTCGCAGCTCATGGGAGCGCGCCGCTTGCCGGGCCGATCGGTAGAAGAAGAAGTCTGCGCCGCGGTCGACATGATCTGTTATTGTCCCTCCTCTCCCGGTCCGGATCGTAATTTCGGGGGGTTGTAATTGATCAGAGTTCTGGGCAATATGGAGCGCAGATTGCTTTCCTTTCCAGCAGGAATCTATGAAACCCCAACGAGCGTTCTCGTTCACCTGGTGGCCATCTAGTATATCGTTGCAATCTCGCGTCGGCGGACTGAAATAGCCTCCGCATGACTGGCCTCTGGTGAGGAGAGAGGTGGGCACGGTGGGGGTGCCAGAGGCGAGAGGGCAGAGTCTAGGACGGTCTAGGAGAGCCATTCAACTGCCGACAATGCCCTCCTCGACACTAGTCTCCAGCATTCTGTGATCTGCGGGGGTGGCGGCCGTGTTTTGGCTCCAACTTCCCCAACCTTTTCCCCCTCTATTTTCTTTGTCAGAAGCATGTAATGTGGACAAGGCGCATGTGGCTGTAACGCCCCGCGAGCCAATTGTTCGTCTGGGCCATCCTCCTGGGCAAGGGAACACGCGGGGAGCCCCTCTCTCTGTTCGATCTGTCACGGAGTTCGGAGTTTTGGGGCTGGTCTATCTGTATCTCTAGTCCAGCTTGGTCTCGAGACGCAGACACGTAGACACAGGGCTTGCACAGGGCTACGAAACACCAGCGACCGAGGTCATTCTGTGGCTCCACAGCCGGTTCTTGAGCTACACGACCCGATGTGGCCCAGACTTTCAGCCAGATTGCTTGGCTAATTGCCGATTCTCCTTGCCATAGCTCGTGGCCCATCCGGAGAATTCCCACTTGCTTTCTAAGCTGGTGCATTCGTAGACAGTAGCATCCTTGCTGACTGTATCATATCCTACAGGATATGTGTCTGCGTTGTCTGGTTGAGGATCACCGTTGGCGATACTTCCCACGGACGCCAACGGAAAGGCCTGGCTGTGACGAGCTTTTCTCGGAACCCTGTCCGTCTTAGATGGGTGTCAAGCAAGTTCACGGAGTTTGAAGCGCAAAGACCTGCTCGATATAGGTTGTGCCAAGGATGGCACCTTAAAAAACCAAATCTTTGATCCGATCTGCTGTACCGATCTGCTGTAGATAATCCTGTGCCGCCGTCCCCTCTTTCTAGCCCAGCCCCCATATACAAGCCTTGCTGCACTGCTTGCTAGCTCCTTGCATCGTCCTTTGCCCATTCTCGGTCTATTTTACTCCAACATCCACCCTTTCCCTCCAAGCCAACGCCAAAGCAGAAGAGCTGAAAATCACATAAGCATAGCCTAAGCATAGCGCCTTTTATTCCAGCGGCACAATGGGCTCCAGTGTACCAACCGACTTCCGGCCCCGGATGCTGATCAACGGCGAGGTGAGATTTCTCGCTTCCCCCGATTCGGACCCGTAAGACGGGGTGTAAGACGGGGCAAAGACGGGGACGGTGCGCTGACAGCTTACTCCTTGCGAACAATCTAGCTCGTTGAGGCATCGGACAAGAAGACCTTTCCCCTCTACAACCCGGCAACGCGCGAGAAGGTCGCGGATGGTGAGCATTCCATTCGCAAGCACATTTGCTTGCGAGCAATTAGATATGGGGGACATATCGCTGAATAGTTCCCGCAGTCCCCGAGGCCACTGAGGCCGATACCAATGCCGCGGTCGCCGCCGCCAAGGCCGCATTCCCGGCCTGGTCGGCGCTCGACCCGGCCAAGCGAGGCACTTACCTCAAGAAACTCGCCGACCTGCTGCGCCAGCACCACGATGAGCTCGCCCACCTCGAGGCGAGCTCCATGGGCCGCCCCGTCGACATGTACTTCGAGACCTTTGCCGCCGCCGGCAACTACGACCACTACGCCGAGTCGTGGCCGCACATCCAGGGCCAGGCCAGCGTCAACACGCCCGGCCACGTCACCATGACCCTGCGCCAGCCCTACGGCGTCGTCGCGGCCATCATCCCCTGGAACGTGCCCATCCTGTTCTTCTCCAACAAGACCGCCCCGGCCCTGATCGCCGGCAACACGGTCGTGCTCAAGTCGAGCGAGAAGGCGCCGCTGACCTCCGCCAGGGTCGCCGAGCTCATCGTCGAGGCCGGCTTCCCGCCCGGCGTGTTCAACGTCATCTCGGGCCACGGCCTGCCCAGCGGCTCCGTCCTGTCATCACACATGGATGTCCGCGCGCTCTCCTTCACCGGCTCCGGCCGCACCGGCCGCCTCATCCAGGAGCAGGCGGCCAAGTCCAACCTCAAGAAGGTCATCCTCGAGCTCGGCGGCAAGACCCCCGCGCTCGTTTTCTCCGACGCCAACATGGACAAGGCGGTCGAGCAGACGACGCACAGCATCCAGTGGAACAGCGGCCAGGTCTGCATGGCCAACTCGCGCATCTACGTGCAGAAGAGCGCCGCGTCGGCCTTTATCGAGGCCTTCAAGGCGCGCTTCGCCAAGGTCAAGGCCGGCAACCCCCTCGAGAAGGGCATCGACCACGGTCCCCAGGCCGACGAGGTGCAATACAACTCGGTCATGGCGTTCATCGAGGAGGGCAAGAAGTCGGGCACCCTGGCCCTCGGCGGCAAGGGCAACCTCGAGTCCATGAACGGCTACTTTGTCGAGCCGACCGTCTTCCTCGACACCCCCGAGGACGCGCGCATCATGAAGCAGGAGGTCTTTGGCCCCGTCGTGCTCATCAACACCTTTGAGACCGAGGCTGAGGCCATCCAGAAGGCCAACGACACCGAGTACGGCCTGTACGCCGCCGTCTACACCAAGGACATCAGCCGCGCCATGCGGGTTGCGCAGGCCCTGGAGAGCGGTTATGTCGGCGTCAACTGTACCAGCCCGGCGACGGCCAGGGACCTGCCGTTTGGCGGTTACAAGCTGTCGGGCCAGGGCCGCGAGGGTTGGCTGCACAGTCTCGACAACTTCCTCGAGACCAAGAGTATCATTATTCAGCTGGACTCGGACGACGCTGCTGCCAAGCTGTGAATATCGTGACTCTCGAATTAGCGGTAGTTTAAATGAAAATTGGATGTTTGCCTGTCATGAGCTATTCAAGTCGCATGAACAGATTCCTCTAACAGGGCTACCTTTGTGATTTAATTTTTCTCTCTAATATATCCAGTACGGTCTTTGCACTGGTACAGAGAGAGGATCTGAGCTCAAGATCATTGTAGATTTCTGCGGACCAATAATATGCTGACGGATATGAAACCGAATCGTGCCCGTTTGCGCGTATGCAATGCGCCAGGCATTCGCTTGGTGGTTACATGCTGGATCAACCAATCCCAATTGCAGGCAGCATAGGCTTTTTGTTGGGCTGATTCATCTCTGACGCCTTTGGGCATCATCGTCTCTCAGCCTGCTCGTAAGTACAGTCGTCCGTCTGATACATATATCATCGCCCAGTACATTCTCTGGAACTATAGCGTGGACTCTCGACACCTCAAGACACCATGTTTGTATACGAGCCATTGAATGAACCTACTGCGATCAGGGTTGTGGTGATTGAGCCTGGCAACTGGTCTGATCCTATGCGATGCCAGCTCCGACATAGAATTTCTCGCGCTCCTTTCGCCTACAAAGCTCTTTCCTATGTTTGGGGAGCAAGGTCTGTCACGCGTCGTATCTCGGTCAATGACCAGCGGTTCGACGTCACCATTAATCTGGCATGGGCGCTACAAAACCTTAGGGAGGAAGAGGAGGAAGTAAGCATATGGATTGACGCGTTGGCATGTCTGCACTCACTAGTAGTCTATGGACTGTGGACTAACAATCATCATCAGTGCATAAATCAACATGATCATAGAGAGCGAGGTCATCAGGTGTCAATGATGCGCGATATCTACGCAGGCGCCGAAGAAGTTGTTCTGTTCCTGGGTGATGGCACTGCGCATCGCATAGAGCGCTCTCTCTTCGACCGCCCTCCCCAACGCAAGATCCAGTTCGGTAGTACCGAAGAAAGCAACAGCGCTATCTTCAGCGAGTTCGCCCAATCCTTCGAGATTTTGCCTCGTCGAGCTGAGTCAAAGTCGTTCTGCGCCATCATGTTCATATACCTGTTAGCACAATCACTCGAATCCGAGAAGGCAAGTGGCATCTTCAGCAAACTACGCGACGCAGGCGATACATGCTGTTGCAGCTATTTCGAGATCCTTCGGCAACTACTTATGTCTCCCTGGTGGTACCGCATCTGGGTTGTGCAAGAAGCCGCGGTGGCTGTTCGAATTAGAGTTCTATATGGGAATGTCTCCGCAACATGGGACGTGTTTGAAAGAGCGATGCTCAGTTGGCGATCCTCATCCACAGTAACACAGCTTCTGGGATCTGAATGGGAAGGTCTGAAATTGCTACTTGTGGAAAAGGTCGAAGGTGTTCAGATGTCACGAGCGCCTTTGACTCGAAGATCAAGACCAACCTTGTTATCTCTCCTACATCGATTTTCAAGTCGAAAGGCTAGTGACGAGCGGGATAAGATCTATGCTCTCCTAGGTCTAGCAGGCGATAAAGAGATCATCGACGCGGATTACACTCGTGATACACTGACGACATACCGCGCTCTCTTTTTCAGCGTGGTCGACAAGTACGGCTCGTTGACTCCATGGGTAGGCGACATGATGCGCAAGAACAGCGGCAACATCCCATCCTGGATCCCTGACTGGAGTAGTGAGTTCGGATTTGAAGCCGCAGATCTTCGACGATTCCCGTTGCAAGATGTCTACAAGGCTTGTGGCCAATGGAAACTCAAGGTTGTTGAATCTGAAAAGGAGTTCTGGTATTTTGTGGACGACCAATTGAGCGAACTGATTGAGAGCCTGTGGGAAAGCGAAGCTGGTTCGAACCCATATCGTCTCTCTCGCCAGTCGTTAGCGGATCTATTCCAGCTCAAAATGTTTGCATCGAGGTGCGCTCCTGAACCATTTTGTCAAAGGATACTAACCAAATCTGGCATCATTGGACAGGCCACGAGCGGCGAGGAAGCCGTTACCGTGGGTAGTATAGTACTACCAAACGTGGCCTGCCGGACCTCGGTTATTATACGAGATGCGCGGTCACGAACATCCCAACTTTTGAACTCTTTTCTCTCAGGTAACGGGTATGTCTTGAAGCGGCCGGCAGGAGATGGTGCAGAAAGGGAACAAAGAAACATGATTGCCGAATCTCAGCAGCTCGCAACAGTGAGCTGGTGCGGCCAACGGCTCACCACATGGTCGGATACAGAGTCAGCATTTGGAACCCTTCGAGATTGGGTTTCTCACATCAACGACGATTCACTGGGAGTCTTGATAGGAGGTCTCTGGCCCAAAGACTCTGATACCTACGAACGAATCACCCCGGCTCAATACGGCAAGGCCTTGCACTGGTACACTTACTCCCTACTTCCAAAGGTGAACGGTGATACAGTCCCACCGGCTGCAAACGACACAGATGAGAAGACGCAATGGTCCTTGCATAAAGTAATGCGCCTCGTGACCGAAGGTCGAAAACTGTTTCGAACTGGCTCGGGCGGGCTGGGGCTTGGGCCTGGATCCATGCAAGTCGGTGATGAAGTACACGTCCTGCCCGGAGGTAATGTTCACTATTTGCTGCGGCGGCGAACAAACGAGTCTCCGTCCTGTCCAATATATGGTCTCGTAGGTGACTGTTACTGGAACCAGAACCATCAGCCAGTCCACACAGAGCCAACTACCATGGCAGAGAGGCGCAGAATCCGCGGCGGAATTCCTCGAGTACTCTTGGATGCGATTGACAGGCGATATGGGCGTAATCCCCGACCTCGCTATGCCTCGGAAACCGCTGAAGATCCAGAGCCCTTGGAAGATCAGAGGAGCACCATCATGATCCGATAAGAGTATCATATGCCTTTAATACATACCGTACTTTCACACTTAACAATCGATGCGATATGTGGGCAACTAGGCTTAATACACAAAATTTCTACGTCTATGAAGCTACTGAGACACTGTTGGCGCTATTCTGAATCGATAAGTGTGAAGAGCTAGTACTCTCTTTTCCGGCGATGCCCGAGTGTTTCTTGAAGATTTCATCGAACACAGTCTCTGCATGCTTCTCTGCGTCATGGTCATGGATCCAGTCCTCGCGAGGGAAGCCGATTGAAGAAGGATCGTCCTTAACCTTGGACCAATCTGTCTTGTGCCACATATCTCGTGTCGTCTCTCCTGTCTTCTGCACAGCCTTCACGCGTTCATACCTGTTTTGGAATTAGCATACAGTGTCGTCATATTTCACGATGCAAGTGCACATACCGAATCTCTTGGTGAGTTCTGAGAGCAGCGGGAACATTGCCCTTGCCGGCACGGCGGAGGCAAACTGCGAGCGTCGCACCATCCTCCATGGCCTGGGTCGCGCCTTGGGCGCTGGTGGGCAAGAATGGATGAGCAGCGTCTCCCAGAAGAAGTGTGCGTCCTTGCTTGCTGGTCCATGTCGGCAGAGGGTCACGGTAGACCAGTTTCCAGTCAACAAGCGACGGGGTCTTCTCCACGATGGCACTACACATAGGGTCCCAGTTCTTGAGGACCTCGAGCACCTCCTCGAGCTTGCCTGGGAATGACCACGATTCGTCGATGTTGTGCTCGTCCTTGTGCGTCAGGACCCAGCAGCAGTCCTTGCCGCCCTTGATTGTGGAGAAGAGGAAGTGGACTTCAGGTCCGATCCAGCCGTTGAAAGTATCGCCATTCTCGCAGAATTGTCGCGTTCGCGGGTCCGCCAACATGTCAGTATTGGGGAACCTGTTTGCATCTAGCATTAGCGCATGCCGGCACCAATGGCGGACGGACATCTCAACTTACCAGGCACGCCAAACTGCGTAGCCACTGCTCTTTGGCTTATCCTCATATCCCAGCACCAACTCTCTCGCCTTGCTTCGCACTCCATCAGCTCCGACGACAATATCTCCAACGATCTACAGACGGAGGGTGGTGTTAGCGGGGATCGAATGTGGTGCTACAGGTACTGAGCGCCTACCTTCTCTCCCGTCTTCAGGATGATGCCGGCGCTGTTCTCATCCTCAAAGTAGTCCGTCACGTAGTTCCCAAGATGGATGGGGATCTTGAGCTCGTCTCTAGCATAGTCGAAGATGACCTGGTGCAGCTCGCCGCGATGGCCGTTGAAAAAGGGCGCGTCTTCCTTCTGCGGGGGCGTGATCTGGTGGAAGACCACCTCGCCAGTATCCCACTTGTGGATGCGGAAGCCGTACTCGCGCAGGTCGATGCTCAGCTCCCGAAGGCGCGCGGCAATCTGGCCATTCTTCCAGCGATAGAAGATGCGGCCGGCGTTCCCGCCAAACGAGATGATATCGCCCAGCGTCTTGAGCTCCGGGAAGGACTCGTAGATCTCGACGTCGTGGCCTTGGCGATAGCACTCAATGGCCGCGGTCAGGCCGCCAAAGCCGGCGCCGACGATGATGACCTTGATCCCTGTCTTGGTTTGCGGGGTCTCCATGATGGGTTCGGATGCAATACTAGATTGGTCTGTTGGAGACAAGATCGTTACAAATTCTTCGCGCAAGGAATTTATATGGCGGTACCCCAACCTCTACATCATTCCGTCCCAGGCGCGCGGGATTACAATTGATTGCATTCTATATCACCCCTTTCGTAATCACTCGGCCGACGAAAAACTGCCGATCACCCGGCCTGTTGGGGTTGAGTTGGAGTTCCAGAGTCTGGCACGATGCATCCCCGCATCGCCGTGCCACCGGGCTGCCTGGCCTCGGAACGATGCCTCCGAGCCATTTACACCAGACACCAGACGCGGTGAAACAGCAACAAATAGGAACGCAGTACCACAAATACGTAGATCTGAGTTGGCTTGAGTTGCCTAGACGCATGTCAGATAACCTACCGTCGTCTTATTCGATCAAATCTTATTTCCCAACCCCGGCTAGTCCCCACATCACCCCCAGACATGGCGACACATCCTGAATATGGGGTAAAGACCACGGCTACCGAGGTAGCTGCTGCGTTCAGCAAGGAGATCAAGGGGAAGAACGGCAAGTCGCCCAACCAACCACCTATACAGATATCCGAATGCTAACATGTATTCACAGTTGTGGTCACTGGAGTGAGTCCAACAAGCATTGGCTCGTACACCGCGTTGGCAATCGCGGCACACGAGCCAGCAAACCTCATCCTCGCCTCTCGAACAGAGAGTAAAATTGCAGAGGTGATAGAGGATATCAAAAAGAAATATCCAAATGTCCCCATGCACAGTGTCACTCTCAATCTCAGAGAAGTCGACTCGATCCAGGCTGCAGCGGACAAGATCGGTTCCCTGGTTGACCATCTGGATGTCCTGATCAACAACGCGGGCATTAGTCACAGCGCCAGGGATGCAGTCGTAACGCCAAATGGCACGAGAACAGATTTGCAGTTCTTCAATAACCACCTCGGCCCTTTTCTGTTGACCTCCCTCTTGCTTCCCCGGCTCGTTGCTGCCGGAGAGAAGTCTCCCCCAGGTGCCACAAGAGTCATCAACCTGACAAGCAACGGCCACCGCCTATCACCGGTCCGGTTCAGTGACTACGCCTTTGATCGTGGAATTTACGATGGTGTTCCTGAGCCTGAGCGTCCAGGGGCGAACCTCCCAGCGTTTCTGACCAAGACCAACGATGGTTTCCCTGGTTTCATGGGCTACGGCCAGAGCAAGTCGGCCAATGTCCTGCATGCTACGGAGATTTCTCGGCGTCTGAAACGTGCCGGGCGTGGCAATGTCGTTGGATTTGCCGTCCACCCCGGCTCTATCATGACGGATCTCTCGCGAACATTGGATCCGGATAGTGCGGATGCTGTGACCAAGACTGCGCCGGCACACCTCTGGAAGACTCACGACGCGGGTGCTGCCACCAGCGTTTGTGCCGCTTTCGACCCCAAGCTCGGGCACGCTGACCTCGGCGGTAGCGTGTTGGGCTACATGGCTGACTGCCAACTTCAAGATGATTTGGTAGCACCCCATGCAGCTGATGCTGATATAGCGAAGAGGTTGTGGGATGAGAGCGAGAAGATGCTACAGATCACGACAGGTTTTTAGAACATAGATAGATCTAGACTCTATTCTCTTAACACGACCCGCAATATTCAGTCTTCATCTCCTAACTAGCCAAGTTGTCACAGGCTTTTAACAATACAACCTTCTATTATGATTCCAAGAGCCTCGTTGCCATTTAATCGATGCTGATCAATCTCTTCTTGCGTAACCCTCACCAGTGACTGCCACGGTGGTCTGCTCCCTGAGTTTAGTTGATCTTAACCATCTTCACTTCTCCATTCTCATCAAGCACAGGCTCTGTAAGATTCTTCCGTCTTTGCTCTTGGTAGAACGTGCTCATCCTGTACTTGCTCTCACCGTCCAGAGGCTTGAGATCTAGCAGCGCCTGGTTGCCCTCACGCTCAAGCGTCTCCTTCAGCTCTTGTGAGCGGGGCTTGATGTCACATCGGAACGGCTGAGGCCGCATGTTCAGGCCGTTGGTGAATGCAAAGATGTCTACGGGAATCTCCTTGCCGTTGGCATCCTTTGCGGGGGTGATCGAGTAGGCCCACAGTAACCGAGCGACGGTGATCCAAATGCCCTGCTCAGCGAGGGCCTGGCCGCTGCACACACGCCGTCCCCAACCAAAGGTCATGTACCCCCTGTCGCCAGGGAACGGCCGCTTCCAGTCGCTCCCGTCAATGAACCGCTCCGGCTCGAACCGGTCAGGCTCCGGGAAGTCTCGGTCGTTGTGGTGGATGGCCCAGACATTGCCCTGCACCCAGGAGTTGGCGGGGATGAGCCAGCCCTTGTAGTGATCGTCTTGGGTCGGGGAGTGAGGCTGCCCGCCAATGATGGCGACAGATCGCCAGCGGAAGACCTCTTTGACAAATGCGTTGATGTATGGCAGGTTGGGAGAGTCGTCCCAGTGAGGCGAGCGGCTGGACCCGATGACCCTGTCGAGCTCAGCCTGAGCCTTCTTCATGGCTTCAGGGAAGGCACAGCATGCAAGGACAAATGTGACGAGAGTGCTGGAGCTCGTGTCGGAGCCTGCGCCAAAGAGGTTGCCGGTCAAGCTGGAAAGCTCCTCGGTCGGGAGGTTGTACTTTCCATTCTCTATGAACAAGGTCTTTGCGTAGGGAGTAGGGATAGAGATGCGCTCATCAGCGGTCTTTTCAGCCTGTTGCTCGAGGGCCTCCTGGGCGAGGGTGTAGAAGAAGTAGTGGCCGCCCTTCTGACCACGGTTGCCGAGACCCTTCATCCAAGGCATCCAACGAGGGAACTTGGCAAGGACTTTTTGAGTTGTCAGCTTTTTGTCCATCATGTGTGAGCTTTGCCAGACTTACTCGGGAATGTCTCCATAAGCATAGGAAAGGTCTTGCCCGGAACGTTGAGTTCAGCAGCAAGCTGCATCAGGGCGATGACCTCAGTGATGATAGGGTCGTTGTAGCTCGAGACGCGTCGACCAAATGCAAGGATGGATACAACACTGGTTGCGTAGCGTTCGAGATGCTTGACGTAGGCGGCTGGATCGCGCAAGAAGTCGAGGGCGACAACCTTGCTCTCGTTATCCTGAACCTCGCGATATTTGCGGACAGCTTGGACTCCGACACCCAGGTGCATCAGCTTCCGGTGCACACGCCAGTGGTCACGCTCCTCGGCGTTGCGAGTGCGCATGGTCACCAAGTTAGACTGGCCACTTCCAAGCTCGCCAAAGACCACCATCCGGGGCCGGGAAGAGTAGATCTGAGCGCGCTTCTCAAAGACTTCATGAGCACACCAAGCATCACAGATCCAGACCGTCGGGTTTCTAGACAACGCAGTGTTAGTTTCCCACTCAGAGCTTGTCTGCATCAAAGATTTACTCACCGACCAATCCAAATGGTGATGAGAGGCGCATTGTACTGCTTGGCTACTTCTTCGAACCAGATCCACGGCTTATGGTCCGGCAGCGACCAGGTATTGCCAATAATGGGAAGCGGGAACGGCCCGGGAGGCATCTTGGACCTCATATACAACATGTGGCCATAGTCTAGGACCAGCGCCGTGGCGGCGACGGCTAATATCGCCAACAGCACATTCAGAGTTCCAAACTCCGTTATACTCTGCTGGAGCTTGAGGAGGGTGAGCCCTCCTAGCATCTTGTCGAAGAGCATCTTGTCTGGTGTGTGCGGTTTACCCTGTCCAGAATCAATCTTCGATGAGAGTACTGACTTGGCCTGCTTTGGTTGTGAAAGCTAACGATACTCTTGCGATCCCTCGAGTCGGGGACGGATTTAAGCACGGGACAAAACGAGACCCCTCATTGAGCTCCGTAACCACAACAGAATACGGCTGTTAGAAGTAGGTGCGTCTTTCTCGGTGATTACTGAATGAGAAAAGCCCCGGGTTGTGGAGGACCCCTCCCTGTCGGGACGCCGCGCCAAGTTCCCAACACGGGATCGGCAATATCACCCCGAATCGAAGCGGCCACGCAGACCGAGCTTATCATGCACTTTACCCATGCTGCTTTAACAGATTGTGACACACGAACCGATCTTTGACACGGGGCCTCTTACCCCACACCCGTGCCAGCGGAAACAAAGCCAAGTCTTTACCCCAGAAAGCTTCCCGCCGATCCATGATCCAAGTTGGTGCGGAGTTGGCAGCCAGATCGGGGTGAGTCGGCAATTACATGGATGCCCACGCAGCAGGATGGCTAATGAGCGCCGGGCCATACTGCCGCGTGGAATGCAACATCACAGGCTGAGTCCTTTTGACAGCCGCCCTCCTGAATGGCTCGCCACCGTGTCTGCACGGTAGTAGTCACTGATACCTATGGCATAGCTGATATAGGGTTGAGCGAGGGTAGAACCTGGTTCGACATGGAGTGCTGTCAATCATTCCCATTGGTGGCCGTCACATGGCCTGCCCAATCTAGAACACAGGTCGCATTGACATAAAGAGAGGAGGCATGGCTCTTTCTGAATTGATGTAGTTATTTTCTTGACTCATTGTGATGCTGCCAGATCTGAAACTCTCGCATCCTGTAAATTCCCTATCAACTATCATCCACCTGAATTGCGCATCATGGAGCAAAGGGACTCACCAACCACCGACAAGGTCATGACTGCCGACTCTGTCGAGAAGACCTCCAGTGGTGGAGGAGAAGAGGCGCCCCAGCATGACCTCGGCACCCTCCGTGACCATTGGAAGTGCCTTGCAGCCTGCACGATGGTGTCGATGTGCCCCTTCCAATACGGCATTGGTGAGTATTGACCACATCGGACTGCCACACCGATGTTATTATAATCGCTGACGTGTCCAAGATTTTGGCTTGATCGGAGGTCTGCAGGCTATGCCTGGCTTCCTCGAGGTAGATGCCCCTTTCCACAGACCCTTAACGCTTCCCGCCTAACACGCACCCAGGTCTTTGGTCACCGAGCTCCCGAGACTCCGCTGGGATGGAACATCTCGCCTGGCCGACAGCAGCTGATTTCGTCGCTGATGACGCTCGGTGCCTTCCTCAGCTCGGCCTGCGCCGGTCCGATTGCCACTGTCCTCAGCCGGAGGCAGACCATCTGGGCTGCGAGCCTCCTCTGCTGCGTGTCCAATGTCATCATGATGGCCACGACCAACATTGGCGGTCTCTATGCCGGGAGACTGCTCATCGGTCTGGCCAATGGCTTGTTCATGACCTTCGCTCAGCTATACATCCAGGCAAGACTTTCATTCCCTTGGCCCAAGGCATGCCCTTCGAGACTCTAATGATATGTTTGTTCACCAGGAATGCGTCACGGCCCGCTACAGAGGTCTGATGATCTCCTCCTTCCAGATCTGGACCTCCGTCGGCAGTCTGGTCGGTACCATCGTCGATAACTTTACCGTCAAGCTCGGCGGTCGCGAATCTTACCTCGTGCCCCTCGGCCTGATCTACATCGTCCCCGTGCTCATGTCCCTCGGCCTGTGCTTCATCCCGGAGTCCCCCCGCTGGCTCATGCAGCACGGCAAGCGCGACAAGGCGTTCAAGGCTCTGCAGTGGCTTCGACCTTTCGGGGACGCCGAGGTCGAAAGGGAGATCAACGACATCCAGGAGGCGATCTCGAGCGAGGAGGAGCTGGCGTCGGGCGCGAGCATTGTCGACATGTTCAAGAACCCCATCGATCGCCGCAGGACTTGGCTGGCGGTCGGCGGTCTCTCCACCCAGGGTGCTTCGGGTGCTATGTACATGATCGGTGAGTGCGCCCCTTTTCTTTCAGGTCCGGGGACAGGTCCTCTTGCTAACAACCGGGCCTCCAACAGCATACGGAACCTACTTCTTCGAGATGGCCCACATCGGCAAGGCTTTCGAGAACGCGTGCATCCTCAACGGTGTCGGTGTCGTCGCCATTATCGCCAACAGTATGGCCGTCACCAAGGTCGGCCGACGCAGGGTCTTCCTTATCACGGGCCTGCTCATCTGCGGTCTGGCTCAGCTGATCACGGCAGTGATCTACAATGTGAATCCGGGTACTGTAGAGACTGGCAAGGGCATCGTGGGTCTTTCGGTCGTATACATTCTGGCATACAACGTAAGTCGGCCATTTGAACTCGACTGTTGCTTGGGTGCAGCATGTCTGACCGATCCTAGGGCATGGTGGCTACGTATGCCTGGATCTCTGGCGGTGAGCTGCCGTCGCAGCGCCTCCGATCTTATACCTTTGGTTTCGCTACCGCTGTTGGGTTCTTCCTGGCTTGGCTCGCGACCTTCACCGCCCCCTACTTCATCAACCCCGAGTCGCTCAACTGGGGACCCAAGTACGGCTACATCTGGGCCCCGAGTTGTGTTGTTGCTGCGTAAGTTGACAGCTCGCCCTTTCTGTCGCAGTATGCAAACTAATGCGTCTATAGTGCCTGGGTCTACTTCTTCCTTCCGGAGGTCAAGGGTCGCACACTCGAGGAGATCGATGAGATGGTAAGTCGCGCCCCGTCTCGATGAGCACTCTGTAAGAACGTTCGCTAACAATAGCCGACAGTTCGAGGCAAAATTGCCAGCAAAGAAGTTCCGCAAGTACGTCTGTGTTGGCAGATACGCTGGGGCGCATGCTCTGGACACCAACTCGGCGCAGGCTTTGGATAAGCAGGCCGAGGAGGTCACTCACAAGGAGCACTCAAACGCCGTGTGAGAATCAAGAACGAGTCACATTGCCTGAAGCTTGCAGTGACAGGCATTTGATAAGTTGATCTGAACAGTTGGGAGTATTGTGACCGAGAAATCTTAAATACCATCATGGGTATGTGAGCAGTTTGACGTTAAGGGTATGTACAGCCTTGCACTAGCAAGTGTCTCAGACTTGTAGGAGCGATTCGGAGGAATAATAGCAATGTCTTGCATTTGTTTGACTTGTGACAGCTTACAAAGTTTCCATGTCGGGCAACATGATTTGCCCATTGTTAGCTTTTCGATATTTTGAGGCTTGTGATTGGGAGCTGAACGCAGACCTCAGCCACCCAATTATTTCAACCTTGCCCAGGCATTCATGTGCCGGGTTATGCATGTATGTATGTATTTATGTGGTGGCTTGCTTACCCCCCTTAGAGTTAAATTGCCCGCCTTGAAGCTGATGTTGGCGCATGCCATGGCCAATGTGACGCTGTCTGGCTGGAGAGGCGTGAGACTCAGCCCGAGCGCCTCACAGTCCAAGCCTTAATCGCCTGGAAATTAAGCCTGCAGGTTGATCAAGGATGCATCGCCGAGGGGATATAACTACATCCTGGAGCCGCGACATACCTACGCTGGAGGACACATCACATCGTTGATCAAGTTCGACACCTAGCTGACACAATGAAACTCTTCGTCTTGTTTTCGACCATTCTGGTCGCAGTGGTGCTGTCTCAGACCACGTATCTAAACGACCCTCTTGTGACAGTCCGGGCAGATGGGGTCCCAGAGAAGCCAGTCACGGTAGAACACAGCCGGCTGCTATCCTTTCTCCTCCAGCTTTTCCCAGCACGGTTTGCGCTGAAGGAGGCGAGGGACCTCATGCACACCGCCGAGCGGGCTATTGCCCTCACCTTCGGCCTGCAATCGGTCGAGAACCAGCTACCAAAGGCAGGAGAGCCCTGCCCTTCTGTCACCATCATCTACGCGCGTGGGACGTACGAGATAGGCAACGTCGGCGTGCTCGTCGGCCCGGGCTTCTTCGAGGCTGTGAAGCTGGCCACGAGCGCTACGAACTCGTCGGTATCTGTAGCGGTCCAGGGCGTCGAGTACGCCGCGATATTCCCGGAATACGTGAAAGGCGGGGACAGGGCAGGCAGCCAGAAGATGTACAGTTACCCACCCTCCCAGAGCATCCAGGTTCCCGGTGCCCGCTCAGCTACTGACTTCCTACCAATAACTAGGGCTGACGATGTGAGCCAAGCTCTCGAGGTGTGCCCGCAGACAAAGGTCGTCATGGCTGGCTTCTCGCAGGGCGGTCAGGTGGTGCACAATGCGGCGGCCCAGCTGCCTCCCGCGACCATGGCGCAGGTCAGCTCGGTGGTCATTTTTGGAGACCCGTTGAACGGGACGGCAGTGGCCGGCGCTGTTCCCGAGAGAGTGCTGGTCCTCTGCCACGAGTCGGATATCATCTGCCAGGGCAGCCTCTTCGTACCACTATCGCATATGACGTACCTGGCGGACGTCGGAGAGGCAGCCGAGTTCGTGGCCAAGCATTTGTGAGCCGTGGCGTACGCGTTATTGGGTCCATGCCATTGGAAACCTACTAAATGGGTCCTCCCTGCGATCTCATGAAGGAAGGGGAATAAATAGAGTTGGAAGGCGTTTATGCGACGCGATGGAACATCGTAGTAGTTCAGATTGGGATCCGTTTTCAGCAAATGGGGTTCTGCTTCGAGCATGAAGTGAGGGAGGGACTGGGTGTGCCAAGACGGGATTTGGTGGAGTCGAGGCGAGGCGAGGCGATGACCGTCGCTAACGAGCTTGCGAGCACACCTCCAGCACGCCTCCAGGCTGAGTTTAGCCGCTCGCGCGTCGCTCGTGGCTCCCAGGGGCAGTGCAATAGGGGCAAACTCAGGGGTCCCGCGAGATCTTGACAGCCCCATGGATACAGGTGGGCGCTGAATTAGAGGTATGTCGTGTACCGTCCGAATTCCCGAGCCATTTTATCAGCGATTCAGCGATTCAACGATCCAAATGCATCCGTGGATTGAAATACTAGGAAATGCATTTGTGTGCCAGCTGAAAGGCAAATGCGCCTCATCAGAGATGTGCCATCTGTGCGGGATGGCTCCCTATGACGTTACACGCATGCGCATGGACACGAGGAAGAGATGGATGTTGGATGGGAGAAGGGCTTTGATTGCTAATAATGGAACAATGTACACTATAGGTAATATCGATCTTCTCGCCGCTCGTGTTGGTGCCTGCGGTGCCCAAACACCATTCCTAGGGATGGTAGCCAAGCCCCTGTCTATCCATCCTGCTTTCTGACAAATGAGCCCTGGAACGCACTAGGAAGATAGCAAAGCGTGTGTCTGATGCACCGACTTTGAGAAGGACCTGGATACCTATTTCTACAAGTAGAGTAATGCATGGGATGCATGATACCATCCATCTGGCCCCTTTGTTGCGCTTAGGTTCGCCATCAAGGAGCTTGACGGGAGCGAGGCACAGAAGAAGCACACTCGCGTGCCCATTCAATCTTGATGAGTGAATGAGTGCTTCTAGAAGGTCAAGGCCATCTCCATCATCCCGTCCCCCTTCGGATACTCCATTTCAGCATCTTCTTGTGGGGGGTTACACGCTGAGACACAGCCCTGCGCACTACTCGTACTCCATCCCTTACGAATCTCCCCCCTAACTGCTGCGAGAATAGTGGCCAACGGCGCAGCCCCAGCTTCCAAGGTTCCGTCCGGTCTGTCTGTCCTAGGGAGATCTTTAGGTACCCACCCCTATGCAGCCAACACCGCCGGTGCGCCCGTTGTCTACCAAGGATCAATGATCCATTCTTCCCCGCCAGAGATTACCAAATCATCCATCCAAATCCAGCCCGGTCCCTAAACCCCATCCACACCTCGAGTCAACAACCAACCCAGGTCTCGCCTTACCGCGGCCACACCTTGAATCCTGATCCCGTCTTTGTCTTCCATCCTTGCCTGATCCTCCTTCGGCCTGCACTCGCGATACCCTATTTCTTTCTCCAAGAGCATCATCCCCACCAGCCTTTTGCGATAGCAATATCTTTCGGCGACCGCCCAGATACCGACATTGACGACACCATCTTTGGGGAAACCCCTCACCGTCGGCCACCATGTCGTCCTGGAATCTGACCAAGAGTACGTTGCCCAGCCTCAGCTATGTGCCTCAGTCCGCATTCATTTTCTCGCGTGTTTGCCGCTGCAGATGTGCGGAATCTCTTGGTCTATCCTGAGACGAGGACTCGTGTCACGGGCGAGCAAAGAGCAAAACAACGGGCTCAGGCTGATGATCTCGTGTCTGCAGAACTCAAGGAGACCCATCTGGGACCCCTCACCAACACATTTTCCCGATCTACCTCGACATCGACCATTACGCCCGACAAGAACGAGAAGAACGCCATTCCTACGATTTCGTCAACGCCCACTCCCCAGAACGATGTTGGTAGGTCGACACTGACTATTTGCGACGTGCCCGAGCGTCTTGCAGCGAATGCGCTTCCCCTTGGTAATACTGACGCGAGGAAATAGCTGCTTCAGAAGCCCTCAGCCAGGCCCCGGTGGTCAAGCCCCCGAAGCCTGGAATTCTTGTCGTGACTCTTCACGAGGGACAAGGATTCTCTTTGCCTGAGCAGCACCGCGCTGCCTTCTCCTCCCAACACCCACAAGCCTCTCTTTCCACTGGCAACGCCCTCAGCATGGCTGGTTCCATGCGCCCGGGCTCTTCACAGCGCCAGGCCGGTTCCTTTATCAACGGCAGGCCGCAGACCTCTGGCGGTGGCGGCTTCAACGGCATCCCGATGAACCACGGTCGTATTTCCGGAAAGTACATGCCCTACGCCCTCTTGGATTTCGACAAGGTTCAGGTGTTTGTCAACTCGGTCGAAGGGACACCTGAGAACCCGCTCTGGGCAGGCGGCAACACGCAGTACAAGTTTGATGTGTCTCGAGTCACCGAACTCGCAGTACATCTCTACATGCGCAACCCCATGGCCCCGCCGGGCTCTGGTCGCAGCCAGGATATTTTCCTTGGTGTCGTCCGGATCAACCCGCGCTTTGAGGAGCCCCACCCCTATGTCGAGGACCCCAAGGCCAGCAAGAAGGACCGCGAGAAGGCGGCCGCCGAGCACTCGAGCCGAGAGCGATCTCTGGGCTTCAGCGGCTGCGACTGGGTGGATGTTGCGTACGGCACGGGCAAGCTGCGAATCGGTGTTCAATACGTGGAGAACCGGGCAGGCAAGCTCAAGATCGAGGACTTTGAGCTCCTCAAGGTCGTTGGCAAGGGCAGCTTCGGCAAGGTCATGCAGGTGCGCAAGAAAGACACGGCGCGAATCTACGCTCTCAAGACCATCCGCAAAGCCCACATCATCTCTCGATCCGAAGTCGCCCATACGCTCGCCGAGCGCTCTGTGCTGGCCCAGATCAACAACCCCTTTATCGTCCCTCTCAAGTTCTCCTTCCAGTCGCCGGAGAAGCTCTACTTCGTCCTCGCCTTCGTCAACGGTGGCGAGCTCTTCCACCATCTCCAGAAGGAACAGCGTTTCGACGTTAACAGGTCTAGATTCTACACGGCGGAGCTCCTGTGCGCTCTCGAGTGTCTGCACGGCTTCAATGTCATCTACCGTGATCTAAAGCCCGAGAACATCCTGCTTGATTACCAAGGCCACATTGCCCTGTGCGACTTTGGCCTCTGCAAGTTGGACATGAAGGACGAGGACAGGACCAACACGTTCTGTGGCACTCCTGAGTACTTGGCGCCAGAGCTGTTGTTGGGTAAGGGCTACAACAAGACGGTCGACTGGTGGACGCTGGGTGTCCTGCTGTACGAGATGTTGACGGGCCTGCCGCCCTTCTACGACGAGAACACCAACGAGATGTACCGCAAGATCCTGTCGGAGCCGCTGCACTTCCCCAGCCAGGACATTGTGCCGCCGGCGGCCAAGGACCTGCTCACGAAGCTCTTGAACCGCAACCCGGCGGAGCGGCTGGGGGCTAACGGCTCCGCGGAGATCAAGACGCATCCCTTCTTCCACGCCATCGACTGGCGCAAGCTGCTCCAGCGCAAGTACGAGCCGACGTTCAAGCCCAGTGTGGTATGTATCTATCTGGCTTGCTACCTATGATATCCTTCTTTCATTATCGGTTCCTTACTAATTCTCCTTGCCATTTGTGCCTAGGCCGATGCGCTCGACACGGACAACTTTGATCCCGAGTTTACCTCGGAGGCGCCCCAGGATTCATTTGTCGACGGCCCTGTCCTATCGCAGACGATGCAGAACCAGTTCCAGGGCTTCAGCTACAACCGCCCGATCGCAGGTCTGGGCGATGCAGGTGGGAGCGTGAAGGATCCTTCATTCGTCGGCAGCATTCAAGACAACCGGTAGATGTCTGCTGCAACCAAACAGCCTCCACGGAACCGTCCCATGCGACACGGCTTGTTGATCCGTGCCGATTTGACAATGGGGTTGTTTCTGGGGGGAGCACGAGCAAGAGCATAGAAGCGACGACATAACGACACAGCCAGCAGACACGTTTTCAAGCGGTGTCCTCGTTTGTTCTTTTTCTACACCGAGGCACAATAGACACGTCGTAAACGGAAAGGAAAAAGAAGAGAAGAGAAGAGAACAAGTAGATGGACCAAGTAGACAGGGCGGAGGTTGCTGCAGGTGGATCGAAGCCTCTTGAGGTGGAAGGGCACCAGGATGATGAAAACACACTATGAGCCTGCGACCTGATTCTTTGAGGAGGCTGCTCGAGCCAAAATGGCCAGATGGCCGGCAGGAAGGTGGCTTTCTTTTTTTCTTTCTCTCTCTCTATTTATATCTGCACCCGGCAAACGGAGTTTGGCCTTATCGTCCAGCATTTTCACACTTACCTACACTCAAGGATGAATTGAATCCAGTCTTGCTTACCGATTCTGATTGCATGTATCGTAATCACAACATGGTGGCGGAGGAGTACAAGCACCTGGGCCATTCGCGCTTCTAAGCGATTACTAACAGCAGCACTCGGAGGCAAATGCGCCAGTTGACTTTATTATCGGCCCTGTTCGGGCAAAGGTGGGAATTGGCCGGCCGGAGAAGCTGCACTGGTAGGCACTGTCATTGAAGTCTGCAGTACCATTAATGAAGCGCTGTGATCCAATCAAAGCTTGCACACCTCTCCTTGTCTCTGGACACCAGCACTGGTATGATCTTGAGGTACAGACTGTATCTCTCCTGATTTATCTATGCTGTCGAGAGAAGATCATGAACTTTTATTCTCATGTTCGGATCGCGGCCCTTTGGCGAGTGTTGGTGGGCGTGGTGGGGTAAGAAGTGCGGGATGGAGGCAGTGACGTCTTGCCGACCATGCCTAATTGGCGCAGGTAGTCCCCCCTCGTAGCTACTTAACTATTTGTAAAGATCCAGAGCAACCTTGAAGCGCAACCCCTCCCCCACCAAGGAATGCGTAGCAGAGCTGTAGCGACCGTACCAGACCAGCCCTGAGAGATCGTGCTAGAATTCCTCCCGACCTTGAAGTTAGCATTGATTAGTCGTAGCTCATTGTCTTGGCTTGGCCTCGAATCCATCGCCAAAAACGCCTCAATTGATTATTTTCTCTTTCCTCCCCTCATTACTCTGCTGGCTGTCATACCCTCCTCTTCCCTTCAGACAGACGAGAGTCTCTGCATTTGGCACCAAGGTACGTGCGTCACTGTCTACACTCGATTGCTCTGAGCTGTTTCCCGAGCTACTTGCTCAACACCTCGTCATCTATCACGAATCATGGATCTGGAGGTGGACATGGATCAATGCGCCTGACGGGCTTGCGAGAGCAGTTCTGTCAAGTGGCACTTGACCCCTGGATACCTTCCCTGTCCTTATCACCATGCCTTACCCTCGAGCTCCATGCTCTTGCTGGGACCTTTTGTTGGGAAAGCTGAGCCTGTTGCTTGATGGGGGCCAGCCCAGATCCCTCGAGACAGACGGCACCTATTTCGAAAACATCTATCCCCCACAGTACCTACCAACAGACAATGCTTCGGCCTATCGAGGACAAGAATACTAACGGGTGCCACTCCAGGCTTTGATACAGCTCCAGCGTCGACTTTGATCAGGTATGAAACACCCTTCCTTATGCCCCGCGGTCTGGTTCCATGAATCGCCCCGCCATGCCGATGATGCCGCGGCGCGCGCCATGGTGCCTCCGGAAGCTTCTGCCGGCCGGCGCCTTATATACCTCTGCTTCATCGCAGCCTCTGCTCATGCCCTCGCTGACAATCTCTCTGTGCTCCTAGACAACTAATTATCCGGCCGAATCATCGTCTCACCGGTTGCGACGATTGCCATCCTCAGAACAACACCGACACTACCCTTTCCCACAGACCAACATGCCTCAAGCTAGCTCTCTCCCCGCCTGGGGTGACCTCCAGGGCCACCGCGACTCGGTCGGCAAGAGCTTCGTCCTGAAGGAGGCCTTTGCCTCGGACCCCAAGCGCTTCGAGAAGTTCAGCCGCACCTTTACTCTGCCCGACAATGTCTCGTCTTGCCCCGGTAGCACCGACATCCTCTTCGACTTCAGCAAGAACTTCCTGACCGAGGAGACCCTCGACCTCCTGGTCAAGCTTGCCGAGCAAGCTGGCCTCGAGAAGAAGCGCGAGGCCATGTTCAAGGGCGAGAAGATCAACTTCACCGAGAACCGTGCCGTCTACCACACCGCACTCCGCAATGTCGGCAACGACGTCTGGGACATGAGCGTCGATGGCGTCGACGTCATGAAGACCAAGGGCGGTGTCAACGATGTTCTGGAGCACATGAAGGTCTTCTCCGAGCAGGTCCGGAGCGGCGAGTGGAAGGGCTACACGGGCAAGAAGCTGACCACCATCATCAATGTCGGTATCGGTGGTTCGGATCTGTAAGTTGGCGTTCTTCCCCGTCATGCATGATCGAACGAGCAGCTGACCATTGCATAGCGGCCCCGTCATGGTCACCGAGGCTCTCAAGCACTACGGTGCCAAGGACATGACCCTGCACTTTGTTTCCAACATTGACGGCACCCACATGGCCGAGGCTCTGGCCAACTCCGACCCCGAGACCACCCTCTTCCTGATCGCGTCCAAGACCTTCACCACCGCCGAGACTACCACCAATGCCAACACAGCCAAGGCGTGGTTCCTCGAGAAGACCGGCAACAAGGGCGAGATCGCCAAGCACTTCGTTGCCCTGTCCACCAACGAGGAGGAGGTCACCAAGTTCGGTATCGACAGCGCCAACATGTTTGGCTTCGAGAGCTGGGTCGGTGGTCGCTACTCCGTCTGGAGTGCTATCGGCCTGTCTGTCAGCATCTACATCGGCTATGACAACTTCCGCAAGTTCCTGGCCGGTGCCCACGAGATGGACAAGCACTTCAGGACGGCCCCTCTGCGCGAGAACATCCCCGTCATTGCCGGTCTCCTGAGTGTCTGGTACTCCGACTTCTTCAACGCTCAGACCCACCTCGTTGCCCCGTACGTTTGTCAGAGAGTTCCATAGATGCTTGAATGATGCTGACGTCCATGTAGCTTCGACCAATACCTGCACCGATTCCCTGCCTACCTTCAGCAGCTCTCCATGGAGTCCAACGGCAAGACGATCACCTCGGACGGCACTGCTGCCAAGTACACCACTGGTGCGTACACATTTGAACGAAAACCTCGATCTTTTCACCATACTAACCTTACTTCCCAGGCCCCATCCTGTTCGGCGAGCCTTGCACCAATGCTCAGCACTCCTTCTTCCAGCTTGTCCACCAGGGCACCAAGCTGATTCCTGCCGATTTCATTCTGGCTGCCAAGTCGCACAACCCCATCTCGAACAACCTGCACCAGAAGATGCTGGCCTCCAACTACCTTGCCCAGGCTGAGGCCCTCATGGTTGGCAAGACTGCTGACCAGGTCCGCGCCGAGGGTGGCGTGGCTGAGGAGCTCGTCCCGCACAAGGTCTTCCTGGGCAACCGCCCCACGACCTCGATCCTCGTCGGCGGCCACATCGGACCCGCCGAGCTGGGTGCCCTGATCGTCCACTACGAGCACCTCACCTTTACCGAGGGTGCCGTCTGGGACATCAACTCGTTTGACCAGTGGGGTGTTGAGTTGGGCAAGGTCCTTGCCAAGAAGATTCTGAAGTAAGCTTTTGCAAGTCACGATGTCCTTTGAACCGCAGACGCTAACCAACTAATCAGGGAGATTGACGAGGCTGGCGCTGGCTCCGGCCACGACGCTTCGACCGCTGGTCTGCTCGGCGCCTTCAAGCGATACTCAAACCTGTAAAGGATGTTGTGCCATTTCGAGATGGTTTGGTTGAAGGGAAAGTGGACACGAGACTGCATTAATTCGATGGCTGTTGTGGGTGGAACATGGTCTTCCGCTGAAAAAAAAAAATGAAACCCCTTATTAATTGTGTGAGGCCTGCCGACATCTGGGACTAGCCTGCACTTGGTAGCACACTTAGATATTATGTGCTAGTTTTCAATCAACATTGTTGTTTACAATGCTATAGTGTGTGTGTTTGTGTAATGAAGATGATGGTTCGCCGTTCTGTTTACTTGCTCAGGGGGCGCAGTGTGGCGTACTGATCTGTCTTGGCTCACGTCAAGCTGAGCCATCGGAGGCTCTCACACCTGGCGGCCATGCAATGAGCGAGTGAGCAGATTGACTCACATACGGCGTAGATTCATGCAACTTGATGGTTATGGGATCGCGCAACGCGGGGATGCGCTCTACTTTGAAGGCTCCCCCTCGCAGGCAGGGGATAAGGGGGGGAAGCGTCTTGATCTACGGATACTCTAACACTCTAACTCAATATTTAAAAGCAAATTGCTGTATACGTATGTAATATCATGCTCTCCAGAATGCCTCTAAAGGAACTCCTTGACTCCAAACCCTGAATAAAAGACCGGCGTTGTAAATCTTAAGCAGGTGGATTTCGGAGCAGGCTCGGTAGGCGCGGTGGCGATCCTTGTGCCCCCGTTCATCTCGGCTGCCCTGTTGGTTGCGATATGAAAGAGGTAGAGGAGAAGAAGACGAATTCTTTGAACAGGGCAGAAGCTCAGACAATCAAGGCGTCGATCTTGAGCTTCCTGAACTCGTCCAGCCAGTTCCACTCGGTGGTCTGCTCCCTGCCCGCGACGGTGTCCCTCAGCTCCCAGATGACGTCGAGGGCCTCGAGGGCCGTCATCAGGAAGCCCCAGGGCAGCTCCTCGAGGATCCTGAGCAGCATCTCCTTGGCCCACTGCCTCTGCTCCGGCTTCAGGACCGCCGCGCCGGCCATGAACAGCGGCCAGGTCAGGGCCTTGAAGAAGCCGCTGCCGTCCTCGAGGCTCAGCGTGTGGAACTTGATGTCGGTGAAGACGTCCTCGACCGTGAGGCCGTCGCTGAACCGGAGGACGCCCTCGAGCGGCAGCGCCAGCAGCGTGTACAGGTACGTCGCGGACCGGTACGTGAGGGCCACGTGCGTCCGGTCGCGGACCTCCTTGGGGTCCGTGATGCCGGGGAGAGCCGCGGCCCAGGCCTCGACGTCGAAGCCCACGAGCCGGCCCACGATGGCCGAGGCCTCGGCCACGACGCGCTCCCGCGGCAGGCCCGGGGCGCGGCCCGCGAGGCGCGACACGAGCAGCATGGCGTGCAGAACCTCGGCCGGGCAGCTGTGGTAGTTGCTCGTCTCGGTGCGGCGCAGGGCGGCGACGACGTCGAGGCGGTCGAAGGCCGAGGCGGCTACGGCGGCGGCGTCGTGCGTCATGGTCGTCAGCGTCGAGCCGAAGATGTAGTACGCCACGCACATGGACAGCAGGTTGTCGAGCAGGTTCTGGACGGGGGACGATGCCACCAGCGCCTCGCCTGTGCCCGCCGGGTGCCCACGCCCGCCGCCGCTCCGCTCAAACTCCTCGATCAGGCGGCCCGCCATCTCGAGGTGCAGGCGCCATGTCTCCTTGCCCGAGTCGACGAGGTCGAAGTTGACGAAGAAGACGAGGGCGGCGAGGATGGCGTCCCTCTTGCTGCTGCTGCCGCCGTCGTTGGCGCGGCCGTCCAGGGCGAGGGTAAGCTCCGAGATGGCCCTCTGCTTGGCGGCGAGCGCGTCGATCATGACCTTGCGCGTCCAGTAGGACTCGCCGGCCGTGAAGCGCGTGATCTTGGACAGGTGCATGGCCGAGATGCCGACGAGGTTGTGCATGAGGAAGCCGTTCTCCCGGGCCATGGGCAGCATGTCGACAAACGCGTTCCGGCCCGGCGGGTCGAAGGGCGCGATGTCGATGCACAGGCGGAATGCGACTTTGTTTTGACACACTACATGTTAGCCAAGAGAGAAAATGCTGCGATCCCGCGGGGAATTGCATACAGTGATAGAGGTACCGACGAGAGGACGGATCCAGGTCCTGCAGGAGGGGATCCACCAGCGACCGCGAGGGTGGCATCCATGCCAAGACCAGTCCGAGCTGCTCATCCGCTGGAGTCAGACTGCCGGGAGGTGCGTTTTGCCCTGTCAAGCGACTGAAAGCCGTGGCTGGAGATGACGGCGGAACGCCCGGCGTCGGCGTCGGCGTCGGCGTCGACGGCGCAAATGACGACCGCCCGGTCATCTTGCCCCGGGAGGCCACGGCATGGGTCCAGACGAAGAGCTTGCCGTACCCCTGGCACTCCTGGCCGAGGCTGGCGCACTTGAGACATCTGGGCAGGGATCGGTCGCACCGCAGGCGCCGGCGCCGGCAGTTGTGACAGGCCTTGACCGGGTGGTCGTGGTTCTTGCCGCTGCGCGGATCACTGTTCGGGGCCCGCGGATCGTCGCCGATTACCGCCGACCCGTGTGACATCCCGGATCAGCAGCGTCGTTCGGTGTGCATATCCAAAAAGCGGTGATTCCAGTCTTGTTGTCTAGCTGTATGTGTCCCAATAACAACCCCCCCTCGACTTCATGCGGGTATTTGATTTGATGTCATCTGGGGTGATTCTCCGGGTCGAGCATGTCATGGCGGTGTTGGAGAGGTGTGGATGGGATGGAGCCGGAGCAAAAGTGGGTGGCGGTTCGCGGCTCCGAGCCTTGGGTCGATTCGATGCGGGCACCAGAGGCCTCGGGTCTAAACTCAATCAGGCAGCCAAGACGCAACATTTGCATCGCTCTAGCCTGGGAAGTGTCTGGTCGCTCCTCGGAAAGTCCACAAGTCTGGCAAGTCTTTGTCAGAGCAATGTCTTCGCCCCTTCTTTTTCACTCACCACAACCGACGGTGGGCTTCTCGGGGCATTTGTATTTCCCCAACATACCCAAGAGGGTCCAGAAGTAGGTTATAACCTGTCCTATGGCTCCGCTGGTTCGGAAAGTTTGCCTAGAAATGGACGCCAAGTTCAAAGTCGCGGTAATAAGCTGCTCAGTATGAGTCTTCCGTGCTTTCGGTCCCAACTTCCCCCTTCCCTCCCCAGATTTACAAAAAAGCGCCATGTTGCTTTTTCGGTAGTGGGATGGATTTCTGTTGAAACTTCACTGATCCTGATCCTTGCGAAAGAATCATTCGACTCTTTATTCTCCACTGTCAATGTGACCTCTGCGACTTTCGTGGAGATCACTACTTAGACATCTTCACTTGCTTTCTTGCAATTATCTACTTTCAGTTTCCTTTTCGGAGACGATTACCAGTCAAGGCTCATTCTCCATGGTTGCCGTAAGCGCGCCGCTGCCACAGGATGGGCCCGTCTGTTTGTCCGCCAAGGACATCGAGCGGCTCGGCCGTTGCCGGCCGGCGTCCTTTCGCACGATCTATGTAGAGATAGGCTTTGTGGCCTCTCTACTGACCTCTATGATCATGGGAGTAAGGTCCCCTTGAGCGAAATGCTTGCTAGTGGCCAGCTTTCCGTTGCTGATCACCTCTCACATTACAGGAGTTCCTCATCAGTGGGTTCAATATCATCCTACCTGAGCTCGCAGGGGCCCTAGACATACCGGCCGGGTCCCGAACATGGCCCGCCAGCGTCTTCTCACTGGTCACCAGCGGCTTCCTCCTGCCAATGGCCCGGCTAGGGGACATGTGGGGTCCTTACTATGTCTTCAACGGCGGCCTGATATGGCTGCTTATCTGGACCCTGGTGGCCGGCTTCAGCAAGAACTACATCATGCTTATCGTTTGCCGCGCGCTTCAGGGCCTCGGGCCCGCCGCCTTCTTACCCACCGGCATCATGATGCTCGGCAGCACTTACCGGCCCGGCCCCCGCAAGAACTTGATCTTCAGCCTGTACGGCGCCGCTGCGCCGCTTGGGTTCTTCTTCGGAATATTCATCGCCGGCATTGCGGGGCAGTTTCTGACCTGGAAATGGTACTTCTACCTGGGCAGCATTGTGCTGTTCATCACGGTATTGATCGCCTTGTTCTCCCTGCCACGAGACAGGAAGGACTTGGTCCTCGATGCCAAGATGGACTGGTGGGGAGTTGCAACAATCATCCCGGGCCTCATCCTCGTTGTCTTTGCCTTCACTGACGGCGGCCATGCACCTAACGGATGGAGCACGCCCTACATCTACGTCACCTTCATTGCTGGCATGCTGTTCCTTGCGGCTGCGGTGTACGTCGAGGGTTGGGTGGCTGAGCAGCCTCTTCTGCCGCCGGTCATCTTTAAGCCCAAGTACATGAAACTCCTCCTGATTACTTTGTGCATGTCGTACGGAGTCTTTGGGGTTTACCTGTTCTACTCGAGCTTCTAGTAAGTCTCCCGTTGCGAGTGAGAGCTTATTCGGCACACGCTAACCGCCAAATTTGCAGCATTGAGCTGGTTATGCATGCCAGCACCCTTCTGACCACGGCCTGGTTCGCGCCCATGGCTGTCGGTGGCATGATCATCGCCACGGTCGGTGGCTTCACTCTCCACCTCCTGTCTGGGCGCATTCTCCTCCTTATATCCGGCACCGGCAATCTTGTGTCCTGCCTCATGTTCGCTATCCACCCCGAGAACGGCACATACTGGGCCTACATATTTCCTGCCATGATCTGTGCCACGATCGGCATCGATATCACCTACAACGTCAGCAACATCTTCATCACCACGAGCCTGCCTCGGGACGCACAGGGCCCCGCAGGCGCGGTCATACACAGCCTCGTGTTCTTGGGCATCAGCTTCTTCCTGGGCATTGCGGACCTGGTCGTGGCGGAGAACGAGCACAAGGGGCTCGCGGGGAGCTACAAGACGGCCTTCTGGCTGGGCGTCGGTCTCTCGGGCGCGGCGCTGGTCGGCTACGCCTTCATCAAGATCGGGAGTGCCAAGAGCGAGCTCACCTACGAGGAGAAGATGAGGCAGGCAGAGGCAGATGCGGCGCTTTCTGAGAACAGCCAGGAGGCGAGGGGCCACACCTCGGTTCTGCGCGATAGCCCCCAACCAGTAAGGACGGAGGTGTAGTAATGCCAGCATGGAAGTGTTGACGCGTGATAGGGTTTTTGGTTATCCGGATGGATAACGCTCTGGATTTATGACTACATGATAATGCAATAGACCTAGATACTTCTGGAATTCTACATCTCTGTTATGACTCTTTGGTTACTAGTCTATCCTGTTCTGGGAATGTCCATGGCAAACACCAGCAGTTATGAATAATGCAGGCTGCAAGAAGCGCAAGCTTCATTGGTCATTATGTCTCAACAAGCATGCACTGAGCTGAGCTATCAACCCTCCCTACGTCCATCAATAAAGTCAATACGCAATACGATCACATCTCCTGGGAGGCGATGATTCAGCGCTCCACTTTCACGCGTCTAATGATTCCAGGTGAGGGGTATCACCGGATCTCATCCGGTTCTGACACAAGAATCTCATTCCCTCGCGATATCCCCACGTCGTGGAGCTGTAGAAAGCCCCAAACGAGATGAGAGTCAGTTAGTTGACAATGCTTTCTCATAAAGATTTCTGATACGATTATCATAAAATTTGCTCGCATGTGTATGCGCACAATTCGAACAACGCACGTTAAGCTACCCAACAGGACGATGCCGACTTTCCGGACTGTAGGCATGTCAAGATAAAGAAAGGGACAGAAGATGCGATGGTCCGGTCTTTAGGCACAAGCTAGTAAAAGACAAGCTTAAATCAAGCACTGTGGCTTGTCTTAGTCGGTACTTTTGGGACAAGACGTTCACACTTGGCATGGTTTCCGCCAGCAACAACCTCAGCATAAGCAAAACCTTTTCCGAAGCCATCCCCAGATTCCCCACACCAATGCTCCCCAGTACGGCCTTTAGCGTAACGTGGAGGGACTATCCCGATTGCTTGTGCTGTCGGACTACGCTAAATTGTTCCCGGTGTCGAGGGAAGATGTGCGATGGATAAGAAGCCAATGGTCGGCACGGTCCCATGCTCAGATTTCAGGTCGATCAGTACTTGCTTCAGTCGGCTCGTGGTGCCTTCGCCTTTGTAAGGTCAAGACAATCGTGCTTTGTTCTGCACCTCACAGGCTTCTGTACAACGTTACCATAAAGTTGATAATTGCTCTATTGAAAGATGTCCGACCAGATTCAGACAGCTACGGCCGAGAGCAGATCTACCGAAAAGGCTGAGGCAACTACCCAGCGACATGAGAACCCAAGAGATGATTCTGATGCCCTATCTATCACCGAGGCCGCCTTGGGAAACAAGTAGGTGTCCATCTTATAGTGAGTATAGTGGCAGGGGCTAATGCTCTATCTCAAGCCTGCCTGATGGCTACTTCAAGAGTCTGCCATTCATCGGGACCCTCGCTGGCCTGTCTCTTGGGGTCATTTCGTCCTACGTGATCTTCGTTATGGCCACCAACGTCTTGACCTTCACTAACGCTGATATCGGTAAGACAGTGGATCGCTCCTACTGTGTGCCGGAATCCGAACTGACTTGTCCCAAATCAGGCCCAAGTGCCAACATCTCCTGGGTCAGTATTGCAAGAACCCTTGGACAGTCAACCATGTACCTTATCCAGGGCCGCCTCTCGGACCTCTTTGGCCGGCGATGGTTCTTCATCGGCGGCAATCTTGTGGCACTGCTCGGAGTTATCATCTGTGCCGTCTCTCAAAATGTCGACACCCTCATCGTAGGCAGTGCCATCTATGGCATGGGCGAGTGCGTCCAGGTCAGCTTCGGCGTTGCCATCGGCGAGCTCATTCCCAACAAGGACCGCCCGCTCGTGATGTCCTTTGTGTTCCTGACGTCTGCTCCCTTCTCGGCTTTCGGACCGACGATTGCTCGTCGCATGATCTCAGTTGGGCTGGGCTGGCGATGGTGTTATTACCTCGGCATCATTGTCATCGGCGCTGCGGCCATTCTGCTGTTCTTCTTCTACCACCCGCCAACCTTCCACATGCTTCACGAGAGAAAGTCGAAGAGGAAGCAGATGCAGGAGCTTGACTACGTCGGGATCTTCCTTTGGACTGCTGGCCTCACCCTGTTCCTCATGGGCTTGAGCTGGGGTGGAGGGGTAGGTGTTCCCTCTATTGCTTTGCAGCATCTCAGAGCCAGGGGTTGCTAACCCGAGAAATGAATTAGCTCTTTCCCTGGAAGTCTGCGGCAGTCATTTCCACGCTCGTCGTTGGAGCCCTCACTCTTGTGGTCTTTGGGTTCTGGGAAGCCTATGCAAACCTCAAGTATCCCATCATGCCGATGCACTTCTTCAAGAACCGTGGATATATTGGACTGGTCGCCATGGCCACAATTGCGAGTTGCTTCTACTACAGCGCCATCCTGCTATGGCCTCAGCAGGTTCAAGCAATGTTCACAACAGACGTCACGTATGCGGGTTGGTTGTCGTGCACCGTGTCGGCAGCCACCTCTCTTGGGCAAGGCGTTGCCGGCATCTTCATCCGGTACGGCGGGAATTCCCAGTACTGGCTCATCTTTGCGTCCGTCACAATGGTTGCTTTCGTCGTGGGCCTTGCCGCTCTGACACCAGAAACCAAGAATATGGGCATCGCCTTCACGATTATTGGACCCTTCTGGGTTGGGTACATCGAGCTGGCTGCTCTGTCATTGGCCCCTCTGTTCTTGAAGCCGGAGGATATCGGCCTCGCCAGCGGTATGTTGGCCTCGATCCGCTCTGCCGGCGGGTCTGTTGCCGTTGCCGTCTACACTACCATCCTCACCAACAGGCTGACTACCACTCTCAACGCCCACGTCGGCTCCGCGGCAGTGCAGGCCGGCTATCCGAGCGACAAGGTACCTGCCTTGGTTGCTGCCGTCAAGGGCAACAGCTGGACGAAGCTGCCTCTGTCTGACGTTGTCAAGAAGGCGATTCAGGGTGCGATACCGACGGCTTACGGCCAGGCTTTCAAGACCGTGTACCTGGCCAGTCTGGCATTTGGTGGCCTGGCGATCATCGGCAGTCTTCTCACCAAAGATGCTCGAAGCCTTCTCGATGACACGGGTAAGTCTTGCAGCCCTATTACTTCATTCATAGGAGATGGCTGACCGATTATCAGTTGCACGCCGCATGCACGGCAAGGGAATCGGTGGAGATATCGAAATGAAGCCAGCTCCTAAAACTGTTGACAATAATGATGACTAGGCTAGGGCCCCTAGGAAAAGAACGCGGCGGGATGGAGAGTGGGAGATTGGTTGGTTGGTTCAGAACATGTGGAATGCCTCCCTCTGTTGTTTCTCTCTCGATATATACCAGAAAACAATAACTGGCATTTGTTTGTGAGTTGAAAGAGACCAAGTTTGGAGTCACCTGAAACTCTCACTTTCCCTGGCCCTGTCTCATAGACAATTGGATAAGTTGAAGAATGATCAGTGTCCAGCAGCGTCTATTCTCTTGTCTATCGCCAACATAAACTCTTAGGAGGTTTCCATCCTTCGTATTAGCCGCCATCTCGCGTTCCTTAGCTAGAATTCAAGAATGTGGAGAACCCCGGAAAATACTACCTAGATGTATATTACCGGCTTGGTACGGAGTAAATGGCTCCATACAATAAGATCCTGTACCTACATAGCAAGGGACTGGCCCAGCCAGAGGCCATATTTGCCAGTCCTAAATGGCAACCCAGAAGAGGGGTGTATCACCCACTGTCTGGGTTTGAACTGACACAGTCATTATATCTACTGCCGACTCATCCTGGCCATGTCTGGCAAAACTTTCCTTTGTTTCTATTGATTAGTCAAGGTTCTCCAAGATGTGGACTGCTTCCGGGCTGGTCATTTTGATCACAGGCGCTTTCAGCCACGCCAGCCATGCGCCGCGCCAGGCCGGCTCGAGCATCACGGTCGACCTCGGCAAGACCTACCAGACGATGGACGGCTTCGGTGCCTCGGAGGCCTTCCAGCGGGCCGTGCAGATGAGCAAGCTGCCCCAAGCCGAGCAACGCCGAGCCCTCGACCTACTCTTCTCCACCACAAAGGGCGCGGGCCTGTCGATCCTGCGCAACGGGATCGGCTCCTCGCCGGACATGAGCTCCGATCACATGGTCTCGATCGCCCCCAAGAGCCCCGGTTCGCCGAGCAAGCCGCTCATCTATGCGTGGGACGGGTCGGACAACAAGCAGCTCTGGGTTTCGCAAGAGGCGCAGCACACCTACGGGGTAAAGACGATCTATGCGGATGCTTGGAGCGCTCCGGGGTATATGAAGACCAATGGCAACGATGCTAATGGCGGTAATCTGTGTGGTGTTAGCGGGGCGACCTGCTCGTCAGGGGACTGGAAACAGGCTTATGCAGACTATCTCGTCAGGTGTGTCAGGAATTGAACCAGATCAAAGCCGTGTGTATCCCTAACCCATTTTGTGCAGGTACATCCAGTTCTATCAAGAGTCGAACGTGACGATTTCACATGTTGGCTTCCTGAACGAGCCTGAGCTCACGTAAGTCAAGACCGCGTACCTCAAACAGCAGATACCAACGGTGTTGCAGTGCTTCATATGCGTCCATGAGGTCCAACGGTCAGCAAGCAGCCGACTTCATCAAGGTCCTCTACCCAACCCTTCAGAAGGCCAACCTCAGCCATGTCCAGATCAACTGCTGCGACGCCGAGGGCTGGAGCAGCCAGGCCGTGATGCTGGGTCAGCTACGCTCTGTCGACGACTCCATAGGTGTCATCACAGCTCACGCCTATACATCATCTCCCGGCTCACCCATGAACACCAAGCACCGCGTCTGGCAGACAGAGGCTGCCGACCTCAACGGCAACTGGAATGCCGCGTGGGTAGGCGGTGGCGGCGGCGGCGAGGGCATCACGTGGGCGAACAACATCTTCCAGGCGGTCGTGAACGCGAATGCCTCTGCGTATCTCTACTGGATCGGCGTGCAACAGGGCCCTACAAACTCGAAGCTGATCCGCATCGACGGCAACACTGTCAACCCGTCGAAGAGGCTGTGGGCCTTTGCCAACTGGAGCCGGTTCGTTCGTCCTGGTGCGGTCCGCGTCGGCACCTCTGGGGCTGGCAACGGGCTGCGTAATTCGGCTTTCAAAAACGTCGACGGCTCGATCGCGGTGCAGTTCATCAACGGCGGTGGCAGTGTAGCTAGCGTCTCTGTCAAGGTCAACGGGGCGAACGTGAGTGCCGTCAAGGGATGGATCACGGACAACACCCATGACGTGGGTGAGCTTGCCGCTACCATCACCAACGGCGTGGCGAGTGCGAGCATTCCCGGTCGGTCGATGGTGACCTTGGTCCTGATGGAAGCGGACGAGCCCGCAAGCACGAACTAAAGAGGGACTTGGCCAGGTCAGATAATTGAGTCTTCTATCGATATCAGGACAATGAATGTCCGTAAAATCATGATTGCCGCTTGCTTGCCAGATACGTCTCGCATATCTGCTATGACTATTCCAGGATAAATGACTCGCCATTCTCAATATCTACAAGGTTCGGACGATGGTCATCCTCCTCATCTGGTGGCACACCAGTCTTCTGCATTCCAGTGTATTCCGTGATCCCATCCAGCAACGAACGTGGGAAGTCTCTCGTGAACCAGCCAATCAATCCTGTGTATGTCGGCACACAATCGTGTGACCTCACCCAGTACCGCGGGCGTGCCGCTTTATCAAGAGCTAGCCCACCAGCAACTCCAAGTGTGTTCCGGAAGCCATACGTGAAGCTCTCCTTTAGACCATGCAGCATGGCCAGGACAGAGATCTTCTGATCCTCACTCTGGCACATTTCGAGAAAGGCGCGGAACGCCGGTTGATCTTGCCGAATACCGTGGGGTGAAAGGAGAATCGCCTCCCTGTGCCCGTCGTCTCTGGTCCAGATCCAGGCCATCGCAAAGTTGAGAGACTGGTGGCCGGGAATGCGGAAAACGTTGAGCCAGGGAGGCAACGGCGGGCCTGGATGAACGACCTGCCAGTTCTCTGTCCTTGTTGGAGCAAGGTCTTGCGTAGCCAGTACTGTATCAAAGTGTCCCCAGCCTTCTATGGCCTTTGCTGCCTCTGGTACAGCAACCACGGGGATACGGCGATCGAAGCTGCGGAGCGTGGGCTCATGCATATGGTCGCTTAGACTCAGGCTGATGAAGACGGCGCCAACGACCGGTGACTCCGAGTCGGCAGCTTGTTCTCGTGTCTTGTTGGGTTTGCCACGCGCTATGGCGGCTGTGGCCGCCGCATCCTCTATCTCCTGAGCGAGCTGCTCGACTGCAGCGCCATCCTGAAAGGCCGGAGGAGATGGGGCGGTCATCATGAAAACCCACGAGTTGGCGACGACCATAGGCCCGACCAACCACGGGTCCGAGACCACGTGGAAGTAGGACCTCCCAGCGGCCTTGGCCTCGGCATCTGGTCGAGGAAAAGACACGAGCCAGGCGTTGTCGCCGTTGAGGGATGTGAGGATGGGTCGTTGTCGAAAGTTAGGGCTCACGAAATGCTCCCTGAGCACTGCTGCTCGCGTCAGGGAAGATGATGACATCATAGGCAGCCTGTGTCTATGGTACGCTATTGCGATGACAGCTTCGTCGACTTCAAGTTGAAGGTCCCTTGGTCAGCAAAGTTTGATGATAGAAATAGGTCTGGATGAAATGTTGACCAACGCTTTATAACTTTCACCCCTGATCTTACTTGTCCATCATAGGGATCGCCCCACATGCTGATGGTGAAAAAGGCCAAGACGGCGTAACTGGGGTAGTTGTCGCGCCAGGCTCCACAGGCCGCGGTCTCAGATCGCCCGTTGTTGTTGGCCAGGCCATCCTTGAACCGCTTGCGCTGTAGCTCGGCGGCCGTCTCGGTGACGATGCCGGACAGCGTACAGCGCGGCGCTGACGCTGACGAGCCTCGGGAGGCAGCCGACGCCGGAGATGCAGACGCCGCCGGCGTACACGGAGGCCACTACCTCGGCGGCTGTGAGCATGAGCGAGATTGTCGAACAAAGATGCTACTCGTTATGGTTGGACATCTAGGTAAGCACTAAATTGAATGTGTCGGTAGCGCTTACATATCGGATTTGCGAGTCCGTTGCCATGCCTTTTTCTGTTGCAGATCCCTGCCAAGATGGAGGAAGTTTCTCTTTTGACTATTTTGAATCTGCTTCGCTGGCCCTGATACTACTAGACATGCTTGAGCGTATGGTATACAACTCACTCAAATTAGTATCAGACATACAATATTGCATTCAACTATATCAAGACATTTGTCTACCTTACACAACCTCAATCTCGTCGGTCTCTCCATATCCGTTGTACGCAACACCGCGAAGATTCCACTCGCAAGTCTCCTGCTGTTGATTCCCTCCCTGGTCTGTCGCCCTGCTCAGTAGCTTCTTCCCGGTGCTGGGCTGCATCCTGACATGTGCTTCCCAGAGACACCAAGCCCACTTGAACTTGGAAGGTTCAGTGGAAAATTTGTCCTGGTCAAGGATAGTGGCCTGCTGCCAGGTCTTCCCATCGTCACCACTGACTTCAACCTTTGTTATCGGGCCAGAGTCGCAGCCAGGTAAAGCATAGCCTTTGACTAGCACGTGCCCGTCTCGGTCTCTTTCAACTCTGGAACCCTTAGTAGGAACACCGATGGCTGAGTTGACGGGCATTCCCATCAGCGCAGGCACTTTGTCCCACACTTCTTCAGCTGCTTCCTTTGAGTCGATATCCGGGGGCAGGACTTTGTAGTCGTATTTCTGATAATAGTTTTCTGACTCGGTCATCTGAACCGTAACTCGTTCAACCCACTTCACAGAGCGAGCTCCAGCTATACCAGGGACGATCACTCTGACCGGGTACCCATGGTTTGGAGACAGCGTCTCGCCGTTCATCTGCGCTAGATTTAGTGATTTTTAAGGCTCGATGCCTTCGCGGACGGCAAACCTACTTGCACTGCTAGAATCACGTCTGCATCATCTCTCATCGCCCTGTCGAGAGGTATGCTCCCACCGTACCACGACGAGTTCTCCGTAGGTGCTGTATAACACGCAAAAGCTGCATGTGCATCTTTCCACTTCTTCTCATCCAGGCTGACACCGGCTTTGAGCAGAACGTCTCGCAGGCGGGGGCCGGTCCACTCGCAGTTCATGACTGCTGCATCGAACCAGTCTACTCCCTGGACTTCGTGGAGCTTGGTACGCATGGTATGCCGGCGATTGCCTGCACACTGGAGTGCACAGACGACTGTGTGCTGAGGAAGTGCCTGTAGGTCGGCGACTGAAAGAGATAGTGTGCTGCGCACTGCACCGTCGATGGTCACTCGGTGGGATTCACCATCTATCACGGGAATCGGGCTGAAAGTCGCGTTAGGATAAGAAACATGTAATCCTCAAGGGACCACGAAAAATTACGAACCCATGGTTTCGGTCGTATCCAATTTTCTCAGTTACATAGCTATTCCACAATACTTTAGTTGCTCTTCCGTGCGTGCACTCTTTTAGTGTGAGAATACACTGACTTCTCTACCAGTTTTGTTGATGATGGTTCACGGTTCAGAGGCTCTTCTACTGTGTGCTGAAACTAATTGGTTAAAGTGTGGTTAGTCAATGTACGGATCATCAAGCTCACTACTGCCATTTTCATCGTTCGAAGTTTCAACTCACTGCCTTTGGTGCAGATGCAAACGCCATCACTACAGGTTGGGGCCGTTTCTCCTCTGAATAGAAGGTCGTCGTGATGAGTTCTAAGATTATGGACAAATGAGACTCAGGAGACATATCACAGCACTCCATTTGCGCTTCGAAGGGAAACTCATGCAATGACCACGAAGTCTAATCAATGAGGGTTGTTGAAGTGTGACGTCACATTGGTGATGTCATTTCGCGCGTGCTTTTCATATCGCAATTCCCAGAGAATCAGCCATCACTCCATCTTCTGAGGGGATGGAGTTCTATAATTAAATTGATTTTTGAAGTGTTCTATTTTGATAACTGCAAAAGACTATTTGCCATGTGCGGAGTGTCAAGACGGTGTTCATTTTGAGGGTGCAATCACAGCAGCTTGACGTGCTTTTTCGTAGCGGCTCACGTTGGAACAAAGCTGCACAGTGTGATCTGCCAATGGCACGAATCGCGTCTTCCCGCTCCGGAACATCGAAGATAACATTGAATAACATTGAAAAGAAGCAATAATGCATTGTGATCCGTGTGTATTGGCTGCTGCGAGCTGAGAATCGGGCGAATTGCTGCCCGCCAAGCTGTTGCTCTGACAAAGCTACCCCTGTTATGTGGCTGGGGAGAAGGTGTGGCTGAAGTTGGGGGCCACTTTCCAGCTCCTGCCCTCCAAGCGCAGAAAAGGGCATCCTCACAGAGCTTCCACGAAGAGCATCTCCCCTTCCAATCCATTGACTTTCAACGCGAGATGTGCAGCTGGAGACACATGTACAAAGTGGAAGCTGCATGAACACAAGCACGAGCACCCAAATACAGCCCATCGCGCTCACGCACAGTCTGGCACCAACCGGCCATGGCCCAGCAGGGCTCGCTTACCGCTAGGCTCGCAAAGCTGAGCGCGGTTGCGCAGGACGCTCATGCCCTCCTAACGAGCCTATACAAGAGACCAAGGCCCGTCTCTCTTGATGTCGACAGGCTCAGCAGCCTGTTGAGGGCGCTCGCGGGGAACCTGGTCAACCTGTATATGCTCGCGTCCAGCGTCGAGGACAATGGCTGCGGAAGCTCCATCGGATCTCACAACCTGCACCACTTGCAAGCATGCGAGCGGACATTGGTATCTCTGCGACTGCTATTGAAGGGGGAGTCCTCCTCACCGTCCGGGAGGGAGTCACTTCTCAATCTGCTGGATGAGCTGGCGGGCCACGTCACCAACCTGAGAATGGCATCCGCCTCACTGTCGCTGGCTTCCCTCTGCAAAGCACTTTCATGTTCTAATCCAGACGCACCAAGCAAGCCACGTGCATTCGTTGACAGAATCGCATGGGAAAGCGCACGGAGAAGGCCGGGGCTGAGGGACGTCCCCTGCGCTCACCCATACAACACCGTCACCAGTTTGACCAAGAAGCAGTGCCCCGGAACAAATGAATGGTTCACAACATTGAAACAGTACCAAGACTGGGTTGAAGGACAGTCGGCACCTCTCTGGTTTTGTGGCGATCCAGGGTCCGGAAAGACCATGTTAGCCTCAACTATCATTGAGGGGCTCGTGTCCGGGGCTAGCCAAAGCACAGCGGTGTGCTTCCATGTCGCAGACGCCATATCCACAGAGAAGCCATCACTTGCATCGGTCATGGGCTCACTGCTCTGTCAGCTAGTCTGTCAGAACTCCCAGGCTGAGAGAAAGCTCGATCAATATCTGCACTCCAAGCTCGACGAGCTCCCTACCGCTCTCGACCTCCCCGTGGACTGTCTCGGTGATCCACCTGATATCGAAGGCGCGCAATTGCGGAGCGCCCTTTTTCGTGCCATCTCCAAGCACTTCTTCAAGAAGGTCTTCGTTGTGATAGATGGCATTGACGAACTCGACGTCTCGGTCACAGAGACCATCTCTTCCACGAACAGCTGGATAGAGCCCGGCTCTGATATTCGGCTTCTGGTCCTCTCCGGATGGCCAAAGACAGAAGACCGCGCTTCAGGCTTCTTGTATACTGATATCGGCCCACCCGAGGTTGACCTGCGCTTCCTTTCCGAGTGGGCAATACAGCAATTGGAACCCGGAGAGTTACTGAGGGTTAATGATCAATCCTGCCGAAAGATGATCGATACTTTAGCCACTTCCAAGCAGAGGCAAGTCGACTCGTGGCTCCGGACAGCTCCATCTCTCTGATAATGAATTTAGCTTCCTCTGGGTGTCAAGTCAGCTACAACACTTGCAGCATGTAACTCAAGCCTATGTGCTAGACCAAAAACTCCAGAATTTTCCCTCCACGGTCTCAGAGACATATGCAACGATTCTAGCCCGAGCTGACCGATCGAGCCTTATCGCCGACAATTACCCAACATGTCAACTTACTCCCGTCTTGCTGCTGAGATTTAGCCTTCTATGGCTTCTACATCTATCTGAAATCGAATCGAGAGCCGGAGACATACCATGCCACTTCTCAATTGAGAGTCTGTGCGAAGCCTTATCCCTTCTCTGCTCGCCAGATGGTGTGGATTTGTCAGACATACGGATGATTGACCCGAAAGAGCTCATATCACTCCTTGGATGTATGGTTGACTACGACTCGGAAACTGTCACACTATCCCATTCGACCGTCCTTGACTTTCTCAGCAACAAGGTATGGGACAAGTACGGCGATATAGCCAAGGACGGCTTACGAGAAGCCAGCACCAGTCTCGGAACTATCATGCTTCGTTATCTCAACCTCAAAAATTTCAACCGACCGAGTTCCGAGTTCGAAATACAGAAACAATACATCCTCAACAGACGGCAAAGACACCCTTTCTACGCACTCGCGGCTGCCTGGTGGCCCACCGTTGTGCAGGAAATCTCAGACGACGCCTTGTGGGAACTCGCCGCGGTGCTCTTCGACAACCCGCGATCGAATCACTTCATACACTGGCTTCAAGAGCTCTGCTCACAATTGTTCCCATCGAGGTTCGGATTTGACGTATCCCCAGAACCCTTTCTGAGGATACGAAATCTGCTCCTAAAGGGGGAAGATCTATCAGTACACATCGCCGCGGCCTTGGGGGTCCCGCAGCTGTGCTCACGTCTGATCAAAATGGGACGGAGTCTGAATAAAGTCGCTGGCGATACATTGATAGATGGACCGCCGATCTATTATGCCATTATGGGGCCCAAAATCTTCACTATGTCCCGGACCAGCTCTGGGGTCAGCCTGTTACCTGCCGAGGAACATGAATTCTGGGGGCCTGCCCGAGTCAGAACGATCGAAATGCTCATGGCGCATGGTCCGGCTATGAATCCGTTCAAGAGCGAAAGAGGCGACAGTGTCTCGTTGACGGCCAGTGCTCTGCTCACTTCGTTTGCAACTTGGGACGCTGAAATATTCATCAAGACAGCGAATGGTCTGCCTCCTGATCAGGACTGCCTAGAGGTCCTCAGAATGTTGAAACGCGATGAGTGGACCATGGTACAAATCATGCCGCGCCACAGAACCTTTCTCAACCGTGTCTGTGAGTACATCATAGACTCCATATCCCATATGTTTGTGAACCCCACGTCAGATCGCCATGAAAAATGCGACTGGTTGCCGAGTCGCTTCACGCAGGAGGAGACTCTGGGCTTCACCTTTGAGATTGCAGAAGAACTGGGTCTTGACTGTGTCGACCCGAACTGCAGGAGGTCACTCCCCCACGATGACAAGCTATACTACTCCTATGTTGATCAGTTCATGCGCGACTTTGAACCAGCCCTCTTGCAATGGCTGATGCAGGATCCCCGGTGGGACCCTAACAAACAGCTGGACTCGGAAGGCGATTCCGAGTCAAGCGGGCAAACAGCCCTACATATAGCAGTGGAAGACAGAGCCACGGATATAATCAAGCGACTGTTTCAACGAGGATCCCGTCCCGATGTTCGTGACGCTCAAGGGCGCACGCCGCTGATGTTGGTCGAGACCCCAGAGCACCTACGGCTGCTACTAGACCATGGCGCAGACGTCACAGCTACAGATGACAGCGGTCGATGCATCTGGCATTTTGCGGCAGCAAATAATGACGCTGACCTGCTTAACGCGTTAATCGCGTCTGGGGACGACAAGGAAGTAGCTCTGAGGCGTGTGACGAAGCAAGGGCGCACGCCACTGGCTGAGGCGTTCATGTATGTGCGGGAGCTGCTCAGCATCGTTGCCCGCTCCCACGAGAATCCGGATGCGGCCCAGCTCCTACTGCCGCTATGTGACGGGGACGAGGCGTACTTCAAGAGCGATGTGCCTGTCACCCACCTCGCGGCGGAGTGGGCTTCCTTGAGCCTGTTGACGCGGCTCATGCGAACCAAAGGCGTCGACTTCAGCAGTACCACGGAAGATGGCTCGACGCCAATGCACTATCTGAACTTCGGCGCAACCCTGGAGTTCGTGCAAAAGCTCAGAGAGGCTTGTGGCGACAACGCCGATGCTCAACGCAAGGACGGCAAGACTCCTGCCGAGACGATCTTTCTCTCCTTCAAAGACTCCGACCCCGACCCGGACATGCGCATCCGCCATCCGGCGTATTCGAAAGAGATCGATCCCACTGTGTACAACGCGCTTCTGACGGCAGAGGTACTGGCATCACGCGATGCCGAATCGCGAACGCTGTGGGAGCGCTTCTGCAAGGATGTGGTGGTGGACTACATCAGCAAAGGGCCACGCCTGAGCATGGCAGTAGTGCAGGGGCCTATCGCGACAGCAGTCCTTTCGCTCGTAGACAAGGGCGCTCTTGCGGAATACGAAACGCAGCACAAGTCTTCTGGTTTCACGGTACTGGTGAGGGATACTTGGGACAAGGACGGTAGTCAGAGCTCTGGGCCTTCCGCGTTCTCAATCGAATTCCCGCCAATACCATACATAATGGGTCGCTTGTACACGCACGTGCTTAAAGCGACCCAGTACATGGGAGACATCGCCAAGGACAAGAGCACCCTGCTGATCTTCTGCTGGGCGGCGAGGCACGGCTTCATGAATCTCATCGACCTCATGGTCGAAAAGGGCGTCTCGCCTGTCGAGGAAGTCAAGGGAATGTGCGCGCTCGAGGAAGCGGTGCTCTCGCCCGTGGGCAATGCGGATGCACTCACCCTAATACTCACCGCCATCGACAAGTCCCAGCTCAACGCCAAAAGCTCTCGCGGGACAACGCCCCTGCTCCAGCTCTGCACAACGACACACACGGGCAGGCCGAGGGTCGCCCTACGCGAAGAAAGGATGACACTTCTCCTGCGCGCCGGCGCCGACCCTCACATGCGCACGGCGGACGGCGTGCCGGCCGTGGTGCTAGCCATCACGGAGGAGCAGTTCGAGTGCGCACGGTTGCTGATAGAGGCGGGCGCCGACATCCGGGCCAAGACGCCGTTGGGCATGGACTCGGCGCTCGCGGCCGCCTACCGGGGCAACATGCGCCTGCTCGAGATGCTCGAGCAGCTCAGCAGGAGCGGCGACGCCGACAAGCAGGTCGATTTCGCGGCGCGGTGCTCGCGTCCGTACGTGGAGGACGGCAAGCACACGAAGCAGATGCTGGCGGGCTGCAACGCGCTGCACGTCGCGGCGCTGTACCAGCAGACCCACGTGGCCAGCTTCTACCTGGACAGGGGGTACTTGGGCGTGAACGACACGCAGTCGGACCGCGGGCTGACGGCGCTGCACCTGGCGGCTATGTGCGGGGACGTCAACGGGATCCGGCGGCTCGCGGGGCGGGGCGCCGACATCGAGGCGCGGGACGTCGAAGGGTGCAGGCCGTTGCACCACGCCGTGCACCGTGCGCACACGGCGACGCTGAGGGCGCTGCTCGAGCTCGGTTGCGAGCGCTCGCCGCGGGACAACTGTGGTGTGACGCCGCTCATCCTGGCGATCCAGCTGTATGTCCAGCCGGCCATCGCCCTGCTTACGGAGACTGACGCGGACATGACTGTTGCCGCCGACATTGATGGCGAGAAGGACGTCTCTCGGATGATCACCCTGCCAGCACCAGCTAGTGAGCGGCAGGCACGCGCTGTTAGCAGGCGCCATAGCTCAGATACCAAGCAGCCCCAGAGGGGATGGTCGCGTAAGGGCCTGCAGGCCATGGCAGAGGCGATGGAGATGGCCCTGAGCAACCAGAACGTCGACATGTGCCGCTCCGTGCTCAACAGCGGGTGCCCCGTCGATATTCTGCTGCCACCGTGCCGCAACTGCACGCCGCTCATGCTGGCGATGCGCATGGGCGCCGTGCACCTGGTCCAGGTGCTACTCGAGCGCGGGGCGGAGCTGCGGGCTGGCCACTGCGCGTGGCACTACCCGGCGGGTTACAACCCCGTCGGAGGGGCGTGTCGGGCGGAGCGGCTGCTGCCCTGCCTGCGACCGGTGCTGGACAGGGCACTGAGCCGCGGCCACAACTGGCTGGGCTCGCCCGTGACGCCGCTGCACGTGGTGGCCGGGACGGGTGGGCTCGAGGCGATGCAGGTGCTGCTGGAGCATATCACTGAGCATGTGGACAAGTATAGGTGAGGTTGTCTCTCTCTCTTAGATGGATGCTAGCCGGATGGCTAAAAGCTACGTGGGCTAACGAAAACACTTTTTAATAGAGCGTGGCTACCAGCAGACCTTGAGGTGCCGATGCCGCCCGAGGAAGCCGGGTCGCGGGGCGTGCACGCAGTCGTCCGGGTCATCGTCAACCTACGCTCCGGAGTGGCCTTCCGGAAGTCGTCCTACGACGACGCCGGGTCAACGCCCCTGCGCATTGCCGCGGGCTACGGCGCGACGCCAGCCATGGTGAACCTCCTGCTCGACTATGGCGCCGACCCAAACATACCCGACTTTTGTCTCGACTACCCGCTGCACAACGCCATAAGCAACGGCCTTGCCGGCACGGTCAAGGTGCTGCTCGAGCGGGGCGCGTTCCCGGACGCGCGCGACAACAATGCGTACACGCCGCTGATGTTAGCCTGCTGCGACCCTTTCACGCAGCAGGACCGCGCCAATTACCCCCCGTGGCGCAGCGACGCCGTGGCCACGGTGCGCATCCTCATCGAACACGGCGCAGACCCGCGCGTGCGCGACGTCGACGGCTCGAGCCTGCTCAACCTGGCCGCCAAGCAGGGGCGCAACCCGGCCGTGTTTGACTACCTCGTGCGCACGACGGGCCTGGATCCCTTCCTGCGGGACAAGACGTGCTACGCGCCGCTGCACGACGCCGTCCTCAACCGCGCGTACACGTCGTACGTGCTGTCGGGCGCGTACGACCTGCGCCGGCTCGCGGCCGAGGAGGACCTTCCCAAGGGCCTGTTCGCCATCGCCGCCGACGACAACGACCATATCCTGCCGCGGCTGCTGCGCCGGTGGCCGCGCGAGTTCCTGGGCGGGTACGTCGGGCGCGTGCAGGGGCGGTACGTCAGCGCGCTGTGCAATGCGGCGGCGAGGGGCCACGAGAGGGCCGCGGCGGCGCTGCTCGACTGGGGAGGGGCGGACATGGAGCTCGAGGGCGCGCCGGAGGGGACGGCGCTGATGACGGCGTGCGTGTACGGCCGGCTCGGCGTGGCGAGGATGCTGGTGCGGAGGGGTGCGGCCGTAAGCTACCGCCGCCGCCGCCGGCGCCACGCCCACCCCGGGAGTGAGGGGCTGGGAGGAGATGGTCAAGGGGAGTGGGAGACCAGGAGTGCGCTGGCGGTCGCGACGCCGAAGATTCGGCGGTGGATCCTGGTGGGGCAGTTCACGGAGCGGCCGAGGCGGGTGGGGTACCGCGCCCGGGACGGAGGGGCAACTCCGGACGCGGCGGTTACGGAGGAGGAAGGATTCAAGCCCTGGTCGGGGGTGCGGGAGGTTGCAGTCTTGTTCACGGGGTCTGGGCAGTTCTACGGGCGGACGGCGGGGGAGTCGCTGCTCGGCTTTGTCAAGCGATGCGCGCGGATCCGGAGGGAGTTCCGGGGCCAGGTCGTGGTGCCGTACGACCACGAGGGCGAGGGGGAGGGGAGGACGGCATCGTCATAGAGGATTTGGAATTCTTGGTACGTAGATTATGATTGTTCTCCTTGCCTTTTTTTTCTCTCTTTTCTTTCTTTTCCTTGTCTGTTCTTCTTTTCGGTTTCTACGACATGATGAGATGACGACATTGAGGCGCCTGGCTAGGGAGAGGGGATGATCATAGATGGATGTCACGATGGACTACCGGGTCTGTAGGTTGATCGCGGCAACGGGAGAGCATTTGACAATATCATTGTGTCTTTTTCTTTGCTTCTTTCATGCAGTGCCACGCCTCAGAGGTGTGGCCGACGTCCCGGTGATACTGCGGGAGCTTATGTCAGAGGGTCGGTCGGAGAAGGTTGACACGCTACACGAGTGATAAGCAAGCGACAGTTCCTCATTTGGATGCATTGACAAGGCCACGCTCGGCAAGAATACCCACAGGTCACCCGCTTGAGGTGACCTGCCGTCGTCCATACTGCACGGCATCGTCACCGAGGGCAGATGTCGTCAGAGAGCCTCACCCGCTCGACGGAAAGGGTAGCATCCGGCCGCCCTGTCCACAGTTGCAACACAACCCTTTGGGGGCGTGCGGCGGCGGGTCACGCGATGGCCCGATGACGGTTAGAGCGCTTCTCTTCCGTCTCGATCGGGCAGACGAACGGACGATGCGGCCCGGACAGGGAATGTTCCCCCAAGGTGAACCAACCGGCCGGCGGCAGCAGGTGGACAGAAAACAGGGAACGTTGTAGTTTCTGTTACGTACTGGATGACGGTTGCTACCCTTTTGTTTTGAACTTTGAAAAGGATCGACTGGATGAGGCTATTCGCGGGCGGATTCGAAGGTCCTCCAATGACGTACGTACCTGGGTAGGGGGACCGAACCAAAAGGCGCCTGTGACGCCCGAAAAGAGGGTGCGATCGCCCTGCATCGCCCAGTAGCATCGGTGCGTCAGTCAGTCGGGGGATTTCGGGGGGGTCTCAGGCGGCCCTAGGGAGGGTTGGGAGGGCTACAGGGGGTGGTGTGGCCTGGAAAGAGGACGGGCTAGCCCTGAATGGCGCTGTAAAATGCGGAAGGCCAAGGCCCTAGAGAACCTGAATGTGGTGTGCCTGGAGGACCTAACACGAGATACCTTTCGGACCGACAGTCCGCAGCAAACTTGCTACTCAGCGGAGTCGGACGTGGGTGTACCTCTGTTTGTCGGCTCAAGCACGCGACCTTTGCCACCGCCTTTCTGACGATTTATTATGCGTCTACTTGAAGGCATGTACTGTCCAGCCGCCATAGCTGTGGAGGAGAGAGCCGGCGCGCCGCTAGTCAGAAGAGACGCCCAGAGCCGACGAATTGCTGGCCAGCCAACGAGGAGCGCCGGCAGAGGCCGCGATGTGTCAGACTGGCTCCATTTTCAGTCAGGCAAATGCATAACAGAAATCGACACGGGCCAATCAGGCCCGTCAGATAACATGCGTCCTGGTTGGTCGGGATCTGAAGGCCTCTGGATTGGTCCCGGCGTCGGCTGCCCACTCTTTCGCCAGTCACGATGCGTCGAAAAGCCCTTCATGTCCCCATGGCGGACAGGCCTAGCCTCCCCAACGAGAAGTGGACTGACTCCTTATTATGAAAAGATTAATCGAAGCTGCGTCGGGTCAAAGGGCGAGAGAGAGAGAGAGAGAGAGACGTGGATTCTGCGTGTCGGAAAAGGCCTAACCCGCATATTGCCTATCAGACCAACAGATTCCTCTGCGCACTCCCATCTTGACACAATCGAATTGAATACCTCTTACATGATGATCCCTCAGGGCCGGGGCTGATTTGCTGGACGGGGTCACTTTTGTGTGCGGACAATGTGCCGCGCGCCCGGCCTGCATGTACGGAGTCTCAGTCTACGGAAAACATCCACGAAGGAGAGGCTACGTGCATGTTGGGCGTTGATTCTTCAGGGTCCAGTGTAGTCTCCGCCGTGCGTCTTGAAACTTCGGAATGGCCTTGCAAAAGAAGCAGATGCTTCAGTCCTTGGTTTGCAAAGGACCCGTCCGTCTCCGCGTCACCCCACTTAGACACCCCCCCTGCCCAGACACCACTCTTCATGCGTGTGAGGACTAAACAGGAGACTTGATGATGACGATGTACGCGGTAGTGCACAGAAAAGTGACTTACGGTAGGGATGGTAGGGAACGGGTGTTCAATATCATGTGCCGACGGGCGGCCTCGGCGATGCGGCAATGGCCACACCGACAGATCGCATGTTTGCTCCCGTACGAGTAGGTAGTGAAGTGTAGCTTCCCTCGACTGCTTCAGTGGCTGTTTGCCTCGTAACTTTTCTCCAATATCAAGCAAGATGTGTACGGGCAAAAAAAGAGATCCCACTAGGTAGGTATCTGACCTCGCTCTACCCCATATTTTGCGTGGCTGGCCCGGGCCTGGTTGGCTGAGGAGCCGGTATTGCTATTCTAGGGCTGGCTGAGTCGCCGCCTTGCGTTCGCCCAGCTCGAGGTACCGTACCTATTGTCCAGTGAGTAGAGTTCCGAGGTGCTGGGTCCACTAAAAGCTCCTCGTTATGACTACCGGGAATTACGAGATCACAGGGCCAGGCGTGGCTGTGGTTGGGCACGCGAGTCAATCGATTGCACCCAACTCTGTATCGTGAGGGAACCCACAGCGAGCCAGGCGACCGTGTACTTGGCAAAGTACCTAGTTGAACCCTGACTTTTCAAAAAAGGTACCTGACCCGTAGTTCCCCGATCAAGGGCATGTACCTTGCATTTGCTCTGCTTTCGCATTTTGTTCCCGCCGTTGGGATGAGTCTTTTGCGTTGTCTACCCCCTGGCTCGCTGCACATGCCGTGTCAGGGACTACAGAAGCAGAGGAGATGAGGGATAAAAGAAAGATAACTCTGCTGCGGGATATTCAATCCAAAACAGGGACGGAGAGCCAACGGGGATTCAAAGCCGAGCAAAGGGTGCATATTATCCCTCAAGGGTAGGTAGGCATATATGAAAGCTGCAAAAAGGGCATCCTCAAGGTGAAGTATTCGAGATGCCGATTCCCAGCATCTCAGGTACATGGCCGGGGAGACTTACTGCGGCCCTGTGGGTGACGGAAGACATGCCCCAGAAAAAAAGGTACTTGTACATGGCTCCCAGCACAGAACAAAGGAATCCCAGGTGGAAGAAGGTCTGGAATCCCTGCCCGTAAACGACGGAGGTACCTAACTACGGTACAAGGGGTCCCCACCTTGGGTCAAGAACCGGTTCTTTTCAGATGCCTCGAAGAGTCAACCGAGTGACGGAACCGTTTCTCTTGTCGGGGCCACGGTTCTGCCCTAGAGTTGACTTGACAATCGTCGGTACCTGGCCAGAGGTATCTTTTGGCGAGTACAATTGAACAAAAAGCCTCGTCTCTGCCGACTCGTGAAAACCCGTTTCCTCCTTTCCCTTTCCCCAGCATCCTCCAAACTTCCCCAGATTTCCTCTGGATATCTAAAAAAACTCGTTTTTGTTTTTCAGTGTTTTATCTGTTCACAGAAAAGAAAAAGAAGAAGATCAAACCTCTTCACGGCAATCCTCTTTTTGTTCCTTTTTCCAGTTACACACACACACAACCACAGTCATGGTGAGTCTCACATCGCAGCCCCGCCATCCCGCCATCCCACCAAACAACACGAGCCTCACGGAACCGCATTCGGCTTCACACAACGGCCTGTGTGATTGAGGATGCAAAAGAATATCGAGAATATAATTGCTATCGAGAACAATATACTAATCATAATGTTTCTCAACAGGCGTCAGAACACCAATCCAATACCGCAACTGTAAGCCAGCCAATCATCCAGTCGAGTCACCACTTACACCAAAGAGCCGCATGCAATCACCATGCACACACACACACCCACACACACATGCATACATTTGAACACACACACAAAACAAGCCATGTTGCTAACACAACCCCTTCACCACACAGCTGCGGAAATACATGGACCTGGACCAGAAGGGCCAGATCATGGCCGAGTACATCTGGGTGGACGCCGAGGGCGGCACCCGCTCCAAGTCGCGCACCCTGGCCCACAAGGACGGCGGCTACAGCCCCAAGGACCTGCCCATCTGGAACTTTGACGGCTCCTCGACGGGGCAGGCCCCCGGCGACAACTCGGACGTCTACCTGCGGCCCGTCGCCGTCTTCCCGGACCCCTTCCGCACCGCCGGCGGCGAGAACATCCTCGTGCTCTGCGAGACCTGGATGAACGACGGGACCCCCAACAAGTTCAACCACCGCCACGAGGCCGCCCGCCTCATGGAGCAGCACGCCGCCCAGGAGCCCTGGTTCGGCCTCGAGCAGGAGTACACCCTGCTCGACATGGACAACAAGCCCTGGGGCTGGCCCAAGGGCGGCTTCCCCGCCCCGCAGGGCCCCTACTACTGCGGCGTCGGCACCGGCAAGGTCGTCCAGCGCGACATCGTCGAGGCCCACTACAAGGCCTGCCTCTACGCCGGCATCAAGATCAGCGGCACCAACGCCGAGGTCATGCCCGCCCAGTGGGAGTTCCAGGTCGGCCCCTGCGTCGGCATCGAGATGGGCGACCACCTCTGGGTCGCCCGCTTCCTGCTGCACCGCGTCGCCGAGGAGTTTGGCGCCAAGGTCTCCTTCGACCCCAAGCCCATCCCGGGCGACTGGAACGGCGCCGGCCTGCACTCCAACTTCAGCACCAAGGAGATGCGCGTCGAGGGCGGCATGAAGGCCATCGAGGCCGCCATCAAGAAGCTCGAGGGCCGCCACGCCGAGCACATTGCCGTCTACGGCGAGGGCAACGAGAAGCGTGAGTTCATCATCATATATTTTCAACTCTTGTGCTTTTGCAATCTTACTGACAGAATTCTCAGGCTTGACCGGCAGGCATGAGACTGGCTCCATCGACGCCTTCTCCTACGGTGTCGCCAACCGCGGCGCCTCCATCAGGATACCTCGCGAGTGCGCCGCCAAGGGCTACGGCTACTTTGAGGACCGCCGGCCCGCCTCCAGTAAGCACCAGCACCCTTCCTTTCCACCGCCAATTCATTTCCCAGACAGAAACACTAACCTTCCTCCCTTCAACAGACGCCGATCCTTACCAGATCACCGGCATCATCATGGAGACTTGCTTCGGCTCCGTCGAGTAAAGGACTTCATTCTGCATTGGGTGTGGTGTACAGGTGTTTTGATTTTTTCACAAATTGCTTTTTTCCATATGGGAGAGATAGAAGAAGAGAGATTGGTGCGAGGAAGACAATCATTACGATTTGGGAGAGATGGAAGCGTGAACCTGGTCTAGTGTAGACCTTGCTTTCGCCTTTCGTGCTTACACAAACGCACACACACACACAACCCACCCCTGGTCTTCGGGGTCCGGAAAATGGGATGCTCAATTCCCTTCCTTTTCGCGGAACTTATCGGGTTTATTAATCGGGGGACTATCATAAGGATCTAGATACGATATTATCATCTTAGATATTATCGCAACGTCACGTTTCATCGTCGGGTCGTGGTGCCGCCTCCTGCTCCGCGCAACTCCCTCCGAGGGTCGTGCATCGAGAGGCGTGCTGCTTGTTGCTGTCGGTCCTGCTTTCACACGTAAGGCCTAGCACCCTTCCCCTTTTTCACACCTACAGCATCATCGTCATCGTCATTATCATCATACAGCAACAAAGACATGCCATCGCCACCATACGGCCTCCCACCAGGTCCGGCGATGGCCTTCCTTCCTTTCTACACACCCCGCCAACATAAACCTCTACGTCGAGGAACAGGTTCTGTCGACCTGCCTCGCGCTGTATCATCACCAACTCAGAGCATGATATACACCTTAGCTAGTTAGCTGTGTGCAATAGATCACTTTTGAAATGTTCAAAACACTGGCTCTGGGTCTGCCTTGCGAGATCTCTTCCGCCCTTGCCCTGACGTGACCCGATCTAGCAATGTAGCACGACTTGCAGTGCTTGAGCGAAGACACCGTCCGTACTTGCCTCCTGACCAAGGTTCACTGGCACATCTTCTCTGCCACATGCTTTGTGGACTGCCCCAGGCCAGGAAGGAGTGGTGCATCACAACGGTCTAGAGAATCCGCCGGTTCCTTACCAGGCGCCGTCCATCTTCCCCACATGACAAATCAACGAGCCAAATTCGCATCGAAACACATCCATTCGTTATCGTCCACCGTCAGGGCAGCCCTCAGCAGCATCGATCTCCGTCCCCAACCAAATACCATCGCCATCAATCAGACCTCAACAAGACCCATACCAAGATGGTCCAGCCGACGCAGCCGCGGCCGCCGCGCTCCCTGGGCATCCACCTCCTCACCCTCTCCCTCGCCGCCGCCCTCCCGCTGCTCCGCGCCGCCCTGCCCTCCCCCTGGCGAGAGCTCCCCTGGGTCGTCGGGCTCGCCATGCTCGCCACGTGCATCCGCGTCGCCCCCCACCACACGCCGGACCAGGCCGACCTGCTCGCCGCGGAGCTCGTGCTCACCTAGGAGGGCCGCGGCCGCACCATCGTCCCGACCAGCGTCCACCTGGTGACGTCGCAGCTGTGCTACGACGCCCTCTTCCTGATCATCGCGGGCTACGCCCTGGGCTGGCTGGTGCACGTCCAGCTGTGGCTCGCGGGCGCGGCGTGGCACCACCTCCTCCTGCCGGGCGGGAGCCCGGCGACGGCGCCGCGGTTCTGGGACATCGCGGACGCGGACGTGGTCGCGCTGCATTGCCTTCTGGCGCTGTGGTGGTTCGGGTAGTTTGCTGACGGGTTGGATGAGTTTTCTATGGGACCGTGTCACTGGTTGCACATTCATTTCAACCTATGTGCAGAAGGAAGAATGGTGGCGGCTGACGAGCGACGATGGGAATAGGGCTAGGTTCTGCTGAGAGAAGGGTGCGTTGGATAGTGGAAACAAAGGAGAATGTTGGCTGGAGTCGAGGTCAGGCTTCCATCGAGTTCGAGCACGGGTAGCTGCAGCGGGAGAAGGGCGATCTCAGCGACTCTATTTCTGGGCACGACTACTGGGTTAACTATTGTATTAGCTATAGCTAAAGTCATCATCATTTGCATCAGGCAAACGCAGCGTCAAGGCTAGTAGCAATGAGAAGAAGCGTTCTTCGTAGGGTCATGGCACAAGTCCAAGGAATCTCGGGTGTATTCAAGTTCTGTCTGAGAACGAGGGGACTGGTTCCTATCCTGGTCGGCCGAGCTTAAACTCCAAAGTGACGGAGAACTCCATACAACGACCATCCAAGCCACCTGCACATCTGCAAGCCGTTGCCAACTACTGTTTACTATGCAAAGGTCTTAGTTGTTTGATGGAAACGGAGAAGCAGGTATGCTAATAGTAGAAAAGGGGAGGCTTACCTGACAGCACTTGATAAAGAAACAAATTAGTATTCTGCAAAGTGTCATTGTAATTAACCACATCATAAGGTAGACTTACGTCGAACTACACCAAAGATGTTAGCAACGAAACCCTCTCCGTGGAACATGTGTAGGATCAAACTTACAGTGCAAGATTCCGCAGACGAGCAACCGCAATGCGTACAATCAACTCGGGCCTCGAGGTTGTCGACGGCAGCTGGGCCAGCCAAGGCCCATCCGGCCAGAAGGGTCATAAATGCGAGCGAGAACTTCATTTTGATTGAGAAAATCTGGCGTTTGCGAACTCAGAGACACGAGTATGTTGCGGTTTAGTGATTTCAACGCATTTCGGTTATGAATGGGGGTATCTTGCTCCTTTAAATAGCTGTTTGAAGTCCGTCCTCCAACTCATCTCTCTACTGCGGGCTTGTCGTGGGAATAACACCGGCATCAGATCCGGCATTCGTTTCACAGAGTGTGGTAGCACTTGAGCGATTTGTTCATGATTTGCTGGGCGCTGAGTAAATTTCGCAATAATGGACGATGTTATGCATGGAGTATGGTCAGCATGCTACACTTCGCGGTGGAATAGGTGAGTACCAACCGCACTTCTTGCAGATTTAGCATCAGGCTCTCAGTCAGCATCTATAGGTTGAGCCTGGATCAACGACTTGCACCTTGATTTTATTGATCAGTAAATGCGGCTCTGACATGACGGAGCCCTCTTTAAAACCAAGTGATTTCTGACAAAGCCTGGTCAAGCATCACTTGAGCGTTCGGTAATTCGTAAATCCTGCACGGACAGTAACATTGGGGTCGATAAAGAGATGTGGGCTTATGCGTATCCGACCAAGGAGCAGTGGGCTGGCCAGTATGATGTCACATGTATGATTCATAATGGTAAACCCCGGAGTGAAACAAGTCATACATGCCTCACTTATAGAGAGTGATTGATCTATCTGTTAGCCCAAGGCTCTGCCTCCGCTTCTTTAGAAAGTCTATTATTACCGACAAATCAACTACCTCGGAGGAACACTTACCGTCCAGGTGAAAATAGTTGATAGCAATGGTCTAGGATAGACTAGTATCAAACTTCGATCCTTTACGTGGAGCATACTCACCACAACGAACACGTTCGCATCCATACAAGACATGAAGCTGTGGACATAGGGAACCCTCAGGATTATCTGCATGTGCTGCCTGCGCTTACTTCCAATTCCGCGCCGTATTCAGCCCTCTGTGCTTTTCCTTGTCTACCTAATCAATTCTATTACCTGAGGCCTGCACCAGCCGGATCTCATCTAAGGTCTGGTTTTGGCAGGTTCTGCTAGTGCACATCTTGCTTTGGTGCAAGTGTGGCGAAATCGGAAAGGACATCTGCTGGGGATAAGACTAGCTATTACATGTAGTTCACCATAAGGCCACGGCGAATGAGATGGTTGAAATCAGTCAAGTCCATCAGCGTTACCAAGGTCTGCGGCGACGCAGGATCTTTCCCGATTTGTCAAGCCAGAAAGATGGCATCCACCGCCTCGACCCAGCACCGGCGGAAAGTAGGCACGGCAGAAAGACCAGATGTTCATTAAATAGCCAGGAATGGCCATCCTTGATGGACTGTGAGCCTTATCCATTCTAACCAAGGACCACCGAGTAGGCCGCCGTGAACAGCGCCAGAAGGAGGGACTTCAGGCGAGGGCATCGATTACCACCCATTGTACAGCTCGAGGGCCAAGACTCTGACCGAATTAATGAACCTGTCGATATTTCTTTCGGTAATGCACCGAAACCTCGCCTCTTTGCTGGTGGTCCTGGCAGCTTCTTTCCCTGGACAGGCCTCCGAGATCCCGCCTCTTACGGGCAGCTATAATGTCGGAGCGAGCAAGCATGTCATAGACTTTTACAATCCCAAAGATCCATTCGCGCCGCACAACATCAGCACCGGGTTCATGGCGACACTATTCTATCCGACACTTCAGCGGCCCTGCAGCTCTTGCAGACCTTACCTACAGCCCGAGACGGCGGGCCTCATGGAAAAAGCTTGGAACTTCACTCAGGGCACTCTTGCTGCCATGACCACCGCACACGTCCAATGGGATGCGCCATGGCTCCCGCTGAAGGAGACGCGGTTGCCAATGCCGACGCTCGTTTTTGGCCCTGGCGGCGGCGGCCCTCCGGTCGAATGCTACACCATGATACTCACGGAGCTGGCATCTCGCGGGTACATCGTCGCAGGCCTCGACCACCCCTTCGAGCAGCCCTTCATCCGTTGGCCCAACGGCACCGGCCAGTACGGCCTTCCTGCAGACTACGATGGGATCGATGAAAGGTTGTACGGTATCATGCACGATATGCGCGTGAACGAGACCTTGCGGTTCGTCGAGGCCTGGCCCGAGTTGGCCCGCAGTCTCGGCGTCCCGCACGCCAATCACGCGGGATTCCTGGAGAGCACGGCCGTGGGTGTCTTTGGCCATTCGCTCGGGGGTGCGGCGGCCATAGGCGCCGCCGCGCGGGCGTCTCACCAGGTCATCGCGTCGGCGCTTAGCTTGGACGGGGGTGTGTTGAACAAGACCGATTTGGCGCGGCCGGTTATGAACCTGGGCCAGCAGGCGACCGTGGACCCTTCTTTCAACCCGGAGTGGACTGAGTTTGCGCGCCTGCAGACGGGCTGGATGCGTGCGTTCAGCGTCGAGGGGACGGAGCATCACGACTTTGACGACGGGGCCTTCTGGAAGCTGTCTGGCGGGACGAGCTTCGGGGCGATCGACGGGATGCGGCAGCTCGAGCTCATGAACACCTACCTGGCGACATTCTTCAACGAGACGATGGTGAGGGAGGGAGGTGGCCTGAAGGACTCGATTCTGGAGGAAGAGACGCCCGAATGGCCGGAGGTGCACATTGTCCAGAGAAACAGGTAATTAGGTGGCCAAGCGTGCGGTCCAGTTTGAAGAAGACCCCTGCCAAGAACGGGGAACTCAAGCATAAAATAGACCCCAGGCCGTTGGCCAGAGACAACGTTAGAGGGCAGTCGCCAGTGTAACTAACTGGTGAAGCGATGGCGCTCAAGGTGGTGGTGTCTGGCGGATTCATCAACCGAGCCGTGCCAGCGCGCGTTTCAGCATCTCAAATCTTGGTTTTCTTTCGCACGAGGCATCGGAGATGTGATATGCCTGAAGCCCGCCGTGTGCCGTAACGAGGTACCGCTGCAACACTGGCCATCTGGAAACCTGTTCTTGGGGGAGCAGAACCGATCTTCATTTGCTTGGAGGGCCGCATTAAAGTGGAAAGGCGTAAGCGGCGCCCCTTGTCTAGCGGTCTTGGCCCGGTGGGGGAGATGGTGAGATTCCAACTGTACGCACCCTCCGTGCCCTCGTAGTGTTTCAGAAGACGCCCTGCGCCGCACCGGCGTCCTCTCCGCATCACCGATGGACAAGCCTGGCACGGTGATTCGATTCGACGATGCGAGCCAGAAGTTCCACAGGTGAGGACGAAGAAGAGGGCGCTTGGGCCCCGAAGCGCAGGCACTTGCTATCACGGACTGTATGATCTGATGAGGGCCTGGCATTCTCCCACGGCTCCCCCAGTGCTTGCGTGCCTTTTGCATGGCTGAGATGTTAAAATAGCCCTACAGCCAATGCTTGTGGAGTGAGAGCCGCCAGGCCGAGAGTGGCTTAACTCGCCCCTGTCTATTTTCGACAACATCCATCTCGTGGACACTTTGTTGCTCGCGGACCATGGCCGATTCTGCCTGATTCGCCCAAACCCCGATGCCTACCTACGATTGGAAGACGTGGGCCGCTGGCTGCCGTGTATTACGTCTGCTTGCATTGTGAGTGGTGTCCAGATGGTGACCACCATCACTGATCCTTGCTGGGCCACCCCCTGGCACCAGAGCGGGTGTGGCTTGCTGCTCGGGAGCGAGAAACGCGCCCTGCAACGGCCCCCCGGGCGGGTGTAACTACAAGTCATTGTGCAGAGTACTTCTGTGTTGCGGATCGCCATGGCCATCGACCCAAGGACCCAGCAGACCGGGGTTCGAATCCTTCCACCCATCCTTCCCGGGGGGCTGGCAGACCCTCTGACCTCTGATTTTCCCTTTCTATCTACCCAATGCCGTTGTGTCAAACCCTCTTTCCCTTTCATCATCTTCAGAGCAAGCGAGAGCCCGCGAAAGCGCAGCACCCAATTCACACGATCCGGTCGTTGAGCATCACGGCCCCCCAGACACCCGATATTTGCGGAACGGCTGGCCTGAACAGTTCAATCGGGCGGGATCATCATCTCTAGGCGTGCCGGAAGCAGGGAATAAAGCGCGGCCTCGATCAATCGTGGAGGAGTATCGTCGGCATTTGTAATCGTTTCACCACACCCTTCGCGACGCCAAGATGAGCCAGGACTACTTTGACAACTGGTTCTGGACCTCCAAGAAGACAGACAATGTCTGCCCGGGCATGGGCACGGCCAAGTGCACGCCGCCCAACGCCTGCGCCCGCGACCCGAACACGGGCAAGGAGTACTGCTGCGACAAGCAGAGCAAAGGGGGCTCGGTGTGCTGGTCGCTGGCCGAGAAGTGCTCCAGCTCCGGAGGCACGATCAACTGTGGCACGGGGAACCAGCTCTACTGCTGTCTAGACAAGAGGTTCGTCGCCCAGACTCGTGTGTTTTTTTTTTCTTTCTTGGATTGGATCAAGTAAAAACTAACATGATCGGCCCTTTTCTTGCAGGGAACGTTGCAGCGAGACGCCAAACCAGACTGGCATCTGCTGGAACACGGCCGACGACACCCTCAACAACATCACCTACTCGGACCTGGACAGCGCCTTCTCGTCCGTCAGCTCCTCCAAGACGGCGGCCACCAGCTGGGCCTTTGACCCCGTCACGCTGCCGGGCTTCACGGCGCCCCCGGGGGCCTCGACGACGACGACCTCCGGCACCGGCGCCTCGACGTCCGGCCCCACGCAGACCTCGCAGACCTCCAGCCCGTCGCAAACCGGCGCCCCAGGCAGCGGGTCCTCAGCCTCCCTGTCCGGCGGCGCCATCGCGGGCATCGCCATCGGCTCCGTGGCGGGCGTCGTCATCCTCGGCCTGCTCGCCTGGTTCATGCGCCGGCGGCGCTCCTCCGGGGGGGCCAACGGCCGCCGCGGGGGGCCGGACAACCACATCGCCGCCTACTCCGAGATGGACGGCAAGTCCCCGCACGGCGGGGGCCACTCCCCCGCCACGACCGCGGCCTCGGCCTACCAGCCCGTGCCCGGCTACTCGCCGGGCGCTGTGCCGGCGGCGGCGGCGGCGGTGGGGCCGGGAGGAGGAGGCGAGTACTACAGCAAGAACGGCGGCTCGCCGCAGCCCGTGGAGATGCCGGCGCCCGACTCGAGGCTCGGGGCGCAGGAGCTGCCCGGGGACACGTCGACGTACGCGGGCAGCGTGGCGGGCGCTCACTCGGTGTCGAGCACGCCCCAGGCTGCGTATGCGCGGCCGCGGTAGAGCGGTTGCGTGGGCAGGGAGGGGGGTGTGGGTGGAAGAGAAAGATACCCGAGCTGGACACAAGAAGGGGGGAGGGGTGGAGTTTGATTAATTCTTCTGTGAGAGTGCTTATTTTGGAGACGGTACGGTGTGGTGAACGATCACGCAGTCGTTAAAAGTGAGCTGCCGTTTGTCATGACCCCGTGAATTGCAGGCAAATGAAGGTAGCATGTTTGTCTAGATCTTATATTTTCTATATACAAGTACATATTGGGCGTTATTTGCTGTTCCGTAGAATTTGCGTGTAGTGTGCACTGTCTCCGGAGCTCTTTGAGATCCAAACCTCCTGGCCTATATGATAGTCGAGGTTTGATCTGAATGCAGTGGAATAAAGTTTCGTATGCTGGTATGTTGATTCTGTCCTTATCATACATCATGCGTTGCTAAGAAAAGAAATCTCAAAGAGCGACGAATCTTCATCATCAGGCTCTCAAAGTTGAAGGACAGGCCGTTCGTCATCCATCGTACAAGGGTCATAACATTCGTCCAATGTCGCTTCTCATACCGTCCAGTCCCATCCGGATTGCATCTGTGTGCTCTTATCTCATCCAATTACTACTTCACTTCTTCCGCGACCCGTTGGTCAGGCGGTCCAGCGCCAGCCCGGCCAGCGTGCTCTGGGCGATGTGGCGCTTGCTCTTGCTCTTGTTCTTGCCGTCGCCCTCGCGCCGCCCGACGAGCACGTCCACGGCCGCCGCGCCCGCCGCGGCCGTCACGGCGCGCGCGACCCTCTCGCGGTCGCTCTTGGCCCTCGACGCCTCGATCATGCCCGCCGCCACGGCGGCCTTGACGGCCTGGCCCCAGTCCGGCCCGCCGGAGCTGGAGTGCCGCCTGCGCGCGGCGGCCGCGGCGGGCCTCCGCGGCGCGGTGGTGCTCCCGTGGTAGTCCGACGAGCGGCCCCTCCTGGCCCGGGGGTGCGGGGACTGTCTGTCGTAGTCGTCGTCGTAGAAGGAGTCGTTGTACGGCTGGCGGCGGGCCGTGGCCGCGCGTCCCCGTGGCCGCGGCGGAGGAGCGTAGCCGTCGTCGCTGTAGTCCGAGTCGTAGTCGTCCGACAGCGAGTCGTAGTCCGGGTCTGGGTGGTAGCCCTTGCGGGTGCGGCGAGGAGCGGGGTCTGGTCCGGCGGCCTTGGAGCGGGAGCGGGAGCGGGACCGGAATGCGTCGGCGATGTGGCCGCTTTCCAGGGCGGCGAGGAACTGCTCCGTCTTGGAGCGGCGCGGAGGGCCGGGGCGGTCGTCGCGGTAGGACATGCTTTGAGGAGGAGAATCTTACTTGCTAGCCTCGGAGATGGGCAAGTTTTGTTTAATGTGCTTGGAATGATCTTGTGGTAACGTGCCGGACCGTGAAGGTTTGGGACTAACACATCATCGTTCTCAACGTGGGACGTGGGATGGTAAGAATCCCTCACCCGGACGGGTTTCATCAGGCCGGAATGCCCTCTGGGTTTATCATGGAAAGCTTATGTCACACAAGGGAGCAGCCGTCATCACGGTTCTACTGGGCTTCTGTCCCCGGCCCATCAAGGAATATTCTGGGGGCGTTTTCTGGGCGTCTGTCACTCTGTCGAAGGGATGACGTCTGAGATGTTGAAGATCAGTTCGCTTCTCCTCCCAGAGTTCAGATGCCAGCATCCCAGCATCCCAGTGGTGGTGGTGCAGTGTCCGCAGCGCTGTAATGGAGGGCACCATGGCGCTGTCTGGGTTGTCACGGTGCCCTGTGGGAGTGGAGGAACAGCGCCCTCCAGGGCTCCAGGGCAGTAAAAGTGCAGTAAAACGGGAACCCGACGACCCGAACGACCTTCCAATGCTTGGGTTGTCACTGGGCCGGACATTAGCTCCGGTAGTTAGTTGGCGCGGTTTGGGCGGAAGATGGTGGGTTCGCCAAGGCTGTGCAGGGGGGCATTTCAGGCGGGGGCCAGCCAGTAAAAGCTCGCGCAATAAGGGTCCAGGCCTTTACGTCATTGTCCGCCATTCTGGCCGGCGCGAGACGCATCATCCGATGCTTGGATGCTGGCTGGATGCTGGCTGGACCCAGGCTGGCCCATTACGTTGGAACATGTTCACTATCACCAGTTTGCCCGTCTGCCAGCCCCAGCCAATCCCATTCCCATTGGACTCCCTTCCCCCCAGCTGGTCCGGCGTATCCATTTCTTGCTTTCCTCCACAAAATAAACCACGTCGGAGGCTCGCTCAGCCTTTCCCACCGATCCCGACTCTGCCGTCCATTGTACTTACAGCCCACGCACCCACGCCAACATAGCAAACAGGCCATTCTTCTTCTACTCGCCCGCCACTCGCTCGCTTCGCCCTCGCATACTCTTCTTGCGCTGCCATGTCGATGCAAGACACACACATCTCAGACTAGATGTCAACAGCTACACCAGCAACGGGCACGACCGACGCGATCGACTTCAATGCCTCGAATACCCTGAGACCACCGAGCAGGCCAGCCGACATGTCCAGTGCCGAGTCTGCCACCCTCGAGAAGCCGGATCACGATGGAACGTCGAACCAATCCTCCTCGAACCAATCCCAGACCGAAGACTATGCGTCGGTGGTGCAGGGAGCGGAACAGCCGGGCCTGCCGCGCCTCAACTACAACCTCAAGGACCACAAGAAGACACTCATCGTTGTCGTGAGCTTGCTCGTCATCGAGTCCAGCTTGCTGCCCGTCGCGCTCTTTTACGGCCTCTGGTTCTCCACGAGCCTCCGCCATGGCATCAGTAAGTCAAACACCATCAGATCAGGGAATCTCATGCCTGTCTCAAGATCTCAAGATCAGACACCGGAACCGCAGGCAAGGAACACAGACTAACCACCTGACGAAATCCAGCATTCGCCATCATCACCTCCTTCTTTGGCCTCATCACCGGCATCGAGTTTGCCCTCCGGTCCTACCGCCTCATCTGGCTCCCCAACCACCGCCCCATCGGCAGCAAGGTCTGGTGGCGCTTCGACTTCACCCACCTGACCCTCAGCACCGGCTACACGGTCATGACGGGCATCCTGATCGGCGCCTCCATCCCCCACGAGCCCTACGTCCGCATCCTCGCCACCCCGGTCTCCCTCTTCTTCATCCAGCTCGGCTTCCAGCTGCTCCTCACGGGCTACATGCACCACTTCAACAAGCCGACGCCCTTCCGGATCAGCTCGGTGCCCAAGGGCGACCGCACCCCGCCCCTCGTCTTCACCCTCGTCGAGGACATCGTGGGCGTCGACGGAGGCGCCGGACAGAGCTACAGGAAGCGGCTCATCGCGCGGTACGCCGTGAGCGCCAAGTTCCGCCTCATGATGGCCCAGATCAATTGGTTCTGGGGCATTGGCGCCATGCTGTGCGGCGTCGGGATCATGGTTGTGCTCTGGACGGTGCCGCAAGAGGTCGCGTACGGAGTTGGTTAGTCACCCTTACCCCTTTTGCTTTCTACGACGGTTCGACGACGAAACTCGATTCACTGACAAAACATATTCCACACACACATAGGCTGGGGCGTGCCGTTGGTTTTCGTCATCATCTGGACCGGCATCACGATCGTGTATACCCGGCGCTGCCTGCGGAAGGAGAAGGAGGCCTGGGGCATCGGGCACACGCCTGCCCTGGAGCCCGCGGCTGTCCGCGCTCTTGAGCGTGCGAGCCACGAAGCATAAAAAATAGAGGCGGATGAGGAACTTCTAGAAGAAGGAGGGGCTATTTCTCTCACGGCGAAAGGAGGGAAGTCAAGTGCGAGAAGATCAACAGGCTGGTCCGCACATGCCCGAGCCGGCCGAGGTATATGGACGTCGCAACGGCCCCATCTCCACGCCGCACCGGAGAGATGAGCCCGGACTGTGCGTAGGTGATCTATCTTCTGCTTGATTTTTATCCAAGCCGAAGTGTCTTTCTTCCTTCCCTGTCCAATGGTCCATGTCCACTGCAGATGGGACCGCATATTTTGAGAGTATGAGATGACGGTATGGACTTAGACGAGCATGGGAGCCGCTTTTCCTGTACGCAAAACGACTGAATATGATATCCATGGAGCGCGAACAAATACATTTCCTTATTCAATTAACTCTCTTGTTTAACTGACGGCAAGCACTAGACCTCCTCTAACATGGTCAATTGCATGCTCGATGACCGTGTCCTGAGGGATCTTCACCGGCCAAAGCTCGGCATCCAACGGCTAGGCCACATGTCAAAACCACATGTTTTAATGTCTCGGGGCACCCGTATTCACTCGGCGTAGCCATTGAGTGTTGCATGGCCTTGGGCTTTTAAGGTTCAATTCTCGCCGGAACTCTCGGGAGAAGCCGCATGGGCCCTGATGGGGAACTGGACGTTCGTTCTGCGCGGCTCTTATTTCCAAGATGTTGCAGCTTTCGACCCACTAAACAGCTCCATTATCACATGAAACAGAATGCACCATTGCTCAACGATGATGTCAATCGCTTGGGCGATACTATCGGGCTCCCAAAGTGAGATATAATTAGTCGGGCAAAAAGCTGTTTAATAGTTTATGAATTGACTGAAAACTTGCAAGATCTCTAGATTTCTGAGACGATATCAAGAACTGCAACTTGACCACCCGTTGAGACGTCTCGTAGCGATGCCTCAACAACAACAGCAGCAGCAGTCGTGGACTGCAAGCATTCTGAGCTTTCCTTTCATGGTGATCTTCCAGCTCATCCAATGGCTGGCCGACAAAATGTTGTCTCCGAACCCGCCGCAGCACAGCGCCCGCCTTGGCAGGCCCAAGGTCGCCATTATCGGCGCCGGCATCACGGGCGTGACGGCTGCCGCCCATTGCGTTGGCCACGGCTGCGATGTGGTCATCTTTGAGGCCGGCTCTAAGGAGAACCTCGGAGGGATATGGAGTGTAAGTCCTCCCAGCAAAGTTCTGTCTTCCCCTTGCTTCGCATGACTGACGACACGTCCTCGAAACAGAGAGTCAACAGCACCTCGGGCCTGCAGATCCACTCCCTCATGTACCGCTTCCACCCCTCGGTCCGCTGGTCCCAGGGCTACCCGGACAAGCAGCAGATCCTGAGCCAGGTGCGCCAGCTGTGGAAGCGCTACGACCTCGACGAGAAGACGCGCTTCGGCACCAAGGTCGACAAGGTCTACCAGGACGAGCAGGGGCGCTGGATCATCAACAACACGTCGCTGGGGCGGTTCGACGGCATCGTCGCCGCCATCGGCACCTGCGGCGACGCCAAGGTGCCGCACATCCCCGGCATGGAGAAGTTCAAGGGCACCATCTGCCACTCGAGCGAGCTGGCTGGGTAAGACAAAACTCCTCCTGACAAAAAAACCCTAACCGTATCATCTCGGCGACGCACAATTTGCTCACCACGCACACCCTCTCGCAGAAAGGACGCCGCGGGCAAGAAGATCGCCGTCATCGGCGGCGGCGCCAGCGCCGTCGAGGCCCTCGAGTTCGCCGACGCCGAGGGCGCCGCCAAGACGTACGTCCTCGCCCGCTCCGACAAGTGGATCATCCCGCGCAACGCCCTCGTCGACATCCTGCTGTCCTTCAACCTCCTCGGCCGCGAGACGGCCCTCTCGTGGATCCCCGAGGCGCTCATCCGCAGGCTCTTCTACCGCGACCTGCAGGGCATCGCGCCCGGCAAGAAGTCCGGCAGGGGCATCTTCACCGACACGCCCATGGTCAACTCGGACGTCATGGACAAGCTGCGCGCGGGCACGGCCGAGTGGGTCCGGTGCGACGTCGAGGGGTTCGCGGAGCGCGGCGTGGAGGTGAACAGGAGGGCCAGGGGCGTGCCGGCCGGCGGGCCCGGCAAGCACGAGGTCATCGAGGCGGACCTGGTCGTCATGGCCACGGGGTACAAGCGGCCGCAGCTGTCGTTCCTGCCGGAGGACTGCTTCGACGAGCCGTACGGCCCGCCCAACTGGTATCTCCAGACGTTCCCGCCGACGCACCCGTCCGTCTCTGCTATCAACTGGTGAGTTTCGTCCATTCTTTCTCTGCCCGCCACCCCTGATTTGTGTGAAACTCCTGGACACGCACGCTGACATCGACGACGCACACCAGCACCTACGTCTCCGCCATCGGCACCGTGGGCAACTGGCACATCGGCATCTACACGCGCATCCTGCTCATGTTCCTTCTCGACCCCCTGACCCGCCCCGCGCCCTTCTGGATGGAGCGCTGGATCGACATGACAAGGCTCCTCAAGGCGTCGTCCCCCACGGGCGCCTTCGACTTCTTCACCTACATCGAGCTGCTGTGGTGGTTCTGCTTCTGCGTCGCCTTCAACCCCTTCCGCTGGAAGTGGGCCGTCTTTGTCTTCTTCGGCGTCGGCTTCGCCCTGCCCAAGTGGATCACCGACACCGAGGCTTCCCTGAGGGGGGGTGAGCAGGGTGGGGAGGGGGAGGACTCGAGGAATGGGGCTGGGAGGGACGTCGGGACTAGTATCTGAGGATGCTGAGGGGTGAATCTCGACGGAGGTTCAGACTCAGAAACAGTCAGCATTCTTATGGTGACTTTGCAGAACCACACTCCTTCGACTGTTCTCGAGACCTACTCCCTGAATGTTATGACAAAAAGGGTCATTTTAAACTCAACGTTGGGGGAGAGGGAATTATCATGAGAACATTTGGGCATCAATCATCCTATCAACAGGTAGCCTTGGGCAGAGCGCCGCGACTCACTACAATGGCATATACTGACTGCATTGAATTGCAAACATCCGAGCCCTACGCGTGTTTCATCCACTCCAGTCACGCAAAACGGCCCTCAAAGTCCGAAGATACGGCATGTCCCGGTGCAATGTTAATGTTATCATATAAGGCTTCGATGTGGGCTCTGACATAATACCGCCTCGCTGGGTGCAGGCAATCTCGGTTCCAACGGGTTGAGTGGGCGTTTTCGTCCCTTGCTGTGCTGCCTCGTGTTAGGCTGCAGGGTTGCCAACCATTCTCCTGGGCATCCAACCACGGATGATGATGGCTGACTCGCTCACGGGAACAGTCAACACGCCGTGGTGTGCCGCGGAAGAGGTACACCACCCGACATTTTCAATTGAATGTGTTTTATCTCATAAGATTTTGGAAATAGAAGCCTAGACCTTAGCCTCTAGGTCAAGGGTGCAGCTGTCCTGTCCGGGCCTCTACCCCTTTTTCAATACAGTGCACTGATCCACGACAGTGTTTTGGACCGCGAGCGCATAGTGCCGACTGTGTGAGCACAGGTAAGGATTCGATTTTCACTAATTATCGACCTGTATTCCTTCTCTCTTTCCAATCCAACCCCAGTACGCACACCATTAGGCAACAGCTACAGGTATGAAGCCTCCACGAGGAAGCCAACGTTCAGCTTAGAATGCCTAAGGACAGATGCCCAGTTGATAGTAGAGTAGGCCTGGCACAGTCAGTAAAACACATATCGCACGAACCAAGTCAAGAAGCCTTACATCGCGTGAGGTATGAATGTTGGGGTTCGACGAAGCAAACGGTTCAGACGACACGAAGGCGGATGCTACACCATCAAGCTGTCAGCAGGGGGATCCGCAACTCATCCGCCCTTAGAAAGTCCACTTACGGAAACCGTTGGAACGCGCGCTCGCGTGATCCGAGCACCCGTAGCCGCACCTCGACGTGTTTATTGTGCCCGTGTGCTGCTGCGCAATCAGCGTGACGTATGACGTGAGGCCAGCGTCGACATTGTCCTGATATACGACGACCTTTCCGCCGGGCGAGTAGCCAGACATGTCGGTGTTCAGGAAGGCGAGCACCGAGGCTCCCTGCGACCGGTACTGCCTAAAGACATCGGCCGACCCAAGCAGGCCACCCTCCTCGCCGGCGTAAAAGTGGAATTCGAGGGTGTTCTTGGGCGCGAAGCGCGCGCTGGCCAAGACGCGCAGGGCCTCGAGCGCATTGACGGTACCGGTGCCGTTGTCGTCAGCACCCGGGCTCCGGGCGGTGGCCGACCCGGCCGTCGAGTCCAAGTGGGCGCCGATGATGACGAGACTGGATGTCTGGCCGGGGATGCGGACAATCACGGAAGGCTGGTTGAAAGCGGAATGGGCAACGCGACGGACGGTGATGGAAGGGTTCGCGCTCGCGAGGGTGGTGGCCGTGTTGAAGACCCAGTTGGACGCTTCCGTGCCCGTGGATGACCGGTAGTGGCGGTTGTTGAAGTTGGTCAGGGCGGTGAGCCAGGCCTGAGGGTTTGCGTTGGAGACGCCTGCGATGAGACGGTCGGCCTCGTCGGTGTGCGACAGGCTGGTAGGGTACCGAACCTGGCGCGCGGCGATGCTCGACGGGGACTCCCCGGGGGTTGAGAGCACCGAAAGAACGCCCTCGTCCTCGATGTCGGTGATATCGATAAACGAGGTGCGGGAGGAGGCGACGGCAAGCTCGTCAATCTGGTCCTGGGTCATCCAGGTGCCGGCATCCTCGGGCGACGTCTTGATCAGACGGAGGCTCTTGTCGACCTTGATCTCGGCTCCTGCCGGGCCGGCCGTGGCGAGATGGCATGTCGCCGCCAGGATAGTGAGGGCAGCCTGGAGATGCATGGTAACCAAGGTAAAGTGATGTGCGCGGTGTAGAGCAATCGACTGATGAAGAGGCAGAGCTCCTTTCCGCGCATCACCCCTCTACTTGTACTATTTATCTTATTCGAGGGAGAACCCTGCGTCACCCCCGGCTCGCACGATCCTCCCTATTGAAGAAGGCGCAACTCATGGCGATGATCACGCAGTGCTGAGTACCCGAGTTCAAGATAGCTGGCAGAACGCGTTGTGCGGGACTCCACGGCTCTCAAACAAAGCAGCTTCCTAACTCGACCGAAGCGTGGCTTCAAGAGCCCGCGTAACTGTCCTCGCAGCGCCTCGATTTCATCAATCCAAGACAACTACGGAGTAAGCGAGTGGGATGGCGCCCGGCGACCAGAATGCTGCGACGCTGCTCGGGCGAAGCATGGCAATCCGGCAGGAGCATGGGTTTCGCCAAGATGCCCGTCCCTCGCCGACCTGCCTGATGCGGCCAGCTATTGTGATGTCACCCTGCCATTTGGGGAACTGCCGGCCAGTGCCGAGGATGCTAGTAATTAGATAGCGGACTTGGCTTAAGACTAATGTTATGACCTTAATATGTGTACTTGTATATGCAGTCTTCTTGGCTGTCTCTTTCGCTTATGCTATCTGTAAACGGGACAGGGCCCGAAATGGCCTCACTTACTCACTGGGGCCCGCGGTCTGGGCAACCCTGCCCATAGAAAATCAAAGGTCGCACGCCTCTAGGCTCGCAATCTAAAACAAATCAAGGTTGGACGTCCAGCTCGTTTTTGTATGGTCAACCTGGGGCGACGCAACTTCTACCACAACCCATGGGTAACGAGTCACGACCTCTCTTTTATATGGTCAACTCGGAGGGCACGCAACAACCTCACTCCTCGATCTTGGTCATCACTACGATAGCCTAGGGGGCGCGACCTCAATATTCTATGGCAGCTTGGGTCGCGCAATCTCAATGGCCTTGTCGAACGTTCGTACCAAATGCTATTATTCAATCTATGTATGCATCAATGCCACTCACAACGGATCCAAAAGACGTCATCAACTGCTCCATACAAATAACTAGATTAAAGCTCTGTGGCTGAGAGGTCCTGTCCCTGAATGTGGCATACGATACGCGAGTTAAAACTACTTCACATAGCAAACATCAAAGCAGCAAGGCCTCCAGCAGCCAACCCGGGGCCTGCCGCAGTCATCCTCGGAGCGGCGTTCTTGGTCCCCGTACCCGTGCCCGTCGCAGAGCCGCCAGTGGCAGTAGCCTTGGCCGAGCCTGTCGTCGCCGGGTTCGTCGTCGTCCGAGGCGTCTCTGCCTTTTGCGCCTCCTGGACCCGGACTGCCTGCGCCTGTACGTCTGGGCACTTGCCGTTGACCAGGTCCTGCATGGACGAGTCCCGCTTGGCGACTTGGTTCTTGGGATCCTGCCACTTGCACTCGCCAGCCTTGTAGCCTCGGCGGTAGGTCAGATATCTTGCGAACATGGCGGCTTTTTGGTCCGTGGTGAAGGCTTGGTCTCCGCCGCGGCATGGGGAGTACTGTAAGCGACACAATCAGCATGGATACAAGGATATGGAGTTAGTTGGACGCAGATGCCTACGCTCATGTAGTTGGTGATCTTCTCTGGGGGAGAGCTTAGGTCCCTGTAGCAGGGGACCTGCTCGCACTTGAATATCCACGCTTCATCACCTCTGGTCAAAGTCGTATCTAGGAGCCCGTCGCCGACTTTGCAGTCAGCAGAGGCACTTTTCACTTGTCTGCCAAAAGTGTGATAGAGGCCGAGCCAGTGGCCAATCTCATGCACAAGTGTCGACGATTTCGAGGGGCCGATGCGGGCTTGTTCCATAACGATTCCGTCCTCGGAGCCAGTCTTGGTGTAGTCCTCCGGGAATGTAGCATACTATTCACATGTATCAGCGGCAAGCATGACACAAGACAAGAAACCGAGAGCGAGAGACACTGACTCCATTCAGGTTGGGGCTGCCGCTTGCCGTATTGAGGTCGTTGACGAGCCAAACGTTGAGGTCTGTCTTTCCGCCCTCGTACGACTGCTTCTGCCACGCGACCAGGCGCGCCTCGTCCTTTTTAACGACAGACCAGTCGCTGTTGGAGCCTTTTGCCGGGGGTTTCCAATTCATGTAGCTTTTGGATACGAAGGTAATGCCTATCGGGCCATATACACTTTTGAGAAGTGTCATCTACATCCTGTGTCAGCTTTGGTCTATCCTCGAGTTTGTTGCCCTGAAGAGAAGAGACGAACCTGCTGATCGATTCTGTTCTTCAACGACTTAGTCCCTGTCCCGGGTACTGATGCCGTCCTGTTTCGCTTGATGTAGTTCCAGTGTATATTAACCGTCAGCGACCGCACGGGTGTGCAACTCCCCATGTTCCCCAGCAGGCGCCGCGCGAGGAACCCGTCCTCGGCTACGAAAGACCCCAGGTACGCGCTGCCGAGAAGGCTCCGGCGCTTGAGCTGGCAGTTCGAGACGTTGGCCGGGAGCAGGACCTTGCCGGCGTCGGCGGGCGCGGGCGCGTTGCGGGCGAAATCGTCGAAGAAGACCGTCTCCATGGCCGCGATCTCGCGCGCGGTGCCCTCGTCGGGCTTCGTCGAGGGCAGGTTGACGACCAGCTCGGCAGAGTGCTGCTCCGGCGTCGTGACGTCCTCTGGGATCTCCTCGTCCGACTCGGTCACGTCCGCATCGGACATGAGCGTTATGTCTGTGGAGGTAGCTTCGGCCGATGAGGTCGTCTCCGAGGCTGTAGCGTTGGTGGTGCTGGCCGCGGATGGGATATCTGTCGAGGTTATGCTTGATTCGACTTCTGTGGTGGACTTGTTGGTCCCATCAGTGGCAGTATCGGCCGGCGGATCCGGGCTGGTGACACTCGTAAGTATGGTCGTTGGAGAGCTCTGGCCGGGGACAGAGTCCCAGGGGATATAGGGCTCCGAGGTCAAGGTGGGTACTGGCTCCCCGGCAGCTGGGGTAGTCTCAGCACCCCCCAATAGAGAAGAGTCCTGCCCGACGGCAAAGTCAATAGCAAAGAGTGCCGCGAGGCATAGTGGGAAACCGAGGACTCTCATATTGCACCTAGAGGAGTCGAGAATCGAGTTACAGTTTCAGGAGGTTGCATTGTCGAGTGCTCGGATACTGGCCTGGAGGGATCTTTATATGCACATGGCTCAATTGCTATGACACCACCTTCCAACTATCATGCATAGTTACATTTCATGCGCTCGTATCTGAAGCCATTCGAAGGCCTCCGATTCATTGCCAAGAACACAAAGCTAAGTTTTGACTTCCTACAACGCCCCTTTTAGCGGCTTATTGTGTTGGAATCTACCAAGCCCTGATTTGAATCGCAACGCCTGGATCTCTATAGCTGCTCGGCGTCTCGTAGTTGCATGTAGACCTCAATACTAGTAGGAATCCGGTGCATGCAGCTGACCTAGTCTGAGTGCATGTCGGGTACGTGGTAGAGACAACCTTACACCTCAATTCAAAGGGCTCAAGGGGGCGGACTGGGAAAACGCTTTGTTGGAACAAGTGGCGAGCTGATCTAGAGTCAGGTTAATCCCAACTAAGAGAAAACTAACGAAAGATTTCTTATAGTGGTGCTGGCAGTAACAAAGAAGAGGCGTCTGGAGAGAGGCGCCACAGCGATGCATTACACTGACAGCACCACGCCTAAGACAAATGGCTTGTGCAGGAGCGCATGTCATTGGTAGTCTGTTGTTTGGAGGGCTGAGAATCTGACGATGGTGTTTCCAATCAGACCCTCCAGGCCAGCTCGGTTACCTGATCAGACTAGACGCCAAGTCTGTTAGACTGTTTGCATGGCCAAGGCTTCTATCGCTTAGGGTCCGAGGCTGAGACCTTCCAAGGCCCTCGGAGCTGGGTGTTCTCCTGGAGGCTGGTAGAAAGATGAGCTGAACTCTGGAGGTTGCGGGGTAATAGGAGCTGAACAAAGCCATCCTATGGGTAAGTTCGAACGAGGGCGGTCTTTAGCGGCTTGGCCGTTGACTACTGGCTAGATTTCCTACATCCCGGAATGCCATACAAGTCAAGAAGCTTAATTAGTGGCAAGCCACAGGAAGTCCAGAGCGCTGGGCGCACCACTCTTCGCGTTACCTTGATTCGTCGCCAATCGATCCCTGGATCAAATGGTGTAGTGTGACCATGATTTGTTTGCTCAGGCCAGTTCCATTGGTTTTCTCGACCAAGTTGGAGGGACGTGCGCTGTCAGAAGAGTTTCATGGCAGCCACACTATATTACAGTAAACCATCGTCAAGATCTCTCATACTGAGCTATTTATGGGTCACGAGCTGCTAAGTGAAGAGGCTTTAGAAGTCTGTGATATTATGTAAACTGTCTCAGGTAGAAGTTGTCATGTGCACCTCAGCCTTCATACCGAAGAGAAGTTTTACCTTCCCGCTTCGGGAGACCGCAGCATTGGCGATGACCAAGAGTACTCTCGCTTAGGATGGCTGTCATACTGACGAGGCGACTCATCACAAGAGGAATTTGGTCCAGTCCTACCGATGCCGTGTGTACTCGGATAGGAGCGGGTCGATTCCCTCAAAGAAGATGCGGCTTGGTTCCCGACAACTGGCGTACCCCACAAGCGGCTCCAACTCTCCACTGACTTTTGTTTTAAAGCCGCCCCCCAACTAAAGCTCCAGTAGTGCCAGCAATCAAGTACTGCTTCAATGATACCACTTGCATCGCAACCCTTGAGCTGGAGCCTATTTGGCACCCGTGCTCCACTCGAGCCAAGGTTTCGTGCTAAAGGGGTCAGCAGTGACGCTTGATGTGATGGGAGGCCAGAGACGGCCGCTCTCTCACTTAGAGTCAAGACTGGATACAAGACGTAACACGAAGAGACGAAGAGAGACTGCCAAAGCTGGCCCCTGAAGTGGCCTAACGTGTTGTCACATGAACACCCTCACAGCAGCCATTGCGATCTTGAGCCGGTGTTGGCTTTAGGCATCGTCGTTTAATGACACTAGCATTGGTGTAACTTGTACATATGCATTTTGTCCAGCCACACAAGCCATGAGCTGACATACCCTGACGTACTTACCCTTATGTTCTCCCTCATCTCAAATTTCGGGTGTTACAAAGTGAGTTAAAATCGGTTCGTGGCTATATCCGAAGGTTACTCTGTAGTGTTGAATCTCCCTTTCTCGGCCGTTGATGCGTACTTTTATATGCCTAACCTCTCGGTGGCATTCTTTGCCACATTAATCTTGCTGCATCATTCCCCTCTGCATCTTATCAAGGAACTACAAAGTAAGACTGATACAACATACCTTGGAAGCCTCGCTCGTTTCAGATATGTCTATTGCTTCTGCGTTGAGTCATCGGTACTATAGTGGATAGTTGTTCAGCTTCGCACCCGCGCAGTCTCCGGCAGTCTTGCACACAAATAGGTCCTGACACGAATCGAGATTACGCGATCGTTGCTTCGTGCAATGATTCCGATCATAATTGTCATAGTTTGATACTTGACCTGGTCATATATGTATTGTCAATATCAACAGCACCTTTGCGGCAGGGAAGAGGCTTGATCTTCCGTCCTTACCCGCTTGATATGATGTCGTGTATACTTGGGCATACTCTAGGACAATTCAGTACCACTTGCGGTATTCACGAATTCATCAACCTCCTCTCCGCAGTATGCCTGTTACTGTGCAAGATACAACCTCACCAAGCGCCTGGACGCGGACGGAAGCATCGAGCTGATGTTCGCTTCGGATTCCAGTAACAACACTCGCTCGAGCCCTCGCGATAGCAAGAATGTGACTTCTCTTCTGAAAGATTCGACTAACTGCAGATATCAACACGATATTAGCTTTATCAAGAAGAGCTTCTAGGCCCTGGTCAACATCGTCACCAACAGACTTCCGTCGAGTTCAACTGCCAGACGATTCAGCTCGGTCCCGTTGTGTAAATGGTTTGGTGTTAACAAGTTGCCAATCTACCTCGCGATCTCAAACGCTTTACTCCCTCCCCTTCAGCCTTCCTGATCAATCGTCATGACAAGGAGGTGGCTATACATGCGGCGATGATTTAGATTGGAAGGGAGTCAGTTTAATGTATCGCGCAAGATACATATACGTTTAGTTCACACAGCTGTTGCGCCTGCTCGGCTTTTATTGTTTTCAATCTTCTGTTTCTTGTTATTGCTATGAGCTCTTCTTGGTTTGGACTTAGATACATGTTCTTGGTAGGGGAATTTCCAAATGTGATAGGATGTATAGACGCTCCATACTCTGGGATGCTTTACCATCAAATTGGCCCTCTCAAATTCCATGTCTTCCAGATCAACACTGCTCTCCTGGGTGTATGTGCTCACCTGCGGCAGGAGGCTTAGGAGATGATATGTGCGCCACAATAGCTCTCAGACGCTGGAATTCGCACCGAAGATATACCGCGCAATTGATGCTACAGATAGAAGACCTTGGAAGTGTAAGTTCAAGATATCAAGGTGTTGAGGTTAAAACCATTATGGCTAGACTATCAAATACACCGTAAGAGTCATCTCTCTAGAAGGAGTGGGGGCGGCGATAAACGCACGCGATTGGCGGGGCATTTCGACCTCTGGTGAGAAACATCTTCGACGGCCTGGCCACGTACGTCCATCAGATCCATCCTTCACCAAGAAAGGTTATCAACAGCCACAATTTCCTACACGTCCGTCTTCCCTCCATTTTCTCTTGCTCAACCCACAATCAAAGTTGGCAGCCATGGCAGCTCCGATCTCCGAGATCCTTGCCGACCTGCCGTCTCGTTTCCGAGGCCCAGGCGGCGCTGTGGCCGTCCTGAAAGATGGCGAGGTCGTCGGCCAGCAGGTCTGGGGGTACGCCGATCTCCACCGCCGGATCTCGATGGCTGCCGACACCCTGATGCCCATCTGCTCCATCACGAAGCAGATGCTGTGCGGCCTGCTGACAGACCTGGAGCGCAACCCGACCCCGGCCATGACCGCGCGGGGCGGGGACCCCGCCAAGCAGTTCTCGGACCAGCTCGGCCAGCTGCTCAGCCCCGAGCTGCTCAAGGATACCGGCCTGACGATCCGCCACCTCTGCAACAACCAGTCGGGCATCCGCGACTACTGGGCCCTGACCGTGCTCTGGGGCGCGAAGCCCGAGGGCCGCTTCTCGGTCGCCGATCACGGGCCTCTGATGCTCGAGCGCCTCAAGTCCTTCCATTTTGAGCCCGGCACCGAGTACTCGTACGCCAACACGAACTACTTTGCCATCGCCCGCTGCATCGAGAAGGTCACGGGCCAGCCGCTGGCCGAGCTGCTCTCCCAGCGCATCTTCGAGCCCGCGGGGATGGAGACGGCGAGGTTGTGCGCTAACACGGCCGAGCACCCTCCTCCCGGCGTCGGCTACGAGGGAGACGAGAACTTTGGTTTCTACCCGGGCGTCAACAACATCGAGTGGGCTGGCGATGCCGGCATAGTGGCTTCCCTGACCGACATGGTCAATTACGAGCGTTACGTGAACCGCAGCCGCGATGACTCGCAGACCTGGTACGGGAGCAACTCTCAGCAGCAAAAGTACAAGGATGGTACGCCAGCCGACTATGGCTTTGGGCTAGCCCGCAGGAAGGTGGGAGGTATTGTGACTGTTGGGCACGGCGGTGCTCTCCGCGGGTACCGTCTGTTCCGGTCTTACGCACCGGACCCACGCATTTCTGTCGTTGCGCTGCTCAACCAAGAGCACGGCGATGCGTCAGGGGTGTGCGACCACATCCTGAAGAAGATGATGGGTGTTCCTGAAGCCCAGAACGCGGTTGTCACTCCTGGACCCGAGTGGATCGGAACCTACCTGGACTCCGACACAGGTCTTTCGATTACCGTGAGCCAAGGCACCCCAGGCGAGCTCCTTGTCAAGTACCACCGCAAGCCCGACAAGTTCCGAGTGGTTGACGCGTACAAAGCGCTGTCCGACGAAATGTCGGCAACGTTGGATGGGGACTCTCTTGTTCTCCACGTCCCCCAAGATAACCGGACGGTCCATGCCAAACGCGTTGCCAATGCCAAGCCGGCTTCGGACTACGCAGAGCTCCAAGGTGCTTATCGTTGCGCTGAGATCGACTCTGTCTTCCACTGCAGTGGCTCGGGCGACATGCTGTATGGCATGTTTGACGGCTTCCTGGGCCGGGGGCCTGTACATATGATGCGTTCGATTGGGCAGGATCTCTGGGCCCTTGCATGCCCAAGAGCTATGGACTCGACGCCCCCGGGTGACTGGACTGTCATTGTACGTCGCGATGGCAACGGCAGCGTGGCCGGTGTCACCATTGGCTGCTGGCTTGCCCGGCGGCTTGAGTTCACGAAGCAACAGTGAAGGCTCGACTCGACACTGTAGAATTTAACTAGTTGGAAATCCCCCTCAGAGTTTCATTTCTACTTTCTCTGTGCTATGATGTGCGCCTTCGTCTTGACTTACTGCCACTGCTTGTTACCGAACTGGGAGACATAGGTGCCTCCGTCTCCGTTCTCAATGCTACACTTCTCCATCACCTTCCTGACAAGCGCCACCGACTCGGCAGGCGATGCTAGTCCCGCAAAATGCGGCGCATGAGCCATAAACCTCTTGGTGTCCTCCATCAATCGTGCTTGTTGTTTCTCGGTCACTGCATGACGTTAGCAATGTAAACCCCAAAGGTTTGCAATCCAATGCCTGTGTAACTTGCTTTCACTAGGCTCAAAGGTCGCCGTAGAACCCGGCGCGATGCTCATGAACAACACGCCTTTCTCGCGATACTCGGCGCTGTACTTTGCAACCGCCATGTTTAAGGCGGCTTTGCTGATCGAGTAGGGAACCATCGTGGCAAGATTGTACTTGGCCGTCAGGTCTGTATCACCATTCAGTGATCCGAGGGTGATGACCTTTTTGGTTTCGCCTTTCAGAATCAAGGGGAGGAAGGTGTTGAACAGTTGGATATTTCCCACAACGTTGACTTGGAAAGTTTCCTCCAGATCGCTCAGATATTGGTCCGGGGTTTCCATTCTTGTCATTCAGTGAGCTAACATCTCTTCCTTGCCAGGTTTGGAGGAAGTTGTATGAAGACTTACAGATCAGCAACAGTCGCGAAGCCGGTGTTGGGAGGGAAGAAGGATGCGTTCGCGATAAGATAATCGAGAGAGCCTCCGGTTATGCTCGCAACCTCTCTGCACGCGTTCTGGCGATACGTATATGAGAATGGTCAGGACATCAATGATATGTGGACAGAAATGCTCACCTTCAATGAGTTGTGATCCTGGAGATCTCCCTTGACGATGTGGATGTTCGACCGGCCCACTTCCTCTGCAAATCTCTTCTCTGTAGCGTCTTTGTCGCGGACCATACCTATGATAGTTGATGCAGCATCTTCGGACAATTGACGGACAAACTCGTACTTTACGATGAGAGTCAGTATTTCGCCTTGGGAAGCACTCACGGAACTTACTCCTATTCCACGCGACGCTCCAGTAACAAGGTAGGTTGGCATTGTGCAGGCACTCGATGGTCACTGATTGATGCGAGACACACGTAGAAAATGTTCCATGAGGGGTATAAGAAACTCGGAGAAGATATTCGTCTTTAATAGACATTCCAGAATCACTCACCCTAGTCGATATAGGACCTGTCTTACAGTGTCACATCTGCCAGACCTAGCGGAAAGCGCCGGAACTACAAGGAATGAGGGTACACTCGCGAGTGCTTCCCTATCTTCTGCATTGGGAAAGGCCGACGTGTTGTGGATCCATCATGGACAGAGGCGGATCTGTTGGTCGGGGTTTTATTGGATTGGGCATCCTGCTTACGCATGACCATTGTCTTCCTTCGTCCTCGTTTTCTCTTGCTTGATCCTAGTTCTCTTGGACATGGGGAACGTGTCAAGGTTAGAAGACAATCCATCGCAGAAACTTGCCTCATATCCTCATTGGGCGAGAAAGCAGGGCGTTCTGAATTTGTCATCCTGAAGTTGTTCAGATCCCGAGAGGCCCGCTTCGTATCTCCGGCTCTACACCCACCACTGGGCCAGGCTTACGGTCATTTACCTACTAGTCGCTCGTTCCATGTCACGTTTTGCACATGTACAGACAGAGATCTTCGAGCAAGATGGGGCGACCCCGCGGATGCTGGACATGCAAAGGTTCGTTCTGCGGCAAGTCACGCGGATGATTGGTAGCCTTGATTCTGAATGACGTCTAGCTCGCAAGATCCGATGCGATCGAGCTTTCCCAACATGTGCGCAGTGTTCTAAGTCAAAGCAGTTGTGTCAAGGGTATGGTATTCGTCTCAAGTGGTCAAATCCAAACACACCTCATCCGCCAATGGCATCGGTTTCCCATGATGAAAGGTTACAAGGTCAGCCCATCGGCTGGGTGCATGTCAGCTCTGCTGATGTAGAGTTTCACCGATGGATTTCTGGCACATCAAATCTTCAATGCAAGCGCCCTTCTCCTATTATTGACCTGACTTTTGCTGACATAGAATAGATAATACGGGCTGGATTCATTCATTTTCTCCTACCATATTACCATCTATCACCCATGTGAATCATGCTACAGGAGACGAGGAGTGCGAGTTATGGCATTATGGTGAGCAGGCAGCCATCCACAAACATCCAGCAGACCACTAATCCGTTAGTCACTGACATCTTACCATCGATAATAACAATATGTGAAGAGCAGGACGACGATTTCATTGGCAGCTTATGTCGACTGACTCTGTCCAATGCCTCTGACTCTTCGAGAGCCGTATTTCTATCGATGGTTGCTGTGGCATCCATACATCGTTACGGACTTCAAGATGAAGCCATTCTCTTGCAAGGCAAAGCTCTCAGTGCCCTACAATCCTCTGTCAGAAGAGGTCTAAGTGATGTAGAAATCGTTCAGCACATCACAAGCAACATGCTACTCTGCGTATTTGAAGTATGCGCCATTCGTGTTCTTGATCTCACATACATGCATATACTAACAGGTTGTCATTCAGATATCTGCTGCCTCAGATGATTCTGACTCTACACGGTGGCTTTATTACCTCCAAGCTGCTGAGATGTTGTTACATAAGATGGAAGAGCGACCAGACGCGCTGCCAAGCGAGTGTTCGAACATAGCAGGCTGGCTCTATTATTACCGTTTGATGGGTCAATTCTTCCGCCAGCATCGGAAAGAACTACATCAGTGTACATTGGGGCACAATAGCGTGGAGAGTCTTAGAAGTAGTTCACGGAAATCGAGCTGCATTGAAACACAAAAGGTAACAGTCACTCTCCCAAAGTCTATACACCTGGAAGTATAGTTTTCTGACTAGAGTAGATGGGCATCCTCAAACCATACACTAAGGCAGTGTTGAGCCTAACTTCCGAGTTGTTTGCGAATCTCTATACGCCATCTGATTCTCGATACCACGAAGGAGAATATCGAAACTATCTAGCATCGCTGGAGAGTAGGCTAGAAGAGAGCTTACTATCTTCATACAAACAGTCTCCAAAGGCAGACAGATTGCTGTTTCCTTTAGCCGCACTGATATATCTAGACCGACTCTCAAACAACTGCTCTGGCCAGTCGCTCAAGATCGAAGCTTGGACCAAACAGGCGTTTGAGATCATTTCTAAGTTTCGGATGTACAAGCACCCGCTCCCGCTGCTTCTTTGTGGGCTTGAGGCACGGACGGATGAGAACCGTATGCTCATCCTTCGGGCGATCGACGAGACATCCAAGACAATGAACCCACTGAACATAGGCTTGCTGCGGAGCATCCTGCAGTTTGCATGGAACCAAGACGATCTCATGACAGAGGCTGCTGTGCCATATCAATTGAAACTGAATATGGCTTTTAGCATCCAAAACAGGGCACCGGCTTTTCTCTGAAGTAATAGCCTAGAAGCAGTAAGCAGGATAGCGAATGCTTTAATCTGTTACCCTTGGAAGGGATGTCCTCGCACGCACCGACTTCGGCGGTAATCATGGAACCACTCTCAGGTTATGTGTCAGTTCTCATGTGGCAGACAATTTGAAATAGGACTGAATTCGTCCTTTCTAATCCTAGAACTAGTTGGCTGCTGTTCCACATGACATGGGTGGCTGATGAACTCCACCCAAGCGACTCGGATGTGCCGCACCGCATTTAGAAGGAGGTCGCCGCATAGATAGATGGCACGAAGTCAATGGTGCCTTTTTCAGGTGAGCTTCTCGCAGATCGGAGGATTCTATTTCAGGATCTGTAGAGCCGCTCTGCCCATTTGTTTCCTTTTGTCTTCATCCATCGAAAGCGACTCAAACACACCGCCAAGACAGTCATGGTTTCTTCATCACCCGTCACGATAGCCATCATAGGCTTTTCTGGTGGCATTGGCAAAAGACATACCTCCGTTGCCCTCGCCAACCCAGAAGTGAAGCTGGTCGCGCTGGTCGACCCCTCTCCGGCCGCCGGTCCGATTGCGGAGTCGCACTCTGTCCCTTATTTCCGGTCCGTCCGGGAGCTCCTCTCTTCCACCACAGTGGCAAAGCCAATGGGTGCCATTGTCTGCACGCCGAATCACACCCACGTCCCCGTGGCCAAGGAGCTTGCCACTGCCGGGATCCATCTCCTCATCGAGAAGCCCGTGAGCATTTCCGGCGCTGAAGGACAGGAGCTGCTGCAATGCCTGAAGGAGAACGGCGTCCGGGCGCTAGTGGGGCACCAGCGCAGGTTCAACGAACATGTGGTCGCAGCGAAGAGGGTCATCGACGAAGGGAGGCTGGGGGATGTCACTGCTGTGTCGGCCTTGTGGACATTGTACAAATCGCTGGCGTACTTCAACGGCGGACCGAACATCTCCTGGAGGAGTAGCCGCAAGAATGGAGGCGGCGTCGTGCTGATGAACTTGATCCACGAGATTGACATGCTGCAGTACTTTCTCGGGCCCATCACCAGGGTGCACGCAGAGAAGACTATTTCGCGGAGGACAACGGTCGATGTGGGTGTCGAGGAGGACGATCGTGCCGAGGAGGGTGCTGCGCTCACGCTGCGCTTCAAATCTGGAGTCGTTGGGACCTTTCTGGTTTCTGACTGCGTCGTGAGCCCTCATAACTACGAAGTGAGTGTCGGAGATAACCCTCACACACTCTCGAATCTCAAAGATGAGAAGATCGATGTCTACCGCATCTTCGGGACAGATGCCTCGTTGAGCGTGCCAGACATGGTCCTATGGTCGCATGTCCCCGGTGCCGGGAAGGGGAGGCAGGTTCCGTTACAGAAGGAAACTATTCCTGTGGGAAATGATCTGAGGGACTCATTCACTCGCCAGCTGGAGCACTTCGTCCACGTCATTCGTGGGGAGGCTGAGTCTAACTGTCCCCCAGAGGAAGGACTGAGGGCTGCTCTTGTGTGCGAAACGATAATACGGGCATTGGATAGCCCGAGTGGTACTTTAGATGTACCGGATATCTCATAGCGAGAATGACCTTGGCAACAACGGAGTATTGACATGTGGAGCTGGAGATCTAATAAACCACATCACATCCCGGGTATTGTGATTCGGACTCATAAGTGATCCCCATGAATGGTTCGATACAGGGTTGGGAAAATGGAGCGTCTAGCTGAGAGCTATCACTTAACAGCTAACAGCCCATTCAATGAGTATTAGAGCGCATATAATTCTCTCGCGTGAGCTCGGCTATGGGGAAGATCACTTGCTTAGAAGCGGCCACCGTCAATCACAAAGATTCCACTTCTGTCCCGGCCTCGTTCTGGGTCGGGATACGCGAGACCGGGCTAAACTAAATTAGGCAGTAGGTCTTCGCAGCCGGCATAAGCGCAGTTGGTTCCAACACCTCCGTGCGAAGTTTGTGAGTGGTTCGTGGAGGTGTAATGCAAGTCAAATGTCCGTTAGTCAGCAACCTCCAACGTGTCTTTTGCACATGCAAATGATGCTTTGACGACCAGCCCCCATCCTGCGTGAAAAACCCAGGATATATCCCAATCCATGTCCAGGGTGTGCCTATACTAGCCTTGACCTTGACCTTGCCCGATATGGACATATCAGACAGCGGCGGGCGGCGGGAGGAAGATCTTGAGCCTGCAGAAGAGGATTCGAATATCGAGTTTGTCTTCCACTCGGATCCGGCGGCCAAGCGGAACAAGGCGTCCCGACGGCTTGTTCATAGACATGCAATGAAGGCCATTGGGAAGACGCGCAGGCGTGTCCGTTCTCCTAAAGTTGTCGAGCTGGACATATCTGCGCTGGCTCCCTGCGCAACTGAGCGCCAGTTGGCGTCATGGTGGCTCGGTGTGCGCTGGGCAGGCGTCTCCAGTGGTGGAGTCGATCCCTTCCTACGATATCCCGTGCAGCTCGATGCCACTGCCCGGGGGCTTCTCGCAAACGGTTGGTCCGTCCTTTAACACTCTAGCTTGATATGGCTACGTCCGTTTGCATTAACGAACCAGGTTTTATGTTCTCCATCGTCTGCAACCTGTCTAACGCTTCGTAGTCTTTAGGGCAAAAGGCGGCCAGCGACCACTCCGAGATGCGTGGTTTGGCGTCGCGTTGCAAGATGAGGCCGCCTTCTTTGTCACACTAGCCAACTCTGCGCTGCATCAAAACGCCCTACAGAGAAAAGCTCCATGGGGCCGTGAAACGGATGAATCACTTCACTACTCCTCCATGGCCATGGCATCGATCCGAAGACGCATCAATCAGCCAATCTCGAATGTCATAGAGTACATCATTGGTGCAGTTTCTGGTCTGCTCGCAAATGCTGTATGTGTCTAAATCCATTATCCCATCTTACTGTTGCTCATCGGCCTTGTATAGGCTCTTCGAGGTGACCGGCAATCTTGGCTAATACATCACAACGGGTTTCTCAATCTGGTGAAACTACGGGGCGGAATCGAAATGCTCGAGGCAAATGAGATGCTCAGGATCACCGTCTCATGGTAATTGCGTGTCCTAACTGGATAGTCGCCAACCACAGTGTATTAAGGGCTAACGAGGTCGGCCTGTAGGTGTGAGCTTCGAGGCGCCATCATGCAGGATATGGAACCGGCCTGTCCACTTCCAAGCCAATGGATGAGATACACCGAAGCCCCGCCACTGTCAGAAGGCGCACGAGATCGTCTCAACCATCTTTTCCCTCCCCGGACCAGCACGTCAACCGGTTACTCGCAGTGGATGATGCTGTTCAGGGATCTTCTCTCATTCTCCGAGTCTACTTTCTCGCGAGGCACTATGATGGACTCCTCGCCCGAGTTTGGGGCGTGGACAAATCCGATGATTCACAGGCTCCTTTCGTGGCGCCCCAATAGGGGCAACCCTATCCCGGAGCAAGCTGCGCTCGAGGCGTGCAGGATAGCGGCGTTGCTCTTTCTTTCCCGGGTGTGGCGCTTCTTTGGTGTCAGACCAGTGATATCAGACTTCCTGGTCGACAAACTAGTGTCGGTGATGAAGATATGTGAAGGCGACTGGGGTGTCCTTGAACAGTTCCAGACCTGGGTCCTCTGTCTATGCAGCATGGAAGTCCGGGGTAAGTCAGAGGCAATATGGGCTGTGGAGCAGATGCATGTGGCCCTCGACCAGGCGGGAGAGCCGGCCAAAGGTGTGCTGGAATGCTTGAAAGAGATATTGTGGTATGAGTGCCTTTTCACGACTTCACTTGATGATACCCGACTTGATAGCAGGTACGATAGACACAGTAGCTAAGTGACGAATTGCAAAGGTACAGGGAGATTTGTCATGGAAAGGGAACATCAATGATTAGGGGTCGGGGATAAATCATTCCGGATGAATAAGCACTGTGTCAGACCGAGCGTACTGCACGGTCGCTTGTATCACTATCAGACATGGATGGTTCGACGACCCTCCTTCACCTTGGTTGATGTCATGCAGCTACCGCTAGACCAACTGCCCAGACGGGAACCCTGTGAAACGAGTTTAGCGTAATTTGTCAGCCCTACCAGAGCCTATCCATGTATTTATACACGAGGATCTACTGCTAGGAAGATCTCTGCTCGATATCAAGACCAACTTTGGATGAATAAACCCTTTCAAACGACCCAGCTTCATAAAAGAATATAGTCACCCGGCTAATATCATTGCCAAATTCCCAGAATAGGATTTATCATGGAGAATCTTCCAGAGGACTTCTTTGTTACAAGCTTCCAATTCACCGAGCACACCTATCGTGATCAGTACCCGGCGATCAACGCCACCAAGAACTCAGAACTATCATTGGATGGCAAGGTGGTAATTATCACCGGTGCAAGTCGCGGTATCGGCGCCAGAGTAAGTTTCCAATTTTACAGGTCTCCAGGCCCAGCTGGCTGACCAACCCAAGGGCTTCGTTCCCGAATTCGCCAAGGCCGGGCCCAAAGCCATCGTCCTTGCAGCGCGCGACGCCACCCGCCTGGAGTCTGTCGCGGCCGAGGTAGCCAAGATCAACCCCACCGTCGAGACTCTAATTGCACCTACGGATATTGGGAGTAGTGACTCTATCAAGGGGTTGTACGCTAAAGTGGCCGCGAAGTATGGACACGCCGACATCCTCATCAACAACGCTGCTGTGAACACCATTCAGGGTAACCTAGCCGATGTCGATCCCGAAGCCTGGTGGAACAGCTTTGTAAGCCCGAGCTTCTGCGTCAAAGCTACCAGATGTATCCAAGCCCGATCAATGCTAACTAGAAACGCAGGCCATCAACGCACGCGGCACCTTGCTCGCCACGTCCTACTTCCTCAAGGCCCTGCCCGCGACGTCCCACGGGACCATCGTCAACCTCACCACAGGCATGGGCTGGGGTGTGTATCCAGGCAGCTCGTCCTATGCGCTGAGCAAGATGATCAACCTGCAGATGGCGGCCTACGTCGGCGCCGAGTCTGCGGGGAACGTGACCTCTGTTGCGCTGCACCCGGGCCTAGTCAAGACAGACATGACGCAGGAGGCATTCAGACCCTTTGCGCAAGACACCCCGGCGCTGGTCGGCGGTACCGCGCTGTGGCTGTGCCAGGACAAGGCGCGCTTCCTGAACGGCAAGACGGTCTGCGCCAACTGGAGCATGGACGACTTGTATGCGCGCCGGGCAGAGATTGTGAAGGAGGGCCTGCTCAACATAGACCTCAAGGGCAAGTTTGGTGCCGAGCAGTTTCAGAAGTAAGATCTGTGGCTTGGCGGAGACATGCTGAACACGAGAGACTTGCCGAGCAGACTGTTGGAAAGCTCATCTACTATATTGTGCTATGTTGGCTTTGGGCTCTATAATATGTTTTTTGCGATAAATCTGCATTGGCCATGACAACCATTTCCACAAGAGTTGCTTTACGACTTTCTTCTTGCCGTCGATGGCCTCACAATTCTCATCAAACATTGGGGAGGTGAGGAAATCCTTACGGGAAGTAATTAAGAGACAGCCGATATTAAATGCCTCGAACAAGCCAAGTTCTCCATTTTATCACATGGATTCGCTTGGTGGATGTCAACATGTTGAATGTCGCTCGTGAAAATGACGTCACGGAATTGGGCCCGAGGACTCCGAACTTGAGCCTCAACATCTGTCTCTCGAGACATCCACCATTGCAAGTTTGAATCCTCTGCTATGAAACAGGCAGAATACCCGTAAAACGTGTCAAAGGGCAATAGGTTTACTCTCCCGACCATGGAAAATCCAGGTATGAGCTCCATTTACAGACTGTTAGCACGGAGAGACGCGACTGTTACGCAGAAGCTCAAGGCATTCTGCATGTGATATCAAAAGCACTCCTTGCTGATACTTTCCCACAGAACAGAACATCCATTCAGTCCTTGAGGCTCTTTGCCGGGGCACGCCCGCTGAGCAGACGGAAGCAATCAATACATACTTTTTGCCCGACGCCGCCTTCCAGCACCCCTTCTGCCGTGTCCCGGCCTTCTCCCAGCTCCCGTTTGGCTTGTTCTCCGGAGTCAATTCACGGTGGTTGTTGCTCATGATTTACCGATGGTATCGCATTCTGAGCCCAAACATAGACTTCCACATAGATTCTTGCGGTCAGTGCTTTTAATGCCCTTTGTACTCTGTTTGTTGTTCTCGTGCTGATAGAGATCATGCAAACAGCATTCGACACGCGTACTCAGACCCTGTATCTGAATCTCCGCCAGACCTTCGCCATCTGGTTCATACCTTTCTACGTCGCACGCGTGCGCCTGGTCACTGTTCTGCACCTCGAGCAACTGGACAAGCGCACCGCCGCGAGCAACCTCGGCTCTACTGTCGGCGGCAAGCTCATCACAGACGACCAGGATAGCAAGAAGCGCTACTATATCGCAGAACAAGATGACCATTATCAAGTGAACGAATTTGTCAAGTTTGTGGCCCCCGGCATTGGCCCGTTGTTCTGCACCTTGTGGCAAATCGCCAGCACCCTTGTTTGCATGCTAGGCGTCTGGACAGTCATGCCAGTCTATGCGGCGCTCGAGAGAAAGCCTAGGTGGAGAGCGATTGCCCATTGACGTTAACTGATGTTGTTTTCAAATCTTGAGTAAGCGCATTGAACGCTACCTATCAGGCACTTCCGGGTTGAAATGGCAAAAGCGAGAAGATGGGCAACAGTGGCTGGGCTGGGGTCCCAGCAATAGCACGAGGGAAAATTTCGGTGGTCAAGGCCACAGTTCACAATCTGTGTTGAAGAAAAGTGAATCTTGATTTCATCATCTTTTGAAAGGACAGATTAGTACGCCAAGCCAAGCAATAGACAGAGCGTGCCATGATCTTAACCTCCTTCCCGATCTCAAGAGTCCTAAGCCCCCCGCGCTAGACCAGAACTAACCTTAAAACCAATTCAGATCTTTATTGCCATACAGCGGTGGTGTTTTAATAGCGGTTATCCTTGTTCAGATCCTGGCTCGTCCAGCAGCCGCTGCGTCCGCGCCCGGCTGGCCTCCCACTGCGCGTCGGCAGCGGAGTTCATCGACAGTACTGAGTCCTGGCCGAAAAGCTGGCGGAAGGCCGTCGTACGTGTCGGACTGGTGATGAGCACCTTGACCGTCGCACGCACGGACTCGTCTCGAGACAGTAGAAGAAGTTGCTCTAGCACCTGATAAGCGTCGTCGACAAAGGCCGGCCGCTCGTAGAATACGGCGCCATCGACCATACACAAAAGAACCACGCCGCTCGGCAGGCGGCGAACGAGGTGGTCAAACACCAAGCAGAGCGCATCAACATCGCCGTGGTGAATGCCTTCTTGAACTTGTGACTCGCCGAGGCACGGTAGTGGTAACCCCGGTCCAAAGTTGTAGGTGCCCAGGAGCTGGCAGATGAAACTGGCAACGATGGCACGGCCGCCGACGAGGGGCACGAAAGGGTCGGCACTATCGTGATCTCCGACGTTGCGATCGTTATGTAGCCCGCAGAAGAAGAGCAGCCGCACTAGACGCGGGTCATTGCGTTGGTCAAGGTTGAGTGCCATGGACGCACAGAGAAGCGACAACCCCGACAATTGGCGGACTTCGTCGTAGTTGCCGTGTATTAGAAGCTGTGACGAGGCTGACGTGCTGAGCCATTCCTGCAGCTGCATGTTCATAATAAGCTGTTCTGCCCGACCCTGCTCCGCATCAGATATATCCACATGACTGTGTGTCGCGATGAACTCCAGATCTTCCTCGGCCAAGTTGGGAATGTCAATCCAGTCCAAGACATCCTCGGTGGTGACGCTGTTGCAGTGCTGGGTACCCATCATATCTGGCGGTGCGGCAGAAATTGTGTACAGATGTGTTGGCGGTATGGAAGAGGGCAAGCAAGACTCGACCTTGGCTTCCAGGTCCATTATCTCTGCAGAAGTACTTGATTAACATGTGAATCACCTGGCTGCGGTTGCAGGTGGATGTGACACAGAGATAGACTCACTGTGCACAAGACCGTCAAGCAGGCCTTTCATCTCGTTTCGCCCACAATGCATCATTCGATACATCTGGGCACCAAGCGACTTGGTGACGGTTGTGTCTGTTCTATGAGTTAGATCGGTTTAAATGCTCATGTTAAAGGGGAAAGAGAGAGATTGACCATAGAGAACCTGCTCCTGGAAATTTCGGTCCTTGTGCGCCCGGGACATGTTCACCTCACGCATGAGACAGGAACTCTTTTCCTGAATATCGCTGAGACTTTGATCAATCTTTTGTCGGTAATAATCCATGGTAAATGTGGCTCTAAGTGCCCGCTTGGCTAGAAGGGAGGATGAGAAGGTCAGTATGGCCACAGCTATTCCGGAGCGAGTGGTATGATGCAACTCACTCAGGCTAGAGACGAAGAAGCCTAGTACCAGTTCAACAGCATATAAGACCGCGACGATGAGGTCCGTGGACGCTGACAGGATATTTTCGTCACCGTCAAACGCTTGCAGGTAAACCTCGACCTCAGCGAACTTGCGGTCAATGTCGTCGAACGCGGCGACCATGTCCTGCCGCAGCTTGACTGCTTTGGCAGCAGCCTTAAGATTGTTATGAGTGAGTTTGAGCTTGAAGATTTATCGGGGGAGAATCTTACCTCAAGAACCAGCTGTACCGCGCCCAGGACGGGTGTCACATAGTCATTGTTCATCACATTCTGCCCTACCTTCAGTGCTGCAAGATTGATGCCAGCGCCGTGATCGGCTGACTTGCGATACACCTTACGAAAAGTTCCTTTGAATCCGGAATCTGTCTTGCAGTATTCGTCCTTGGCAGCCTGGAGCTCGTCATACACCTCGTTCCAGGAGCACTTGCTGCGGATGCTGTGGCCCTTCTTCTTGATATCGGGAGGCTCGATAGGGTGCGCCGCAGTGAATTGGTCCATGGCGGGCTTGAACAGCCGGTCCCAGAACTTCATTGCTGTGCCAGGCTCTGCCCGCGTCCGTGCTGGCAGCAGGCACTTCGCGACATCCGACGGCGAGAGCATGGGCGGCCTCAACGCTTCCTGCGCACCATTATGAACGGCCATACTCCCGACATCTGGTTCTCGCGCCAAGTCGTCAATCACAAAGCCCTGGAGGCGCTCATCGTAGTGGGACGGCGGGTTGGCAAAGCCAGGGTGGAACGCATCAAGTCGTGTTTCGATGAATACGACCGAATCCGAGCGTAGGCGGGTGTCAGGCTCACTGTTCTGCACATGAGAATCCATCGAGATCACTGCTATGCTCTGGCTGAAAGGCGATACGGTGCGTGCTAGTATGAAGGAAATTTTCTGGAGTTCTGTCCTGCCCAGCCTCCCCGTCCCAAGTGCACCCCGACAATACTCGACTCGACCCTTTTTTTGGCCCCCACCCAATACGTAGACACGAGGCTGAGCACGATGTAGCGTCAGAATTTGTTGGGTGTAGGAGTGGAGAGTTGGGCTGATACAGGCTGACATGCATGTGTGCCCAATGGCCAATCTGTGCTACGCGCGCGCCTGCAGGTTGTCACGGAGTCGAGACTACTTACTCTGATGGGATCTAGTCCGGCATGTGTCGCGCACTCACCCGCCCAATTCTCATCCATTTTGGCTGGTCTAGCACTTTTGCTCTCCGTAATCACCTATGCGGAACTACTATGGCCGAGGAGAAGGCAAAGAAAGTCGACGAGTCCGTCAGCAACAATGAGGCTCCCGCCGATTGCACCGATTGGGATGACGAGCGGGATGACCTCACAACAAAGCCCGAAGCATCTGGAACCGTCATAGATGAAATAAAAGCCTTGAAGGAGAGGCTGCTATTCCTCGAGAAGCAATGCTCAGGCGGCTTGATCTTGGACGAAGAAGAGTTGCCTCCTGAGCGGATGCAACAAGCTCGGCGTGCCCGGAAATGGGTACAGAAGGCAGAGACAGAAGCTGAGAGAACGGCAGAAGAGCGCGCCGATTTCGGGAAAGGAAAAAGTGATATACAGGACGACCACGGCATGTTTAAGATACAAAAGGGTCTGTATCATATTTCCAAACCGAGGGCGGGAAAACGGTACTTCCTTACAGCTCGGGCGGCTTCCATGTTCGAAAAGGAGATGGACAAGCTGCCCATCGAGGGACTTCGAATTCCCACGTCGCTGCGACCGCCGGATCTGAGCAAACTCGGTGCCCGCAGTCAATGGGATGAGTCTGACAGCGACGCATGGGACAGCGACGAGTCGACGAGGACGCGCGACTTTGACTACTTTCAGGCCCGCCTGCGAGGCGACTTTGAGTGGGAGGTCGACCGTCTTAACATGCAGCGAAAGCGGTACGCCGAGTTCAAAAAGAAGAAGCAACTCAAGGATGATCTTAAACTCTGGAACGCCCGTGCTGGTCAGGTTCAAATCAAAGACGGCGATGGCAACGTTGTTGGCAGCAGCAAGAACAACGTGTCTCCGTCGATTGAATCGCTTACGCAAGGAGACCTACCCGGACTGCTCATCATGGACTGGAACGGGTTCAGCGCCGTCCTGCTAAGTTCCAGTCGTCCATTCTCCTCAGCCATTATCATACTCGAGGGCGAGCCCAAGATTTCAACCAGTGTATCCTTCCTCAGACACATGTTTAGGCCACCCGTCGCCAAGAATACGTCTGAGAAAGCGGAGCCAGAGTATGACGGCCACACAGTGCTCCCCGAACGCATATGTATATTCTCCGAGCCATTAATCAGATTGCTATCTGAGCTCACAGAATCGGAAATCTCCCCCGGAAATGACATCCAGAACCCCAGCGTCGTTCTCTTGCGCCCCTACCGCCTTCTCACTCACTACGACATCGCCATCCGCAAGATGCACGAAACACTCACAGGCCGTGTTGCTGAACTCAACACTGCCTTGCCTGAGGACGGGAAACTTGATCCTAGTCCAGTTCCTGCCACGCCTGCCCCTACTCTTGCTGATCTCGACGATGCTGGTGGCAACCAACCTGATGTTCCAGCCGGGACCAACAGCCTCAACACAAGTGAAGAAAAGACTTACAGCAAAGCCAAAGAGGATCTACAGCACCTGTCCTGCTTGATAAGCTTCATGGACAATTATCTATCCAAGCGTATAACCTGGCTGAAGTCGGTTCACTGTGAGAAAATCCATTTCTCTGATATCTGGCACATCTACAAGCCGGGCGATTTTGTGATCTCGGCCAACGGCAAGCAGGTGTACCAGGTAGCGGCCGTCGATAGTGGTCAGCACAGGGGCAAAGACCCTTACAGTATCTTCGGAAACCGCAATGTCGATGAGGATGACAGAATGGAGGCTGCACAGAATGCCGTCATCTCATGTGTGTACATCAGCTACGACGGCACTCTGCTCGGCCCCGTCGTGGAACCTTTCCTAGTCAAAAGGTTCGACGGAGAGCGGAGTATTACTACGCTGGAGGTTCTACCGCTCCGTTACCACGTGATGAAGATGCCTGAGGTGGCACGGCGGCTCGCCAAGTTCGAGGGCGACGCCCAGATCCGCGCGCTCGAGACAGAGATAGAGATTTTCCGGGAGGAACTAGCTTGCCGTGGCCGTAAATTCGTCTCCGTCGCGGCGGTCAAGCATATGGATTATGCCGGACTCACGGCGGACAAGCGCGACGACGTTGAAAGCCAGGTAATGATCGACGTGCAAGAAGCTTTTGCAGTCGAGGAGAACGCCGATCAACGCCCGAAGTTTAGCCGTGTGCATGGCACCTATACGGACAAGAGCAGTAGTATAACACTCTGCAATTCCGAATGCTGCTTCCGCCAAAACATCCATCTCGACACAGTTGTCCAGGCCAAGGCACATGAAGATTTTGTTGCCGCGAAGCTCGAGAAGCTTGACTCCTCGGAAACCGTCCAGCCTCCTGTCTCTCTGGTTGCGCGTAACGTCGCAGAGGTCAAGGCCGATGGATCTCTCTTGACTACCGCCGACTTCATGATAATGTCCTATTCCGTCTTTGGCTTTGTCCTGCGCAATCGATCTTGGTGTAAGCAAGTCAAGTGAAAATTGACCGAAGATTACGGGTTATGAAGAGAGTTCTTGGGCTAACAATATCTCACAGCAAAATTGGACTTGGATTTTCTCAGCGACATAGATAAGGCAGAAGAGTCTGCAGAGGCCCAGTTCGAGGGTACTCATACAAAGGACAGTGATGACAACGAAGGCGGAGACACGAGTGACGATAGCGACAACGATGATGGTTCCAACAACGCCAGCAAGACGACTTTTTCTCAGCTGGTCCTCCCTCCTGGACACAAGAAAATGGTGTTGTCTCTTGTGTCGCAGCATTTCAGGAACAAGGAGTCGTTCAAGAGGCGAAACGAAAAGGTGGATATCGTCAAAGGCAAAGGTAAGCAATGCGTGCCGTTGATCAGACCTAGCCTTGAAAAGCCTCGCTAGGCTGACACATTATTTATAGGTAAGGGCCTGATCATTCTCCTTCATGGCGCTCCTGGGGTTGGAAAGACAACGACTGCTGGTAAGTTGTCCACAAACACACAAGAACAGGAGTACAGGATATGCTGAGACTACGTAGAGGGTGTGGCCGAAACATTTGGCAAGCCGCTATTTCAAATCACATGTGGTAAGTGGAGGCTGATCTCAATTTCTTCAAGATGGCGGACTGCGACTAATTCATGTTGTTGCAGGTGACTTAGGAACCAACGCTGAAGAAGTGGAGGAATCGCTGCAGAAGACCTTTGCTCTTGCCAGCCGGTGGGACTGCATTCTACTCCTGGACGAGGCCGATGTGTTCCTCGCGGCCCGTCGACGCGACGACTTCACTAGGAATGGCTTAGTAGCGGGTATGTATTGTGGTGTAGCTCATAGCTCCATTGCCATCCCCTTGGGTAGTAACGACGAGTGGGGTGAAATGCGGTGATAGTTACTAACAGGAGTCTTATCCAAGTCTTTCTACGAGTCCTTGAGTACTACGCCGGCATTCTTTTCCTTACCACTAATCGCGTGGGTGATCTTGACGAAGCCTTCACCTCCCGCATCCATATGATCCTGCACTACCCGCAGCTTGACAGGGTCTCGACTGGCAGAATCTGCCGACTGAACCTCAACATGATTCGCGACCGCTACAAGGCTGCTGGCCGCCATATCAAGATCGACCAGGACGAGATCGAGGATCACGTCCGTGAGTACTGGGATCACCACAAAGATGCCCGCTGGAACGGTCGCCAGATTCGCAATGCTTGCCAAACTGCCCTCGCCCTGGCTGAGTACGACACCCAGCCCAAGAACAAGAAGCACGACCTGGCAGAGCAGACCCACGCCAGAGTCCACCTCAAAGTCCGCCACGTCAAGCGCGTATCCAAGGCCTATCTGGCGTTCCTTGAATACCTGCGGAGCATACACGGCACCGACTCCGAGACTCGAGCTAGGGAGCTGGGCCTTCGCGCCCTCGAGAGAGTCATCGGAGAAGCTACCATGGCCGCCGCCGACTCCTTCGGCGAACGTCTTAGACGGCGTGATGGCACCTATAGAGGAAGGGAGGCAGCAGCCCAGCACAGGTACTCATTCCGTGACAAGTTTCGGCCTGACCTGTCGCCCAGACCTCAGCAACCGCCGCAGCAGCAGCCTTATCCGCCTGCGCCGCATGATCCATACATGACGCAGGACTTGCCACAACGGCAGACAAATTTTGCGCCCCAGCGACAGTTTCCAAGTCACGACCCATATACTCGTCCGCCTGCCCTAGACCCGCAGTCCATGGCGTCTATTGCCGGTGCCTCCGGGTATGGCCCGGAACAAGATTACGCCACAGCTTCGAGAAGCCCGCGGATGGCGCCGGCTCAGACGTATGGCCCGCCCCGGGAACAGCCACAGGCACACGATGTCCCTCGATATGGTGCCTATCCGCGCCAGGGGAATGTGCCCGATTATGAAGCGGCACCGGGCCCTAGTTCTTACCAGACATCCCGTCCCTACCAGCAAGAACCGTAGAAGGGAATATCTTGAGGCTTGGTCGGGCGCCGGGACATAACAAGGAGCGCACATTTCTAAAAGAGGTAGTTCCGCACACTGTTGCTTTACTACTAGTGAACCGTGATGATGAATCTGCAAGTTTCGCGAGCGATTTCTTTCAAGAGTTGCAACGTTAGGGTCTAGTTCTTTCGTGGGGTTTATTTCTTTCTGCAAGGGTTCTTTGCTACCTTACGTAAACGCCTGAGTACATGAATCCATCTAAAGATTACACGGTTTATTCTTCTTTTTGTCTATTTCTCTCTTCTGCGTGTTCAAATGTGCCGTTGTCCGTAGGTATCTGATAGTTCCCTGACCAGATATCACAGTGACCCGATGTGGCCTCTTCGGTGGTCTGTCTCTGTATCTTATCGACCCGTTTGTCTTGATAGAGCTACTGTGCTGCTCCTGCTTATGCCGACAGTGATACCATTTCTCTTCCTTGTCTAGAATTGTTAAAGAACCGTTGTATTTCCCACTAATCTTCAAATATCTGACAAATCAATATCAGCTCTGTTGATCAGTACCGGAGTGAGGTGGTGGTACGCCTGGTCGGTTGGCCAGTTCCTCCTCTTGATGCCTTCGCAGATCTTCAAGCCCCCAGGTGCCGACGCCATCCTGGTCGACCGGAAGTGGCTGAGCCATCTCGTTGAGAAATTGTTTGGCGTTGCTCACAGCCATGTCGGTGCTGAGATTGATATTTGCTTCAAGAAGAGCGTGACTGATCCACTTTGGGAGCTGCATTCTTTTCCTCTCGAATCGACGGTCAGCCAGAACCATAACGCCGTAGTCATCCTTGCCCCTTATAACACGCCCAAGACACTGTGTTACGTGACGCATCGCGTCGAACGATAGAAAGTCGTCCTCTCGAATGCGATATGTTTGACGCAGGAATTCTAGCCGAGCCTTCATGATCCTTGATTCCGTGTGAAAGGGTACTCCGATACAGAGAACACAGCGCCCATATTGACGACTGAAATCAATTCCCTCAGGGACCTTTCCACGAGCCAGGCATAGAAAAACAGCGCCTCGCCCATTTGAACAAGCGGTACGGTAAGTTTCAAGAGCTAGCGAGGTCTCTTGTGCAGTTGGCGTTTCCACTAAGAGTACCTTGTAACGCCATATCTCATCGAGTATGCCCATCCCCTGCCACACACTAATGGTAGACTCCATGTAGAGAGATGAAGGGAAAAAGACAATCAAGCCATCCGGGGTAACCTTGACAAAGTCAACAAGAAGGCGACCATAATTCCGTAAGACACTAGGGTCATGCTGCATCCGGATACTCGTAGCTATAGCGGTTTGGTCACTCCCACGGGTGACTATCATTGGTAGGAAGGATTGTCGAGATGACCAGGTGATAGTATAAGACCGCTCCATAACGGGAGTAAAATCCAACATCTTGGGATAGATCTCTAGAGGAGAGAGATCTCCGGAGGTGATAATGACAGTGCGAAACCGCTCAAATACTGGTTTGATGGCTATTGCAGCATCAAGACAGACGAAATGCAAGACAGGGTCCGACACCTCCATTGTATTGGAGACAAAAGGTTCAAGAATGACATTGAATCCTTTGTCATATGTCGCCACAAGGGTCGCAAACATAGCAATGTCTCCGAGGGATAGAAAGTCTTCCAGGCCATCATCAGTCGGCTCAAGAGTCCTCATCAACGAGGCGAGGCGTTCTGCGCAGAATCGCAAAGCTTTTCGCTCAATGAAGGTGTGCTCTTTGAGATGAACCAGGAAAGACGCTGGCGATTCTAAGATGACTTGACGGGCTTTGATGCGAGTCTACACAACCCTCACGCATCATAAGGTCAGTTCTAGTACAACTGACGTTGACAATGCTTGGATAACTTGATTTTGCGAACGGAGTGAGAGAGCCCGCATGCCTTTAAGTATTCAATAAACCTTTGTAAAAGGCTCACAAAATGCTCTGCCTTTCTAATGTTGCCAGGTACAGGTTCTCGCAACAGATGCTGGGGAAGGACTGGAGATATGTTAGCTTCGGGCTTCAACTGGCTGATGTGATATGATTTACCCGGATTGACTAGGCACTCCTCTTCCTGGCTCGGGTCAATGGTATCACGCAGGCTATCGACCAGCCTATAGTACTCAGCCTTCAGCTTGTCGTGGTTGGTCTCCTTCATCTCCTTGACTCTTTGGTTGAGCTTTTGTGTGCCTCGACTGGCCCGCCCAAGAGCTTCATCAGTGATATCGCAGCTCAGCGACTCGGTGCATACGTTATCAATGTTGTGAGCTTCATCAAAGACAACAATACTATCTACCAAGAAGGACCTGGAAACAGTCTCGGCGATCTTTGGGTCTAGGAGGTAGTGATGTGAGTATATGATAACATCGCTATACTGCATCTATATGTGTTTTAAAGTCAGCGGACATCGTACGATATAGTTGCGTAAGACTTGTTACACACCATCCGCCTAGAAGTAAAGTACGGGCATTGTTTATGCTGCTCTCCATAGCGTAGTAGGTCGTCCAATGTCCAGATTCCATTTGGGATAAGATTGCGCGGCTCGAGCAAATCCAGGTTCTAAGATGTGAGCAACAAGTTAGTGGGACTCATTCTTGGCTAGGATGGGAGGTGAAGGCCATACATCGTGATAAACACAGCCTTCAAGATCTTCGCCTCGATTTCTCTTTTCCCTCACGAATGTGGCAGTCAAGAGTCGACATTTAGCATCCACGACTCTGCTGCTTTTCTCTTGCTTGAGCAGTGGGTGGAGGCACAGGTTCTTCCTGCTAGTCAACCCAAGGCCGCGAAATTCTTCCTCATACCCAAGTTCGACAGCTCGGTACTTCATCAAGGCTTTTAGCTCCAGTAGTGCCTTCTCGATTTCCGACATTGTACCTATATTGATTAACGTCATGCAAGGGAATGTCCATGACCTGTTAGCTCACGGGAGCAGTAGATGAGCTTTCGCCTGGTTGGCGAATGCTGTTGGTACGCGACGATGAGGCTTAAAAGCGCCACTGTTTTGCCGGTCGCGGATGGCATCTCCAGGAGGCATTTCCCCCCAGCATCGAGTGTTCCTAGTGATGCGTGTCAACCTTTCAGGCCACGAAGAGAGGGCCTGATGTGACAGTTAATCATTACGTTTCAGATCGCAGATGTAGGCATATTGCTCCGGGTATATCTTCGGATACGGAAATAGGACTGGAAGGTCATCGACAAAGAACTTCATTCTGGTAGAACAGGACAAGATGGAATAAGCAAACGGGGTACGTCGGAAATCGAGGGCACAAGGTCGTGAGGGAGAAAAAACATAAGAGGTTTGAAGATCACCCCCAAGCCGATTTGTCTAGCATTTGGCGGGGTTAAACTACGAATTCTAACGAAATGCAATCACATGACTCTCGGGGCAGAAAACAAAACATGACCAACCTCACATACAACATTGAACAGGGGATTCATCTTGGCAGCTGGCAACTGCAATTAGAAGTTGCGTGAAGTCACAGCCAATGCTCTACAACACCGTCTTAAGACCCGTATCATTACACCAACCTCTGAGCACCTTGGAGGATCCCCTTGCCTGCGCGGAGAGCACAGGGCATGTGAGGAAAGGAAAAGAGTGACCTAGCTACCTAGGTATCGTATTCTATCCAGATATTTATATGCAGCTTAGCGAAAGATTCGCACTCCCCAACCAACAACAGAGTGGGGTGATTGCCACGCAAGCTCACAACCGTGGCAGTGCAACCCTGGCTAAAATCTCGCATTCTCTACTTTACTCCGCACGCCCCTTCTGCACCATAGGAAGCACCTTTCTCGGCATGTCGCAGGTGCGGTCTCTGTCATCTTACAAAGGCTCCTACTGTCTTTATAGAGAGTCAACCCGGTTGGGGATGACTGCATTGGCCTGCAACGTTAAGTTCTTTTGGAACACGAACCCAGAATAAAATGGCCGATACCACAGATCAATGTATATTCACTTCACTGATGCCCTATCCATCCGGCCTTCAATCCACTGACAGTTTACCACGGACTCTCTTCCAAACAAAGGAGAACCGGGCCGCAACTACTCAAGCTTGTGGGAGCAGAATTGGGCAGCCGAACCTAACGGTCCAACATCGCCAGTTCTCACACCTTGTCCGTGGCCAGACCCATCAGATGCTATGAGTCAGATCGCTCAGCATGCCTCTGGCTCTATCTCCTCCCAGTCTGCTGGCCCGGTTGAATATGGCGTCCTATCTGTCGAGTTCTGGCAGGTCAGAACTCGCTTGCACAGGCGATGGAAACCACTTGTTATCTTGGAGCTAGACGGTCACCAGTCCCTTATTGATCCATCAAGGCTGAGCCCTGTTGAAGGGCGTCGTGACCTACTGTGGCTACCACAAGGGCGGCGGAGTATTCTTCACTTGGATGTATCTGCTTACGAAACACGATCCTGTGAGGCAACTGTACATCTTCTCTTTCGCAACTTTGACTCGAACCGATCTGCCAGAAAGGATGACATGATGCATCTTGGGACCGCCAAACTGGGTCCTTTCTTTGGATCCTTCACCAAAGACCCGCAGACTCTTCAGTTCCACGACGATGTAGCAACGGTCGACTTAAACGTGTCACTTTCTTGGGGAAACCTTCGGTCTATACCGAAATTGAGCTTGTGGGAAAGACTGACACTAAACATCGGCGAAGTGAGATTCTCCAAGGAAATAGAACCGCGAAACCTATATTTTATATCAACCATCTCATCAGGCGACTATCGGCATGGGTCGGCTACTAAGTCTTTGAACAACCCTCTGCTTGCACCGGTGAGGTTTGTTTATGGGTCACCAGGTCTACTTCATCTGCTGAGTCCTCTACCCGGGGGCGGATCCCTCTTCAGCCACCTTCAGAGGGAACGACGGTTTCCCATCGAGCAGGCGCGACTGTATGCTGCTCAACTTGTGTGCGTTCTGGAGGCGCTACATGATATGGGCATCACCGCTCTTCTGAGCTCAGAAAATGTCTTCTTGGACCCGTTTGGTAACATCCGCGTCTGCACCCCAGCACTATTCGCTGAGAACGAGTCTCGCAAAAGCCAGCTGGAATATCCGCCTCCCGAAGTCCTTCGTGGAGATGAAGCTACGTCAGCTGGAGACTGGTGGATCTTGGGAGCCTTTCTCTACGAGATGATGGTTGGACTACCCCCATTCTATGATTCGGATGCGATCGAGAGAGACCGCAAAGTCCTTAGAGCAACCCTTGATGTTCCTGCGTACGTACCAAACGCTGCGGCAGATGTCTTGCGTCGCCTTCTCGAGAAGGACCCCGCAAGCCGTCTGGGTGTAGCGGATGGAGTATCAGGGATCAAGAGTCACAGTTTCTTTCGGGATCTAGACTGGCACGCCCTCCTTGCCAAAGGGCCTCAACACTTGCTGAGCCCTTTCATACCACCACCAATATTATTGGTCAACACCTTCCGCAACGAAACAACTGCCTCTAAGAAGCCGCCAAAGCATCCCGAAGAGTACGAAGAGAGAGATGGATACCTATACAAACTGATCGATTTTCTTGGCGGCTCGAAGGTCCCAATGCCGCAAGGTCAAGTGAGAAACTCGTCTGAAATTTCCAACCCAGTTCTTCCCGAGCCAATCGAGCAGCCGGATCCGACCGAGACTGCAGACCACCTTGGTCAAGCTAACAGTTCGAGCTCTGAACGTGCCAAGGCGCTGCTCAAAGAGGCTTTGTACAAAGGTTGGGACCTGCAAGCAGTGGCCCATATATTTGACAGCTGCGCGGTCGGGGTTGCAGATTTGTTGAACTCTTCAATCGTTCAGGTCAGGCAGGCCCCTATTGGGGTAATCGTAAGTGAACTTTGGGAGAGAGAAAGAGCAGATATCACACCCCTCGAATGGGCTGTGGAACTCGGGCGAGCCGATCTCGTGAGCCTTTTCTTGGACCGCGGCGCTGACGCCGATCGGACATATGACGAGGTGGACGGCCCCGGTTTGATGAGGGCAGCGAGGAGGAGAGATATACCCCTTGTAGAGCTCCTAGGTTCGAGGACCAGCCGCATCTTTTGTATCAGGGCGCTCTGCTTGGCGGTAGAACTGAGGGATACCTCGATGGCGGAGGCGATGGTTGCCCAAGGAGTCCCATGTGACTTTGAGGAGGGTGACCGGCTCTTGCCCGCCCCATCGAGGCCACCCAGTCCTTGGGATTTCCAGTGCGGTTCCAACACAGATCTGCCAGAGCCACACTACCATATCTCTCCCCTGGTAAGGGCGGCAAGGCATGGTGATACGAATATGGTGCGATTCCTGCTAGACAACGGCGCTGACGCCAATGCGGCATATCATTGCTTGGATAGCTTCGTCCCCGACTACAATACTTCATGGCAAGAAGAGATAGAACTCCGGGACAAGCGGAAGAATGGGACGGGCTGCGGACGGGTTGTGCAGTTGGCAATGTGGCTAGGATACAGAGACGTCGTCGAGGCGCTGTTGGCCGGCGGAGCGGATATCGATCTGCCTCATCCAGAGTGGAGAGTACCGGACCACACCTGCTATTTGACTTGCCGTAGCTCGTATCTCCAGATCACGGCGGAACTAGAAGATGCGATGAGGGCTGTAGTTCAGGGCACGACTCGGGGAAAGCCGGCTTTGAGTGGTTAGTAGTCTTCCCCTGTGCTGTATTTCATGCATATGGTGTGGCACAGGGAAACCTTGCGGCTGTGATATCGTTATTTGGCAGTGAGCCAGGGCTTGGCATAATTGTGTTGCATGTATGTCTGAAAGTATATTCTACCCGTATTTTGGGTGGGGGAGTTGTTGATGGTGGCCATTTTGGGTATGAGACTATGTACCTCCACCTTGCAGGTCCAAGGCAAGGAACTTCAAGTGTGTCCCCTACCTACGTTTCCTCGCACAGCATGAAACTCTTGACTTGTGTGCGTAGATAATTACTGTAAGTATCCGAACCAGCGTGGTACTTCACATGGGCTGAGCCCGCCCAATAGGGTCAACAGTACTTTCGATATATATGATTGTACTGACCGCCGATGTTGATTCTGTGCAGTGCAGGTTGAATGAACACTTAGGTCACCACTTAAACCAATGGCAATTCATTTACCAACAGTCGTGTGGCTTTCCCTTATGCAGCTTATTCAGGGTGGTTGCCTAAAGATCTGATCGGCCCCACTGGAATGGCATGTCATCATTGGCAATCATTGAATTCTCAGATATTGCGTGTCCATACTTGACACCATCAACAAGAATGGCAGCGGCACACAAGACAGGACTCTTCCAATCCATTGAGCCCCAGCTGCAGGGCAGCCTCCTGATACGAGATGAGCTATATGGCAACTTCGATATATCGGAACCTGTTCTCGTGGAGCTTTTGCAATGTCCTGCGGTGCAGCGGCTCGGAGAGGTCGGCCAGCACGGCGTCACGGGGTTTCTCGGCTTGACAAGCCCAGTCACCAGGCTCGAGCACTCCATCGGCGCCTTGTTACTGGTGCGGGGAGCCGGGGCATCACTCGAAGAGCAAGTCGTTGCACTCCTCCACGACATCGCCCACACCGCCTTCAGCCACGTCATCGACTGGGCGTTTGCCAGCAACGGTGACGCGGACGAGAGCTTCCACGAGGTGCACAAGATGCGCTACGTCAACTCGACCGAGCTGCCGGCAATACTTTCCAAGCATGGATTCGCGGGTGGGAAAGTGTTTGAAGAGGAACTGTTTGGGTTGGTGGAGCGGCCGGCGCCGCACCTGTGCGCCGATCGACTCGACTACAGCTTGCGCGACATGGTTAGGCCTGGCCACTTGGGCCCCGCCGATATCAGGGAGCTGCTTGCCCACCTGGTGCCATATCCCGACGCGAGTGCTGAAGATCGTCTCTTCGTCATGAACGACGTCCAGGCGGCCGAGACCTTGGCACGCGAGTATATGGCGGCAGACCGGGATATGTGGTCTAATCCCGCGCACATTGAAATGTACCGCCGCACTGGACAACTCATCGGTACGATAATCAGGCGTGGAGGGGTAAAGGAAGAGCAACTATGGTCTTTGTCCGACAAGGAGCTCTGGGAGGCGCTACGCAAAGAGGGTACTGACGAGGAGCGAGAGGTGATGAAGAACCTAGAGGAGAATGGATTGCCGGCCGAAGACAACCTCCCAAGCGGAACAAAGATTCGCACTATAGACCCTGAAGTTCTGGTCTCCTCAGAGGTCAAGCCGGTACCCCTATCGAGTCTTTCAAAACAATGGGCAAAGGACCAGGAGAATTACATCTTGGCTAGGAAGAACATCCAGGGTAAAGCCTCGGAGACTGCTTAGGCAAATGCAGAATCACATAGCAATACTAAAAAGGAACATCATACAGAATATATTGGGCACCGTTCATCCTGCATAGCTCTACCTCGAAGGCCGCGGAATACAACAAAGATAGCACATAGGCATCGAGTTTGGTTCAAATGACATAGTCCTTGAATTGCCGGGTTGGCACCTTGCGCTCGAACGTGATATCGAGCTCCTCGAACGTGCGACCCTTGCCCGAGAAGATAGAAATACCAAATGCAAGCCAACACCGAGACACCACCATAAATCAACGCAGTTTGGTAACAATATCGGCTTCGGTTTCATTAAGCAAGTAGGGAGAGGCGACGTTTGGACAATACCTATCAAGGAATAGGCAATCAGAGCAATGGCCACTGTGTGGCCGCGCAGACGAGCGGGAGGCGTCTCGGAGAAGATAAGTGACAGGGCCAAGCTTCTTCGAGAGGAAAGAGAGTCACCTCTTGAAGAACGGTTTTGATCTTCAGGGGATAGCATTTCCTGTCTAATTTAACGGCAGTATCCGTGCCTGTCCAGTGATCATCGACCAAGCGATTCGGGGTTCAGAAGTCCAGGGGGGCTTTGCTGTGATACTCCACTCTCAGGGTCTCCAAACCCTGCGAGGAGCACAAGAGCCATCAGGCCTCAGCTTTCGCCTGAGATGAAGCGGATGGTCCACATGCGGCCGCTATCTCTTGGCACCGCCCGCCCCGCCTGGGTGCTATGGAATGCCTCCCACTCAGCCCCCAACTTTCATCGAAGGAACAGGATCGCGTAACTATGTGCAGTCTCGCGAGCTGTCCACAGCAATAACCGTTTCGGATGTTGACCCATGCAACCCTGACTACCTGGGCTGGCCATTAGCCGCCCAATACGACACTCCTAGTGCTGACACGAATGGCCCCCAAACATACAGGGGTTCGATCCCATTAAGCGCGGACCAAGCCTCATAAAGAACAAGTAAACATAAGAGCTCGCTTCGGGCCGCTCTGAAACAGCTTTATTCTGCAAAATCAGGTTAGAACATGTTCGCCTTGTGACTTTATGTGATTTCATTCATTCGAAGGTTTGTTTGGTTCTTGTCATCGGTCGCGAGCTTTACGTGGTGTGATATCTCAGCGAAGCAATATTGTACCATCTTGGACTTCTGGCATTTTCATGTTCTTCATCCATAGTGGGTCACCATGAAGGAAGAGCAGCCTGTGGGCTCGTCGGATGAGAAACAAGATGGAGAAGCGTCGATGAAGGAGGTGTGGGCTGAAGCGGCCAAAGCTTTTGAGACCATATGCGGCGAGTCACTGCAGAAGGGCGAAGTGAAGACCTTCGACGATGTCCAGAAGAGGATCGAAAGTAGCGGCAAAGCGACTTTTGAGTCCGAGCCCCAAGACAAATGGGACACGGCGAAAGGGCTGGGACTGAAATCGCTAAAGTACCTGAAGATGCTCGTCGGAGCAGCCTCTCAAGCTTCACAATTCATCCCGATCCCGGCAGAGGCTGTCAGCATCACTGGCTCCGCGCTCGGCTTTGTGTTCGACATCCCTCAGGCCATCAAGGGCTATAACGACGCCATCAACGAGGTCTTTGGCGAGGTCGCCCCGGCGCTGTCCCAGTTCCAGATATACCGATCGATAGACAATGTCGACCCGCTGCTCGTCAGGCAGATCCATACAGTGCTGGTCAGCTTCGTCAAGGTCTGCGCCCATGTCGTCAAGTACCGCCAGGGCCGTAAGCGCGACCGCTTTCTGCAGCAGGTCAAGTCGGTTTTCGAGAACGACTCGGGTCTGTCGGCTGAGATGGCGCAGTTCAAAAAGGCCCTTCAGTGGCAGCGCGACGTCGAGGGCACTATCACCCTAGCGGTCGTGGTGGAGACGCGTCAGGACATGATGCTGCTGCTTGAGAGGTTCAGTGACTTGAGCAGAGCCAACGAGGAGACGCAGCAGACGGTACAGGAGATGCACAAAGGGGTGCAGGCTCTCAAAGACGACTCTGATCGAACCAAGACGCTGGTCAAGATCCGCGACGGCCTCGGCGTGCCATCGACTGTGCGCCTCGACACCAACACCACGCAGACATGCATCAACGTCCTAGATAGGTGTCTCGACGGCACTGGTTCGTGGATATGGACCCACGATGCGTATACGTCGTGGATCGGTCCCAAGGAGAAAGGCAACTCACACGTACTCTTCGTCACGGGCTCCCCGTCTTCGGGCAAGACGTCCGTCAGCGCCCTCATCACGAAGCGTCTCCAGGAGCAGAAGGGGCGCACTTACAGTGCCCACTACTTCTTCCCCGCGAGCATCAAGAATGACGACTATGAGCAGAATGCCGTGCTGACAGCCTTGAAGTACATGGCGTTCCAGATCGCCCGTGTTGATGCCACGGTGCAAAAGGCACTGGGCAAGGCATGCGACGCGGGCCCCCTCGCAATCCGCCGTTCAACGAGCTCTGAGACTTTGGACGCGCTTTGGGGAGAGCTGAAGATCGGTGTGCCTGGCTCAGGCGCCACATACTACTTGGTGTTTGACGGGCTTGAGAATGTGCCCAAGAAGCAGGCTGAGTCGTTGCTCAAGTTTGTCTTTGGACCCCGGCTCTCAGGCGATCCATCTAGACGTGTTCGCATTCTGCTCAGCGGGACGGACGAACAATATCCCACCTCGTCCGCAGGAACGATGCCGCTCAGGATCCAGATGGAAGATTTCAACGGGTTGGATATGCGCACAGTCATCGACGAAGCGCTTAGCAAGCGCAGTATGCTGCAAAATGCCAAGACAAACTCAGACCAGCAGAAAGCGAAGGACAAGATTCTCGAAAAGTTACCCCGGAACGTCAATGGCAGCTACTCTATGCTGCAGTTTGGTCTGGACAGGGTGATACGCTCGCTTAGCTCACGAACGGCAGTGCAGGAGCTAGACCGGATTCTGGATCAGTCCATGAGCAGTCACGAGGCCGCTATCAACAATCTTCAACGGTCACTGACTGCGGAAGAGATCGCTGAGCTCAATGAGCTCCTCAAATGGGTGGTGTATGGCCACGACTATCTGACCCTGGATCAGCTCGAGGCTGTCATGGTAAGGCAGTTCCCTCTGATTTTCGCCCGGGAAAGCAGCTAACAGTGTGTATCAGTGGCTTTACTCAGGCATAGTATCCCTCACTCCACTAGAGTACATCATCACAAACAAGTACTCAGCCGTACTAAAGCTCGAGAACGGCTTCGTCTACTTCCAAGACGGCGCGCTTGAATATCTTCAGACCAAGAAGGAGTCTGCGAATCGTGCATCAGACCGCGCGACCATCAGTATGACCATTACTATCAATAACGTCGAGCGAGAACAGTGTCGTCACTTTCTGTGGGATCTTGCGCACATGGCGATCCGGGACAACTTCAACTTCAACGCCGACTCTTCCAACGTTTTGCAAGGGGGTGGCATCCACGACACCATCTCAGTAGACGAGTTTGATGCGCATCATACAATGGTCACCCGGACGTTCGAATACCTGAACAATGAGCCCACGGACCAGACCAAGGAGATTGGCAAGTATCTTATCGCGTGGCTGCCCTACCACCTGGCGCAGCTTCGTCAACTTGAGGACGAGGACAAGGGAATGCTCATGCCTCACGATCAGTTCAAGATCGGTCAAGACCTCTATAAACTCTTCCGGGATGACAGGGTTATTAAGAATCATAGGGCTACCTTTCAGGAGACGTACTGGACGGTAGATGAGATGAACGATATGCAGAAGTGGTTGATGGACTCCGCCATCGTGCGAAAACTGGACAAGAAATGGCGCTCCAATGTGCAGCTGGCTGCGAACCCGACAAGAGGATATCTGAAAGAGATTGTGAAGATGGTCGTGACTGGACTTTTGCGAGACAGGAGCTGGGATGTGGCCAACGCTGCATTGTGGCTCAAAGAGTTCATGGCCGTAGTGAGTCAAGGGATCACTTTACATAACATGCAAATGCTGACTGCCATGGAACAGGACGAAGGCCCCGTCGCAGAACCTGAAGTGTCCACTGCTGTAGAAAACGAAGATGCAGCTTCGTCCGCCGAGTCTTTCTCAGGCAACAACGCATCGAGTGATTGTATCGACTGGGAACGCGCAGCGACATGGTGTCAGGCAGTCCTGGGGCTCGCGGATTCAGACCTCGACTCCCTCTGGTACGAGCGTCTTGCGGAGAGCTCGTTCACCCAGGGTGTCGACCTACACGTGACCTTATCCTTCTACGAACGTGCCGTAGCACAAAAGAATCCTAGCTGGCGATGCCATCGCGGCTACGGCTTTGCATACTACCGCCAAGGTGCTAGCTATGCGAAGGCCAGTGCGGAGGTAGAGCGGGCCCTCGAGCAGGCGCAAGGGCAGGAGGCCAACCCCAAGCCGGAAGCCAAGGATATCGTCGAGTTGCATTTACTATTGGGCAATATTTACCTGGATTCAAGAGAATACACTAGTGCTGCGGAGCACTTCGGTATTGCCTGCTCAGCCGAAGATGCAGAGCAGGCTCTAGAAGGGCAAATCGGACAGTTGAGGGCCAAGATGTTCGCTCCCGATTCAAAGGACGCGGCAAAGGCCATCAAGGCCACACTTGGCGAAGATGACGGGTTGGAAAGAATGGCGCGCGTTTTGAAGCACATCGCCAGAGACCTTGACCACAGTGAAATAGTTTCCAAGCTATTCACAATGGGGAAGAAAGACCCGGAGATTCTCGAGGGGATTGCTCAGGCCCTGCGGACGGCGACGGCCAAGCTTGAACCAGTCGATGAGAAAAACAACAATGATGCGCGTTTTGAGGAAGAGGAGACCCGAGGTGTACTTCTCTACGATCTGGGTGTGGCGGCATATACCTACAAGGCATCGGCAGACGGCACCGAGCCGATCAGTGAGGCTATACGCCTATGGAACGAATGTCGCGACCAGCTTGCTAACGTCGGCGGTGCCGCCTCGTCCTGGGCTCGCCGGAATGCCACCACAGCTCTCGCGAAGCACTACTTCGTAAGCATGTTGGACGAGAACCACTGGGATCACCTAGAGGCACTGAAGAGGCTGGCAGAAGAAGATGGCATGTACAATGAACCACAGGGCTTCCTAGGCGCACTTTATGCCTTGCGTGGGGACAAAGAGCAAGCGAGGGCGGCCTTAATGCAGCAATTCAGGACGGCGCTCAATATTCTCTCGGATGATACGCCCGACAACGACTCACTGGGCTACCAAATTCTGCTCCGGACGATGCTGCACTACCAGGATTTCAAGAACGTGCCCATTGCCTTGTCGCTGTTCGGCCAGACCGACCTTATATCAGAACAGCTGACTTGGGAAATGCGAGATATCGAGACCAATGTGCGCGCCAAAGACAAGCAAGAGATATTCGATATCACTATCAAGACCATCAAACTGTCAGAGGATATCATACGGGTTACCAAAGCCCAAGTCCCTGATGCTGCAAGACAAGTCGAACGCATCAAGGCAGCCATAAAATACACAGAGTCTCTCGCCGGGGCCGACCAGACACCTATCAAAGAGAAAGTCGAGAGTGCCGGAATAGAGTCCCACCCCGAGAACCTGGTAATAATTGATACCGGAGGGCCTGACGACCTCAGCACCCAACATATGGCTATTAACCTCATCCTGTCCCGCTTGAAAATGTTCGAGCGTTGGCATGTACCGGAGCTGCGCCTTGGCTTTCTACATGGTTATCAGAAGTGCGACGGCTGCACCGATACAGGGGAACGTTGCGACAGAACTGCCGACTGCGAGACGGGGTTGTACCACTGCACGTACTGCTCCCAGAAGGACTTCTGCGCAGACTGCCTTGCCCGCCTGCGCGACCCCACGTCGGACTTGATCAAGGTCTGCGATCCGAGGCACAGATGGCTTCTCCTCCCGCCGCTGGCAGCAGATGTCTACGTTGGGCCAGGGGCGAGCAGAGTGCGCGTTGCTAAGTGTGTTGAGGCGGTGAATGGGGATGAGCAGATACTTCAGGCTCGGTTTGCTGAGGATGGATCCGGAGAGGAGATCTCGGTAGAGGCATGGAAGGAGAGTTTAGCGGCTGAGTGGGGACTCTCGATAGAGGAGATCAGGAACGATTTGTCCAGACAGGCTACCCCTGAGGAGAACGAGGGAGATGGAGAGGCATAGCTAGAGGTAGAGGCTTAGTGAAAAGATCAAACATGAATCAATTAAACGCTCGTCGAGTTTGTTCTGAGTGAATGGTTAGAAGCGTCGGGACAAATTGAAACTTTGGGCAGAGAAGTCTAAAGTTATTGCTCCAAGATCACAGCACCGGCTTCACTGTAGCACCTGGTTGTTCGACTGATCTGCAGCTTTATCGATTTCGGCTATACAACACCCCTGAAAATATCCCCGGCCCTCATAACCTGGTTCTCAACCCGCAATCCCTGCAAACTGATATAGCCGCATAAATTGAAGAATCACTTGCGGCTGATTGCCAAGTGTTTGGTCACGTTGTGGCCACATAACGATGTAGTCTCAGAATGGCAGTGTTAGGAGACTCGACTTGATCTCGCGTGTGATTTCTCGAGATGGGCATATCGTATGAAAATACTGGTGGTCAACATGAGCTCCCACACCCTATTGATATTGCTCGGCTTGTACACCCTGATTTGGGCTGCCAAAGCCGGAACCACAAGTCCACAATCATTATTTGGCGGTTCAAAGCCCAATCAGGTCTGTCCTTTGAATGGACTCACCCACTTGTTGCCTTCCAGAGACCACCACCCATGGACACATGTCCCAAGATGCTTCCAGCCCGCCATAACCTCGTCTAGGGGTAGATCGCCCGACAATGAAGCGTATTGTATCTACACAGATTCAACTTTCCGCTCCGAGAGCGGGATAACTTTTATCACAAAACCAGCCATTGCATCATACCTCGCCGAGAAGTCCGTTATAAACCCAAAGATCCGGAGTCAGGTTGACCAGGAGCGGCTATCAGAAGCCGATCATGCGGCGAGGGACGCAGCAGCACAAACATGGCCTGCTTACGAAGCACTGGCTCGCCCAGGCCGCGGTTTCGGGCTCTTTGCAAACCGCACCATCTCAGAGGGTGAGGTCATCATCGTAGACTTCCCTCACTTCATCCTGCTGCATGAGGTGTACCGCCATCTCAGTGAGGAGCAGCGGCAGGAAGCTCAGTGGACCGCATTACTGAGTCTACCCCCATCGACACAGCGCGAGCTTCGGAACCTGGCCAAGAGTCGGGATGGGGATGAAATCGATGCTGTCATGGGGACGAACTCGGTCGGTCAGGTCTATGGTAGAGAAGGAGGCGCGCTACGCCATGTTGGATTGCCGCCTCTATTTGCTGTGAGTAGAGGGTCGCTAGTATGAGAGACAAAGGGCCAGTGCTGACGAATGCCCAAAAGCGGGTAAACCATGCCTGTCGGCCAAAGTAGGTCATCTAATTATTGCGCAGCCATACCATGGCAGACCATCACTGTTGGCTTACTTGCTCTTACAGTGCTGGCTATCGTCTCAACGACACCACCTTCGAACTCGAGATCTTTGCTCTACGCGAGATTCAGTCAGGCGAAGAACTAACATTCAACTGTATGACTCCACCATGTCCACACCCCCCAAAAGGAGTCCCAGTCGACTCTGACCTCATCTTAGATCTCGGAGAGCAAGTCTCGCGCACCCATGAAGAGCGCCAAAAGACCTTCCACAACCGATGGAACTTCCACTGCAGCTGCAACCTTTGCTCCGCTTCGGCCGATGAACTGCACACCTCGGACGAGCGCCGTCTCGAGATCGAGCGGACGAAGCGGGCACTCGAGCGCTCGGCCGGTTATGCAGATCGCATCAGACAGCACGCGGTGAGAATACTGGAGCTGTACGATAAGGAAGGCTTGGTGCAGCCCAGAGCGCGGTTCTACGAGATCGCTGCGTATGCTTCAAATCAGATAGGAGATGTAGAGAGCGCAAAGCGGTATGGGAAATTGGCTGTTAAGGCCTGGGGTATCGTGGCGGGTCGCAAGAGTGTGGAGGTGCAGATGATGAGAGAGTTGGTCGAAGATCCTGAAAGACATGCAAGTTATGGTCACGCAGGCGGCGGAGGGTGAGATACAGCGAATTCGTCTACGCATTGGCTTATGTCTGCAATTTTGTAGGAATCCAAGGTGGGTGGGCGACTGTTCAAGCAATCTCCCTGAGGAATTTGACAACCCTGTCCACAAACCACTCTTGTCCCTCTGCCTCACTTAGAATGTGATTGCCAGTGGGATTTACCCCCGAGAGCCCGCTCACCCTTCCCTCCGGCACAGCAGACATCCACCTCTTCAACAGCGCATCCTTATCCACCGTCGGCGGCACCGTCTCGTCCTTAGCCGAGGGCATAATGAGAATGGGCTGGTCCACTCTTCCGAAAGTCTTCTGTATCGTCGAGTCTGGTAGATCGGATGAGAAGTAGTCGTCGTCGCCACTTGATTAGGCTCTGTTAGCATTTTGCTTTGTAATTCTCAAAGACTCTCATATTACCCAGCAGAGACAAGCGACCACCACCGATAAGCAGTTACGGGTCCAGCAAAGACTTCTGGCATCATGGACCTGGGCACGGCGTCTTGGCCTTTGCCTGCGGCGATGAGCTCGTTTGCCGCAGACAGCGTCTGCTCGATCACCTCGGCGGGCATGAACATGGCGGCAGTCTCGCGGTCTGACACTGGAGACTGGAGGATGTACCCGTCGACAGGTGGATTGTCGGGATATTTGATACGGTCGGTATATTCCATGCAGTCTTGGCACCCTGCGCGTCACCCACAACGAGCGATGAGTGAATTGCTGACACGGTCGTCTGAAAGAGCTCGACGACGATGGACCAAGAACATACCAGTAGAGCACCCAACAACAACAATCTTCTTCTTCTTACCTACGTCATCGCCGCGCAGATACTTGACCAACGCCGCGAGGTCAGCTACATCGTTGGCCAAGCTGCTGTACCCGAAACCATCATACGAGCTGCGCATGCGGAACTCCCAGACGCCGTAGCCGTGCTGCGCGACCCCCTCTTCGATCCGGCGCATGAGCTTCTCGTCCGTGGAGTGCGGGCCGGCGGTCAGACCGCTGATGAAGACGAGCGCGTTCTGGGCGTTGATCAAGCCACGCTCATAAGCGCAAGACTCCGACGTCGGAGAAGGGAAAGGGTGGACCGTGACAGGGAACGGCATCGTGAGGTCTTTATGTAGTAGCTCCTCGCTGCGGGTTAGCTGCTCTGTAATCGTTGATGTTGTCTAACTCTATCAGCCAATCTTTGTCATGAGATGTTTGTCGTTTGAGCCACGATGTCTTTTATACAAACAGTGGAAATCTATCAGATTGATAAGATTAAAGATCACTTACAAGAGGACGCGCCTCGAGGCCCGGATACGAACACGAAACTGTGGGCCGGGAACCGACGGTGCCGCTGACACACTTCAAATAGCGGGCCTCGAGTCCTTGGCGGACCGAACCTCGCTTCCGAGCCTCCAACGCTTTCTCTGCAAACTAACGACGCGTTGCGAGAGACTCACTGGCAGACACGCCTGTGTAGAAAGTGTGTAGCTATTTTGTGCATCTTGTACGGGTGTCTCTCTCTCACAGATTGTAAGTTGTAGGCGAAAGTAAACGAGAGAATTCCTCAGTGTCCCCCTTCTGCAATTCGGCATTACCGAGGACACATGTACAGAGGAAAAACAGGCACCATAATACTCGCAGATACCTTCATCGCCAAGTTTCTTTTGACCGGAGCCTCTTTCTGTTCAGATGACAGACGGAAGTTAAACGACACTCAACCCCTCGCCTTCCGCGCTCCAGATTCTTCTTCTAGAACGAAGGCAACCGTAAAAGGCAGGACTTAGTGATTGTTGCGACTCCAACAATGGGCTCATTCTTAGCCCCATGCCACAAGATGTTCGTTCGAGGAAGAGTCACTTACTAGAACCTTGTTTGCTAGGCACGTGTCAGAGTCCGAACCGCATCTGTTGGAAACCTAGCCAGCCTGGGTAGTAAGATCCCGAACGTGGCCAAGGTTGTTTAGGGCCAACGTCAGCCGCAATGCTCACAGCAAAAGTACCAAAGATAGCCAAATTCCATCCAAGAGCCTTCATCATTAACCCTATGTATGTATACCATGCCGTTACAAAAAAGCCTTCGGCGCCCTATCGTCCAGCCCATCCTGGTCCAGTCATGCATCCCCAGAAACCTTCACAATAGGTTGGGCTTGCAAGGGAAGATAAATCTATATGGGAATATCCCCGGATACACACGGGGGGGTAAAAAAGAAGAGAAACCAACAACGCAATCATGACAAAGGTGAGGGGTATGCATCCCAACGCCCGCAAATGCATCTCATAAAGGGGGTGGAAGAGAGAGGGCGGGCTCTTTGCCTCCCCCGCTAGATCCTCCCCATCTGCCACACACGCTGTCATAAAAAACCAAGCAAAAGACGAATACGAAAGAGTATCCCATCACTAGCAACCCCCTGCAGCCTGGAGTGCACTGTTATGTACCTGAAAGGCGCAACCCATTGACATGAATCATTGCCTAGAAACCGCTTGTCTCGCCTAAACACCCTGTTAGTACCATGTACCATGTCCTTGTGCCTCGTTGTGGAGGAGTCTTCTCACCTTCATCTGCTCGATCCTTGCCTTGAGCTGACTCGTCACCTCGGCCGCCCGCTTCCAGCTCGGATCCGTGCCCCCTGCGCCCGCCCCGGCACCATTGCCTCCTGCTGAAGCGCTGGAGTATCCGCTCGTAGGGGTGTGTCTGCCGTCCTCAGCCGCCGGTGCTGCCGCAGCGTGGTCTCTCCTAAGGCCACGGGCGGGGCTGCCACGGCCGCTCGATGCCGAACTGTAAGCCGGAGGCGCGCCGTATCGCAGCTCCGGGCTAAATTTGTTCCGCGGATATGACGACTCGCCGTTTTCCTTCTCCTCCGACATGGTACTCTGGTAGCTGACACGGTTCCGATTGGCGCTTGCGGGGTGTGCACCGTCTCGGAAGATGCCGACCTCGTCATGCACTGGCGAGGTGAAGCCTGAGCCGGGAGACCCATAGCTCTCAGCCTGCTCCGCCTTGCTCAGTGCCCGCTTAAGGCGGTCGAGCTCCCGTCGGAGCCTCTCATTCGTCTGCTCGGCAGCCTCGTGGTCACTTCTTGCACGGACGAGCTGGGTCTCCTTTGCCTTGATGGACAGAACGTCACGCGTGTGGTCCTCGATAAGGCCTGCGTTCTGATTCTTGAGTTCCTGGATTTCCGACATCAGCTTGGATCGCTCGTGGCGGGAGTCCTCAGCCTGTCGCAAGAGACGGTCATTGGCTGCGCGCAGCTCTTCCAACTCAGCCCGTTCCAGGTGAGTGAGGCCGGAAGGCTGTGTTGGGGATGCGGGAGTGGCGGGTATCGGGGCAGCAGCGGCAGGCTTGGCTAGCGACCTCCCCGCGAGTCCTCCACGACCCATTCCCAGGCGTGGTTGCGGGATGGGAGCAGCCGGCTCTTCGTCCTCCATTGGCGGTGGAGCAGCGACACGTCGGGGCGATGCCATTCCGGGAGCTGCGAGAGTACGTTTCTGAGGTGCCTTGAGACCGCCGAGACCCGAAGGTTTAGGCATCCCAAGCTTGCTGCCAGGGCCGGCGGCCCTCGAAGTAGGTTGGGGTGCGAGCGGTTCGTCCAACGCTGGCGGCGGAGCAGCGGCGGCGGGCTTCTTCATACCAACTGGTGCCTTCTTTCCGCCTCCCATGATCTTCTTCGGCGGTGGGCCTCGTGAGGCGGGCTGGGGTGGAGGCTTGGGCTTGTCTTTGGCCTTGACTTCTGCGGTCTCGTAGAATTCCTTCACCTTGGCCTTTCGGATATCGTCGAGCCCTTCCAAGTGCGGGTTCATGGCGCGCTCTCCGATGATTTTCATGATGGTACCCAGAATCTCGGCACCACCCGATCGCAGGCCCTCGCTGGACTCGGCCAGAAGCTTCTTTGCCGACTCGACAATGGTCGTGATTTCCTGTTTGCTGGGCACTATCCGCGTCGTCCTCAAGCATCGCACTAGGAACTTCATGGTCCCCTCCTTGACCTGCGGGTTCTTGTTGACGAGGTAGGCAGTGATGTCCTCGAGGCACTCAGACAGGCTGGTCGTCTGGAAGACCTGGTCTAGCGCAGCACCCAGAGCATCTGCGACGACGGCCTTCTTCTCCTTCAGCCTGTCCATGATGGGCTGCTGGACAACTGATCTGTACTTGGCAAACCCTTTACGCATGCCCTTGGCCAGCAGCTCGATGCACTGAGCCGCCTGCGTGACGACCAGGACGTTGGCATCCTTCATGCACTTTGCTAGCCCTCGCACAATCTCCCCAAAGTCGCCGTCTTTGATGCGCGGTACGTTGAGTACTGCATAGAGCGCTTCCACGGCCTCCTTGCGGTCCTTCCATTTTGACGAAGCAAGTTTATCGTGGAAATCTGCCGGAACCTTCTTCAGCACATCTTGTGGCTCGGCTAGGTCGTAGGCGTCGATCTCTGCGGGCTCCTCGCCCTCGTCTTCCATATCATCCTCTCCCTCCTGGGCACCGCCAGCCGGCGCTCGCTCCTTGGCTGCTTGCTGTGAGCGTAGAAGTCGCTCCTGCTTTGGCGAGGGCTCGGCCTTGATCTTCTCGAACTGCGCCTCGAGATCGGACTGCTGTGTCGGCTTCAAGTCACCCCAGAACATGGGCTTCACTGCCTCTCTCAGCCACCTGTAGAACTCAACTGCCAGGTTGGTGGCCTCGGCTCGGACATTCTTGTCGGCGTGGCCGAAAACTTTCGGCAGGACTTTGAGGACGGGTTTGGGGTCAGCGGTCTTGCAGCCATAGTTGTGGTAGATAGTGGTTAGCGCAGCGAGGGTGGCAGCGATAACCTTGGGTTGCTTGGCGGACAGGGCAGGGAGCATGTCTTCGATGACGGGCCCGGCAACATCGAGCTCGATGTAGAGGAGTAGAGCCTCGATAGATGACGTCTTGATAGCCGCTCTCGTTGACGACAGGCCCTTTTCTACTATGGCCGTGACGGTCTGGCCGCGGGTGCGCGTGCAGTGCTCCTTTCCGCCGAACTTGAGAAACGCGCACAGCGCTGCGAGCCCCTCCTGTTGGGCCGCAACGTTCGAGTCGGCGGCGGCGGTCTTCCATAATGATGTATCTTGTAGGAACGGCCTGAATGCGGCGTCGTACTCGTCGACTGTCTTTTCGAATTGCTGGGCAGCCTCTTCGTAGGCTCCTTTGCGGACTTTCCATACCTAGGAGCGCGAGTAGTTAGCATATGACAGCGCCAGGATCAAGGCGGTAAAGAACGAACCTTGTGAACCCAGCGGTCGGTGAGCGGGAGGGAGCTAAAGTCCTCCTCCTGGTCGGCCATGGCTATTTCGGTAGTGCCGTCGGTGCCGGCGGCGTGTACGTATGTGGTTGTCTCGTGAGGTCTGTGTCGGTGGTGGCGCGATCTGGGGCTTCCTGCAGTGGTGATTCTGCGAATTAGCGTTCGTAGACTGGGGGCCGTTCTGAGCTTTCCCATGACGTCGCGTGCGCGCATGAAGGGGCGGCAACACATTTGGGGCGAGAGAGAGAAGAGGCAGAAGAAATAGTCGACGCCATCTGCGCGGGAGCAGAGGTCGTGACGCTGGACTGAGAGGGATTGTGTGCGTACCTGTGCTCTGTGGTCAAAGGGATCCTGCGTCGCAAGAGTGCTGTTTCTACACGAGCAGTCGGACAAAGCCTACACAGCGGAAGCGATGCGCTGGGCTGCTGTTGCCGTTGTCGCGAACGAGCGGGAGTGTCCAAGAACAAGATGTCGGGTTCTGAAAAAGAACGATCGTCTTGTCGTTGCTCAAAGGCAGGGATGGGGATTTGGGCGTGGGCGTGGTTGTCTCCTCCTTGCCGGGCAGAAGCAAAAGGTGGGATGTGCTTGTGTGGATATTTACTGCGCTTTCCCTTTTCCCTCGAGCGCGACCCTTTGGACTGCGTTGGCACGGCAGGGGTGACTGGGCTTGCTGTCAAGGGTGGCTCCGTCCCTCCCTTTCCCAGCCAAGCCCAGCGCATCGAGTGCTCATTTCTTCTCGTCAGGTGACTTGGCGCGAACCAAGAAGGAGGAGGGGTACCTCAGGGGTCTCTCCAAGAACGACAACATCCACGACAATCACAAAACTCAGGCAAATACAATAGCACGCATTGCGCACCGTTATTGTTCGATACAGTACGCCTTTATCTTAAAACATGTTCGCAAGGGTGTCGCGTCTCCGAAAACCTGATGCTCACAGTGAGCCAGAAGTAAGTAAGGTACCTCCATTGTTGTCCCCCAATTAGCGGCCGTTTTTGACCAATATGTAAACAGAGTACTTGCGAATTGCCGGGGAAACACCCCAAATTTCAGGTACAGTGTGATGTCACTCGCTGCACAGACCACCTGTAAATCCCGGTCTCCACCGCCGTTAAAGAACTCGGCCAGCTCTGACAGTTGGCAGGTGGCAGCCATTCCCGAGCTCACGTCTTGTCGACATCGCACTCTGCACTCTGGCCATAAACAGCTGCAGAACTTTCCTTTTTTCTAAGTTCTCCCTCATTCGTGGCTTCAATTCGGAGCTCGGTCAAGATGATGACTTCACCATGCTTCCCGATCGCCCCGGCGCTTCCCCTGATACACTCGCAATCGGGCCGTGTTCTAGGCCGTCGCGTGGTGTGTTTGATTCAGCCTTACGAGATCGACACCCTCCAACTCCCAATCAGCATCATCGTGAAACCCCTTGGGCATGTGTCTCCTCTACATCCTCTCTAATGTGCGGAATACGTAGGGTAATGTTTCTTTCTACTCAACATCGCACGTAGACAGACAAGGATCACACGTCTGGTAAACGAGCTTCTGTTTCCATTACATGCAAACATCGGCACAGCCACACACCCCGACGCTGCAGACAACCTTGAAGAGGTCAGCACTGTTGCCCCGAGCGCCCCTCGTAAACTTGGACCTGCAGCCCCGGGAACTCTGAACGCATCGGCTGATCACCCCTGGGATACCACACCCCCGGTGGTGGCGCCCAATCACTTCCCCGCAATACGAGGCTGCGGACGGCTCAGCACCCAAAAAGCAAGCTCGGCATAGGGCCGAATCTAGTCCTCCTCTGGCTGACGGGCGACAGGGCAATCCCAGAGTGCACAAAGGACTGCGCATGTGGTGGCGTCCATACATCACCTGCCGTGGCTTCACCGCCAACGTGCTGCCGCCTAACGTCCACGGCGTATTTGAACATGTCATAAAACGTCGTTACGCCATAGTCGTGTGAAAGTTGCCTTTCCAAAGGTCAAACAAAAAGGAAACAATGTACAGAGACACAGAGAGTTTCGATCTTCCGCAATCAATATGATATACAACATCCCACGATCTATCGAGACATCGGAGATGCCTGCTCTTCAAGCTAGACAAGCAAATACACCATCATGCAACCCAAGCTTTTCCTGGATTCCTCTGGGCGCCTGCGTAATCACGCAGGCCAACGGGCCCACGATCCACTCGTGGGGAGCTCGTGTTGGAGTTGGCGGCAACCAACAGCTTTGCGTGACGCCATCTACCGTAGTCAACTCCACCCTACTCATGGCTCCATCCGTATGTGACGACGCGCAGCTCGCGGCAGAAAACATGACCTACAGCCAGTGCGCGAGCCGGCGCGGCGGCTTCATCGATCCCAACACGCTCTCGGCGGCCTCGTCAGCCGAGCTCGGGACATTGTCATCTCTGAATCCCGGATGGCCCGCCATCGCCGGCCCCGACGCTTTCAAGTCCGCCGTAGATGCCGTCATGCACCTCCATGGAGGACCGGAGAACGACGTATCTATGCTGCAAGGTATCATTGCCAGCGGGCGCAACCACACGACCTCACACCTGGGACTAGGAGATCGCTCCGTGGTCCTGGATGCGTTGCTGATCGAGAAGCACATCAGCAGCCGTAGCTTCGGTCTCAACGCAGGCTCGACGAGTGTATCGGCACCTAGGGATGGAGGTATCGTCTTTGGTGACTACGATGCGGGTGTTGCTGAAGGCACTTTCGTTCAGTACCCAATGACATATTCCCAGATCCTCAACGACCGCGTGTGCCCACTGCAGGTCACCATCAAGCAACTCTCGCTTCGGCAGCCAGGCATGCCCGATAACAAGTTGTTTGGAGCGGAGTGGCCTCTCCAGGCGTGCATTGAGCCCTACGACAATCTCTTTCGTCTTCCCGGAACTCTAGTCAAGAACAACCTCATCCCGGCAGTCGAAAGCATCCTCGGATCTTCCCCAGTCGTACCGCCTGCTGTCAAGGGGCTTTGGGTCAACGAGCCGGGGCTCACATTTCCAAACAACAAGAGCAGCATGGTCGACGCCAGTCTTGTTGTGACACTCGACAAGAACTTCACTGTAGAAATCCCAGCATACGAATTCGTCCGACCGCTCAAGGGCCTGGCCGCGAATGGGACCAGCGTCGTCGACAACAGCTTCTCCGAGGTGCAGGTGTATTATGACAGCAACGAGCCCCTGAACGCGGCGGTGTTGGGAAAGGTGTTTCTGAGCCAGGTGTATCTGTTTGTGGACTATGACAACCGTGTTTTGAAGCTGGCGAATATGAATACGGAATCGAGGAGCTCCGTGCCGCTAGCTGGTGGATCGGGAACTGCTGGCTGCGGCGAAGAGCAGAGCGGCGTACACGGTGCTACTATCGGAGTCATTGTCATAGGCGCTGTCGTATTTGTGTTGCTTTTGTTGTTGATCGGGGCCTGGCAGTGTAGGCAATGGAGGAATGGAAAGAGGCCTACCAACGCAGAGGCGGGAGATGACAGGGTCCAAAGAGACGATATTGTAGGGCAGCATCTTCCGGAGGTTGATCATCGAGAGCTCAACCCGGTAGTGACCAACAACCAAAGATGCTCGGTGAGCCCTGACCTCATTGACCTCAATCCAGAGCAAGTCATTTCTGCGTCGCCGGAGCCGATGAGGGGCACAGTGACGCAAGAGGTGTCGGGCAAGGCAGAGCCAAAAGAACTGGCAGACACCACAGTCTCATCGCGGTCCAAGGAGGAGTTGGGTACCGTTTTAGCAAGAGGACTATTACTAGGAGACTCTCCTTGGGGCAGCGTGTCGACAGTTGGCGGCGGCGGCAGTGGTCACGCAAGGAGGCACATGAGTAGCGGGACTGGCATCAGCCCCTTGGAGCCCCGAGTGTCCAACCCCTGACTTTCACCTCACCTTCGCCTTGACCTTGACCTTCACCACGACACATCCCAGCCCCCCCTCTATCCCCCCATCACGCAAGGCAGCAACCCTTATCGTCTGTTTTAGAGTACTTGGTTTCCATCGGGGGTGGGATGGTGCAGTGGTCAACCGCGATAACGTGGATTCCATAAATTAAATAGCACGCCATCCTACCTTCGCGGCGGATGTCACCACAGAGTAATGTGGCTGGCCTCGTGTCCGAGATCAAGAAAAACCTCGCAAGGGGTTTTTCGCAGGTCAGGGGTTCAAGTGGCACTGGCTGAGCTTTTTTTTTTTCCCTTCTGCCTTTTTTCATTTATGCCTCTTTTGGATTTTGGCTTTTCATATTTTACAGCATGGGTTTTGGATTATTATGATTAATATTTTTTGATGATTCTCATCTTCTCATAATAGAAATGCGTAGGAACTTCTCGAGGTGTGTTTAGGAGACCTTATTTAAATACTCAATGTTCCCGTCCGCCTCTCTCCGCGGATCGAGGTCGCGTGCCACTTGCGGCTTGCCAGCATGGAGTCTTCTAGCATAGACCACACTCTTGTTCTATTCCCTGAGGGCAAGGAAATATTTGTGAGCTATTCAAATTCTCTTCTTTCCATTTAAGTTTGCCAGTTTGGTCTAGGATGGCCGTTCCAAAGCAACACGTTCATGCTGCGAACGTCTGAGCATGCCCTTGAGAGCTCAACACAGCCCTGCTGATGATGATCTTGAAGGCATCGAAATCATCTATCGAGGAAGCAGTTCTCATTTTTCTAACTCAGACTTGCTAGTTCCGGATGAGGGCAAAGAAAGGCCCAGCTTGTCATCCTCACGGACTTAGCACGTTACCTCCAGGCATCCTAGAGGATCTCCAATTATACTATGGAAACTTCGTATAACTAGATCTCAAACGACGCGCACGTCCATGGTAATGCCGGCCGTTTGGTAGTGATGAATCGAGTGACAAAGTGGCCTAATATATTTCTCCATCTTGCTCCTCAGCGTTTGAGGCTGATGTTCGGGCATTTTTCAAGTCTGCATATGCACCTCTGCACAAGTGTTATTGGACATGACGGCATTATGTTAATGAATATGTAGGTAGTCATCAACCGGATGCCATCCGTGCTCGTCGGCATTGGCTTCGGGGTCTGCTCCCTCTTATATCGTTGGCCAGACATTGAAACGCTGTTGCATTGACGATCAGCCCACACCAAAACAGCTCGGCATATACCCCGAAGTGCCGTGGGCGTTTCGGATGTATGTACGCCTACCGACGACCCTTAGCATTGAAACGAAGAGTGCCACTCAAATTCGAACGGGACGAGGGACAGGCTGGCCTGGGCCCCGGGTAAAGTCGAGAGCGAAAACCCCCGAGAGCTCGTGGCGGCAATTCAGGCTTGCGTACATCATTTTGCTACCTGATTGTCCCAATTCATCTTCATTCTGTTTCCCATCTCCATGCCCTCGAGCTTGTTCGCTGTGCGTACTGATTCAAACCCGTCGAGGGTTGATCGCTGTTTGAGATTTGCCGACGTGAATAGGAAGTGCAGAAAAGCGCCCATCACTGTCACTGCCTCAGAGGAGCAGAATTGGTGTTCCTGGAATCGCAGTCAACCTCGACATTGGAGGCAGCCTCCGCTGTAGATCGTCGCAAGGAATGGCGCGAGAAAAACCAGTGCCGCCGCCCCAGGCGCGCGTCGACGACGAGAACAAGCTGCGCAGGACGGCGCCGCCCTTCCTGCACAAGGTCGGCTACGCGGCGCACATGTACGGCCTGCAGGCGATGCTGGCCCTGCCGCTCTACCTGCGCGGATGGAAGGAGCATTTCTACCCTCCCGAGAACGGCCCCAGTATCGTCAAGACGTATGACGTTCGACCGGCCCTACCCGTCCGGTGAGTCTGTCTTCGTCATTCCCCGGAGCTTACCTCTCTGCTCATGTAAATGCTGATATTCCTCGCTCCGGGGGGGCTAGCATCTTCTTCCCCGCGTCCTTTGACCTCACCTCGCCGCAGCAGCTGCCGACGCTGTTCACCATCCACGGCGGCGGGTGGTGCATCGGCGTCTCGCGCGACGACGACGAGTGGAACCGCGCCTTCGCCGACGCCCACTCGGCCCTCGTCATCTCGCTCGAGTACGCCAAGGCGCCCTGGTCGCCCTTCCCGACGGCGGTGCACGACCTCGAGGCGCTCTTCCACGCCGTCCTGGCCGACGAGTCGCTGCCCATCGCCCGCTCGCCCTCGCGCGTCGCCCTGCTCGGCTTCTCGGCGGGCGGCAACCTCGCGCTGGCGCTGGCGCAGCTGCCGAGCGTGTCCGGCGCGGCGGGTGGCGCCCCGCAGGCGGCCGTCTCGGTGTACGGCTGCCTGGACCTGGCGCGCAGCCCCTGGGCCAAGATGCACAACCGGTTCTACAAGGTCGCGCTGCCGCCGCCGCGCAACCACATCGAGGACCCCCTCGCGCGGCTCTGCCCGAGCTTCGACTGGAGCTACATCCCCTACGGGCACGACCTGCGCGACCCGCTGCTGAGCCCGGCGTTTGCCGAGCGCGAGGGCCTGCCGCGGCACGTGTGCCTCGTCGGTGCGGAGCTCGACATGCTCGCGCACGAGAGCTGGCGGAGCGCCGTGCGCTGGGCCAACGAGGTGCGCGGCGGGCCGTCCCGGACCCGGCCCGTGCCGGACCCGGACATCAAGGAGGACAAGGTGCGCAAGGTGGGGAAGCGGGCGAGCAGCAAGCGCAAGGGGGAGCTGGAGCCGCCGGGCGACGACAGGTACGACTTTGAGGAGTGGGACGAGGACGGCGCCGGCAGCGTCAAGTGGCTGCTGGTCCCGGACGTGCTGCACGCGTTCGACAACCCGGGGATGCGGAATGTCATGGGCGGCGAGGAGACGATGCAGGATGCCGAGATGAAGACGGTGGCGTACCAGGCCGAGGTGGCGGGCTGGCTGTACCGTGGTGCGTGGAAGGTCTGAGTGTGATTTGTGTTCTAAGACCTTTTTTGGGAAGTGGTTTTGATGATAATGATGTTCTTTTGCTCGATTTGAACGATAGAGAGCCGTGAATTGGAACAAACCTTGCCTTCGACCGATCAGACCAGCTTGGTCCGGCTCAGTTCGGCCTCGCTCAGCTCAGCTCAGCTGAAGAATACAGTGGATTTGCAGTGGGTCACAGCGGTCTTGGCGCTTCAATATGGCGTTCAACTCGCCAAAGATCCCAGTTTGACCACCTGGGCAGCTGCCGGACGTGACCTCGGGGACTTGACCACAAGATATTCAGGCTGCCTCTATCATCGTAAAGGCTCTCTTCCTTGGCTCAATGATTGACCTGTTCAGCTTTGTGAATGGCAACAGAATATCAATATGAGCCCCTCCACGGGTTGAACCACATCCGGCTCCTCGAGCTGCTGCCCGGCTCGGAGGGAGACCCAATCTCGGTCATTCTCCACGAGCATTCTCTATCCGACGACGCAGGATACGAGGCCATATCGTACGTCTGGGGCGACCCTGCCGCAAGGAAGGAGATCAACTGCGGCCGAGGCACCCTCCAGGTCACTGTGAACCTCCACGATGCCCTGTCTCACTTCCGCTGGCCAGACCGGGCCCGCATGCTCTGGTCCGACGCCGCCTGCATCAACCAGCAGGACCTCGACGAGCGAGCCTCTCAGGTGCAGCTGATGCATCTCATCTACCAAAATGCGAGCCGCTGCCTCGTCTGGCTCGGCCCCTCGGACGCCGATTCTGCGGCAGCGGTGCCCCTCATTGCCGACATGACCGCCATCGTCGCGCGGCGCCTCGGCGTAGACCTGGACCAGCTGGACGAGCAGCTGGAACGCCAGGGTCGCGATATGTTCCTCGCCAAGCGGGTCGGCTTCGAGGGTCTCCCGGAGAAAACCGACCCGATCTGGGCCTCGCTCATGCGCTTCTTCGCCCGCAAGTGGTTCAGCCGCGTCTGGGTCATCCAAGAGGTCAACTTCGCGCGCTCCGTCCTGTTCTACTGCGGCGCGGACTGCATGTCCTGGGCGGCCCTGTTCCACGTGTCCGACTGGATCATGACCAACTCGGGATCCCTCCGCTGGCATGATATCATGACAAGGCAGCCGCATGATCTCGCTTCTCTGATGACCAGGCGCTCTGGCAACCTCATGGACATGCGCCGCGATGGCTTCAACAAGGACAAATTGGAGGTCGACCAGCTACTCGACTACGGCAAGGCGTTCGACGCGACGGACCTGCGAGACAAGGTCTTTGCGATGATGAACTTCAACGCATTCCGCAGGGCGATCCCGGACATGGTGGCTGATTACACGCTCTCCGTGGCGCAGGTGTACACGGAGACAACAATGGCGGCCATACGGGGCCAGAAGAACCTACGAATCCTGTTGACCGTTGAACACGATCCGGACAAACCGGAATCCGAGTTCCCATCGTGGGTGCCGCGTTGGCATAGACCCGACTCGAATAGAAGCATCTCCGCCTTGCTCAGCCAGGACAACACAGCCAGTGCCGACGAGTCCCTGCCCCTCGACCAAGTGAAGGTCCTGCAGCCGGGGCCTGTCCTGCAGCTCCCGGGCCTGGTCGTCGACGTTGTCCAAGACTTGTGCGACATCCACCAGCCTTTGATCCTCAACACCGGTGTATTTTCTCGCCATGCCTTCCGCCCGCACAAGCCCTGGGCGCGCTACCGCTACCACGACCCCGAGGACCCAGCCAGCAGGCCCGTCGAGGGCGCGCCCTACCAGACCAAACCCGATATCGTCGAGGCCTACGCCCTCGTGCTTACGGGCGGGTACCGCGAGCACGACAACGTCTTCGCCATCGGCTGTGGCGGGCACCCGAACTTGGTCGCCGCCAACCGCGTCGAGTTTGTGGCCTGGCTGTCGCGGCTGCGGGCCATCGAGGCGCTCTTCCCGGAGTACGTGCCGCCCGGCCTCTACTCGCCGACGCAGCCCGGCTTTGGCGACCTATACGGGGACCAGATCCCGGACTGGTCGGCGCACTGGGAGCGGATGATACGGGTTTATCTCCTCGGCCGGATGCTGTTCCGGACTCGGAGAGGGTATCTGGGTCTTGGTACGAGGGGCTTGATGGAAGGTGACCTGGTCTGCGTGCTCTTTGGCGGAAACGTGCCGTTTGTGCTGAGGAAGGTCGGCGCAGGAGAGGTTGTGGATAATGGGGAGGAGAGATATGCGCTGGTGGGAAATGCATATGTCCATGGGATCATGGAGGGACAGGTGGTGAAGGAGTGGAAGGAAGGGAAACGTGAGCGTCGGATATTCAATTTGGTTTAAAGAAGAGGCAGAACGATTCGCTGATGATGAGATAGACTTGTGTTCTTCCCCGGATCACCGAGCTTCAGCCTGGGGGCCGGACGTTAGCCAAGTGATGCAAAGACATCAAGGGTTCATACTATGTTCCCACCTAGATGCGGGAGAGGACTTGGCCGCAGAACAGAATGTATGCGTATCATGTTTTATTGCTCAAGCTTGATCTAAAATCCTCGCACCACCTAACGCAGTTCTATCTCGCCATCTTGTCTGATGTTGAAGCAAAGAGGCATCTATGAATGTAAAAGGGCAGGGAGCGAGCGAGCCTACATACAAAGGAGCTTGCGCCTTCACCGCTCGAAAAGACTCAGCTCAGAGTCCCTGAAAGTCTCTCAGCGAGGCATCAGCTGCCCTCCAACCATCCAGCAAAGCGCCATGAACCATGGCAAAATGATCCCGAGAGCAATGCTCGCCAGCAAATCTCAGCACGCCGCCGGCTTCATTAATTAAAGGCACTTGGAGGGCCTCTTTGTGGCTGGCGTCGGACAGGCCCGTGATCATGTGGCTGTAAGCACCCCTTGAGTAAGGGTCTTGTGCCCACCTCGTGACGTGCACGGCATCCGGCCTTGGCGGCTCGGTTCCGAACCACCGAGTAAGTGTTCGATGGAACAGTGCACCAACATCCTCGTCCTTCATCCCTTCCACTGTGGTGGCAGACCTACAAGACACAAAAGCGCAAAGCACAGGCTGGTCTGTCAAGGTGTGAAGGTTCAGAACTGGCAGCCGGTACACATCGGGAGAGACAGAGCCGTCATGGCCTATGGAGATGCCGCTCAACTCGGAGGTGAAACCCAGGAACGAGTCAGGCATCTCGTTCTTGTCCTGACCATGCATTTCAATGAGCCCATTCTTGAGGGCGGAGCTGTAAAGTTCGTCGTTCCACCACGGCCTCGAGTAGACTGCAAATACCTTGTCAAGCGTGCCGAAGCCGAGGCGTTCTATCGCGTCTTGCTTATCTGGTGGTAATTCTGGCGTGAACATGGCGTCTTTGCGGGTGTCTTTGAGCACGCCGAGGGGCAAAGTGCACACAACTTCCCTTGCAGTGAAGTTCCCTTGACTTGTTTCAATGACGATGGGGTTCGCGGTCCAGTCGACTCGCGTGACAACCGTCTCCAGTGATAGAGCGCCAGCCTCAACAATGGGCTTGGCGAGCTCGTCGACGACCGCACCATATCCATCTTGGAGGAAGGCTTGCTCGCCATCAAAACTGTCCACCGCAAACTCGAGCAATCCGAGGCCAGGCTCGCTCTCGGGACGTCCAGGTTCCGCGGTCTCTGCAACAAGCGGAGCAGCCTCCATGTTTTCCATGCCTTGGAATAAGGCACCTAGTTCGTGATGGTATTCTCTTGGCACGAGCTCGAATGAGCTTTGAAATGCTATTGAATCCACTAGCGCTCGCAGCGCAGACATTTCTTTTGCATCTTTGGCCGAAATTGTAGCAGCAAGATCCTGTACTGTGTCGAGTGCGTTCTGGTGACTGGAAACGATCAGTCGAGCCAGGTTGGCGGGAATCGATAAGCCGCCGGCGGACTTTGCATCTTCCACTGCCGTTGCAGGGCATGCCGCGTGTGATGCTGGGTCTGGAAGATCTCCCGCCAAACATTCTCCGGTGGAACCGATGTTTCTACCCTTGAGATAGTGCTCTCTGCTGGGGGCTTGGAAAAGGACAGAACCTCTCATCTCCCTGGATCGCTTGTGCGGAGCAATGCCCATCAGTGGGTTTGGGTTCTCAGCATTGCCGGTTCCGTGAATCCAGTTTGCGCCGGTGTCCAAACGGCAGTTCCGGACATGAACAGAAGCTATACGGCCACCGATTCGGTCCCGCGCCTCCAGAACCCGCAGGCGATTGGCGGCGTTGGCTGTGTGATTTGCCTGCAGCAGGCGGGAGGCAAAGGCGAGTCCCGCGATTCCTGCACCGACGACGATCGTGTCGTAATGCTGTTCGGCTGCCATGGCTGAGAGAGAACTATTGCACCGAGTAGATTCGACTGTCCAAGGAGATTGGGCGAGCCACGTCGATTTTATATCTAGAGCGGAAGCCGGTTTTTGGTTGAATCACATAGCGTAGTGACCAAGCAAGTGCTACCTACGTAACATACCTACCTACCTACTTACCTACCTACCTACTTAAGAAGTTACCAGAGGTGCACTCATGCACTGTATCGAGCCATGGATGAGGGTGACGGGCGTTGAGTCGGGCCCTGGTACGAGGCCGGCTTGGCTCGCACTGTTTCCGGGCATATCAAAAATGCCCCGGTTTGGAAGACGAGGCGTCACGACTAAACAACCGCAACAAGACATCCCGGCCACATTCACAGTCCCCCAAGTATGCGGCGGCCAATCCGTCGGGCAACAAAGATCCTCCCTCCTGCATCCCGGCCCGGGTGCGGAGGGCGCGGGGTCCTTAGCGCGGGGCGGGGGCTCATTCGTGTCTCGACTCTCAACACGTCATGTAAACAAACTCTTTTGAGTTACTACTCATTGGCTCACACTCACTCGCAAAAAGATCACTGGACAGTCAAACCACCACAAACCACCGTGCGACAGACAGTGCTCCACCATCAAAGCGTGCACCATGACTTCCACCCAGCAAGATCACATCGTTCTTCTTGTCGATAATCACTTCTTTGAAAACCTGCCTGCCTGGGTTACCGACAACTTCACCGTCACCCCGGGAGGCTACCACACCGGCCAGCCGTCTCGCAACAAACTGATCATCTTCGCTGATGGAACCTACCTCGAGATCTTCAACTGGTATGACACACCGCCGTCTCTTGACGATGAAAACCTCCCGATGAGATGCTGGGGCCCCAAGTCCCCCGGACTCATCGACTTCGCCATCACCGACATGACCCACTCCGCCGAGGAGTCGGTGGGCGCGGTCAACGGCCGCCTGTCCGATGGCCCCGAGAAAGACGCCGGCCTCGGCGTCAAATACGGCCAGCCGATCGCGGGATCGCGCAAGAAGGCCGGCGGCGCGGAGATCAAGTGGAAGGTCACGCGGCCAGAGTTCTCCCGGGCCGACAAGACGCCCGACCCGGAGTTCTTTGCCAATGGCAGGATCGACGTTCCCTTCTTCTGCCACGATGTCACGCCGCGCGCCGACCGGGTCCCAAGCCAGGACGAGCAGAAGACGACGCACCCCTGCGGCGCCACCGGCATCGCGGCCTGCGACATCCTCGTGCCCGAAGACTTGGTGGCCGAGTACGCTCGTCTCTATTCCAGCATCCTCGGCTCCGAGCCCGTTGCTAGCGGCCGAAACTTGTATACCCTCGACGTGGGCGTGCCCCAGGGGTCTTCCCGTTCGACGGTGGCGGTGCGCGCTGCCGAGACCAATCAGTATCTCGACCGTATGCAAGAGAGGGGCATTGGCTTTTCCGATCTCGTCATCGCCGTCAATTCCGACGGCCCCGGCGGCGAGGCCAGGCACCCGCTGGGCCCTACGGGGATCGAATCCACAATCTGGCTGGAGACGACAAAGGAGCAGCCTGCAGAGGAGCAGACCACAGAGGAGTAGACCACAGAGGCGAAGACGACAGAGGAGCAGATGATAAAGGAGGGTTAGATCGTCAGCGGCACATATTCATACCCATGTGCCTAGGCAGTTTGCTTTGGTATTTGCTTGTTGCCGAATTCAGAGAGCTCGCAATGGAGCAAGCTGGTCATCATGGGTATCGGAACGGGTACCACAAGATTCGGTGTCGATTCATACTTCTCCAAATTCAGCTCTTGTGACAAACATGTTTGACTGACTGGAAAATCTGACAGAGTACTCAGCAAGTATCAAAGATCGTCACGCCTTCTCGATGCTCCTAGCTGCAGAGACGTGTAGTATGCCCATCTCTAATAGTAGTTCTATAATTCTATCCCTCACAATCTAGAGTTTTGTCTAATTTGTCCCAAACGCCATCCGCTAATAATGACGCAGACTTGCGCTACTTGCTGTGCAAAGAAATCTACACGCTCTCGCTAGAAGAGCTGTACCCGCCAAGAATGCCTCAGTCAATGATAGTCACCACTGTCGGGAGATCCTGAGCTACATGGGCTGGTATCTCGATGGTGAGGACGGGCGGCGTGGCGACGCCGTCGCTATCGGAATTGCCCTCGCTGAGCTCCCGAACAGTCACCGTCGACTCTGTGGCCTCGTCCTTGTCCTCCAGCACCACCACATCAATAAGCCGGCCAACATGCGCAACCTCGTCCTTCTCTTGCCGGACATCCTTCCTCCCCATCTCCAGAACCATGGCCACAGCCTTGCCGACGTCGGCGACAGTAAAGTCCGGCTCATGCGCAGGCTCGCTGCCAACGCCGTGCACGCCGCTCTCGACCAGGATGCTCTTCCACGCGGCGCCGCGGGCGGAGATGTAGCTATTGGCGCCGCAGATGTCGCTCTCGGGGTTGTCGCCGACCATGGACACCGTCTCGATCTCGGGCGCCTCCTCCTCCCCGCCGACAGGCATACCCGTCGCCGTCGTCATCGCCACCGGCTGTCGATACCCTCACAGCGCCTCCTCGGCGTACGCGTACGTCGTCTCGGTCGGCTTGCCGCACACCTCGTACAGCAGCTCCGCGCGCCCGCGCGTGGCGCCGGCCCAGACGCCGCGCAGGTCTTGCGGAAGGCGCCCTGCCCGAGGCGCGGGTGCGAGTGCTGCGTCGGCCACTCGAAGTCCGGGTTGCAGAAGTACAGCGCCGGCTGGCCGTCCTGCTGGTAGCCGCAGTTGGGCAGGCGGGAGTCGCCGTTGCGCGGGGAGCGCGTGCCCATAACGCCGCCGGCCGAGAGCAGGAGGTCGACCAGGACCTGCAGGTCGAGGCACCAGTCGCGCGCGTCATCTCGGGGAAAGGGTGGACGCGATCCCCGCGCCGGAAGACGTTGGACGTGGTGACGACGTGCCGGAAGCCGTAGTGCTGCGCCACGCGGCGGACGGCGTCGCCGCAGCCGCCGAGCGCGAGGACGGTGGCGTCCCGGTAGCGCGGGACGAGGGCGCGGAAGGGTGTGTGCGACTGGCCGAACTGGCCCTCCGAGATGGGGACGCCGCCGAGCCGCTCGCTCAGCAGGGCGGCGTGCTCGGCCTCCGTCTTGCCGCCGCCGTTGGTGAGCAGGATGAAGGGGATGTCCTTGTCGACGAGGGTGCGCAGGGCGACACCGGCGCCGGGGAGGGGCTGCTTGCCGTGGACGAGCGCGCCTGACCGGCGCCGGACTCTGATTGCATGCTTCTGTGCTTCGATCGAGCAGCTGTTTGGTCTGGCTGTTCTTGGTCACTCAAGCTGTTTCCTTGTGCTTATGGGCATGTCCTTGAGTACGGCCACTACGATCCTAATCGCCGGTATCATTGTCGGTATTGAACATATGTGCTTTTTGGATTCTTGGACGGGCAGGCTATTGATCCTTAGTCTAGGTGTCATCACTGTCCTTTGGCTTTCACTTGGAGTGGCAGGGTGCTTTTTTGTGCCAGCTTGCGCAACGGTGAGTCTACAGCGATGGTGTTTTCCACCACACTTGTTTGAACCCTTGATACTAACAACGAGGAAAGGTACTTCGGCATATGCGTGATGCTCGTCGCTGCAGCTGCAGGTGTAGGTGCTTAGCCCACCTCCAACGTTGTCGCCGGTGAGGTCTCGTACATCACCCTCCGCGCAAAGACGTTTGGCCTGCTTTCATTCACACAGGGTCTCGCCACTGGCATCTTTTGCCTCCACTTACCCCGTCATTTACAACACCGATGCAGGCGATCTGGGCGGCAAGACTGGGTTCATTATAGCCGGAGTTACGGCCATAGCAATTGTGGTGACGTACTTCTATGTACCAGAGCTCAACGGTCGCCAGCCCATTGAGGTTGACAAGATGTTCGAACTGGGCCTCAAGGCCAAGGACTTCTCCAAGTGGTCCAGCAATGAGGACCGCGAGGCCTGAGCACAAGAAATAGCATTATTCTTAAAAAAGCACGGGAGCATCAGACAAATTCCCTGGAAACAAATAGATAGATATGGAACAGATAGGCTACATATTGTTCATATTGGTAAAAACAAAAAAAAAAAAAAAAGCTTTGAAGGATTAAAACCATCACTTTGTATGATAACCTGGCTTGAACAAATAGGTCAACCTCAGTAAACGTGTCATGAGACATCGCGTGCTGTCTGGAACGTGCTGGTCCAACATGCCCTTCAAATTGCGCGCTTCACATAGCAAGGTTGTACTGCAACCTCGGATCAATCACAACCTTACATGTGGACATGGAGGTCTCTCTGCCGAATACTTCAACTAGTAATCCTACAGAAGTGATCCTCCCAAGGCGGCTTTTGGTACCGTCTCCGGGACAAGCGAAGTTAGCTAAGCCCGCCGCCGAGCCCGGCTCCGGAGCAGAATTGGGAGGCAGTGCACTCGAGTCGCGCTATCAATGCTTAGCTTCCCAAGTTGACAGAGCGAACTCGGAGACATGAATACCAACCTGCCATCGAATCTAGTATCAACAAATTAGACACGCGGATTCCAGACGGCGCAAGGCTCTCAAGAGAAAGCTGGATATCTGCAGTCAAGCCCGGTCATTGCACATGCTAGTCGTTCAAAGATGAGCACATCTCTCTCTACGGCCGACGTGCCTCCTGAATTCCTCGAGGCTGCATTCCTCGTGGGTCATATCCCGCTGCGGTCTCTGCCCAGCGAGCCGCGCGTCTCCTACGCCCTTTACGTGCCCAAAGAGCAGTACAACGCCAAAGCTTCAGCCGAGGCCAAGCTTCCACTGCTTGTCCACATTCACGGGACTGGACGTCGTCTAAGCGGCCTGGACTTTGACTACCCCAGGTTCGCTGACAGGCTAGGCTGCGCCGTGCTCTTCCCGCTCTTTCCTTGTGACCTTGACGGGCCGGACGACCTCGGCTCATACAAGATCCTGCGCTCTCATTCACTGCGGGCCGATCTTGCGCTTCTGTCTATGTTGGATGAGGTCGGTCGAGTATGGCCTGGCATCGACACGGAGAAGGTATTCTTGGAAGGTTTCTCGGGTGGAGGGCATTTCACTCACCGGTTCTTGTATCTGTACCCGGAGCGTCTTGCCGCGGCAAGCGTCGGCGCTCCTGGCAAGGCGACAAGCCTGGACGAGACGCAGAACTGGCCAATAGGAATCGCAGACGTGGAGGACCGCTTTGGGCGGACCGTCAAAAAGGAGGTGATCGCCCAGGTGCCAATACAGATGGTTGTCGGGAGCGAGGATGTGCATGGTCACGGTGGTGCGGAGTTCTGGGCTTGGGTCAGAACCCAGCGATTAAAGGCGCAAGGAATCAGCGAGGAGGATGCCGCAAAGACTCATATACGCACTGTCGAGGTTGTTGGGGATAGGGTCAAGACATTGCGGGATCTTCAGGCCGAGTGGCTCGCTCAAGGTATCACAGTACAGTTTGACGTGGTTGATGGGGTCGCTCATGATGAACAGGGAGTTCGAGGAACTGTTCTAGAATTCATCGAGTCTGAGATGCGGAAACAGAGAAATGCTTGATTGCTAATTGTCTGTTGTTGCTGGTCTCATGTATCAAATCTCCGCCATTTACTCTATCGCAGTTAACTCGGAACGAACCACTTGTCCTTCCCCGGAAAGTTTCCTTTGGCTGCGCTCGACTTCAACGCAAGTAACCGGAAAGAGTACCAACGTCACTGCAAGCATACCTCAGGTTACCAAAGGCGATCCACGTGGTCACTTTGCAGCTCCTTGAAACCGCAGGCATTGGCCGCGATGTGTGAGCGGAGAGTATGGAAGAAAGCGGCCAGCAATGATTGAGCGCCACATAATGGACAAGATGTGCATAATTCCCACTGCATGTAATCCTTCGAATAGCGGTCATTCTCGCCCCTCCCACCCAACGGGTTGCTGCTGCAGCTGGCGACTTTCCATGCAGAAAAAGCACTCCCGGTTGGCTGCTTGATAGTTGGCCAATAATTTCTACAGCACTTGCAGACCAGCACCATTGCCTTTGAGCGCCCACCCACATAATGTCTTCCTGTTCTCAGTGATACAGCAGGTCCTTTCGATTTGGTACAGGCAGGATCTATGCCCATTCTTCTCGTAGCATCAGGCATAGCTTGCCGATCATTCGTCACCAAGGTACAGCCAGACTGGCTGCCGGAGTTTCGTGTACCAAAGCATATGCCTGTATCCTGATTCGTAGTAAATAGTGCTTGGGTAGCTTTCTATCTGCCTGTCCAAGTGGACATGTCCGACAGCGACACCCCCTTGGTGCGCGACCCAACCCAAGCGGCTGCTCCCGGGGTTGGGCCGTCAGACAGGCCACCACAGCCCGATAACCATTGCATGGGCCCTCGACAGGTCATCCTGCGTTCGTGATCCTGAGCCATCAGCCCCCAAATCCTGGTGGCCTTGTCGCCACTTTCTATCCGACTCTGGACCCAGACCCACCTCTTTCATCACTGAAAAGCGATCGACCCGCCACAAGCTGAGCATCATTCGCCTCGATGGCTGAAGAGGACCGACAGAACTGCGAGGAGGTGCACGCAGAGCCGGAACCACAGGTGGAAGAACCCAAGAAAAGCGGCGACGAGGGCGAGAAGCCGACAGGGCAAAACCGGTCCGCAAAACGCAAGCAGGAGAACCGCAGCCGCCGTCGGCATCACGGGCTGCGGACGGAGAGCTCCAGTCATCATCACCACTATCATCCGTCGCAGATGCACGCCAGTATGGACACTCCCTACTACCAACCAGTTATTGACCCCAACCCGTTTGCGCCAAGATCTAGGAGCCCGGAGTATGCCACTCCGCAGCTGAACCCTTCGAATCCTTTCGCCCCGATAGCACCCGACCCGTCAGACTATGGCTACAGTCCGGGCTCGCAGACTGGGTTTAACGCTTCGCGGCCGGGTCCTAGCCCGTTCGCACCAGGCTACCCGCCCGGCGGCGCCGGCGGTTACCCGTCAAGGAAAGATCCCCGTCCGGGGATGTATCGCTCCGGGACCGCCCCGTCGACATACCCGCCTGATCCGAATTACCACAAGCACCACTCTTCCAAGCACTCCCACAGCCGAAGCAAGCCTTCCCACCCGACGTCCTACTACTCGCCGCGCCACCGGCCGCCGAAGCGGGCCAACTCGTCGCCGGACAACGTCCAGGACGAGATCGACAGGCTGCAGGAGGACCTCGAGTCACTCAAGCTGTGGCAGGCGGAGAAGAGCGATGTCAGCGCGGAAAAGGCGCGACGGCAGGCCGCCGAGCGCGAGGTGCGAGAGCTGAGGCACAAGCTCAAGCGTGAGAGGGAGAAGGGCTCGCGCTCCGAGGGCGATCATGACGACTTCGGGCTCAGCGAGCGAGAGTTGACGACTTTGAGGGGTCTGCTTGAGCGCTACCGGGGTCCGCCTCCGAGGGGTGGTGGCCTTCTCACGCAAGATGCGAGGCCGCTGACGGATGCGAATCCGTTCCTACAACAGCCTGGAGGGGACAGTTGGAGGGGACCGCAGGACTGGGATACGCTCCAGCGTCTCCGAGGGTCATATACCGGAGGCTTGCCGCCACCACCGGAGAGTTATAGAGGCGGCGCACCGAGCGACGTCACTGCCGCTGGCTCGACGATGACCAGGAGCCAAGTCGAACAGGTCTTGATGATAATGGACGTCCTGGAGCGCAGGAGTATGAGTGGTGAGTCAGCTCGATCACCACCGCGACAGCTGGGACAATATGATGACTCGTGGACTACATTCTCTGACCCTCAAAGGCCACGCACTCTAGGGGGTCCGTATCCGGCGGCGGCAGCGGCATATCGGGGACTGGGATCGGATCCGGGCCGCGAGTACCTTCCGGGCCGCGGCATGATGCCTATGGGCGACCCTTGGAAGATCCAGCCTCGTACACGACCACGCGCAGCGCGGGACCCGCAACCCGGAGGTGACCTGCGGGCGCCGGACGCAGCGCGTCTCCAGGCGCGCTTTGACTTCAACGACACTTCCTCGTCTCATCCGGATCAGAGGCTCGACGATGATATTGGCGAGGCAGAGTACCTTGACGAGCTACAGGAAGCGACAAGGCCAAACGCGCAGCACGAGCCAGCTCGGTTCGTCTTATCTCATGGCAGGCTGCGCAGGGATCCCAATGAACACCGCGGAGGGCCTGTTCCTCCGGAGGCACCGGAGGCGCCGGCAACTGGAGAGGCGCATCCGGAGCCCAACGCGGCGCAACGGCGTTCACGACGTGCGCCATCTCAGGGCACGGCGGCGCGCGATCAGTAATGAATAGGAGTGCCTGACGGAAGGCAGACAATCTATCGCCTGGATCGGTTTCTACTACAGTAAAGGGGCACACAGCACCATGACGATCTTTGTTATATCTATCTAGCATTGAATTCGTTCGCTTACTTCATGATGTACGATTTCTTTTGCAGTTGTTTGCCTTTTAGAGTTCTCGGGTGGAGAAGGATCGAAAGCACCGAGTGCGGGCTGGGTGTCGGCAGGCTTGAGGTCTTTTGATCCAACGAGGTAGTGCAGACTGTAGGCTAGTCACAATACGTTATGTTCTTGGTTGATTTTCTCTGTACGTCATCATCCTATCAGAGATGAGGTGATAGTCTCAACTTTCGGGGTCGTGGGTCACGTCAACATGGAGTCAATCCGGTATCTGATCAGGTTGACCATCTAATGGAGACCCTCTACGCGTACCGCTCTTTTTCAATAGGTGGATGGCCAGCCACTACCTGAGTTTTCAAACTTTAGCTTTAAGGACAACAAGCCTCCACAAAGGGGTTCTTCAACTTGAGGTAGTGGGATAATCCCATCTTGCAGTTAGTGGGGGGGGGGGGGGGGGGGGGGGAGAGGGGGTACCGGATAATCCTGCGGAAAGAAGCGGTAGACGACAACTAAAACAAGACTGTTTCCAACAAGTGTCAATAAGTAAATTTTAGCTTGACTACCTAATAGGAATCACAGAGCTAGAGAGTTGTATACCTACATGTATGGTAGCGAAACAGTTTGCAGGAGAGGACTCATCTGATGGGGACGCGTTTGATGTTAAGGCATGTTCCGATCCCCTCGCATGACTGACTGCTTTGCTCGACTGGACTCCGTACTGGTATTCCATAAACGGTAAACGAAATGGATCCACAGGTCCGAAAATGGCGGACTATATATAAGAGATTTCAGATAAAGCCTGAGGAAGACAGCATTAATCCGTTATGGGAACTAGATGGATACGCTGTAGCAGCCTTACTAGGCTCGTGGGTTGATGGAATGGACATGTAGTTAGCGTGTCGAAGAGTTCTTGGCGGTATTCTTTCCGTGATCTTCGATTCTTGAGACGGCAAAATAGATTCAGTTGAGAACCAGGCAAGACAGCAACCCGCACTTCCACAATGAATCTAAGTTGCGACGCATTGTGTACGTCTGTCTCAAGATCCAGGACTGAAAATGCTCGTGCGAGCAAGCACCATGTTGGACATTTTAGAGTCCAAGAGGTAGTCACTAAACGCAGGAGACGCGTCTCGCGGGTGTTGTCATTTAGTGAACTGCGGAGCAGCTCGCCCTTACGAATACTGACAGGTGGCCAAGGTTGGACTAGGTAGAGTCGACACCAGGCCACACATCTCTCACTTGAACAGAGAAAAGGGCGTGGCTTGCAAAATCGCTGAAAGCAACACATATCATACATACCGGCCGGCACCATCAACCTTCGCCAGGTTCGGGAAGCCCGGGAACGTCCCTACGTGCATCACGGCAGCATCACGGGCGGCATCATGGGGGGCTTGTGGTAAAAGCGTGCCAGGCTCCTTGGGACAGAGCCATGATTGGTGATACTCAGCACTTTTGGAATGCGAACACCGACCAGGACAAGAACAGGCCTCGACTCGCGGTGTGAAACAAAGGTCAGTCGGAAACCAGGATCACTGCCTTCTGTCCATTGGCAGCATCTATCAGGGCAGCTCGCAGTAAACACGAACAAAATCAGTTCCACATTGTCATTTGACAGCGGGTGCTAGCTATGTGCTGTCGGTAAATCTGGCTGCATGATAGGTCGGAGGGCCCAAGCCGGAATGGTGGCGCCAAGCCGGGGCAAAGTTGGCGGCAATAAGCTTGTCTTTAACGTTATGACAGACTTGTCACTGGTAGCACAGTACTCACATAGTCTTCATTCCATTCTGGTTCAGGGCCTCTGTCGCGGAATGGGCAGCATCGCGACTCGAGCATCTAGGACCACCATGCATTCTTTCGGGACCGCCCGTACGGCCGTGAAGAGACCACGCCGTATGTCACTGGACTGGCGCGCGTCTGGTTCTGACGGCCGCTTGGATATTTGAAGCCTGGGCGCCGATTCTTTGTCCCCATTATCCTCCCCGAGAACAAGCTCTCGATCCAGTCACTCACTATCAGTCATTCATTTACCCTGGTCGATTGCGGCCGTTCACTCCTTACTACTGGAAAGACGACCACAATGCTCCTCAAGCAACTTGCCCTCCTCTCTGGCGGGTTGGTAGGCCTCACGTCCGCCATCCCGCTCATCAATGTTCTCGTGCTCAGTACCTTCGATGCCACAGGCGTCGAGAACCAGGTCCTTCGTAACAATGGATTCAACGTAACCGGAGTCAGCACTTCTCAATTCCAAAGCATGAGTCTCGAAGATCTGGGTCGATATAACGGAATCTTTATCAGCGATGCCGGTGTCTGCGACCCGAATCAACTTAGCTTTCTCGACACTGCGACAAGCGAGAAGCTGGCCAAGGCAGTCTCTGGTCGTATTGAGCTCATCGGCACCAGCCTCGCGGACGAACGTGCCAGAAGGCTGGCGATTAATGCATCTGCTGATCTTACTGATGTTGAAAACTTTGCTCTCGACGCGGCATACAGACTGACGCAACAACCGGCCATCGGGTTGTACCTCTCTCTGGGCTGCTACTACTCCAATGTCTTCGGGAACCCGGCGACCGTACCAGCCCTGTCTGGCTTCGGGACGTTCGCTATGCGCGCTCCGCATCAGTCGCCACCAAGCGGATGTGTATCCAGCGACGCCACCTACCGCGGCGGCGCGCAGCCGGTCATCTTCCCTGCCGTAACCGAGGCACAGCTCCGTGCGTGGCAATGTGCCGTGCGTGAAGTCTTCATCGACCGTCCTGACACCAACTCCTCCGGGTTCGACTGGATCATCACCTCGGCCAACGCCGAGACCCCCAACCCTGCGCCCCCTGGAGCTCCGTATGTTCTCGGGCGAGAAATGGTTGCCCCGGCATGTGGCAACGGTTGGATTGACCGTGCTTTTAATGAGGAATGCGACTTTGGTTTGGCTCTCAACGGTCTATCCAACTCCAACTGCGACGCCAACTGCCAATGCGCCGTCGGGGTCGACACGAACGGCAACTGTCTCCCGGTCCCAAATGTCTGTGGCAACGGAGTAGTGGATACAAATAGCTCTAATATCCCCAGCATCCCTTCCGGCGTTGAGCAATGCGACTTAGGAATCCAGCTTAACGGCCAGCCCGGGTCTACTTGTGACGTGAACTGCCAGTGCGTCTACGGCAGGACCGCGAATAACAGCACTTGCGCGGCTGCTCCGGTAAGCAGCACCACCACAACGTCTGCCACTAGCACTACGACGTCCGGCTCCTCTACTTCGTCCGCTCCGACCAGCTCGGCAACATCGCAGTCTTCGACTGTCCCGCCCACGTCTACTCAGTCCTCCAGCACAGGCTCCCCTTCGACGGTGCCTCCTACGTCTGGACAATCCTCTAGCACAGGCGTCCCGCCCTCTAGCAGCGCCGCTCAGTCCTCTAGCACAGGCACTCAGTCCGCATCCCCTTCATCTTCAGTGGACCCCTTGCCTCCGCGTATCGGCCAGTTCGCTTTCAAGGCATGCACGGGATCGGTGCAAAACTACCCATCGTTCGAGCTCCAGTTCTCCAGCAACCAGATGACTCTGGAGATGTGCATCGCTGGGTGTGCAGGAAGCCTCTACTCCGGTACACACGTCAAGTATGTGCAAATATCCTCTATCTTTCACACCTTGATATGAATGTTTTTGGTTTGCACCATTGGTCACGCCAAGCGACCTCCGCCTTTCATCTCCATACTGACATGAAAACACAGCGACTGTTACTGCGCCAACGCGTACGATGCGGTCATCGAGGTCGCCCGCGACCGCTGCAGCATCCCCTGCCCCGGCAATGCCCTCGAGAACTGCGGCGGCTATCGCGGTAACTCGACCAACCTCCTCCGACGCTACGACACCCGCCGCCAGGCCACGGGTAGCGTGCCCGCCAACGCCCTGCTCGCCATCTACGAGTACTCGCCCCTCGCGACTTCCTCCGCCCCGGCGACCACTGCCCCCACGACCGCCGCCCAGAGCACATCGACCGGCACCACAGTCGTCACGGCAGTGGCCACCGTCACTGCCACTCCCAACGGCGGCGGCTCGTGCGCCACGGGCTTCTGCAACGCTGCTGGCTACTTCTTCGAGCTGTGCCAGGGCGGCCCGCGACCGGGAGAGGTCGTCTTCGTCATCGAGGCGTGCAGCTGCGCAGGCGGCTTCCGCTACGTGCCGGCGGGCTGCAGCGGCACGGGCTGTGGCTCGCTGGTCGTGTACCGCGCCGTGCCCTGGGCCGGCGGGGACAACGGCACCGTATACCAGCCGCAGGCGTGCTCTTCTGCTTCTGGGTGCGCTGGCGGCGTGGTCTTCCAGCAGAACCCTCCTGCGCCGACGGCTAACGCCACTGGTGTCGTGGTTGTAGTTGCTGGCGCGACCAAGTTGGTTGGGTATCTCAGCTCTGCTATGGCTGTTGGCGGTTCTCTTCTTCTTGCTGCTCTGGTGTAAAAGGTTCCTGGGAAGGAAACGGCGTTTTAGCCAAGGGATGGCGGAAGTCGCGGGTTGGAAAACATCACATTCTTGTATAGGTTCGTAGTTCAATCGAGATTGTCAATTCTCTTTCAGCAGTCGAATTGGCTACGATATTGGACTTGATCCAGAGAAAAGTACGAATCTCAATTCAAAGAAAATCCCAAAGATAGATCAAACAACGGTAAGCAATCTTCCCAATTCCATAATGCATCATAATCTGCTCAAGGTGTCACGATGTTAAAGTTGGGGTCGCCTGGATCGAGCAGCCCGGCCAGAGTTCCAAGCACATTCGATGGGTCATCGACCACGATCCCCTCTTTCTCAAGTTGCTCGGGATCAAGGCCGTACAAGACGAGAGCGGGCAGCGTGCGGGTCGTGGCAGTAATAGTAGCGTCTGGCGCGGTCGGTTGAGGCGCGGCCGTGTAGATTAGGGCCCCGTTGGAGAGCCACAGACGGTACTTGTCGGGATCGCCCGGTCCGCCGGACTGGTTGGCTCTGTCCGTAAGGACCACATAGATCGTGAGTCTCTGGTCCCACGCCCTCGGCCCGTCGACCTGGATTGCGATCGAGTCAAAGAGCATCTCGGGCGTCAGCTGGGCGATGACGTCCGCCGAGGCGGTGGCCGTGGGTGTGCCAAAGTTGCCCGAGCGCAGCTCCGTCGCGCCCGATATGAAAAAGTTCCTCCAGGTGCCGTTCTCGGACCCGTAGCCCAGCTGCTCGTATGTATCCGCCAGCAAGGCCTGTGCCCGGGGTTGGTTGGGGTGGGCAAAGACAGCGTGGTTGAGCAACTCGGCCGCCCAGCGGAAGTCACCGGAGTCGAATGCGTGCGTGGCCCTGGCCAACATCTGCTCCATGCCGCCCGCGAGGTGGACGTAGCGCTTGGACCTCTCGACTGGGGTGTGCTCCCACAGGTGCGACGGGTTGCCGTCGAACCAGCCGACATAGCGCTGGTAGATGGCCTTGACGTTGTGGCTGGTGGAGCCGTAGTAGCCGCGGGCGCTCCAGGAGTTTTCCAGGGCTGGAGGCAAGGTCATGAGTTCCGCTATCTCCATGCCGGTGTAGCCCTTGTTCAGCAAGCGCAAGGTCTGGTCATGGACATATGCGTAAAGGTCGCGCTGAGACGTGAGGAACTCGACGGCCCGGTCCTTGCCCCAAGTAGGCCAATGGTGGGAGGCGAAGATGATCTCGGTCTTGTCGCCAAACAGGTCGATTGTCTCGGTGAGGATGCGGGCCCATCCGTGCGAGTCGCGGACAACCGCCCCGCGCAGTGTAAGTAGGTTGTGGAATGTGTGTGTGGCGTCTTCGGCAGCGCACAACGCCTTGAACTGGGGGAAGTAGAAGAGCATCTCGGCAGGGGCCTCGGTATCGGGTGCCATCTGGAACACGATTCTGACCCCGTCGATAACCCTCTCCTCCTTTGTCCGGGTGATGATATCGGTTGGTGCGATGAGCGTGACGGTCCCTGTCGAGACTGTTTGTCCCAGGCCAGCGCCAATCTGGCCCTGTGGTCCACGAATAAGAGCTGCGCCGTACATGTAGGCGGCACGGCGGCTCATCGACGTGCCAGTGAAGACGTTCTCCGAAACAGCGTGCTCGAGGAAGCCTTCGGGTGCCAGAACAGAAACGGCACCCGAGTCAACGGAGTCCTGGGTGACAAATCCCTTGACACCGCCAAAATGGTCGACATGGGAATGCGTGTAGATGACGGCCTTGACGGGTCGATCGCTCCGGTATTGCTTGTACAAATTGAAAGCTGCTTGAGCTGTCTCCTTCGACGTTAGAGGATCAATTACAATAAGGCCCTCGTCACCTTCCACGAGGGTGACGTTTGAGAGGTCAAGTCCCCGGACCTGGTAGATCCGAGGGTGGACGCGATATAGGCCAGCCGTGGCAGTGAGTCTTGACTGCCGCCACAGGCTAGGGTTGGCTTCGTTGGGAGAGTCTTCAGTGAGAAAGGCGTAGGCTTCATTGTCCCAGACGACTTCACCATTCTCGTTGGTGACGGTATTGGGGTCGAGTGTGCCTAAAAGGCCTCTATTCACATCATCAAAATCACGATCATCGGCAAAGGGCAAGCTCTGCTTGAGCTCTTCCTGCTGCTGTATGATCGTTTCGGTCGCTGGCTTGGAAGAGGTCATGTTGACGATTATACTTCTGCTCATGAAGGACAAAGTGCGCTTCAAAGATGACAAGGAGTGAGACTTCCGCTGCTTTCATGTTCACCCACTCGGGGAGCTCAACTCCAGGCTTCAGCAACGGATCGGACCTCCAAAAGCAATGCATTTATAATCTCGTTGCACATCCCGCGTCTGTAGCGATCCTCTCACTTTCAAAGCTGTCACAGGACCTTGATGGAGACCGAATGAAACCGAGTGTGGCTTGCATGGAGTGAGTTTTCTGATGCAGTCGTTCCTAGTTTTTGGTCACAACGTCTCTGTGGTGGGCTCTCAGAGCTTGGTCATCATGGACTTCGGACTTAGCCAGCTCTTCCAACGAATGTACAGCTATTGATGCATGTTCTCGCGCCCCGATTGTTGTGCCATTTGGTGTTCCCGAGCAATGCTAGTTCGGTTGCAACGCAAACTACATATCTTGTGCTATTGATGACCGATGCTATGAAATTATCATTGAGCCCACTGACTAAAACTCTAAAGACTCATATATCCATACGACATAGTTCCCTGGTTCCTCGAGGATCCTATCAAAGACACAATCCGACTTTCGTTCATGTATTATTAGGCTCAGCTGACTGGTTCTTGTGTAACTTGATCTTAGATCTTGGGAAAGTGGAGATCCATCTCGGATCCCGACTTCAAGTTGCTGCTGGGGAGTTGGTCACGAAAATGGATAGCAATGAATAATGCGAAGGTACCACCAATCAAGGGATCCTAGGATGGAGGTTCAGCCAGCCACTTCCTAACACGACGTACATGCGGTATTACATAACTTTCAAAACACCATCGTGCTCGCTTTCGAGGTTCCCTTCCCCACTGGCAGAATTGGCTTTGGAAGCATCCGATACTTCTGAAGACGTACGGGGTGGTTCTTTTGATACAGTCTAGTAGTAGGTAGCCAATATCGTTCCCTATGAGTTCATCGATATGTGATTAATTCAATGATCTAATCATAAAGCGGGAAACCATATTCTATCGTCGACAGCAGCACAACTATATGACTTTGTGGTGATAGCAACAAGCACAAGATATGGCCACTGCAGAGATTTCTCCAAAGGATAACTCTCTTTCCATAGCTTCGAGGCAGGTCCTGCTGATCCTTATTCTCGTCGTCCCGTGTCGTTATGTTGTGATAGGTGTAGCAGGAAAGGGTTAAAAACAGAGCTGATTTCCTAGCTCTAGAATAAAACCAAGGTGGTCTCGAGAAGTTGCAAGACTTTTTTTTGACTAGATCTTTTTCATTGGCACTCAAATTGGAGATGTGCCCATCCATGCTTTGTTGGGCTTTGGGACGAACACACCGAGGAGTGGACACGGATACGGACACGGACACGGAGATTTTATGTCTCGTACGTCCAATAATCTTGAGGCAGTGTAGCCCCACTGTCTCCTGAGGCCCTCTTGCCGACGGTAATCTTTCTCACAGCCAAGCTTACACACAGCCTCCCTGCAACTCCAAATCCGAGCGTAATCGAAGTCCGAGTCTTATCATAGCATGTTCCATGGCTCTTATCCTTTAATTGTAGGCCTGCAGACTTTGAGATTTTTATTTGCTCATACCCCCGTAGTGTTTGTGCTTGGAGCGTTCCTCAACTAGCACATACGGAACGCAGAATGCAAAGCAACATGACACGGTCTTCCATGGCCTGTACAACATGCAGGCAGGTAAAGGTGCGTCTTTATACTCGGTGGCTAACCTGTTCTGCCCGCATCGGCCGATTTTCGCAAAAGGCCCGTGGAGTACCTCAAAGCCGTTGTGCTTCGACCCTGGTCCCGCTCCACAAGATCACTACTTTGCCTCGGTTTCATCTGTGTGTACAGTCACTCACGTCGCCATTCCTATAGCTTCGATGCGATGCCCCTAAGCGATTCCCGCAGCCATGTAGTAGATGCGAGCGCTTGGGGAAGAACTGCGTGTCGGACCCGGCCTTCAAGAGGCGGGCAGTAAGAGGGTAGGTCGACCCCACAACATATGCAATTGCTCGTCCTCGTCTAGTGCTGACGACATCCTAGTGCGCTGGAAAAGGTGCTGGAGGAGAAAGAGCAGCTTCAGAGACTCGTTCAGTCCTATCGAAGTGAAGGACAAGAACCGCAGAGTTGCATACCAGCTCCGCGGCATCATGGCCAGCCTGTATCGCCATTTGGATCCCAAGATGCCAACTCTTACGACCTTTATGGTGTAGTTTTGGAAATGCAAACCATATCCGATCTTTTTGAACAGTGGGTTGGACACGCCCATACTATTTGCCTGACCGAGCACAGGGACTCACACGCCATGATACCGCAGCTTTTCAAACCATTATCTCAGCCATTTGCCCATTCTTCATGTAGGGAAGCCTGTGGATAGGGTATACGAGGATAGCAAGCTCTTGTTTTGGACCATTGCGTACATCTCTACTCGTCACCACGCCGCGCATCGGCAACACTCGGCTGTACTCCTAACACCCTTGAAGCGATTGCTGTCAGAACACCTTGTCGAATCAATACAGAGTGTCTACACTATACAAGCCCTGTTGATGTTCTCGCTATGGCCCTTCGAGGTGCGCTACCAGAGGGATGATCCAAGCTGGAACTACTGCAGTCTGGCAGTCTCCGCTGCGATACAGATGGGCCTGGATGACACCAAACCACAGCCACGGCCGGGTATCGCAGAGCCCTCTGAAGAGGCTAGACTGCTTGGGCTGAAGACTTGGCTTGGATGCTTTTGGGTCAGCACCTCGTAAGTGCCTTGTGATACATATCTTTTCACTTATAAGCAACTGATTCGCTAACCTTCAACTCGTAAATACAGCCTCAGTAGCGAGTTTGCACTTGCACCGCCGATGGCATCCGTGGCCCATCTCGAGCCTCTTGTACTACAACGGGTACAATCAAGCCTTCCACCAGATTTCGTAGCTCATCTAGAGATTGAGAGATATTCAATACGTGCGTCAGCCGTTCTAACCCAAGCCTCGACCGGCCACATGCGCAGGTCGCTCGTAGACGTCCTCGAGCGGGATCTCGAGTCCGTTGCACACCACTTGCCCGTGCCGCCTTCAGCGCACGTGCAGATCGACATTCTGGCAGCTAAACTCCGCCTCTGCGCATTCCAGCTCATCTGCGGTGAAGAAGCTGCTATTATACCCACCGGTCCCGACAACTCCCTGACCCGCGCCGCCTGGTATCGCGGCTTCGAAGCTGCTACAAATTTAGCCACGCTATTCACTACATCCACACAGCAAATCCAGTCAAATTCAAACATATGTCCAGCATCAACTGTCATCTCGGTTTTCTACCCCAAGCACTACTTCCGCGTCAACGTCATGGCCGCCATGTACCTCCTCAAGCTGCAAGCCGTCGACCGCGCCATGGCGCCCGCCGACAAGGCCCTCGCGCGCGACAACGTGCGCCAGATATCGCAGAGCTTCTGGCAGCGTTCTACAGCAGAGATGGACGAGTCTGCTCGCGCGGCGCGCATGATCGAGGAGCTGGGCCGATACGTCGAGGACCAGCGTGTCATGTGCCAGCTGCACAGTTCGAAGCCGGGCGCCGGCAACCTGGCGCCCGTCGACGTTGTCGTGGATGGGATGAATACTGTAGGGGAGATCAGGAGAATGAACACGCCGGGCTCCAACAATAGTCACCCGACGCCGCCGCAGCGGTATGTGGCGGGTCCAACCACGTTGTCTGTGCCCGGCAGTGCAGATGAGCCGGCCGAGATGCAGGTTCAAGAGCACGAGGGCGAGGTGTGGCAGCAGTACCCATGGGATGACTTTTCTTCGTCGTGGAATGCATGGCCTATGGACGTAGATGAGATTCTTCAGATGCTCGGGACAGACATGGGTGATCTGCCGATGGTCCCCGGCCTATAATTAGATGTGTCATATAATCTAATCTACTATGTGGTCTATCAAATTATCAACAATCTGATTCTCAGCGGACTTTAAGTTTCGTGATGTAAAGTCCGGCCAGGTCAAGCTCTTGTGCACATGCAATTATTGGACATCTCAGACTTAGAACCGAGCAGGGACCGGCCCGGCCCCGGTTTGCGAAGTTCGCTTCTGATTCCCCACACCCGGAGCGAAATTCGCATGGAACACGCCGGCACCCTCTCAACAGCATCCTACGGGGTTCACGAGCTCGTGATTAATCCAATCCCGTTCGTAGAAGAGAAATAGATAAGCTCGTAAAGGTCATCAAGATTATTCCGAGCGAGCAGGTCCAACTGGTTTGGATTATCTACGCGTATTCGTTGCTGGAACCTTTGTCGATCAACTGTTAAGATGGGCTCCATGCAGGATGACAACCTCGAATCGTCCCCGCTCTGCCGCATCGTCACGCCCGTGGGCATGCTGGGCTATGGCTTCGAGGACGAGGAATTGAACTTGGGTTTGGAACTGGCTCTGCACAGCGGCGACAATGCACCCGTCGCCATCATACTCGATTCCGGGTCAACGGACTCGGGGCCAGCTAAGCTGGCTCTAGGGTCCATGACGTGCCCTCGATCATCCTATGCCCGCGACCTGACTAAGCTGCTAGAAGCAGTGCTGAAGTACCGCGTCCCGCTGCTGATCAGCTCTGCCGGCGGTGACGGAACGGACGCACATGTCAAGGAGTTCCTAGATATTATCGGCGAGATCGCCGAGTCACTAGGTCCTGCGTACGTGAGATGATTCGCCTCGCCGTGTTAGCAGTCCATGTCACTGACAAACATACAGCGCACCCTGCCTCAAAGTCCTGGCCATCTACAGTGACATCCCCCAAGAGACCGTACTATCTCGCCATGAAGCAGGCCACATCTCCGGCTGTGGCCCATGCGTTCCCACCCTCACCCGCGAAGCCGTCCTCGCAACTCCGACCGTGGTCGCCCAAGCTGGTCCGGAACCGCTTCTGTCCGCCATGGCAGCCCACCCAGATTTCGATATCCTCATCGCCGGCCGCGCCTACGACCCGGCCCCATACGTCGCTTTCGCCGCGCACCACGCCCTCCGACAACAACAGCAACAGCAACAGCTCAGCGCCACCGCCCCGCTCACAACTTCCCTGTCGGCTGACCTGCTGGGCGGGATAATCCACATGGGCAAAGTAATGGAGTGCGGTGGCCTTTGTGCCGTACCCAAATCCAAGGCCGCCCTAGCCACCGTCTACGCGTCAGGCGCGTTCGACGTGCGGCCCCTAGCGCCCAAGTCGCGCTGCACGCCTTCGAGCGTCGCCGCGCACACCCTGTACGAGAAATCTAGGCCCGATGTCCTCGCCGGCCCAGGCGGCGCCATTGACGTCACGACGGCGGAGTACACCGCTCTACCCGACGGCACGTCTGTCCGCGTGCACGACACGCGCTTCGTCCCCTCCGAGCCGGCGTACACCGTGAAGCTGGAGGGCGCGCGGGTCAGGGGCTACCGCACCGTATTTATGGGCTCGTTCGGCGACCCCATCCTCATCAAACAGTTACCCAAGCTCCTGAGCGACATCAAGGCTTACGTCGCGCTGCAGCACCGGCATGTGACAAATGAGAAGTGGGAGATCGGATTTCACACCTACGGCGGCGAGGCCAGCGGGGAGGTCTTCCTCGTGGGCGAGGCACTGGCTGACAGCCAGGTTCTGGCGACGAGCGTGGCGAGCACGGCGCGGGTGGGGTGCACGCATGGTCCGTACGAGGGGCAGAAGGCGAATGCCGGGAACTTTGGTATGGGAATCGGCGGGAAACTCGAGATTGAGATGGGCCCATGTGCCGAGTTCTCGGTGTATCATCTCATGGATCTCGAGTCAGGGGAGGAGTATGCGGTCGATATTGGCGATGCAGTAGGCAGGGGCTTGTTCAAATGGGAGAAGAAGTCGTTTGGAGTAGGTGCCCCGACACAGGCTGATCATCCTACCCGCACGATCGGTGCCAAGAGTGTCGGGCTGACTGGGGCAGAGATCAAGACTATCGTGACAGATGTTCGTTCCGTCATAGGCAAAGCTGCCGAAACAACTTCTACCACGACGAGCAGACTCCGTGGCAAGCGCCCTCTGGGTGACGCGGCACGCATTATTCGGTCCAAGAATTCTGGCCCCTTCGAGATCACGCTCGATGCCCTCTTCGACAGCAAAACAGTATACGAGCAGGTGAAGAGCTCAGGGGCCTTGAAATCAGAGGTAATTGCACAACTATACGAGCTCAAGGTTGAGGATATCGTGTGGAGCGGCTTCTTTGATCAGGCACTGGCGTACAAGGTGACTATCCCTCGCCGCAGAGACGGCAAGCCTTCGTCTTCTGGCAGCTTCATGGAGAATGATGTTCAAGGGTCGCAGCAATACAAGCCTCTCATGAACATAGAGATTGACTTTGGCACATGATGCGTTGTATATTAGAATATGTAAACTGTCAATTGTTAAAACAGCATATAGACACAGCATATAGACCATTGGCTTTCGAGCCCTTGTAGTCTATGTATGGCCAACATCTTGAAACACGAAATATAGTTTATGACTGAGCCATACGGCCTCTGATGTCTATTTGTGGCATAGACTAGCTATGCTTAGACTATATATAATGATAAACAGTCCAGCCATAATTCCATCAAACTCTGCCCTGCATTTGCTCGCCAATTTTCTCGTAAAAGCCGGGGATGTTCGGCCTGGGAATGTATCAAGTCCTGAGAGACCACCATCTTAAGTTACATGAAAGTGAAACTGTGCTGTTAGAGCGCCTCTGCGTCTTGCTTTCCAGAAATTCTCCTCCGTACGTGTTCATCTCACGTCTGCAGCTTTGTGACGGGGAAGCTCCGGTCTGGCCTGACCGTCACCTTGTTGACCAGGTCTCCGTCGGCATAGGCCGGCCATGCAATCAGCTTGTTGCCAACATCCACGATTGAAAGAGTGGTAAATCCGTTTCCGGGGCCAAACTGGCCGCTCCACCCGGTGCTGACGACGTAGCCGCCGCACCTGGCTCCGTTGATGGCGGTCTGTGTGGCGGGGACCTTGGTAGTGCCGACGACGTTGAGGCGACACTGTACGGGCGCGCCAGCTTGGGTGTCGATGGAGAAGAACCAAATGCAGCGGGTGAAGTTTCCGTTGCACGAACGCTTCATGGACTTTATTGTCCACTGCGGGACGGTCGCCAGCATGGAGACGACTTGGACTTCGGGGTTGGGCGATGGAAGAGGGGCAGAAAGGACGGAGGAGATGACGAGTGCGAAGGCCGCCAGAACGAGGGAGAAGATCTGCATTTTGTTGAACCGTTGTGGGTTTTCAAGTAAAGAATGAAGGTAATTTGCTGTATTTAGGTGCTTCAGGCAGATATTTCCTCTTAATTCTATCCCACAATGCTGGTGTTTTGTCTTTTGCTCCAAGGAGACTTTGATTCTGAGATCGTCAGATGTGATAGAGAAGCTTTAGGTCTTTATATGAGAAACCATCTGCAAGGGATGAAGTTCATCAAGAAGGTCTGCAGCCGGAATGCCTATCGCCATGTTCATGAGAGCAATGCGAATCCCAAAGGCTGGTGCCGAACGCCATGGGAAGATCGTCGATTACATGTTTTCGAACACCCCTTAGTAGCCCTCATTCTCCACGGTAATGGCTTTGACAGAAAGATGAGTTGAGGCTTTACGCTACCAATGTGAGATCGAGATTCAGACAAAGGTAGACTGGACGGAAAGCTCCAAGCTTTGGAGAGAGAATATTGAGGCCTTAGACTCCCCGCCATCCAAGATTGATAAGATATAAGGCTCTAACTAGTTCTCGTCTAGGGCTTAGCGCCACCGTTATGGAGCGAGGCGGGTTCGTTGCTTGATCTACCACTGGAATGTGAGATTGAAGTTTCTCCTTTGTAGAGCCCCGGAATTGTTATCCGGGGGTACTTTTGGCAACGGCAACCCCACATCACCAATCCGCGAAACATGCAGTTGGAATTCAGCCCACATGATCTCTCGTGGCATCTCTACGCGAGAGTTCCCGAGCTCCTGGCAAATGCGCGGCAAGAATGGGTCTCTAGAAGGTCTAGATCGGGCCAAGACGTCTTGTGCACAAGGGATTTAGAAGTAATGCATGCATATCCACCAACCTCCCGGAGGCTTTGTACTACGATACAGGCACCTGGATTCGATTTCAAGGCAAACGTGAAGATCCGAGAAGAATTCTAGAATACCCTTTTTTCTCCATTTCTAGCTTCCCCCGCATCTTGTCCAAGTTTTATCTCTCCTACACGTGCGGACGCACGCTCGGTGGCCCAGCCCCCCAATATTGAAGTTGAAAAACGCTGCCACTTCTCAAGACCAGCCACGAACCAAGGGAGACAGACACAAATATGAAGCTTCAGCGCGCGCTGCTCTGCGAAAATAGTATTCCTCCTAGAACAACGAGGCGTAAGCCAGTGGTCCGATTTCTCAGCTTAAGATGCTAGTGACAGAATCCGGCATCACGACCACTTCATTCACGAAATAAAAATTCGATTCAAGGACAAAAACTCAGATCGACGAGAATAATCTAGGCTTTTAGGCATCCGCCACAGGGCTGGCATTATGCAGAATCTCCTGAACCACGTCCGGGTACACCTCATACGTCTTGCTACCGTCCTCGTGATATACTTTCGCGCTGATGCTAATCTGGAGGTTCGGCACCTCTCTTGGATCTTTGCCTCGGTTCGTGCCCTGTAGATAGGTCCTTTTGTGTTAGTTTACATTCCCACAACATGCCATTCTGATTCCCATGGTGGATTCAGGGTCGGCTTACGTAGACCACCCTCCATCTCAGGTTCTTGACCAAGAAGGGCTTGACATGCTCAGGGCGGAGGCTCTCTAGACCATTGTCGGGGAGGTTCAGGTAGTCGAGCAGCAGCGGAGTGATGGGAGCTGTATCGCTCGCTAGCTGGCCTGCTGCCGCCTGGTCGCCGCAGTTGTCGCAGAACTCGCGCGGGGCGGCGAAGATGTGGTTCAGACCAGCCAGGTATGGGGACCGCACGTAGTGTGCCGGGTCGGTGACGACAGCTCCCTGAGGCGCAAGGAAGAAGAAGATGGTGAAGGGGCCATTGGCAGCAGATCTGTTCGTTTCTGCGTTAGCTTACGACGGAGTGTCTAGGTACCAACGGGGCTTTACCGGTTGACGACAGAGTCGACATACCACTCCCTGTCGAAGGTCGAGTCAATCTTCTGAGACGCAGGGGCGGCTGTCTCTGGTGCATTTCGTCCGCCTCCCAGGACAGCTTGTTGAACCTGGGGAATGATCGGCTCTGCTGCAGCCTTGATGTTCGCAGTGACAGCGCTAAGCGCATCTCCGACGGTCGCCTGGACAGTGCCGGCTGCGTCTGAAGCGGCCGCAAACGCAGCACGCGGTGCGTCCCGGGTCCCCGCCTTGGAAAAGAAGTAGGTCGAGCGCACGTTGAGAGGCCGCATATCAGCCGGCGGGCTGGTGATGTTGGGGTGCGTAGGCGTGCGGCTGGACCACAGGTACTTATTGTCGAGGCGGGCGCGCAGGGCGCTCGAGTCTCCTCCAGAGGGCAGGTTCTTGAAGTCATCGTAGATGTAGCCAAAGAACTCGGTCGTCTTTGTGTCGTCAGAGTTGAAGAAGGTGCCGTTGCCGACTCCCGTGCGGGTCTTGTAGAACGGGAGGAGGTCCTTCTTGTTCTCGGCGAGCTGGCCCACCTCTGGCTTGGGGAACCACTCGTTAGGGTGGACGGCCTGCCAGATTGCCCAGAGGCGGTCGACTTGGCTGTTGTTTGGAGATTAGTACGTGGCCTATTGCTTTCTAGAAGGATGAGCGCAGATCGGGGAGAATTTGAGCAACGAACCAGTGATGGAACCAGAAGACCGGATCAAAAGCAGCCAGAGAAGGGGTTGACATGTGCCCAGGCCCACCAATGAGGTTGTGATAGTTGCCATGGATGGAGCCCTCGAGACTGCCGCTTGCACGGTTGCTTCGGAAGATCGTCATGTCTCCTTCAGCTAGCTTGTCAGACGCGACAGTCTCCAGGTTACCATAAGGCTTGGAGTAAAGCACGTCAAGACAGAGAATGTTTCGAGCCTCGCGTCCGCTATTGAGCGCATCGCTCAGCTCCTGGAGGTTGTGGGTAGTAGAGGAGAGACTGTCAGGATATCTAACAGTCTGGGTGGTGGAGTAATCACGTTTCTACAGGGTTGTATGAGCCAACTGAATATCAAGCTTTGCTGTATGCCTCGCAAACTCACAATGGCGTTCTGGTCCCGTTGAGGAAGCTGACCTGACTGCGGTGTAAATTTGTAGGTGTAGAGAGGGTTGTCAATGCCGGTCTGCAAGTTGTCTTGCGGCGGTAGCTTGAGAGCCACCTTCTGCTCGTTGAAGATGTCAGGGAGGCGGAAATCGTACGGGAAGCTCGTCTTCGATCCGCGACTAATTCCGGGAAAGCTAACGTTGCCGCCACGCGGACGGAAGTAGTCAAGGTACGGCAGGCGGAAGCCCTTGGCGGCATCCAGGTACCTCTGGCGGTGAGGCTGATCATACTTGCCAGCAATTTCGACCATCTTCAGGTACACCGATTGCTATAAAAGTATTGTGTTAGCATCTCGGCCATACTTTCTATCTAGGATGTGAGCTCTAACCTCGACAAGTGAGAGATAAGGCCTGTGCCAAGTAGGGAAGATCAGGACACCATGGGCACAGTAGCCGCCATAGGCGTCCCCGAACTTCTTGTTCACGTCATCCCACGTGTTTGTGGGAAATCCATGAATACCTGAGAGCTGATAGTAGCCTAGCAACGACGGATTCTGCTCCAAAGCTCCCAGTGCTTGCATGAAGAGGTTGAAGGTGTCGGGTTGAGTGGTGAGCATCACATCGACGTCGACGCGAGTGCCCACTTGTCCCGTGAGTTGCTTCATGCCGACCACCACACCCGAGGCAGCGAGGTTCTGAGGCTGAGCCATGTTGGTTTGAATATCATGCAATAACACACCAGAGTAACCGAAGATGAATAGGGGCTTGGATATAAGCTTTGAAAGTTCAAATGGAAGGGTAGGGACAAAATTTGAACCCAGAAGATGTGGTTGATAGGTGACGTTAAGTACTACTCTCTACTTCGTCACAGCATGACTTGCCAAGCCTCTGATTCCTGATAGATTTGGCCAGAATACGGTCTATTCGTATTTGGGTCACTGGACATGACTTCCTGCATTCGAGTCGATCACATCTGCTCTGTTGAGGATGGGGACGTCAGCTGTGCCTGCAACTGTGATTCGTGAAGGTGACTAGACTCAATGGTAGCGAGCCATGAGCCGTGATCATGTAGACAATAGTCCAGAAAAAGGAAAGCATTTGCAGAGAACTTCAATCGGCCAGTCGGACACGTCCCCATGTTTCACACTGGCTCGGGAACCGCCGTCAGGGTTTCGTGTTATGTCATCTTGGGGCATACCCTAGCCCGGTAAGCTACATCTCTTGAGCCAAGGCTACACTTTCCAATGCCCATAATAGAATGACCATGTAATTAAAGGGCTATGCCTAGTAATCAACCATCGGCCCGGAGCCCGTTCGGTAACTGACAATATCAAAGTGACTCAGAGTGCAGGTTGCAGTAGTCCACTCAACGAGATTTAGGTACCCCTGCGTAGGCATGAATCTAGAGCAAAGGGCTGAACGCATGGCGTCTTCACCGACTTAATCTAGACCTATCGGTGACATGCGCGGCAAGAATAGTCTAAAGATGTGAATCCAACAGTCACCAAGATATCAAAGACATAACGTAAGGCAAATATTGTGCGGGGTCGTTGTTTGCAGGGGGCGGATGCAGGGCGTCAGCGAGCTGAGCAATGTGGCTGGCTGGAACTACGGTGAGCGGCTGGGCTCAAAAGAAACGATAGATCGGCTGGCTCGTACTCGATTACGTGCGGGGTAGAGCCACGATGCTGAAATTGTCTACCTATCCGATCTTAATTATGTTGTGTCCTGTGCTGGTTGTACGTGAAGTTTGGCGCATCAAATAGCCTTTTGCGTGGTAGTGCTGACCAACAACTGCCCACATCAACTCTCTGGACATATTGGAGTGTAATCCGGTGCTTGTCTCAAGCTGCGCAGTAGCTGGAAGCAGACATAAGCTGACACATGCCCTGGCATGCTTGTCAATAGTGGGCGGATGTCATCAGTTCCACCATCCACATCTCGAAAGAATGCACCACTGTATGCTGTGTGACAACTCCAACGCATGGACTGGCTGAGTATCCACAAGAACCGGGCAGCTCCCTTCATCGAGAATGTGGCCCAACAATTTCGGAGAATTGATTAACTAATATCAGTTTGTAACAACATACTGCAAGGACACCATCGTGTCAAGTTCAAATGGTTGGGCCCCAACAGACAGCAGCCAACACGATTCTCGAATCAGAACCTCTCATCCACTTATCCTTGTCTCCAATTGATGAATGAGTTTCTCGTGTTCGATTGTACGACGTCTAAGGAAAGTCGTTCCTGGCCTTGCCGATGGCCTGGACCAGATTGCCCCCAGACGCAAAACCAGCCCCGATGCTACTCTCACCGCTCAGAACGCCGTACAGGTATCGGGATCCATCCTCGAGGAGCCACAGCGGGCCTCCGGATTGGCCGCCAACGGCATCCGCGTCCGTCTCCAGAGGGCCACCAGGCTCGCAGTCTGCGCAGCGTGACACAGTTATAGCTTCTTGGCGGTAGGGCGTCTGCGTGCCGTGGTCACCGGGATAGCCCAGGTGGAACTATTGAATGTCTTGTGTCAGTTATCAAGGGGTGAAGCCGCTCGCTCCACTCAAAGAGTCACTAGATGATGGAATCCGACTTACAAACATAGCCCTGTTCTTTTGCGCATCGCAGTTAATCACCTTGGCTCCAAGGTACCCGTCCTGGTCGCCCATGGGGTCGGCGAGGACAAAGATGGCCCAGTCCTCCTTCTGGAAGCAGGCGCCGTTTCCCTGTGCCATGGTGATGATCGTAGTGGCATACGAGCCGCCACCTCTCTCACCGTTGAAGTACTTGGGCTGGAACCTCACGGAAGCCCCCGCGGGCGGCACACAGTGCTTAGCGGTGGCCACGAGGCGCCTTCCAACCAGGGACCCACTGCAGGCATAACCGCTAGACCCTTCGATGCGGCCCATGGCGCTGTAGGGGTAGTCTTGGCGATCCCATAGAACCCGGTTGTCAGGGCCAATAATCCCGCGCGTTTCAAGTGATTCGATCGTCGTGTTGGAGGGTTGAGCGTCCTCACTACCGAAGTGTTGAAGCTCCTCGGGGGTGAAGGTCACCATGATAGGCACTGGTCCCTGTGCTGCGTTTGTCGCCGCCTTGGCAATGGGTGCTACCCCTAAGGGAGCGTATGGGTCGGGAGCAGGAGCAGCCAGGATATTGGCACAGAAGGCAATGATGGCCGTGGCCAGATGAAAATTGATGTGCCCCATGACGTAATGTACTGGAACTGTAATGTAGAAGTTACTTGAGAGAGTGATACTGGTGTAATTCAACAGCCATCTTCCATCACAGGCGGAAGCCAGTCACAATTTATACCTACAGTTGTCTGAGGCTTGGAAGCCGCTGTGTCGCCAATAGTCTCACCAACGAGGTCGAGATGCGAGGGCCAAGAACTCTTTCATGTCAGCGGAACGTTGTGTCAGTCGTTTGCTTTCGCAAAAATGAGACGGTTCCCTCGGACTATGGTGACATTTTCCAATGGTTGGCCGAAGCACGCCTGCAATACTACACTGCCTCGGCGTCGGCCAAATTCAATTGGGGAGGTGGTACTCATTTCCATCTCCCCTTTTGTCTCGCAAGGTCGAGTATGACTGGCTGGTCTCGTAGCAACTCGTCTAGGCGTTGGATGTTTACTTAGATGGGGCATCACAACGAGTGGCAGAGGTCCAGCCGGGGCATCGGAAAGGCTGCTGACATAGGATGACCGACTCTCCAATCAATTAAGCTTAATCCATAAGGGCGGCATGACCGGTGCTATTCATAGCGATATTCAGGGACGAATCTCCACTTGGCTGGGCCTTCTGATGTTTACTTACCCTTGTGGTCGAATGAGCAAACTGCGCCTCGCATCCCCGTCGGAGTTAACAACACCTGTATTGAGTATAGCTATGAAAACAACGTGGACTCTGACCATGTGTGGAAACAATATCAGATCATTCCTTCGTTGTATGACCTTGGCATGGGCGAGCTGGCGCCAGCACTGAATATTGATTTTGGGGGCCGGGAACGGACAGTCAAAACCCCTTTCAGACGAATTACAAATCCTCGTTACACGCACACTGTAATCCAGCACCCCAAGTGCGATCTAATGCATTGAGAATCACATGTATATTGTTTTGTAGACCTCGGTCTGTCCTTGAACGTCTAAGAATATTAAGAAGTATTTCCTCCGCGCCTCTCGAGATACAGAGGCCGATGCCGAACAATAGGCACAAGGAAATGGCTTGTTGCACTTCTATCAGAAATCATTATGCCAAGGAAGTCTTGACGACAGTTCCAGAATTGACGGCATGCTTGTTGTTGTCATGCCCGGACTGTAATTTGGGAAGGTCCCCGTTCCCATCTTGTACCCAATGTTGCGCCGGGCCAGTGACGGGTTCTGAGTCGATAACAGGTTGTATGACCGTCCGATGCTCATGAACGTGAATGGAGCGAGTGCGCTTTGGTTCGTATATAGTATGAACATGTGGTTTGACAGTTTCGTGGACGACAGCAGGCCGACTGTCAGCAGTGCAGTCGACAGAATCCTGGATCGTGTCTGGTGCCGTATTAACTTGAGATGCTGGTTTTGGCGGACCAACGGAGTTGGCGCGTGTTTCGTGAGGATGTTGGACTTCTTTTCTATGCTCTTTTGAAGTGAAATCTTTGATACTGGACGCTCCTCCGCTCAAAGGGATTTGTTTTGGTTGAGCAGACGCGTCGTGAGATTGAATATTTTTGATGCCAGTCGAACTCCGTCGCCGTGAGCTGCCCGTCGCTAGACTCTCAGTTGCAGCACTCGGTAGCGTATCGCCATCGCTGGAGGGAACTGAAGGCTGAGGGTCCAAGGGCTGTTTCGCGTCAGGAAGAGTGTAAGCCTCATGGTCTCGCCCAAACACTTGATTTGCCACCGTCTTCAAAATATGTCTGATTCGATCGAACATCGTGATAGTATCGGTCGATTATGTGTCGATTATGTTGTAAGAGTTGGATGCACCATACTAGTCAACAGAGTTGACGGTGAGGCCTGGCTTCCCCTTGCAAGATGTGCAGTTGATGATGAATGCTTTGGCAGACAAATGTCAGACCATGGCATGTCTCACAATTGATCTCCATAGCTGACGTATGTCTGAATAGTAATCAACGGCATGAGTCGTATGGATGCAGATCAGTAAACACGGAGACTGGCGACCCTGGGACTTGGCAGACCCACGATCCATGACGCATGTAGTTCAAGTCATGATGGCGCTACTAGACGCTAAGAGCTACCTGTCTCTGCTCTCGCTGCCATGCTCCGCTCCGTAGACAGTCTCGACTTGAAAATCTCGACTCGGAAGTTACCACCCAGACACTAATTGATTGTCGGGTATTTGGAGATGCTAGCCCCGGATGCGCACGGATGGGGCGTTTATCAATCTCAGGCGATCGATTATCACGAGAGCACTTGATTGGAAGCGAATCCAGCCCGGAGCATTCGAACCGGCAAAGGAGGCTGCGAAACTGCCCTTTCTAGCCCTTATATAGCCTTTGCTCTAAACTAGCAACAATCAGACGGGACTATGCATAGTTCAAACTTCGATCCGACCAGGCGGGCACTACTGGCACTTGGACAGCTCTTGATCTCCCGAGTACATGGCTGAGGCAGGCCGCTCGCTTCATGATCAACCCACCGGGAAGGAGTCGAGATGTCAATCAGACTTTCAAACTTCGCAACCTTGACCCTTTTCAGATCTTCTTTCAGCTGAACCGCATTAGTTCACAATGGCAAGCCATCAATTATGATGACGTCCACGATTCTGGATGTTCAACTGCGTCAAACTATCTCTCCAGGTTTTACCAATGCCGTTATATATGTGTAGGCCGGGACACTCAGAGATGGCAGGCTGATTCGGTTGTCACCATTGATTCTATTCTCCGAACTAGCATACAACACTTCTATCCAGCCACCCGCCATCATGCAGAAAGCCAAACAAGCCGTCCATGACTTCATCTCCCAAGATGGAAAGCACACGACCACCGTCCACGAGGACTCCCGCAAGGCTGTTACGGAGGAACACGTCCAGCCAGAGAGGCTCGAGAACGTGACAACTGCTGTGGACAAAGAGGTTCATCAGGATCACCATCACACCACTGTTCAGCCTATCAAGCACAAGGAGGTCCTGTAAGGCAGTCTAGCTTCATGAATGTTGTGGAGCAAGATTCTGACAGTGTATGATATGTCAGGCCTGAGAAGCACACCCACAATGTTGCCCCTGTCGAGCACAAGACCTTCGAGCATGGAAACAAGGACCACGTCCGTTCCACCCTCGAGCGCGATGCAGCTAAATACAAATACACCAGCGTTACGCACGACACTAAACACACCTCTACAACAGCTCCCGTCGTGGAGGGACAGCACACCCACCACCACGTTCACGAGCACATCCAGCCGGTCATTCAGAAGGAGACGGTGGCCCCCCAGGTGGTTCACACCACCATTCCAGTCCACGAGACGCACCATGCCGGAGCCGTGCACCATGGCATCTCCATCCTGCCTGCCAAGACCCTAGACGAGTTCAAGAATGACAGACCCTTGGAAGGTCACAGTCTGCGCAAGGTCGCCGAATACGAGGGCTGCCCTACGAACTACGAGGGAGGCCATCAGCGTGAGACGCTCGAGGGGGACAAGAACATGCACATGCATACCCAGAACCCCAAGGCTAGCCGCACTGCCGGCCTCGGCTCGGAAACTGGTCATCACAACCGAGAGGCGATTGGTGGTGCTACAACTACATCTAGCTCTGGTCTGAACGAGAACAAGGTCAGTTGGGGACATACTTTGAAGCGGACTCACCTTGTATCCTAATGGCTTTCTCACAGACGCACATGAGATCCGATCTCGATGGCCGTACTGACCAGGGCCACACAACCACTGGGGGTTTGCAAGGCACCAAGAAGGTCTCACTTGGGGATAAACTCAATCCTTTCAAAGACGCCGACGGCGATGGAAAGAAGGGATTCATGGATTGAGCGCAAAGCCTAACTTGTGGTACAAGCGACTTGATATAGTGTTAAGATTGGGGTCATAGTACGTAGAGGACACGGATTGAATCCGCCAGTGTTTTCCTTGGTAACATGATGTACGGAGATAACAGAGCTCTACCAGAACAGCAAATGCCTCTTCATCATGACTCTTGTAGCTGGCTCCAGCCCGTTGGCTGTCGGGCTTCGAATTGATGTCCCCTCCATCGCTCACCTCACCTGCTCTAATTATCTTAGACCGATCGGCTACAATATCCTCCATATATGTCTAGCAGCTTCCAACCCCCTCCCCAAGGGCCGTATCTAGTTTCGACTCATCAGCATGACTACCGCTTTCCCACAGCGTGGGAACCCACTCTACAACTGGTCGTTCCGTTTCGTCTTGAGTCACAGAACTCCATAATGGAAGGCATGAGGACTCACTATTACGCCGTATTCTAATTATCCATGCCTCATCATCGAATGCTCACCCTTGTACACCCCGCAACAATGGGACAGCACAGCCGTGAGGTTCTTGGTAGTGTCCCAGTCTACCATGCAAGCGCCATAATTCCCAGGTCCTCGGGGAATGCATCCAAACCAGGGATATGTGAGAGACCGTGATCCTGTTGCGTACCCGGATGGATGGTGCAGGACCGAAAGCTTGCGGACTTGAGCGAGTGTGGAATTTATGCTGAGGCATGCTCGTCACAAGGTATCGCCCCGAGGCTGTCATCTCGGCGAAACAGTCAACCAGTTAGCCGTGATCCATGGTTACACAAACACCAAGCTGCTCAGCTAGATAGTTTAAGCGTGTATTCGCGATGACTGGTAAATGGTACCAACATCCCAGAGTAAAGGGGCATCTGTGTTATCAGCCATGGATCAGGGATCAGCACACATTATTTCTATGGTGGATATTCATTTGCGAATTTCAAATGGATAGATCGAGTTACAGCTGAATAATTTGGAAGTTGAGACTTATTCCCCCAGTACACTCGGGCCCTTTGACTGAACCAAAGCTTGAACCTTGTTGCCTGTCTTCATTTCCTGGAACCTACTCGGCCGAAGTCTATTTCTTACTCTGCTCAGGTTCCAGGTCCCTCACATTTACTCATCGCATGTGCATGCAGACTGTCCCTCGGAGACGCAATGACAATGTCTGTTTCTTGGCTTTATTGGCTCGTATGTGGTGAGGTTTATTTTGGCCTCCTTAGAAGGCTTTTCCTTAAATTTCTTCTTGGAAGTCTCGATAGGTCGTTTTGTTGCCTGATTGTGCTTAGATGCTCCCTCATTATCGCACCTGCATCCCGGCCTTATTGGGCAACGAGTGTTAGATCAATACTAAAGGCTGTTCATCATAGGATCGACGTACTTTCCACAGGCCATGTTGGGTCTTTGGTCGTTGGATGAATGATGAAATCAAATACAAATGACTTCGCTAAGAGACTAGAACTAGTGTAATGAGGGAGGGCAGCTCCCTCCCCATTGTTATATATCAAGTTTGGTTGGGCACCATTTCAGCCCAAGTCAGCTTTATGCCTCAATAAGGCTCCATCCCCTTCATCCCTCCTATTTTGGTCTTCTATCCTATGAATTCCTGATTTTACACTAACGGAATCGGGTTAATCATAGGGCGTTGTCAGATATCCGTAAGCCTTCATATTTGAGAATGCGTTCTTTCATCAGCGTTTACTTGTTATTGGAGCAAGCTGGGCTGGTGTGCTCGGATAAACGTTGTCTGGAGGCACCTTGGGGTCGAACGGTTCTGCGCACACGCGGAATGCCTCAATAATACTACCCCAGATTAATGCTCGATCCTAGCAAGGATCAATCCCCGATCCGACCAACCACAATCCGACCCCAAATGAACTTCCTGGAATACTGGAGAGTCTTGCAGCCGATATGCCGTTCATTCTACAACGTTCTCATCGAAGCATATACTAATAACCCGTCACATCGGCTGATTGACACATCAGGTTCCGTGCTTACCTGTCGGCATACACTCACGGTCCATGAAAGTTCGGTATTTATAAGATCTCATGGCTGTTTATCTCTTCTCTTGTTTTGGGGAATCTCGACAGCTTCTTTGAGTGTTCAGTGAAGCCGCAAACATGCGATTTTCCAGCTCTTTCCTGGTGTTGGCTTCAGCCAGCGCAGTCCTTGCCCGTCCCGCCGGTCTGGACAAAGTCAAAAGGCGGGCAACCGAGCTTCGCGAGAGCTACCATTTCATCGTCGCCGGCGGCGGGACTGCTGGTCTTACTGTTGCCGATCGTCTGAGTGAAGCTTTCCCCGAGAGTGAGTGGCGGTACTAAAACATCATGATAAAAGGTTCGCCTAACATGGTCTTAGAGAATGTGCTCGTCGTTGAGTACGGAGCTTACCAGTACGCACCGGCTGTGTTTGAGCCACCCGGTACACCTACCGCGCCTGCGAGATGGCAGTACTCTACGCTTCCCATTCCAGAGCTCAAGAACAGAACAGCAAGTGTAGCATCTGGACGGGTCAGTCGATCACGCAAAGTGCCATAGATCTTGAGGTGAAGATGTCTCTGACAAATAGTCGCAGTCCGTCGGCGGAAGCTCATGCATCAATGGGCAGTTCTTTGATCGCGGCGCAGCTGCCGATTACGATAACTGGCGAGCCGCTGGGAGCCCCGACTTTGATGACCAGCCCGAGTCTTGGGATTGGAAGGGAATACTGCCATTTTTCAAAAAGGTCCGTCGATATCCAGTCCATATCTCCGAGCTAGATCCTTATGATATGTACAGAGCGTCACCTTCACCGAGCCGTCTGCCGATGATGCCAAGACATACGGTTACACCTGGGATATGGAGGGTGCATTCGGTGGCAAGGGACCAATCAACTCGAGCTACCCCCCATTCCAGTGGCCGATCCAAAGCAAGTATCATTCTTGTCCCATGTTCAAACATCATCCTAATAATTATTGTGCTTTAGAACTAGCAGATCAAGCTTTCAGAGAAATCGGACTGAAGTCCGTAAAGGAATGCGCCGGTGGCGAAAAGGTTGGCATCTGCTGGGTTCCGACTTCGCAGGATCCAACCACGGCGGAGCGTTCGCATGCTGGCACAGGTCACTACAAGGACGTTATCGCAAGCAGGAAGAATTATGACCTTCTTGAAAAGCATAAGGTGGTCAGGGTGATCTACCCCGAGGAGTCTGATCTCAAAGGAGCCCCCAAGGTTGAGATCAAGTCCTTGGAGGACGGAGAGACGTCCATTATCACAGCGACAAACGAAGTGGTCATCTCTGCTGGCGCTTTTCACAGCCCTCAGATCCTGCAGCGCAGTGGTATCGGTCCCGCCGACCTCTTGAAGGAAGCTAAGATCGAGGTTGTTCTCGATCTACCCGGTGTAGGGTATAATTTCCATGACCACGGCGGCGGTGCCGGTGTGTCGTTCAAACGTAAGTGCTGTGCATGGTCCCGGAATAAGTATAGGGATGCTCGCTTACACAGGACTGCAGTTAATAAAACGACCACACCCAATCAAGGCATGGTCTTCAGTAACAAGACTTTTCAGGCTGAAGCGCTCGAGCTGTACCAGGAGCGCCCGGCCAAGGGCCCTTTCACGCTAGCCATGGGCAACAGCGCCATCTACGTCGATCTCCCGAGCATCACCTCCGACTACAAGTCAATAGTCGCAGCCGTCGAGGAACAAATCAAATCGGGCAAGCATTCTGACTTCCTCCCAAAGTCGGCTTCGACAGAAGTCATCGCCGGCTATGCACACCAACTACAGATCCTGGCTCGTTCCTTTGCCGATCCGACATCCCCCGTGATGGAGGCGCCCTTCGGGAACGGGCCGGCCGGTGGCGGATTCCACCTGAAGCCACTGAGTCGCGGCACGGTCTTGATCAATACCACCAATCCCGATGGGGAGCCGGTGATCGACTACCGCTCTTGCTCGAATCCCGTCGACTGGGACATCCTGGCCAGCTTCGTCGGGTACTTCAGGCGCTACACCCAGACACCTACCATGGTGAGCCTCGGGGCGCGGGAGGTGTACCCCGGCGCTAACGTGACGAGGCGCGATGCCATTGTGAATTACCTCCGCGGTTCGGTGACGGCCTCGTTCCAGCACCCTTGTTGCACAGCTGCCATGATGGCTAAGAGCAAGGGAGGCGTGGTCGGGCCAGATATGAGAGTGCACGGGACGGGAGCTTTAAGCGTCGTGGACGCGAGTATCTTCCCTTTGATCCCTGGGACGCACACCAGCGCCACCGTCTATGCCGTAGCAGAGAAGGTACGTTAATCGCAGACCTCCCACAAGATGCACATGAACTCACAAACCTTTCAGGCGGCCGACATCATCATCCGAAGGTGGAAGAAGGAGTAGGCCACAGGTGAAATAGAAGACCGAAAGGCACCTTGCGGCTTTCGAGGTGACTGTGAAATGGAGGAGGTACATCTTGTAACGAATAGTATCTAGTAGCGGCTTGGTCGGTAGTATCTGTCCCGGCTGTATGCGATGGCCGTCAAACCTATCTGCCGGCGCGGTTATCTACCCCCGAAATTAACGACCCGGATAATTGCTAGATATGGATATGCTTATCGGCCTGAATCCTGTTTAAAATGAATAGTCCATGTCGGCCAATAGTCCAACCGTGTACGGGCTGCTGCTTTGTCTTCTAGTTTTCAACCTATTCCCCATATTTCGAGAAATCGTCTCTCAACAACACGCCTTCCCGCCAGAGATGAAGCTGCTACAATGGTCGTTGCCGCTGGCCATGCTCGGAACCCTTGGCGACGCGTTGCCGGCCGCCGACTGTGACAAGATTCCGAGTTGGACCTTCAAGAATCTCAAGTGGCATACGCTTGACACGGTCGGCCAGAACGGGTCCGCATCGTTCACTCTGGTCAACAGCGTGACTGACAAGGCCGTCGATCTCAAATGCACACTGGTGGCCAATTATCGCTGCCAGATCAAGACGGACGATGCCACGGAAGTGACGCTGCAGGCCCAGAACGGCGTTCTCTACGTTTGGGTCGACCAAGATCTGACATGTGGTGACGCGACAGTGTAGGTTTAGTCCTTGGGTTGCTAGAAGATGCGGAAATCAGCGCGTAGAAATGCTAATGATATGGCACTGATAGCAAACATGTTGGTGGTTCAGCGGATTTGGACATGAACTGCGACATCGTTCAGCATGAAGACATTAACTGTACAGCGGAAGAAAGCCAGATCAAGGGGGATGTTGTCTGATGGCAGTGGTTGAAAGAATCAGGATAGCCCAACACTGGAGTCTGGGAGGCCAGGCAACGAAATTATGATTTACCCAATCTTTGTCCAATGGTCCCGTTCGCGAAACTTGATTGTTTGAGTCCTCATAAAATTTACAAGACCTTGACTTGTAGAGTAAGCGTAGGCATTTCACCTTGTGTCAAAAAGAAATACACAAAAACATCCCACAAAGCGGGATTTATGTGAATTGGGCAAGTGACTGCGGTATGTGGTCCCGTGCAACTCCGACTCCCTCAGCTATACCATCAATCTCAATATGCCGTGTTGCCGAATATTTGGCCTCCTCGACGACCTCAGGTCATCACATATGTCATAGGAGCCACAATCATAAGCCGATGGTCAAGTAATAACCCAAGTTGCAGAGACCATACTGATAGAAATTTCGTGTATTTCATTATGCCTATGCTGAGACTCCTTTGGCCTTTACTGCAGTCAAAGAATAACAATCATTCTCACTCCATACTAGGGAAATGCAACTCGGTGAGACTGTTCTTGTGTATGCCCTCGATGCTCCACAAACCCTCTGAACGACTCCTTGAGAACCGTCCTCGATACCGGCCCATGCGTTTATTGCACCGAACAATTTCCTTCTCGCATCCCCATCCGAGGCCATGGCCTGGGCTGTCGGCCACATTTTCGATCTAGGGGATGGGCTCATAGGAGCCGCCGCTGTTGTGGGCAGAGCGGTTCGAGAAGAGGAAGTAGATGACCATGCCGACAATGGGGAAGAGGAAGACGATGAGGCACCAGAGGAGCTTGTGGCTGGGGGGCCGGTTGGACTTGAGCACCTCGACTACACTTCTGTTAGCACGGGGAACTGGGGCGTGGAAGGACAAGGAGGAGAGGACGGCTTACTCCAGACGAGAATGTCGAGGATGAGGACGATCACTCCGATGATGCCGCCGCCAGTGCCATATTGCCAAGGGGTGGCAGTGGTCGTTGTCAGCGTCTCGTCAGCAATAGGCGCCGCAAAGGCGAGGGCAGCGAGGAAGAGCTGGAGGAGTGCGGTGATCTGGATCATTTTGCAAGGCGGCGGTAGCTTGTTCGGTCGAGATGTAAATAGTGTGAGTATTGAGGTTTAGCAGGACTGAGGGACCGAGAATGGTTCGGGCGTAGAGGTGCGGTCAGAGAAGATAGGTAAAGCAGAAGGGAGATTCGAGTCAGGCTTTGGGTTTTGTACGTTGAGGCTTGATAGGGCGTCGTCATTCCTGAGCGCGGGGTTGTGCGAGTCCAGTGCTGCCTGTGCGACGCCCAAAATGACGTCAAGATCGGGGATCGGGGCTTCCCTGACAAGCCAAGCCAGGGTGTCGTGCTAGGGGAGCCTGAAACGAAACAGGAGACTTAGCTCCGGCCAACAATCACGTGCCTCACAACAACAACAACATTCATTCTCGCACTCACACGATCCCAGTTTTCAACAGAACACAGATAATCAAATCTTTCTCGCAATGCTGTCTTGATATTGAATCTAGGAAAGAAAAAGTCTAACTACGTCTAGAAACCAGCGAGATCACCATGCGCGAGCCTGTCACGCCTAGGCATCGCTGCCGTTGTCGTAGTCGACGACATATCGCTTGGCGCTGCGGAAAAAGCTAGCCCTCCTCTGCGGCTGCTGCTGCTGCTGCTGCTGGCGGTTGTTGCCGTTGCGGTTGCCTCCGTTGTTGGCCCTGCCGTTGCCCTGCTGGCCGTTGTTCTGCGTGTTGCCCTGCTGGCCGGCGTTGTTGGTTTGGCCGTTGTTCTTGCCGTTGCCCTTGCCGCGGTTCCGGCCGTTCGCCTTGCCGCGGTTCCGGCCATTTCCCTTGCCGTTGCCGGCCGCCGCAGAGGTGGCGACGGGGCTGGCGCTCTGGGTGACGCTGGGCGCCGCGGACTGGCCGAGCAGCGCGCTAACAGCGGCGGCGTTCTGCAGACCCTCCTTTGAGCCGGCGTTCTGGTTGGCCTTGACGGCGGCGGGCAGGTCCTTCTTGTTCTGCTCGATCTGCGCCATCACGTCGTCGAGGCTCTGGAGGGTGGCGATGTTCTGGGGCGTGTTGCTCTTGGGCTTGGTGTCGGTCTGCTGCACGGCGAAGCAGCCGCCGAAGGGCCCGGCGACGGCGTTGTTGCGGCAGCGCACGGTGCAGACGTTGCCGGTCGAGGCTCCGGTGCAGGTGAACTTGTCAGGCATGGTCACGGTGATGTTGAAGTCCTGCGCCTTGGCCTCGGAGAAGCCGTTGACTCCGGGCACGTTGTTGGTCACGGTCAGGTTCTGGCTGATTATGCCGGCGTTGCTCTCCTCGTCGAGGTCGCAGGCGTAGGGACCCGCTCCATCGGCGTTGACCTGGTGGATGGTGACCGTGATCTTGCTGCCGGCCTTGACCTGGGTGACCTGGCCTAACCGCAGCGCGGCCTCGGTGCTCTCACCCACGTCGATGTTGCCGGCGAGCTCGGTACGCCCGCACTCGTTGACGATGTTGGCCTTGATCTCGGCGTCACGGATGATGGTGGCGTCCAGCTGGCAGGGAGAGATGGTCGTGCAGTTCCGAGCGATGGACTTGTCAACTGATCAAGGGCATGTATGTCAGTCTCTGCACCCAAGCGGGGATACTTGTGTACGATGCATACCTGCGAAACCAACACTAGGGGGCGAGCCAGCGAGACCTTGGGCGTTGATAATAGCACCGTGTGCGTTGGCCACGGCCACCAATGCCGCGACCGAAAGGAGTGATGAAAGAGACATGGTGGGTAGTTTCGAGAACGTAGTTCGAATGTGGTATATCAAATCCCAGGCAGCAATGCGAAGAAGAAAAAAAAAGCGAGAGAACGCAACCGGGCGCTGAAGAAATGAATGTCAACTATGGGGAACACGAAGAGAACAGCTCAAGCCCCAGGCTCGGTGTAAGAAAATACAAAATGGAAAAGGATGGTAGTGGTGGTGAGTGAGATCGTAAACATCATGGACTTCAACAGTCTATCGACTAGATTATATATGTCCCTACTTTTCGGCACAGGCCCGACTGTCTCTCGCACCCCCCGGCGCCGTCACCGGGCCTGCGTGACGATGCCATCGTCCCATATGCCCCTTTGTGCTCAATTACGGAGTTTGTCGGCCGCTTTCAATCAGACTCGTGGTGGGCGGTCGCATTTCAAACAACCCATGCTGCGACAGCGCCCGCTTCGATGTCACGCACACGGAGAGGCGCCAAGGTTTTCTCCTCTCGCCCGGCACGTACTTTTATGAGCGTGCGATCAGTCAAAGATGACTTCGTACATCCACGATAAGCGGCACATGGATACTGGACATGGATACACCGTCGTGCCAAGACCCGACGAACTGGCACATGTGGCCGCCGCAGCCAATGGGCGCCGCCGTCCGGGCCCCGGCCCCGTTATCCTGGTGTCGCATCCCGGTGGATTTTGCAAATCTCGTGAAACAGATCGCGGCGTTAGACGAAGGGCCAAACCCACCCCGTGGTGTGACGGGGCGTGCGAGGAAGGACGAGAATCGGCCAATTTGGAAACACGATGTGGATTCGCGCCAGGGGTTTACCCGCTGCCATCCTGACGCGCGTGGATCTGAGACAGGGATCTCAACGAGTCTACCGGGATACGTAGATTGGCGCCTTGACAAGCGAATCTTGCGAAATTTCTTTTGCCTTTATGCTTGAGTAAAAAGGGGTTGGTGTCCTTTGAACAGGGCCTTATTCCCGGAAGAGACTTATTCTTGACCCCCAGCCCGACTGCAGATCTGCACGCAATCTCGGCACTGTCGGCTCCAATTGCCTTAAGAAGGTGCAAGCGCCGCCACAATAGCCGTTTCGTATTGTTGTTTCACACTCCTACGCCTGGACAAAAGGAGGGAAAAGGTTCGAGAAAATAGATCACCTTTGACGGTATGTCAATGCCCTATTTGTCAGGTGCTTCCACTCGAGTCATGTGTCGTGAAACTCGTTATAAGTCGGCGGGTTCCCATCGCCTGCTCACGATGACTTGGTCCTCGCCGCCTCCTCCTTGGCCATCCTCTCGATCTCGGCCTCGCCAACCTCGTCAAAGATGTCGACACCCCAGTCGAACGGCAGGTTGAAGCGCTTGTGCTTGTCGAGCTTGTTGAGCTCCTCGAACTCGGCGTCGGGCAGGACGACATCTTGGATAGCATTACTGTCAGCGCGGAGTTCGGCACGAAGCTATGTCTCCATTTTCCCTCTCCTTCTCGTCCGTAGGGCAACTATCTGTTGACTACGACTGACCTTTGAAGTTCGACTCAATCCTAGACGGCGTTACGCTCTTGGGCAGCACTACAGTGCCGCGCTGAACAGCCCAGGAGATGAGCATCTGAGCGGGATCCAGGTTGAGCTTCTTGGCGATGGACCGGATCGTCGGGTCATCAATGACACTGTCCTCGCTCATGATTAGTAGACGTTTATGACTGCCCTGAAGGAATTAAATGTGAGCTTATACCGAGCTTGGCCGTAGATGTTGTTCCCAAGCGGGCTGTAAGACTCGATCAAGATGTTCTAGCGAGCGCAAGTCAGCCTCGGTCGAAGGGATGTCGCATATGCAACCTTTTTGTGAAACGCTTTACCTTTGACTTGAGGTAGTCAAACAGCTTATGCTGCTGCAGCCAGGGGTGGGCCTCGATCTGGTTCACCGCGGGCACAATCTTGGCTGTCTTGAGCACCTCTTCCGTCTTCTCAATGTTGAAGTTGCTGATACCGATGCTCCTGACCTTGCCCGTGGCGACGAGCTTCTCCATGGCCGCCCAGGTGTCGGCGATGGGCATCTCCTTCTTCAGGAAGAGGTTGGTCTCGGGGTCCTTGGGGAACAGCTCGTCGCCCTGGTGGACGAAGCAGACGGGCCAGTGGATCTGATAGTTGTTAGTTCGGCAGCCGGCATACCACGGCGACGGGGCCTCACCTACGAGGTACAAGTCGAGGTAGTCAGTCTGCAGGTCCTTGAGGGTCTTGTCCAGGGCCGCCTCGACGTCGTCGGGGTGGTGGTTGTTGTTCCATAGCTTGCTGGTGATCTGCACCAGTACGGGGTCAGGAGATGAGCATAGACGACACTGTCTAACAGCGTCATTTGGACTGGGGGGCATCTAGTGCATACAAAAATCTCCTCGCGGGGGACTCCAGACTTCTTCCATCCCTCGCCGACCTCGTGCTCATTCTGGTAGATGGCGGCAGCGTCGATGTGCCGATAACCGCAACGCAGCGCTGTTTCAACAGCCACGGCGACCTCGTTCGGCTTGGCCAACTAGACAGAGCGTGACAACTAGTCAGTAAATGGTCTGAAAACGGAGAACGAGGCGTGAGCGGCGCTCTAACCCAGGTCCCCAGCCCAACTGCGGGGATCTCGTAGCCCGAGTTTAGCTTGAACTTTCGGCCCATCGACATGGCGGCAGTTACAAAGCGCTCAGTGTATAAAATAGCTATTAACTAGTTCGTAACGATACGTAGACAAGAATGTCACTGTCCCAATGAATAAGAAAAATAAAGCCCGCCTGGACGAGAGTTCGATTGGCATGCATCTTTTCCTGGGGATTACCCCGGTGTGTCATTCCTCCGAATGCGCCAGAACCCCACGTTCTGCCACTTCGTCCTTCAAAGTTCCCCAGACTGAATTCCAGCGGCAGAAGCCGAGCAGAGCGTGCTAGAGACAAATGAAAGAGCACTAACAAGCAAAGAGGGGTGATCAGCATTAGCACGGAGCTGGACATTGTAATTGGCGGAATATTCCTCCCGAGCCGATCGGCTGCCCTGAGGAGTCCATGAGCTCTTGGCGCTGCCTCTCCCTCAGAACGCCGTAGCCGAATTACCCAACCGACCGGTTGGACCAGTTAAGATTGGCCGGGGTCGGCTTTGCGCGTGCGTGTATTCAATCAAGGGACTTGTGTAATCATATCCAGCCGAATCCTCATAGGCTCTGCAGAGATGACAGGATGGAGCCCGAACCGAGATCAAGCAGTCAGCGGCAAGGACAGAAGAAAAAGCGGTCCCGATTTGGTGAGTCGATCGCTCGCGCTGGTTCAAGATCAATGATGGTAACTGACCAAGTTCAGGCTGTAATACATGTCGTTCTCGCAAGGTGAGGAACCACTGTCCGCAGCTTAGTCCTCTGTAAGGCACTAACATGACGGGCAGGTAAAATGCGACGAACGCCCAAATGGCTGCGCAAATTGTGAGAGACTCCATCTCGAGTGCACCGGCTATGCTCGTCCGGCAACACGGTCCAGCATATCGGACCAGTCTTCCACTACGAGCCGCCGAAGCTCCCGGAGGACGTACCGTTCGTGTAATGGATGTCGAGTGACAAGATGCAAGTGCTCCGGAGAGCGACCTGTGTGCAAGAGGTGTCGGGAGGGCGGTGTCCGCTGCTCATACCAGGATGAGCTCAAGGGCAACTCCAAAGTCACTGCGCCATCGTCAGAAGGACAAGCCGATCCTGGAAACATGTTGCAGAGCTGGACAACCAGCCAGGCCAGCCTCGCCCACAGCTCCGGCCAAGGCTCGGCCGCCATTGGTGCCAACCCGTGTCCTCCATGGTATGTAATGCAACGGTCCTTCAAGGTTTAGAGTTTGTTGTCTCACACCACGCTCTCCTAGGCTCTGTGCCCCTGAGCTGCCTGACTTGAAGCAAGTTCGCATGCTCGTGAATCACTACTTCCACAACGTCCATCCGCTCCGGTGTTATGCGTTCACCCACCGCCCTACGTTTCTACGAAGACTTGACAACGACCTGTCATCCGCCGATTTGAAGAACAATGCCTTGTTACACATCATGTGTGCTCTAGGCGCCCAGTAAGCAACGAGGCAGTTCCTAGATGAGCATCGGCTGACATAAAACTTACTCTGTAGATTCTATGCTCTGGAATATAGCGACACAGTTCAGGTACTATCTGCCAAGACTATCCTGATGGCTGGTTGTCACTGGGCCAGGATGGCGCAGCGCATTCTGTTTGACAATCTTGACAAAGTCTCTACCGAATATCTAATGGTCAGTACACTCAAGCACTTCTAGTTTGCCTATTGTGGTTGATACTGACCATACCCCAGACAGCGCAACTACTGTATGATCACGCTCTACGCATGGCGAACTTCACTCAAGCCTTCATGCTTGGCGGGATCATGGCCCGAATGGCACAAGCCCTACAGATAAACCTCGAGTACTCTGTCGATCTGCTCGGCCAGTCGCCTGAAGCTGACGCCCTCTCGGTCACGACCCGCGAGTGCCGGCGACGGCTGATGTGGAGCTGCTATGTGACTGACGCTATCTGTGGGAGTGGTGTCGACCAGCTCACGTTGATCCACGAAAGAGACATCAAGATCCAGCTGCCATGCAAGGAGAGGAGCTTTCTACACGAGTATCCCTCCATCACTAGAACGCTCCAGGGCCCAACCTTGCCATTTGTGCCACAGGAGAGCATCCCAGCGGACCTCGATGATAACGTCGGCATATTGGCCTATTTTGTACAGCACATGGAGATACGGCGGCGAGTTTTGAGATATATCAAGCACCTGGACGAGGCGAAACTGCCGTGGCTTCCCGACTCGGAGTACGCTCTGCTAGATCAGGAGCTGCAGACCTGGTATGAGTCTCTTCCAGACAACCTCAAGTTCACCCCCGCGGCCATTTATATCCGGGAGGAGTCTTCACAACTCGGAGCCCTTTGCCTCCTGCACTGCGCATTCCATCAAACCCTCTGCGACCTCTATCGGCTTGGCACGCCAGCGTTGTATAAGCTCAGGTCGGCTTTCCAGTTTCCACTCGAACAAGGCGAGTTCCAGAAGGAGCTGCAGTGGAAGCTATTTAAGGCTGCAAGAACTCTCGCGGCCATAATAGCGGAAGCGGAGAGGCACGGTCCGCATGTAATAGGTGACACATGGCTGCCGACCATTGCATATGATAGCAACCGGATCATGCTCTACTACCTCACCCAGCTCGTTGACCCGACAGATCTACCAAAGAAGCAACTCGTCATCAAAACCATTCCATACCTGCAGAGCAACGTCAAGGCACTCAAGGCCATGATGGCTACCAATGCCGTTGCTGATGGGTTGGTGCGTGCAGACATTTCCTCATGACTCGTCGATTTCCTTAGCTAACTCACCTTTGCAGGCTCATGCAGCAGAAGCAATGTTGGAGAAGCTGGGCGTTGACTCCAACAGCATCAGGCCCTGGCCGAGCATCGTCCTGGATGATCCGTACCTCGCGGTTCTGGATCCAGCCAGGAGAACTGTCCCCGGCACGCCAGCTCAGACAGCCCCTGACTACGTCCTGAACCCGCTTTCAATCTATCGCATGGCGCGAAATGACATTCCCGAGAGGCACGCCCCGGAAAATACCATCTCGCCGTCGGCGCACACGCAAAGCCCGGAGGAGGTGGCGCGCATAGCACCGACTTTCAGAAGCACTCCCATTGACGAAGGTCGTACCACTCCCGATACCAGCCTCTACGAAACAGCAGATGACTTTGAACATAGCCTGGACATGTTCTTCATGCCGGATCTCGCGTGGGACTGGCAACCGGCCGAGATGGTGCTCGGATCCGGGATGGAGAGTGAAGGGCTGTTGCCCTGGGTCGGCACGTCGCAGCTCAATGACTTCGGCTCGCTGCCTCATCAATTCCCTTGAATAGGGTTATGCGCAGTAAAGACAGGGCAAATGAATAAACCTGATTCTATGAATCCTAAACCTTCTTTACAAACGCAGTGTGTAAATCGTGGGCGGCAAAGCACCACTATTTCGCATACGGGTCCTTGATCCCAGGCAGCCGCGTGTGCTTCTTCTTCTCGCCGGCATCCGACCGGTCGGCCTTCCACGGCTTCTCGATCACGCACTTTTTGTGCTCGTGGGTCTGAATGGCCAGCTGCCATTTGTCCAAGGCCTTGGTGCGCACCGCCTTGTAGTCTTGCCACTCGCCGGGAGAGGCGTTGATGCTCCAGTCGACGAGGTACCTGATCTTGCCGCTCTTGAACTCGTCCTTAAAGCACTGGATGTTGACCAGAGCGCCGCTCCCCTTGCCCGCCTCGTAGAAGTAGTGGCAGAAGTTCTCGGTTTTGGTGCCGGTCGACCGGAACTCGGTCTGGTAGCGCCTCAGGGCGTTCTCCCACCACTTGACTCTGTACGTCGCGCCGATCTTGCACGGTGCCGCCCGGTCTGTTGATTGAGAAGGAATGTTAGTATTTTCAAGGATGCTATACAGGGTGTGTTGCGGTGTACGCGCCTTGTAGAGCGTCCGGCTCAGGTGTCGGGCTGGAGAGCACCCCGGCCACAGCCCCAAGGAGCAGGAGGATAGAGAATTGCATAATGATATGATGATGGGGTGTAAATTGATTGATTGGGATTGTTTTTATCTAGTTGAGCATCCAAATTTCCGAAAGATAGGTTCCTCACCGTGCCTTATATGCTCGTAGACGCGAGCACTATCGTCAAATAGATATCGAGCCTCTCTTCCTGCTTTGCAAGCCTCTCAACCTCCCACGAGGTCCCGGCTTCAATCATGACAGGGCTGTTGATCAGATCTACATAATTGACCAATTCAAGATCTAATTATCTGGGCTTTGCACTAAGAATAGCATTATTCGCCGAGTTCTACCCTTTTCGACTTTAAGTCGCCACGAAACCGTTCGCTGTGCCGCAACCAGACATTCTTGATACCTTTACCGAACTGTGCCGCTTGGTTAGAACTACCAAACTCGTGCACAGGAAAGTGTGATTTCAATCCGAGAATATCCTTGTTATATTTGTTCAATGCTCGGTCAATCGCGCTAACATCAAACAGTCCTAAGCTACAATACTGCCGGTCGAGGCCTTCAACCCGTTGCTCGGTGCCACAATAGTTCACCGCACTCGCCTATCTAGTGACTAATTCCGGTCTACTCTGCATCCAGTGGACAGACAGGCGGAGTATCATTGACCTGGATACCGCCGCGCTTCTTCAGCTTGGCGTCAGGGTAGGGCAGCTTCCAGCCACCCTCGTCCAGAGGAACCGAGAGCCACAGCCTCATCAGGTGGCGCCGAGGCCGGAGCTGACCGTTCTCGTCCCTCGTGCCGGGGGCGTAGTCCTTGTATGCCGTGCGCGCGTGGAACACCTGGGCATTGCTCAGGAGCTGGATATCCCCCGGCGCGAGAATCATGTGCAGCGACTCCCGAAGGCAGACCTGCTCGAGCACGTCCATGGCCTTGCGCTGTGCCTCGCTCACCGGGGGGACCTGGGCGTCGGGCCCCGTCTGGTACCTCGCCAGCGAGGTGACGTTCATCGGGTCGAACTTGCCGTACAGGCGAGGCGTGCCCTGCGGGTCGTGCTCCATGTAGAAGACACTGGCGCGGATCCAGGGCTTCTGCCCCTCGGAGACCTCGCCCTTGCGGTCGAGGTACCAGATGGGCTCGCACAGGGTCTTGGCCACGTCTGGGTGGTCGCGTTGCAGGATGTTGAAGACGTGGTGCATGGACACGATGTCTGACTCACCACCCTCCATGGCCTTGGCCATGCAGAGGAGACCGACTAGGTCGGAAGCATCAGTGTGGAAGTATTGCCTGTTCCGTTCGTTAGCCGCATCTCGACGACAGCGGGGTATCGAATATCAGCGTACCTGGCGTTGGTCCGGTAGATCCGCACCTTGTCCGTCTGAGTCGGATCCTCGCCGAGATCCTTGACGTGGCCAAGGACATGGCCACGGCTGTTTTGGCTGGTGAAGTAACCTAGGTGAGTGCCAAGGCCCATGTATGCAGTAGCCGACTTTTGGAGTCCCCACGCCGTGACGGGGAGGCCTTTGAAGAGGAAGAAGCCTTGCCCATCAACGAGGATCTTCTTCAAGTCCTGCATACGGCTGGAAAGTTTAGGAAGTGGGAACCGATCCTACTCTGTGTTAGACATTCGATCTTCTCGTTTGTAACATGGCCAGTTCGAAGAATACCTTAGTGATGCCTGTCAGGGGAATACCGGACTCGATGAATCTGTCAGCGGCAGAATTGATCTCTGCTACCTCTTCTTCCGTGAAGTGATGGGTCCACCTCTCCGGGTTGGCTCGAAACTCCGCGGCTTTCCACACCGTGGGTCCAGTGATCTCCTTGGGGAAGTTCTCATACGGCTGGACTAATGAGTAGATGGGAGCCTGCTGGCCGGATGTCTTGAAGCCATCGTGGAAGATAGCTTTGTTTGCCGGCTTGGGCTCGAAGAAGTCCGTGGGCTCCTGGATAGTCTCTTCAATGCGAGCTGGAGACATAGCGCAAGATGATGATATGGTGGAAAGGTACTAGTGAGTTTGCCTTAGTAGACTCTCAATTCAATAGACGAGATAGGTATATTTGACTGTTATCGCTCTCCTCGATAATCTACGCACTAGGACGAATGTGCTGCGCATTTATGCTCCCCTGTGAGCGAGCAGCCCCGGTCTAGGTGCCCTTCCGACCTGGAGGGAGCATGCTGCGTCGGAAGGAACTCGTGGCCCTTCTGTGGAGAGCATACAACCCCGGCATACGACCCCGTGCGGAGTAAGACGACTGCTACATTCGAGCTATCTCCATCTGCGACAGATGTTAGCTTCTGTCCGGCGAGAAGCTGTATCATCTGCTAACTGACTTGTACTGATTCACTAGTCGTCGTCTGGGGTAGAATAATGGTGGGACGGTGTCCATCATCCCCACCCAATCGCCACTTTGGATGCGTCGGCAGGATCGGCTGGAACTTGCTCGCGGGGATCCGGCGTCCATCGCACAAACCATCTCCATCCGATCGCGTCAGCTTCATGCCGCGTCTCTACCGAGATGAATAATCCTTGATTCCTAGTGGTTACCGAGGGAACATTTTCCGTTGAGGTCACTTCCAATCGCCTGCACGACAATCAGCCTCCCCCTGAGTTCCCCCAGGATGCTCCATATTTCCCCGTACTTCCCCAGGATTTCAAAGAGGTTGATTGTCCTTCCTGTCTTTTCAGCCAGGAGCACAAAATACCTCGACCTAACGCACGCATTCCTCTATCAAGCCCAAGCATCGCCACGATGAAGTTATCTGACTGGAAGAGTGTAACGCCGTTCATGGTGTATTGCTGCTTGGTCTTCAACGTCGGCAACGTACTGTTTGGCATGTGAGTAGCCAAGAGTCTGGATACAACGAGGCCTTGCGTTGACAGTTTCCCAGCGATGTCGCCTCGTTTGGGTCGCTACAGGCTCTACCCAGCTTCCTGCGTCAGTTTGGCGAACTTGGCGCAAACGGCAAATATGCTCTTACCACCAGTAGAAAGAGTATCATGAATTCTGGTAAGCTGTGGACGTTGTCTTAACTCCCTTGCAGCTGTCTGCTAACTTTTAATGCCCAGTCAACTTCACCGGCAAACTCGTTGGTTGTGCGGTCTTTGAGCCCTTGGTGGAGCGTCTCGGATTCAAGAAGACAATCTTGATCGCCGCCGTCATCCAGATTGTTGCCGTCATACGTTAGACTCCTCGTTGCGCTTCATAGAGACGACAGGATACTGACTTGAGAATAGTCGAGATATCGGCACACAGCTGGATTCAATTCTCCATCGGCCGCGTGTTTGCGTACATGGCCGTAGGAATCGTCGAGCCTACGATCCCCCAGTACCAGGCCGAGCTTGCCCCGGCTCCTCTGCGAGGCTTCTTTGCCGGCAACGTGCAAGTCCTTGTCCACTTGGGTAGCATCTGGGGCTCGGGCATGAGCAGGGCTTACTCGAACGAAACCGCTCCCAAAGGTTGGATGATCCCCGTGGCGATGCAGATGATCCCGGCTATCTTGCTCCTGATTGGCGTCCCGTTCTGCATTGAGTCGCCCCGCTGGTTGATCACCCACGATCGCAAGGTATGTAAACCTCAAGCTTTGATTCATGGCTGTGTTACCAAAGTGCTGACCATGATATGATGCCCACAGGATGACGCCGTGAATGTCATGAACCGCATTCGACCGAGAAGCCACGCTGAGGATGGCCGCACAGCACGCGAAGTCGATGCCTTCGATCAAGCTATACAGGAAAGCAAGTCTCTGAATGGTGGCTCATGGGGAGATCTATTTTCCAAGACCTATCTGAACCGTACCATCGTAAGCTACAGTGCAATGATCTGCTCATACATGCAGGGCGGTTACTGACGGCATCATTGCAGATCATCACGTTTCTTTTTTTCTTTCAGCAAACGACTGGTCAGCAGTTTGCCAACTCATATGGCCCCTCGTGAGTGCTCATCCTGCGTATTGTGATTTTGTTGTCTTCGATGCTGAAACTGATCAGGTTCTTCGCCTCGATGGGCCTTGCATCGGACCGTACTTTTACTTACTCTATCCTCATTGCCCTCGCCGGGTTGTGCGGGTGCATTGTTGCTACTCTGACGACGGACATCATCGGTCGGCGCACTCTCTGCTACATCGGTGCCGCCCTCGCCACCATGTTCGCTGCGCTCATCGGCAGCGTCGGCTCCAAGCCCGGCGCGAATCAAAACGACACGGACTCTAATGTCGTCATTGCGTCGGTTATCCTGCTCAACGGCGTCTGCAAGTTGGGAGTCGCAAGCCAATGCTGGCTGATCGGCTCAGAGATTGGAGGGACGCAGATGCGAAAGAAGTTGCTGGGCTGGGGTGTCGTCATCGACGTCTTCGCAGCCTTCCTGGTCACCTTCTTTACTCCCTACCTGCAGGCCGGCCCGCAGATACAACTCGGTGCCAGGGTGGGCTATGTATTTATGGGCCTTGCGGCGATATCTTTCTTCTTCTTCATCTTCTTCACCCCTGAACTCAGGGGCCGATCGCTCGAGGAGGTTGATGAGCTATTCGAGGTGAGTCTCTCTTTTCGACTTGTCCCACGCACTCGCTAACTCCGTTTGCCTTAGCGAAAACTTTGGCCATGGCAGTTTAGCAAGGCTGAGACTCATGGTATTGGCGCGCGTATCGCTGCCATGGAAGGTGGGGACAATGAGGCTCTCAGATCGGATCCCAAACAGGTCGACCCTGAGGTTGCCCACAGCGAGTATGTCAGGTGAGCAGTTTTAGGCGATTGTAATCGTGTACCATTGGGCCATGAGCTGGTTGCTAACGGAGGGGTTTTCATGCAGAGACTAACTTTACCGATTGGTATGTCCATGCCTTGGCGTCGGTGAAGATGTGCAGTTGGATGCTGTGCCATGAGGACCGGTCGTACCTCTGGCCCCTTGTTTCATCTGCCAAGTGATGGTCAGATTAGTTGACGGACTGCTAACAGAAGTACTTGACTATCTATCAAGCCTATCAGATTTAGGTAGTGGGATAGCCCTTCCGAGTTCTGAGGGCAAGGATGTGACAAGGATATTGATTGTTAAGATTGAGGTAGCTCCTGATGACCTTCCGTCAACCATTCAGACACCCACTTGATCTGCCTTTATTCCCTATGGATTCAACATCTTCGCGTTCGGTGTGTTCTGTCAGGCCAGGCTTAAGTCATCTACTGTGTACATCACAGATATCAATTTCACTTTGTTCGGCGTTGTACAAATCCTGTGGTCCGGCTTGATGCATCGGGGTCTTGACTCGTGATAATTGCTCATCTGCCAAGTTCTCCGTCATAGCAACTTCGAGCTGAAAGACAGAGAGAAGTCAAGCAGTGCCCTGTTGAAACCCCCATCCCTTCTGCTCTTCTCCTTCCTGTGAGGCTCAAAAAGAGCCTATTTTTTGCGCGGGACGTCGTTACAATTCGCAACGTCTGGCCTTTCAGGCCCCAAATCTTAGTAGGGCTCTTACTGCCCGGCTATCATGCGCGATCGTCTCATCAAATTGCATGTCTCTTTCGGGAGGAAGAGGAGTCGTGGCTCAGAGGACCCCCTGCGTCGGTGAGTATACGGTCGGGCTCCCCTCCTCGTCCTGCAAAGAAGAAACAAGATGCGTACTGAGTCTGGTCTATTCAGGGAAATCACCAGGTGGACGGCATGGCGTCAATGTCGCCGATCGACTCGATCCACTGGAAGATGTCGTTCTCCAGGCCCACCATGGCCTCGGCGCCCTGGCTCTGCGACGAGACGGCGTCCAGCAGGCGCTCGGTCTCCTCGATCAGCTTGAGGTGGCCCCTCGACGCGGCGTTGCCGTGCCCGGCCATGGAGACCAGCAGCTCCTTGGCGAACGAGTACAGCGTCAGGTCCTCTGGGTCGGGGAAGGGGCTGAAGGGCCGGATGGCGTACACGAGGCGGGCCAGGGAGAAGATGTTGACGGAGGAGAAGACGTGGAGGGACTCCCAGAAGCCGTATTTGGCTGGTGTTCAACCAAGTGTTAGGGTGGGAACGTTTTTGGGGTGACCTAGCAAAAAGGGGGTAGATCGGTGAAGAGAACTTACCTATCCTGTCGGCGTTGGACAGACCCATCATGATCCGTGTGTTGCATTTCGCGGCCTCTAGGCACCGGCTGCTGAGCCCGATGAGGTTGTCCACAGAAGACTCGTCGCTGGGCCCCTTGCCGAGGGCCGTGGCGAGGAGCTTGAAGAAGACGGGCCGGATGAGGATGATGTAGCCCTAAACGGCGTCAACCTTATGAGCTTCTACTTGGCGTGTCAGAACAACAACGACGAGCCACAGACTCACCTGGTGGTAGCGGAGATATATCGACGCCAGCGACCGCATGGACGGCAGCGCGAGCATGGCAGGCGGCAAGCCCCCACCGCCAGCCAGGTTGGCAAAGTCGAACGAGTACCGCGCCGGCAGCTCCGCCCGCCACCGCTCGAGCCTCCGCAGCGGCTCCCGCACGACGCGCTGGTAGTCGGCAAAGTCCTCCTCGCGCAGGCGGCCCGCCGTCTCGGCGATGTCGCTGCGGATGCTGCACAGCTTGAGGTACGCGGCGAGCACCTGCGCGTCGTGAAACTCGCCGACGACATCCTCTTGCTGTTGCTGTTGCTGCTGTGGTGGCGACGAGGGGAGGTGGAGGAGGCCTTCGTCCGAGGGCAGCGGGAGCTCGGCGTCGTCGAAGCGCAGGGTCGCCTTGAGGCCGACCTCGGCCGAGGTCATGGCGTCGAGCTGGTAGGTCGTCCACCAGACGCGCTTGTGGTGCTCGGCGGCGACGGCAGACAGCTTGGATGTGGCGGAGGGGGGCTTGTGCAGCATGAGGCTGGACGCGAGGCGGACGGCGAGGCCCGAGTAGGTGAAGGCCGTCCTGCGGCGGTTGAGAGAGTAGCAGTAGAACGCCTGCGGTGGGTGCGTCAGTTCTGTGCGGTGGGGGGGTGGAGGAGGGAAGGGGAGTCGGTGGCGAGAACAACTCACGATGAGGTTGAGGGCCTCTATGTGTGCGACTGTAGGCTCTTCCGAGGGGATCTTGAAGAGGGCCAGGGCTTGTTCGAAGAACCCTGCCCCGGGAGGGGACGGCGGACGGGAGCCGGCCGCTCCTTGATCATGCTGGTCGTCGCTGTGGCACGCGTTATCGGCGATCTCGATGGAGGGCGCGTTGAAGCTGTTGTACGACTCGCCCAGGGCGAAGACAGTCAGCAGCTTGCAGAGCCAGATGCGATCTCGGGACTCTGCCGCTTGGGGGTTCCGGTAGGTGGTCTCCAGGCCCGTGTGAAAGGTATTGCGGAGGTACCAGTGGTACTCGTAGCCTATGAATGTTTCAAATTGGCCGGCCAGCTGGAGGGCATAGGGGTAAGGGGGCAGCTTGACTGTCACCCTGGAAGCTAATGCGCATCTGTCAGCCTTCGCGGGCTCGTACGGCCAAGGATTCCCAAGCAGCTATTACACGATGTGTCAAAGTCTAGAGGCACATAATCATACTGAGAGTCATCGTCTTGAGCGTCGGACCCGCCGATGGTCCAGATGTTGTTGTTGAAGGGGTCCGCAGCAGTTGGAGAACCGCCCACGTGTGCGCCGCCGAGCTTCTTTAGCCCAGATACAAAGGCTTCTGCTGTCGCATTCTTGAGCACCGGCGCAGCTGTTGATGTTCGTCTAGGCACATCTCTGGGGAGAAGCTCGGCGGGCTGAGGACGACTGAGCACACCCGTTTCAGAAGTCCGTGCCAACCCATACTGGTCGTTACTGGTACTCGTCGTGGTTACAGAGTTTTGAATGCCCGGCGTGACCTGTGCGTGCAGGCTGTTCAGGTAATTCTCTGATATAAAGATATTTCTGTCCCGGATTGGGTAGACGCAAGGCGCTACCGCGGCAGAACAGTTGCTACATGGCGTCTCTACATTTGTAATTGTTAGCGGAGGAATGCCGTGTCTCGTGGAGTCTGGCCGAGGACTCAAACCTTTGGAGCATTTGACCTTTCTCTGATGGCATCTCTGACATGCCACTGCTCTCCTTTTGCCGGTAGACATAGCCTTGACAAAAGTGGAATACGGCTGTGAAGTTCCCGATATGAGACTGCCGAACAACGGCCGAGTAATCAAGAGCTTGGAAACTTGCAATGATTGGGGTAGACATACTCCGCATATATAGAGCTAGACCCCTCACAAGAGAGATAACTAGCGCGGGACTTTCAGCTTCGTCCGCTCCACTTCCGGGGTTAGTGTGCTCGTTGCTCGAAGTACACTAGGAGGTGGAATGCAAATCCGTAGCCCATAAAGATCATGATGGTGTGACTGTTTCTTAAATATGTTAACAGCTTTATACTGCTATTAAAACACTCTGTAGAGTACGAGCACATGGAATGGTGTTCAAGCAGGCTTCTTAGTAATGGTCGTATGAGTTGACGGCCTGTTAGCAGAAGTTCTTGACTGCCATCAAACATAGATAGGTGTGGATGCCCTTGTGAGTTCAATAGTGGAATACAGTCTAGCCTCGACTTTGTATCACAAGCGTGCAACTTTAGATCGCTTCTTCGAGACCTGTAGTGTCCGCTTGTTACGACCTCTCCAGCCGTCAAGCTCGCCCAGATCACGAGCAGGCCAAGGATGAGGCTCCTTGCCCGTCTTGGGAGGTGTAGCCCCGAACCGCCACTTCCACAGATCAAGATACTCGTCACTGAGCTTGCCCTCCATCATGTCAACAATGTAGCGGCCGATCACCGGCATGAACTTGAATCCGTGCCCTGACCCTGCGGTGCCAATAAACAGACTCTTGTTGGTGGGAGAAGGGCAGATTCTGAAGTTGATGTCCTTGGTATCACCGTCCCAGCACATCCGGGTAGACACCCAATCCCGGTCTGCGAGCTCGGGTATCTGGTCCCGGACAAACTCCCTCATCTCTTGTTCTATCTGCCGAGGAACTCCGTCTTCCGGGAAGTCCTCGTGCGAGTGGCCCAAGGATGCGCCCTTCACCTTTGAGTTGTAGTAGTTAGTGATGAACCTGCAGCTGCATAGCTTGAGCAAGTTGTTCTCGTCAGGAGGGAATAGAATCCCCTGCTCAAAATCGTCGACGATGGGCAGGTTCTTGTACTTTTCAGCTTCTTCCTGAGTGAGTTGGATGACACCGACGCAGTGAGATCGCGCGACAATCTCGTCCTTGGCGTCTATCAATGCAGCGGTGTTGGCCCCAGTGCAGAGGACCACGGCGTCGGCAAAGTGAGCCTCGCCATTCTTGCTCAGAACGCCAATACAAGTGCCCTTGTCGTCAAAGAGAAGCCTCTGCACCCACCCGCGGTCTCCCGTTACGTACTCAACGCCATTTGCTTGGGCCGCTGTAGCCATTCGTAAAAGTGCCTGACCGGACGGAACCTGTTCATCTACGTCAGCAATCTTCTTCCCTGTCTTGTGTTTCTGTAGAAAAGCATACCCAGCCCGCGGCTGGACTCCAGAGGTTGGTCCAACCGGGGAACGAGCCCGTAAATTCGGGCCACTTTTGCTTGATCTCATCGACTCCAAGGAACTTGACCTCCGTGTGGCCGGCCTTTTGGCTGGTCTCATGGGCTGACTTTAGAAAATCCTGTGTCATTTCGTGCGCCGCCATGATCCAGCCAGTCGACCGGAACATTCCCGACAACAGGTTATCTGGCGCTTTCCAGATCGCCATGGCCTCCAGGCCGAGTTTTGCGTAGAGTGGATTGGGATAGTCGAAACGCACGATCTTGTTCAAATCAGTAGCAGCTGCATCCTTTGATGGTGCGGCGAACCGGTCAAAGACGCGGACGCGGGTGTAGCCCCTCTTGGACAGGTGGTAGGCCGTTGAGGTGCCAAAGGCACCTCCACCTACGATGATGATAGAAGGGTTCACAAGTTCGGACATTTTGTAGAAAACTCCCAGATACAGATAATCCTGATAGCTAAACTCTCAAGAAGTCCACGGCAGGAAGTCGATACGCAGGACGCTCTTATGTAGATAGATAACCTTGAAATTACCATCAAACACCTGCCCAAGTTAGCAAGACAGTGCTTCCCCCGCCTCGCGGCATCGCCGCTTGTGTTCTGCAGGTGCTGTGATTGTCTTATCATTCCGGGGTAATGCAGCTTCTCCAAACAGTGTGCGACTGAAGATCTCCGCATCCGTGCTACCGAAGTAACACACGCAATTGGTCGGACCCATCGGCGTCGAGACGGCGACTAACACTAGCGGCCGAACTCGCCGAGGCCGAGGCCGTCTCGGCGACCACTGATATCATCCGGTAGAGTGAAAGGTGACCTTCAATAGCAGCCGTGTCTTCAAATGATTCTTGAGAGTATTCAATGAGGGCAGAGGACAAAGTTTTAGTTAATTCCATCGGCCGGGTATCATGCCGAGAGTCAGCGGCCGAGGGCAACCACTACGGCACAACCATACCCCATATTCTAATCTCTCCAACCCCATGGGTGAACTCCGTTAGTGGCCGAATCTTTCATGGAAACTACCCCATACAGACCAGGGCTTTATCTGTGGGGGCTGCTCCGGGGTGTGATTAGGACGTCCATTGAATATATAAAGTGTGTCCCACCAAGTACACCTCCCACCTTCGACTGTTTGATCCAAACCATCCTCCAACTCCACATCCTAAGAAGCCGACGAAGATGGACACCAATAACGACACGAAGACTGAAGCTCCTCAAGAGAGCTTTCAGGCGAAGGGCGAGAGCCACGTCGTGGGAGCGCGTGAGCTACCGCCCCTGCTGCGAGATATTCCTGCTGAAGAGCTGGAGAAGATGCAGCGAAAGCTCGTCCGGAAGCTTGACTTGCGACTGATGGCACCTCTGATTTTGATGTACATCATGAACTATCTTGACAGGTGAATCTCCCGTTGCCGGTAGTGTCTTTGAGTCTCCATGACTGCGTGCTAATATTATGCAATAGAAACGCTATCGCGGCGGCCAAGATCTCCGGAATTGTCGAGGATCTGAGACTTACCGACTCGCAGTTCCAGACCTGCGTCAGCATCCTCTTCGTTGGGTACGTATTGTCTAAAGAACTAGCCTGACAACAGCAAAAGTTGGACATTGACACAAATTAGTTACATCTTGATGCAGGTGCCATCCAATTTGGTTCTCAACAAGATCGGCCGACCAGCTATATACCTTCCAGCGTGCATGGCCGTCTGGGTATGTCGAAAGCATGATACACCGATGTCAACTTAGTGCTGATAAAGTACATAACAGGGCGTATTGTGCGCTTGTGCGGGGGCTGTCCACAACTTTGGTGGCCTTGTTGCTGCGCGGTTTCTGTTAGGCTTTGTCGAAGCTGCATACTTCGTGCGCTGTCTCTCCACTTACTTCAGCTCATGACCGAAAGACTGACAGAAATCCAGCCCGGATGCATGGTTTGCCTGACTGCATGGTACACACGGAAGGAGCTCGCTTTTCGTACAGCACTCCTGTACTGCGGCTCTTTAGTGTCGGGCGCATTCTCGGGTCTGATTGCTGCCGGCATCACGCATGATCTGGATGGGTAAGTCTTGTGAGCACGGAGAACGTGGAGTGGTCTTCATGTGTCGACCTGCTAACAAGGCTCGAATAGCGCCATGGGCCTCAAAGCCTGGCGATGGCTCTTCATCATCGAAGGCGCCATGACCGTGGCCCTCGCCTTGTGCGTCTTCTTCGTCCTTCCCGACTTCCCTGTCAACACCAAATGGATCTCGCCCGTGGAGCGCGAGCTCGCAACGTGGAGGCTCTATGCCGACGTTGGCGAAGACGACTGGATCGACTCGGAACACGAGTCGCTCTTCACCGGCCTGAAGCAGTGTGTGCGCGACCCCAAGACGTACGTCACCATACCCTTGATCTTCGGCGTCGTCTCGTCGGGCACAATCAACAGCTACTTCCCCTCCGTCGTCTCAACCCTAGGCTACGCCCGCACCGAGACGCTGCTCCTCACAGCGCCACCATATCTCCTGTCTTGCATCGTCGCCCTCGGCGTGGCCCTCAACGCCGACCGGACCGGCGAGCGGTACCTGCACTTCACCGTCCCCGTCTGGTTCTCCATCGCCGGCTTCGTCATCTCGGCCGCCACGACGAACCTCGGCGCCCGCTACTTCTCCATGATGATCATGCTGCCGGGCGTCTACACCGCCTTCACGATCGGCCTGACCTGGGCCGCCAACACGATGCCCCGGCCGCCGGCCAAGCGCGCGGCGCTACTGGCCCTGTGCAACGCCTGCGCCAACTGCTCGAGCATCTACGGGCCGTACCTGTACCCCGCGTCCACGGCGCCGCGGTACCTGATCGCTATGGGTGTCAATGCGGGCACGGCGCTCATGTCCATCATCGTGGCGACCGGGTTCATGATCATGCTACGGAGGCTTAACAAGAAGCTCGACAGAGAGGAGGGCCTGGACCTGGACGCAAGCGGCGAGACGGACGTGGCTGCGCAGCGTCATGGCCATGCGCCAAGGGGGTTCAGGTACTTGTATTAGTGTCCCGGGTATGAGAGATGAACGGCTCTCCCTTTCACTATACGAAAGAAGCACAGTCGTTTCTCCTAAAACATGACAATCTTCCAAAACATACGAGTGGGTTACACCGCAATGGTGCTTAGATAGGATTTTAGTTTTGTTCAATAAAGCAAGACCTTACTCGCCGTAGCACCCTCCTGCAACCACCCGTTGATCACATCCTTGACCTCTTGCGCCCGCCTCTCGGCGTAGTCGTCCGGCAGCGGCAGCGTCGGCCTCTTGCTCGGGTCGCCGACGACCCAGGCGACCGCCTCCCGGGCGATGTGGCCGTACCGGTCGTGCACCTCCTGCGCCTGCTCGGGCGTGTAGCCGCGGCCAAAGACGATGGCGCGCGGAGGCCGGGCGTAGTTGTGCGTGCCGATGTCGTTGGGCTTGGATACCTTTGGTTCTTTGCCTTGCAGGACGGGCTCGAGCTCGGCAGCTGTCGCGGCTTCCCACCCGGAGCCGTAGATGAAGTGGATGACTTTGGTTTTCGATATTGTTAGCTCCGGCCGACTTTGTACTCCTTCTGTGCGGGTTGTGCTATTATGATCGACGGACCTTCAAACTCGGGCTGCAATTGCTTGGCCACCATCGCGCCGACCTGGGCGGTCTGGCCAAAGAGTAGCACTGGGATCCTGGCGAGAGACATTGTTGAGGAACTGTTACTTCTTCAAGCCGGTTTAAGTTTTGACTCTGCTGAGTTGCTGACGTACATCTTAATTAGTGAGCATGCTTAAGTACTTGTACACAGCTTTAGGCCCGGAAATGTGGAGAATAATTACACTTCAGGCTCACAATGCTGACACCCGGCGCGGATGTAGGTCTTTAGTGCTTATGTGGACTCGGATTGTTTTCCAATTTAGAAGACTACTGTGAATCCAACAACGCGTAAAAGTTGGCTAGGGCACAGGGGTCACACATGGGTGTCCGGGCCATTATCCGCAACTAACTTGAGAGAACTCTGGCCTTCCATTTCAATCGCTCAGCTCACAGCCCTCTGACACCAGTCTTGAGGAGGTATGGGTCCGCATCGATCTGCTTCCTGATGTCTCCCGAGATGACCTGGTCAATGTCCCAGTTCGACCAGGCGAAACGGCCCTGGAGGAAAGCCGCTTCTTCCGATGCAGCCCACACAGCGAACTGGCCGGGGATGTTTTCTGCCAAATTGAAAAGTATGAGCAATCAGCTCGCAGTGGCTGTCGTGATCACTTGGAAAAGGTGCAGTTGGGGGATGTAACAATAGCCTAGAAGACTAGATCTCAGGGCAGGACGGGCTTACCATCGGTGAAAGGGAAAGAATCCCGCGTATAACCAGTCTTTTCCACCGCCTCGGTGTAGACCACACCCGGGTGGAAGCTGATGATCTGCATGTCCGTCGCAGGTATCTCCCGGGCGACTTGCTGCATCGCACACGTACCAGCGTGCTTGCTGAGCTGGTACACTGGCAGCTCGGGAGCGCTATCCCAGTTGTGAATGTCTTGAGTAGATACGTATAGGAAGAACTGGTCTCATTTTGTCAGCCAAGCCAGTTCCATTTCGCGTTGTAAAATCCATCTCGAACCTTCTTCTTCTCATGGTGCGGCTGATTGTAGAGCTTCTCCAGATGACGCAGCGGTGCGTGCACGTTGCCCTCAAAGTCGCCCCAGGCCCGGGCGATGCCCTGCTTCAGAATAGGCTCCCGGGCAGGCATCGCACAGCCGCTGAAGACCACAACGTCAACCGCTGCGTCCGGGCCGCCGGCGGAGATCTTGTCCCAGAAGGCGTCGGTCGCCTGCTCGTTGAGCATATCGCACACCCGCGGAACCACCTCCGTCTTGGGGAAGGCCTCAGCCAACTTGACCGCGGCGTCCTCGAGCACTCCCGGGCGGCGGGCCGCGATGATCACCTTGGCGGCACCGGCGGCGCAAAAGTTGCGGGCGATGGCATGGCCGATACCCTTTGATCCTCCGAGTACAAGGACGGTCCGGCCTGCCTGCGAGAGCTCTGGGCGGGAGGGAGACGTTGTAGGATGGGGCTTCTCGTAAAGAGGCTTTGGAATAGATGTTAGTTCTTTACTTATGAGCATGTTGTCGAGATGGGAACGCAACAAGATGTTTCGCTTACAATGGAGAGATAGGAAACCATTTTCTTTGGTCTTTGAGCTTGTGAAGGCGGTCTGTTAGGAGTGAATGTCTAATCCGCGACTTACAACTTTGAACGTCGGACCTTTTGTCCATCCTTTATATACTCTCATATTGCAAGTGCTTGTTTGGGCCTCTCGCGATGTTGGTGATGGCTGTGTAAATGGTGGTTCCACCGTGCCTTCGTGTATTCGGCCCAAAAAGGTCAAGCTCACCGTTACAGAACTGGGGCAGCGACTGAGTTTATTAGGGAACACGGCAAAGCACTACTGCAAGGACCAAACTCTTGCCCCGTATAGCGCATATCTTGCACATACGTGGCATGGGTCACTCGGTTCGTTCGATATGAACTTCGAACTTCGGACGTCGCGGAATGTGAGCTTCTCCTCCTTGTTCTATTCCATCCGCCCATTTCGCTACTAATCTAGGGTGGAGTCACCTCTCAAGTCTTTTCTCCTTCGATCAGCGTCTTTTTCCATTGCTTATAAACCCGAGCAATGCCGTCTCGCCAAGATCAGGATGATTCATCGGCAGTGAGACTGCAGGAAGGGGGCCAGAAGGGGAAGCGAAAGGCGCATGGCCGGAGCCGAAATGGATGTCTTACCTGCCGGCAGCGACACGTTAGGTGTGATGAAGCGCATCCGATATGGTATGGTTCCCGTCTTGGTTTGCCCGATTAGGCCAGATACACGACCCGTTGCGTTAGATTCCGCACAGACAACGGAAGACGACAGGGCGCGGGCTGGTCATTGGGCCGAAGATGCGCTGACCAGTAGCCACAGCCAGATCTGTACCTCTGCGAACAAGACGTGCGTCTATCCGCCGCAGGAAGTCCCCCTCCGGGACCGACGGAGGGCGAAGGGTCTCCTTCCTGGCGAGATGCAACCGTGGTCTGTCCCAAAGCAGACACACGTATCGGGCCAACTGGGTGCTGATCAAGCTTTGGGGCTTGGCAAGCCGTCTCAATCCTCCACACTGGCCATCCCAGTGGGTTTCACCGGACCTTGGTCGGGCGTACCCTCCTCACCGACCGGCCCCTTTGAAGTACTGCCAGTGAAGATGCCAGCAAGGTCTCAGGAGCTGTACCAATACTTTGCCATGCAGTCCATGCGCCTGTCACTTGGCCTGACCCTCGGCAAGGACAGTCTCCTGGTATCCTCCCATAACCCCGCATCTTTCCGCTGCATGCTCCTCCTTGCAAGTATTCACTACTCTTGGAATATTGGCCAGCTCGCCCGCTTTCAATCTACCTATCTCATGCACAAGGCAGAGAGTCTCGAGACTGTACGGAGTACCATTGATAGCCAGTCGCGACAGGAGTTGCTGGGTAACTTGCAACTAGTAGCAACATTAAGTCTGGTCGAGGTAAGCTTCTGGATTCTTCAACGCCATGGGATCAACTTTTGTAGGTGAAATGCTGAGCAAAAGCTCGGATAGGCATGCATTGGAAACCTAGCTGTCTCCCAATTTCATCTGAGTGGCCTGATGGCTCTTCGTGATGTTTGGGCTGGCCATAAAGAGACACGCGATGACAGAGCTACATCGGAACTCGTCGACCGATACATTATCCTGTTAGTATGCCTAGCTAGCTCCTGTCTTTGGCACATAGCTGACGGTATGATTATTTGCATAGAGTATATGGTTTCTTGTACGGGATCAGGTCACGCCTCTCCGATGTGCCTCTGCCAGAGGCAAAAGCTCTTCAGTTCGGCAAGCTCGGTCCGAGTTACATATCTCTTATGCACTCACGATACCATCTTGAAGCGGATGGACTCAGTAACCGCCTAATAGCGCTGAGGTTGCTGCCTTCTTTCGTGAACCCTGCGTTGCCGAAGGCCTTCCCGGAGGATGTTGATCCAGCTGTGACACTTCCATCGCTGCGAGATATCACAACGCTGTTGGACACGAAGAACAGGTACATTCAAGGCGTTGATGAGTACCAGCCCGAAATGATGTGGAACGACGGCGGCCCCACCAGGCTGCTTGTCGCCCTTTCAAAGTTGCATGCTCAGACATTGGAGGCGCAACCAAAAGGCCAAGGGCGGACACCCAGCCCAGAGCTACAGAAGGACTTACCTGGCGTGTCCTATTCAGCCCTTAGCGCGGCCATCGCGCTCTACCTTCATTCTGTCCTCGGGACGTATAATGCGGGCGAGCCCATGGATCAGAAGTTCCACCGACACGTTCTGCTGCTCGTGAAGACGGAAATCGACGCCAAGCAAAGGCAAATGTGTAGAGACTTCGGCAAGAAAGGTGCAAACTTTTGGTTCTGGCTGGTCATGACGGCGCGTCGCGGCCTGGACACTATGGAAGATCCAGAGGCAAATAGAGAACTATGTGGGAAGCTACGGCGCAGTCTAGAAACACATATCAGGAACTGGGCTCATCTTAGTCGTACAAGGCTGTGGGAGGATGCCTTTGAGGCACTGAACGATTACGTCTGGCCTGGGACGTCTCCGGACGCAGGGAGGATGATATGGCTGCATGCTATGGAGGGCTCCAACACGTGTTTGAACGAATAGCTTGAGATCCGACATAAGAACAGAGCATTGTCAGTTGCTCATTGATGTTATCAAATGGACTACATGCTTAGTTCACAGATACTGGAAGAATGGTAGCGAGTATCGTACTGTTGGACTAACACATATGTTCAGAGAAGGTGATTCCATAATTGACTCAAGCTAGTCACTGCCACAAGGCTCCTACACCACCAGTGATGACAACCTACTGAATCAGTGGCGCCGCTCAAAGACACTGCGAGTACCACTGGTTAGAAGCCTTGCACGTCGAGCCGGACTGGCAGCAAGTCGGGCCGTTCCAACCCTGACCACCGCATTGGCCCCATTGAGCGGCGCACTAGAGGAGCAGGAGATCAGCAATGCACTCCAGCGTTGTCCTCAAAGAGAGAGATCGGGCTCAACTTACGCTGCCACCGCCTCCAGTGTTTCCGCCGCCGTTGTTGCCACCCCCGTTGTTGCCGCCTCCGTTGTTGCCGCCTCCACCTGACGAACCCCCATCAACGTTGATATCGGCCGACCCGCTGCTGAAGTAGCCCTCCGTCGCGACGATCATGTAGTCATGCGATCCCAAGTTCAAGCCGGCCTGCGCCCAGGCGTTGAAGTGGTTGCCCGTGGTCACGGTGCCGCCGACGCGCTTCGACTGGCGCACCGACCAGTACTGCTTGAAGGTGGCCGTGCCGATGATGGATGGCTGGTTCACCCGTTCCGAGACATAGATATCGTAAGTGCCGCCGTCGCTCGTCACCGTGCCCTTCTTCTGGCCGGCGGAGCCCGGGTTGTAGGTGCCGTAGGACTCGACGACGTAGTACTCGACCAGAGGGTTCTTGGTCCAGCCGTACACTGCGAGATAGCTGTTGCCGTTGGGGTTGTAGCTGCCAGAGTAGTTGATGGTCCTATTGAGCAATGAGGTTAGTTGCTGGTCAAGGCATATTGGGATGCAAACGTCAATGTACTTAGGACCACCAGGGTTCCAGCCCTTGCCGCCGACAAAGTTGCCACCACTCGACCATCTCACACTGTAGGAGCCACCGGCGCCATTGGTGTAGGTCACGTCAGAGCCGCCGTCGGTCCACCATGAGTAGTAGTATCCGTTGTGAGTGCCAGTAGAGCTCGGAGTACCGGCTCGTTCGAACAGGAGACTTTCGTTCACAGCAGGGTATGCTGCTGCCGACGAAGCAAGAAGGGCTACAAGAAGCGACTTCATTTTGACTACACTAGACTGCTATTGTCACGAAGTCTGCAGGGTAGGGGCCATTATGAACTTCCAAGAGCAACGGATCGAGGCTTGACTTTATAGTTTCTTCACTGATGCTTGGCAAGTTGCCACGCAAGTGGGTGTCTGAATAGTTGACGGAAGTTCATCAGGAGCTACCTCGATCTTAACAATCAATATCCTTGTCACATCCTTGCCCTAGAACTCAGAAGGGCTATCCCACTACCTAAATCTGATAGGCTTGATGGATAGTCAAGTACTTCTGTTAGCAGTCCGTCAACTAATCTGACCATCACTTGCCACGGTCCTCCACTGCCCCTGATAATCCTGCGAAACGATCACCTCATTTCGAAAATCTAGGTTTTGTTGTTCCCATATTTGCATCGCCAAGACTATCAGCGGCCTATTTGAAGCCTCCGCTCAGCTCGATGTGCACCTATTAGTTATAATCGCGACGACACTTCCGTTCTCTAAAGGGATGGTGTCCGGTCGAAGGGGTCCTAGTACTGTTACATCGTCTAGTGCGTGTCTGCACAGTGGCTTGCCAGACCCATCTTTAGTACAAGATCAGTCGAGAATAAGAAAGGTCGGTTTCAACCCTCCCAGCACGGGTCCACGTGCCAAGTGGTACACTAGAAATTGTAATAATAAAACACTGTGTTGAACCCGGTTCTTGGTTCGATACTGTTTTACCGTCTTGGCCAGTCAGAAAGGACAAATGTGGAGAAGCGAGGCTCAAATGGTGTTCGTGAGGAGAACGATGAGCTACAATTCAGCCGGCCGGCTAAAATAGACATACAGCTCTCTTGGTCCATGGTCAATGTCATGCTGAGGTAGCTTTCACACTTTTGAAATGCAACACAACGGGCACGCCCGTTGGCCGCAAATGCAAGAGTCTGGCAGATGGTCAATGACTTCCGAGAATCGTTATCTCTAATAAGACTAGCTTTCGGGTGGCACGGACATGGTTCCCGGCTTTTGGGATTTTATGGTCAAATCAGCCATTCAGCTTGGATATTCATGGCGGTCACAAGCCTTGGCAGCAGGGAAGAAGGCTTCAGCAAGATGTTTGCTCTCGAGAGTGTACAGACATACTTCTCTCCCACTTTCGACAACTCATCTCAGTTCACACAATGGGATGAACCGTGACGCCCTCTTCACACACACAGTAGACTCGCATCCACCCGCCGCTTGATCAGTCCCTTTCTCGCCGCGATCATTCCACATGAAAAAATTAGTAGCACCTCTCATAATTTCTTGCTCTTAATGCTACACCTCTCATTTTGGACTATATTAAATATTACTTCCAGATCCTCTATATTTGTAGATCTGCTCATCTTGTATGAAGCATTGATCTCCAGCCATTAATAGAAGCAAAGGAGGCATCTCTGTTTCTCTACATATTGTAGTAGGGATGCCTTGAGCCAGAATTGTTGTGGTAATTCTGTTACATAAATCATGCCATGCCCAGCTCCAGTGTGCAACCAGACAACTCCAGGGAGCAACCAGCCAGCTCTAGAGATCAACTAGCCAGTTCTGAGAGCGCCATTTCACATATGTCACACCTCCTTAGACTAGAGGGGGGTTCTTGAGAATAAACAGCTGCTGCTGCTCAATCTTGACCAGCCTGTGGGCACTGTTAAGGTGGGACAACATCCAGGCCTGAGTCTCAAGCATGCTTTCATTTGTGCAATCAGGATATGAGCACCTCTAAGGTTTGTATGGCGGAACCTTGGGTTTCTTGGCCAGGAGGTATGCCTGGAGCTGATCTTCAGGGAAATCTGGGTGCTGCTTGTGGATATGCTCCTCAAGCCTTAACAACCTGTTGAAAGGCTTATCGGCGTGGTTATATGTGGGTACTGGACATGTCTTGTTGGCCTAGCTGGAGTGTTCGTTCTCTACATGTACCTGAAGCTTGTACTTGGATGTGAAAGGAGTCTTGATAGTGCAGCCTTAAACTGTGCATAAGGTTGGTGGAAAGTTATAGATATTATTGATATGGTCCTTAAGCGAGGTACAGTCCTATCAGTGTCTCAAAGAGACAAAACAACACCCTGTCCTCGCTTCCGTTGCAATGGTTAGAAGAAAAAAACAATGACTGCCTGATCGCAATGATGTGTACACCGCCAAACTATTCTTTGCTGTCCGCTTTGTTTTCCCTTTCCGTTTGTCAAATACAGAAAGAACCAGGCCGGCTTGGGCCAAACTCCGACTGAACCTTCGCCGCCACCCAAAATTCAAGAACCCTGGTCCTTACTTAAATCAAGGAAATGATGAACCATTGCCAATGATGACGCGTAATTCTCTCTACTTCATCTCCCCTCAACCCGTTCCAGCAGTAGGACCTAGATGTCCACGCCATTCGAGCCGTTCGCCTCGCCGTTGACGCCATTGGCAACCTGCGCCGCGCCATCCTCGGTGAGAGCGTCCAGCTCGGCCTGGCACGTCTTCTCCGCGGCCTCGACGACAGTCCGCCACCACTCGTCCAGCCTGCTCTTGTCGATGAACCGCTTGAGGAGCGTGTCCTCGGCCTTCATCCCGTCCCGGAGCTTGTTCTGGAACGCATTGTCCATCTCGTCGAAGCGCTGGTCCAGCTCGGCCGTGTACACGCCGAGCGCCTCGGACGGCTTCAGCAAGGGATAAAAGTTCTTTTCGCTCTCAGCACCTACCGTCACGGGGGGAAATGTCAGCCAAGAAGATTCCTTGATGGGGTCAGACGGCGCGGGGAACTTACGATTTGCGTAAAGCGCAAACACGGTCGCATAGGGTGCTGTGCCGCCCACAGCGGCCGTGGTAGACTCGTCGCTCTGGAGCTCCGTATTGTTGATGTGTGCCCAGTCGTCACGAATGAAGCAGCGCCTCCAGATGAGGCGCTGAGCCTGCCTACGCTCCTCGCCAGAAAGACTGTACTCGGCGACCCGCAGCGCAAGGAAGTACGGATCGTGCGTGACCAACCGCTCATCATCATCCTCCTTAGTGGTGATGAGAGTCAAGAGATCAATCAGCGTCAAGGGGTCCAAAGCCTCGTGCTTCAACAAGCGGCCCATGCCGTCCTCAAACACCTGGTGCAAAGCCTTCTGCTTCTTGGGAATCCGGCCGCCATGACTCTCCATAGCTAGGTCAAGCTCAGCCGACTCGTCAACGGCAAGGCTGATGGTGGGGAACACCCAGTTGTAGACGATGTCTTGGATCTTGATCACCGTCAGCTGCTGGTCGATCCTATCCATCTCGTCGTTGGGAATGTTGGTTCCATTTGCGTCGTTGGCGACAGGGTCAGAGGATGACATGGACTCGGCCATGAGTGCCAGCTTGCCCAAACTCAGCTCGATCTTCTTGTTCCAAGCCTGCTGCTCGCGCGTCAAACCGAGATCGAGCAAGGTCTCAGCAGCATGCTGGATGTCGTTCTCGCGTTCGACATCGTTGATCCACGAGATCTTGGCCAATTCTGGCTTCGTCCTCAGGAACTTGGTCGCGTAGCCATACTGGTCGCCGGGGAAGTCGAGAACGGCTTTGACGCCTTCGTCACGGAGCAGGACGTCGTACACTGCGAACGCAAAGTCCTCCTTGTACTTGTCGAAATACTCGGCGATGCGTTTCTCCTTGGCAGTAGCCGTCAGCCGCAAGTCTGAAGCTCTGCTAGACGGCAATTCTCTGTTCGTCGCCTTCACCCGCAGCGCTCGCACCTCCTCCACCATCAAATCGGCCAATGCTCGAATACGCCTATGCTTCTCAGCAATAGCAATCGATTCATCCCACAGTCCAAAGTCCTTAAGCCCGTAAGGCTTAGCATAGCTTTCTTCCTCATAGATCTGCTGGCAGCGTTGGCCGAATTGTAACTGCTTCGGGTCTTCTTGGAGCGTGCCCCATCGACTCTGTTCCTGTAGAGAAATGAGGTACTGGTCCACGAGCTTAGGCATGTCTTCCCGGATGGATTCGATCAAGCCTGGGTCGGGCGAGCCGCTTCCAGTTTGGGGCGGGTAGTACTGCTCAAGCCAGGTGCAACACAGCTCCAGGAGTCGCTTTTCGTTGTTGATAATAAACGATGTCGACGTCCACGGCTCGGTCAGGCCGGCGTAGTCGGCTGCCAGAATGCCATTTTCCATCTTCTCGTCTCCTAAACCGTAGAAGTGAAGCTTCGTCTTGCGGTACTCGAGTGCACCATGGAGAGCATGGTAGTTGATCTGAACAGCTTCGAACAACAACCTAGTGATTCCTCGATCATCAAGCAAGTGATCCTTGTAAACATATTTGATGACTTCGTATGCCCAGGCGACAAAGATCTCCAGTCGCCAGACGTCGTTGATGAAAAAGTGGCGCACGCGATCCACCTCGCCCTTGGCCTTGTTCGGGTTCTTCTTCTCGTCTTCGTGGATGTACTCGACGATTTCTGAAACCATGCTCTTCCGCTCATCGCCCTTGACATCTGCACGGTCGGCCAGAAACTGTTCGTGCTGTAGCCATATGCGAGTCGCGCTGGTCATCTTCTCTGCGTTCCAGAGGAGCGACCATCTGGTCTGTCGGCCGAGGTCGATCTTTAGAGCGTTCAGATGGGACATGAGCCTCTCGAGGAGGTTAGTTCGGGTACGAAGGTTCTGTTCGAGCGAAGCTGGCAGGCTGGCAACGTAGGGCGTCTGTGAGCTGAGAATTTCGTGGCTCAGCTGGAGGGCCGCCTCGCCGATCTCTTTACTCGAAAATTGGGTCTCTCTCTGGCCTTCAAAGACCAGGGGATTATCGCTCTTGATGCCAAAAAAGACAGCTTGTTCGAGTTTGCTCTTGGCTGTGACTTGAGGCGGCTTCTCGCTTGCAAATCGATCGATGTCCGTTGTTGCAACACGTACAATGCCGACACCACGGACCATGAGAACCGTGGTTGGGTTCTTGGTCTTGTGTCGGTGGGGTCGCGGTCCTTCGACATCTTTCTCGGCGCCTTGTACTTCTTCGATGCCAGAGCCCACGATTTCGAGATTATCGTCGTTGCGAAGATCGATCACATCTTCGAATGTAGCGGGGAACACATGGACGTCTTCTTGCAGCTGCGAGTCAGGCGTATCGGGCGGCGTGGCAAGGGAAGCAATGACCACAGCGCGACTGAAGACGAGGTAGGCCACAAGGGCAGGTTTCGGGAGATAGAGTCGGGGCCGGTGGAATGCTTCTTTGTCTACAACGCCAAAGTAGGAAGTGATGGGCCGGATCATGCCAACGGAGACTTGGTCGCGCGATAGGATAAGCTCGACAAGAGCATAGGGTGTCTGCCGCTTCGAGGTAAAGGACACGAGGAGAAGTAGTTGTAACGCGGATTCGTCTTCGAGCTCCACGTAATTGCTGAGGCGGGTAGCGTCAAGGTATTTGCGCTCGATCCCTTTGGGCACAAAGGTAAAGTCCACCACCTCGAAGGAGTCGGAGGCTGATCCGTTCAGCCCCGGGATAGCTCGCTGCACATTCTCGATAATCGTCTCGCGGGCATCGCTCTCGATCAAAGCTTCGTGGTGACCACCTCGGTGAACTCTCCAGGCATGGATCTTGCCCTTTGAAGTAGCCGCGACAATGGTCCGTTCGCCGAGCCTGGCGACTGGTCCTGCCCGCACAGCAGCAAGATCGCCACGAACCGCTGAGTGCTTGAGCACATGGCGAATGCTGCCTAGGAATCCGCCCGATACGGCACCCAAGCCGTTGCGAAGGAACTGTACAGAAATGCCCGGCCTACCATGGCCATCTCGAACACTGAGGTGGGCAAGCCGGCCACTGCTGAAGGCGAGGACAAACCCGGCCGAGTCCGCATTGACGATTTGTGTAACGTGTTCGCCGGAAAAGATACCTGGGACTGTCTCCTCGACACCGTTGCGTTGCTGTCGCATAAAGTCGAGAGTAGCCGCACTGGAGATGGACTCCCAGTATGTGATCTTTCCGGTGACGGGCATGACGACGACGAGTCCCGGCTCTTCAGACGAGGTCGAGGGCGCGACAAGAGCACCGAGGGGGAGAGGGTCGGATACATGTCGGGATGGGTAAGGAAGCGTGAAGGTAAAGGTTTCGGGAGAGGTGGTGTTGGCAGTGTAGGGCCAGACAACGGCGTGCGTGTGTGTGAGACAAAGCGCGTAACCGGTGGACGAGTAGACGATACCGTGTTGCCGGCCTAATACGTTCAAGTCAGCCAAGATTGACAGGGGAGCCGAAGATGGGGAAAGTGTTGGACGGAAGGGACCTACTGGTGAAGTCTGCGCGGATCCTATCGGGCAGAGCTGGCAGCTTGCTCACGGTGTAGGCGGTGTTTGTGGTCTAGAAGAGCTCTCTGGTTAGCTATCCCGGCTGGTCTCCATCTGATCCAGCCTGGCAGAGCTGGTCGTTACATACCAAAACAACGCTTCCATCGCCTTTGCTTATCCTCTCGCCGGCCTTGGGCTTTTTTGATCGAACGCTGAGCTCCCTCTTTGCGGTGGTGGTGGTGGTGGTGGTAGTGGTAGCAGGGATATTCTCGATGCCATCGGGCTTGGTGCTGAGCTTTGCGACCTTGGTGGCCTTGACCTCGTACATCTCTGGGGCAGCATCTGGATTGACAAATGTCTGCTCCGTCAGCGGCACCCGCTGTCGCTTAGCTTTGGGCTGCTGTATCGAGTTGTCGGAGGAGAGAGGTCGCTGTCGGCGGCGGCTGCGGGTGGCCATGGCAGGGCCGTCGTTCTGGGCGGAAAACATGGCTGAGGGCGACGTGAGGCGTCAAGGACGCCCGGCGCTGCGATGAAGACAAAATGCGAGTCGGACGGGAGATGCAAATGGCGCTGATGATGTTTGTGGCTGTTTATCCCCTTTTCGCCGGGTTGGGTATGAATGCGTCGACGCTGACAGTCAAGGGCTGGCGATGCAGGACAAGCGAAGGGAAGGGGGAAAGGCGCGCTTGACCGACAATGGATTGATCGGTGGCATCTGCCTTCTCTCTTTTTTTTGGTGGTGACGACTTTCCTTTGTTCGGCTGGTCTCCAGCTTGTTGACTTTTGGCCAGAGGATTGGCGGGATCCTACTGGCTGGCCAGTGCCCCGTCGCCTTGCTGCTCAGGTAGCAACCCAGCGTTTTTTCTCGCCCCAGCTGTGTGTTTTGCAGGCCCCACATTGCCCACAGCACACCCGTGGAGCCGTGGCCAGCGCATCACGTTGGCACGGTTGGGTACCAAACAACATCCATCAATGGCTCTAGACATCTGCGACTACAAGTACTTGTAGCTTCATCATCAACCCGCCACTCACTCGCCAGCCAAGACCAATTCGAGGTTTTCTCAGCAATGGACGGTACGGGTGTTCTGCAACAGATCAATCCCACCAGCTCAGCTAATGGTTCTAGAGTCTCGCGTGGTGCGACTCGGTACTTCGTCAAAGTAGGTAGTTAGCTTGCTGATGTAGCTACTTGTACACACACATCCACCTAGGTCCTAAGCTGTTCTTTCTGGTGAACTCGTCTCCAAATCCATCATAGACCTGATGGATCCAGGCTTCTGTGGCCCATCTTATACCCCATGGGAACATTTCATCTTGGCATTCTTCTTCTGCACAATGGCTGGGCCGGAGATCCAAGGTGTTCTTTGTTTCTCTCTTCATCAGCATTTCCATGCTTACGGATACAAGTGAACTCCCTAGCGTCCCTCTGAGCTCCACTAGCACCCGCGCCGCCAAGACCTTCAAAGTCCATGATGAAATGAAGTTCCAGGGCCATGCGTGTTCTTTGGAACAGGCAACTGCGAGAAAAACAATTGACGGCTGCTGGTTGTCTTAAAACGCCTGCCTCTTTAATTTAGGTATATCTCAGCTTCGAAATCCACCCTTCTCCTCTCTAGTGTGCGTCGTGGAGTGCTCGTAGAACAGCAATTCCGAACTCGGCCTATGATGTCTGCATGGGACCGACAGAGGTAGACGGAGAGCTACCCGGGCCGTTTTCTGCTTTATGCGCACTTGCACAACGACAAAGATGAGCATACAAAGCCTAAGACGAGGTATCGGCACCTCTGTTACCATCACCGATCCTCTTGTCAGATACCACGCCCTCCTGGCAACTGGGGTCTACTCCCCGGATCCGGCCCAGCATCGCCTCGCCCGCCATCTCCAGAAGCTCTACCTCCGGCTGAAGGATTACGAGCCGCCGTCCGAGTATCGTACTCGGTTGAACGAGCTTACTTCCGCCATTGACAGGGCGAAGGATGAGGTGACCGAGGAGCTGGCCGTCAAGAGCCACCCCATCCGGAACAACCCGCTCTTCGCCAACTTCTTCAGGACTACCGAGGGGCCAGCAGACAGCCTGGCGCTCACCAGAGTCCTCACGAGCCACCAGGCCGCCGTCGATGTCGACTCACCCAAGGGGCTCTTCCTGTCCGGCGAGGTCGGGACGGGCAAGTCTATGCTGCTGGATCTCCTCGCCGACGGCTTGCCCACGAGCAGGAAGAAGCGATGGCATTTCAACACGTTCATGCTCTATGCCTTTTCCAAGCTGGAGCAGTTTCGCAAGGCCAACCCGCAGCTATCTCAGCATGACGCCCAGTACTCCTTGCTGTGGATGGCCAAGGAGATGGTCGAGACCTCCCCGATCCTCTTTCTCGACGAGTTTCAACTGCCAGACCGCGCCGCGAGCAAGCTGCTCAGCCATCTGTTCATCGCGTTCTTCCAGCTGGGCGGTGTCCTCATCGCCTCGTCAAATCGTATGCCAGAGGAGCTCGAGAAGGCAACCGGCGTTCATTACTCTCCGCCTCCCGGCGGCCGCATCTTTGGCCACCTTATCGCCATGGCTCGGCGCTCGAGGGGAGAGCTCTATGGTCAGACGAGTGACTTTGCAGCCTTCCTTGATGTGCTGAAAGCCAGATGTGACTTTTGGCAGATGGAAGGCGCCCGGGACTGGCGAAGGCGAGACGAGAACAGTCCATTGCTCCTCAGCAAGTCAAAGGCGGGGCCTGAGACGAGCGCCGGCATTGGGAGTGGTGGCGTTGCTGGATCAACAACCACCGAGCCTCTCATCTTGGAGGAGGACGTCACGGAGAATGAAGAAGATGAAGCGAAACGGCCGCTCAAATACCTCACACACGAGGACGGGGAACAAGCATGGCACGACGCACTCACAGGAAGCCTCGACGGGGCCAAACACACGGTAGTCCCATGGGAACCGGCCAAACTCGTGGTCTACGGACGATATGTCACTATCCCAAGGCAACACAACGGGACTGCGTACTGGGACTTTTCTAATCTAGTCCACTCCTTCGGGCCGGCCGACTACGTGACCCTGGCCTCGACATTTCATACCTTCATCGTAGACCAGATACCGGTGCTGGACATGTCGATGAAGAACGAGGCGCGGCGCTTCATCACGTTTCTAGATGCAGTCTACGAAGCCCGCTGCAAGCTGATACTCAGAGCAGCAGCGGGCCCAGACGACCTCTTCTTCCCCGAAACCAGGACCTCAGCTTCCAAAGCGCCAGCCGTCACCAACCAATCCGGCACGCGATTCGAAGAAGACCCAGCAGAAGGCGACGACGCGACCTACTCGGAAACCATCTCCGAAGTCTACCAGGACCAGATGTCGCCCTTCCGCCCCAACATCTCGACCTACGCCGACGACTCGCGCAACGCCAAGTACGACCCGGACCAGGACTCGGACTTTAAGCTCGACCACGGCAACGCCGACGGCAACGCGAGTGCGAGCACGGCCGCGGCGGTCAACTTTAGCAACGCGTCGGCCTTCACGGGCGAGGACGAGCGGTTCGCGTACAAGCGCGCGACGAGCCGCCTGTGGGAGCTGTGCAGCGCGCACTGGCACGCGCGCGGGGGCGAGGACTGGTGGCGGCCGCTGCCCGCCGAGGCGCGGCACTGGGAAGGGTCGGCGCCGTCCGTGCCCCTGGCCGATGCCAAGATCCAGCCCGTGCCGAGCGACGTCTCGTTCGGCCCGTCCGTCGAGCTCGAGGAGCCGGCCGGCTTGGAGCGGTTCAAGTTGGCGGCCATGAGAGGGGGCCGGCGGTGAATGGGCGAGACGGGATCTTGCTAGGTGGGAACATAAATATCTAGGCCTGATGCCTATTTTGTGGTTTGCATCGCATCTTCACACATCTTTCGTCCCTTCTTTCAGTGCGTTCCTCCATTTCGCATGCGATCTGATAAACCGCACTGAATCGATTCAACGGTGCTCGCCACGATTACCACTACCTTTCACCACACCATTTGCAGCCCCAAGCTTTCATTCCATTAATTGATCCTCGCCGCATCGTCTCGGCTCCCAATATCCTCAACACTCGAGGTTTCCTGGTCGCAAATTACCGGTTTTGCCGGCCCCCTCTCCGAGAGGACCAATGACGTCCGCCGGTCGCCGACAAGGATGGCCACGCACGCGCGAGCACTCAGACACACCTTGTTCCGGAGCGACAGCCACCGTGATGCGAATGCCCGCAATAGGTATGAGAGGTACTAGGATGTAGCCCATGCAGAAGCGTCGCCGTCCGATGCGACCTTTTTGAACACATTCGTCAATTATGTGAACTATTCTTTTCTACGTCGATTAAGTTCTCTCGGGCCTTTGTTCCCTCTTCTTTCTCTTGTAGTTGATCATACACGCGCGATGAGCAACAAGCGTATCTTTGTAGCCGTCGTCTGGCAGAGAAGATGATGAAGGCCAGACCCAGATCGAGATCCCGCCTGCGGCAGTTGGTGCTGGTGTTCGGGGCGTGCTTGGTGATTTACTGCCTGTTTTTCGTCCTGCGCAGCCCGGGCAGACCCAAGCTCACGCCGGAGATACTCAACTCGCTGTCCCTTACCGAGCGAGAGTGTCTTGATGCCTTTCCCGGCCTCACCAAGTCGATTGACGATGTGGTCGCCGAGGGGCCCTTCAAACTCAAGAATACGGGCGACCTTGGCCCTCTCCAGGGAAGGATCAGAGATGGAAAGGTACGTGGTGAGCCTTGATCATAGGGACACAATCAGCGGAGCTAACACGCCTGTGCCAGATCTACATCATCAACGCCCAGAGGCGCAAAGATCTCTCCGCCGAAATGCTAAACGTGAGCACCTCTTTTCCCCCAACCCCCCATTACCACTCCAGCCCCAATCATCGCCAGCAACTCAAGATCATCTGCATCAAGCTGACGACCGTCGATCGAATGTCAAGTCCCGCACCGCCGCCCTCCACCAGCTCCACCGCGCCCTCCTCACCGCGCCGGAGCCCCTCCCGGACACCATCTTCACCATCAACTTCCAGGACCAGCCCTTCGGCACCGCCTGGGGCTACTCGACGCCCGCCGACCCGGCCCACCGCGGCGACCGGGCGCGCGACCCGGACAAGCGCCTCTTCCTCATGCCGCACTTCTCCTTCTGGGCCTGGCCCTTACCCTTCGTCGGCTCCGTCGCCCGCGCCGCGCGCGCCATAGCCGCCGTCGAGGACTCCCACCACGACCGCCACGAGGGGGGCTCCCTCGCGTCCAAGGACCCGCGCGCCGTCTGGCGCGGCACGAGCTGGTTCAACAGCGTGCACAGCCCGCGCCTGCGGCAGGACCTGCTGGCCGCGGCCAGGGATAAGCCCTGGGCCGACGTGCAGCCGCTGAGGTGGGACGCCTCCCCCGCCTCCGCCGGCGGGAGCCACAACGCGAGCAACGCCATCCCCATCGAGGACTTCTGCCGGCACAGGTACGTCCTGCACACCGAGGGCGTGGCCTACAGCGGCCGCTTCCAGTTCCTGCAGATGTGCCGCAGCGTGACCCTCACGCCGGCCATCCACTGGCTGCAGCACACGACGCACCTCGTGCGGCCGGTCTTCGCCGCCGAGATCCCCGGCCTGATACGGGACCCGGCCGTCGCGGAGAAGGCGCGCGCGGCGCGGGAGCGCAGCCGCAGGGCGTGGCCGGCCGGGTACGACCCCGCGAGGGAGGCCAACATCGTCTTCGTGGCGCCGGACTGGTCGGACCTCGAGGACGCGGTCGCGTGGCTCGAGGCGAACCCGCGCGTGGCCGAGGGCATCGCGGCGAGGCAGCGCGAGACGTTCGTCGGGGGCGGGTACTTTAGCCCCGCGGCCGAGGCGTGCTACTGGCGGGCGCTGGTGCGCGGGTGGCACTCGGTCGCGCGGTGGGACGAGGCGGAGTGGGAGGGCAAGGAGGAGGTCACGTTTGAGGCGTTTGCGCTGACGCAGGAGATGCCGTCGGACAGGGCGAGGTGATGGAGAGCCAGATACTTTCTAGACATGAAGCCGGTCTCCGAAGGAGCTAGAGCTCTCGGACACGGTTCTGTGATTGTAAGCATAGCTCAAGTGATGAGCGTACTCTGATGTATAGCATCGCACTGGAAAAGAGATGCCATGAAGCAAGAATACAAGACTCCAGAACGCCATGCAGATAGATGTGAACACTCAATCATGCCTCTCTCCCGCCATACCTTCCTCTTCGATCCATTGTTTCCTTCCTCGCTCGTCCGTCACAGGTTCGTCACCCCAGGGGCCCAGTTCTCGCCGATCCGCCGCATCGCCTCCCCAAACTTCTTGCTCGTGATCCTGTGGCCCCCACGCCCGCCAGGCGGCGAGTGCTCGTCCGGGTCGAAAAAGGGGTTCTGCAGCAGCTGTACGTACGCCGCCTGCATCGCCTTGAACACCTGCCATGGGAAAAAGCGTCAGCCCAGTCAGCCTCTCTGTAAAGCCCTCCATTTTCTTCCCACACCCCCCCTTCCCTCCTCGAACAAAACTTACCGGCTTGACCTCCCCCTCCCTCAATCCCACCGCTGCACCTCCTCCTCCTCCTCCCGCTCCCACCGCGGGCCCCGTCACGGCTCGACTGCTCCGCCCGCGCATGTCCACGACGGCCACCATCTTGACGCCCGTGTTGGTCTCGAACCCGTACGCGGCCAGCCTGTCGTCCACGGCGTGCAGCAGCCCCAGGTCTCCGCTGAGGCGCGTCGCGCCGCCGCCGCCGTCCTGCTGCGCCGCCGCCCGGGCGCGCAGCTCGAACACGTCGAGGGTGGAGGAGAGCAGGAGGGAGAACTGCAGAGGCGTGCGGAGCGGGGCGGCGGGGGTGTTGGGGCCGGAGGGTTCGTAGGAGGGGAATATCGAGATGTGGAGGGGGTTGTTCTGCGGGCGAGACGGTGTCAAGGTTAGCTTGGGGGCATCTTCTCCGTGGAAGTGGAAGTGGACAAGGACGAGGTTGAGGATGGACGTGGGCATGGGCATACATTTCTGCCTATTACGCCTAGGCAGGCGATTGATGGTACTGTTGTCGCCATCAGAGTTAGGATGTGTATAACCAGTCGTCGCGGACTCTTGTCTGTGGTACGATTGGAGCAGAAGTGCTGAGGTTGAGAAATGGTTTGTGCAGGTTAGACGTGCAGGTAGGCATTGAAGTTAGAGCTACCTACCTACCTAGAGAAGTGTGGAGGATGTGCGTCCCGTTCCTCGATCCACGGTGGGGCCGTCTTGAAAGCGACCGACATCCCGTCTCACAACCGTCACAACTCTCTCTCGACACACATGCATAGCAACGCAAGAGGCATTTGAATAAATTCTTCATTAAGGAAACCAAGCAACGACCGTAGTGTCTTTTCGATACATTTGGGTATAGAACCGTAATGGCCAAGCACGAAACCCCTTCCCCTACCAATTTTGCCATATCATCCTCGTCCATCTCCTGCAGTTCGTCCCCGGAAGGAAATCAGTAAAGCAGGCCACGAGTAACCCTGCCGCGTCGTCAGAACAGATAAAGCCAATGCAATACTCGAGATTATTGGGAGTACGCATACTATCTCGCATTCGTTATCATACAGGACCTGGGCTTGTTTGCTAGGTAGGCAGGCTCGATCTCATGAAGCAAAAACAACCGACAGCTAAACGCGCTCACCAGGGCCTCCTAAAGGACGACAGAGTCAACCCACGATACTGCACCCCGGCATAGCCCGCCGCCAGCAGCACCACACACCACCGGAGAAACGCACCTTTGGCGCCGCTGCCGCCGCCACCACCAGTACCGCTCGCGCCCAAGGTCAGCACAAACTTGAGCCAGTAGCCCAGGCCCTTGATGACCCTGCCCTCGCGGTCAAAGTCCGGGCTGTCGGACGTGAGGAGGCGGAAGCGCTTGAGCTCGCCCCACTTGTAAGGCATGTAGCGGACGCGCAGGAAGGGCTCCATCCAGGAGGGGACATCGGCAACCACCCGCTGGTGGGTGAAGCAGTCAAAGGACGCCTTGCCGCGGTACGAGCCCATGCCGGACTCGCCCACGCCGCCAAAGGAGACGTTGCTGAAGCTAGCGTGAGAGAAGGAGTCATTGAGGGTCGTGCCACCTGAGGTCGTGTGGCCGAGGACTGTACGTGATGGTGAGTTAGCATCAGCCATGAAGTTTCCGAAGAAAAGGGATATGTTTACCTGTTTGGTGGTCCTCTTTGGATCCAAAGCTGAAGGACGCCAGCGGCGTCCGGTAGACCTCGTTTGCAATCTCGATGGCCTGGGCGAGGTTGTCGACGGGCAGAATGGCAAAGATGGGGCCGAAGGACTCCTCTTGCACCGTAATGTCCTCCGGCGAGTCCACGAGCACGGCTGTCGGCTCCATAAACAGAGTTGACTGGTCCATCTTGCCGCCCATGACGATCTTGCCCTTGGTCTTGTCCAGCATGTTCTTGAGTCGGAGGAAATGCCTCTCATTGATAACGTGCACCAGCTCGCTGTCCTTCGCGCCGTTGGGGAAGAAATCCTCGAAGGCCTCGTTGAAAGCCTTGACCAGGTCATCCACGATCGGCTTCTCCGCCAGCACGTAGTTCTGCGACAGGCAGACCTGTCCCGCATTGAGGGCCTTGGACCACAGCATGCGGCGCGCGGCCAGCTTGACGTTGGCATGGCGGGTGACAAAGGCCGGGTTCTGGCCGCCAAGCTCCAAGGTGACGGGCGTCAGGGTCTCGGCCGCCTTCTTGGCGATGATCTTTGCGACCGACGCGCCGCCCGTGTAGAAGATCTTGTCCCACTTCTCGTTGAGCAGGGCGCCGGTCTCGCCGACCATGCCGTTGACGACAGTGAAGGCGCTGTTGTCGAGGCGGTCCTCGATCATCTCCTTGATGGCCATTGCCGTGGCCGGCGCGCTCTCGGAAGGCTTGAGCACGGCGGTGCAGCCGGCAGCGATGGCGCCGGTGAAAGGAGCCAGCAGCAGCATGACGGGGTAGTTGTAGGTGCCAATGATAAGAGTAGCGCCCAACGGCTCTTTGCGATATCGCATGCGCGTCGGAGCGAAGGCGATGGAGAGCTCGGGAGATCCGATCTTGGAGTCCTTTGCATAGCTGTCCAGATGCTTGAGCAGGTAGGTGCAGTCGTTCTTGACCCAGTCAATCTCGGTGAGGTAGGCCTCGTACTCGGACTTGTTGAGGTCCTTCTTGAGGGCAGCGACTAGCTTAGGCGTGAAGTCTGTCAAAGCCCAGTAGAGCTTGCGCAGCTGGATCTTGCGCCATTCCAGGTCCTTGGTCCGGTTGCTCGAGAAGGTGGCACGCACAGTCGCACAGATGTTGGGGATGGAGGCGACAGGCGTCGCCTCGTAGTCTGGAATCTGGATTTTGGGGTCCATGGCGGAAGTCGAAGCACCTGTCGAGTGCTAATTGAAAAGTTTCCGGTGTCTCCACCAATGCGCAAGAAGGGATGGGATGTTTCAAATGTGCGATGGCAGTGATGGATCTTGACGAGGATCGATGGCAGCTCCTGGCTAGCCTATCAAGCCTTTGGCCGAGGTAGGTGCTCAAGTGCCAAAGATGGCCACGAGGTGAGAGGAGATGAGATGAGATTGCCCCTCGGTTGCGGAGAGCAGCAGGTCAGTTTGATAGTTTGATGAAAGAGCGTTGAGGGCGAAGTGAGGTGCTGGTGAAACCGGTCGGACGCAACACTTCATTTATTGCCCCCTCTCTTGGTTCTGGCGCATGTGAATCCTGGGGAGATGGAGGGCCATTCATCACCTTACAGTACAAGGAAGATCTCGTCAGGGAGCTCAGGTGGGCCCGGCAGCCGCGGGCAGCACCACACTACGCCCAATCCGGCACTTGACACCACCGCAACCACGCTAAGCTCTTGGGGTCAGCATCTGGGCCGAGGCATCTCCACACTTCACGACATCGGATCTCACGCTCTCCCTGAGAGTGAGAGGTGACCGGAAGAGGAGAACAGTCAGTTGGGGGAACTGACGCGTCTATTGGTCTCACGCCGAGTACCTGAGCTCAATAAAAAGAACCCTTTTCATGCCAAAACACCAGCATATTAGGCACCACTAGGAGGTTGCTTTGATATTGTACACTTTACGTATGTATCCATAGACTATCTCCACCGCGTAGCCTTCATCACATCAGTCCATCCACTCACAGCCCATGAAGGATCCTCTCACTCAGCACTAAATAACCCCTGAGCTTGGACGTATGGTAGCAGGCCGTGAAAATGTCCTTTGCATCCCAGAGTGTCTCTACCGACCGTGGAGCAGGATGGCCATGCCGTCAGGTGAGTGAATATGTCCCGGGCGAGCGAGTTTGCATATGCCGGTCCAAATTCGCCCCCGAAGTCCAACTGAAAGGCGAACCTGCCGTGCATCTTGACTGGTGTCGGAATCTCCCTCTGGTTGGGGGAAGCCTCGCCCGGGTTCTCGACGGTCGAGTGGTATCTTGAACAGCAACAACACCAAACAAAAAGGAAGAAGGGGGAAGGAAGGACAATGTGGTCTGTCGTAGATTGGAGGTAGCCCTTACTTCTTCGGGGCCGGCGGAGCAGGGAAGGTAACGGGGCTGTTCTCCCACTCCACAAGGCCAGCCAGATCTGGCCAAACAACCTTCTCGCCCTTCGACTTATGGAAGCCTCGACGTGGTGTGGCATCAATTTGTGTATCACCGAAAGTCGCCGACACGAACTGATAGTTGTCTCGACCAGGAGTATAACCATGTGCAGTGACATGGTTGTCCCTGGGCGTCTCAGGGTACTTGATGGACAACGTGACGTGGTACCCCTGAGGGTCAGGACCGCCCTTGGTAGACTTGTGAAGAATGGACCTGGTTGAAATATTCTGTTAGTATTGTCAATCTATCATCATGATTGAAGTCATGTTAACATACCTAATCAGCAGTGTTGTCGGGGCAAGTCCCTTATCTATCGCAGTTTTGTAGGCTAATTGAACCAGATCGGGCATTATGGTAGAGTTGATAGGATTGGTCTGGTAGGTGAAGACCCGGACCTGTACAACTGATTCAGCCATGATGAGCTTGATGTGCAGGACTTGTGCCTTGTCAAGAGGCCGACAAAGAGAGATTCAGACTTCAGAATTCACTTTCAAACACTTAACCCACAGGAAATAGCAAGTGGATAGACACAGATCAATTAAATCCCGGCTACCACCTTTACAAGGAGACTGACAAGGGGTATCAGAAAGAGTGCAAGTTGTGTTCTCAAGCAGGTTTATCCACATAGCATTAACCAGCAACTCATCACGAGGAGGATAGTGGAATCAGACAGGTTATGTATTAGGAACCAGTCCTATTCTGTTTGTTTGATTGTCTCTTGATTGTATGACTGTACAATGGTTCTGACATATGTGCACTGTTCTTGCAAGTTATTGGTACTGCTTGTTGATTTCACGACTTTGCCAAGCTGATCATCTCGATGTTTTCCATTGGTTGTTGACAATCAACTTACTTTTTGCCTGATTTGGTCGGTCACCTGAACAAAGAGCTGATTGAATGACTTCTTAGTGTTTGATGACCAGAGTACCTAGGTAGTGACAGTCAGGGTCAAACAGGCAGCAAACAACCTTTGACTCACGTGATGTTGTTGTCCATGTTCAAGTTGCAAGTTTGTCAGGATGGGCTGGTCCTGTAGGAATATTAACTCCAGGTCCACCCCTAAGGAATTCGATTGATCCTTCACCTTAGCTGACAAGCTCTACTGCCCTACTCCCTTCCTCTATGCTCGATTCCCACCACACTGACCACCCACCACCATTCGAATATAAAAACTCGAAAAGGCCCAACAGAAGTCGAATATTCTCCTTTGCACGATTTCTATTGATTACTTGTCCATGATCAAAGTAATACTGTGAGAGCACTCTCAGACGCTCATCCTTTTAGCAGACAGAACAAACAGGTCTGGCATTTCCCTACGCCCGTTTGTCACAACTCGTCAAGCATCGACTCGTTCAGCCAAAAAGATGGCCATGATGGCAGAGATGCCCCAGTACCACTACATAGAGGGCGTGGAAAACCTTGATGGGTATAAGCCTGGTGGGTACCACCCCGTCGGTCCTGGCGAGATCCTCAAAGAACGATACTGCATCGTCGATAAGCTGGGATCCGGGGGGTATGCCACCGTTTGGCTCGCAAGAGATACCAATGAAGGCCGCTATGTGGCCCTCAAAATCGCCTTGGCGGATTGCGGTGTCTCTGGCCGAGAGTCTAAGATTCTCCAAGCTCTGTCTTCGACCGCAGGTACGGCTGTTCCCGCCATCATCGACGAGTTCGAGGTCCAGGGCCCAAACGGCACCCATTTTGTGTACGCAATGCCACCGGCTCAGTGCGATCTGGAATCAGGAATGGGAATGGGAATGTTCCAACTCAAAATAGCGCGTGCGATTTGTGGCAGGCTCATTGCGGCTGTCGATATGTCACACTCTCAAGGCTACGTCCATGGTGGTAAGTTAACCAAAGACAAGTCCCAGTTAGGTTCGACATGCTAACGCAAGGTCTATCAAAAGATCTTCGACCTAGCAATGTTCTCTTGATGCCCTTCCCCGGCTTTGATGAGCTCTCGATTGATCAGTTCCACGAGAAGTATGGCATGCCAGAGACGATTCCTATCGAGCGGTTCGATGGAAAACCACTGTCGCCGCATGTCCCGAAGGAAGCAGTCGAAGCACTCGACATGAGCATGCCTGCCAACGAGTTCGAATTGTGCGACACGGCCATTCTTCTGAGCGACTTTGGCGAGTCGTTCTCGCCGTCGGCAGGCGAGTCGCGCCTAGGACAAGATTCACACACCCCCGGAAACGTGCGACCGCCTGAGTGCTCGCTCGACCCGACCTCACCCATGTCCACTGCTGCTGACATCTGGCAGCTGGGATTGGCGCTGTGGAAGGTCGTGGCCTTGAGGCCCTTGACCTCGACCGGGTTCGGAAGCCCGGCCGAGATTATCAAAGAGCTGATCGACATGCTTGGGCCTCTCCCACCCGCGTGGCGGGATTCCTGGGAGGATATGCTCTCGAAGTACTTTGAGAAGACTGGGAGGCGACTTGATGGCGCCAGGATGTACTGGTCATCGCTGGAAGATGCATATGAGGGATGCGTGGAGAAGCACCGCGCGAGATTGCAGGTCGGTACCCTGGACGACGCGGAGCGAAAGGCCTTCCTGGATCTTATGCGTCGCATGCTCGCGTATCTACCCGAGGAGAGGCCATCGGCGCAAGAGGTTCTACAGTCGGATTGGGTGGTCAAGTGGGTGAAGCCCGACATGGAGCAGAGCATCCAGGAGACTTGGAGACTTGTTGTCGCTTCAGCAAAGGAATGCCCCGACGTTACAGTTGCGACTGCGACGGAGCTGTGCGACAGCGATGATTCCGGCATATGCCTTTCACTGGATCCGCCTATGACCGAGACATCGGACCTTCACAACGGTTCCGGTGCTTCTGATTCTGGTGTTTCTGTCTAGACTGTGAAGCATCGCCAACTCGTCTCTGCGGCCTTGGTATGACCACCAAAGCCTGGGCATGGTCATTATCGCTGGCATGCCCCTTTTGTACTTCTACCACAGTTGTTTTCTTGGCGAGCACTACGATAGCCTACCACTAGCAATTTAATTCTTGGAACCATTCATCGTTTCTTCTGTGTGCCGGCGTTTTTATTATTTCACATGTGTTGTTGTACACATCTAGTCTACAAGAGCGTGGCTATGGCGTGTTAAAAGTACACAGGCAATGCGTTTGTAAACAAGGCCAAACGATGCCCGGCCGCATGAGCTTATTTCTACCTCCTGATAGGTTTACCCTTGGCGGCTGTCCGCGGTGCAGCAACTAGCTCAGCGACCTTGTCACGGAATCGAAGGGCCGGGGCAGCTATCTGCGCAGCTAGGACCTCCTGAATGCGCTGCACGCCATCGATCAGCCCTCCCTCGGCCTCCTTCTTCTGATCTGCCAGGAAGCCCTGTGCCCTGATCGCCTGGAGCTCCTTCTTCCGCTCCTCGGTCATGCGCCATTCCTTGGGGAACTTGGGCTTGTTCTTAAACTGGTGGTGCCTGGTGTCAAGCGGGATGTCTGCGAAAGTATCCTTGGGGTCCTGTTGCAGTGCTCATCAGTATACAGGCTCAGGCGTTCCAATGGCAGCACAGGGACTATCTTACCTTAGCCGCCGCAATCAGCTTTCCGACGAGGTCGCCCAGGTATCGCTTGTTCTGCGCCTGCTGCTCAAACATCTCGCAGCTCATGCGCACAATCTCCTTCTCCGGGTTGTACCTCGGCCCAGCCAGCTTGACGAGCTTCAACTGCTGCTCCTCAGTGAGCCCGAGGTCGGTCGGGCAGAACTCGACAACGACCTTCTTTTCAGCGGGGTGGAATTCGCCCAGGTAGGAGGTGTAGCGGAATCGAAGGGGCATGTCCTTGGTAGGAGGTTCGAAGGGCTTGGCATACTCTGTAGAGAACACACAATCAGTCACACAGTTGACAGGAAGAGCGCTAGTCGTCGATCACTCACGAGCAAGCAGGGGCATCTCCCATGCGGTTATCCGCGCGTATTGTCTGTGCTCCCGGATCTCGTCCAACTTGCCGTGCGCCATGCTCGTGATGTCATCCTCCTCGAAGTCGTCCTCGTGCAGCTCATCGGAGATCAGCTCCAGATCAGGCTCCTCCTCATGCCAGAAGCTGTTCTTCTTCCTCATGATGGGTCTCCTGATCTCGCCCATCTCGGACTTGGCGTCGTTCAGCATGCGATTGAGCGCGTCGGCCTCCTTGCCGCCTGCCAGGCCAGACTTGTCGTACACTGCGCGCTCCTCGGGCGTCATGACCTCGAGCAGCGACTGCTCAAAGTTCCCATACTTCTTCTTATCCATGACCTCAAAGTCCTCGACATATTTGTCGAACGATGAGGCCGCGTCGGCAGCCTTGTCGCTTTGATCGTCAGCCCGGCGCGCCGGGGTCGTAGAGAGAGCTCGACTGGCGAGGAATTGGCGAGGGGCCAAGTCCCGGATGGCTGGCTGGTGATGCCTGCAGCTGCGGTAACACAGCCGCAGGGATCTCGCTGCGGAAGCCATCTTGATTGTTGTGCTGAACAGCTCACACAGTGAAGCTCTCCTGGTCTGATTTCAATCCCAAAATCCCGGCTACCAGAAATTTGATGTTTCTCCAGAGAGACATGCGGTTAATGGCCCGTGCAGTTCGGTCCCGGCTAGTACAAAAGGCGTTAGCAGCCATTCGATAAATTTCACCGCCTACAGCGCAGTACTTCAATGGATCGTCCTTTATCTTATCATCTTTCTGCCGCCTTGAAATGGTCCCACTCAAGCTTTCTTAGACACTCCGGCTCATTGATTCTGGCCTTTTGAGCATCTCTTGACCAGACCAGACGTGCGCTCACTCAGTTTTCTGCGCAGAATATTCAAAATTTGAATCACATTCTCAGACCCTAATATTTCACACGGTTACACAGAAAAAGGGGCTTTCAAAATCCCGAGTACCCCCAAACTTTACACCTTTCATCAGCAATCGTGAAAGTGAAGATGGCGCCGAACCCCAGCGTCCTTGTAACTGGAGTGTCGACGGCCGAACACCTGGACGACTTTGCTCGCACCGAGTTGGGCATTTCGGCTGATGCGCCCAAGGTGATTCTTTCGCGATGCTGCTTTGTCACCGTCGGCTCTTCCAAAGCCGGCTTCCGAGCTCTGCTGGAGGAAGTCATCAGCGAGCACTTCCTCAAATTCATGAAGCAGACTGGCTACCAGGACATGGCGGTCCAGTGCGGCCCGGATCTCGAGTGGTTCGAAGAACAGCTCAAGGGCAGGCGCACGTTCGGTATCAAAATCCATTGCTTTGATTTCACGGACGAGATCTACAGGTACTACCTCTGCTGCCGAGGAGAGTACCGTGCGCGACTGGCCGGCTGTGTCATCGCTCACTGTGGTAAGCAAGCTTGTTCTATACATGAACTCATGGATATGGAAGAATAAACGAGCTGATTGGCAAACTCATCACAAGGCTCTGGCACGATTCTCGAAGTCATGAGATACCATGTCGCTCTCATCGCTGTCCCCAACCCGACCCTGGCAGATAACCACCAGCAAGAGCTGGCAGAGGTCGTTGACAAAAACCGCTGGGCTGTTTTTGGCCAGCTTGGGTAGGCGCAATGAGCTTCATGAACACTCGCACACCCCTCAAGCTGACAAGTATTGCATAGCCATCTAACAGATGCAGTCCAAGAGACGCGCCTGCGCACTGCACAAGGTCGGCTAGATGACCTTCCGCCCTTCGAGGAGCCGGTGTTCCCGCCCACCGAGGAGGACCGGAGCACCACGCTCTTTGACTGGATGGTGCTGACGTGTTATCCAGACGCGATGGCCAAGGCCACGCAGATGAGGGCCACCGCCCAACACGGCGAGTCCGTCGAGCGTGAGTTATCTTCCGGCTGCAGCACCACTGCTGCTGCCGCCGGCCGCGTATCAGACATCGCCAGTCTCCAGATGGATTAGTTGTGGACCACGGACGGATCCTCCCCTTCACATGTCTTTTCTTGTTCTTGCATGCTCTTTTCCTCTTACTGTACTTTTCTTACTCACTCTTACCTCTTTTCCCCGCTAGGCATGATGTACAGAAAGCGCCCCTACCCTGGCTAGGCTCCGGCTCACTGCATGTGGACTTCATGGCGTCGAGGAGGGGATTGTCACTATCCGGGGCCTGTACATGGGTGCCGTTTCCCTGTTGACTAACTCTATCTGCAAAGTGTCTACTGAGGGATCTACAGAAGGATCCACGGATTCATCGGGTGAAGATGATTTCTAAGGAGAATTGCCTTGGCGGAGGGCCACTTGTCAAGGTGCATCACGAGCTTTTGCATGAAGCAAGGCTGGGAGAAACTTCGGAGGGAGGTACTACGAAATTCAGGAAGGGGTTACTAAGGGGGTTAAAGGAGGTCACATCAAAGAGGAGCAGGGAAGGTTCTCGTATAAGGCGTCTTGTTGAGGCGAAAATCATCGGGTGGTTCAGCATCTGGGTTCAGCGCGTTTCTACATTTTCTTCAAGAGATACCCGAATCTCCAATCATCGTCAAGATGGGAGGTTTCATTAATTCATTTCATTTCATTTCTTCTCGTCTCGCTCCGTTTCTAACCACAACCCCCCGGTTCCGTTTTCCCGTCCCTCTACTGCAGCCCACTGACACTCCAGACCTTGACCGCCGCGTCGCCGCCGCTGCTCGCGACCTTGCTCCCGCCCTCGACCCACGCCACGCCGTTGACGCCGTCCTTGTGCGCGTTGAGCGCCTTGACGCGGCTGCCGGGCTTGGCCAGGCTCCAGACGAAGACGTTGGTGTCCAGGCCGCCCGAGACGGCGTGCGTGCCGGCCTCGTTCCACGCGATGCTCGTCACGCGCGCCGTGTGCGCCGACCACCGGTCCGTCGCGAGCGGCCAGTCGCCACCGCCCGCCTTGAACACGTAGATCTTGCCCGACGAGTTGCCGGCCGCGAGGTGGGCGCCGTCGCGCGAGAAGGCCAGCGCTGAGATCTGCGCCGTCGACTTGCTGATCGTATGCGCCTCGGACAGCTTGTGGCTCGACGGGTCGGCCTTGTAGACGTGCACCGCGTTGTCGTCGCCGCCGACGGCGACGTAGGAAGACGACGCGGCGATGGAGGTCGGGGTATAGGAGGTCTTGAGCTCGGAGGCGAGCTGGTCCTTGACGTAGACTGCAACGCCGTCTGCGAGGGCGACGAAGACGCGGCCATCCTGGGTGGAAGCTATGCCCTTGGGCTGGGCGGTGAGTTTGAGCGATGAGCCGGCGAAAGTCGCGGCTGACTCGTCGATGATGCGCAGGGTGTCATCCCAAGCGACGCTGTACGTGCGGCCCGAGGAGGCTGCAAACTGCGTGACCTGGTTGGTGTGGCTCTGGCCGTCGACGACGGAGCCGATGCCGCTGCCGACGTCCCAGTGGCAGACCCGGCCGTCGAAGCTGCCAGTCCATATGCTGTTGCCCTTGCCGTCTGAGCCGGCGGCCAGAGATGTGACGCTCTTGTTGTGACCCTGGACAATCTTGACGGGCTTATCACTGCCCTCCACCAAGTAGCTGAGGTCGCCGTTGAGGTTCACGCTGATGATCAGGCCGTCGCTGCGGCCGTGGGGCCAGACCACGCCAACCTGCTGGTCAGGGATGCTGACGCTGCCCTCTTCGCCGAGCCGCCAGGACTGCACAACCTTGCCGGACTCGACGTCCCAAATCTTGACCGTCTGGTCTGCGCTTGCCGTGACGAACCGCTTCGAGTCCTTCGCCCAGCTGACGGCAAATATGCTGCCGGTATGCTCGCCCTCGCCAATCTCCTTCGTCGGCTCGCCAGTCTTGCCATCGTACAGCTGTATCCGCTTGTCGGCGCCGACGGTGACAAGGAGGCTGCCGTCGGGGGAGAAGGCAGAGCCGAAGACGAACCCCTTGTGCAGGCCGGAGGCCTTGGAGTTGAACTTGAAGGGGGCGCCGTGCAGGAAGCACATGGTGGCATCGTCAGATACGGTGGCGGCCCGGAGGGGTCGCTGCTGGCGGATGGAGACTGCGTTGACGACCTTGCTGTGGCCGCTGACCTCGCCGACACTGTTGCCGCTGTCGGCCGTGATGCAGTGGCCGAAGCGCTCGCGGCCGTCGCCGACGGCGATGATGCGCTGGGAGTCGCCGTCCCAGGCGATGTCGTTGATCCGGCCGTTTATGATGTGGTACTCGCCTGGCCAACGAAACGACGCATGCATTAGCTCGGCTTACCCCTTTCACTGAGCAAGAAACTTGAGCAAAAGATGCTCATTCCCCGACGATGAAACATACCCTTAGTGTTGACCGCCTCCACAGCGTCCCATACTCGGACCATGCCCGACGCATCTCCGCTGGCGATATAGAAGCCGCTCGGCGCAAACTTGGCCACCGTCGTCTGGGCGGTATGGCCGGTGTACTGCTTGCATTGGGCGGGGTTGTCGATGGACCTTACGAAGACGGATTTGCCTGACTTTGGGAGCTGTCAGTACGTCGAAAGGGCAAGGATGGATCTTGTTGAAGATATTTTCTAGAAGCTTACGGCATAAGTAATGCGCTCTCCCTTGGCATCGCAGGAGAGCTGCGTAGGTTGGCCTCGGGTTGTGGCCGGCGCAGCCGCGAGGATCTTGTCGATGGTGATGGACATGCTTCTCGGGACTGCTGAGTCCTAGAAAAGATATGGAACTTTTAGGGGCAATGTTGAACAGAAAGAATGAGGTTATCTCTAGGACGGTACTTGCAAGGAAGATAGCTCTGGACAAACAGCTTCACATGCAAAGCAGGCAGCTCTGTTTCTCCGTGTGGGATGAACATCTCCAACACCGCAACTACGTATGCGCCCACTTGTAAACAGTGGGGTCCAGTTGCGCGGGGCAGCGGCCAGGCACCCGCTTTGGCGCATAAGGCGTGGCAAGCCGTGGCTGAAACTCACCTGGAACAAGGCGCCAGACCAGTGGCTCAGGCCGCTGGAAAAGCTCCGCGCCGGGTCCACGGGTGCATCCATCATGCATCGTGTGGTGCACCAAAAGCTCCGGCGTGCCTCTAGTCTCGATCACCGAAAACAGGTTCTGTGCCCCATCCTGTGTGCCTGAGCTCGAGCCTGTATGCAAGGATTTGCCATTTCATAACTCACTTGGTGATTAAGACGACACGGTACATGAACAGGGCCTAAAAGTGAACCCCACCTGATATCAGAGCCTCATGCTGGTCATTGCAACCTCCATCCTGTGGCTTGGTTGCTGAAATGTGTTGCTTGCAACCCAATATATCCTCCTCGACTCGTGTTCTGCTTTCATCCATGCTCCTTCGGCATGCGTGTGTATAATCGCCAATCTCTTTAATCTTTTCCCACCGCTCTTGTCACGCTCTCCAGCGCTTCCAAGAGCTCGCTACTGGCGCTCAAAAAGGGATAATGGCTGCTCTTGACGACTGACCTCCCCGACTTGGACCCAAGCAAGTCTGCCATGTTCTGCTGGATGTCGTACGGCAGCACCTTGTCTTCCAGACAGAAGATGTAGGCACAGTTGATGCCGTGGTCCCAGGGGGCATAGTTCGTCTTGCCCGAGAAATGAGTTATCGATGTATGCGTCATCTGGCCAGCCCACCGGTCCTGGTCCTGTTTGGACAGGTCGTTGAACGCGATGCCGGGGAACATTTCTGCGAGCCCCGTCACTCTGTCTCCCTATGGTGAGGAAGCACAAGAGTTCAGTATGAATCAAGTTGAGCGACCCGCCCGCAACTTTCAAGACTGTAGCACTTACCTGAATATGCATCCAGGGCAAGGGCTCCCCGCCGAGCACGTCTAGCAGTGAATTCCCGGGCAAGGCGATGAAGCCTGCGAGGAAAACCATCTGGATCACGCCGCCCGCAAGCCCGAAACCTGCGCGGCTGGGCCGGTCGAACCCAATCACTGCGTTGCTTCCCACGATGGCACCCGAACAGTGGCAAACGAGGATGATTTCTTCTCCTTGGGCCACTGATGTGCCGATGTAGGATCTCACCGCGGCAACATCTTCAGTAAGGCCGGCAAGGGGCAAGGCCTCACCACCAACGGACGGCAGTGCAACAAGTTGGGTCGGATACCTGGCACCTTTGAGCGCGGTGCAGAACTCTTCCCATATTGGTGGTTGCTGCCAGGCGCCCGGGATGATGATGATTGTCGGTCTGCTCGCCATTATTCTGGCGGCGATGCTACGGGCGGATGGGCATCCCGCCGAATGAAGGGGAATGGTGCTGCGCGCTGCTACTAAGGTAAGGGCGGTGAATGAATGGATAGAACAGCGCTCGAGATCTTATATACAACTCAAGCTAGGTACCTAGGGCATGGCGAGGACTGCAAACAGCAACGCGCGCGAAAAAAAGGCCTCTCAGCTGCCTAGTGCTTTCCTCCTCGACGACGGGTAGGTCTGACAAGTCGCACCATACTGGCCTACACCCCGCATCCCGTGCCTACTTCGATGTGTTGTTTTCTGCGGGGCCGTGGATCGAGATTCGGGAACGGCATCGACATTTGCTGAGCGGATATCGCGAGTTTTGCAATGCAAGGTGTGTGTGCTACAGGAGATCCCGTCAAAGTCGCCTTCCTCCCGTCCCGACCTTGAGTCCCTGGCCGAGACATGATCGCCATCTTACAGAGATCGACCTTGCATTGCAGGGCTACTGCGGCCAGTGAACGATGCTATTGAAAGGTCTCCTGGATTTTGCTCTGCTCCTAGGGGGCGAACACGAGCTTCAGAGGTCATGCTGATGCCGGATCGGTGCAGGATGGCCGCTGCGCCCCGTGCGGGTACGACAGCCATTTCGCTCCCCATACGCCAGAAACTGCCTGCAGTAGTGAACTGTAAAATTAGGGGACGAACTTGCCGTCATCCGGGCTTGAGGTCAACAAGGCCTTTTATTGTCCCAAACACGGATGTCTTGAAAGAAGGCCCTGCGAGGTTAAGCATGGATTCATGCATGTGCAATTCTGAAGGAATTTTGAACCGGATTCTTGGGCAATTCCGGCACGTTGTGAACGTGAAGACAGTCGCAAGGGTGTGATATTATGCCATCCAGACTTTGGGGATTGCCCGGATTGGGGAAGGAGCACGGACTGTAAAGCCAGAAAATGTCAGCACGTGATGTCCCCTTATCTTATCGGGGTCCCAGAGTAAGATAGCGCATTTCATCATTTGTTCAGAGTGCTAAACCCAAAGCGGCTCCCTGTCGCTCCTCGAGTCTTTAGGCCCTTTGATTTCCATCATCTCGAATTCACTGCCAGAGCAGCAGCGGAATCTTCATTGTGGATTTTTGCTCAAACGTACTTGGAGACTGTGAGTACCCATCAGCTACAGCTATGGAACCTCTGAAATTTCTGCTGAGGAGCGTGTTTTAGCTCTTCTGGCTGCCCCGCGCAACGCGCCTCGATCGCGACTAAACTGAACATCTACTGATAAATTGTTCTGTGCCCTAGGACATCTCGCCCATCCAAGCAGCCCGGTCCCAGAGACACTACGACATACTAACTGACCTAGCAATGGCGGATGTGAAGCTTGAGGAGAAGGCGCCCGAGGTCAAGGAGGAGGCTACCGCGACCGAAGAGGAGGGCAACGATGAGGTATGATAGTCACGCAAGCCTCGTTCTGGGCGAACCTGCCTACAAAGAGAATCTAGAGAGCGCATACTGATGCGAGAAACAGGAGGAGATCTCAGAAATGAGGCGGCGTGTGGCGGAGATGGAGCAGGAGGCTGCCAAGCTGAGGGAGATGCAGGCTACCCTGGACAGCCAGAGCCAGGAGCTCTCGGAGAGCAAGGAAGATGTCGACAGCCGAAGCATCTTTGTCGGCAATGTCGACTACTCGGCCTCTCCCGAGGAGATCCAGGCCCACTTCCAGAGCTGTGGCTCAATCAACCGAGTCACCATTCTCCTGGACAAGTTCACTGGCCAGCCCAAGGGGTTCGTTGCAGCTCCCTGTCCCTTTTTCTAATTGACAAGACGACCTAACGCGTTGATATGCAGTTATGCCTACGTCGAGTTCACCGAGCCCAGCCTTGTTGCCCAAGCCCTCGTCCTTAACGAGAGCGTGTTCAAGGGTCGTAACATCAAGGTTTGTCCTGCTCTGTCCGAACGAGTTTTACTTTGCCAGGACAGTATCGCTAATTTGATATTCACGGACAGGTCGTGCCGAAGCGAACGAACCTCCCTGGAATGGCGCGTGGTCGTGGACGAGGTGGTTTCCGGGGTGGCGGCCGAGGCTTCCACGGTGGTCGTGGTGGATACCCGCCCCGAGGCGGATACCGCGGTGGCTACCGTGGCCGCGGCCGGGGCTTCACCCCGTACTGAGAGCTGGCTTGTCTTGGCGAGACGACAATCCTGGTCCCCGTGATACCCAGTCTCCCTTTCTATTCCTCTCCTCTTTTTAGCCTAATGTACTTTATACATACATGCCTAGTGGCAGTGATCAGAATGGAGCGGGCTTGAGTGGTCTTGCTGGGCGTCTTTGGTATGGAAAGAGTCGAATACATAGGGCAAATGTAAGGAAAAGTTACAAGGGATGCAGCCACAGTTCTAGAAGACCTATGGAAGGGGAGAAGTGCTGCCAGCTACAGCAGTAGAGCATGGATTGGACGGCTTGATGCGCGCATACTACCTTGACGGCGTCATGATAGAGGGACGACGTGCTTGCCAGTAGCTATGTATGGAAACATCAAGTGTGATCAATGTGATGGGCGTGCATGAGGGCGAGAACCAAAATAGCCTTCCAATGCGGGCTTTTGTTTGCTGACCAGACATGACCCGGAAATATGGTATTGGGTTGGTGGTGCTGCCCAACAGGGGTCACAGGTCCCTGTCTATACGCCTTTTTGTTTTTTTCCCCTTTCTGGGTGCGAATTGATTTTGTCGGCACGAGTTTGAGATTGCTTGAAGCTCGTCCAAGGGAGGCCTCATTGTAAATGCATGTCCGAAACAAATCGCATTTCGTGTTTCTATTTCAAGCGCTTCAAAATAATGATTGGGACAAGCGGCGAAAATAGCTCCTGTCATCAAAGAAGTGATAACAGTCGGTCTAGCACTAGAGATCATCAACTTTTCTGATAGGTGACGAGGGCTGGGAGGTGAATGTAGTTACTTAGATTGCGCCTTTTGTTCAACGAACATCATGTAAGCTGCTGACCTAGGAATTAGTGGGAATTAGAGGATGAGCAAGTATTTCAAGTGCCTACCTAGTAGACATTCACACTCTCAGGCTCACACACGTCAAGGTGCCACGACTATGCGCCTTGCCATGGATGGATTGTCTCGCAGGATAATGCGCCTGGAGACGCGGCGAGTACATCATGCCAGTGGACTTTGGCGGATGAGGGGCACTAACCTCGCCGACCTCTTAATGTGGGGTTGATTCTTCTACCTAATCCTGGTCGTAGCGTCACCTCCCTCCATCCGCCATGGGTGTGTGCTTGAAGCCAGCCAGGCCGAGAAGCTTTTGTGTCTCTGCTGTACCTTAGGTACAGTACAATCATCTATACTTCTAGAGCTATGTTGGTACCTGCTCCGGGCGGCTTGCACGCGCTAAGAGGATAAGTACTGTCAATGTTCTTTGCGAGCAGACTGAGGCGGTCGTGTGTGATGCGTGAGTGTGTGTGGAGTTGCTGTACCTAGACTCCTAGAGCAAGACAGCGAGTCGAGCCATCCACTGAGGTCGTAAAGCGAGCGCCCACAGTGCATGCAGTTGGCGACAGCAGTGTCCACTGGGTGCTGGGCGTGCTGGGCTGCCTGCCGCTACCAACCAAGAAATCACCTATTGTCCCTCCTCACGCCTTTCCCTTCCCTCCGCATTCTTCTTGCACCATCACGACATATTTTGGAGTGAACCCGCAGTCGAGGCTGGTTCCTGGAGAGGCAATTCCTTATTACCAAGCAGGCTTTGGTTCTGCGCCCGTATCTCCTTGACTTTGCCCAAGCAGACCGGCCATTCGCCACAGTCTGGTCCTCACCCAGTCATCATCGATTGCGGCACCGCTCCGCCCATTTTCAAAGCGGGGAGGCCGAACCGAGCAAAAGCACAGCCTCAGCCCCTACATGCCCCAGTTGCGCGTCACTCTTATCGTCGCTCTGAATCTTTTCCAAACCATCTCGCTTCCGGAGCGAACATAGGGAGCTCGCGATACAATTTGGGCAACCGCGTATCGCAATTCGATCCCGTCCTGCCCGGCGACCATCACCACCATCTACTCCAGACGCTCGCGTGGCCCCTTGCCCCGAGGCCATCATGAGCAGCCGTGGAGAGGCTGGGCTGCCAGCGTGAGTGCTCGTGTCTCCCGGAGCAGTCAAGGAAATCACTTGATGAAGAAACTGACCGACTGACCGATGCCTTCTCGTCTACAGCCAGGCCAACCTTCGGGTGACGAGTGAATCAGCCCTATCCCCCGCATTTAACAATGAGCTTCCTACTGACTCCTTCTCCATCTAGTCATCGCCGCCGATGGCCTGTACAAACGTGACGTCTTCAGTATGTCTTCATTCGTACCTGACTGCCTTGAATCATGGCTGACAAGCTCTCATAGGGTTTCCTGACCCCTTCGCCGTTGCTACAATCAATGGCGAGCAAACCAAAACGACCTCGGTCTCCAAGCGAACCCTGAACCCCTACTGGAACGAGAGTTTCGATTTGTACGTGCTTCTCGACCTTTCCCATAATCGCATCACACAAAGGTGCTAATGACCTTGTTGCAGTCGAGTCAATGAAGATAGCATACTCGCCGTTCAAGTTTTCGACCAGAAGAAGTTCAAGAAGAAGGACCAGGGCTTCCTTGGCGTCATCAACATCCGCATTGGCGACATCATCGAATTAGCGCCCGACGCAGATGGTAATGCTCAGATCAATTTCACCTCTGCGGGAAAAAAGTACTGACTATTTTACTCTCTAGATCAAATGCTCACCAGGGACCTGAAAAAGTCCACTGATAATTTGGTCGTCCACGGAAAGCTTATCGTCAACCTTTCCACTAATCTGTCTAGCCCAGCCCGCGGTCAAGCAGCACCATCTACCTCAGGCCGCCCTGGACTGCTTGCGCCGCAAGCCTCAAGTCTGTCCGCACCTGGAGGAGATAGAGCATCTGACAGACCAGCATCCGCCATGTCTGGGCCGAACGGAAATCTGAATGGCAGCAGCCAACAGCTGAACCTACCTCACCGGCCGGCCAGCATGACTGCCCCCGGTGCAAACGGCAACGGAGCAGCGCAGGGCTCTCGACCGACAAGCACGCTCAGTCCGTTTGAGGATGCTCAAGGTCGTCTCCCAGCTGGCTGGGAGCGTCGAGAAGACAATCTTGGCCGAACGTATTATGTGGATCATAACACGAGGACTACGAGTTGGAACAGACCGACCGTAGCTGGAGCTGGCGAGATGCGCCATGATCGTGAAGTGGCCACGCAGGTTGAGCGACAGAGACACCAGAACCGAACTCTACCCGAAGATAGGACTGGTGCCAACTCGCCGACGCTCCAGCAGCAGCAGCAGCCGCAGCAACCCCAATCAGCCGCCCAGAACGCTAACAACCAGACGATGATGCACACTGGAGCTACGAGTCCGGGAACCGGTGAACTTCCTCCCGGCTGGGAGCAGAGATGGACCCCTGAGGGACGCCCGTACTTCGTTGATCATAACACGAGGACAACAACGTGGGTGGACCCGCGGCGCCAACAGTACATCCGTATGTATGGTGGACAAAATAACGCCAACGGTACCATCCAGCAGCAGCCCGTCTCGCAGCTCGGCCCTCTACCCAGCGGATGGGAAATGCGGCTCACCAACACCGCTCGTGTCTACTTCGTGGATCACAACACCAAAACCACCACCTGGGATGACCCCCGACTGCCGTCTTCTCTCGATCAGAATGTACCTCAGTACAAGCGCGACTTCCGGAGGAAGCTCATCTATTTCAGGTCCCAGCCAGCTATGCGTATCTTGTCCGGGCAGTGCCATATTAAGGTTAGGCGTTCGCACATTTTCGAGGACTCGTTTGCGGAGATCTCTCGCCAGTCCGCTACTGATCTCAAGAAACGCCTGATGATCAAGTTCGATGGAGAGGATGGTTTGGACTACGGCGGTCTTTCTCGAGAGTTCTTCTTCCTGCTGTCCCACGAGATGTTCAACCCCTTCTACTGCCTTTTCGAATACTCTGCACACGACAACTATACCCTGCAGATCAACCCCCACTCTGGCATCAACCCCGAACACTTGAACTATTTCAAGTTCATCGGACGAGTCGTCGGTCTTGCCATCTTCCACAGGAGATTCCTCGACGCCTTCTTCATTGGCGCTCTGTACAAGATGATGCTGGGCAAGGCGGTGCAACTGGCAGATATGGAGGGTGTCGATGCCGACTTCCACCGATCTCTTAAGTGGATGTTGGACAACGACATTTCCGGTGGAATTCTGGAGCAGACTTTCTCCACGGAAGACGAGCGATTTGGCGTTATGACTGTCGAGGATTTGATACCCAACGGACGCAACATCGACGTGACCAACGAGAACAAGAAGGAGTACGTCGACCTGATGGTGAAGTGGAGGATCGAGAAGCGCATTGCCGAGCAGTTCCAGGCCTTTAAGGAGGGCTTCCACGAGCTCATCCCGATTGACCTGATCAATGTGTTTGATGAGCGCGAGTTGGAACTGTTGATTGGTGGTATCGCCGAGATCGACGTCGACGACTGGAAGAAGCATACCGACTACCGTGGCTACACCGAGTCTGATGAAGTCATCCAGTTCTTCTGGCAGACGATCCGGTCCTGGGACGGCGAGCAGAAGAGTCGTCTGCTGCAGTTTGCGACAGGTACCTCGCGTATTCCAGTCAACGGCTTCAAGGATCTGCAGGGCAGTGACGGCCCGAGGAGGTTTACTATCGAGAAGGCGGGCGAGATTACTAATTTGCCAAAGGCACACACCTGGTACGTATTATTTCTTTCAATTACAACATTGCATAACTGGAGGTCAAATTGTACTGATATGACAATACTTAGTTTCAACCGCTTGGATCTGCCTCCATATAAGAACCTGGAGATGCTGCAGAACAAGTTGACGATTGCGGTAGAAGAGACGATGGGTTTCGGACAGGAGTAGACGAGCGTGGCGAAGACAGGCAAATGCGTGTGGATGTTTCAAGGCGAGCCAACCCCGGCAGACATGCCTCTCACAGGCTATTTTGTTCTATATATGCCGAACGTTGTATAAACAGCGCGTACAAGATCGTTATAAGGGGTATACGAGCAATGTGGGAGCTCGTCCGCGACAGGGCAAGAATCGAGGATCGAGTGTTAGTACGGTGGAGGTATCGAGCCAGGGAGCAACGCCAGCGACGAGTTGGTCTCGCCAATGGCTCTTGTTTCGTTGTAGAAGGGAGATTGGACTACGTGGACATCAGGACGAGGCGGAGAGGTGTCCTCGCCACAGAGCCGGAAGTTGCAGTTTGTGGAGCACATGCTTTCTAGTACCAACGAAGCGTACCCAGATGAGGGGGTCTTTTTCTTCTTGCAGTTCCAGCAACTTGTCCCTGGCTCTTCCTCCTGCGCATCTTGGTTGGTAGATGGTCCAGTGCCACTCGATAGGCTGCAGACGTCTTCTTCCTACAAGGCTCAACCCCCCCTACATACTTTGTAGCTCTTGTCAGACTCCTTTTCTTTTCGCCGAGTAGGGAAAAGAGTGAGTGAAAGGGCGAGCGGAAGAGGGAGCGGAGTAGCTTGGGAGGAATACAGCACTTTCATTACTTCTCTTCATGACTGGCGTTGGAGGGGGACATTGTCCAAGCTCATTCTTTTCTGTGTTTTTTTGTCATTCTCCTACTCATATTGGGGGTTGGGCATAGGTTGTATGTACAGCTTCTAAATAAGATTCCAAAGAATGACCATTCACACCCAATAGTACATGTGTGCTCAAATTGGACCGCGGCCTATGTATCATCGAAACTGAATTGTGCTTCTTGGTCGTGACTTGTTCTTTATTGTGCTCATTAAATACTTTTCTGTCTTGTGTGATGTTCACCCATCTCCTTTCACACTGGTCCCCCTCAACACCTCACCTCCACCCCGCCCTTGCTGATGGTCAGGTACTTCACCCCCTTGTACGGCTTGACGCTCTCGCCCAGGCCTCGGCTGCGCTTGGGGTCGAGCACGATGCTCTCGATCTTGATGCCGCTCGGCAGCCACCCCTTGACGCCGAAGCTCACCGACGCCGAGCTCGGCATGAGCATCCGGTTCTGCTGCACCAGCTTCTCGTTCCCCGCTGCTGCCGCCGAACTGTCTTTGTTCAGCGCCGTCTTCTTCTTGCCGTCGTCTCCGTGAGGCTTCTCGTCCGCCTGGTACGCCTCGTACTCCCTGAAGCCACCGCCAGCGCGGAAACCCATCGGGTCGTCCGCCACAGCGTCGTCGTCGTCCTCGTCCGAGGCGGACTGCCGCCCCACCACGGTGCAGCGCAGGCCAAAGTAGGTCGCGCCCGCGGCCAGGTCCTTGTTGGAGATGTGCCACTCGAGGAACTGGTCGCCCGGGTTGTACGTCGCGTCGCCCTTGCTCGGGCGGATCTCGGACAGGTTGCGCACCTCTGCGGGCAGGGGGATCACAATCTTGACGTCCTCCAGCAGCGGGGCGCCGAGGGTGCCCGCGTGCGGCCCGCCGCCGAAGCCGCGCCCGGCCGGGCCACCTCCGACGCCCCCGGCGCCGCTGCCACTCATGGACGAGGTGAAGGTCCGGCTGATGTGCACGCGCGCCTCAAAGTCCGAGCCAGCCGGGCCGAGGCCCGTCTTCATCTCGATGTTGACCGGCAGCTGCAGGTTGTTGGCCGCCATGTTGCCGCTCTTGCCGTTGCTGAAGGGCAGCAGGTCGACCTCGTAGCCCGCGAGGATGAAGCGGCCGTCGGGCGGGACGAAGCTGAGCTCCCCGGGCTGCTCCTTCCAGCGCGCGAGGCGCACGCAGGGGTGGAAGACGGGCAGCTCCATGATGCTGCCGAGGTTGTGCCGGCCGGCCGGGCTGGTCAGCGAGAGCACGATGTCGGGCACGCCCGAGACCTTGGAGGTGAAGGCGATGGTGCCGTGGGCGAAGGCGGCGATGGGCCGGCCCGAGGGCGCCAGGGTCACCGAGAGCGTCTCGACGACGTCGGCGTACATTTCGTTGGAGGTGTGGCGCACGTTGGCACGGCGCCAGGGCAGGGCGGGCATGTTCTGCGACAGCATCAGGGAGGAGGGCGCGTTGCTGCCGGACGCGGGCCCGCCGCCGATGCCGCCGCCGCCCAGGGGCTTGTTGATGGCGCCGGGGAGGGTGATGCTGCCGAGGAGCTTGCCCATGAAGCCCTCGACCTCGACGAGGTCGCGCAGGGCGTTGGGCTCGGTGGTGGCGACGGTGCCGGCATCGCAGAGCTCGGTGAGCAGCTGGGCGACGATGTCGTAGTTGCTCTCGATCTTGGAGGGGAGCAGCGGTGCGCCGAGGAACTCCTCGAGGGCGTCGACGACGCGGTGGAGGAACTCGAGGACCAGTAAAGGCTCGATCTCGGAGGAGGTGGTGAGGAGGAAGAGCAGGTTGGCGTGGGAGAGGCTGAAGACGAGGGTGGGCGGGTTGGTGGTCGAGAGGTAGATGAGGTTCGGCCGCGGGGTCGGGTGCTCTAAGTATAAGGGCAGGAGGTGGGCGGCCGAGAGGGGACGGCCGGTGTAGGTGTGCGAGAGGATCGGAGTGCTGGGTAGGAGTCTATGTTAGATCTTCCGTCGCTTTACTCAGTCCAGGGAGGGGATTGTGATCGTACTTGCGCTCATCGTAGATGTGCAGCGCCTCGATGACGCCGCTCATGGCTGTCATATACTCATCCGACTGTGTATATGGGAGCTAAGCTTCTCGACAGAGTCTATATGAGGGAGGTACAAGTCGAGTCAATGGTAATTGTGTTGAAGATTAGAGCTTTCCAAGCTCTCAAGCTTCTTCACGGTTGACCTGATGCGAGCTGGTTGATGATGAAGGTCAGAACCCCACTTCAAGGCCCGGACATGTGCTGCAGGGCTCTCTTGCTCTCTTGCGATGACATCTATCGCAGCGGCTCCAGGGGGCTGAAGATCGCTAATGTGGGGTTCAGGGCCGTCCTGACAGGGGTTTTGCTCAGGGCGGTGTGCACTGAAGCTGACCAATCTTATCGCCGATGGCAGGCCTGATTAGATCCATGATCATTTGCTCGACTGACCCGAGGCTTCAACGACATCGGCTGCAAATATTGGGTGCGATCCTTCACAATTTCGTGAAGCTACGACTGCACATCATAATGGCCGGTGAAAAGATACCGCCGCTGTCCTCGCTGGACAAGCCAGAGAACTACAAGGATCTCCTCAAGGAGGACCGCGGAGACGACTGCTTGGGCTGTCGCATAATAGGTTGGCTATCCCTCAAGCTGCCCCCCTCGCTTAGGATCTCCTACTAACACACCGAGTCTGCCAGGAGGCGGAGCTTTTCTCGGACTGGGGGCCTACAGCTATTTCTCCGGTCACGCGCAGCTCGAGCAGCAAAGGGCAGCTATTCTCGCCAAGAACTCGATGTTCGGCATGAGGAGTCGCAGGATGGGCATCACGGGCATCTCGCTTGGCCTCGCCTGGATGGGAATCTACCGGCTGTTTAGGTAGCAGCGCGCCCTCGTCTATCGCACGACTATCGAAAACCCCTCTCAATACTATAGAGTTTCTGATGTTCCGACTCGAGCTCATCCAAATTCCGGCATGGCGGAATGGCTTCACAGAACCAAGCTCGAATACGGGATACTATGGTTAGCAAGACGGGCGCAATCGGTGCCCTCAAGCTCTCGCCTTGCACGACAGTGAAAGATACCTGCTCTATCACTCAACGCGTCCTCTTCCTGGTGATATCCTGTTAAGAAAGGGGAATAATAGGTGGCGAGTGGCACAGGCTCTTCGGGCTACTTTGGGTGCGTGTTGAGCTGTGGGCATCCTGTGTATACTATGTAGAGTACCTCATGTATGATAATAGATAGCATCTATCACCATGTATATGAACTGCAATCTGTCACTTGCTCGAGATTCTGCTCATGGTTGTAGCTTTCAACCATTTTCAAGAGTTAGTTAGACCTTTGCTGTCGATGGCTTGGCACGTGCTGAAGAAAGATCTTGGAAAATTGGCGATAAGCGCGATAAGCTTTACAACTTTTGTTCGCCGTCTCAAACACCAGCACCAGACCGATGAGACTGCACATTCTCACCGGGACAACGACGGAGTGATAGCTGCTTGACAAACTCAATTCAAACATCGATACGATTCTGTGCCAGAGACGGGCATAGACGATGCCGATTACGATTTTGGCGCCGCGGCGCATCCCCGCTGCACGCGCTCAACCCGACAACGATGATTCAGATTCAGAGATGGGTGGCGCAGCTGCCAACCACAACTCAAGTATCGTCACTCCAGGTGAGGTCATTACGGATGATCCTCAATGGATGAGGTATGTTTACCACCTCTTCATGGGCACGTCTCAAACTTGTTCACTCACATTCGCACAGAGGTCACGGCACCTACGTTACTCCGGGCTCAAGCTCGATCATCTCCTCCGTTGCTGGCACTGTGTCTCGCACGAACAAGTTGCTGTCCGTACGGCCACTGCGTGCACGTTACACTCCAGAAGTCGGTGACCTCGTGGTAGGCCGCATCGTCGAGGTACAGGCCAAGCGATGGCGGGTCGATGTCGGTAGCACCCAGCTTGCTGGTCTCCCATTATCGGCTATCAACCTTCCTGGTGGTATCCTGCGGAAGCGCACGGAGACGGACGAGCTGCAAATTCGCAACTTTTTTTCAGAAGGCGACCTTCTCGTGGCTGAGGTCCAACAGCTGTTCCAGGACGGCGCCGCGGTGCTGCACACGCGCAGTCTCAAGTACGGGAAGCTGCGCAACGGCGTCTTCATCGCGGTATCTGGAGGAGGTACGGGCGGCGGAGCGGGAGTGGTCCGGAGCAGGAGGCAGGTGTGGACTATGGACTCTGCTACGGCCGGAGGCGGTCCCATGGATGTCATCCTGGGTGTGAACGGCTACATCTACATCAGCGCACACTTCGCGCAGCCCGAAGAGGAGGCACCATCTGGCCCGAGCGGCCCAGCAGCGGGTGTGACCAACATGGAGGAAAGCGTCAGCGCAACTATGTACTCGAGCCAGAACGACCCGATAGATCCGGAGACGATGCGGGAGATCGCCCGTGTGCGCGGCGTCATCGGGGCTCTGGTGGAGCACGGCCTGCGCGTTGATGAGGACATGGTGGTCAGGGGCTACAGGGAAGCGGTCGAGATGGCGAGGCATTCGGATGATGGGGAGGACGATATTTACTTGGGAGGAGAGAAGGGCCAGCGGTTGGCAGCTGTCCTCACTGGCAGGTGATGGGGTGTCGAACGTGGGATCTTCGAGCTACAGCCATTGTCTCGTCCTCTGACTTGGGAGGCCTGGAGCAGCTGCTATCCCCGACGACTATGAACATCATCAGAGTTGTGGCGATCTCATGACACAAGGGAGGACTTATTCGAGGCTACCTCTTGATGGTCTAGCTACATGCATGGGCCAGAGAGGGCGTGCGTGTTTGAGACGGATCTCATCGAGATCAGGCCCGCCAAAGGCGTGCCTATCCACCTATTAAACACTACGCACTTGCCCACGGCGGAGGATTTATTTTAGGACCCGGGTCGCAAGGCTGTGTCTTGAAGGCACACCAGGGCCGCGGTTGGTAGAAAACAATGGACAAAAGCGACTAGCATTGCTGACGCCCTGGCTTCTGCCAAAACCTTGCTCCTCTTACGTACACAAATACACCGTAGTCTGAGCAAATAGAAGCTAGCCAGGTAGGTACCGGGCTCTTTCTGGAAGATACGGCAGTGCGCGGCACCGCAATAACCCGGCGCTTCGGAAATGGAGTTCCATGTCTGTTGTAGCTCCAAGAGAGTGCCCTCCGCAATGCTGGGAATTGTGCCTTAGCCGCTGTGCGCTAGCAAATTACAGTGGGGATTCGCCCAAATCCATGCCGAGCAGGCCTGTCCCGCGGGGAATCTCTCAATGGACGTCCCAGTAAAAATGGGCTCGACAGCGCCGGAAAGTCGGGGACATCGGCTCGCGGCGGGATTGACCCGTCAACATGGTGCTCTCTCGTCTCTTTCTTTCTTCCTTTCACACCCACAGCCATTGGCTCGGACCTTACTTTCAACTACCGACATGCCATTACCAGTCTTCTTGCCAGCTTTGCTTTCAGGATGAGCTTTATGGCTAGATGAGGCTTCCGCGCTGCCAAAATCTACTCCCAACTGCTGGATGACTGAGACGAATAGCTGCCGCAGCTTGCTCCGAGCTGGCGCCTTCTCATGAGACCACCACTCGCACCCTGCCTCCGCCGAGCGACACGCCTGAGCTCCGGAAGCTCTGCGCGGCCCGCCGGCACAGGCAGTCTACACATATCATGTCTTCCTAACGCTTTGCGATACATGTCGCGCCACTATGCCACGCCAGCGACAGCCACCCGGCCCAAGACGGCCCTCTTCTTCCCAGGTACGTCATTCGTACGATCTCACCCCTAGCAGGCGCGCGGGCGCGGAGAATGAAGCAGCTCGGTTCCACCAACCCATCGTCGCTGACACGCCCTCGCAGGCCAAGGAGTACAGAAAGTCGGCATGCTCACACCATGGCTCGAGGCCTTCCCCCGCACCGCGACGCCCTTTGTGCAGGAACTCGACGACCTGCTCGGGTACAAGCTCTCCGACATCATCCAGGAAGGCCCCAGCACCCGCCTGACCGCCACCCCCAACGCCCAGCCCGCCATCATGGCCACCTCGATCCTCATCCTCCGCATCCTCGACAAGGAGTTTGGCTTCCGCCCGCACGAGCGCGTCGACGTCACGCTCGGGCACTCGCTCGGCGAGTTCGCCGCACTCGTGGCCGGCGGCTACATCGCCTTCGAGGACAGCCTGTACATGGTGCGCCGGCGGGCCGAGGTCATGGCCGAGGCGACGCAGCGCGCGCGGCAGGAGTACGGCGGCGAGTACGGCATGGTGGCCATCGTCACGGAGCCGGACCACCTGCCGCGCCTCATCGGCGCCATCGACGAGTTCCTCGGCCACGGCGCCAACAGCGCCGGGAACAAGGCCGAGAGCGCGCAGGACGTGCCCCCCATCGAGCAGGTGCTCATCGCCAACGTCAACAGCAAGAACCAGATCGTCCTCAGCGGCAACATCGACCGCATCAAGACGCTCGTCGCGCACGTCCGGCAGTTCCTCGGCCACGACCCCCGGGCCGTCCGCCTCAAGAGCGACAGCCCCTTCCACAGCCCTATCATGAGGCCGGCGGTGGCGACCATGCGGCAGTTGCTCGCCGGCCAGAGCCGGGTGCCTGGTCGGCAACATATCGTACAGTTTCCCGGGCAGCTACCCTGCGTGAGCAATGTATCTGCACGGCCATTCCAGAGCAAAGCGGATCTAGAGGATCTGCTATCGCGGCAGTGTCTGGAGACGGTGAGATGGTGGGACAGTATCAAGTACTTGGATCAACAAGTCAAGGTCAGGAGGTGGATCGGTTTGGGGCCCGGAAAGGTCGGACGGAACCTTGTAGGCAAAGAGGTCGGAATGCGCGGCAAGGACCTGGTCAAGGGCGGTGGCGTGTGGGCCATCACGGACCCGGTTGAGATCGAGGAGGTGTTGAAAGGGTTGGAGGAGACGGAGAACTTCAATGACGATGAAGAGTTCGAGGAGTCGGAGGAGCCTGTCCCTGTCACGAAAAGCGCGCGCAAAGTAGGCCGGGATGGCTCTCAGCAGTCACGTCTGGACTTTTGATTTGGAGGATAATACCAAACGGACTCTAAAATGGTAGCGTGTGTCTGGTTACATGTTGTATGGATTACAAGCGAATTCAAGTATTTTTTCTACCCCCCTTCCCTGGGGCTTCGAATATGTCGCGCTTTCACAGATCCAAAATATCTACCCGCGCTTAAGGGCATGATGATCACCCAGACATGCATCACTACTGTGAAAGGTTCTTGATCGAGAGCGAGTGTATATATACGGAGATATATGTACATCGAAGTTAGGTACAAGAAAGGATAAGGGAACCAGAAGCTTTTTCCTTCACTTGTGGGCCACGTCCAATCTTGTGGATTGTTCGTTCAACAGCCAGCCGGCCCCTTGCTGCCAGTTCTCCTTCTTGTTCCCCTTCCAGCTGGGGAGGCTTGTCAGGAAGTGCTGGAAGCTCCGCTTAGAACGAGGGAACGGCGTTCTTGAGGAGCATCTCGAAGTAGGCCTGGTTCCAGGTACCGGCCTCGGGCGAGGGCTTGAAGGCGTCGTCCTTGCCGCAGAAGCTGTCGTAGCGGGTGGCGCTCGTGTCGCTGGTGCCATCGGACTCGCCGCCGGGCTTGCCCCAGACGAAGGCGTCGGCGAGCTCAAGGCCCGTGTCGGCCGTCGGGCGGACGCCGAAGCCGGCACCGTTGACGTTGCACCAGTCACCCCACTCCTTGCGCAGGCCCGTGACGCCGTTGCGGCCCGTGTCGACGATGGCGTGGTTGGGCATGCCGGCCGACTTGAGCGCGGCGCCAAACTTCTCGACGTACGTCTTCTCGTTCTGGCAGCTGTTGTACTTGGCGTCGGACGCCGTGGAGAACTCACCGGGGCTCTCGTCCCACGAGTTCCAGCCGGCGATGTTGGTCGCGAAGCCGCGCACCTGGCTGGGGCTGCCGGCGTTCTTGTACACCTTGGCGAGCTCCTGCGCGCCCGGCTTGAGGTTGGCGTCCCAGCCGAGCCAGCCGCCGTGGCCGGCGTCGACGTACATGACGACGTTGGGCAGGTTGAGCTGCTTGAAGGCGTAGGCAACGCCGTCGCGGTAGCCGGCGGCCGAGTCCTTGCAGGTCTGCAGGTCCGCGTTGGTCACCAGGTTGGGGAGCGAGTCGGGCTCGATGATCAGGGCGAAGGCGGTGTTGGGGTGGGCCTTGAGCATCTTGACGATGGCTGTTTGGTTTTTCCTCTTGTCAGCTTTCTTTCCTTTCTTCCCTCCGTATCGAATGAGGCTTAGAAACGGGGTGTAGAGGAAATACTTACGGTCAATGTACTCAGACTTGTACTTGCTGATCTCGCCGACTTTCAGCTCACCGTTGGAGGCCTTGGCGGCGCAGTCACGGCCGGGAAGGTCGTAGACGACGAGACCCATGATGTGGTCGCAAGGAACATCGGCAATGTTCTTCTCAGCGCGGCCAATGTTCTCGATGGTGTCCCTAGCGACGAATGGTGGTCAACTTCTTGCCGATCCTTTTTCATCATACTTTTTCATCATAAGGGGGTAGCAAACTCACATCCACAGGAAGCTACCGACGTCACCAACCTTCTTGGCAGCAGCGGCCAGGCTGGAGTCGGATATCTGCTCCGCGGCGGCGTCGACCTCGGACCGGTAAAAGTCGTTGGGGTGCAGGGTGTACTTCTTGAAGACGTTGGTCTTGGCGTCGAGGGAAACGGCCGAGGAGCAGGCGCCGGCCTGGCGCGGCTGCTCCTTGGTGGTGGCAGAGGGCGCGGCCATGGCCGAGGCGGCGAGGGCCAGGAGGGCAGAGTGCGTGAACTTCATGGTGGGCTTCTGTGGTTGCAGGGAACCTCCTTGATGATACAAAAGAGCGAAGCTGAGGAGGGGGGAGAGAGGGCGAGAAGGATCGTGGTCCTCGGGGGGCGGAGGCCCAGGCCTTTATACCGAAGGAGGTTTTCGTTGCTGGTGGCGAGGGAGGGTACATAGTTTTGGGCCTCTCCCTCCACGTCTCGCGCGTTGCAATCGTACAATCACTCTATCGATAATCCACTTCCCAGGGGACTCTCCATTCGGTAATCAGGAACCCAGGGCCGTTATTCGCGAGACATCCTCGGCCAGCAGGCTCCGAACATCACCCTCGCCCGCCCACTGCGGAACGTATAAGCTGCGGGGGCAAGCCAGTGGCAGGTGCCGTGATTGGGGAGATGCTGTTCCTGAGAAGGCTGCTTCCCGACTTTTCCATATGGACATTTCATTTGCGATCAGTCTGTCGACCGGCGGCCCGACTCCGCGAGACATGCCCACAGGGTCCTCGATCTGGTCGAGTGTGGGGTAGGTAGTGCCAAGGAGGTCACGGGCGATTCGGGGAGGCAAAGCTCAGCATCACAACAATATGTGCTCTCTATATTCCCACATTATGCATGCGAGGGAGGACGTTTGCCTCCGGCCCTGGCCAGATCGAGGTTCGGTTACCCCTTGCAGAGAAGAGTGTGGGGAGAGAGTGGGAGGGACAAGCAAGGTCGTTCTCTCTAACTGATTCGAGAGAGCTTTGTCTCAGTGCGGAGATGATATGGGGTTGCAGGATAATTTGTCGTTTGGGGGTCTGTGTCAAAGCGAGAGGAGAGTGACACACAGCACAGCACACAGCCCTGCAAGCTTCCTACCAATGGCATGGGGCTCTCGAGACCCCGGATCCCAAGTTTGTGAGAGGAGGGAGTGGGCTGCGAATTGCCGAATTATGGGGCTACGAGAGCCGAAGCCATGCATTCCTTTATGGTGTTGATTCAAGGACAGCTTAGTTATGGCAAGAGCACGGCCTCCTGTGTAGCCTGAAATCTAGGCTCTGAACTACGGAACCCTCTCTATAGCTCTATTAGCTGTTGAAGAACATGGCCCATTGGAGACTCGGCTATGTCGCCTTTGTTAGCCAACAGCCAAGTTCACACACGTTCATGCGGCCGCTGCGGCCTGATAGCTGTGCTTAGCTGAAACTACCAAGGCGTTGTGACTTGGGTCAAATGGGGCTGCCCCATCTTCTCATAATATGCGGTTTATGATCCTTCATATAAGTTTAGCCGCCATACAATGACAGGATCGACAGCTGACGTCTGGGCGGTTGCCCATTTGCGGAGAGAGAGCCTATTTGCCAGGCCGTTTCGTTTGCGGCCGTGTCCCGGCTAAAGGCAAGGAGGTCGACGTCCAATGCCGGTTGCGATCGGCGGCAATTTCTAGGAAACTCTCGGCACTCGGAGCGAGCACTTTTACGGGTGGGACCCGAATAGGCATGTAATTCTTGATCAACACAGCAAATGGGATGGCTGCAACCGCCTCTTGATGGGGAACCAGTTGAGAGACGCGGGGTTGGAACGCGCTGGTCAGGCGTGCGGAGTCATGAGGACCCTTTACGCGTGGTCCCTACTTGCACAATGCGGTATTGGAGGCCCAGATGAGCCTCAATATTCACCTAGGATTAATTCATAGTATGTTGATTACCTCTCGGTAGTCATGATGTGGCTCCCTTGGCCCAGTGGCGGGAGCGTACATGCCCAGCCCTTGGAGAGACTCGGCGCTTGTCCGAAACCCAAGGGAGGTGATGATGGAAACGGGGCCGATCAAGAGATTCCAAGACAAATCTATACACAATGATATTCGTTCCGGTTCCTTGGGTGACATGCTGGTTCGTTGGCTTAAAGATCCGGGTGCTCGGCGCCGCTGACCACATGCTCGGCCATGGAAGACCGGGACGAAGAGCCACTATGGATGTAGGGTAGTAGCAATCAAGGACTTGTGTCCCAAACCTACGTCGTGCCATAACCAATTTCCGTAAGAAATGAGACCTTGAAGGGGAATCGATTTCATAGGTCCCTACAGGACCAAGATTTCCGGCCATCAGATCCTATTTCATCACAGTTGTGAGAGGCCTTTTGAGGAACTAGAACTCTTTCAGAAACCTTGACATCCGCACGCAGTTGGAGCAACTCTTCAAGAACAACCACCTGGTCCTTTTATTGATAGGAAAGAATAGAGGCGACTTGATAGTCTAGAAAATAGCAGTCTCATTCCAAAACACCAATGGTAATGCGATGCTCCACTTCATAAAGCCCTGGTTCCCGTCATTCTGTTGTGTACAGTATGTTCTGGTTGAGACTCATTGGCCGGCAACACTCTCTAGAGTTTCGATAGGTATAAGAAGGCGGATCTCCAGATGGTCCAAGACTTTATAGTACGGAAACCGCCGGTCTCCAACCCCGTCTAACTTTCTCAAGAGCCTCATGTGTGCGAACCGAAGCACATCCTTCGCGCTCATCACACACGACATATAAACCAGTGCCATCCGCCATGGGTATTGTAGGCCACTTGTGACCCCCGCCATCGGACTCGGCGGCGCAAGTCCGACATTTCCATTCACGTTGTGGAGCTACCCTTTCATTCACAACCACAGCGCTCCTGGTATCCGCAATGAACAAAGTCTTAGCAGAAGCAAAGCAGCGCATAAGACGCGGTAGCGGCTCTTGCCGGCAGCTATCGTGACAGTTGTCCGCTTCGCACGCACAGCTCATCCAGGAAGAGCCATAATACCCATCGGTCGTCACTCCCCATGATCTCTCGGTCAGTGCTGTGGCCGGAACCGCGATTTTGCGCATGTCCTTTATGCCAGACGGCACCCGATGGCGTTTTATCTCGGAGATGGTGCACGCATCATCCCACGGCGCCTCGAAGAGGAAGACGTCATGGTATCCGTTGAAGCGTAAGTCGCCGTACAGATACACTTCGGCGTTCAAAGAGCCCTCCTGCCGCAGCCAAGGCTTCACCTGATAGTGCTTGTTGAGGTAGCGGAAAGATAGTCTGTGAGGCAGTAGTGACTCTGCGACCTGTCTCGACTCGACGCAGGTAGCGAGGGCTGTACGGGCCGAGAGAGGAGGCCTGGTTGGAGGTTTCTCCCACTTCCAAGGGGAGGCGACGTCATCCAGTTTCGCTTCATCTACAGGGGTCTGATCATGCTGTGAGGGGTGCAGGTTGCCATACATGGGGTGTGGAAAGGTGGGACACGGTGAAGACGATGAGTAGCGTCAGCAAGATAGATGATCCAGATGAGTTGACGTAACTCAAAAGGCAGCTTGGAGAAGAAGACAAAGCTTTGTCGTTGGGGCCTATGTTTTTCGGCTTGTCGTCCTGGAAGCGTGGTTGACATAGTGCGGACTCAAGGCCGTGCGGTTTCTTTGAAGATTGCGTCCGAGTGCCCTCCGGTGTATAGACGTAGGGCTGAAATAACCTGAGCCTGGAGAGATGATATTGAAGAGACGCGATATGATATGAATGTACCCTGAATTTTGGATATTGCGGCGGAGAAATGAGATGCATAGCGTGTGGGCTGCTAGTTGTCACGAAGGATTCAGCAGGATTCAAAAGGATTCCTCTGGCACCCTTCTGCATAACTAGTCCATTTCTCTCAACTTATCTAAATAACTGTGGGGTCAGTAGTGAATATTAAGACTCTATCAAACTTAATCCCAAGGTCTATTTCGTACCATGCTACTGTATATGCTACCTCGGTACTTGTATGATGTTTATCTGGATCAATATTCCGGCCATGTATCTATCTCATCTCGATTCTCTTGTCAGGATGCGCTTCCTATTTTGTCAAGTACTGATCCCGGCCTTTCACAAGCCCACTTCGCACCTCATCTTCCAATTTTGTAATGTTGGATGCAAGCGCACCAGATCCAAGCGGCCTGCGCTGTAGCATCATGAAAGTCTCGGATTATTCAATCTGTGTTGTGGTAGTCTGGGAGCCCGGTTCATATCTGCCCTGTCTTCTCTAGGCCAAGCTTGGCCGCAAACTCCACCGCGTCTGACATTTCCCCGGGCTTCGAAAGGAACGGGGAATGAGAAGACTTGATGTGAACGCTCTTCACATCAGGGCCCAGTGCCGCCTCGGACAGCATCTTCTGCAACTCCGGTGGAACGGACTTGTCCTCGTCACAGTAGACGACCATGCACTCGACGCCATCCTTCCAGGGCTCGTATTTGGCGAGACCGGCATGGCAAGGACCAGACTGGTGTTTCAAGGCGGCAACGGCCTTTTGCTGAGCTTTGGGCTCCAGGTCATGGTAGAATAGCTCAATCGGAGTGTCTACGTAGACATACTCGCCCTATCATCTCTAGATGTCAACGAAATATCTCGACGAGGCCATGACATGCCACAGCAATGACACGTAACTTACCTCACGCCTCATCCATGGAGGGTCCTGCTCGCCCATCAACTTGTAGATGCTCATACCCAGTGTGAGCACACAACCCGAGAGGTAGATGACAGTGATCACACCCCCGGACTTCCCTTCCTGTGCTCGAGACTTATAGCCCAGCCCCTCGATGGCATTGGAGGCGACGACTGAACCGTAAGAATGAGCGACAATCACGACTGATTTGCCTTGGCCAACAAGGCGCTGAATCAATTCCCGCACAGCCGCCGAGTCGTCATCAGCGGTCTTTGTAGGCGGCTCGGCACCAACGGAGGGGTAGTCGATGGTTTCGACCGGGTAGCCCCGGGACTCGAGCACATGGCGAGTCGGGTCGAAGCACCCGGAGGTGTGCCAAGCTCCCTGTGCGAAGACGATGGTCGGGTTAGCAGGAGGCATGTTGTGTTGAGATGATGTCGATAGCAGTCGCGTGGTTATGGCGATGTAGGAAACGGAATTGTAGCGGTTATATACGTGTCGGATGTGCATGCTTAGAAGAACAAGAAGGATCGTGGGGCTAATAGTCCGTAGGATAATTAGACGCGATGGTCCATCTCCTCGTAGTGCTGATGGTGTGGACAAACAATGGCACGGGATAGGGTGGGATGCTCGACCTCGATTAGCAAGCATTACATGATTTGTTTTGTGTCTGGTACTGATAGGGTTGCTGACCCGAGGTGGAATCCGAGAACAGTTCCAGTCAGGTTGTTATGCTTGACCTGTCGTATGCGATCGCCTTCAGACTTATTACAGGGAGAATAGCTCAACTACCTATCCCTACAGAGGCCGCAGAAACACCTATTACCCATGTACGTAGTTATTTCATGTCAAAATACCTCTGTATTTGCAAGGTCTTTATGTGATCAATATTGGAGGTATTCCTACGCGGCAGCCTCGGATGTTGCACCTCTGCTCTATCATACAACTGTCCTCTCCGAAGTTATGAGTAGTTTCATCCGCGGCCAGCATAGCAGCTGCAACAACTTGGGCTCGTTCGCCCAGACCTTCTCCAGATGCTCGCATACCGCCAGGCCTTCCGTCCATGCGTGTTTCCACAACCACCATATGGACCGGTCACACACTTTAGCGTAAAAATACAATAACAGGAGCATAGCCTTGTCATCCCTTTTGAACAGCAGCTCCCCGAACCGCCCGCCCAGAACCCACACGAGAGAGGTCTGGGACATGTTGCGCCTGCCGTCGATATCCTGCTGGAAGAGGTCGGCCAGTCCAGCTACTACTGGATAATAAGGACTGTCTGTAGGCGTGCCATCGAGCCCGAATACTTCGCAAAGGCCAGTCGGCAAACTCCTAGGGTCGAAGGGTCTCGACGCCACCTCGCGCATGTGGGTGATGACCTTGGTCATCTCCAGGGCTGATTCGCGGAAGGGACCGCCCTCCCGCGCCGGGTCCGTCATGTCGAACACCACCTGCTTGCCTGTACATATCTTCATCCATGCGAGATCCATGACTGATGTGGGCCGCAGAGGCCATGCCTGGGACGGAGTCTGCGCATCGGTAGATGCGACCGAGCCCAATGTGATGAGGGCCGACGCCATCCAAAGAGCGTCCCTTTCTGAGGGGACCAGAGGCTTGGATAACCTGTCATTTAATAGTACAAGTGCTCTGTGCCAGTGGTAGGTGTCTCTTGCGGTCTTGGCCATGGGCGTTTCGCTTGTCAGGATTTCATGAAATCGAGAGTAGGCCAAGACTGCATGCATGACGACCGAGTTCTAGTGTGAGGATTGGTTAGTCATCTCCAGGACAGGCAGACTAAGAATGCGAAGAAATAATGTTAACGCACAGAGAAGGCAAGAGGAAGCGTTTGGTCTGCATATTCTTGGCTAGTCTCGCACGAGCCGAGGGTCCTGACCGTGCGGTACTGGAACTTCTCGAGGAGCTCCATGTCCACCGGGGCCAGCTGGAAGACCTCGGACGGCCGAGTTGACGCGACCAAAGGCAGCGGGGCCGGTGGTGACCGTGGAGGGGACGGGGACGGGGACGGCAGTGACCCAACCGAGAAGCACATGCCTGCGTACAAGGTCTCAGCTGTGACCTTGGCTCCGTACACGCAGCGGACACCCAGCATACTGCAACCGGAGCAACATGGCCGCGCTTCATCGCACTATTCGGGGTTAGGACTGACAGTCCTGAATGGGCGAGTCTAAATCGACCTACCTTGACGCTCCTCAGTTTACAGTTGGCACATCCGAGCCGAGACTTGTGGTGGGCTCGGCGCTTCCTCTGGGCGGGCTTGGTCTCGAGGCGCTTGCCATTGGACGCCATGGCGCCGCTGGTGATGGTGGCGCGGCTGCTCCTCGCTTGGGTCCGCATACGAGTGACTTTATTTCCTTGTCTGGTATCGCTTTTTCCGGCAGAGATGGATGATCGCAAAGAGTGTCTGATGGGCGAAGACGCAATCTCACGTCTCCCGGGGCTCGCGAAGTGTAAAATCCGGAGGGCAGGCCGGTTGGAAGGCGCAAGTGGTACCTATGCTTGCTTATCCTGGAACTAAGCCTATTTCGTATACGATGGAGTCGGTGGAGCCCCAGCATTCCCGGAGACTTGCTGGCCGCTAGTCCTATTTCGTATTCTAGACTTCTCATGTTCACAGCTTCAACCTCATTCCACTCGTACGAAGGACCGACTTACGTTGCGAGCCGCTGATATCAGGGAGTCATGCATCACCGAGTAGTCAACTCGGATGTCCGAGGACGGGGTTTTGGTAGAACGCGTGCTACCGAGAACAGACAGGACAGAAATCGTATATAATCATGCTGCTTCCCTCTGCACTCGCCAGCAAGAAGAGCATAAACATCAAACAGCAATACAAAGACTTCACTTCTGCCTAACTTTCAATCACACAATATGGCTGGCCTACCAGAGAAGATGCGTGCCCTCGTTGCGACAGCGCCCGGCACCGGCTCCGTGGAGGAGATCCCCATGCCCGCCGTGCAGTACGGCTCCGCCCTCGTCAAGCTCGACGCATCGCTCATCCACAACGCCGCCAAGCAGGCCTTTGACGCCGCAAATCCCTTCTTCAAGATGCCGTACCCCGTCGTCCCCGGTGCCCACGGCATAGGCCGCGTCGTCGCCGCCGGCCCCGACGCCGTCCTCATCAAGGAGGGCCAGCTCGTCCTGGTGGCCTCCTTCACGCGGGCCCGCGACGACCCCAACGTCCAGAACCTCTGGGGCGTCTCGCCCTTGTTCACGCCCCAGACCATCAAGCTCTACACCTCGCTCATTCGCAACGGAGTTTACGCCGAGTACGTGCTGTCGCCGCTCGAGAACCTCTACGTCGTGGACGAGGCTCGGTTCCTGGGCGACCCTGCTCAGGGCGGGCTGGGCCTGAGCATTCCCGACCTCCTCCACCTGCACATCGACGCGGTCGTCTACGGAGGCCTCAGGAGCATCGACCTGAAGGCCGGAGAGCGCATCATCATCACGCCGGGTTCCGGGTTCTTCAGCATGGCTGCCGTCACCGTGGCCCTCGCCATGGGCGCCGACGTCGTCGCCACCAGCCGCAACGCCGACTTCCTGGCCGCCCTCAAGAAGCTTCACCCGCGGGTGGACACCGTGCAGACGACGGGCGATGTAGCCGCCGACAGCAAGGCTCTGGCGGCCTTTGGCCCTGTCGAGGCCGTCCTGGACATGTCTCCGCCCTGGGCAACGGGGTCGAAAGTCCTCACGTCAGCCGCATCGACGCTTCGGCAGTATGGACGGGTTTGCCTGCTCGGCGGCCGCATGGATGAGTCTATCCCTATTCCCCACGGCGAGATTCTTCTGAAGAGTCTCCGTATTCAGGGGCAGTTCATGTATCAGCGGGACGATCATTTCCGCATTATCAGGCTTGCAGAGTCGGGGCTTTTGAAATTGGGCAGGGCAGGCGGTTACCAACTCGCTGGCAGCTTTGGACTAGATCAGTTCCAGGAAGCTTACGAGAAGTCGACGAAAGGGTCCAGCTGGGATATATTCTATTTCAAATTCTAGAGGAGCCGTCTCGCATCCGAATATACGAAATCACTGTCTTCAAATATTTGCTGATCAACACGGAGAACAAATTAATCTATGCTGTGCAAGACTCTATCGTCTGTTCCTAACATGTTAAACTTCGACCGGATCATGGTTGTTCGCGTCAACTTCTTTCGACTTCCACTCTTAATTAATGTTGCTGGAGCAGCACTCATGTGAGAGCTCTAGTATGACTCTTGCTATCCTAGTGGCCTGTCCCGTTTGTGAAGGTGGGAGGGGCTATAAAACGAAAACATGAGAATAGATTCAGGTTCCAGGGCAAGAGTGCCCTCAACAGCCGAGATTTCCCGGCATGTCCCCCGTCCCGGTGAATAGAAGTTGTAAGAAAGTATACTAATCTTGGCTCTGCAGTGGAAAGACCTTATGTCTCACGTGCAGCGAGAAGTGAGGAAACTATATAGGCACTATCCTTTTGGATTGCATGGCTGAGATTTAGCTTCTGGGATTTCGCATCTTTCTTCCAACCCCACTCGGTGAAAGTCGGGCGAGGCGGCGATGGAGATTTCGATAAAGGCCAAGGTACAGATGGCAGTACAGGCTGCCTAGATAGTCGGGGCAACGCCACGTGCACTCGTAAATGATGCCAATATTCCGGTCATGTCTAGCATTAGCGAGGCATCAATTGCAAATGCCAGACTGATCTGTTCGAGATAATGCTCCCTATTTCCCAACTTGCGCCATTGAACGGCTAATGCTCCCGCAGCATCTGATGCTGAATACTGAGGCTGGAGAGGCTTCCGTTCTTCAAGAATATCTACCGTGATTGGCTCTTTCTCAGTCCCTATGAGTTGTCCCCACTGCACGCGGTTAAGACTTGATGCAGCCCCTATGAGGCCTGCAGCGAAGAGATCGTCCGTCACCCTCTGCATCATTCCAGGTAGCCAAGTCATGTCCGGATCATTACTGGCTTGTATGATGATGTTAGCATTTTTGCTCGAGCTCTTATAGCTTGATTGTGTAATCGACTCAAGGTGCTCGTTTGCGTTGGTCTTCTGGGTGGTTGCTCTCATCCGCTCGAGGCGTGGTGCTATTACAAGACCAAGTTGAAGGAGTATCTGAGACGCTTGTAGAGATGCACGTTTGAAATCCAGACGGCCATCGTCAGACCTTTCAAGACGGAATGGCTCCGGTGTATATCTGCTGGAAGTCGACGTCTTGTTGTTCTTGATCAGGCTACTAGGACATCTAGGTGTACACGGGCTGCTCACGGCCTCAGGCCTCTAGCCCCTCAGGAGGCACCCCGAGCGCTTTCCTGAGTTTCCCTGAGCCTCATCGAGCTCTCCGATCTCGCAGGACCCACTATGCATATCCGTTGTAGGCGTTTATTGGTGTATATGAAGCTATAACACCTATGCACAAGTATCGAAAAGTTTTGTCCAAGCTTCTGTTAGTATTAGATTGTTTTGTTACTCTTCCCTTTCACCTAGGACTGTCAAGAATAAGGAGAGAAACCCAAATATGAATATTAAACTTTAAAGGGTTTAGGGGGACTTGAATCAAGCGAAAGCAAGTACCCCGATTTAATGTATTGGAAGACAGAAGCAAAGACACAGACTTGAGTACACCAGAACAACCCTATAATATGGAATACAGATCTATGCACCGAGGTGATTGGAGTGATTACGGCCTCGATCACTCACTGACTCACTTCCTCGGTCCCAAAGCCATTCACCGCCATGTCTGGTTTTGGCATTGTTTTCGCAGCCTCCGCAGCCCGGACAAACCTCCCCAAAGCCATCAGCGGAAAGTAATGCCGGTACAGCGTATACCCGATGTAAAAGAAGTTAGGAAACCCAGTCCCCGTGTACAGCCTCTCGGGCCACGACGCCGACCCTTCCCCAAGCACGTCCGTCTGCGTGCCCACCAGGTGCGCCACGCCCGCCAGCACCGCCTCGTCATCGACCGTGCATGTCGCCAGCAGGCCCATCAGTGCCCACGCCGTCTGCGAGGGCGTTGAGGGCGCCGGCGCTGACCACGAAGGATCCCGGTACGTCTGCAGAGCCTCGCCCCACCCACCGTCGGGATTCTGCGCCTGCTTGATCCAGCGCGCGCCCGCGGCCGCCATTGCACGGCTCATCCTGCCCTCGTCGGTGTCACCGTTGGCAAAGTACGCGAGCCCGCAGAGCACGTTGCTCGTGCCGTATAGGTAGTTGACGCCCCAGCGGCCGTACCACGCGCCCGTCGGCTCCTGCGTCTCGATGAGGTACACGATCGCGCGGGCCGACGCCCGCTCCATGTGCTCGATGAGGGCGGGGTCCCTGACGCGCTGGCCGCCGCGCGATACGGTGTGCATCATGAGCCCAAAGACTTCGAGCATGTGGCCCGTGACGTCCGGGGTGGACGGGTCGCAGAGGCTGTTCATGTCACTGAAGGGGATGCGGTTGAGCCACAGGCGGTCGTTCTCCTTGTCGAAGGCCCCCCAGCCGCCGTCCGGGTTCTGCATTCCGCAAATCCACCACGCGGCCTTGACGACATCGTCGAGGCCTACGGCGCTAGGACTGTGCTTGATGAGGGTGATCAGCGCGGCCGCTGTGTTGTCAACATCCGGATACCACGTGTTGTAGTATTCGAAGCTCCAGCCAGCCGATATCAGGGTCGGGCTGTAGACGAGCCAGTCGCCGTGCTGCTCGTGGATCTGGCGCTCCCGTATCCAGCGAACTGCCTTTCGAAGGCGCACGTCTGATGGATCGAGACCGACGTCGCAGAGGCCGTGTACCATGAGCACAGTGTCCCACAGAGGCGATACGCAAGACTGCAATCGCTTGCCGCCTGTCTTGTCGCTCCAGGTAAAGCGCTCAATAGCTTCCATGCCAAGGATGATGGCCTTGTCAGTCATTTTGTAGCCTTCCAGAAGCAACGCCTGGACTCCAAAATGCATCGGTGGGATTATGCCGGCCCAGTCACCCGCCTTCTCCTGTCGCTCCAGAATCCACTTGATGCATTGCCGCCGCGCATACCCTCGCAAAGGATTTAGACGCAGACCGTCGAGCCAGTACAGGGCTGTGTCAAGTACGGTGAAGAAGTAGCTGAACAGGTCTGTGCCAAAGGGATCAAACAGTGAAGGCCCCAGTGGAGCCATCTTGTTGGTTGGGTCTAGCCAGAGTTCGTCTGCATACGTGTTGTTGGGGGATTTGCCATTCGGTAGTGCGTATATAGGCCGGTGATGGGCGATGATCAGTAAGGGGACCACCGTGGAGCGCGCCCACGACGCGAGCCGGTATATGTTGAGAGGCGCATACGAGGGCAAAAGGATTAGTTCGGCAGGGAGCTGAGGTATAGCTGCCCACGGGAAGAGTCCGAACTGGGCAAAGTAGATGCGCGTGAAGACGCGCACCTTGGCCACACCACCGCTATCTCGAATGAAGCTTCGTGCTCTCTGCATCTCTGGAGCATCTGTTGGCACGCCGAGGATCTTGAGCGCAACGTACGCCTCACAACTAGTTGAGACGTCTCCTGGGTAGTCTGGGGCAATGGTCCAAGAGCCGTCGGCCTGTTGCTCGTGGAGTAGATATTTCTTGTACTCGGCCGCATCAGGGATGTGTCCCTTCTCTAGGCCTAAGGACTGGTAAAAGAAGACCTGCTCGGCAGTCAGCGTGGCATTGGCCTTGAGTTCACCGTACCAGTGGCCGTCTGGCTTGATGATATCCCAGGCATATTGAGCCGCCTTGGCACAAGCCCTTTTCGCTTGGAAAGCGATCGCAGCTACAGTCTGTGTGGTCGACGACATCATGGCTTTGCCTACTGAATAGAGCCCGTGATTGCTTCGGTTCAGGGGAGCAGAGGTCAATGATCTGTAGCTTCTCCCCAAAATGCTGGGATATGTATAAGCGTCAGGCCACGGTATTTCTTGTGGGCTCTTGCTCAGCTCCAATGTCTAGTCGCTCCCGGACATAGGACTACCCGAAATAGTCACGTCGTCTTCCCTTGTTGTATTGATATGCAAATCGGACTACAAGTCACCATTCTTAATTGGCCAGCTGTATTCTTGTAGTAAGCTTTTAGAAACGCCAATAGGTGTGTTGTATACAGGGTTAGACCACGGATTCAGATCCTACAGGCGCCGTTCGAAGTAACCTAGAACGCAATAATAACCTTTTTCGTCTCGACAGGCATCTCAACGACTATCAAAAGGCCGAATTATCCCAGCAACATATTTCATCAACGCAGAATCTGACAAGGTCCTCCTGGAAACCCAACGAGATGCACCCGGGCCCGCGCTTATGCGAACGCGTGAACCTGACGGTGGACGTCTCGGGAGCGTATCTCTACCTCGCCTCGGGTCACGTCAGCTAAGTGGCGAGAGAACCCCCCCCCCCCCCTCCACCTCCTGCCTTGTTTAGAAGCTGCAGGGCGGCGGCGTCCGAGGCCAATGTAACAATGCTGGCTGACGCATGGTTGGATTTGGGCTGTAATCACAACTGTCATCACCACCTTTATGCCAGCGTTGCCTCCAGCCTTACCCACGCAACCCACCCCAAAAATCCTTCTAATGCATAGTTCGGCGCAAACAGAGGCATTGCACCTTGAAGCCTGATAGAGCGAGAGCGAAACCGAACAACGAGAGCGAGACCGTGAGAATATGTGGAATGCTTTATCCAAATGGCGTGATGCTTCCTATTGAACAGCAAGCGGGCGATCAACCCGCCTCTGATGTCTTGATGAGAACGGTTACGTGCCCTTTGTGGAAACTTACATGAACAAGTATACATGCTAGATAAGCCTTCCGCGGCCAGTGTTAGCATAGATCGGTCCCTTGCAGTTAGTAGGTTATGCCATACTCACTTGGTACTTGCAACGAGGTCTCCTTATTTAAGAACCCGGAAGGCTAAGCAGTGAGCATTTGAGACGCCCTGTACGCCGTACCAAGAGATTTTGTATAGGCCTGCAAGACTTTTGAGTCCCGAGTGAGTGGGCCTGCTGCTTAAGCTGCTGCTGCTTCTGGCATTGGAACTCCCAGATCACCAACATCGGACACTACAGCATCCGACGTACCGGGACCCTGCATCTTCCTACTCTTTATGAAACTACATGATTTACCCCTTTCGCGCTTGTGCCATTCACATATAACAAGCTGTACCTATCAATCAACACGAGAAAAGAGTGCATCAACAGAGAAGGCAACATGCAACCAGCCATAGCCCTTGCCCTTGGCACGGCTTTAGTTCACTTCGCCGCCGTCATCCTCATAGACCGTGTGCGCCGCTACCGGGCTCTCGCCGCCTTGTCCCGCAAACACAGGTGCGCCCCGGCCCAGAGGGAACTCCCATGGGACCTTCTGGGCCTGTACAAGGTCTGGAGCGCGGCCAAACACGTCATCGCGGGCGACTCGCTCAAGGATGCCGAGCGTCTATTCGCATCCTACGGCCAGACGTACGCCTCATGCATCCTCGGGCAGAGGGTCTTCTTCACGTGCCACCCGAGGAACATGCGGCAGGTGCTCGTATCGCGGTTCCAGGACTTTGACAGCTCCAAGGGCATCAGGGACCACCTCTTCAGGCCCATCACGGCGAGGGGGATATTCGCCCTCGACGGGGAGGACTGGAAGGCCGCGCGGGGCTTGTTCCGCGACCTGTTCTCCCACACGCGCACGCTGTTCGATATAGAGCTGCAGGAGCGCTGCTTCCAGAACCTACTTGTGCGGCTCGAGCACGAAGAGCGAACGAGCGGCAAAGCGATGGACCTGCAGCCACGATTCTTGGATTTGATGCTGGACCTGACGACCGCGTTTGCCATGGGCGAGTCGTCCGATGTGCTACGCCTGGACCAAAGCGCAGAAAAGAAGGAGTTCGTCGCAGCGCTGCTATACGTCAAGAAGACGATGGCGCGAGACGGGTTCTTGGGCCCGGTACACGTTTTCCTCAGCAAGAAGGAATTTCACCGATGTTGCGGTACAGTGCATCGCTTCGTGGAGCGGGTGATCCGGGAGCGGTTGGAGAGCAAAAGTCAGCTGGAGAAGAGCCAGAAATCAACGCCGGACGGCGGTGATGCCAGCGAACACAAGAATCACGGCTGCCTCCTCGACGGGCTCATGGAATCGTCAACCAACGTTCTTGAGCTGCGGGACGGTGTCGTCACGATCTTGATCGCGGGCATCGACTCTGTGGCCAGTCTACTGTCGACGACATTCTTCTTGATCGCGCGAGACCAGCGCGTCTTTGACAAGCTCCGCGAAAGCATCCTGACCTCGATCGGTCATGAACAGCCCACATACGAATCTCTTCGCAATCTTGGATATCTGCGACATGTTTTCAACGAGAGTAAGCCCAACAACCACACATCTGAACATCGCCCAGCATCAGCAATACAGAATGGCCGAGGATACTAACACAAACTTTCCACCCAGCAATGCGCGTGTACCCCCCAGTGCCCTTCAACGCCCGTACAGCCAACACCGACACCGTCCTGGCCGTGGGAGGCGGCCCCCACGGCGACGCGCCCGTTCTGGTCAAGAAAGGCGAGCGCGTGGTCTTCTCGTCGTGGGGCAGCCACCGCAGCCTGCAAAACTTTGGCGACGACGCCCATGAGTTCCGCCCGGAGCGCTGGGACAAACTGCAGGCGGAGACGCTAGGCTTCATTCCCTTCAACCAGGGGCCCCGAGCTTGCCCCGGACGTGAGTTGCAAACCCCGACGGCCAATTTGTGTGCATGGTGACATTTGCTGACGCGCGGAGGTGGGTGGGTTCAAACAGAGCATTACGCGCTGATGGAGGCATCTTACGCCACCGTCCGCCTGTTGCAGATCTTTTCGAGTGTCAAGCCCAGGGATGAGAAGGGATGGCGTGAGAACCTTGGACTGAATCTCTCCAACTTGAATGGCACCGTTGTCGAGCTGGTGCGCGACCCGGCGGCTCCTGCGGCGGGCTAGATAGAAGGAGGGCGACGTGTCTCGGTGGGTGAATGTAACACATCGCATTCTTTCGGAGGATCCGATCAGCCTGGAGGGGACTGGACGGACGGGAAACGGCTTACCTGCATACTCCGTAGACCGAACAATGCAATGGTTTGTTTCTATTATTTCCCAGAGGCTTAGATACGATAAGCTTTTTAGTAAGGCCTTCCCGTTATGTACAAGTGTTGCAGATCGTTGCATGGGAAGTGATCCCCGATCCAATCATTCAAATGCTATCTCCCTAAGCGCTTAGTGTGGCGCGCGTTATTCTCCGATCAGGGTGGCCAATCGGCTCGGACAGCCCTGCGAGCCTGTATCAATGGCCATGGCGACTAGGATGCTCGTTTAGACCTCGCTTTCTTTCCGTCTTTCGGTCGGATACCATGGGCACATAGAGCCACGGATCCAAACTCATCTCATCAGCTGTGCGAGTGAGGTCAATAAACACAGTAGAATGTAGGACAATGTGACCATTGTGTGTTTATATAGCTCTAACTTAGACCCTGTACTTGAAGAGAGTAATGGGTGGAATGTGACACTCGCTCCGTCTGATATCACAAAACACTACAGTAGTTACAGAGTTCTGCAAGATGGGCGATATCACTGATGCTATCTCGACCGGGTCGGATTACGCATCTCTCTCGGACGAGGAGATTATTGCCCGCCTCTGCACCTACACCCCTGTCAACCCCGACTCGGAGAAGAATGTCTGGGCCTACTGGGACAAAGGTCTTGTGAACGCACCAGCGTGGAATCAGCGAAATGTCGTGAGTTGGGTCCGGCGTCTAGGGCCGTCCTGGACTGTCCGCGTTCTGGACATCGTGGGCGGCTCGCCCACTCACGTTTCCAAGTACGTTGACGACTCGTACCTGCCCAAGGCCTTTCTCGACAAGGACTTGCCCGGACCTCACGCTGCTGCCAGCGCGTCGGACCTCGTGAGATTGCCTCTGCTCTATCAATACGGAGGCGTCTGGATCGATGTGGGCTTGCTTCTCTTCCGTAGTCTCGACGCGCTGTGCTGGGACGCCCTGACAGAGCCAGGCACGTCATACGAGCTGGCCGGTTTTGCCGTCAATATGGGCCCAGAGGTCGGCATGATCTTCAACGGATTCATCGCGGCTCGAAAGGGCTGCATCTGCGCCAAGTACTGGCACGACATCCTTCTGGAAGCCTGGCGCCACACGAACAGTATCAGTGGCATGAGCAGCCACCCCCTGCTCCGCCATCTGCCACGATACGAGCCGCCGTCTCGAAACGGCAAGATGCCTCCCTTTCGGTACGCGCAGTTCGCCGACTATCTATCCCAGGTCTTTGCGCTGGAGCGTCTTCGGCACCTTACGGACCCGGAGACTGGATGGAACGGTCCCGAGTATTTCGACGCCAAGGTGTTGCTCTTTGACTGCGTCAGCGAAGTCTACTGGGCAGAGCGGCTGACCAACTGGGACGGCAAGAAGCAGTTTGAGCTCTTGGGCCAGCAGAGAGAGGGTGCGGTGGAAGAGGACGGAGGATACAAGGAGGCCGACGCCTTCGTGTCTGGTATCCTGTCCAAGTCCTCGACGATGAAGATCTCCCACGGGCTCCCCACTGCCGGCAGGGTGTACCTGGCGGAGTTGTGGGACAAGCCAGAGAACGCGGATGCGGACAGGAAACCGGGTAGCTTTGCGGCATATCTTAGATGGGCCAGTGAGCACTTCGAACAGACCCTGCCGCTGCAGCCAGTGAAGATGCCGCTGGTTCCCGGCAGCTCCCTGACAGGTGGTATTCTGACGGGGCGGGGCAAGCCCCGCGAGGAGGAAGGACAAGAGAACTGTGCCGATGGCACTTAGGTAGTGTCCAAGAGTTTCAGTGGTTCGTCTAGCAGATATACCAGGTGTTCGGGAGTCTGATCCCGGATGGCATAGACTTCGCGATAGGCCGTTTGCCCAATCCACCATATGTCTTTTGCATGAGATGAGAGTGAGAACAAGTGGGCCAGTATGATTAAGGCCCGTGGCCTTTGTTCCTCGACGCACGACAGGAAGCGTTCCGGTACCAAGCTCGCAAAGGACATCAGTCTCCTGCATAGAGCCAATGGATGTTCTCCACGGTTTGCGGCAGCTCGGATGGAGTGAACATGGCTGATTGCCTGTGGGTACACGTGCAGGATATCTGACTGCTCATCCCGAAGGGTCGCAGTGGGGTCTGTGTCGGTTTCCTCGAGAATGTCTGAAAGGTTTCCCATTTCATCCTGGCTGATAGGTGCCTGGGATTTCAAGTAAGCCTCAGACGATCGAATCATTGTCATGATACTGGCTGCTGGATCCAAGTGGATCCTAGTCCAAGCAGCTTCAAACACAGAACGAGCACCGCGTACTACCCTCAGCCAGCCCACAGGCGGTTCGTAACGGTCAAGGGGCCGCTTCTGCAGGACAGCAAAGGTATCGATTAGCAGAAGAATGGACGCGAAGCAGGCCGGGTTTGCAGTCCCATCATTCAGGCTACTCAGTGCTCCTCGATGAGCCCTCAAGGCCGCATCTAGATACTCGGCTCGGCGTTCGACCAAGCGCGGGTCGGGAGATCCAGAGGTAACAAGGTGGAGAGAGGCAATGGCGAGTAGGATATACATCAGCGGCTCATAGCTCAGAGCAAGTCTAGGCACCTCCACAGACCAACAGTTCCTGATGCTCTCGATATGACTTCCAGGCAGGGTGAGGGTAGTGGCGACTATGAAGTGATGAAAGACACGGAATTCGCAGGAGAAGAGATGGATGCTACATCGAACAGGGAACGCTAACTGGTCAGGTGCGGAGCACTCGACGGAGTCGCTACCATCTGCGGAGCTCGTTGGGGACGGCGATGCTTGTGTGCTGCTACCATCGAGAGGTTGACTTGCTCCCGAGCTCGGTTGCGAAGGGGTGAGGGATGTATCTCGATCGTAGTGGCAAGGGACATTATGCCTATGGCAGTTGTTCTACCAAACAGTACATCAAGTCAGGTGTGCCACGGCACCACTGGAGAAATAAATTCGCGGACAACGTACACAGACTGGATGGGTTTCGTCACACTGTGATACGGAATATCGGTTAGCAGCTGGGAATAGTTTGAATACATTCGATGATAAGTGCAGCAACAACGTCCTGAGACAAATCGCATGAAAATGGCTACCTTGACACGACGAGAACGACATCGAGAACATCCGGTTCTCGACTTCTTGTGATACAACCGCGGCGGTCGTGGTTGTGTGGCTTGCTGCTTTCGAGGCTTGTCGGTCATGATGGGAGACAAAGCAGGCGGGATGGAGATCTGAGATGGCTGAGATAGTGGCGGGATCAAGCTTTGCCAAGCAGCAGAAAAGCTTGTCTCGGGAGCTTGCACGTCTCCCCTGACAGACTGCTACTGGAGAAGAGGGAGGGAGGCGGCGAGAAGACAAGCAGCCGAGATCAGCCTTTACTGCGGAGCAATCATAGCATACCAAGTAAGACGACTAACGTCACATCCTCCCGGCGGGATTCGGCACAGACGATGGATCTTGAAATGATGTGTGCCCGATGTTTCATCAGAAAGCTGGAGCCTGAATGAAATGTGCATGTCTTGCCCATTTATTTCCTGTGGGGGGTGGGGGGAACGAGCCAGGATGCTCGCTCTCGTTTAGTAGCGCCCGCCATCGATGCCAATAGATCGATCGCCTTTTCACCCAGCCCTCTCTCTGCATGGATGGATCATGCAGAAACCCTGAATGGTACGTATGGGCAGTATCATGGGCGGCTGTGCTCACAGCCCAGGCATTCTAGTTGGCGATCAGCAAGCCTGGTAGCCACCAGTTTGCTTTCGTGTCTGTCCTTTGTCTCGTCTCTACGCGCCGATGACGACGAGAGGCCTCATTCTGCCTTTTCCCGCTTTCTAGCATCTTCATCGGATGCGCCCAACTGACTTGTTCTCTTCCATCCTCTCATTTCCCTCTGTTTCGAATATTCCCTAAGCCTGAGTTCAAGTTCTGCCAACACATTCATCTCACCGTTCTGAACCTTTTGTTTAAAAGGGGCATTTAAAACCCAGACAGAGACACCACAGGCTCCTACACTGCCCCGAACAAACCACGTAGTCATACCTTCGCGACATGCGAGTCCTCTTCCTGCTCGTCGCATCCCTCACCGCCATCGTCCTCAAGTCCAAGGACAAATCCAAGGCGAAAAAGCGTCGCCAAGAAAACGACGAGTTCCCCGAGCGAGATCATCAGCCGGTCGACTACGCCCCCGACACAAGCAGCTGGAACGACAAAGCCTTTGGTAAAAGCGACGCACCACCCCCTTACCGTGTTCGAGCATGACCAACTCGCTTGCCACGGCCGAACTGGCCATCTACGCGATCCTTTCTATCCCAGTCCTCTACATACTCGTTCGTCATGGCCTTGCCGGGCTTTTAGGCTGGTGCTATCTTTTCGCCTTCTGCACCCTGCGGCTTGTTGGCGGAGCCATGTCGATGCAAACAGATAATGGTTCGGGTAACATCATATCCAATGTCGGCCTGTCTCCTTTGCTCCTTGCTGCATCTGGCATCCTACACGAGTCGTAAGTATGTCCTTGTATCCGTTCTATTGTGGAGATCACGACCTCACACTTCTCTAGGAGAATTTATCGCCTATCTCCCCTGAACAAGGTCCTGGAATGGACCATTGTCGCACTTTTCCATGTTATCGTTGCTACCGGGGTGGCTTTACTCGGTGTAGGGGCTTCTGCCCTGCAGAATGCCAATCCAAAGCCGAGCGATCTGCAACTGGTTGAGATCGGCATTGGCATACTGACCGCTTCCTGGGCCATCCTTTGCGTCTGGACCGCAGCAACTCTGTTCAAGGGTCGCAGATCTAGCAGCCGCAACGCCATTGTCTTTGGGCATGGTACAACTGTTCGTATTCCCCTCTGGTATCCACTGATTCCAACTTGGTGAACATATCGCTGACACTCTTTCTTCTATCCAAGCTTCTGATGGCCGTCATCCTTGCTCTTCCGTTCATCGGCATCCGTGTTCTCTACAGCCTGGTCGCGCTCTGCACCCGCAAAGCTTACCTCAACCCTGTCACTGGCTCTCTGACAGTCCGCATCTTGCTGAGCTTTCTTCCGGAATTAATCACAACCCTGCTATTCATAGCGGCCGGCATCCGAACCGATCAAGTTGCAAGAGCTGCCCGTGCCCACGATCGACAAGACACGAGGCGCCAGCGCGGAACAAAGCATATCGCTCCGGAGGAGTTTGCCAGGTGAATACAGATGGCTGGATGTATTCCGTGAAGGGATATTATTATGGCTTGCCGCTGTAAGCAAGACCATGAGTAGCAGATTGAAAGATTTAGAGCCTAGTTCGGTGCTGGGGGCTTTTAGATAGTTGTGTGAGAACAATACAAAATGTGAACCTCATCGCACCAAGTTCCCGTCTCCAATGGGTCGGTGCAGCGGCAATAACCTAGTGTGTCTTGTGTACGTAAAGCTCGGCGGTCCGAGGCCATGGACTTGATCGTATCCCCCTGAATTTACTCGCTGGCCCAAATGATCAGCAGCAAGTTTGTTCCCGGAGTGAATACCTGTGTCATCGTCGTCGATTGCAAGCTGTGGCCTGCAGGTAGAAAGTCTGAGCCTTGCTTCACTATGTCATTCTGACCAGGGCTAAAGCATAGCCGAGTAAAACAGCCATCGATTTCCATCAACTCTCACCACCACAAGTATATACTCTTGCTGATGGTCTCCTTTGTCTCTACCGGTCATCTAAGCCTTGTTTTTAAAAGTCTAAATCTCACAATTCAACTGTTTGATCACTACGATCTCACAACTATTAGGCTGCTAATTCATAACGACTACCATTCTATCACCCTATTTCTACGCTACTCTCTGACAAATATATCTATATTCTTGGCTTATATTATTAACTTCTTAAACAATACCCTCCCCGCCAGGGATCTCATGGGCATTTTGGCGTTGCAGCGATAACTGGAGTATTATATCCAAGTTCGGCGCAGAGAAACCAAAGAACATAGGCTACTTCTTAGGTGCGGCTCAGCCGGAACTGGAAGTTGCTCAGGTCTGAAGACCAAAGGGGAATTTGGAAGGGTTCATATCTGAAGTTGACTTTATTGGAAGTTTCGCGTAAAATGCGAACCCCAGGGAACCATTGCATCAGCGCGTTGGATATGAACTGGCAGTCTATCTCCACTGCACTGGCCACATCTGAGGGTTGTGCAACATGTGATGGTTTCTGTTGGACACCGTATTGTTCCATGATCAATTTCCCTATATCCGTGGTCTGAGATGAGGCTGCGTGGATGGCTGACCGAAGATGTTCTATCGACCCTTGGATCGCTAGCTCGATTCACTTTTGCGACGACACAAGCTCTTGCTGCGAGGCCTGGGTCGACACCGCGATGGCTTGGTTGGTGTTTTGTATGCCTTGAGAGAGGACCAACATTTGTCGATGTAGGAGATTGACATCGTGGCTGGGAGATAGAGTTGTTAGATTATAGCGACTGGGTGAATGATGAGGCTAGAAATGAATTGACCTCGTACGAACTTGGATCGAGCTTGTCAGAGTCAGCTGGTGATGATTGATGGCCTTGATACCATGCTTAATCTGAGCTTCGTTGAGAGCGAATGCCACATTGCTTTTGAATATTTGCAGCCAACCTTGGCGAAGTTGGCTGGTGCTCTTGCCTCTGAGCAAGTTTTTGATCTGCTCGTGGGCTCTCAGTGATACGTAGACTTGACGCCGGATTTGATCGCAGTTCTCGTGAGGTTTCCAGGTTGGGTTGCGGGCCTGTTCCAAGTCTTCACGGACGAGCCCAATGACGCCGACAAACTCTTGCAGTAGAGCTTGTAGCCTCGCTGCAGACTGTGAGGCAGTTGATATGCGCCTGACTAGCTCGTAGAGCTTCGTCGTGCACCGGATAACGACATCGGCCAGGCCCACGACTCCCCTAATATTGGCAAGCGTCGCAAGATCCGCCATCTGGGACAACGGTTCTTTTCAGTCTAGCATGCAAGATGTAGGTAGGAAAGAGGTGATAGAGTCTAGTGGAGAAGGAGGTGTCTTTCTCGAATTTATGCGTCATTTGCCATTCGTATCCCTCTCTCACTAGCTACGCGAATGCACTCCTTATTGGAGGTTGCTGATAACGCGTCGGCAAGGCATACCGCGGGCGAATTCGATCATTCGAAGTCAGCCTGGCTTGCTCTTATGACTGTGCTACCTCAGATACGCGGGTCTCAGACACACAAAGTTCCAAAGAGCACGTTTTGCAAGACGATCTATCAAAACACAAGCAACAGTCTTATTTTTGATGAAAAACCAGTCGTGGACAACCATTTGTCAGTCATGTCTATAACGCCTTTTGCTGCCTCTTGTCGTCGAGGGTATAGCGCAAGTTATCTATACAATATCAAGTCGCGATCAAAGCTCGCTCTTGATAATGGCTAGTGACGACCCTCGGTCTCTTAGCCTATTCTGCATTCGCTCATGGATGGTCTTCTCCTGTTGTAAGCAGGTACCGCAGACCGTAGCTTCCGACCCTACGACGCGAGCCACCCTTACATAAAGGGCGGCAGGGAGAAGGGGTAGCCACCGTTCTTGATGCGGAAGACGCTCAGGAGGAAGCTGTACATAACAAACAGTATGCCGCCCCAGGCCAGAATGGCGACCTGCTGGGTCTTGGCATCGGCTATCCTTGGCGCCCTAAGCGCAAGAGCAATAGCAGCGAAAGACAAGACACCATCTGAGAGGAATTAGTATTCAGGGCTCCGGCAATACCAGTAGGGACTGGAGCAACATACACATGGCAGCAACAATCTGAGTCTCCAGGCCGTATTGGTTCTGGAAGCCACTTGCAAAGTAGCTGATACCGCCCTTGCCGTCGCCAGCGACGTAGGGAACCTTGCGGATGTGGTTGAACATGTGGCCACTCGTGAAGAGGAGGATGGAGACCAGGCTGATGGCGGCCCAGACATTGCGGTTCTGGATGATGGGAAGAACGTAGGGCCAGGCGACAAAGGCGACAGTGACGGATCCGAGGGTCATAGTCGTGCCAGCAATCCACCGCATCCAGTTAATAGGGCGCTTAACCGGAGGATGCGGACCATCAGGGATGTGTCGAGAGATCCAAGCATGAACTTGCTCGGCAGTTTGGGGTCTGAAGAGTGTTAGAAATGGTTGAGTTCATATGTATTCGCCCAATCTAGAAAACATACCCGCTAGAGAAGTCATATCGCAGTGGCTCGGGGGAGGAGGGAGCATTGGGGCCAACAGTCGGAGGAAAGAAGAAGAGGACAGGTGCGGTTTGGAGGCCGAGCTATTGAAGAGAGTCAACGGTGTTGGTAAGATCTGTCTCAGCTTGAGATCGTCTCGACGCTTTGTCGTACCTTGAGGAAAGTATCCCGTCCATCAGTAAAGTCGAGGGTCGCGAAGTTGAGGCGCGACTCGCCCTTCTTGTCGCCCTTGAGCCAGCTCTTGGAGAGAAGGTCCCATTCGGGCTGGAACTCTCGGCACAGCTGGCACGCAAAGCGAGCATCCATTGCGGTCAGGAGAATGGCCGAGGCATAGTCGCGAGGAGTCGAGGTCAGCTTCTGGTACGAGGCATCGTCGAGCTTGACAGGCGATGAGGTCGCTAGCGACTTGTCGTGGAAGTGGGAGAACCTGTCGGCCTTGACGGACTTCTTGGCCGCCAGGGCGCCGCCCACTGAAAGGACAGAGAGAAACAAGGAGAGGACGCGCATCTTGTCGGGTGATTGGACAGCTGGAAGACGGCCGTGAAAAAGAGCGTAAACTGGGAGTGAGGGCAGTCACAGTTTCTGCGTCTTCACCTTGGCTCAATGGGGTCAAAGAAGAGAGAGAGAGCTTCCTTACTACTGAGAGCCAAGTCGAAGCTCCACGTACGCCAAAATGAGGTGTCCTCAGCTTAATTGGCACATCTTCGGTTTGGCTGCGTCGTTACGCGGTCCGAGCTTTAGTGGGGCACGGAACCAAGGATGCGCATTGTGGCGCCCTGTGGCTCGAGAGTGGGGGAGGCTCTTGGTGCTGTGGCGCCATGCTCAGCGATCCGCTTTAGGCAGTCTGTTTACCCGGCAACGGAAAACAAGCGCGGCATTCAAGCCACACCCCAAACAACATTGAAGCACGCTCTCCTACAAAGTGTGCCTGCCACTGAGGGTGCCATCGTCCATTCAATCTGTCCCGCACCTGGCCAACCCATGTCATAGGCATCTCTTTGATATATCCTGGCTTTCTGCTTTCTCCCATCTTAGCCTACCTGATTATTCAAGTATTGAGCTACTCACCTTGCGCGATTATTGCTTGTCAACATCAACCAGAGCAAGATATCCCTTTGCTGAGGGTAGGATAAACATGGATGCTGTCAAGGTAGGCTTGATCCTGCCCAGTCTGCCCCCAAGACAAGTACATGACTAACAACAGATGCCTTCCACAGAGGACAGAAAAGATCCACGATCTCGACATGCGGTACCACAACACATTGAACCAGGGCAAGCTGGTTGTCAGCGAGGAAGACTCGCGGAGACACAGGCTTCGCAGCGTTGTTCTTCGAGATGAGGTCGCTTCTCTGAAGGACCAACTGAACAACAAAGAGGACAAAATCTCGCAGTTGTTTGCGCAATACGATGGCATTCGAAGCCAGCTCGACAACACACTCGAGAAGTGCCGTGAACAAGAGAAGCAAATCCGCACCTACGTCCGCGAGCAGTCAAATCTCAAGGTACATCCACAATTCCTGGCTCGTGATCAGGGTATCACTGCGACTAACAAGGCTTTGCAGGCTGAAATGCAGTCGCTCATGGGCGCGTCAACAGACTCCACGAAGCTCCTATCCGAAAAACTCGCCCTGACGCGAGAACTCGGCCTTCTGAAGCCCGAGGTTGAGCATCTCCGCTCCCAATTGGCCCACCAGAAGGACGTCCTGAGCCAAAAGCTGGCACTGGAGCGCCAACTCGATGCTCTTGAGGTCGAGCTTGCCAACGAGAAGCGTGCCGCAGAGAAAGCCACACAAAAACAAGCAAATGACGACAATGAGGTTGAAGATGAACTGAGGAAACAAATCCAAGAGCTGGAGAAGCAGCTGGCTGCCGAGAAACGTGAGACGGAGAAAGCAAAGAAGAACGTCAAGGGCAAGAAGGGCGCGAACGACGATGAGCTCAAGCGGAGAATACAGGAACTCGAGGAAGAGCTGGAATCCGAGCGGGCTGCGCCCAAGTCCACTGGTCCTGTCAGCAAGGGCAATGACGCGCAAATCGAAGAACTCCGCCAACAACTCCAAACGGCCGAAGCTGGCCTGGCCAAAGAGAAGAAGGCGAAGCTTGAGCTGCAAAAGTCACTCGAGGCTCGTGCTGCTGAGGCTCAACAAGAACGGGATACCCTGCAGCAGAAGTTTGAGACGATGAAGCTGAAGCTCCGCGAGACCCGAGAGGATCTCAAGGCCGCCCGTGCTGACGCAAAGAAGGGCAAAGCTGCAACGTCTGTTCCCGTCTTTGACAGTCCTGTTAAGGTCCCGACCGCAAAGCCACAGGTCAGGCGGAAGCGCGGCGCCAACGAGATTAGTGATGACAAGCTCGTCATGCACACGCCTAACAACACGGACGGGCGGACGAAGCGTCCTCTTAAGAAGCGGGCCTTCGAGCCGACTCTGGTAGGGGAGAAGTCTACCTTTTCCATCACGCCCTTCCTCAACAAGACCATCAACTTCACCGAGGCTTCTCTCGACCTCAGCACGGGTAAGCGACAGGCAGCTGAGGAGACCCACGCTGTCACCGAGACGATCGCTGAGGAGGTCGACTCGAGCACATCGATCGCACAGGCCGAGGTCACAGAGACAACCACTGCTCCAGTGGCGGTCGCCAAGCCTGCACCCAAGGCACGTGGACGCCCACCCAAGGCCAAGGTTCTTGGTGAGGCGTCGCTCTCCAAGAGGAATATGCCAGTCTCCAACAGCCGCAAGACGGCGCTTAGCGAGCCCACGCTAGAGAAGGTCCTGGAAGACAAGAACGAGGCTGCTGGTGCCGAGCAGGAGAACAGGCCGCCTGTCGGCGCCAAGTCTGCTGGCAAGGGCCTCAAGTTGAAGCTCACTACCACTGCTCCCGAGACCACGCGCCACAGCGGTGTCAGCAACACATCGGCCAGCACCCTGTCAGAACCCGAGCCCAAGAAGAAGAAGCGCAAGCTGCTCGGGGCCGCGAACAAGACGCTTTTTGACGAGGAGGACGGTGAAGCTGCGCCTGCTCCTGCTCCCACGAAGCGCAAGGTGCTTGGCGGCGGCGCGAGGGCACTGGGCAAGGCGCCCATGATGGGCCGGGGTGCGTTTGCTGCGGGCGGCACGTTCTCGCCGCTGAAGAAGGAGAGGAGAGGTGTCAATGCGAGCTTCCTAGCTTGATTGTTCTTTTTTATCTGGCAAGTGCAAATGGTTAGATGCACGGATTGGGGACATGGACTTGGGTTGGGTTAGGGGCGGTTTGGTTGTGGCGTTTTGACTGTTCTTTGCATGGTTTGGAGTTTTTGCGATGACCTTTTTACAAGACTGGTTTACTGCTGTCTTGCTGTATGAATAATTCTGAATTATATGCCCACAGAGAGGTGGCTTTGCAAGATGATTCATTCTATTAAACGCGATGTCGATGTGGTTATGATTCCGTGTAAGAGGTGCCCGCTATGAAGTGGCTTCACAGCTCCGCACTAACATTTACTTGACGTGGTTCGAGCTTTTGAAGTTTGCACCCTCATTTCATCTCACATGAAATCAGTTTCATGAGTTTAATGACCCGATATGCCCTTATACACAATTGATTGATTGCTCAGATACCTTTACTTTGAAGTCTCTCATCTCAAAATCTCTTCCTTCCATGAGGAGACCTCCGTCGGAACAGGCATTGCAAGCCACCGGCAGAAGATTTCCTTTTCCCATTCATCCTCGACTCCCGCCATCATGATACGCCGTGTCGTGCGCTCATGGGCGCGACCGACGGCTTTAGCCATGGGAAAGCTCAACAGCTTGTCCATTGACGCCCTGGCATCGCATCTATCGCGCGCCTCGATAGCACAGGGTGCGCCGCGGGACATATGCCACCGATGCTGGCAGAGGCGCGCCGCCTCGACGGGGTCGTCGGCGTCGTCGCGGTGGAAGCAGAGGCAGGGCAAGGACTTCTTCGCGCGCGAGGCCAAGGTGCAGGGCTTGAAAAGCAGGGCGGCGTTCAAGCTGCTCGAGGTCAGTGGCATCTCCGGGCAGATGGCACACTCCTCTCTCATCTCGAGAGCATACTCGTGCCTTGAGAGGTCAACACTTTGACGTGCAAGAACTAATTCAAATACGGCCTTCTGCAGATCGACGCAAAGTACAGAATCTTCAAGCGCGGCCAGTCCGTCGTTGATCTCGTACGTCCCTTCTCTCTTCTTCCCCTGTACCCAGCCCATTGCATCCTCTCACCTGATATCTCTTTCCTTCTTTTCGTCCCATATCTGATCGCTCACTCGCTGGGACAGGGTTACGCCCCAGGCTCCTGGTCCCAGGTCGCCGCCGAGCGCACCAAGCCGACGGGCCGCATCCTGGGCATCGACCTGATCCCGGCGCAGCCCCCGCGCGGCGTGTCCACCATCCAGGGCGACTTCCTCTCGCCGCACGTGCAGCACCTCGTCAAGCAGTTCCTGGCCGACGACGAGGTGCGCCGGAAGCGGCACCGCGCCGAGGAGGCGGCGGTATTTGAGGCCAGCAGCGAAGAGGGTCCCGATAATGATTCCGGGGCAGTAGTTGAGGAACGTCCCAGCTACATCGACCTCGAGAGGCATGCTGCGCAAGAGGAGAGGGAGGCCGAGGCCGAGGTGGAAGGCACCGCGGAGGCCGAGGGCAGCAGCAAGGGCCAGGACAAGGCCGGGAGGCTGGTAGATGTCAGTAATCCGCCCCTCTTCTTCTTCTTTCTGCTTTCTCAACTGCGGTGGGTCTGTGCTATTGCGAGCTGACATCCTGCCCATGGTTCAAACGACAAACAGGTAGTCCTGAGCGACATGTCAGCACCCTGGCCCCAGACGACCGGCTTCTCAGTGAACACGTTGACCAACCCGTACGCCAGGATGATGAACACGAGCGGCATGCCCTTCCGCGACCACGCCGGCAGCATGGTGAGCCACCCTCCCTCTCTCTCTCCACCCTATCCATCCCACATGTCAAAGAGGCCTTCAGACCCCCCCTGTCGTCCGAGAATGAAGCTCATGACGTCTACTGCGCACCCCCCACCCGACAGGACCTCTGCACAGCCGCCCTGTCCTTCGCCAACGACACCCTCCGCGCCGGCGGCCACTTCGTCTGCAAGTTCTACCAGGGCGCCGAGGACAAGACGCTCGAGCGGCGCCTGCGCAAGCTCTTTGCCAAGGTGCACCGCGAGAAGCCCGACTCGTCTCGGAGTGTGAGTCTTCTTTTTCCCTGCGTTTTTCAACACCAACCCCGCGACTCCCTGGATCTGGGTCTTGTTCACAGAGTGAACGCGTCCAACTTACCGTCTCCCCCTACAGGAATCCAAAGAGGCCTTCTTCGTCGCGCTCAGGAGAAAAGGAGATGTCGTCCTCGGTGTCGAGGATCTAGAGCCGCCTATATAAGCAAAGTTCCGTCGGGGCTAGGAGTTTGAATAGATGTCGAAGTAATGGGCCACCTTGTAAGATATGTACATGTAGGATTCAAGAGCTGTGGACGTGGGTGGTGGCTGGTTTGATACCCACGCTTCAACAACTCGATGGAGCATCAATACAATTAGACACTTATCACATGCCCATAAGCGTTGTGTGATATGGGATGAAGACCATCAAACAGGTCTTTAAGTTCTTGAGGCGTGTCCATGAAGACAACTGGGGCCTTTGGCGCGGGAAGCATTAGGAAATGCGGAAAACGCTCCAAATATTGGTCTTGGAATGGATCATCACGAAGTAGAACAGCGACTGGCCAGCAGAACGACATGAACTACGTCCACCAGGGAGTACTCCCCGAGGTTTCGACAAATCACTTCCTTTGGCCATTGGCGACGTAGGAACAGAATGCAAATCAAACCCCACAGTACACGAAAGACCTTGGATTTTGAATTTCGTCCAGAGTTGCCTTTGAATTTCATAGCTTTTAATTTGGTATGACCGTTTCACGCCGAACCATGCACAATCCCCACACGAAGAAACCGAGGCAGACAACCCATAAGTCGATTCCATAGGACATTCCGCATAAAAGAATGGGCTGCCGTCGCCCACCACGACACCGATCCGTCCTCCCGCTTAGACCTTGAAGCCACGAGACCGTCTGCGACCACGAGCCTTCTCGAACTTGCGACCCTTCGACTCGACGTAGGGCTTCTGCAGAGGTTGTTAGTCTCACTGCGCTTTCGCGTCGAACGGTAAGAGTGGAAACGTACCTTGTGCTTGTGCGGGCCCATGCCGAAGTGCTTGAAGGCCTCACGGGCGTTCTTGGGGCCGCGGAGGAGCAGGGTGTTGGCACCGGTGGGCTTCTCGAGGGCGAGCTGGTCCAGGGTGATGGCCTGGCCGCCGGCAGCGGTGATGCGGGCGCGGGCGGTGGCGGTGAAGCGCATGGCGGCGACCTGCATCTTGGGGACCTCGAGCAGGCGGTTGTCGTCGGTGACGGGGCCGACAATGACAACGGTCTTCTTCTCGTTGCCGTTCTTGAGGTTGCCGGCAATGCGAGACAGGGAGACGGGGGGGCGGTTGATGCGGGACATAAAGAGGCGGCGCAGGACAACCTTGTTGAAGGCAGAGTCGGTACGGCCTGGAGGGAATGGCCACGTCAGTACCGTCTCAATTGGACCATCGCCCCATGTAGAGAGGCGGCTTGCGGGGTTCTTGGAGAGGAAACTTACGAGCCAGGAAGCGGTAGAGCTTCACCAAGAGCTTCAGGTAGACGTTGTTGCTCTTGGGCGCCTTGCGGTGCGTGCCCTTGACGTGGTGCTTCTTCAGATCGATACCTGTAACATGACAAAATCTCCAGTCAGCCTTTTTGTTTTGTGGTATGCTCAAAAATGGCAGCAGAAGGAAATCATCGAGGGCAGCGAATGATCGCAGGCAGGGTCAGAGTCGTCGCGACAAGAGTGCCCTATCACCAGGCACTCTCCATTCGCATGACGTCTGTCCCTATCGCCTGGAAGATTCTTCACTCCCGCTCGAATAATCTCATCGCGCCGTGGTTCGCAGGAAGATCGTGCACTCGTTCCTTCTCGTCCAGGTTTTCACGCCCGGTCGACAAGAAGACAAGAGCAACGAACTCCCACTCGCACACAAAGGCTTTTAGGAAAGCTCCTCACGTACCCATCTTGACGGTGACTCGAGATGCCGGAATAAATCTAGAGTCGACGGGTTGCTGGTCGGTGGTTGAACGGGGTCGAAAAGAAACCTCAGAATTGGTCGAGTGGATTTTTTTCGAGGGTTAACCGATGGACTGGGCAAACCCACCAATTCGTGGTTAGTGGGCGGTCAATTAGGGCAATTAGGGTATTGAAATGGTCCTGAAGAATGATTGGAAGAAAATCAGAAGTGGGGCCAGTTTTTGTCGAAGCTCAACTCGACACAAACGAGTGATCCACGACGCTTATGTCATCAGGTCGTGTGAGGTGGGTGGCTCGAGCTTCTAGTCCTGTGATCGTTGATAAAGAGAAGCGCTGCTGGTAGAGATAACGATAGCTCAAATGTCACGGTGCGGTTGAATACGGACCTGATAGAGCTTGATCTCAGTCTGGGTTGAAGTGGAATCTTGATGGTTCATAACCTTCTGAAGCTTGTACTGTTTTATTATTGTATAAAAGACTAGAAGAAACCTCTCTGGGAAGGCATACGGTCGGTCTTCAAAAACCAGGTCTGTTCGCTTCTGTAGTACTGCGACCATGCTTAAGCTTGTAGCTCAGCTCCAGGTCCCCTTGAATCTCACAATGCTCTATACGTCTCCTCGATACAAATGCCAGACCAAGGTCCGTTATCCTGCTCTTCCATGAGTCACTCCCTTCTTGTAGCTGGATAGAGGTGTGCATTGCACAGATAGCATCGGCCCATGTGGCCCATCCAAAACTACTCCTTCAGTCGACCAGCCTCACGCACACATATCATATGCCCATGTATTGCTCCATTGACTGAAGCTGTCTCCATGCTCTTCTTCCTCTCTCCTGATTCATGCTTATTCCTCGCCCCCTCTGGTGCGGTGACTTCTCCAACGATGCTGATGTTTTGTGGTCGCCCATGCCTCTATTGCCAGCCGGCAGTCGTTCGTTTTCCACCATCTTGTCCAGAACGCTGTATATCCTCTCCTTCTTTTTCCAACGTATTCATTTAAAGGTGGCCACAGCCCAGCTGGCCACCTGCCCGGGGATATCAAATATAGTTTCCTACTCTTTCTTGCTTTCTTATAAGATGACCTCCTCATCGCCCGGGTTGAGGCTGACGAGGAAGTCTCTCGTGATCTCAAAGCTCAGCCAGCTCGACGCCATGCTCGGCGCCACCTTGAGTAGGTTGGGCACGATGCCCTTGTACATTCCCTTGATGCCCTCCTGCGCGATGATAACGCGCACGGCGTCGGTGATTGACTTGTACTGGTAGCCCATGCCGGACATGGTGTTGATCTGGAATCGGCGGCGGAGGACGTCACTATCGACAACACAGAGCAGGTTAGCATATACACTCGTCTAATCTAGAAAAGACAGCGTGGACATACAATGGGTATGTGCACGTTTGCGCCACAGCACCTGAGACCGCACCCGCGAGCAGTTTCCTCATGGCGCTGGGGTTCTTCTCGCCGTCCGGCGTCAGGTATTTCCTCACCCACTCGTACACCATGAAGTTCAAGCCGACCTGTCAGAACCCCGTTAGCAAACAGAAGTCGCACGCACCACAGACATATCAAAAAAACGAGCTGGGGCAAACATACGTATGGTGCAACGCCAGCAACAGTAGGGATGATTCCCCGGTATAAAGCCAAGAATCCACCCTCCGTCTTGTACATCGTGGTCAGCGTCCCCCACATGCCCGGCATCTCTTTCGGCTTTGCGCCCAGGTCGGCAAACGAGGCAGTCTGGATCGATAACCTGGTCCGCACGATGTCGAGGGGGTATGTGAAGGTGACGGAGGTGATGCCAGCCAGGCCACCACAGACCAGGCGGGTGAGCGGCGACATGTCAGCGCCGGGATGTGATTCAAAGATGTTCTACAGACAAGGAAAACAGAAGTGTCAGTCAGATCACCACACAAATTGCCTCTCCACAGATACCATCCATACACAAAAAGCACAGCCAAAGAAGCAAAGCAAGACACAACGTACCCGCTTGTAGAAATTATAACTCCCAAACTGCACGGCCGAGTACGGCACGATGCGGATGCAGTTGGTGCCATTGCCGCGCATGAACCCGCGCCAGCCCTCCTCCTGCCACATCTTCTTGAGCGCCTTGCCCACCGACAGCTTGTACTCGTCGCGCCCGACGCTCTGGACCTGGAACAGGATCTTGAGGCGCTCGAGCGGCGACACGACCGTCCGGGACACGGCGCCCGCCACGCCGCCGGCGCAAAAGGCCGCAACGACGGGCTGCGAGATGCCGGACCGGAACTGGAAGGCGAGGGTCTCGGGGTTGGGGTACTGGGACTTGATGATGTTTTCCCGTGCGGGTGCCGGTCTGGGGGCCGGAGCCGGGGCCGGACCCGACGTCTGCTGCTGGACATCATGCCCTTGGTCAGCGTCATCCAGCCGAGGACGGAAATAGATGACTGTGTCCGTGAAGTACGGGATTTGAACCACTTACAGTTGTCGACATAATGGCGGGTTATGAGGATGAGAGCCGGGATATCAGTCGTGCTCTCCCGTCCGGTCTATGGGAGATCGTCCAGCAGGACTGATGATCGGAAAAAGGCGAAGAGGAAGTGATTGACGAAATGAAGAGGCTTTTCGCATCGAACAAGTGCGGCAGTGTGCCAATGGGTCGAGAAAAACTTTTTTCTGGAATCCAGAAACGTTATGTTGAGAAAGACTGGTACCGAAACGAAGGTTGTCGTCGAGCTGACCGGGTCAAAGGAGGCGACGGCAGCGGGTCAAGCTCGACATGCTCGAACGGGACGAAGGAGACGCTGTCGTCGTCGATCATAGGATGTGCCCGTGCCTCGGTCAGGCGAGTATGTGTTGGTGTTCGGATCTGGGAGGAGGGAAGTGCCGTCAGGAGGGGGGAGTGTGCTGCCGGCGTCGTAGGTGTGGTGTAGGTATGCTCGCGAGAGGTTTGTTGGCCGTGGCGGATTTCGTTGCCAGTACTCGTGATGTCGAAAACGGGAACTCTTGACTGACCCGGCGGAGAGCGCGTGCAGATCGAGTGCCGCAGAGTCCTGGCTTGCCTAGACCTAAAAAGTGTCCACTGAGACTGGCTGGACCAGCTGGGCTGAGCGCCTGAAAGGAAGATGTCTCAAAAGTCTAGACTAGCGCAGCGCCCTGGTTCGGCGCATCCAAAGCGTGAGCTCGTACCCAAAAGAGGCCGCCTTTGGGAGGTTTGAGAGGGATTATGCCCAATCAGGGGACCGCAAGTATGTAACATGCAAGGTGCTTGTAAGATGAGACGTGAGGTCTATTGCTTCTCACTCGCAGTCTGACAAAAAGATCAAAACGAAGCTATCATAGCAAGAAGGCCAGATGCTAGGGCAGCTTATGCTAGGGAGCGTAATTAGGAGGGATTTCAAGGTTTCTCTCGCTCTCATTTGCACGTAACCGCGCTGGCGGAAGCCCAAAATTGGAAGTTCATGCCGTCAATAATCCGGGGGGGGCTCCTCTAATAAGTACCCGATACCGAAATTCAGAGCGAGCGGTACCCGCGAGATCCACGAGTCACGAGCCCAGCTCCTTAAGAAATCTTGAGGCTTGGCATGTACCGGAGCGACTTGGCTGGCCGGGACAGTGACATGGCCTGAAGTCTTGGAACAGGCTTCCAGGGCTTCCAGACTGTCGCAGATGTCATCAAAGACTCCTCCCGCCCAGGTTCTTTCCCCGACTTTTACTGGCGCCAAGGGCTTGCGAGCGCTTTTACGCTGGCACGGACTGGAGTCTGGAGCACCTCTCATTCCCTCCAGCCCTTGAACCCCCACCTCGCCCACTTGGCTGCGTGCCCGCGTTGGCAAATCCGCATACAATGACATAAGTCGCTCGACTTGCCCGTCTGCCTCTTGGCGATCCGTCCATTATTACACATCGTGTAACACCAAGATTACCTGAGCTTCCCTGGCTGACTCACTGTTCAGTTCGTACCATATGAGAACACTTATCTTGTTAGCTCAGCTTGGCTCAGTTCAGGGATCAGTCAAGCGGAATTGGGAGGAATTAAACAGTAGGGGCTCCGTCCGTCGTGTGATGTGCCAAAGATAAGGAACTCGAGTTAGCTGCAAATCCCCGACTACGAATGCCTTCCCCTCACGATGCGGAGCCGAAACCCGCCGGCTTTATCCGACATCACTACCTACCACAAGCTGATCTGTCCCATGCATGGCAGATCGCTTCTTTAGCCTCACATAGCGTCGTCAGACGCGGGATGCGACCGATATCTCGTAATCACGAGGATAGATACCGTCTCGGTGGAGGCCGGCAGTATGCAGGCGAGGCACATTACATTGCACATGACACCGTGAGACAGGTTTGACACTCCTACACAACACAAAGTCTTTTAATCGTTTGCTACAAAGATGCAATGTCGGTGCATTAAACGCGAGGTATGTATCTGCGAGACGAGTTTTCCGTAGTTCATCGTACACGTACGTGAGGTGTCGACAACGTCGTTCCGTTCCGATCGAGCTTTCCGTTCGCGAGCACGACTACCGAAGAAACTACGAACGAGAGCACTCGAGGAGCGCACCGGTCGACTCGAGACTAGAAAAAACAAGCTTTTGAGAGTCAAGATAGTGGATGAAATGCGAGACCATGGACCTGGTAAATAACCCAGCAAACAAGAAGGAAAGAAAACCTTGAACGTCCGACTCTGCAAGGTCGGAAAACACCCGAGGTGTTCACAAGCCGTAGGGCTGGCCGCCATAGACCTACTCGGCGACATCCAGATCGTCATGGGCTTGCCGGGGGCTGTCAAGACGCTCTGTTGTGCCAGACGAGGTTAGCTCAGTGTCAGTTTGACTGATCGGATCACAGCCACATACCCTTGCGATCATCTCCGTTGGCGCCGTTCTCGCGGCGGTCACGGTCATCGCGGTCGTCACGATCATCGCGGTCGTCGCGGTCATCGCGATCGTCCTTGAGATCGCGGTCACTGCGGTCACTGTGTCAAGTCGTGTTAGCCAAAGCTTTGAGTGCAAGCAGCCACGTGCTTTGGAAAGACATACCGGTGATCAGGGCTGCGAGAACGGTCACGGTCTCGGCGAGAGTCGCGGTCATAGTCGCGATCACGACGGTCATCCTTGCGCGGCGAATAGTCGCGGCGCCGAGGAGACGGGGAACGGCCACGGCGGGGAGAACGACGTCCTCCACGCTCACGGTCACGTCCAGAGTCAAATCGCCACGAGGCAGATGGCGGGGTACGAGCCCACTGTCAAACACATCTATCAGCATGTGCAAACGCAGGGTGGGATAGACTACAGGGAGACGGACCTCGATCTTCAGGATATCATCCCGGCCGATGCGCTTGTTATGCATGTCATGATAAGCATCGTCGGCATCCCGACGATCTTCATACTCAACGAAGGCAAAACTAAGCCTAGTTAGTAACCTGCAATAGAGTGTATATCGGTAAGAGTGTTGACGTACAGCCTGCTGCTGGCGCTTCGCGGAGCCGGAATATCGCAGCGGACAAGACGGCCGTAGCTTTGAAGTAGAATGGAATGTCAGCACATCTGTTCTGTATCGTTTTGGATAAGGAGAACTCGTCTCATTCCCTCCCCACCGCTCGATATCCGCATCAAGTGCAGCATCGGGCAAGTGGTGGCGCGCAAGTGGCCTAAAGCTTTGGGCAGCGACGTCCGCAATCGCTCGTTCGATGGCTGACTGCGGCGACGCGCAGGGGCAGTGGGAGTCAAGGCGGAACACGAGTGGCGGGTTTGGATGTAGGGACACCACAGCGCGCAGCGTAGAGATATTGGCGAGCGGTGATGGACGGAGGAGGAGGAGGGGAGGGGGGTATCGAATTGCGACGAGGACGAGGAGACGACGAGGGGACCGAGAGAGCGGCGCTCGAAGCGCGGGGTGCGACGCATCGACGTAGCTGATGAGGGACGTACCGTTCGAACTCGTAGGCTAGATCGCGAGCACGGGTGCCGTGGCTAAAGCCCGTCACGTAAAGGGTAGTGCCGCCTCGAGACATGTTGAGAATGGATCAAGTTTGATGACAAACGGCGGGAGAACGAGTCGCCAAAGAAGCGGGAAGGCTGGGAGAAACCCAACGAAGGGACGCAAGAATATGTTTGTGGAACGAAAACAATAGTATCGCTGATGGACCAGCTGCTCCCTGATGTGTATGCAGGAGTAGGCTGGGGATTCAAACACGGCGACGTTGTATGAGAGATGTTGCAAAAGTTTCCTGTGACGTGCTGATGGTGGTGATGGAGGATTATTATGGGGCAGAACTCTGGCACCTTCCTTGTCGCTTAGTTAGCCGGATCGGGACTAGCGCCTCCTTACGGGGAGGTTGGTCTCGTGTCACTCGTGTCTCACAAGAACTGGCAGCGAGACTGGATATAAGAGGAAGAGGTGGACAGAGGAAGGGAGAGTGCTCAGTCTTCAAAGATTAGAGATATATAACGGGAGGACTATATTCGGTGTTTGAATTGTTTTAGGATAACCCGAATGTCGTCATCCAAGTAGGCATTCGAGATGTAATTAGTTGACTTGTTTTCAAAATGCAATTTGTTAAATCAAAACAAGAATGCTATATTACAAACGTCTATCTCATTTTACAATGTGGTCCGTGGTATCTTATTTTACAGCATGATGCTTGAGATCCAACTTTATGATTCCGCACAAGAGCCCTCTACAAGATCAGATACAAGCTACATAGAATACTTGGTCCCATGAAGAGGCCAAACCAGAAAGCGATATTGCCCAGCGTCTTCTTGTTGCGCAGCCACTTGGTACGATGCAGTGCAACCAGCTAGAGAGAGGCGGAATATATCAGTCGCGTGAACGATCCAAACGAACAGAGATCGTAGTTGGTAGGAGAGAGCAATACTCACCGGAATCTGGCACATCTGCAAAAAGAGCAAATAGCCCCGAAGCTTCTTGAAGATGCACCACATGATCAACTCGTGGACACACGCCGACAAGAAAAAGGTAATGAGGGTGGCGGTTGACCTCTTGACTTTGAGGGCTGAGATGGAACTATGGTAGACATGCCGGAGCAGGAAGTTGTGTACGGGCCTGGTTTGGTTGCTTGAGTGTCAGAGACATAGTCTTGTTCTCCATGGGTATGGGACGCCACCTACCGGTTCCAGTCACGAGCAAATTGGTCCCATGTCACTTTTGAGAGCAAATGTCAGTATTAATTTGCAGCTCTTGCGGAGTACCACAGAAGGGACTCACCGCTGTTCCACCAGGCATCGTAGAAACTCCGGTCAGCGAAATAAGTCAACTCGGCCAGCCAGTTGAGAATAGTCTCCCATATCAGGTACCAAGTGAGCTGCAGCGAACGTACAGTTAGCATCGCGGCAACCACTCAGGCGAACAGGAGCAAGAAGGCTTACCAAATACTCCATCATGAACGGGAATATCAGATCGCTCAGCATCCAGGGGAACTCGCGGAACCGCTCGGCCGTCGTCATGCCCATCTCCTTCATCGTGACCGTCTTCATGACCACGGGGTAGATGAAGGCCTGCGAGATCATGATCATGACAAAGATGATGCCAAACGTCGCCGTCATCTTCTCGACCACGTAGAACCAGTTGATCGACTCGGACCGCGGGTACTCGAGCTCGTACACCACCGTGGGGAGCACGATGTACTCGTAGTGGTTCGCGAAAGTCAGGTTGTGCGGGTACGCCTTGCCGGGGGTGAGCGCCTTGCCGCGCAGCTCGTCCTGCAGCGCGTCGACCTCCCACTTGATGATGCGCTCAAACACGTGGATCTGCTGCTCGTCCAGCGGCTCGCCGGAGCGGATCGCCTCGGCCACCCGGTCGATGTCGCTCGCCTGGTCCTGCGGCGCCTGCTGCTCGTGCTGTTGCTGCTGCTGGGTGGTGGTGATTGACCTGCGGCGCTCCTGCATCCCCGCCGCCGACGGCGGCAGCGCCAGGTGGTCCGTCGACAGCGACTCGACGGGCGGGTCCGTGGCCGAGGTGCCCTCGATCGGCGCCACGCCCTCGAGCCGCTTCAGCACGGCGAGCAGGTCGGCGCGCTGCCGGCGCAGCGTCGACAGGTGGCCGTTGTAGAAGGCGTACGAGTGCTGCTTCATGAGCATGACGATGCCGTGCAGCACGAAGAAGACGGTGTGCGACCAGGGCCAGTCGCGCACCATGGTCCAGCCCACGACCCCGGCCATGAACGCCGCCTGCCACAGGTTCTGCAGGATCCAGCCCGCGCCGTTCCAGTCGACATAGCCCGGGAGCACGAGGTAGCGCTGCAGCAGCCAGCTGACGCCCGTGATGGCGCACATGGCGCCGTCCGAGGCGAGCAGGACGACGACGTCGCGGTGGAACATGGTCTTCATGATCTCGTTGGTGCCGAGCACGTTGCCGCACAGGCGCCAGTTGTTGGCGCCGATCTTGAGCACGAAGAGGAAGACGCCGATCCAGAACAGGGTGAAGAAGCCGTGAAAGGGGCTGTTGGCGGCGTCGGCGTTCTGCCGGTCAAACGCCGAAAAGGTGCGCGTGAAGACCAGGTCGCCGAACTTGGTACGGCGCTTCTGCGGGACGCTCTTGTCGCCCTCCTGGTGTGCCCGGTCGAGGCCGCGCTGCAAGATGGCTTGCAGCTCGGCATCGTTTGCAGAGAGGATGTACCGGCGGGCATCGCTGGCGCTGAGCTTGCCATTCTCGGCGACCTGCGGTGCAGCCTTGCGCGATGGTCTCCGTCTGAGGGCGGAAGGGTCTACTCTCTTGGAGATCTCGTCGTAGTCCTCCTCGCTGGTGGTACTGGTGGTATCTGATGGTGTATTTGTACCCCGCTGGTTTGCCCGCAGAGCATCCCGTAGGGAATGCGGCGTGCCGGCGAGGGCATCTGCGTTTGGACGAGAATCCCCATTCATGTCCGGCAGGAGGAGATATCTTTCCTGCGTGTAAGTCTATGGTTTTGGAAGGATATTTGGACAAAGTGCTGTTCTTTGCGGTGTGGTCTGATGAATTCTTTGATCATGAATGTGCTGATCCGGATCGAGGGGTGGGCGCTTGGCCTGGACGGTCTAGATGAATGGGCTCGCTTTTGGAACCAAGACTGGTGAAGCGCCCTCCCTGTCTTGTGATGGATGTTATCTATGCTTCAACTCGTAGAATTGCCAGGTATGAAAATGTCAATTGCAAAAAAAGAGATGATGACAAGTCATGGAATTATCTGACAATCAGTCTGATTCAGGCGTGTGTAGATGTCAGGTCTGCTTATAACGTTTATTAGCGTCGTCCGGGACGCCGGGAACCAGCAGTGGCAGGACGGCCAAAAAGCTTCGGTCGTCTCGGATCAAGAAAGTGGCACATGCCAACAGCTTGAATTTGTGGCAATCACCAGCCATAGCGCCTGTTAGTTTTCCTTGTATTTTATTCTCTTCCTTCTCGGATCTGTGTGGAACAGTATTTGGTAATTATGAATTCATCAGCACGGTGAATGTAAGTGCTGTGACGCAACTTTGGCCGGGGTCGCATGCCGCCAAGTCCACACAGATCGATCCATCGATGATGGATTGCAAAGACGCACACACTGTTCGGTTATTAAGATCAATAACTACTGGGACACCCGCACGACCCGCGCGCGCGCGCCGAGGGCTGGCTCCGCCAATTTCCCAAGTACTGGGAAGTGCCGGGCGTTTGCGGGCCCGGTCGATCCGGCACCTATTTTCATAGGGCCATCCCAGGGATTCGATCCCCTTCACCTTGAGCCTCACCTTCCGTATGGTCTCTTATCTGACTCAGTTCTACGTCAACAACGTCGCCCTCGGCTCTACGGGCGGCCTTGCAGATATGGCGAATTTCCGTGACCACCGCGGTCTCCATGGTCGGTCTATCCTGGTTCACAATGGGTGGAGCGAGTTCACCTAAGGGAATCTTCGGCATTCCAACATCCCCGAAGGTCTTAGAAAACCCTCGCATGGACACTTGGGAAGTACCGTGTTGCTTTGTGGAAACATAGGACCAGATATATTTGACTCGTAGACACACAAACAAGCTGCTACTTTCACAGAAAGCCAACACGACACCAAGGTCTGCTGAACCAGGCGGGCGGTCTAAATCCCACCTTACAACCCGCCCCCCCCAGAAGAAGCTTTTTTTGGACTTACAAATCAACAAGAACCGTCACCATTCAAACCAGTGCTCTCCCTTTTCAATTTCAAGACATCTTCTCATATGTTGCCATCAGGGAACCTGTGGACAAGTCAGTCTCTGTTATGCCGCAATCTCGCCATCGAGGAGGATTTCAATCTTACCAATGAAGGTGGTCACCAAACGGGAGCGAACCTGGCAAATATCCTCGGGCACCAGCCAGATGGTGGCGCCCATCTTTCGCGCGATGCTGATGCTCAGCTTGGCGTTGAGGTAGGCCTCGTCGTCGGTGCGCCCGGAGTTGACGAGATCGTAGTCGACGTAGCTGCTCTTCATGCCGTTCAGCACGTCCAGTAGGAAGACACCGGTGCCAATGGCGGGGTCCTTGAACGACCGAATGGATGAGTTGCGGCCACCCTTGCGAGACATTTCGTTGGCCCATTTGACCATCTCGGCGTCGGTGACCTCCCGCTTTCCGAGCCGTTGCGCCAGCGCCGACAGGGTTAGGGTGATGTCTCTGCGCATCAATTGCCAGACCAAGCCAAGAGTGAGAGTCTTTTGGCCGTCAGTGATGTCGGCTCCCTGAACGCCGACGAGGGAGAAGCCGTTCTGCTTGCCAAGCTCAATGGCATAGTTGGTGTTCTCTACAGCCTTGAACCTCATCAGCTCGCTGCCGTTTGCAGGAGCTTTGTTGACGTGGCGCCAGTTGACAGAGCCCTTGATAACCTTGTCATAAGCCTGTAGCAGGATCGTGCCGTCCCTGAGATCGTCAAAGAAGGACTGTACCGCAGGCTGGACATCCAAGCTGTTGAGCCACAGGGTAAAGACACGGGCCTCTCGTTCGCCCTCGGCATCGAAGTCTTCGACCTCGAGCTTCTCCTCCTCGGTGATGGGGTCTAGGCACGGGTGGTTGTTGAAGAGGTTGGCAACAAAAGCGAGGTTGAGCTTGGGGTTACCGGCGACAAGGGAGGTTGGGGTGAGGAATTTGCGGCAGTCGAGCTTCTCGGCATTCTGAAGTACCTGTTCGGCACGCTGAAGGAGATCTCGGGTCTGAAGGGGGCTACGATCGCATCCGTATTCATGGCCAATCTGGGCAAGAAGGACAGTGTAGTTCTCGCCGTCCTTGACGTCGCTGGAAAAGTTGGTCACCCTCCTCGGCCAATTCGCGGCCTTAAGGTGGTAGTTGAACCAACGCAAAAGGATCTGCTCAGGGGGGAGCCGCAGGAACTGCTCCAGGGTTTCGTCCTCCTCAAGGAGGCGATACAGCTCGGGGTGGAGCTTGATATCGATCTTTCCAAGCAGACCGCGGCGGATGATCTGCCAGATGAGACCCAAAATCAAGTGCTCTCGGACCTCAATGATATCCCCAGCGCCAATGTTGACAACCGAGCAGCCAATACCTCTTGCCGACTCAATGACGATATTGTTGTTTTCGGTCATGTGGAAAGCGTTCAGAGTCTTGATCTTTCTGCCGGGCATGTTGAGTACACGCTCGTCAATGGTATCAGGGACACTGTCGTTGATCAGCTTGGCCAGCACGAGGCCGTCTTTGCAATCGTCGAACATCTCAAACGTGTCGGTAGGGAAGGGCAGGCGGTTGCCGAGATCGGGATCGCCGGCAAGGACGGCATTGATGTGACGGGTGAACTCTGTGCGCTCATCCTCGTTGATGGTGTGGGTGATGTTAGCATTCGAGCCCTGGACCTGGATCTTCCCGCTCACGCTCCCCTTGGAAGCATGGCCGCCCGTCCGCTGGGCTACAATCCCAGACGATGGCGAGGCTGGCACGGGCCCCGAGGAGAGTCGCTTTTGCGCAGGCGACGAGTCCCGTAGCTTGGAGATGAGCTGTGCCCTTTGTCAATCCTGCACTGAATGTCTAGCTTCGATCCAACTGAGGTCGAGCTTACCGATACATAGTCTTCAAGTTCGACTCGTCTGGAGGAGTCGAGTTCGACCTCCTTCAAGGCTTGTCTGACAACATCATACGGCTGGCGCTCGCTTTGCTGTGTGGCCTTGATCGCGGTCGCCTCATCGAGGTAGCCCTTGTCGTCTACGTCGAGTTTGTTGAATGCGTTGGAGAGCTCGAAGATCTCGTTCTGTTGGAATTGCGGGAACTTCCTGTAATGGGATAGGCGAGGTCAGGTTTTGCGGCAGCTTCGGGGTGACCATTGGGATAGTGCGCCAGCAGCGCCTTGGATATTTTACATACCGCTGGATCTTGAGGACGTTCATGGTGTCGGGTCGAGGCTATCTGCCTCGTGAGATAGAGTGTTGTGTAGCTTCAAATGAGCGCCTGAGGCGTTGTTCTTTGGTGCTCGCCAGTTGTTGCCAGGTCGTCGTCGGCGATATAAGGTTGGTGTGGATGTGAAAGTGTTGAAGATTGATGGACCTAGGCTAGTAGACGAAGTACTAGAATGGAAAGGATCAGAGGGCGGGAGGGTAGTCGAGGGAACTCTTTTGTTGGGTGCGACAAGAGTGTCAAACAGGGACACAAAACAAGAGTTGATGAGATGATGCGCGTGGATGATGCTGGCGGCGGGGGCGGGGAGACCTGTGCCATGTACCTACTAATTGGACCTTGTTCCCTGATGTAATCCCGCAGCGCCGCCCAAGAGATGCAGCTCTGGAAACGGCCCCACTTCAAGGGTTTTGAGGTAACAGCCACAGTCGACATTGCGTAAGGCCCAGCGTAGTCCCTTGCAGGCTCCCGTTCTGTGGCATGGCGTCCCTTTAGGCACCCACTAATTTGCTGGACAAGGCGCTAAAGTGCGAGGCAGCCACGGTACGACAGCTCGTCATTCAGCACGCCAAGCACTACTTGTGGGCATCCATCGCTGCGGTTGGGTGTTGGTATTGCACTGTACTCCCTTCTGCCCAATCCGGCACAGCCCGCTTCACCTCACAACCCCAGCTTCGGCGTCATCTCGAAAATTTCTAGCCAAATCAGTCATCCGACTTACGCATTCCTTTGAAACCAACAGCCACCGGTTTCACATCTGACTGTAGCTATCCGGCCGGAGACGAAGACCAAGGCCGGCTTATTCCAGGACAGCCGAGTTCTGTGCTACGGACTGTTCCCACAGTCCTGAAAACCCAAGTCCTATTCAGTTATTGCACTTGGCCTGCCGGTCGCTTTGCATAACCCTCTTTCTCTCTCGTGGTAAGTGATTTTCGTTGCCAAAAGCAGACTGTAAGCAGTGTACACAGAGAGCATATCCTGCGTGGCTGTGCTGCTTGAAACGATATCCCAAACTGGTGTAAATTTGCATCACCGCCACCTTCTTTGTGTCTGGTTCCTCTCGCTACCTTGGATCTTGGACACACTCGGGTGGCGGATAGCATCGTCCTTTGACCGAATTCATATAGAGTCTGTCTTGGCTTCATCCTGACTGTCAAGTCGACCGGTTTGGTCTTTTGGTACATTCTCATTCCTGGAGCAAACAGCATGCAAATGAATCCAATGATAAAGTCTCGAGTGGACTCGTCTTGTATGAACCGGATCAAGTGATCTAAAGTGATCATTTCATCTCGATATTCTTCAAATAGCTCTTTCTCTGACTCCACGGTCAGGCTCTCTAGCTCTCGTCTGAACACCTGAAGCCCACACAATGGCAGTCTGCGCCAAGTGCGAAGACCCCCTCGTCCTCGTCGTCGACTACGACGTCGAGGACGACGAGCCGCCAGAGACTGAGGAAGTCCCGGATGACCTAGAACTTCCCTGCGGCTGCCACTTCCACTGGTAAGCAAGCATCTCTCTCACTGCCACACACACAGACTCTGGCCGCTCACACCAGTTCTCTCCCCCCCCCCCCCCCCCCCCTCTCCAGGCAATGCCTCATAGACGACGCAGCGCAAGTCGCCCTCTCCCTCAAGTGCCCCAAGTGCCAGTCCTACCTCCCGGCCAACCAGGCCGGCCCCTCCGCCACAAACCCCATCTTCGGCCCCAGCACCACCGCCGCCGGCGCCAGCGCCATCCGCACCCGCTACTCCTCCGAGGGCGGCGTCGACGACGACTACGACATCCTCCCCGTCCTCACCGAGGAGGCCTACCTCGCCTCCCACCCCGAGGCCCGCCCCGCCCGCGCCCTGCTCACCATGTGCGCCCAGGGCGACGTCATGGGCATCGTCGGCCTCCTGCAGGACATGGACGGCGAGGACGAAGACGGCGACGGCGACGACGAGGCCCGCAGTCCTCCGCTGCCCGTCAACAAGCTCCTGCGGTACCAGGACCCGCTCGGCGGCATGCGCAGTGGGCTGCACGTCGCCGTCGAGAACAACCAGGAGGAGGCCTTCTTCATGCTGCTGTTCCTGGCGTCGAGGCTGGCGACGAGCGACTTCCCCGCCGCCGTGGTCGAATCGGCGCAGCAGGTCGGCCTGGGGCGGCCCGAGCAAGGATCGGACCCGGACATCAGGACCCTGGCGGACGACAAGGGCGACGGGCCCGAGGCGTATGCTCGCAAGGCGGGCGGTAAGTGGGCTCAGTGGGCGGAGGCGGGTGTGTTCACGCAGGGCCTGTGACCTTATTTTTAGCAGGGAGATAAAGAGGTTGCATGGGGAGATGGCGTTTGGTGGTCAGAAGTGACACAGATGAATACCTGGAAGAGCGACCGTTTTATTGTTTGGAATGCCTCATACTTACCAATATGAAGTACCTGTCACCAAATCGTGGTAGAGTGACGGACACGCTTTAAATCCCGATGTATTGCTTTGCCTGCTCTAATGGGGTAATATGCGCTATCTCGACTGAATGGGATGCCACCTCTTCCACACGCATCCAATATCCGTACGCTAAATCCAGCTGTGCATTTTCTAAGCTCACTCCAGATGATCCCACTCTACGATATGCCCAGCGCGTCCCATGCCTGGGGTTCCTGCCTTTGACGGTGACGTCGAGCGGTCCTTATTCGACAGCAGCTGTGACATGATAAAGTGACTCACATCCTCGTCAGACCAGTAGGCCATATGCGAAGCGATGGTGTTGATCGGGTTGAAATCGAGAACGCTCCTATTTCATCATTGTTAGTATCAAAATCCCTCCTAGCAGTGGACTGGCAAAAGGGGGGGAAAAGTAAAACTCACTCTTGGATGCTGTAATCCACACGGCCGTTCCGATTTAGCGCCCGCACCTTCATCTCCTCCCTCCGCAGCCGCTGCGCCTTGCGCTCCTCCTCCATCCAGTTGCTGACAGCCACACCCGCGGCGGCCTTGGCCTTGGCATTCGCGCCGTCGTCGCCACCGCCGCCCTTGCCATCGGCGCCGCCCTTCTCCAGCGTCTCGACCCGGTCCTTCTGGAACCGCGAGTACAGCGTCTCGAGCTCGTCGTCGATGAGCGTGACGTCGTTGCCGCTGATGCTCTTGCGGCCCGCGGCGCCGTCGCCATCGCCGCCCATCATGGCGAGCTGCCTCTTGCGCGCGGCCGTCTTCTCGCCCAACGCCGAGGCGTCCGAGATGACACCCGCGGCGACGTTTGTGCCCGCGCCCGGCGACGCGGCGTGGGGCGGGTGCTGGGCGTTGAAGTTGGCGACCTCCTCCTGCGTCAGGCCCAGGCTCCGGTTCAGCAGGTTGTTGGCGATGCCGGCGCTGAGGCTGGACCACAGGCCGCTCACGCTCTGGCCGACCTTGGCGCCGAGCCCAGACACGATGTTCTGCGGGGTGGAGACGTTGCCAAATATGCCCTTCTTGGTGTAGGGCAGCACTTGGGGCTTGAGACTAGACATGGCTGATGAGATGAGAGGCTCGAGGCGGTAGCTAATGGGGTCTGACGGATGGAAGACATTGTAGAGCTGTGAGACTTTGGGCGACGAGATGGTCACGGGCAAGCCAGTGATGGGTGATATGCGTTGGTCAGTTCCAGCATGGCCTGGGAGAGGAACGGCGGTGGCGAAAGGGTCGTCAAGCTCATCTGGGTTTAGGGGGCTTTCTGTAGGGAACGCGTTCGGAAGGTGTCGCGCGGAGATGGTACGGCCTTTGAGCATCTGGAACAGTCCTATGGGAGATCCCAGGCAGTAGAAATCCTCGACCTCGAAGTCGAAGGTGAGATCCCTTGGGTCACGCAGCTCACGCTTCTCGGACGCAGGCCAGAACCTAAGCGGGTTCATCGTCGTGTCGTGGACCTGAGCTGACTCCTTCTGTCGGCAAAGTATGTCAAACATGATCGCTGACCCGAGAGAGTGACCCATGACATGGACTTTGCCATTGAAGCCAGGGTTTCGATCCATGAACAATTTGTATATCCGGTTCGATTCGCGGAAGACAATTTCGGAAATTTGTTCCCGGTAAGCACTTTGATACAATAGTACGTCAAGCGCTAGATCTGAGATGAGGGAACGAGCAAAAGCTACCCCCTCGACGGTGATATCCTCCAAGGAAGGGTACTCATCTTCCTCTTCAAAGGTCTCACCAAGATCTTGCTCGCGCCTTTTCTCGCCCTTGCGCTTGGGGAAATCGAGCAGGTGACGCCAGCAAACAGGCAAGACCTGAATGCGGCAATTGCCTGGCCCATCGCCCAGTTCGGAGTTCAAGGCTCGCAAGTCGGCCGAGGTAGAATATACCGACTTGAGAGTCTTTCGCAAGACATTGACATCATGGATAAAGTTGACGCTCTCCATCCTTAGACCGAGTAGTTGTCCGATACCGTGGGTGACCAGAATCAAGTGTTCGATATCGCGACCCTGCGACTCACCTGTCTGGGCATTGTAATCATCTTGAATCTCCTTCTCTTCACGTTTACGGATCTCTTCTTCCTCTTGCTCCGGATCCCTGTTTTCGGCATTCTCGATAAGCGACGACAGTTGGCGCTGGAGACGGCTTCCCCTGCTTTCAATGTCGGTAGATTCCCGCTCCTCCTTGTCGGAATCAGGATCCGATCGAGAACTTGGTGGAGCGGAACGCCTCTTCAGCGCCCTTTGCTCTTTCTCCTCGAGCTCACCCGAAAATCTGGTACCGGCTGGCGTAGTTGGCCTCTTCTCGTCCTTGCTCTTTTCTTCTTTTGCTTTCTTAGGCTCAGAGTAGCCTCTCACCAATTTCACGCCGCTCATGTAAGCTCCTCCAGCGAATCGTTCGTACATGGTGGACGTGACCCAGGATAAAACGCCCTCAGAGGACAACCATGCGGTATTAACATCTTGATAGGTGGCGATACTGTTCATATAAGTCCCGAATAGCCGGTGTGTCTGAGGTTGATGCTGCGGCGTGAAAGCTCCGGGCTTTGAAGCGCTGTCGCTCGCGCCTGAAGCTGCTTTAAGGTTCTCTACCGAAGCTTTTGGTGTCACGTCGCTCGCCTTTGCCTCGGTTCCTGCCTTAGCTGGATACAGCCATGGCTTGACCTTGAGATATCCCTCCTCTAGCTGCGAAGCCAGATTTTCCTCGCAGGGTCGGAGGCTGGAACCCTCTTGGTAGAACCAACTGCCACGACGAACGTCGTAGGTAGGTCCCAGCCAATAGGCTGGCGCCAGTTCCCGCTCTTCTATGTCCACATCGAACAAGAAATCCTCGTTGACGGGAACCTTGACACCGGGTTCTTTTTGTTTTGCCGCTTCCGCAGCACCCGTGGTAGTGTTGGGAAGGTCCTGAGAGCCCAGGGCATGTGCATGCTGGGACCCGGAGACGTATCTTCGTGTCAACCCCGTATCGCGCTCGTTCTCAGAAGCCTCAACGACTTTCTGGTAGGCTGCTTCGAGGGCGCGGTTGTCTTGTTTCGAAAATGCTACGTACTTTTTGGGCGGAGGGGGCAGCTTCGTTTCTTTCGGGTTCTTACTCTTCACCCATTCCGGCTTGCGTTTCGGTACCTGTTTGACGTGTATTTATTAGCATGATTCCAGCTCCATGATCTGGGGATCTCGTGCAAGTCATACATCTACGGCATGAAACCACTGCACAGCAAGAGGCGGGCAGTCTGGAGGATATCGCTTGAAGCTTCGACCGTAGGTGCTGGTCGTGCTATGATCGCCAGGGTTGACCGGTGTCGGGTCCGGTTGAGGGTCTTTGGGAGTCGGTGTAGCGCTTCTGTTCCCGCTCCAGGGATTAATGGAGTCAACAGCAGACGAAAGATACGACTTTTCAGGTTTCTTGTCGTCCGGCGGCGGCGCCATCACATCGGCGCGGCCACGCGGCCAGGAGAGTCCGGCCTTGCGAATTACCCAGTCGAAGGAGGTGCTGGATGAATAATGCCGAGCAAAGAGTTGAGTAGCAGAGGCGGGATTGCAGAATAGTTTTGTCGGAAAGAGAGCCAACGTGGTATCGCGGGAGCATACAAGCTCCGTCTGGCGGTCGCGGGGTGTTTACCAAAGAAAAGATTCCTGCATTGACAGGGTGGCCAGCGTTTGGGGAAAGCGACAAATGGAACAAACTCTCCGATTACTGGTTACACATTCTGTAGGTAATTTCCAGCTAGTACCGTAGGTGTACAATTAATGATTTGGGGTAACGAGGGCGAGGATGACACTCAAGGCTTAGCATGCCGAGGAATGTTGGGGAACGAAGTGAAGCCGGATGACCTATGACGATGCCACGCCGTAGCTCCAAGCTCTGACCGCCAAACCGCCTCCCTGGCGGGCCTGGGCCTGTTAGGCACCCTGCTAATAACCACGTGGGGGGGACTTTTTGATGTGCCGTCTCTCAGCAGGCTCGGGCTCTCGCCAATTTGAGTGGTCTGTCAGTTGTCAAAGGACTAGAATGAAGTAGGCAGCGAGTTCAATATTTATTTTACTCCTACCAGCATGTAGACTACTTGTAGTTGATTGTTGTATGAAGAACAAACAGATGGGCATCCAGGTGTAGACAATGCACCCTGTTGATCGGTGATAAGATGCAGGTCAATCAATGGCTTCAGCGGCATCTTATCGATATGGAATCGCTAGAACGGACGGCATCCCCCACCCAATGGACGTCCGATGGCGTCGTACATCAACAGCCAGGCACCCGGACCCGCTGGAGCAGCTGCAAGGATGTGTGGTTAAGCTGGTGGGGTACGACCAATTCCGTGCACGCCAGTGCTCCTCCCGTCTTGCTCGCCCCCGCTCTGCTGTGCTTGTCTGGGCTGGCCCCTCAAAATTATTCTACATAGGAAATTTTTAACGTTTTGCAGGGAATCATCATAGTACACCGGTCGAGTCACATTCACCACTACAACAATAACAAGCTCGACCGCTTTTGCACGCTGCCACTGCGCCCAGACCCAGCTTATCACCGCCAGAAAATGACCTTACGGTAGTCCCGAAGAGAAGAGCACCTTGTTTCCCCCGAGAATACGAACAAGGTCAAGCTCTGTCTTGTGACATCCGCACAACCACCACCTTCCTCGAGTAATCGGACCCGTGACAGCCATGGAAGACCCAACTGGCGGCCACACCGCCGCGGTGTCGTCCAGGAAAGCCCAGCTGGTGGACCAACTGCCAAAGCGCTTCAAAGGCATCAAGTTCGGCATCCAGTCAAACCAGGACATCGTCAACCAGGCTGTCCTGGAAGTGTCGGATCGCATGCTGTACGACATCGAAAATGAGCGAAAGCCCTCCCAACATGGCCCCCTCGATACCCGTCTGGTGCGTCCAACTTTTCGAAGGCGATTGTTCCTGACTGGCCATGAGCTAATGTTGCGAGTTTCATAGGGAACTTCGAGCAAGAGCAAGACTTGCGATACATGCCATCAGAAGCTCGCCTTCTGTTCCGGCCATTTTGGACACATTCGCCTGCCGCTGCCTGCATTCCACATCGGCTACTTGCGCTTCATCATGACTATTCTCCAGAATATTTGCAAGGTAAGTCTAACTCTGGAAGATTGCAAAACAGGAGACACAGTTTAACATATCCTCTCCAGGACTGTGGCTGCGTCCTTCTGACCGAACCCGAAAAACGAATGTATCTTAAGGAGCTACGACGACCGGGCCTCGACAACATGCGACGCACCCTCATTTGCAAGAAAATCAACGAGGTCTGCAAGAAGGTCAAAGAATGTCCGTACTGCAAGGCTGTCAATGGAACTATCAAGAAGCTGGGCGTCTTGAAGCTTGCGCACGACCGCTTTGCTGCCTTCAATAGGTCGACTTCCGCGAAGAAGATCCCGCCGGAGAGCAAAGTAAAGTTCGACAACTCCTTCTCGGCTGCCAAGAAGTACACCCCCGAGCTCGAGAAGCATATTCGCAAGGCGTTTGAAGATCTGAGCCCCCTGCGAGTATTGAACCTATTCAAGAAGGTCAGCCCTTCTGACTGCGAGCTTCTTGGCCTGGACCCTGCCGAGGGTAGGCCTGAGATGTTCCTGTGGCAATATCTCCCGGCGCCACCCATCTGTATCAGGCCCTCTGTTGCCCAGGATAACGCAAGTACTGAGGACGATCTGACGACCAAACTTGCCGAGATTGTTCAGATCAGCGGCCTAATCCGTGCTTCTCTGGCTAAGGGCACGCCTATCGGCACTATCATGGAGTTGTGGGAATTTCTCCAGCTCCAGATAGCCATGTACGTGAACAGTGAGGTTCCTGGCCTCGCTCAGCCCGGGTTTGGGAAAACAACGAGGGGATTCTGCCAGCGCCTCAAGGGCAAGCAGGGGCGCTTCAGAGGCAATTTGTCAGGAAAGCGTGTCGACTTCTCGGGTCGAACCGTCATTTCACCAGACCCCAATCTCGGCATTGATCAGGTGGCCGTCCCAATCCTGGTTGCCAAGAACCTGACATATCCTGAACGAGTGAACCACAACAACATTGAAAAACTCAAAAAGTGCGTCATCAACGGGCCCTACGAATGGCCAGGCGCCATTCAAGTCTTGCAGAGGAAGAACGACGACGTTCCCTACTACAAATCTCAGTTGAAATGGGTAGACGACCGTGAGGAGATTGCACGGACACTGAAAGCTGGGGACATCGTGGAGCGTCACTTGGAAGATGGCGACATTGTTCTTTTCAACCGGCAGCCCTCTCTACACAAGCTTAGTATCATGAGCCATCTTGTCAAGGTACGGCCATGGAGGACGTTCCGTCTGAACGAGTGTGTCTGCACTCCCTACAACGCCGATTTTGATGGCGACGAGATGAACCTTCATGTTCCACAGACAGAAGAAGCCCGTGCCGAGGCGATTACCTTGATGGGTGTCAAACACAACCTTGCCACACCAAAGAACGGCGAGCCCATTATTGCCGCCACTCAAGACTTCATCACGGCTGCATATCTCATCAGTAGCAAGGACCGCTTCTACACCAGACGGGAGTTTGCCTATATCTGCATGCACATGACCGAGGCGACAGTGCACCTTGACATCCCGCCACCGGCCATTCTGAAACCGCAAGCCTTGTGGACCGGCAAACAGGTCTTCAGCATGTTGATGCGCCCGAATAAGGAGACCAACGTCAAGGTCAACCTTGATGCCAAATGCAGAGAATACAAGCCTCGCCCTGGGGAGTGTCCCGACATGTGCCCCAACGATGGTTGGTTGGTCATCCGCAACTCGGAGGTCATGTGTGGTCGCATGGATAAGTCAACTGTTGGTGGTGGTAAAAAGGACTCTATCTTCTATGTCATCTTGCGAGACTTCGGCCCCGATGCTGCTGTCATTGCCATGAACCGCCTCGCCAAGCTTTGCGCGCGATTCCTCGGAAACCGCGGCTTCTCTATTGGAGTCTACGATGTATTCCCGCCCGCAGAACTCAATGTTGGAAAGGAAGCGTTGGTCAAGAGTGCCAATGCCGAATGCGATAAGCTGATCACATTGTTCAAGGAGGGAAGACTGGAAAAGGCCGCTGGTTGCAATCCCGAACAGACCCTGGAGAACGCCATTTCTGGTATTCTCAGTCGAGTCCGTCAGCAAGCTGGTCAAAAGTGTAACGAGACACTGAGCAGAAACAACGCCCCGCTGACCATGGCCAAGTCTGGATCGAAAGGTTCAGACATCAACGTGGCTCAGATGGTGGCTGTCGTCGGACAGCAGATTATCGGCGGCCAGCGTGTGCCTGATGGCTTCCAGGATCGCAGTTTGCCTCACTTTCACAAAAATGCACGCCAGCCGCCTTCCAAAGGTTTCGTCAAGAACAGTTTCTACTCTGGACTTGTACCTACCGAGTTCCTCTTTCACGCCATCTCCGGTCGTGAGGGTCTGGTCGATACTGCGGTCAAGACCGCTGAGACCGGTTATATGTCGCGGCGTCTGATGAAGTCGTTGGAAGACTTGTCGACTCAATACGACCACAGCGTCCGCACATCTGGTGGCGGCATCGTGCAATTCCAGTTCGGTGCTGATCGTCTGGATCCCGTTAACATGGAAGGCGCGGCGAAGCCTGTCCATTTCGACCGCACTTGGACGCACGCCGAGAACCTGACCTTGGATAACTCGGAACCGTCGCTGTTGCCCGACCAGGTCATGGAGATCTGCAACACCATGTTGAACGCCGAGCGTAACAGATGCATTCGACGAGACCTTGTCACGAACAAAATTCTTCCATATAACGACGATAGCGATAAAAGCCTTGACTGGCAGGAAGGCAAGAGGAACTTCATCGAGACTGTTCATGCCTATGTCAAAGCACGCGCGGAGAAAATTGCAAAAATTCGAAAAATGTCGGGTCTTGAGGTCAACAATCACGAGGCATCTATGGATCTGGATGGTCATGACGAGGAATGGGCTATGGAACGGCGAACTGAGCTGGTGGCCAAGGTGTCGAAGAGCACGCTGAAGCTGTTTATCAAGCTGTGCCTAGACAAGTACGAAGCGGCGCAGGTTGAACCTGGCCATGCCGTCGGTGCCGTTGGTGCTCAATCAATTGGAGAGCCGGGCACCCAAATGACGCTTAAGACTTTCCATTTCGCCGGTGTCGCCGGTATGAGTATCACACAAGGTGTGCCGCGTATCAAGGAGATTATCAACGCGTCAAAGAAGATCTCCACCCCTGTCATCGAGTGCCCCCTGCAAAACAACAAGCAGATCGAGGCTGCCCGAATCGTCAAAGGCAGGATTGAGAAGACATACGTGTCTGACGTTCTTCGCTTTATCGAAGATGAATGGGAAGCCGGCGGTGGCAAGATCATTCTCAAAATTGATCGCGAGGCGCTGCAGGATATGCACCTGGGCATTGGTCTCAATGACATTGCCCGTGCTATTGTGAAGCACAAGAAGCTCAAGGTTGACGAGAACTCCATCGAGGTCAACCACGGCGCAGGCACCGTGCTACTGAACGTCAGCTACAGCTGGTTAGACTCTGGAGCGAAACGAGGCACCAAGAGTAAGGTCGCCGCCGAGGAAGGCTCCGATCTGCTGCTCAGGGTGAACTTCCTGCGCCGAATGCTGCCTACGGTTGCTATTTCCGGCTACCCCGAGGCCACGCGAGCCATCATCCAGACGTCGGAGCAGAGCGAGCACGCCGTCGTCGTCGAGGGGTACGGCCTGCTGGACTGCATGAATACAGAAGGTGTCATCGGCACCAGAACCAAGTCCAACAACATCATGGAGTGCAAGGACATCCTCGGCATCGAGGCTGCGCGGCTGACCATCGCGCACGAGATCGGCGTTGTCATGGGCGACATGGGCATCGACCCGCGGCACATGGACCTGCTGGCCGACGTCATGACGTACAAGGGCGAGGTGCTGGGCATCACACGCTTCGGCCTGTCCAAGATGCGCGACAGCGTGCTGCAGCTCGCCTCGTTCGAGAAGACGCCCGACCACCTGTTCGAGGCGGCCGCGGGCATGAAGACGGACCGCATCGAGGGCGTCAGCGAGAACATCATCATGGGCCAGACCATGGGCGTTGGCACGGGTGCCTTCAAGATGGTGCGCCGCCTCGGGCTCGACAAGAAGGACACGGTGCCGCGGCGGACGCTGTTCGAGGAGGCCTGGGAGAAAGGCGCCAAGATGCGGAGGGGCACGAGGAGGGCTACTGCTGCGGCTGCGGCTCCTACTGTGAGGGCTGCTGCTTGAGCTAGTGCGGCTTGGGGGTTGTAACATCATCATATTCATGAATTGCATGCATTGCCTTTGGGAGTTTTTGTTTGGGAAGATGTGTTTGCAGGAACTTGGGGACCATCAGCGGCTGGACAGGGTAGAATTAGCATACCCAGAATGTGATGTGATTGTACAGACCAGTGCATCAATGCTTGCTGTGGTTTGAGAATTCACACTGTTTGATAATGGATGACCGTGGTCCTATCTTCGAAATGTTTCCGCAAATGATTATGTTGGGTATCAAATAACCTCCCAGCCAACGCCTTTTTTTCAACCAAACCTTTGGTATTGAACCTTTTTGTTGTTGTCCAAGCCGTCAAGAGCTGTTGGCAAAGAACTTGGTGATCTTTTGTGACCCCGCTGCCTTTGCAGCAGCCGCCGCCGCCTTGCTGGGCGACTTGTTGGCCGTGCCGTTGCTCGTGGAGCTGATCTTGGGCCGGCCGACCTGTTTGACGGGCGATGAGGGCGTTTGCTTTGCTGGACTGCTGCCCGTAGCAGCCTTCTTGGCCGGGGGGCTCCACTGATCCTCGTCCACATCGGCCTCTCTCTTGATCCCCTTGGGCAATGGGCTTGCCTGCATCCCACCATCGTCAGCTTCCCGACTGGCCTCTTCGACAGACTCGGTCTTGACGACGGCCGTCCTGCTATCATCACCACTACCGTCGCGTTTGTCGACCTCCTGCTTGATCTCCACCTCGGGCTTGTCCTTCGCGCCTCCGTCATCCTCTTCCTTTTTCTTCACTTTCGTCGGCGAAGTCTTGTTGCTCGCGTTGGCAAAGAAGTTGGCAATGTTGGACTTGTTCTCCCTGCTGGCCACGGGCACGATGAACGACGGCGAGTTGTTGCCCACCTTGCCGACCTCCTTGCTGACCGGGTAGACCTCGAGCTCGCCCGCGAACGGCCGGAGCAGCGCCTGCAGCTCCCGGCTCCACTCGTGCCGGGCCGGGTCGAGCCAGACGCGCAGGGCGTCGGACCCGGCGTCCAGGATGACGGGCATGCGGTCGTGCAGGAACCGGAGCTGCTTGTTCGAGTCGGTCGTGATGATGGTGTACGTGTAGTGCTTCTGCGGGTCGTCTTTTTTCCCCTTCCATCGTTAGCATCGTGTTACTACTGCCCCTGACCTCTGCTCCTGAAAAGAATAACCCGAAGCATGAAAGCGGGAGGAATCATACGTACCTTCGTACTGCACCACGTCCCACAGCCCCGCAAAGCACATCAGCCCGCCGTCCTTCCTCTTGACAAAGTGCGGCACCTTCTCCTTGCCCTTCTGCAGCCACTCGTAGAAGCCCTGCGCCACGACGACGCACCGCTTGCGCGCCTTCATGCTCGCCCACATGCCGCCCGCCGACGCCAGCGAGTCGTCGCGGCAGTTGATCGTCTTGAGCACCGAGGGGTAGTCCGGGTTGCGCTTGGTCCAGAAGGGCACGAGCCCCCACTTCATCGACTGCAGCTTGTAATGAACCGCTCGTGACGCCTCGCTCGCGTCTGCGTTGTGTCCCTCCGCGGCTGCTGCGGGGGGAGGCGCGTCACCTCTCGCCTCCTTGTCCTGCTGCGCTCCGCCGCCGGACCGCCGCGGCCCCGCGCCCCAGTCCGGCACGTCGGCCCTGTAGACGATGCCGTGGTAGCCCGGCGCAAAGTTGTAGCTCTGCCGCGGGGCGCCCTCGCCCTCGTCGGCCGGGTAGTCGTCGACCTGCATGTCGTTGTCCTGGAGCATGCGACGGACCTGGGAGGGTCGCAGATACAGAGCGTAGCGGCCGCACATGGTGGGTGGGGGTTCCCAGATCTGAATCTGCGCTGATCGCGAGGGATCCAATTGCGATTGTTTCAATGGTACAAGTTTTTAACACGGTAATGGCATGGTACTTCTGCATGTGTTGCGTGAGAATTGGGAATTGGACATCATTTGCGTCGACAAAGCAATCAGGCAACCGAGACGTCATCCTGCGCGCTCCCTTGGCGCGGGGAAGGCGTTGGACTAGCGAACGAGAAACGCGATATCGGTGCCTCATCACGTGGCGCCATTGAGTGGCAGATTCTCATCCTTCGATCACCAATCTACGTGAGCCGGGTCTGAACTTGGCTGTCTGGTGTCATTGTATGTCTTTCTAGTGCCGTTCAAACATGCAACACTTGTCAAGTGTGTCGTCAGCGACAAGGCAAGATAAGCATTACAACACGGGCACTGTAACAGGACATATGCCCTCGCACGACCGGGATAATCTCGCCTTCTTTTTTTGTTACCCTAGGAGCATATATGAAGAAAAGAGTATGTGCGCATCATGCATAAGACGTCAAGTCGGATGGTATATACATTCCACCAGTCTGGTCAGAAGGATCCCGGGACATGCTCGCGGGCCTCTTAGCTGCACTCCCAGCTATTGCAGTCCAGCGCTTCGACGCTACTTCTTCAAGGCCAAAATCTTGTCGGCAGCCTGCTCAGAAGCAATCGTAATCATAGCCGAAGGATTGCCGGTAATGTGGCCGGGGAAGATGGAAGCATCGACCACGAATAGGTTGTCGGTGCCGTAGACCTTTGCGTTGGTGTCGACGACAGCGGTACCGTCGGCCTTGCGGCCGTCATCAGTGCCCATCTTCGCAGTACCTGCGCAATCTATGTTAGCTTGCGGAAGAGCAAAGAACGAGAGCGTGTTGCTGCTACTTACCAATCCAGTGGTTGGCGCGCCTGGCACTCGCCAGCTTGGGGAGGGAGTCGACGTACGCCGCAACGGTCATGTTGGACGGCGGGGTGATCCAGGTCAGGTTCTTGACATTCTTGAGCGATGCCTGGAGGCTCTCGATGCCCTTGATGACGGCCTCTCTGTCCTCGGCGTTCTGGAGGTAGGGAGCGATGGAGACGACAGTGTTGAGCTGAGGGTCGAGAGTCATGCGGCCACGAGACGTCGCACCTCGGCCGAGGTACTGGCTCATGATCATGGAGTTGTTGGTGTCACCCTCAACTCTGGCGGTCCATTGGAGCTGTCGGACCTTGCCGTCAGAAGTGGTGATCTCCTCCCAGAACAGGGGGCCGATGTTGGGCGCGGCCTGGGCGAGAATGCCACTTCGCTTGTCGAGGTACATCTCTTTGTCAGTGGTGTTCGGGGCATCCCAGGCCTCGTAAAAGTCATAGAAGACCACGTCCGGGTGGCTGATCTGGGTGTCGGTATTTGCGTGGTCATCCAGGTTATAGCCGACAGGCAGGTTGATCCACTGCTTGCTGTCGATCATGGTCGGTCCGTCAGTAGAGTTCTTGACGATTTCGAGCTGATCTTTGGGACCGATACCGCTCCGCATCAAGAGCCTAGGGGTGCCGAAGGCGCCGGCGGAGAGAATGACACGACCGGTGTCCTTGGTCAGGCTGACGATGGTGGGCTTGCCATCAGCACTTGCACAGTCAAGCTCGACGCCAGTGACGTGAGCACCGTCTCGGACGACGCGCTTGGCAGGAGTGTTCATGTGGAGGCTGAACTGCTTCCTCTGAGCAGCGTTGACCAGATAGGTGGCCAGCGGGCCGCCTCTCTCACCGTGCGAGAACATGAACGTGCTGTGGCCAAAGCTGCGGTTCTTCGAGTTTGGATGGTCATTTGGAACGACATACTCCCAGCCAGAGGCGTTGAGGCCGCGTGAAAGAACCTCGAAGCCTTGTTGCAGATACCGCTTACCGTCCTGAGATGGAACGGTGGTACCCGGGATCTTCTTGAAGACACGGTCAGTTGCAGCGACCACGTCCTTGCTCTTCCACCCTTCGGGGAAGTTCTCATCCCAATCGAGATGGTATGGCTTCCACCAAAGGCCAGCATTGACAGCGACACCGCCACCAAGAACACATCCGGCCATCTGGTCGGTATCGAGGCAGGCGACACCGGTCGAATCATGCCAAATCTGGTTGCACAGACCAGGCACGTCAAAGCGAGTCAAGTTAGTGCCGTTGAGCCAGTCGGGCTTCATGACACCTCCCCAGACGCCCGTGGACGGAGGACCTTTCTCGAGGAGGAGGACACTATGGCCAGCCTCGCTGAGTCGGTCAGCCATGGGGATGCCACCAGCACCGCCGCCGACGATGATGTAGTCGTATGTACCTGTGGGAACGGCTGTGCAGCTTGCCACAGGGGCAGGGGCGGTGGTGGTCGGGGCGGTGGGAGTGCTCGTCGGAGGAGCCGTCGTGGTGTCGCCGCACTCGCCGGCGACGGTCTTGGTGGCCAGAGCCGACCATTTGGAATAGTCTTTGTTGACAGCACCCGAGATATCAGCACCAAATTGGCCAAAACCGTTGTCGTGGAAGCTGTATGTGATCTTGGACGGGCATCCAGGGTTGACAGGTGCTTTCTTCGAAGCAGCCCTTCCGATGATGAGGTTCTTGTCAGTCGTCTTGACGCTTCCAGTGGAGCCGCCTTGGTTCCATGCGAAGCATCCTTGGCAGCGGTAGATGATTTCGAACTCCTTGTCGTTGACGCTCGAGGAGATCTGGGTCAGCTTGGCATCACCCGTGTAGAGGCCAGGCATGGTGTAGCCCGTGGCAAAGCGGAAGGATGTCAGGACTTGGTCCTTGTACGGCCATGCCATGAGGAGCAGGGCCTGGGTCATCTGGCCGGATGCGCCATGCGACAGTCCACACCAGCCACCACTGGTGTTTGGGCATCGCTTCGGAAATTGTTAGCCTCCGTATCCTTCTCCGGCAAGCGAAAGAGAGGACTTACCAAGATACCGATGTATTCAGTCGCATCCTTGGTGAGAGCGTCCTCAGGAAGTGCCATGCCGTAGGTCATACCACCGCTGTCAGTGAACGACCAAGTGGTGAACGTGATGTTGGTCTTGGAATCCGTGTAGGCGGTAGGCGCCTGTGCAGCACATTCTTGTACGCCTGAAGAGATCATCTAGTCAGCACCAGCGGCCTTGACATATTTCTTGATGACGTTGGTCTCTTACATAGCGTGCCGGCCACCAAGGCGGCGGCGATACGTCTGAGGGAATACATCTTGCTGGTCCCGACGGCGGAGTTGAGATGGAGGCTGGAGCAGAGGAAAAGGCCATCGCAAGACCAGGAAACGGAGCGGGGACAGCTTTACTTTAAGAAGCCGACGCGAGCAGCGGCCTTCCTGCTCGTCCCGGTTGAGTGGCCGCCGGAGTCTGGGGGTTCCTGACCCATTCGGCCAGTGGGATCACCAGAGTCTTTCGGTTCATCTCGAGAGTTTATGAGCGCTGCGGCGGGCGTGTCCGAAATGGAACGTCACCGATAGGGTGGATGGAGCAGACGGCTGATATGCCCGCTGCGGTGAGAATATCGGGCTGATGGCAGGCTGATATTAGGGGCAGCTCACATGGCGTGGAGATGCTGGCCGGAACCCTGGGATATATTACGGGCCCATCGAGCTTGTTTCTGCGACGGGGTAAATGCAGTCGACATGAGTCTCTGAGATTGATGTAGACTCGCGCCAGGGGGTGTCCATTGCGTTCATGCGATCGGCAGAAACATGGCCCTCTCCAGGGCAGTGCCAGGGAACGGCATTGCAGTCCGCAATTCGATCAAGCAATCCAGGTCCAGGAGCCTCAAATAGACGATGGCAGATGTTGCTGACGAGCGATCTGCCATGGCAACCTGTCGGACAGCTCTGTCCCAGACTCCATTAGCATACTGAGGCTTGCTACTTGATGCTGTTCAATGAAATGGTGTATGAATGCGGGGTAGCGTACAGCCTCGGATCTCCTTGAGATCCGGCATCGATCAAGCGATTGAGTTCGGCCATAGATCACGGGTATCATCATTGGACAGCTCGGTTGAACGACGCAGCGGCTCGATGCGTCAGAACAAACGAGTGGAACAGCTCGTCAAGCGGCGGCTCAGAATAACGAATCGTTGGCGTAATGGCCTTGCTATGATTGGTCTGGGGTACGCTGAGGGGGCATCCCGGTCAGGGGTAAAGAGATCTGATCGGGAATGATTGCAGGCCGGCGTGAGATGGGAGATGTGTGCCTGCAGAAGGGAAGGGAGGTAGATGGTGGACCGGTAGTTGTGGACGCACCCGGATCCAAGATGTTGGACGTGGGTGAGGATTGGTGGTGATAGCTTGGACACCGGCCTGTCGGAGGTTTTTCTGTCCCCTTTCTCGCCTCTTGCAATCCCGCCCTTCCCTTGCCTGTTTTACATTAGCAATTGCCTCCTTCCCGCCGCTGGAGAGAGTGTCTGCGAGAACCTCGTCCTTCCGCATCTAGATGGAAGAAACGCACACCTCAGGCGCTTCGGAACCCAGAGACGGCGTTAATAAGCGCTGTAACATTCTGCTGGAGACCACCCCTGCGAGCGCTTTATGGCCATTTCCCCGACGCAAAGTCCGCTGAAAACGGTAGGTTTTCAGGTCAATCATGGGGGTTCCCGCTCCGACATTAATCTGGTGTCACTTTGGATAAATCCTGGGCCAATACAACTGACCGCGTTGCCATTCTCCCTGTCATATCTGGTGATCTCTCCGCACATCCCACTCCTTGGCACCGGGAATCCAACTATCCACCACTGGCAAGAGGGCAATGCTCAAGCTTCAGGAGCTTACACCTGTTTCGGAGCGGTCTGGCGGCCCTGGCCCACAGCATTGGAGGCGTAGATGTGCGCTTGTGTGCGACGCCTGGGCCTCACCTGACCCCAAGGTTCATCTGCTTCGTCACCCCTACCTAGCCGCAAGCGCGCGACGAGCTTCCTGAGGGTTCTTGTTCAGTCCTGGTTAGGTATGGATCTCGCGGTCTTGCTATGCCGCGGTCTGACTTCGGGAAGCACCGCCGCTGGAGCTCGGCGCTCTGCAGGAGTCTCGGGCCGCCGCAACTCAACTACCAGGGTCGTTTTGCATCCCACAGCCCGGGCAATGATCATCACGGGTGGACTTCGCCGCGAATTTGGCTCCTCTCCCAACCTCTCCGTAGTGCTCCCTCACGATCTGCAGCTTACTTCACACGCCCTCTACTCCGTCCGCATTACCCTCCTGGTCGACACTCACATATTCCCCATCTAGAGAATGTCTTGCTTCGCACGCGCGTACGGTGCGAGATCTTGCTTTTATGGACTTTGGTAATAATAGCTCCGTATAGTGTTCTGGTTAACTCGACATTGACTCCTCTCAACTTCTGTTCCAGAGAGGATCGGGCACTCAGCTACCTGCTCGTGCCAACTTACCTTGTTAGGTGTAATGAGAGGGGAATATTGTTTGAATTAAGTAGAATGTGTACACTTGTTCTCAATGATAACTGTACGAAGTCAATCTGTATTAGACTTTGATCAGCTATACACTTTCTAACTATGATCTTTCTGGAGTAAGTTAGCTAGCCATATTGTACAGAATCTTGACCTTGATTCGATTAGTTAAATTCAGCTTACTGATTTGCGGTCCAGGGCTTCATGTTGTCTCATTCAAGTTGACGACTCGTCGCCGGCTACAGCATGTCTTTCCTGATTGTTCGATCATTCCCCCCTCGGCTATGATATGACGCCAATATCTCCCCAAATGTTGCCCAGAGAGTTTTATAATCTGCAACATTGCAGTTGAAGCACTAGAAACATCTGCTAGCGACTTTCATCTTATGAACGAGGACCTGCTACATTGCTGGGAAGTCATATTTAGATGATATCAGTGCTGGCCTCCGCGAGAGTTCTGCAAAACTCCTGAACACCGATCAATCAGTAGGAGGATCTGTCATCGAACACAGTGCTACTGAGGACCAGCTTTCAACTTTTCTTCGCTGGAATCTCTCGCACACTGACTGGACACGCTTCCGACGCCTTCAATGGGACTCTTGGGAACCGCATCTCTCCGCGATATCCGTCCCCGATATCACGGGCGTTGTCGGACCGACACCCGGGAACCGAGTCCCGTGCAAGATGATGGACGGGTTGTAACAGGTGTTCAGACTGGTATCTCTTGATAGATTGGAATTCAAAGAGTGCAAAAAGGGAAACACAGCAAGCAACACGTGAAACCACCCAGTGAATGTCACATATTAACAATGGAGCCCACCGCCCACTTGACATGAGCTCGCTTGGGGCAAACCCCAGTCAACTACGTATGTCAACCCGCAATACGGAGAAAAAGAGCTGTCAAATTCAAGGAAGCGGGGAGGCCTAGAGAGACGGCGCGTGGGGCTCTGGAGACACGATGGTGTTTTGTTCGGAGGCGTAATCCCTACAATGGGCTCACCGTAACCCGGGAATAACGCATCCGGCGGGAGAAGGCCGGTCAATGCCCGGATCAGACACTCTGTTCCGACGACCGCTCAGCCGGCCGAGTTTACTTACACCTCTGTTTGGGATTCAGCAACGTCGATCTCCCCCACAGGCCCTCCACATCACTGGGATGGTGGGCCTTGAATGCTGTAACGAGAACATGAAAATCGGATACCCAACTGTTACTGAGAGCAATTCCTTTGCTTGTTAGAGTAGGTTATTTAATCTAACCACGCGAAAGAAGCGCTTGGTCATCTCTGGCAGCAGCATGTACAAATGGTAGCCTCCCCCCGAAGCAGAAGCTCGAGGGACACTCTCTGTCTCTTGATGCCCTATCGTCTCCCGCTCTTCACCTTTTTCGTGGTACTTTTTCTCTGATTTGGCAGGAACCAATCTACCAAAATGAAGACACTTCGTGGAAGGCCGTTGATGATAGGCCTGACCTCAGCCTGTAGCATGGGCTTCTTGCTCTTCGGCTGTCAGTAACATCAAACCTATAGGAAAGATTGCTAATGTGTGGCCGACATAGACGACCAGGGCGTCATGGGTGGTGTGCTGTCAACGGAATCGTTCCTCGCACAATTCAAGGACCCCGACTCCGTTGAACAAGGCCTGATTGTTGGGCTCTACGACTTAGGTTGTTTGATCGGTTCTCTTCTCGCCTTCGGCTTCGGCGAAAAGCTTGGACGCAAGCGAGCCATCTATATTGGCAGCGTTGTTGTTATACTCGGCTCGATTCTTCAGGTTACGGCTCATGTTGTCTCGCATTTGATCATCGGGAGGATCTTCACCGGTGTTGGAGTCGGCATCATGACTGCCATCGTCCCGACATGGCAGGCCGAAGTGTCCCGCTCCGACAACCGCGGTGCGCTGATCACTGTCGAGGCCGCGAACATCATCTTCGGTTTTGTGCTTTCCAACTGGGTCACTTTGGGGGCGAGTTACGCCAAGAGCAACTTTCAGTGGATCTTCCCGATCGCTCTACAGATGGTGTTTGCCATATACCTGCTCATCATCGGGCCGTTCCTCGTCGAGTCTCCTCGCTGGCTTGCTCACCACCACAGCCTCGAAGAGGCTACGTCGGTAATATCTCGTCTCCTTGATCTGCCAGAGTCACATGAGGAAGTGATCAAAATTCGAAACGAAATTGAGATGGCTCTCCAGGAGGAAGAGAGCGGCCACTGGACCGAGATCTTCCGCCATGGTGGTCAACAGAATTTCCGCCGCATGATGCTCGGCTTTGGAGCTCTCTACATGCAGCAGATGAGTGGTATCAAGTACGTCAGGCTCGATAACCCGATAACCGGTAGACTATAGGTTAACCGAAGTGCAGCACCATCGGGTACTATCTGCCCGTCATCCTCAAGGATTACGTCGGATTAAGCGACATAACCGCCCGCATCGTAGCGGCTGCCGGCAGTATGAACTACTTGGTGTTCAGCATTGTGCCCATCTGGTTCATCGATAAGCTGGGACGACGTATTTGCATGATCTGGGGCGCGGTAGCATTGTCTATCATCTCGGCTCTAATCTGTGTCGGGTTCAATGTCCCCGGCACCGGCGGCGCTATCATGACAGTGGTCATGTACTTTTTGTTCTACGATGCCTTCGCATGGAGTTTCCTCAATGTGTCCTGGATCTACGCTCCAGAGATCAACTCTCTCAAGATGCGATCCATGGGTGCTTCTCTGGCCTCCGCCTCCAATTGGCTTTGTAGGTCAATCATTCGTTCTCATACCCTGGTTGAAATGACTGATTGTGCTTCGCAGTCAACGGCATAGCCGTAACCATCACTCCAATCGGCCTTGAGAAAATTGGGTGGAGGTATTACCTCATTTGGACCGCTTTCAACGCATCTTTTGTTCCGATGGTCTATTTCTTGTATCCTGAGACGAAGGGCCTGTCACTGGAGCAGATTGACCACATCTTTGAAGGCAAAGGCCACGGCTGGAACTGCCTGACCCAAGGCGTCAAAGAAAGTACCAGGACTGCTGTCGATCTTGGAGTACCGGAGCAGTCGAGTGCCAGCCACGTACCATCTGCTGCCGATGAGGAGAAGGCTCTTGGGCATGGTACGGCACAGGTGAGCGAGGGTGTGGTGGGTAGTGCTGGGAGTTCCCCGGACAAAGCAACGACCGCGAATGCAGAGCACGAGAGGCGCCACTAAGGGGTTAAAGAATTTAGCAGTGCTTGATTTTGCTGTATGCGATGCAGAGACCATAACCATTTCCATCAGATCTATCCTCTATATCGGACCGGTAATTTCGTCCATTTCGTGGAAGCAGCAGTCTGTCTATGTCTCCAGTGCAGCAACGATGCGGTCTAGTCCCTCGAATAGATACCTGTCCTTGTGCGAAAAAACTATTCTAAACCAACCAGGCTGTTCGGAGCCAAATCCGACGCCTGAAGCGAGGAAGACCTTCTGTGCGGTCAGAGCTTCGGTCACAACCTTGTCCAGATCTTCGGCTGCCGCTGAGGGCTTATGCTTTAGATACGCCTTGCCCAGATTCACCCACAGAAAGAAGGCAGCATTGACGCCGGGAGCGTACTCGATATCGTTCTTCTGAGCCCACGCCACAATCTTCTCGTACTGTTGGCCGAGCTTGGTCTGATTCTCCTTGATGTAGTTCTCCACCCAGGGCTCGTCCTCGAGCAGATTAGCAGTGACGTGATCCGAAAGCGAAGAAGTCGACGAGTATAATCCGACAGAGCCCATGGTGGATATGAAGGCGGGATTGCCCTGAGAGATGATAGCACCCATCCGCAAACCATTGGCTCCAAAGTCCTTGGACATGCCCCATAGGACGTGCACACGACCGGGGTCGATGATTCCCGCTGGGTCAATGGCCAACGCCGAGCAGAAAGGCACAGGGGCGGGACTCTTGTCGATTGCGTTCTCAAAGACTGATAGCCCGTAGATCTCGTCGCTGATGAAGTGGAGCTGATACTTCTCGCAGAGCCTCATGAGCGCGGTCATGACATTGCGGGAGTAGCAGCGACCGAGGGGGTTGTGCGGGTTGCTGATCACAAGGCCGGCCACGCCCTGTCCGTTCCTTTGCGCCTCGAGGATGACGTCCTCGTATTTGCGCACGCAGTCCTCGCCTACCGGATCCACGTTGTCAAACGCCACAGTGAGCAGCTTGGCGCCGAAGCGGAGGGTCAGATCCGGGACGAAGGTGCCATAGTAAGGACGGCCCAGGAGGAAACCTTCGCCGGGGTTCGCCAATGCCCACTGGCAGTGTTCTATGGCACTGGAGCACCCGTTCGTGACGGCAATGTGCGCCGGCTCGATGGGCTTGGCGGTTTTGAGATGTTTGGTCAGGAGCCGGGCCATGGCAGCCTTGACCCGGCGAGTGCCCGTGGGCCCGTCACCATAGGTGAATGCATAATGGTTCGAGATGTTGAGGCTTTTGTGCAGGTGCTTTGAGAACTCATCGTGCATCAGCGAGTTCTCGGCGAGGCCCAGGCTTACTGTGCCCGTCGGGTTCCCGTCGGGTTCCCAAATATTCTGGATGATCGCCCACAAATGGTCTAGATCTCCACTGGCGGCTGCTACCTTCTCGGCGCGAGTAGATAGAGACATATTTGCGAGTTGATCTTGGGTTCAGTGTCGTTGGCTCGAGAGCATTGGAATGAACTGATATTGAATTTACAATGTCCAACATTAATCAGCCGATAGCGTCACGCGGGCTTTTAAAGTACTACCCGCTGAAACGGGGCCGAACAGTCGGCCAGCGTCGGCCATGAAGCAGTCCTGTGGCGCGGACTAGACTAGCTGTAATGTGTGGGAGCTCGAACTGTAAGGCCGAGTTACTCAGAAGCTTGGGACGACGGCACGCTTGTTGCATGCCGTGGTCCCAATGAAAGACGATCTCCTCATGCAGAGTCAAACAAACTATCCATTTATGATCATGGGTCACTGATGCAGTGTCCCATCGTCCCGAAAATCATTAAATTGAGTCTATTAAGAACAGGGTGAAGGGAGAACTGCATGTGCCGACTCAGAGTCATCTTCTGACGCCCATGCTATGAGCTACACCGCTGCCATACTATCGACGTCGAGTATTGCGCCGACCTTGTCGGGTTCAGGCTGACACCATATACAGGTATCGATTCGTTCACGACAGTGTATGTGCCTAGTAATGGCACCTAGAATACTATGGCACCTCCATCCACGACAATGTCACTGCCATTCATGTACGTGTTGGCTCGGCTTGCCAAGAGCACAATCGCGCCAGTCAGCTCCGAAGGACTCCCCATCCTCCCACTCGGATTGCGCTCAGCCCAGATCCTGCGATGCTCAGCGATCCCGTCCCCTTCATTCAATATCGTGTCCATGTAGCCTGGGCTGATGCTGTTTGTGCGAATCCCATACTGAGCCCACTCCGCGGCAAGGGAGTTCTTTAGCATGAGGAGCGACGCCTTGCTGACATTGTACGCGACCTGCGGCTGGGGAAAGTTGACACGATGGGCCGAGATGGACGCAATAAAGATGATAGAGCCTCCCTTGCCACGCTTGACCATGTGCTGCGCGGCTGCCTGTGCACATATGAACGTCCCTGTCAGATTGACGTCTATCACCTTGCGCCATTGCGATACAGGCATTTTGAGCGTCTCTACACAGCCGACGATGCCCACGAAGCAGATGAGTATGTCTATCGATCCTAAGAAGGAGACAGCCTCCTGCATTGCGGCGCTGACGGCGATTTCGTCAGTCACATCGACGGCCAAGGCCGAGATTTTGGCCGACGGAAATCTAGCTTTCAGTGCCTCGATCTCAGCTTGTGATTGAGTAGGGTTGACGTCCAGGATCATGATGCCTTCGAGACCGTGTTCGAGCAGTGCATGACCCGCCTGAAGGCCGAGCGTACCGGCGCCGCCAGTGATTACCGCATTGCCCACTACTTCAAAGCGCTTTTGCGCAGCCAATTCTGTGTCTGAGCCGAGAGCCACCTTGGGTGCAGGTGTCATAGACGAGTCGCTGCCATCGCTCAACTTCATCATGGGAACAGTGCGCGCCGTGAGCTCAGCACGGCTCGCTAGTTCTTCTGGCGCGGACATTGCGGAAGTTGGTAAATGGTTAGTTGGGGCTGGACAGATTATCTTCTGTAGGTGTTTGAAGATAGTGAATTATTGAACGTGGTAGGAGGTGTTGGGGTCTTGGGGTGTTGTAAGGAAGAGCTTTCAACACAAGCCGTAATGATTCAAGGCAGTCTGAGGTTCGGCGGTAGCGCATTGCTCCGTCCTTCGCTCCGGACCTAGTGCTTAGGGGCTCTCGCTCCACCATGGGTGGATGATCTCCGTACCGGATCACTGTCACCCAAGTTGCCGCCCTGCACAGGCTTTGATGCGGGCCTCGGCCAGTATAATATCATGCATCAAGGAGTGTAGCCTCTAATTGTTAAACTCTCATATACTTTGAAAGCATTAAAATGGTCAAGTCCTGTTAACACTGCTCCGCTGCAGTCACAGCTCAAAAGACAAGTTGTCTACAAGTCTTGAGCAACTTTATGCTCTATCTACGAAGACTACGCATTATTCTGAGGGATGACCCGAGAATCCATAATTCAGGACTCTCCGGTCTTCTTTAGTGATGCACCACATGTTCTACGTCGAGAGGGGAAACTGGGGGGTAGGCTGCTCCAGGTGGTCCGAGGTCGCAGACCCCGCTGTTGCGTTGGCCTAACTGGTTGATATCATCATGCATGAATTTCTAAACGCAAATTTGAACCTAACGGCACACCTACCTCTTAACTCTTTCTTCGAGGTATAGTAACAGCTGCATTTCACAAGATGTCTATGTCTATTGACGATAGCGCCACGGTGCGAGAGGGCTATCCTCGGCCGACACCGGATATCCCCAACAATGTGCTAGAACAGCTTCGCCTCACAGACAAAGTCGTGGTAGTCAATGGCGCAGCGGATGGAATTGGGTATGCCGTCGCAGAGGCCATGGCTGAAGCAGGCGCCCATGTCGCGCTATGGTACAACACGTAAGTGTATAACTCGTACAAAGAACAACTATGTAGACTCGAAAGCTAAAACCATCGTATTCAGCAATGATGCGGCCATAGAAAAGGCGAAGAGTCTTGCTGGGTCTCATGGAATCAAGACACAGGCCTATCAGGTCGACGGTGGGCGACACCTAATGGTTCTTACGGGGTCGAAGTCCGTTAACCTCCAATCGTTGTCCAGTCTCGGATGCAAAGCAGGTTCAACATACCATCTCGCAGGTAGTCGGAGATTTTGGAAAGATTGATGTCTTCATGGCAAACGCCGGTACGTCAACCAGCATCTGCCATTTCATCATGTTAAATCGATGGCTGACGGCGTGTAATAACCTCTAGGCATGGCCATTTCCAAGCCCATTCTCGAGCAGACAATTGAAGAGTACCGAAAACAGATGTCTGTCAATGGTCAGTCTCACCTGTTCCGGCTATCTGCAGAAATAACTGCTTTCACTAACAGTAAATCTCAGTTGACGGCGTCCTCTTCTGCGCCAAATACGTGGGTGAGGTTTTCAAGCGGCAAGGCTTCGGAAACCTCATCATCACCTCTAGCATCAGCGCGCACATCGTCAATGTTCCAGCCGACCAACCAGTTTACAATGCCACCAAGGCCTTCATAACCCATTTCGGCAAGTCTATCGCTCGCGAGTGGCGCGAGTTTGCCAGAGTGAACATTGTTTCGCCGGGGTTCTTCGACACCAAGATGGGCGCCAGTCCAAGCAACCTCCAGGAAGCTTACCGCATGACCCCGCTTGGGAGACAGGGCAACGTGAAGGAGATAAAGGGGCTGTTCTTATATCTGGCCAGTGATGCATCAACCTACATGACGGGAACAGACGTTTTGATCGATGGGGGCTACGTGCTGCCATAGAGACAGGGGCAACGAAACTTTCACATCTGCACTCGGCGTATTAAGGGCTGCAAGAGAAAGCTGGATCTTCGCATTGTGAGTTGCCTGGCAAGCATGAACCACAATAGACATCAGCGCCAGTGAAGTCTGTATAGGACAGCTTCCATTTGCAATGAGCTCACGCGGGTCGGTAGCGGTCACTGCTCCATGACCAATCGAAAAAGCCGTCAGAGAAGGTATTATGCGTGCTTGAACCCTCTAAAACATGGCTTTAAAGTAATTTCCGGATGTGCCCATGCTATCGAAGTTGGATGACTAAGTACCCGGTATATGTCAGCGTTGCTCTGCCGTGTCCTCCTGTCTACGGTGCCTCTTCTGCCGCTGTGTCTGCGCATTCCTTGTGCTTGCCGGCGTTTATTAGCTGTAAATGAACTACTACCTTTGCGGGACGGCAAACCGGGTTACCGACCGGTCCGCATGAAATCGGCCGCAAGCCCATTCCCCAGGTTAATCTAATGTTTAATATCCAAAACCAGGCCGTGTGATCCGTTTTCACAAGCCACCTAGACAATTCCTCCAATCAAATCATCGCCGTGGTTCGGCATCAGTGTGCGCACGCCGAAGATACTACCCTGTATATACTGGGTTTGTCCTCAACCTGTCACGTCGCAAGAAAAGTGCTCTGCTGCCGGATAAATACGGCAGTCTTCCATGAAGTGATGATGCAAAGATTCGCGAAGGTCTTCAAGAAAGTTTAAAGACGACGCTGAACGCCAGCCAGACAGGTATCACGTTCAATCTCCAGTGAACCTTGCCAAGAATTCAACACCTTGGTTGCTTTTTGTAAACTAAATCATCCAAACGCTAAAAAGGAGCTATCAGCATGAAGTGCCTTCTCTCCCTCGCAGCGCTCTCCGCTGCTCTCAGCCAGGTTTCAGGGCACTACATCTTCCTGCAACTCTCTCTCGGATCGCAAAAATTCAAGCAGTATGAGCATATCCGATACAATACCAACTACAACAGTCCCGTCACTTCCCTTTCGTCAAATGACCTCAGATGTAATGTCGGCGGTAACACCGGGTCCAATACCACGACGGTCGACGTGAAGGCGGGCGAGGCCTTCACATTCACTAGCGACACCGTACGTCAAGCTGATCAAAATCTCGTAGCTGACACTGACTTCGATATTTTGATCTAGGCTGTGTATCACCAAGGCCCGATTTCTCTATACATGTCCAAAGCTCCAGGAGCAGCGTCAGACTACGCTGGCGATGGGCCATGGTTCAAGATCTACGACTGGGGTTCGTACTTGTCACCAGCTCACCCGGAAGATGATCCAGATCTAACCTTGCTACAGGTCCAACCTTTGCCGGCGGCCAGGCCTCGTGGCCCTTGCGATGTGAGCATTCGGCACACAACCGCCATGAGGGAACAGTATACTGACCATATTGCCAGCAACATACCAGTACAACATTCCCAAATGCATCCCTGATGGCGAATACCTGCTGCGTATTCAGTCCCTCGCCATCCACAACCCTGGAGGCGTCCCGCAGGTATGTGGCAAACGATCGTTGATATTTTGAGGCTGTTGTTCACAAGATTCTTTAGTTCTATGTCAGCTGTGCGCAAGTCAAGGTTAGCGGGGGTGGGAACGCAAGCCCTTCGCCTACCGCTATGATTCCAGGTGCTTTCAAGGTAATTATGTCGTGTTGCTTCCTCGAGCACCCTTCAGATAACTTGTTAACACCATTCTAGGCGACCGACCCAGGCTACACTGCCAATGTAGGTTTATCAAAGAGAGATATCCAAAGGGAACTTGGCTGACTTTTACAACACTAGATCTACAACAACTTCAACTCCTACACCGTTCCTGGCCCCAAAGTCGTAAGTTCTTCCGAAGTGTTGACTTCCCAGTTTCTATCCAGAATTGTTACTAATCAGGATCAAACTAGTTCACCTGCTGAACCTCGGGACTGGCTTGACTAGAATAGAGTACGATGAATATAGTCTGGTGTAGTAATTGTCTATGAATAAACTCCTAAGAGAATAAGTTAGCATACTTCAATTATGTTGAACCTCTAAAGAAATCCGTGACATCATTAAAGCATTATGTCAGCGCCAGTTCTTTCCCAAGCTACAAATCCCTTTTCCCAGTCTGTGTCTCAGCAGGTCGGGCGGTACTTGACCCAGCAGCTCGCGATACGCGGACGGTGGCATTGACAGGGTCCAAGCGGTTCCGTGCCTGACGACCGCGGCGAATAACAGCACACAGCAGCTTTCTGGTGCCCACCCACCAGTCCGTGCCCGTCCAATTCACCGGCAGTGGGTAATTTGATTGAGTGCGGAAAATCGTTGGCCTTACTCAATTCTTCACGGAAGACCTACCCCCTTTGGGCCACTGCCTCTTAAGCTGCCGAAGTAACGGCAATGGTAGGCCTTTCCTGGGTAACACCCCAAGTGGTGCACGGCGATCGGCGCCACTTTCATATATCTGAGACAGGAACTGGAAGTTAATCCCCTGGTTCGCAAGCTCAGCGCTGAAAGGAATGTGGCCTTGAAGTGTGATCTAGATTTCCAAGGATCATCTCTTAGTTCCGCCCTCAAGTGCATATAGTTGTGCCTATACATAAGTTGCCGCATATAAGGCTCTGCAACCTTATTCCGGACGGAGAAATATGATTCCTCCTCTTGCATTGAGAAATATGACGCTTTGCCCGAGATCAGGACTTCTTGGGGCATCAAATAAAGAGAACCCAGAAAGTGTCGTCCCGCATGCCTCTATTCGGAAGGGGGTCGATGAAGTCACGGAGGCACACTGAGACAGTCTTTCAACCCATCACACACCACCATCCAGGTCCTCGGCAGGGGTAATATGCCATCCCTGTCTTCATGCATATCCTATCCTGCGCTTCACTTGCAACGCCATGTGGTATTTTATGCCAGGAAACGATGCAGTTACTTTCTTGCTATTATTTAAAGGACTGTCTTGGTCCTTTTTCTTGGCTTGCCTGAGAACCAGGTCGGCACCACACAAGCTTTCCTTGCTTCACTTGGCATCACTACCGTCATAGTTACCAAGGCCTTTCACCCATCATGTATTGGTCTCTCATCACAGGCATGGCCCTTGCGGGTGCCGTCACCGCCCTGCCGCGCCTTGACAGCCGGCAAGGCAATGGACAGGTGAAATATGGTAAGTGATGCCAGTACGCCTCGGTGTCGCACTCGTCCGTGCTTATGTTTGATTAGCTGGAGTGAACATTGCCGGCTTCGACTTTGGATGTGCTACCAACGTAAGTCAGGTGGACTCGAGTCTGCGATCTAGAATCCTAGCTGACGTTCGCCTAGGGCAACTGCAACATCACCGCCGCTTACCCACCCTTACAGTCTCTAGGGGGGCCTGATGGGTAAATATCCGAATCTGAATCGTATCTGTGAGGGCTTTTAGTTGACGGCATGAGGAATAGTGCCGGCCAGATGCAACATTTCGCGAGGGATGATGGCATGAATATGTAAGTCTCGCACGTTTGAAGTGTCCTCGTGTGGATCGCAGAATGTTGACGAAAGCTTGTAGGTTCCGACTTCCAGTTGGTTGGCAGTGGCTTGTTAATCGCAGGCTTGGCGGCACCTTGGACCAGACCAACACGGGCAAGTATGACCAGTTGGTCCAGGCATGTCTTGCCACAGGTGCTTACTGTGTCATTGACGTAAGTGTCAACGCTCTTTAATCAAGCGACGCTCGAACTAACTCATTGCAGATCCATAATTGTGAGCTTATTTACATACGAGCTTTGCGTACTAGGAACTGAACATCATGCAGATGCCCGATGGGACAATCAGATCATTGGCCAGGGCGGGCCATCCAACGAGCAGTTCGTGAGCCTGTGGACCCAGCTGGCCTCAAAATATGCCAGCCAACAGAAGATTGTGTTCGGTATCATGAATGAAGTAAGTTGCATGTGTGTGGTGGACTCTATCCGAGCTGCGCAGAATCCTAATTTTGACACAGCCCCATGATGTTCCTGATATCAACAAGTGGGCAGACACTGTCCAGGCCGTGGTCACAGCAATCCGCGGTGTTGCCAAGTCTCAGATGATTCTGATCCCTGGAAACGAGTAAGCTGTTGCAAGGAACTACATCTAAGCCAATCCGATATCTAACACCGCTGCCTAGTTGGACCTCAGCGCAACAGTTCCCCACCAAGTCCGGGCCTGCGCTCCTGAAGGTTAAGAACCCCGATGGCAGCACTGATGGTCTCATCTTTGATGTTCATAGTAGGTCCCTGAAACTTTCCTTGCAATTTACAATAGACTGACCCTCTGTGCTAGAGTATTTGGACTCGGACAACTCTGGAACTCACACGGAGTGCGTGACGGATAACATCAGCTCTGCATTCTCCCCTCTTGCCGACTGGCTGCGAGCCAACAAACGCCAGGCCATCAACAGTGAAACAGGTGGAGGAAATACAGCTTCATGCCAGAAGTACTTGTGTCAACAGATTCAATTCCTCAAGTAAGTCGCCCTGTGCATCTCACAAACTGGGGAATCTATACTCATCTCGTCCCATAGCCAAAACTCCGACGTCTACCTTGGTTATATCGGATGGTCAGCAGGGGCTTTTGATCCGAGGACCTATGAGCTTAGTGAAGTCCCGAGCAGAAACGGCAACTCTTGGACAGACAGCTCGCTTGTTAAAGCTTGCCTCGCTAGAAAGGCTTCTTAGCCCAGACGGGCTTAGAAGTCTGGAAGTGTGACACAAAATCAAACAGTACATGAAGAGCTTACAAATATCTGGGTAGCTCAGTCGAGATTCTGACTCTGGTTTTACTGTCCATCAAGAGTTTCCATGTCAAGATAAGCTCTTATACCAAGACTTGTAATTGTATTAAGTTGGCACCTCCGTGTCAAACTCCAGTTCTTAGAAACTTTCGTGATTAGGACGGATGCCGGCTAGTGTTAGAAGTTACATCTTGACATTACCTAGCGCCTAGGTTGAATCTTCGATGATCGCTATTTCGTGTAGAACACCACCCATCCAGCAGCAGCAGAGGGGCAGTATCGCGAGGCTTGCCCTTACCCCCGCAATCAACGTTGAATCTCAAGTTGCCGGTAGAAATGTGATCTTACTGGGTCTTTTGTCCTTCTCCTGGGGAAACTTTCCGTGATGACACCTTTTTGATGAAGGTCTTCACAATCAGGACAAACCAGAGATAATTCAGCCCAGCGAGAATGATCCCACAAGTAGTGCACCAGACGAGCACCAGGAGTCGAACCGCACTAGGCTCCAGGCCCTTCTTCTGTAAGTGCTGCACCATTTCCCACTCATCCCGTCCCAGCTCTTGGACTGTCATAGAGGAGTTGTAGAGAGCAAAAAGATCTGACAAGTACATATATGTTGCGTATGTGCCCCATATGATGCGTATGAACAGGAACGACACAATCCAGACGACAGCATTGGCGATGGAGAAAGGACTCACTCCCTTGCCAAGCGGAATGAGGAACTTGTAGATGTTATGCGGAATGTTGGTTACTTCGTAGACAAGAAACCAGGCTGTCATGCTGGACGTGAATGGATACTATGTCCAAGTGTGAGTGATACGCAACCGAAGTCCAGTGCGGTGTGTGAGACAGGAACTCACGTAGACGCCTCCCAGAAACACGACACCAATGACGGCATGCGCAATCATCTGCATACCATGCCTATCGAATTCTTTGATCATCATCGCGAAATGCCACAGGAAGTAGCCAATAGCGACATTTGTGATGTGCGTTTCAGGCTCATAGTATTCAAATACACGCTGAATGAGAGAACGATCCTGCCATTGGGTTTTCTGTAGCCATATGACATATAGAGAGGCAGGTCCTAATAGCAGGCTTTGGGCCAGAGACACCACTCGCAGTTTCCAGTCCGCCCGCTGCTTGTCGGTAAAGGCAGCCCATTGTTTGCGGATGAAGAGCTTTGTGATTGGCTCAGCGAGAAAGGAGTAAAGGGCTGTGAAGCATGCCAAGGAGAGAATCACCCAGTCGATGTGGATGGGGAGCGTTTTGAGCCTGAGAGCGGACGAAAAGGCCTGGACAGCATGGGATGAACCCAATGGCGAGAGCTCCAAGTTCAAGTTGTGCACCAGGCCAGCCATTGTAATTCCTAACGAACGGGACGTAGGTCCAGGTAGAAGAGTACGCTGTTCACGCGTATGAGCGTACTTGGTGCGCCAGATCGAAGGTCCCTTAATTTCAAGTGTCCAAAAGGTTGCGCGGATTGCCAACGGCGTTTTTATCGCGAATTTGCTTCGCCCGAGCTGGGGTTCAATCCGATTGCGTAGGAGTTATCGGAGCGAAGCGACCAGGCAATAGCCTATGCAGTACCCATCAAGGATCCAACTGATATCATTTGTCATCTCCCGAGCTGTGGGATTACTGACTAGATCTGGGCACATTTTGCTGTCAGCACTAGGCGGTGGCTGAATCAGGGACGTGCCGTGTATGCACAAAACGGGGGTTTACATAGCTGCATGAGGTTTATGTACGTGGATGTGTGTGCTCGAATGCACGACTTGTTCCGCATACAGGACAAAGTTCAAAGATATCGTCAGTGATCAGTGATAATGGCTGTAGATGGTGTCTTCAAAGAATTCGACGACCACCTCCCGAGATTCGACATACCGAGTTCTGATATCACTATTTTGAACACACCCAGTTCTTTCCATGACTTCTTGTTGTCCAAGATACTTCAAGCGAAAAGACGAATTGTCCTCGCAAGTTTGTACATTGCGACAGATACCGAGCTTATCGTATGTCTCCTCCGGACGACTCTGTACCTCGTTGCCAGGATCTAACATTATGAGATCTTCAGAGAAATATACGTCTTGCACTGACTGTACAAAAGAATCTTGAAGTGCTTTTGCTCCTAGACAGCTTGCGAGGAACACGACCAGACCCGGGGTTGGGCCATGATGCTGAAACATCAGCATCGGGGTTGGCAACACTAGTCCGCGAGTTTGGTGTTCAAAGGGTTCAAGTGCGCTTATATCATACACCAAACCTGAGGGGCCTATGGAAGCGAGCCGTGCCGCGGCGTCTAAATGAAGGCTTCGGCCTTCAGCACATCAAAATATGTGCATTCGATGACGAAGTCATTCTGACAGGGTATGGCAGCCAGATGGGAATAATATCCTCAACCGGAATTCTGACTTGGCGCAGGGCGAATTTAGCACCAGAGTACTTCACTAGTCGACAAGATCGTTACTATGCCTTCAACTCGGCCGAACTCACGAGATTCTGCTGCACACTAGTTCACATCCTTGGCGAACTATCCTATCTACTTCTTCCTCCAAAACTCCAACCTTCACCTCCTGAGCAGTGGCGGAGCTACACACTGTGCTGGCCAAAGTCAAATATTCTTCCGAAGCCTCTTGAGGAGAGCAGGTTGTCCGAAATTCATAAAGCAACAGTCGACCACCTGGTTCCCTTGATATGGAAAGAGCCGCAGAAAGATGGACGTGCCGCTCCAGAAGTATATGATACAGCTGTCTATCCTCTTGCTCAGCTGACTCAGTTGTTCGACACCTTGGACAGTGCCACAGATCAAAGATCCCCAGACAGGTCGACACTGGAGTGGGCAATTTTCCGCCTGCTAACACTTCTACCTGAGAGTCGATCATGGACCCTCTCGACCCCATACCTCAGGCTTCCAAAGAGTCTAACCCGGTATTTGATCCGCACTTCTTCTATGGGATGCACGTCTCCGTGGAATGACGATGAAACTTGGACTTCTGGAAAAGTCATTGTGGCATCACGAGAGGCGATGAGCTTCTACGGAGCGAGAGGCTTAGCTGGTTACATACCAGCTGCTTTTGAGCGTGAAGCCCAACAGTTACTCAACGTCATACAACCAGACCTGGTTCCCGGGCAGTCTCTCGATTGTTCTAGGGGCACAAAATTGTTGCATTGGCGGAGAGGTGTCGCGCATCAGACGGGAGGGTGGACTTTCCACGCAAAGGGATGGTGGATACGGGGACTAAACTGGGTATCACCAAAGAACATTCAGTCATCAAATAGGGATATCACTGCAACAGTCATTGGGTCATCCAATTACGGAGAGCGCTCTTTCAAGCTTGATCTGGAATTGGATGTTCTCATTGTTACTTCCAATCCGGATTTGAAGAGGCGAATACACGACGAGGAACGCAAAGTACTTTCTCGAGGGACAGAGGTGAATAAGCACGACAACTGGGCAGGGGGGACAATAGATGGCGTTATAGTTATGGTCTTGATGTGGATCATATGGTTGACTGGGTTGAGTATCTGAGGTCACAGTTGAAGGGTCTAGATCAGTGAAGGGTCTAGATCAGAGAACGTAAAGTGATATAGGTATATAAGATATACTTCCGCAGATAACAACATCCATCTACTCAGTAAGTTGGGTACTACCACATTTCGCAGTTCATTTATGATGCATACATGTTCCCTCAGCATTATCGTAATAGCCTCGGCACGTTCTCAAGCAGATCGTCCCCAGGCGACCTCAAACATGCCCAGCATGCCCCAACACCCCGCCAGAGCAGATATAGCTGTGGCAACATGCCACATATTGTGACTACATCCAATGTAGTCAAATCGTCCCGGCCACACTCTCTCCGGAAATTTGCTGCCGTATAGTAGGGACCCAAGAAAGATGGGAAGTACTACCGGAATGGCATGGACGTAGATCGCACTTGTGTACGCCCACCCGTTGACATATGCCGAATGGAGCGCTGGGATGACTTGGCCCTGCCCACCGAGACCACAGAAGAAAATCACTCGGTTCCAGCCACGGCTCAGGGGCCAGTTCTTAGCTGCGTGGACCACAAGCGGTGCTATCTCGACGGGGCGGAAGAGATTTGTCCAGGGTAGAACGACCCCAGCGAGACACCACAATAAGCTCGAGAAGATGTAGATCTCTCGTAGCCTTGACCTAGCATAGAACAAGGTATGGATGACCAATATGTTGAAAGCGGTCAGAATCAGAGACACTGACATGATATCCACGCAGACAAACGCCGCCATCACACGCAGGCGAGAGCTGCACCTGAAAGTGTGCCAGGCCGTACTGCAAACCAGAGACAGCGCAGCCGTAGCGCAGTATGTTATGGCGACGAAAGCATCAGTCTGACGACCAAGTCCTCCATCTCGGAACGTCTCGAAAGGAGGATTCAGATGGAGTGGATATCGTAAGATTAGAAACACTGGGATGAGATGTGTCCAGATGTTGACAAGTTCGTTGGAGAGACATAGTGGCGACAGCGCCGTCGAGAAGATGGAATGTGTGAAACGGTAGCCGGTGCGGATGTAAATGTTGATCCGCCATGGGAGAGGGAGCTCGTCGTAGTTGATGAGACCATTCTTGCTTGCCAGAAGTGTAGCTCGGCTCACTGAACTTTTGAACTCCTGACTGTTGACATCAAATTGATTTCCTTCCACTTTGGTCTGTAGTAAGCGTTGGGACTCTGATCTCTGCCCATGCTCTGCTCTTGCTTGGCCATTAAGTGGCACTTTCGTCTTCATGCGGAACTTCAACGAAGCCTTCGAGGCAGGTGCTGGCCCGTTTCTCATATTTATCCAGGGAAAGTAGCAAATTTCGAGACAGTACAATGAGATTTTCAGTTTTGGAATCGACAGCAGCGAATCTCCCAAGATCATAACCAGATTCTCGGCTCGTATTCCCAGACATGAGATACTTATGCAACAAAACCCTTGTTGTCATCGCCCCCAAAACAGCCCGTAGGCTACCCTGTGTTGCAACCGTAAGCTTACTCCTACCGTACTTAGCTTCTTGGCTACTTGGCACCTACTAATCGACATGATCTGGCAAGTCTGGTCCTCCTATTATGATGGCTAGATCGGCGGGCTCTCCCGGCCGGGTGGTACTCGTGTGTCACAAGGACGCCACATACATGAATCCCGGGTCGTCGGGTCCTTCACCCACTTGTTCTGGGAACATATGCCAGAATGAGGCACGCGACACATCCTCCTCTTTTTGATTGTGCAGAGCGATTCTACACAGGAAATGGGTGATAATCCAGCTCCCAGCGCTCAGCAGAGCAGATCCGACATCGAGCAACAACCGCCTGAGAAGGACAGCAAGGTCAAAAAGCCCAGATCTTTCTACATCACTGTCACATCGATCTGCCTGTGCGTTTTTATCTCCAGCGTCAACACTATCAACTTTGCCTCTGCGCTGCCGGCCGTGGCGTCCTCGCTGTCGGCGACTACCACGCAAGCGTTTTGGTGCGGTACGGTGCTTCTCTTCGCCCAATGTATCGCACAGCCCGTCTACGGCGCTGCCACCGAGGCCTTTGGGCGTAAAAGATGTATGCTGGCGGCGCTGGTGATCTTTGCGCTGGGTAGCTTGCTGGCGGCCCTGGCACGGAACATACAGTGGCTGATCGCGGTGCGGGCGGTTCAAGGGCTCGGAGGCGGTGGCATAAACGTCTGCGTCAACGTGATCATTGTCGATCTTGTGCCGAGACGAGAAAGGGCAAAGTTGAGCGGCATCGTGTCGCTGGCCGGGGCGCTTGGACTCGTCGTGGGTGTGCTTTCCGGCTCAGCTCTGGTACAGAGGAGCTGGCGACTGTAAGTCCTCAATTGTAAGGGTTGAATACTTTATGGTATCGCTGACCTGATTTCAATAGAATGTTCTGGATCAACCTTCCCATTGCGGGTGTCGCCTTCTTACTCTTTGTCTTCTTTCTGTCGTTGGAAGAAGGCCAAGACAATCCGCTATCAAGACTCAAGGCCCTTGATTGGACGGGCATTGTCATATGTGCTGGCTCAGTTGCCGGCATTCTCTTTGCGTTGGTCAACGGAGGCACTGAGTACGCATGGTCATCGGCCAATGTACTCTCACCGCTGATTATAGGAGCCGTTGGTGTTGCCGGCTTCTTCGCCTTCGAGGGATGTATCGCCGGTACGCATGGATTAGGCCCACCATTCATCCCTCTGAGGCTGTTCACAAGTCGCACAGCAGCACTAGGATATCTGATCACCTTCCTACAAGCAATGATTCTATGGGCTATTCCGTACTACTTTCTACTCTACGTAAGACACGCGTGCCCTGGTAGTCATTTTGACAAGGCATCACTGACTGACGTTTACCAGCTCCACGTAAGCGCCTCGAAGACTCTCGTCCAGTCTTCAGTCCTACTTCTACCGAGCACACTCATTCTGCCGCCGGCGGCAGCAGTTGCAGGTAGTCTAATGTCGAAGCTGAGCCGCTTCAAGTACTTCAACGTGCTGGCATTCACCCTCATGACTGGGGGCTGCATCGGCCTTGCCACATTGCGAGCGGATCCCACAACCGGTCAGATTGTCGGGTACCAAGTGCTGTTTAGTCTCGGGGGTGGGATTCTTTTCCCTGGTCGCCTAGTGGCCGTCCAGGCCGCTCAGCAGGAGCTCAGTTCAGGAAAGCCGGACGATAGGGCGGACGTGCGCATAGCCACCAGTCTGGTCAGCTTCACAACAAGCCTGGGCCAGGCGTTTGGCATCGCGATGGGCAGCACGGCACTGCAGAGCAGGTGGAATCCTCTGGTAGCCAGGGCAATAGAGATTGGTAGGCTGCCTGACAACAGCACATACCTGGTGCCCGGTTCGCAAGCAGCGAGGAGCGCCGACATAATCGCTCACTTTCCTGATGATATTGCGGCAGTGTACCGCGATATTGCCGCCGAGAGCGTTGCAAAGGTGTGGTACATATGCATCGGGCTCGCCGCAGCAGGTATTTTAGCAGCGCTAGGGTCGAGGAATCTGGACCTTGACAATAAGAAAAGCCAACAAGAAGGGTGAATTTTGCCAAGGTGCAAAACCATTAGAATGTCATAGTTTCATCATTGCATCTCGATCTAGATACCATAGCCCTGGAGTCTTATGAAGCACTTAGAGGCTTCCGTCCGTAGACAAAATATCTAGAGGGAGTAATCTGTTAGTGCCTGGTAGGCTTATTTCCATAGGTTATTAGGAAGTGTGTGCTTACATTGGCCAGTAAGCATGGATCCTCGGATCTTTCAGGCCTTGCCTCGTCTGTGCACAGAAGACGAGCGTTTCCTCAGAAGACCAGCCCAGACCGCGAGTGAAATGGGCCAGTGACAGACCTTCAAGACCACCGGCAATATTGGCGTACGCCCAGGAACCAAGCTCCTTGAACTTTGTCTCACGTGGCCAAGTATTTGTTGGCCACTTCTTCTGTACCTCGACCACGTCCTCAAAACCAGCAGCTGTGAGGTAGTTCTTGTACTCGGTAGTCGGGAAGACGGGGCGACCGAGGTTCTGACCCGCATCCAGACAGAGCTTGCACCACTGAGCTAGGTAGCTGTCGGGCTTCAAAGTTTCGTCGTCGGAGCGCGCAGGGAGGCCCATATCTTGAAGCTCCAGATAACCGCCAGGTTCAAGGTTGTCATATGCCACCTTAATCATGTTCGGCAGGTCCTCAAAGCAGCCAAGCATCATACGCGCGAAGATGAAGTCGAATTTCTGCGACCATGTCCATGTCTTTTCGAGGTCGTCTATCTCGAAGCTGACGTTTGGAGGCACGCTATGAAGTAGTAAATTGGAGGTCAGCACAGCCTTTCTCGAGAACGTGACATGAAGTGTGAAACAACTTACAAACCTGGTTGGATTGGACTAAGATCAACGCCGACCACCTGTTGGGTTCATTAGAACAACAACACGCAACTGAAGTGATACAAATCGACGGGTAGGAAGATCTGAATTCGTACCTGTGCCTCTGGGTGAAGATCCGCTTTGAAATAGTATCAGCACCACTGGACGTGTATGAGAATATGGTGAGTTGAGAGAATCTACCATAGTCAATTGCCCATGCTCCAGTACCGGTGCCCATATCGAGAACGCGTGTGGCACCCCGGGCCTTGGGACAGAGCGCCAGCTTTCCATCTAAGGTGCGTACATAAAGTTCGTGCTGAATGTCTAAAAGCCTTTTCATTAATCCAGAACCCTGCCACGACCTTCGAGAGTTACAAATTGGGCCTTACCTAGTCTTTCATTCTCTTGCTATGGCAGAGCAGGCGTTAGCTCATATCATCCTGCTTGTAATGATGCTAAGGTTACTAACCTCGTCGTTCGGAAGGACATACTCTAGAATACGTGTGAGCTTGGTGAGAAACATTGAATTCGGGGCAAGGTAATCAATGAGGGTCAACCCCGCTTACTTCCTCTGCTAAGGGCATGGTAGCTTCGCCCATTCTCCTCCTGGTATGCTAGAATACTGGGTGATATGGATGCGACAGAGGGTTCAAGCCCCTATTCTTGCGTCAGCCAGCCAGATTTCTGATACTCAAATGGCAGTTGAAGAAGGATGATATTCACCTCTTCATAGGCTGAGTCGGCGTCATTGTTGTCTGCGATCTGCGAAGGAAATTGTGAGATCTTCAGCTCAACGGAGGGGAGTATGGGTGGGCAGGTTGAGACAAACAATGGCTTCTTGGATCTGAATAGTAGGCTCTGCTTGGGCAGATCCTGGGCTCCCAGCTGTCTGGTCGTGCCCTTGCTGCGCCACCTGCTGATCTGCCATCGTAGACGATGATGTTTCTGGCAGTATCCCCGACGGAGAGAGGAAAAGCCCTGGAGGGGAGAAAGGAAACGCCAGGGTAGGGTACTGTGCCTGAACTGAAGAAAGTGGGGAGACGACATGGGGCCTGAACCCGCTTTGGTTTCGCGGCACGCAATCCGGTGGCCCGGACCGCAGGGCTAATGCCCGCATGGGGGTCCTGGATGCCACTCAAGATCAAAAAGAGGGTCTACTGGTTCGATGTGATGCAACGCTGCCGATGGCTGAAAAGCCATGAGCTGATAGTTTCGGGATCTTCCCCCTCCCCGCCCGCCGCCTTTTCGTCCTTCTCTCCAACCACGATAGGTTTGTCCCGATGCTAACAGACTAAGTGGTTGAGATCAGATGGCGACCGAACTTGGCTTCTCGATGACTGATGTGCTGCGTGACGCGCTCGCAAGCCTCAGTCAGCAACCGGGCACAACGATTTGCATGAAGATTATCGGAGCTGTACTCATATTGTTTGTGGTCGATGGATTCCGCTCCTGGTACCGACTGTCACATGTTCCTGGCCCCTTCTGGGCGGCTTTGTCCAAGACTTGGATGGTTCGGCAGTCGCTGAAAGGACAACAACCCTATGCTATCCAAAAAGCCAATGAGAAATATGGTGAGCGGCTCCCTATGCGTGCAACGCAACTGACCAAGCTCTAATGGAAATAATCAAGGTTCGCTGGTGCGTATTGGGCCTAATGAGCTTGCCACCGATGACCCGGATGTACTCCGTCGAATGATGGCAATCCGGTCAAAATATTCAAGAGGGCCATGTATGCAAGTACTACCAGTTTCTACTTCTACTGAAGTTAACCAGTCAGGGTACAGGGTATAACGCGCTTCGATTTGAGCCTGGAAAGGACAATTTATTTTCCATGCGTGATGATGACGCCCACATGAAACTGCGGAGTAAGATGGCTGCTGGTGTAAGTCTCGAGATTTGCAACTAGCAATCCTCTGTACCACCTAGTCAGTGCCTGCCGGAGATACTGACAACTGGGCTTCCTATGTATAGTACTCGGGGAAGGAGAACGAGTCCATGGAACGCACCATTGACGAGCACATCGCGAAACTGGTCGACTTGATTGACATCAAATATCTCTCCACGAGTCGGGACTTCAGACCAGTGGACTTTGCCCAGAAGATTCAATACTTTACCTTGGACGTGGTCAGCGATTTAGCTTTTGGCCAGCCTTTCGGCTACATCGAGCAAGACCGTGATGTCTTTGACTTTATCAAAATTACGAAGTCCTTCTTCCCTGTTACTCTGGTCATGGCCAACATACCATCCCTGGTTGCCTTGCTTCACTCGCGTCTTTTCCGAGGCATGCTGCCGAAGGAAAGTGATAAGTTTGGCTTTGGAGCATTCATTGGGTATGTTGGTTCGAAAATGCTTTCGTGGAGCTCAACCCAGACTGACACATCTCCAAGGGTGGCAAATAGCAAAGTAGCTGAGCGGTTTGTTCCTGATTCGACGTCACAGCCGGACATGTTGGGGTCTTTCATCCGTCATGGGCTGGACCAAGCAGAGGCATCTCGAGAGTCACTACTGAACGTAGTTGCCGGAAGCGACACCACCGCAACCACCATTCGCGTCATGATGTTAAACCTGCTCAGCAATCCCGTAGCTTACAGAAAACTGCAGAAAGAGATTGATGACGGCATCAGGTCGGGTAACATTTCTTCTCCCATTACGGATGCCGAGGCACGCAAATTACCCTACCTACAAGCCGCCATCAAGGAAGGCCTCCGAATCAAGGCCCCAGCAGCCGGTCCGCTATTCAAGGTGGTCCCTCCAGAAGGCGACGTTATCGATGGAAAGTTCATACCCGGAGGAACACAGATCGGCACCTCTCCTTTTGGCATCTACCAGTCCAAGACAACGTTCGGCGAAGATGCGAGTTTGTTCCGCCCGGAACGTTGGCTAGAGGCAGACGCGGTAACAACTGCAGAAATGGCCAGCGTGGTCGATCTTGTCTTTTCCGTTGGTAAATACCAATGTTTGGGAAAGCCAGTCGCATTTATGGAACTGAACAAGATATTTGTCGAGGTAAGCAGCATACGGCTCTGTAGCTTTGGTATCCTTGCGGAATGCTAACACACGACCTCACTAGCTTATGAGGCGTTTCGATTTCACAATGACTCGCCCAGAGAGGCCAATGCATATTGTCAATGCTGTAAGCGGTATTCGGCACACGTCTTGGCTACCCTATATTGACATTGATTCTAGGGCATCTGGCTTATCGAAAACTTTCCATTACGTATCACGCGACGAGAAAGACTTGGCTAGAGTGATGTAGTGAATAGATACATTCGATTATGGTGCGGATCATACTTTCTTGATATGAGATGAGGTCCCGTTGAGTCTAGTTCAGGTGTCCCGGGAAGCGACTCATCAAGGTTTTCGTATGAGTAGAGGAAGAAAGAACATGCTCGAAATTTCACAGAGACAAAAGTGCTGCATCATGTAAGCATTCAATGTTGAGAATCCTGTGTTTCATGGACTCTAGTATGCACGGTTAGCCCCGGAACCGACGTAGCCAGGGGCGAAGCCGTGGATTGCTCTAAAGTGTCCGAAAAGCTTCCGAGCAAGCACTGACTCGGCAGGCCCCATCCCCGGACACATTCGCCGTCGATTACTCTCCGGGCGGCCGTTAAATACGGAGGCCCAACCTGCGGCGAAAGCAATAAACTTACAGCAAGACCTCTTCAGGGTCTACGTCGTCAATGAAGCCACAGCAAGTTCTAAGGTACCGACGCCCATTCGTGAACACATTCTCGCGCATCTCAAGCACCACCTGTGCCAACAGAGCACTACAGACGCCTGTCCTAACCCCACACTGTCCTCCTCACAGAGCTGCCCAGACCGCCGCGGCACACATCTTTGGCCTGCAGTTCCTCCACACGATGGCCTCGCAACAGTACGACGTCCTTATCGTCGGTGGCGGCCCGGCAGGACTCTCGGCGGCAGCAGGACTCGCACGCCAGCTCCACACGGCGCTGGTTATCGACTCGGGGGTCTACCGCAACGCCCGCGCCAAGCACATGCACAACGTCATGGGCTACGACCACGCCGACCCGGCGACGCTGCGCGCCAAAGCCAGAGCCGACCTCGAGGCGCGGTACCCGAGCATCAGCTTCCGGAACGCGACCGTAGCCAGGGCGCAGAAGCTCGAGGACGGCAGCTTTGCGCTTACTGCGGAGGACGGGGCCGAGTTCCGGGGCAAGAAGCTGATCGTTGCGGCGGGTATCACGGACCTGCCGCTGGATGTCGAGGGATATAGCGAGTGCTGGGGGTATGGCATGTAAGTGGTGAACCACGCATACACTTCCCAAGCAATATGTAAGAAGACACTTACTAATGCATCTCTACTCCCAGCTTCCACTGCCTGTTCTGCCACGGATATGAAGAAGCTGGCCAGGAGACCGTCGGGGTTCTGGCAGTAGGCATGCTGTCCAATCCCCAAATTGCCATGCACATCATTCCCATGGCGGGCCGGCTGAGCAAGAACATCAAAATATACACCAATGGCAACGAAGAAACGGCTGAAGCCCTTCGTGAACAACTCAAAGCCACCAATCTGCCGGCCACAGTGGAAAGTAGGAAGATTGCTAGGATGAGTCTGGTATCGCCCGGATCTTCTACGAGTATTGCCCTGACTCTAGAAGGAGGCGAGCAGAGAAGAGAAGGGTTTTTGGTACGTCGCAGGATGACTCTATCATGTTCATCTGGTGAAACTTGCTAAATCTTTCCAAGGTTTCTGTCCCTAATGCTCAACTAAACGGCCCATTCGTCAAGGATCTGTCACTTGAACTGGGCCCGGCGGGCGAGATAGCACTCAAAACTACGGGGGAGACCAGCGTTCCCGGTTGCTTTGCGGCCGGTGACATTGCTGTGGCTATGCGTGCGGTGCCTATCGCATTATCTACTGGAATGTGTGCAGGTGCTGGGGCAGCAGCATCTGTGCAACATGATGCTGCTTACAAGTTATAAGATCGGATCCGCGGCGTCGCCGGTATTCATCGTATTGATCTCAAAATTGGATCGTAATTATAGAAATTGTGTAGGATTTTGTCCATTCAAAACACTGAAGGGGCTCGTAGGACTTCAGTTGATACGATACGGCTTCGAACCTTTCATGATGCTGGTAATACCAAACCACTGGCACTTCAAACCCTTGGATCGAGTCGCGATCATGTTAGCATCGTATGTATGCTCCCTTCTCTGGGATGCTCCGTGGCTGTCGGCCCGTGCCGTGGTTGGTGTGTCCTTCAAACGAGTCAATGTACGGAGTAGGCCACCGGGACAGCATCACAGTGTTGAAAGAGGCTAGCGTGATAGATGAACTACAGGGGTCCCTGAGACTGGAGGTTCTAGACCATCCAGCGAGCCAATGTAAATTCATAGGTTGGTGCGGCTGACCAGAGCATGCGAATATTGGATGCAACGCAGCCCCGCCCAGGTTGTCAAACGAGGAGACATCCAACGTTGGCAACTGGTCCCTTCATAACCTGAGCATCACCACGGAGATAGACTTAAAGACTGAATTTGAAGATTTAACACAACCTAGCACAGAAATCAATCAGTGGGCCAAGAGAATGAGCTTAACGGGAGGCCTAGGTTTAGGCTGCCGGACCAGTCCGTTTCCAGAGTAAAAGTACCCTGTGGCGAGGCAGACTCCACGCTTCACGAATTCCACTTTGGGACAGAGCTGAAAACTCACCCAACCACTTACATACTAGCCCGCGCCCAACGGGCAGGGATATCACAGTTCAAACCATGCAGTAACGGCTTGCTTAAAAGGTGGCTGCTTGGCCGTCGAGAAATGGCGGCGGTCGCTCGTGCTTGGCTTCTCCCGTCTTCAACATCGATTTGTGTTTGCTCCATCACGACGCCACGGACTGTAACCTGGGTCGGGTGTGCTTGTAATAACATCTTAAACGATCTGACAGACGGTTACAGCCCCCTCGCTCGCTGTCCTGCACCACCATGGACGGACCGCTCCCGCGCAAACCTATCGGCCGAAAGCCGGTCGGGGAGTTTGCGCCACCGCCGTCCTCGACACAGTCTCCCTACTCTCCCACTCCGGACCCGACCAGCCAGTTCCAAGCACATATGGCCCAGTATGGCGTACAGTACCCAGTGACTGCGGGAACACCACAGCAGCAGATCGCAGAGACAATGGCACAGTACGGTGTGAACGTGCCTCCTTCTAATGCGACGTCCCAACAGCAGCTGTCGGCCATCATGGCGCAGTACGGTGTCACAATTCCCACGACGAATTCGGCAACACAAGACTTCACAACGACAATGGTGCAATACGGTGTCAAGATCCCGCCGACGAACGGCGCGGCAGACCCGACGCAGCAGGTCGCCGCGGCGCTGGGCCAGTATCACGCTGCTCTCGCTGCTTCTACCGCATCGGCAACCCAGCCCTTCTCTGTGGATCAGCTTGTGCCCAAGATGAACGCCGCACATATCCAAACGCCCTACCAACCGATACCAGGCTCTGCGCCACAGCCGTCACCATCGCCGTCCCAGCAAACCGGATCAACATCATTCCCTGCAGCGGTCCCGAACCAGCAGAGCCCGGCTTCTCAGCAAAGGCAATCCATCTATCAAGTTAGTCCCAGCCCCAGCGTCCAAACGCCCGTCCAGATGAGACCAAATCCTGCTCCTGTACCCCAGCCGTTGACCGGATACCCTCCGGCGACGCAATTTTCCCCTCCTCCCGTCCCTACAGCAAGCCGCCCTGGGGTTTCGCGCGTAGCTTCCCAGTCCTCCGTCGACAGCTCCTCCACCATGTCGCAATTCGTCCCGACACCGAACGGCTTCCAGTCACCGAGCGATGCCTACAGCCGCCGGACGAGCGTGGCGAGTAGCATCGGCATCGCCACCCCGGCGACGACCATCAGCAACTCGGAACCCTTCCAGCAGCCCAGTGGTCCAGCGAGCAGCACCGGAAAGACCTGCGCGTCTTGCAAGAAGGGTACGTAAACTTGTTCACTCTAACCCACCCAGACCGCTGACTCCCAAGACCAGCCATCGCTCAAAACGTCTCCATCTACGACTGCCTCGTCTGCAGCACCGCGCAGGTCGCAACCTACATCTGCGTCTGGTGCCTCACCGCCGGTGCCGCGGCCCGGAACCACCCGCACGACGCCTCGTACATGGCCACGGAGTCGGACCCGCGCGTCCGCGACCCCGGGCCGGGTTCTCTACCGCCGGACCAGTGGACGGTGCGCAAGAACGCCTCGTCGCGCCTGTGGTACACGCACAACCCGACGGGCCTCAAGACGCACCTGCGGCCCTTTGCCGAGGACGTCGAGGCCACCACGGACCTGCTGCCGGACGGGTGGCAGGAGGTCCGCACCGCGGCGGAGGGGAAGGTGTTCTACTTCCACGCCGCCACGAACAGCTCGACGTGGACGCGGCCCCGGAGGCGGCTCCCCGCCGGCTGGAGGATGATCAAGACGCCCGACGGCGCGCCCTTTTACTTGCACGACGCGCTGCGCCTGTCGTCTTGGGACCGGCCCGGCGAGCAGCCGAAGGTGGTGCGCCGGGCCGGGAAGCCTGCGAGCACGGGCGGACCGACGACGCAGCGGCAGAGCATCGCGGGCGTCCCCGGGAGCAGCCACGCGCTCGTTCAGCAGTCCAGCGCTGCGTCCAAGACCGCGACGGCCGTGAGCATCGCCAACAACGTCGCCCGCCTCTCGGCCGCGACGGACGGCTCGGCGCAGGGCATCCTGACCGCCACCGCGGCCGCCGCCCGGCTGACGGGCCTCGGCGTCAAGGTGGCGGGCAAAAAGCTCGGCAAGCTCGGCAAGGGCAAGCGCATGTCGACCCTGGCCACGGGCGCGAGCCTGCTGGGCACCGCCGCCGTCGTGGCCAACGTCGCCACCGGCGGAGACGACTACGGTGGGGGAATGGACGACACCGGGTTCGTCGTCGAGGAGGAGGTTGTCGTCGACCAGACCGGTACCGAAACGCAGTACGTGCAGGAGACGACGATCACGGTCGACACCAGCTACCCGGACTACAGCGCGGGCGGCGTGGACATGTGCTCCTTCAACGACATGGCGGCCATGCAGCAGCAGCAACAAGACGCTTTTGTCCCTCCGCTAGCACAGATGAACGCGGAGCAGCAGACCGCTTGGTTTGCCGAGCAGGCTGGCCTGAGCCAGCAGATGGAAGCCCCGGCCATGTCGGGCATGCCGCCGACGCAGCAGGACGCCTTCGTGCCTCCGCTGGCGCAGATGAATGCGGACCAGCAGACGGCGTGGTTCGCCGAGCAGATCGGGCTCTCGCAGCAGATGGAGGCGCCTGCAATGGCGGGGATGCCGCCCGCGGAGACGTACAGTGTGCCGTACGAACAACCCGCCTTCACCCAGCAGCAGCCTTCGTTTTCCTACGCGCAACCGGAGTACAGCTACACACCTGGTGTCGCCGAACAACAGACTTACACCGCTCAAGTAACAGTCACAGAGCAGGTTCAGCAGCAGCCAGTGGTAGGCGAAAACTTCAGCATGGCGGTCAATCAGGCAGTGTTCACCGACCAAGGTGCGACGGCCAACTATGCCGATCCCAGCGCCTACCAACAGAATGCGTACGCAGAGGTGAACCAGAACCAGTACAATCAAACACTCCAGCAACAGTCTCTCATCAACCAAATCGTGGACCTCGCCACGTCGACGCCGGACGACAATTCCGCACCCATGTCGCAATCTCAGCCAGCGCAGCAAGCTGGTGGCCCGCCGCCGCAGCAACAACAACAGCAGCAGCAGCAGCAGCAGCAGCAGCAGCAGCAACAGTTCGCTCCGCAAGCCTACACGCAGCCTCCCGCTATTGCTGACCCATCGCCCCAGCACACCCAGCCCATGAGCTTCTCGCCGCTGCACGATATGCCGCCAGGACACAGCCCCGGTCCTGTGTCTCATCCGCCCGCGATGACGGTGCAGAACCCGCCAATCTTCGAGCAGATGTCATCGGGAATGGCCTCCGCCACGCCGACCACCTCGCTGCCAGCGCCTGCCATGGGTCAGACGCAGCCAATGCACTCGCCGCCGGCTACTTGCTCACCTCCACCTACGGCAGGGCAGACACATGCCGCTCAGCCGCCACTGGCAGCCACTTCTTCGCCAGCACCGACCACAGGCGGGCAGGTCCAGCAGCAGGAGGTTCAAACAGCCCACAGCACGCCGGCATCTCACCCTGCGGCGCCAGCAGCCACGCAAACATGCAGCGCTGCACCCAACCCAGATACCACCGTGGGGTCCCACATGCCTCACAATGCACATCACGGCAAGTGACCGTGTGGTATTGCAGATGGCCAAAGGAAAAGGAAAGGGGTCGCTGTTTCGCAACTGACACCTTAAGAAACACCCCAAACGCCGAGCACATCCCACCGAATAGCACGACGGTCCTGCACCGCACCACGTTCCAGCTTCTTCACTCTGTTGACCGTCAGGCCAACAGCCAGCGGACCCAAGATGGTGCAGAGCACGATGGCCCAGGTGACGACCAAGAAAATGTCGGAGTTGATTTGACTTGTGGGATCACTGGCGAAAATGCCATTGCTCTTGGCAATGGAAGAGACGAGAAACCCGATCTCACCACGTGCGGTCATCGCGCACCCGATGATGGTCGCTGGATAGAGAGACCTAGGATTGACATCAGGATCTCTACTAGGGCCCGTGGTAGCTATTGTGCTCGGGGCAGATGTTGAAGCGGGCGGATCAATGGGTATCTGTGACTCCTGCCCCGATACAGCCACAACGTCTCTAGGCGCTTCATCGGAGGGTGACGTGTTGGTAGGAGCTGTCGCTGTGGTTGTTGTGGCGTTCTGCTGCTTGGGTCTTCTACCCCAGAAGTGTTTCGACCCAGATAGAAGCAGCTTAACAGTCAACGCCTTGACCTTGCTGAGGAAAGGTAGCCTCCACGACAGTAACCAGCCTCCGCAGGCAAATTTTCCTATTATCATAAGTAGGGTATACACGACCCCTTTCCAGACGATCTGGCCGGAGAACATCTTAGTAATGGGTATCGAGAATCCAATTGACGCCTAGATGATATTTGTCAGTTGCTATCAGATGAACAAGTGTAGAAAACAAAACATACAAAGAATAGTGGTCGTAGAACACGATTGACAGGAGCAGCATAATAGCTGTCGTAGATAACAATTCCACAGCCCTTGATGTGTGGTGCCTCGCTGTTTGAAGACATGTCGGGGACCACGGTCTCCCTTCTACGTAATTCTGCACTGTCTGCCCTCGAACTGGACGATTCTTCCCCTTCTCGCGGCGGAAAACTCACATGAGGTACTTCAGAATCCCACCAGCTAATGGCTGCTCCAGCGATGTACGCCGCGAAAAGATTAGAGGTCCCAGCATAGCTAGATCCTGTAACGCAACCAATGAGGATGGCCGTGTGAAGGGTGAAAGCTGTCTTCTGGGAACTGAAAAGCCGGTTTAGTCTGCCCTTCGGGGTGGCAGTCCGGTGCGCGCTGAGCCGTGTAGTCGCTGGCCGGACGACGAGAACACACAACAAAGGCGCGACAACAGCAAAAGCAACCGAAATCATCAACGGCCGGACCACGGTGGCCGCGTTGATCGAGGTGCTTCTGGCGCCGAGGTTAGAGATGACCTGGACCATGACTAGTCCGACGACATCATCCATCATAGCAGCACTTGTGAGCACCACGCCGAGTCTCGATTTGGTCAGTCCGCTCGTGCCGAGGACAGTGAAGGTAGTGCCCAGGCTTGTTGAGCACAGCGCTGCACCAGCAGCGAAACACTGCAGAGGGGTGGCATCCATGAGACGAGCCAGGACAAACGACAGGACGATGGGCAAGACAATGCCAGTAACGGCCACCGCAGAAGAAAGGGCAAGGTTTGATGTCAGGGACCGAATCGAGGTCGATAGGCCCCCTACGCACCCAGTTAGTCATGCTGCCGTCATGAGATACTGGTAGATCGGGCTTGGGGAGCGTCTTCACGGACCTTCATACACAAGGAGCAAAAGCCCGAGGTAGCCAAGCTGGACCACGACGCGCTGGACCTCGAGACCGAGCCATCGTGCGCCAGGAGTGCCCCATGCGACTCCCAGGAGAACTTGGCCTACGAGACCGCAATACAATGCCTTGTCCAGGAGGGAATTGACGACGTTGAGGAGGAGGAGAAAGGACGACTGGACCAAGATGGTCACGATGTCGGGCTCGTGGTATGCCAAGGAGGCGTCGCTCTCGACCGCCATTGCTGCTTATCCAGCACAGTAAGTCCACTCAATGCATAGTCTGGATATTGGAGGTTTTAATGCTGTTTCAATTGCGAAATGGGTAAACAACAATGTCCTGTTGCAGGAATCGTTTCTGGAAATCGCGTGGTTTGAGTCGGGTGGGTTTCCAGGTGATGTCACAGTTAGTTCGCACACTATCTTAGCTGTCTCCACCCCATGTCCCAGGCTTCAGGCGGCCTGGGCAACAAGACATGCTGCTGTATCTACCATGACAGAAGTAGGGGTAGTTTCTCTACACTGGCCGGTGTTCCCTCCGTTGAGCCCTCGCAGCCCCCTTTCTAGTGAAGTACCTTACCTCTAGGTAGGCTTGGAGAACCGCCCTCATCGTGCTCGTTGGAGGCAATACCACAGATAAGCGTAAAGAAATAATGCAAACTAGACGCCTTAGGTGCCGCAAGTGTGTGCCGTTCATTATCGTGAGGTCATGTTGATGTTTATTGGCAATTTGTATTGAGAAGCATTATTGGCAGATTTTCCGTTTCTTGTTGGGTGGAAATCCTACTTCTCTCTCGTGCCGTCTGTCTGTCTAATATTTCATGTCTTTGATTCTGTCCGATCCGTCTCATGCCCTCCAGTCATTCACAACCTGGTACAGGGTATCTACTGCGCCGACATTGCCAGGAAATACAACGTAGGGCAACCCCGGCCACTTGGAGGAAGGCTCGTCACACCTCCAAAGAGGGACGCCGGCTGCCGCCTGGCCAACGATGTCTGCGCGCTTCATACGCAGTCCTTTGGACGCCATGTCGGACGATGTGATACCTCCCTTTGCAATGACGTACCGCGGCTTGGTCTTAAGTTCGACGAGGAGCTTGACCAATGCCTTGGCCACCACGGATCCAATCTCCAGACTCTTGGCCTCGTCTGCTCCCACGATCAGCTTGCGACTCGTCATGACTAGCACGTCTTGTCCCCTCGCTATTTCCTTCTCGGCCAGAGAAATAGCATCTGCGACGACCATGTCGGCATCTTGGGTTGATTTGAGCAGCTGCTCGACCTGAAGCTCGGCGACAGTCAAGCGGTCGCCGCTCGCCTCGATCAGCTTGTTGAGCTGCGCGGTCGTCTTGGGTACGTAGGAGCCAGCGATGACAAGGCCGCCGACGTTGGGGTGAAAGTTGAGCTGAGCCGCGGATATCGGTGGGATTTGGGTAATGCCGAGCCTGGACGAGACAAAGGCGGCGCCGGTCCGGTAGAGGTACCGCTTGCCTTGCTTGCTGGCCGCCAGCACCGCTAGGATCACGACATCGATGTCCTCGTCAGACGTCGCATTGACGACCACTACCGACCCCTTGGGCACGCCGAGCAATTGCTTGAGGACGGCATCGGGCCCGCCTGTACGAATGGTATCGAGGCTCAGCGAGGCAACCTCGCTGGCAGGAATGCGGCCCTGGCTCTTCTCCTCGACGTATGCCCGGAGGTTGGAGTTCTTGTAGCCAAATGTGGCATCCTTCGCAAATGGTGTCTCTGCTGCCGGGACAAGCTTGTCGCCCTCGATAACGTAGTGCGTGTCGTCGATCGTATAGCGACCGCCTTGGTAGAAAAAGGGGCAGAGCAGGCAGGCATCAGCAGGGCCGAGAATGCGCTGGGCGACGTCCGCCTCGAGGGGAAAGTGGCCTCTTAGGGTCGAATCGCTGCGGAGAACGATCTCAAAGGGGACGCCAGTCGTGGCCGACGCGGCCTTCAGGTTGGTGATAATCTCGCCGATCAGTTCCTCAGCTGGGCCTGGCATAAGCGCTCGAGAGTTGGTAAGGATGAAGAAGCCGCTCCCCTTGGGTGTCCGTCTCAATTCCTCCGCCAGCGTGTTGGTCTCCCAGGTCATTAACACGGGGATCCCATGGCAGGTCTGTGTACCGGTGGGGTCGTCATCGAGGGCGACCAGAATGGGAACTTTAGAGCTGGTGTCTCGTAGAATCTCTTGCACTTGTGCCTGGGCGTTCTTGGTGCTATTATGCGGCAGACGCGCCAGCGTCGTGGCGACGTCGAGCGCCATTGTAAGTAACGTTTCCAGACACGTCAACTTTCTAGCTTCATTTCATCAAGAGATGTTTGTTCCCCTGCTAGGAACCTTGTAAGGCGCGCAATGGTGATGTCTGTCAGTTGATCACGCTGGCAGAATGGGAGAGATCTTTCTGTGGTTTATGAAACTCAGCGCTTCACTGAAATATGCCATAGAACATCTCAAGTCGCCTTGGATCTCATCCGACAATGGCGGATGTGCCCTCGAGAAAGACCGATATCCCGAAGAGTGCCCTGAAGAGCTTGAGGGTGTGCTTCGGCGACATCGGCGTCAAGTCCGATGGTTGATCAATCCCGCCAAACACACTAAGTAAGCCGGGTCCATGATGGAGACCAGCGCTCTGGCATGCTCTTCGATGAATGTAGAACACTTCTTGACCTTCTACATTTGTAGTAGCTTAGCACCGACGACTTACGATCCGGGATGTCCGCAAGGAACTCTAAAAACTGATCTCGCCCACCTATTGACCCAGACTCGGCTGTCATTGGAAGTGACTTACAGGCGATGAAGCTGGGGCTGGAGGCTGGGTCCACGGGTGTTTTTAGCTTGGTTCAGCGAACCTAGTGAGCTCTTCCCGCTTGTAATCACGTCTGGGTGTGTGGAGTCGGCCGTTACCGCAGGGCCTTTCCCCTCACTCACGAACCGGAGAATGTAACCATTCTCTGGCATTGCCCGAAAGATCTCTGGCGGTTAATTCTTCAATTGACACCTGGAGAAAGCGGTCAATCTCCGAGCGCGGGTGAGGTGGGCTTATCACGATCCCATTGAGCGCGGAGGTGGACAACGTCCCAAAGCTGAAGCTAGAGAAATCTCCGTTGCATCCATCATCCTGCATCATGCTGCAGAGCTCCGTCCCGGCCTACTGTCCGTGACCGGAATACCAGCCTAGGAGGACCGGATCGGCCCACGCCACAATCAGAACAAGAATAAGAGACATCACCGACTCACCATGATCAAGCGTTCGTGGACAGACGCAGACCTCGGGGAAGGCAGTCCGCTCTTATCACATTCGCCTTCCCAGTCCTCTCGTCATGCATCCTCCGTTGCAGGGGCAGCTGTGCCGAATGCACCGGCGGCACCCGAACTGCCAAGAAGTGTCGATCTATCTTCCTTGCAAACCCTCCCGGTTATCTCACGAAAAGTAAAGGCTTGTGCTGCGTGCCGGAAGCAAAAGGTGGGATGCTTAGCCCTGTAGCAGGACTCTCTGTCCGGTCGGAGACAATGCTGACAGAGCCCTTGCGCGCATAGATTCGCTGTCTCATGGACGAGACCGGTCCGCCGTGTCACCGGTGTACTGAGAAGGGTCTGCCATGCGTTCTCAACAAAAGCCTACAAACGCTCATCAATGAGCGACTGCCGTGCGTCCGACACCAGTCCCCCACCCTTTCATTGAGCGCTGACATTATGGCAGGCAATCAGATGCTCTCGTCCAGGACCTCGAGATGGTATCATCAAGTGTACAAGCCATCCTAAAGACGCTCAATCTCCCCGAGATGGGACCTCTGCAGAGCGTCAAATGCGCTGCCAACACGCCCATCTCGGCAGGACCCAGTGATCCCACCTTTCTGGATGAAGCTGGGCCGTCACGCGACAACTCGCCAAAGATGTCACCCGAGGACGAGCGGGACCTACCTCGGGTGCCAATTCAGTCAGTATATCATCTCACAAAGCTGAGTTCACTGCGGTCATTAGAGACCGGTGAGGAGCCGTCAAATCAGCCGACGCTGGACGGCGCTCCATCAGATCTGATTTCACAGGGCCTCGTCTCCCTCGACGACGCCGAACGCCTCTTCCACTCGTACACTACCCGTTTGGATCACTACATGTACGGTGTGGGTGCTAAATACAGCACGCTGGCGGCATTGCGACGCAAGAGTTCCATCCTCACCGCAGCGATCCTTACCGTCTCGGCCATGCACGAGTTTCGAAGCAACAACATTTACCTGATATGCAATCGAGAGTTCCGCAGACTCATGACCCAATCTCTCTTCGATCGGCACATAGACCGAGACCATTTGCGCGCCCTGTGCATAGCATCATACTGGCTGAACGACTCGTCGTGGATGTTGGTGGGCGTGGCGTCTCGCCGAGCAGCGACTTTGGACATCACTGCCCAGTTCCGTCGGCTCCAAACAGAAAACAGCGAAGATGCGGCCGACTATCTCCGGATTTGGTATCTCATCTACATTTGCGACCAACACTTGTCGACCCTCTATGGTCGGCTCAGCGAGACCCGTGAAGACGCCGCGATCCAGCAATACAATGTGCTCTTGGAGGCCCGGACTGGGACAGTTGGAGATCAGCGCCTCTGCAGCCAGGTGGCATTGTTGACCATTCATCACAACATCCGAGATCTTTTCGGACCGGATTCCGACAAGCCCATTCCTGTCGTTTTCTTGCCGCAAATCAAGAGCTTCTCCCGCCAGATCGATCAGTGGCTCGGTCACTGGTCAACGCTCTTCCCAGGTCAGAACCTCTCCTTACTTCGAATTGGCTCCAGGCGCAAAGCTAATACCATCTCAATCACAGAGGTACAAGAACACTTCGGCCACTTCCCCCGCAAAGGTGCTTTGTTCCACTGCCATTTTGCAAAACTGTTCCTCTACTCCCACGTCTTCCGAGGATTGCGAGACTCGGCCGTTCCACCTCCCTTCCTCGAAGCAGCCCATGGCGCAGCGACAGCGGCTCTATCCATTATCAACATGATCCTTTCGGATTCTGATGTCAGAGCCGCCCTCGTCGGCCTGCCCTGCTACGCACTGTCCATGGTTGGATTCGCCTGCATGTTTCTCGCTCGACTGACATCGATCCATGGCAACGACCTCGTCGACAGGAGTGTCGTGATCGACGTGCTATCACAACTGACACTTGTCTATCGTGCAGCACAAGTTGGAAAGTGGCATCTTGTGCATCACATGGCCAATGGTCTAGACAGGATATTGGGGGTTCTTCGGCAACCACCCCGACACAGCAACTCCAACTATTCCCAGATGCCTCGGCCTGGAATGACGGCGGCGCCAGACCAGACAGGCATGTCGTTCGGGTTTGATGACATGAGTGGCCATTTGGACATGTCGATGCTCAATCCCGACGTGAATCTTCTGATGGACCATGGCATGGGCCTCGGCGTACCCCAGCACATCTACTTTGGCGGCGACGGCCTTGGCTTTGACGAATCACCGACTGGAATATTATGAGGCACTCTGCCGCTTTCTTCCTCGGGCTGACGATATCTATGTACAGCATAGAGGAGAAGATGATGCAAAACTAACCCGCTGAACGCCTCTATCTATGTACTCTATATGTCTAAATTTTCAGGCCCTGTTGCCTGGTAAATAACCTCACGTTCTGAACCAAGTCTACGCCGGGCCTCATACCCAGCGCCAAGGCCAGACTGACATCAAACTGCGTCAGGCCAGCTCCCGACAATCGCCTCCACCTCGGGGTCGCGCCGCTCCTTGACCATTGTCAGGGCCTTCCTCCCACCGACCGCCTCGAGCGCAGGAGAGATCTTGGTAAAACTGGTTCATTTCTCTGAGATCCTGCCAGCACACTTTCCAGTACTCTACTTGTGCGGCTCAAGAGCCACCTGGCTATCAAACCAGAGGGAGCCCTCGCGGCAAGGACACCGAGCGAGCGGGCGATCTAAGGCGAGTTTACATACGTGTATTAGCAGGTGTGCTCCAGATAGTACAGTGGCGTTTTCCGCATTGAATGTCGACTCTTGGCGTCAATCCGCTCGCCGGAGAGAAGTCCGGACCAGGTCCTTGGCAATCCCCACGGTCAGGAAGTGCAGTGTGGGGAGATCCCAAAACGGTCTTGGATCATATCGGGGAGCTTTTCTCTAGAAATACACGTCGTCATAATCGCTGTAATTCATCCGCTCTGTTTGAGAATGACGAAGGCAACAGAAAGTGCCGGGAATCGTTTGGGTTCAGGCAAGCTATTTCTGAAATACCGAAAATACACAAAGACCCAAGATACGATACGTCCGGTAGGCATAGCCTGGGTCCCAAGACTGGGATCTTGTGATTCACCACGTCTTGTGTCACTGTGAATAGACTGGGTTCTAGCGGTGTAAAAATCTCCAAGATCATTCTAGTATGCATGGCCTTTGGCTCGAGCAAATGGGAGGGTTCTCCGTGGGTGCTGGACGAGGAGGAGAGACTGAATATTATCAAGAAGGCATACGACTGTGGTATCAATACTTGGGTCAGTCTGGATACCATTCGTTTGTCACAAGGTCCCCGGGGTGCCAATCTAATCGGGGTTCCAGGATAGCACCGACACGTACTCGAACGGCAAGTCCGAACTTATCGTCAGCAAGGCAGTCAAGAAGCTCAACATCCCGCGCAGCAAGGTCGTCATCATGAATAAGACCTTCAACCAGTCATGGGACGACGAGTCGAGGCCGCCGCAGATCAACGACGGCGAGCTGGTCAACTAGATGGCTCTGGGCCGCAAGCACATCTTTGATGCCGTCGCCCGCTGCCTGGAATGGCTGGGAACAGACTACATCGGTAAGAATTCAGACAGGAGCACACTCAAGTCCGAGCTGGTTCCTTTGTGCCCATGCAGGTACGAAGGGGTTCCCGACGGTCGCTTACACTGACCTCGTATAATGGCAGACGTCCTGCAACTTCACCGCCTCGGCCGCGAAACCACGCCCGAGGAGATCATGCGCGCCCTGCACGAGGACGACTCGTCGTCAGCGGCAAGGTTCGTTACATCGGTACGTCGAGCATGTACACGTGGGAGTCTGCGCGGCTGCAGTACACGGCGCGCCAGCACGCCTGGACCGCTTTTGCCAGCATGCAGCCCTTTCACAGCCTCTTGCACCGCGAGGAGGAGCGCGAGATGCTGCACTTTTGCCGCGCCACGAGCGTCGGGCTCGTCCATTGGTCCTCGCTCGGGAGTGCTGACCAGGCCCCGGATCAAGGACTACGACGAAGGCGGCGGCGGGCGACGCGGACTACGAGAAGAGCGTGCGGGAGCAGACTAACGCCAAGACGCGGGCCTGGTTCGCCAGCGCCAACTGGGAGATCGTTGACGCGGTCGAGAGGGTGGCCGCGGACAAGGGAGCGCAGATGGCGCATGTGGCGACGTCGTGGGTGCTGCACCAGTGGGTGCTGGCCCATCTTAGGGTCGAGGAGAGCGTCGTGGCGCTGTATGTGCGGCTCACGTCCGAGGTGCTCATGTTCCTGAAGCAGGGATACAGGCCGCGGAGTTTGGAGGGTATGTAGAAGGAGAGAAAGAGTAGTATTCGGTCAGAAGACATATCTAGACGAGGGGAGAAGAGACATGATGACGATATCTCGATCAATATCGAAGCTCAAGAATGGCTGCATCGTAAACAGACGTGGCGGGGTCGGCACTTGTCAAATTGGGTCGGATAGGCTATCATAGGTAGCTCCGTAAGGAAGAACATTGAAGGGCAAAGATAAGGCACAGATATGATCGGATTCGGACTCTCTTACCCCGGAATAAACGGGCTATCACGGAGTGGTCTAGACTGGACCTCAGCTTCAGTGAGGGAGCCACCTCCTCGATGGGGCGTCCCAAAACGGGCAGGGTCTCTGGCACGCGTGTGCCAGGTGCAACCCACTTGATTGGTGTCTTCGTACGGTCCTGTGCTTTGGCGCGATAATAGGCCTGCGGCACCTTTTTGGCTCCCTCATCAAGCGTGCATGCATGTGTGTTTTGTGTTTCAGAGGCCTGGTTGGACGGTAATTACGGTGACTCCGAGGTACCGGCGCCAGCTCAGCTTCCCGCTTCCGCGTACCTTTCCCTCCTTTCCCTACCGTCCTGCAACCTCAAAACGAGCTCAAGACTTTAGGCTCGTAACATGTCGATATCACACCGCTCTCTCCCCCCTTTGACGCCCGTGTCGAGCTTACACGTGGAACCGGGTGGATCTTGCGTGCTTTTTGATTCGCCGGTAAAGGCGGGGATCGCTTCCAATCCAGGTATTTAAGGGGTCGCACTTGGCACGCTTGGCTTTCCTTGGCTCTTCTTGTCCTTCCTTGGCCCTTTCTTGGCATCAATCACTTACACCAGAACCATCCACTGTTCCTTCGCCGTCCGAACCGCTCGATTGTTCACGATGCCTTCTCCTCAGGAGCCTATGCAGCAGCCCTCCATGACCGCTGAGCCCAGCGATGTCGTCTCTCAGCAGCCCGTAAGCAGCCCCTGTGCCATTTGTAACCCCTCACTTCGTCCGGAGCCCGAGCGAATTGCTGACCGCCCGCCCGCGACCACCAGTCTGCCGAGCCTCAGCCCGAGATGATGAACCTGCGTGGAGGAGAGGAAGCCGGCTGCGAGCTTTGCTGCGGCATGTGCGGCTGCGATGAGTCGTGCTGCTAAATGTGGCGGTCAGCCGTCGGGGACAATTGGGACGGGCGGGGTAGTTGGACTGGAGAGAGCAATAGCTGAGCGTGTTTCCTCGCAGGAAGGCGATTTACCTTTTTCCACTGATAGCTTGAAGAGATGATTCATCGAGCACACTTTGTCGTGTCTGTCTACACGTGATTCTCACCACACTCTTCATCTCAAGCTTTGACCTTCGTGACTAAAGACCAGGGCGTCCTAACAAGGAGATTGACGCTTACGCCTGCCGACACCAGCGCTTACCGTGCCGTCCAGTTCCAAAGTGAAGCTTCAAATAGCCAGAATAGTCAGCCAACCTTACAGATAAGCCCGATGATATTTCAGGTCCCGATTTACTTAGCTTTCAACATCCCGCAGCACATGATCTACGCAGCACCAGCAATTATCTAAGGGCTCCGAGAGCTTGGTAATAGAGAAGTCTGGGTTTCCACTTAATGAGCCGATCTCATGGTTTCCGGAGAACAACACGTGCATTCTGAGACATGACTATAATAATCGGGGCATTGAGGAAGAACTATCGCTTCATAACAGTTAGCTGTCTTCGAGGTCAAGTCAGCATTGTTGGGCCGCTTGTCAACCTTTCTTTTCTATCTCTGACCCGGTCTATCACGCCACTGGCGTTTTGATCTTCTTATGCTCTTTTTTACCGTGGTTCAGCTGATGGCCTTGACTTTTTGCAACTCTGTCTTCAATCGCGTAAGTCTCTGGTGGATCTCAAACCTTGTTTCCATGCGAATTCAATGCAATACTTCGTAGTAGAGTCAACAAGGAAAGAAAGCAAGGGGGGAAAATGAGAAATCAGTAAATGAAAGTTACTTGAAATGCCATGCCATCAGGTATCGAATTCGTGGCGCGTAGTTGAGAAGATTTCAGTTCAAGGGATTGGGGAAAGTAATCTACCTAACAAGGCTCTGTTGATCTCGTCACATTTGATGGCATTTCAAGCCCTATGGTCTTCATTTAGGCACACGTTTGCAAGTTGGTCGTCCCCATTTACGATAAGGCATCCAAGTCATTTGATGTGCTTCAGAACGCTGGACTTGCGCTGGGGGCAGATGCAGTATCGAGCGGCGGGGTTTTACCTGCAGAGAGGATCGCCCGATTCCAAGGCTTACACGACAAAACACGAATAGTTGCATCACGCGAGCACACAGAGTTTTGGGCTGCAAAATGCCGTTTCGGAAATCCTCGCCGCTGAGAAACATCATATCTTGCCGGGTAATGTCAGTGAACCAGTGGGGCAATACCTGAGACGCCCGCACACAGCAATTGTCTGATCTTCGGCCGATGTTACCGATGGAAGGCCAGACGGTATATATAGCTTCGCCGGCCACCCACCCACAGCTTGGCTTGCTCCATTCTCGATACATAGTCTCTCCTTCTCACATACACGATGCAGTCGGCCAAAGCACACACAGATCTGGCGAAGTACCGCGTCCTCTCGCCAAAATGCGGGCTGCGCGTCTCGCCACTGCAGCTCGGTGCCATGTCAATCGGCGACGCATGGGCGGACCAATTGGGGTCGACGACCAAGGAGAAATGCTTTGAGCTGCTGGATGCATTCTATGAGGCGGGCGGGAACATGATAGACACGTCGAACAATTACCAAGACGAGCAGAGCGAGAAGTGGATCGGCGAATGGATGGCCGCGCGCAAGAACCGCGACAGCATGGTTATTGCGACCAAGGTCCGTTGGGGGAGAAAGCGAAGCTAACGGACAAAAAAATAAAGTCAAGAAACTTGGCTAATTTTTTCGGGTTCACCCCACGGCAGTATACGACCGACTACCGCACGCACGAGGTGGGCAAAAACAAGGCGCCCAATGCCGTCGGCAGCCACAAGCGCAACATGTTCCTCAGCCTGCGCGACTCGCTCGCCAAGCTGCAGACGGACTGGGTCGACATCCTGTACGTCCACTGGTGGGACTGGACCACGAGCATCGAGGAGATCATGGACGGCCTCGACATCCTCGTCAAGCAGGGCAAGGTCCTGTACCTCGGCATCTCCGACACCCCGGCCTGGGTCGTGGCCGCGGCCAACACGTACGCGACGGCCCACGGCAAGACGCCCTTCGTCATCTACCAGGGCCGCTGGAACGTTATGCGCCGCGACCTCGAGCGCGAGGTGCTGCCCATGGCGCGCCAGTTCGGCCTGGCCATCGCGCCGTGGGACGTGCTGGGAGGGGGCAAGTTCAAGACCAAGGAGCAGATCGAGCAGCGCCAGCGGGAGGACGGCGGGACCTTGCGCAGGATGTTTGGGGGGCCCGGCACCATCAGCCCAGACGAGGAGGCGTACAGCGCCGCGCTCGAAAAGGTGGCGGGCGAGGTGGGCGCGCCGAGCCTGCAGGCCGTCGCGCTGGCCTACGTCCTGGCCAAGGCGCCCTACGTCTTCCCCATCGTGGGCGGCCGCAAGGTCTCGCACCTGCAGGACAACATCAAGGCGCTGTCCATCCGGCTGAGCCCGGAGCAGATCAAGTACCTCGAGGGCGTGCGGCCTTTCGACCTGGGCTTCCCCACGAACTTCCTGGGGACGGACGTGGGCCAGAATTTCTTCATCAGCTCTGCTGCAGATCTGGAGTATGTCAAGGGACCAAGGGCAATTGGCTATGAGTAGCGAATCATGCGACGAGACGTCTCGGATCGCGTTGTTCATGTATGCCTGCATACACTAATCTTCCCGCTTGTGAAGCTATGTACCGTGGAAAGAGGGCGACCACGCTGCTGTCATGCAAGGCCTGGTTCTAGAAACATCATAAACTCGCCTTGCAGTGAGCTGATCTTCGTTTTGATTGTGCCGAACATGATCATCGGTGGGGTTGGGGTTGAAGTTCCCCTTCGAGCCTCTCGGCTATCAAGTCTGGTTGAGCTCACAACCATGGGAAGCAAACGCGAGCAAAGCAGCTCATTGGGGGGAGCAACCCCGAAACATTGCATGATAATGGGGAAGTTTTCCAACTGGTCCTGGGTGGCAGCCCATACTAGCTCGTCCGAGATTCTTGACGCGGAATGGAACGATCATCTCGCGATTGAACGGGTTCCTTGCCCCAATAGGACAATACAAAAAGCTTGAAGGGGCAGTTTTTAAGGATGTTTAGTTGTTCGAGACGGCCAGACTAACATCTTAGTGACATGTTGTTGGTACCTGGTTTCCCCTGACCCAGTAATGGTACAAAGTCAAATACATCGCTCCGTGCTCAACATAATTATTCTCCCTCCCTCCCCCTGGGCCAAGCCAACAGTTTTGAGATTCACACCAGTCTTGTTTATAGGGACGAGTCGAACGCTGGGGTGCCTCAAACTCTTGTTCGCAGACCTCATAGTTCCTTTCAGAGTCGAGCAACTTCAAGGCATAGAGCTTCGAGATGTCGACCTCCAATCATCATCCGGATATTGACATCGAGTCCTGCCCGAAGATTTCAGAGAAGGAACTGGGCCTCCAGTCGGCAAAGGTATGCACGTCCATCAGTGCATTGGGTGACCTGAGACCGCTAACTATAGGGATCGAGCAGACTACGAGCGACCTTGAAGTTGACGGGGTATCAGTAGTAAACCCAGCGGCCCCGCAGGTACCAGTCTCTCGTTCGCCATCATGGCTCGACAAGACACGACGATTTGCGAGAAGTCCCATCGGACTCTATCTGGTTATCGGCATACCCATGACAGCGTACGTCACAAAGAATCCCTACAGCTCTGTTATTGGTTGATGCCAGCGATCTTGCTGATATGATGCTTCAACAATAGATGGTGGTGTGTTGGCATGGCTCTTCAGAAGGACAAAGACTTCCCGCTCATCCACACCCTCGTCTGGTTGGGAGTCATGTGGAGGCTGGCGGCATGGATCCGCCCATTGAGGGCTTTTGTCTCGACACTGGCGGATCGAGTATCGTCTAAACTTGTCAGGCCCGGACGACATATCCTATCAAGGAGGTGGTGCCTTGCCTTGGGTGTCTTGGTGACGCTGTGCGTGCTTGCGACGGGTACTTTCGTTCCTAAAGATAACGATAGAGGCACTCGAGGACAGCGGGCGCTCAGCGGGCTTGGACTCTTTGTGATTCTTGGAGGTCTGACCCTGACATCAAAGAACTTCAAGATGATCAATTGGCAGGCAGTCGTTGTAGGCACATTAGCGCAGTGTTGCCTGGGCCTTTTCGTGCTCAAGTCTTCGGTCGGCGTAAGTCTCCCCGCGCATCTCCATCCGTGATCTCAACAAGATCGGATTTGTTAAAGGCTAACGTGCGGTACTGCCTCCCGAAATAGTACGACATCTTCAAGTTCATAGTCGACATGGCTATCAAGCTCCTGGGCTCCTCCTCGGAGGGCGTCATCTTCCTGACCGATGCAGAAGTCGCCAAACTGCCCTGGTTCCTAATCGGCGTCGCGCCTCCCATCATCTTCTTCGTCGCCTTTGTCCAACTCCTGTCTCACTGGGGTGTAACACAGTGGCTTGTCAAGAAGTTCGCCGCCATCTTCTTCTCTACCATGCGCGTCTCTGGCGCCGAGGCCGTAGTTGCCGCGGCCTCGCCCTTCCTCGGCCAGGGCGAGTCGGTGCTGCTCATCCGACCGTACTTGCCACTGCTCACCGCCGCCGAGGTTCACCAGGTCATGGCATCAGGCTTCTCTACGGTAGCCGGTAGTGTGTTCTACGCGTATGTGTCGATGGGGATCGACGGGACGGCTATCCTGAGTTCCTGTATCATGAGCATACCGGCCTCCCTCGTGGTGTCCAAGCTGCGATACCCTGAAACGGATGAGCCCTTGACTGCTGGAAAGCTCGAGATCCCAGAGGAGGCCGTGGAAGACAAGGCACATAATGCCCTCGATGCGTTCTCCAAGGGCGCGTGGCTGGGACTTAGAATTGCAGGCATGATCCTCGCGGGCCTGCTGTGTATGCTGTCTCTGCTTGCTCTCCTGAACAGCCTTCTTGGATGGTGGGGAGAGTACATCAACATCAAGGACCCACTTCTGAGCGTGCAGTTGATAATGGGCTACGTGTTCTTCCCAGTCGCTGCGCTCCTGGGCCTGCAGAAGGACGAGATACAGCCGATCGCTCAGCTTATCGGCACCAAGGTCGTGGCTAACGAATTTGTTGCGGTAAGTTGGATTTTCCTCTGCATTTCGGGTACTGGAGATGCTAACAGACGCTCAGTACAATTTGATGATGCAGGATCCGGCCTTTTCCGGCCTGACTGAACGCTCTAAGCTAATCGGCACCTATGCCCTATGTGGATTTGGAAATCTGGGCGCTCTGGGGATTCAGATCGGCATTCTCACCCAGCTGGCCCCTTCGAGCAGCAAGAGGGTGACAGAGGTTGCCGTTTCGGCGTTGGTAGCAGGTATCATGGCTACATTGACAAGTGCGTGCGTAGCAGGAATGTTGGCGTGACGTAGGAGCTGTTGTTCTTCATGGTGTGTCTTCGGAGTGAAGGGTAATGAAGGAGAGGTAGTGTTAGGGGTTTGAAAGGTGTAGAGAAAAGTTGTTTGATTCATCGCACCGCTCACTGACTATGGTCTATTTATCTACCTACTTATCGAGTTGTCAAAACTACTTCGAAAATCGTTGATTTATACAAAATGAGTGTCAGTGACATTGGAACCTTCGTGAAAAGCTTCGGTATCGTCGCCAAGTGCGTGATATCATCGTTTGAAGAGCCGGTTACTGACCATGATCTGCAGTTCAGGGTAACTCGGATCCTGTAATTCAGATCCCTGCAGCTCCAACGATACCGTAGACAGTTCTATGTCCCCTGCTGTTTCTCCTCGGCGATAGTGTGTGCTGGAACTGGCCAAGGAAACGGGTGACGCCATTGGCGAAAGACCGACTCAGATCAGGAGGGATGCAAGGTAACAGTCGACTGTCACGTAATTGGACCGTAACAGGCTCTGACATCCAAACCGAGCCACTAATTGCTGACACTGTAGTACATGAGCTCAGAGTCTTTGAGGAACGGATTCCTCACTATCATACACAAGAGGTATATATACGGCCTTTCGGGAACAGAGCCCCTGGCTCCTCAACAACACAGACGTAGTCTCTTTCCAACCAAATATCGAGCATAATCATGAAGAAATTATTGGCCTCAGTCTTTGTTGTAGTCTCGGGTGTGCTCGCCGAGCCATGCTCACCCGACCTCAATGGCTGCTGTTATTTTGACTTTACCAATTCCGGCAAACAACTGTCCACCAACTGCCATTGCAACGGAGCTTGGTGTTCAACTGGTATGCAAAATCTTCTCTTCACTATCATCATACGATGCGGACACTGAAACATGCATGCTGTAGGGTTCGGGGAGGCAACACCTGGCCCATTGACTATCACATGTCCCAACGCAGGAGCCCCGTATGATTTTCAATGGCAATACCAGAACGGCGGTTCTGGTAGCGGTTCTCTCTCTGGCGGTGCTCAGGTGTTTCATGGAAATGGGCAAAAGTCCATTGTCACTCAAGTTCGATGCAATTTCGATTGATCCTACCATGGTTGCAAGATCCAGCGAGCGGTTTCAAGAGCCATGTGCATTAAAAGACGTTCAGTCGAAAGAGCGTGTTTTCTTGTTAGCCGCTTTTAAATTGAACCTAATAACCATCAGGGTCATTCATCTTATGTGTTTTCCGACTATGATATGGTGACTCGGATCCGAGATTACCAGCCTTCTGGCGATTTCTTGACAACAAAGGCACCACGGTCCATGGTGTTGATGACAATGTAGCCACTAGGGAAGAACGGGTAGTGACTCCATGTCCCTGTGAATGTGACATTACCTCCGCCCTCCATATTGTCATCCTCAGGGTGGATATCAAAGTAGGCCACTTCTTTGATGCCCTTTCCAGTGGGATCGCTAGGGACCGATCTGAGATCCAGGATGCTGATTCCCAATGCATAGTTGCTTTGATATGTGAAACCATCCTTGACAAACTGGTTGTGGTCGATACCCTTCCTGAGGTGCTTGTAGTATCCTGTCTGCTTGGGTGCCTCTAGGGAACTGATATCCCAGATATAGGAGATAGGATATCCCGCACTGGCAAGTCCTCGCTCATCAACCTCGTCATACTCGTCGTCTGAAATAAGGAACTGCTGCCACTCTGGGTCGAGAACCCAACCCTGGTGCGTGAAACTGGCTCCTTCGTATGAGGTGTTGGAAATTATGGTGATATGCTGCAGGTCCGTGACATCATAGCTGCGAGGATGGTTAATCGCTGATCTCGAGATCAAGCAGGTGAATTGTGTGACTTACATCGTGATCGTGTCCTCGTCGTAGCCATAGCAAATATCCTTGCCATAGTACTTCGCGTCAGGGCCACGATAGACAATGCACTGAGCATCGTGTACATAACCGTCCTCGCCAGTGCCACCCAAGGTCTTCGGGTTGGTTGGGTCAGTCAGATCGAAAAACACCAAGCCGGCACGGAGCGGGCCGTTGCGTGGCTGGAAGCCGGTCGCGACTCCATAGTTCCTCTCCTCATTCACGACGACATTGTGCGAGCGGCCCAGGGGCAGCTTCTCTGTCCAGAAACCATCCAAGTCTTTCTCGTTGGTAAATTTGACAGGCTTGGCGGGGTCAACGGTGAGAAGCTTCCTGAGGTCAAAGATCTGGATGCCGTGATCTACGGCCTCGCTTCCGATGACAACGTAGCTGTGGTAGCCCTTGATCTCGCGCCAAAGCGATGTCTCGGCAGTAGTGTATTGGGGTAGCCTTCCGAGATAGATGAGCTTGCCACTCTTGGAGACCTCGGCAAAGGCAGTGCCGTCCAGCTGTGCGATCGCCACGAACTCTCGACCGTCGGGACTAGTCCAGCCCCAAGAGCCTGCGCCACGACCAAAGCCGCTGCCAAGCTCTGCATGGGTCTTGAAGTCGTACAGGTCGAGATTGCTGCATTTGAAGGTGTACATTGGATCACCAGGAACGTAGGAGGCGACCCCATCCTTGCAAGCAACAAAGTCCTGCTTCTGGTCGAAGCTCTTATATTGCGTCGAGTCATAGACTCCCTGGGCCTCAAGCGCATCCCAAGTTTGCTATCACCTGTCAGCGTGTGCTATCATTTTACCAGCACGATGGCGTACCTTCTTGAGTGCCATGATCTGTGCGTGCCTCACTCCGCTCTCGAAGAGCTCGGCTTTACGCACTTGGTCGGCGGCCATCTCCTTCGCTGACGAGGGGATTGCCAAGGCCACAAGGGCCAACAGTGCACCAGTATGTTTCATTGTCGTGTAAATAAAACACGGTGTTGTCTCTTGTTGCCGGTGTTTGATGCAGGAGGAAGGACACGCTTTAGGTAGCGCTATCTCCGAGCAGGGAGTAAATAGTATATTTGAGGGGAAAAGACCTGTTAAGCCACGGGATGAACGGCTCCCAAGTGTCTGACAGTCTGATAAAACAAGCTTTTAAATACCTGCTATCTTCATCCTACGAGGCTTGGCGATCAGAAGGTTAATATATATTTGCTGATAAACAGAAGTGGTTGGTAGGCTGGGGAGCGCGTGGCCTGCACCCAAGGCCAATCAGCTTAAGCCGTTCGCATAGCAGGGTCGTATAATGCAGCATTTGCCACGGCTTGGTATTCCAGTTCGATATCACCTATCAAGAGGTCAGACGGGCGGAGAGTCCGGGAGCCCCATCCCATCAACACCCGAAGCGGCAGGTGTTTCTTGGCAGACTGCGACCTCTGCCGGCTCCGCATCTCTTCGCAATAGCCAAGAGATTTGGCGTCACAGCGGCATTTTAGTAGGCGCTCGGTATATCTCAAAGTGGGAGGTATGTCTTCTCGCGCCGAGACTCCCGTCGCAGTCCCCAAGAGAATTGGCATCAAGTACGAGAGCATGGGATCGACTCTTGCGATAACCCAAAGTGGCAGGTGTCGTTGTTCAATCCTTTGAAACTTTGTATTGCTGCCTACGGGTATGCCAAGACCCAAAGGGGTTTATCTAGAGCTTCAAGACGAATGTGGTATCGCAAAGTGCCGAGATCCCTGCCCCTCATATATTGGCCGCGGCATGCATGTGGATTCCACTGCTCGCCCTCCCATAAGCAACTGTGGACACCGTCATCTATTCGATTGACGGACCGGGCGAATCGCTTTGAACTACAGCATGATTGTGCTTTGCTATTTCGTTGTTGGTACAAGACGAGATCCATAGCTCCTCTCGTGATCATTAAGGGACGAGAGACACGGCAATATCAACCACATGTGACGTTGAAGTTTAGGATTAGATGATTGGCTCGACATTGCGATGCCACACGTCTTACACAAACCAAGTATGGCACGAAGGTGAAATTTCTTATTTACTGAGAAAGGAGATAGAGTTCTTCATCGTCTACGAATGTAATTAGTCCAGTCAAGCTGGGCAATTCAGTCCCTCTTCCGGCTGATGACCGCCATTCGCAGTTCCAAGCTCTGACGGTCGCTGGAGTCCGGGTAATCCGGATGCTGAAAGGAACAATGAGGAATGCCTGCAGAATTTGATCAGTGTGAGAACTGCAGTAGCCATTTGGAAGGTACATACATTTGGGGCCATCCCGATAATCCGAATCGTAGTTAAGAAAGAGAAGCAACTCATCGGGCGTTTGGGAGCTGATGTAATACCACTGTTGGCCTTTGTTGTATCGCAGCCAGTACACCTCTCCCACATTTTCGGTAGATGTGTGGAACTGCACAGGCACGTAGTCCTGGGGAACCGTCGAGAAAAAGTCGCAGATGCCCAGCGGGCGATCGTAAACCATGTGTGCAACCGGCCGCCAGACGTTCATGATGCGGACACGGTACTTTTCCGGATGGTCCAAGTATTGCTGGCATTCTTTCTCAGTCATATATCTACGGAGTCGCCTCATGGCGCCTGCAGGAGTGGCGTCCACGTGCGTCATGAACGAGGCTGGGTCGGCGATGGAGCGGTCGTTCGTCAATGCCAGGTCCTTGAGGATCTGATTGAAGTCGCCTTCTCCCAGGTAGTTCATATTCTTGCGGAACTTGTAGTCGAAGCAAAAGACCATCTCGGCTTTGAAGAGGTTCTTGACCGTAGCAGTCATGTCGCTCAGATACGCCATGATCTCTTGCGTGCTCGAGTCCACGCGAACGGAGCGAAAGTAGGGGTAGTTGAGGAATTGCAGGCCATGGACATCAAGAGAGAGAAAGGCTTCAGAACCCCTCAGATCTTGGACAGGAATGTCAGAGACTGTTGCTTTCTGAGGGTCTAAACGAGTGTTGCTTTCGGGAGCCTGGAGGGTCCCAGCGTAGTACATCGCATCTCCATCATGGTTTGGAGGGCAGTCGATAAATTGAAAAGAAGCCGTCGTCGAGGGCCCTTTGGCCAGTGTAGAGAGCGGTGCCATGGTGTTGGGTGCTATGGACTGACATCCAGATGCTAAGATTGGGGCTTCTTTCAGGTGAAAATGTGAAAAGAGTTTTATGGGAACGAGATTTGATGATAGAATTACCTAAGGTATGGTTGTCCCAAGCGAAGTGGCAACGAGTGATGGACCGGGGTCACCGTGACCTGCTTGATGGAGATATGAAGACTCAAAGGGGCAAATATTCGAAGGATTGTGAGAAGGGCTCGCCAGTTTCCGGATCGTTTAATCAATATAGCCTATATTTTGCCTCCATTCATACACTCGTTTGGAGATCGGCATAGTAATTCGAAAACGGCAAGAAAGCACGCGACATCAGTCCTTGGGACTGTCTTGGCTGAGGTGAGATCAAGCTTTCAGACAAGCTCTGCCAAGCGAAGGATTGTTGGGAATCTTTATTGGGATATCCTAAGTCCGAGGTGTAGATACGGGGTTACATAGGGGCGGTCTGCATTTACTTCTTCGCACTCGGACTAGATCTGGTCTGTGCCGCAAACTTCGGTCAAGTCTCAGGCCGTACTGTGACAGGCATTCGCGACCGGATTTGAGTGTCCTGACTGATATGCACACATTCCCTCGGTTGCTTCGATTCACGTTAATCTTCCAGTCTTTGGTTTACCCTTTCTCGTATCCCTAAGTGCTTGCACTTAGCTTATTTGACATCCCCTTCTCATCGTTATGTTCTCTTCGAAATATCGCCTAGATCATAAGCTCATCTAGTTCTCTTCTTTGACTGTCGAGATCTTACCAATGGGGCAGTTTCTAGCCCGTGGTGTTTCCGTTACCACTTCTTTCGACTATGTATCGTTTGACAACGAACCGGGTGCTGACCTGAATACCCCTCGCTTCTGGGAGGGCGATCCAACCGAAAGCACATTACGAACCCCAACTTGGGTCAAGACTCCCAATGTGACCGTCAGAGACATCAGACCTGAGCAAGACAAATACTACTTTTCAAAAGATGGGTTTCAACTCTTGGGCATCCCGACAGCTCACAGCCCGCATCCTGATCATCAAGACGAGGTCCAGGCATACTTGGGAGAAACAGCGGCTCACGTCCGGAAACTCCTCAATGCCTCTCAGGCTTTTGTCTTTGATTATAGAGTGAGCCACCAAGATACTCTCTGCCGGACTTTAGATGATACTAATTGTATCGAGTTTCGTATCAACCAACCCAGGTCATCCGATCGCCAGCATCACCAGAAGAACTCTCCTGGGCGCGTGGGCCGGGAAATGCCCGACGCACCTTTCACAAAACCCCATGTTGGTAAGAATTCGTCTTTGTCTCCATCCAAACCAGGCTGACAATTGGGAAGATCATACGGAACCAGAAGCTTATAGAAGACTTCGAAGGTATCTCTCGCCTGCGGAGGTGCAGCGGCATCTGGACGGGCCGCGCAAGTCCAGGTTCATGATCGTAAAGTGAGGCTCCGAGGATTTTGTTTGGATCTGGGCTCGGCTGATAACTCAAACAGCGCATGGCGGCCGTTGAACCTTCCAGTTGAAGACATGCCCCTCGCTCTCTGCGCATTTCCCTCCCTGGACCTTTCCGACGTGGCAAGCTCTCATTTCCACGGAGGCCCTGGTTACATCGCGGAAACCTATGTTCTGCGGCATAACAAGAACCAAAAATGGGTCTGGTTTGGCCAACAACGACCCGATGAATTGTTGGTCTTTAAGAACTTTGATTCAGAGCCAGGGAACAGCCCAAGATGTGAGTTTCATACTTTTGCCATTTTGAAGACTAGCTAATTATATGAGAAGTCATCCCCCATGCCGCCTTTCTGAATCCTTTAGCAAAAAAAGGCGCAATACCAAGGGAAAGTATAGAATGTAGGATGATTGTGATTTTTGAACATGGGGAAGGTGATTCACGGCCAACTACTCGCGTGGCGGACGAACTCTAAGTGAAATCGCTTGGTTTGTCAGACAGAGAAATAGGTCACTCTTGCTAACTTCTCAATAAAATAAATCTAATCCTATTGATGGTGGTTTCTATGAAAAAAAACAGACTCAATTTGGATAACGTGCACATCCTGATCATGTACAACCTGGAATGCTGCACAATTAACCTGACGGGTCCTTCAATGATGGAATGAGCCTACCTTCTTGAGATGGTCCTAGTCTGGCAGTTAATGAGTCTACATGTCTCAGTTTGAAGGCTTCCAATGGTCAATGTCGGCATATCATTTGCCTGCTCCAGGCTGAATCCTTCCATGCAACTGTGATAACTCTTTGCTCCTTTGAGGTTCCTATATCCGCCGCCGATCGTCAACGAGTCTAAGTGGAGTCAGCATGGGCGATATGAAGTATATCCATGATTGGAGAGGGTTCATTGCGCCGCCACTAGTTTTGTTATGCAAGCGTGCCCTCCTGCCGCTTTCGTAGAGTTCCCATGGCTCTTACATGGACCCATAGGAGCTGCACTCCAAGTCATCCTCCGCACGGTTCTCTGATCTGCAAGCCTATCATCGCATTGAACTGCTCGGACTTTCTGTGGCAAGTCTTGATGATACAGAGAGATCACTAATCACTGTATAGCAGCAGTATTATAGAGTTGAGTGCAGGCCGTAGAAGAGTGCACTCAAAAGAAGACAACTATAAAGGACCCTTGCATCAGACTCTCTCTGGCAATGACAACTTCCTTCTCAAGCCTCTCCATTCCGTCAGCCTTCGCTCCCAGACTTTACAAAGACAACTCGTCCCTCAACACTACTCCTTCACGGACAACCACCTAGTCGCCGACATGGTCAACGCTCGCAACAACGCCAAGAGCTGGAGCATGAGCTCCTTCTTCAGTAAGTTGAAAGACACCATGGACAACCGTCTTCGAACAGACCCCGGATTGCTAACTCAACAAAACAGTGGGCCTCCTCCCATTCACCAGCACTGCCTCGGCGGCTTGCCTGGTCGAGGAGCGTGCCATCTGCGAGGGTATCGCCGCCGCGGCCCGCGCGGCCCCAGACCACGTTGTGCACGGGCGCTCGGCCCCGATCCAGGTGCGCCTGCCCATCTGCGCGCGCGACAAGCTCGACGGGCGCGCCCTGGACAAGGTGTACGAAGGTGTCGACATCCGCCTGCGCGCCGAGAACATGTCGCACGGTGGTTGAGCGGTGAATCCATGGAGCGGCATGAGTTTGGGGGACGTGGCAGGACAGTTTGTGGAGGAGCAGGCCTGAGAGAAAGGGGGGTGGGGGATGGTTTCCCTGGCTGTCCTGTCTCTCTAAACACTCCCTTGCAGCACGTCGTGTTATTACTCAGTATTCTGTGTGTTTCTTCCTGTCGCTCTTTTTCTCTGTCAAGTAACCAGCTGTTTCGGCCTTTCTACGTATCAACCAGAAAATCAAACCAGTTGCAACGGTATCAGTTGTCTTACGGCTCTTGCCCTTGGCACCCATGACTATCCTAAGTCGTAGGAGACCCTGTTCTTCAGTGCTACAGCTTTGCATACACGATAAACTACAATAGATTAAACCACTGGCAGGGATGATAGGCAAAACAACTGCCGATATGGGTGGAGCAGCGGTGCTTCGACTAGATCTTGTGTCCGGTCCGACACTCAAACCTTAACAGCACGATGGAGACACTATCCATCTCCATAACCATCTGACGTTCCTGAGATCGGCTTCACCGTGCGTAGTGGCGTTGCCGGCCCCGGGCCTAACTCTTAGACCTCCGGGTCCGGCGTGTTTGGGCACCGAGTCGTGATATTCCCTCAGAGGGCAGGAATGCTGGCGGAGGATACTTTGGTAGCATTCAGCTACGGCCCGTCCCCGCTAGTCATGTCTCGTCAGACCACCCTCTAGGTAGCTTGGAATGTTGGCAGCCTTGCAGCTTCTAGAACGATGATGGCATTGATCATCATTCGATCTGGAGAGGAAACTCCGGAGCCCAAGATATGGTATCGTGATGTTGAGATCGAACCCGGGCACGTCTCGCGTGCAAGTGGCTGTGACTGTGGCTGTGGTTGTGCTGGTGGCTTGCGTGTGTGCTAATTGGCTGGATTTCCATCACTGTACAAGGTACAAGTTGACTGGTACCTTCCTGGGCTTGGACCGGGGGCCCTTGCCGCCAACACATGCAGCAAATCATGCATGGCTGCGTCATGTGTGCCACCACCACACAGAACAAAGAGAAGGAAAAAAAATAGGTACACCAACCTCGACCTTCGACAACAGGGCGACTCGTGACTGTTGCACTGCTGCCCCTGGGCCTTGATCCATGCATCAAAGGCATTGTTGACCTGCAATCCTCATTTGCAATGCAGCTCACAGACCGCAAATTGTTACCAGAACCACTCACCGAATTGAGAATCCAAAGCCAATTTTCACCGCCCCCAAATGCAAAGATTCTCGCACAGTCTTTGTGAGTCCACGATGCAACAGCGGCAGCAGCAGGAGGCACACACACCCAATCCATCCATTCCATTGATGATATCCTGGCCTCGATGGAAAAATGCAATCGCGGCCTCGTACCTGATTGGGGAATGGTCCTCGAGGCCTTCAGACGAGAATACCCACGTCAAGTACTCCACCGAATTGACCATCCGATGGAGAGCGGCTCCACGCCCTCCACAACTGAGATTAAAGATGGATGGAAGCAAACACTACTTGTACAGCAAATCACACGCAGGAAGAAAGACGACCCCAAACCGATCCAAGAAAGATCAGGCCCAAGGTCTTCTTCTAGCTTTCGCTAGTGAGGCAGGCGGGCAGGCTAGCTCCACGTTGTCTGCACCGAAAGGAATGCGCCGCCAAGTGGGCGTGTCTTGGATCAGCTCGCTCTCGCTAGTTGGCCCAACTGCCCTGCCCATCCATGGATGAAGGATGTGCCGCCAGTGTGTGTGCCTTGGACCGTGGACCGCAATTCATTGCATCACCCTAGCCAATCCGGCGGCTTGGCTCTCCCCCGCGCCGCACATCTCCTGCAGGGTAGCGAGGGTAGTTATTCAACGTTACTGTCAAACGTCGCCATCCCTCCACTTTCTAGTTCTCGAATGTGCCCTTCCAATTTTAATAGCGCACAAGGCCTGCCCTGTTTTCAGTCTTACTCAGCCCAGACGTCCCTGTCTCCTCGTGCACCACGTCGACATCCTCGCCCTCCACTGGGGAAAGGCGGTGTTGAGGTTGCAAATTCCAACAATTTGCGGGGCTTAAGGTTACCCTGTTCAGTCGCGCTGCCCTCCAGACCCAGGGACCTGGCAGAAACTTTTCAAAGCATCTGTTTTCTCTTCCAGGCCAGCGGAGAGCACTCAAACTCTCGAACCAACAACCAACAGGCCACCATCTGTAGCGCCTACAAGCTTTCCGACGGCGTGTGTCAAGAATGACTCGATTGGTGACAGGAGGGACACAGCCGGAGAATTGATACACCCCTTGCCCCCCGGTCTTCGATGCCGCACCGGGCCAGTCACCCAATCCACGGACGACAAAACCCGGTCGACTGGCAAAGGCTCGCTCTCGACAGACTCCGTTTAGCTTGACCAACAATCGACGGGTTCCTATTAACCAGTGTCGCCTTCGCCGTGCCCTCCCCTTGGTTCCCCTATGGCTCGTCCCGAGACATGTGCGCAATCTCTATCTCGACATCAACGTAGGAGCTAGGCCTGCCGTCGTCATCGCCTTGAGCTTCGGCTTTTAACCGAGGCGCTACCATGAGCGGCTTCGCGGTCAACACCAATGGCTTTCCAGATCGTGGCCCGGCAGTCTTTGCCGTGACCACGGCCACCTTGGTCCTTGCCACCGTTTTTGTCGCTGCAAGGCTGGTGTGTCGCATTGGCATCGTACGGAGGGTCAGCTGGGACGACTACTTCATTATCCTTGCTTGGATTCTCGCCTTTGGCCTCAGTTTCACCATCAACTACGGAACGCGCAAGGGACTGGGCAGACATGACGATGACATCCCCGACCAAGATCAGGGAGCTCTGAGGAAGAGTGAATATGCTTTCTCCATCTTATATGTTCGTTTCCTCCCAATCCCCCAGGCTAGGAACATGTCTTGCTAATGCTCGCGTCGACACCAGAACCCTGCTCTTATGGCGACCAAGACTTCCATCCTGATCTTTTACTTGCGACTGTCCAAGAATACACAGCCTGTCTTGCGTCTCGCTTCCTATCTGGTGCTAGGCATCGTCAATGTTGCCGGCACCGTCCTCACCTTCATGAACATCTTCCAGTGTTCTCCGATCCGCGACGCCTGGACGGAAGGCCCCAGCAACGGCAAATGCATACCTCTTTTGACCGAGTTCATCTGCTCCGCGCCTGTCAACATCGTCACCGATCTTGCTATCCTCGCTCTGCCGCTACCTGTGCTGACGGGTATGAGGCTTCCTCCACGACAAAAGACCATCCTCATCTTTACCTTCTGTCTCGGTGTCTTCGTCTCGATCGTCGATGTTGTACGCGTCTATTATCTTCAACAGGCCATCACCTACGTTCCGACAAGCAGCTCCTCCGATCCCGAATCGAGATTCGGCGACAGTGACGAGTTTCCGTGGAACGCATCGCTGTCGTTGATGTGGTCGGCAGTCGAAGTGAACGTTGGTATGACATGCGCTTGCATTCCTACCCTGAAGCCACTGATCCTCAAGATCCTCCCTGCCATGCTGGTGGACCCCGACGGCACCAAGACCAGCTCGCAAACCATGGACCGGGACAATGCCGAACCGTCGCCCAAACAGGTGAGCAGCGAGAGAATGCTCGAGCCTATTCCTGCTTTTGGCGCAGGCGGCGGCATGCAAGCCCCTCCGCCTGCTCGAACGACCCTTGGCGGGAACGACGACCAACAACTCACGATGCTCGACTTTCTCACTACGCCCGATGGGGCAAATCCGAATCACCATGCGCCAGGTGACGGTCCAGGTGGCCTCCAGCCAACTCAGACAACCATGACATCTCGTGGGAGCGTGCAGGAAAATGCCATCTACTTTGGCTTTGTCAACTTGAAGAAGCCAAAGAGCATGCTCAAAACATCAGTATCTGAATCGTTCAAATACTGCACGGTCGTCACTATCTTGTTCTTCCTCTGGGGCTTTAGTTATGGTCTCCTCAATAGCCTGAACAATGTGGTCGCAGCCGTGGCAGATATGACCGAGGCTCAAACCCTCGGGTTGACCAGTGTCTACTTCGGCGGCGGTTACCTGTTTGGCCCTCTGCTCGTCGGCGAATGGATCCTTCGGCATGATGAGCATCAACGGACGAAACGCAAATCCTCGCTCACCCGCAATAATGATGAACCCATTGGAGGCTTCAAAGCGACCTTCATGATTGGGCTGTGCTTTTACGGTACTGGCACGATCATGTTCTGGCCTAGCGCCGTCTTGAGATCGTTTCCAGGGTTCCTGATCTCGAACTTTGTCGTTGGCTTCGGGCTCGGCATTCTAGAGACCGGAGCCAACCCGTTCCTCGCGCTTTGCGGACCCATGGCGTATGCCGAGATGCGCCTCTGCTTTGCGCAAGGCGTCCAGGCGGTCGCGAGTGTCCTCAGTGGCCTCATAGCACAGAATGTCTACTTTGCGACCATCGAGAAGAACAAGGTCTCCTCCATGTCCCTCATCGATGTCCAGTGGACTTATCTGGCCATCACGCTCTTCTGTGCCGGGCTGGCCCTCTTCTTCTACTACATGCCCCTGCCCGAAGTCAGCGACTCGGAGCTGGACGACGCCACAAATCGCCTACCCGTCGACACACGCAAGCGTACGATTGGCGGTTTCCGGCTCAAGACCGTGTGTCTGGTTCTGGCGGTCCTCGCACAGTGGTTCTACGTGGGTGCGCAGGAAAGCATGAGCATCTTCTTCAGCAGTCTGATCAAGTCCTTCCTGCCCAACCCAGTCACTTCGTCGAATGACAATGATGAATCGAAGCCAGTGCCTGGCTTGACCTTGACGGTTCCAAACTATCTCCTAATCGCTCACACTGCCTTTGCCGTGTCCCGCTTCACGGCGGGCTACCTCGCTTATCTATCCGTCAAGAATCCCAAGTGTCGACTGATACCCTCGCCACGGACAGTTCTTGCGTTCTGCGCCATCTTCTCGGTCATCTTTGCCATTTTGATAGCCAGCATCAAACCGACGAACCCCAACCTGATCGTCATACCCGTTGTCCTGTATTTCACGGCTGAAGGGCCCCTCTATCCCCTTATTTTTGCGCTCGGCTTGCGGGGCCAAGGCAAACGTACGAAGCGTGCGGCCGCGTGGCTCACCATCGGGACCTCGGGACCGGCTTTCTGGCCGTTCGTGCTCTGGGCCATCATGCGGAACGGTGGCAGCGTGCAGACGGCCTTCATTGTTGTCGTCGCTCTGCTGTGCGTCACTTGCGTGTATCCTCTCTACCTGACCTTTGTGCCGGACGCAAGGACCATGTCGGACCCCAACGAGAGCCCAGACCTGCGAAGGATCGCGCGTGCCGAGGCGGGCAGCAAAGCCCCGTCGCTGGACGAGGCTGTGAGGGACCGGCGCAGGCGAGGCGGTAGGGGGAGCATATTCGGCAGGTTAGCTGGTGGGTGGAAGAAGCCGAGGGGCTCGAACGCGTCGAGCAGTGTGCCGATGGTGGAGCACAAGGAGGGCGCCGCTCAAGAAGTAAGTGGTGGCGGTGGTGGGAGTCGTGGCGTTGACCGTCGAGATACTGTTCCTGAGATACCCGAGTCCGAGCTACTCTGATTTTGCTTTTTTTTTGTCTTAATATCACGAAGCGATGATTATATATAATCCACCTCACGGGAACATAACCTCAAAAGGGGCACTTGGGGGCCATATGGCCGGGCGGTAGAGAGTTTCACCGGGCGGGAACCGCTGCCCGGGATATATACGATTTGTATTGCATAATTTAACAATATCAATTTCTCACGTGGTGTTAGCGAGATGCTTGTCTTGGGGAGGTGAGCAGATGCGAGTCTCTTTTCTAGCTGGTCACAGTGTCCTACGTCCGTCAAAGCTCGACGTGTTCTGGATGCCGGTCTACTGAGCTCCCCCATTTTGCAGCTAGGAATCTGCCCCCTAGTTCTTGGACCAGATAGCCTGCAGGTTCCCTTCGGAATCGACAAACCGAGCAAAGGCGCCTCGGCCCTCTCCAAGATCGGTCCGGGGACTAAATTGATTCGCAGATACCTACCGTTAGCGAAATCAAGGGACACTTATCGCGGGGAGAACGGGGCAAAGCGACGAAGGAACCCCAGACTTACATGTGCACCCTGCCCCCGGCGGCCTCGACCCGGCGCAGCGCCTCGGCGACGCTGTCGACGGCAAAGGTGCAAATGGGCACGAGGCGCGTCTTGCTGCTGTCCGAGGACGCGCCGGCGACGTCGACGAGGCCGGCCGGGTCGGCGACGCGCAGGAAGGCGCCGCGCAGCATGCCCTTCTGGAAGGGGTGGGTCGAGAGCACGCCGTTGGGCGCGGCGGGCGTCGACGACGAGGCGTCGGTCGTGGTCTCCCAGGAGAGCACGGTGGCGTAGAAGGCGGCGGCGCGGGCGACGTCGAGGACGGGGACGGAGAGGAAGATGATCTGGCCGGTCATGGGGGCCTGTTTGGTTCGGGAGGGGGGTGGTTAGTTGGGTATCATGTGATGGAAAGAAAAGGAAGGGAGGAAAGGGGGTTTGCTTGCTGGTTCGGCCATGATTGCTGCTTTTCTGGGTATATGAAAAATCTTGAAGGTCGTTGGCGATGTTGCTGGGTTGGCTTTTGCGAGTGTTTTGCAAGTTCGGGGAATGGTCTTGGTGATACTTGGGGAGGACGACTTGGGGGTTCTGGGGTAGGTATATATAGCTAGGTACCTTGGATCTGCAGAACAACAATTTCGTGGAGATCTGCATGACAATGTGTATTCTTTCCAACCGAATGGGACGGTAGCCACCGAACCCAGCTGTTCCAAATCGTTCCATAAAGGCTTTGTGCGCGACGGGACCAGGGTTCTCTAGCTGACTTTCCGCAAATAGATCTCGAGACCGCAGGGTGCTCAAGCATTTAATAAATGACATCATGCGCCGAGATATGCAAAATGGAAAACAGCCTGAGAAGGTGGGTGTTTCACGTAACCGTAACTGTGCCAGCTATTGCAGCGGCGTATCCGAATGTGATCCACGAATCTGGTCCCGTTCCGCCGGCTGATTTCCGGGTATCAGGAAAACCATTCGGTCCCAAGGCCACACAATGATGATCCACGTCAGCCAGGTGGCCTTATTTCTTCATATGGCTGGCAATGATTGTCTGGAGTAGAAGGTTGATAGGGATCACTCCCGGCCTGAACGCGTATGTATATATGGCCACAAACTTCAAGCCATGAGTGTAGTTCTGTCTGCATTACTTCTCATTACCTTCAAATGAAGTTTCACGGCAGAGGCGGAGGTGATATCTGACTCCGCTTGGATGGTCAAAGACGGTTTAGTTATTGTCGGATACTATACCTTTCAGCAATCTGAGGGTTCGTCATCTACTCTTTCTACAATATTGACTTGCCTATCTTGCGAATGATGATGCATCGATTGCAAATCACGTTTGCAAAGAGATAGCTCTTCTCAGACAGCCGGCAATCATGGTATTCTCATATATGAATGGAATAAATATCATATTTGAGGGAATACATGCTTATGAAGCGCCACCAGTCATCACTGTTGATCAAGGAGCTGTGTTTCGAAGCAGCCCGGGTGTACTTACATGTGGTAGACAGTCTGCTCTGTTTCGCTGGGCATTTCACGAGACTGCACGAAAGATTTATCTCGAGCACCTCCAGGTTGTCCATGAAAGACTGTCATCGCTGACCCAGATTGGTTTCAGGTGGCAATTCTATCATCATTGTTCCCAAAACACTCACATCGGGGCAGATGAGTCGCCACATATGTCTAATCTGATTACTCTGATCACTACCATTCTGAATATGGTCCAGCTACTCACTTTCATTGACAATGGGCAAATCCAAATGATACGACATGTCTCTTCACTTAAAGAAGCTGAAAGAGAAAACACGTAAATTCGAAGTTGTAGATGAAGGGTTGAATTTTCATCAACTTGGAGGTGGAGATCTAATTACTCGACGGTATTTGAAGGAAAGTCACAGTGGTATGGAACTCTCCCATATCTCACATTTTAAGAATATACATCGAGTTCGAGTCGAGCCTCAAAAGATAGAACTTTTGTCTGTCATCCACTGGATGTGGTTTTCTTCTTTGTGCAACATCCGGGCTGGATACTTGGCATTGATTCGTTTATGTCTCGTGGTGTTTATAATCAACTATTGTGAGCTGATAATAGTAAGATTCGGAACGTGTAATTTGAAGAAGTATCAATCATAATTGTCTATGTGTTCTCAAGCTGTGAAAAGCAGAGATGACACGGAACATGACAGGTCTCAGTAATGTGGGACCTGATCTACCAGCATACACATATAGCCAAGACCTCGGCCTCGGCAGCTTTAATATACTGGAGACTGGTGATCGACCTCGAGCCGTGTGCGGATATTAGTAAAACCCGTCAGGATCTAGAGCGATCAATTCGTAGGCCACGTTGCAGTGGAAGTCGGTTTGGACACTGTCTGTTTTCTTTCCACGGAATTTCCACATTGACGAGTGCCGCTAAACACTACTCCTTCTCAAATCAAACCCCGTGTAAGCACAAGCCATGCGAGCAAGGCGGGGATACTGGGGTCTATGTCTCTGTGTGGCGGGTGGTCTCCTCCCGAGGAGCCGGGCCGGCCGTGGCTATGACCGGCCGGCCTCCTCCAGCATCCATTGTCCAGTAGACCTCCAGAGCGCGCTTGGACCTCGCCACTTCGCCCGGTGCCCTCTCCCAATCGACGAAACGGTACCTGAGGAGCCTGCGCTCTGGTCGCCCTGGACACATAGCCCAGCATGCGTCAATGGCACCAACGCCGAAGAGACTAGATACTGCGTATATACAAACTCACGGCACGGGGAGTTTGGTGTCAGCATCGTCACTACTCCGGAGACTGCGGCCAATAGCATCTACGTGCTCAACGAGCCCAGTCTGTCTCTGCCTGTCTACGGCGGCCATAACGCGAGCAAGACTGGGGAGCTGCCTTATGAGATAGTCGACATCCCTGGGAAGGGAAAAGGGGTCATCGCTCGGCGGCGGATCACCGCTTTCGAAACTCTCATGACGGACTATGCCTCTTTGCTGGTCGACATGAGCTTCCCAGAGGCTATTCCGCGGAAGATCGGTTATGATCTCCTGGATCTCGCCGCCGCCCAGCTTGCGGACCCATCGAGAGTGCTCGACCTCGGACGCAGCACCAAGCAGGCCATGAACGCCGTCGAGGACGTCTTGCGGACGAATGCATTTCATACACCGCTCGCGGGGGAGCCGCACATGGGCTTATACTCTAATCTTTCGGTATGCTCTCTTCTTAACGCTGTACATGCTGGGCAAGATTTTGTTTACTGATGCCAAGCCAGCGGATTAACCATGCATGTAATCCCAAGTGAGCTCCCGGCGTTCTCCTTTGGACAGTCTCCACTGGTGCTTACATTGGAAGCAGTGCACACACGAGATTCCTTCTAAACAAACTAGCCGTGATCATCATAGCCTCCAGGGACATAGAAGCCGGTGAAGAGATATCAATCAGCTGTAGGTTGTTCAAACCACTTCCCTCTTTCGCACACAGAGAACTCAGGCTCACCACATCCCACGCCAACAACAAAAAAAGATCTCAACTTCGGTCTGACTTTTGCGGAAAGGCAAGCTGCTCTTCAGAGGTGGGAGTTCAACTGCTCCTGCAGCCTCTGCGCGGCACCAGACGCACTAAAGGAGCTATCGGACCGGCGCAGGATCCGCATCGGAAGGCTGAGGGAGGCCGTGCTCAAAGCCTACAAGGACGGTGATGCCAGGAAGGCGATTGCCGACACGCACGAGATCCTTGAGCTGATGCAGGCCGAAGAACTCCTACCGCTCTACAGCGAGCAGTACGACAACCTGGCCCGCATCCACTGGGTTATCAAGGAGCGGGACACGGCGATCAAGTATGCGCAAAAGGCGCTCGACCTACTTGCGCAGCAGGGCTACATCGAGCCTCATCCCCGGAATCTGGAGGCCCTAATCTCAACATTCGAGGGTTAGACAATATCTGCACTTGGTGGCGGACTCTATGATCTTGCTACTCTTAATACTAGTCTTCAATCTGGATATTGTAGTCTCTTTTGCATATACCCTGCACAAATCTAAAGCTTGGTGTTAAAATCTCATCTAGTGAACGGCTGATATACAGGCAAGTTGTTTGCAACATCCATGCAAGGAAACCTAGACTATCTATGCATGTATTCACCCAGGTAGATCTCAGAAATCGAACCAACTATCTCATTACACTACGCCTCCCACTCACCATCAGCCACCCTAATCGCCTCCTCCACTTCCTCTTCGTCCTCCGGCCCCGGCGCCGTCCACCCAGTCCCCGCCTGGATAGCCACGCACACAAGACTCAACAGCACGGCAGCGTGATACAAGACCGCCAGCGCGTTCTCGTACCCGTTCACGGCGACGGCCCTCTCCGCGTCGCTGAGGCGGCCGTTGAACACCATCGCCGGGCTCCCCACCAGCTTCGTGATAAGCCTCGCCCTGTCCGGGCTGGCTCCCGGCCGGCCGTCGTCGAGCTCCTTGAACCCGGCGGCGAGGCTCGCGGCCAGCGTCCGCCCAAAGATGCCGCCGCCGATGGCCGTGCCGAAGCTGCCCGCGAAGCCGCGGAACGTCGCCAGCAGCCCCGTGGCGATGAAGTGCTCGGCCGGCCTCGTCAGGTGGAGCAGGTGCGCCAGCGTGTAGTTGAGCAGGGAGCCCGTGCAGAACCCGTTTGCGAACACGGCGATGATGTAGACCCACGCCGGGGCCGTGGCGGTGCTCACGAACGAGACGGCGAGGAGCGCGCAGGCGAATAGCACCAGGGCGATGATGCTCGGCAGCCAGAACGAGCCGGCGCGGCGGACGTGCAGCCATCCGACAACCAGGCCGCCAGAGCCGAAGCCGAGGTTGGTGGGGATGAGGACTGAACCGGCTATGGCTGGAGATAGCCCTCGAACAGCGAGTACAAAGATCGGGGAGTAGTAGAGAATGGTCCAGCGAGCAGCCATGAAGCCCGTCTGGGCGAGGCAGGTGAGCAGGACGCCACGGGACTTGAGCATGCGTATGGGTATGACGGGGTCAGGGGCAAAGAACTGCTCAATAGCGAGGAAAACAACGAGCGACACAGCGGAGAGGCCCATTGGGAGATACTGAATGTCTCCGGAGAGGGAGTAGAGGAAGAGCACTAGGGCCAGGGTCTGGAGGTCCCGGTCAGAAAGCAACATGATAGAGATGGACGGATATGAATAAACTTACAAGGAAGAAGGCGCCTGCGTAGTCGATACCAGCGAGCTTCTGCAGAACAGACTTTCCCTTGCTGGCCTCGGTCTCGGTTACATAATGGGGAATACTCAAGTAGACCCCAATGCCAGCAAGGACAGCAATGGGAGCCTGTGCACCAAACAACACCCTCTGCGAGGGTAATCAGTCTTCGATGCTCGGGAAGATCTAGTCTGGTCAACGACTCACCCATCCAATAGCCGGAAGTAGAGCGCCGTATACAACCGCCCCAGTCGACAATCCGATTGTGAAGCCGGCATTGACAAGGCCAACAAACACGCCTCTCCGCCTCCTAGACGTCAGCTGCAGCACGAGAATAAGCGAGAGGGTCATGACGCCAGCACCGCCCACGCCAACCAGAACCCTGCCCGCGATAAAGGTCGCGAAGTCGCGGGCTTGACTCGTCACCACGGCCCCAATAGCAAAGAAGGTTGACGAGATGAGGATCATGAAGCCCGGGGTAAAGATGGTGGACAGGCGACTGATGACCGGAGACAACGAGGCCGCGGTGATCAAGTAGGAGCTAGTGAACCACATCGCATCCTTATATGAGTCCAAGTCCTCGGCAATGACGGACTGTGTCATCGTCATGCCGCTCATGTTGCTGGCTGTAGTGTAGTGGTTAACTCGAAAGACTGTGCTGAGCATGTGGACAATGAGGCATACCTTGGAGAAAGATAAGGGCCCACATGCTCAACAGGATACACATGATCCTATTGAAACCTATTTCGGGAGCTTCTGTGGTGGCCGTGGTCCCATCATTGATGGCAGCGACCCCTCCGGGAGATTCGCTTCCAGGAGATGAACTCCGGAGGGTCGGCGACCTTTCGGCATCGGACTGGAGCAGAGGAGAGGTCTCTGCAGCGGTAGAGGCCGTGGAAAAGTCGTCATTCTCCGTAAGGTCGGCCGGAGGGTTCGCCGACCTCCCGTTCCTGCTTCGCACACTCTTCATGCTTAGATCTACTAAGTAGCTAACAAGCGTCCAACACGGTGATGGTGTTTATCAGGGGTTCCGTAATGCCCAAACATATGATTAGAGACACGCATTGAAGGGTCGGTTCACGACAACTTCGATCTGCTTGTGTCGAGGAAAATGGATGTGATGGAAGCCGCAGAGCTCGACGGATCAATGGGAAGATGAATTAATGTCTTGGTATGCTTCCCATCCCTTATCATGACGAGCGCACATGGAGCTTTGACCTGAGACCCCGGACGAGCTTCCCCCATATTTTATGTGCCAAAGCTTCCCCCCCGAAAGCGGAAGCCGCGGGCGATCGAGGCGCTAGGTCGCCCCGCCTACACCCGCCCATTTGTCAGCTCGAGAAACTGGCTTTCAAGGTTGCCTTTGCCTTTTCGGGTAACATCATCAAGAGCAGATATCATGATGGCCAATGCAGTGAGTGATGGTGTTGAGACTTTGTGGACGTATCACCTACACTCGATTGGGTCTCAACGCTTGTGGTCGGTTGGCGTTCCACAGCTTGTAGCAACCTTAAAAAGACGCCGTCAGTGCCAGGTGCAGTCATACACTCGCTCAACTGTCACTACTGCCCGGCCATCCACTGCTATTTGAACCACTTGGCTCGCTGGTCGGCTCTGCAATGGATAGCGATGCTTTGCTTGGGCCCGAGTGCCACTAGAGAAAGTCGATAAAGGTCCCACGAGAATCAATGATTCTGCGCTCTGCAAAGTCGGCCACGATGGAGGGTGATGCACAGCATTAAGAATGTATTTTCAATACAGAGTATCTAACACCACACACACACGCACCTCCTGCATCTCCTTCAGCACTAGTCTAACCAGGACGAAGATTCCTTGATCCTGAACGCCTCCAAGAGTCGTAAGCGAATGTTCTGTGGTATCTCGCAGTCCGAAAACCTCGTCTACCCTTCGACCCTGCCATGCCCGTTTCCTTGTCCATCATTTTTACCCTTGAACGCTAATCCAAACCAATGCGCTGTGCTAGATTCGAAAAGAGTTGGAACGAAAAACTGACTAATTCAATTGGACATAGTTTCCTGCGAGAGAACGTGATCAGCGATCCTTCGAGGGCTGCCAGGGTGGAGAGCTGTGTATGTATGTATGATATGCAACTTACCTGGGAACTGGCCTTGCTTTCCTTTCAACCTTCCCGTCCACCACTCGTTTGCGTTCTGTGTCCTGGTGATGATCTCGATGACGTCTCCCGCCTGGAAGCTGAGGTCGCCCTCCTGTGTGGCTGCGTATTCGTACAGGGCAGTCACCGTCTCGGCCACAGGTGCGCCGCTCAGGCGGCCAGGCTTCGGCTTCGGCGGCGGGGGTTTCGACTTGGCAGCGGCCGCCATGGCGAGTCCCGGGGTCGCGGTCTTGCCGAGGGGCGGCGATGCGGCGTTGCCGGGAGAGTAGGGCGGCGGAGGGTTATCGGTCTCGGAGGTTGGATGGTAGCCTATCCTGGGGGTTGATGACGCGGACCCAGCCGTGATAGTTGACTGGGTCTTGCCTTCTATCGCGGGCCGACCGTACTTTGAGACCGTCCCCGGTCGCTTGCCGCCAGTCGTCTTGAATTTGACAATGCTGAGCTTCTCGGCCTGCTCTTGGATATCACCCCGCTTCTTCATAAATGCCTCCTCGACATCGAGAGTCAGGTCAAAGTAGCCAATGTCGCAGTGCTGCATCTTCTCGTGCAGCGTGTAGAAGATGTTGAGCTGCATGTAGTAGAAGGACTGAAAGAGCGGCTGGATGAACTGGCGCTCCAGAGCGAAGAGCTTGGGAAGCTCGTCTTTCAACAGATCGTTGAAGTAGTTGAAGTCTTGCGTTGCCTGCTCGACGTCGGCCTCTGCCTTGTACATGGCCTTCTCGTCCTTCAGCGTCTTCTCCTTCTTGTCTTGCAGTTTCTTGAGGGTCGCATTGTGACGATCGAAATCGAGTTGCTTGTGGTCGCGTTTCGTTGCCGTCTTCCGGATGATCTTGATGACATCGAGCAGCTCGTTGGCTGGCCGAATTACCCTACTATCGATCATTTCCAACTCGGGTGCTAATGTCTCCTGCAGGTCCTTGACGACAGCCTCGTACTCCTCGCAAGCTCGGATGCCCTCCGGGTTGCCCTCGGGCTTGAATGAGTCCGGATCGGATGCGCGGCCGCTGATAGGTTTGTACACCTCGGTCATCGCTTTGGAGAATTCGATCTGGTGGTTGAGCATGCCATTGATGGCTTCGAAGTATTTTTTGCTCTCATCGTGGAGCTTCTTGGTCTCGGTCTCGAGTTCTTGGAATCGTCGTTCCGCGTCGATGTAGACGGCGTCCTTGGTATGTTCACCAATGTTGAACTTGGCCTTGAATTGTTGCGGCGCCTGGATAACATTGGCTGTCAGCATGGGATTGCATCATGCATCATGACCCCGCGCCATCGCAACGAGGTAGAGCCAGGTTGGCGGAGCTGCTGTCTTACCCGGGTGAGGCTCTTCTGGAACCCTCGGAAACTCATTTTGAGCTCTGGGCCGAGAAATCAAAGCGTCTGTACAAAGGAAATTATCCACGGCAAGGTAACGGTGGTTGTTGTTCAAGAGTTTGGAGCTCCTCTTGAGCGAATTCGAGTCAAGTCAGGCCGTCGGTCGTGAGTATTAAGTAATGGGCTGGGGCTGAGACCCAGTCTGGCCACTATGTCGGGAGGCAGTGCCGACCGCGTCAGTTAGCCCTTGGCTGCGTGGCGCATGGAGCACTACCACCACGGATCAGCAGGATAGCCCTCTGAGGTGTCGTAATCCCCAGGAGACTAGAGCGAGCCGGATTGCTATCGGAATAAAGGAACGATGAAGAGTTAATTTTGCTCTTTTCGAGGTGGCTAGAATGTCGTGATAGTTGGCCAAACGTCGCTTGGAAGTTGGTGGTGGTTCGTGAATGATGCTGACTCGGTAGGCGAATGCGATAGGTAGTACCGGGCGCTGAGCAAGGCCACGCCAGCAAGCTGGAAAGCCACAGAGGCCTATGACGGAGGAGAATGTGACTGCGGGGGAGGCCAATTCCGACCTAACAACGTCACTTTTCTTTCCTCATTACATGTGCTCGTAGCCCAGGGCTCCCTCCCTTCTGGAAGAACGGCTTGGTGTGGGGAGAGCGTGCCAGAAGCTGTGGCCAATCGGAGACAGCCAGGCTGGGGTGTGATTGATCCGAGACTTATCACCGAGGTGGAGACGGTCCTGGGGAATTTGCCGTCAGATAACGGGCTTTTAGGTAATGCGGCCAATTTCTAATACCTAGCTTCCCGAATTTCCTTTTTGCATTTCATACCATCATCATCGACAGCCCTTTTCAATTTCTATTGAGAACCTGTCGTTGTTGACAATGTCTGGTATCGCATCGTCTACTCTGAGGCAGGCCTCACGCCTCGCCTCTAGGCCTCCTGTTTCTGCGGCTCCTCTACGCAGGATCCAGGGATTGTCGAGGACCGCACCAGCTGCGTTCTCGCGGAGTCAGAGTCGGAGCTATGTCTCGGAGTCAAGGAAGGACAACGCAAAGATCGCCGACGCTCCCATCGAGACTGCCATCAAGCTCGACAAGAAGGATTTTGAAAAGGCCGGCCTCGCCATCAGCGGGCAGGATGGCGGTATGGCCGTGAGCCCCATGGCTGGTGAGTTTTTGGCCCCGAGGCGTTATTGCCATCACTTGGCGTAGATTGTGCTAATTCCTCGTTGGCAGAGGTCCTCAAGCAAGTAACAGTAATGGAGGAGGGTCAGCGACCAATCTATCTCGACATGCAGGCAACCACCCCCGTGGACCCTAGGGTGCTTGATGCCATGATGCCCTTCTACACCGGCATCTATGGTAACCCCCATTCCCGAACGCACGCCTACGGATGGGAGAGCGAGAAGGCTGTCGAGGAAGCTCGGGAGCACATTGCAAACCTCATCGGTGCCGAGCCCAAGGAGATCATCTTCACTAGCGGAGCAACAGAGAGCAACAACATGAGCATAAAGGGTGTTGCCAGGTTCTGTGGCCGGTCAGGCAAGAAGAAGCACATCATCACCACGCAGACCGAGCACAAGTGCGTGTTGGATAGCTGCAGGCATCTGCAAGACGAGGGCTTTGAGGTCACGTACCTGCCCGTCAAGTCAACAGGCCTGGTCGACATGCAGGAGCTCGAGGCCGCCATCCGGCCCGAGACTGCGATTGTCAGCATCATGGCAGTCAACAACGAGATCGGCGTCATCCAGCCCCTGGCAGAGATTGGCAAGCTCTGCCGTTCCAAGAAGATCTTTTTCCATACCGACGCTGCGCAGGCTGTCGGTAAGATCCCCATGGATGTCAACGCCATGAATATCGACCTCATGTCGATTTCATCGCACAAGATCTACGGCCCCAAGGGCATCGGTGCCTGCTATGTCCGCCGACGCCCCAGGGTTCGTCTGGACCCCATCATCAGTGGAGGCGGTCAGGAGCGTGGCCTGCGAAGTGGCACGCTGGCACCTCCCCTGGTCGTGGGTTTCGGCGAGGCCTGCCGCATTGCCAAGGAAGAGATGGAGGTAGGTCACTTTTTCCTCGTCCTTGTTTGTCTTTTGTTTGCCGTAAAGTGATGATCTGCTTTATACATGCATGGCTTTCTGAATGTCTTTGACCATTCATATGTTGATACGCAGCACGCCCTGATTTACAACCCTTGCGCTTCTCTTTTAATCATTTTGAAATCAATGTGGCGGGCGGGGTGCTAACTATTGTCAGTATGATTCGAAATACATCAAGTCTCTGTCGGACCGCCTGCTCAAGGGTCTTCTCTCGCTCGAGCACGCCACCCAGAACGGTGACCCGGAGCACTTCTACCCCGGCTGCGTGAACGTGTCTTTCGCTTATGTCGAGGGCGAGTCCCTGTTGATGGCTCTCAAGGACATTGCCCTTTCCTCGGGTAGTGCTTGCACTTCAGCCTCGCTCGAGCCCAGTTACGTCCTCAGAGCACTAGGCAACAGTGACGAGAGTGCTCACTCGAGTATTCGCTTCGGCATTGGCCGGTTCACCACCCAGGCCGAGGTCGACTACGTGTTGAAGGCCGTCACGGAGCGCGTGTCTTTCCTCCGAGAGCTCAGCCCGCTCTGGGAGCTTGTACAGGAAGGCATCGACCTGGACAGCATCCAGTGGTCACAACACTGAGTGAGCAATAACGATGGTTCATTTGCTTTTGCGCGCGATTCACTTCCATTGCGCGGCGGGACGTGTGACGTCCTGGGAATAGGACAGGGCGGGAAAAGGAGATGGTCTGCAAGACTTGCGGCCAATGTATATCACTGTACAGAATGATACCAGTCCACTTGGGGGTTTACGGCGCGAAAGGTTACGAATAGGCACAGGGAGGTCATTTTGTCACTCGCTAGAGCATGGAGTCCGCTCGCGAGGTTCGCGGACTGCATGAGCACGTACATTCATGCCGGCAAAGGCACGACGTAGTTTTACGGTTTAAAATCCAGCGTTTCAAATTTACGAAGGCCATGCAGAATGCCTACTCTCCTTGTGTATGCCCATTGCAAACACACCTAGTATGGTTGTGCTCCAAAGACACTCCTCCGTGGCTGTACAGTCTTGGAGGCTGTCTGATGCTGAAGACTAGAGGTGGCGTCCAAGAGATTTAGCAATGACAGGCGAGTATGGCGTGCATCAGATCCACGTTGTGGAAAGAAGCGACGATGGCGAATCCACGCCTTTCCACCATTACGTAGTGGCTTGCGACACGTGCTTGCCTCCTTCGATTTTCACATGAACAGGAAGTGTTTCACAGAAACCAGTAACCCTGGCCGGAATTCCTTCGTAAGAGGTAGGCGCTGCCGTTTGATCGTGCCGGACACCAAGGCAGGTGGTCACCAGGTGGGTTCTTTTTTAGGGGTGACATCACATCGCGATCCGGGTCAATGACATCATACCCGCCGGACAGGTAGGCACGCACCACACCTTTGTAGTGATACGGGGGATCGCGAACCATCGAGAACTGGCAGGTGGATGAGCTGGGCTGTTTGAGCTCCTCTAGGTAGCAAACAAAGCAGGCGCGTAATCAAAGGTAGTGAATCGCGATCTGGTGCAATACTTAAAGCTCGCGCTCTGCCACATCCTCACCTTTCCCGCATTCCCAATCAACATCAATCCCCTTTCAAGCAAGTCTTATTCCTGCATATCCTACAGATCAATCAAGACATTTTCGATCTTTTCGATCCTCAACAAAACAACTCAAACTCAAACCTACCATCAACATGTCTTCCAACAACAACGACAACACCTCTACCCTCAAGGCTGCCTACGACGCCGTCACCGGTGCCGCCCAGAACGCCCTCGGCGCCGTCACTGGCAGCACTGGCGACGAGGCTCAGGGCAAGGCCAAGCAGGACCAGGCTCGTGCCGAGCACGAGGCTTCCCACGCCACCCTGAAGGGTCCCGGCTTCACGGCCTCTTCCAGCGGCGCCGTCACCAAGGACGACCCCGACCGTGGCCAGGGCTCGTGGAACCAGACTGTCGGCTCCGCCAAGGAGGCTCTCGGTGGTGTCGTCGGCTCTGAGGTAAGCACGACCCCAGGAATCCTTTTTTTTCTGTGTTGAATTTCTCAGTGAGCTAACACCCTTTTTTTTTTGTCCCACAGTCCCTGAAGCAATCCGGCCGTGAGCAGAACCTTGCCGGCCAGGAGCAGGAGGCCCGCGGTCAGGTCAACGACCTCGCTAGCGGCATCTATGACCGCGCTGCCGGCACGCTAGGCAGCGTCGGCACTGCCATCACGGGCGACCGCACCAAGCAGGCCGAGTACGAGCGCCAGCACGATGAGGGCAAGACGACGCAGCGCGGCGTCGAGCACGACCTGCAGAAGAAGACCGAGGCTCAACAGCAGTAAACGTGGAGAGGACACGGGCAACCATATGGGAGCTGCGGGAGAGGAACATGAAAATTGATACCCCGGGTGATGCTGGTTCACGAGACTAGGGAGGAAACGTCTAGGTCCTGGGAATAGGTAGTCAATACCACATCTTGATGAACAAACATTGGTGCCGAATTATTGTCCAGTTGTCCATGTGTCACTAGTATTAATAGACCCATCGTCTAGCTCCTTTCCTGACACAGCGGCTTCAAAGTCAGCTCTAACTTCTAAGTGCTTACTTACCCCTTCACCGCATCTCTCCTCAATACGTCCAAGCGGCCGCCAGATTTGCAAGCATCATGGCACATCCGGCAGGGTTCGGGATGTAGGACGTGGGGACGCCATTCCTTTAAATCAACCGTGCCATCCAGGAGCATTTAAGTTTAGGATTTCTGGCAGCCTTCCGAACTCCATGCTCGGCCAAAGAGAAGGTAGAAAGCAGCGAAAATGACGTCCCTGTACCAACAGTCGGTACCAGTATTGGTCAAATACCTGAAGAACCTGTCGCACCTGCTACAGAAGGGCGCCAAGTTCTGCGAGGAGAAGGGCATCAAGCACGAGCAGCTGCTCAACTACCGTCTAATCGAGGACATGAGAGGGTAGGTGGACATCCTCCAATGGCCAATGCCCCATGTCTCCTGGGTGGATATGGCTGCTGATCTTGAGTATGTATTGACAAACAACAGACTGCCGTACCAAGTCCAATCGTGCTCCAACACGGCCAAGTTTGCCGTCGCACGTCTCGGCGCCCAGAACGTGCCTACCTTTGAGGACGACGAGACGACATTCGAGGAGCTGCAGGCGCGCATCGACCGCACCATCGAGGTCCTGGAGGGGGTGGACCCGAGTGTCATCGAAGGGAAGCAGGACGACGAGGTCATCATGGAGACCAAGATGGGCAATTTCCGCTTCACAGGCCAGCGGTACATCTCCGAGTACATCATCCCCAACTTCCACTTCCACCTGACGTCGGCGTACTGCATCATGCGCGCGCAGGGCGTGCCCATCGGGGCGTTTGACTATCTGAAGGACGTCTTTGAGAAGGCGTGAAACGGCGCGGTAAAGGCCCAGGGCGGGCATTGCAGTTCGGACAGGTAGAACGACAATAAACACGCAAACAAATAAACAAACAGAATTACCATGTAGACGGGACGAGATTTGCCAAATTCTCTTTGCTTTCAACACACGTTTTGGCCTGTTGGGGGCCAGAGTGATATCAAACGAGTTGAAGGAACGTTGTATCCGGAAAACCACGTCGACTCGAAGCGAAATCATCTCCGGAAAAGAACCGCCGTACCTAGTTACTAAGTCCGCAACGTTCATGATCCAAACACTCTTGTCACATGTTTGAGGGATGGGGGCCTTTCGTCTCGAGGCCATGCAATGCCTCCTGTAAGTCGGTTCTGCGAGAATGCCTGGATAAGGCACTCTCGCAGGTGTCTGCCTTGCCGAGCAGGAAGTAGGATTCGCTGCCAGTCAGCGAACCCCATAGTTCCATGGCACCTATGACTCGAAGAATGTCCCAGAGATCTTGCCAAGTGCCGGCTGTGCTTTGATTCGCAGCCTTTACGAGGCAAGGGGTGGAAGAGAAGAAGAAATAAAGCACCGCAATGCAAGTTATCGATGATGCTCATCACCACTTTTTTCTTGGATGTCGTGCGCGAAGCTGCGAGATGCGCAGGAGGTCAGGTGCGGGTTTCAGGTTGACGTCTTTTCGCTGGGCCCGCCCGTCTGGGACGCGCCCCTAACCCATTTTTTTTGTTTCTGGAGACCTTCCTGTTCCGAGCATCGACACACCAAGATGGTGCACTACGTGCGCCAATTCAAGCCCAGTCAAGCGGCCTCCCCCGGCTCCCAGCCTTCTCACTGGGCACGACCCCTGCCCTTGTCAAATGTGTACACCTGCACGTCCGGGACCTTTTGGGAATATACCTCACTCCTCTTTAGAAAATCTTACATTATCTTATGTACATCAACGCTACCTCTCTCCTCGATTAATTATTCTTTCTTCGGGTCTGGCAGGAGCGGGCCTTTTACCTGTCGCCCGTGGCCGGGTTCCACCTTCCTTACCACTGTATCTCCCGCTTTTCCAACAGAGACGGCTCGAGGCCGTGCTCCAGTGCTGCAGTGCACCACCAACCATGTCTGCTCCTCTTTAGTTGTAAACAACCACACACACACCTCGTCGTCAAACATCTCGACATTTTCCGCCCCCAAACATGCTCCCGACTACCTGTGCTTGCCCACCATGTACGTACCCGACCCCCTCCTGCTCCCCCCCGCCGCCCCAAACGGAGCCAATTCCTGCTTCTCGAGCACCATCCCCCATAAAGTCTAGAGCCTCATGTACACCATTTCAGGCTCCAGTGCTCACAGGGCTGAGACACTGTCGACGGGGGATGCCTGCTCGAGCCTGGCTGCATATGCTGCTCCGCATTCTCACCAATGAGCTCGCCTCGTCCCTCCGCATCGGTTGCCTTGGCTTGGGCCCGGGGCACACAGTTCACTGCTTCCCGTCTTGACTTGTGCTCGCACGAACCCGCCTGAGCCAATCCCTCTCCTCCCCTCGCGATCCCGACCGCTTACAAGACCTTCTGGATAAAGGTTGACCCCCGACAGGTCCACAACTTTTCGGTCGGTTCGACTAGCCTGGTCTCGGTGTGATGGACAGTCGTCGTCTCCCAGTGGGAGAGCGTTGCTCAGTGCTATAATCTCTTTTTCTGTCCAGTGACAGCTCTTCCTTTGCCCTTCTCGCTGCCCGGAAACGGGCCTGCTTTGTGGTGTTCGGAGATGCCCCGACCAACCTCGTGCCCACGTATCTGCTTCCAAAACTACTCCGCGCCCTGCATGCCGTCTTTCGACTCTCTGAGCGGCCCACAGTCTGAGTCTCACCCTTTGCCGCCATGAAGAACAGGCTTTACACGTGGCGTCCATGTTTTGACCAAGATCAGGAGCACCCAGACGTGGACCATTCACTGTCGTTCAACCCACTTTGATATCGGGGCTGGAAGATGGACACCCAGCGCCCGGTTCGTCACTGACCTCGATCCGTGGCATGACATCAGGATCGACTGACCCAGCGAGGTCAAGTGAACTCTCTAGTTCTGAAGTCAGACTGGACAGCTTCCTACTCCCCCCCTGGGGACCCTACGTGCTCCTACCCGCCCATGCATGAGCCTGCGTCAGGGGCTCAGGCATTTCGGTGGACTCGACGTCTGTTTAGGCTGCGACTAGGCAACATTGTGCACAGGAGCACAATGCACAAAGTTCCTTTCAGAGAACCGCGAGCACGAGGGTACCGTGAGGTCAGAGGCATGCAGGATCCAGAGACTTGCAGCACACGATCACGACCCGATCGTGAGGGCAAGCCCAGATGTCTGGCACCTGAAGCAATGCCGGGTGTCACACAACTTCCATCACGGGTCTGCGGCTGTGAAGCTACCGGGGTCCAACTGCGTCTCCTGGGGTCCGATTCGCCATGAGCGTTACGGCGACCGCCGGTCCACTTGGCCTATCTGGTCATCCAAGTTCCTTTGTGGTTCCTGTGAACGAAATCTTGTTGCATGTCTTGTGCTTCCCTTCGACGGTCGTCCCGGCTCCACCGTCCTTTGAACTTATTCTCTCCACTATCAATGACAGCCTGGGTGACAGGTCTCCCCCCTTCTCCTACCCACTCCTCCCCGAACCGCGCCAATCGTCGGCGGAAATCTCATTTGCTTCAGTAACTGCCTTGCTCCGGCGTGGCCATTGACCGCACGGCATTTACTTGACTCACGGGGAGTGTGGAGGGTAATCCGGACCACACCCGTTGCAGGTCATATCATTCGTCCGTGGACACGCATTTGTCCGTGGAAGAATCTGGGTGAAAATGTCTGTAGGTACATGACCTTTCTCAATCACGCCCTGCCACAGTACCTGCCTGTTTCGCCTTTCACGCAACGTATAAAGATCCGGTATGTGGTCTGGGAGCTTTGTCTATTCTGCTCTCAGGACATCTCAAGCATCTTCCGTGAGAACAGACAAGCCAGACAGCCATGATGAGAATCGCGATTGCCGGAGCCGGCGGGCTAGGTTACGTACTTGCCCAACAGATATCTCAAGGAGCTCATGCCCTGTTGGTGCTATCCACTCGGGTAAGTGTCAGAACGCCACCAACTCCCAAAGGCTGACTCTGACGGGCCCATAGGAGCATCCAGAGTATCAAGAGAACCTGGGAGTCCAGGTGGCCGTGGTGGACTACAGCGACGTCGAGAACCTACGATACACCCTTCAGGGGGTCGACCTGCTTATTTCCACTATCGGAGGCAACGAGCAGCTCAATTTGATTGACGGAGCTCGTCGAGCTCGCGTCCGCACTTTCGTTCCATCCGAGTTTGAAGGAGACCTCGCTCATCGTCCGGACGGTAACGACACCCTCGACCGAGGAACCAGTAATGTCTTGGATCTCCTTCGCCGTTGGGCCCAGTCCAAGACGCACAAGATGCAATACACCGTCTTCTCCTGTGGCGTCTTCATGGAACGCTTTGCCTACGGCGGCCTGGCCAGCTTCAATATCGGCCACTCCCAGCCTGGTGGCACTCCGGCCCAAGGTGACTATCTTGTCGATATCGGCTTGGCTTCTGCCGAGATTGTCGACACCAATGCATCGGGGCGCTCTGCACATGTCTCTATGACCTCGGTCTATGATCTGGCCCGGTTCATGGCAGCTGCTATCGAGCTTGGTCTTTCCAACTGGCCACAGGAATACCGGATGCGGGGAGATAACCTTACTCCCCGCGAGATCGTCCAGGCCTGCAAAGACGTCCGGCGAGGTACTTCATACCCTTTCATAGAAACTATTCACTTCGTCTTTTAACATTGTACCTAACTTCATCTAGTGCCATTCACCCTCGTCTCCCACCCTTACGGCAACATTGAGTCGCACCTGAACTACTACGAGCAGGCTGGCGACTACGCCCGATGGATGTACTTCCAGAGACTGCAGGCCACAGCTCAAGGGCGGTACAACATGCGCGACACCAACCTCAACACGGCGGTGAACCGCAGCAGCGCTGTCAATGTGCAACCCTTGACGTTCCGGCGATGGCTCGAGCAGAACTGGGGGCCGGCAGAGGAGTAGAAATTGTGCCCCGGACATGTCTAATACCGCCGAGCTGAGGGGCTTTCTTAAGGCTGATTTTCGGCCTCGCGAATCCTTCCTTCTCTTTCTTGTCTGTTGTTTTTATCAAACTTTTCCAGATTTGGAAAGCAAACCCGGTCCTGACCGCTTCGTTCAGACTTGTTCTGCCTTTTCCAAGTGGCTTCACTTTGTCAAATCGCTCTCTCGGTGGTAGTTGTTGTCTATTTTGGCACCTCGGTGTCAACCCCCAGCTCTTCCCCAGTCAACTCTCCTCTCTAGAATCCAGAACCGCAAGGTCGGTGTTGCCGTATCCACAAAACATATCTTGGCAGACAATTGATGTTTCTGAAAACCCAATGAACTTCCTATTCGGGTCGCTACACGGCGCTTTCGCCCCCAATGATAATCGTGCTAGGATTGAGGCTGTGCCTGGCTGGTCCGCCAAACATTAAACGCTACGCGCGGAAAACGCCCAATTGACCTATGAAATCCTGGCTGTATCTCCAGGGCTCCGGATGACATGTCACAGATGCATGTACCCTTGACCAAAGTGACATTGTGGATGTCTGCAAGGGGTCGTGTATCGGTCATTTAAATCCTTCTGCTGCCAGGGATCCGAGTAAGCTTCGAGTCGGGCTCTTAGTCATGCAGTGGCTCAGGGCGTTGTACAGCAAACACATCTGTCTGTCTCTGAGGATCGTCACGTTCTTGAATAGCTGTGAGCATCATTTGCGTGAACATAGTATATGCCTTGCGACCGTCGAGGTCTACAAACCTTGCTGTCCTCTCCTCCCCCGGCTCTAATGGATCGTTCTGTTGAACCCCCAATCTCAAACTCTGCCCGTATACGCTTCCCGCGGCGTGTTCAAGATGGCATGATACCTGACCAGAAATGCATTCGCCAGATCATGTTGAATCCCCCACTGTTTCGCCTCATCCAACTCTTGGTTGAAAAGCCATGAATGTAGTGCGTGGTTCCGGGCGATCTGCATGACTTCGTCGTAAAGTAAATAGATGACCCAACGCCTGTTTCCGTTACATGCTCATGATGAATGACCTGAGTGTTGCCCCTGTGTATGTTGAAGATAGCGTCCCTCGTTCAGTGTCGAGATTTCCCGTTTCTCGTGTTTGCCACACCCTTTCAAGTGGCAAGAAAGGGACACAAATGCTTTCTCGTTTCAATCCGTATTTGTTTCCACATATCATTTTGTTGTTGGTGTTCCCCCCTCCTCCTTTGCAGCCACTGCAGCAGCTGTGCGCACTCTTATCCAAATTCCCACCCCGATCTCACTGCCACGCCCGTACCCTCGCCGCTCCTCCTACACACACTCCGGTCTCTACTCCTCGTCGCCATCGAGATACTGTTCGCCGTATTCGTCGACGATCCACAGGCAAAACTTCTCCCACTCGACCCCCCACTGCTTGAGGCGCTGCGCCTTGGTGCCAGAGCCCAGGCTCGCCTCGCGGATGTCGCGCGACCACTCGTCGGCGGTCTGGTCCTCAAAGGCAGCCCAGCGGACGCTGTTCTCGGCCAGGGAGCCCAGCCCGGCGAGGCCGAGGTTCTCCCAGCCCTGCAGCGCCTGCCAGAAGTCGTGGGTCATGCCGGCGGCGTCCTGGCCCAGGATGGCCGGGTCGTCGTTGCTGACGGCGCAGGGGACGCCGCGGGCCAGCAGGGCGGGGAGCGGGTGGGACAGGATGCTGCCGCAGAGGCGCAGGACCTCGTTGCTGATGGGGCACGACTCGACGAGGATGCGCCTGTCGCGGACGAGGTCGACGAGCAGGGGGTGCTTGTAGAGGCTGAAGCCGTGGCCGATGCGGCGGGTGCCGAGGAGGACGGCGTCGAAGAGGTTGGAGTCGGTGGCGTCGCCGTCGCCGAGGCACTCGCCCGCGTGGAAGAAGAAGGGCAGCTCGACCCCTTCGGCGGCGCACTGCTTGCGGAACCAGAAGAGCTCCGGGAGGAGGTCGCGCAGGGGCCGGCCCAGGTCCTCCTGCCCGACGAGGTCGTAGCCGGCCACGGCCTCGGGGAACTCCATCTTGATGGTGATGCAGTGGTCCATGTCCTCGACGATGGCGCGCGTGTCGAGCCGGCGGATGGCGGTCCAGATGAGCCGCGCGCCCCAGAAGCCCGGGTGCTCGGCCTTGAACTTGGCGACCTCCTCCTGGAAGGCGATGACCATGTGGCGGTGGTCGGGCTCGGGCTTCTCCACCCCGGCGCGGCAGTAGTTGAGGGCCCAGGTGAAGCGGACCTCGGCCCAGCTGACGCCGTCGTCGTGCAGGTCGGCCATGAGGCGCTGCAGGAAGGCGCGCCAGATGGGCTCGTAGTGGATGATGGTCCCCAGGCAGAGGAAGCAGTTCATGAACTTGCGCCAGATGTGGTCGACGCCGTGGTGCTGCTCGACCGAGTCGGTCTGGGAGATGGTCACGCGCGTCTTGAGCCAGGCGAGGAAGCCCTTGCGCCCGCCGCCGCCGCCGCCCTCACCGCCTTCCTCGGGGAACTCGTCAGCCATCTTGGTGAGGAGGAGGGGCGTGCCGGGGACGTAGTCGGGCGTCCAGATGCTGGGGCAGTCGTCGACGTGGTCGCGCTCGCGGAAGCAGAACTGCACGACGCCCCGCCGGCGGGCCTCGCCGTCGGCGAAGTGCGCGTCGGGCGAGAGGATGTGCATGCCCGGCGTCGAGAGCAGCACGTCGAAGAGGTAGTCGAACTGGACCATGGCGTCGCAGTGGGCGTGGAGCAGGGCGCCCTTGGGCATGCGGCGCACGATGCGCCAGAGGCGGGTGCGCTCCATGAGGCCCTTGGCGTGGGTGAACATCATGCCCGGGTGCAGGCAGGCGCCGGTGGTGCCGGCCGTGCTGGCGAGGGCCTCCTCGAGCGAGGGGTTCCAGATGGCGCGCTTCTCCTCGTCGCGGATGCGGGCGACGACGGCGCAGGCCTTGCGGGCGATGGGGGAGAGGGCCTTTCTGAAGTTGGCATCTTGTCGCGGGAGGTGGTGGTCCTGTTAGTCTGGTGTCTATGCATGAGGGGGGGGGTGGTGGAGAAGCTTGTCTTATGGAGGTCCTCACTCACCGCTGCGTTGCTTCTTCTCCTCGGCGATGAGGGCGTCTCGGCCTTGGAGGTATTTGGTGATGACGGGGTCGGCGGCGTCGGGGAGGTCCTGAGACAGCTCCTGCCAGTCCTCTTCTGTGACGGGCATATTGGAGGTTATCTGGTGCCCGATGTGCCGCAGCCTATTGAGTATGGTAAGTAATATATGGTCAGGGAGAATACGACTGGCAGTCTCTGATGCATATGTCGGTGTCCAGAGATTGCAAAGAAATCAAAAGAGACAAGTTGTGCCGTTTCTGCCTGGTTGATTGATTGACTGAACCAAATGCCTTGAATGGGGGGCTTCGAGTCAACTGGAGCGGAGCAGAACCCTTGCCGAATCAGGCAGTTCAGCGTCCGAGCTGGGCGGCACCATTCGCTGGCTCCGGCGGACGGCGCGGGGAACGGGTGGGGGCGAGGGAAGCTTAAACCCACTGTAAATTGATAAGCTGACCGGCACTTTTTACACGTACAACCCTTATTAACTGACGAGAGGGGAGGAGATCCTTGCCTGGTAGGGATCAGCTACAGTGTTCAAAGGTGTGGAATCGCACTTTATGCTCCAGATGCTAAGAAAGGGATGCTTAGAAAGGCAGAGTATTCTTTTTTTTTTTCATGTTTGCCTTTGCTAAAGTTGTTGATGCTTGCATCGCAGCCCTGATGAAAGAAGACGGAACGAAGAACACCATCCAACTAATCTAACTAGTTAGGTCGTAGACTATCTATAAACATCATAGATTCATTCTCATTCCATCTTCTCACTCTCACTCTCACTCGCCCACTCCCTCACTTGCTCACGCCGCGCTCCTGGCAGTACTTCTCCACCTCCTTGGCCAGCGTCTCCTTCTGCCGCGCCGCGTGCTCCAGGATGCCCGCCACCTTGTCCCCGAGGTCCGGCTCGCCCATGGCCCGGTGCACGTTGACCATCTCGGCCAGCACCGCCGACAGCTGGTTCGGCAGCCACGTCACGATGGGGCTGCCGCCCGTCGCCGTCGGGTGCGACGTCATCTTGAGGATGTACTCCTTGCCGAAGCACCAGTGCCGCCACCGGAAGTCGCGCACCTGGTCGATGATCTGGATCCACAGCGCGCGCGACTCCTTCAGCAGCTGCCTCTCTGCCTCGTCGCCCGGCGCCGACGCCGACAGCGCGTGCCGCCCGAGCCCCAGCGCGTAGGCCTTGGCGTCGACGGCCAGCGACTCGTCGCGCACGTGCACGAGGAACTCGCGGTGGTTGCTGGGCCGGTACTTGCGGAAGTCCTTGAGGATCTCGGTCAGCGGCGTGTCGGGCATGGGCACCTGCAGGAAGTTGTCCATCATGGGGATCATCGAGTCGTTGGCGCCCGACTCGCCGCGGAACTGCTGCGGCTCGTCGCCGTACAGGCCCTCGTAGACCACCCCGCGGGGGAACATGCTCTGCGAGGTGATGCCGAAGATGAAGGTGCGGAAGCTGTGGTACCCGCGCGGCTTGGACTTCATCCACATGGTCTCCATGGTGGCGTTGATGCCCTGCAGCGACGACAGGATGCCCGCGAGCCCGGCGTTGAAGGCCCGGCGCTTGTCGGCGCCCGCGAGGCCTCCTCCTCCTGCCTTGTTGTTGTTGTTGGCGGCCGCCTCGAGGCAGGCGCAGGTCCCCGCGACGAGGGGCCCGGAGTTCTTGACCATGTCGACGTGCACCAGCACGAAGCCGGCCTCGGACGACGTGGGGTCCAGGCCGAGCTCAAAGGCCCGGATGAGGCGGAGGTTGTCGTACTGCAGGCCCTGGGAGGGGTCCTCGAGGCGGTAGTTGTACAGCGCGTAGCTGCCGGCGTACTCCATGAAGGGGAGGAAGCCGGTCCTGGATGATTGGGAAGCAAAGAGATGAGTCTGTGGCTACTAACATGGGGAAGGGGAAGGGAAGAAAGGGGGGAGAAGAAAGGGTGATGGTGGTGATGACTATTTGACCTATCCTCTTGAGTGTCGTGACCACAAACTGCCTACGGCTTTAGGTAGGCACGCTAACCCTCTCGCTTTGAGTGATCTGTTGTATGACTGGACAACAGACTGGGACTGCGGTCACGACACTCAAGGGATAGTCATACTTTGTATAGGACAGGCCATTACCTTTGAAAGTATAGGGTAAGGGAGGCCAAGACGAGGAGACGAAGAGACGAAGAGATGAAGAGACGAAGAGACGAAAAAAAAAAAGGGACTTACAGCTCGGCACAGCGGGCAATGGGACGGGAGATGTTGCGAGGCAGGGTCTGGCGGCCCAGGCCGTAGTCCTCGCCGCGCAGGAACCGCAGGTGGCACGGCTCGAGCAGGTAGGCCGACGCCAGGAAGGAGTAGTCGCGGTAGAGGGCGTTCATCAGCGGCAGGTTGTCCTTGTAGAGGTCCATGGCGTCGGTGAGGTCGGGCAGCTCCCTGGCCAGGGCGTCCCCGAGCTCGCCCGCGGCCAGGAGGCCCGGCTCGCCGTCGAGCCTCTTGATGGGCATGCGCGTGAGGAGGGACTCGAGGGCCCGGAACTCCGCCGGCAGCTCGACGATGGGGTCCGCCCGCGGCAGGAAGCCCCTGGTCTTGGAGACCATGAAGGCGGGCAGGGACGTGTCGTCCGGGCGGGCGTCGTCCAGCACCTCAAAGGTGGGACGGTCACCAAGAGAACCCATTATGTGTGTGTAAGTGTAAGGGGCAAGGACGTGTTTACCAAGAGGCAAGGCAAAGAAAATACGTGTTGTGGGCCAAGGGCGCTGATAAGGGGAACAGGCTTGGGCAGTTGGATTCAGTCTTGAGTTTTCTCATTTTTGGTCGGGACGCGAGCGTCGTTAATATACATCGTGGCCGGAACGATTCCGGCCACAGGACCCAGCGAGAAAACCCTCCCCCTATCTCACTAAACTGCGTTGGTCTTGCGCGAAAGAGGGGAAATTCCAGGGATGATGTGTATCTCGCACCCGACTGGTGAAGGCCAAGGGACCCAAAACGATCGATATCTCCGCGATGCTCAACCACAACGCCGAGCGGTTCACGGCGTCGCCTATCGCGTGTCACTAACACCGCCAGTCAGCTGGGTTGGCCCCGGTTCGGACAACACAAGAGAGCCATGTTCACTTGAAAGGATCGAATATGGGCGAAGGACCGCTCCTCACAGCCCCGAACCGGCGTTCTGATCTCGGTAGTCGTCTGAGCCGACCGGAGACGGTGGTGGCGATGACTTATTGGGGTGATTTCACTCGCGCTTGGGTGGCACCCGTGACGGTGTTGTGGTGGTTTTGGCATTGAGTAATGGATTCCTGGGCCCCGCTTTTTCTGCGTCCGGTCGAAACCGATGGAGGGCATGGCCGGAATTGTGCCGGCCTCTGGGTCGGCCCCGGCGCCGGGTCACGTGACAATACTCGTGACCGGAACCCGGAGCTCATGGGCCAGGCCTTCTGTCCACTTGGACAAGCGACGGCCACAAAGGGGAAGAGAAGCAGGATTGGCAGGAGGTCCGAGGAGCAGACAAACAGATGCACTGGTCGCCCTTGCGCAGGGTTTCGGACTGTACATCGCTGTTGGCACTGACAAACGTGACTGGTGCGACCCGTTAGCGACTGAAGAGACTGTGGAAAAGACAACCGCAGTGTGCGCTCACAGCTTGAACAGCAACGGACGGGCTTGACAGCGGCTGACATATTTCTCTCTCGAATCTGATGTTTAGTAGTGATATCTGATGTCTGACGCTTCCTATTCCAAGGTTCCTCGGTCGTTCGAGCTGTCAAAAGACGTTGCAGGCCTAAAATGGTGCGCTACATTGTGTTCCGATGCATCTACGGCTCTTGAGTAATATCGTGAATACTTTGAGATATAAAGTTCAATGGGTGGATGTCAGAGGCATAATTCATCGATCGGTTTCTCTGCTTCCCATCAAGTGTAACATAAGCGTGTTATAACGAGGTTGAATCCGAGCTTACTGACTTGCTGGTGGACTAGTTTCGGCATGCACTGAAAGTCTGATGGCCGCACATAATGACCCGTCAGGTCGGCGAAGGAAAGGGGCACCGCCCGAGGTTGGTGACCAAAAGCTAAATGAATATGGGTCCAGGAGCACGTTGTTGCCGATGACAAGGTTTGGCGATGGTTAGTGGTCCTCATCAATTGACATTTGTGGGATCGTCATAGGTATCGTGAATGAGCAAGTATTTGCGCTACTGGGTTTGAATGACGCCCCTCGTAATGTGTGGTTCCCGACGAAGCCGCTGAGCCTTTTTTTGTGCTGCTTATCGAGATGACCCGGGAGTGCGGGAATTCGGGTTCAATGCTGGCTGCGGAGATGTTGTGGCGAGCTTTTTAGTCGCCGAGTTGGCCATTTGCGGCCATTCTTGGTCACCAGGTTCTTGTTCCCACGAGACTTGGATGTGAGACTGGGTATTGTCTTGGAGTGCAACGTTATTATTGATAGGAGACAGAGAATGGACGGCAATGTCCAAACCAAAGACATGGATGATGGAAGCTCTGGCGACGCAGCGGAGGATTGGAGGCAGTGAAGAGCAGCGCCATCGCAGATTCAGGCACCGGTTTTGGGGCAACACATTGCTGACTCTTGCGCTGTGGATGCTCAGCTTTTGGAGATGAAGCCCTTCTAGGCTGGGTTGTTGGAGCACGGCATCAAAAGGAAGTTGCGAAGCAGGGGGGCCGTCCTTGGTCTAGCCCATTTCGGGTGGACCTGACACAGGGAGAGGACTCGCTGTGATTGGATGAGAGGCCCTGCACGGATCAGTTTCTGGCATGTGCCCGTGGAGATCTCCTGGCCTGAGGCAGCGGCCAATAAGACCAACCCCAAGAAAAATCAAACCCGCAGCACGGCCCTTCGCTTGTGAGGGAGCAGCGCGCGCGGTGAAGACTGAACACATACTCCAGCCCAGCATTGTGAGCGAATCTGCCATTCTCCTAGGTTGTCACGCCTGGCCGCCTCTTCGCCATGGCCGCACTCGTCGCAAGACCACGGCCCCAAACTTTTACCAGAATGCCTCCCACTCCCAATCACAATAAAATGGAATCCCCCCCTTCGCCTTTCCATCCCATCCTCCCTTCCTGCCATCCTCCCCATCATCCCCATCATCCCCATCATCCGCCAGCCATCACCACCACCATCACCACTTTTGCTTCCCACGCCCGGCTACTGCCGCATCACCACCGCCCCAGGTAGCGCACTCGCAAATACAAATAGACACAGGCTGGCGTGTGTCCACCCGACTCCCACTGGATCTCCAAAACGCACCCACGCACCACCCGTCCTCACCACCACCTAGCCCGATCATCCTGAGTCGGACTTGTCTCTTCCACTGCCGCTCGATTTTCAACCCGTCGCCCTTCACGCACGCTGCCGGGCCAAGTGGATCATTGGTCACCCCCTTCGTGCAAAAGAACAATAGTCAGCCAGATCTCCAAAAAACAAGGGCACCGTCAGACATTAAATGGTAGCCAAGAACAGCGACTCGTGATTACAAAGGAGACCAAATTCCACCGCAGCCGTCGATTTTCTCCAAACCTCTTCTATTATTATCACCGAGCTCCTGCAACACAAAACACCAGCCCTCTGCGCCCTCCCGTTTGACGAAGCCACCGAACTGCACATTTTCGCACCCGACCATCTACACGATGGCTCCCTCCAGCAAGAATGCCGGTCCCAAGGACCGCCGCAAGTCGGACAAGCAGGACAGAGTAGACAAAATCGAAGACAGCTCATCGCAGTCATCACTCGTCGTCACGCTCAAGGTGCCTGCCAAGAGGCTCAAGGCACTGTTTGAGTCGACGCCCGATCCCTCTACCAAAGAGGAGTCGCCGGCTAAGGACTCGCCGGCCACCAGCGCAACGCTCCAGGCTACTGCACCCTCCAATGCCGACAATGCCTCCGACTCTACACCCAACACCCCGGCTGCAGGTGGCACGCCCGCCCCTTCATCAACAATGGGCCCTCCGGTTGAGGGTCCCAAGAAGAAGGGCGTCAAGCGATCGGCCGCCGGAGCCAACGGAAGCAGTGATCCTCTGGCTAAGGTTCGAGGCAAGCCTGGCCCCAAGAAGAAGCAACGACTGTAAGTCTTTCACCCCCCCCTGCTGCGCGCCACGCGTCCGACATTCCGAAACCATCTCAAACGCCTGCGACTAACACAAGCAACACAGTGACGACGGCACCATCGACCCCAATCGTTCGGGTGGCCTCGGTGCCTCCCACAAGCTCGGCCCCAAGGCCAACCAGGGTGCTATCAACGCCGGCCTCCGCGCCCTCGACCGCTCTGGCAAGCCTTGCCGTAAATGGGCCAAGGGCAACTTCACCCTCAAGAGCTTCACCGGTGTCATCTGGGAGATTCCCCGCTGGACTGCACCTCCCAAGCCCACCCCCGAGGAGCCAGCCGTTGAGGAGTCGGCTTCGGCCTCGGCTGAGGGCAGCAACAAAGAAAACAAGGAGAACGACCAAGTCAAGAGCGACCCCAGCAACAGCGGCGGTGATGTCGAGATGCAGAGTGCTCCTCCCAGCATCCCTGCAAGCTCTCCCGCACCTATTGCTATTCCTGCCGCCTCTTAGGGAGACAGCCATCACTGGCTGGGACTGATGTTGTATATCGACACGCATGTTGTCTTTTGTTATGAATATTTGGGATGGCGTTCGGATCGAGGGGGCTACTGTGCCGATGACAGGTGTCCGGCTACATGGGTATCGGAAAACGGAGTTGCGATTTGGGCGCGTAGAGGTTCGATTCTCTGCACTTGGTTGGCATAGCAGGCGTTACGGACGGCATCGCAGATTGTTAGATGCCTCTTGTGAGGGAGGGCATTCACGCTCCACTTTCATGGGTGTACTCTGCGAGATGAATTTTGTTTTGAAACATTGCTTTTGCGGCATGGCACAAAAGAAGAAAATAGAGCTTATTGCCAGTCTCAAGCTGGCATGTTTTGAGTGAGACTTTTCTTGTCAAAAAGTACATGACAATGATGAAGCTGGCTTCCCATACGCTCTCGAGCTCACATGCGAGGGTGGATCTTGTTGCCAGAGACGTCCACACTTGTCTTTGAATACTCACATAGTAGACACTAGCTCATCATGCGTGTTCTCATGAGGCAATCTACCACGATAATGGCAAAATGGTCAGGAAACCAAGGTGTTTCGAGAGTGTCCTCCCGGGTGGTTGGGGTTGGGATGTCGCCATCCATGATCCAGGGCTGGTTCGCCCAAACAGACGAGAGTGTTGGCTCAGGCGCAGGTGGTCACAGGGTCGCTGGGTGGGCGGCTTCAGCGGTCCACTCTCCCTAACTCTAATCGGTAGCCACCAAATGCAAACCCCCTAGGCTCCACTGAATGACGGCGGCTGTCCGTCTGTGTCGCTGCCCCATCTTCCCTTCCCAACCTTGACGGACGGCAACCTCAAGCCGCGACAACCTCCAAGAGCACAAGGCCGGACTCCCTCCTCTCTGTCTTCTCACCGGGCGAGCAGCAAAATCTCGCCAAGGAGCCCTCGACTGCCAGTGATTGTGGCTATTGACTACTGCACGTCCACCTCGACCTCCTATCAGTTGGCTAGATTATCGTCCATCGGATGGCATGTGAGCATCTATCTATGATATAACCAGGGCGACTTCGCAGAGGGCCCGAGAGCTCTGAACCGACATCCCCCCTCCCCCCCATCCCGCCTCCCCGATAGCTCGACGATAACGCACTCGACAATTCTAGACGCGAGAAATCAGTCCTGCAATCCGCCTTGCAACGTCCCGGGCAGCTCTCACTCTGCCCCGGGACTTGGATCAGGGCAACCTGTCATCCCGCTATCAGCCTCCCCCCAACCCCAAACCTAATCACCGAACCAGCCCCCAACACGACCCCTCACCATGGCGAATCCGCATCAACCCGGCTCGCCGAACATCCAGACAGACCCCAGTGCCCTCCCGTGGTTCAGCCGGGGTCGCTCATATGCCTTTGTCGCCTCGGGAGCCATCAGCTACGAAGCCCCGGGCCCCTTCTCCCACCTCCTCAACCCCGTCCAGGACGGTGCCGACGGCCAGGCCCACGACGCCTACACTGCGGACGCGCGGGACGGGGCAGAACAAAACGGCGGTCCCCCGACACCATGGATGATGAGGTATCCACAGCTGCCCTCCTACTCGAGGGCGTTTGAGCCTCTGATGCGCGGGCACCCTTCGGACGGCCTCTTTAGCATGACCGCCAACAACAACACGTTCTTCACGCCATCCTACCTGCAGGACTCGGCGTACGCACAGAAACTAGAGGAGGTCCATAAGAAGAGGCTATCGGCACAGAGGGACGCGCAGCAGGCTGGCGGGCTGGCGAGCAGCGGGAGCAGCCTCAGCCTGCACGGCAGCAAACTGGCGCCGGCCACGCACAGGGGCATGGCCTTCGAGGTCGTCGAGAAGCCGCCCCCGTTCGAGGAGCAGGAGGGCGTGGCGGCCCTGCCGACGAGGTGGAACCACTTTGACAAGCACCCGAGCCTCGAGGTGCTGTCCGACGGCCTGGAGATCAAGTACACCGGGAGCCGGAGCTCGAGCGACCGGGACCACGAGGCGTACGCCATCCGGGCGAACCACTACATGCCGCCGCAATGCGGTCTGTACTACTTTGAGGTTACAATATTGAAGAAGTCCAACGAGTATGGTTTTTTTTTTTTTGGGTCCTTTGTCCTTTTTGCTCACATCAATCAATCTACGTAAACACACAGTCATATACACAGGTTACTGACTGTCGCCGTCTGGTCTAGGACTACTATCGGTATCGGCTTCATGGACGGATCGGTCACACTGACACGAGCACCTGGATGGGAACCTAACTCGTGGGGCTACCACGGCGACGATGGTAATGTCTTCGCGTCGCAGAATGTAGGCAAGCACTACGGCCCGACGTTCACTGCCGGCGATGTCATCGGCTGCGGCGTCAACTTTAGGACTGGTACCGCCTTCTACACCAAGAATGGGCAGCATCTAGGTAAGGTTTTGATCACCAACGGGCAGGCACAACAAGTACCCTTATCAAGAGTCTAACGAAAAACTACTATCACAAGTAATAGATAGCATGCTGACTACTGTGTCTCTATTGTAGGTGTTGCTTTCCGCGATGTCAAGGGCTCGAGCTTGAAGCTCTTTCCCACCGTGGGTCTCAAAAAGTCTGGGGAGCATATCCGGGTCAATTTTGGCCAGACTCCCTTTGTGTTTGACATTGATCGTGTGATGAAGGCAAGTCAAGCCATTCTTTATATCATACTCATTCACATATCACTTTAGGCGTCACTTTACACATCACTTTGCACGTCACTTTGCACGTCACTCTGCACGTCACTCCATTCTTTGTATCCCACTCATTCACGCACCACTTCACGGTTGTACCATCTTCACACCTCATTCGTGATTATTCTCAACCATGGCTGCATCACGCAGGGGTGTCCCAGGCGTATTCAACGAGGTCATGAGCGAGGTTATGGTGTCTGGTGATATCGATGAAATGGCGGCCATGATGCGGTTCGCAAGCACACACGCACGCGAACAGCTCGTTGATATCGGTTCACATTGTTTCGCCAGAGGTGCTTTCAAAAACTACCTCCGCCACATACACCTTGAATCTCGTCAGCGTTTCCTTCAAGATGCAGCCATGTTCGCATTGCTCGAGTGGGGTCCAGTGTGCCGCACCGCATGTTCTTTCTTCTTGTTTCTTTCGCCGGCCAGTACTTGAGTACTAACTGTGATTATAGCTTGAGAGGAAAGTCATCGTCGAGAAGATCAAGGCAACAAGGTAAGCCCGCCTCCAGTTGAGGGAGATCTAGAAGTATCGGCTGACCCGAGCAGTACCGCAAGCCTCGCGCCACCTCTGAGCGAGACCGAGCTTGTCCAGCAATTGGTATGACTCTCGACATGGATGCTGTCATTTGGAGCCAGTGGCTGATACCATTCACAGGTTCTGCAATTCCTCCAGCATGATGGCTATGTAGAAACGGCTCGGGCTTTTGCCGAGGAGATCCAACAAGAGAAGCAGGCTCTGAGCCCGGACCAGGACGCCGAGATCAAGGGCATCAGCATCGCAGATGACGAGAATGCGAACAACAGACAACGTGAGCTTCCTATTTTGCCCACTCCATTCCGACAGGCGAACTAATAGACGTGTAGGCATCCGGAGAGCTATCCTGGAAGGAGACATTGACTGGGCTCTTCAATTGACCCAGAAGTTCTACCCCCGAGTCCTTGAGAACAATGAGCAAGTGCACTTCCGGCTCCGGTGTCGAAAGTTCATCGAGATGATCCGCCGGGAGGCCGAGCTCACCATGACGGGCAGCAAGGGTGTTGTTGGCTCCGCCGGTGTCAAGAGCAACGGCCACCATCACAACCTTGCCATGGATATTGACAGCGAGGAGCAAGAGCAAGGAGATGAGGACGAGGACGATGATGAGGACGATGACGACGACGCGGCTATGCACGGACAACAGCACGAGCAGAAGCACCAGAGCAGCGCGATGGAGCAGCAGATGGCGGCGCTCGAGTACGGACAGAAGCTGCACGCCGAGTTCGGGAGTGACCCGCGGCCGGAGGTTCGCAAGGCGCTGGACGAGATCTTCTCGCTCATGGCGTACGCCAACCCGCTGGGCCAGCAGGAGGTGGCGTACCTGCTGGACCGCAAGGGCCGCGCGACCGTGGCCGAGGATCTCAACTCGGCCATCCTGCAGTCGCTGGGCCTGTCGTCGCGGGCGGCGCTCGAGACGGTCATGGCGCAGACGACGGTGTTGCTCGAGGACCTGAGGCAGGACGGCGGCCCGGGCACGTTTGTCACGCTGCGGGACGTGCTGGGCCAGATTCCTGCTTCGCAGCCGTTTTGAGGCTGCTCTATGAGCTGCTTCCTAAGGTGTTTTATAGCTCTGGTCTTTTCTACTTTGTCCTCGGTCTGTTACATATCGTTTTGTTTCCTCATCATCATCGGCTGGTGTTCTGGCTATGGTCTTTGACGCTCTTCGAAAGCCCGTCTCTGCTAGCTGGGCAGGGGTGTGCCTTTTTTCACACCTCTTCCTGCCTTGGACTGGGGTAATACGTTGTTGGTTTCATTCAAGAGGTGTGGTTCTTGTCCCTTGTTGATTCGTGGTTCTGTTTTGCACAATCCCTTCCGACTGGATCGACCATTCACCGACAATGTCTGGCGTTATTGGTGCTAGCTTTCCCAACCCCCCTCGACCCGCACTGGACGCAATCTAGTCTTGAGTTGTCTTTCCTTTCCTTGTTCTCGTGTGTTTTCTGTGAGAGTTTCCCGGCACATCTCTTCTCCATCATTGAGCACGAAGATCGGCTTTTATCACTTGTCTTCCGCCGACGTATTCGCGGGGGAACAAGGAGCTGTCCATAGATCTGGAACGGCCGGACTACCCTAATTTGGAGGCAGAAGACGTTCATATTCCCACCCGCCGGGTCTCTCTGAAGGCTTGTCTATAAGTTTGTCAAGCAAAACGTCCAAATGTGGAAAATGGGGTGTTTACAAATGGGGTCTCTGGAGCGCAGTCTGATGATACATTGGGGGTTCTTTCTCTGTGGTGGTAACTCTTTCTGCGTTCTATACAAAGGGCGGTGGTGTTGCCGTCCGGATGGCTTGACTCAACTCGACCCGACTCGACTCAGCGCAGCGCAGCGCAGCGCAGCGGTACAGACAGAATAGCAAAAACAAAAAAATACATTTGTTAAGATAGGTTAGCCTTCAGGTCAGCGGGAATAGAACAAGATCATTTCAGTTCAAAAGACATGAGATGGCCATGGTTGTGTTCTTGATGTTTCATCTGTATTTTGTATGTGTTTTACAGTGGCTCTGATGCTCGAAGCATCAGGACCATGCCAGTCTGGGCGATCTTCCGGAGCCGAGATGCCCAGCTGGTTGCGTTTATGCTCATCTATGGCTTGCTATTCGTACATTCGGTGGTTCTCCTCTTGGGACATTATACACACGCTCGGGGAGGACTTGCTGCGTCTCAAGTCTGAACAGGGCCCCCCTCCCCCGGGGCCTTTCATATTATCTTTTTTGCATCTCTATGCTTTTTTCCCCTCCTTCTCTCCCCCAAAAAAACTCGCCCCCCTCCCCACCCTCTTCTTCAGAAAGTAAGTAAGCATCACGCGGACCGCCCCCAGCACGCCTCGTACACCCGCCGCCTGTGCTCCACCAGCGCGGGGAACTCCTCGGCCGCCTGCGCCAGCGAGCGGTCGGCCCAGGCGAGCTCGCCGCCCAGGAGGAGGTGCGTGTAGGCGAAGACGGAGGCGTCGAACAGGCCCGGCCCGCCCTGGCCGTCGCCGCCGAAGAAGAATGTTTCTTTTCGCTGTTGCTGTTGCTGCTCCTGCTGCTGCTCCTCGCTCGCGGTGCGACTGTTGGCGGACAACAGCTCCGCCAGGGCGGCAAAGGCCGCGCGCGCCTCGGCCAGCAGCCTGGCCGGGTCCTCGGCGTCGAGGGGGCTGCGGCCGCCCGACGCCGCGACGACGGCGCGGCGGACCTCGGCCTCGGCGGCGCGGCGCAGCTGGCGGGACAGGGAGGCGCGGACGGGCCGGGAGCGGGTGGACGGGTTGACGTAGAGGTCCTGCATGAGCGGGGTGTTGGCGGTGACGATGTACAGCGCGTGGAGGTAGGCCGGCCGGACGGCGGTCTCGAGCAGGGCCGCGTACAGGGCGGCTCGGGGGTCCTGGGCCGGCTGGTCTGCTGCTGCTGCTGCTGCTGTTGTGGGCGCGGCGGGCGCGTGGCTGGCGATGTAGGCTGGCAGGGCCGAGGCGGCGATGTACTTTGGCTGCTGCTGCTGCTGCTGCTGTGCGGAGGGAGAAGACTTGGGACCCGCGCCCGCCTCCGGCGCCGGGGCGACGAGCAGGAAGGGCAGGGCGCCCGAGGGGGAGGCGTGGTTGGTCGAGGGCACGGTGCGGTGCGGGACGCGGCGCGCGCGCAGGTAGGTCTGCCACTTCAGGCAGGAGGGGTTGAAGCTGGGCGCGCCGCGGCGGGCGGCGTCGTCGGTGGTGAAGACGAAGAGGGCCGGGCCCTCGTCGGGGGAGGGGGAGGAGCAGGAGGAGAAGAAGGACAGACTGGCGGCGGCGGGGAGGGCGTTGGCGGGGAGGGTCCGGAGCGGGAAGAGGTCGAAGAGGCGCTGGAGCGGGGCGGGCACGGGCGGGAGCATGGAGTAGCCCTTCCCTGCGGAGGAGGGGGGTGTCCGGGGCGGTGCCGAGGTCATTGTGTGTCGGTGTGTGTGTGTGTGTAAGAGGTGGTTTATCGGTAAAGCTGAGGTAGACTGGTAGGTAGCTAAGCTACCGGGGAGCTCTCTTGGTGTACTGCTGCCAGAGAGCTTGGTCCTCCCCCCCTTGTTCGCAAGCTGATGCGACAAGAGGCCCGCGGTTGGCCCTATCTCTCTCTCTCTCTCTCACACCGCAACGAGATTGATGCTGGGCTCTCAACACACCTGCCCTTGGCATGTGATGGGTGACAAGAGGCAATTTGGCCGAATGAGGCGGACGGCGGTGATGGGCTCCGACATGTGGTCCCGTCAGCGTTGCGACTGGAGTGTTGTTGATTTTCTCCGCCGTATCTTATCGGCCCTCCTCGCCTGGCTCTAGTCTTGTGTGCACAGACCCGGTTCAAATCGCAGGATAAATTGTACAATACGGTCAGCAGCACGCGCGCCAATTATATTGCACCATCCCTTGACCCAGATGATACGGTGAGCACTTGTGTCCGCCCATGTCACTTCCCGTATCTACACATGGGATATTGGGGAGTCGGTCCTGCATCACAAGCAAATTGCAGAAAACAGGCGCAGGCGATTCTTCTCTGATGGATAGTCTCTCCCGTCCAAGGGCTTTCCCCCCCCCCCGGTCGGGCGGGTGTCGGTCGGCTGTCTGTTGACTCGACCACCACGGAGAAGCCGTTTGCGAACGGGGAGAGACGGCAACCAGACGGGTTGCCAAGCTGGGACGGTCTGGATGTCCAGCAGTTTTAGGGGACCTGTGGAGACTCTGGAGAGCCTCCACTTGTTGCTGACTTGGGGCCCTTGAGGCCTTGAGTGGGCCAATCAATTCCAGAATCCGAAATGTTCCGTGGTCGATGAAGAGCACGCCAGCAATGGCGCCGTTTTCAATGGGGGGTCTGATAGGTACCTATTTCCCTTTTCCGCTCGACGGAGAATCAACCACTACGGAGTACCCCAGCCATCTCGGTGTGTACAAGTACAAGTAGGTATGCGATTACGAGGCTCTGCATTTGTGTCGGGTGTGTGTTTCCCCTGGCGCCCTGTTGCAGGAGCACAGGCACCCCATCCGGCCACGTTGGCGCGCGGAAAGCTTATCGCCTGTGCCTGAGCTGGATGGATGGGTGGATGGGTGGATGGGTGGATGGGTGGATGGGGAGACTCTGTCGATGAGGCGCGAGGCGAGCAATGCGCATGCACTTGTGTGATCCCCATACGAGTTGGAACCAGCGTGACGATCATTCTGGAGAGAGATAGAGAGCGGAGAGAGCGGAGAGAGAGAGACAGAGAGAGGGGAGCCCAGAAGCAAGTCGTCAAATCACAGAGCAATCCGCCCGAAAGGGTTCGCACGACCGGCAGCCGATCGCCTCGGGATTGTTGCGACTGGACTGGACTGGCTGGTGTTGAACAGTGAAGCTGGCTGGGGCTTGGTGGTAGTGGTGGTGTCTGTCGGATGTTTGCTGGCGGTGCTGCCGTGCTGTGGTGGTGAAGAGAGTGAGTGTGGGGGAGACAGGGTAGACAAGCAGACAAGGCCCACGGCATCCCCAGTTGGCATCCCAGTTGGCATCCCCCATCATCCCATGGGACAGATCCGCCAATGCGCGCTAGCAGCACAATTCTTACCACAAGCAGGAGTAGGGCGTGCGCAAGTGCTGAGATCCCGAGGTACCTGGCCTGTACTTGACTCGCGGAGACTGATGGCTCCTCTTCCTTCTCTCTGGTCCGGTCGTCCTCCTCCCGGCGCCCTCTCCCGAGTTGCCGGGCGCATGTACCCTCGAGGTTCCCGGACGCACCCTATCTGTGGCTTTTCGTCATGACTTCCAAGGTTGGGCTGGGCATCGAAAAATAATAACCCGAAGGACGAGGAGCTGGGGGTGTGCTGGAAGTGCTGGGAAATGCTGGGCAAGGCGACGAGCCAGATCTTAATAAGTTAAGGTACGGACGGAGCAGCAGTGCCAGCCTTGCCTCGATCGGCAGCCAATTGCCCATTCACCAGACCAGCGATGGCCTCGGGTCTCACTGTCCCTGAACTGACTGGCCCATCCTTGCCGTGCTTGTGATTCTGCCTGCCCTGCCCTGCCCTGCCCTGCCTATTGTTCCTTGTTTTCTCCTCCTCCCCTCCTGGCCTTCTCTTCTTGCATTCTTTCATTCCATCATCGCCATCGTCGTCATCATCAGTCCATCCACTTCACTCACCGCTCGCCCCACGGGAAAACACACACAAAAGTGATACGAGGAGGCCGACAGTGTAATCAAAGCGCGACCGAGGGTGCTAGTTTACGGTGCAATCATCGGCCGGACATACCTCGCTGTCACCCTCCCCCCCCCCCTCAGGCCTCAGATAGCGACCCCCACTCGACATCACCACCGGCCGGCGAGCCAGCCTTATTGCCCATCTCTGCAACCGTAAAGGAACCGTAACCGACGGTCTACCTACCTAATAATCCCCCCTCCCCACCTTGGCCTTGGGCTCTCTTGAAGTCATCCTACATATAATCCACCACCCACCACCACCACCACGCGAGTGTCCGAGGTCCGGCCCAAAGACAGGCACGCTGGCAACCCAGATATATGCCAGACATCCAAAACTCAATCTCTCCACATTGTCTGATCACTCTGTCTCACTCCCCTCCTCCCTCTCCTCCCTCTCCTCCCAATCCAACATCCAACCCCGATCGGCTCTGCTGCAAACCTGGCTTTTCTTCCTTTCTTGCCTTCTTCCCACCATCATCATCACCATCCCATCAGAAGCAAAGCAAGCAAGCAAGCAAGCAAGCCAGCAGTCAATCAACTGGACGCAGCCCGATAAATACACCACACCGCCCGACATCCTCCCGCGCGCCCACGTTCTATCTATCTCGAGAGGCTAGGCAGACATCGCAATCAATCAGACATATTGCCTTCGGAGTCGCTCTTTAGCCGGATCGCCGCCCTCTTGAGCCACCGCGCCGCATGCTTGTCTCGGTCGTCGACGGACAAAACAGACTGCTTGGAAGAAAGAAAAGAGACCAGATCTACCGTCTCGACACACTTAGTCTCTTATCTAATACCGACCTCGCTTCGTTTCACACATAAGCGCCTCCGCATCTGCATCGGCATCGGCATTGGCATTCATTCGTCTCGCTGGTCCCCAATCCGAAGACCAACAACCAACGACAACCACACCTCGATTTCTCTCTGTCTCTTCCTCTCTCTCGCTGTCGCTCTCGCACGCTCTCTCTCCTCTTCACTTTGTCCATCGCGAGACATCAACTCTTCACACACACACACACACACACACACACAATGGACGCTCCCATCTCTTCCCCACGAACCCATCAGACCTCGGCGGCAACGACCTCGGCTCGCACGTCGCCCGCCAACAAGATGGCGCCGCCCCCGCCCGCGGCCATGTCGTCGCCCTCGACCGACGCCTTCCTCAAGGACTTCACCCTCGTCGCCGAGGCCGCCAAGCGGGCGCAGATGGCCGTCATGATGCGCGACTTTGAGAGCGTCGGCCTGTCTTGATTTCCCTCGCCCGACATTCATCATCGCTCGCTCCAAAAAGGAAAAAGAGGCTGGAGAGATTTCCACTTTTTTCTTTTCTTGCGGCTCTATGGGGCCTTGCCGACAGTCCACGATGGCGCCATAATGCCCACTCCCTCGGATGACACACATTTGCCTACGACAAAAGCCGCCACTTTTTTTTTTGTTTCTCTTTCCTAGAAAAAGGGATCGCACCAAACAAGTCCGAAAAAATGGTTTCACGAGGATAGACTATGTTTTCTCGTCAGTTTTTTTATCGTCGGTCTCGACCTTGACGGCCTCGGGGAGGAGGAAATCGATACCCAGAGCGCGCAACTCGCCAGAGGCTAGGATCTCGGCAAGTGGAGATTCGGGGAGGAGGAGCCCATGCAAATGCGAATTTGCTGCAGGGTCCTCTCTTTTCGCAATGCGTTTTTTTTTCCCATTGTCGGAGCGACGTGAAAGGACACCGTTCGGAAATTCGAGAGTGGCGATGTGGAACCCCCGAGTCGGGCCTGCACCGGTCGGTCGGACGGGAACTTGAAGATGGTGGGTGTGTCGAAGGCGACGAGAGGTTTCGGAGACGGTTCGGTTTGTTCACAGTCGCGGAGGCTTCGGGCGTGATGTTTTCGACTTGATTTTCGTCTTGACACAAGAAGACTCATTTGCATGGTTTGATCTCGGCAAGCGCGATGGAGTTCTATGGTCCTTTTTTTTTTTTTTTTCCCCATCATCCACATTTTCATTGTTCATATATATCTTGCTGGCTCTCATTTGCTATCTCATATATACCCGGGTTCCTTCAATTTGCTAGAACCTCGAGTCCTTTTTTTTTGTCTCTTTTTCCTTTTCCTATCCTCTTTCTTTTTATATGTGTACGAATACAGGGCGGGCGGGGGTGGAGGCAGATTGCAAAGAACTCGGAACGTCACGATAGACTGGGTCGTTTTTCTTGAAGGGCTGTGCGGTGCTTGACGCGGCAAGGAGGATAAATAGTAATACAACCACATGATCGTTACTCGCGTCTGTATGCCCCCTGGGGATGTGTTTATGGAGTAATGGGAGATGGGAGATTGCTCAAATCGATCGTACTGAGAAGGCTCGAGAGCCTTGTGCGGACGACCACAGTGCATACTCATCACACTCGTTACTGAGAGTAGTTGGACGCAAGGAAGTCTCTGACATGATGATGATGATGGGGATTCTCTGTCAATCTCTGATCCTTCTGGGATAATTGAGATTGAGAGTGTACGAACGCATCTGATAGACGAATCTAGGACAATCCTGGCTCCATGAAACCGGATCCCTAACGCTGCAGCATGCTGGCTGGTCTACGCCAGGTCTCACTGACATCTCGAGGCCATAGCCCTTTAAACTTGTTTTTTTAAGACCTTCATCAGATTGGAAGAGTCACACCCGGCGAGACGAACCCACAATCTACATACACACACACATCGCCCTGACCACAGCCCCAGCTCACATCTTTGCCATCAGCGAGATGCCGCCGTCCAGCCTGATGGTCGCCCCGTTGACAAAGGCACTGTTCCCCATCGCACACAAAACGTCAGTCACATCGCAAAACACACACACACATATCAACCACAAAACATTGAGGAAGGGAAAAGCAGAAAAGAAAAGGGGGGGGGGGAGAACAGCTCACCCGGCCCGGCTCGCCAGGAAGAGGCACGCGCCGGCGACGTCCTCGGGCGTGCCGATCCGGCCCAGCGGCGACGTCTCGCGGATCGAGTCGCCCATGTCCTCGAGCACGCTCTTCATCATCTTGCTCGGGAACGGGCCCGGGGCGACGGTGTTGCTCGTGATGCCCCGCGGCCCGAGCTCGACGGCCAGGGCGCGGCTCAGCTGGTGCAGGCCCGCCTTGGAGGCGCCGTAGGCGTAGTTGGCCAGCACGGGGACGCGGATGCCGTCGATGGAGCCGATGTGGATCACGCGCGCCGGGTCGGCGACCGTCCCCGCGGCTGCGTCGGCGGGCACCGAGGCCTTCTCCAGCAGCGGGCAGAGCAGCTGCGTCAGGGTGAAGGTGCGGTGCAGGTTGAGCGTCAGCAGCTTGGTCCAGGCCGAGTCCGGGTGCGCGTCGAAGGGCGCGCCCCAGGCGGCGCCCGAGTTGTGCACCAGGACGTGCAGCCCCCGCTGCGGCTCGAGGCGGGCCAGCTCGGCGGCGAGCCTCTTGCAGGCGTCGAGGGACTGCAGGTCGGCGGGCAGGGCGGCCGCGCTGCCGCCGGACCCGGAGGCCGCCGCGGCGGCGTTGAGCTCCGCGGCGGCCTGGCGGCAGGCGGCGGCGTCGCGGGACGAGATGTACACCCTCGCGCCGTTGGCGACGAAGCCCTCCGAGATCATGCGGCCTATGCCCTTTGCGCCTCCTGTGACGAGGACGACTTTGCCCTGTGTGAGGGGGGGAGTGCCGGGGTGGGGTTGTTAGTATGCAAGGTGTGTTTGTGTGTCTTGATGATATATCTTGGGTTGTTGTGGTGAGAGAGAGGCTGGCTTGGCTTACCTTGACGTCGAAGAGCTGCTTGATGTCCATCTTTGGTGGTGGCGGGTGTTTTGAGTCGCTGTGCTTTTACGTCGGTGCCGGTGCCAGTGCAGGGCTCTTGAAACAACTCTCAAAGAGAAAAGGATAAAAAGACAAATTTGCTAAATGCCACGATATATCAAAAACAAAATGTCGACATCTCCGCAAAGCAAGGGGATGTTGTTGCAGTGAATCTCACATCTCGCCCCCCCAAGATCTCCCCACAGTCCGTATCGGGAGCCGAGGCACGAGGCAGGCATGGGTGGGTGGTACGGACTACGGAGGTACTTGTAACTACGTGCATGAATTCAGGTTCAGTCAGACCCCAGTCCAGCCTTTCCTTTCCGTCTTTCTTGTCTCCACCAAAAGCCATCAAACGACACTAACAACACTCGTTACAGCTCCTCCCTACCTATTCTCTCGCTGTCTTGATCTAAATGCCTCTGCTGGAGTCTTTTAGGTTTCTTGGGCGCTGGCACTGTACATATATCTAAATCGACTGCTCGTCAACGGATGCAGACGACTAGCCCGTGGCTTAGTAGAGCATGACCAAACATCACCGCTGTTCCCCGGGCTCATAAACGGCTCCGTAGTTCAAGAAGCTTTAAACTGCCGACCGCCGGCGGCATCACATAACGCCCTCGAGACGACTGACAAATAGATCCACTGACGCTTCTAACCTCCAGATATTATAGAATACTCACTCCATCTCCATCTCCATCTACATCAACATCTGCATCTCAACCTCCCACACAACAACAACAACAACAACAACAACAACAACAACTTCATCATCGTCACACCATCCCTCACCGCCACCACTCCTCCTCTCCACAAGATCGTTATCACCCACCTTCACAATGTCCCTCCCAGACGACCCGACCCCCCTCCAGACCGCCTTCTACAACCAGCCCCTCTCCGCCCACCTCTCCACCTGGGACAGCCTCTGGGAGGCAAACAACACGCCCTGGGACCGCGCGGGGCCCAGCCCGGCCCTGCACGACCTCCTCGCCGACCGCGCGCACGACCACCTCTTCGCCTCCTGCCGCCCGTCTCCTCCTGCCCAGGGCCAGCAGCGGCAGCGGCAGCGGCAGCAGCCGCGCAAGAAGGCCCTCGTCTCGGGCTGCGGCCGCGGCCACGACGTCCTCCTGCTCGCGGCCCTGGGCTACGACGCCTACGGCATCGACTTCTCCCCCGTGGCCATCAGGGGCGCCCGCGCCAACGCCGAGGCCGTCGCCGCCGCCGACCCGGAGGAGTACCGGCCCCGCGACCCGGCCGTGGGCAGGGGCGCCGTCACCTGGCTCGAGGGCGACTGGTTCAAGTTTGACTTTGCCGCCGAGGTCGGCGTCGACAAGTTCGACCTCATCTTTGATTACACCGTAAGTCTATCTTCTATTTTCTCCCTCCCCCCCCCCTGTCTTTTTTGCCCCCCTCTCTCTTATCATCTCATCCCCTTCTCCTTGCTCTATTATCATCACATGCCATGCCATGCCATGCTTTCCCTCTCTCATTTAAAAAACACCACCCTCACATGGCACAAAAAAAAAAACCGAACAACAGTTCCTCTGCGCCCTCCCGCCCTCGGCGAGGCCCGCCTGGGCCGCCCGCAACGCCGCCCTGCTCCGCCCGGACGGCGGCCGCCTCGTCTGCCTCGAGTTCCCCCGCACCAAGCCGCTGCACCTCGCCGGCCCGCCCTGGGGCCTGCGCTCCCACATCTACCTCGCCCACCTGTCCCGCCCGGGCCGGGAGCTGCCCTACACCGACGCCGGCGACGTCGTCGCCCAGGAGGAGGACGAGCTCGGCGACGACCCGGTAGGCGCCACCGCCGACGTCGCGGGCCGTGGCCTCAAGAGGCTCGCGCTCATCGTGCCGCCGCGGACGCACTCGTGCGGCGTCAGCGAGGACGGGACGGTGCACGACCGCATCTCCGTGTGGGGTCACTAGGTCCGGGGCCACCGCTTCCCTTTCCCTTCCGGATCGTCTTTTCTTGCATAGCACAGCAGACCATCTGTAGCAAGGAGGGGGGGGGGAAACCATACGTTGTCCACCTACACACAAGCTCGTAATATAGTAAATGAAACTTATTCACGCCCTCCCCTCGCTTTGAATGAATTTCCCAAGGGAGCAAAATGTAGCCCAGTATGCAACCTAAGCAGGCGGCGCCTTCCTCAGCGAATTGTAATGCTCGCCCAGCCCGTACCCATGCCGGTAGTACGCCAGCCACACCGTCTTCCTCTTGCCTCCCGCTCCTCCTCCTGCTGCTGCTCCTCCGTCGCCCGCCGCCGGCTCGATGACCTCGGTCCGCCCGTCCTGCAGCACGCGGATCTCGACGCCGTACCGGCTCGCCAGCGCCGCCAGCTCGAGCTGCCCGCCCCACTCGGCCGTGTCGCGTATCCGCGCCGCGTACGTGCCCAGCGGCTCCTCGAGGAAGGGCGCAAAGTCGTCGGCGTGCTCGAGCATGTACCCGGCCGCCGCCCTGCGCACCGCCCGGTACGGCTCCACCTCGTCTCCCCCTGCTCCTCCTACATCCTCGCCGCCGCCGAGCAGCTGGTCCGCCACGGCCGAGAACAGGCAGTGCCCGTCGGGCCGGATGTCCTTCTCGACGAGGCCGTGCGCCGCCATCTCGCGCCGCATGTAGGCGCTCTCGCGGCCGCGGTGGTCCACCATGCCCGCCGCCTCCTCCTCGGCGGCGGCGGCGGCGGCCTCCTGCTCCGCGGCGCGGCGGGCCAGGCGCTCCTTTTGCCGGTTGCGCTTCTTGCCCCCGGCGCCGCCGCCTCCTCCTCCTGCTCCTGCCGCCGCGCCTGCGGTGGTAGTGGCAGTGGGTGACGCCTGCTGTCTCTGTGCTGCGGTCGTGTCGCCGAGCGACAGGCCGTTGACCCCGGCCGTGACCTGTCCTTGCCTCTGCTCTGCCCCGTCGTCCTCCCCATTCTTCTCCTCTTCGTCTCCCTCCCCCTCCTCCCCCTCCTCCTCCTGTCCGCCGCCGAGCCGCCGCAGCTCCTCGGCCTGCCTCTCCCGCAGCCGGCGCTCCAGCTCCGCGCACTCGTCGCCGACGCCCTTGCGCGTCTTCTTGGTCGCGCTCTTCTTCTTGTTGGTCACGCGGCCCTGCAGGTCGCGCTGCTCCCGGCGGTGGCGCGCCTGCATCTGCTCCAGCGTCTCGGCGGCGGCGGCGGCGGCGGCGGCGGCGGGCGTGTCTGACGGCTCCATTTTTTTGCGTTCCTGTCTCTGTTGTCTCCCTCGGGCCGCTTTACGCGTGTGTTGTATGTGTGTCTTGTCCTCCTCCTGACCCCGGCAGACTTCCCTGCTTGTATAGTCAAGGGTGGGAAAGGGCTTTGTTGGGCGGTTGGGTAGGGTAAGAATTCGCCTGCAGGTTCCGTCGTAGTCCCTGCGTGCGGCGTCCGGGGAATCCTAATCTCTGGCTCGCGCTTGTTGCCGACGACTCTCGGGCCACTGGGGCGGGTTTCGCCACCTATGATACGATGGATTCAACCTCTTCTTTCCCGTAAGCTCGCTGGTCAGAAAAAAGGGTCACTCGGCGCGACGAGATTGCGACCTCGAGATCGGCTATGTTGCACGGTTGGTTCCAAGACACACGGCGGGTAGAGCTCTGCCCAGAAGCTATCGAGATTAGGTTGCTGGTGGTGGGGTTCGTCCAGTCCAGCAAGAAAAAAAAAAAGATTAGATATCCGGTGGGGTACAATATATGACATTATGCCGCTTGTCTGGGGGGGGGGGTTTTGCGGGTGTGCACCGCCTGAACCACACTTACACACACTTACAAGACCCAAGACGAACGCTGCATGAACGACGATATTCTCGTCCGCCCAGAGGCGCGCGCAGATCCCGGTTCGCTTCGACGCCTGCTCCCGCTCGTACCGGAGCCCACGGGAGGCCACATACACGAGGACAGGAGCTGAGCCCGAGTTATTAATAAAGCCTACGAAGACTTGGTTGATTGATTGCTTGCTTGCTTGCCACCTTGTTCCTCCATTTCCCATAACCCGGCCAGTCTTTCGGCTTCATGTTGCACACCTACATACAAAGCACCCGCCTGAGAAGCACTGCGTGTCAGAAAAGCCATCTTTCAGAATATTGCACTATATACTACAGACAAAGGTAGATAAAAGTAGATCGTTCGGATCTCTCATTCTTGCTATTTACAACTTTTGATTTTGCTCGGCGTCCTGGGCACGCCTACGAGTCCCTTCATCTGCCCTCCACGCTCTTCAACGCGAGAGGGACGCCGATGGAATAGAAACGAGAGAAGAAAACTCCGATACTCCTTACACTCCCCCAAAGCCGCCCTCGCAGGCCAGCATATTCCTTTGATTCTCCTCCTCTTTTCCCATGAAAAAATAAAAACAAAACACACACTAGAAAAGGGAAAATAAATACAAAAAATGATCGTACAAGGTCGGTGGGTATTCAACAACCTCTCTCCTCCTCCTCCTCCTCTTCCTCCCCTTCCCAACATCTCACTCTCCCCTCCCCCTCTCAACCCAACCGCAAAAGCGCTAATCAAAACCCCTTAAACGGATCATCCCGAAAGAAATAATCCTCCTCCCCAGCCGTCCTGCTCCCGCCGCCGCCGCCGCCGGCAGAGGCGTAGTACTCGTCGCCCCTGGCCCCGCCCCCCCGCGACTGGTAGCTGTCGCGGTGCCGGCTGCGGCTCGCCCGCCGCCGGATCTCCTTGCTGCGGCGCCGCGCCCGGTACCGCATCTCCTCCTGCTCGTCCGGGTCGCCGCCGTCGAAGCGGGAGAAGGCCAGCGGGCTGATGAAGGCCTCCATGCGCACCGTGCCGATGGCGTCGAAGAAGTTATTCATGGCCGCCCCGCTCGGCCGCGACGACGCCTCCGACGTGCGCTGCGAGCCCGTGCTCATCGCCCACGTCATGTTGTTGGTCGAGCCCTGCGACTGCGAGATGTCCGAGTTGCCCGCCGTGCTGTTGGTCGACGCGTGGTGGTAGCTGCTCGAGGCGCTCAGGGGCCCCGAGAAGCCCCGGAAGGACAAGGGCGGAGGCACGTGGCCTCCAGTGTTGCTCCTCTTGCGGCCGTGCACCGTGGTGTGGTTCACCCGGTCGTGGAACCGAGGAATGGCCGGCGGCTCTGCCGTGTCCCTCGATAGGTCACGGGTGTGCGTCGAGGGGGCAGACACGGATGGAGGGACCGACGGCACCGAGTACGGCGCCGAGTACGCAGACGGCGCTACCGACGGAACGTAGGGAGCCGAGTACGGGACAGAGACAACCGACTCTGGTATCCTGTAGCTGGGGATGCTGGGCGGCACAGAGTCTGTGTGGGACGAGGCAGCACTCATGGGACCCCGAGGCGCGTTGGCCTTGCCCTTGGCCAAGCGGATCGAGTCGCGAATGCCCGCCTTCCTGCCCTTGGGCCTCGAGTCAAACTCGGGCAGTTGCTTGGGTGGGTTCATCTGCGCTACAATGTCCGGCACCGCTTGCTGCGAATGGGCCAGGAAGGACAGAGACGTCAGCCAGATGTAGTGGCGTTCGGCACTGGCCGCAGTGAACTTGAGGGCTCGTTGCGGTGTCAGGATGAGGATCGACCGGTTGAAGAGCTGGGTGACGCCCTTGGGCGGCGGGTTGTCATCCTTGACGTCCAAGACCGACTGGATGGTCACTATCGGCCAGGTTAGTATGAACTGAATTGGCCCATCGATCGAGGCGGGTTAGTTACTCACATTTGCGTCCAGACTTGCCCATCAGAGTGCTGTTGCTAGATGGCTGCTTGCTGCTCCACAGAATGGCCCGTTCGTAGGGCGCCAGCCATACCCATCGCTTGTGGCGGTCGTTGCTGCTGTCGTCCTTGCCGCTGTCGGCAACCCCAAAAGACTTGCGCCTCCGGACGTACTTGTGCATCCACTCGCCCACCATCGTCTGGGCGATCGCATCGACCACGCCGGTGGCCTGGTTCGAGCTGCCGAGCGACTCGCCGCCAGTAGTGTTGGTGTTGGTCGATGGCTGGTGCTGGTGCGTCTTGTACTTGGATCCGGGGTAGCGGGGAGAGGTGATGTCGTTGCTGGGCAGGGGAGGCAAGCCTGGGCTCTCCGGCTCCTCCAGCTCCGAGAACGGGGGCGGCGAGCGGCTGCCCTGCCTCCTGCTCCTCTGGTTACGCGGCAGATTCGCGGCCGAACGGACCTTGCGAATGCTGCCGGCCCGGTAGTGGCTGCGCCCGACGCCTCGCCTGTGCCAAGCCTCTCCTCTGGTCGGGCTCTGCTGGCCATCGCTGGGCGCACTGACGCTGACCGGAGGCTTCCTGGAGCTGGCGCGAGTCGGGATGGGGAAGGGAGGATCCTGCGGGTCGGGAAGGCTCGGGCTTCTTGCGCGGCTGTGCGTGGCAATGCCGTTCTGAATCATGGCAGCCTTGCGCATCACGCTCGACTTATTCGAGCTGCCAATCGACGACGGCTTCTCGTATCCACGGTTGATAGCCTTGGAAGACCGACCAACTACAGAGTCTCTGCTATCCCGTCCATCCGAAAGCGAGTACTTACTATACGTCTCGGGACCGCCAATCTGCTTCATGGAGCTCCTTCCAGAGCCCTTTCTGGGCAGGGAAGGTTGCTCCGGCGAGGTGAGTACGGTACCTCCAGAGCTGCGCTTAGCAGACCTGGATGACCCCGACTTCGGCTTGGGAGCTGACAGCGCCGTTCTGTACTCGGAGTCACTCATGTCGATATCGGCAAACTCGTCCACCTCGTCCGAGCTGTTGCCGTCAAAGCCGGCGAACAAACTGCTGATACGGGGAGGCCTGCGCATCGGCGCCTTCTGGCTCGATAGCGGACCGTCATCGTTGTTGCCAGGATAAGTGTCATGCGTCTCTTCCACAGCAGCGGGCGAAGCGGCTGCTGGAGGGGATGAGGTGAGGTCTGTGAGACTCCTCTTGGTCGTGAGGCGCCTCGGGTTTCGTGGTGGCAGAGCGCCAGGCACGGGGGTGAAGGACTTTGTCGGGTCATCCACAATAGGCTCAGGAGCCGCCGGTGAAGTTGGTCTTGATGTGATGGTCGACGGGTGCAGATGCGCAGGAAGTCTATCCAGGCGCGTGTCGACCCGGATCTCCTCAGTCTGGACAGCGGTAGATTTGGAAGGCACTGGCGCAGAGAAGTTGACCTGGCAGCCAAAGTCCTTGAACAGCTGCGGCAGACGGGGCTCCCGGGGCGTTGTGGGGCGCGAAGTAGGGGGATGGATGCTGATGCTCGGGATGAGCATGGGGACTTCGGCGGGAGGTGCCAAGGCGGGCTTTTCCAGCGGCGGAGGCATGTCCGTCTGTGTGGAGGACGACACCATCACCGTGCTCACCCTCTTCACCGACACGGGCGACTCTGGCGCGTACGGAGATTTGGGCGTCTTGGGTGGACTCAGGGGCTCCTCGGCAGTCTGAGCGGCCGACGAGACCATGAGCTTGGTGGCAGTCACCGGCTCGATGGTCAAGGGTCGGGCGATGTAGACCCTCTTTCTCCTCTGATTCGCCTCGATCTCCCAGTCGCCGCGTGGAGAAGTCTCGACCTCCTGTGCCCTGTCCAGCCTGGTAGGGATGGCAGGCGGCTCGGGGGTCGATGGCTTCGAAGGCAGCAAGGTAGGTGAGGGTGGGGGTGAGTACTGCACGGCACTGTCCGCGTAGCTGACTTTGCGTGCAGGCGGAGGCATCTCTTCTTCGTCCTCTTTGATGATGCCGTCTTCGAGTCGTTCCAAGACTGCCTGGTTCAGGAAGCGGCCCCTGGCAACGCTCCCAGGCCGGATGAGACTATCATTGCTGTGGTTGCGCCGGTGAGTCTTTGAGAATGCGCTGTCGCGGCTCGTGTTGCGCATGTGGAAGTTGTTTGCGTGGTTCGACAGAACGCTTTCCCGGCCACCGGGGTCGGTCTCGTAATCTGTCTCTCCGTCAAAGTTCAATTCATCCGCCAGGGAATGGCCGACCGGCCGGCCAGCAGTCACAACAGAGAAGCGAACGCTATTCGTCATGCTCATTGTGCGCACGCTGGCGGCGTCATTGTCCTTGCCGGCGTCGTCAGTCTCGCTCTCCGGGGCGTGTTGGAATCCATTGGCCTGTGCGGCTTGGAACGCGGCGACCTCATCAAGCAGCATCTTGAGCCGGCTCTCAGCAACGTGGACTTTGCGTTCAAATTTGCGCTTCTCCTCTTCCCACTCATCCTTCTCCTTGGCCCACTGCTCATGCACCCTCTGCGAGTCATCTTCTTGAACGCGAAGGCGCTTCTGGACAGCATCCAGCCGCTTTTTCGTTTCAGTAGCAGTGTCTACCGCTTCGTCACGCTCGCGGGCCAGCTCGCCAAGAGCCGACGATGTGCCTCCCTCCAAGAGCGCAAGCTGGCGCTTCAGGGAACGACTCTCCTTGGACGTGGTCGTTAGGGTGGTCTGGAGAGACTCTTGTTCTTCCCGAGTCGTATGCAGCGAGGTTTCCAAACTCTCAATGATCTTTGTCTTTTCTTCCTGGTCCCTCCTCAAGGCGAGTATCTCGGACACGAGATTGGCGTGCAGCGTAGGGGTGAACCGGCGCGGGTCCAATATGCTCAGAGTCTCATCTGTCGCAATGTCCTTGGAGGACCGTTTCGAGCTTTTGTCGGTCTTATCTGTGCCGGGGATAGGCGGGGGCGGCGACTTCTTGCCCGGGGGCGTGACCGATCGCCGGGACTTCTTGGAGTTGCGCGAGGCAGTTCGAAATGGCGTCTCCGGCGAGGTCGGATGCTCTGTCGGAACATCCGTGCCGCCATACTCGTCCTCGGTCTCCCACACAGCCATGCTAGACATTTTGATAGGCCTTGCGAATACGCTTCAAACAAACACGTTAGTCGGACCTTGTCGATTGGGTCATATCGGAATGGGCGTTTCTCGGCAAGTCGTCTTGGACGCGTCGGTGATGTTATATCTTGCAAGATTCGTGACACGGAACCATCACATGCCACAGTCTTGTTCTTTGATGAGGTGCATGGGTCGCGCAGGACGGTTGCACTGCAGCTGTACGCCGTTGGATGCGACTCGGGGTCTGCACGGTACAAGACGGGGGTGCCACTCAGCGCCAGGTTGAGTTCACGTCGTGATACGGCTGCGACGCACCTCCAATTCGGTGCAGACGTCGCGAAGGCAGGCCGGTTGAGCAGAAAGGAGGTTTCGATTTCGAATCGAGCAGTAAGTTGAATTGTAGAGGTGAGCCCTCAGACGTCTATCTGTCGGTGCGACACCCTATTAGCATGGATCGCTTGTTTTATCTCCGAGGACCCTGGCATATATCGGGGCCTCTAAGGCTTTCAGTACCAAACCGGCACTGCGAAATTGCGGTTCAATGCGCACTTACTGAAATGGAACAGACGAGACAAATCCGGGTTGGTACTACAGCAAGAGGGGTCACCGGCGATCAAGGGCGCGACAGACGGCCTCTGAGCTGCGATGCTGTGCTTGGTGGTTGATTTCACTTGTAAGCTGGTTATAAGCCGGCTTAGAGCCCCGCGTCCGATGTGCAAAGAGCGTATCAGGGAACGTGTTGGAGCTCGGATAAGACGTGATAGTGCTCAATTGACGATTTCATGAGATATTCTGGCCGCGGTTCCTCTGGCAGATTTGCGAGGGGGTTGGATGACGATCAATTGGGCCGTGTGTGGGGGAACCGTTGGTGGTCAACTCGTACGCATTGAGCGAGGAAAAAGCAAGCAGAGGCAGCGTTTCGAAGCTGAGATAAGAAAAAGCAAGGGGAACTGGAGTCCGCGGGAGAATGAGTCGGCGATCGAGTAAAGGGGGAATCTTGGACGCGATCAAAGCAGTGGTATCGAACTGAAGACAAATGCTGGACAGGCGGAAAGGGTATCTCGAGCTGTATGGCAGAGCGCGGTCCAAGCAATACGAAGGTATCGGGTTTGCAAGCAGGTTTGAAGGAACGGCGGTGATGCACGGAGAAGCAGCACCAAGCTCACGCACGCTGTGTCGCTTTCACGAGTCGACAACGGCAACGATGACGACGACCACGAGAGGGTATCAGGAGAATGGCAACAAAACGAAGCGGCCTCGTCGCTCGAAGTCAAAAGAAGAGAAAATCGAACGGAGGAGAAAGAGGAACCGACCCCATAGCGAGCAGGGCAGGTGCAGGTGCAGGTGCAGGTGCAGGTGCAGGTGCAGGGCAGCTTAATTACAATTCGGACAGGCCTCGATATCCACTTCTGCTTCGTCTTTAATCGGACCTTTGGGTGTCACACACGGACCAGCTGCAGATTCAATTCACAAGGACGGACAGCATTAGGAACAGCAGAGAGCGTCGCAGCAGGGCGATGCCAATCCATGCTGTAGCACGCTGCCGGCGCCGCCGCCTCGTTGGTACGGGAGTCGATAATAAGCAGGGCTCCCCTCCCGTGGCTCCTTTTTTTTCTTTATTTTTCCCCATCCCCCATCTCGTCCGACAAGGGTCTCCCCAGCTAGGCCTTGGGCAAGGTGCCTGCATGTGGTTCCAGGCCAGGAACGCGAGCAAGCGAGGTCTGCTCACCCCACGGCTAACCCAAATCCGTCGCTCGAGGTGAGGGTACATAATCCGTATCTGCAGGCCCTTTCCACACAGACTCGCAGACACACAGACAGGAAGGAAGGATTGGGGGGCACGGTGATGAACAGATCAATTCCCCAACGGGACTGATAGACTGGGATCCAAGACGGTGTAAACAGAGCTGGATAATGGGGCCTTCTCCAAGACTAAGACCAGACCAGACCAAACCAAACGGGACCACACTGGACTGAGACCAGACCAAAGGAACGGGCCTTCTCGCGTGGCCCAGCACAAGTCCAACCCTCGCCCCGATCCGCATCAGAGACAATGGGTGACGAGCTCCAGTCGTCGGCCCCCCTCGAGCCAGGCCGTTTTGCTAGCTCGAACGAGGTCAAGCCACGCGGAAGTGCTGTCCAACCAGGACCTGAGATGAAGGACGCCACTGTAGGCCCCCCTAAACTCAACATCCTCGAGACGGACGTGGCAGTGTATCGATTGGTTCTCCAGGCTGATCAGCGAGGTTGCAGTTGGGACAAAATGAGGTTTCCTGCCGCAACCGTACAGTGCGCCTTTCAGGGGGGAGGAGACTGCTGCAGGGGTCTCGGGGGTCCTGGAAGAGAAAGCTGGAAGTCGCCCTGCAGAAAGAGGGATCCACTAGGCCTCGTTGGTTCCAGCTTCTTGTGATGGCCCCTAAAAACGTCGAATGACGACCCCGGCCTGTGTTCGCGACTCCAACTGCCAATTTCCTCTGCCGTTGATCACCAACTCCTTTCAGACACGCGAAGGTGCAATGAGCACCGTCCGGGTCCCGATCCTGGCTCTGGCCCTTTCATTGTCCCCATGTGATCTCTCCCCTTTGCAGTCGTACCGCAGGGGGCGTTGCTTGATCGGTTTACGAAGAGCAAATGGGACGGATGACACGAACGAACGACCTGGGGATCTTGCCTGGCCTGCATGGCGGAGAGACTTGCATCGTCACAGACGCCATCAGGGATTTGGGAAACAGCTCGCTGCTTCTTGTTTGTCCTCGGCCCAGACACAAACATCACCACAGCATGAGCCCTTGAAGCGGACAGTGTTCCCAAGCAGAACAACGCGTTTGGGCGCTGCAAAGTACAGTGCATGCAGGCCGGCAGGCTCACGACGCCAGCCAGCGGATGGCAAGCCCAGGAGACGCCCACGCGGCGTCGCATTCCCCCTGCTCATTTCCCTTGTTGGATCTAACTATCTCAAAAAGATTGCGAGCAAAGCAATCCTTGCGCCTGTCGGCTGCGTCTGCTTGGAGAGCTAGATCCGCCTGTCACTCGTCCCACTGCAACCCACCTGTCCCATGCTGCAGGGCCACTAGCCATCTTGGTCTCGCTGAGAGAGCTTTGTCATGATCGCCGGCCAGGTACTGTCTACTACTGTGCAATGCATTTCATATCAGCTCTGTTCGAGCATGGCGAAGCCATCTCGTCACGCTTATCACTGGCGCTCTGTATCCTGCCGGCATCTTTCCGGTGTCAGGGGCCTTGCAGCATGCCAGTAGGTATCCGAGCGTCGTCCGCGTACGTGCGCGCAGATTAGGGCTGCAAAGTGACAGGTCGGGAGGGTTGAGGCACGAACCATTTCCCTCCTTTCCCACGTGAATGAGATTTCTAACCTCGGGTGTCAATATGGTCTATCTCCTCTCGGCCAGGGCAAACACTTCGTATAATTCCATGCCCCAGCAAAGGGGCTTCGAGAACTTTTGGAAATCCCCTCGCAGACCCATTGAGAATGCTACAGTATACAGACGTTGGATGTGTCGCCAGGGGGGGAGAACAATCGTACCAGGTGAGGGTATGAATCGACTGGAACCTCTGCAGACTGCGTCAGTACGGAGTAGGTAGGCACGGCAGAGGAGGCCCAGTGCCGTTTCTGTCAAACAACGGCACAGACGAGATGAGGGTCGACATCTGCAGAGCTGGGTCCTCCGTCTGACCCAAGCGGTGCCAGGCAAATCGTTAGCAACTACTTGTAAAAAAAAAAAGCGGACGCGGCTCTCAAGGATTAGTTTGCTGGCGCGTTTCGAAACAAGGAACCTTCCCCAATACAGTGAGGCGCCCCTGCAAATCCCGCGGTGCACTTTCAGCCCGGCGGTGATGTGTTGCCAATCTTCCGCCCGATAGGCACCCAGCGAACGGTCACGGTGGGCGTTCATCAACTTGATCAGGAAATCCCCCGGGACATGCTTGCTTCGCGGACAAGGGTTTCTACAAGCTTGCACCCTCGTTCGGCCCATGGACAGGCCGTCTCTGGGACCGAGCAGGCTCTGGTCGTCTCGTTTCCCGGTTATTTACCGCCACTCCCGTGGGCTCCCAACAGATTCAAATGGAACGGTGACAATGATCTTGCTCCATGCTCCCACAGAACTGGTTTTAATCGCGTTTATGTGGAAAGCAGATCGTAACTAGTCGAGTTGCAGCAATGACACCAGACGGCGGCTCGGGAAGCGGTCCACTGCGGTCTCGAGGGTTGGTCCGTCCCGTCAGCCCCGTATCGGGCAGTGGGATGTCGGCCCTGGTGCAAAATGTTTTGGTGTGAGGGAATTGGAGCATCAGTTCTCAGACTGGGGCATTTTAGGTACCTAATACCCCGGCGAGGGCCGATCCTTCCGTGCTAAAGTTAGAGGCTGGGAGTCGAATTGCTCGGACGCGGTTTGCTAGGTAGTGAAGACTTGCTTCACTCGATCTGTCAAACGTTTCGAGCGATTCAGACAGGACAGGAGCACAACAATCAATGCGAGGTATCCAACCACGAGTGTGATACGAACTCCATTTCGACCACTTTATCTGAAATCCGTGCCGAATTCACAGTGGTGAAGACCTTGGTCATGGTGTGATATCAATCCTGTCATAATATCACATTCTTATTAAGGGGACCAACGTGCCGCACGATCTGACGTGCAATCTTCGGGTCGATGCGGGGTGCGCGGCTTGTTCTCATAACAGGTATGGAGTGTTGTGCACAAGAGGAGCGTGAAAGGAGACCTGGTTCTGGCCGTTTCTGCCTGTCATATCACATTGCTTATTGCGACGTTGGGCGAACGACACCCACCCACACACACACACACAATTACTTGTACACTTATTGCACTTCACACTACGGAATCATCCCCGGTTTCGTAGCTACCACACCGTTCGACCAAGTTGCACACCCACAGCACACAAGCGCGGAGGTTAGCTCCTGGCCGGCCGGTTGGGCAGAGGCCGTTCATGTCCCCCAACTCGGCCAGCCATCCAACCGTGCCAGCAAACGTTTGTGGAGCATCCGTCTACTTGAACCTACCACGACGTACGCCGTACGGTTCAAGCCGATCACCTTCCGTGTGCCTAGCCCCAGCTTACAACGCGACATGGCTCTCCCTGCCTGCGGCTTAGGTTCCGGCTGGCCAGATTCTCCCGGGCTTCAGGGCTTCCTCTGGTGAACCTGGGCGGTTGAAGGAGCGAGTGGCTCCGCAAATGAGATGCCGATCTTTCCTCACAAAAGGACTGCTACAAGGACGTCTCGTCAACCTAGTAAAGTATGTACTTGTATTCGGTTGGTCAGCTCTTCCAGGATCCTCGTGGCCAGGCTGGGCGTGGCCGTCCGAAGCTACTCGTCCGCCTGGTCGATTGTTCACTGTCAACTTGATCACGCCAAAGGAGGCGCGTTCATCGAAGCGAAGCCACTGGGGGAGGAGTAGATGCCAAGGTGGTGATACCTAGCAATGGCAAAGGTCTGCCTCGACCCCCTCGGGTTGCAGCATACAACTACAACGGACTTGCCCGTTGCATCACCATTGTCTTCGTCGCATGGCGTCGCATGGAGGTAACTACGTTTATGTGCTCGACTCAACGGTCGCATGCGCCGATCAACCCAAACGTGCAGCTACTGCATGCAAGTGCTTCTGCACTGCAGGCCCCCCGTTCATTTGTCACTTCATCTCAACTCTGCATACAGCCCATGCACCCGCCTGCAGCTAGAGCCTAAAATTGGGGAACACCGTGCTAGGGTTCTGGCCTGGCCTCGGGGGGCCATGCATGCATGCAGGACAGGTATGTGATCGGATTGACGACGGGCATCAGCCTTGAACAATCATCGATCTTCAATTGTTCATGACGAACACTTGCCGGGCTCACTAGGTGGATGCAACTCGCTTTCCCGCCTTGACCTATCCGCAATTGACTCTTCGTGTCCTCCGGCCAGTGGTCAAAACACCCGAATCTGGAAGCAGGATGAATGCGAGAGGGGGCCAACGAAGTGCTATCCGGGTTCGGCTGGGTGAACAAGCCCATGCATACCAGGTACCCTTGCTGCACAAGATACGAGCGCCCGTGCGCCGTGGATATCAACTCATCGTGGGGGAGATATCGCGAACGTGCCTCTCGATGATCTCGTCTCTCGACAACAGTACAATTACATTCCTTCTTCATGAACCCGGGGGAGGGTTCTCGAATATCCATGACGCAGTTGCTCGAGTACATCTCTTGGCCAGTAAGATCGAAAGGAACCCTTACGACAGAGCAACTCCCATCACCAGGCTTCTTGGTCTTACAGTTGTACTTGGAGTGGAAGCCCTCGACCTGTGACATGATCTGATGAGTGTGACCTTGAGTTTTGAGGGATATTGAGCATGTTGAGTATTTGAATCAACACATGCATGAGGTGAAGGGTTGGATGCTTCAGACTGCAAGCACTTCTTCGGAAGCGGGATGTACTGTTGACGAGTAGCTTATGGAATGTCGTCTCTTCAGAATCAGCTGGCTGCCACATTCAACAGACTGGTGAGCTTCCATTCCATGAACAAGATGAAAAAAGAACTGTTTCGCTTGCTCCGTATATCTCTAGTTTATGTAGATGTTACAAGATTTTACACAATTTTTCGTACAACCATGCTGCATCCCAACTCAGCTCATGCTTTCTATCCTGGCTATATCCGACATCTTGTCCACGGCGGTCAAGGGATACTTGTCCAGACTTTCATACCACTGGATGAGACTGCCGATCTAGAAAGACAAGACGAAAATAGATTAGTCTTCCCGCTTCAGCACGCAAAGGAATGAAAAGCACACTTACCAAGAAAGCCCACGACCCGATAAAAGTCGACAAGGTAGAGGCATATTGGATGGCATCCCTAGTACCGCCGAACCCGACGGCACCACACGCGGTAAAGCCCAGAGCGCCGATAAAGTTCCAGAAACCAATGTGCCAGCCGAGCACCTTTGGCGCCGGAAGCCACCACTTCTTCTGCGTCTCGAGCATGAAGAGCAGGCTGGACACGATGAAGCCGGTGCCTCCGATGACCTGCGATGCATGCAAAAATCAGCTCCGCCCCTGCAGAACGCAGTGATATCAAAAGGACTTGAGATATGGGGTCCACACGAACCTGAGGCAACCAGAAGATGCCGTTCTGCGCCGGCACGGACAGCGACGACAGAACGGGCGGCAGCCCGGTGAAACCCGAGATCCAGAACACGGTCGCGCCAAACATCTGCGACGAGCAGGCCAGGAACCCGATATCGCGGAAGTAGTGCGTCTTGAGCTCGTACCAGGTCGGCCACCAGGACCACGTCCGCGCCTGGGTCTTGGGCGACTCCTCGTCGGCGGCAGCCTCTTCGTCGGCAGCAGCGGCGTCCGTCTCCTGACGCGGGTGGTGGAAGAGAGACCACTTCGAGCGATGATGATGGGAGCAGTCGGCGCGCTGGCGCAGCACGAACCTCCCAGTCGCATGAGCAGTCGCCGCCGCCGCCGCCGACCGGCGCCTCTCCAGGGCGTCCTCGAGAGCCCACCCGAAGCAGTCGGAGCGGTTCTCGTTGACGGCCTCGAGCATGAGAAGCACGGAGCCGAACTCGAAGATCGTGGCGCCGACGCACGCCGTCACGCCGCCGCCCATCGTCGTCTCGCCGGGGAACTCGGTCCCGGGCGCGGCGAGCGGCAGCCAGACGAAGAAGGCGTTGATGACCCATACGACGGAACCTAGAGCGAGCCAACCCCCGTTTAATCGATCGAGCGTGGCAACAAGAGAGAGAGAGAGAGAGAGAGAGAGAGACAGAAGAGAGGAAAAGGGACTTACCGAGCGTGAAGACGACAGCGACGTCGTACGACACGTCCCACACGGGGAACCGCGCAAACATCTTGCCCACGCCCGCGAGGCACGGCCGCAGCGCGTCCGTGGCCGGCGGCACCTCGTCCGCCCCGGCCCGGTCGCGGTACGCGCGCGTCACGGCGACCGAGTGCCGGCCCTTGCGGTTGTCGCGGCTGCGCCAGACGTGGTAGACCTCGCCCTGCGCGCGCTCCGGGTGCTGCTCGCGCTCGCGCTCGCGCTCCCGCGGCGGGGACTCGGCGCCGGCGGCCGCGGTCTTGGCGCCGCCGGCGATCGTCTTCGCCTCCCCTTCTCGCTCGACCGGCAGGAGCCGGGTCGTCGGGTTGAGGAAGGAGACGGGCCCGGCGACGTGGCGCGCCGCGCCGACGCGGCCTAGGAAGTGCTCGCCCCTGCGGCGACGGCGCGAGCCTCGGCGCTGCTCCGACGTGGCCATTGTGCTGGTGTGTCAGGCCCAAGCGGTCGGGCTGGATATGTCCACGGAAGGGCGCCGCGCGGCACCTGCGGGAGTTGCGCGAGTTCTTTAGTGACGAGAATGGACTGACCCTGCCTGCATATGTGCGGCACGTAAGATGGACTGCTGACTGCGAGTATTATTGGGTCTGTATTTAGTATCTGTCCACCAATTGGCGAGAGACTTGGGTGTTTGGTTTGTCTTGGCAGATGTTTTTGTGTGTTTTGGCTACTTTGTTGTACTTGGGAATTGGCATTTGACGTCAGCAAATGGGAATAGTCAACTCTGTTTTGGTTAGTGAGTAGTGACTCAACTACTGCACTCGGCCGAACCCTTGTCGGAGCATCGGACAACTTCCGAACTTACACCAAATATGACTGATACATATATGTATGAAGCACTTCACAGAGCATGAATTGATATCAAAACATTTAGAACACCAGGTACTATAGTCCTTTACAACTCTGACTTAGTTGATATACCAACTCATCAACTCAGAAGATACAACATGCCCCCGCAAGACGCAAAGGCAGCCCTGGCCGAGGTAAAGGCCCTGACCTTCGACGTCTTCGGCACCGTCGTCGACTGGCGGACCACCGTGACGGCGGAGCTCCAGGCCGCCGCCGCCGAGAAGCTGCGGTCCGCGGCCTTCGCGGCCCTGCCGGCGGACCTGCAGGCCCGCGCCCGCGCCGCGACGCCCGAGGACTGGGCCGCCTTCGCCCAGGCCTGGCGCCAGTCCTACACGGACTTCGTGCAGGGGTTCGTCGCCGGCCAGACGCCGTGGAAGGACGTCGACGCGCACCACCACGACAGCCTGCTCGGGCTGCTCGCGGCGCGGGGGCTGGCGGGCCTGTACGCGCCCGCCGAGGCGCGCGCCCTGAGCCTCGTCTGGCACCGGCTCGCGCCCTGGCCCGACTCGGCGCCGGGGCTCGCGCTGCTCGGCCGCGCCGGGCTCGTGACCTGCGCGCTGTCCAACGGCAACCGCTCGCTGCTGGCGGACCTCGAGGCGCACGGCGCGCTCGGCTTCCGCCGCCTGCTGTCGGCCGAGGACTTTGGCGCGTACAAGCCCGACCCGAGCGTGTACCGCGGCGCGGCGGAGCGGCTCGGCTTCGCGCCGCCCGGCGGGATGGGCCGCGTGGCCATGGTGGCGGCGCACCTGGGGGACCTGCGGGCGGCGCGGGCGCAGGGGATGCGCACCGTCTACGTCGAGCGCGCGCTCGAGGAGGCTTGGGGCCCCGAGGAGCGCGAGGCGGCCAGGGACTGGGTGGACTTGTGGATCCCGCTCGAGGAGGACGGGTTCGTGGAGCTTGCGAGGCGGTTGGGCGTGGCTTGATGGCGTAGTCGTCACGGTGGCCCCTTTATCGTTGGATGGATCGGTGGCAGAGGGCTTGTGTGAATCTGCGATATCCTGCTCGTTCTCCTGGAAAGGAGGCCAAGGAGCAACATGTCTGGTAGACTTGATTTGAAATTGCTCATGATGAGGCCAACCGAGTTGCTACAGCGGTGATATGTGCCAGGCAACAGTTGTGGTACAACCGCCAACGTACGAGTTGTTGATCATTCAGACAATTTCCAGAAAACAGAACCAGTTCTACCGGGAGATCAGTCACACAGTCAACTCGTTTTGGATGGATACCTAGTGTGTACCATGTTCATACGGCACGGGGGTTGTAGGCGCCACCCACTACAGACCCTCTACTGCGACTCCCTTTCGCCGCGGCCTCGGGGCTTTAAAGGCCAGTTGATGCGGCTCGTCTAGAGGTGACTTTGGAAAAGCAAAGAGACACGGCACGCATGTGTCGAACCATGGCTTGAGAGCGGGGACGCACGAGGCGTGCGAGAAAACGCGGCAAGTCTGGGCGAGCCACCCGCGTGGGATAGAGAGGTGGTACACACGAGAGCAAACCTACGCAGCGAAGGGCCGGTGTGAGTTTCCTGCTGCATGCAACCCGAGGCCTGTGCTGGTATCAAGTTGAACAATAATACCTACAGACTTGTAGTCCCGGAGTAGAGCGGCAGTCAACATACTGGCGACACGCCCTCCTCGTAGAGTTATAGAATTCTGTCATGGCTGTGCCCACAGCTATACAAGTGGCACAACTTCGCACCTTCTGGGGGTGAGGTTTCACACCGTTACGTCTGCTATCTGGCAGCACAGTGACAAGGTGACACAGAAGCTGACATTGGTTGCCAAATTGGGCCGCAGAAACACAAAAGACGGGCTGAAAAGGCGGCTCGTATGCCAGAGCTGGGTAACGATCCAGAGCTGACATGTAACGGCTGCAGTCACGAAGAAGCAACGTAGCGCCAAGTACTGTCAAGTCGAGCAAACACGCGGCCGGGACCGGAACCGGGCCTTGACGAAGGAGACAGTCCAGATGGCAACACATGGCCATGGCTCACGGCCCGCGGCGAGCGAATGGCCACCATGCTTCCCGTCGAGGGAGGCAACAGGCACGAGGACAGAGTACGTGCAAGGGTTGCCGGATAAGGCAAGTTTGTGTGTACGAACGACTGTCTCTCGAAAGGGAAAAAAAGAAAGACTTCTGGTCCAGGACACGGTTTGCTCGGGCGGGCCTCCGGACGGTCCATTCATGCACGAGCATCAACCTGATCTCGGGCCTGAGGATCACGGCTAGACGCAGGATCGATCAGAAGATCTCGAGCGCGAACGGTGGGACTGTCATGTTTCAGATGCGCAGCCTTGACGGTTCAGATGAAGCATCCGATCCCCCCAAGCACAAGCAAGCACAAGCAAGCACAAGCAAGCACAAGCAAGCACAGACGTACGTGCACGCGCGGGTAAAAAAGACTTGCAGTCGTCGAGAGCCAGGAAGTGGGAAAAATACAGCGAGCGTCGCGGGGAAGGGCGAGCGAGTTCCAGGTCGAGTCGCCTGAAGAGGGGGCCTTTCCGGATAGCTAGCCGAGGGACGACACAGGCTGGCTGTGACACACGAGGTATTTGAAGTCGCCTCAGGACGGCTCGACAGACTCCGGAAGAAGGGAGAGGGCCGCCTGTAGCAGAGGGTGTGAGCCTGTGTGCTGTACCGTGGATCTTCCCAGGCCAGCGAGAAGATCGAAGGGGGACGAGGACGAGATGGCAAGGCCCTCGTCAGCTCTGGCTCGTCTTGTTCTTTTTCGGTTTCACGTGGTGGACGGTGGCAGGAGCCGGCTCTGGATCATGTCACAGTCAGGTGGTATTTGTCGAGGATGATCGTCTTTTTCGCGGGGTAGCTTGACGATGTCACTGGTCGTGCCGTGCTGTGCCTCTCTGTGCTTTACGCCGAAAGCTCACCGGATACAATTTTGCTTGTGATAATCCTGTCCAGAAGCAGAAGAGAGGGAGCAAGACAGAATGAAAGCTGGTTGTGGTTGGCGAGCTGGACATGGTCGCATGTCGTTCGCTGTCATGAGGGAGGATGGATGGATGGAAGATCGATCCCTCGTTCGTCCTCTCAAAGAGGTACGTACCTACAGCAGGTCCTGCACCTCGACGAAGCCTCCCCACATCTTCTGCCACAAAAGAGTCCAAGAATGGCCGTTCTTGGACATGGCGTCCGGCAAGCACAGATCAGAGCTGGCCCCAAGCACACATCGCCCATCACAGCACTGCACAGAGCATCAGACAGACCCATCCGCCCCTCCCTGAAGCTGGCTGTCCCGGTGGGGATCAAACTGCCCGTTGGGAAGACCAAGCACCGTCCTGGTTAGTGCGAGTGGGCGGGTTGCAGGATGGTGTATCCGCTTTCTCTTGTTCCCGACAGACTCCTTCGACCACGACGGGTGACGCTCCTCGCGAGCTGCATAACGTGCTCCGTACAGGTTCAGCGACGACTCAGGTGGCTGCAGGCCTAGCGGCATTGGATCGGTGAGCTCCTGCTCCGTACGTCGACCTGCTTTGGCTCCGTCCGTATGGGAATGGGGAACAGCGCAACATCGTGTCTCTCCGTGGCTGTCCCTCGCTCCATCACGACACCACGACCCCCCTCTCTCTTTCTCTCCGCCTCTCTCTCTCTGCGGTATGATGGGGTATCACCGCCGGGAATGATGAGGAAGCTCTCAGAGAGGTGCGTGTATCTGTCTATCTATCTATCCACCTAGGTCCCTAAGATGCGCCCGTGCTGCCAAGCCGTCTGGATGCCGGCCTGCACTGCCTACCTACTTACCAACGTTAGTATACGGTCTGGCCTTTCACGCAACTCCATCGATCCCATCCCGTCCCTCTCCCGCAGAAACAAACTGCTCCGTCAGACAACAGGCTAACCCCGGCATCCATGCTCTCTCGTCGTCTTAGTTGCAGGTTGCTTGCTCTAGCAATGCTGCACGGACCAGACGCCCGCAAACCGTCGCTAAAGTACCTAGGTACTCTAGTTACGTCCCGCATGGGTTCTCGCGGCGCGACGCTGGTCTGTGTTTTTGGGTGTGTGGTTGGTTGGCCTGCCTGCCTGCCTGCCTGCCTGCCTGCCTGCCTGCCTGCCAGAGAGGTCCCGCGGACAGCGACTTTTCCTCGCTCGCAAGGTAGTTACAAGTAGACCAGAGACCGGGGCAGGCCAAGACAAAGTGCCATCCAGGGCGCGGTACTAGCAGGCTTCGGGCTCGTTTTAGCGCTCTCTAGGCGGGCTTGCTAAGGCAGAGACCCTGGGCCATGTCAGAGCATGCCCAGTCAAGTAAGGAATTGGAAGTACCAGGTGCAGCTAGTTCCCTTGCAGAAGTACTTGCAGCTTTAGTAGCCGGATGGGGCATCCACCAGAGCTCTCCAGCGCTCTTCGCACCCTCCAAGTGCAGTGGGTGCCGCTGCTGCAAAGGCCCCGCCATCCAGCGAGCCGGCCAGCCAAAGGAGCCCACCGGGCCTGCAGCCAGAAGTCGTCCGTCAATGCTGCTTAAGTAGGTATGAGGTGGAAGTTGAGGGACAAGCAGGGTGTTCATCGTGCTCAATGCTGGTGCTGGTGCTGATGCTGCTGCATCATCTGCATCTGCATGGGCCGCCAAAGTACCCCTGTGATCCTGGGTTTTTGACCTCTGCAGGGAAGTTACTTATTGTACCCCAAACCCATCTAGGTATGTCTTCCCACTGGAATAGGTAGAGAAAACTTTTTTGGTTTTTTTTTATCACAGTGACAAAGGTGTGAGATTACATGCAACATGGAATTTACACCAGCCATCCGGACCGGGTCGAACCGGCTTTTCATCGTGTTTCGTCACAGGACACCTGGATTGACTTTCTTTGCCCACCTGTGGTGGTGGTGTGTGTGTGTGTGTGTGTGTATGTGTCTGGTGCTGTTTTGAGGATATTTTCCCCAGCCTTTTTGGCCAGAGCCGTTCCCGTCTTTTGACCCAGTTGGCGGTCTCCACGGGTATCAAAGCTTCCCAGCCCACCTGCACCAAGCCTACACCCCTCTCTCCCATCCCCAATTGAGTTGAAGGTACTCCGTACAAGCTCGCTCTCTTGTCGAGCAAAGTCTGGTGTCTTTTATCCACCATCTTAGGCAATCCAGTCAAGACTCTTTGCCTGAAGTTCGAGCCTCACGATTGTTTCGGGCCCGGGCTTGCTGCACATCATCATCATCATCATCATCATCATCGCCATCGTCCCGGATCAACCAGAGAGTATTCCGTCTGTCTGCCGTCCAGAAGGGGACGTGCCTGTTCCGAAAGAGGACGACAGACACAGAGAAGGGAAACCATTTCACATTTCACTCCAATCCCTTCCCACCACCCATCCTGAATCTGAACCAAAGTACACTCCCCCCACCCCGTCCTGGCCTTGGGTTCAAGTTCTCTCGTCTTGCCCTTGGGTAGCACGGGTGGGTAAGCCCTTCCCGTTAGGGGGTTCGCCCAGGCTCCTCCAGCTTGGAGACGAAAAATTCAAGGCCCCAGCCAGAAACATCAAGCTCCTCTCCCCCCTGACCTCATCACATTGCGTACGGGAAGAGGTACCTACCTCCAATCCCCCGCTCGCTCGAGTCTTTGTTGGCACCTCGAGGGAGGAGAACAGAAAATAAGTACCTTGACATAAGATAATTTTTTTTACAAAAACAGCGACCGGTATACCTACTACAGGTACCTAGGTAGTTGCCGACCCTTCCCCTCCCACTTCGCAGCACCAAGAGTACCTAGCTCCCTAGTACCTAAGCGCAGCAGGAAATAGCACCAGAGCAACATTGGACAGACTCTTCTTCCCAGACGACCTTCAAGCTGGGTCCGTTCTTTTCGAGCAGCTCCCGCCCGCCGGTCTGTCGATCGCTTGTGCCTTGCGAACCACAAAAATACTCTCTTTACCCCTTCTCGACAAGTCTTGTTTTGGGGGAGGGGGGAGAGAGGCTGCTGCTGCGTCACCCTTGTGTCCAGCCCACGGTGCCCAGGTGCCCCGGAACCCACGAGCGAGAGGAAAGCGAAAAAGGGAAAAACATCGGTAAAAAGTGCGTCTTTTATGTTTTCCACCCGCCGCCGCCGCCGCCGCAACAGGGAACTGACTGCAAGGGAAAGGAAAAGGCAAGGGGTGTGTGTGTGTGTGCGTGTGTGCGTGTGAAAGGGCATATTCGTGCTAGTGTGGTCTTCCCGCCGCCCAAAGTCGAAGACAACTCTAATGACTTGTACCGACCCCAACCGTGAGTTAGTACTCTAGATACAAAGTAAAATCCCGCCGTCCATAAAGTACCGTAAGGTTAGGTAGTTGGAGGAGTAAGGTGAAGCAAGTGGAAGTGATCTTGGGTGCTTTTTACTTTTGGCTGCTTGCTGCTGCTGCTGCTGCTGCTGCTTCTTCTTCTTACCTACCTTACCTACCTAGGTACCTACCTTAGGTATTACTCTTCGCTGGCCCTGCTGGCTGCGACATGCTACGACGCTGTTACCATCAATCGGGTTCGCGCCTCCGCTTCGCCTAGGCCCTGTTGTTCCGGTATCATCTCTCCCTATCTTTTTGCACAAGACGCCTAATCAAAAGCTTAGGCGTGCCCACTTTACTCCACCTCTCCTCGCAATCCTCACTCTTCAGCAACAGGAATCCCACCACCTTCACTACCACAAGCAAACGACCCCCGGCTGCTTCCCAATTTCACATTTCTCACCTCTGGCCGGCCCTGGACTGCAGCCAGGAATTTCCGTCGCCTCCTCCTCTCTTACCACTTTTTCTCTGACATCATCCACCATTCACCCGCGCACACGACGCCTGCCTGTCCGGGCTTCACACTCAAGCAAGCTTCTCTCTTCCAGCAGTCCCTCGGCCAAAGTCCTGGCGTGCCTGCCCACTGTCGCCGATCATCATGGCGGGCAAAATGGTTCTGTACAAGCTGGTGGTGCTGGGAGACGGCGGCGTGGGCAAGACGGCCCTGACGATCCAGCTCTGTCTGCAGCACTTTGTCGAGACGGTAAGTCGATGAAACCCCCTCTCTCATTGCCTCGGTCGCTGAGCCTCGTCGGCCCTCTCCCCCCCGCGGCGCCCTCAAACTGTTGCTGTTCCCTCGGGACTCGGCGCCCGCCTCCCGCCCCCAAGGCGCACCGTCTTTGTGCAGCATTCATCGTCTTCGGCATCTCGATCCCCGCACAGGCTGACATGGATTCGATATAGTACGACCCGACGATTGAGGACTCATATCGCAAGCAAGTGGTCATCGACGGGCAAGCGTGCATGCTGGAGGTGCTCGACACCGCAGGCCAGGAGGAATACACGGCGCTGCGGGATCAATGGATACGAGACGGGGAGGGCTTCGTGCTGGTGTACAGCATCTCGTCCCGGTCGTCCTTCTCGCGCATCAAGCGCTTCCACAACCAGATCCAGCGGGTGAAGGAGTCGACGGCCTCGTCGCCCTCGTACCCGGGCTCCCCCATCGCCGTCGTCAATTCCCAGGCGCCCGTGCCCATCATGCTGGTCGGCAACAAGAGCGACAGGGTGACGGAGAGGGAGGTCTCGACGCAGGAGGGCCACGCCCTGGCGCGCGAGCTGGGCTGCGAGTTCGTCGAGGCGTCGGCCAAGAACTGCATCAACGTGGAGAAGGCCTTCTACGACGTGGTCCGGATCCTGCGCAGGCAACGGCAGCAGGCGACGAGGCCAATGGCGCCGACCAACCGCACAAAGACCACGGGCAGCGACAGGTCATCAGGCCACCGGGGGGACGACAGGCCGTACCGGGGCAGCGGCAAGCGGGACAAGAGCAAGTGCGTCATCCTATGAGCAGCGGCGGCACCGCGGCTGCGATCATCGAGAAGAGCCTGCGTCCTCCTCCGCTGCCGCCACTCGGCGCCTTGCGGACGGACATGTGTGTGTGTGTGTGTGCCAGGACGACGCGGGCCTTTATTCACGAGCTGGAAACGGCCGCACGAGAAACTCTACATTGACGATACGAATACGAACCTCCTCCGACGAACTCTTTCTGGCGTTGCATTACCAACCTTTTTTTCCTATTCCCCTCGCATTCTACTACCTCTTCCATCCATCTCTACATGAACCCGCTACCGATTTTCTCAACGTGGCGAACGGCGTACGATCGAAAAAGAAAAGTGGCATCGTTTTGGGCGCAGGAATCTCATGTCCCTTCCTCTGAGCTGAAAGACCGGAACGGGTCGGGGTCGGGGTCAGGCCGCAAAGACTTTTTATTCCACCAAAGAAAAAAGAGATGATGATTCCGAGATCTCAAACTGACAACTAGCTATCGGTGTTTTGGAGTCCGGATGTCCCCTGGGATTTTGGCGCCCTTGTCTATATAAAAAGAACCATTTTTTTTTTTTTTGGCATTTTATTTATTTTTCCAACTCCCTTCTCTCTGCCAAACTTTTTTGGTGGTGGTGAATCGATTTACACTGGGGAGGGATTTCCTGATCGCTTCATTGCGGGGGTGGGAAGTGGGGAGGGGGGTTTTATGGGTGTTGCAAGCATTGTGTCTCTCTCTCTCTCTCTGGGTGCCCAAAGCTGCCCACTGCTCACATGAAAGGCAAAGGAAAAAAAAGGGGAGAGGGGGAAAAGAGAGGAGGGAGGGAGGGGGGGGGGACCGGCGCTCAGCTTTTCGTTCCCCCGATCAAAGGGGACGCCGGGCAAACAGGAGCAAAAAAGAGGGAGGAACAACGACTTTTGCTTGCTGTTGCATATCTAACTAACTAAAACCCAGCATTTTTTGGAATTTATACGAGGTGATTCGTTCTTTGCGAGGCTAGAAGACCACCACGCCCCCTTCCTTTGGATTGGGCAAGACCAAGGCGGGAGGGATGGGTGATTTATATCGCTTCGCCTTTCTCCCTCTCTCCCTATCAATAAGTGAATCTGTGAACCACACCCCATGCACACACACGCACGCGCGTGCGTTGAATCAAAGAAAAGGGTGCCCCAGCCAAACGGAAGAGTCGAGAGAGAGGCTGGCTTGACCACCACTCTGCGTCGAGGGGTAGCCGCCAGGATTTCGGCAACCTACCTACCTAGCCCAGCGGCTCTCTCTCTCTCTCTCTCTGTCTCTCTCTCTCTCGTTGTGTGTGTGTGTGTGTGTCTTGTCTCTCTCAAAAAGCTGAGGACGAACCGGGAAAAGACCAGCATCCGGCATCCATTGGCTTGCCGCGCTGATTGATGTTGCTTGCCCTGCCTGGTCTGGCGGCCGTTTGTCGCTTAGCAGTACCTCCATCTGGGATAGCTAGCTCTATGGTCTAGTTACGGTCTACCAGAGTCGAACGGGGGACTGGGGGAGGTTGGCCCCACCCTGGGAGGCGGGAAGCTATGGCACCATTGATTGATAGTTAGTTACCTTGGGTTGGGTAGTTCTTCTCGTCATCAGCATTCCGAGGTACACCTTTTTTTTTGTTGCTTCGTGGTTCTTCCGGGACCACTGTCAGTGATGTCCTCTTTCCTTTGCGAGATGTCTTGATGTCTTTGACCCAAAGTTTCTTCTTTTCCCCACCCCTTCGTTCACTACAGGTACATACCTTTTGTGTGAAACCGACTCAGCCTCATTCGTTCCATCCATCGGTGTCCGCGACGGGTTTCGACGAGAGTTACCTCCTGTGGAACCCACAAGGCGTGTGTGTACCTACAAGTAAGAGAGAGAGAAAGAGAGAGAGTGTGTGTGACACCGTTAGGCACGGAAGGGGGCGGGCGGGCGGTGTTGTTGAAGAAGAAGTACACATAGTTACAGCAAGCACAGCGAGACGCGCGGGCCGTTTCGGCGGGAGAGATACGCGCGAGGGGGGGGGCTTGCTTGCTTGGTTGCTGAAGAATAACTTACATGTACCGTACCGAGAGCTTCCGCGTGGCGCGCGGGTGGGTGGGTGTCTTGCATTCGGCTTCTTTCTTCTTCTCCTCTCTGATACGGGGTTTCGGGTGTCTCTAATTTGCACGATTGGTGATTTGTTCTAATCTAGTTACGTTTTGCCTGGCATACCATTCTTCCCTTGCAAGTGACCTACCCTACCTTAGTCTAAGAAGTGGCAAGGCTACCTTTTCTGGAGGCAGCCACCGACGTAGGTGGTGTTCCTGGCGGTGATGATGATGACGACGATGGCAACAGGACCTCTTTTGTTGGTGCTTTTGTTCATGATGTTGTCTTTGTGGCTTTGGGGAGGGGCTGGACTAATGGTATTTGGCGATGCCCGCCGGCCCTGCCTGTAGAGCTGGTACGTGTAGCGGCAGTGGCTGGCTGCGCGGCCAGAGCCGGCTATGATGCCTTAGGTTCCTCCAACTGTGATAGAAGAGTTGAAATCCCGCCCGAAGGAAGCCGTTGCGTTGGCTTGTTAGCGTGCTGCTGCTACTGCTGCTGCTGAGATATGCTGTAACTAGTATGGCATCATCCCAGCTGAGCTGGAAGCGAGCTTTTCTACCCAGTGTTGTGCAGTTAGTTGACTGTTGAGTTCCTGCGTCCCCCCCCCCCACTCCACAGCTGTTGTTGGTCCCGTCCCCATCGCCCACTTTGAGAGCTGACGTCGGGGTGGCCGTTAGTTAGCAAGATTGGGGGGGAGAGGGGGAGAACAAGGTCGGGAACGCCTTGGGGCTTTTTCCAATAGTCTGGACGCAGGTACGAAAAAGAAGCTAAAAAAAAAAAAGACATGTAAAGGGCCCGAGATCTGAGCCGCAGATCCTCCTGCAGATCAGGCTATGGGGGCGTGAAAACGTCTTGTTTAGACGACCTTTCGTGCAAAGCCCCATCGCAGATAGTTCTGCGAACCAACTGCTACATGCAAAAGGCCTCTTCTTTCGCTCTCTCCTCTGATGCTTGTGCTCTTCCAGCTCCCCCCATCAGCCCTTTTCGTGGTTGCATATGATGCAAGGCCTTTGTATCAGGGCCAAAAGCCACCGGGGGGCAGTCCCCTCATCCTATTTTTTGTCCCTCAGCCTCGCTCGTTCTGGTTCAGCTTGTTCTTCTCGACAGGTTGGGCTACCTACGGAGTAGATAGAGCCCGGTTGCAAGAAATGCGAACTGCATCAACCACGTTCCAACCCTCGCTTCCACCGAGCCTTTTCCCGTCGTGGGACTTTTGACATTATTGCCTTTAACCCTGACAGTCATGACTACTAGATAGCCAACACCCACAGTAGGTAGGTAGGCCGTAGCAGCTCTGTTCAGCTCTGCTGGACGCTTGAGGTGGGGGGAGCGGTCTCCTCCGAAAGAACTAGACCGACACTAAAGGCAGCCCGACGCCAGCGGTCCGCCGGGCGCTGTGGCTAGTTCCTCGTCCGCCTGCCGGCCACCGGCCGGGGCAGCTCGGGTGGCGGAGCACGACTGGAGCAATCCCCATTCCTACAGTTCCGTACGGGCCACTTTTGTTAATCTAGCCGGCGTTGGTTTTATCTTCAAAACAGGATCCGCCACTAAACAAACGCAAGGCACCGCCAGAGAGATGCGGACTGACACTCCTCGTTGGCGGCCCCAACTACTTGTACATGGTTTGCTTCTACGCAAAGCGTGCCTTGTCCACCATTGTGCCCAGTGCTTCCTTTTTCATCTAGTTACAGGGCTAAGAGCTCATTGCCTTCTCCAGGATGGAAGACTTGAGCGCTGCTAGGATGTGCAGGTCTGATTGGTCCGGATTCCTGACAGTTCTTTTCCTCCTTTGACCGATCGATTTCTGACGACGCAGGACACGCTTGGAGCGCAACCTGGCATGCATGAACAAACCAGGGTTGCTGCTGCACATCCCTTCCGCGGGGAGATAGCCTCGGCCAACATGCCTTTTTGACCGATGATGGGACCGGGGGGGGGAGGGGGTGTGTATGCGGCGGCATTGACAGGGCATGCACTTGCGTGCTTCTGGCCACGGGTGGCAGATCGTCATTACGAAGAGTCCGCGGACCCCTGCGACGGGCAAGTGTGTTTGTGTACCACTTGTACGTTCTGTCCAACTAGTTACCTGGTCAATTCCATCACACCAACACACCAGACCAGAGTGCTCAGTAGGGCTGCTCGATACCTACTCAGGTACCTACCTACATATTGTACGACCGCTGGAGAGGGCTTCAGCCAGGCAGGGGTGGACAAAGCCGGAATCGACGGTTCTTCCTCTTTCCTTCTGCTTGACCAGGAGGGGGGGTCCAGCACCGGCTCTCTTCCGGGATGTGGCAGCAGGCAAACTACTGGTCCTTGCAAGTAGCAAACCCCCCAACGGTCCCGGCCCCCCCATGTATGCATCGCATTCTTGACCAATTTCGGGGACGATGGGGCTGGGCATCTTTCGTGTATGTGGGTGGGAGCGGCGCCGTTTGAGCTCGGTGGATCTCGACCCTGGCTGCTGGGTTGCCTGACTTCTTCGACTTGTAGTCATTCCGCTGTTCTCTTTTGCATGGTCTGTCCAGTTTGCAGTTTGCCCTCTCGTTTTGCTTGCCCACCCCCCTTGTCTCTCTGTCTGTCCATCATGGTTAGGCATATATTGCTTGCGTTGCTCTGCGTGTCACCCACAGTGTGGTGAGGGCACGTGCGGTGGGTGGCCTTTTCCCAACGGTGACGACGACGACGACGGTCAGAGAGAAGTATATCATGAACTACGGGACTGTGACGACACATCTCCGAGGCCTCCAGATCTCTGGAGCGGATCACTCGTGCTCTCTACTTGTACTACGTACGCACGCGAGTCCTTCCGAAAGGTTGAAGCGGTGAACCTCGCCCTCAGTTATGAGACAATTGCCTGACCGGTGTACTTGTGCCTTGATGTGGATTCTCAAAAGGGATCCCGGTGAGATCCTCTCCCCGAGGCCCTGGTAACAACCTCTTCCGGGATGTGCTTCCGGTGCGGAGACTCTTTCTGCTTCCCACTTCCTCCCTACGAATTACAAGTCACAACTTTTCCACCAAAAAGACGGAGCGAGTCAAAAGGCCCTTCTTGAGAAATTAGCATTGCTGTCTTGCTTCCAAGCGACCAACTGCCGAACGGATTCGGGCCCTCCCTGTCTCTGGTCGATCACCCGCTCCCCCCCGAGAGGCACACTGTCCTCCTCGGTCCCCCCCTTATCCTCTCCCCACGCTCCCCCAAACGCAAATCCCTGGGTCCGAGATGGAGCATACGCACGTAGATGGCTGCGATGCAGGCCCTTGCCCGAAACAGAACAGATAACAAGAAAAGGAAAAAGAGGCTCCATCCATCCAGGAAGCAAGCGCCAGGCCGCGGCCCGCGTCCCGCGTCTCGGCGGCCATAGGGAGGGGGGGGGGGGGGGGGGGGGGGGGGGTGTTAGAGCACCCTCCCCATTCTCTTCATCCTTGCATCTGTACCTCTCACACACTCTCTCAGAGGCTGTCCAGGGCTCTCTCTTTGGAAACGGATGCGGAAGGTCGCTACCTAATCAGAAAGAGCAACAGTCCCATAACTATGCGCTCTCTTCCATCCCAGGCCTGCCCGCTGCCTCTTGACAGGCGCCTCTCTCTGCTGAGAGGACCGCAGCGATAGCCGGGGTGAGTTAGGTCGACAGGTCCGCGTTCTCGGACTCGGCACGCATAACTATCTTGTCTCGTCTGATTCGCGAGCTGCTCGTCTGTCGACAGTGGTGGTTTTGTACACTGGTCAAGGTAGGCAGAAGAGAACTCCGCCTTCTCCGCTCTCATCTGTTTGAGTTTGGGGACAAGCTTCTGATACCACTTTCTCACTTGCTTCCCCTCCCCCCTCTCTGTCTCTCTCTCTCTCTCCGACGCTGCAGACCTTCTCGATGCAGACTAGCATGGCCCAGACTGCGACTCTTTTTTTTGGGCGGCGGGCATAGAGACTGAGATATAAATGCGTGAAGCTGCAAGTGCGAGCTGCATATATCACACATCGCACAGGAGGGAGGGAGGGAGTCCTTGGTCGGCGATGGCCTGCAGCACGCCGACTGTCTTCCGTCTCTGTCGCCTGGCCTTCCCACAGCACAGCACAGCGACAGACAGAACTACAACATCCCGGAATCCGGAAGCCGAAACTCTCGCCCCGTTCCCTCTTCTCGCCCAACGCCAACGACATTTCCTGACATGTGCACGGCCCATTTTCGGACCTGCCCGCTCCAAGATTTGGAGGTCCCATCAGGGAAGAAGAAGAAGAAGAAGAATGGTCGCCCAACTGCACAGAGCTCGAACGGGGGTGAGCAGTGAGAGAATACAAAGTCCCTCCCCTCCCCTTTCCCCCCCACACTCTCCCGATCTGGAAGAGAAAAGAGAAACGCAAACCCCCACGCCGGCCCTGGCGGAGCAAGATGCCTGTCCAAATCCGCCTCACCGGTTTCCAGTCTCCCTGCACGGACTGTCAGACGTTACGATGCGAATCTGACGTACGTCAACAAGGGGAAGGGGGGAAAAAAGCAGCGGGTAGTGGCACGACCGAGCCCAAGACCCCTTTCCGTTCTGCGTGGGGGACGGACGGGAGGATGGATGGGAAGAACTTGGCCGAATGCCGAATGATGAAGGCGAGGCCGTGCCCTACACGGTGCTCACCGCGCGCGCCGGCCCTCGTCACGGGTCTTTGCCGCTGAGCCCCCCTCCCCTATATGTGCGCGAAAGGGAATATATACCTCAAGAAGGGGGACTTTCCCCGATTGCTTGTGGGAAAGTGCCGGGCGCTTCTGTCCTGCCGGTCGCGTGTGTAACCCTTCTCCTCTTCCTCCATCGTGCGGGTCGACTCGACCAGTGTGTCTGACGTCTCCCCCCCGAGCCTCGGTGTGAGACACAAAAAAGAAAAAGTGCCGTTATGGGTATGTAGGGAGGAGGAGGGGGATCCTTTCCAAAGTTCCAACGGCAGGAGCACACCCAGATCTGCGGAACACACAAGTCAGTAGTCGCCGTATGTACATATGTATGTATGTACATCGGGCCGCCCTCCCTCCCGGCCCCTGAGAGGCGGATTGAGAGATGCTGGGAAGGCCCCGTTCCCTTCCGAGGAGCAGTGCTCGGCTGACATGCTCTGCTCAGCTAGGTAGGTCTAACTACCGGCTCACTAGACCGATGGCATTATGCGGCTCGTGTGGTCTCGAAGCCGGCGGATGCTTTTCGAACCGCTAGGAGTCAGGCCGAGGCGGCGGCCCCTATCATTCATGTGGCCCTCGTGCAGAGCAAACCGTCAGCAGTTTTCCGGTGCTGGTGTCCGGAAGTCGCGAACAGCAACGGGGGGGGAGGGGCCTCGTTTGAGATTCCTCAAGGGGTCCAGACGAACGCGACAGTTGGCCGCTCCGGCTCCCGACTGGATCAATGGAGCGGTTGGCTCGTTCAGAGATGTCTGTCTGTGCCGTGGCGGTTGGTCGTGCATGCGTCAATAGCAAGTGCGCGGTGGCCTGCCCGCTCGCAAGATACATCGCGTCTTCCAGGCATCGTCACGTCTTCCCATGAAGCTAGTTGCTTTACCTGAATCGCTCATGCTCCTGTTTCTCTCTCTCTCTCAACTAACTAGGCAGTAAGTAATTAGACTACTTAACTTCAGAGTGATTCGGGATGTCCTTCCCTCACGGCGAGCCACGTCCAAGTGAATCCGACTCTTCTTCGTCTAGACTTTTGACAACCCATGATCATAAACCATCGTAGTACTTGCCTGTCTCTCTGCCCACTGCTGCTGAAAAGTCCACCAGATAAAATACCTTTTTGATGATGGGCATCGCCTGTCCCTGCCCCTGTCCATTGACCAGTCCCTCGATAGATCACGGCGAGAGCAGAAATCGGGGCGCGCGTATCGATCCCGATCCGAGAGCAAAAGAGTCATATGTCACGCGCGTCCTCGGCAGACCCCCCAACCCATATCGCCCCTAGACTCACACACAGACCGGCATCACCACAGGATCTCGGCAGTCGCAAGCAGGCTCGATCATCTTCAGCAGCGCGCAGCAGCCGCAAGCAGTCCGACCCGGCCCGGAACTTCGACAACCAACCAGGAAAACACACAAAACACACACACGCGCGCTCGGGGGGCGTCGGTCACCAGCCCAGCCAGTGCCTTACTCGGCCCTCCGCCCTCTCCCCCTCGCCGACAGCTTCCATGCCACACAGAGGCAAACCGGTCCCCCCCCTTTTCCCCCGATACCTAGGTACCTACCTAGACGAGAGATTCTTTGCTCCTCTCTCGTTGCATCTCTCCCTCGCCCTTTCCCTTTTTTTGTTGTTGCTCTCCGCCCTCCAGACAAGCAGAAATATGTCGCAGAGCAATTAATTACACACCGACATGGGGCCAGAACAAAGTGGTCTCCCGGATCTGTGCCGACTGGGGGCAGTCAAGTGAGAATTGGGGAGAGCGCAGGTGGCTGCACATCTTTCTCGGTAGAGCTGGAGCGCCCAAGATACCCGGGAGGGGAACAAAAAAAGGAAAAGAGCACCAAGATCAGCAGACAATCGCACAACACACGCATCGTCGCCACTTCACGATGGACCATCAGATACACACACACCCGGAGAGAGAGAGGGAGAGAGCCGAGGAACAATCACAAGTCTATTCCATCGAAAAGATAAATCCGTCTCGCTCGCTATATATCGTCGACAACGCAATCCAACGGCAATCCATCGACCTTGAGAAGAGATGATCAGGGAGCAGCGGCCGCAACATGAATAGCTTTGGCATACGTCGTACGTCAACCGTCAACAGTGTAAGCACTAGGTAGTAGTAGTCATCCCAGCCAGTAAGAGAGAAAAAAAGAAACAGTGATAGTCCAGTGTCGTTTGAACGTGCCTGAAGCACCTGGTCCGAGTTCGAAAAGTGTATCCCCAAAGTTTGTACGCCAGGCCATAAAAGAAAAAGCTCAAAAAATATCAGAAGGCTCGGCTGAGGGGTCGTCGTCTCTCCGAGATCAATCAAGACCCCTCCCACCCCTTCTTCATGCTATCCACACAGGCGACTGTTTGGTAGCCAAAGCAGCTCGTGGAGGGCATATTTAAACAACCGGGGCATCACGCGGTCATCTCCATCTGCGCTGGCGTGTTTGACAAGGCAGATTGATGCCGGTCCTGTCCTGGTTCCGATGGAGAGAATAGGTACTGTAGAAGCGAAGATTTTGTGTGTGTGGTATAAAAAGAGATGTCCCGCGGAGGGACCAGAGACGAAAATCAGTGTGTGATATGGCATTACATTCAGTTGTCGTTCGTGGCATGCTCATCCCCAAAAGGACTGCGCTCGCGGCCCGAAGAGGTCCCGAGAGTATTCCTCTGGGATGCTCTCCTGGTGGCCTCTTCGATCACCGCGCTCAGGCTGCCTGTGCTCTTGTGTCCTTTGTGCGCGGGAGGGTCTGAGAAGGGCCCTTGATCGGGTGATGGCGAATCGTCGATCAAAGTGACAGCCGCCGAGGCTCTTGCCTTGTTGTTTGGTGAGGTGGATGCCGAGTTGTCCTCATCGGCCGATTCGGCCTCCTTGACAGTGCCAATCTGCTTCACCTGGCCACTGCCTACGCGTACGACCTGTGGGCGAGCAGTCATGGCGGTGTGGGCACTGGCGTTGTTCAGGAAGGTAGATCCAACACTGAATGTGCTGCCAGCGGGGCTGGGAGGCCGGGCCACCTTGTTGTACTTTTCGTAGTCTACAGAGGGAACGGGGGGAGTGCTGCCGCCCGATGCCGTCGTGGCAGCCGACTTGACGCTGACCATGGCCGGGCGAGCGCGCATGCCAGTCTGTGCCGGTGCGACAATGACTGCGTTCTTGCCGTAGATGGTCGAAGCGATACTGGACCGAGGTGCATACGACGTGCGGGCATACGACGTCCTGTCGGAGTAGCCCGACAGAGCAGAGTAGGTCGAGTCGCGGAGGTCGCCAGGGACGAAAAAGTGCTGCTCCTCGCCGGTAGCCGAGGGGCTGCTCGCCTGGGAGACAGCGATAGGGATTGGGGGAACAGGGGGGACGAGAAGGGTCGGGGAGGTCGGGGTCGCGCGGTTGGTGACGCCGGGGATGTAGGCGATCTGGATGATGTTGGAGGCCCGGGTCAGGACGGTCGAGGCGATCGAGTGAGCCGTGTGCGTCGATGAGCGCTGGTCTCTCCTCGCGGCAAACGACTTCTCGGCTTCCATCGCGGCGGTGTCGTGCTCCTCATCCCATTGCTCGACCTCCATGGGCTGTCTCTTGGCCTTGATGCAGAACCTCCAGACCAGATAGGTGACGGCCGCAATGACGACCAGGCCACCAATTACGCCACCCGCGATGGCACCTGCACTCGGCTTGTTGCTAGGCGCCGGGGCCTGCGTGGGGGCCGGGTCGTTGACTGCGCAGTAACTCCTCGGGCATTCTGTGCACACCAGAGGAACGGTGATCTGACAGCTCTGGCCGGCGGGACAGGTTGGACACTCGGGAGTGGCATCGAGACATTTCACACAGCCATTTTGCCTAGGCAGGAGGTCGTCGACAGCGACTGTACGAATCGTGTTAATGACAAGATAGACAAGAGCCAGGCGGGAGGCCGGGGAGCGAAGGAGGTTCAGGCCCGATGGCTGACTTACCAGCTGCGTCTCGAACGGCGTAGGCCATGGTGAGGATCCGATAGTCTCGTCAACTACGGGGTAATGGGGTATCTGATTGCCCTGAAGAGTACTCGACCCCGGACTACCGTATAGACGATCGGCGTAAAAGGAAGACAGGAGAGCCGGGTATATTTATTGAAGCGTCGATCCGCTTCGTTGTCTCTGTTCCGGCTTGGCCTGGAGAGGGGAGGGGTGCAGGGGAGGATGCGGTTGTATCCGGCCTGTCGAGTCTCAACGGTGCGAAGGCGTCGAAATGAGAGAGGCCTGGCCTGGAGCTCCTGGCGAGAATCCAAGATTGGGCGCCCGACGGGAGACGTCGCGTCGCGAGGGAGTTAGGTAGGCAGAGTGGGCAATGGGACCGGGCAAGAAAGGGATGATCGGTTGGTATGCGGAGGGGAGGGTGCACGCGCAGACCCGTCAGCACGAAAGGGGAGTGAGCGATAAAACTGGAAAGGAACGAGTGGACAGAGAGACTAGCTCAATAGGGAGGGAAGGAAATGCTCGGCTTGAAGCGATGATTTGAAAAGGCTCAGCGAGACATCTGGACGATCTCGCAGCAGCAGCAACAGCAGCAGAGAAGCAGATCGAACGTGACTCTCGGAGTTGTCGAAGGGAGGAAGAGAGTGAGAGTGAGATTGAGTGGGCGTGGGCGTGGGCGTGAGCGGTTGGTCGATCTGCTGGGTCTGTCGGGCGGGATGGAGAGACGAAGAGGGAGTGGTGTGTGTGTGTGTGTGTGAGAGAGAGAGAGAGAGGGACAGGACAACGGGGTGGGCGGCCAACCAAGGGATGGATGGATGGATGGATGGATCCGTCTACGAAGTACATACGGAGTAAGGTAGTCAGTCTGAGCGACGAAGAAGACGGCAGACTGGGAGAGCGAGAGGCGGCGTGAGAAGAGGGAGGAGGGGAGAGGGAAACAGGAAGACAGAGAGGGGGGCAGGGCAGGGCCAGGGGCCTGCAGGTGGTGTGGATGCACCGCAGCTGGGCTAGCCCTTCTCTGTAGGCGCAGGCACGGGACCGCCACCGTCCACGGGTGCCAAAAAGGGGAGACAAAATTGGATTTCCCCTGCCGTTGTGGATGGGATCCTGGGTCCTGGTCCCCTGGAGAAATGAAGAGTCAAAGGTCCTTCAAGGTCCTTGGCAGTCCTGCGCTGTTAGGGGGTCCGGCTGCCCATCATACTGCTGCCTAACACGAACAAATTGAGGGTGACTTTCGCCTTTTAGCGAAACACCGAACAGGGGTTCGCCAGTCCACTGTGCATCGCCATTCGCCCACTAATATTTCAAGCACAAAGTACGAGTGAGCTGGACTTCCCTGACCACGACCAGGGGGGAATCCATGGATGATACCGTATGTACCTCCGTACATGACGGAACTGAACTCTTCAAGGCCTGGTCACGCTTGATCAATTGATTTCCCATCTCCATCAGCCCAATCCAGCTTGAGCCATCCAGCCAGCCATCCAGCCAGCCATCCAGTCCCATCACAGCCATGTCAGCCATCTGGCCAATACATGTCCGTCGTCGTGCTGACAGCTTGAGTTTGGGGTTCAATTCTTACGGAGTACCTGGGCAGTAACATCCATCAGAGAAGAGGCCCACTGATTTCTTCACTGGTCCGGCGCCTGGCTGTTTGAGAAAACCACACCGTGAACCCACCCCCCGTTGCGGCGAAAGGAGGAGCGAGCGCGATTGTGGCGCACTCTTGGATAAACAGCCCCTCCGTCTAGTTATCTGGCCAGGCATTGCAATCTCGATTAATGTGCACCAGACGTGAATCGGGACCAGGTCCACAGCCGAACCGGCGGAGCAGATCGTCCACAGGGGACCAACGCGGATCTGGCAGGCGAATCGCTGCACGGTCCAGCTCTTATTGAACGACGACGTCCGTCAAGCATTGATCGACCCTGGTGACGCGGAGACTGGAATCAGGGTGTCAGCGTTCACGGGCAGACTGGCTGTTCTGTCTGTCGTGCCTGTCATTCGCTGCCAACATGACCATTCATATTCATCTACGCCTGCATTGAGGCCCGCGGCCACGGCTGGGCAGCCCAAATTAATCCCGGGCCCAATCAACCGGCCGGCTCCCTTGCCGCATATTGACCGTCCGTCTGGGGACTCTCTGTGGCCCTTCTTTATTGCCGCCTCTCAAGGGTTTTCGGGGGCGTTTATGCTGCATGCAACGTTGTGCCCAGGCGGATCCGTCATGTATGCAGAGAGAGTGCGGCTCCCGACGACTGCAGGCTTGCGCACTGGGTTCTCATGGGTTGGGTCCCTCTGGATCCCGCCGCGATCAGGCAGAATGCGATGACATCAGAGCTACGCGGGCGTATGCCAGGGAGGGCTGTTGTCGATGGTGATTCAATTCCGCAAATGATGCATCGGCCACCTGCGAGCCCAGTGACATGACATGGCGTGGATGGATCCCACCTCTCTCACAAGTTTTGCGCCAGGTCGATCAACAGTTCCAGTTTCGGGCACCTCTCAAAGTACAGATATCTACAAAAAGATCAACACCGAACCCCAGCCAGACCCCAACAAGACCCTGGTCAAACCCTGGCTAGTCCTTGTGATTCAAGGCCTCGTTGGTGATATTACCTAGATCATTGGATAGGTCATCTACAGGGCTAACAAGCTCCTGTATAGAGAAGTGATTATTTTGCCACTCCGGGCATTTCAGAGCCTCCTATTTGACAGGACCCTTGAAGGTGCCACTTTGCTACGAACAGTCCGCCTTCCCGCAGTTAAGTGGACAAGTATCCTTGAGCAAGACACGGCAATGATCCAGGCCACACAAGCGTCTGCGGGTCTGTCGCTCTGGCTGCTGTGGTCGGGGGGCATCGCCGGTGAGAAACCCCCGGCGAGAATCATGTGCCGTCCGGCGCACAAGCCCCCGAGGTACCCTCACGCATGGCCGGCCCGTCTTCAGACGGTGTATCCCCTTGAGCGCCAAAACGTGGGTTTTTCGTACCGACGTGGTGCCTACCAGGGTTCTATCGAGAGCCTCTTAAACGTTCAAGAGTGGGAAAATAATCACTTCAGAATAGAAGAATTCCTCAGCCCTGTCAATGATCTAGGTGTAATCACCAATGAGGGCTACAACTGCTAGGATTAGCCAGGGTTTGACAAGGGTCGAGCCAGGTATGTTTGTTGTAGATATCTGTACTGTGGAAAGATACGAAAAACCCACGTTTTGGCGCTCAAGGGGATCGGCATAATCCGTCAGAATTTGGGACAGCCAGTATGTAGCAACTGCGAAGTCGGGCTACGGCTTGCCTTGTCGTCAGAGCATTCGGACGGCCGGCTCAATGCCATCCAAGGTGCTGGCTTCCCAGCCTCACAGCCGTCGAAAACACACGTTGATCGCAAAGAACACCGGGCTTTGTTTCTGTTTCAAAACTCCAAATAGGTAGCGTCGGGCTAGCGTAGCACTGAGCATAAAAGCATCACCTTCACGCCTACACGCCTATCAGTCGCCTTTCTTCCTCGCTCTCTTTCCCTTTCTTTGGTCTTCTTTTTTTTTCTTTGTTGCCCGCCGTGTTCTGCTGGCCGTTAGCAAACGCTCCAAAATACGATCCATAGGCGCCACGAAATTTCAGAGGAATATGGTTGATGCTTGCATAAGTTCCTTTGTCACAGTAGTGCATATACACACGAATGCATCCACCACATCCATCTAGCTGTATCCGTCGTTGTTCCTCTTTCAACACTTTTCTTCTTTCTTCCTGCATTCTTTGTGCAAGGTGATAAAAAGAGGAGTAGGGTGCCTCCAGTAGTCGGTTTGCATCAGCTTGCTTGGCGAATTCGCCCGCCATTCCCGCAACATTCGCGCTCTCTTCTTGTATCATTTGCGCCATATTCCTCGACTCTCTCGCCCTCCTTCGTGGGTCACAATGGCAGTCATCTCAGTCAATAGGTAGGGTTAGTAGCTGCAGTGAAAAAAAAAGTATATAATTGTCGCAACTCCCCCCGTTTTCTGAGTTCCGAACATCGCTGCCATCAAACTACCAGATTGCAACTCGACCGTCATAACCACACTGCACTCAACTCACCTACCCTGACATCATGTATCCCCAACTGCCCAAGTCCCCTGCCGACCTGGTACCGTTGCCTCTGTGCGAGGGCCCCAAACTGAAGCCGTTCGACTTCAAGGGCCCCCAGGACATTGAGTTCATCGAGGAACTTGGATCCGGCCAGCACTCCTTTGTCTTCAAAGTCAGGATTCGCAACAAGCTCTATGCACTCAAACTGGTATCTCCCCTTTCCCCTCTTTCTCCCTCCCCTCTTTCTCTCTGTTCTAGAATAAACAAAAAAGTGAAAGCACTTGCTGACCAACACTCGCCATGCAGTTTGTATTCACTGAAGGCTGGCATTTGTCAATGCCAGGAGTTCCGTCCGATAGTAAAGAGGCCATGAGCGCCGTATACCAATACATGGACACCTTCAACCGCGAGTGCCGCGCCTTTGGCCGCCTGCAAGAGTCGGGATGGCAAGACCTCGGCATCGAGTGCTTCGGTTACGTCCTCCTGGACAACAAGCACGAAAGGATGCTCAGGGACAAATTTCCCGACATGAACTGCGTCAGCGACTGGTTCCCTTCAGGGGCCTACGATGAGCCTGTTCTCGAAGATTGTCGTTTTAGACGGCGCCGCGACGCCTGGTTTGACGCCTGGCTTAAAGCCTGCAAGATAGATCAGCAGGCACTGGACCGCCGCTTCCCGGTGTTGCTCGACGGCGACGCCGGCGCCTGCGGCCCGCCCATCCGCGGCATCCTCAAGGCCCTTGGCACGCTCACCAAGCCCGCATGCAAGCGCGACGACACCCGCTATTTCACGGATCTCTGCAAGATGCAGCAGCTCGGCATCACCGGCCTCGACCCAAACGACGGGCAGCTCGTCGATTGGAAGCAAGCCGACTTTAGCATCGCCATCACGACGCCACACCCCCTTCTGACCCCGTTCGAGATGAACCCGCGCATCGGGCCCGAGTGGCTGCCCCTGCTGGAGTTCAACGCCTTCTCGCGGACCTCGTTCGACTACAATTGCTTCAACAACGCACTACATCACCGCCCTGCGTTAGAGGATCGCGACTGGAATCCCAAGACAGACGCGCCGCCGGACTACGACTGCCGGGGCAGGCCAGGCCGGTATGACCTTCGCAAGATGCCGCACCGGCACCCCTTCGCGTTTGTGGACCCGCGCAAGTACGACTGGCGGCCCGCGGTCCGCGGTCGTGCTACGACCCGGGCGAGCTCCAATGGCAGCAAGGCAGGCCGGCCGCGCGGTATCTCCAAAGCCTGCAACCCGGGGAGGCTGCAGCTTAAAGACAAGCCGGACAGATGGTATCTTGAGTACCGGCACCCGACGTACGACTGTGAATTGGCCAAAATCAAACCCAAAATCACCTGGGAGTACCGGGGCGGCCACTTTTTCCCACGCGGGTCGGCCCAAGAGGTCGAGGACGAGTTGATGTGGGATTCGGAAAGTATAAAGCACAGGAGGGAGAAAGACTGGGGGCGGGTGGTGGCCGAGGCCAAGACAAGAAAGAAGTTCGAGCTGATCGCGGAGCCCCAGCCGAGGCGGAGACTCATGTCCGAGGCTGATTATATCATGCGTCTTTACTACCCGAAGTGGTGCAGCATGAGTGCGGAAGAGCAGGCCCAGATTCACGAGAAGACCTGCCGTGAATTAGTTCGTGAGTTTTGGGCGCCGGAGCGGGGCCTGGCCCAAGAGCCAGAAGAGGTGCAAGCGCAGATAGATCGGCTCCGCCAACTTCACTCCTCGCAGCTGAACGCGACCTACCGTGCATGGAGCATGAAACAACGTGTGGACAAGGAGACTGAAGCGGAGAGGATCGAGAAAGGGCAGTCTTTGGAAGAGCGGGCGCCAGGAGAGGGTTTTTGCGGCTGGCTTCTCCAGTACTCTAAAGAGATATGGCATGCGGAGTTGTTGGGTTGGGAAAAGCCTGCGGTTGCGTCGTTCGTCGACTGGACGAAGAAGTATCTTCCCGAGCTGTGGGCTCTTGAGGTGCAGGCTCGTGATGCGGAGGCTCGTGATGCGGAGGTTTAGTGACCGGGAGATAGTTCCTCCCAGACATCGTTCCCACTTGGATAGTTGCCCGTCTAGTTTGTCAAATAATGCCTACGACTACACATACAGGTCCAGGACGCTGATATGGGCAAGGAGTTTGGGGGATTAAAGAAATCCATTTTGTGTCTAAGCTAAGGATAACTAATGAAAGTGTGTCTGAGCTAAGGATAATGAAAGTGTGTCTAAGCTAAGGATAATTAATGAAAGTGTGTCTAAGCTAAGGATAATGAAAGTGTGCAATCTAGATCCAAGTTCCCGTCGATTTCCACCAAGTACAACGCCGCCCGTGCCCTCTTCCTGCGTCTCAACAAAGCCCTACCACCGTCCAGCCACGTGCGCTCCGACCCACGCCTAGATGGGGCCGTGAAGCATTTCCTACCTATCCTGGCCAGCCGCCTCAAAGAGGAAGATATCTGGTGAAGCCAGAGTAGTAATGGTGCTGCGCTGCCAGAAGAAAATCCTCAGAGACGGGGTCACTCCATTTATCGAGGGGTACCATGTCCTGCTCCGCACAGATCCTCCGATTCTCTGGGCCGGAGATGGCGAGCATGCAAAGCCACCAGAGGGCGAGATTCGTGGTCAGGTGGTACTGGCCGTCGTAGTTGGCCCAGGAGATAGCATTCAAGGTCACGCTCAAGGTCTCATCGGCAGCCTTGCTGAAGCAGAACACGACAAGTTCCTCCTCCGTCTGGATAAATCCATAGCGGGTTCCAACCCTGCAGCATGCGTCGGCCAGCTGCCTGACCGGCCATAAGTGATTGGCTCTAATGTCAAGTCCCGCCTTGATACGGGTAGCAAGCGTATTACCGGCCCATTGGCTGGTCAAGCGGCGTAAGCCGACCACGAGATAAGGCTCGTCAAAGCCGGCGAGTTTGATGACGTGGGTTTGACGAGGGGCGATTCCCAGGTGATGGTTTGTGGGCGGTAAATATTCGACGTTGCCGCGGATGGGAGATGGCAGCTTGCCTTTGGCAAAGTCGACACTGCACTTCAAGATGCTGTTGTTCCACTTGCTCTGCGGTTCGAGGTGTTCGGGTAGTTCGGCGTTGGTGATTTTGCCAACGTCTTCAGCCCGGGGGATAGTGCCGTATGTTCCCGCAGGATTTGCCGCGTCGAGGATGTGTCCATAGCTCTGGTTTAGAGTTTCCAGAGTGAATGCTTTCCAGATGGTGGGACGGTTGATTCGTGGCCATGAGTTGTTTACGGCAACACCGTCCGTAGGGCCGAATCCTAAGGTAATGGCCGGCTTCTCTTGGCTCAGGATACCCCGAAGAGTCTCATGTCCCATACGTGCGGACATGTTGGGTGCGTCAGAGCGATGAGGCGCGGGTACAATAGGCTTGAGATTGGCGAAGATGAAGGAGAGAGATGTCTGAGTTGTAGTGATACCAAGAAGGTGAACAAGGGCTGGGAGATAGATAGGACTGAGCTACAGAGGGAGTTGCTTGGGTTTGAGCTGGAAAAAAGAGAGAGTTCTGAGTCCAGATCTGGGAGAGGGATCGTGAGATTTATAGAAACCTCACAGAGTCCCTCATCCCCCATGCCGCTCTGCTCCGTAGTCCTGAGCTGCGCGTGCCAAAGGAAGTCAGACACGCGAGCGCAGTCTTGATTCCCTCACCGACCGGATCTCTTTTCGCAGGGCATGACTCAACACCGGGCTTTCCCAGAGCCTAGAGCCAAGCCACCGAGACAGAGCGTAATTGTGAATCTGATACATCATACTGGGAGCGTCTCGTGATGGAAAGCGCCATCAAGCGAAGTGTCAGAACGAGCTGGCGGAAGTCCACCAGGAGACGCCTCAATACTCACTGATGCATAGCCTCTGCGTGGAAATTGCAAGGGCCATCCCATCACCAAGCAGCGAGGAGGTGGATAGGCACTCAAGCACTTCTGTCGACAGCCTGTCGACAGCCTGTCAACCCATCTACCTGATCCTCGCTTGTCGATGAGCTAGCTCACAGTTCGGGCCTCAGGGAAAGGGCAGCATCCGAGCCGTCACGATAGCGTCGCATATCAAGGCCGAGAATGGAAAAGTCAGGTTTGCATGCGGCTGATCAGAAGGAACTATCTTCTCCTCTTGGCCAGTCACCAGGCGTTCTGCAAAGGCGACATCCCCCACCTGAAGCGGCCGGGGTAGCTCTCCCGGGTCGGCAAGATGCAGATTCCACCCACCCACACAGATTCCACTCACCCACAAACACACACATCCACACACACACACACACCCCTCTCGTAGGGCTAACACCAACTCGCGTGGGGGGGGCACAGAGGCGGGTTTGGCCGACCCAAGGAACCGGGGTCGAGCAGGTTGTACAAAAACAGCTTGAGGATGAATAGGGCATTGGGACTGGCCTATCTCCTTGATGGGCGGGACTGCACTTCCCCCCTTTTCAGCTAAAGTAGGGAGCTAATCTCTGTGAAACGACCCAGCACCAATGACATCGTCCATCACTGAGCGGCCCAGTGGGAGGTGCAGCTCCAGCCACCAAAAGATCAGCACAGCGAACATGTTCTCCAGCGGGGCACAAGTCGCATCCTACCTAAGTACCTAGGTGTGCTGGTGCTCGCAGTCACACGTGGGCGGTGTGCCGGGAGCTTCAACATCCCCAGGGGCTTGGTCCAACTGGATAAAGGACTCTCATCGCATTGGGGCTGTCAAACTACCTACCTTACCTACCTGGGTAGCACGCCGTGTGGAAGGGGTTTTGTAAGCAGGGACCATTTTGAACATGCCAACACAAACATGGTGTGAGAGGAACAGGCTGCTTAGCAAGTTGAAAGTCCTGTTCACGGTATTAGAAAGCCTATGTGAAGGAGCAGCTGTTGAAGTTGCGAAATAGTATGAGCACGGTGGACGGAACATGCTGTTGCAGCCAAAAAAGTCCTTGCCTGAGTCTGGTTGAATGGCTGCCCAAAAGGTCTGGCCGGTGTGAATGCCCGTAAAATCACCCTTGCCCAGTAAGTAGGTAGGTAGGTTGGTACCACAGACCGTCAGATTACCAGCGGTTCTGTGGGAGTTGCAAGTATCGTTGTCAAGACAGAGCGCTAAGTACCGCTGGCAAGCCACAAAAACTAGATACCTGGGGCTCTGGAGCTATTGCGGCCAATCATGTGCAGGGTGTGAACCAGTTGAGGCCGATATAGTGGGGCCCCTGGAAGGACTGTGGCCAATCCTGTGCTGGGAGTGAACCACTTCAGGCCGAGATGGCAGGGGGAGGCCATGAAATACCCACAAAATCAGAGGTACAGGTGGGGCTGTGGATCTGGATCGACAGTGATAGGTACTTATACGCCCCACATTAAGTCAAAAAAATGCGGACTCCAAAGCGTAGTGCCAGAATCAATCAACGATATCACAGCCAAAACTCAAGTAAATTCTATGGAAAGACTTTGTGGGCACCGATAAATGTCTTGTTTCTGGACTGACGGAATTTCTAAGCTTTTGAAGGAACCGCAACGCCCATTTGATGGCTCTTAGACAAGAGCATATCCAGAGCACGGTGGCGTTTGTGACTTTGGGAGTCTGCTCTTTTTGGACATGATGCTCGCTTGCTTGCTTGTCCTGCCAGCCACGTTCTGTAGTAATACACGCTGGCTCCACAACAAGACGGCAACATACACCCTGGCTCGGTGGCTTACTGGGGTTTTGAGAGTTAGTGGTGAGGCCTGGAAAGTCGGGTTGTTGCAGTCTCCGGAACGCAGAGTGCCAAGTGTTGCTGGCCAAATGGAAACCAAAAAAACAATGCTCCCCTTACCAGCTCACGAGACTCATGATCTGCAAGATCGGAGATGCATTAGGATAACAGCACAGATTTTGTGCATATTCCCCTTTCCCAGAGCAATCCCAGCCAAAAAAAAGCACAAGGCCTGGGAGGATGAACTTACTCTTCACAGCTCCTTACCTAGATACGCTGGAGAGCACCGGCTTGGCCGACTGTGGCAGGCGGGCCGGGGCCAATTTCTAAATGCCTACTGGACTGGCGACGGTAGTCTCCCAGGGGCAGCGGCTGAGATCTGACATTCCCTGCAATTCAAGAGCTTGGAGGCGGTCAAGATGAAGCTTGTCTCCATCCACACCCTGTACGTTCGACCAACGGGAAACTCCGTCGCGCGCATTTCGCGACTACGGACTATCACATGCGACCCCGCGACCTGCGACCTGTGAGCTGGGCGAGCTTGTCTGCGTTTTCTCGTGCTTACGTCCGTATGTGCTTTAAATTGCATGAGAAAGTCTATTGCCGCGCTAGACAGGGGCCTTTGCTCACCTCTGCAGTCTTGCCGCGCCTCCTGGATAGTTGATTTCGTGGAGGATTTCTGGCGATCTCTCACGCTGACTGACGTCAATGCACTATGTGCGATGATGCCTACCTAAACACGCATCCCTACTGGAGAAGCTTGTTTGTTTTTTTTTCCTTTTTTTGAACAGCCAAATGAACCGCCCTTCAATCAGGCTCAAGCAAGCCAATTTCTGTTTTGCTATGAGCTTGTCGCTGACTTTTGTGTGTTCGGGTCAGTTCTATCCTCCCAGACAAATATTCCTTCAGTCAGGCTTTTTGACGCCGCGAGCAGAGAGGGAAACTTGCTACACAACCTGGTTTCTTTTTTCCACAAGGCTGATGATGGGCAGGAGAGCATGTCTCAGGTGGTCCCTGTGCAAAGCTTACCGAGCTGCCGGGAATGAGGCCCCACAGAGGGGAGGGCCTGGCCACTTGGCCAGAGATTGATGCGGCTATTTTTGTCGTTTGTCTGTGCTCGTCGCAGTGCGGCGCAAAAAGTTGGAGCAAAGGGGCAAGAAGAGCACGCGAGAGATGCACGACACGACAGCCCTGGCTGGAGTGAGCGACATGATGTGAAATTGCAAAGCTTTTTCTTTTTTCCTTTTGCTTTTTCCCTCCCTTCTCTCTCCTCTCGGGTTTTTTCCCTCCCTTCTCTCTTCTCTTGGGGTTTCGTATCTCCTGATGAAAGCTGCCTGCAGTACTGCGTGCCTGCAGGTGAGGGAGCTAGCGGGATGCTAGATGCCGAAAACGGTCGGGGGATTTGGCTAGTGCGTGTTTTGGGGCGTGCGCGGCTACCTAGCACGCCTAGTAATGCGGCTCCCTCAAGCGTTGTCTCAGCTGCCATCGCTCAGCCGTTTTTCTGGGTATGCCACGCCACGGCACGCCCCCACCCCTACCCCCTCCCCCCTTTTATTTCACGCGGCATTAACTACGGAGTACAGCTAGGTAGGTAAATGTGACTCCCCGAAATGGTGGACCTCAGGATCAAGATCGACACCCATGCGATCGCTTCAGGGTCCAGCGCCATCGATTCGTGGAGGTTCACACGTCGCTGGCTATCGTGTTGCACTCCATGGGAGGAGAGAGGAGAGAGGAGAGATATGCGACCGGGGACAGGCCGTCGTATCTGAACAAAGTGCTGGGAAGAGCCAGAGCCAAAGGGTTCTTCCCTCACAGGAGTCGCTCGAAGCAAAGCTTTTTTGGCAGCTATGAACAGGTAAAGGCAAACACGCTCCTCTGAGCAGTCCAATCTCTTCTTGGGCCAGATTGCTCGGCGCGAATACGAGATGACGACGAGCTGGCCCAGGACAGGCGCGGTTGCCCCACTATTTGTGCGACTTTCAGAAATCACCATGCCCTGCCCCCCAAGTCGGTGAGGTCCAAACAAACAAACCTACAACGGCCAGTGGTGCTCTCAGTCTCAATAGCGAACGCTCCCACGTGTAAACCTTGGCTGTCGTCTCCTCTCGATCTCCTTTCTCCCCTCCCTACTTGACCTTACGCATGGAGCGCGCTGTATTCCAGCGGTGAGAAATGCAACTGTGAGGCAGCCTGGGCTAGTTAGCGTGCGGCTGCGCTGTCGGTGCAAACAACTCTGGGCATTGAGCAGGAATCCTTGGGATTGAAGGCAGCGCATGGTGCGCTCGCTGGGTTCGGGACTGCTTCGTAACTTTACCTTAGTCTATACGTAAGTCGGCGGCCCCGTTCATTTAGATGGTATTGGCCAGTGACGTAGGAGCTTCCAAGGATCCAGGTCGGTTGTTTCGGGGCGCAGACCTCAGACTTCCAAGGTTATTCTGGGATCTGGGGGGGCCGCTACATCCCTCCAGAGCGAGCTACCTGCATGCGCCTCTGCCTTGCTGGGGAATGCCGCTGATGGGGCTCCTCCTGTGCTCCCAATCGTTTACTGGGCTCCGTGCGCGCCCGCCTGCCCGCTTGGTGGATGGTCGGCGTGGCACCCACCGCCAACCCTTTTTCTCCCCTGGACTTCTCCCTAGTGGACCAGAGCCAAGCTAAGCCACCGCCGCAAGTCTCTGACATTGCAATCCACTGAATCTCCTTTTCGCCCATCCCCGTCTTGCCCATCCAAGATCCATCCATCCAAGATCTTTTGCACTTCCTTCCCTCGTTCTCGTTCCCATGATCCTTCAGCATTCTTCTGGCTTGTGACTTATTCCTTTCCGAAAGCCATCTCGCCAGGTCGCCGCAATCCCAGACGACCATAGCCTAGCGCGTCTTGGGCGACCGGCTTTCTCTTTGTTCCAGCACGATCATAGCAGCATTGAGTACCTATACCTGCTTTCTTCGGGTACCTACATTTTCCAGCTTCTTTGTTTTGCAGTAGCTCGTTTCATCGACACTCCCTCCCACCCGTGCCCACTAGACAAGGACGGGCACTTGACACTTTTCCCACGCTCGCATTCGCAGACAGCCATTCCTACATTTCATCGCTCGCTTCACGCCTCGTTCATCATCGCCTCTACTGCCTGAAACAAGCCCATCCTTCCAAGATGGCCTACAACAACGGTCGGGGAGGTGATTTCGAGGGTCACCGGATGCAAGACCTCAACCCCAATGGCCAGGTGCGTATAGATCCCCCTTCCCTCCCCCTCTCTTCCCCTAAACCTGCCCCCCCAGAGAGTAAAAGCCCCGCGAGAAGTGTCCATGTCCTGACGTTCCGGGCTTCAGTACCACATGCCCCCAGGAGAGGAACATGAAGACGATGTCCAACGCTCTCTGCTCGGCCAGGCCCCTGCTGCCTACGACCAAGATCGGTTGGGAGCTCACACTCCCCCGGTCAGACCCGTCTCGGCCTACAGCCTGACCGAGTCCTATGTCCCGGGTGCCCCCACCACTCGGCCGGGAGTTGCGGTGCCCAATGCCCCCTCTCCCTTCCAGAACGAATATGGCCAGTCGAGCCACTACGGCAACGACATGCAGGACCCTTCGGGCGGCTTCGCCATGGGCCGGCCGGCCTCCACGGTTGGCGACGTCGATGAGAGCTGGCTGCAGCGCCAACAGCAACCCGCGGGCGGGTTGAAGCGCTACGCCACTCGGAAGGTCAAGCTCGTCCAAGGCTCCGTTCTCAGCATCGACTACCCCGTCCCCAGTGCCATCCGCAACGCCGTCCAGCCCAAGTACAGGGACGTCGAGGGCAACAACGAGGAGTTCACCAAGATGCGGTACACGGCCGCCACCTGCGACCCCAACGACTTCACCCTCAAGAACGGCTACGACTTGCGGCCTCGCATGTATAACAGACACACCGAGCTGCTCATTGCCATCACCTACTACAACGAGGACAAGGTCTTGCTGTCCCGCACGCTGCACGGCGTCATGCAGAACATCCGAGACATTGTCAACCTGAAGAAGTCGACCTTCTGGAACAAGGGCGGCCCTGCCTGGCAGAAGATCGTTGTCTGCCTCGTCTTTGACGGTATCGAGAAGACCGACAAGAACGTCCTCGACGTCCTCGCCACCATTGGCGTCTTCCAGGACGGTGTCGTCAAGAAGGATGTCGACGGCCAGGAGACTGTCGCCCACATCTTCGAGTACACCACCCAGCTGTCCGTCACCCCGAACCAGCAGCTGATCCGCCCCATGGATGACGGCCCCTCCACCCTGCCCCCCGTCCAGTTCATCTTCTGCCTGAAGCAGAAGAACAGCAAAAAGATCAACTCCCACCGGTGGCTGTTCAACGCCTTTGGTCGCATCCTGAACCCCGAGATTTGCATCCTTCTCGATGCTGGTACCAAGCCCAGCCCCAAGTCTCTTCTCGCCCTGTGGGAGGGTTTCTACAACGACAAGGACCTGGGAGGTGCCTGCGGCGAGATACACGCTATGCTCGGAAAAGGGGGCCGCAAGCTCTTCAACCCGCTGGTTGCGGTGCAGAACTTTGAGTACAAGATCTCCAACATTCTCGACAAGCCGCTGGAGAGTGCCTTTGGCTACGTTAGTGTGTTGCCTGGTGCCTTCTCGGCCTACCGCTTCCGCGCCATCATGGGCCGGCCCCTCGAGCAGTACTTCCATGGCGACCACACCCTGTCCAAGATTCTGGGCAAGAAGGGCATCGAGGGCATGAACATCTTCAAGAAGAACATGTTCTTGGCCGAGGACCGCATTCTCTGCTTCGAGCTCGTCGCCAAGGCCGGCCAGAAGTGGCATCTCTCGTACATCAAGGCTGCCAAGGGCGAGACGGATGTCCCCGAAGGAGCTGCCGAGTTCATCGGCCAGCGTCGCCGTTGGCTCAACGGCTCCTTCGCCGCCAGCATCTACTCGCTCATGCACTTCGGCCGCATGTACAAGAGTGGACACAACCTGGTGCGCATGTTCTTCCTGCACATCCAGCTCCTGTACAACGTCGCCAACGTCATCTTCTCGTGGTTCTCTCTGGCCTCCTACTGGCTCACCACCTCGGTCATCATGGACCTCGTCGGCAAGCCCTCCGAGCCCGGCCAGACCGAGCGCCACGGCTGGCCTTTTGGCGATACCGTGACCCCCTTCCTCAACTCCGTCCTCAAGTATGCCTACCTCGCGTTTGTCATCCTGCAGTTCATTCTTGCCTTGGGCAATCGTCCAAAGGGCTCCAAGTACACCTACATCACTTCCTTTGTCGTCTTCGGCATCATCCAAACGTACATCCTCGTCTTGTCTGGCTACCTGGTAGCCCAGGCTTTCCAGAAGCCCATCGGTGATCAGATCAACACGGACAATGTCTCGGACTTCCTCGGAAGCGTGTTTGGCTCCAACGCCGACCCGGCCGGTGTCATCATCTTGGCTCTCTTTACCATCTACGGTCTCTACTTCCTCGCGTCCTTCCTCTACTTGGACCCGTGGCACATGTTCCACTCGTTCCCCTGCTACCTCGTGCTCATGTCGACCTACATCAACATCCTGATGGTCTACGCCTTCAACAACTGGCACGACGTTTCGTGGGGTACCAAGGGTTCGGACAAGGCCGAGGCGCTGCCCTCTGCCCAAGTCACCAAGGGCGAGAAGAACGAGGCCGTGGTGGAGGAGATCGACCGGCCGCAGGAGGATATCGACAGCCAGTTCGAGCAGACTGTGCGCCGCGCTCTCGCGCCCTACCACGAGGAGATCAAGCCGGAGCCCAAGGATCTGGAGGACTCTTACAAGTCTTTCCGAACGTCCCTTGTCGTCTCTTGGCTCTTCTCCAACTGCCTGCTGGCCGTGGTCATCACCAGCGATAACTTCAACACCTTTGGCATGGGCGTAAGTTCCCTCGTCTCTTGTTCAAAACCCTCGCCTCTCTCTCTTTTTTTCTCTTTCTCTCCCCTACGCAGATGCTGACCTGTTGTATGTCTAGTCCAATGCTTCCAGACGCCAGGCTTGGTTCTTCAAGTTCCTCCTCTTCGCCACCGCCTTCCTGTCTCTCATCCGCTTCATCGGCTTCCTCTGGTTCCTGGGTAAGACCGGTATCATGTGCTGCATCTCCCGGAGATAGAGCAAGCGCGGCAGAGACGCGGAGACGGTGCTGCTCACGAAGCCACGAAAACGTCCTTGTTGATTTGGCGAGCATTATGCAACAACAGAGATTTGCGTTTTTTTTTTTTTTTTTCTTTCTTAATTTGTCACATGATTCTAGTCTTGAAATCCCTTGTATCAAAAGAAAGAAATCGCAGTTCAGCAAAGGTCTGTCAAGCTGGCAGAAACGGCGCCATAGCATGGTGCCACCACCAAAATGTCCACATGTCTAGGAGATATTGACTCGGAAATTTGGGAAGTTGAGGAGGGCATTGGCTCGGGCGTTTTTTTTTTTCTTAATGACTTTTTCCCTTTTCCCATAACTCCGAAGAATTCACACCTATAGTAATCTGGAAAGCCTTTGGTAACTCGACAAGCTGGTGCGATCGATCTCTCGTGGGTGTCACTTCAGGTCAAGAAATAAAAAAAAACACCTGACTGATCTTGGGTGGAATGGTATGGGATTGACAGACATGATTCCTCCCCAGTTACGGCGGTGTCTATACGCAAGCGACCCAACACTCGGAGGAGTAGCATGGCCTGGGTGTGCGGTGCCTAAGGACATGACTACTTTTATCTCGAGATAAGTTGCCTTGGTACTGTGCTTACCTCCAAGTAGATTGGTCGATTTGTATTATACAAATTTGAACAAAAGCGAGCGCGTCATCTTTGACTCAGCAAGAGGTTTTCTTTCTACTAGGTACGATCAAAGTCAACGACGGGCGTGCCGGCACAACCAGGGCGGTGTAGCGTGGTGGCGGGTGGGTGGCGCCGCTGCCGGCTTGGGGGGTGGGGGGGGGGGGGGAGTGAAAGCCCGCCGCACGGGTGCCTGATTTTGGGCTGCACTACGTGAATTCAACGATTCTTCTGGGCCATCCACCCCGCGGTTTCCTTTCCGCCGTCTTCCCCCGAGTCCAGCTTTTGAGGAGACCGACGACGTTTTCACTGTTACATTTCACCTCATATCGAGGAGGTGTGTCGCTTGCTCTTTTCTTCCTCTCCTCTTTCCTTGAGGTTGTGTGTCTGCGTGTGTGTCGGCGTGTGTGTCTGCGCGTGCGTGCGATCGCAATATAGAACCGCGCCCTCCTCGTCATCAACCTTTCCCCTGCGGTTTCGCGCCTCTCTCTGTTTCCCTGTCGACGGTATAGAACTGTTCTCGAACGTGCTGCCTTGGGTATCGCGCCTCGCGCTCCGGCGGCCACAGTTTCGACCTTTTCTTCTTCTTTCTTTACCACCCCCTTTTACCCTACAACAGGCCAACCTACTCCGGATAGGTGTCTCGGGCCGTCTTGAAGAAACGTCGGGCGACTCGGTACATTTTTGTTTTTACGAACGGGAGCCCCGCGCAGTCGGCATCCGCGGGAGGGCAGAAAGCCGGGTTCAAGATGTTGAAGATTTGGTCCATGGTAAGCCGGCGCCGAAGAAACGACGACGGGGCTCGCGGGCGCGCGCACACACACGGCGTCGCACGCAGGCTCCCCTTCCCCCCCCCGGAGAACACGAAGAAGAGGTTAGCAAAGCTGACATGGAGTCCGTTCCGCCCCGGGCATGTAGAAGAAGGAGCAGCAGAAGGCTGAGAATGCTGAGGGCGCTGCGGGCGGCAAGAAGAAGAAGGTGACGGCGGCGCAGCTGCGCGTTCAGAAAGGTGCGTGCTCTCCCGGTTCTCTTTCTTTCCTCCTCTTCTTTTCTGTTGTGCCCATCCGCGAGAAAAGAGCCACCCTCCCCCAACCACGGCCTGACTGCTCAACCTCTGCTGACGCTGCTGCTGCTGCTTGCAGACCTCTCAGAGCTGTCGCTGGGCTCGACGATGAAGACCGAGTTCCCGGACCCCGACGACATCCTCAACTTCAAGCTGATCATCGAGCCGGACGAGGGCATGTACCGCGGCGGGCGCTTCGTGTTCAGCTTCAAGATCAACCAGAACTTCCCGCACGACCCGCCCAAGGTCGAGTGCACGCAAAAGATCTACCACCCCAACATCGACCTGCAGGGCAAGGTGTGCCTCAACATCCTGCGCGAGGACTGGAAGCCGGTGCTGAACCTGAACGCGGTTATAGTGGGACTGCAGGTATGTGGGATCTCGTGGACGTCCCTACAAGGGCCTTTCTTCTTTTTTTTTCTCTTCCTCTCTCGCTCTTTTTTTTTAGTATGCTAACGTTTTGGGGGGGGGTGGCTCCTCCGTGAACAGTTCCTCTTCCTCGAACCGAACGCGTCGGATCCCCTGAACAAGGAGGCCGCGGAGGACCTGCGGGAGAACCGGGAGGTGTTCAAGCGGCACGTGCGCTCGTCGATGGCCGGCGGCTCGGTCAGGGGCAACACCTACGAGAGGACGCTCATCTAGGCCCCGAGAGCGCCGGTCGCTGTCTGCTGACCTTATATTGAACTGTGGGGTTTTAACTATGTGACATGGGAGAATGGGAATGGGAATGGGACAGGGACAGGGACGTTCTGGCACATAAGGGGCGCCACCAGAGGCATGTGCTTTCTATATGGAGCAGTCTGGGGGTGGGATGGGGGGGTTATACCGGGGTGCCCTTTAGACATGAGTGCATTTCATGGCGTTTATATCCCGTCTTTCTGCAAATGCATTATGAGATTCACACGGCTTGGGGTTCTGAGATGCCCACGGAGATCGTGACGGTGACTTTGTTTCTTTGATCTGGAAAGGAGAAGAAGGGGATGTGCTACGACGGAAGTGGTTCGGGAACGGATGTGAGTCGAGGCGAGTCGGGAGAGATGCGCCGCACCTCTAGGGACCAGGACGAGGTTGGACGACTCTGCAGATGTGAACCCTCGTACGGCTACGCAGATGTATGGAGATCATGCTACCTACCTAGGTGCTTTACAATACCTATACCTACTATTCCAAGTTGGTGGCTTCTATCGCCAAATGTATTGTACCTTGCCACAGCACCGACCTGGCCTTGTCCTACGGTATATGGGAGTGATGCTTTAAAGGTCCAACAGTTACACTCCTCCACACACACAATCACATTCTCTACCGGAGTTCAGAATCAGATGCTGGCTCGGCTGGTGGGGGCTGCTCGTGGCCTGGCGGTTGGTGGGATGTCCTGCTGTTGAAAAGTGCCGAGCTACCTCCTTTGGGGCATGCTGCAGCCATGTGCCGAAAACACTTTCCCCCGGATTAACCTCTCTGAGGCGACGGCGGGGCTGAGGGGCGGTTTGAGGCTGCAACACGCCGACTTAGTTCAAGCATTTGTGCATTGCTGCCGGTCGGACAGCGCCGGGAATGGATACACACGAGCACAGCTTACCCGAGAGCATGGATCAAAGACAGCAACAGAGAGGCACTCAAGTGATGGTCAGATTAGTTGACGGACTGCTAACAGAAGTACTTGGGCATCCATCAAGCCCATCGGTTTTAGGTAGTGGGATAGCCCCTTCCGAGTTCCAGGGCCAGGAGGTGACAAGGATATTGACTGTGAACGTTGAGGTAGCTCCTGATGAGCTTCCGTCAACTACAGTATTCAGACGCTCACTTTGGCACTGAGTGGTTCCCCGAAGTCGGTGAGCCCCAGCGTCTCCTAGCCGTTCCTTAGGGGACCCTGCACCCACCGACGCGGCCACCTTTGGCGAGCTCCAGAGGCTTTGGTAGGCTCTGGCGTGGGAAAAGTGCGAGATAAATGTGGGGGCGCCGCGGCCGGAGTCGCTCTAGCCTCCCCGAAGATCCTGCACCCAGCCCGCTGAGCAGCCAGTCTCTTTCCCCCAATTGGGTGCCTTTCCCCACCCCCAAAGGAAGCAGGGCCAGGGTAGGTCCCGACTCAATTGAATCCTCTGTGTGGCAGACTGGAAGTTAGCTTTTTTCCCTCCCTCCTGCTCCGCTCCGGACCAGACCAGATCGGAAAAAAAATAGAGTCATCCCAAATCTCCCACCACCACCACACATATAACCTCTCTTCTTTGCTCCCCTCCTGCAAGCCCTCTCTCTCCAACAACAAATCAACCCCAATCTCCACTCTGTTCAACCTCTTCACCAGCTGCTTTCCTCTCTTCCAGACCATGTCTTCCCGTAGCATGTCCAAGACCCTGCGGCCTCTGGCCCGCCAGCTGGCCACCTCGGGCGCCGCCCAGCGCCGCACCTTTGTCGCTGCCTCGAGCGCCGTCCGCGCCTCGGCCGTCAAGCGGGCTGCCGTCGCCGGCCCTGCCCAGCAGCAGGTCCGCGGCGTCAAGACCATTGACTTTGCTGGCCACAAGGAGCAGGTCTGGGGTACGTGTTTTTCTTTCTCCGACGATATCGCTCAGCACCGCTTGCTGCTTGCTGTTTAGGGCCTTTTTTTGCCCCATTCGTTGCCGAGCTAGCTTGGTGTGACTTGGGGGAGGCGGTCAGGAACAGAAGCAACAGCAGCAGAGCGAATTGTGTGCATCCAGACGACGTGGCTGACTTTCTCTTGTTTCTCAGAGCGTGCCGACTGGCCCAAGGAGAAGCTCCTGGTAAGCAATTGGCCCACCTCCCCCCTCTCTTCCTGACGAGCATCGGTTTATCCTGTCGTCTTGGATTGAAGAAAAACGGCATATAGCTGACTCGGCTTGATGCAACCCACAGGACTACTTCAAGAACGACACCCTCGCCCTCATCGGCTACGGCTCCCAGGGCCACGGCCAGGGCCTGAACCTCCGTGACAACGGCCTCAACGTCATTGTCGGTGTCCGAAAGGGCGGCAAGTCGTGGAAGGATGCCGAGCAGGACGGCTGGGTTGCCGGCAAGAACCTGTTCGAGGTCGACGAGGCCATCTCCCGCGGCACCATCGTCATGAACCTGCTGTCCGATGCCGCCCAGTCCGAGACCTGGCCTCACATCAAGCCCCAGCTGACCAAGGGCAAGGTAAGAAACGATATCCCGCATTTGCCAAGTCCCGACTATTGGGGAAATATGTGCTAAACGCCAACCCCCCCTCAATCTAGACCCTGTACTTCTCCCACGGTTTCTCCCCCGTCTTCAAGGACCTCACCAAGGTCGACGTCCCCAAGGACATTGATGTCATCCTCGTCGCCCCCAAGGGTTCCGGCCGCACTGTCCGCTCCCTCTTCCGCGAGGGCCGTGGCATCAACTCTTCCTTCGCCGTCTACCAGGACGTGACCGGCAAGGCCGAGGAGAAGGCCCAGGCTCTGGGTGTCGCCGTCGGCTCCGGCTACCTCTACAAGACCACCTTCGAGAAGGAGGTCTACTCTGACCTGTACGGTGAGCGCGGCTGCCTCATGGGCGGTATCCACGGCATGTTCCTCGCCCAGTACGAGGTCCTCCGCGAGCGCGGCCACAGCCCCTCCGAGGCCTTCAACGAGACCGTCGAGGAGGCCACGCAGTCTCTGTACCCCCTGATCGGCGCCAACGGCATGGACTGGATGTACGAGGCCTGCTCCACCACGGCCCGCCGCGGCGCCATCGACTGGACCCCCCGCTTCAAGGACGCCCTGAAGCCCGTCTTCAACCAGCTGTACGACGCCGTCAAGGATGGCTCCGAGACGAAGCGCTCGCTCGAGTACAACGGCCAGAAGGACTACCGCGAGAAGTTTGAGGCCGAGATGGAGGAGATCCGCGGCCTGGAGATCTGGAGGGCTGGCAAGGCTGTCCGGTATGTTCTTTAGTTTCCCTTCCTTTACTTGTGTGTGTACTGCCTGAATCTTGCTGACCTGCTCTCCTTCCACAGCTCTCTCCGCCCCGAGAACCAGAAGTAAACAGCAGCTGGTCGATGACAGTCTGGTCGAGGGAAGGTTCAGTTGGTGAACAAGGTCGTGCTTGTTTTTTTTTTTGTTATTAACGGGTTTCTTACGGGTTTTACAATCTGGGGATCAACGCTTTTGTACTTGTATATCTGGGTTCCGGGACGGGACCCGGGGGCTGCCGGTCCAAAAAGTACTTTTGATTGCTTTTTTCCCTCTCGCATTCCGGTCGCTCATGAAATACCAAAGAAATTGAGTCACGCTGTGCAAAGATTACGATCAATGTTGATTGAGATCAGAGTGAGAGTGAGTCATGGGCCATAAGCGGCAAGCAAATTCGACTTGCAAGCCCTGCAGCTCGCGTGTCTCGGTGTCGAGATGAGGAATGGTGATGATCTACCTACTGCGTAGAATCTGTAGTGAAGTGCGTCTCTGAGCTTCCACCGTTGTCGGCCGTCGTTCTCGTGCACCGAATCCGACCTAGCGCTGCCCCCCGTTTTCCCCACCTTGCTGGACGACATGCATCCATGGGTTGGATACAGTCGATAAGACCGGCCGGACGTAACTTGGGACTTGACTTATATGTCGGAAGTTTTCGCGCATCAAACGCTTTAAAGTATATATATAAAGTCTGGGAATCGAGGGAGAGGTTTTTTTTAACGACTGGTTGAAGGAGCTTCTGGGAGTCTTTGGCTATTCTTCTCACTGTCATTGTTCCCCTTTCGTTGAATATCAACCAACCGCCTTTCCCCCATTCTTGACAAAAGAGAGCCCACGAAGAAGGGAAAGGTTGCTGAAAAGAACGGGAGAAAGAAAGAGAGAGAGAGAGATAGAGGCATCCGCACAGCCATGGCCGACATATCCACGTGCCCGCCCCTGACGCGGGAGTCAGTCGTCGCGGCCCACGAGATCGTGCGGCCGCACGTCCACCGCACGCCCGTGATGACGTGCAGCACGCTGGACCGGATGGCGTCCTCGCCCTCGCCCTCACTCTCGCCGTCCGGTACGGCAGGGGCGGAGGCTGATGCTGAACCGCCGAAGCCGACGCCGAATATCCGGCTGTGGTTCAAGTGCGAGAACCTGCAGCGCGTCGGGGCCTTCAAGGTCCGGGGCGCGTTCCACGCCGTCGAGCGGCTGCGGAGGGAGCCCGGGCTCGTGGAGAGCGGAGGGTGGGAGAGGGGGGTTGTTACGCATAGCAGTGGTGAGTTGGATTGTTTGGGGTTCTTTTTTTCTCGCTTTTTTTTGTCACTCTTGTTAGTGTTTGGGGTTGTGGTTTCTTTTTCGGTGGTGTGTCGAGATGATGTTGGTTGGTTGACTGGTTGGTTGGAGGATGAGGTTGTGAGCTGGGTGGTGTGGCCGAGTGGCTATCTCGCATGATGAGGTTCGGGCTTCTTGAGGTCCTGATGTGGTGAATCTCTGCTGGGTTGGAGTTGTGGTCCCAGTCATTCTTTGCTTACCCGCTACGGGAGAGTCACTTGTATGATAGATGGACCAGGCCGAGTAGTCCTCACCCGGCCATTCATCTCAAACACTTCCTATCTCTTCCTTTCATCTTCACCCCCCTCCTCGCACCTGAAGAACCAAAGCAGCTCGACTCCCCCTCTTACTCACCACAAATATACACACACACAGGCAACCACGCGCAGGCGCTCGCCCTGGCCGCCCGCGAGGCCGGCATCCCCGCGCACATCGTCATGCCCGACATCTCGCCGCCCGTCAAGATCGCCGCGACGCGGGGCTACGGCGCCAACGTCGTCTTCTCGGGCCCGACGGCGGCCGAGCGCGAGGCCGTCGCCGCCCGCGTCGTCGCCGAGACGGGCGCCCGGCTCGTCCCGCCCTACGACCACCCGGACATCATCCTCGGCCAGGGCACCCTCGGCCTCGAGCTGCAGGAGCAGGTCGCCGAGGCCATGGAGGCCGCCGCCGGTGGTGGCGGCCACCACGACCCGACCACCACCAAGAAGAAGCGCGGGCTCGACGCGATCATCGCCCCCTGCGGCGGAGGCGGGATGCTCTCGGGCGTGGCGCTGAGCTGCGAGGGCACGGGCATCCGCGTCTTCGGCGCGGAGCCCTCCTTCCAGGGCGCCGACGACGCGCGCCGCGGCGTCGCGGCGGGCCGCCGCGTCGAGGCCGTCCGCACGCTGACCGTCGCCGACGGCCTGCGCACGCCGCTCGGCGCGCACCCCTGGTCCGTGCTGTACGAGCGCCGGCTCGCGGCGGGCTTCTACGCCGTCGGCGAGGAGCAGATCCTGCGGGCCGCGCGGCTGCTCTACGAGCGCGCCAAGCTCGTCGTCGAGCCGAGCGCCGCGGTGCCGCTCGCCGTGGCGCTGTACGACGACGAGTTCCGCGCCGTGGCGGCGCGGGAGGCTGGGCCCGAGGGGTGGGACGTCGGGATCGTGCTGTCGGGCGGGAACGTGGAGATTGATAAGCTGGGGGATCTGTTTGCGAGGGTCGCTACTGGCAGGGAGGGAGGGGAGGGAGGGGAGGAGGGGGGTGCTTGATGGAGAGGTGGAAGGGGGAGTAGTGGAAGGGTTGAGATGTGTGTGTGTGTATGTGTTTTCGTCGGGGTGCCGTGGTGAGTTTTGAAGGGGGAATAGGGGATGGGACGGACTACAGATGGACTTTTTTCAGACTTTTTTTGGCTTGATAGATACAGAAAAAGTAATGGCTTCATATTTCGTTTCTCTTGACACGAGTATATGAGAAGATGCTATGCCTGAAATGCTATATACAACGCAGGACTACCTACCAACCCCCTGTCGTCATCATCAGTCCTGATGGTTCAGCTTCTCGTCCATCTCCTTCCTCCACCGCGGGCCCCACCTCCTCAGCGCCCAGATGGAGGCGTTGCCCCCGACGAACGCGACGATGGCCAGCATGGTGAACAGCCAGCCGGGCCCGCCCATGGCGTCGAGCAGCGGCTGCGTGACGATGCCGCCGACGCCCGAGAAGATGTTGCGCACAAAGTTGTTGACGGCGATGCCGCTCGAGCTGCGCCGCGGCAGGAACTCGGTCAGCATCGTCGTCGCGGCGCTGAAGACGAGCATGCTGCCGACGCCGAAGAAGAAGTTGGCGACCGAGGGCGCGGCCCAGTGCACGCCGCGCTGCGCCGTCCAGCCGAACCAGACGAGCGCGGCGGGGAACAGCGAGGCCGACAGCCAGGCGTTCTCGCGCATGCGGTCCTCGGGCAGGAAGACGAGGCGGCCCTCGCCGTCGTAGCGGCCCGCGCGCCGGGCCTCGCGCTGCATGATGTTGTCGATCCAGCGGCCGCCGAGCAGCGAGGCGAGCAGGTAGCCGAGCGAGGCCGGGATGTAGAGCAGGCCGACGACCATCTCGGAGAAGGCGTAGGGCGGGGCCGAGAAGACGGCCTGGACGGCGACGTTGAGCACGTAGAGCGCGCCAAAGGTGACGGCCGCGTAGCTGACGGTCAGGGCGATGGGCGGGTGGCGCAGGTAGCCGAGGATGCAGAGCGGGTCGATGAAGGAGCGCTTGAGGAAGACGGCGGCGCGGCGGGTCTTGATCTCGACGGAGCGGGCGGTGGAGATGCGGGACAGAGCGGCGGTGGTGCCTTCGGGGCCGGTGGTGGCGGCCGGCTTGCGCTTGGCGAGGGTCTCGGGCAGGCAGAAGAGGATCATGACGACGGTGACGCCGCCCTGGATGGCGAGGAACCACATGGTGCTGCGCCAGCCCCATTTCAGGGCCAGGGCGCCGCCGATGATGGGCGAGAAGAGCGGGCCGAGGAGCGGGCCCAGGTAGAAGATGCCCATGGCGCGGCCGCGGTGCCTGGGCTCCCAGATGTCGGCGATGGTGCCGGCGCCGACGGCCTGGACCGAGGCGCCGGCGCCGCCGGTGAGGATGCGCATGATGATGAGCATGGTGATGTTGACGCTGACGGCGCTGAGGACGGCGAAGAGGAAGTAGAAGACGAAGGATATGACGTAGATCGAGCGCCGGCCGAATTGCTCCGAGAAGGATGACCTGGGTGTCTGTTAGAAGGTACTCGGAGTGAGACACGCCCCGTGGAATAGAAATCAAGCATACCACCACAGCGGGAAGATGGCCATGCCGAGCATGTAGGTCGCCACGGCCAGGTTGATGACGGTTTGGGAAGCGTGCAGGTCGGTCGACATCTCCTTAAGCGCAGCTAGAGCACGAGAATCATCAGTAAAGGCTGCCTGTCTGATATTCCCCAAAGAGCCGTAAAATTGGTGTTTGACGTACGATAGAAGATCCCCGAACCAACGGGCCCGGCCGAAGCTGCCACGGCAACGACGAGGGTGATCATCCATTTCGTCTTGTCCGAGTACTCCTGTGGCCTCTCGACCTCGGGGATAAGCGTGATTTGTGCGAGCAGCCCCCGGCGCTTGGACCGAGGCACGATGGTGACGGCCCTGGATCTCGTCGACGAGGCCCTGGACAACGGCGGCTGTCCGAGTCCCAGCCCGGTGGCCGGACCTGCTGTGTCGGTCGGCTCGGCGTCCGCGGCTCCGGAGTTACCCTCCGCCTCGGCAGACTTCTCGTTGACTGTCTCCGGCTCCCGGGCGGCGACATCTTCTTCGCTGCTCACGCTGACTCGTGAGCTGGATGAGCTGCTCAGTCGCCCGGCAGGCTGCGCCGCATCGTCGAGGTCCCCTGGCCTCTTCTCCGGGTCGCTGGCCATGGGGACCGAATCTCCACTGATAGCTCGAGTCTCGTCACAGATATATCGACTGCCCAAAAGACAAGTGACGTTGTTTGTATGTGTGTGGTGTGTTGACTCGCAGAACTTTTATTCCCACGGTTGGACCCGGTCTAGCCTCGACAGCATTTCATCTGTATTTCGGAGACACCACGGGCTCAACCAAGCAGGTTCGATGCGTAGCAACCCAGCGGGAGGAGGGGTGTAAGAAGGCATCTCAAAAAAACAGCAGGACAAGGCGAGATAAGTGCCAGGCGAGAGAGCCCCAGGCAATGAGGGTCGGCACTTTGGTAGCATTCTGTCGCCGGGGTCGGGGAGTTCACACCCATTTTTTAGTGACGCTTAGCCTACTCGAGAAGAGGCCGGCGCTCTCCATCGACAGAGAGCCTTTGGGGTCAAGTTTCGGCCGAGGTTGGTCCCCCATCAGCACTGATTCACACACACACACACACCAGACAGCAGCACCCTGATGGGTCAAAGGGTGGTTGGAATCGCCCGCGCGGGGGGCGACCACACCTCGCGCCAATCGGCCCCTTGTCGAGCTCCGGTTTACGGGGAACTTTTGCAGACGTGCGCAATCGCCCTCTCGGCCCACAACCACTAGACGTGTTTCTTGATGGTCATGCATCATTATTGACTCGACTTGCATGGCATTGCGTTGTTACCCCATGATAGAACATGGCAGAGAGCGGTACCGGTCCGGGGTAGCCGGCCAACGGACGGGTGAGGCTGGGGTTGATGATGTTCCCTGGTCGTGCCGCCGATCAATTCCCGGAGCCAACGTCCAAGTGCATCACCATCGCCTTGCGCACCGGTCTCTAATGCCGGAACAAGACTTGTTCACTTTATTCACTTGCTAGGTTCAGACAACGCCTGGCATTGACACCGTGTTGTTCCGGCTTTTAATGGGACAATGTTCTTCTCAAAGCTACCAAGCAGCAATCCTGCCTTCGGGAATAAACGACGGTAATGGGCTGGCGTCTGCCCGTGCACAGAAGGCATGCACGGTTTCCATCAGGGCCCCTGTGCTCGCAATTATCTGAATCCCTGTACCTTCAGCATGCCTCACTATTGCGAGCTCAGGCGTCGTGTCTCGTTCCGTAGGAGTCGGCAGTGCATATTTTCAAAGCCGCTTATTGTTTGGTTTCAATCCTTGCTGTGACAGTTACCTCTCGACTCACGGGCAAGTCAGGCTGTCGAACACAGCCCGTACCTACCAGGGCAAGGTCCACAGGATTGCAGGAGACTATGCGAAGAAGTCACAAAGGGAGGACAATTAAGAAACGGCTCTGCAATACACCCACGATTCGTCTTGTCCAATCGTTCAAGTGTCTACAAGATTGAAGGAGAGCATGGGATAAATTAACGTTAGACCAACTACAGCCGCCTCCACTGTACTCATCTACTTGTACCTATTAGTGCGAGAAGGCTAGGTACAAGTAGACCTGTCTCCACGAAAAGTGCTACTTAATATGGGGAGAGACGGAGCCAAGCCAAAATTTTGGCCACCCGCGATATAGCACCTTCACCGGAAAGGTGACTCAGAACGACCCCGTCTACAACAATATCAAACTCTCAATCCGCGCCACGACATCCCGCCTACACTGGCACGCAACATACAGCGGCAGGCCCGACACAAGCTCTGGACTCTCGATACAGGCCTCGTCAGCGTCAAAGAGCTGCCGCCGGTTAGGGCTTACAACCATGTCCCTCACCAACGCCAGCCCCGCCGACGCCGCGTCCGAGGCCAAGTCGGCATCGCACGTGCTCGCCGCCCTGCCGGCCTCGGCCCGCAACGATGCCCTGACGGCCATCCACGCGGCCCTCGGCGTCGCCAGGGACGACATCCTCGCCGCCAACGCCCGCGACCTCGAGCTGGCCCGCAAGGCCGCCGCCGACGGCCAGCTGAGCTCCGCCCTCGTCTCGCGCCTCGACCTGGGCAAGAAGGGCAAGTGGGAGGACATGCTCAAGGGCATCCTCGACGTGAGGGACCTCGAGGACCCTGGTGAGTCTTCTTGTCTGTCTTGTTCTGGTCCTGTTGTGTGTAGTGGTGGCAGTTGGTGATCCATTTGGTTCATTTCACACCGCGACTCACTCACCCACTCTCTCAACTCTCATACGTCCTCCATGTCTATGTCCATATCCACCCGTCTCACTCACCTCCTCTCATAACCCCCCCTTCCTTTCCAACTCATCATACTCATCAGTCAAACCGTACACTAACCAACACTCGTAAAGTCGGCAAAGTCACCCTCCGCACCCGCCTCGACGAGGGGCTCGACCTGGAGCGCGTGACCTGCCCCATCGGCGTCCTGCTCATCATCTTCGAGGCCCGGCCCGAGGTCATCGCCAACATCGCCTCCCTGGCCATCAAGTCGGGCAACGCCGCCATCCTCAAGGGCGGCAAGGAGTCGACCGAGTCCTTCGTCGCCATCGCGCGCGTCATCTCGGCCGCCCTCGCCGCCACCCAGGTGCCCAACGCCGCCGTCCAGCTCGTCACGACGCGCGACGTCATCCCGCAGCTGCTGGCGCTCGACGCCCTCATCGACCTCGTCATCCCCCGCGGGTCCAACGAGCTCGTCCGCTACATCAAGAACAACACGCGCATCCCCGTCCTCGGCCACGCCGACGGCCTCTGCTCCGTCTACCTCGAGGCCTCGGCCGACCCGGCCATGGCCGCCGACGTCGTCGTCGACGCCAAGACGAGCTACCCGGCCGCCTGCAACGCCGTCGAGACCCTGCTCGTCGAGGAGGCCGCCCTCGCGGCGCCCTTCCCGGCCGTCGCCGCCGCCCTGCTCGCGCGGGGCGTCGAGCTGCGCTGCGACGCCGCCTCCAAGGCCGCCCTGCTCGCCCCCTCGTCCGGCATCCCCGCCGACCGCCTCGCGGCCCTCGTGCGCGACGCCCGGCCCGCCGACTTCGACACCGAGCACCTCTCCCTGACGCTCACCGTCGGCGCCGTGCCCGACCTCGCCGCCGCCGCCGCGCACATCAACGCCCACGGCTCCAAGCACACCGACGTCATCCTGACGGCCGACGCCGACCGCGCCGAGCGCTTCATGAGCGCCGTCGACGCCGCGGGCACGTACTGGAACGCGAGCACGCGGTTCGCCGACGGCATGCGCTACGGCTTCGGCACCGAGGTCGGCATCAGCACCAACAAGATCCACTCGCGGGGCCCCGTCGGGCTCGAGGGCCTCATGATCTACAAGTACAAGATCCGGGGCCACGGCCAGGTGAGCGCCGTGTACGGCGAGGGCGAGGGCAAGAAGAGGTTCTTGCATCAGAGCTTGCCGTTGTGATGGTGGGGAGACAATACAAAATGACAGGAAAACCGGGTGATTAGACAAAATATAATTCGGGGGGCGTTCTGTGGTAGCTCAAAAGAAGAGAAAATAGTGGCTTTTTGATCAATAGATGAGTTTGGGACTTGATGAGACCAAAAAGCCAAGTGAACATGACGCTGCAGAAACCTGTCCCGCAAGTATGTTTCACTGACCATGAAACCACCCAACGTTCTCTCATGTGCAAAAGGTTATTGTAAAAGAAGCCTCAATTCCATTGGAAAAAAGGGCTACATCCCCATGGGGAAGGAGAAAAAAAAAGAATAAGACAATAAGCAGTCATACTTCTTGACTCCCAAACGTAATAGATACAGGAAGGCAGGCAGTGGTTCTTCATTATCATACCCCGTTATCCAGCCGGTATCTCATGCTCCTCTCGCTCCCGCTCTCCTACACACACACACAAACACACACACGCAGACACAACCAACTCATGAAAATCATGGGCACGTTCCAACCTGTAGTTGTTCATCCCCTTCTCTCCATTCCCTTCTCACTCTCCCCTGCCCCGATAGGCGCCCATCTTCTCGATGGAGCTCATGATGCCGCTCCTCGACCCGGATCCGCTACCCGGCCTAGGGATGCCGACCGGCCCGCCGCTGCTGAACTTGCGCTCGTGACCGGGGGGCCGGATACCCGACCTCGCGATCGAGCTCGGCGCCTTGAGGCCCGAGATGCGCTTCGCGCTGCGCGGCGCCGCCAGCTCGGCCGGCGCCGGCACGGGCGCGACCGTCTGCCGCCGGGAGGGCGTGCCGATGACAGAGTGCCGCTTGTTAGGCGTCGCCCGCGCGGCGGACGGCGTCGGAGCGGGCGCCCGCTCCCGCTCCCGCTCCCGCTGTTCCCGCTGCTCGCGCTGCTCGCGCTCCTGCGTCGTCGCGATGAAGCTCTGCTGCTGCATGGCCATCATCTCCTCGGCCAGCTGGACCAGCTCGCCCTTCTCGACGCGCTCGGCCTCGAGCAGCGACCGCAGCTCGCCGTTGTCGCCCTGCACCGTCTTGACCACGGCCTCGAGCTTCTCGACCTCGGCCTCGAGCTGCTTGATCTGCGCCGAGTCGCGCGCCGCCCGCGCCTTGCGCTCCTCCTCGGCCTCGGCCTCGGCCGCCGACGGCACGGCCACGCGCGTCATGGTCGCGTCGCGGCCCAGGCGCAGCTTCTCGTTCTCCTCCGACGCCTCGACGATCCTGGCCTCGAGCTCGCGCACCCGCTTCTCCCAGCGGCTCTCGTAGCTCTTCTTGAGCGCCGCCACCTTGGTCTCGTGCTTGGTCTTGTAGGCCGCGTGCAGCTCGCGCGCCACGCGCTCCACGGCGACCTCGACCTCGCGCTGCGTCGAGGACGCGCCGCCGCCGCCGCCGCCGCCGGGACTCCTGACCCTGTCTGGCGAGGCGGCCGCCTCCGCCGAGGCCTTGCCGGCGCGCATGCCGGCCATCTTGGACTCGGCCTCCTGAGCCATCATCTCGGCGGCCTCGCGGCGCTGCTCGGCCTCGGTCAGCTTGGCCTCGAGCTCCTCCCTCTCGCGCGAGCCGATGACGATCTCCTCCTTGACCTTGCGGAGGACGTTCTCCATGTCGCGGCCGCGCTTCTCCCAGCTGTCCTTCTCCTCGCCCAGCGCCTCCCGCAGGCTCCTCTCCTCGCGCAGCTGCTCCATCGACTGTCCCACGCGCTTCTCGGCATCGCCGACGGCGGTCTTGAGGGACTGCACTTCGGCCTCCTTGCCGCTGAGGGACGCCTTGAGGCTGGAGATCTCCGAGAGGAAGTTCGACTTGAGGCTTTCCAGCTCTCGCGGCGTGATGGTGGGGATACTGCGTGGTGTGGGTAGAGGCGGGATATCAAAGTCGAGCAGGTTCACGAGGTTGGATCGCTGGGGCGTCTGGGGGACCTGACCGGGAGCGCTCTTGGAGGGAGAGACACGTCCATTCCTCGGTGGAGACTGATTCCTCTGGGCGACGCGAAGCTGCTCTGTGAAGTCCATGAGCAGGCTTGTCGTGTTGCCCGTTGACTCGTAATGGGCTGTCCTGTTGGGCAACGGGCCCGCGCGGGGTGTGCGTGATGGTGAGGGCGGGCCCCTCGGTGCTCGCGGGGTGAGTCCGTCGCCAAACTTGGTTGGGCTCTGGCCGAGTTTGGCAAACATTGTGAGGTTGGGCAGGGCGGAGAATGTGCTGAACGTGCTGACCATGGTGTCATCGATACCGGCAGCAGCATCGTCCTCGTCCACCACCTCGTCAGCTGCGTGGTGAATCACCGAGTCATCGCTGCCGGCGTGGTCATCGTTGTCAAGGACTTCGCTGTCGTCCTCGAGGATATCGATGGCATGCTTCAGGCCGGGGTTCTCGTGGATGATCTCCTCCAAGTTGGCTGTGCGCTCTTCTGCTTGCGCCGCCCGGGGCGAGGGATGTTGTTGCTCCTGCTGTTGCGGGGCCGGCGATTGCGGCGTGGAGGGCTGCTGTCGCGGCGCCCTCGGGGTCTCGTCGAGCGAGACCTTGACGGGGAATCGTTTCTCGGGGATGAACTTGCGCGGGCTCCGAGCAGGAGGCAGAGTGGCGCTCCCGGGGACGCTCAGGTCGCCGGCGGACGGAGCCCGGTCCTGCAGGATTTTAAGGGGGGAGAGCTCGGTGCCGGACATGATCCTCGAGGCAGGGCGCACCTTGGCCGGGACGATGTTTTCTTGGTTGTCGTCCTGGACAGTGCTGACAAAGGGGGAGGAGTCCCCCTCGTCGTTCCCTCCGTCTGCCATGTCGGAATAGGTGGTGTAGGCGCGCACTTCGTAATCGTCGTAGCGGCGGCTGGTCGCGGGAGTTGCGCAGTTCAGGGTGGAATGGTGGGCGGGCGTCAATGGGGATGCCATGAGTCCTCTTTTAACGTAGGTGTGCGATGGTTGCCCAGGGATGCTTTGGATCCCCAACAGTCAATTGAGCGGTTCTGCGGTGGTGTGCGGGATCAGTGGTCCATTGCCGGTGTTTGCTTGTTGCTGGCATCACCACGCACGCCCTGCAGATGGTCACGGCGTTGACTTTTGTTTCGAAACGCGGCAGCGGTGTGTGTGTGGCCACTGGCGGGCCACTTTAGGGGGGGAAAAGTTGGCATGGCAACCCCCTGTCAGTTCTGGCCAGCCGATTGGGGGAGTCACGTGAAGGGTAGTTATTAGTTCAGGGACAGAAGTCATGCAGGCAGATCCCCCTGAGGCCCTGGCATTAGGTAATCACCCCTCGCTTACCTCATGCCCTTTCTTGTCCTTCCTTACCTTAGTACCGCCACCCACCTTACCTAACCCCCTCTCCCTCCAGCACTCCTTAGTCTCCAGGGCCCCTCCTCAGCGATCGAGTGTGCAGATGCCCATGGACTAGAAGCGGCTGACGTGCCTTACGTAGCACTCAAGCTCAGCCAGACAAGCTCTCGAGCCAAGAAACCCCGTCGCAAACCGGGCCGCACGTCACCCCAGACTTGGTGGTGTATCCTCCTTCTGCATCCGGACGATGCGTCTTGGATTCTGGGTCGGCTAGTTTGCAATAGGTAGGCCGTTTCCAATGCCGCCGGAGTTGATGTCGAGCCCGGGCTGAACCACGCCGACTTATATCCGTCCCCGACAACGCTTGATAAGCTTTTTGTGGCGTGCGACGGAGCCATTTGCTGAGGGGGAGAATTAGCTTCTACATGGCCGCTCGGCGGTGTTGTACGAAGCACGAGGTAGGAGGGCAAAGAGGAGCAGGTCTGGGCGAGAAGCTCAGTCGCATCAATCGCAAGGCGCCTTCGTCGATGCTCCTGGTCTCTTGTCACCCACAATCGGTTGTACGGCACTCCAGCCCCAGCATGCATGTCGTGCTTGCATGCTGTCTTGCATCCCTTCTTTCAATCACCCCATTTCAATGCAGCTTACTATGGATATGAGGGCCATCATATACTTCCCGCTGGGGGGACCGAGGAGTCCTGGGCCGATCGAACAGGGCACGGAACGTCAAATTGTCGATCTGTGCAAACAAGGTGCGGGAGGGACAGGGCAAGGGCAGCGGTGATGCGCCTCGCCAAGCGGTTCTGGCATGCCTCGAGACATAATATTGAAACCATGAGCTGCTGTCGAGGCCACCCACAGCACCAGGACATAAACCATTCTCCTACTCCGTACAAAACTCAGGGGCACAAGGTATGTATGAGGGAGAAAAGGGGCCGCACACGGCAAGCAGACGGCCATCCCATTGGCAAGGGTACGGCAGATTGAAGCCGAAAATGAGCCCCCGTCCGTCGTAGATTTGATACAAGCGGGCCAACGAATGGAAAGCCACGATCCTTAGAGCAAAGCTGCAGGCAAAAATAGAGCCCATTATTGAGCCAACCTGTTTCGAGAACACCCCTCCTTGCTCAACTGGAAATGACGCGTTAAGCTGGCTGTGGACCAGGTTGAGCAAAGAAAAGTACGGAGTAGGTAGCGTGTACGCGCGCATAAAAGCCACGGAGTTAGGAGAGGCTACCCTGCTGACGATCTCTCTCGATCGCCCGAGCCCCCCCCAGAACCCACAGAAGGGCCGTAAGACACGAAGTGTTGGGGCTCTCTCGACGAGCTTCCATCCCGAGCCCTGCGAGGCCATGCTACAGGCTGCATCGTACCTACAACCCCGCCATATCGGGTAGCGTCAGAGCCAAGAGTCGCCGCCGTTAACACGGGGCCGCAGCCTACCCGTACTTGGTACTTGGCCATGTGTCGGGGCGCTACAGCACAGCCAAGTAGACTACCTGGCTGGGGAGTTAGGCGGCTTCTCAGCTGTGGTGGTGGCATTGGCGTTGGGGGCTCAATGGGTGTAGGTACCTAGGTAGTAGCCTGTAGGTAGGCTGGCAGCCATAAGTCCCATGGATGTGGGTGGGTCGTGTGTTGGTGTGGGAAGAGTCCAACCTGTGACGTTACTGATATTTGCACTGCCAAAACGGGGAAAATCCTCCCCACCCAGCACTTGCTGCTGCTTGTCAGACGGCAAAGCCTCACTTCTGTTTGCTATTTTGCCAACTCCGCGAATTCATCGTCGCGGATATAGCTCTATGTGCAGATTTCCCTCTCTTCTCATCGTGACGACCTTGACTGTTTCCCCAGGATTCCCCGATATCCCCGAAGCGGAAGTGTGGCTGGATCTATTGCCACGACTCGTGGGGACTCGTCTTCTGCAAAACCCCATAACCACTAAGTGGGAATCAGCTGCGTCTCTACCAGGTTAGACATATTATCCTCCAACCTCAACAAGCCCTTAATCCCTCGAGGCGGTATGGGCTCCGAATTACCCATACCGACACTTCGCTCAGCTGTATCTCTGGTTCCCTCGTACAAGTCTGGCATGGCTGACCGTCTGAACAATTGATCCAGCAGACCTCGAAAAACCCCCCCCTAATTCTCCAATCTAGTGGTGACTTCCCCATCCGCCTCTTCCGCCGGCCTGCTTCCAAGAACTGGAGCCAAGCGGGGGGGAGCTCTGAGCTGGATGACGTTCACCCTTTCCCGACTTCCGAACTGCACCTCGACCAAGTAGGAATCTCCGTCTGAGCGATATACAACTCGACGACTGCCTCTCCTCTGCTCCTCTTCGGCAGTTCGATCGCCAATCACCGTCTCCAACTCTATTCCTCCAAGATCGGCCTGCCTGCCTACCTCCGTCTATAACCTCCAACGCCTCCTGTTCGACCGAATTCGCGCACCTGGCATTGCTATAGCCTAATAACGTGTACCCTTGGGGTCGAGCTTGACAAAGGCACAAGATCTCGCCCGAAGCAACTCGATCGCCATGGTTCGCATCATCCCCAGCCGGCTCAAGCCGGGTGCAGGTCACTCGGCAGCCAATTCCACCACCAACAGCCGTAGTGCCAGCCCGATGAGGCACCCCGCGAGCCCAGAAGGCCCCAAGGACACCGGCCTAGTTCTGGCGGTGGTCATCATGAAGGTAAAAACACTCTGAAAGAGTACATAATGAGCTGGGCAGGACTAATATGCTGCTGTGGATAGGCACGGAACCTTGCAGCTAAGGATCGTGGAGGCACTTCTGACCCGGTGAGTAGCTTCCTGACCATCTCAGTGTAGGTTTCCTGCTCTTGAGGCTAACACGGAAATGCACAGTACCTCGTATTGAACCTCGGCGAAGCCAAACACATGACGCACTCCGTGTCCAAAACCCTGAACCCCGAATGGAACGAGATCTGCCAGCTGCCCATCACTGGCGTCAACAGCCTCCTCCTCGATGTTTGCTGCTGGGACAAGGACCGGTTTGGCAAGGACTACCTCGGAGAGTTCGACCTCGCTCTAGAGGAGATCTTTGCCAACGACAAGACGGAGCAGCTGCCCAGGTGGTTTCCTCTGAAGAGCAAACGTCCCGGGAAGAAGTCGAGTCAGGTCTCGGGAGAGGTTCTGCTGCAGTTCAGCCTCTACGACTCCACAAACAAGCAAGCAACGGACGCTCAGATCTTTGAGAAGCTCTACACCATCATCAAGAGCGCACCAGAGGCGGATATCCCCTCGCGCGCCCCTACGCCTGCGCTGACTCCCCTGAACGCGCCCACTAGTTCCCCTTTCCAACCCGGCCCGTCACCATCTCCCCCTCCGGGCGGGGCGACCACCGACGACAACGATGATGATGACTTTGAAGTCTATGAGGACGACATGCCCGAGGACGAGGACCCCTCCAAGCCCGAGACCATCGAGAAGAGGAGGAGGCGACTACGGATCAAAGGCCTCAAGCGCAAGAAGAGAGACAACCCTTACGAGTTCGTCAACGGCGGTGTCGACGTGCAGGGCATCATCTTCCTCGAGATTCGCAACATCACAGATCTGCCTCCCGAGTCGAACTTCACCAAGACTAGCTTTGACATGGACCCCTTTGTCGTCGCATCACTCGGCAAGAAGACCTATCGCACCAAGACGATCCGCCACAACCTGAACCCAATCTTCAACGAGAAGATGATCTTTCAGGTTGCCACTCACGAGTTGTCGTACTCCTTCTCTTTCACGGTCATCGACCGCGACAAGTACTCTGGCAATGACTTCATCGCCTCTGCCAACCTTCCCATCAAGGAGCTGATGGACCGGGCCCCCAAAGCAAACGAGATGGGCCTCTACGAATTGCGCGACCCGCCAGAGTATCAGCCTTCGCAACGTTCCAGATTCGCCCGGCTTGGACTGTCTCGAACATCTTCCGCCCAAAGCCTGTCCAAGAGTGCCAGACCCTCTCTGAGTAAGACGCCATCTGCATCTTCCACCATAAGTCCCCCAACCTCGGTGCCTGCCCCAACGTCCGCACCGGCAGTGTCCCAGCCGAGCGGTGACTCTGCCGCTGACGTAGCTGCCGCTCCGCTGCCGAGTCCCGGTCTTCTAGCTCCGACAGATGTTGCTCCTCCGTCTATGGCTGCAGCTGCTGGGGAGCTGAATCCCGACTCGGACGACCCTGACTTCAACAACTACACCCTTGCCTTGAAGATGAAGAATATTGACAAGTGGGAGGACAAACACAACCCCCAGCTCTACATCCGCGCCAAATATATGCCCTACGCGGCCTTGAGGCAACAGTTCTGGAGGGCCATGCTGAAACAGTACGACACTGACGAGAGCGGCTGCATTAGTAAGGTAGAGCTCACGACTATGCTCGATACGCTTGGCTCGACCCTTCGCGAGTCCACGATAGACAGCTTCTTTCAGCGGTTCCCACACAAGAACACCAACGGCGAGAACGGCATTGGCGATCTGACGGTCGAAGAGGCAGTAATCTGCCTCGAGGACCAGTTGCAGGCCAAGTCGAAGCCCCAGACGATGACTGATCGCATGAGGGCCATGCTTCCCGACGCAAGCAAAGTCAAGAACTTGCTGCCCGTGCCCGGGACCACTGGCGGCGACGGCACTGCCACGCCTACTGAAAGCACGGTGTCTGACGATGCGTCGAGCACTCTGGCCATCCCCGAACAGGGTTCTCCCGGGGAAGAGGGCGAGAACTTGAGGAAGGAAGACCTCAACGATGACATGGGCGAGGAGCACGTCGTCGAGATCCGAGAATGTCCCATCTGCCACCAGCCCAGGCTGAACAAGCGCAAAGACACGGACATCATCACCCACATCGCGACCTGCGCAAGCCAGGACTGGCGGCAGGTCAACAACCTGGTTATGGGCGGTTTTGTCACCGCCTCTCAGGCGCAGAGGAAGTGGTACTCCAAAGTCGTCACCAAGATCGGCTATGGCGGCTACAAGCTGGGTGCCAACTCGGCCAACATCCTGGTGCAGGATCGCATCACTGGCCAGATCAACGAAGAGAAGATGAGCGTCTATGTCAGGCTGGGCATCCGCCTGCTCTACAAGGGCCTGAAGTCCAACAATATGGAGAACAGGAGGAGTAAGTCGCTTGGCCCTCCGCGTATCACATGTGCACTGTACCTCTTGTACTGACATATATCTAGTTCGCAAACTCCTCAAGAGCTTGAGTATCAAGCAGGGCAAGAAGTACGATGACCCGGCTTCCAAGGCCGAGATCCAAAAGTTCATCGACTTCCACGGACTGGACATGTCGGAAGTGCTCCTGCCCGTCGAGGCGTTCAAGAACTTCAACGAGTTCTTCTACCGCGCCCTGAAGCCCACGGCCCGCCCCTGCTCGGCGCCCGACAACCCGAACATCATCGTCTCGCCCGCGGACTGCCGGAGCGTGGTCTTCAATCGCCTCGAGACGGCCCAGAAGATCTGGGTCAAGGGCCGCGAGTTCTCGATCAAGACGCTGCTGGGCAGCGCGTACCCCGAGGACGTGCAGCGGTACACGGGCGGCGCGCTGGGCATCTTCCGCCTCGCGCCGCAGGACTACCACCGCTTCCACGTGCCCGTCGACGGCGTCATGGGCAAGCCCAAGCCCATCAGCGGCGAGTACTACACGGTCAACCCCATGGCCATCCGGTCGGCGCTCGACGTCTACGGCGAGAACACGCGCGTCGTCGTGCCCATCGACAGCGTGGCGCACGGGCGCGTCATGTTCATCGCCGTGGGGGCCATGATGGTCGGCAGCACCGTCATCGAGCGGCAGGAAGGGGAGCACATCCGGCGGGCCGAGAACCTGGGCTACTTCAAGTTTGGCGGCAGCACGATCCTGCTGCTCTTCGAGGAGGGGCGGATGAAGTTTGACGACGACCTGGCCAACAACTCGGCCGGTGCGCTCGAGACCCTGGTAAGCAAGCCCTCTCTCTCTGGAGACCTGGGCACATCTATTCTCTTTGATTTGGGGCTAATTTTGGTTTGTTTGAAATCTCGTGACAGATCCGCGCGGGCACCTCGATCGGCCACTCGCCCAACGAGCCGCAGTGGACGCCCGACATGCGCACCGAGGACAGGCAGCTCACCGAGGAGCAGAAGCGCGACGCGCGGCGGCGCATCCAGGGCAGCGTCGGGGGCGGGGAGTACTCGCCCGACGACAGCGGCGAGGGCGACGCCGACGTTGACGACATCGACGATAGTGGCAACAACGGCGGCGGTGGGATCCCGCCGGCCTCGGCGCACGTCGCGCAGTTTGCGGCCTAGGAGGTCTGCATGCTGACGAGGAGGTTGCGTACGAGTGAGTGAGTGAGTGAATAGGGGGGTCGAGGGAGGGGCTGAGAGTGTAGTGAAGATGGTTGGGGGTGGTTGTGTTAGATCTGTTGTTCTTTTTGAGGGAGGGGGAACAGTGGTGATACATAAAAAGAAAGAGAAATGGAAAAACACTTTAGAGAGGAGAAGCGAAGCATTCTTTTGGTGTGTTTGAACAGGTCTCTCAAGGACCTAGTTGGGCTCTGCTATCGTCTTGCGGCTTCGAGTTCCTGCGAAGGGAGTAGGCGGGCGGGCGAGGTTGTGTCAGCTTCTTCGTGTCGTTGTGTTTTGGTCGTCTGGGTGCACACATACATACATAATGTACTTGGGCAACGCGCATACGTGCTTTTCTCGGAGGTTTCCTGCTTGGTTTTCTTCTCCCGTTCTCGCTGGACACTTGAGTGTGTCGATGACGGAAAAAAAAAAGCAAAAGATGATTTTGCATGATTTTTGCAACAGGTACATAACTTTATATGCTACACAATGCAATGCTACGTACGGAACATTACAAGGTATTCATGTGGTACCTATCCAAGAGAAACGACGAGGAGTGGCATGCAGCCAGCCTACAGTGCAAATATCGGTCGTATATATGCTGAATTGGCCTACCAGGACGGACTGCTCTCTTGAAAAGGGGCTTGGATTGGCATGCATGACAGAGCTTTCCTTCTGCTCCCCGTCTCGTCTCCTGGTATAGCAGGAAAGTGAGCCTGGGCAAGTCCAAACTCCCGCATACGGCTGGTCATTTCTCGAGCAGTCTCTCCGAAATGCGCCTCGAGGAACCATGGCCAAAAGTGACAGTGATGTACGGATAGGTCGCATATCCCGGGGAGCCTGGACCGCCGTCGCCGTCGCCGACCGCCGGCGGGTAAGAAGACCTGCAGGTACCGCAGGTAGGCCTTTAGAACCACAATTTCCATCAAACAAAGAGTCTTCCCCACCGTTCTCGCCCACCTGGACTTCTTGGGGCCTTGGCCGCCTGTTATCTGATCCGACGACTTGAGGTTCCCCCACAACCCAACGGCCCACCCGGCGTCCAAGCCCCTGGCCAGCCAACCGACCACCACATCAGAGCATCAACTTGCCGTCTTCCCGGAAGAATTTCTCGGGATGGAGGCGTCCCGGGGGTTCGAAAGGTGGGTCTGGTGACCCGAGCCCAAGTTCCACCAAGAAAAGCTCCTGATCAGATAAAAAAAGAAACTCGCGGATGCTTCCGTTCAAAAACAACACCCACAGGGAAGAGCTGGGTTAAGCCCCGTTGGGATCAGCGTTCAATTACGTAAATCAGGGTGTAGTCGGGGAAGGGACAGGGCCAGCGTGGGCCCGGGAAGGTCAACGTCCGGGTGGATGCCGATCGCGCCATCTCGATGTTGTTGTTGTTGTTGCTGGCCTGGTTTGTTTGGGGATCCATCCTTTATACGAGTAGATGGGCGCTTGCCTGTTCTCGCGATGCTGAAAAGACTCCACAGTGACCCCCGAGGGCGGGCGCATGTCACACCTCTCCTCTCAAGCCAGGGAATCGTCCATCTCTGAGAGGCCAGAGCGTGCATTTTGAAACCCCCTGTCCCCATCCTTGCACAGGTGCGCGTTGTCCCCTTTCCGGCGCTGTGGCGCCGATGGAGATGACATGCCCAGGACTCCCGGTCCTCACACCAGGCTTATCCTCCGGATCTCCGGGCCCCGGTACTCGGGCCCCGGCGTCCCGTCGCCCAGAAGCCCCGCGCAAGCCTCCCCCCGCATCAGGCCGGGGACGACCGCGGGCCCGACCACCAGGTATCGGCCAGTCCGGCTTGGGCGCAGGACCACGGGCATGGAGCAGCCGAGCAGGACCCAGATCTCGTCCCCCCGGCTGCGCGGGGCGGGCCTTGAAGGCGGACCAGGAGGCGCCCAGCCGCTTGTTCTCCGTCCCGATGAGCCAGCCGGTGCAGCCCGAGGATGAAGAACTTGAGGGTCCTGTTCTCGGGATGCTCGAGGTCGGGCCCCAGCGAGGACTCGACGTCCATGGGGTCCGAGTCTTCGAGGCCCTCGGAGGAGACCAGCCCGATCAGGTCGACGACGTGATCCCTAAACTCGTCCCGAGACAGGTCCTCGAGCTTGACATCGCCGAGGGCCCACGACTCGAGGAGTTCCAGGAAAGGCGCGCTTGCGAATGGATCGCTTTCAACACCGAGCTCCGCAGATATGGCTTCGAGTTGCGTGATCAGTTCCGAAATGGTCATAGAGAAATTCGGGTCGGCAGCCCTGCATGAAACTCTGTTGCATCTGATACCTCGTAGAGCCATCAGCCTGCCATCAAACTCTACGATGTCCGAGCTCACAGGAACAGCTGTCGACTTGGACGCGAAGTCGGTCGTCAGTAGAAGGGCTTCGTGCATTGGAAGCCAAGTCGGCAAGGACCGGTCTGTGCTTCCCGACAGGTAGTAGCAGAGGAAGTCGACAGATTGGTATTTGCGTACGTAGTGTTTCACGACCAAAGAATAAGTCTGGAAGCGAGTGAGGGTGTAATCCGGCGCAAAGTCCCCCTCGTGGTAGCCCAGAGCAAGGCCGACAAACCCGTACACCCAATCCCTAGGGTCGCTTGTCTTGAGGCCCATTGATCTCAAGAACAATCGAAGTAACGTCGGCACGGCGCTGCGGACTTTGTATTGTTTTCTCATCACCCAGAAACCAACACTCATAGTGTAGAAGAGAAGCTTTCGAGCCTCGCGTACTGAATATACGTCCTCGTTGTGCCGTAAAAGGTGCTGTGAGGTCAGCCATTCAAAACGGATAAGCACGTCCGGATGTAAACTGCCTCGTGGGAAATGAAACCGTAAACTGCGTGCGAGATACAGCTCCTGCTGAGTCTAGACTCTTTCCCAGTATGTGTGAGCGAATATCTTGTGCATTGGGGCCCAGAACTCCGGCTCATGATCTGTCAGTTCCTTGGTCTGGCCAAGGTCCGAGGAACGAGAGCTTTCATCATCGAATTGAAAGCAGTTCCGTGACGCCTTCAGCTGCTGGGCAGCATGGAAGGCCGGGGATGTGAGATCGACATCGACATCCATCCAGATCCGTACGCAGCGGGCCCTGGAGTAGACGTCCTTCATCATCCCGACCTGATGACCCCGTTCTTGATCATCGCCCTGGTTGATGCAGATGGCATCGATCCAGAGCACCCTAGGCTCGTCCTTCAGCCGCAAACAGGGGAGGGCCACCTGTAGGCTTTCCGTGATCAGGATGGTCTGACCGTCGTTGATGATGAGCGGGAAGCGGAGCTGGGGATCGCCCCAGACATAGCTGACTGCATCATACTGCGGGTTCGCGTCCAGCGACACGGTCGTCAGGCGCCCGCGCAAGGCATCGTCTTTCTCGCCGGGGAGGAGCTCGAACAGGCGAATCTCGCGCTGGTCCTCGTCAAGAGTCCCGTAGCAGCTGGTGTTTTGCCGCTGTGTGGACAGTGTACCGATGCATTCTGCACAGGGATCAATCTCGGCCTTGAGTCAGTCGTGGAGGGCGACTGGCTGTGGCGGTGAGCGCTGAGGTCTGCGCCTTTTGACGGGACATGGCGCGAATACCAGTGAAAAGACGAGATGGGTGTTGGACAAGTGTATTGAACTACGATTTGAAACCCACTGCTTTTGAGCAAACAATCGAAGAACCAACGAATTGAAGAACGGCGCTGCGAATCAATTGCAAGAAATCAAGATGCGAAGCTGGCTAAGCGCCGCCCTCGAGGCAGCCAGCTGCCTACCATGTGAAGGTTGCGATGGATTCATGCTGAGGCTGCAATGTCCCAATTTGGGGGCTTTGCTACCTCCATGTTCCAAATGCGGCACAGGCCCTCCAGCGCGTCTCCTGTCATTGGGCAAGGCACACCATTCCTGAAACAGACAACTGCTGGACTACCAAGTATGGACGAGACCTCTCCATAGATGCTTGCAGCATGTCACCGACTGACGGTGTTAGACGTTGTCCTAGGATGTTCATGGGATATTTCTTGGATTTGGACCTCAAAAAGAGCTAGGGTATCTATGTAATAAGAAGAGAAAAAGTAGGAATTAATGTCGTGCAGGGTGAAACTCAACCCCTCACGTTCTCTCCCGACAGCAAGACCGGGGAGTCTGTCCCGGGTTCGGCGCTGAGGAATGACCAAAAGAAAAAGCGAAACTCCAATTCCCATGCAAAGACTCCCAAGGGGGAAAAGATATAATCCCAGTTGTGAGGTTGATGTCGTCATCTGCTCGCCGTGGCACGGAATGTCCCAACGTCCCCTTTTCTCCCCGAGGACAAGCACCAAGGAGGAGCCCCGCCCAACTTGGCGGTGCAGAAGGTGGGCATCTCCCCGCAGGACACGCGGATGGGCAGCCGACGACCTGACGACGGGCGGAGACCCGACTCCCGAGTCGTTCGATGGGAAGTGGGCGTAGACCGGCGGAGGGTAAATCAGAGAGCAGAGTGGAGTCCCCACTCGCACCACCACCCAACTTTATCGAGAAGGATGGATTGGCGGTCTGGTGGGCCAATGGCGTGTAAGACCGTGGGACCAGTGGTGCCATTCCGCCAAAGAAATGTACAAATTGCACATTCTAGTCACAAGGGCCCCTCCGAGGGGAGGAGAGGAAGGTGTTGTAGCCTCTTTCTCTCGCTCGCTCGCAACGCGTTGAGTGCTTGTTGACGGTGGTTTTCGTGTTTCGTGTCGAGATTCGTAGTTTCGTTGCCAGTATCCTAGCATGCTTGCTTTCCATAAAGAAGATCGACGGTAATGTAGCAATGGCAGGCCGGGGACAGCGCATATGCATGGCTAGTTCCCGGCCGCCGCTGTGCGACTTGCAGCCTCCCGTGTCCGTCTTCAACGTCATGTCGTGTTTTTCGCTGCTGTTACACCCCAGAAAGTTCCTCCCGCAGGATTCCTCGAGCCACTCCGCCTCTTTAGTGGCCGTTGAAGCGCCAACTTGAGTTGGAGTTTGGGCGCGGCATCGGGGCGGAGGTGTCGCTGCGGTCGCTGTCCATGGAGCGCTTCTCGGGTGAGGGCGATCGGCGCTGCTGAGGTGGGAAATAGCTGCCGGGAAGCTGAACTTGGGGCGAGGTGAGCTCGGGCGAGGTCTGGCGAGTCTGACGCCAAGAAGAGTAGATTTGTTTGCACAGATGTGCCGACATCGTGTACGTGGGAGACATGGTGAGGCGGGTGGCAGTTGTGACTGGGTGGTATAAGACGGGTCAGGGTCCCGGAAGAGGTAGACTGGTATGGGTTCAAGGCGTCAAGGGCGTTGAATGCTTTCGTTGTTTGTGAGCTGGTGCAGGGTAAAGTAGAACAGACAGTGGTCACGGCTTTTGGAGACAAGCTGACAGAGATCCAAGTGGAAGAAATCGTGAATGGGAGGGGAAAACAAAGGAAGAGAGTGTATGGAAACCGGGGAGCACCGCCGTTTTATTTGATTGCCAAAGAAAGTACAAAGTAACATACAGTAGGTAATGCACGTATTGTGTCTGAAGGGACGAACTAAGGGAGGAAGGAGCAAGTGACAAGGCAGCGACAGAAAGGGCAAGAGGCAGTGTGGGAACCGGGTACCTGAATTTCGTACCAAGTACGGAGTATGGTAGGTACCACACTGCTTAGTTACTGGATTCAACTCGAGAGTCACAGCCCACAGCCCAGCCAGCGAGCGAGCAGGCACAACTGGCGGGAGGAGTTGGACGGGAACAAAGATCCACCTGGCACATCCATGGATGAAAAACCGACCCATGAGCACCTAAAAACAGGCCACATCGAGCCACCACCAGCCATTCAGCACTCATATCTGCACTACCAGGCCCACCCACACCCGCCCAACTCTGTCCTCTATCTCTTCTCCCCCCCCATCAAAATCTCGTCCCAACTGCGGACCGGTTCGAGAACAGGCTCGAATTTGATCCTGTCGGCCCCTCCTGTCCTGCCTTGTCAAATATGGGCTTGGAGGGCATGCTGGCCAATGAGGGCAGACACATTGTCAGCACACCGTTCGACAACGCACCGCCACAGGGTGCAAATGGCCTGATGCGTATGCACGTCGATGTACTGGGAGTGTAGGGTCTTTGCTGGGCATCTTCAGTGCCTGTTGGTGGTGATCGTCCACTGTAGCTAACTGAGATCCGGTCTGGCTCCAGGGCTCTTGGGTGGGTCTCAAGTGTCCGCTCAACTGCTTACACTTGGTGACTTGCGCGACCTGAGAGGCTCGACGGATTATGAAATTCCGAGCCCAGCTGCTGCACAATCCCACGGATACCTGTCGTTAATCTGGGATATTACGTAGCCTGTGGCTTGGGAGCTCCTCTCTCTCTCTCACTCCTATGGGCAAGTATCAGCCACGCTCTGAAACAACTACAAGTAGAGATGGCTCACGAGGAGCCCCGCGGGCATGGGGCCTCAGCGGCGGATGGATCGCCTGGATCGGCACACCGCTGGGGATGAACCAGTTGTCCCAAACCCGCTGGATCACCGTCCGTAGCCGACGCCCACTCGCATTTCAAGGGCTGGTCAAAACAATGCCGGGGCTCCTCTTCATAATGCAAAAGGGTGCTTGTCTCGGAGAGGACTACCCCAACCCAGACTTCTCAGACATGACGGCCGCATTGACACATGCATGCATCGACGGATTTCCCCCGCATCTGGCAGGGAAATACTCTTTGCCGGGAGCACGACCAAAGAGTCTAAACTGTGCCGGCCCCGCCCTCGTCCGGGGAGTTCAACCCCAGCTGGAGTTGATGGCCGACCTCGCCGCACCCGCTCCTCTCCCGAATCAAACCAATGGCTGGCACCTGGACGCCAAGCCCGGGGAAAGAAGTGAGCATGTAGAGGAATCCTAGTCGGATTGCCCGCCCTTTGTGATGTTTGAGAGTGATCTCGCCAAGGCCGGCGCCGGAGGATAGGTTTCTACAAGTAGCCACCTGGACGCGGGAGATGACTTCATCGTGCCTCAAGGTGAAGCACCGAGAACAGGGGGGAGTGGCAGGGGATGCCCTCGCCTCGCGGGGAGATGCTGTCATCTTATCAGATCTTCCTACGCCGATCTACAAGTCCCTACGGGCAATGAGCCCACCCACTTTCCAGACGATGGTACCTTGGAGTGGTCAGGGAGTTACTTAGCCTTCTATGAATTGTAACTACATCATCAACCTGACGCGAGGATACTAGGTAGCATACTTTTACGACATCATGAACTACCTTGCTTCACAATCCGGTATCAAAGAGTCATAGCTTCTTTGGCCATTGTCATCAATCATCAGCATGTTGACATGGCATCTAGCTATCAAAGTATATCGTATCAAAGCCATGTATCCAAGCACCATTCATAATGAAGAAGAAAAGTAGTAAATATAGATTATCAAACATCTCCCATACCAAAGAATATAGTAAAATTGGGGGTGAAAGAGCATGTATATCTAATAGGGTTTCCCATAACCCATTAAAAATATTGTTGTAAGAAAAAGAAGAAAGTCAAACCCGTCTAATGAACCCTCTGCACCATGTTGTCTATATGCCTCCCCACCGCACATACCTCATGAGTAAATGACTGGTAGCCTTGCAAAATCACGACTACAGCAGGAAAACAGCAACAGCACCGAGCACGACCATCAGGCCGGCGCTGGCGCCACCCGAGGACCGGACGCCGGCGCCGCGGACGACGCCGCAGTCAGGACCCTTGCAGCCAGGAGCGGCGGTGGAAGAGGAAGAGCCCGTGGTGCCGTTGCCGCCGGAGCCGTTGCTGTTGTTGAAAGTGCCGCCGCAGTTGGCGCCAGTGCAGCCCGACGCCGACGAGCCCGACGCCGACGAGCCAGACGCCGACGAGCCGGCGGTGCTGCTGGCCTTGGCCGCGCCAGACGTGGCAGAGCCGCCGCCTGGCGCGCAGTTGGCGCCGCTGCAGCCGCCCTGCTGCTGCTGCTGCTGCTGCTGCTGCTGCTGGGACGGGGACGAGGGGCTGACATTCTGCGCGGTGGAGGCCGCGACGACCTTGGTCTGGATGGTGGAAGCACCGCCGCCGACGCCGTTGTTGTTGTTGCCGGGGTTGCTGCCGATGGGGCAGACCGTCGTCGTCGTGTACACGGCCGAGGTGACTTTACCGACAGGGCAGTCGGTCACCGTGGGCTTGCACGAAGTGATCGTGTAGGTCTTGGTCACGAGGACGGTCGAGGTGGTGTAGCCGCTGGGCAGAGGCGTGCTGGCCGGCTTGATCGGGCACACCGTCGTGGTCGCGTACACCGTCGAGGTGACCTTGCCGACGGGGCAGTTGGTCACGGTCGCGCTGCACGACGTGATAGTGTAGGTCTTGGTCACGAGGATGGTCGAGGTGGTGAAGCCGCTGGGCAGAGGAGTGCTGGCGGCCATCGAGGTGGGAGTCGCCACGGCGGTGACCGGGCAGACGGTCGTCGAGATGGCGATGACCTTGGTGACGACCTGGCCAACGGGGCAGTTGGTGACGGTCGACGGGCAGGCCGTCACCGTGTAGACGGACGTCGTGAAGATGGTGCTCGTGGTCATGGCTCCCGTCGACGTCGGGTTGCCGGCGCCCGTCTGCGAAGCGCTGCCGCCGGTGGTGACACCCGAGGCAGGTTCGTTGCCGTTGCTCGCTCCAGCAGTGCTGCTGGATGAAGAGCCCACATTCGTGGCCACGGCAGCGATCGAGCTGACGGATGAAGAATCAACACTGGTGGCCACGGCAGCGATCGAGCTGCTGCTACCAGATCCGCTGCCGGAGCCGGAGCCAGAGCCAGAGCCGGTGCTCAAAGGAACGCCGGTTGAGGACGCCTGGCCATTGGTACCGTTCGAGGTTCCCGTGGGCAGAACGGTCGCGGAACCGCCGGTTCCAGTGATAATGGGGTGTACAATTGTGGCAATGGGAATGATCTCGGTGGTCAGTTGGCCCAGGCTCTTGTAGCAGTCACTGATGGTTGTCGGGCAGTAGCTGATGGTGAAGATCGAAGTGGTATACAGGATCTCCGTGGTGAGGTTCGGGTCACCAGTCACAGTCGAGGAGGAGACAGTACCGCTGGTGACGGTCGTGTTGGCAAAGGGAGGCAGAACGGTGGAGCTCGAGGACGCCACTGATGTGGTGCTCGCGCCCGTGGGAGTCGTCTGCGTCGAGGTCGGCAGATCCGTCGACGTGGCATTGATGACCTGAGTCTGAGTCTGAATCTGAGTAGAGGAGACGATGGTCGTGGTGTTGGTGAACAGCGGAGCGGTAGAGGTCTGGTTACCAGAGGGGTTACCGGAGGGGCTTCCGGTGGGACCAGACACGCCCGTGCTGAGAGCAGCCGAAGTAGTGACAGCATCTGACGTGGTCGAGTTTCCGAATGGAGCCGTCGATGTTGGGCTAGCCACGATAGTCGTAGACAAATCAGTAGCAGTTGAGTTGCTAGGCAGCGTGCTGATGGGGTCCACAGTCGTCGTGTTGGAGAAGGGTGGAAGGCTGGTGGTTGAGTTTCCAGATGGGCTACCAGTAGGACCAGACACACCAGTCGTCAACGGAGCACTGGTGGTTGAGATTGGATCCGATGACGTTGTCGAATTCCCGAATGGAGGGAGGCTGGTGGTCGAGTTGGCCGCAGGTAGGCTGGTAGGATCAGACACACCAGTCGTCAGCGGGGCGCTGGTAGTCGAAGCCGGATCCGCTGACGTCGTCGAGTTGACAAAGGGAGGGAGGCTGGTGGTTGAGTTGTTCACAGGGACGCTGGTAGGGTCAGATGTTCCAGTCGTCAGAGGCATGCTAGTCGTGGTGATCGGATCCGTGGATGTTGTTGAGTTGCCGAAGGGAGCAGTTGTCGAGTTCGTGGGCAGAACCGTGGCCGTGGGATCCGTCGTGTTGGCCGGGATGGACGAACTAGTAGTAATCACAGACGACGTAGACGACGTAGACGACGAAGTAGTCGCCGTCGTGGTGGTGCTGCTCTGGGTCGTGTTGGTGACAGGAGTGTCCTGGAGCTTGAACACCTTGATGCCACCGATCTTGAAGAAAGCCTGGTCGAAGGCCTCGGGGTTCTTGGCAACGTAGGCGGCACAGGTAGTCTCCTTGGTCGCAGCCTCGCACCCACCGTAGTGCCAGATATCCTTGTTGCCAGCTGTGACACCGCAGAAGTCGATGTTGAGGACAAGCTTCTGCTGCGAGATGACACCGTCAAGGTTGCAAGTGGACTGGGAGATGTAGAAGGCGGGTGTGCCCCATGAACGGGGGTTTGGAGAATCAGTGAAGGCATCCGCAGGGGCGGAACCACGCGGCCAGCTCCAAACGCTGATATTCTGGCTGCTCCACTCCATAGCATCTGATCCATGTCGGGTTAGTTGAATGATCCTAATGTGGTCTGGAAGGAAGGCACTTACAAACACTGCCACTATCGTAGAACTGGGGCGCCAGGGGCTCGTTGGCGCTGCAGCCAGAGCCCGCATACTGCACTGGAGGGTTGCTGACATAGTTGTCACAGTTGGGACCACCAAGGACACCAGTCTGTCCCGTACCGGTGAGCGTGCAAGAGCCAACCTTGGACGAGTTGTCGGCGTGAAGTGTGATCGAGTTGGCACCAGCCAGGTTCCAGTTCTCGTAGATGTCAAACTCGCCGACAGTCGGCCACGGGTCACCATACATCCAGCTAGAGTTCTGTGTCAATAACAGGTCCGAAGTAGAGTGAGCTGACCAGGACCTACAATGCAGGCCACAGACCGCAGGTAGGCTTGGGCAGATGCGTAAAGTCGGCGATGAAAAGGCCGTGTGTGTAGCGGTCGATACTCTCGATCCGGACACTATCACGGCCCTTGCCGTTCGGATCGGTGTTGTTCAGCACATCCTTGTGGTTGACACCCATGAAAACTTCGGAGCCCTGGGTGGCAATCAGGCCGAGGTCGCTGGCGTCTTGCCGGCTGCGGTAGTTGATGTAACCGCTAGAGAGGTCGACGTCGTTGTAGTTTCCGGTGCCATACTTGGACTCAACGAAATTGAACTTGTCGAAGAAGTTGCTGGCATTGTACGAATCAAACAGCTGGTAGGATTCGATGGCAGCCACACTTGTGGAGCACGCCAGGACAGCGGCACCCAACTTGAGGAGAGAGGGAGCCATTGTGACTGGAGTGTGTATATGCCGTGAAGGAATGACAGGAAGTGGAAAAGATGGAAGGAATGACTTGACGTGCGATACGTCAGAGGACGAGCAAAAGGGATGCTCAGGGCTTGCTGGAAGCGCAGCAAAAGGTGACTTGTCGAGGGCAGAGGCGCGGTAGGAGAGAAAAGAGAGATCACCAACCTCGAGTCTTCCCGGGTGGCAGCCATGTCCCTTTTACATCGCCCATAGATGGATGGCCAACCTACTTGGCGATGCGGTAGCCGAGAACACAACCCCTGGCACAAGAAAAGAAAGCACCGGAAGCTTGACGCGAGCCGGAGTGGCTGGCTGTGGCGGCTCTGCTATTGATGTGCCCTACCTCGACTCGTTCACTTGATCGAGATGGAGTTAGTGTAGGGCTTGCCGGCCTCAGCCCAGGAGCACAGCACAGCCCATATCAATAGATGCGCGAGTTCTGCAGGGAAGAGCCGAGTGGCTAGACCCGCAGCGTAGATTACACGCGGTTGTGGATGGGATGGCGCGAGGATGCGAGCGTGGGAGCGTGGGTTCTCTGCAGAGTATGGCGGGTGGTAATTAGGCAAGAACAGGCAAAGAAGCACCTTCGCCCATCTCCTTTTCGATACCCGGACCCCCTTTCGAGCATGGAGCTTCATCGTCACAACGCGGGCCGGGTCTGAACAGGGATAGGGCGATATCGATGTTGGATAAGTCCAGGGCCGGACCGCATGGGCGGCAGGGATGGCACCGACCATTTCCAGGCTGACGGTGCGATGAGGTCCACTTCCATCTTGCCATCCTGGTCTCTCGCCAATGGCAAAGGGGCCCCTGAGCCAACAAGGGCGCTGGAGCTGAGGCACCGGACTGGATCTAGTGATTTTTAGTGCCGGTTCCAGGCCGCATTCTCTCTTATTTTGACAGCCGGATCGATACCTTGGTGCCTGGCTTTTGCCCTACTGCAGGAACCACAGCACGACGACACATTGGGCGGATGGGATTGGATTGGCGCTGCTGAACAGTCGAAGAGGTTGACGCCGCGTCTCTAGCCTGTGCGTTTTTGCAGCGGATTCTCGCGCTGGGGGGCTTGGTGCAATTTCCCATCCTGTGCTGAAGGGATCGAATGGGGATGGATTATTGGCACAGGATGGTGTTTTGCTTTGCTTCGCCATCCTCTTGTCCTGTGGCGTCCGCAAAGGAGGCCATGGTGTTTGCTTTTTGGTGTTAGCAGTAAACAAGTGCATCGATGAGGCTGAGGGACAGCGAGTCGAGACCATCTCGGCGCACCAGACGGTTCTTCCCAATCTCTTGGGCTAGCCAGGGTCACGCAGAGTCGCCGAGGGAAGGGCGGGTGGCCTCTAGTTGGCGATGTGTTAGACAGTTCTTCATCCCTGAGCGGTGTTCGACCTCACCACTGTAACGACCGGCTGCTGAATCAACCTCCTTGCATTCTCTAAAACCAGTCAAGGGATCATGGAAGTTGGTTGCAGACTCCAGTCAGTGGCACACCGCTGCCGAGCCCAGATGCTATGGGGGCACAATTGCACTGAAGGAAACAATCCACTTGGCTCGCGGCAGAGGCGATAGCGCGGTCCGACCTAACCCCTTCGCCGGGTCCAAAGCTGGCGTTTCGGGCCTAACCGTCGTCAGTGATTGCGCGTTCAATAGTGTCGCAGGGCCGTTCTTCCCGGACCCATTTCATTTTATCACGCCCTCCGGTCGTTCAAGGCCCAATCATTGCGTGTTGTTCTGTGTCCCGGAAAGCATGCTAGAACGGTGGAAAAGGTGGAAGGCCACAGTATGTGAGCACAAGCGATGTTCTTGTTGATTAGTACCGGTCTCTTCTCCGGAAGAGTTGCAAAGGGACCGCAAATGCGGCGCGTTGATTGAGAAGCGGCTCAAAGTGACAGGCTTCTCCGATAGAGAAAGCTTTGATGTGTGCACATGTGGCGTGTAGATCAAGCTTCAGGCCGTTCTATTGAAGAAAACGGTGCATCACTATCGAAACCATGAAGCAGCAGAGGTTGGTGCAGCATGGTGAGATGATTATCTTATCACCCGAAAAAACTAATATCGAGGCAGCCACATCACCCGCTCCCGAGGAAGAGATATTGGGCGAAAGGGCAAGTGCGGCACCTGTTGCCTCTGATTCGTCTACGAAATGATTGATGATGGGCCAGTGTCTCGGAATGCCCTACGGCTTATTCAGAAATCGAACCTTCGCTGTCTTGTGTGAAAAGCTTATCTTGGGGTAATTGAACACGGACTCGTCAAGGAGAACGGCCCCCAGGGGCCTGTCTTGATGTATCTGAGTGCCAGTGATGCTAATTCGGCTCGACTTTGCAACTCTGTTTGTTTCTTTCCAGCACGGTGTTCCGTATCTTCCACTGCACCTCATCCCGCCATGGTAGACATTGGATCATCTGATGCTCTGGGCAGCTCTTCAACCGTGGCTCCCATGTTTACACTACTGATCCTGGATGCTCAATGAGCACAGATAGGACTTCCCCGCGACCAAGTCCTGCCGAGGCAAGTAGTGTGCAGCGTGCCTGCCGAGTTGGTCAATTCCGTATTTGGAGTCACGCAACTGTTGCTCTCAACTTTGGGTATCAAGTGATTTGGACAAGCATGTACAATTTGACAGTCTACCACCGATACTCCCTATTGATACTCAAGTGACACCTCTGAATTCCATCCTTCAATTTCCTACAATTCCACCCGTATATCCACCTGCTACAAGAAGCTTCGTTCAACGAGCCGGGAACTTGATTCATCTATAAGGATCAACACAGCGCGTTGTCCAATCTGCAGAGCGCGATGCCGCAGCGCTCGGAGTTTCAACGCGTCCCAGGTCTCAGACACCGCTTCCTGAAGGCCAGACAGGCCAGCACCACCACTATCCCAGCTACCCCGATTCCTCCACTGCTATCACCGCCTCGAACTCTGTCGGGAGGAAGACCTAATCATGGAGATCTCCCTTCCAAAGAGCCCGTTAAGGAGGGACCTATGGGAACATCCTCCAAGTCGGATCTTGTACCTGCTTCTGTTGGCATGACGACACGCACAAATACTGTTAGCAACGAAAACGAAGATGGAGGCGCAAGCAACCAAGCTGATCCAAAGACTTCTTCATCTTCTCGCTCCAGAAGTTTGACTCGTGTTGATACCGCTCGTTCGGTCAGTGGGGAGACCGGAGCGGCGCTCGTCACTGGCAAAGATGATCTGTCTGAAGAGGTCCAACAGTTCTTACGTGATGTGGAATTCGTCGCCCGACGTGCTCGAATATCTCTGGACTCAACACCTGAATCCCCGTTCTATTCTGAAACCTCGGACCCTCAGATAGACAACTAGCAGTCGACGTCACAGGAGTCGGCCGAAACAAGCGGCAGTCAGGAGGTCAGATCACATGCGAACACAGACTCTAGATCTAGACCGCAATCTTCGCAAACACGACCAAGGTTTCAATATGACGACTCTCAACTACAGTTACTCGAGCCCATTCCAATCGACACTGGGGCTTATCCATTCGGTTTCGTGCCTGTCGATGCTCCAAGTCCACGAGAACCCCGCCGCCGTAGTCAAAGTCGACAAGAGAGCGAATCGCAATCAACTATCAGAGCAGAAGATTCTTCTGGCCGGGGTTCACCATACCATGTGCCTACCAAACCTTGTACTCCAACTAGCGAAGTCACCGCTGTTGTATTACGACCGAGCGGCAACTCGCAAACAGTGATGACGCCAACGAATGAGGAAGAAAGCGCTACAGGTGACCGTAGACTCGACTATCGGGCCGTTGCGAAACACACAGTGTCGCCTTTAGGATCAGCAAACAGTTCGATCCACGATGGGTGCTGCGGGAGTCAGTCACTCTGGCAGAGATTGTGCGAGCGAGGGCATCTGAGGAACAGATTGGAAGCACTTCAAAAGGGCAAGTCTCGACAACAACAAATACTCACCAGGAGGCCACATTGCAATAGAATCAGGAAGAAGCAAAGCAAGGTAGTTGCAATTGAAAACCCCCGTTATCCTACACGAGAGACCAGTACGCCTCCCTATCGAGATCCAACCACTGCCACCCGGCATTCAACATCTACAGTACTGCTGTTTGAACAAGATTTCCAGATCGCTCTCGAGCGCCTAGAGGGGCTCATGCATCAAGCGCTGATTCTAGCCGATACTATCCAGGCTCACGAAGGGCAAGACAATGCCGACAAGCATACGTCAGTCCCGAGTGGCGCTGAAGGCAGCTCTTTGAAGCCTACTGCCGAACTGATCAACTCCGAGGACAGGCGTGATACAGCCCAGCCGCAAGCTCCCAATACGGCAGCATCTACCCATGAGCGGAAGCCTACTAGGAGGCCGAGGGACATGGATGGTGCCCTGCCAGATTCGGGCGATCTAGCATCCGAGAGCGACAGTCGCAGCGGGTTTCACTCTGCTATCTCACTCTAGGAGGACCAGTACAGCTATCCTGACCCGGAATCGGGAAAAGTGCAAGACTTGGAGGGCGGTGATCCAATCGATATGAAGGGGAGATCTCACGTCAGTCTAAAAGAAACCCAGGGAGTCAACGTTGCGCATCTCTACAATGACCGAGGAGTGGCTCGAGATTGGTCACCACAACGGAAACGATGTGTTGCGACTGTGGCCTGCATCAGCACGGCCATGATCGGGGTGCTCATTGGTATCTATGCTGGGCTTGTGCCAGCTCTTCAATATTACATCGGAGACGACAAGCATTACACAATCCTCGGCAACGTCTTCTTCTACCTCGGGCTGGCAGTCACCACATTGTTATTTTGGCCCCTGCCCTTGCTCCACGGCCGCAAGCCTTACATCCTTACCAGCCTGATCCTCGCAATGCCGCTGCTCTACCCACAGGCCATCTCTGTGGCCGAAATACGATCCCCTTTCGTGCACACCTGGAGATGGTGTCTCTTGGGGTCCAGGGCTTTCATGGGCTTGGTGCTTGGCTTCGCGAGCATGAACTTTCACTCCATCTTGACCGATCTCTTTGGCGCTTCTCTGATGAGTTCATATCCCCACCAGGAGTTGGCGGACAAGTATGATGTGAGACGGCACGGCGGCGGAATGGGCGTGTGGCTAGGTATCTGGACTTGGTGCTTCATGGGCTCTCTCGCTGTTGGGTTCTTCATCGGAGCAGCCATCATCAACACACAGCACCCCTCCTGGGGCTTCTACGTCAGCATTATCATTCTCGCATTTGTCATGGTGCTCAATGTCGTTTGTCCAGAGACAAGGCCATCGGCGTACAGAAGATCAGTGATGGAGGTAAGAGACGGGGACGAGATCTCGACACGTATTGCCCGCGGGGAGGTCATGATGCATCGCGTCAAGACTGGACCGAGGTGGTGGGGAGAGGAGGTCTACCACGGTCTGAGACTCTCGGTGGAGATGATCTCTCAGCCTGGATTTGCGGCCGTGGCTCTCTATTTTGGCTGGACGTATTGCCAATTCGTTCTGATCATCATCTTACTTGGGTCGTTGACCTCGCGGTACTACTCACTACGCTCTTCCCTCGTCGGACTCTGTGTTGCAGGGGTGGCGGTGGGTGCGCTCGTTGGCGTGCCGTTTCAAAAGGCAAACATCTTCTCCAGAGCTCGATATCGACAGAAAGATTTGGCTCACCAATCACGCGCGAGGAGAGTGGCCTGGACATCGCACCTTCTTCGCCGTACAGTCTTTACGGCCTTGCTGCCGTTGATGAGCATGGCCTACTCTCTGGCGTCCCGAGGCACTTCTACCCCTATTGTCATCCCTGTGGCTCTGGCCGCCGTCATCGGTTTCCTCTCCTGTCTCGCCGTGGCGGAATGCAACGGACTCATCATGGAGACGTTTGACTGTTCCGACCTGCAGCCTGCAACGAGCCGGCGCAGGCGTACTGGTTCGCCCAAGCGCTTGAGGAGGAACTTCTCTTCTTTTCCTCGTGTCACGGCCGGCTTCGCCATCAGCCACGCAATTGCGTTCATACTCGCCGCTGGGACGACTGGTGTTGGCGGCCTTGTCCGACGCAGGCTCGGTCAGCAAGCTGCCACGGGCGTAGGCTCGGGCATCTTGGTCGCACTGACGGCTCTGTTCTCTGCCGTCCTCGTCCGGTTCAAGACGGTGCAGGTTGTCCCCGAGACGGAGACGTCCAAGATGGAGAAGTGGGACGAGGTCCGCCGGCACAGCCTGCGCCGACGTTCGGCCGCCCGCTCGGAGGGCGGTGGACGCACAGCTGGGGATGACTTGCAGGGGGCGCTGCAGGATGCAGAACCTTGGCGGCCGCCGCTGGTCCTCGGCAGCCCAACACACCCGACGCGGCGGATGAACCTGCTGGAGCTCGGGTCGATGACTCGGTGGAGCGAGATCCGGCGCAAGAACAGGGTGATCGATGAATGGAGCAACTAAAACTACGAGGGAAGTTCCGGCTCGTTGTCGAGGAACAAGTTTGCTGGGGGATGCGCTGGAGCCTTGTCAGATGTCAGACGTAGAGGTGAGCACGCAGAGTGGGTTTTGCTCAAGACTCAGGGGGGGGTCGATCATCTGCAGGTCTCACCCAGCCTGCATTATCCTAAAAGCACATGCAGCTCTAGTAAAAGAATTGCTAATTCTGAGTTATGCGGTCTTCGAGATGGCCCGGCTATGCGACCATTTCCCCTACCGTGGTATGCCCTATCCACCGGAGCCTGTCCCGTCTCGCCAAGTGCTCTTGCAGACTTGTCAAAGATAAGAAGAAGGTGTTACTCGGCAGGATGACAACGTGCAGTCAGTACTCAAGATAAAGTTGATGGCATCAGCGCACTGTCCACTGCATATCCGTAAATGACAACCCGGCCAGTTGCGTAATCTGGTCCCTCTACTCGGCAGTCGGCAACAGGATCAGATGTCTGGTTGTCTGTCCCCCTTTAGGTTGGATCTGCTGGGCGACTAGGATTAGTTAGTTGGCATGTGCAAGTGCCAGCAGCAGGTCTGAGTCTGTGTCGCTCAGATTTAGGCTTCATGACAAGGAAAAGCCGGCAGGCTTTTAGCGGGTCTGGCAACTCTGAAGCCCGCCAATTGAGCACTCGCAGTTGGGCCCTTGTAGTGGCCCCGCCCCCGCCCATAGGTGCTGTTACGTAGGTGGGATTGGGCTGTCGCGCGCAGGAAAAGCTGTAGGGTCTCCCAGCAGCACAGGTCTCACTCTGCCAATTTTTTCCCGCAGCTTGCATCGCCAGTCACTGCTTGAGTGGGGTTGCATGCTCCCTCCCTCCCAATACACCCCCCCCCCTCTATGCGTAACTAACTGCGTATGCGTGAGTGAGTTGCGTCCCGCCCTGCCTTTCCCGCTTCGCATCCCCAAATCCACACCTCACTCAACCAACACGCATTCTGATCAGCCAGCCAAGCGAGCTGCGAATCCACCTTTACCACGTCCCCAGTGCCCGATACGGAACACCTTGCCTGTCCCTGGGGCACAAGTCATATTTTTTTTCTGGCTCTGGTCAATTTAAACTGCCCTGCCCGCCTCCTCGCCCTGGTTCTCGGCCCACCATGGCTCCCCGTCCCTTCGACGACGAGGAACTGTCCATCTCCCTCACGCCTGCCCAGAGCCGCAGGACCAATTCCATCAGCCGCCCGACCCCCGAGGTCAGCGTCACACACCACGGCGATTCCGGCGGCGCCATGAGCGCGGCTCCCTCCCTCGGCGGCCATGGCGGCGCCCCGCACGCCGACCGCATCAAGAGCAGCGACACCCGCCTCGACCAGTACTCGATCGTCAAGACCCTCGGCGAGGGCTCCTTTGGCAAGGTCAAGCTCGCCATCCACAAGTCCACCGGCCAGAAGGTCGCCCTCAAGATCATCTCCCGCAAGAAGCTCATCAGCCGCGACATGACGGGCCGGGTCGAGCGAGAGATCGAGTTCCTCCAGCTGCTACGGCATCCTCACATTATCAAGCTGTACGTGCCGCCTCGCGCCCCACAAGCAACACCTCGTCGCGACTGCTCCGCCCCTCCCCAATGATGGCATGATGGACCATGACTAACACGCTTTGTCCTATAGATACACCGTGATTAAGGACACAAATGATATTATTATGGTGCTCGAGTATGCAGGCGGAGAGCTGTTTGACTACATTGTCCAAAAAGGAAGGATGGACGAGGACGAGGCAAGGCGCTTCTTCCAGCAGATGCTCTGCGCTGTCGAGTACTGCCATCGGTACAGAGTGGTGCACCGCGACCTGAAGCCCGAGAACCTGCTGCTGGACGAGAACCTCAACGTCAAGATCGCCGACTTCGGACTCAGTAATATCATGACGGACGGCAACTTCCTCAAGACGAGTTGCGGCAGCCCCAACTACGCCGCTCCGGAGGTTATCGGCGGCAAGCTATATGCCGGTCCCGAAGTTGATGTCTGGAGTTGCGGAGTCATCCTTTATGTCCTCCTGGTTGGCCGACTCCCCTTCGACGACGATCACATCCCGAGCCTGTTTGCCAAGATCGCGCGTGGTACCTATGTAATCCCGAGCTGGATGAGCCCCGGGGCGGCGGGACTGATCAAGAAGATGCTGGTCGTTAATCCCGTCCAGCGCGCGACCATTGAGGAGATCCGGCAGGACCCGTGGTTCATGAAGGACCTGCCCGAGTACCTGAGGCCGCCAGAGCAGCCCTTCTTCAACACGGGTATCGATCCCGAAAAGTCCATCAAGCCCAGCGACATTGCGCCGCATGCGCCTGTCAAGGTCCAGGAGAAGCTGCACAACGAGGTCACCGAGAAGATCTCCAAGACGATGGGTTACGGCAAGAAGGATGTCCAGGAGGCGCTGGAGGCTGAAGAGCCCTCGGCCATCAAGGACGCGTACATGATCGTCCGCGAGAACAAGCTGATGCAGATTGCCCGTAAGTTTCATCACTCCTGCCCACCGCTACATTGCATGTTAGACTGGGTAGGATGCCCATGCACAGGACGTCCTTGACTGACTTGACGACAGCACATCTTGGAAGTGGCAGTGAAAACCCGTACTTTGCGACATCACCACCCCCGGCCGAGCCGGACATAAGCGCCCTCGCAGCAGGCATTGGTGCTTTGAACAACAACGCAGAGACCGGCTCCCAAGCCAGTCCACTTGCTAGCATGTCGTCCGCGCGCTCCATCACCTCCGCCAGCACCAACGCTTCGCCGCGCCAGTACGTCTCCAATATCGGTATTCTGCCCAGCAGTCTGCCTACGTATCACAAAGACTACATGGAGCGTGAGCGGGCAGGTGGCGATGATTCGTACGACGCCCCTTCGGCACCAAATGAGCCACCCGCACCGGCGAGGACTCAGGCGGAGCAGGAGGAGACGGCACGGCGGCTCCGACCTCACTCACGCGGCAGCCAGATCCGCCTCGACCAGAGTAGCCGGCCGCCCCAAGGTCTCACGCCAGTGAACCCGCCCAAGAAGTCAAAGCCTGCGCGCTGGCAATTTGGTATCCGGTCCAGGAACGCGCCTTGGGAGGCCCTTGTGTGCATTTACAAGTCGCTTAGCAAGCTCGGCTGCTCTTGGGTTCTTGACGAGGAGTATGATAAAGTCCACGGACCCGAGGATCAGTTAGTTCTGCCTGTCTTGACGAACATTGTGCTTATCACTGACATGAGTTTACAGAAACGAGGAGGACAATTATGTCGGATCGCCACACTCACGTGGCCGTGAGAAGGCGCGGAACGACCCGACCAAGACCTACAAGCTGCCAGCCGATCCCTGGCACATCCAGATCCGCTGGACCACCAATGGTATGTCTATTCTTATCGGTTTTCGGGACAATAGTACTTGAGCTGCGGGCTGACAAGATCTGTGCCCCATGTAGAACTCCGCCGGCAGGCAGGCAACAGTGGGATCTTCAGCTCTGACGACTTCTCTGCGGAAAAGACGAAAGTACGGACGAAAAACGATTCCGAATACCAAGTCGTCTCGATGCGCATGGACATTCAGATCTACGAGATGGACCACGGCGTGTATCTGGTCGATTTCAAATGCGATGGCTACGAGACCTCGGACGGGACGGTCCTCGAGGAGAAAGAAGTTACCAGCCCCTTTCCCTTCCTGGACCTTGCCGCAAAGTTGATCATGCAGCTCGCCGACGCCGACTGAGCGAGCTATTGTGGCCTACTCCGACGTTTATGTCAGTTGTTTGACTATTAGCCATGCTTCCGTTTGGCTCTTAGACTCAGACCACACAGCGGGAGTCTCCATTCCATTCACCTTCTTTCCCAGGGCCATGCATGGGCCCCTTTATCACTGCTTCGATATCACTTCTTTTCCTCAACTTTCCATATCTTGTCGTTTGTTGTCCACGAACTGGCTAGAATGTAATTGATGGACCTCATTTTTCTTCTTTCTTTCTATTTTCCTCCTTTTGTTGACGAGGGCTTTGACTTGGCTGGGCAGCGGGCGGAACTTTATGGCGTTGGGAGGATATAGCATGATGCGTGGCGGCTTTTGTCTTGGGATACCCATTGTGGATCTAATGAGGTTCAAACATTTGTTGGTTTGGGGGGTTTGCGGGTAGAGAGCGGGTTTTATTCCTTTTGCGTTCTGGTCACGCCGCCTATCATATAAGCACCATATTCGCATTTTCGGAACGGTCAATAGAAGGGAAACCCTTGGGCGGCTCTCCTGCGCCGGCCCATATATGGATTCTGACAGCCTCTTTCTTTTGGCTTCTTGTAGATTCGTCCTGCCAAGTGTGTTTCCTAGAATGGTAGACACCATCTTTTTCAAGTACTCGAGACCAGGCTCACGGGCTTTCCTGCGATGACCATCAAACCTTTCCTCTCAAACTCGGCTATCGTGTCCCACTCGTCCCTCGCCCGCCGCAGCCTCTGTTCCGTCATCACCCACGACGCCGGGAGCTTCTCGGGCTGTTCGCCGCCGTCCCCTGGTGTCGTTGTTCCCGTCATCATGTTGACCACGGCGCGCGCCGCCAGCGCCGCCACGGGCATCCCGTGGCCCGTGTACGCGGCGCACAGGTACAAGCCGCCGGGGCCGTCGGTGCCCGTGCCGGTATCGGTGCCGGTGTCAGTTGGAGGCTCGGGATAAGCGCAGGCCGGCACCGCGCCGACCCACGGCCTGTGGTCGCGCGAGAAGCCCATGATGCCGGTCCACTCGAACGTGGCCTCGAGCGGCGCGTCATCGCGATCCCGGACAGGAGGCGCGGGGGACCCGGGGTCGGCGGACATGTCGAGCGTGCCGGGCAGGGCGGCGCGGAGGTGCGCGCCCACACGCGGCTCGACCTCGTCGTCGCGCCACTCGCCGACGGCCATGTTGCGGGCGTGCTCGCGGCCGCCGCCGAGGATGAGTTCTCCTCCGCCTCCTCCTCCTCTTCCTCCTATGGTGGTGGTGGCGGCGGTGGGCTCCTTGGACAGGGGCCGCTGGATGAGGTAGTCGTCGCGGCCGTGGGGCGGGTCGGTGCCGAAGAAGACGTACGAGTGGGATATGTCTGCTACTCCTGTGGTGGTGGTCACGGGGGGAGGGGTGAGGGCGGCGACCTGGGAGCGGCACGGGGTGATGATGTCGGACAGGCAGGGCAGGAGGCGGGACGTGTAGCCGTTGGTGGCGAGGAGGACGGTCGCGGCGGCGACGCGGCCCCGCGGGGTGTGCAGCGTCCACGGGTGGGTTTGGGAACCGGCGGCCCGCTCCAGGCGCGTCACGGGCGTGGCGGTCTGGAGGTTGAACGACGACGGCGACGAGGGGAACTCGGCGAGCAGGGACTCGAGCACGTGGGCGACGAGCTTGTAGGGCCAGAGGGAGGCGGCGTTGCGCTGGACGACGGCGGCGCGGGCCGTGGGCAGGCGCAGCTCGCCGGCGAGGCGCGCCCCGTCGCGCACGAGCTCGACCTGCGAGGCGATGTCCGGGTGCGTGCGCTGCAGCACGGCGATGTGCGCGGCCACGAGGCCGACGAGGTCCTCCGACAGCAGGGCGTGGACGCCCGGGCGGGACTGCCAGTCGCAGGGGACCTGGCGGGCGGCGACGAAGTCCCGCAGGAAGCGGTAGGTCTCGAGCTCGAAGTGGGCGGCCTCGGGCTCGGCTGTGTAGAGGAAGGGCTGGCAGTGGCCGCCGTTCTAAGGGGCAGGGGGAGCAAGGGAAGGTTAGTTGGTGGGTAACGTGTGTTGCTGGGATCTCTTGAGGTAAAGAAGCTGAGCAGACGCGGCCGCCATGGTCTTCTGCGACTTGGTCTCGTTCTCGCTTGAGAAGGCACTTCATATCGGTCTTCAAGCATATGTGTTTATATGATAGCAAGAAGAAAAAAAGCATACCCGTCCCGTAGCACCCCAGCAGGCCTCCCTCGCCTCGAGCATCACCACGCTTGCTGCCCTGCCAGCGCCGTTCTTGAGGAAATGCGCCGCGAAGGCGCCGGTGATGCCGCTGCCGACAATGACGTAGTCGGCCTTGTCGGGCAAGTCTGCGGTCGTGCGGTGGCCCAGCAGCTTCTCGGAGGGCTCCTTGTGCCAGTACGACTTGGTCGAGTCCGGGGTCGGCAGTCCGGCCTGGCCGTCGACGACTTGGCGGATGGCCATCCTTCTCTCCCTGATCCTAGATTTTGAATGACGTGGTCTCGGCGGTACGTCTGAGAGCGAGGAGATGCTGTTCTACAAGAGGCAAGATGGGAATGCTCCCATGTCAGGGCTGTGAGTTGATACGACATACGACTGATCCATATCTGTCTATCTAATCTGGGTCGAGTGTGTTGACGCGGGGTTCCCAACGGCGACCCGACTTATAAGCGGACGGCTTCCCCACGCCGAGGTAGCTACCTGCACACGTCGAGATTTGGAAGGTGGCCTGGCACAGAGAACCATGCTGATTTCGTGTGGAAGTGCGAATACCAGACGCAATAATACGCTCTTCTTAGCACTCCGGTCTTCAATGCTTGCCAAGTATGTACCTACCCTACGTGTCTCGGCGTCAAACCCAAGAGCGAGCGGTTGGACATCGCAGTAAATTTAGATGGGCGTGAAACCAGCCATTTCTTACACAGTAGCATGCTGAATGTTTGGCATCCCTCATATCTTGATTATCATTATTATTTAACTACGTTCCCAAGTCTTTGCACGTCTCCGTAACCAGTGGGAGTCATCTGAACAACTGCAGGCCGGCTGTTCTCAGCTGCTCTGGGTTGACCAAAGCTACAAGTTAGTCCAATTTAGGTACGGCAATCTTATCGAGCCAGCGCTCACTCTGGCGTGTCTGGTTTGGCCAGTGGGTCTCGTTGAGCCGAAACGTCGTCACCGCCCGGGAAGCTCCCTTGGACGTTACCGACCCGTACCACGTCGAACCCATCGAATCGCCAAAAGAGGCATCGCAACGGCCCTATTAACAGCGAGGAACCGAACATCTCGTCGCGTCGACTCTAAAGGGGGCAACGGATCCCACAGACCACCCGCTCCAGCCTCGTCCGACAAAAGCCGACTCCGAAACCGCTCGCAATCCCCTCCCCCCCCAAAACGCTGCGCAGCGACCACATGCCGCGTCCGACCCGGCAATAGCGACCAACCTTCCTCTTCCCTCCCTCCTCCTCCTCCTCCTCCTCTTCCTCCTTCCATCAAACCTTCAGGCACACACTTCCGGACGCACAAAAATGTCCGCCCCGAGCTCAGACTCGTCCTACATCATCCCGAGCCCCGTGGCCCGCGACGCCGCCGACGCCGACGACGCCGCCGACGACGCCGACGAGCTCGACTCGCTGCCCTCCATCTCGACGGGGGTCCTGGACGAGGACGACTCGAGCTCCGACGGCGGGCGGTCCGTCGACTCGGACGCCCAGCGCGAGTGGGAGGCCAGCCTGGAGCAGCTGCAGCTGCTGCTGACCATGGTGCTCATCCCCTTTGCCGGCAAGTACTTTGGCCGCAAGTTTGCCTACTGGAGTGAGTAGTCGCCCTTCTCCCTTTTCCTTTTCCTTTTTCCTTTGCCACGCAGCTTTTTTCTTTCCCCGCCATTGCCCGTTGCGTTACCATTTGGTGTACTGATGAGAATAACTCTCTCTGTTTGTTTTACCAGGCTGGGCGCGATACATGGAGTGGACGCACGGCGTCGAGATCCGGTGGACCAACAAGAGGCTCTTCAAGGCGGCCGGGGCTGTCGAGGCGGCGGCGACGTTATAAGACAGGCGAGGGACGAGGAGATATTTGGATGGGATGGGACTCGAGAAAGGAAAAGGGCACACCAGAAATACATACACGAGGGTGGCTTGTCTTGCAATTCCACGGCAATAAAAGGCATATATCTGGGCGTTTCTGGATTTTAAAAGAGACAAAAATACACCAAACTATCAAGAAAAAGGCGAAGGAGGAATGTTACCGGTTGTGGCTTCATGTCCCAGTCAGGGGCAAGGCTACGACGATAGAGCATCAGCAGTTGGGTAACTTGTAGATACAAATTTGTCAAGAACAGACATGGCCACTTGAACGCGATTTCGCACACATTGAAATACCAGATCAATGTTGGACTCCTCGAACTTGCTTTACCATCCATTGCATTTTCCTTCGCACTCTGCACTCTATAGACATACACCAACTAACCACAGTTCTGCCAAATACACATAAAGACACAGTCCCTCCCGCCCAAGGTCTCCCGCCCACTCCCATTACCGCCCAAGAAAACCTCATTGCTCGTGATATCAAAAGTAAGGACAGACCCAGAGAAACCCGTGTGTTTCGTTTCGCAAACGCCTTCTCCGAGAATATCAAAAAAAAAAAAGAAAGGATTCAAAAATTAGGTGGGGTATGTTGAATCCGATGACGACCCATGGTAGAGAGACCTTGACTCAGACCAGAATTCCGACGCTTGTTCTGCCCCATCGCTACCTGTCGATGAAGAGAGAAGAGAAGAAGAAAAAAAGGATGCGAACCCTTCGCAGAATTCAAACTAGTCAAGAGCCCACAACGGTGCGCATATCAAGTGGTCGCCACACCCACACAAGCCCCGCGCCTTGACCCAGACTGGGGCATTGTGTGGTTTGTGCGGGCCTGCTTTCAGTCCCCCGCCGCGGCGCGCTCTTCAGACGCGGACCTGTGACATACCAGGCCCGCTAGAGCGGACGGAGCCGCCGGAGCGGCGCCAGCCGAGGGTGGTGAAGAGCAGGCTGCCGGCGAAGCAGGCGAAGAGGAACCAAATGAAGGCGGTGCTGGCCTGGATCTCGCGGCAGCGCTTCTCGTTGTCGGGGGAGCCGAAGCCGATCCAGCCGGCGCCGAGGCGCTTGGGGTCGAGGTCGCCGCCGCAGTTGGTGGCCTTGAGCTTGGCGGCGAGCACGATGCCGCCGATGAGGTTGAAGAGCGTGGCGAGGCCGTCGAGGGCCAGCAGCGCGAGGGCGACGGCGGCGGCCTCGACGAAGCCGGCGACGAGGCCGTAGATGGCGGCGATCCACGACAGCACGGCGACGAACATGGCGAAGTTGATGGCCGACATGGGCCCGTTGACGTTGGAGGCGATGACGTTGCCGATCAGCGCCGTGATGAGCAGCGTCCAGAGCAGCTGGAGCACGCGGAGGATGACGGTGATGAGGCCCTCCATTGTGTCTTGTTTCTAGTGGTCTCGTGTGTATTCGATGGGAGTGGATGGAGCGAGGCTGGATTTTGGTTTGATTGGGGAAGCGCGGCGCACGTTTCGCAGTCGCGAAGAGAATGTGTTGATGAGTTTTAAGAGGTCTGTTCTTGCGCAGTTGGGCTTGGGGAGAGCTTTGCTTGCGAAGAAAAGTTGTCTGGTTTGTCGATGGCGGGACGGAGAGGTGTTTTGGGGGTTGTTTGCTCGGCTTGTGCTGTTGATGGAGGGATGGATATATTATCAAGGGTCTTGTTTGAATTAAGAGACAGCGGTAGGGTATTAAAGGGCGTCTTGGAAAACAAGGGTATGCGAGCAGGCGCTGTGGTTTTGCATCGACAGGATCAAGTGATAATGAGTCGTTGGGCTATTATCCGGCAGACTCGGGGCGGGAACCTATGACGTTGTCTGGGCGGCACACTTGCATCGAGCACCAGGGCAAGGAGCGGGCCCAGAGAAGCCGAGCTAATCAGCAAGCTTGCAGCTGCCCTCTCTGCGAGATGGGGAGATGGAGATGGGTCCACGCGCTAGGTGGCCCGGTGACGGTGCGACGGCAGTGGTGAGATCACTGGGAATTTTTAAGATTTGCAGACCTGACTCTTTTTCTTTTCGTTCCTTCTTTCTGTCGGGCGGAATGGTAAGTACCTACCTACCTAGGTAGGTAGTAGCTGGAACGGGATGCACGCGATGCTTGCTGAATTACCTAAAGTACGTACAAGAAAGGTGTTTTAGATGTAGCCTCAAATGAACCTTGTGTGTCTTTATTCCCCTTGAATGTTTTAAGAGAGCACCAGCGATGCCTCGAAACGGCAGACCAGGCAGGATCTGGTTCGACGTCGTTGACCCGCCAATCCTCGGCGCCAATAGCAGCGACCAATCCCTGCCAGCACCTGCACAGCATAACTACAGGGACGGGGTACAGGGAACGGGTTCTCGACCTGGCGGGGCAACAGCCAGCCAATTCGCTCCCTCGTTTGTTACGGCGCCTCCGTGCTTGTATGACGACGACTGGCTGGCTCAGACAGAGCCCTGAGCAGTTACTTATTCCTCGGAACCCTACGGAACGGAACACCTGGACTGGACTGGACAGAGCCCGTGGAAAAGAGCATGACTGGTGGCCATTGAATTTATGGTTCGACTTTCAGCTTCAAGCACATTCGCAGCCCCATCTGCCCAGAAAGTATCATGTGAAACAAGCCCTAACAAAAAGTCAGGCTGGAGCTGCACTGACTGCTGACTGCAAGCACCCCACCCTGCACCGTTGAAGCGCCTGGTCCCGGTCGCCTGGAAGATGCAGGTGTGATCTATGAGCTACCTAGGTAGTCAAGTCCGCATCTAATTATGTAGCTTGGGGCTTGACATCTCCATCATTGTCTGCATCAACATTCCACATTGGCTTTAAACCTAATTCCATAGCAAGTACAAAAAATGTGCTCAAAACCCACTTACTCTGCTGTGAATAAGGCAAAGGCAAAGGCGATATTCTTCCAAGACCAAGACTTTAGAGCAACTAAACTAACACGTACGACCATAGAACAAATAGGAAGACACTTTTAACGTCATTGAAACTGATTTTAGTTTTATACTACCTGCGGGTCCATCAGAGTTGCGACGATTCTTTATCCTGGTGGTGGCGGTGAGATAACCAGCGAGGTCGACCGTACTCGATGGATCACAGGGGCTGCTCACGTCACACCTACTCTGGAAGTTGAACTCGAGGAGGACATACTGAGCTTGTGAAGCTTATTTCGTCATGGCCGTACCATCTTAGGGGAGGAGCTTATAGTTTTCAAAGTCTTACGGGGTATTGCAATAGTGTCTTGTAAGTGATGCAATGGGTATATCAGTCGTTAGGAGACTCATCATTGCAATGCGGTATTATTGTCGAGTCTCTCAACACTATTTACTCCAGGACTACGGTCCACCAGCTTTTGTCTTGACCCAGTCGACATCGCGCTTCTCTCAGACATGCGTCGTGATGATCCGAGAAGCCGATGAATCTCGCTTACACGTTCTAACCAAAGAAACACTGCTCGGGTGTGAGGATATCTGTCCTCACTGTGCATTACCCCGTCACGTCTGCCATGTGCTACACCCTGAAGCCGTCATTCACCGTGAATGATCTGAATATAAATGAGCTCTCGTCAGAAGTTGACGCAGAACACCATCCTATCCTGTTGTGCTATATAGAATGTAGCATTGCACAAACAGAATTGGAAGGAGGCAAAATATCCCTCGGGTCCTGTACCCCTTTCTCGCGTCTCTGATGCTTCTTGATCATCATGGCCGAGTTTGCATCAATTCGCTAACCCGTCCGGTTATATTGTGAACGTGCTCGTTCTGTGTCGGCTTTCGGGGAGCTCCGGTAACACAAGCCAAGTCTAGTCAGCAACACGCTTCGACTACAACTATATTCATGCATATCTCTTGCATGGGGAAGCACAACTCGACTCGAAAAAGTGCCAACCAGTTACATAATAGCCTACTCGAGTAGAGGAACTTAACAGGCATTGGTCTTTCATGGTCGAAATGTTGGATGCATTGAAGGGATGGGGTGGTTTGGATTGGCTTGGCATCAAATGTGTTCTCGATGTCCTTGAGCATTGCTTGACATGGCTTATGACTGACGATGGCGGTTCTCGGATATAAAAACGGCGTCATGGCCTTCGTCCTTGAACTCCAGCATTTCATATTTGAGCTCCAAGCCCGCAACCAGAACACGGTAGAAGACCAAGAACCGAGCAACCCCTGCCACCACCATGAAGTTCAGCCACGCTCTTATCGCACTTGTCGCGACCATCTCCCAGGCGCAACCTATTGAGGATGTTTCTGCTGCTTCTCACATTGAGATCGTGCCTGGTTGGAAGCGGTCTTTGGACAAGCGCGCCGATTGTACCTTCATCGTCTGGACGGGCGAGAGTACGGCTTTATTGTTTCCTTCTCACTCCCCGCTAGTTCGAAGCCATCGATACTGACAAGTACATGCACAAAAATAGATTGCGGCGGCACGCCCACTTCCATTTCGGTGAACGTCGGCGCCAAGGGCAACTTCAGCCCCAAGCAGAAGAGCGTGATGGTCAAGTCGATGGTCTCTGGTGCGCACCTCAGCCTGTACCCGGATGCGAACCAGCAGCCCTCCAACTCGCCCTCCATCCGTCTCACCGGGCTCAACAAGGACGAGTGCTTTTACAACCCCGCGGCCTGGGGGAGCTACGGAGTCTACAACAACTGAGTGGATATCATATGGGCTTCGTACCAGGGCGCGATGATTGGGGCGCTCTTCTCCCCACTGGGAGTTTTCCCCTTGAGCCTTTCGTGATAGTGGTTAAACGTGGACTGCCAGCAGTCATCCATTCGTTGCTCGCCACAGCGTTCAGCCTGCCGAAGTTGGATTTTCCACTTCATATGTAGCTATGCCAACTATATAGTCACTCTCTCTGTTTTGGGTCTAAGATTGAGTTGCAGCGGAGGCCGCAGTCACAAACACAATAGCTAGGAGCCGTTATAGTGTATTGCCCAGTCTTTACCTAGGTACTCCGATCTCGATTCTATATATGCCTCAACCGAGGATGACATACAGATCATCGTCCGCCGTGTTCTTTTGTAGTTTATTGCTGCCGCTCAACAATCTGGTGAGTTGGGCGTAGGCGTTGAGGGTGAAGATCAAACATGGGTAGGTTTCCCAAGCAATCGTCCTTCGTAGAAAGGAGCTCGAATCTGCCCGACCTTTGATGACGTTGAGTGCTTACAACTTGTCCATGCTGGACCTCGCCAAGAAAACCCTCGGACTTTGTACATAGTTCATTCCTTACTGTTAGTTGAGCTTGGATGGTAGATGACGGTGTCGCAGTTATAGGCTTCATAATTCTGGAGATCAGCTCAAGTTGATAGACTTTGGGCGGTACCCGTCTTCTTATCATTCTTGTGAACGTAGATGCCGTCCGGGGAGCCCTCAGGGGTGGATGAGAACCTCTAGTAGCAACGGTCCCAAGTATAAACAATTTGTCATGGCAAGTGGGAGAATAAGCTGTTTAGGAACTGGTTGATGGCCGGATCGAGGCTCTCAAGAGAAGCCATTCAGTTTATGAATCAAGAAGTCTGATTCGGGAAGGGAACTCAATACGGCAGGATGTGTTTATCTATTTCTCGTCCAAATATGGGAACTTGAAGCATGATAGGCCTACATGGTCTGAGCGCGACGAGCTGATGAGAGTTGTGCAATGTTCCTATTTGCCAAGACACAAATGATCGATAAGGTCGCAGTGAACCAGCACTCCGTACCCAATTCATGGTCTGTCCTGATTCTGGCTCTCTTGTGAGGCTCTGCCTTACAAAGACAACACAGCTAACATTGATTCTTGTAGCAACCCTCCCACTGTCCAAGTCGCGGACCTCCATGGAAGACATATCCAAAGAGCGAACGACAATATACCATCGCCCAACACGCCGTTACATTAATCTTTTCAAGAAGGAAGTGTCGGGGAGTTGCCGGTCTTGAAGCGGGCAGTTCGTGGCATGAATTATCGTTTTAAGCCAGAAAGCCTCGTCTCCAAGGTTTTCAGGGTCACATCACGTTTGTAGCGCGCGCACAGACCGGTATATGAAAAGGTCAGCCAAGTACACACGCTCGAGCGCTTGACTGGCTGCCAGTGGTCTTGGCGATGCCGTAGATCACCTCTTCACAATGTCGAGTCCGTGGCTGTGGCTGCATACCCGCAAACCAGTCTGGCATGTAGCGTGGCCACGAGCACTCTGGACCCCCGATAGACCATCAGCCAGCTCTGCCGGACTTGCTGCACAATCAAAGCATCCAGGTTCTATTCTTCCAGACTAATGCATCGAGACAAAGCCCACTCACTCAACTCCCTCCAAGCCGACACGTCTTCATCACACCCACCCGGACTCATCGTGATGAACATCTCCTAGGAAGAACAGCTTCTAGACCCCCGATCTTGCATACACGTGGCCATCTGCCGCTATGATGAACGAGTCACGCATTGGCACGCGGCATTGCGTAGTTCCCACGAGGGTTCGAGCCATGATGTCACAGTCACCACCCTCCGAAACTCTCGTCCACGCAACATAGAGTTCGTCGGCATGTGTAGTTCGAGTCAAGCCCCGAAGGCCACCAAAGTCCAGACCGCCCACTCCCCCCCCTTTCTCCAGCGCGCGCACGTTCGGCAGTGCTTCCCCCCCAGGTTTGTCGGCATTTTGTCCGGGTGTGGCTGATACGGCTGGTCCGGCAGCCCCTTCTCTCGCGTGGGTTTCGAGGGTGGGTTTACCTAGCAACTTTCGGGCTTCGGCGCCGGCCAAAGGCTAAACGACGATAGAAGGCCCCCCGTACAGTCCCGGCTGCACTGTGCTACGAATAGCTTCGGTGCGCCCAACTACCTCGGGGACTGACTCGAAGCGTACTCCACCACCCACCGTATACCGTAGCATGGCGCACTCCCGTTATTAATTTGGGCCAAAAACGGGGACAAACGGGAGCAAAAGTCCCGGAGACATGCCCAGTACATCCCTTCTCGTCTTGCTCTACCCAGCGGGCCCACCCGGTCGCACAGGCCGGGTCCCTGCTACCTACCTGCTACAGCTTCGCTTCACCTCCCTGGCCGGCTATCGCCCTTGGCGGGAATACTTTGGGCAAAACGAGAGTAGGAAAGTTTACAAAAGTATCTCGCTTCTCATAGGCATCCACTTCTTCTCCCAATCCTCTGGTAACCCTCCCCACTCATCCCCGACCGGAACCGGATCCGCCTCCAAGGGCAAGGGAGAACGAGCTCGCTTGTTGTTGCGCAGAGCTTGTACACCGTTTCGAGTCGTTCACTCCATCATCGTCGAACGGCCGGTAGGTAACTATGCTTTAGCGATCGCTACGACAACGCCAAGGTTCCCCAGACCCCATCGACAACGATGCCCATCCATCCCGCCCTATGGGGGGGCCGCTCGATGCAACATGAAAGGGTTCCAGAAGGAAAGAAGGTTCGAGATCGCAGCCCTGCCCTCGTGGGCTGGGCATCACACTAGGTTTTCAGTAGAGGGTTAATTTCGTGCCATACCTGATTACCGCCCACCGTTGGTCCCCGGCTTCAGATGGCCTACCTTACAAAAGTAAGATCACGCAAGTACGGAGTCGGCATATCCCCGGGAGCCCGAGAGGCCAGGTCGTGCCATCTCCGAGATATTCAGGCGTAAGCTGCGAGTTAGCGGGCAAGTGATTATCACTGCAAGGTTCGAGACAAGCTCGAAAGTCAACGGGCCTTCGCGATGGCGGCGCGCTACAAGTCCACATCATGCCAGTTTCCAAATTTCCCCGGGGAAGACTTGGCTCGGAGAGGGAAAGAGAAGGGAAAAAGAAAAGGCGGTGAAAGTTTAAAGGCAACCCATTTTGCTGCGCCCTTCTGCCCGCGGCACAGCTAAAGTCGAGGGTAGGGCACCTGCTCTGGCAGGTATCAAGCAAATGCAAGGGAGCCCGAAACGAGGTACGCCGGGTAGAAACGATGGGGGAGTGGTTTTCTCAAGGCTGCAAGGCGCGATAATGGCAGGTGGTTCCTACGTGCATCGCGTGCGCGCGCGCAGCATCGGGATGCAAGGGGAGAGGCTAACCTGCGAGACTCGCAGCTTGTTGGACGCGAAGGATCTCGTACGGAGACGAGGAAAGGCTAAAGGAGAGACCAGCCCCCAGCTACTACCTAAGTAGCTATGCAGCTCTCAGGAGAGAGCCAAGCTGTAATCGGCGCCTGTCCGGCCGGCCTACCTTAGCTAATGACTCTTCATGCAGGGCCAAGATCAAAGATGGACAAGTCTGCAGTGTCCTTCTGGGAGCCAGAGGGGTTTTAAACTTCAATAAAGAAATGCAAGTCGCATGTCGATCGGTCATGCCATTTTCCTCTTCCCTTTTGGCGCCCCAATGCGACAGCCTTTCTCGTATAGAAGGGGGACAACTCAAAATCACCTGTCAGAAAGCCGGTCGGGATCGGCAGTTGTCAATCTGCTGTACGGGGTGCCGACAATGAAACCTAGATTACCCGCGAAAAAAAAAGTATCGTGCAGCTCGCATGCATCCTCCTTGTTGGCATCGAATCGATGCTGCCCGTTTGACGAGGTCCGGCCGAGAGCTTGTCGGGATTCGGGCGGGACACCTGCATGAACCAAGCCACCTAAGCGACCGCTACCAACCACCATCAAACTAGGTATTGCCTACCGACCGACACGAAGACATCATGAACTTTGTGTGTGCTTTTTGACTGAACAGATCAGATAACTAGCACACCCCCAATTCAGCTCCCCCACATTCCTCATCTCCCTTTCCCCAACAAAAATAAAACCCGCGAGACGGACGCTGGCGCCTGGTTTCGACCCGGATGACCAAGATCGTGGGTGGTGTCGGGAACAGAAATCAAGTTTTTTGGTGCCAACACACCGAGACAAGAGCACCAACAACAAGGATCACCCGAGCGCTTGCGTGCAAAGTATCTTTAAACTTTTTGGTTTTCGTGTTTGTGTTTGTATGGTGTGTGTGCGTGGGAGAGGTGTTTGTGAGGGAGGCAGGCATTCTCCCCGTTTGACAGCAGATACGATACCCAGCAAACCGGCAATGTCTATGGAGTAGTCAGAGGCAGCCAAGAAAATACTTACAAAGCAATTTTTGATTGACCCGGCTCCGCAACATTACGCTCTCATCTCATTACGGAAGGATGCTTGGGGAAAGGATGTCAAGTATCGACAAAAAGTATAAATCTGGCAAGCGCGTCTGCAAAGCTCGTTTAGATGCTGACGTACTTGGTCCAACGTATCCAAGGCAAAGAAACGGAAAAAGAGGGTTAAATACATCGCGTCGCGAACTCTGTTTTCAAAAAGTAACGGGAAAGAAGATGGAGCAAAACGTGCGAGTTTGCCGCCCAAACCCAAAACCGAAACGGTGCCAGGAAAGGCGTTGTGCTCCGAACGTATGAACTTTACGAGTGATATCACGAAAAAAGCATGACCAAAGAATCAGTTAGGTAACGTTCCCTGATGCCTAGTTATCTGCAGCAATGGGGGGGCACTCAATCACTGACATTTGCGAGAAACCCGCGATATCCGCTGCCGGATCCCAAACCCTTGCCGCCAGGTGCAGGGGGCTCGGGCTCCAGGGGCAGCGGGGTTGGAGCCCCTCGGAGCTAGCCCGTAAGCGGCCTAGCCGCAAACTTTATTCTCGCTCCATCCTAAAATGCAATCAACGGCGGGCGAGGCTTTCCCCTTTGGGCCCTTTCGGGGGTTAAATTGCTCAGCAATCAATGTCCCAATTATCCACCACCGGCCTTTCGGAATCCGGAGTACCTAGTCGCCAGTTCACAAGCGACCTTCCCAAGGGACCCGTGGACTGGACCCAGCTCTCGCATCCACTGAAACCACTATTGATCAGCGATTGCCCGTGGCGGCGGAGGGGCGTCCCAGAGAAAAAGTTCCGGGCCCCACAATGACCGAGCGGCCGGAGCTCACACCGGGTCTGCCACGAGACAGGTGGGGTCTTTTTTGACTCGAGCAAAAAGTTGTGTTTCTGAAAAAAGAAACGGCGAGTTCCCTCTTTGATCGCACTCTATGGAGTCCTGTTTCAAAGTAAAGCAAGTAGGTAGCTAGATAAGGGAAACGGACAGAGACATTTCACGTAATAACGGGAGAGCTAAAATCCCAAGAGTCTGGGAGTCCGTATGGGGAGTCGTACGAGTTTCCTGACGCACAAGTCAGTTTTCCCCGTCGGGCAACCGTTTTATGACAGAAACCAGCTAGCATAGTGCTTAGGTCGCTAGCTCCTCTCGATTTGGCTGCTAACTGTCCCTATTACCTGCATTTGTAGTGGGAAGTAGGTGCGTAGTCATCACCTTCCTTCCCTTCCCTCCCCTTCTAGAACAAAGTGTTCATTCTTTGGCACAGCCTCGGGTCTAGAAGGGCGGACGGCGACCCTGATGCAGAAATGACACCACTCACATGCCACAAAGTTAGAGTACGAGGTTCGGTCTTCTTTGGGCCTTGACACATCTCCTCCTCGGCTCTCTCTACTTGTACGTTGCAAATGCCGGTGCAGATGCCGAGCCAATCTAAACAAAGCCAACCGTTCCCTCCCTCCCAAAAAACATCTCATCCAACGGTCTCCAAGCCACCACCCAGAAGAAAGATGAAAGCGAAATGACGCGAGCCCTGACAAGCTCTCTTCCCATCGCTCCCATTGGTCGGAGACACACCCGGCGTCACTGGGTGCGACGAATGAGAGCTGGACTCGGACTTAGTGCCCCCTTCCTCTCTAGAAGTGAGACACTGCTACAGGCTCCGGCTCCTGCTCTCCCCTCCATCACTACCTAAAACCCAGCGAGCCGGTAACCGGTACCTGAAACTATGGAGACCAGCTCGAACCCCCCCTACCCTGGTCCCCCATCCTTGGATATGATGAACCAGGAGCATCCCTGGGACCTTTTCCTCTTTGAGGGTAAAGTCGAGCCCCAGGTATGTCTTGCCTACCTTGGGAAAAGCAAGACAGCGGAAGGGCGAACTGGTCTCGTCTACGCCTTCCCTTTCCCATAGCCAAGCACCACCCAGCCAGTCGATGTCGATGTCGATGTCGATCACTCTCCCAACAGGCGTGCGTCCCTCCGTCCAAGTCCGCCCCCCCCCCTCTGTCCTGGACATACTCTGAAAGTGTAAATATGCGCACTTTTGTCAACATCAGTCCATCATGAGCCCGTCATCCCTGTCAGAAACACACCATCATCTCTCTCTCTCTCTCTCTCCGCGTTGTGCGTTTGTTTGTCTGTCTGCTTCGTTGTCAAAAATGCCAAGAAACCTTATTACCAGCAAAGCCCATCGTCACTCAACTCTTATTAGGGATGTTACCCTAGGCAGACATGTTCGAACAAAAGTCCTGATCATGATGATGGACCCTACCTACCTAGTCTAGGTAAACGTGCAGTTGCCGAGACACCTCTCGGACGTTATCCAATGTGGTGAGCGCGTCCCCCTTTTCGGGCTGCACAACTTGTCCGCGCCTCCCGTTCATCATCTCCTCTTACCCTTTGCAGCTTGGGCTTTCCTTCTTCTCGTGCGCCGTAGGCACTCGGTGCGCACAAACAAGCCACCGAGACGCGTTGGGCTATGCCCTCTTGGTGCAAGAACAAGTCCACCCCGCGCTGTAAGTTCAGGCGGTGTGCAGTCGATCAAATGCATGTCTCACTCCCAGTTAGCCAGCCCTTCAGCCTCGACATCACCAGCTTCCCGCCTCCCCCTTTGGATCGCACCAAGAAACGACCGGCCATGATGCAGGTCTCAGACCCCTAGACAGGGGGAAAACTCTAAAAATGTTGGGCAACTTTTCTTTTTTTGCGTGAATTTATTTATTCTCATTAATCCATTGACTGTGTATATGCCCCTAATACTGCTGCCTTCGGAGGGCTTTGCCAGCAACAGGAAGGTGGGGACGTAAAGTAATACCGAGTAATCGTATACATGTAGAAAGAATCATGTTGTGTAATCATGCAGAACAATGTCATGTTTGCCAGCCCGCAGCCTCACCGCCTCATTGGAGATTGCTCGATGCCGAGCTGAGGAGTCGACCCGTCGGCAGGAGCCCCTCTCCCGACACCTGCGCTGCCCTTGACGGCCATCGATGCCCGTTGGCCTCTGGTGGGCACCTGGGCGAACAAGCCCCTGAAGTTGGAGTCGGCTGGCAAGGGCGAAGGCGGTGCCGACGAGACCGTCTCCGGCGCGCCAGCCACCTTCTCTTCGTTGAACACCACGGTGTCATTAACAGCGGTGACGTTGCGGAAGTACAGCTCGACGCCTTCCGAGCCACCCGCCGTACCACCGGAAGCCAGACCGCCAAAGCGGAAGACCTGGTTTGTGTGTCCAGAGCCGGTGCTTCTTTTCTGATTGCCCCATCTGTTGTACGCAGCCTGGCCGTAGCGATGTGTCTCCAGAAGCGACCCGCCTGCGAACTCTCCTTCCGCAGCAAACGCCTCCAGGCCTGTCGGGAAAACAGAGGACCCGGAAACCTGCAACCTGAGGCCCTGGTACAGGGTGGCCTGGATGGTTAAGTTACCCTCATCCGAGACACTGTAGGTCTGGCCGCAACTCAGCGGGTAGCTGTACGAGGAGCCATAGGAATAGAGCCCGGACGTCCTGTCCTTGCCCTCGATGCTGACATCGTTGACCTGGTTAAAGCCAAACCCTGTGACTCTGCCTCTGTTAGAGTAAGACAAGTCTTGTGACCAAGACGCAATACCCGAAGACTTTTGAGACGCCACCTGGGCGCTCACCCCAAATGTCCGCTTGACGTTGGTGATGTACCGGAGAGTCTCGTTAGAGCCCGTGGCGTTCTTCCCCAGAGCATGCGACAGCTGAATGGCGGGCAGCTCCCCCATGATGGCCGGCTTCGACCCAGTCGTGACTGAGCCTTCGTCGTCCAGCCAGACAAAGATCTTGCCGCTGAGCACCCAATTGGACAGGACCGTCTTGGTCAGCGTAGGGTTCTTGCCGTTGTCGTCATCCACTCCCGCAACCCGCATGGTAAAAGTGTGGGGCGCCCCATCACACAGCAGCGGGAGCCAAGGCGTGATATCGATTTCATGTTCTCGAAGATCGAAAGCATCCAGTCCCACAATAGGCCGATGGAAGCTGGGCACAACACCTCCCGTGAAGATAACAGGGAACGGCCACTGTACACCGGCCAGCTGGCCGTCGATGTAGACTTGCACCTCTCGGAAGGGGCTGTATCCGGGGAAAGCTTCGCCCGTGGTAGCGTTGAAGGCCCAGATGTCACTCTGGAGGAGGTTCTGCCACCAGAACTCCTCGGCGGCCTGGCCACAAGCAGATACCGAGAACACGGCCCGGTTGGCGTTCTGTGGAAATTGAACCGTGTCTGTAGCGTCGCTCTCGGGCACAGTGAATGCGCTTGGCTCGTTGGTGCCCGATTTGTGCGCGGAGACCGGTATGATTAGATCGCTGGGAGGAGCATTTCCGGGATCGACATCACTCGTGAAGAAAGTGGCCGTCAGCGTAGTGTTGAAAGTACCGGTATACCTGTCGTCGACGAGATTTCCCAGATCAAAGATGAGTTTCTGAGGCGACTTCCAAAAATAGAGGTACTCGGTCATGTCCTTGAGGTACACCCATCGAATACCCGGGTGTGCAGTGGGCTCTGCAGTCGACGTGCGCCATACCTCGGTATCCCCGAAGTACATGAGCGCCAGGCGGTCATATTGCACGCCTTCCGAAACAACCGTGAAGTTGATCACAACGCGATTGAAATCGCAGCTTGGGGGCACGTATTCGCCTTTGTCGGAGAGTGAGGTGTGTCAGCAAAAAGAAAAGACTGTTCTAGCCAAGCGCCTTTTTCCCGCATTATTGGATGATGGGCTGACTTACCAACGAACGGCTTCCCGTAGCTCCATGCAAATACGTGGTCCATTAGCTGGACGGTGCACGACTCAGCTCCTCCCCGTCGTCCCCCGTCGCCGTCTTCGGTGCGCAGCCCATCACTCGTGGCCGGTCCGTCTGGCATGAGCACGGGCTGCGCGACCTGGAAGCATTCGAGCACGGTCGGCGCTGCAGCGTCAGCCGTCGCGGCGTCAGACGCATCCCTTCCGTCCAGAACTGCTGAGTCGTCGATGCTTTTCTGACGCACGCCGTCGTCCCTGGCCGCATCAATCAGGACTGCAGGCTGAGAGGACCCGCCGCGGAAGCTGCCGTGTGGTGTAGCATGGCGAAAACCTGGGCGAATGGCTGCCGCCCGCGCGTTGTCCCTCAGCGTGCGACAAGTCAGTCCGTAGAAGGGGACGGTAAGGGCCAAGACTGTCAGGAGCACGAGGCACGCGAAGACAAGCTTGCGAGAGCGTTTTGTTACTTTGTGAGCTGAAGTATTGACATTATCTTGATCATCATGGACGCGTAATAACTTTTCTAGGTCTGGCGAGGCCATGGCTCTCGCAGGGAGGTTTACAAAGAAGCCTCCGTAGAGACAGAAGAGCAACAGCCAGGAGCAGCCCAAAGGAAGTAGAGATTCTAATAAAGTCCTCTTGAAACTCCCAGGCTGTGCGAATGCCGGCTTGAAGGCAGACACGAAGACTGCGTTGAGCCCGTTTCCTAGCAAAAGGAAATGGAACGGAAGAGAAAAAGAAAGATTCAATGCTGGGCCAAGATTGAATTTTGACTTTGGCCCGGAGGAACCCACGGACTCCTTCCCAGTTCTTATACCAACAGAAAGGCAGGAAAGTACATGGAGGAACCCCTCTGGAAAATAGGAAGGTGGTATCCAGTGCGACCGATAAGTAAAACCATGTGTACCTCGCAAGAATAAAGAGAAACAAGCAGTGAACCGTGCAGAAATCAAAGTCGCTCTTCTATGAGGTATATGAGTAAACAAATTTAATCTAAATGGTCGTCAAGCACGAGAGAAAGAGCGCTCCAGGCTGTATGCCCGCAATCTGCCAGTGCGATGCGACGGAGCATGTACGACCAATGGGGCAGGTTCGGGGGGCGGGGGGGCGCCTTGGCTCTCTGAGCTTTGGAGCCTGTAGTGTGTTCTGGCGGATCCCCTCAGCATTCCCCAGCGGCGGGGTACCCCCAAAGCTTCAGCTGCAAACGAAATGGTCTGGAAGTGCAGCCTCAACAGGACAGCCAGGCTGGCTCGCAACATCGCAGTACAGAGTCCGATGCTCATGTCAAGCATCCCCGACTAGAGACTTGTGTGTTTCATTTAGGTCGCTAGGTCAGCTCCATTGGCTGATTGATGCGAGGAGCGAGTGCTTGCTTCTGCCGCTGGGGGCTTTTCTGTCTTGTGCCAGGGAACGAGAAGAAGACAAGATCGAGACAAGGTGCAGCGATCGATCTGTGGTCGGAGCTTGCCGTGCGGAGAGAGGGACCAGACTGGAGTTTTGCTTCCGGGGAAACAACATCCCTGGTCCCGCGTGTAGCAGCGATTTGATAACGCCCCCCTGCCTCAGCCTAATGAGACTGAAGCGTGAAAGAAGAAGAAATTTGGCGAAAGACGTTCGTAATGCGATGCCACGCCATGCAAGATAAGAGTCAATAAGGTGATATGCTGCCGGCGCTGACCCCCGCTAAGCGTGGGTAGGCTTGCTTTGAAGGGGTGTGAGCAGCGCAGAAGCCCACTGGACGAGGGTGCAGTGACCGTCGCGGAAGCAGAGTCGTCTTTACCCGATAGGTGCGACAGCACGCAGATAGGCATGCTGTGTACCCGTCGATGAGCCCTGTATTGTTCCAAAAGAGACGCCTGCAGAGCCCGGCCCCGGCAGGGCAAGGTCTCACTGGCGTGACCGGGCCGAGGCCAACGTCCAACGTCCAACTCGACGTGCCGCTGTACTACTCAACAGAGCGGTCAACGACAAGCCAAGCCTCGGGTGACTTTATGCCGTGCACCGTGACTGACGAGATGGACAGGCATAAGCTGGACAAGGTCGACCAGTCGGCACATTCTGGTCCCAACACAGGAGATGTGCGAGATGCTGCCTCCTTTCGGACGCTTCGAGAAACTTGTTTTGCTTGTAGCACCGGCAGCCGATGACACAATGTCAGAAGGTCTGACGTAGCGTCAAGATCGAGAGGCGGTCCCGACCCAGACCGAAAAGCCTCCCAAAGGGATCATCACTCGCCAAAGGAGCAAGGAATGGTCCCTATTTGTCAGACGGAGTCCTCTCACTGGGTCTCAGACTGACCGGGCTCGGCTTGGCGTGGAGGTTGTAGTTGGAGGATCGTCCTCAAGAGGCCAGCTCGGTGTGACGAAGGCGAGGAGGCGTGTATCGATCGGGGATGTTGGGAGGGACCTCCCAAGAAGTGAAGAATGTGAAAGTCCAGCTTCCACTCCCAAGTCTGTCGTTGGGTTCCCTTTAGGGTGTGCCGTAGCTCCAGTATCTTCCTCTTGCTTCGGCGGCGAGCTCGTTGCCAACGTACTTGGATCCGTAGTAGTTGAAGACAGCGAACTCGTCTCTGGTCATAACGTAGGTCTTGGGCTCGGCCTCGATGCTGGCCCATATCCGTGCCATCTCGGCGTCGAGCATCTCACGGACCTTGGTGTCGGCAGCGCCCTCTGGGGTGTCCCGGGCCAGCTCGAGAGCCTCGGCCACGGTCTTGGGCGTGGGGATCTCGACAGCCGTCTTCGTTTCCTCCTTGGAGTCCGTCTCGGCCTTGAGGTTGCGCATGCTTAGGTACTGGAACATGAACGGGTTGGGTGGTGGCGGTTGTGAAAGATTGTCAAATTTGCAGTCGACGAACTCAAGGGACCGCGGGATATGGTTTGCGTGTAAGGCCAACATCTTGACGGTATGGAGCCTGGCGGTGCCAACAATTTATACTTGTGTGTAGTGGTCGGTGGACGCTTGGTAACACTGGTATGGAGTAATGATATTCAGTATGATACGTGGAACTAGATGTGATCCTCGACGGGATGATCTGGCGTAGATGGCAGCAGGGTGACAGGGTGTGTGTGTTGGCAATGCTTGCTATGGGGGGGGGAGGGAGCCGTGATCCTCGCAGGTCCAGACCGGGAAGGGGGAGCGTTATATAGAAATGTGTGTTCCAATATCTAGCTCCGCAGACAGAGGCAAACAAGACCGTATCCCATCCATTGCCTACCGTCCGGCCCCCCCTTAGAGCCAACACGACTTAGAGTTATCCTTTTCGTCAGTAGTGTCGACACACACACACGGATCGGCAACCAAGTCCGTTTGCGCGCGCTGCTCAGCAGACGCAGGCCCCATCCCGGAAATAATGGGCTACCGGGGGCGACATGCCAGAGTGTACACGGAATGGCAAAGGTCATTTGCCTTGGGTCGCCAAGCACCTGCCTGTGCCATCATCTGGGCTAGCATACTTTTCGAGTGGACATGTTTCCAGGCAAAAAAAAAGTATATCGCAGGAGAGGGTTGCCTCCACCGGGACAGAGGTACCTCGCCGAGACGTGCGGGCCCTGGGAGGCCGGGGAGCTTTTGCCCTGTTTGGATTTGGCCGGGTGGGTCGCGCGTTAACTTTTCCAAAGTGTCCGTAGCTCAAAGTCAACTCTACCTGACCACCTGCCACCCAGACCTCGACCGGCTCTCGCTCTAGCTTCGGGAAGAGGGTGTGAAGGGGTAAAATACTTGACCAAAGTGCAATAGGTAGGTAGCTATGAAAGGGCGTACGGAGTACAGTGTCCCCGTTTGGCCCGGGACGGAGAGAATGGGCGCTTCGATCGGGGCTAGAAACCCGCTGGAAGGCCTGAGTGCTTCCGTCGTCGCATGAGGTGTGACCACCGTTCTGCTGTGGCCAGACGGTGCTAAGAAAGGCGAACGGTCAAGTCAACGGTATGGTCTTATGAGCCCCTCCATCTCGCCGTCGCCCCCAAAGGAAGGGAGACAGATCCTCGTCTAACTACTCCTTGGAACAGCAGCGTGGAGGCTACGTCGACCCAGGCATGCATGTGCTGTTGTCATGATCTCGCTTCTGCTCCTCTCTCCCCCTCTGGTGGCCCTCGCTTGGAACGCTAAGGTTTGTCAATTCTCATCTTTGGTGCGGTGACCAGCCACATCTTCATGCATCCGGACATTGGACGGCTTCGTCACACGCGCGCGGGAGGAGGCGAGTGGGCGTTGGGTACCAGACGGTCAGAGAAAGGCCGAGTGGACGTTGACCCAGACTTCTGAAACGCGAACCGTGGGTAGGCAAGTGGCCTGTCGAGTCGTTGAACCAGCACAATGCCTACCCAACTTCGAGTAGGTACCTACCTTACTTGCGAGAGCCAGGAGCCCGGCGTGTGCTCACGCGTGCGCACGGGGAACAACCGGCGATCTCACTCAAAAATACCAAACCGAACCGGCCAGGCTTACTGTGAACTCGGTACGCCGGACCTCTAGCTACCAAATGTCCACCACCTCCGAGATCCACACCGTGCCCTTTCTTTTTAAACTTTGGCTTGCTTGTTCGCATTCTTGTACTGTACGGAGTAGGGGGCCAAACCATTGGAATTGATCGCTAAACCTTCTTTGAGTCTGCCGGAACCAGCGTGGCTGGCATCTTTGGGAAGAGGTCATTCGTTCACTTCTCTCCGCCCTTGCCGTTGTAAATATCTTCGTAAAGCTGCATATGATGTGAGGGCCTGCTGGATGTTTGCTTGTCTGTCGTTTGCTACGACACTGCTCACCACACTCCAGGTCATGCATTCTTCGTCTGCTTGCTGCTCCGGGCTTGGGTCGGACAAACGACGCATAAGCATGTCACAATCAAGGCATTAGGTTTTGGCTGCAAGCAACACCCTTGCGCTCATGGATCGACAGGCAGCTGCATGTCTCGCAAAAGCATGCATTGGTGTCTGCCTAGGTGCAACTGGTCCTCCTGTGAGATCTGTCTGGTGAGGGACAGGAGGCGCTACGTGGTGAAGATGAAGGTTCCAAGTGGGGGGTTCGGGCGAAGCTCTGGCGTTTGTCTACCTAACTTTGTAAGCCCTGAGAAAGAACAGAGCCGTACCTCTAGTTATTCTACCTATGTCGACCCGCTTGTTGGTTCAGACAGTGACCGACACAAGAGGAATGGGTTTCGAAGTCAAAAAAGGTGGTCCTATGCTGGTCCTCGTGTCGAAGACACAGTTTGTTCCCTCTCAGGTTCGTGTTTGTTTCGAGCAGATACCTACTTGTAGATTGTCCGTCCAGCCCGGTGAGTGATCAGCAAAGCAGCAAAGGAGGGGGCAAAGCGTCAGATAAACCTCGGGCTTGGTGATGATGACGATGTCAACACAAATCGGTTGGTCGACACCGGCCGCATTCGCCCACGATCAGTCTGATCCATGGAACGTTGGTTCGTGGGTGGGCAGCCCCCGGCCGTGCCCCTGTCTTTGCATCAAAGACAACATGAAGGACATGGGTTTTTGCAGGGCAATTCGCTGGTTCCGGGCATCGGCTACTGGGCGACATCCACGGAGCGCAAAATAAAGTTTTCGGTTCATCCCTGTCACCGACCTCCTACCCTTTTCGCACAAACGCTTACATGTACGATGTACTCCGAACACACGGCATATCAAAGACTGATTCCTCCCTGCGCACAGCTCTTCGGGTTCCGGGGAGATGAAGAGGGTCTGCAAACTACCTAGGTAGCACCGCACCCTCAGTGCGAGTTTCAACGAGAACCATTTAGGCTTTGATAGACCGTGGCTTCCACATGGAATGTCAAGATCGAGTCAGTGTCCCCGGTAGAGCACGCGCCGTCCCACCTCGGTGTGGTTGCATCCCATCTTAATAATATCTTAATACACTACCTCTTAATGGGCCACCAGGCGGATATCACGCTGCACAGAGGCCGTCTGCCCCCGCGGGCCTTTGGCTTTTGTGTGGCATCTAGAAGGATTCTGTAAAATTGGGCATCTTGGTCCGCCCGAGCTGAACTGTTGCAATAAACGGCCTAACGCTCCTCCCAGTCAGACAGGCCAGGCTAAATATCGATAGTTACGGCACGGTCAAAAGCCCCCTGGCCCTGCGCGCGCTGTCCGCAAGCGAGAGACGGCGATTTTGCCAGACCACGCCACTGTCGTCCCCTTTGCTCGTTTCGGTGAGCCCCAATTGAGAATGCCGAGGAGAACAAGACGGGGATGGCATGAGCACGCCGGTTCGCAGGGAGCGGTCACGCAAGCCCGGAGGCTGAGTGGCTTGTGCCGGCCACCCGTCCGTGGGGAACGGCGTGCCTCAACCAGAGACATGCATTCCAGGCTGGCGCTTAGAACGCGACAAGAGCGCACTGTCAGTCCCGGAACGGTAAGCCTCGATGGACCGGATTGGTCTTGTTGGGGAGCAAAAGGACAAAAGAGAAAAAAAGTGAGTTAGAGACAGCATTCCGATCAGTTTTACGAATGGCGTGCTTCGTAACAGTCCCAAGCGAGCGGCGGGCGGCAAGGCTTCCACCCTTTGCCAGCAGCGCGTGCAGGGAGCCCCTGCCTACCGTGACCAGTTGGCCCTACATAGCCTGAACTTTATTTCAGCAGGGGTCTTGACAAGCTGCGTCACCATTTCAGGGATGGCGGCCAGTTGCATGCATTATGGCAGGTCGGACGGACATGCTGCTTTTTCAAAAGGACGCTCAAGGATGGGCAACTGATCTCGTTTTGCATAAAGCGGCTGACCGCAAAAGGGGTGTGTGGAAGGCGAGTCTGGAGCCTGGCCAGGTCAAAACGACGTGTCATGGCTACGATCTCCCTGCGGGCCGAGGTGCAAGATCTGAAGCCAACTTAGTCTTCACACCTCCTTCATGAGTAGCTCTCCAACTCGCATGTCGACGTACCGAGACTGCAAAGTCTGTTTGCTTGCATCTGTTGCCTCTTGAACATTCCGGTGTCCTTCCACTTGCTCTGAGTGTGTGTGTGCTGGGAGCTGGAAGAGGAGCTCCTTTGAGCCGTTAGACTGGTCCCTTGCACACGGAGTTCAATATTCCGTTCTGGACAAAAGCGCCTTATTTTCGACGGTGCACGCCCGGAGCTCAGGCTACCACCGCACTATGTGTCTTTTAATGGACGCTGTCTGTTTCTCTTCACAGTAGACCCTGAAAAAGGAGTGGCTAGTCGCAGCTGTTCTCTTCACCCTCCACCAAGAAACAGTTCTTCAGATCTTGTCACATCCCCTAGAGATAGCGAGCCACGAGAAAGGCGCCACCGCGGTTTCGGGCTATAAAACAGGACGAGTAGTCGGGCGCAAGAGCGCAATCTCCTTCCTCAATGGGCAAACAATCGACGCCAACAGAGACTAGAGGAAACGTGGCGCCAACGGTCAGGTCGTAGGAAGAGTTAATCTCCATCCTGCGCCTCACAGTTGTGCTCTTTAGTGAATTAACGGCCTACAATTATGTGTACAGTGTATGTTTTCTATGAGTAGTGACCCCTTTACCGTGTCTATGCAGCCATGCTATGCGTCGATTCCAAATCCCCGCCACGTGTTGCGTTGATCGTACAAGCCCAAGACAACCCATTCTTTGATGATATACAGACGGATCTTACCGCTTTGCAGCCTTTGCAGCCTTTACGGGGCGCTTGCCGATCTGCCAACCCCATGAGCGCAAGACCTTGACCACCTTGGGGGTGATGGCAGCGGTGAGGGGGACTCGGAGGAAGATGAAGCTCTTGTGAATAGCGTAGGCTAAAGCTAGCTGGGTGGCCAGACCTGTGCAGCAGTTAGCGACGCCGCGCTCGACGAGATTGTCTAGGGGGTACGGTGAATGCTTACTAGCTTCCGATTTGTGCGCCTCCTGCGCCTCCTTGACGCCCCAACCTGCCTTCTCGATGTCTTCGCTGATCCTGTTGTCCCCAAGCTCCTTGGCTTCTGCGGTCTTGAGGGCCCCGCGGTACTCATGCCACCAGTCCTTGACCCCTTGCGGGATGACTTTGGAGACATTGCCCATCACCCACTCCTCGAGTTCAGCTAGAGCGCGATGTTCGTATTAGCAACCATCCGCACATCATGACAAATACTTCTCTGCGGCAGAAATTCACCAGGAGGAACTTACCGATCCTGTCCGTGCCCACCGCTCTTACAAGCAGGAAACAGAATGGGAAGTCCAACACGCTCAGGGCAAAGTAGACGCCAACAGCAGACCACCCGTACTCTCTTGAGAGCTTCTTCAAGCGCTGGCCCAGCGAGAGTGACTGGGTGGCCTCTGCATTTGGGGCGGCCTGCGACCACCTCGACTTGGAGGAGTGAAACATTCGCCGCAAGGGGCTTGTAAATGTCGATCCCGACTGTCTGGCCCTGCTGAACTGTGCAGCATCGCTGAACATGCCCTTGGCCGCAGACGGTCCGAGCCTCCCACTTCTGAATCGTGCCTGCTGAAGCCAGGCTTTCGCCACATGGCTACTAGTGAAGGATCGCCTCCATGTTTGCCTCAAGTCCTTTTGAAGATGGGGTCGCGAAAGGCCACCGCCCCCTTCGATGATCGCTCGAAATGCGCCGAGATAGCTTCGTAGCGTTGCCATCGTGACCGAGATTTAGAGACCGGCAGGCCGTGCGCGTTCGCGAAAAGGGAGGGTGGTTTGGTACTACAGGTGTAAGCGGTCGAAGTATCGCCCTCGGTGTTCGAATGCGACTTTAGTTCTCCTTGGAAGCATAGGCCGCAGGAATCTGTGTTCTGCGAGCTTCTGTCCCCGGATCACGCGAGTGCGTCAGCTGGGCCGAGAGTTCCGCTTATTGCCGGAAGCGTTGCCGGAAAGATAAGAGCAGAGCAGTTGGATGTTGATCGCAAGAGGTATCAAGGCACCCGGAGGATGATGCAAATAATCATGCCTGGCTGCTGTTTGTTGAGACGAAGCAATGGCTCCTGGTCATGCGATGTAAATTTTTAGGACGGGCTCTCGACGCATCGTGATGCAATCCGGGAGCTTTTGGCCAGGGATGCATCCTGATTGGCCGGCGCTTTCCAGGGTCCCGAGAGCCGGCCCATGACAAGGTGGCCCGTGCATTGGGTCTCCGCTCAGGCCTGGGCGAGTCGAGTCGATTTGATGTTCAGAGGACAAGGGCATGAACATCAATGATAATAATAGAAAATCTCTTGGTGATGAATCCTCTCTCTCGTCCTAGCACCCTTCTGCGCAGTTATTTTGTGCGCATAGCGTGCTCCAGCGATGAAAGAGCGAGACACCGAGGAAGCCCAGCGTTCAGGATAGTGAATGCTGCGATGCCAGGTGAGGTTGCTGGGCCTGGAGAATGGACATAAGTCATCGGGATGCCTTTCATATGCTTAGTTAAGTGCAGCATACGGAGTACAGACAATACGTGAGTATTTTCTTCAACACAGCCAAGCCCGAGGTGGCCCCTTTGCTAAGCGCCGACTTCTTGATGGCCCGCGCCTGATGAGGAGCTCTCCAAGCTCACCCTGGTTGATGATCCCGGCGTCAGCTCTGCTGATTGGCACAGCGCACCTCTCGCCTAAATTTAGCACAGCCTCTTCCTGGTGCGCCAAGCTCCTGAATGGCTGTCAGCAGCGAGCCGTAACATCAAATCGAACCGCATGCACAGCGGGTGCTGCGGCCACGGGTAGCTCCTCATCCTCTTTATATCTCCCGACTCTCATCAGGCGGGAGTTCTCTTGATGTCTGCGCATAACCACCACGCTCATCAAGCTGCGCTTTGAGTAAACCTCCTCCAACTATCGCGATCTTGGGGCCTGCCATCAACTGTGTTTACAACTCACTCATTGAAGCAAGGAAAGCTCATACCCAGCTGCCAAGAGATGTAAGTGCGGGGCAGCTTCCTCCAACAGACCGGCTGTTGACAAAGAAATACAGCACGGCTGAGCGCAACACGACAAGATCACTCTTTCGCATCATATCCATCTTCCCTCTGTGACTTTTTCCCCTAGTAGCAACACACTTGGGAAGCTATCGCCGTTATGTCTGCGCACTATTATCCCCGTAAGGCTCCTAAGCCCGGTATTCACCTGCAAATTAGCCACTAACACAATGCGCAGCTCCGCCTGGCGCACCCCAGCAGGCTGCCGGTATGTCAACTTCCACGTTGGAGTTATGAGAAGTTATAGAACATGGACTGATTTCACTCCGTGGATGTCAAGCTCCCCCGCACCAGCAGAGCTATCCACCACCTCCCCAAAGCCCGCCGGCCAACAGGACCAACTTCTCATATCCCCCGCCGCCTCAACAAGGCTCGAGCCCGGGCAGGACTTATCCTCCTCCGCCTCAGTCAGGTCCCACGCCTACGCCGCCTCCTCAGTCCTCCACGCCATCTTATCCGCTCCCGCCCCAGCAGCAAGCTCAGTTCTCACCACCTCCGCAGCAGCAGGCCCATCTCCAGCCCGGTCAGCAGACCACACTTGCCATGCACGGCAGGACGCCTTCGCAGACGTCTCAGACTGGTTCGCTCTCGGGACCGCCGCAGTATTCTGGACCGCCTGGAGCAGGCTACCCTCCGGAGAAGACCCAGCATGAGGACGACTCCCCACTTGACACCAGCAACCCTGCCAACCTGCAGTCCGGGGCTCCTCCGGCAGGCCACTTCGTTGGTGCAAGTGCGACAGTCGACGATGTCGGGACCTTCAACGGAGGTAGTTACCGAATTAGCCATCGGGACTGTAACACGATCCTCACGATTCAGCTCGCAATCAATTGTCCTCTCGATGCGAAGCCAGGTATGTCGGCCCTCTGGTAGTTTATCACTCTGCCTCTACTTCTCTCACCGTCCAGTTTTGGACAACTCTTGCTACAATATCCGCCAACAGGAAGCTGACCTTGATACCAGGAACCATGATTGCCATGTCGCCATCGATCCACCTCAAGGGTCAATACAAATTCAGTATGAAGAAACTGGTGGCTGGTGGTGAGATGGGCAGTTCAACTTTCACGGGCCCGGGAGAACTGCTGCTCGGACCCCCCATGCTAGGTGATATCACCAGCCTTCGGCTCACAGGCAAGGAGTCTTGGTCTGTAGGCCATGACGGGTATCTCGCCTCGACTCAAGGTGTCACCAAGGAATACAAGCGGCAAGGTATTGGAAAGGCCATGTTCAGTGGCGAGGGCATGTGGGTGTACAGGATAGGTGGGACAGGTCTGCTATGGCTCACAAGCTTCGGGGCCATCATTCGCAAAGATGTAAGCCTTCAAGACCACAAGTGCCCACAAATTGTCACCCCCGCTAACTCTAGAAATAGCTGGCCGACGGCGAGAAATATATCGTGGATAATGGCCATCTCGTTGCGTGGAACACGAAGTACATCCTCGAGCGAGTTGCCTCGGGCGGCATCATTTCTGGGCTAGCCTCAGGGGAAGGCCTTGTCTGCAAGTTTACAGGACCTGGGACTGTATTCCTTCAGACCAGAAACGCGGTAAGCTCCTCGTTTGCTTCTCTGACACATCCCAGCGTACTGACAATCTCTGTAGAAAGCCTTCAGCGCCTACATGTCAGGCCAGGTCAACCAGACCATGTGAAGCAAGAATGACCAGTCTCATTTCCCCACTGCGATGTCGGCTGCGCAGATTGACACATTTTCTATTTAGCGTGGAATATGTGCAGTTATTCTTTTGGAGGTATAGTGATGTGGGAGATGGGGAACACCGGTGAACAAGTTCTAGAACTCATATCAAGTCTGCAGGCCCCGTGTTCCATGTGTTCGATGCTTCCACTCCGTCGTTTCATACATGTACTTTTCCAGGTCCCAAAATCAAAACATCTTTGGTCCAGACTACCTACCTGAGCAAGATTTGGCCTCTGACGTGCTCATTCCTGGACTGGAGGGACGACTGATTGTTAGGGCTTTGCTCTTGCCCCTCATCGTGGGATGCCTACCATACAGCAGATCAAAGAGGAGAGCAGTGGCGCCTCGCAAAATAGGCCAGGGGCAATGAGACAGACTTTGTTGGCGATGTTGAGTGTTTCGCATTCGACATTTCAGGCCCAACCCACTGAGGACGAGAAATCCCTCAAAAAGACCATCATTAATACCTAGGTGTGTATCTGTGAAGGGGCACTTTGGTGCCAAAGTGGCGATGCCACAAATGCGCGCGTTGATAAGCCCGTAGGACTTTTTGTAAGGATTCTCGATCCGTGTGCTGGTCGGGGCAAGTGCGCGTCAGTCGCTCTTGGTCCTCGTTGAAAATGAGGTGCAATAAACCAGAGAGATGTTGTGCTGAGCATAGTTTCCTGATTAGAACATCGTGCCTTCTTCAAATCTAGTGCAGCTGCCGAGTTGAGTGCGTCTTTCAAGCAGGTCTCTTGGCCCTCCTCCTAGATCGACCTAAGTAGCCACGAACACCAACGTCCCCTTCAATCCAGCCAGCGTGTGATCATTGAAAGCATCTGTTCGTCGTTTTTGGCCCCCTGGTCGATCTGCTTCTCCCCCTTCGGTAGATGATCCGGTAGCCATCAAGCACTTCGGAGCCAGCTTCGAGGTTCAGATCACTGCTTGCCGAGCTGTGAGAAGCCTCGAGGCGACAGACCCCTTTCCACCAGCGAGATTTTCTCTTCGCCCCAGCGATATAACAAACCAACAGAGGAGCGTGTCGACAACACCAGCGGAATCATTGCTCTCTAGATACTCTGGACTCCACGCGCAGAGCGTTACGACCTCCGTCTCTTCGCTCTTGAGAGGCTTTTTTGGATATTGCCGTGAGCAAACAGTCTCTTCCTCCTTGGCCGCCTATCAACTCCTTGAAACTACTACGAGAGCCTCATTGCCCAACACCTTGTCGATCGTGGACAAGCTGATATCGAACTGCATCAAGCTGGCTATCGTCTGACGACTTTGGAATCCGGCTTCCTGACATTGCATCTCAGCCAAGAAAGGCTAGCTATCAGGTGGTTTCTTCGAACCATACCGGAACTTGCAATTATTTGACTGAACGTGAGTGTTATTCTTCTCTCTACCCACCCTTTGATCCGTTGCGTCCAGAGAGCTCCGAATTCCTCGGGTGTCAGATCGGGCCTTGGAAACATTACGAGCAGCCGAGCATATTCGGTCCTCAGCTCTCGGGTCAGAGGTTGACAAGTCAATAGCACTCTGCGTACTAAACAGTCCACGGTCTCTGTCAAAAGCCTACGACTTTTGTGTTCCACCGGTCGAAATATCTTATTCTCAAACGAGGCACAACACGTCGTCTCTCAAAGAATTCGGGTTTCACCGTCACACACCTGGAACTCGTCAGTCATGTCGACGAAGGACTCCTCACAAATCTGGCACCAGTTCGCTGCTGCTGCTGGCCTACCAGTCGATGGTCAACATTCTCGAGCGAGTAGAGGTCGAGCCAAATTATTTCCGAGAGAGTCGTTTCCTTCCTACCATATGGCGGTCAACAATTATCCAGTACGCAGGTCTCGAACAGATGAACATCACAGACAGAGTGACGGGTCTTCCGAAACAGATAACAAATCGATGCATGAAGGTTTTCAAAAAGAGAATGTCGTTCCAGCAATCGATACAAGCCATCATCAAACCGTTGATCCGGCCAGGGTCCAAGGAACTGTCTCAAAGAAGTTTGTGCCGGGCAGGCTGACAAGACTCAGAAATCTCACCTGGTCTGATGGCTGTCGGGAGCATACACGCATGGCGTTTGACTTGGAACCAGTTTTTGCAGACTCGAGGCATAAAGATGGCTTCTGGGTGGAGATCAGGAACGCGAGCACACACTTCTCCAGTTCTCCTGAACCTTCCGTCATTGAAATCGATGATGTCCAGGATGAGACAGGTCTGGAAAGCGATGTTCAAAGCCGGCAACATGGACACAGCCGCCAGCCTTCACGAGAGTCGGCATCGTCTCAGTCCGAGAAAACCCCACGATTCGTTTCCCAGACGCAACGAGAGCCTTTGGCTGAGATCTATGCTCGAAGCTCGCCCGATCAGTATCAGGAAACCTCGAGAGCGATCCAGCCCACGCCTCTCATAGATAACAAAGAACTTATGCCTGGTACTGCGTCCCAGGCCAGTGACGAATATTCAAACGAGGCAGGCAAGGCAGGGAGGCCTCACAATATCAGCGTGCAGGATCCAGCAATTGTTGAATGCCGCCACTCTGATAATCACGTCGAAAAGTCCCCTCACAAGGACCACCATATCCAGCCTTTGACGAGTACTGAGCGTGGTCGGTTTGAGGAGATAGTGAATCGTCTTCGAAATGCAAAGAAGATGGACAAGCAGGGCCTATCTTCAACTTGCGGACGGTTGAACCCCAGAGCGTCCGAGTTCTGCTTCCACCAAACTGGCCCAGCCACAATCGCAGGAACAGTCCTTGAGAAACCGTCTCGTCTTCCTCTAGCGATGGATCTTTTTCAGCAACCAACGACTCAAGAGTATTCCCAATACAACGCAACCGCAGAAACCGGGCCTGGTATAATGCCGAGCCTGCTCGACAATCCTTGCAGGATCGATTTGTCAACTCAGCCTTCTTTCCCTACGAATTCCAATGCTCTGCCCGTGCTGCAGAACGATATCCAAGCTGGCCCTTTTCCTGGAGCAACCCAAAGCTCTTATGTCTTGGCTCCTCCGCTTCAGGCCTTGCCATATGCCGCTCCACAGCCCGTCACATATGGGCTCTTGACCCCAACTCCAGGGTCACTTCCTCCCATCCTTTCTACACCATACCTCCCGCAGACCCATGTGCCGCAACTTGTGCCTCTCCCGCCAGTACAACCTGTTGCACTGGCGCAACCTGCTCTGCCTATGATGGGCCTTACGAATCCAGTAGCCAACAGCATCGGCGCCGGCCCAGGACCTAGACCCCCACCACGTCCGAAACAACCAGATACGGCAGGGCAAATCAATTGGGAGCGGTGGCATGAAGAGTTCAAAGCCGCCAACCCTGAGTACGCGCGGAAGTGCCGACAGCGACAGCAACGGCGATACGAGAAGGGGGCATGCCCGGGACTGGTCCGGAACAATCCCGCCGCCAAGTCTACACAACTCCAAACCACTCAAGAAGGTCCAGTTTCGACCAACGACCCTTCGCAGCCTGGCTTTGAGAGAAACACTGCGGAGGTTTCAAACACTGAGACTGTTGCCAATGTTACCGCCAGGGAACCAGCCAACCTGCCGGGCTCTGGCGACCCCGTTACAAGTGATCGCAATGCAAGCTCAACGGAAGGCGGCATTCCAAGGTCCTCAGCGGCTGCCTCCACCTTAGCAAGCAGTAATCGAAGCACAAGCATCTCGCAACAAGAACCGGCACCAAGAGCAACACTGGAAACGCAAGCTGGTGCTGGTGTCGCGAAGGCCGAGAGCCACGGTGCGCCTGACTATGAGAAACATGAGGCATGATCTCTCGGCTTCGCTCCGGATGTTCAAGATTGCGAAAACATTGATTATTTTGTTTTCGGTTAACATGAGGTTTTCTACTTTCTTTTCTTGGATGCTGATATTTTTGTTCAGGGTTTGGATGTATTCATTTTTGTCAAAACCCAGGAAGTCTTGTCTCTTATATCGGGCCACGATCCCACTCTTCTCAGTCATTATTTTCACAGCCAGGGCTACTTGATCAGAGCTCTGTTGTCTATATCTGGACTAGAAGGAACAACTGCTATTGTTCTTGTGCTCGAGGTTTTGTTGGGGTTGTAATATTTAGATCCAAGCCTGACTGTACGTAGGTCGTTTGTGGATATTATTCAACTGGAATGGATGGGGCCTTCAGGCCAACCCCTGACCGAAGGTAACATGATAGATGGCAGTAATGCAGAATTAACTGAGCACATGACGAAGAATATTTGTAGTGGGCTCAAACTACGCCAACTCTCCTTTCTGAGCAAAAATTGACATTTCCAACTGACATTCCCAACCAATGCTCGGACGATGTCTCTTCAAATGCGGTGTCGTCTTTGCATCGCAACCATTTCCTACGGCCAAGACCTCTAGGGCGGTAATACCCACCACCTCGCTACTTAGCGTGCCGGCATTTCCAAGTATGACGTGGAGTTGAGCAGGACACACGACACTAGATGACTCTGGGGTTAGTGAGGGAAGCCGTCGTGGCTGTTCAAGGAACATCACATCTTTGGAAGCTCTCTCAAGATGGGGCTGGATGGCCTGATGATATGTGGATTTACGACCGGAGTGAACTCGGGCATCGCGGTGGAGAGGGAACCGAGGCATCTTTATTCCGTGGTACAATGTCACTCCGGAGCCATGTAACCATGACAAGCCCATGGGTACAGCTCCTAGAGGACCACGCTCTCTGCACGTTTCGGTGTCGGATTGGGAGGTAGAGCTTCGCGCATATCCCCAATAGGTTGTCCTGGAGAGAACATTTTCCCCAGTAAAAACTTAAGGTACAAGTAGAAAACAAACTCCGCCTGCTTCCCCGACTAGCAGTTCATGGAGGAGAGATCCGCACTCCACAATTATGACAATCACCTGGCCTCCCCCATCCCCCATCCCCGCAAAATAGACGATACACTCGTCAGTGGCTTGGTTCCGTAAGGAGCAAGAAGGGAGTGAAGGAAGCCTGGTGGATGGGGGAAAAGGCAAAAGAGACTTTGCCGGGTTATGTTACCGCGACTCCGACCACCCCAGACCTGTCGCGCCCAATGAGACGCTGTCGCGAAACTCGGATCTGCAATGACCAATGCCTTTTGGATGAGGGGTAGCAGGTAGAGTGGAACTGTAGACGGATGCGCAAGAAGGGAGATGCTCGTGCGCTGGCTCGATGAGAAAAGGCTGATTGTATTGTTATGTTTCTGGTTACGGTAGAAAAGTAGTCGTTTGCCCGCCTGTGACGTCCGAGTACTCTGTAGATCCTTCCTGACTGTCATAGGACACTGTAAATATCGGAAGGACTTTTTTTGTCTGTGATACTCTGCCCATTGACTAGGCTTACTGAGAAAAGCTTCACTTATACCCTACTCTTTTTGTCCAATTCTTTTGTACGGACTGCCCGTTAACACTTGTGCAATGGCAACCGTGGCACCACTGGCGGACGACTCCAAGCACGACAGGCTCGACGAGCTCGAGACTTCGCCCGAGCTCCACCACGCACACAATGGACACGACGGCGGGGAAGGGCAGAAGCCTGCTGTGGCCATGGAGGAGGCGGCCGGCATGCAGGCCCCCGAGTTCCTGAGGCACATGTCGATGGAGGATAGGCTGGAGATGGAGAAGAGACTCAGATGGAAGATAGACCTGAGGCTGATGCCCGCTGTTATCATCATGTACATCATGAATTACATTGACCGGTGCGTCTTTCTTCTAACCTATTAGGATTCGGTGCGCAGGGTTTGTTGACAACCGATCTTCGGATTCAGGAACAACATCGCTGCTACCCGTCTGGCCGATATCGAGAAGGATATCCCTCTGGCGTCTTCCGAGTTCCAGGCAAGTCAACCGTCATTCGACATGAAACCAAGACCAGAGTTGCTGACAGGCAAGTGCTTGATACGTGATATAGACGGCTGTTAGTATCTTATTTGTCGGGTACGTACTGCCTTGCAAGGACGTTTTAGTTGCTGCTTGTACTGATCAACTGTGTAGTTACGTCTTGATGCAAATCCCGTCCAACTTGTTTCTCAACAAGACTGGAAAGCCAGCTATCTACTTGCCGACATGCGTAAGCCACTGCCAAGTACACATATACCAAAGACTCAACATGTGTTGACAAGGAGCTTGATAGATGATCGTTTGGGGCGCGATTTCTGCTGCGACCGCCGGCTGCAAGACCGTCGGTGGTCTCTACGCCATTCGGTTCTTCCTTGGTTTCATCGAGGCTGCGTATTTTGTAAGCAATACCATCTCACTGGCGGAGAGAGAGCGGGAGAAACTCTGCGACAAAGCTGACAGTATTCGCAGCCCGGCTGTCTCTACTACTTGTCCTGCTGGTACACCCGCAAGGAGCTCGGCCTGCGCACGGCCATCCTGTACTCCGGGTCGCTGCTCTCGGGCGCCTTCTCGGGCCTCATCGCCGCGGGCATCACCAGCGGCATGAACGGTTCGGGCGGACTGCGGGCGTGGAAGTGGCTCTTCATCATCGAGGGCGCCGTCACCATCGCCATCGCCGTCATCTGCTACTTCGTCCTGCCCAACTTCCCGCGCACGACGTCGTGGCTGACCGAGGAGGAGCGCCTGCTGGCGGCGTGGCGCCTGGCCGAGGACATCGGCGAGGACGACTGGGTCGACAGCAAGCACCAGACCTTTTGGCAGGGCGCCAAGATGGCCTTCTCCGACGTCAAGACGTACGTGCTGCTGGTGCTGCTCTTTGGCTGCGTGGCCAGCGGCAGCGTGACCAACTTCTTCCCTACTGTAAGTCGGAAAACATCTCGACCTCGACACTTTCTGTCCACGACGCACACGGATGCACTGCTAACACGCAGGAAAACTAGGTCGTCGCCACGCTCAACTACGGCAACGTCGAGACGCTGCTGCTGACGTCGCCGCCGTACGTCCTGGCCGTCATCACCAGCTACGCCAACGCCTACCACGCCGACCGCACGGGGGAGCGCTACTTCCACATCGTGCTGCCGCTCTGCGTCTCGGTGGTCGCCTTCATCCTGGCCGCGTGCACGACGGCCACGGCGCCGCGCTACGTGGCCATGATGCTCATGGTCCCCGGCGTGTACACGGGCTACGTCGTGGCGCTGGCGTGGATCAGCAACACGCTGCCGCGGCCGCCGGCCAAGCGCGCGGCGGCGCTGGCCTTCATCAACGCCGTGTCCAACTGCAGCAGCATCTACGCGAGCTACATGTACCCCAACTCGGCCAAGCCGCGCTTCGCCGTGGCGTTCGCGGTCAACTGCGTCACGAGCGTGATCGCCATCGCCGCGGCGACGGTGCTGCGCTTCATGCTCGTGCGGCTCAACCGCAAGCTCGAGCAGGGCATCTTTGTCGAGGGCGCGATCAACGCGGCGCCGGGCCAGGCGGCGCAGCACGGGTTCCGGTTCAAGGTGTGAGTGCGTCAGTGAGGGAGAGAGGAGGAATGGTCACATTGTGATGCTTGGCTTCAGGTTGGAAAGATGTGCCCTTGAGTTTGTTTGTTGCTTGGCGCTGGTTTGGTAGAAGGGGAGAGAGACAATGCGAACTGGCCCTACCTTACTCACTGTCAATATGTAAGGCCTTGAGGTAATACCAATAGCTCTCTCAAAACATGACATTTCTGATTGGATGTTGCCAAGAGACACAACAGAACCTTGTGGGTTCATTAGCCCGTAGTGTGCCCGCCGCTATGCAGAATCAGGGAGTTAACAAAAAAGTTGAAACGAGGTTGACGTACCCATACAAACGACGCCACGGGATTCGCTGCCAATGTTGATCAAGCCTTTTGGCCTAGGAAAAGCGTCTGGGCGGCACGGCAGTGGAGAGGAGCTTTCTGCTTGGCGCTATTTCAAGTGAAGGTCGCCGAGGATCTGGATGTTTGTACTTCGTACGGGTTCCTGGCTTGGACTCTCCGACACTGTTACGGTCTGACAAGCTTTGTCCTCCACGGAATGAGCCTTTTGGAACTTCCCATGGATTGTTCGCAAACAGAATGAAACCAAAAAAAAAAGCCAATTACACACTTTCTGACCAAAGACTCGGTTGTTTGACAGCAGGGCCATGGCAAGACAACGCTAGAAAACAGCGTTTGGGACGGTGTGCCAATGATAACAGGCCGAGGAGACCCCACGACCCCATGCAATGTACCAGTGAGCGGTGATCGCTGATCATCCCCTCTCTCAGAACCATGTACCTTCTTGACTTCCCACCCTTGTGCTCAATGAAGCACAGAATCCTGCATACAGGTGGGCAGCTGGAGAACCTTTCGGTGTGTGTGTGGTGAGGTTGCAATCTTGATCGGCCATCCCGAGCTTGATCAAGATTCGGAAAAGCCATCTGGTTGTACTTGCAGCTCGTCCGTGACGCCAGTCAACCCCCTGTCAGAAACTGGAAAGTGGGACATGGTTGCAATCTTGCAGGAGGGCTTTGCTTGCTTGTTATCTTTCCATCTTTCCATGGTCTCCAGGGACCCCCAGAGAGAGGCAACGCTGCCCGCTTTATGGGGGAATAGATGATAAGAAGCACTGGGGTAGAAGAGACGAAGAGGACCGGGACGCAGGAGAGAAGCTGGTAGTGAGCACCATTTCCAGCAAGGGCCATTGGCCATTGGACGACAGAAAGATGATGGCACCCCGACGCGAACGCTAAGCAGCGCCGTAGCGGCCGTGTGGTGCACCGATGCGGGTCCCAGGCCTCGGGGCGGATTCCTCTCCAACGCTGGCGTCGTTGCTTGTTACCTTCCAGGGCTGGCTGCAAATCTCTTTTTCCGCTTGCCTTCCTCTCATTTGTTGTTGCAGAGCGGCGCCGCTCTTGCCCACCGAGCTGGTGGCTGATGTATCCTTGTTCCTTGTATCTACCCTCTCCACCTCCACCAGAAACAGGCTGCTACTTCCAGAAGCAGCAGTACTTCCCTTCGTACGGACGGCAACGGCGTGCCAGATTTGGTACCTGCCGTATCGTGTTCTCGTGGGCAGAGTCCAGTTTTAGACGGAAAACTCTGGCGGAAGCCCACTGCGTTAAGATGGGGTCGTTCCGTTCCCCAGGATGGCCCGTCACCTCCATCTCTTCCTCTCTTTTCTTTTCCATTCCCGTCCTTTGCTCTCTTTCCGTTTGTTTTGTTCAAACAGCAAGCAGAGAACCCTCTCCGAGATTTGGACTTCTCGTTGACAGACCTTCGTGACACTGCCGCGTGCTCTCCGCTCTCTCCTGATGCGCATGGGTGATTGTGTGTGATCCCGCATTGTTTGTCATTGCTCTATAAACAGCAAAGAATTATGGCTACCTCCGACCGAGACGGCGTCGGTAGCATGACTACCGGCTTTGCGCCGGCCGGCGAACCCGTACTCTCGAAGCGCGCCGACCCCGACGCCCCGGGCCTCAGCAGCGACGATGCCAACGACTCCGACAGGGAGTTGGCCGCCATGGGATATGCGCCCGTGAGTTTCTTCGACTTCTTGAATCGTCTTTCTCTTCCGTCCGGACCCTCTGTTTGCGCCGCGCGATGCATGCGCACGCGACACTCCCTCCAGAGCAAAAGAAAGCAGTTTCTGACCAATGGCCCCGGACTGTCTCTCCGCCCGCCGCCGTGAACAGGTATTCAAGCGCCACTTCTCATTATGGTCGCTGTTCAGCTTTGCCCTGAGTATCTCGGGCCTCTTTGGCACGGTCATGACGACCTTCTCGTACCCGCTGAGCGCGGGTGGCGCTGCCTCGGCCGTCTGGTGCTGGCTCATCTCCGGCCTGGGCGCCCTGTGCATTGCCTACTCCATTGCCGAGATCGCTTCTGCGTATCCTACCTCAGGTGTGCCCTCTGCGACGAATCTTTTGTGTGCTGGCGTGTTTTTGTTGTGGCTTCTAACGCGAGGTGTTCGTTTTTCAAAGGCGCGATGTACTTCACGATCAAATATCTGGCCCCTCCGAAATACGTCCCCATCATCGCCTGGATTGATGGCTGGCTCAATCTCATTGGCCAGATCTGTGGCAGCGCTTCGTCCTCGTATGGAGCTGCTCAGATGCTGTTAGCCGCTGTGTCAATCAGCTCAGACTTCACCTACTTCCCAACCCAGGGCCATGTGATCGCCGTGATGACCGGACTCTCCATCTTCCACGGCCTCATCAACAGCCTCAACACCAAATGGCTGCATCAATTTGCTAAAACATATGCTGCCTTTCATATTACTGTGCTGTTAGCACTCCTCATCACTTTGTTGGTGATGCAGAAGGACAAGCATACAGCCGAGTATGCCTTCACCCATGTCGAGTCGAGCTCTGGATGGTCTCCCCCAGGCTTCTCATTTCTATTTGGCTTTTTATCTGTCAGCTGGACGATGACAGACTACGACGCGGCTGCACACATTGCTGAGGAAGTTCGGAATCCAGCAAAGACAGTACCATGGGCTATCGCTTCTGCCCTGACCTTCACATATGTGGTTGGGTGGCTGTACAACATCGTGCTTGTTTTCACGATGGGGGACCCGGCGGAGCTCCTTGCAAGCCCTATTGGGCAGCCTGTTGCCCAGCTCTTCTATAATGTGATGGGCAAAGGTGCTTCTATCTTCTTTACCGTGGCGGCATTTATCATCATGAACTTTGTCTGCATCACGGCCCTGCAGGCCGGGTCCCGCACGGTCTGGGCGTTCGCTCGCGACGAGATGCTGCCTGGCTGGCGCATTTGGTACAAGATCTGGAAGCGCACTGACACGCCGGTGCTTGCCGTGTGGCTGTACACGCTCATTTGCATTCTGATCAACCTCATCGGCCTCGGCAGTGTCACCACCATCTCGGCCATCTTCAACCTTTGCTCGATCGCGCTCGACTGGTCCTACGTCATCCCAATTGCATGCAAGCTTGCCTTCAACAGGTTTGAGCGTGGTCCGTGGCACCTAGGGGGCGCGAGTTTCGCCATCAACGTATGGGCTGTGGTCTGGACCGTCTTTGTGTCGGTCATCTTCGTCCTGCCGACGGTGATGCCTGTCACCGCTCTGAATGTAAGACCATCTATCATTGCAACTCTAGAAAGGGCCCTTCACACTGACATGGGGAACCAGATGAATTATGCAAGTGTCATTCTTGTGTTTGTCATGCTCATCGCCACTGTTTACTGGTACGCGCGCGGCAGATTCTACTACACCGGTCCCAGGGCCAACGCCCACATCGAGAACGGCCACATCGTCGAGGACGAGAGCCCCTCCGCTGTTCTGGATCAGGAGAAGGCTGTGTCGCAGGACAGGCCCGATTCGCCTGGCGTGTTGGCACAAGACCGCAAACAGTCGAACCCATCTCGAGAAAGCTAAGGCAGGCATGACAAGAGCTCCATGTATCTAGTTCATCCCTCAATTACTTGCCATAGAAGCCAAGAAACCAGTCATGGCTCACCAAAGCAATAGTTTGGGATAAGACCAATTGAATACTAGCCTTGATTCCAATCCATCAAGAGTGCATAGCTACTGGCAAGGCAGGTGCCTGTCAAAATTGAAATACACAGGAGCCTATGCTTTCAGGGATTTAGGGCGCGGCACGGGTGAACGATGATATCGCGAGGGAGGACCTGGAGGAGGTGAGAAGGAGGACAATTTCAAGGGCAAGTAGACGAGATTAGCGAATTCGACCTGTTTTAGCTCGATGGTGCTCCAGCTGCCCGACTCCAAGGGAGCTGGTATCCAGCCTTGAGGCAGGCTCTTGATGAGGATGGGATTGGGTGGTAATTCGAGATCAGGGGTGCCAGGACAAGTTGCCTTGGAGGCTTCGCAGGCAAGGAGAATGATTTCCTTTGTGATGTTCATGAAGGGTTGTAGGGACGCTGTGCTACAGTTGTGTCATAACATGTTGCTTTCTTTGGACCTTGGGCGGTCGACTCTACAGAATGACAATGCACTCTCACTTTGTTGGGTACGCTACCATGGACGAGAAGGTTTCTTTCTTGGACACCGAGCTGGTATTGTTACGTGAAAGCAAGGGCGGCTGATTCTTGAACAGACTGTTTAGAGTGGGAGCAGCTGCATTGTCAGTAGACAAAGACGGAGTGGAGTGTCAATGTCTTTGTGAGTACTGGGGAGGATGGCTATTTAAACGAGCATGAGCCTGTGTAGAGGTCAAGCATTTACATTTCGACTCACAGAAACTTTTGGAAACCGAATCAAACCACTTGCTGTCAAGAATGAGCGACTTCACTGACATCAAGATGCTCGGAGCGAAAATAGGCGTGCAGGTCTTGAGGCTCCAAGATACGAGGGAGGCCTTTCTCAAGTGGGCCAGAGACATCGAGGTTATTGCCAGGGCCAAGGGCCTTGGTTACATTCTTCGCAATACGGAGGTCCTTGCCGAGGAACCGCAGATCACAGACTATATCTTTTTTGCAAACGATACCATGACCGGTGTGGAGATGTATCGCAAGGAACTCGAGGAACACAGGGATCTGGTACGCCGTTCTCGGTTGGCCCGTTGCCTCCTCGATTTCTGGGTCGACGATGCCGTTCGAAAAGCGGTGCACGATGTCGACGACCCTTACGATGCTTGGGATGCGCTGCACGAGACGTTTGGGGTGGCCTTGAAGCGGTCGTCTAAGAAGGAGGATTGCGGAGCAGATGCAGGCTTAGCGAAGATAGAGTGAGGGCGAGTAAATCTCGAAGGCGAACATCATGATTGAAAGTTCAGATGTATTTCCTTGGATCAGAATAGACTCAGCGGCCAGGTGACGGCCAACTATTTCGCCCCATGCATGTTCATGCCCTTCCGAGAATCAGATCGACAAATCAACCGTACGCCGTGCCCCTTTGGTGCTCAGCACCTGCAAAACCGTGTGAAGTCATCGCAGAAACAAACCCCTGACCAGTGTTTTTCCGCGCGCGCGCATTATGTTACAGTCGTGAACCCCTTCCCCTCCCCTCCTTCCAGGTTCGCAAGAATACAGCCCTCACTCCGAGTCCTCATCACTAGTGGCCTCGATGTTGGCCTTCTTGACGGGCGACTTTGCCTTTTTCTTCTTGGGCAGCTTCTCGGCGGCCTCGGCTCCCTCCTCTCCGGCGGCGACGTCGTCGACCGGCTGGCCCTGGCTGCGCAGCTCCGCGTTGATGGCGGGGATGGCCTTGAGCAGCGCCTTATACTGTTCGATGGAGAGGGAGATGCCCTTCTTGCCGGGCTTCAGCTCGCCGTCGTTCTCGTAGTACTCGCGGATGTTGATGAGTGTGTTGTTCCTGAACTTGGAGACGCCGACGCGGCGCATGCGAGAGAGCTGATGGGTTTGTCAGGCGGATTTTCAAGTCAAGTTACAAGTCGGAAATCGGTAGTAGCTAGCTTACCTCCCAGAAGGGGTTGCCCTCGTTGTCCTTGCCGCTCGCAACGCCACCGGAGCTCGCGACTGTCAAAATGTCAGTACAAATGTCCGGGCTGAAGCTGGGGTGGACAGAGCTCACCAGACGTCGCCTTGGCTTTCTTCTTGACCTGGACGTTGTCGTCGCCATCCTCCTCCGACATGGATCGCGCTGCGCGCTTCCTCTCGAGCTTCGGCATGGTGGGTAGGTGCGACTTCAAAGGTACCAAAGTTGCGCTTGAGTTGATAGTGAGATGAATTTCGAAACTCGAGATTTTGCGATCGCAAATACCCGAGAGGAAGATGTTCTGCGCTGCCGCACCGAGACTGAAAGCGAGTTTGGGTCAATCAATCAGCAGTCGCGTTTGCTCACTTTCCTTCCACTATCACGAAGCCATGACGCGCCTGGGCTGGTTGGTGGTGGGAGACATTCCTTATCGATAAGATTTTTTGATGACGGTGCGGGTACCTGAAATAGCCTGTGACAGCCCGTTTCTCCACGCTAGAGCTCTCCACTCCTGGCCGAAGCCCGCCAAAGCCGCATCATGCTGACGCCCGTCCCGTCAGCAGGGTCCAACTTTCATCTCGTGGACACTGTCGCGTGGCCATTCTCACCCAGCACGCAATCTGCGAGATACTCTGTTGACTCTGTTGAGATATTGTTCGGGAGGCGGCCTCTTATCTCATAAGCGGTGTTCATTGTGCCTAGCTCCTGTCTGCAGCAAAGGTTCCTTGTCGTGAAACTCGAACTACACACGGATCCGACATCCGGTAGTCCCCCGCGCCCTCATCATGAAGGCCGTGTATGCTGTCCCGGCGACGGTAGCCCTCATCTACCGCGCCTGGAGCAAAAAGAGTCTGACGCCGCTGGGTATAGTCGCTGCTACGGCCACGGCTATTGTACATGCTCTGCACCCGTGGAACCTCCCTTTTGTCCTGCTCGCTGTCTTCTTCTTGGCCGGCACGAGGGTCACCCATGTACGTCATTAAACCAACCCGCCGCTCCTTGCATGCAACAAAAAGCTCATGGGCCCTCGCAGATCAAAGAAGACGTCAAGGCCCATCTCACCGTGAAGTCTAAGGGCACTTCCGGAAAGGAAGGCCCGCGTACTCATGTCCAAGGTGAGTTTCTACCATCATGACGAGCCTCTCAGCAACGGCGAGACAGCTAACAACAACACCCCCAGTCTTTGCCAACTCCCTCACGGCCTCCATCCTCATCCTCCTCCATGCCCACCAGCTGCACCAGCGCCAGGCCGCCCTACTCAGGCCGGACGCCAAGGACGCCGGCACCATCTGCTACTCGTGGGGCGGCGACCTCCTCGTCGTCGGCATCATCGCCAACTACGCCTGCGTCGCCGCCGACACCTTCTCCTCGGAGCTCGGCATCCTCGCCCGCGAGTCGCCCCGCCTCATCACCTCGCCGACCCTGCGGCGCGTGCCCCGCGGCACCAACGGCGGCGTCACCCCGACGGGCCTCGCGGCGGGCCTCCTCGGCTCCATGATCGTCGTCACCGCCTCCATGCTCTTCCTGCCCTTCTGCACCGGCGACACGGCCGGCCGCCTCGGCGGCGGCGACGCCGCTTCCGTCTGGACGGGCTCCCGCAAGCGCGAGCTCATGTGGTTCCTGACCCTGTGGGGCGTCCTCGGCAGCCTCGCCGACTCCTTCCTCGGCGCCGTCTTCCAGCGCTCCGTGCGCGACACCCGCACGGGCCGCATCGTCGAGGGCGAGGGCGGCGCCCGCGTGCTCGTCTCGCCCCCGCCCGCCGCCGCCGGCGTCAGCAGCAGCACCCGCGAGACGCACACGGCCCGGCGCGCCGAGATCAAGGCCGCCCTGCTGTCGGGCGAGGGCAAGCACGCCGTGCCCCGCGCGCAGGACGAGTCGGCCGTGGCCGACGCCGACGCCGAGGAGGAGCACGAGGCCCGCGCCCACCGGTACGACGCCCACGACAAGCACCGGCGGGCGAGCTTTGGCGACGGCGAGCCGAGCCGCGTCGTCGAGAGCGGCTGGGACCTGCTGGACAACAACGACGTCAACTTCCTCATGGCCTTTACGATGAGCTTTGGCGCCATGGCGGTGGCCGGGTGGTACTGGGGCGTGCCGATGCAGAGTATCATGTCGGGAGTATTGTAGCTCTGGATGGTTTATTAAAGAATGAGAACGACGGGTGTAGCTCAATAAAGTTGGGGGGTTAGATATTACAGCCTGTTGTAGAGTGGTTCGACATGTAAAAGTAGCAAAGACGCGCATGACGATAGAGATTCTCTCACTTCAAAACTAATCATGACTTGCAAGAGTGCAGGAATGTTGTGTGAGAGAAGACATCTATTATCTGAAAAAGAGTCAAGTCAACAGCGAGCGCTCTCTCGACCTCTTCTTCTTCAACTCCTATCGTCCGCATAGCGTGTAGGCTTATTAACAAGAAACCAAGACAGCCATATCATGGCTCCAAACACACCAAATGATCATCCACACACTTTCTCTCGCTCTACAACAGAGTCCCCCATTCTCACTCTCTTCATCATCACGCGTCAAAGATATCCTCCACGCCGCTCCACCCGGCCCCGCGGGCCCTCTCCTCCCAGTACCCGTCCTTGCCCGTGCGCAGCTTCCACACCTCGTCCCCGTCAGCCCCCTGCGCGACCCGCACGAACCACCGCGCGCGGTGCTCGGCGCCCTTCTCCTCGAGCTGCCGGCGCCGCGCCCGCTGCGCCTCCTCGAGCCTCGTCTTCCACGCCTCGGCCTCGTCGAGCCTGCCCTCCTCGGCGAGGCGCTGGTCCGGCCGCAGGCGCGAGTCCGTCGGCGGCAGGCGCCCCCGCTCGAGCGGCGTGATCTCGTTGAGCGCGGCGGCAAAGGCCGTCAGGCCGTACACGCTCGCCGCGTTGTCGACGAGCCGGCCCGCGCGCCAGACCTCCTGGTTGTGCAGGTGGTGGTGGTGCTGCGAGTGGTGCGTCTTGAGGCTCTGCGTCCACGTGCCCGCCAGCGTGGCGCCGGCGGGGCTGCCGTCCGGGTTGAGCGCCTCGACGTGCACGTCCTCGCCGCGGCCGCCAAACATGCCCTTGGAGCGGAACTCGATGACGGCTTTCGCGCCCGTGCTCTCGTTGGTGACGGTAGTGCTGCCCACGGGCTCGACGTACTTCTCGCCCATGACCACGTTGCGCAGGAACATGGTCGCCACCGTCCACGAGTAGTGCTCCTCGCCGCCGCTGCCGTCGGCGAGCCGCAGCGACAGCCGGATCCGGCCCTCGGTCGTCAGCTCGGCCGACTTGCCCCAGAACTTCTGCGTCGGCGCGGGCGCCTGTGAGAAGGACCAGAGCGCCGAGTCGGCCTGCATCGCCAGCCGGACGGGCCGGTGCGAGACCTTTTCGACGAGGAGGCGCATGCCGCCGGGGACCTCAGTCTCGGACTGCACGAGCTCGAACGTCTCGCCCAACAAAGGGTTGAAGGGCTTGCGGATGGCGCGCTCCTTGGCCCGGCCGTTGGAAAAGTATGTCACGGCAAAGGCGGCGACGTAGAGGAGACGATCTCTCGGGTTCTTCTGCTTGGCCGCCTCGTTGAGCAGGTGAGCGTATTCCATCTGCTCTGCCGTGCGCTGCAGGAGTGAGAGTGGTTCGTTGGCGGACACGGGCATCGAGATGGTGGACAGATCCTTGCCGACGTTCTTGCGTACGAACGCGATGAGACTGGGCGGCAGGACCGTTGCTGGTGGTATAGTGGTACGGCGTTGGATCTGGTCGGTGATTGGTAGGGGTGTGAGCGTTTTGGGTTTGCTAGGGAAGAGACTCTTCTCGTCGTTCTTGCTGGTCATCTCCTCCTCGTCTTCCACCGAAGAGACAGACGAGTCGTCATCGTTGCCCATGTCATTCTCGACGTCCGAACCAGGAGTATCCTCTTCGCTTTGGTGATCGATCATGAGAAGCTGCGACCGATCTGCATCTCCCTCGGCTGCGTCAAAGAACTCATCGGTCGACGTTGAGTCCATGCTCTTTCTGGAAACGGCGGAGCCGGGGAGAGGCATCCGGCGGCGCTTGCTATTGGACAAGAGATTCGAGAATTCGTGGACCACAGAGTCAAGGTCAACCAAGAGCGCATTGCAGTGGTCCTGCACGGTACGCTCCTCTTGAAAACTGTTACGGGAGGGCTTTCTTGAGTGCCGAGAGGAATTCCGCGAAGGGGCAGTCCCCGGCGATGGTACGGTCAACGTCGAAGACGCGGGCGGCGTAGCGACCGGGGGGCCGAGGGGCGTCGCGCTCGACTTGCGCCTCCAGAAGGGCCGCTTCTGCTCAGGGGCCGGCTGGAAGTAGCTGTCCGAATCCTCGACGACCGTCGGCGTGGCCGAGGCAGGCGATAGGGTAGAGCTGTTCGGCTGCGCATGCTTCTGCGCCCCAATGTCCTTGCACAAGCGCCGTAGCGCATCTCGGGTGCCGACAATGCGACTCACCAGCGCCTCGACCTGTTGCCACTCCCTATCCTCCTCTTGCGAGTTGTTTGGCGGGCTCTGCACCGACCGCCTAACCTGCAGTCTCTCGGGAGACGGCTCATGTACTTCCTCCAGGCCCCGCGCGACTCGACTTGCCCTCTCTAGAGCGTGCGCCCACTCGGTGAACTCCTTTGCGTTTGAAGCTCGCAGGTGCCAGACCTCCGCGCCAGAGTCGATGCTGATCTCCCGCCTCCGCTCATCTGCTGCAATAGCAGCGAGACTGAGAGGTATGGCACCGCGCAGGGCTGAGGAGTTGCGGTTGTGATAGTATGAGAGGGTGCAGGTGACGTAGTCGAGGGAGAAGAACCGCCGCGCATAACCCTGGCCCTTCTTTCGGCGCCGCTTGTGCAAGATGCCGACGTGGTAATTGGCAGGTGCAGACGACTTCATCGAGGTTGCGGCAGAGGTCCCGGGTCGCCCGTTCATATGATGGCTGTGGAAGCTGTCGACCGACTCGGAGGCAACGGCACCGAGCCTCGGGCTGTTGTGCTTCCCCAGGCTCGTCTTGCTCGCGTTGGCGTTGGGTCCGGTCTGGAGGTTAGGTAGGTGATGCGCCGTCTGCGGTGGCGCGCCGGTTGGATATGTCAATAGGACGAAGGTCGCGTTTTTGGACGTCTGCTTGGAAAAGGTGTTGTCGAAGACGAGCCCAAACATGCCGCCCTTGCCCGGGGGCACATCATAAGTGCCCATGGAAACCTTATCGGCCTCGCATTTGCCATGCCACTTGACGGGTATGAACCCCTTCTTGCCCAGCTGCTCCTGGGCATTGCTGGCATCCCTCTTTGCGAAGAGGCCCGGCTTAGTCTCGCTGGCGCCGTCGAGGGACTGGTCAGGGGTGCTGAACTCGGTCTGGTCCAAGGTATAGTTGGTGCCTCCGGTGCCGGGGTGCTTGACGATGCCAAAGTTGCTGTTGCGCGCGACCCATGTCAGTTCATGTCGTGGTTCTGGCCGCATGCTGGGAAGAGCAGGCTGCGGGCGAGTCATGCTTACATCGACTTCTTGTGCGGCTGAACGCTCCACGAGATGGTATGCCCTTCGTCGACCTTGACCCATCGCACAATGTAGGACTACATGTGGTGAATATTTCATGGTTAGCTCTGTGTCCTTGTGTGTGCTACGCGCCTGATGTAGAACCTTGCTGTCTGTGGGCGTCGTGGCCGGCGGGAAGTCGACGGCATACGAACCTTGCTGTGTATCTCGAGCTGCTCGATGCCCGCCATGATGCTTGTGTGCGCTGCGCGTGTCGTGGGAGGCGGAAACGGAGCTAGCTACAGCGTTGCGAATCAGGAATAACGATTTACAAACGTCCCGGGCAAGTCTCCATCGCATCCGCAACTTGGCATGGGTACGCAGTTGTTTCAACGAAGGCAGAGTTTAAAGGCCAGAGCCCCGTCAGGTCCGGACGCCTTCTCAGGGATGACGAGCAATCGGTGCTAGGGTAATTATTGATGTTGGAGGGCCACAAAAGAGCACCACGTTGCCTTGGTGGGTTATTTCTTTGGGGCTCCAGTGCTGCCAGATGGGGCCGACACACCCGGGAAGCCCGTCAGCATTAGGCCAATTACTAGGCAGATTTAGTGCAGTCAGCAGGGAATTCTGGACAGCAAGGAGCCGAAATGCCTCTAGCTATCCGTGCAAATCCTCCACCCGCAACGAAAACATTCGGAGGAATTTGAGGAAAGCCAAGGCCTGTCTGTGAGGAATGTGACCTACGACTCTGAGCGTTGCTGTTATGCAAAGCCGGCGCCGCGTGTTCATTACGTCCTCCTGCCGATCCGACATGTGAACGACGCTTCTCTCGCTCCCTTCGCATTCAAGTACCGGCATGAAATTGCTGTTTGGGACCAAATCCCGCGGTTTCTTGTTGCCTACTCCGTACAAGATATTTGTGGATTGCATGTCTTTTTCTGGATGCAGCTTGGCCCACTACGGAGCTCCAAGTGACGACATTGGGTGGCTCGTCTCTCGTTTTCCGGACTAGCTGAATACGAGCTCGGATTGTTGACCCATTGCACACGTTCTCACGTAAACCTCGCTCTGGGGCTGAGACGTTTCAACCATGTCTTCAATTCCAGATAGCACTGCATCGCCTCGTTTTGATAGGATATGCTTTTGATGATTCTAGTTTCAACGCAGGCCCGAGCTCTCCTCACCTGCCAGCGGCATTGAAATCTAATACAGAAATACACTGGGCAATCAAGAAGACCACCCTCATTAAGGAGTATCAACCTAATGCCTCATGCCCGAGATTCAACCGCCTTCAATATCTCCCTCGCCCACTATCTGCCACCCTGCTGCATCCGCACCAGCTCGTTGTTGTACCGGATCTTGAATCCGTTGGTTAGGGCCCGCATGTCCGGGTACTCGGCCTTCATGAGCTCGTAGGCATGCGGGATAACCCGCACCGGCCACGAATTAACCTTGGACCCGCGGCTTGCCTTGAAGCTCAGGTAGAAGTACCCAGGGTGCTTCGCGTCAATGCAGAACGCATAGGTCGACCGGTTGGGGTTGGCATCCATGTAGGTGGTCAGCCATTTCTCTGTAAGACTTGGTTAGCAACATTGTCAAGGGCGCTGTGAGAAACCCCCACAAGACTTACCTAGATCTGCTCTTGACCCCTTCTGGAACTTCTCGTGCTGCATGAGCTCGAACACCTTCTTAGCCATCGACTTGACGTGATCCACTATCAACTCGTCGAGATCGCTGTAACTATACTTTCCGCCGACCTTGAGCAGCTTGCCCACCGAGAACTCGTTCTCCTTGTGCAACTCGAGTACGTCAATGTGCTGGTATACGCCGTCGGCCACCTTCCACGTGACAGCCAGATGGTCATTGCCTTTAGACGACGGCCGAATAACGACCTCGCCTGGTGCTTGAGAGCCCAGATACTCCTCGGCTTGGGTGGAGTTGAAGGGCTTGAAGAGCGGGTGGTTGATGACACGCTGAGTCCGGCCAGTCGTCTTGTCCTTCTCGGTGAGGGCGTCTTTGTCTTGGTCCTCCAAGCGGAAGTCCCACACATCGCGATCCCGGTCCCGGTCCATCAGTTTCTTGTAAGGCCGCCGAAGAGCGTCCTCACGCATGGTAAGCTTGCTGATGAAGTCTTTGCGGTTAAGCTCAAGAAGTTTGGCTTGCGCCGTCTGTCCCACATGAAGAGCTTCCTTGATCGAGTGATGGTAGGACACCTCGTGGGCTTCCACGCGACCCTCGATACCACAGTCCAACTTGACAATGGCAAAATCATCCTTCACGACCCGCACGTTGACTGCCAGAATCATACCCTCGGCGAGTGTATCCTTGGTTTCGCCAGTGAGCATGGTGAAGATCTCTTCAGCACCGAGGATGGCAAAGTTCCTCCTGAGTTCTTCGTACGGAGCCTGCAGCTCGGCACGGATAGTCTCGAGTGTGGCGCGTTTGCGCTGGCTGTAGTTGCGCTCGAGCTGCTCGGCATACTCCTCGAGAATGAGTTCATTGACCTTCTCCTGTTCTTCCTCCTTGAACAGCTTGCGGACGATGGCTCCGGGCCCATTCTCATCCGTCTCCGCCTTGACATCTTCCTCGTCCAACTCAAGAGCGTCAGCAGCCATCTTCCGGCCTAGCTCGTAGTCTTCGGGATGGACGCGGGTATTGTCGAGCGGGTCCGAAGTTAAACTGGAACTGTCGTACTCGATGTAAAGGAAACTGGCGCAATTGTTCCACACCCTAGGACCAACGACGGGGACCTTGCCACTGTCAGGATCGCCAACCAACTCATCACGAGAGCTGACGACGCCGCCGTTAGCGTTGATGGCTTTGATGACTGCAGTCGCCTTTCTGGGGCCCAGGCCGGCAACATAAGGAAGGAGATTTGCATTGTATGCGTTGCCAATAGCCTCATTGATGTCGACACCGCACAGGTTGACCATGTCGACCATAGCAGTCTCCAGGTGCTTCATCAGCTTATCCTGCGGCAGCAGGTGCTGGCAAGGGTGGAAGGATAGAGAGGTGATGTCCTTGCCAAGCGCAGCGTATTCCTTCATGGGGTTCTGGAGGTATTTCGCCAGGGCAACACAGTATCGAGTGATCGAGTTGAGATTGGGAAGATCAGCTGTTGCGCGCTCGCTGTCTTTGTATAACCTTGCAACCTCATCGTTGACCACCACAACGTCGAGGAGATCACTTCGGTACTCGCTCGTCTCGGGATCTTCGTACTCGGGTCCCATCAGACCCTTGTCGTGAATCAGGCTCTCAAGATCTCTGATGAGCCTATGGGTGTCTGAACTCCAACCACTGACTGCGACAACATCAGGTCGTCGGCGCTGGACAATCTCAACGAAGGCCTCTCGCTGGGCCTCATCACGGGCCAGGTTACCGAATTTGCCATGTTCAAGCATCTTGCCATCTTCCTCTACCCACGTCCAAAACACAGGCTCGCGAGATGGATCTCCCATTCCGTTAGAAAGGGCGAGAACACGTGGGGGCGTACCGAGGATCAGGCCCTTCGGCTTGTAAGGCGCCTGGTCCAGACGTCGTGAGTACTCCTCACGGCAGATTTTGAGAAGTTCTTCTTGGCAAGCCGTACGCATGGAATCCTTGACACCCTTTGCAATAATCTTGTTAAGGCGTGTGAATGCAAGATCAAGCACCTTTTGACGTTCCTCGTTCCAGCGATCAGCCCGCTCGCTGAAATTGTCGGACGCAAACTCGTTGAACAGCGACCTCCGGAATTCGCGCTCGTTCTGCAGCCTCAACCTGACCTCGACCAGGCCCTCTTCCTCGGCTTTCATCATCTTGAGATAGAGGTCTGGGCGCTGGGCAAGGTCGGGGATGGTCTGGTTCATGAGATACTTAATCTCGTAGAAAGGGTGCGATTCGTCGATCTTCCGGAGGCCCTTCTCTGTCCTGTGACAGCTGGCTACACTGTTGCCGTAGTATGCAATGCGGAAGTGTCGTCGCATTTTTGGGTTGGTGAACAGCTCTTCTGCGTAGGTCTGGCGAGCCGCGGTGATGACAGCATCTCCAGTCATGAAGTCACCGTCCGCAAGCGAGTCGGCCAAGTCCATCGGCAATTTCTCGTCGTCTTCCGCCGAAACTTTTCCGCCTTCACGCAATGCGTTCTTGGCAAGTCGGTCAGGGGTGATGCCATAGGCGCGGACAAAGTTGTAGGCCTTTGCTTTTCGGACCCGGTCGAATAGTTGGCTGCCCTTGGCTCCGGGCCTCTTGGTCTCCTTGTTGGTAGCGCCCATAGCAGCCATATCCTTGAGCTGTGCTGCATACTGGAACTGCATGTAATCCTGAAGATCCTGCAGCTCTTCCATGGTAGCTGCCTGACTGATCATGTCCTCCAGAATGTTGTCCTGAACTTCGGCTTGAGAGCGAAGGTTCTCGTATGACTTCTCCAGCGCATTGCGCTTTTCGATCAGGGAGCGGAACTTGATGTCCAATTCGAGAATGCGCCACAAGTCGTCCTGTGTCAGGAGCTTCTCAGCATTGACGACATATTCAGGCGCATCCTCGTCACGATCACGTTCTGGATTCCGTGTCTTCTTGGCGTGGATGAGGTAATCCTTGCGATGTTGAAAGACGTAAGGCACTTCCACATCATCAACGACGAAGAACTCCAAGACCTTCCCAATCGCCTTGGTGAAGGGTGGCAGCAGGTCTCCCTGCAGACCTTTCTGGGGCCACATGAGGTTGGTTATCCATCGCGCTTCCTCCTTGAACTGGTCGGCGGTAATTTGGAGTTGCTTGAAGGGCTTGCGATCGAGCTGGAACCGCTCAGGCTCATCCGTGTAGCGGATCAAGTTGTCTTCGTCAGTGAGCAGTTTCTCCTTCAGCTGCGACGGTTCGAAAACATCCTTGAGCTCAATGGCCTGCTCCTCCCTCTCTCGATCCTCTTCGTCTTCCTCAATCTGGAGGACCCAGTCGTATTCATCGCCATTGCCAAAGATTCGATCCATCTCGTCCAGAGCATCCTTGTCAAGACCGGTGGTATCGAGGATGCTGCCAGCAATACCACGATCACGAGGTCGCGCCACCTCAAGGTCTTCTTGTCGCTGGTTTCGTTCCTCCTCGTCTTCAGGATAATCCTCCTCGATGAAATCGTCAAACTCATCGGCTTGGGCGCGATGGCTCGGCCGGCCGTAAGGCCTCTCGTCAACCATGTCATCTTCCTCATCCGAGAAGATCTGGGCGAGGTCGCGACGGTCGGGGCCACGGTCTTCATCGTCTCGGTGGCCGCGTTTGAGCCGCTTAAACTTTGACTATAGAACGGGGAAGGGGTTAGTATCTGTAGCCATCTTAATCAGGGTATGTGTGCATATTCACCTGCTCAGCCGACTTGCGCTCCCAGTCCGGATGCGCCTCGCCAATAAGGTCCAAGTCTTCCTCGTCTAGCTGGGCCTCCTCTTCGCGCTCTGCGCGGCGCCGCTTTCGTCGTCGCTTGCGCTCGCGGTCGTCGGAATCGTCGCCCTCCTCCTCGTCTTCGTCTTCGTCGACAATGAAGCCCTCGCGGATCTAAATGAAGATATAGTTAGCTCATAAGATGCTCAAGACTTTTTGTCACCTGCGATTGCAGCACATACCTTAGCCGCCTCCTCTTCGTCATCATCGTCATCTTCCTCTTCACTCGAATCCTCGATATCGCCATTTCGTTCTCTCTCACGGGTCTCGCCCGTCTCCTCATCGAAGGACTCGTCGTCTTCCTCATCATCGAGCTCTGCCTCCCCCGAGATCAAATCCCGCATCGAATTGCTCATGTTGGTGAAGCCTTGCTGCGCTGAGGCAGGGTCCTGGACTTCGCCTTTGTGTATGTAGCAATGCAAACCTTGGCAAAAGTTTGTCAACGCCCTGCACAAGCGAAGCCGAGGATTTTCACTACTGCTGCGACGATGGTGAGAGAGATGTGAGCAAGAACAAAGGCGGGAGGAGCCTTTGATCGATGTCAAAAGGATGAGATGGAATTTTTGGCTGGCGCGAGTGGACGCGGCAATCACCTTGGTACCTCCCCCTTCAGCCTCGCTCACAGGTGGGTCCAAAGGTCGAGAGCTCCTGAGCCAATCACAATTGGTTGTTGTTCATACAGTGGCTAGCTGGGCACAGCTAGCAGAAATAGGACAGTGCGAGGAAAAGCAAAGGCCTTCAACCTTGGTTCTGATTAGAGAACAGATATCAGAATGAGAAGTGACCAGACCAAGAAGCACGAATTGTTTTCGTCGTAGCAGATTTATCACCGGAAATTTGCCCATTCAATTTTGGGAAACAGCGGTGGTGGCGAAACAGACCAGGGCTTTCCAGATCTGGAAGTATCAGCCATGGCCCATAAATGGGGATACCAGCCCAAGATATCTAAATCTCCAGCTCGTTCACGCTTTTTTTTCCCTTCATTGCTGCTTGAAATGCCTGCTACCTTGCGATCGGGTTATATGGGCTCTATTATCAGGCTGGAATGATAAGGTAAAAGGTACCGCTTAGGCATAATCATCTAGGCGCCGAAACTGGTGACTGTTGATGTGTTGGTGTGAACCATGGCTGCCATAGGTCGTGATCTTCCCACTAAGATCTCCAGATTACACGGGGAACCAATGGCGCCTCAGATCCCTGACCTTTGCCTCGGGTTCAAAGGAGCAAATGTGTTTCTGATTTATCGTAGGTCCTGTACAAATCCCTTAGGTGCCCCTTTCTCAAGTAAGAAGACTACATTGGTCTTGCAGCCTTTTGGCTTTGTACACATGTAGGTAGTTTCATACTGAGGTGGTATCACTTTAGTGAGAGTGCCTCGAGGACTATCAACCTTTCAAGTCCTGGACGATTAATCGAAGCCCAATATACACACTTCCAGTCGGTTCTAGCAGTAGAAGAGCTGATATACCCCTGATTCTCATTTCCTCTAGCATGCAAGAAGGAACCTTGAATCTCAAAGCAAAAAGGAGCCCTCATAATCCAATTAATACCCGTCATGAGCGGCGGCTTCTAGTCGTGTTGGGATCAATCAAACGAACTTTAGGTGCGTAGTGGCCGAGACCCGATTTGGTCACTGCTGGCGCCCCCTTCTGAGACCGAGCCCCTCCTTCTATCGCTTGGTATGTAGGCGCTGAAGCTGTCGACTTCAAACCCCTGACGCATCACGCCCCGAACCCCACCTCAACCCGACAGAAAGAGGGCAGCAAAGCAACCCCCTGAGAATGCAACTTTCATTCTGCAACCCTCAGCTCTAACATTTAAAAGTTGAGCCCTCTTTTCCCAGGCGCAAACAGCTTTTGGCCAAGTGCGAGCCGCTTGAAGAAATTCTTTATCTTCCCCCAGCGCCCTCATCACGACCAGGCCATCTCGCCCCTAGTCTAGACCTTTAGTACGACGCCACCTCCACCTCGCCTGTCCCTCCAACTCCAACCCTCCAAAGAAGGCCACCCCGCTGTGCTCCCTCGAGCCATCTTTCACCCCCCGCCAGCCGAGCAACGAGCGTTTGCAACCTGTCGGTGTATCACAGCGTCAGGTGAACCCGCTCGTCACAGGCTTGGTTTCGCTGTCGGCGACTGAGCTACTGGCGCGATATTCAGATCGGTTCAGAGATACAAGCGCGAATCCAGTAGTGGCTCGACTGTCTTGCAGCCGAACCTGTATCGCCCACGTCCGCCTCACCGTACCGAGCGATTCTCAAGCCTCTTCCTCCCTCGACCAACCCGACACCAACGCAGCCATGGCAGACGGCTTTGCACCCCGCTCTATGAAGCGGAAGAATGTCAAGGGCCTTGCTCTCACCCCAGCAGCGCCCAAGCCTCCTCCGACTGCCGAGAATGCCAACCTGGGAGGTCACCGAGGCGATGACAATACGGCGCAGCTGGAAATCGGCATAGAGTTCAACCTCGATCTGAGGCCAGAGGACCTTGAAATGATCAAGGAGCTGGGTTCCGGAAACGGCGGCACTGTCAGCAAGGTCAAGCACATTCCGACCAACACAACTATGGCCCGCAAGGTACTGTTTCCACCAGCTTTTCTGTTCGGCAGGCCCGCTAATCCTGTCATAGGTCATTCACGTCGAAGCGAAGCGCGAGATGCGCAAGCGCATTGTTCGAGAATTGCAGATTATGCATGGCTGCCATTCCGACTACATTGTCACCTTTTATGGCGCCTTCCTGAATGATAACAACGATGTGATCATGTGTATGGAATACATGGATGTTGGGTAGGCTTTTCGCACTTAACATTTACATTGCTCTAAGCTGACTTGCGCCTGCAGATCATTAGACAGAGTGTCACGAGTCTTTGGCCCGATCCGCGTCGATGTTCTAGGCAAGATTGCAGAGGCCACACTCGGCGGACTTACCTACCTGTATTCGAAGCATCACATCATGCACCGCGATATTAAGCCGTCTAATATCCTTGTCAACTCGAGGGGATCTATCAAACTGTGCGATTTTGGCGTCTCGGGAGAGCTGATCAACTCTATCGCCGACACCTTCGTGGGAACATCGACGTATATGGCCCCAGAGAGAATTCAGGGAGAACGGTACACGGTGAAGTCGGATGTTTGGAGTTTCGGTCTCTCAATTATGGAACTCGCCATCGGAAAATTCCCTTTTGCAGCCAGCGAACAGCTTTCGGATGCTGAGAGCGCACCAGCTGGAATCCTTGATCTCCTTCAGCAAATCGTCCATGAACCGGCTCCTAGGCTGCCCAAGAGCGATGCTTTCCCCTCCATCCTCGAGGACATGATCCAGAAATGTCTATACAAGGCCCCGGACGAGCGGCCAACTCCGCAAGAACTATTTGTGAGCTTCTGGTAGGATCGGCTGTTGCCCATGCTTTCACTAATACGTTTAGGATCATGACCCGTTCGTGCAAGCGGCCAAGAGAACCCCGGTCGATCTACGAGAGTGGGCAGTCGGGCTGATGGAGAGAGACAACCGGAAGTCTCACCTTGCGCCGCAGCTTTCGCCCGCGACGCAAGAGCTTCTTCGTTCAAGCGACTCTCCTACTTATCATGGAGATGATCGGACGACGCAGACCCCTACCTCAGGTGAGATTCCCATTGCGGGTGCTATTATGTCACCGCATGGTGACCAACAGTATGACAGCATATCGAATCGGAGCCCCACGCGAAACGGGGCCGGCGGGCTTGGCCGAGCAGGTGGACAAGCTGTTCATCCGGGACTGGGACGAGTAGCCACCACCAATTCGATACCCAAAGTGACGGCGAAGGCGGCTGGCGAGCGGTCCGCCCCAGCCAGCGCCAGCAGAGCCACATTCGCTCTCCCGGTGCGGCCGGCGCCGATGAATGCTCCACCACCACCTCCGCCACCAAAGGACTCAAGTGATGATGTTAGGCAACAACATCAAATTCGGCGAAAAGCCACGTATGGAGGCAGCGGGACGTCTTTTGATGGATCGTATAGCTCAGGCTATCCGACTCGATGATGGCGATGACGACGAAAGGATACGAAAAAAGCAAAGAGATATGGCATAATGAATTTTCCATCTAGACTGCAAATGCATTCTCTGCCTTGTATTTCCGCATATTTTCGCAAAAGCACGTTGTGTTCATATACCTAGCGATCAGTCTGATTCGCATGCATGCCAGTTCATAGCAACAGACCACGGTATCATGTCGTAGATCCTCTCTAACATCGAATGGTCGTACTCGAAACATATCTTGTTGAGACTTCTTATTGATTGACCATCTTTGATCTTGGCTCACAACAGGCTCGTGACTGTATTTCCGTTGTTTATGACAAGATTTTCTGTCGAGGCTCATACCCAACCCCAAATGATGCTGCCATCTGAGTCTATCTTTATCCACGCTCATGCAACCCTTGCGCCTCCTGAAGACGCGCTTTTGTCCCCAACAGATCTCTATGCTGGCCATCAGGAGCAATCCTACGTCACAAATACCTACTCCTCTGTCGGCACTTCCCTGCCGACGAAACCCTCTTCCAAGATGTCAATGAGTTCGTCCAGCCTAGAGATGACCAGATCTGTATGCGCATGCTCCGCAAGATGAGAGTTCACGTCATTGACAAGCAGCACCGTGGCGGCGCCAGCCCTGCGGCCCGCCGTCATGTCGTCGATGGAATCGCCCACCATGATGAGGCCGCTGGCGTCGGCCTCGTCGCCGACCTCGCGCCCGGTCTCCTCGCGCTCCTCGCGCATCTCCTCGTCGACGGCGCCCATGCGCTCGGGCGACGCCTGCCGCCGCCGCTCGCCCTCGAGGGCGCGGGTGAGCCCCCAGCTGCGCGCGATGTGCAGGATGCCGGCTGGGTCGGGCTTGGGCGGGCGGAAGTCGCGCGTGACGATGGGCGCGAAGACGCTGCCGCCGAGGAACTTGCCGAGCAGGTGGTGCACGGGCTGCTCAAAGTTGCGCGTGCAGATGCCCTTGGGCACGCCGCGCTCGTCGAGGTAGGCCATGAGGCGCTCGAGGCCGGGCTGGGCGACCTGGTCGGCCATGGCGCGGCGCTCGACGGCGCGGACGCGCTCCATGGCGTCGTGCTGCTCCGACTCGGTCGGCAGGCTGTAGATGTGCTCGAGGATGTCGACCGACTTGGGGATGCCGAGGGCGGCGCGCATCTCGCCGAACATGTAGGTTTGGGGTTTACTTTTCTCAATATGAGGGGTCAGTTGCCTTGAGCGTTGCACAGAGGTATGAGGAGTGATATCTTGTAAGTCAGTGATGGGTGCCCGAGCACTTGCCTGGCACATTCAAGACTGCCTTAAGCACAGAAAGAAGGAAGAAAAGTACAGTAAAAGACCGCAACCCGTGTGCTGGCATGTTGAGTTGCGTCACGAACATCTTCATACTCATGAACAACGATTTCACCTCCTGTCATCCATCCCAGGATAGAGCCGAGGCAGTAGGTAATCCGGTGACAAGACAGGGCATGTATGAAAACAGACTTACCATAATGTCCCGTCGACGTCGAACACGACACCCCTCAGCCGGTTTCCTGCGTTCTGCGGTGCGCCCTGCCTCAGCGGGGCGAACTGCCTTGGTGTTGACGAGGCCATGATGGAGCAGAATCTCCGCATGAGCTGTGGTTGTGTGGCACGAGCCGTCCCAGTGCTCGTGTAAGTCTTCGCTTGCCGCACCGGCCAGTTCCCGACAGCACTACCGGGCGATGAACGTAGATCCAATCGATTGATCGAAAGAGCGTCCTTTTTGGGGTATCACCGTTGCGTTCAAGCGATGAGTAACATCTGGGCTTGAGGCACAGTTTGGTCAATGACGGTTTCGATTAGATCATTCACTAGCTCCGTAGCTGGAGCACTCAACTTGAAAGCTCTACTTGTATGTTTCCGAGGAGGTCCACGCTAGTGCATCTCGAATTTAGTGCCCGTGATTAGCACTCGAAGTGATCAGCCTGCTGGCAGTTAGAGCTCTGGAGCTCGCTGGTGCTAGCCCTGGAATAGAATGGAACAGCGGCTCTCAGCTGCGGCGTCCCGTTGGCCTGCATGCGGCCTCATGCCAATCACTGCCAACGATTTTTGGCAGCTCCACCTTGACAGCCGCCCAACCTGGACACTCATAGGGTGTTCGTCACTGACGTCGATCATCCGGCGCATCCCATGTGTCCCAAACTGCTATCCAAACGCACCTTACCCACTGTTGTCCACCACCATCACGCAACTTCCATCTCCTCTCTCTGAAGAGGGAACTTTCCTCGACTCGGCATCGCGACCGTCGATCATGCTTGCCAGACACACCATCTCTGTCGGGAGCCACGCTGAGTCCGACAATCCAAGATGAGTTCCGCCAATAATTCGGGTGGCTTCTGGCCGCCTCGTCGCCCTTCGAAGCGAAGCGTGAGTCCCTTCCCTTGTCCCAACGGCATTCTCAATTTGCCTCCAAACACATGCACTGTCGCCGCAATAATATGGTAACACTCATCTTTTACAGAAGCTTCGGAATGGCACGTTTATCATCCCGTCTACAGGCGAGAGGTCTAGACGTCAGTTCACCTTGCGCCTAGCACCAGACTCGACCGAGCCGACTGAAGACAACGCCGAAGAAAGGCGACCCTTTTATACAAGGGCGGGCATGGCCCAACGATTCCGGGCCTTGGGGGGGCGCACCCGAGACGGCGCAAAGCACTTTTGGCAGTGGCTCCATACGTCGCAGGGCAGAGGCGTCATGAAGTGCACCATTGCCTATACTCTGGCTAGTCTGTGGACATTTTGGGGTCCTCTCTCAGATTCCCTTGGAAGACCGGATGGAAAGCATGTTTGCGCAACCATCACCGTCTACTTCCACCCAGCCCGGACCGCCGGATCCATGATCGAGGCCGCCTTGATCGCCATCATCGCCGTATGCTATGCCGAAATCATCTCCATCCTATCCATGGCCGCGTCAGTATTCTTTGGATCAGTCCTCAGCTCGCCTACAACGGCATATGTCGTTGTCTTGATGGTCTTCATCGGTGGTGGCTTCGGGTTTGCTGGATGGGTTAAGCAAAGGATGAACCACCCGTCCGTCAATGTTGGCGTGACGCTGGCGTCTTTGGCTATCATCGCAGCTGTAACAAAGGAGACGACGGTGTATACAAGCGTGTTCTCGAACGAGAAGATCCTGCAGATGCTACAGATCCTGGTTATTGGAGTCACGACGACCACGGCTGTGAACTTACTTCTTTGGAGGGTGTCCGCTCGCATCCTCCTCCGCCAGTCCATGATCAAGGCTTCTACGTCGCTCGGGGACATGCTCTCCATGATCACACACAGCTTCCTGAGTGGTTCGGAAGACGAACTTTCCATGCCCGAGTTTAAGGGCGCTGCCAACGCCTGGCGTTCCAACTACGCGGCGATGACGAAAAACCTCAAGGAATCCAAGTACGAATACTATGCAATCGGGCGTGAAAAGACTTACCAGTTGGACAAGGCTGTCTACAAGTCCATGGAGAATCTTGCCCAATCGATTGGCGGTTTGAAGAGTGCAGCTCATACACAGTTTGAACTACTGAAAGAACTCCCCGAAGCTACGTCAGGCCTCCTGTCACCAGGTACTGAATTTGCACCCCAAAATCTGGGCCGATCTATCGCTACATTGCTCAAAAGTGGCAAGGATCGTACCACAGTTCTGTCGGCCATAGATGAAGCCACGGATGAAAGCAGCAGCGATGATGCCAGTCGCAAAAAGCCAGTCCGTTCAGCATCGCAAGGCGAAGCCACTCCAGCCTTCCGGGCGCCATCTGACATCTTTGAGCTATTCATCGAGCTTTTAGGACCTTCTATGAAGTCCCTTACATACACACTGTCAGAAGTACTCCGCGAACCGCCGTTTGGAGGCCCGCCCAACTATGAAATCACCATCCATGATCAGTTCCGGCAAAGCCTTTCAGACGCATTGGGTTTGTTCAATGGTGCCAGAGCAGATGCACTGAAGGAACTCTATAGGAGCATTGAGCTTGGCCGTCCCCGATCAGAAAAGCTCAAGGCAGATTTCGAGGAGGTTGCAGCAGCTTGCGGTCATTTCAGTTTCAGTCTTCAGACATTTGGTGAAGAAATGTCCCGGTACTTGGACGTTCTAGACGACCTGAGGTACATCACGGAGCATGGAAAACGCAGCTGGAGATGGGTTCTGTTTTGGAGAGACCCCAGCGCTATGACGCAGAACATGTCGCTTTTGCCATTTGATGACCCCGATCGAGAACCCGTGAGGCCGCTTAGGAAGTCACAGCTACCACGGGGCATTCCGGATTCTATGTTGCAGCGAAGAGACACCTATAGTTGGCAGGCGTCTCCGCAGTCTAACAAGATCGTCCAAACATGGTCGCAATGGCTGTTGAAGGTGTTTCGAGTCTTGCGACGTGAAGACAGTATGTATCAACACCCCTTTGTCCACTGCATTCGGCTAACCATGAGACAGTCCGTTTCGGCTTGAAGGTCGGTCTTGGCGCCATGCTCTTCGCGAGTCTTGCCTTCTTCAACGCGACGAGACCTACTTATACACACTGGCGAGGCGAGTGGGGACTTCTCTCCTTCATGATCGTCTGCTCTATGACCGTAGGTGCTTCGAACACATCCGGCTTCACCCGTTTCATCTCGACGGTCATTGGCGCGTCGTACTCGGTAATCAGCTGGGACATCACCCAAGGCAACGCGGTCCCTCTTATCTTCCTTGGCTCGTTCATTGCTTTCTGTACCTTTTACATCATTATACAGTACAACAAGGCACCCCTGGGCCGGACCATTCTACTGGCGTACAACGTATCCACACTGTACGCTTACAGTCTATCTCAGCAAGTCGACGATGATGATGATGACGAAGGTGGTGTTCACCCTCTCATCATGGAGATTGCCAAGCACAGGGCTTTCGCTGTCACGGCTGGCATTGTCTGGGCCCTCATCGTCTGCCGCCTTGTTTGGCCTATCTCAGCTCGTAAGAAGTTCAAGGAGGGCATGTCGGTGCTCTACCTCCAGATGGGCCTTATCTGGAAGCGAGGACCCCTTGCCATCCTTTTGAGAAGCGACTGTACACGATCTTACCTCAAATCAGGCGAGCAAGCTGCTCTGCAGCGCTACGCCTCTCACCTGGACGTACTTCGAACCGCGTCCACTTCTGAATTCGAGCTCCGGGGGCCCTTTCCCTTCGAGGCTTACGGCCGCATCATGGCGTCGACAAACCACATCCTCGACGCATTCTATGCGATGAGCCTAGTCACCCAGCGCAGAGGTCACTTGACCGAGGGTGAGCGTGCGTTGTTGCGCGCTACAGCTGACGAGAGAGCTCAGCTATGCGACCGCATCTGCCACGTGTTCCAGGTGCTAGCTAGCTCCATCATGCTCGAGTACCCGCTCACGGACGCCATCCCCAGCATCACGAGCAATCGCGACCGGCTCCTCGGAAAGACCTTCCAGTTCCGCAAGGAGCACGCTGCAGCGCTAGCAGCGGCCTCCGGCTCGTCGCTACCCGGTGGCGCTAGGGCGGTCAGTAGCCCCGGAACTGAGTCAGACGACGCGGGCGGCAGCAGTAGTAAGGGTGCTGCTGCTCCGCAGCCGATCCCGCCCCAGGGCCTTACCACGGTCGATGGGAAGCCGGTGCTCGTGGAGGAGCGCGACTACGCGCTGCTGTACGCGTACGCCCTGGTCACTGGCCAGGTTGCTGAGGAGCTCAAGATGGTGGAGAAGGAGATTGAAGGCTTGTTTGGCGTTCTACACGAGGAGTCGCTGCTGCTGCAGTGATTGCCTCTCGGGGACTTGTCGGATCTCATATCTGCATGCGTCAGTTCGCTCTGGACATGTCACACTTCTGTGTCACTGGCGTCAAGACTATGGCAATACAGGCAATAAAGGTCGTTGGATTGGGAGCAGCACATAACACTTGGTTGGATTCGGAACTGGGTAAAAGGAAACCGGAGCAAAGCATGCTTATTTATCATTAGTTTATCGTGCCGTCACTGACGATTATACCCTAGCAACAAGCAATGTTAATCCTCATGAACCAACTGCGCCGGTGCTCCGTTGTCAATGATTCTTCCTCTGGTACTTTTCTGGCTGACTTCCAGATTTCAGTGTATATGCCTACTTCGCCAACATGGCATTCTAAAACAAACACTCCCTGACTCGCCCAACTCGGCCAATCTCGTACTCGATCCACCTCGCCACGCCCCTGCGGCCGCTCACGAGCACGGCGCCGGGGTTCATGACGTGGCAGCCCTCGTACGTGATGCAGAAGGCCGGGGCTGTCGTGTCGACGAGCGCCATGGCCGTCGGCAGCGGGTATATGTGCAGCGCGCCGGCGTAGTCCCAGTGCACGGGGCGCACGGGCTGCCGGAACGGCGCCAGGTAGCCCTGGTCCAGCACCGTCTTGACGAGCTTGCGCGCCGTGCGGATGTCGTAGGGCACCGCGTCCGGGCCTGCTTCGCCTGTCTGCTGCTGCTCCTGCTGCTTCTCGGCGGAAGCTGCTATCACGGGCGGGGAGGACGGAGCCTCGTCGTCGAGGTCCATGGCGTCGTTGGTCGCCGCCGCGGCCTGTTGCGATGAGCTGTCGTTGTTCTCGTCTTGCTCGGTGGGTTTCCGCGTCGTCTTGAGGCGGACGGCTGTGCGGCGCAGGCGCGCCGAGACGTCGTCGCGGAAGAGCACCAGCTCGTGGCTGGGCCCGAAGAGCGTGAGGCGGCTGGGGTTGGTGGTCCACACGGCCTCGCCGCCCTGGCTACTGCCGCTGGGCCCGAGTTCGGCGTTGGCCGAGGCGAAGGCACGGCGCACGCGCGACGTGAAGAGCTCGGGCACGGACTTCCTGGGCAAGGGGGCCGCCGCGCCGGCCGAAAAGGCCGAGACCCAGCCGTCGTTATCGCCGGGGACGAAGACGAACGTGGAGCCCTGGAGCAGGGTCGGGAATTCGGCGAGGGTCGAGGCCAGGGAGTCGAAGTACTCCTTGTATTCTATGCTGCCGCCGCTCTCGCTGCGCGACATGACGGCGTGCTGGGTGAAGTTGCCGGTCAGGATGAAGCTCAGGGGCGTGGACCCTTCGGGCTCGGTGGCGTAGGTGGCGAGGATCTTGCGGACTGCCTGCAGAGTCCGGGGCTGATCTAGGTTCAGCTCTCCGAGAATGACCATGCGGCCGCGGCCAGGCATGTCGGGCGTGGAAGGCTGTCTCAGAATGCGCTGCTCCAACCGGCGCATGCGGGATCCCACGGCGCGCTCGCTACCAACGCCGAGGAAATCGATCCAGCCGAACCCACCTCCTATGGTGTGGTCCGGGCCGCCGTCCGGGCCGCTGATTCCGAGTGTGACTTTCCTCTTCTCGCAAGGGGGCTGTCCGATGAAGAAGCCCTGGAAACGGCCACCTATCGTGCCGCCGACACCGCTGCTCCCGCTCAAGCCTTTGCCAACTGACTCTTCCTCCTCCTCGTACACACCGTCGACGAGGACTATCATTCCAGGGGTAAACCATGCGGAATCTTCAGGAATCGCAGCAGCTTGGGACAGGTCGAGGGCGATGGCGCCAGTGAGGTCACAGATCGCCAGGTTTCCAGTAGGAAGGATGACCAGCATCCCGAGAAGCATGTGGTGAGTACCATGCCTGCCTAGTAAGTTGGCGACTGGCGTGATTTTATGGGCTTGATGTGACTGAGACGCAAGACTGGAGCGGCCCGATCCCCTGGCGTCGGCTACTGCTGAGGTTTGAAAGGACTCGTTGCGGAGGAGTCTCTGATGGATGACATTGTACCTGTTCCGGAACACAGTGGTTTTGTGTGATGCCACTGGTAGTAATGATGGTTTTGATCCGTCCCTGACCAAATCTTGTTAGAAGATACCTCCCGCAGGTCGGGGACAACTGCAGCGCATACCTTTCGAAGTGTTTCTTGTTGACATTGTACAACATCCGGGGTTGCTCATACGCTCCAACAACCTTGATCCATTTCCTCGGGTCCTTGACCTCCTCGTCCTCATCATCTTCCTCCATGGCTAGTCCAGACATACCCATACTCGTTTGGCTATCGTCCCTCGTCAATAAGTTGGTCGGTCGAATGCCCAACCTCGTGTTGGAAAGGTCCTTCTCCTGCGCAGATTCCAGCAGCAGACTATTCTGCCGGCTTAGTCCTCGAGGACCGGTCACGATCTTTCCGCCACTCATGTTGCCTTCTAACGTCTTCAGAATGTCTTTCAACGCTGGATTCGACCCATCAACCATAACCCCTCCATTGCGATTCTTCCAGCTCTTTGCGACCTCTTCAAGCACCTTCTCCGCCAGGCCTTCCTCGCGCCATCCTGAGCCACAGTGCCTCCCAATAAAGGTAGCAAGCTCCTGCAGAGTAGACGAGGTGAGGGTCAAGCTGTGCTTCTTCGTGAATGTGCGAAAAGCCAACGGCCTGAGTGTCGCTGGCGGTAGGAGAATGGGGAGGATCGTCTGCTTGGTCGGCGCGCCGACATTGAAGGGCTTAATGGGATGAAGTGGCGTTCCGAAGGCCGGAGAAGAGGACGGTATTGGATTCTTCGAGGCCGGGGTCTTTGCGATGCCCTTTGCGCCAAAGAAGGAATCGCCCAGTGGTCTGCTCTGCCTTTGTTTCCGCGGGCTGATCCGATGAGGAGTGAGCGCCTCCTCGGTCATCTTGAGCCTGAGGGCCTGTGTGAACTACAGACAAATGAGGAGCGGGACAATTGACGGTACGGAAATAGTCAAAATACGACCGCTACCTGCAAATGAGTGATATCTTGTGATCGTGATAAGCTTGAAGAATATGGTCCTCAGAAAGCCGTGGAGACGCGTAAAGTGCATTGAGAATCGCGTCGAGACGCGATTCGATTTGGTGGTGGGGTTTATCGCTACAGCGCTTGGGACCCCACTGTAAAATCCATTGGCGGACCCCTGTCGCACTAAGAAAAAGATCGGGTCTCCAAGCTCAACACCATGACGGCATCGCTCGAGCCGTCGACGACAGAAGTCTTCAATCGTGGACAAGTCGCAGTTTGCATGCTGGATTGACACACAAGATGCTAGCTTCAAGATTCCGGGCGCATGCGCAATTGAACGGCGTCCTTCGTCGGACCGTCACTACATTGTCCAACAACTCAGACATCGTACGTCCAGCTCCCCCTGACCTTCTTCCACGTCCACCACACCTGACCCAGCCTGACAGAAAGCATTCCCGGCACCGCATGCGCCGGGCGTCCATATCCTGACATATCTCAACACCGACCCGCCGAACTGGGACCTTGCAATTGGCACCACGAACGAGCTTCCGCCGACGCCCAAGTCTTTCAAGGGCAACGACCGCTTCCTCGAGATTCTCAACGACGTCCTCAGGCAAAATGCACACAAAGATGACGACCTGAAGTCCCAGGCTCAGGCCTTTGCTTCCCCGGGTGGGTCGACTCTAGGGTCCGGCGGAGTCTTCTTCCCACAGCAACGGAGGCAGCGCGGCTCCAAGGTGTCCGGCGCCGGCCTCGGTGGCGGAGGCGGTGCGGGGGGAGGCGGAGCCGGCGGTGCGAGTGCCCAGGGGGGTGCCGGAGGTGGTGGCGTAGGCGGATGGGTCCATCTTAGCGATGTAAGTCAAAGCGGTCTGTTCTCTACATGTCATCCAATCCCATTAACGAATGCCTGTGTGCACAGCGACGGAACCCCCCTGACTTTGGCAGGATAGCATGGTAAGTCACTGGTATCTGGCACGCGCACATCCTAACTGCCCACTAAGCCCATCATGACCATGCAGGCCAGAAGATATCCTCGGGAGCGTCGAGGTCGACAGTCACGGCAATTTGCAAGACAATTTCCAACCGAGTGGCACGTATCGGGTTGTCACCAATGAGGGAATGTGAGCTGCACTGATCTACTTGAAATTAATAGCGAGCACATTGCTGACATTTTATGAACTAGCTTGGGGCTGACTCCCTTCATCAAAGATAAGCTTGTCCAGCGGCTTAGGGAAGAGGAGAGGAAGGCACAGAGCTAGAGATTACAAGGCTTCAGCATCTGGCCTGCTTGGAATGGACCAGTCTTGATTACATCTCGTCCCCCGTGTCCCAACTGCCGTGTGGAAATCGGTCCAATTCTCTGTGTATAATACCTGTATCAACTCGTGAACAAACATCACATGTTCAACTCAGATAGAAAGCTAATCATTCTGGACGCACGCTAATTTTAGCCAGGCTGTTTGAAGGTCGAGGAAGTAAGTGTTGCGGCTCTGACGTTAAATGTCCGACGTACTCTACTTGGTAGATGGCTCTCGGCACTGGAGGTCGGCAATATTGAGGATATGAGGTTCTCGACCTGCCTCTCGTAGACATACACCATCATGAATGATAGGAAAGGACAGTTCTCGTCTAGCACAGAGTGACTTATGCGGTACAAAGGGAGACAGTCATTCATCCATCTCGTCGGGTTCTTACTAGACCCCGACAAGGTAAACAAAGATCAGGCTTGGCATATGTGACGGGAACATATTATGCATATGTGGAGAGCAAGCCTGGCAAGGTTCAACAAGCTTAAACAGAGTCCCAGGAGCTTAAGAGTACCTGTCACACCACCCGGTAGCCAGGGAATGCGAAGAGTGCCGAGCAACACGGACCGCAGCCTATTTCTCGACCAATCTATCTATTTTCAGCTGCAATTTGGACACTGCAAATAAGATATGTGCTCCGTTAAGAGAGCCGTTCTCGTCGCGCGGGCGGGGGCGAACATTCATCGCGATATTTGCCACTTACATGTGGGCTGCAGTCTCGTCGGACAACAGCGGCACGTTGTCGCACTCGGACGCAGCAGACGACGGTACGGCATGGCTCTTCTCGTAATCGTTACCAAGAAGCCGAGAAAAAAGCATCCCACGCAATTTACCATGCAAGAGATGAATATGCATCAAGCGGGACGAGCGATTTCATCACGCATCGGACGCATCCGAACGTGCGCGCGCACTCTCTCCCTCTTTCTCTCTCGGCCGGACACCTGCTCAAGGCCTCCTCGCGTTGCCTTGCGGCAGCTTTTTACCCGGCGATATTGCCCACACACGCCCGGAAGTCTTGCTCCCACTCCCAGCAACCCCTACCGCGCGAGTTCTCACTGACCGGCCGGAAGGTATCTATTTCGTGCTTCTGTCGGACAAGCTCATCGTATATTAAAAGCGGGATGCGACTGCGTGGAACGCAATCACGACATGCATTTTCTGGGAGGTGGTAGGGGGCGTGTGATGCAGAGTTAATAACTTCTCTCCTGTCCCTCGACTTTGGATGGTGCTGAATAATAGATGAAAATGTTGTGGACGAGGGACGGGCACGATCAACAGTCCGAGCATACTAAACTCCTATCCAAACAGACCTTGGCAGAGCCGAAAGCTGTGAGATGGGCCACACTGGCACTGTTCAGCCGAGCAAGAGGTCATTAGGGAGTTGGGTTAGAACACCGCTACATCGAGTGGGCATCCCTCCTCTTGGCTTCTCGGAAGTTCCTGTCGATCTCGGAGCAAAAGACGTCCCGATGTGGTGGGCCGCAGAGAAGGCCTCGGGTGTTTCCAACTGTCCTGGGCAGACCTATGTGCGTCACTTGGTCCTTCATCCATTGTTATCGTGCTCTCGAGAATGGTCTCCATCCGGCCTCCTAGTTTTTCATCCGGTCGATCATGGGCCGCTGTCATAGTCGAGCTTGTCCACGCATACGCAAAACACTGTTGCCACTGAACTTGCCAACATATCTTAATAAAGTTGCCCTCCGGTAGTCAACCTCCCCAACTGATCATTTCTCCCTTGACTGGGACACCCTACCGGCTGCCCCATCAACTTTCGTCGTTTGGCCCAAGTAAGATGCTGCATCCTTCGCACTGTCGAGAGTCCAGTCATCCTCGTTCTTGTACTGACACAAGATGCAGTGTCAATACTTGGAAACCTGCCCGACTTAGCCTGAGCCAACTAAGTCTAGTTGTGTCGTCCTCAAGCTTTGTCATCACCCTGCATGTGTGCCGCGATATGCATGTTGTGGTCCTGAGTCTCATAATGTTATTCATTCATCCACCCAGCGGAGTTGTGTCCTTGTGTCTGGAAGGAAACGGCGTGATGGACATATGCCGACCGGTATCTCGAAGTGTTCGTACTGGTAGACCGATGCGTTCTGAAATATGCCTTGGTTTCCCAGAGCCCTTTTTTCTCATCCCTCATTGCTCTAGCCTTTCCCATTCTTTTTCAAGTTGGAGCCTTGTAACGACAACCCTGGCTCTCTTTCTGGTTCCTTCTTCATCACCCTGTCCTTTGACCCCCAAGCTTCAAGTCCTTCATCGTGGTAGGTGTCTTTGAGTCACGCTGAGTTGCCGGTAGTTGTCGTCCCTGTCGAAGCATTGTCTGAGCCAACATCACTCCAGCTAAATAGGACCACTGGTATAGCCAGTCATAACGCCATGATGAGGAGGAGGAAAGAAAATATCAGGTCGGTCAATGTGACTCCCAGTGTTCCCTGGTGGTTATCGAGCTGGCAGGACTTGGGCTAGGGACAACACGCCATCCTCGAACATACAAACATCGAAGAAATGCTTGGAGGAGGAGCTCGGGTCTTTATGTCTCTAGGCCCTAGCAACTACACAGTGCTCAAAGAAGTCATGGGATAGGGTCATGAGAAGTATTGAAGACGAGGAAGTTGGCAGTTAAAGAACAAAAGAACCTACATGGCTTCATGATTTCCTCGTACTGAGCGTTTTGAAACAAATATACACGCCCTGCCTTTGGTGAAGACCGAAGCTCGCAGCTCCAGGTTGAGGCCATCTTCACTTTGTCCTGGTCCCCTCGGATAGGGAGAATGCATTTCGGTTCCGAAGGTCTCGTCAACCCGTTGCCCGTAGAATGGGACTACTTCATATATAGCAAATATATGGGGTTGTCCCCTCTTCGGGGGAAACGTAGACGAGTCTGACATCGTAAATGCGCCATGCCTCCGGGGGCAAGGGTGCATTCGGATGGGGAGCCTGGGAGGGCCTTTTCTTTTTCGAAACTTACGTATGCTGCCCCCTTCCCGGCTTCCCCAATGCCGTAGCAGTCCGCCATAGAGCGGACGTCGATCTCCATAGACTGTCTTGTTTCTGATTTCCCCAACCCATTGCGAGTCTTCTTACAGGCCAGAGCTCGCCGCTTCCGCGCAGCGGCGCTGTTTCAGATCTCTCTGGTGTGCGGAAGCCTCAGACTTCACATTGGTCATGTCCGGCCGCCCTGCAGGAAGGCATCGAGGATGGAGACGGTGGCGCAATCCCCCGTCCGCGTAACGTCAAGAGAACCAAGTTATGCGACCGAGTACCACCGTGAAGGCCGGAGTTGCCGCTGTCAATGCACCAGACTACAATCTATTGCTGGTTTGTCGATATCAAGTGATCTCTACGTCAAAGTTGTGGCTGCTTACGGCAAATAAGCTTCTTCGATGACGGAAAGACGAGAAGTCGATGATCGTGCTGAGACGGCTTGGTCATGATCACCATCTTCTGGGGTTCTGTAGGGCATGGAATGCAACGATGACTTTGAACAGTCAAAGATCCAGGAGCCAAGGTGCCGCCAAATAGATTGCCTCGGTGCCGAAGCAGCGAGTGACCGCTGCGGCCTCTGCGGATGCTACTGGGATACGGCAGCCGGGGGCTCGTCACGATGACTCTGGTCTCTTTAGGCTGTTGTCTACACAACCAGCTCGGTCTCCGACTTGGTATTGTGATGGAACTATAGCTGGACTCAAATGTACGAGGGAACTTTCCGCGGCACCACTCGGTCATTGATCGTCACCGAGAGAGGATTGCAGAGAGAAATGCAACTTCATCTCTGAACGACATGATGTGGCCCTCCGGCAGCCCCCAATCTGGGGCTCATCCCACAACAGACGCGTTAAGGGAACCAGGTCTCATGTATGCGAAGCTGTACAAAGGCCAACACGCCGACTACCTATCTTGTTAGTGGTGGCTCGGAGTCGGTGAACTCTGTTGGACCCTGTAAGACCGCATGATGGTTGAGACGATGAAGATGCCCGAAATCGCGCCACCCCATACATAGGTAGTAAGTTTCCCAGCAGGAGCTCAAGCATGGCGCCTGCAGATATCCGTTCGGAGAATGATCCCATACGTAGACAGCAAGGGTTGTGGTCACTGAATTGACAGGGCGAACGGCTGTTTGCCACCAAGCCTGGACTAAACCATTTGACTTGATGTCCCCCAGAGCCCACAATAGGCATATTGATATCACGGTAGTCCCAAAACACATCTACAACGCTGACGAGAGTACAACAGCGGCCCTGGATTGCTTACCATGCTGTCTCAAAAACCACCAAACTTGGCTTCAAGTCTGCGAGTCCAGGGTAGTTCCAGCATGATTTTCGGGGTAAAGCCCGTTGAATCACAACCGAACTCCGATGCGCCTTTGTGCCGATGTCACGAACTCATTTCCAGGCAGCACTGCCGGCCCGCTTCGTCACCTCGGAAGAAACGTCTTGCGATACCCGAGCTTCCTTTGAGGGCGCAAGCTGTGTTCGTTGGGGGTCCGCCGACGACGACCGTCAATGTTCAGACTTGGGGTTGTCCACGGTCGTGAAACAAGATATAAAAAAAAACCAAGAATGTTTCAGACTGAGATAAATGCAGAGTGATCATGATCGACAGAATTACAAAGATCCGGGTTTCTGGCAAACAATTGTATTCAAAATAGCAGAACTTAAAGGGAAGAAGTTCTCAATGGCAATCATCCTTCAGACTTGTAATGACCGTGTGACAAGGACTACACCTGAAATAGACGCAGTAACTTTCATTGCTGGGTCTATCATATGCTGTCAAGCAAGTTGTGACGGCCGTCTTCGATTGAAATAGCGTCAAACACCTCGTAAGCATGGACTTCCATTGCATTTGAACGAACACCTTTCTGATCGTGTATCCAGATCTCAAGCGTCACTCCCGCCAAGAGAAACCCGAGCCTGGTTTCAGCGATGTTTTCGCCTTCCTCGGTTTCCTTG